CCATTTGCGGTGGGGAGAGGGGGTGCAAGACGTCAGTCCCTCAGGGTTTAAGATCCTACGGTTTCACGACGCCCTCCGCAAAACGTCACGCTCCACCTACACATGTACGAGTACATACATACAAGTTTGGGCTCGGAAAGTCCTGCCCCTCCTTTCCATTCAAAGTTACAGTACAGAGTTTCATATATATGTGGGATTTCTTGGTTTGCTCCAGGATGCAAGATACTCTGTGCTTGCATTCTGCCTGATGCTGTCCGACTCGTAATTGCCCAGGGCTCTGGCAGAGTCTCCTTTGTGCGCCATTAAGCTTGAGCGATGGTTTCGTTTCGTTTTGTTTCCGGACGTTGACCGAACAATGCCAGCGGATCAGTCCCACCCACCCACCGGCACAGGCCCATCCTGACTTGACCCCACCGAGACATCTAGTTGTCACTAACGCAGTGCCTAGGTAGCCAGCTAGTATACGAGGGACCGGAAAGAGTAGGGCCGCATGGAAGGAAAAGCAGGATTGCTGGGCGGGTAAATCGTTCTTCAACTGTCGTAAATGGAATGTGAAAGGGAAACAATCCGAAATCCCCGCGAGGACCAGGACGCACGGTCCCCCTTGAAAATTGGAGCGTGAGTGAGCCGTGGGTCGTTATAATGGACCGCCAGGCAGTCCGGGGTGCATGCAGCAACGGGGTCCAAAGCGTGTCAGATTAGCACAGCCTGCACGGAGTCCGGGGTTACGGAGTACAGAGTAACTCGCCATTTAAACAGCAGATCCTCGTCCATAGCACAGCATAGCGCCTGAGGGGCCTCTGCAGAGCCGAGTACCAGGCTCTGGAAGTTAGATGGATATTCATTTACCCAATTCATCAATCGATACTCGGCACTTCCTCAGATCCCCGGAGTCCTCAAATAATAGTTGGTCAGTTCTGATCTGAAATTCGCTTACTCGTACTGCAAGCTCAGACCTTGAAACGTCCACCGGAAGAAGGGTTTTGGGACGTTGTCGCCCCGTCACATCTAAGGAGCCAGATTATGAACTTGGTCTAATGTACTGTCGATTTACGGTGAGGCTATGTCCCTGTATGAGGAATTATCACAGACACCTGGTCCGTACCTAGGGTATACCCGAGACCTGGTCAGCTGCCATGGTGGTGCATCACGATTTCAACGGAGTATTCGAGATTCCACGCTTACCAAAAGGCTTTCTTCAGCAAAGTCAACCCTATTCGGTATTTGCAAAGAGATTGCCTCGGTACCATCCATCAAGGAGATCTTGCTGAACCGAGTCTCTGTTTTTGGCTGAATGATCAACACGCGTGACCATTCTGAGGGCACGCGTCATCACTAGATTCGGGACGGAGCGTGTTCGATGAGGCGATCCCTTCGGGCACAACTGTGCAACCACACTTTCCTGCACCTTCATCTGGTAAGTCGCGCCGCCGAACGTTATAATCGATGACATGGTACTCGATACAGAGACCACTGCATCGATTCGAATCCCTCACGCTCAAAACCAGGGTTCTACGGAAACTTGATCCATGGCTTCCTTATTACTCGTAATCCATGAACCACGCGATCATGTCAAACCTGACTTGGAAGGATAATGCTCCATGATCGGGCGTCGGTAACTTAGCCCGGCACTTGTCGTCTAACTCAGGGAGGCCTGACAGTGCGCCCGGGGGACCGGACCGCTCCAAGTTTGGGGCGCTTCAAGCTATCCTCCACGTGTTCAGTAGTACCCGCAATGGACTGCAAGTGGGCCTTACCATCTGCCTCTTGCGTTTCAACCAAACGCTACCGAGCGTTGAGAAGCCTGATAACCTCTCTGGAAGAAGTGGCTGGCACCGTACCCAGGATGAGGGCGAATCCTCTGTAATGGAGAGCCCTTAACGAAACGAGATTAGTAACGAGAAACATCACCCCTTTGGGAAGGCGCTTGACCCCAGGCGATTGCTAGTCAGAGACAGGAAGGAGCGATCGCTGAAGAAAAGGCACCTGTATCTTGAGCGGCTCCTTTCCCTATGTCCGAGTACCGAGCGCGGATACTCCGCGCTCGGTCCTTCGTAGAATGCAGGACCTTCCGACTGTCAGTCGTTCTTCAAGGCATGCAATCATGGTCCGGATAATTAGAATTAGCACCAGAGATTGATTCTCCTCCGACAAGGCTGAGACAATCACCATAGAGAGCTGATTTGCCTTGATAGCAGGACTGGTGCATAAACTCACTTGTCACCTTCCTGGAGTGTCTTAGACTCAGGTCGATATACGCCATGGAAATCGCGCGCCTGTTCTGGTGTAACTTGTAAGGCAGCCTGCAGATCAGCTCGAGAGTGCTCAACGAGCTTGGCACCTTACCCGGTTATAAGGGTGAAACTTTCGAAATAGGCAGTCGAGATGAGGCACTTCTACGCCTTCCCTTGGAGGACAATGGATTTCGTGTATGATTATTCGATTATCCTGCTGTGGGATGATCAAGCGGACGCCTTTTTTGTTGCTAACCGGGGTTTGCATATCTGACAGTCCAATTCACGCACCACCCTACGTTTCCAGTGCTCATTGGCATGTGGTGCGATAGAAGCTAATACTGCTGGAATTGTTGGGACTCGATATTGTCCTTTCAGATTCGAGCGGAAATCTACCTGGCAGAGGATTGATGGTGGCGTGCTGCTTCGGACAGCCAACCAGAAGCAGACATGTCCAGGGTGTCGGAGTGAACGGGGCCTGATAGGTGGTTGTGCTCGAAGATGGAACCAGTGTCAAAAGCAATGCAATGGTACTAACGGAGGTGTGGCTGTCGACAAAAGAGCCAGTGGCTTCGGGAGATGGAACGATGTGCTCGGTAGGTTGGGTCTAAATCAGCCACGTTTCTATCCGATGCCACCTCCAGCCAAGGGGGAAATGGTGGGGGTGGTACGTCCGTACTCGTAGGCGCAGGTGATGAGATGTGAACGTGGGATTGTGAAGAAATGCTGTAACCTAATAGCACAAGCGAGAAAGGGGTACTCGTACAGGACAGGTTGCAAGGATGATAGGACTTTTCCTGATGCGGTAGGTCCCCCTCGTCCCTCGATAACTTGGGGCATTTCGTGCACAAAGTACGGAGTACGGAGTACCATAGCCACACCGCTCACGTGCCAATAACAAGTGTGGACATAGCGGTAGCCTTGCGTTGAAGGGTCACATCAAACATTAGACCCCAATTGATAAAGGATCATGCACTGTGTAATCCTACCGAGGACCTCGCGTCATGCGTGGAGGTGGTGATATGGCAAGTCGCGTCATGGATTAATTGCTTATGCGACAACGCTCAAGCTGTGCTTTCGTGATTCATCAGCGGGGAGGGAATTAAGGGTACCTGCAGCCGCTTCAGGTGTCTGGGGCCATTTGAAGGTGAAGTGTGAGATACCTTCAAAGCCACTTGTTTAATCACGTTGAGCAACCATTCTCCCGCATTACTTTGTGTGCTTGTTGCCCCCCATGCCCGTACTGTTCGGAAAGTGTAATGCCATGAAAGATGGAAAGAGGAATAATACCAAATACCGAATACTGGATCTGGTATTGTCATTTCTTAACCTGGTCTCTCTTCAGTTCTCTTTCTCCTTAGGATTACCATTCCCCCGTACTGTCACTACTTTGAGGTGTTGTTGGGCGTAGGTTTGAGAAAGTTGGCGGACTGCGGCTTCCTCTGCCTTCAACAATGATGTCACAGCCCAAGTCACGAGCAACAACTTGAACCCGAAGAAGCTTGGACTTTGATGTTCGGGCAGTTACCCCGCCGCAACTGGGACACTCGTGCCTTCCAGATTAGCCCACGGTGCAAGCTACTACGCGTAGCTACCAACGCCCTCGCAATTGTTGACTCAAACAGAGTCACGTCAAGTAGTCGTAAGGAGAGAGCAGCAATCACAGCATCAATACCCAATGATCTGTAATTGTGGTCTTCCGATGTCAAGATCAAGATCAACACCATGAGTCACTTGATCAATCTTGACTCTTCAGGCTTTCCACAGGGACCGAGGTGGCCACTGGCCTGTGTCTATCACTCCGTCTCTTCCATTCTGGTCCATTTCCTCCATCCTCCGCTTTCTCTTTTTATACGGTGTCTCTTGTGATTCCGCCGTTCATCCCTGCACCGCCTCTTGTTAAAGGTGCTTGCTACCACCCCACCTCTCCCAGACCCCCCCTCCGCACGTTACAGACTTCTATTTCCTCCGTCCCATTTTCCCGCCTCTATAACCGAGCCGACCATCAGCCGATCTAAACGCCAGCACTCATATACCAACCAATCCTGGCCTTGATCCAGCCTCCCTCCTGTTGTAGTGCCTCGCCAACTCACACATCAATGTCACACGACAATCACAGTAAGCTGGTCCCTTTCTTGCCCCCTACCAATATTCATTCCCTTGGTTGATCTCTCCTGGAACTTGGTTGCCTTGCGCCTGCGTAACCAAGTCCTGCCACTCCACAAGCCCCCTGTACATATCCCTTAACGAGAAGGCCCGTCGGGCCGCCCGCTGCGTCTCGCAATGCTGTCAGGCGCCTGCACATCGAATCCCTTGTTCGGCTCAAGTGATGCTTTCTATTCACTCATCGAATATGCGTTGTCCCTTCGTTCAGCTGACCCAATGCTGAACCAGTTGTTGACCATTCATCCCCCCTTTTCTAGGCTCCGATCAGGTCAGCGCCAACCACCTCTCTCCATCGAATCTACTTCCAGCTCCTCCGAGATCTCGAGTATGCCGCTTCTATAATACAAACAAAGGTATTTATCCTCTCGTCTTTTAGAATCCTTTTTTTCCATTGGTTTATGCAAAGGGTTTAATCCCCAATCTGCCTAAGACATGTACCAGCGGCTGTATCAAGAGTCAGCCTGGCGCCCATCCCCCATCCCACTTGAGCACTGGCCCCTTCGTATATGCAACTAAACTAATCAACATCCTTGCTTGTTCCACGTGATGGCTAATCTTGTCGCTTAGGTTGTCGGGCGGGCGCTCAATGTCCCTATCAACATGCCCAGCCACGTACCTCTACCAGGCAGAAACATGACCAGCAACAAACCGTGAGAGAAACAGAGAGATCGACAATTGAAAACAATCCGGGCGAGACGGAGATTCCTTCCAGGCCATTACCAAGCCCAAAACCTGTCTCGCAACTTCAACGAACCAATCCCCGCCAATTCCAGATCGGTCAACTGATCAAAAGATTCGCTCCATCCCAGAAAGAAATCAGTGATGCCACCGTTTTGTCCTTCACCCTGAATCCATCCGACCCCGACTTTCCCTTTGAATTGGCTGGCCTTGATTGCAATCTGACCATTCCAGCATCATTCCCTCAAAATGGCACGCCGACTCTCCGAATCACTAACGCCGAAATGGCCCGGGGCTTTCAGATCAATGTCGAAAAGGGCTTTCAGTCCTTGATCATTGAATCGCCGCGGAAGCCTTTATTGGCTTTACTGAACGACCTGGACAAGAACTTGGAACACTTCCTGACCGCTGAAAAGGCGCATACAATTAAGATTGTGACCAATACCGACAAGAAGCCCAGTCTCCCAAATGTAGTGCCGCAAGTTGTGCAGCCCCCTTCAGCTCGGCCTGAATATGTTGCTCCTCCTGTCCCTTCATGGTCGGCCCAGCAATTGTCCGCTGCCAAGGGAAAGCGTCAGTCAGATGTGCGCCAGCTTGAAGCACGAATGGGCCGTCTGCTAGGTTTCTCCAAGAGTACTGATGGGACCAGATTCAATATCCCTGTCCATATTGCTAATGCTGCACGGTTGCCGGTAAGTTTACAGCCTCTGAAGGAGGTAACGTTGATAGTGCCCAAGCTCTACAATCTACAGCCTTGTACCGTCCATCTCAATGGCGTTTACGGAAGCGAGGTGGAGGGCGTGCAGTTGTCCTTTGAGAGGCGTGCTCGTGAGCAATTGGAAATGACTCTCATGGCACACATCAATCATCTCATTCAGAACATCCATACTCTCGCTGCAGAAGCTTCAACGACAAGTATCCTGCCACCCCCTGCTCCCGAGCTGCCTCGGCCTCCCGTTGGCGATGCATCTCTTGTGGGAACAGGGAGAGAAACAGAGGAAAGCCAGAGAGTATTAGACCCAGATCATCCCCATGTCATGGTAATTCCAAGGCCCCCAGAATGGGATCGCCCTGGTTCAGGTTCCGAGTCTAGCTCAGATTCATATGACTCGGAGGACTATACAGAATCGGAAGATAATTCTGATGTGGACGATGATGGCCTCGCAGGCGGTGCTACGCTGCCAGACACAAGCGCAACAGCATCGTCGACTGCACCAGAGAGAGGTATTCTTCTCTCATTCCCTAACCTCGAACTTCACGGCATTGAACTCCTTACCATCTCGTTCCTGTCGCTTTCTGTAAAATGTCTTCGATGCAAAACTCAACTCGACATTTCCAACATCAAGCCCAGCCTTAGCAGTTCAGCAAAAGATGGCCGTTCTCCATCCAGCACGAGCACTCGCACCGAATCCTGTCCCAAGTGTTGTAGCTCATTTGAGATGACCTTCACTCCTCAGCTGTTACACCAGCACTCTGTACGAGCTGCCACCATCGAGACCACGGGCTGTACCATCGCAGACATGCTCCCTTCGACCTTCCAGCCAACATGCTCTGCATGTTCGACACCATTTCCCAGCCCCCCCGGCATGATTTCCGTCCGCGGTCACACACCAATCCAAGTGTGCCGATCATGCCACTCGAAAATGACCTTCACAATTCCCGAAGTCAAGTTCCTCCGCTTGTCGACAGCAACCCACGATCCACAGTCTCTGCCCCTCCGCAAACCCAAGCGCGAGAACCTCGGCGTCACAACCGGCAACCCTTTACCATCCAACGGAACGTGCAGCCATTACGCGCACTCATATCGCTGGTTCCGCTTCTCATGCTGTGGGCGCGTCTATCCATGCGACCGCTGCCATGACGCCGCCGAATCTCATGTTAACGAGCACGCCGAGCGCATGCTGTGTGGCTGGTGCAGTCGCGAGCAGCGGTTCCGACCCGAAGACTGTGGATTCTGCACCCGCAGCGTCATCCGCAGACGCAGAGGCGCTGGCGCAGGCCGCTTCTGGGAGGGTGGCAAAGGCACTAGGGAAAGGGCGCTCATGAGTCGCAAGGACAAGCACAAGTATAAGAATAAGCGCGCTGAAGGTTCGGCTGCGGCGGCTGCAAAGAAGGCTTGAGTTGAGCAGAGCTGCCAGCTAGAAAGCGAAGTTCGTCGGCGAGATGGAGCTAGCCCCTAGTGCTCGTTGTAGCAAAGACGTGCATGGGAACGAAAAGGAGAACCAAGAATGATAATGATTACGATGATGGCCCAAGTATATCCACGGCACATACCAATCATGGATTGAATGTGCTCGGGACGACTTGGTGATCATCATGTATTCCAAGTGCTCGTGTCCAGGCACATATTCGGTTGGAGATTGTCTAGCTCTCTGAATAGAAGCGATTGATTCTGCACCAACGTATTCAAACTGTATATATTTACCCGGCGGCCCTCCCAGCTGGGAGATGTGGTTGTCCAAAAAAAAATCGAAGCAAGTCAACGCCATCCTTGTGTCGCCTCACGATAGCGCTAGTCGGATAACCCATAACAAGCACAAGCACAAGCACATCCCAAGCACGACCTCGAACGGGCCATGCGACTGGCTGGCTAACTCTCTGGATAGTTAGTACCTCGCTCTCAGTTCAGACGCCTGAGATCTCTGTGCATACTGTGAGTCTACCCGCCTGCTAGCGCTGGTACTCTGCAAAGCCTTTCTATTTCAACAGAGGCTCTGTTTCGCCGGTACCATTTCCACGCTTCTTACGTCTTCTCTTCTTCTTTTTCGAAATCGCCGTCGTTGTCTCCTCTGTTTCCGCTGAGACACTTCGCAGGCTCGCCTCGGAGCGGTTGGCATTGCTGCTTTTCCCGCCGTCGGGGTTCAAATACCCTTTGTTGGCACCGCTGTTGTCTTCATCTTCGTTAGATTCGCTGCTAGAAGTAGTTTCCAGCACCACTTTCCTAAACCCGTTAGTGTCCACGATGTTTTCTGTGATACTACCACTCCTAGCCGGGCCTTTACTGTGGTAATACGGGCTTCGAGACCGGGGTCGGGATCCAGGTAGGCTATTGATCGTACTCGACGAATCTTTGGTTTTTGGTTGAGGTCGCGCATTTTCATCGTTGACATGATTGGGGAATTTTGGTCGGTCTGATGACAGTAAATCAGCCTGGATGCCTTTCGTTGCACTGTGCGGCCGTTTATCGCTTGGTGACGATGAGATTGTGCCATATCCATGCTGAAGAGCTTGTACACCGTCACTAGCGCCTTTCCCTCCAGATTTTACGATACCCTCGCCGATTCCTCCATGATAGTCCGTCATCGATTCAGAGACTCTGCGCACCGGAGTCGAGATTCCGCCAACCACCGGACCACTCGAGTTCGAAGTTGCATCTGTACCGGGTTTGATTTTGACGGTCGCATACCTTGTGGCTTTGGGGCGCTGGGCAGGATTTGATGGCCCTAGATGCTTGAGGTGTTCCATGATCTCCTCTGTTGCGGCTCGTTTCACGCGGGGTATTTCACTCGCATTGTTGCTGGCACTAGAGTGCCGTCGAAGAGCTGAAATTGCTTTCGTCTTGCCTGGGAAGGTATCTGTGGTCTGGACAGGATGTAAGTCGTCAGGAGATAGGAGATCGTGTTCCTTGATATCAACCAGATCAGAAGCTGGGGGTTGGGCGCCATTTGGCTCGGGAGTCAGGTGCCTTGAGATCCGTCTTGTAGGGGCAGGCATGGCTCGACGGATCGCTTTGTGTACATCGATGAATACATCAGACTCATCCACAATCTCCTCGCCAATCAATTCCTCAATGACATCTTCAAGTGTGACCACGCCGATGGCGCCATGGTCATCTCCGGGATATTCAGATACCAGAACCATATGAGACTTGCCCTCCTGGAAGAAATTGACAATATCAAGACAACTTGTATCAGGCCTTGTCTCGGGCAGGGTGGCTAGTGCAAAGTCACGCACGGGTTTGGCGTCCTCGGGGTCATACGTGATGAGCATCTTGACCAGTAGCATGCCGATGAAGTTGGAATTGTTATCAGGATGGTGGACTGGAATTCGAGAATAACCCTGAGTGAGTATGTCATTCATGGTTACCTCATCCAGGACATCATCGAGGGACAAGGTATAGACATCATCCATAGGAGTCATAATACGACCGACCGATTTGTCTTTCAAGTCCAACACAGCGCTGATGATTGTTACCTCGTCAGCATTCAGCTGTTGCCCGGCTTCGCCCAGGCTTCGATGCAGTGATACCAAAGTCTTCAGACCTGCTTTCTTGTACACAGTTCCGTGATCTTCTCCCAAGAGATAATCAAGTAACTTTGCGGTAGGCCAAGCGACAGGGGCCATTATGTACATGAGGCCTAGGACGAAAGGAGCCATCCAAGAACCGATAGGCAGACCGTAACGCACGCAGACCGATTGAGGAGCAATCTCACCGAAGATGACTATCACTTGTCAGCAGACCGGCCCATAAAGGTTGTGGAGAGACACCCACCGATCAAGACCGTGGAACCAAGGACAGCAGGCCATCCACCACCCAGTGAGCGATCTAACACGATAGGCAATGTCTCGTTGGTGATGACGTTGCTCAAAAGTAGAGTGACCAAGACCCAATGCTTCCCCTTCTGGAGTAATTTCAAAACTTTGGCGGCGTGGTTTTTCTCGGCACCTTCGCCAGAATCACGAATGACTTGTAGGTAGATTTCATCCTGCGGTTCTGTTAACCACACCGATGTTCCACATGGACGAGTAAACTCACCTGACCCATCAAAGCTATTGTCAGGCCTGCAAAGGCACCTCCCGCGAGGACCAAGATAGCTGCAAACGTGAGATAAAGCCATAGCTGTGGATCGTCGTTGTCCTTTCCTTCCTCTTCTTTCAGCGCGGAGAACAACGTCGCTGCGTGGAGGGGAGCAGCTCGCACGAATGGTATTTGGGTGAGTGACAGGAAGAGGATCTTCGAAAGCCCAAGGACTAATGGCCTCGTGGCCAGGTAGGAATTCGATCTTGCTGAAGCCATGCCGCTGTATCGAGGGTCTATGTGCTCAGTGCGGCATTTTGACTGTGCTGAGTTCATCCGATGAACAAACAGCTTGGAAATGAGATTTGAGATACTGAGAGCCTGCTGGGGCGAGAGGGGAAGAGATGGAGGTCGAGAGACCACGAGATCCGTTGGATTTGCGTAGAAGGGGGAAATGAGATGAGTTTGTTAACACTCTCGACGAAATGATGGCTGGTAAATGATTGGCGCATGCAACTGCAGGCGTGGAATGGTGAAGAAGGCGGGAAGGGGAGCTAGAGGGCAAATTAAAATGACCTTTGATATGACAGGCAATGAGGACCCATCGGCACGGTAGAGAGGGGTAAAGGAGCTTGGTCAGACGGCAGCCTTATCTGAGTGGTGGTGTGGCCAGTATTCACCCACAGCCCAAGCTCCACAGTAAACCTACAACTCTATGAGTACGAGGCCGTCCTCAAAACCCACGCAGTGCTCGTGCAAGTCCGGTCTCAGCATTTTGACCCGCAACAAGGCAATCCGCCGATCAGCTGAAGGAAATAAGACAGATGGTGCTGAAAAGAGTGGTTTGCGGCGTAGATCTTCAGAATTCTAGGCGCGAATTGCACACTAGGAGGGAAGTTGAACTTGCGGCCTTGTGCACTCTTGGTCCCAGCCTCGCACGTGATGACCCGATTCCCCTCGGCTATGGTGTAGCTCTTCGCCTCGATATCCGCTGCATCATCGCGCTTATTCTCGGATGCCGGAAAGCCAACATCTCTCACAAAAACATCTTCTTTCTCAACTCTATTCTTGATGCCTTTCCTGTGTTTTTTGCTCCTTCTACTTCCAGCAGGAGAGTCCTCATTGAATAAGTGCGCTTCACTATGATTTTCTCGCGGAGAATAGCTTCAGTCTCACGACTGCTGAAGACTCTAGATCAGTCCCAGACACGACGGGCCAGTCAAGCAGCAGGGGCTCTCCTGAACAAACCGATAGACTTCAAGAAAACTTCTGTCTTACATCAGTCACAAGCCAGTGTCAGAAATGCTTTTGGTCTCCCGCAGGATGCTCCTGTCGACATGCTCAATCTTCATGGCGCCATCAACTCTTCCCTCCACCATGCCATGAAAGTGGACGAAAGCGTCATTCTATTTGGAGAAGACGTCGCTTTTGGTGGCGTATTTCGGTGTTCAAAAGGTCTAGCCGACGAGTTCGGTGCAAGCCGCGTCTTTAACACTCCCTTGACCGAGCAGGGTATAGCTGGCTTCGCCATTGGCTGTGCCGCTGAAGGCATGAAACCTGTCGCCGAGATTCAGTTTGCCGATTATGTTTATCCTGCTTTTGATCAACTTGTCAACGAGGCTGCCAAATTTAGGTTCCGAGAGGGTGGGACCGGAGGCAACTGTGGAAGTCTTGTTGTCCGCATGCCATGTGGTAGCGTCGGACATGGCGCCCTTTACCACAGTCAAAGCCCTGAATCACTCTTCACCCACATCCCAGGTCTCCGCGTCATCATGCCTAGGTCGCCATCACAAGCAAAAGGTCTTCTGACAGCCTCGATACTTGAGTCAAAGGATCCCGTCATTTTTATGGAGCCGAAGATTCTCTACCGAACCGTGGAAGAATTTACGCCGCGTGACTCCTATACCCTACCACTAGACAAGGCCGATGTCGTCAAACAAGGCAAGGATTTAACGGTGATTTCCTACGGACAGCCAATGTACCTATGTTCTGCAGCCATCGACGCTCTGGAAAAGGAGATCAAAGGCCTTAACATCGAGTTGATTGACCTCAGAGCAATCTATCCATGGGATCGAGCCACTGTTATGGAAAGTGTCAACAAAACTGGGCGTGCCATTGTGGTGCACGAGAGTATGTACAATGCCGGAGTTGGTGCAGAAGTTGCTGCGAGCATCCAAGAGTCTGCCTTCCTGAGACTCGAAGCACCTGTTGCTAGAGTTACTGGTTGGAGTACTCACTGCGGTTTAATTTTCGAGAAGTTCAACATTCCAGATGTCACGAGGATATACGATGCAATGAAACGGACATTGGAGTACTAAGGTAATCGTACTGTCTGGCATCCCTCGAGTTAGTGGTGCCATGTCCACCTCGATTCTCAACCTCGAGAATGACAAACGGACTTCTTCGTGGGAAGTACAAGCCACCGGGCTAGATGGCTCCTTCCTGGACGATGTTTCAGTCTCTCGGGCCAGCACCTAGCTCCTGACGCATCGAGAGAGTAATGATCTACATTTCCACAGGAGTGAAAACATTGGTTGGTGACCAAATATGTCCTCGCGTGTCTAAGTGTAGAACCGAGGACCGAAGTCGAAGTTCCTATGTTAAAAGTTACAGGCTGTGCGGATGTATGTTAACATCAATCGTCCTACTATGTGCGGTCAGAGGTCATGTCGACACACTCCAAACACATCGGGACATTTGCGTCGAACTACATCGAAGACAAGAATAGTGTGGCATAAAAGGCCTGAAGATGTCATGGTGTCTTATTCCTCACAACATCACAATCGGCAATGTATAATACAGCGTGTGGCACACAAATATCACGACTGAACACTACTTCTTGAACTGTCCATTCTTCGAACGCTTCATTAGTGCCGTACGACGCCATTGAGCACGAGAATCCGCCTCCTCCCCTGTGCGACATGAATGGTATCTCTTCTCACACGACTTGACGTGGCCTCTTCTCGAACGTCCCCTCATTTCAGAGAGGTCGAGGTCGCAGTACCAGCATCTCTTGGTATTTCTAGAGATAAGCTCGGCTATCGTTTGGGCAAGATTGGTGTTGGTCTCCAGGTCGGAAGGCTGATATCCAAACTGTGCAATGACCTCTTTGCTAAACTGGACTCGCTTGGGATTCGAGGGGGTTTGTGTGTCGGTGCCGGTCCTCATAGTGGAAGACATGCTGGTAGATTGCTTATAAACAAAATGTATGGCGCTATCCTCGAGGAAAGGCGGCTAGTCATGAGAAGATGCTTTTGGATTCTGAGATCGTGTCTTAAAGAAGTTTTGGCTGCATGGGCTGATTCAATAGCAACCAGCCATACTCCATATATAGATATCACCAAGAACAAAGACAGCGCAAGCATGACCAACGAACAAAACACGTATGATGCAATGTCTTTTCTTTGTACAGTAAACATCTCACCACTTATTATATCACTGCTTGCGGTAGTAAGATGTCTCCTCAACTCTGTGTCAGGTTGCAACTCACAGTGCAGAGCACCCCTTGCATAGCCACGAGTTCGGCGTGCATTCCTGTCAATAATCTTCCCTGAACACAGCCACCTTCGGGACTTCCTTACCGTCCACTTCCTGTGAATCTTCATAATATGCCCTAAAGAGCCCACCGCAATTGAAATCGAACACAGCTTTGCCTCGCTTGCCAGTGGAGGAATGATTAGACCCATGTGCTGCGTTGTCGGTGACCTCAATGCCGATGATCCCACCTTGACCTTCACCTGTTCGCCCCCAACGGTCCGCTGCCGATCGCTGTAGTTCACCGTTCTTGCCTGCGATTAGCTTGACTGCATCAGACAACGGAACGTAGTGCGGCGAGAATCGACTGATTGAGGCTGAGGTTCGTACTGCATTCGTGCGTAGGAAGGAATCACCATTCCCGGTCCCTGATAATGCAACTGCACGACGCTGCTTCACCTCCCCTCGAACGGTCGGGGTTGGGTGGGACGTAAATGGTTGAGTGATGAAAGAATTCTCCACCACTGAGGAGTATGAAGGAGGCGCACCGTTGATATAGTGATAGCTATTTTCTCCTTCCAATCGCAGTGGGTCGAGGCAAGGCCCTAACAGGGCTTTGGTGTACTTGTAGAGAAAGTCAGAAGCTTGCTCGAGAAGACGTCTTTTTGGATAAGCCACTCCAATCTGCAGGCCCGGCGTGATATTTGGAACATGTTCCTCCCAAGCCTCGGCCCAGAATCCTGCCCCTACTGTGGGAGTGTCTCCAATGCGACCGGATCTCTTATTCGTCAAGCCGCCTGTTGATGTTGCCGTAGCCAGATTTCCCCACGAATCAAGGGCTACCGCCCCTACGGTACCCTGACTAGGAACTTCGACAAAATCGATATCTATGTCAGCATCATCACGACGAAGCTGAGAGAGTGGATCGGCAGATGCTAGAAGGTCTTCGAACGTGTACCTATCGAGTGACCGAGTATCTGGATGCAGCAGCCGCCGATGTTCGTCCCAGCGCTTCTTGGTCCAAAACCATGAATCAGATTTCTTCTCTAGACCACATTCGCTCCATCCCCATTCTTCGAGCTCTCGTCCACTCAGATGACAATGCATAGTGCTTGTGCCACCGAGTCCTTGATCCTTGTCGGATGCTGTTAAGACTTCCTTGGCCAAGAGGATGGGATGCCGAGTGTTCTTGACAAGACTGACTGCTGCAGCACGTTTGACAGCTCCAACGGGCGGTCCATCAGGGTTCAGAGACGTGACCATAATGCTTGCTTCAAGCTCAATGGTGCCTTTGTCAGTGAAGACAGCACCCCGGCCGCAATTGAAAAGCGGGTCATCCTCGAAAAGCGTCACGGCATAAGTCGCCGCATCTAGGGCGGATGCTCCTGAGTCGAGTAGCTTCCGAGTGCGTGTCAGATACTCTAGCAGTGAAGCATGATAGCGAGCATAAAGTTCAGGAGGAAGCTTGTCTCGCGAGAGCGCCCCAGCGCCACCATGGAGAATAACCGTGGGTCGGTATGGCCCGAGGCGTATGATAGGAGACTTCTCTGCCGGAGTCATGACTGATGTAGTTACTTCTCACAGCGATGTCAATGTCGGTGAAGAGTGCTTTGTGGTCATAGGCCGGTAGCCTTTTTAAGCTCTGGGAGTTTTGAGCAGAAGAAATGTGACCAGTTGAGCCCGGCATCACGCCATCGCCAGGACCTACACCGGCTGACTTGATGTTTGCTTTGTGCCACAGCACTGGGTGGCACCCACAAGAATTGAAGTCCCTCCTATTTTTTCTTCAAATTTTCAATTACAGGGGTAATTCAATGAACAACAATTGAGTGAGGTTCAATTAACCAGTAACCAGGTCCGGGATAATGAGATCATATGGGACTTGTCTACCCGTGAACCATGTGCCAGATTGGCGAGTCTGAGTCTCCACCTCGCCCAACTCCGTCGTTACGGAATAGCACGCTTCAGCTTGTGAGCCACACAATTCATCCCACCTAGCCAATTCTATCTCCATCCCCGTCGCCTTGATATTCCCTTCTAGGTATGGCCACAGCCGCGACTGACCAGGCCCGAAAGCAGAGTCAGTCCAATACCCTACCTTTGCGGCATAGGACAGCATCAGCAGCACAGCAGCCAGATGAGAGCGACGACTCCTCTGACGCAGAATCTTCACTTGCGACTCCAGCTGCTCGCAGCCCGCACGTGAAAATTCCTGGGCATCGGATTGAAGCTCCGGGTAGCGTTCAAGCCATTGCCATTGACGACGATGTGCTCTTTGCGGGTGTTCAAGGCGGCAGCATCGTCGCATGGTCCCTCGAAACATATCAACTTCTGGCCGCAGTGCCGGCTCACACAGAAAGCGTGCTAGGTCTTGCTTTGTCAGCCGACAGATCACTTCTCTTCTCTACAGGTGCTGATTCCGTCGTCAATGTATGGTCGACACAAACACTCCAGAGACTATACTCCTTGTACTCTCAGTTCGAGATCGGTGATGTCTTCTGTATCGTCCACTCGACCAAGAAGCAGGTGCTTCTATGGGGTGCTCAAAACTCCAGTCTTCAATGGGATCGACTCAGTACTGATGCCTCCATAAAGTCGCCAACCGCTTCATTCTCCCCGGGTTCTCGAAAGCATCGATTCTTCGATTCTCTAGGACCGGGAGGAAGCGTCAACGTGATCTCGGACGAGGATGGTACGACAGGACTACTGAACAACTTGGGAGGCCGGGCCTTAACTGTCCCAAGTAGCAACTATCTTCCCTACGCCCACAAAAGCTATGTCTACTGCATGCTTCTCATCAAGGGTCTCTTCACACACGACCGCGAAGAGGAAGTTTTGGTAACCGGGGCTGGGGATGGCACCATTAAGTTATGGTCCCTGGACTCATTAGGCATGGAAGGTCTCATCCTGATGCACAAATTCAAAAACTCAGGTCCCAACGTGCTGAGTCTGGCCTATAGGGGCTCTTTCCTATTTGCTGGTTTAACCGATGGTGTGGCGAATGTATACAATCTTGCGTCCAATCAACTGGTTCAAAGACTCCAAATTGGAGACGGAGACATCAGTCAAATCTTGGTGAGCACGGACAGTATCCTCTGTGGGACCAGCCAAGGTCTGGTGAAGGTGAGAGAGTATTCGGATTTCTGCATGTCTGTGACTTACTCTTGTCCAGAGATACAATGACCACTTCGCACAGACAGAATCATGGAAGGCAGCAGATGGAAAGATCTTGGCAATGGGTCTCACTGCTGAAACCACTGAAAGCGATCATGGTATCCTGATCACAGGAGGAAATGACAGCATGCTCTCTGTCTGGGATGCTGATGGTGAGCAGCATGCTGCAGGGGCCTCATCAACACGCAGCAATGGTATGACACTTGACCAACTTTTGATTTACCAGATGACTGACGAATGGTCCAGATGAGCTGGTGAACACACTCCGAGAATTCGTTGCCTACCGAACCGTTGCAGCTAATCCAACCTGGGTCCGTGACTGTCATGATGCTGTAACGTTTCTGCGCAAACAGTGCAATTCTTTTGGAGCAACTTCTACTCTTCTATCGCCGCCCGGGCAGGAGGGTGTTAATCCAGTTCTGCTGGCCAAATTCCGAGCTTCCAAGCCTTCCAAAACCACACGATCTGTGCTATTCTACGGCCACTACGATGTTGTTGATGCAGAGTTCGATACTGCGAGTCCTACAACTTGGAACCACGACCCGTTCACTCTTCAGGCCTTGAGTGGCTTTCTGTACGGCCGGGGAGTCACTGACAACAAAGGACCTATTCTTGCCGCGATATATGCGGTTGCTGACCTGGTGCAGCAAAACTCTCTCGCGTGCAATGTCACATTCCTTCTAGAAGGAGAAGAGGAAGCCGGTTCGAGGGGTTTTCGCCAAATAGTGCAATCTGCACACGATGCCATTGGACCTGTTGATTTTATCCTTCTGTCCAACAGTTATTGGCTCGATGATCATATACCTTGCCTCACATTTGGAATGCGCGGCGTTGTTCATGCGTCGATCACGATCAACTCGAACAAACCCGACCTGCACAGCGGTGTGGACGGCAAATCCGTGCAACACGAGCCACTCAAGGATCTTACTGTGTTACTGGCAACCCTGATTGGACCTTCGGGAACAAAGGTGACGATTCCAAACTTCTACGATACAGTGGACGTATTGTCTGAAAGCGAGGTGAAGGCGTATGCGGCGATCACCTCCTCCCTCCTTCCCGGCCACCCAGAGATCAAGAACGAAAAGGCGTTTGCATTGTCTCTCATGCAACGATGGAGATATCCGAATCTGACGGTCCACCGGATCGAAGTTCCGGAGGCCAAAACGGCAGTCACGATCAGTGGATCTGCCAAAGCCACTATATCGATCCGCATCGTACCGTCACAAACAGCAGAACAAATCGCCAACGGACTGAAAAGCTATCTCGAAGGAGAATTCGCAAAACTCCAGTGCGGGAATACAATCGAGGTTGAAATCCGATCAAAGGCAGACCCATGGCTGGGGAATGTGCAGAGCGAGATCTACACGGCACTCAAATCAGCCATTGTCGATGTCTGGAACCCGAGCGGTGCACAACGCTCCTTCCCGGCCTCTGCAATGTCCCGAGATTCCATCAGCAGTTCCACGGCCCAGCACGCATCGCTTCAACGACCATCTCAACGACGTGCTTCCACATTGGAGTCGACCGGAAGCTTCACGCTTGCGAACCTACCGCGAGAGCCATTGCTGATCCGGGAGGGCGGCTCCATCCCCGCGATAAGCTTTCTAGAGCATGAGTTCAACGCTCCAGCCGCCATGTTCCCCATGGGTCAGGCAAGCGACAATGCCCATCTGGACAATGAGCGGATCCGCGTCGAAAATCTGTACAAGGGGCGCGAGGTCCTGAAACAAGTCTTTGCTGAGCTGTAACGATTGCGCGCTCTCGCCCTCACCCTCGCGGCGAAGTCACGGGGTGTGAAATCAGACTATGTAAAGGGATTTCGGGGGTATTTCCGAGAATGGTTGGCTACCCAACAAAAGCAAGCGTGAGCTAGAGAGACGACTTGGGGGGATCAGATCGAGCCTTGCGCGACGAGGGAGGACAGCTTCCCACCGCATGAGCAAAGATTGCCTGTGCTCCTTAGGCTATTGGCTGGCCTAGGGCAGCGTATATGACATCTTGTGGCTTTAGGGGTTCACTCTGTAATGCTCCATAGTACTCCGTACTTGGATTGCATGAGGCTGAACAACGGTCTTCCCGGTCTACATCTGCGTTCATGGAGGGGCTTTCCCTTCCATCACAGGATTCTTTGCACCCAGTAATGCAACTCAGCCAAAGTGTACACAGATATCGAAGGCCTTCACTCTAGTCCATGACAGAGTTCATCGCCCTCCTCCCCACGCCCTACAATATTGATCTGCCTTACTTTCCAGCCAATCTGCTCCAGTTATGTGCAGCGGTTGGACTTTTCGATCTTGGCGAAGCCCTTTTGAAGGGAGATGGAATATATAACATTCGAGAAAGGGATGACTAAGGCGGACGTTCTTTTTCGTGGCGATTCAGAAACGGGACCCCGATACCCTACGCTTAGCATTCAGTCTCCTCGAAATAGAAAGGTCGACCCAGCCGTCAAAAGGTCCTGGCTGCGCCATGCACCGTGGCGGAACTAACCAATGCCGCAACTGAGCCGGACTCAGACTCCCCTCTGTTTTCAAGCCGTACAATCGAAATCTCTGACTACAATTGTGAGTTACTTATGACGAGTGCGATGGGCAAAGCAACGTGGGCGGCGACATTGGCCAAGGAGACGAAGGAACTCCTCTACTTTGCCCCATACATTGTGCTCTGTTTTATCCAAAGCCTGATAGTGGGGCCTACTTGGTTCTGCCTTTGACCACTCATTGCCGCAGATTGAGACCCCCCATCCACCTCAGTCTACTTGCCTTATCTGCCTTCCTCGGTACATAGCTAGGTAGCTAGCATGCCATTACTATGAATCGTTCTTTGAGAGGATCTGAGGAATGACAACGTCTGCGCGTAACTGCCAAGGCACGAGGCACGGAGCACATAGGCATGAATGGAAGGAGCGTCAGCGACATAGGGGGGCGACATAGGGGGCCAGCAGCCCTGGGCGGCTCTTCGGGCCGTCACGTGGGATGGGACTCAGTCTGTTGGAACCAATCTGTGAGAAGAATCAATTTCATTGCGCCCATGGCGGATATCGCACGCAAGTTCAAGCTGCTGTGCCAAGTAAGTACCTCAGTTCGCCCTAGTACGTAATGAATAATGGGTGAGAGACAGAAAGAGACCGGCGTTTTCCAATCTAGTCGATGGATGCAGAGATGGATCGATTGATCGAGTAGTAGTATTCAAATTTTGATTTTATGCTTGATATCATTCGTCCTGATCCCAAATCTTTTCATGTCCATCCAATTCCTGCATCTCCTTTATCACAAGCATGTGATATTATATATACCAACAACTCGAAGAGCCAGTCTAAGGGTATATATTTATCATTTCAGGAATTTCTGATTCAGTTTCCAATCAACGCTTCATAAAAAGATGAAGATGAAGACGAGGACACGCTGGATTGGTTTCAATAAACGCCATCGCTATGCAACAACAACCAAGCAGGAGCAGAAAATAGAATTTCGGCTTTGCTTTAGCTAGAATCTCATGGGTCATAAGATTGCTTCCCTTGTCTGGTGAGGGAAGTTTTCGTGGCTGATGATTCGATGTGATCGTAGTAGTAAAGACGCCGATTTCTATAGATTACCGCCAATTCGATGCCATGCATATTGTCAAGAGTCCCGTTTCTTTTGGTTCCATAAATTGGAAAAAAAACAACACTGGTCATTAACCTCATTAAATCGTCGTTCAACTGAGAAGATCGCCACCGCTGAGATTGATCCCTCCGAAAGTCCACTTGCCCGCAGCCCAGATCCAGGCACCGAGTTTTGGCTGCGCACCGGCTTTGACGTCGTCGTTGAGATCGATGACGCCCTGGAAAGAGTCCGCGCCGGAGTCCGATGAGCTGTCTTCCTTGTCTCTGGGAGGTAGGGCTGTCCTGCCTACGGGAGTGATACCGTTCATGGCATCGACGGCGTTGATGGCGGGGCCTTCGTCGAAGAAGTCCACTAGCGTGAACGTCGGTACCCTTCCGTACTCGGTCTGGCAGGAGCTCAGGGCGAAGCCCAGGTTACCGAGGGATTGGCCTGGGGAGTTGGTTGTGGTGATGTTGTCGATGGCGGGGGTTTGGATGTCGAAGAGGCCTTCATCGTAGAGGAAGTGGTTCATGAATGGCATGCGGTTGGAGGCAATGGCAGCTTGGGAATTGCCCCCGACGGCGGAGGGGCGTTCGGGGGAGCAGGAGAAGTCGGTGATGGCAGTGTTGTCGAATTTGTTTTCGAAGATAAAGGTGAACTCGTCCATGATGTAGGATTGGCTTTCGGGGATGCTGGCAGGGTCGAGAGAGGCCACAAAGACCATCAGTCGAGTGCCGGCGGTGATCAACTCTTGCAGTGTTGGCCAGGATACTGGAGGAGTGGTGGTAGAGGCGGGTTTATAAGCAAGACTGTTTATTCCTGAAGCTGTGAATTGTTGATCAAGGTCACCAACAGTTGCATCGTCGGAATTAACCAGCAGGATGGTGACGACGTCGTTTGGGTTATTGTCCATCCATGCTTTGACCTCCTCTAGCCAATCCGACAGGGTTCCAGCGTCAAGTAGATCGCAAGACGAGTGACACAGGTGCCATGCTCCGTTTGATTTGTGAACCTGGGCGGAGAGAAGACGAACACCAGCGTTGAGCTGAACGGTAGAATTGTAGAATTGGTTGCCTGAGGTAGAGAAGTCTGTCGACTTGTCTCGACGGAAGGGAGAGTCGTGAGCGCCTAGATGAACGACTTGGTTATATGGTCTGGAGCAGAGATCTGGGGAGTTGTTGCAGGCAGTAGACTGTCGCTTGAAGAGGTCGACTGAGGCAGCAGAAGCAAGCCCAAGGAGGGAGAGGAGAGCAACGAGCGGGCGTAGCATCGTGACAGTAGGGAGTACTATGCGAGTAGTATTGAGGGAGAGGCGAACGTGAAATCCGGGGTGAATGGCAGTCGAGAGATCAAACGAATGTGATACAAAGCACAGAAGAGTTGACAAAGATGCAAGAGAAGAGGGAAAAGATATTCAACTTAGGATAGGATAGGACAGAAAGAAGCGTCCAACATGTCAGTGAGATGGGATGAGATGAGATGAGGATGGGATTTGAACTGCCGTTAGGATGCATGAAACTGAAACCAGGGCCGCGTGGAGGAGAGGACGAGAGTGACCGACGATGAATCCGAGAGGCGCAGTCTCCCAAGTTCTTCCCCAATAGACACACAAGCCTCGCTGATGTCCCTGAAAAGAACGAGCAGGGGGCCCCCTCAAGGCCTGTGAAGCCTATCAGGTCGTTGAGACGGGGGTGGCCCAGGCTGAGTTGGGCTTGAAACTGCCCGGAAACAGAGGCTGGGTTCGGGGTCCCTGCGCCTTGGCAATGGCGGTTCATGGCCTAAGCTCTCCACGCACCGCGCCTGGCACGCCGACCACCAATCATGCCCCGTCTTCTCCTATTTTTGGCACCTGCAAGACACACGCGTACGCACGCAGACAAGCACCTACGGATCGGAAAAATTTTGCCCCATGTCCGACCCACAGGGACCCTGTAAGAAAAGAAAGGAACCTTCCGATCATCTGGGGTAAACCGATCGAGGGTGCGAGCTCATAGAAATGGGCCAAAGTATGAGGTCCAACTCTCCGGGGTAGAACCCGATGGCAGTACTACTATCGATAATGGGACGCCTTGGTCCACTGCTTTGAGGATGATAGAGATGATTAACTTGTTCATCTACTGGACGGGCACTTTTCTCGGGAGAAATAAAACCCCCTCAAGTAAGCAAGTAATATATACCATCAGAAAGTGGTAATGACCAAAGGCTGTGTACAGTCTGAATAAGAGTCTCTTTCTCTTTTCTTTTCCCTTGCCATCTCATTCCCTAATGCCCTTCCTCCCCTTGCAGCCATCCAGCCGCTCAATCCACCCAAGATCGATCAACCTCTCCGAGTCATTTTCTTCTCCTGCTTCTTCCGTTGCTTCTCGTTCTCCCGGTCCAGGAACTTCCGCTGCTCCTCCGCACTCATGCCCTTCATCTTGCGATCTCGCTCATCCTTCTTCATCTTCTCCAGGGTGCGAAGCCTCTCTTCCTCCGCCTCTTTGTCACTGATCTTCTTCAGCTTACTCTTCTCCGTTTCACGAGTCGCGTTGATCTTCCTCGCCACTTCCGGTCGAAGCTTGCCAGTGCCCACCACGAAATCCGGAAGCCTCAAGAATGCCTGGAAGAGCGGCAATGTCGGTAGGTAGTTGCCATCAGAGGGAATTTTGAGCCCGAGTTCAATGCGCTTCTTGGGGATGGTTTCCTTCAAATTGGAAGGCTTGTCTGTCGGCTGGTCTGTCAAGATGAGGTATTCCAGATAATCCTCAGCCTCAATGACAGCGGCAATCAACTCTTTGGTCAAGAAATTCTCGCTGATCTCGGCACTTTCGCTCATCACCGTCGCCCAGTTGGGAAGCTTGGGGTTGTCCTTGGTGAAGGTCAGAGACAGATCGTACCGCTCATCGCGAAGACGGCGCATGGTCAACTTGTTGACAATCGCGAACACAAACGAGTCATACGAGGAATTGCCCGCAGCCTTCACCCTTCCAGCCTCCTCTGAACCTGGAACCGGTGGAGGGACATAATCCTTCTCCTTGCCGTCAAACGTGTACAGCACGAATTCAGCCCTCTCGCCCTTGGGTTTGACCGACTCAAAGAACATGCCAGCAATCTGCTCGGCGATCATGGTCAAGGGATTCATCCGTCTCGTCAAGGTGAGCTTGCCGTCCAAGAACGCCGCATTCTGGCGACCGCTGGCATACATCTCGTACTCCCAGGCCGTCTTCTCCTTGTACAAGTCCTCGGGCACATCGTCACCCTGAGCCTTGGCGCTCGCCTCAACGATGCTCTCGCCTTCAGTGAAGGGAGGCAATTTCGGCACCTGGCTGTACCCGACCAGCGCAAATTCGCGCTCCAGCAAGGGTGTATGCACAGCAATCCATTTCTTCGCCTTTCTCTTATTCATGCGTGTTCCCCAGAAGTGGACCAGCAAGGCCAGGAAGATGAATGGAATCAGAATGCCCTCCATGTAGAAGTCCGACAGCTGCGTGCGTTCCCATACTCGGTACCACTTCGTGTAGACCCCGCGGGTTCCCACTTGCCCCGTCGCAGCAGCCGGTTGAGCATCGGCTGGAGAGACAGGAATCGACGCAGGCGACGGCGCCGGTGCAGCTGCGAAGTCGGCGAAATCTGTAGTGCACGAGCTCCAGTCAGCGAGATGATTCTCATGTTCTAGAATTGAAGGTAGAAAGGGCCAGACGAGAAGGCGTTTTCTGCGGTTGGTTCTTACCAGAATCGTCTCCGGCGACAGGTGCTTGCGCAGGCTTTCCGCCTAACAGGCTGTTGACAAAGTCCATGATGAGAAGATGGGACTGGGCCCAGAGTTTGAGTCAAGCCTGGATGCAAGTGAATGATCCGGGCTCCACTCAATGATTGAAAACTGCAAAAAGAGAAGCCACCTGGCAAACGGACCACAGGCGATTGTGATTAAATGCCAGAGATGGACAGTTAGACAGAAAGATGGGGGGGAAACTGTCAAGCTCCCCACAATCTCAATTCATTCTTTTGGTTGCATCTCGGTCGCTCTGCCAAGGCCCAGCCACCGCCAACACCACTAATCTGGAGTCTACGAGTACAAGTACGGAGTCTAGTACGGAGTACTCCGTACCTATACAGAGAACTAACTCATTAGTGAGATAGTTAGCTGCTCACCCCCCCGCTCGACTCTGGTGAACTAAGATGATTAGTTTCTGCGCTAAAGCGACATTAACGACGGTCGTTATTCCAGCGACTTGCCATCTCAATGCGTGCGTTGAGATCCCTTCACAAGTCGTGGTCAGATGGTGGTGTTAGTGGAGTGCTCCGTGTTATTTGAAGAATCAGAGCGGTAGCCAGTTTGAGAACGCTGTCTCGACGCCACAGGTCTAGAAGGTGGGGAGGGATCATACCGGTTCCCACCACCAGTGGGATGGAGACTCTTGCCTCCTATCACTAGCATCTCAATGTAAAACGTAGGCTGGGGACAGAGGATATGTCTGACCTAGCATTCAATGATGATAGAAGCATATTGTACGGAGTACTCGGTATAAAATATGAATACAACAATACTAATGCTCGTCACTGCGAAGTTCAATGATCAAAGGTTCCTCTCACGACGATCCACACCGTGAACCCAAATCCCGCTCTATACACATTATGTCGTGGCCTCATTACATTTTTTAGTACATTGACCGCTGCATGGGGTGTCAACCCCCAACGCCAAAAAGAAAAAAGAAGATCGAAACTTGTTCATCGCGCATAGGCCGGTGGGGGAACCGGCTCTTCTTCACGAGGAGAAAAGGGTTCAAAGCTACCCTTGAGCCTTTCATCCTCATATCGTCTGGCCATCTCGTTGGCCACCTTCATCATCCACGCTCGTTCTGCGATACTCCCACCATTCGATGGGTCCGTCACGAACTGGAAAAAGTTGGGCAGGGGATGACGCGAAGACCCTGGAGAGCCATTTTCAGACCCGACCTTTTCAGTTGGGAGATATCGACCCTCATTAATATGACGTGCATCTTTTTGATCTGTCCCCTCGGTGAAATACATCGATGCCCTTGGAGTCGGGTCATCATCGAATGCGATCGGACTGGGCTTCCGATTTCGTAGGCGAATGGTCGCATCTTGATCAACAGCTCGCGGCGTTTTGTGTATATCCAAAACTGGTTCATGGGCCGAGTCTAATATTGCCGGCCCCGGTATCCCTTCGCTGACACTACGCATATCTGAAGCAGGATACTTTTCCAAAGCGGGACGCCTGGCCGCAAGAGGACTTTGAGGTGGTGTCGTAAGGTTTAGTGATTGTGAAAGATCTGATGACATCGCCGCCGCAGGTGCAGAAAATACTGATGGTGCGGTTGATGAGCTTGCGGCGTTGCTGGTCGTATCTGCCGTCGACCCATCTTCACTGACCAGCTCCAACTCTCCCGTATCGGCTTGTTTTCGAAGGTTGACAACACGTTTCTTTCTTTTACGCGGCCTGTGTCCTTGTCCGTGCCTTGAACTTCCCATGCACAAGCCTTGACTTGCCGACGCGAAGCTTGGTAGACCAGGTCGGGAATGAGTAGAGTTGTCAAAAGTGAATGTGGTGGCAGTGCTCAGACTTGTAGCATACGAGTGGCTTCTAGACAATGCTGGTGTGGTCGTTCGCGTATGGAGACCCGTCATCTCTCCACGTTCCAATGGGCCCGTCCATGCCCGGAATACCGCATCTCGAATTGTAGGCGTGAACAACGAGAGAGTCCGATGCGAGTCCGTGAGCGTCGCCAGCCGAATCAAATTCTTCTGAGAAAATAAGGAGTGGGTTTCGAGCGATGAGTCCAAGGAGAGCGATGCAATCTCGGCAGGGGTCAAGACCGCACCGGTTGAGTCGACAGGATCCTGAGGTGGACTTGCCAAAGGATCTACAACCACTTCCGCGTTGCTGTTCTCGGTTGCTCCCAACTCGCTTTCCTCTCTTGCTTTATGCTCCGGTGACCAAAGTCGAAGTGAAAGTCTATGAATGATGGCTGGCAGCTCGTCCATCAGCAGGCCACGCAGCTGGGTTTCGATCTCCTTTTGCAGAAAGTTGGCGACAAATGGTATGGAGTCAAATGTCGAAGATACGCGCAATGACTCTAGAGGATCGTTACGGAAGACCAACGTCAATCCTTTCTGCCTCGAGAAAACTAAGATGATGAACCCGGACAAGCGGAACTCAGATAGAGTAATTTGTAGCGGAATCGTCAGTCCAGTGTCTGCTGCCAGAGGCCGAGGCGACGCAAACGCTGAACGAGTCCGTAGATATGTGTTCAGAGGGTTGGCTTGTACTCTCGTCTTCAGCGTGAGGAATGCATTGCCTTTGTACATCATCTTGAAGGTCCCGCGGAACCTATCCTCGGCGAGATCCCCAATTTCGAGGATTTCCAGCTCGGGAGGGACATCTCCCAGGTTGAGTTCGTTCACAATGATGTCGTCGACAATAATCGCGGGTTTAGGGTCGGCTCTGTTGAGAGCATTGGTAAGGAGTTCTTGTGCTCGCGGAAGGAAGCCGGCATCGGTAGATAACGGAGACCAGTTGAAATTGAAGGCCATGATCGAAGAGATCGATGGCCTTTGGCCAAGGGCTCTGCTAGGACTGGGAGAAGTGAGACAGGCCGTGTATCATGGTATCCAATATAGATAGAGGGCGACTAGGATGAATATGTTGATGTTATGCTGAGCACATGTCAATCTGTGTGTGGTGTGATGGAGGTCGCGTGATGAGAGAGTGTTCTCGGTAGTTGCAGGTTTGCCTAGCCAGCAAAGGAAATATCACACTCTGCAGAGGTTGAGCGACGTACTCTGTATAGATTCTTGTGATGTGAGGAATGTTCTGGACGTTGTTATTGTTGGACTGAAGACGGTTGATGGGTGATGATCCTGCCTAGCGAGATTGGATTTGCTATTGTCAATGCTATTCTGGGGGCCGGGAAGCTGCAAAACCCAAGGCACGGAACCCGCACTCGTGCCTTCCTTGTTTGGCCGGCGGGAAAAGGCAAACACAGCAAACAAAACGTCATTGCCGGCAGACATTCCTAAAACACACCCAGACAACCGCTAGTATCAGTAGCGCCTCTTAACTACTAAAAACCTCTCTGCCTTGTCTTTGACCTCTATGGAGTACGTACATCTCAGGATCATCATCGACTTACGGAGAAATCGAGCCCATTATAGTAGACGCTTTCTAAATGACTCTCAACAGTGGCGACAACGTTATTAGAGCCACGGATGCGATATTGTATTGGAAAACCGAGATTAATATCTTAGGGTCTGACAGCCAGGAAAATTGGATCCCCGTGTGCAAGGACAGCATTTGCCTACGATTTGTCCAGGCGGAATACCACACTGCTTTTCATAGCGCAGCCTCTCTATATCTAGTACCCGCAAGGCTTTGATTGAAGAAGCTGAAGGCCGAATTGATCATCTTGGCCGCTGTTCCGCTCATCCGAAAGTATTAAACTATATTCCGATGCTCGGCCGTTCCAAGTTCGCCTTTCTCCATACCAGAAAAGTTCACGACCGCGCCTGATTTATCAAGCTCTACTTGGTCGACCTTAGCATCGCCACCGTCGAAGATCTTTGTGATTTCCTCCAATGTAGGGCCGCGGGTCTCGACGTACAGGAAGTAGACCAAGACAAGTTCGGAAGCGATCCAGCACTAGAAGGATGCGTATCAGCATACTTCATACGAATCGAGTTGAACCTACCGTGTATATAGTATACAGTTTCCAGTTTGGATTTAAATGCTTGAAGCCTAAGGGATTGACGTATTGGTTAATCACAAGTGCAACCTGAACTTAGAAGCTCATGATCATGAGACCTTGGTCACGAATCTTGAAAGGCATAATCTTAAAGGTGTATGCAACGAGCAAACTAGACCAAGCAAGAGCGTAGGATACATTGAAGATCCAGATGAATGCAACAACTGCTTGTCTGCAGCTTTTGTGCCATCCTCTTGGTAGATGGCTGAGCAAATTGTCCAACCAATGAAGCAAAGCAGCATGCCTGTGGTTGCAGCAAGGGAAAGTGGTCGTCGTCCAATACAGTCACAAAGAAGTGCACCCCCGACGCAGATGATCAATGAGAGGATATTTTGACCCCCATTGAGCCCCAACTGCTATGCGAGCTAGTGATACCAATGGGCTTGTAAATATCAGTTGCGCAATATGCCACGAGGCCGTTGCCAGACCATTGAGAAAAAGGACCCAATGAACCGACGAGAAGGAGGCGGTGTCGGTTGCCTTGAGTCTTCAGGAAGTCAAGATAGCTGGAAGATTTCTTATAAATGGATTCCAGACGGATGGCCTCCTTGATTTCTGCATACTCGAATTGGACGGTTGGGTATGCACTGTCACCATTGGCGTGGTATTTTGACAGAATTGCTAGAGCCTCATCAGTGCGATCTTTCGAAATGAGCCATCTAGGGCTTTCTGGGCACCAGAAGATGAAGATGAGCTGAATCAGGGACGGGGCACCCTGAATAATGGTGGGAATGCGCCATGACCATTCAGAGGGAATTCTCTTCGTGCCAAATGAGAGCCATGTGTTTACGATAGCTCCCAAATTCCACAAGCTCGCAGTGATTCGTCCTCTGTGTTGGGGGTAGCAGAATTCAGTCAATAATAATGGGGATGAAAGTTGTACCATAGAATTGACGAAACCCATGAGGGAACGACCTCCCTTGAACATGGCAAGATTTTGTGAGGCGCCTTGCACCGCAGTAGCAATCAGCATAATAACGCAACTAGTGATAATGGCAAATTTTCCTCCAAATCGATCAGCGATGAAAGGCACGATAGGTAAGCTAGCAATAGAACTGATGCGATAAAGTGCAGTCAGAAGTCCAAGATTGAAGCCTTGAGGGTCGTTGAATTATTCTATCCATTGTGGCAAGATACGAATGTTGTTCAGCATAGACCTGGCGGAAGAGTTAAGTCAGTCAACTTCTGCAACTTTCATATTGTATTTTGCGGGGACTATCTACCCATCGTAATCAGTAGTAGCAGAAGCGACACAAATGACGCCTGCGAAGAAGGATAGCTTCCTCAAACCCGGATCAGTTCGCCAATTGACATGGTTCAATTCGGGTGCCTTGGCCTGGGCGACAGCTACTTCTGTCGACCGAGTCGGGGTCGCCTTCACTTTGAAAGAGACCATGCTGTCTACCAAATAATCGTACCAGTGGTTAAATTTGTGAGGAGGTGGATGGGATATTGCCTCAGTGCCAATGTGGAGACGAACCCCTGGACGAACTCAGGATCGGAGAATCATTTATATTCAACTCCTTCGACCTCAAAACTAGCTGACCATACTAGCAGTCCAAGAAAAGCTACCTGTAGTGTGTAGACCCGGTGACTCGCGGCTGCTATTATCCATGATGGGTGAAGACCACGAGGAAGCTTGTGTAGGCCGGCATATGCATTCCAAAGTTGACAAACAAGCGAATGCTTAAGCTTGAGTTGCATGGCAACTCTTGAACTTCCATGAAGCCGTTGCAAATGGAATAAGGGTCAACCCTTACGAGGACGCTTGTCAAATAATCAAGGTGCTGGAATTCTCCAGTCATGGCTGAATGGCAGACATTGATAGGCTCGGTTAGTGATTAGTGTTGAAGGAGACCAGCCAAGGTCCCATATAGGTAGTTGAAAATGGACATCGTTTCAAGGTGACAAAGACTTTTAACCCATCAACTTTGCTTCAAACACCAGCATCGCTCGGGGAGTATGGGCACACAGTACTTTGGCCACCTTACTGGTAGTTTCTTCATTAGAAGCAATGGCTCACAAGTAAGAGTGACGGGAGCGTATGTTTGCCGATATGCTGACCACACCCCTTGTGCCGGGGGAATGTAAATGAGAGTGCACCACCGCCTCGAGGTCCTCCTACCAGGCATTGATCTCAGTTTTCCAGAACGGCCGTAGAATGGAGACGTGGCCAAAGTCAACTTCGGTAGCCCCTTCGGCCACCTCGTGTTTGACCTAACATTGTCGACCCAATCAAGGCGTAACCAGCAATCTGCAAAAACGGAAGGACCACCGCTGACCCCCACACTTTGGTGGTCATGTGTAGATCCAGCAGTAATTACCACTTATGTCGTTCCCCAGATTAGAGGTAGACTGTGGGGCGTGCGGTGTAACTCTACAGGCTAATAAACAGGTTGATTTTCGAGCAGACAGGGAATACGGTTCGTTCGAGACGTCAAATATGGATACGTACCGGGTAAAATGACAGCGATGCCTTTCGTCACCATTTGATCGATCTCCAGCAAAACCTGCAAAGAATATGCTTTGTCCCGAGGGTGCTTAGGCAGCCTCGTCCGTGTGGTGGCTCAGGTGATGTGTGCACTCGATCTGTATTGCGATCCCTCAAGAGTTTGAGTTTCGATCAAGTCATTGCAGCCACGCAAGGCGTTGTCTCTGTTTCCTCCAATGTGCTAGCTTAGTCGGCTAAATGCGTCAGGGACAAACCTCGGCTGTGTACAAAGTAAGGTGAGGCCCAAAGCTTATGGAAGCTTGCCCTCGATTGTAACATCTCTGGGGGCCAAGTCTTCCCTAGGCACAGTCTCGAGCAACGGTCGAGTCGTGGGAAGTGTCGCGAAGCGTTGGAAAACACGTCTGCCGGAGATACGGCGGGTCTGCGGCAGGAACAAGATGGCTGATGGGGTAGGTAACGACAGAAGTAAATACTCGGCTGGGAGTAGTTCTGTACAGCAAGCAGTCGCTGCCGCTGCTTTCTCTGTGGATAGGGGCCAATGGTCATACAACTCGTGTTAAGTGATAGCACCGCAGATTCTCATTTTTTTCGCACTCTAATAATGGGTGCTGACATCCTGATCGGTACTTGTCGCCAGAGAAAGCTCGGTATCTTGTACCTGCGCAGGACTCCGACCAGATAAAATGTAGTAATAACTTCAGAAGATCCGCCGACGTTGGCTTCTGGCCTATGGCAGGTGCCCTATGAGGGCTCCTAATTGGGATGGATCACCTCAGTATTCTTCTTCAGGTTTTCTTTAGGGTTGTCTGTCGCCCTGTCACTTGTCTTGAATGATTCTTATATTGTTTCTCTTGTGGTCAAATGAATCGTTGTTAATCGCTGTGGTTGTTATGGCAGAGGAGCTATGATTCCAAGTGATAGTGCTATTCATAAATATAGTGATCAGACATCCAACGTAAGTATTGGCATTAACCGCCGCACTCTTTTGGTGAACGTATGTACCGCCACGAGTTAGGGCTCTTAAGCGAGTGGGATAATCTACAAGTCACCCAGAGATGTAGATGGGACGAAGAATGTACTGCGTTTTAGCCTGAGAAGATTTTGAGTAAGATTAAACGATTAGCATGTAATTTGCTAAATATGTACCCTGAGCTAAGCGTTTATGAATGTATTCTGCTTTAAAGCGGAGACAAGGCTGAGTGCGGGTATGTAGGATTGGGGTATCTTGAGGGGGTCGTGTATCTATTTTTCGTCATGACTCCAGCACTATGGTATTCAAACCTTAAACGACCTCTTTTGATGGCATGTCCATCTGAACCTTGGAAACAGGTTCAGAGTCGGGAGTGCTTGAACGAACATCTTCTTCGACTCCTTCTGGAGTATCCTCTATGTCGAAAGGTAGAACCAAGTTCAAGATCATGGAGATCATAGCCGTGACAGCAAATCCAGTTTCCATGACAAGAGAGATAGCATCGTAGAAACCCTTCAGCGCGTGGTTATCGCCATCGTAGGTGAAAACATGTTCGAACCAGTTGGGCACCAAGGTGGCTCCATAACCGATGGCTAGGGATGCCGTCAAGATGAATCGGGTTCTGCGGTTGAATGGAACTCGATTGACAATAGCCATACCCGAAACGGCGACAGCGCAGAACAGGAAGGTAGTCATGCCTCCGAGAACTGGGGCGGGAATTGCGACCAGGGCTGCGGAGAATTTGGCGAAGAGACCCATGACGATGAGGAAGACTAGATCGAAATTAGCAAAGGCTGGTTGAATGAACGAAGAATTATACTCACAGCAACAGCAGTATCCGGCCTTACGGTTGGCACACCGCGTCAATGCGATAACACCGTTGTTCTGAGCGAATGTTGACATTGGCGTGATGGTCATCAAAGCAGCCAAGCACCCGTTCAATCCATCTGCCAGAACACCACCCTGAATACGGCTTTCAAATAGTCGACCCTCAACCTCTAGTCTCGAGACATCGCAAGTAGCTGTGACATCACCAATGGCTTCACAGGCGCAGATAATGAAAACAGTCATCACGGGTAGAACAAGTGGGCCATAAATCGTCAACTTGAAGGTCTTGACCCAGATAAAGGACACGGCTGGGGCATCGTTGATGCCGCTGTCGTCGAAATAGCCGGTAGCAGCAGCAACAATACATCCTGTCAACAGACCAATAATTACACTGGTTGATTTCATGATGGGAGATCCGAATCTTTCGCAGAGGATGATGGTAAGGAAGACGAGAAACCCAAGGCCAATGAACTCAGCACTTCCCCATGGAAGAGCATGAGGAGCTGCAATATTGGGGCAAAGTCGGAAGAAACCGTCCTCAGGGAGCTCAGAGCAGAGACCACTGCCGCCTGCCCAGTTCTTGAAACCGGTTTCTACAAGATGGACACCGATCAGAATGACGGTTGGACCTGTGACAATGGGTGGGAAAATCCTCTGCAGAGTCTTTGGTGGAAGGAATGAGATCAGGATTTCGGTCAAGGCGCAAATAGCACATGTTCCAATGAGGGCGCCATATGCATCTGGGCAAGGTAGGCGATTGCCCTCGGAATCAATCTCGCAAAAGCCATTGTTGTACATCTGTGTGAATGCTCCTGACGCAACTGGAATGATAGCGAAGGATGTGCCCACAACGGAAATTAGCCCGGTCCCAATGTAGTATCTAAGTGCAGTGTTAGTCCTAAGACCGCAGGTGTGGAATGAAGCGACTGGGAAACTTACGGAGTCTTGTAGATGTGGAATCGCGTAATCTGGATAGATGAAAGTATACCGCAAACGATCAAGGAAGTGGAAACAAGGTATTGTTGCCAGTCAGGGGGTAGATTGACGCCGCCCTGTCCGGAGAGGATAATCGGAGGGGTCATCACACCGGCAAGCATAGCCAATGCATGCTGCAGTCCCAATAGAAGTGCCAAAAGAACGGGCATGGAGTCATTGAGGCCGAAAAAGGGACTTGCGCGGCGGTCCTTCTTCATGAATGGAATATTGGGTCGGAACAAGAAGCCATAATCGTAGGTACCGACCAGACCGTTCTTGGTGAAAAGTGCCTTTCTGACACCGTTTGCTCGATCGGCGAGCGTCTTTTTAGGCGCCATGGGCGGGCCGATTCTGTCTGCTTCACTCATATCTGCGGTGATAATTATGGCACTTAGAATAGGCTGGTTTGTTAAATGTTGGAGGAGGCTGCTAATGCTTAGTCAAATACTAAGTGGTGATATGGTAGTCTGGAAGCCGGATTAGATGTACCATGCAGCTGTTATATAGATAATAACAAGTAGCTCGTGAGTATTGTATGGACAAAGCTAATACTCAGCGGACGATGGCACCCTCCGTCAAAAAAGTCTGACTTTGGGTTTTTGCATATCGCATGCGGCAGATCGGTAACCGACAGGTGGAGACATATCTCCTTGGCGACGGGCGACATGAGGCCGAGGCTGGCGGACGACGGCGACAAGCAATCAGATGGTGGTGTGAACCGAAGGGCCCAAGTCGAGACCCGACCGAGCCCATGGTAGGGTTCCATGATGGTATCTCATGGTTGAAGCCACAGACTGAAACCAAGGAGATACCCATGATGAATAAAGCAAGCAGTAAACCCGGTTTTTGAGGGCTCTGATTGGGCCGGTGCCGACCGATAGGCGGTATCCACTTTCCAACGTCTTATCAGCCCAACCACAAGCTGCCATTACCTTTCCAAGCCATGCGAACTCTTCTTTATCTTGCCTTTGGCATGACCTGCTCGAATTTGTCTGCCTTTCTTCTGTCGTCCCGGCAAAAAGATGCACGGCGGGACGAGAGCCGAAAGTTAACATGGATCGTCCCTAAAACCTTTTTTCCTCTCAGGGTATGCATCACCTTCTAGGAGCTCTCTCCAATGATAAGCGACTATGGATCGGAGCCTGAGAGATCGTTAGCTATTTGGCTTTCGGCGATGGCCATTCACAGCACTCTAGCGTCTGCGCGGGTTTCTTTCCCAGAGAAGAAGCTGTTTCTTTCTCCCAGGCTTGAATCATATAGCGACTAGACGAGAATGGTGGAGCTGTATTTGTAGCGAAAGTTTGCTTCTGTTCACCCCGCAACGATCACCCCCGTGATCGAGACCAGCCGATCTTCTCTGCCCGTCTCCTATTTTGGGAAACCTCTTTGCATACAAGAAAGGCCAGCTCCGAGGTTGTGACTTGTGAGGGTTGGCAGCACGGTTGTTATCAACCTATCAATTTGAGTGCGCAGTCCAGATCTCGATCGATCTCCCAAGCAAAATAGTCCTCACAAGCTTCCTGGAATTGCAGGATGTGTAACTTACCATACCGACTTGATGTACGTCAAAGCTTGTTGATAAGTTTAGCGAGAACACGAAGATGAAGAAAATCTCATTCCACATGTCCACATCTCTCACGATCTATCTGAAAATCTCATACACAAATCAGGAAATGGCTCTCCAGTGATCTCAGCCTATAATTGCATGTCCCCCACCTCCACTCTATTTTTGTTCTCGAAATATTCTCCTTCAAAAGGATCTGCCAGTTTGCTCCACTTTCTCAGATTTGGACCGAGGATGAATAGCACATATACCAAGACAACAAGCCCAATCGAGATGAAGCCAAGTGTGACAAATGCCCACTTCTCGTTAATATTGGTGAACATAGCAACTCCAGCGTGAGCGCACCCGGCGGCAATAAGAAAACTCGGGATCAAAAATGCCGCGATTGCCGAAGCGGCGACATTTGGATATGAGTTCGTGATATAGTTCAACATCGCCAGCCACACCAGAGGGTCGCAGAATCCGAGAACTCCTCCAGAAACTATGGGTGACCAGTATGAAGTCGATCCTGCAGGTGCAGTGTTGGTCAGCTAGTCGATCGTACTACAGGCAGGCTTTAGACATCATTTCACACTCAACGTCAGAGGTCCAAGCAAACCAAAAAGGTGACGCCGGAAACAACCAGACGCAAACAAGCGAGGTCAGAAATCTAGCTTCTGGCCTCAGATGCCCGTGCTTCAGGCGATCCCTTTTGAAAAGATATGTCTGCACTGGCACAAATAAGAATGTAGCCGTGACCCCGACACAGAAATTTAGATACGTGAGCGAGGCTCCAATGTAACTGAGGCCATTATTCACCACAAACACGTCAAACACTCCGTCGAGAAAGAGGAACAGCAGCCCATAAGCGAACTCGTTATACAGTCCCAACGAGATGACGATAGGTTCGACGAACATGATTCGCAGCGCCACGGTTGCGACAAATTCGAGCTCATCCAACACTGAAATCTTGCTGGATCCCATGGCAATATCGATGGTGTTCCGATCCACGTTTCCCCGGCTCTTGACCGGGTTGCTGATAACAATTCTGGGCAAGGTCTCTGGCATGAAACAAAGGAGGACGAAGAAGACGCCACCGATGATGATGTTGATATAGAAAACTGTGCCAAAATCAGTACTTGGTCACGCTGCATCCTTTCAAGGAGGCTTGTTCATACTCCATCTCCAGCTAAGACTCTCATTTTCTGCAATCCACTCCCCGATAGGACTTCCGAGAGATGGGTCAAAATTTGCAATCTTTACAGTTGTCAGTTCCTTACCAACCAGGACCAAGTTTTCCTCCAAAGAGTCCTACCAGTACGAATAGAGCCATTGGTTGTGCTGCATTATCCGCATCCTAGTCACTTGCATCAGCCGCCATTTCATGTGAAGCAAGTCGAGATTTTCTACCCCGAACAGATCTGCGATGGTACCTGCGACGTTACTCAGGGCCGAGGATCCAGCAACACCGATGAGGAAACAGAATATTATGAGCATCGGTAAGTTGTCTGCCAACGCTGTGCCAATATTCAATATCGCATACAGGAATACTAATCAAAACATCAGTAAAGCTGCCAGCGCTCATCAAGAGGAGTCCCATACTCGAGCCGACATAAACCCATTTCCGACCACCAATGTCAGACAGCGAACCTAGGAACGTCCAGCATTGTATCACAAAACACATATTATAATAAAAGCACCAAGGAAAACCGGGCCAACCACAGTGCCCACGATGAGTAGTGACTGCCCCAGGGTCGCGACTTGCTGCGACGAGGTCCATTTTTCCATGATAATAAATTCAACCGACACATAGGTGGTTGACGTCAAGGTGACAAATATTTGGAGGCAGTATACGACGACAATGAACCACTTCTTGTACCAGACCCAGTGCATGGGATGTGCATCATCTGTGCTCTTGATTTTGGCGAGGAAGGCTAGAGCATCTTCGCGCTGTGCACCTTCAGGGTCTGGATGGAGAGGGGCAGTTTGTTTCTTCTCCAATGGATCTATAGCTTGGATGGTGTATGGAGAGGCAGTCATGTTCAATCAAGAAAATGCGCGGCCTTAATGCACGATTAAGCAGTACGAGTGAGCAGAATGTGAACAGGACGCCAGAGCAGGAAGCGAAACCATGAAGAACAAAACACAATGCCGGCCAAACGCAGATATATGACATATCGACCCACGCCTACGCGCTGTGGACCTCTGTTGTATTCGTGCGGCAAGGGGCGCCCCTCAAGATAAGAGGGGCCTGAATGGATGATCATCAGGCTGAGGTGACTAGATGCCCGTGACAGGTGCATCAGGACCAAAGGACCCCTTGCCCGATACCTTGAGGAGGGCGTTTGCTATCTTCGGATTTGTTATCGCATTCCAGATCTACAGCCAGTGAAGTTTGAATTGTTAGCCATCTGTTGTCAATATCGGATCGCGCGGGAGACATTTGTGGCAAGCGAGAACGATGAATTCCGGTAAATGAGAGTGATATGCTGGATGATGTTACCTGTGGCCCTCGGGACAACCGGAAGCCATCCATTTGCTCCCCACGTTGCACCTTTAGACTTGAATACAAGCTCAGTAGAGACAATGCTTAGTAGCTCTAGCGGCAATCAGACGGTGTGTGAGCAGTTCAGTGAGAAGCATTTCAGACACGTGGAAACGTTGGATAAGATATGATGCTTGGGTTGGCAGCAATTGGTGAATGTGGCACCACCGTGCGCTTTTCTTATCTCTAGGGGCCGCTTGAAATCGGAGACGCGACGTTGTCGATCAAGAAGCAGCCTTTACAGCACAAGAAACGTGTCCAGGGAAGCGCCACTCGACAGTCCGCAGTTGATGTGGTTTTCGAACTGCTCACGTCACAGAATTGCGATCAGGAGAGAGGAAGTACGACCAAAAGAAGAATGACAGCGGCAAATGCTGCGATTGATAAATGATGAAAGTAGTGCCCATCCAAAACTATGCTGTTTTGAGAGACTTTACTTCTGCTACGAGCTCGGTCAGAGTCTTAGTCAGGTCTCGTAACTGTCTGGATTGCTGAGCAACCAAAGTCTTTAGATTTTTGATCTCTCGATCCACCGACTCTTGAGATCCACCAGTCGGAGCAGGCGTTTCATCTTCAACATCTTCTTCCAAAGCCTGGGATGGTTCGGACACCTAATATTGGTCAGTTAACCTGATCGTTCATGCGTGGGCGAATATTAATTTACCTTTGGAGAAACCGGTTTTGGCTGCGCAGCCTCAGTCGGCTGCGATGCCTTAATCGGTGAGGGAGGTGCTTCATCTTTCTTCGCTTCTGCGGACGCTGGTTTAGCCGCGGACATTCTTTCTAGTGGCTTCTGGACCTCTTCGAACGGCGATTCATCACCGCTCTCTTCTGCTGGCTCCGAGTCTTGGAATTTGCCCGCAGCAGCTGCCATACCCACTCCTTGTTCCTTCATGGAGGGTGGTGGTGAGCGGACTGTTGGACTTGGGGCAGGTGCTGGTTGAGGGATTTCCTTCTTTGGCTCAGGGGCTTTGACCGGCTCAGGGGCCTTCTTCACAGGTTGCTGGTCTGCAGGAACCTCTTTCAACCCGATACCATCATAGAGGCTCTCGAGGGAGATCTTTGGAGGAATGCCATCAGCACCGTCGAACCATTCCTTGCCGCTGACAGCTGGCTTTAGGCCGGTTGTCGGAGGGTAGATATCCTCCTGGAAAGATTCCGCTCTTCTTGGCACAATAAATGAGATAGGCTCAATGTAGGTGTCGTTGACTGTCTTGTATGCACGAGCAACCTCATTCTCATGCAAGTTTACTCCTCGTTTGGGTAAGAAAGCAACTCCTCTCTGCGCATCGGCCGACTTGTATTCAGATAGATCCTCAAAGGAATCGTTCTCGTATTCGTAGTAGCGAATGTTACCATCGCCTTTTCCTGCAAGGAACAGACACTGAGTGCCTTCGTCCCAGAATGGGATACAGACGCCAGATATCGAATCAAGCATTTGAAAGCCTCCAACAGGTTGAGCAGCAGTTCGAATGTCCCAAAGTGCAAGTTGACGGTCACTCATTCTAGAAAAGCCTGTAGTGGCAATTCTGTCGTGCTCGCCGAGCCATACGGCTCGGCTGGCTTTTGCACCAGCATGGCCAGGACCTTCATGAACAGGCTTTTCTTGTCTTGGGTCCCAGATTCTTAGTTTCTTATCACGAGACGTTGTGACTAACAGCTTTCCATCTGCGCTCCAAGATAACGATTGGATGACTTCGCCGACCTTGAGGCCGAGCTTGGAAGATCCGGCTTCGATATCCCAGATCTTGACTGTGAAGTCACCCGCTGCGGAGGCGAGGACATTTTCCGCAGCTGGGTTGAACAGGACCTGTCCGACTTTCCTAATGAAGTGAGTTTCTGGACCTGATTGTAGGTGACGGACTCTTACTTAGGGTGTCCGCTGAGCTTCCCTACTGGTGCGATATCTTGTATCTCATCGGCCGGGATGTCCAAGTGAAGTGTGAAATTGTCCGGTACTCTCCAGAGGAAGACCTGTACAAATCAGCACTGCGCCGCCAAAGCGTTGTCAGTTGTTTTACCTTCCCATCATCTGATCCAGATGCAATCAAAGAGTCATTGAAAGGATTCCTTCTTCAGTCAGCCTAGTTGTGAAGCCCAGTAGCCAGACTCGGCACACCAATCTGTGTCCAGGACAACCGCGGTGTGCCCTCGGAAAAGGGGTATTCGTTCAGGGAGTCGGCCCTTTTCGCCTGTGGGGATCACTGCAAAGGCTCCTCCGCCAGTTGCTTCCCAATTGACCGCGATGTATTCTGGATTGGCCTGGCTGGTCAGAACGAGTTGGTGAACTGGCGGAGGAACTGACCTTGACCAAGTTGGTGTCCCAGGCATTCCGAGAGACTCTCAGGTTATCGTAGCATTGTTCCTGCACCTCTTAGCCCAAGCTGTTCTCTTTAATGGTGTCGATGGTGAGGCTTGAGTACCTTGCGTGTAGGACGGCCAAACACGTGCCGGTATTTGGAAGAGCGTACGAAGCGGCCAGCCATGGTTGTGCCCCGCAAACTCGAGGGGAGAGAAGGGAGAGATTTGGAGGACTGAACCTGCAGACTCTGGAGTCTAAAGAATAGCAAGCAGGCAGCTGTGACGAAGCTGAAGCGCTCAGGGTGCCATCCTGTCTTGCTGAAGCTGACCGCAGCGCATTCCGCTGAAACCTTGGCATCAACTGGGAGGCCGAGAACGGCGAAGCATTAGGCCTTGCAAGAGCAGATCCTTAATCCGCCGTAGATCCCACCGGGTTGATTGTTTTGCATCTGGATTTGTTCTTGTGACCATACTTCAAATGTATGTGACATGCATAGACGCTGTATTTCTTTTGCGGTGATATCTCAATTTGACTCACCAGCCGTTTGGCGGCGGCGCTAAGAGCCCTTAACAGCTTGAATGGTGATCATGAAGCACCCATCGAGCACAGGCTGGCCCAACCATGCCGCGATTTCCATGTCTCTGACCTGTCAACTCTCTTCCGTGAGTCTTTTGGATCATTAAGTATACCGTGAGGACATGGACCATATCCTGCCTAACCCGCGCTGAACAGAAACACTGTTCACCTTTGTTTGTTCCGTGAGGGGCCGGCATGACTCTTCCATGACTTGCCATATTGGCTCCTGTCGGGTGAAGGGACAACATTGGATTGCTTAATGACACCCTTTCGATCCTGATCCCTGGTGGATAGTCAGCCGCATGTCCTTTGATCGGTTGAGTGCGATTCCAGGCAAAGGTCTGTCATAGTTTTCACCATAAATCAGTTTCACCAATGCATCGCCACAGTTTAATTTCTCTCCAAAATGAACATCTTACATTCTCGGACAGACTTACAAATCTTGCAACTCTCCAACGCTTTTAATGTCGACATATCCAGATGTTCCACCACAATACCAATCACGTGCTCCGAAAATGAGTGAACAATACCATACTGGCCAGCCAACCTATCCTATGTACGTCGTTGATCCAGAGACACGCACAATGGCTCTTCCCGGCCGGCCCTCTAGACCAAACAAGCTCGAGAAGTTATATCGGACCGCTTGTTGTGGTTCAGCAGCTGGTATCTTGCTCTGGATTCTTGCCCTTTTAATGGTAGTCTTTGTGCCTGTCGGGGTTATTCTGGCGCGAAACAACGTAAGGCGCACCATGCTCTGCTACAAGCTAAGCTCACAGCTTATTAGAGCCAAAGCCCATCAACACAGCAGACTTTGCCTACCAGTCCCTCGGTAGTAACAATGTCGGTCACCTTGTCTGCCGCTAACGTCAGCCCTATCTCTACGGTGACAGAGACTACAACAGAAGTTACGACAGAGACTACGACCAGCATCTCTACCCTGACATCAGTCATCACCACGGTATCTGTTTCACTTCTTACCTACAGCCCGCCCTCTACCGCTACGGTTGTGGTTACATCGGCAGTAACCACCACCAATACGGCCACATCGGTGTCGACAGTGACTGGCAGCACAACCATCAGCACCACAATCAGCTCGACGCTGACATCAACACTGACATCAATGGTCACTTCCAACGTCTCAACTAAAGAGAGTAAGTACCTTCGCATCCCTTCCTCGTCCCGCATGAAAGTTTGTTCCTTTTTTCAATTTTGGTCTTCACTTGCTCTGCACGTCGTCAACATGCATAATTTACGGTTCAATCACCATCGGAAGTGGGATCCAGCTCGTGATCCGATATGATCAGGTGAGAGATTTAATTGAAGTTCTTCTCTCACTGTATTGAGAACAGCTTAAACCTGTTTCAAAACATTCAATTTAAAACCACCGCTGGCAGGTTTGTCTCATTGAAAGCATGGTATTGACTTCCCATGCAGATGATGTCACAACAATAACAATGGGTTCATTCACAGTCCCAGTGACGACGAAGAGGAGTTAAACCGGAAGGTCGTTCAGGCAGTTGAATTCCACCTAGATCTCACAGATAGACCGTCTTGTTCCTATGTCCAGGCTACCCCCGGTGGCCGCATCCACTTCTGCATATGTCGGTTGCACACCCCTATTATCTCTATATGCTTGTTTAATATCACGGGCGTGAGGCTGCATCTGCTAATTTTGCGACTGTGCAGATAACGCTCGTCTCACTGGAGTCGGGAGTGGGACGCTATCCTGAGGCAAACTAGGTGGCGGATGATTCAAGATTCAAGGTCATGAGCCCGTTGCTGATATCATTATGCAGGATAGCAGCGAGCTGGGTTCTTGGAGTTGTACCAGAACACTTCTATCATTGGGCGAGCCGGACTCATCTAGTTCCAATCTTGTTAATCGTATTCTGTCGCCATCATTGTCGGAGCTGTTCAAGTGGTTCGCCGCAGCTTACAATACCACTTCTTGCTCTGGCAAAAGCGGGAACCCCTTCCAACCCGATCTCTGATATGGCTATACTTTATGCTCCCTGCTTCTTACTATCTGCACGTGCAGAACCCCTCATGATTCTACCCGAAGTTTCATTTTCATTCTCACCATCTTAACTAACAGACAAGACCTTGCTGACTTGTTACTTTCCACTTCACTTAGAACCACTACCGTCCACGACGAGATTTTTGCCGGTGACCTTCACAACCTCGAAGCATATACATCACGTACCACATCACGTACTACGTCGCGTGCGCTTCCACATCGATGCTACCAGATTACTGTCGGGACCCTGCCTCAACAGTGTTACAAGCTGCCAGGAAACCTGCGAGCAGGACTGCCTCCAGAAGAGCGACAAGTTCGGCGACTGCATTGTAAAGTGCTGTCCTGATTGCAGTTGTCCCGAGAACTGATAGAGTCTGAGCGGCAACGCACAGGGAAAACACTGCGAGAGGGTAGATAGGGGCGAACAACGGCTTCGTGGCATCAGGTCGTAGAGGACCGGCGCTTTAGATGAGGGCGCTGGACCATCGGACGCCTTTTCATACGAACTTGCCAAAGCGCTAGAGTACGATCTGAGTTGGAAAGTACAATCATGAGGCAAGGTGCAAGCAGGGCGCTGGCTGGACCAGTCCCAATCACCGGTTGCTTCTCGCACATGCACGATTGATTATTTTCTAGGTGACGCGTGAAATTCATCGGCGCTTCCTTTGGGTTTGGGCTCGAGGTTTCGTCCTTCGATTCGGACGCACGTTCAGAGGCCGAGAGAGAACAAATCGGGGGAGCATGGATGGTACTTTGATGTTCAAATTTCAGCTTATGCGGTGTCTCTGTCACATTTCGGGAAGATATTCCGTCTTCACATATACCACACAAATCATGATTCCACCAAATCCCATTCATTGCAGGAGCACAATCCTGCCACAGGGTGATCTGCAACAATCCAACTTTTGTAGTGTATTGCCCCTATCTGATTATAGAACGCCCTATGCCGCCAGTGGGAGGGTATAGTAGTCTGTCTCGTTTCCAATATATCGGACTTCTCTGCCAGGTCATAAGAATTGTCATTTCGTTATCGTCGTAAAAGCCATTCAAACTTTCAACCCTTGTGCACTGCTTATTAAGTGGCCCAAAAACCCTCCATAAAAACGTCTGATCCGTGATGTAATTAGTTATCGTAGAGGTCGGAATATCCTGTCGCTTGTGGGGCCCGGATCGTGCGAACTCGTAACCCGCGTATGGAATTAAGCAGCCTCTCTAACGTAGATACTCGGGAAAACACCGAGATCGCCAGAGTAAACACCATACCACCATTCCTCGTTGACCTCTTCCGCCTCACGAATCTCCGCATGCTTGGGAAACATCAATTCACCCTTGCCCTCCTCGCCGTCTTCAGGATAGTAGCTCCACATGGCTCTACACACCTTGCCGACACCTCCATCGGGTGGGAACTTTACATTTTGAGAAATTGGAAGAGTTCCGGTGCGCGCCCTTGTAGTGCGGCGAGATCCTGTGGCATCTTCTCGCCATGACCATTGACCGCGATTTGCAACAAGTGTTGCACCAAGGCCACTGGGCTGGGAGTGAGCTTGTTTCCATGCTGCCACGTCGGCATCGGACATCTTGGTCCCGCCAACAAGGTCACGGATTACTGCTCGTCTCTGTCCGCCATCCTGATCGGGATCAAATGCGATCGAAATCATGCGGTGTTCATCTGGGCACATATGCCACCCATCAGGACCGTTCTCACGTTTGAGGCGGCCTGTCTTGACAAAGCCAAGATAACAATCATTGCAGATGTCGAAGTCACCCTTCTGATTTGGATCGTCTGTCGAAGGTGTGGGGTGGCTTGGACAGTGGTGTCGCATCTCTCCCGGGGCAATCGGTCGGGCACAGACATCACAATTAGTGGTGATGATGAGTGGAACAAAGTCTGCTCTCAAGCCTAAAGATAGACCATTTGCAGATGCTGCACTTGAAGGTGCGCTCTGAGCAGGCGAGGGGTCACGCCCACCTCGTCGATATGGGCTCAACGTGACAGAACCGGAATGTGTTATCGCTCCCGGTTGTCGAGAATTCTTGGATCTTGGATCGTATGATTTGTGGGCAACAGGCAATAATGGATGCGTACAGCAATGATTAGTATTGATACAATCATTGCAGAATCCCCATTCGCCGTCGTTGCAATAGTCGCACGACCAAAAGCATGCATTTGCAAATTTACCACATCTATCACAAAAGTTGCCTTCACTTTGGCGAGACGCTGGGTCAGAATTGGTAAGGACGATATTTCCCCTCATTCCCTGTCGAGAGGCAGATGGAGGTTTTTGATACTGGCGACCGACCAATATATGAGGAAGTTCGATTGCCTGAGAGGAGCGTGGATGCGATGAATCAAATTTGAACATCGCTGCATGACCGAATCCGAACCAATGATTGCAGCCCCGGCCAGCCCTGTAGCACGTCATACATATATTGAGCTCGCAGGGTCCACAGTGCTTATGGACTTCGTACTGGATATTTTCTCGAGCGCAACGAGCGCAAGAAATTGATGGCTCGTCGAATCTTGTTAACAATGCCAACGAGCCCATCGGTTCTGGAGCTAGCGTTGCTGGATCTGACCTTGGAGGCGAAACAGGAACAGGAGCATTGCCGGGGCCTGAAGCGATGGCTCGACTAGATTCTGGAAGCGGTGACTGAACGGTCGGAGAATCAACTTCCGGTGGGCTCGAGACCCGATTTCCCCCGGCTCTCCACACGTCAGATGCCCGTGGGGAGCGGTGTGGTTCAGTGTTTGACCTCTCGGAGTTCGAAAGTTGGTGCGGGTGGTTTGCAGAAAATGATGATGATTGTGGCCTCTCTGATAAATCAGTTGCTGACCTACTTGCAGAATTGGGCAATCCGCCAGGATTCGATCTGCGTGAGGATCTGGTTGTCGCATTCTCACTTCTTCCACTCTCATTTGAAGCCCGCCGACGGTGTGACGTGGTTTGCGGCAGCGTCAAGGTTTGCTCAGTGATTTGAGGATATGAAGTAGGTGGTCGTGGCTCTGTTCCACCAACGGTGACGTTATGGCTAGATCTGGGGCTCGGTTGTGTCTGACGTCGTTGAGCACTTCTTGACGATTGACGAGAATGTCGACCAGCTTCCTCGATTTGAACCTCAGGCTGTCTGTGTAAGGTTGGAAGACTATCGTGTCTCCTCTCATGCCTAGCTTCATCTGACAGTTGACGTCGAAGCCTCTCTGGATGTAGTTGCCTATACCTGTCGGCAATTCTCTCACTTAATTCGTCTTGCTCAGCCTCTGTCAATTCGTCCACGTTGATACCGTCCAAAAGACCTTCAGCCAAGATCTCTTGCATGAGTTGAGCCTCACTCAAACTCTCTCCTGTCCCTGTCCCGCTTTCCGAGGCGCTCACTAAAGAGCGCAGACTTGCCTGGTGAGCCACTGTTCTCGCCCCTCTTTGGCGTGCTTCAACAGCGTCTGGGTGTCTTGGGGAGCCAACAGGAGGAGAGAGGGAGGATAAATCTGCCGAACTTGACGAGCGAGCAGTCCGAGGACCCGCCACGATCGCTTCACTATCAGATGGCTGATCTCGGCGGTGTCTCCTGTCCGAATCTCGGGAAGTCTCCGTCCGGTCTCTATTTTCTCGACTACCACTTCTTCCACTTGTCGAGCGTCCGGAATGTCCAGCCACGGGATCGAGAAGTTGCGTCGGCCGGCTTCTCTCGCGTATTGCGTCATTGGCAGTCCGCCTTTGTCGCCCTGCAACTTCGTCTTCCTCGCGGCGTCTCCGCTCCCTTCTACGATGGCTCTCAACCTTGGGCATGATGCCGTCACCCGGAGTGTAGGCCTGCGCCATTTCGGCCTTCTCTTCAGCAGACCTACCTTTGGTAGGATTTGCGGCCAGGAACATGTCCAGCAAGGTATTTATCATGGCATTGTGTTGTGCATCTTTCACAGGAGCGCGACATGTCGGACAGGTATAAGTATTTGCAGGAGAGGCGGAGTGAGAGTGGGTGGCCTTTCGATGTTGATGAGAGAACCATTCCTTTAAGCACGAGCCGCAGAAGGAATGTAAACAGTCGAGAAGGGTCAGAGGTTGATACAATATCTCTGTACAGATGAAGCAGACCAGCTCTTTTTCTAGATTTAAAAGGCCTGTAGACGGCGCTTCGATGGAGGATGCCATGGTCTAACCAAGACCATGATCGAGGGCTTCTAGATCGAGGCTGGCAGCTTGGCTCGGACTATATACGTACAGAAAATATATTCAGGAGTACACAATCATGATCTTTCAAGGCAGGGCACACGAGCAACAGGAAATAGATGCTGTGGGGAGAAAGCTGAATGGGAACAAGCTACAAATGTCTCGGCTGAAGACTTGAGATCTTGGGCATGAAGTGGCGGTTGAGCAAAGGCGCCAACACCAAACGGCCTAAAGGGGCATAGTTGGCCACTAATTATATCAGCTCGTTAAAATGGCGGCAATGGCGGGCCACGTTGTTTTCAGGGGACGTTCGACCCTGGTTCGCTATTTTCGCGCTTCCTCGCATCGTTCTTGCCTCCTCCAGATCCCCATTTTATGTACCTCGTCAGGCTAGCTGAATATGGACGAGAGGAGCAGCGGGATAGGCAGTTCCTGCCGTGTGTGTCTGCAGCCAGGGACTCGAAGCGACACACAGAGGAAGGGAAGTTCAAGCGGCCCTACCTGTCATTCTGTTACATCTCGATGAAAATTGATCAGTGTCTAGTTCTCGAATTGACGGGTGTCTACCGGGACAGGTTTGTGCACCATTCTTGAACTTCGAGGAGCTATGCAAGTCTATCAAATCAGCTCGCATGAGGTCCGACAAATCCGAAGAACTTTCAAGAGGCTTACCCTAGACGTGCTTCCATGAGTGATATTGCCTATGCCCTTTCCGAGTTGAACAGAGGAGAAAGCCCAAATTGGTTCTCCAGAGATATCATTGCCTACATGAAGGAATGAGCCTCTGTTTATGGCTAGGCACTCGAATCTAGCAGAAGTACATTCTCAGCACCTTTTAGTCTCCCTGATCGCTTCAAGGGCGCTCCAAAGGCATGCTTACTTCCGAGCTCTCCGGGCGGTGTAGCAAAGATCAAAGAACCCCGCCTACTGTGTTATATCTGGTGGACCTCGGGTCCTTTGAGACTTGCCTGGAGATTTGCTACTTGCAAGGTTACCTGGTCAGTTCATTCGAACTGATTCCACGGAACGAGTCCAACAAAATCGCTGCAAAAGTTCCACAAGCTTCATCGCTGGAAGACCTGTCGTCTCCTGGACTTGCTCTTGAACTTCCGTCGTTGCCTGGAAATTGCCGACCTGCTGAGATCCACATTCCCAGACTGACCTTTGAGCATCGGTCAAAAGGCATAGTTCTCAGATCTGGCATATTTACTGCGGCATAGCGCAAACCACTGGCGGCCTTCTTAACAAAACCATACTGGATGAAGATTCGCATGGTGACCGGTCATATCACAAAGAAATATGGAAATGGACCACCCTAACTAGGGCTCGAGCCAAGTGATTGATTCAACTCATATCGTGCCACAACTTTCAAACCTCTTTACTAATGGGCAATCAACAAATGAGAATATGGGGGGACCATGGAACCATTTGATATTTGATTTGGATATGACGCTCCTGAGCTGAGATGGCTTCCTGCTCTGCGAAATCCAAAGGTTTCGTCTTTCAAGCACGAACATAGCGCGATATATTGATCATTTGAAGACTTGCCTCCTTGGTATTGTCCCATGCCTGTGCATGTCACATTGACAGTTTTGCATGCTACTTTCCATTGGGCAAAAGCAAATCAGTTGGACCATGAAAAGGACTCGATGTTCAGAAAACCCTATTTTCGAATAGTACAGCAAAAGGGTGAGGTGCAGGAGCCCTATCGTCTCACGCTGTCGACCGCAGCCAGTGTGCTACCCATCATCTCTTTGATCTGATCTCCGAACCTTCTGAGCATTCTCGCTTCCTCGGAGGGCTCCCACCACTCATGCAAATCTCCCCGCGTATCAGGAAGGTTTGCGGGGATCCAATATGGTATCTTCACTTCTTTTCGGAAGGTTTGTTCAGGAGTCCACTGAATAACCCACCAACGCCGCCGGGGGACTTCATGTCCTCCCAGCTTTGCCTGCGATCATTGTGTTCGTCGCTTCCGCGTCGTGCCATGAGTCCGCTGAACATTCCGCCCTGAGAGGATGCAGATGACTATCAAGAATTTGATTAGCTGGTGCCGATTCAAGTCTACTATAGTCATAGAAAAGCTACTTCAGGACGCTGCATACCCGTCTTCTTCCAGCAATTGCGTTGGCAATGGCTGTTTGTGGCGAGGCAGCTGTCGCTGAAGCAGGAGCTGCTTTGGTAGTAGATTCAGCAGCTTTGCCACTGGTGCCACTGGAAGCCGACAGCCGTCGGGCAGGTTCATGCAGTTGTTTTCCGGAGGGGAACATGAACCGTCTATCACCTTCCCATGACGGGATAACCTTTTCAGTCGAAGCAGGAGGGCTAGTGCTAGTGGGGATGATGGTAGGAGGCTTCTCCTTTTCTGCTGGCGTGTAGCCAGGGCTTCCTTGGTGCACTTCTTTCCCAGATGGAAACATGAAGCGACGGTCTTGCCAGGACGAAGAAGACATGATGCTATTCGTGAACTTGATCGGGACTGGCTAAAGATATCTTATGGATTTCAAGAGTTTTTGAAAGGAGTGTCAGAGAGATCTAGGGTATTGGTGAACAGAAGATAACGAAGAACTAAGTCTCTCTTCGTTTGTCAGCTGCAGTTGATGGCAAGTCGTACGAGCTCCCTCCCTGAGATGCAAGGTAGGTCATAATTGAGGGGCAGGCAAGTTCCGCCTCCTTACGAGCCCTGAATGATACAATCAATCTGACTCGCCAAAGCATGTGCATGATGACTGTTTTAGGCGACCGTCATGCGATCAGACCCTATGGCAGGGACGGCATTGGATGGTTCACTCCCTGAAATGAACAGCCCGATGTGTCTCGGTATCTCATGCCCCCACCCTATGCGCTCCAGGCGCTGCTAAGAGCCTAGTGTTTGCGGGGTGAGCAGCTTGGTCAAAGTCTATGGTTGAGACAGACCAATGAACAGAAGAGGGGAATACCGATGATGTCATAGAAAGTCACGTGTTGATAAGGATAAGACTCCCATACGTCAGGGGACATCGGACAGTCCACAGGCAAAATGCAGTGCGAGACATCTTGGGTACAAAGTTGGTTAGGGAGAGTGACTAGTTGAGCACATAGAGATCTAGTGCAAAAGAACGTTCATTCCCTGACACCCCCAAACAACCGCAGGCCCCATCAGAAACCACTTGGAATTATCTAACAATAACAAACCTGCTAGCATGCAATGCAGCACCATTTCCTTCCCAAGCCTGGTAAAGATACAGTCTATAGTCTATCAGTCTCGAAGAACAGGTCTTGTCAGTATGAATGCAATACAAACGCGCTCGCCCGCAATGCACAAAATAGCAAGAACGGTATGCAATAACACAACCAGAAGACTCCTGAGACAACCATGAGCGAGCCTCCTACTCGGCCTTCTTCGACGTCTTGGTCCTCAATTTCATCATGACATAGACCAGAGCGTAACTGCTGATAACAAAGATAACCACAATCGCCGCATCGCGCCAGCCATAGTAGTAGTCCTTGAGATCCAGCGTATACAGATAGTCCGCACCGACGGAGTACTGGCACACCCGGCATTGGCTGGTGGCATCGGGGTTCGTCAAGTTCATCCTGGCGCCCATGCCCTGCATGAAGTCCTGCAGGTATGCGCTGCAAGACTGGCCGCTGGGGGTGTCGAAGATGGCCAGCTCGCTCTCCTTGCAGCGGATCGGCTTGTCGAACAGCGTGAAGGTCAACAGTGAGCCCATGAGATAGTTGAACGGGTCTAGGTAGTACAGCCAGTAGCGCCAGAAAGGCTGGATCTGGGAGTAGGGCACGAGCACGCCACAGAACGAGGCCATCACGCCGATGAGCAGAGGGTTCACCAGCGAGGCGAACACGGCGTTTGGTGCATATGCGGCGACGAATTGCCCGATGCCCGTGTACATGAACTCGTACATCAGCATAACGAAGAAGACGCCGCCAGCCTTGGAGGACGAATTGGGAAGTCCCGAGGTGTAGTAGAAACACACAAAGTAGAGAACGGCGCAGATGACGAGATACGGCAGCTCGGACACGATTAGGCCCGTCACGAACGGCCCCCAGTGGTACATCTTGGACTTCTTCTCCCGCGCCTCGTAGATATCGCGCCTATCAATGAAGAGCGGCTGGAGCTGCGCGATGACGCCAGGGGCGACGAAGATGAAGTTGAACAGCGCGAAGAGAGTGAGCTGTAGGTCGCCGACGCTGTTGCCAATCATCCAGAAGGAGAACCCGTTGAACAGTGCGGTGCCGATGTGAAGCATGACCTTGTTCATGACGTACTCGGTATTGCGGTAGAGAGCAATATTCATGCGACGGGTTACCAGTTTAGTCTGTTCGATTATCGGTGCCGCGAATTCGTAGCCGTCGTCCACCGTGCCGACTGGTTTTGACGCTGCGTCCTGGATGATGCTGTCTAGCTCCTTCACTACTTTGGTGTGCTCGTCAGATTCGAGCCAGACTTTCGACCAGTCACGCCCTTTGGACAGGCTGCCAGAGACGACGTCGATCATGTGCTCCGCCGGGTTGGCGTCAGCCGGGCAGGGGGCTCCATTACGGTCGAAATATTCTTTAATGGTCGAGGCATTCTCGCCAATGTCACCAAAGTATACCGTCTTACCACCGCGGGCGAGGAGCAGTAATGTGTCAAATTGAGCAAAGAGCTGGGCACTAGGCTGGTGGATCGTGCATAGCACAGCCTGGCCTGCAGCGGCTAGCTTTTTGAGGAACCGGAGAGTATTGAAGGCGGCTTGTCCATCGAGACCGGAGGTTGGCTCATCCAGGAAGATCAGGATACTAGGCTTCGCAACCAGCTCCACCCCGATCGTGACTCGTTTTCTCTGCTCAACGGAAAGTCCTGCTCCGACGCGGCCGATAAGCGAGTTCTCGAGGTCGTGCAACTCTAGTAGGTCAATCACTGTATCGACATAGCGGAGCTTTTCTTCCCGTGGGGCCTCTCGACTTTGTCGCAATAATGCCGAGAACTCAAGGGCTTCACGCACGGTGGCGTATGGCTCGTGGACATCGAGTTGTTCACAGTAGCCTGCAGATCTTTGGAACGACACGGGAAGATCCCGTCCATCAACCATGATACTGCCTCGGATTGTACCCTCGGTCTTCCTCTGAGCAAGAACATCCATCAGTGTAGTCTTTCCGGCACCGGATGACCCCATCAAAGCTCCCAGTTTGCCAGGCTTGATCCAGCCTTGGACGTTATCCAGGAGTAACCTATCCCCAGATGGTGTCCTGACCGTGTAGCTAAGGTCTTTCCAAGTGAATACCGAAGTGTTCTTGATCAGGGAATCTTCCAGGTCCTTGTTCTTCTTCTCCTCATCCGTAGTACTTGTATTCGAAGAGCTGGTGACGACCTTTTCCTTGGTTTGTGATTCTTCGTCGTTTGCGAGCAGCCGACTTTGCGCCTTAAGCTCTCTCGGGACCAGCAGCATTCTTCCGCCAGAAGATGGCAGCCAACGATTAGTGTAGAAGATTGTTAGACCAGCAAATAATGCCCACCAAGCCCAAAGGATACCCAAGTTCCTCCACAGGTGAGAGTGGGAATAAGATAGATAAGACAGATATTGGTCACCTGTCACAAATGAAGCCCCGGGAGCAGCGCCTCCCACACCTGTACAAGCAGCAAAGCTATCATCGGAGTATCCCGGCCCACTCGGAACCAAATTGTTCGCTGCGCAAGGAATGATCTGACCGTGAAACTCGTTTGCCAGCAAAGACTCAAACGCGTACGCCAATGGGTTGATCCAGTATATCCACACAAACCACGGGTGCATATCTGGCTTTCGAATCTCATATCCCATATATGTCAATAGGGCCGATACCGCGAAACCTGACACCTTGGAAGCGGCATCGAATGTAGGGAAAGCAGCACCAACCAGCCTGAAGAAGGCTGTCATGGCGATTGCGGCTGTATAGGTAATGATCCAGAATGTAAAGAAAGCAGCCGCAGTGGTCTTAAGGCCAACCATAAAGTACAGGATGATACCAAAAACAGAGACTTGAAGCACCAAAATCGGCAAATCTGCTGCAATCTGGGCAATGCAGAACGCAGCAGGGTGGTAAAAGGCAAACTCTTTGTGCTTAGCCAGCACTGGCCGACCGGTGAAAGAATCTGTGGTTTCGCTCATCGCTACCAGCGAGTTGTAAAGCAATGCATAGAATAATGCTCCACCCTTGACGAACAGTCCAGCCGAGGTATCGGGCGCGTTGTAGAAGAGCGACCCGGCAACGAGTGCTTGAATGAGGCCGGAGATCTGTTTAATGAAGAACGTCGCTTTGTCTCCCCAAATGATCTGATATTGTCGGATGATACAATTGAGGATCTGCACTGTGATCGGCGTGGTCAATGGTGACTTCTTGGGAAGACTCTTGTGCTTGTCTTGCTTAATTGCTGCCTTAAATTCGGCAGTGTATTTCTTCGCATCTTCAGAGGCGGCAAAGTCATATGAGGCCTCCATTCGCTTCTTGATAAGAGAGTTGTGGTATTGCGCCTGGATGGCTGCGGCAGTCCTTGGGAAGGAATCTTCAAAATCAGGCTTAATGGCTCTCTCGGTTGGGACAGTGACGCCAGTGAGAAAATCAGCGACGTTCGCAGAGTCGTCACAGAGAAATCCCAATTCTTCCATGAACGGGCGAGCCGCCTCTCGCTCTCCAAAGAAAATTTCTCTTCCTTCATCCAAGACCAGCACCTTGTCGAACAAGTTGTAGATGCCATTGCCAGCTTGATAAAGAGTCGCAATTGTGGCGAGACCAAGCACATCTGTCATAGCTCTAATGGCACGAGTCCACTCTAGAGCAGTACTTGCGTCAAGACCTCTAGTACTATTGTCCCAGCAGTACACACTTCCTCTTGCAGCCATCGTCTCAGTAATGGAGACTCGTTTCCTTTCACCTCCTGAGACACCTCGAACATATTCGTTACCGACTTTGGTATCATTGGTGTGTTCAATGCCCATAGACCGAAGCAGAAACTCTTTCACTGATTTTTGATACTCTGCAGGTGATTGCAAGTCGGATGGCCGCTGAGCTGGAACTTTCATACGAGTAGCAAAGTCCATGGTCTGCCCCACTGTCAATGTAGGGAAGTGAATTTCTTCCTCGGTATTCATGACAACCTGCCCACGATATTGTAGAACCTCATTGTTGTCCATGGAACCCCAATGGACATCACCAGTCACTTCGGCATAGCCAAAACGTCGGTTCGCAAGCATGTTTAAGAGTGTGGTACAACCTGCGCCTGGGCGACCGAGAACAAGAAGCATTTCACCTGGCTTCATGCAGCCGTGTGCATCCTGAATGATTGTCTTTCTAGTGTCAGTAGACTTCGCCCGTCGACCTTCGGCGATTTTGGTGGGAATGTTGAATTGAGAAAGGACATTTTCGTGGACAGCGGCATGCTCGCCTTCGCCGTAGACTGTTAGGTTCCTCCAGGTCACACCAAGCTTCCGATCCTTCAGATTGCTAGCTTGATCTTTCGCGTATCTCGCCTGTACTTCTGATTTCAATTCCCACTCGGGGTAAACTTGGTCAGTCTCGTCATCGTCACCGATATCATACCGATCTCTTTCTCGCTGGCTCTCAGAAAAGGTAGACTGACGCGTCAGTGTCCTCCATAAGGACTCTCGCTCTGTCGTGGGCGAGTGCGGCGTGGAGGCATTGGAAGCCCGTCGTCTTGCCATGATGGCCAAGTCTTCACGCCCTGTGAATGATAATTTCCAAAATTCAAAGACTGCAACTGAGCATCGAATACCGATGCGTCAGTATGTATACCGTGGAAATAAGTCATGTACGAGATGACATAGAGCTGCCTAGAAAGAGGTGCTTAGTGGTGTCGCGATTGATACGCAGTCGGATGTTCATGGATACATCTCCAGGGGACCATAGTTGGGCTGAGGCGTAAGATATGCTGTAAAGGGAGAGAGCTCGGAATAAAGATGTTATTATCAAAGCTTGGATCCACCTGGCATGATGTGTGAGAACAACAACTGGTGCACAACTTGAAGTTCACGTTGTGATGCCGAGTGGGCCCCAGACAAAATCGTTTTCATCGGATTCAGAGTCGGCATCCGAACCAACCGACGAACCCACAGTTAACGCGTGCCATATGTCGTGCAAACTCTGTTCAATGCCAAGATGATAAACACTGGCCAACACGCTTAAAAGGAGGGTAAGGCTGAGCTTATTCCATATTTTCGGTGGAGCTTGGAAAAGTGATGTTGTCATAGACCCAAGAGTGGCATGCCAGGGCCAGCCTTGGTGATTGGCTTCGATGGATCAATGGATGATATCCACTCGGTGAAAGTCTCAAGATGGCTCCGGCTCGATGTTTTTTCTCGCTCAGACTCGGAGGCAATCACTATCCGATGCTTGGCGGCCTAATTTCTTTCCGCCCGGCTTTAATTCAACATGTGTGGTACTTCAGAAAGAGGATCTGCTTCGTACGAAAGAAAAGACTGCCGGCATGATCTGTGACTTATGCACAAAGCTAGCCGCAGTATCGTTCTTCCTTTGGCTTGTTGGAGTGCGTTAGCCATCCTCGGGTTGCAAAGGCATTCGTTCGAACCCCATTGTGACAGTAAACGCTGACTCATAAGTGTCCTCGACCGAAAGGAAAAGCATCAGCTTCATAGTTGAATTGCAGAAGCTGAGACTATCCCCGAAGGGACAGTGACGGCTAAAATCGACATGGAATTCAAGCACGCCGCGGGAAGAATACGCAGGTTGGAATGCCTGAAAGGAACACAGTGAGAGTAAGAACAAGTCTGCCCATACAAGGCTCTTTTTTATCGATTCGGAATGCCTCAAGGTGATTTCCCACCCAGCTGGCGATGGCATCTACTTTTGGAAACACGAGTGGGCACATTTTGCCACTACCTATCCATGCCAAGTCGTCGGGTTCATGCAAAAATCACGCTACTTGGTCTGAAATGATCGATCTTGCCACGCAATTCTCCTCTTCTCATACTTGACAACCTCGTCTCATATTTGATAACTTCTTCGAGAATCATATGCCAGGGAAATATTCATTGAGGTTGATTAAAGTATTCTAGCCGTGGATACTGGGTAGTGAGTATTATGCGAGACCATCTCACAATGCATTCTTCCCGCTGCCATTCAATTCCCCATCAATCTGTCAACAAGGCACTGGCCTTCCAAGAGGCTCGGGCACTTTTCATCCCATATCTCGGGAGCCAAGTACTCAAATAGCCTCATTCTTTTGCACTGTCTGTTGATGATCACTATTCGGCCTATCCTCATGGTGATCGCTAGCCGGGAGTGCGTAGCTGAGGCGCTTCTCGGTATCGACGTCACCGTGCTCCTCCCTGATGACACGATGGTAATCAACGTGGGTATTCCAAGGCTTGGTATCACTCAGGAACATCTCCTCAACCTCTTCGAGTGTCTTGCCTGCCGTTTCCGGGAAGCAGAAGAAGACGTGGATGGTCATTGCCGTGCAGAAGACGCCGAACAACACGTACACCTTCCACTTGATGTTCACGAATGCGGGAGGCACGAAGTATGACAGTGCGAAGTTGAACACCCAATTCGATGCGGTCGTTAGGGCGACGGCTTTTCCTCGGACGCGGAGTGGATACAGCTCGGGAGGATAGATCTGTGGGATTAGTTAGAGAAGCTCAATCGATTGATGACAGAAATAGGATAAGTCTCCAACACCTGTGGCTGGTGTACGTACCCAGCTGACGGGGCCCCAAGATGGAGCGAACGATGCGACAAAGAGATACGTGCAAGCGATGACAGCGCGTGCGGGAGCACCATTGATTTGCCAGGATTGCTGTTCAACATGGTCCACTCCGCCCGGCGGAGCTGGCTTGCCGTAAGTCGCCATTATTCCAGCATTGGCGTACATCCAGATGGACATGAATGTGGCGCCAATGAGGAGAGGCCATCTGCGACCCCATTGATCGATAAAGATGAGAGCGAAGATGGTCATAAATACGTTGATGACATATTGAATCGACGATGCCACAAGATTACTGTTTCCAGAAAGTCCCGCCATTCCCTAGATTTTCAGGGTTAGGGTTAGGGACGGGTATAGGGTTGGGTTTAACGTACGAAAAGGTACGTGATGTAGTACATCATTACGTTCATACCTGAAGGAGAAAGTTAGATAGTTAAAATATCGAGATGAAAACCCGAATCATACCAGTAAGCTGACTCCAAATCTGGGTGAAGACGCCGATATGAGTGCGATTGATCATCTTGGGCTTGAATAGTTCAAGATAAGAGACATCGGCGTTTTGGCGTTCGAATTCACACATGTCCTTGATCTCCTGCAGCTCGCGCATAACAAAAGGCGCATTCCTGTCGCCTTTGGCGTGAACAAGGGCTAAGACGCCATGGCATTCTTCCCATCGGTCCTTACGAGCGAGCCACCTAGGGTAATGTTAGTTGACATGGTCTGAAGGAATAGATAAATCATAATTGAGATCGGTATACCTGGGAGATTCGGGGAGAAGGAACAATCCGAAAAATAAGATGACGGCAGGAATCATCTGCAAGCCCCATGGGATGCGGAACGCATTTGGGCCACTGACAAAGCTGCACCCATACGAGATGTAGAACATGATTAGGATACCCCAAGTGATGGCCCATTGTTGCGCACCGACGACACGACCTCGTTTACTGGGTGGTGCCAATTCAGAGACATACACAGGAACTATACTTTAAGGTCAATCAAAGGGCTTTGGTTGGGAAATTAATAGTGCGTTGACTGTACTAACCTTGAGCAGAGCAGATACCAACGCTGAAGCCATTGATGAAACGGCCCACCACGAGCATTCCAATGTTTTGAGAAGCACAAACGATAATGGAACCAATACACCAGATGACCGCACCAATCTGTATGGATCTCTTGCGGCCGAGTATATCGGAGAGCTAGGAGATTGATGAGAACACAACAGAGGAAGGGGTCCCGCGGTTCAACCTACGAAGCCAGAAGTGAGAGCACCAGCAAAAGAGCCACCAGGCATAGAAGCAGTGATTCCGCCTTGGGTGTTGGCGCTTGGGCCGGAGCATTCTGGAGGACCAGAAGGACCTTGATTGAAATAGCATTTGTACTGCTGTGTACCAATACTGCAACGGGTCAATCGAGGCATCTAGCATGGTTGGAACGGCAGTACTCACATTGCTGACATAGACGAGATATCAAAGCCGAACAAACCACCCCCGATAACGGAGATGGCTGTGATAAAGTAGATGTTTCCTATCTGATACATATCGGCGGGCTCCAAGTGAGAGGGGCTTAAGCTAGAGCGGTTGCTTCTACCTTGGAGGGATAGTAAGAAGCCAAGATCAAATCAAGGCAGCGTCTCCTATTTAAATGATGATGGGCTAAATCTCTTGCGAACAGCACAAGTTACAACGTTTGTGCGGCGGTAGGACAAGCATAATTCCGAGTCTTGTGTCGTATTGTGACGCCCTGCGACCTATCACCGAGTACATAGGTATGGAGATGGAAATGCGACATCAACTTACAGGTGGGGAGCGTTGCAGCTCTATTCCCATATCCTGGAGCCCTGCTGATGCAATGCTGGCACCGGTTGTTCCAAGGATCTATGACTGTCCTGCGGAGATGTGATGCGGGAGAAATGTGTGTTTCGCTGGGGTATGCATGGATGTCTTGGCGTGTCTTACTATGAGAGGTGCGTCATAGGAGCTTGACATTACAGAAATCTCGTATTCCCTGTCGTTTAAGAACCAACGTCTACCGAAGTCTAAGGTGGCGGAAAAGCCTGTCCACCAATCTTTGCCTTTATGCTTGTGTTTAGCATCGGTGCTTGACCAAGCCACCTGCAGACTCCCATGTCTTAGCTGTCGATCCCTGAGCGCCACTGACTGCATAATAAGCTGGAGACTGATACCTGTCCCTGACAACAAGCGGGTTTCATAGCACCAGGGATTGAATGTGATCAGCTGCATGCCCGCACCATATACTATTTGGCTAGCGACTTGAGTCTATTCGCTTCATTTTTAAGTCTGAATTTGCGAAGGTAGAACACATTAGGCAATGGGTTTGCAGATCACCTCGTCTTACCGTGCCACCCTCGTTACCTGTCGTTTAGATCACGGATAATCGGCTGGGTGATGCCTAAGTGAATGCAACCTCACCCCTTCCACAGCACTTTCTATCGACAAATCGCGGACTCAGTACCAAGTATGACGAAATACTGAGCCTCTGAAACGGTCCTCGCTCAGTGTTGTACAGACAGCATTCCCAGCGTCGCTGGCGTGATCCTTGTAACGGTTTGGTTTACTCGTAGCTATGCCCTCAATCAATCGGTGAATTCTTGCTCACGGCGAGAGATACACCGAAACTGTGAGATTGGTTTAAGAAAGGGTCGACATGCACATGTTTGGTCTGGGGCATTCATTACTGCTGGCCTTACCTCTCCGCAAAACCCCTAAGCCATGTATCTTAAGCGCTTGGGTCCTGGAGTTTCTGACTTGGCTATTAGAACTCATGAGCCATCACACCATAGAAAGGAGACCCAGCGAGCAAGGTGCCCTAGATCATGAATTCACTGTTACATCCTTCAATTCTACCCTAGTAACTATGCAAAATAGGTGGACCCTAAGGGGCTATTTGCAAGATCACGCTCCCCGTATTGATGCTCAGAACTGGGCATCAACCCGCTTCGAGAGTATCACCCTTCCCACGTCATCGGTCTGGATATTGCACCTCGATTGCGAGGAGTCTGGATATCCATCTGAGGAGGTCAAATCGACATTTGAGTTCTACGAGAAGTTTTCCTTTGATATACCATGCCTGAAGAGACTTTGCATTAAGTAGGAACACTCTACGGTAACCTAACCAAATAAATTGTAACCTTAGGCCGTGGCAGTGATCACAGGGCACGGTTTCCCGGCTTTTTGTGGAATTTGTGCGCTTGATTCAGCGGACTTTCGGGGCTGCTTGTCCTGCCAGAGCAGTTTTGAAACCAAAGAGAAGAGTGTTATGAACGGCTGAGTTGACCAGCACCGCAACATCTTCTATAGTGTCGAAGTAACATCTATTTAATACTACTTTTTTGAGCAGTAAATACTTCTTTAGATAGGTATTCCGTACGGAGCAGCCTTTTCCACCACAAGTCTGCACGCCCACGAGCCCCCGCCCGTTAGTCCAAGATATTCCATGACATTCCAATAAAATTACTTAGTGGCGTTCCGTACGTCTTTCCAGTTAAGCTTCGTTATTTCCAACGCCGTCGCAGGTTCGCTCTCCCGGGAGGAACCCGAGCAGGATCCAGTACAGTACATTATAAACAATGATAGGATACGAGAGACCTGGGGCATCTTACGAACATGTCTCGATCGGGAAGGGGTGGGAGCTGCAATCCGTAAATGGATTTGCTAACTGGGCCAAGAACCCGCATTCGAAACAGTGTGCTTTTCATTGTCAACGTGCTCGGAGGTAGTCGATAGTACCGGTACCCTCATGGGTGGGAAGGAGAAGACCAACAGATATTGGTATACAATTACGGTTTGTCCTCTAAGAGCAATCACACTCTCCACGGCCGTGAACTCACGAACTCTGGCAAACAATGAACAGGTTGAGTTACGCGCATACCACGAACATTCCAACGCGTTGCGACTTTTGTTTACAATCCCTCGGGAAGGTAAACATTGTCGCACGAACCCCTCATTTTAAAAGGCAGCGTTTTGAACAACTCGGCCATCACAGTTTTTGCACACAATGCAAAATCTTGGTACAGTGGTCAACAAAGACTCTGACTCTCAGGAAAGTCGCACCCTGCACTAAAAATTCCCCCATTGTCAAACTGTGGCACAACTGCACGGCATGAAGAAAGGACAGCTTAATGCGAGACTCCAGTCTCCCCGAAAGATGGACAAGACAGACAGCCCGAATAATGCCAACGAAAAAGGGTCTCCTGGTACGTCTAATTGGCATCAGTACTGGAAATTTATACCTAACCATCATTTGAACCCTCAGCTCGGCGCACTATGGGTGGAAGTGGTTTCGTGGGACTGGAGCCTTTGAAACCTGCGGCCCCGCAATACAATATGGTTGGGCAATTTGGTGGCCCGTGTTTTGATGAATCAACCAACAACTGGAAGACGAGCTTCCAAGTGGAAGTGGATGGTTCGATTGAGGTGGACGACGAGGGGGTGTACAATCAAGTTCGACACCTTGCCCACGATCGTGAACAAATTTGTGCTGTAAGTCTTTTCCGAAGCTGCCAAACTAGATCCCACATCTCCAGGCTATGAATTACGTCGGCCAATTCGCGAAACAAAGTCACTGGCAAGCTTTTTATTATTGTGCTCCGCAACTCGACAGGCATCAACGGTCAACCGAAATTAGAAGAGGTACAGTGGGCGGGCGTCCATGTCTGGCTTCTGGCTAGACAAGACGAAATTCATGACATGCGCCCACTTCCTGGAGACGATTCGTAGCACAAATGGCTATCAAACGGAGACATTTCTGAAAGCTTCAAACCCCGAACGACCACGAGCTTTTGCCTCCAACAAAAAGCGGGCCGTAGGATTGAACGCCGGCAGTAGGTACACAACTCTAAATTGTATCCTCTCCAAGATCCTAATCTCTTTCAGGTCCTGAGTCGTGGCCAGTGTATCTCCTTCGACTGTCAAAATCTTCGGACATCGCATTTTTTGAGTTGACTCAAGCAGTGACCAAATGGGGTAATCATCCCCCATATTCAGTTCAACTACACGAGCTGTCTTCATCATTCGCTATACCAACTTATGGAAATGCATTGGCTATGCCTTTCAAAGAGCCTGATCTAGCACATGTGCCCCTCTTCGCAGCTTACTATCCGGGTCACAATATGTCTGCGACAGTGACGTTTGTCCCATCAAAAAAGAGTTCGCAAAACAAGCCAACGTGGGGGATACCTGGGGTCTATGGTGTGCGGAAGGTCAAAATTCTACTTCTGGTGCTGCACACGGTCCTGCTGTAAGTCAATATACATCCGTTTGCTAACAGCCTTGGCACTCTAAACAAACTCCCAGGACTACGCGACAACATTCACACCCAATACCCGAAATGTAGCCTTCGGTCAAGTTGAGACAGATCATCGAGGCGCCCCAAAACATGGTAAACAGGGTAACAGCCGTTTTGTGCAGACTAGAGAATGCAGCATTGTCGGATCCTATGGCTGTTCAGGAGGCATGGTGTGCAACCTTTACCGTGAGGCCAACAGTTGGCAATCCGCCGTCGTGGGACTATGTAAGTTGTGTTCAGAGACAGGGTTTTGTCAATGTGAAGAGCTAACTAGTTTTTAGACCATGGAGAAAGTTGGAATAATCGGAGATATAACGAATTCGTGGCTTTCACACCCGACTTTGTCGAAGCGATTCGAACGGGGGCGTTTTGGGCCACTGGGTGAGCGAGGTGAAAATCCTACTTATAGGTACTGAACGCTGGCATCAATTTACATAGGAGGTGTGAGGAAGAAGGGTATGATCTTCCAGACCAGTAATCCCACCAAACATTGGCTCAAATGGAACGCGAAGCCAGACGTATATTGTCACCGAGCGCTGATCTGATACTGTTGGGGCTGCACCTGGCGACTGCTACATTTTGAATCACGTTGTAGCATGAAGGCTGATCTATCTAGAATCGAGACGAGCAAACTAGAGCCCAAGACAATTGGTGGCTGAAGAACAACCTATTAAAAGACACCTTCAAGTGCTAAACCAGGGGTGCAAAGGTGATTTTCGCATCAGCAATTAAGCCTGGGCAATACAATTTAATTCCAATGAATGTAAATTGGCTCATAGAGGAGAAATCCTAGTAAGTGGTAATTGACCCAAGAGTGCAGACACTTGGTATCCTAGGACAGAACTGTCTTATGGTCGACAACCCTTCGCCTTTGGTCATAGTCTTTCAATTCTGCCCAACACCGTGTCACAGCTTATTCTGACTTGTCTTGCGTTTCACAGTACTTCCAGCTATACTCTTTTCTTCTTCAGCCGTCGTCAATCGAGATGTTACTCTGTTTAGGTCCAATTTAGCGACTTTGTTAAGTCTCCTTCAAAGCACTAAGCAGGCTAGGTGATATTCGGCAGAGAATTCCAAATAAATGCCAGCACTGCTTCTTTACCTTTAAGAGGACAGCAGATAGCGTAATATTGGCCAGTCAAGCGGTCTTGCCATCAATTCGACTTAGAGAGCCCACTCGTTGGGTTCGGTCCATATGTATCTATTCCCATCGAACCGCTATCAAATACCTCAGGACCTTGAGTTCCCCGCCTCAATTATTTCAGGGTCTTCATTCCCGTAAACAATGCATCCTGAGCTAAGAGACACAGCCTGTCTCGGTCCTAAGCCATTGCTCGATACTTCTTATCACCTCTAGGTTCCGGGCGACAGTCCGCAAGCATTATTCATCATCTTCAAACTCTGTATCTCTAGTTCGAGTCTCCAACAAATACCTCGTCACCGTAGCCATTCTCTTCTCCTGTTCAGGAGACTTTCTACCAGGAAAGTCTCCAAGACCACCTTCAACCTCGACGCTATCCCAGCTATCTCCAATTTCCAAAGCTAGAGCTTCCACCATACTCCTTCTCGCCCATTTCCCGGGTGTGGCCCAAATTTGACCATTAAATACTTGCTGTCGGTCGTTCTCCCATCCAAGTACATCGTATCGGCGTCGACGAAATAACGACAATAATGCATGCATATAGAGGTAACGCTTCCCAGGCCTTGCAGCAGTCTGAAACTGAAGACGTCTCTTGTGGATTGTGCTGTACGGCGCATCGACTGCTGGACATAGTCTACTGTCATTTAGTAGATCTTGAGACAGAATGATGCTCATAAACTCGTTGTTGTCTGTTGGGTCGGGTACAATAACCATTCGTCCATCATCCAAGATCTTTTCGAGGGTATTATGCAGCATTAGGCCATTCCGTTCTGACCAAATGAGACCGTACCCTTCGCCCGGTTTGGATCCGAATAAATATGTAGCGTTCTCCTCGCCGATTGCGTACGGAACTATGTGAGCTGCCTTCATCGTTGATGTTTCAAATTCTCTCCCGGAGATAGGACACCAAATCTTACTTGAGAAAATTTCGGGAGGCGTCTGTAAGAGCTTGAAGCCTTCGGGATTATAGGCTTTAATAAGCCTGTTTCGAAATGATGTCTGATCGGCGCCTGATCTCTTATGCTGCCTTTTATAAGATGCATTAGCAGGCTCGGGGAGGTTGCCGGTGATGGCCATCGTATAAGCTTCGCCGATTTTAATATGGCTCAATTGACCTAGCACGCCGTACTGTACTCGGATTCGGTCAGCCGCCAGAGCAGCCCTCTCTTTCAGCAGAATGTTATCAGTTGCATCAAGCTCCATTAAGGCCCTCTTTAGCTCTTTTCGTTGGTAGTTCGATGATAGTTCGCGAGCTTCACGGACGACCTTGCGAGCTTCTTTTAGATGGGCTTCTATATCTTCGACTAGTTCTTGTCGTTGATCAATATAAAGAGATGTCCTCTCTGGCTCATCGCCAATAGGCTCGTCTGATGAATCGGAGATTTTTCGAATTCGGCCTTCGATCTCTGCGGATTCGTTGTCAATGGTCTTGCTGATCTGTCGGACCGCTGTTGGTGTTTGGAAGTCTTGTAGTGGATCGCCAAATGCTGAGTCTAAACTCTGTCGCATCTTCGACCGTTTAGAGACGCGTCTGTCTATGTCTTTGCTTGACTCGGCCATACTGTAAGAGCACTAGTGTGAGAACTGAAGTGTGAGAACTGAAGTGTGAGAGTAGGAGTATGAGAGTTGAAGAAACAGTATTTATTCTGATGACCGAGGATCATAATCCATAAATGCTTGGTAGGTCCTCAGCTCTTGTCAAGGCTAAGAAGGAAATTTTGGCTGGGCAATCAATGTCCTTGGGGACAGCCCCACTTTAGTAGCAGCTGCCTACTGAGGCTAGTAAAGCTTATTAGCCACTAACCAAACGCTAAGGGCTGATGTCGTTCTTGGTGACCTCTGCCTCGACCTCCTTTGGTAAGAAGACTGCTACTGTATTAAGGGTCGGCGTCGACGAGGTCTAGTTCGACGAGGGCTGATTCAATGCTAGTACATAAATCTACGGTCTGACAGTCGCGCATAGAGAGTTCAAAGACCTAAGTCGAATGAGTCATGTAATTAAAGTTGAACTTTCCGACCGAAAGAGGAGTAGCTAGCCACAATAACCATTGGTTGAACTCGTAACCTCTCTCCTAGATCGGTGCAGCATGTATCAATCAGGACGATGCACCTGAACGAAATGCGACTCTACTGGGCAATGATTTGGTATAAAAGGGCATTGGATGGATCCAGAAACGGTTTTGGTTTGAAACACTCTGAGGCGCAATTAGTGGAGAGTCAACTCATGGGCTTTCCTTCTCTAATGCCACCAAAAGGCGAGAGAGATGCGGTTCAGGTGAAAAGTTCATGAGGCTTTCTCGACCCGAGGTTCGCAAGCAACCTCCAGGAAGCCTTTGATCGCCACTTATGTAGATGGAGCATGTGGAACGACTGTCCTCAGGCGCTTCACAAATGGGCGGGGCTTAACAGACATAAAGAGCATAAGGTGAATAAGACTATTATATAGTGCAGCATCGTAGGAGAAGTGCGTTGCTTCGCCGAGCATCTCGACCCTAATCTTGTTCCACTTTACGACTTCTAGCCCTGGGACATCCCCACTATGGCGAGGTCAATTAAGTGTTCCTCCTCACTTTCGATTTTCCAATAAAGTTACAGTCTTCGGCCTTTTGATTCCGAAGACCATTGGAGCATATATAGAATGGGTCTCTGAGGCCAATCTATCCAAGCCAGTCATGCTTAACTGGCGCTTCCAAGATAGGGGCATCGATAACAGTCGTAAATTCATCCTTGGGATCTTTCAGGAATAGAGAGACTAAAGCAGATTAGTTTTTGAATGCATTCAAGAGGAAGGAAGTTCGTGAAGACTTACAGTCTAGTCCTACCACACTAAATGCTGCAGCAATGGTGAAAACGTTACGGAACCCGATGACATAAGCTTCTTTCAGTGCTAGAACGGATGCTGTGATTATTCCAGGTGTGACTCCTTCGATTCCCTGCAGGGAAGATTGATTACCTGATGCAAGGGCAGCAATGAACCCTTCGATGCTGGTGTTAAGAAGCCCATTCGAGAGAGCAGCCTGGGCGACCTTTGGCCTGATATTGCTTGTTAAGGCCTTGTTGAAGACGGCGTTATAGATGGCTAGACCCATGGTGCCGCCAGCACTTCTACATGCAATCATCAGAAGAGTACCTGAGGCGATAAGTGCAAGTGGCGTATAGAACTGCGCTATGACGATGAGTGCATTTAGAGAGATCCCGAAAGCTAAACCGAGAAATACTGGATAGCCCCAGGTTGCGGTCGCAGAAGATAGGTCGATTGACGCCATCAAGCTGGAGTAGATTATGAAGCAAACAAAGGAGAACACGATTGGTGTCCTCAGTGAGCCTATGCGAGAACAATAGTATCCAGTGCCCACAGCGGCAAAGAGATATGTCCATCATGTGACCTGTATGTGACACCTGTAAGGATCAGGCATCGACCGAAAAGGAACTCGACCTGGAAACCGGAGTAGTTGTTCGCCGCAAAAAATATCATGCCCTCGCAAGTAATGCAAGCCAGGGGAAGAGCAAAATTGCGTGAGCGTTTGAATAGATCGTGGTGCAGCAAGCCATCCTTTGTAATCCAGGTCCAATAGACAACCAGCGCCACGATGGCGTATAGGCCCACAATGAATGGGACCAGGACTTGTGGGGTTTTCCAGTCGTACGGATCAAAGCCCATCCGAGACCAATAGAAAAGCCCAGCAAAGCAACGATGAGCAGCACGCTGCTTATGAGGTCTAGCCTTCTGATCCTCTCTCTGACCGCTAGGTGCTGAAGCTCTCTGGCCGGCGGACTGTAGAAGGTGATGATTCTGCGTGCTATGGTGAAGAAGGCCGCAGCAAGAAAATACCAGAAACTGCGAAATGCCGCCGGGGAGTGGTTACACATTGCTCCACCAATGTATAATCCCATGGCCCAAGCAATGCCACCACCTACGTGAATGGATGATTGTGCATATGGCCGATATTTCCGTGGAACGATCTCGGATGTGATAGTCTGTGCAAGTCCCTGACAAGTCTGCGCGAAACCTGCGATGGTTTGTCCTGCAATAACTATTCCAATGGAGTTGGCGCATGAAATAATAAGGCAACCGACCATACCGGCCAGCATCCCGCCTACAATAAGCCATTTTCGGCCCCAGTAATCAGCAACTTGAGTCAGTGGGGGCCAAAAATAATGGGGTTGATCCCGAGTACGAGGGTGATCCAAGTCACCTTATCACCGCCGCCTGCGACTGCGACGATATGGATGATACTCGCAAAATAGATACTCCAAATAGCCTGGAAACAAATACACGTAAGCGCAAGAATTGGGCTTTGGTTGACTAATGCCGCACATACAACGATCAGGGCCAGGAGCTTTAGAGTGATGTTAAACTGGCCTCCTTCGTCGACATTGAATCTTGAAACCTCAGCTGGAGCCAAGTCCACGATCTCGACTTGCGCTTGTATAGGCGTACTCTTGCGCTCGTTCTCGTTGGAAGACATGGGAAGCTCAAGAAGAGGAGTTCGTTGGGGTTTTCTTTGATACTCGAGAGCTTCAATAGGATCTTCAATAATGTGCGTCTTTCATATTTTCGCAAGGGAGCTGCGTCAACATTTGAATCTTTCCAAAATTGGGATTAATGACTCTCGTTGTTACCAATGCCTGTCGGTCCCACGCCATGGCCTGGGTCCTTCGTTGTCCCGTATGCTTTTTGGCGGCCGCACCCAGATTACCCCCGTTTTGAAACCGATTGCAGGTGGGGAAATCCACATAACCCGTTCCTTACCCGGTTTTATGTCTATGCATTAGTTGAATTGCGCCCGCACTGTGACGAGAGGAAGTGGCAATAATAGGATACTGTCTGCTGCTTCTTAACAGGTAAAATATTGGCAGAACGATATTGTATCAAGTCTATTCGTTGCGGCGCTTGTGGAGTGGTCCCCCTCTCCTTGATTGCATCACGGATAGCAATTCATGAGATATTCTCAAGACTTCCTATTTCCGTGGACAGAGTTATGACGAAAGAGCTTGGCTCCATTCTCATAGATAATCCTCACAACTCCTGACGCGTCCACTTGGCCAAGCACCTTCCTCGTGCATGAATTACCCAGTCAGCAGAGATCCCTACCAGTGAGAAGGAGACAATGACCCAGATGCGGCGTGACCTGAACGGTATCTGGGGCATCCGTAATATTGCATTTGAAACAAAGCCTCATGAAGTAGAAGTCGACAGACTGGGGCAAGATATCATTTATCTCTCCCCCTGTGGATATACTGGTGCTCGCCTGAGATTGGTTTGAAGGAGCCTGCAATATACCAAAGAGTCAACAAGAGCACTGCCCACAACAGGATTCGTGGCTACCACCATGATTGTGGGTAGTATCCTATGATAGAATTAGTAGCGATGTTCTGTGATCATTGGGAAACTGAAGAACGTGGAAATATTCTTGCTACTGTCGGATGGTGTCTCAGAGGACTGTAGCCAACGATAATTGGAATATTGAGTCTTTCTGACTGGGAGAAGTACGACTCGAAAAAAGATGAGGCCATTTCCGAACTATGTCCCACTCTAAATAGATAGCAACATAATACGCTTGATATTCAGTTCAAAGATGGTTCTTCTAAGTTCGTGCACTACATGTTTTATATCTGACAGTTCATTAGGGGCATTTCCTGTTTGAAGGAAGACGGAACAGAGGTAAATGTAATTGATGCTATGCAATCAGACAATAGGATTTTGGCTACAGCTGTCGACAACATCCTTGACTATATTGACTAACATGTTGTTCTAGCCCAGTACCTCATGCCATGGCTGGCGTTGAAGATCATAGACCAGCTTGCCAAAACTTTTGGTGACGAAGGTCTCTCTCGCTCGATCCAAAGGTCAATTGCATCCCAGTTGCTATGCGCCACGCTTGCTTGTAGCATAGGATAGACTGCAAAATCTTGTACATCAATGATTGGCTTAGCGTAAGGCGCCGCACGTGCTATACTGTGAGAGAACTTCCCTTGGGCGGGCTAGAGTCTAAAGGAATGAAGAAAGCCAGGGGGAGCGAGCTTGGATCTACGACGATCTCTGTACGGGTGACACCATCGGACTACAAGACTATCATATCAGCAAATTCAGGCGATGCGGGGATACGTGATTAGCCAAAGTTGAAATTTCAAGCTATGTAGTCATAGAGAGTACTCATACGTGATGAGAATAGTGATGAGGTCGTCTGATACTTTGCTTTACCTCTTCGTCCGTAGGTAGCACTGATGGGAGAGATAACTCGAAATGTGATCGGGAGTCTAAGTTCTCGTACTAGACCCGTATTTTCCCCGTAATATGGCTCTATATCTTCAAGCGGCCAATTTCTTAGTATGGGGATGTTGGCGCTAATGATTCTAGCGCGTACTAACTCACCTAAAACGTGGCCCGCTTAAAAAAATATAGATACTAAAATCTTGTTGGCGCCTAAATGACTATCGATGAAACAAGTTGGCAGGCAACCTTGTGATGAAGATCAATGAGTCAGTGCTACAGCCTTTGGAATGCTTTAGAATCATGGAAAATAGGCTCCAGGAGGTCATTTGCCTAGTAATTTACTATATAAACCAGAACGGTGACCATAGAGTAGAAGAAGACAGAAGTCTCATCTACGCTGACTTGCCTGTATCGATTGGCCCGTCCAATTGTACAGTCCAAATCCTCCAACAAGTCCCTTGAACTATCCGATGGACCCCAGGAAAATGGCCCAGAGTCCTTCTCCGTTGCATGAGGGTGGCAAGGACTACTACAAGAAGGCAGGGCACATCTAAGTCCAGTCTTGCTCGGCAGATGATTAGGTTACCGACAACGAATTCGAGCTTGTGGGAAATGACAAGGCAAGTGAGCTTCAAAAACAAGGGGCAATCGACACCGGAGCTACCTCTGCGAGTTTGGAGCAACCCTACTGCATGCTGGATGACGCTTACGCCCAGGAGCTCCGAGCGGTTGCTCACATCCCGCACCATATTTCAACAAGAGCCCGTAGGACTAGCACCGCATCTGTTTGGGGAATACAAGCTTGACAACTGTAACTCCAGTTTCTCGAGCTTGGGAAGGCTCTTGCGGATAACTGTCGGTTTTGTTGTTAGTTCTTTCAGTATCGCTGTGGCCGCTCTGGCAATCCGCAGTAACTGCAACGATGGTCGTAATTTATCCAGAAAGGGGTCGTATTCGAGATGTACGGAATGATCATCGTCTCCATCCGTCTCGTTTTCCTTACCACTTATCTCGCCTTCTGCATCTATCTTGTCATCGCCACCATTGTTTGCTCCAAGGTAGTCCCTTTGATCGTTGTCCATCCTTTCACCGTTGTCCGCTCGGTCTCGTGAGCTCAAAAAAGTATTGCAATTCTCAATTCTCAATCGTTCCACCCGGCAAAAGATTGGAGACTTTTCATCGGTGTGGACGTGTCTCTGGTATTAATATGCAGATCTCTCAGGGAACGCCCATTGACTTCGAGAGCATTGACAAGATCTTTTGTGGTGATTTAGGGATGCGGAAATCGATCTAGCGGCCCTTCATCTTGAAAATCGTCGGACTCGAAGACGTGAGTGGTATAACATAAGATTTGTAGGTAGCAACATCTCCCCAGAAATCGCTGTAGCTCTTGCTTCTTGACCTTACATGCACCAAATTCAGGATGTTGAAGAGAAACAAACCTGGGAGAAAGTCGCTCCATTTTCTTCAACAGTGACGAATAATGTCCTTTATAAGCCACCGCGGTGGGGTGGTGTACTCCGAGGATCCTATCGTAGCCGATAATAGCACGTTGGGAAAACGCTACAGTATCCTAGAAATGCTCTTTTACATTGAGTAAGTGTACCAGATTATGAACGCTCGTCAACATGAGGATGATTCACCCCTAGCTCCCTCTCCCTTCCCGCCGGTGATCGCCGATGTATCTCCTGCGCCTCTTCATGTTTGCCTTGATGTTGGACCAGCGAACTCGTTGATGCACGGGTCGGCACTATCAACCCTTACCCCTTCCTACGGTTCGCATTCTCCAGGTGTGCCTTCGACTTGCCGGAGGCATTGGTCCTGGAGTACGAGTGACTCTTGCTGGCCACACCGGCTTCGTTGATGTCGCTCGCGGGTACTTCCGCGCTTTCAGTGAAGTTTAGGATCCTGGAGACAATGTCCGCGTTGTTCCGCCCGCTCGGCCACACTGTCCATCAAGATTTTGTAGCCTTCCGCCGACTCTGCCTCCGTCAAACCGACTACTCGGCCCTGCGGCTTAGCTGGAATTTGGACGTGTCTAGCCTCAACAAGTATTTACTGTAATCTCTGCCGAACTGTTTGCCCAGTTGGATATTCTTAAAATAAGGACCGTAGAGCTTAGCCTTAGCTGTTAAGTAGCCCTTAATTAGGGGACGTTTTATATTACTGTCAGAATCCTAGCTTTACTTAGTGGTTTCTGAAGAAAGGGGCTAGAATTACGGAATAGAATTTTGTAGGCTAAGTAAAGGTAAAATCGCCTCCTTTTAACTCTAGTATTCTAGCCCTTTTATATAAAACTTACGTCTTTAGTTGTCTACTATACTGTCACGGGCTGGGATGGAGCGTATTCGGAAAGAGTCTAGGGAAGGTTTCCTATCTATCTATATAGGTAATATCGACATCGACTCAAAGCGTAAGGAGCTGTAAGAGCTCCGCACGCTTCTCACAAGCGATATAGTAGCTAGTCACGTGCCTCTTAGTACTCCTTCGTCATGGCCATTCATGACATATACTTACCGTAATTAAAGAGTCAGCCTCCTAGTAATATATCCCAGCCTCCATTTAATGTCGCCTAATAAATACCGCTTTTAGCCTAAGGATTCGTTGCGCTATAACTCACGAAAGTGTTTCTGTTCTAAAGGATTGTTAGGCTAAGCTACTTCGATAGTGCAATATAGAGTTGATAGCACTTCTTTTTCCATTCTATGAGCCTTCGTTCCTAACACGTCGACAGATATAGTGTATGCAGTGATGGATGTGTGAGAGATCATAATGTCATTGTACCAGCATGAGCTCTCTGCACGCGCGCTTCCAGTTCGCGGAGCTGGTTCTCCCGCGCCAAGAGCTTCTAACCCTACAAATGCGAAAGGCAGGAGATTCCGCAGCTCAGTATTCTCCTGAATCGTATCTCTATCATCCTCTTCCAGGTTTTCTGGAAACTTATAGACAGGGATGTTGTAGTGCTCAATGTCTGCTATAATTAAGCTCTTTGATTCTTGCAGTTCTTCTGGCGTATGAGCCTCAGCTTTGCCAGTGACTAGGACCAAATTGACACATGGTGACAGTCTCTTCATCAACTCAATGTCCAGCTCGCGAAGGCCATGTCCTGTCGGCGTAATGAAGTAAAGCAGTACATGAACCTTGTTGTCCTTGAATCTGGCATTGCGTTTGATCCTCGCTTCCTCCGCCAGCATATTGTCATATTGGCGTTAGAATAAGCCCACGATTTCGGAAAATGAGGATTTGTTATCGATCTGATCTCCAAAACCGGGCATGTCGACGATCGTCAAGGAGATTCACGTCCCTTCATTATCGATGTCCATTTCTGTTCAAGGTTAGGGGCTTCACGCCGCATTTGGAACCCGGTACGAATCAACAAGGGTAACCGACTTGATTCACACATCGTTATCAAGATGCGCATCCATGGCACTGCCGTCAGCCTCCTTGGGAAGTAACACTCTGGTCCCATATAGTGTGTTCACGAAAGTTGTTTTTCCTAGATCGGGTCTTAATGACAATGAGATTTGCGGCCCACGTGTAATCCTACCTGTATCGGTTGCGCCACACCATCATAGTGAACCAGATTGCCTTCTTTGTATTTTTCTTCTTGCACACCTATACGATTGACATTATCATGCATCCTTCGGGGATTCAGGCAGTGCTTGGTTGCTGTAGGCAGGTAGGCAATGGGTTGTGGTAACCATATTGGAGGGGGTAAACATCTTCAAAACTGCGGTGTCTCGACCAGTCTCCTTCAAGTATATTGGCAAAGGTGTGCTCCTCCTTGTCCTTCGAAAACGGCCGATAACTGCGCAGTCGAAAGTGAAGTACATAAGAAAGAAGGGATGTCAAAATTGGCTCAAAGGAGAATGGCTTAGTTTCCACTCCACTTCCCCAACCCCTATTGGGAGTATTGGAAAATCGGCCTCTATCGGCACCTGTCGTCTAATTAATAAACTTTGCACCCTAGTAGTTACCGAGATTAGGTCGCCCATTTCCGGCAGGTCGTCAAGCGAGCCTCCAGCCGCCGAGTATCGCACCCTGTCTCTATCGCTCTCGCAGCTCTCACACATCAAGACCATTTTTCCTGCTGATGTTGGCGCCTTACACTAGGGAACACTAGCAATATACGCATGACATGGCGTCTACTAATACGCCATCTATTGCGTCGCCGCAGCACGAAGCATCACACCCACTGAGCCGGTTGCTGGAGCTGCCAGGGGAGCTGCGTAACCGAATACTCAGATACATTGTTACTCAATCCGAGCCAATCACCTTGCGTCATCACGAAACGACATTTACAATCGATGTCAAAATTCTCTACACCTGCAAGCAGCTCAGAGACGAAGCCAGTTCTGTTCTCTACCATGAAAATGTATTCGAGATCGAAATCGACAGCCATGGGTCAGTTACGTCGTTACATTTCTCAAATTACCACTCTCTCTGCGAGTATCGCGCCGATGATGCCGTCAATGAGGTTTCAGCGCTCTTCCTGGACAGATTCTCGCACTTTCAATTCCGCCTTCTAGATGCTCGCCGCCCCGACTCGCTACGAAAAGCCATTCAGCGCATCGAGCATAGTCTCAACAACAAACATATCACCGTCATCCTACCCCCACGAAATCCTGCTCGAAGCCTAACACCAGCTTCAGCAACACGACTCCGCGACTTCCCACAGATAGACAGTCCACTCTCGCCTTTTTCTGCCGTACGATGCGCGTCATTCCTCGTGTTCAACAACGATTCCAGCCCCACTGACGCACAATTCGGCACGCTAATTGACCTGGTCACGAGCAACAGGCCTTCCATCTGCATGGCTCAAAAATATCACCATGTGCAGCGCTCGGCTAGAGCTGTGGACAAGATGTTGCTGCCATCTGGTGATCTGGTTCGGGATTTTGGGAGGCTGCGTACAGCGTTGTTTGAGCATGTGCGGGAACTATGCCAAAGTGCGAATAAGTCGGATCAGGACGCTTTTGTTATAGCTTTTGAGAAGTTCGAGAGTTGTTATCGTCAGATCCAGGAGCTTCAATGCTAGAATTGCGTGCCTCCCGGTCATCATGACCCCGTGCTCCGAACTAGTGGGTGCTGAAAATTTGTTGCCATCCTTGATCTGCTGATCCGCGGCTCTGCTGATCCAAGAAAACGCCGCAGTGAAATAGAGTCGGTGCCTAGAATTCGCAGTTTTGACATCTGCATCTATCTGCTATAGTACCAGTGTTCAATACATAGTATCGGGTTCTGCACACTACTATAGCAAGAGGTATTTAATGGACATCACGACCGCACGATTTTCATTGATTAGAAGCTATTCTGTGGCATTCCGTAGTGATTATAGTGTTAAAAAGTACACTGCTTATCACCAATTGGAAATTTGAGAGCTGTGCCGAATGAATTGAACCGGCATGTCTCCGTTCACCTGGAGCGGATACGGACCATCAATGTGGCCCCTCAATATTCAGTTGTGGAGCTGCATACAGATACTCGCGGATCCAACGAAGACGACGCTCTTGCTGAGTGGCCCAGACTGTGATATGGACGGCATTCCCGCGGGCTTGGGAGATTGCCCGCAACAACTTTATCCTGTTTCCCCCGTCGGACAACCTTGCTTGGATAGGACGAGAATGCCACAACCGGGGAAGCTGGTTTGAGGGCTTGAGGTCCCTTCAGTGCGATTTTCGGAGGGCGTCTAGTTAGGCTCCTTAGTCTCTATGCTTATCGATAAGCTAAAAATATTGCTCTTCTCTAACATTATGTACGGAGTAACCATCATCTAAATTCAGCATTGTTCTCCCACGCGTCCATAGAGTGCATTAGGTGTCCTTTCTCACCCGCCGACTCGCTGTGCTAGCTCGAGGTCGGATATCCAAAAAATCAAACATATAATGGGCTGGTAAGCATCCACAGCTTCCAATTGTGCTCGCGTTGGCGCCTGTCGGTCTAGATTTCGTTTACGTTTTGCCATCCAAGGACTGGGAAGCGAGAAAAAGGGGACAACACCTTCAATATTATCGTTGTCCACTTTGCGCTTTGGGCCTATCAGGCTTCCGCAGATATAGTCCGACAGCAGAGAGCAGCTCGCCAGCTATCTAGTACTGACACGCCAACATTTCCGCAAAGATGTGACAGGTACAATGAACAGATGTCATAACTCGATGTCCACAGTGTATCAACCGAGAGCAAACCTGCACGCCTGAATAGTTTTCCAATTCCAAGGTCGCCCCTATTTGGGGATGATCTGGTATAAATGGGCATTGGATGAATTTAGAGACGGTTTTGGTTAGAAAACACTCTAGGGCGCAATCAGTGGAGAGTCAACCTAAGGCTCTCCTTCTCCAATGGCACCGACAGGCAAGAGAGCTGCGGTTCAGATAACAAGCGACATCCGCTTTCTCAACATGTCGCTGGGCGAAGCTGTCAAACAGATTCAGTGCCAGAGAGAGCAGTTTCGGAATTTGCTGTAGCAAGTATATCAATTTCTATTACTGTACGGTAGTAAAAATTCCGTACCCAATCTTGTCGGCCATGGTTCATAGTTAGATTAGTTGAACTCTGGCAGATTTGAGAAAGCGTTACCGATTCATATCCTCGGCGCTTGGGGAGACTGTTGCAAGGTGTCCGCAAAGGGAAGGGCCGGCTCAGGAACCACTTTAGAGAAAAAACTGGTGAAAAAGGAACTAAGGGTATCAATTGTTTTGCATGCTGCTTGTCAAGAATGAGGCTTGCCAAGGCTTCGAATAGCACATAAAAGTTGTCAAACACACCTATGCGCTGGAGGATTGCGTTAGGTTGATATCTGCCCTCACCTTCACGTATTTCAAGAGTTCTTGCATGCCTCATAACCATTGAAATCGCTCTTATATTCTGGACGTTCAGAGCAATCGAGTCTGATGGGTTGCTCTCCCTCTGCTTCCTTGGATAGACTGAGGGGTTGGGTATGTAGACAGGGTTTGCACATAGAAATGTAGCCTGTGCAGACAAAACCAACGTAGGGTGCCACTTTTCGCCGTCGTAAACGGCGGGTCATATCCTAGGCTTACAACGAGTCCACATCGTCTCATGCACCTACCTAATATTCTAGAGCTAGAATATGCCCTTCCTTCCCCTTTCGATCCTGAATATTTAGCGAGCTTTATTTAGTCCCTAGCCCACTCGGCTACCTAGATCGTAAGATTGATGCTTCAGGCTTAAGAAAAGACACTAGAAAATGCAAATCAATATGTAAGGTATTAGAAAGCTTAATATACGCTAGTCTGCTACTCCAATGTTGAGAAGTTGGCATAACTTCTTTGAAGCTCGATGTTTTGCTTTCTTTTTACTACTGGCCTCGCCAGAAACCTTTTTTCCACGGTACTTAATTTCGCATCTGAACTTGGCTGGATCAGCGCAGATGGCGGTTTCCGTGTAGATTGGCACAGAAGCCTTGCCTGCTGTAAGCTCGTGTAACGTCGCCGTATACCGCCAAATTTCCCCCTCGGTTTCCTCCGACGCTGAGTCTTCACTGGTAGAGTCTTGTTGCACCAAGATGCCTGAATCCGCGTTCGTACCGATGCTATTGTTGATCTGAAAGGTATCTGAGCTGTGGCATTGTGAGCTTTGCATAATGGCTTGAGGTAGAGCGCCTCGCTCTTCTGGCATTCCACGGCACAAGATAGACCCTATCCAGCCCAGAAGAGTTGACCTAAAGTTGACAGGATGAGCAAATCGGCCGGGATCAGACGGTTGGTACTGTCGGACCCCTCTAGCTTTTAGCTCTCCACAGCAGATGTCATAGCGAAAATGAGCAAGGCTTTGTATCAGTCTTCCCTAGAATTATTGTTAACGACAACCTGGCTTTCTACCTGTAGTGACACTAGACATACGTTCAGGGAGGTAACTCCGTCACTCACAGAAGTATTTTTAAGTGAAATCTGAGCCAACGTATACTCGAGATATTTGTCTCCAAGCCATTCGTCTCTGGAAGTAGCCTCGGAGGAGATATAGAGCGATATTTTATTGACCAAATTGTCGGCAGGCAGCTCCGAGGCCGGCATTTCTAGATGGCTTTCGTAGTTGTTGACTAGAAGTGATGGAGACACCACCGACTTCTCTCTGACTTCGACCTTAGTTCGAGACGTAGGGAAAGAACAGATTTTAGCGAGGAGAAAGCGGAACATTTAAGTAACCGCAGCCTGACTGAAAATTTAGACTGTTGGCTCCGTAGAGCATAGATCGCATTTTTCTAATCTCATCGTGGAGATTATATCATAATGTATCTAGCAGATCATTGTCGGACATCGTAACTGTTCAAACTTGAATGCGTTTGCGATTCTGAACCAATGAAGGTTGCATATTGAGTCGGCCGGTGAGCAGAAAGACACTCTAACGTTGAGGCGTGAAATGGCACAGTAGAAGTAGTGGAAAGCAAAATTCCCTCAACATTGCATATGAGAGCGCATTGCCTTATGCAAGTTCGTGCATTTGGCCTCGCAGTAGACGAGATGGTCAGCAAGCAATCCTAAGATCAGATCACCGTATGCGGGGATTCGAACCTCGTTTCAAGGTTGCTGCTCTTGTGAGGCTAACCGGTGTAGTAGAGATGCAAAACGGCTTTCGATCATGGTACATGAACAGTCATGGCCAATCTCTGCATCCAAGACTTGGCAGATAAGCGCGCCACGAAAGTTGACGCTCCCCCCAGGTTGTCTACGCTTGTCAATGACAGGCGGATACAAACAGCCAGCATCAGAACTTGCTTAGCAAATGTTTGCCCTATCTCTTGATTTATTTGTTACAACAAATGCACCGTTTTGCTGACGAGTGATCCTTCTCAACCGGTTGGGAACCAGGGTGTTGTTCGTCCAAATACTCGGATAAATTTTCTTCACACCTTCCCTAGGCAAGCGCAGATGGTCCTCCGGGCATACAATTTCTAGGAGCCCCCCGATTATATGTCAAAAATTAGAAATTATAGCATAGAGAAAATTACCTAAAACTAAGCCAAACCGGTCCAATACTAGTTCAAAGTGACTCAGAACTGGTATAGAACTGGTATGGCACCTATTGGGTAGGTACCTTAGTATCTCGTACTTATTAGCAACGTCTATCTGGATCTCAAGGTCAATTGTGAAAACAGGCAACTGCATCAGGAAGAACAAAGGCAAGGCGGGCACGACTGCGTTGTGACTCGTCGGCTGTACCTAGTTTCTATTTCGCTGTCAATCATTACAAAAGGGTAGCCTCAGGCTTGCAATAAGCTGAGGCTGTGTTTTGTGGGCACCCAGTAGGGTTATCCAATCTATTGAAGGTCAATAGTAGACATAGTCATACTTCTTTGACCTTTAAGAGAAGATTAGCGGGAACTCAAAAGTACTTGGGTGGGTCAAGGGCTTGCCATCGACCTCACTTGGGAAACCCAATCTTGTGGGTTCATTGCAGCCTCTATCTATTCCAACCGCACCATCATGAAACCCCTCGGAAAGCTGAGGTTTATCATGGTCTTGGTTGGGAAAAACGCAGAAGCTAGAAAGGGACCGAAGCTGGCTCCGTAAAATTATTACTGAGCACTCCCTGAGCAGTATGTTGAGCCCCTAACCTTAACCCCATAGTAATGGGCTACACTTGCCCCAAAGCTGGGCATTGATGACCGACTCTCTGAACACTTGGCACTAGTGGTAGAAGTTTTCTCCGCTATGAATAGGAAGTCAGGCCAATTCAGAAATCCATTTCTTAGAGGATGGTCGCAACAACATAGTCAAGAGCAGAGATCGTCAGTAGGTGCGACGAAATCCCACCTCAAAATCTTGTATTTCATACGCCGTATGGAAACAATATCCTTCGACTCTCCCAAAGTGTGGCCGGCGAATTTGACTAGGGGCTGACCAAGTACAAGACACGCAGTCAACAGAACGCAGACCAAATTTTGGATCATATTTAGTTCGAATGCCAAAGTTCTACGATTTCTTCGAAGATTGGTGGGGACGTGGTGACCCCTTTATGGAATTCATGGTGGGTTAATTGTAAGAATCGATCACCGATGCCTGGCAGCTTCATGCCTTATCCCGAATCCTCTATTATCCTGCCACGCTTAGGTCTCAGACTCCATGACCATTAGGTGGGGGACCATCTCCTGCTTTTCTTTCCGGTAAATCAGATCTTTATACACTTGGGACTGTCAAATAGATCGAGCTATAGTACAATATTCGATATCTTATTCTATATGCGACCCTTTCGTTTCAAGGTTCGAAACTGGTGCTATGTCACCTCGACTTGTTAGCGAGAAACATCTTTTGGCTCCCAGATCAACCACCTTGTGCACTGGACTGGCCTCGGCGGGCTAATACCCAAGGATGTTCGAATCCTGCACTCAACGTATCCGAACAAGGCTAGAAAAATGTGGTTATATTCTCGACATTCCTATCCGAAGGCGAGGAGGAACGAGTCTCACCGAGTTTGAAAGCTTGGGTAAATGCTCAACCTATCTATTTATAAGTCCACTTGGCTTCACCGGGAACTCGTCCAACCTTCTTTAGTACAGAGGCCGAAGAACGCGGAAATCCCCGTAGATGCTTGTAGAGGCCGAATGCTGATGATAGTGCTTGCTCTCTGGCAATTTGCCACCGATATAGCCAGGCTTTTCTGCCATGGTAAGTCGAACGGACTGTCCATCGTGAAGTAGAAGAAATGTAGACTAATGGTTGTCTCTCTTGTTTGGTCCTGCAACGCAAGCGGTGTGTACAGCGACTCGTACTGTCTTGACGGCACGAGTATCACGCTTCCCCTCTTTGAGGGTTTAGACTGCTAAATAGATATTACGAGTAAAAATCAATAATCCTGGGAACTCCCGTACTGCTGAGAACAAAAGGACCAGCTAGGTATATCACTTCAGCCCACACAGCCAATCCAGTCTCCTCAGGGCGGTGTCAAGTTGCATGTTAGCTCCTCGCACACACTGTTCTTACGCTATTTGCGGTACCACTGGCAAGAATCTTTCAACTGGTGTCCACAACCACCCTTTCGCAGTGAGATTACGATGTACCGACCGCTACTGATGCCGCAGTGACTGGTGCGCATGTTTTCATTGCAAAGTACGAACTATGTGTCCAAGCAAGACAGAAGACTACTACCTTGGTACATCGGCAATCAGCATGTGCCCTGATGTTAATTAGATTACTTACGCCAGCTAGTAACGAGGAAAACAGTCTATTCTACTGGGAAAGTCCGATTGAGTAATGTATTGCACGACTAATAAGGATAACTCCAATTACCATGTCAATCTCTCTAAAGCATTTTCAGAATTCGACTTAATAGGTCACCAGAGCTGGCTATGTGCCCAAGGCTGAACCGATGCTTGTGCTGACTCTCTTCTTCCTATAAATGCGTCTCATTGTTGAAGCCTAGAATTACTTTGCTTTACATCGGGTTCTCTCCACAAAACCTGGCAGGTTTCATCGACTGCACACTAATCTTACATCATTTCTCAGCTAACCCGCAAACAAGAGTCTTCGATATGTACCTATTAAGTTTTGACGTTGACGGTCAGCTTGGCTTGACGTAATTTCCTAGGCTTAAAGCCCTAGCCTATACGGTGCTCTCATATACCGGGGCAGCTCTAAACCAAGAAGTCACTTTTAGAGATATATTAGAGAATTCTGTTAGGGTTAAGGACGAATATTAAAAGATCGATTTTTGTGGAAGATAAGCACATATAAATAGCCTGAAGTACTTCTAGATTAACAGTAGTTATATTGATGAGTCGAGTAGTGCAGAGCTCTTAGAAGCTATCAACTCTATATTTAGATAGTATCGGAATACCAAGAAGTACTACGTATATCTCATAGATATTTCTATGACTATAGAGGATGAACGCGACTCGTGGGAGTCGGCGCTCAGTAAAAGACGGTGGTTCATAGAGGGATGGACCCTATAGGAACCCCTGGCTCCGCGAGTTGTCGAATTCTTCTCTAGAGAAGGTCAAAAGCTTGGCAACAAGGACTCCTTAGCAAAACTTGGGCATCGGAGCGCCAGACAACAGAACCGGAGGACAAAGCTTACTCGCTCCTAGTATTTCCGAGGTTTTCATTGCCCCATTGTACGGTGAGGAAGAGAAGCATGCGCTTTCTCGGCTGCGGAAGGCTATCGAGGAAGAAGGTGAGATACTATGTGGTCTTCATGACTGAATATAGGCTCAATTAGTTTGCTTACTAGCGGCATCTAGAAGCAAGCAACCCTACACTATGAAAAAGCCTGCTCTAGGTACCACAAATGCCGTCAAAATGACGGTGCCAAAAGACCGGACCGCCGACCACATTTTATATGTGAATATGGGCGGACCTAACTTGCCGGCCATCATACAGAAGATAACAGATGCTGAGCTAAGAAAAATAGGAGGGAAATGGCAAGCCATCTTTCTAAACGGCTCTACTATAATACCGTTCCCCATGATGCAAATTAAGGGCATCAATGATGTGGGGATTGAAAATCTGTTCCCTAAGGAGAATGACGGCATTGTGTGTGGGCTGAGGATAAGTAATTTATCCAGGAAAGAAAAGGCAGGAGAACTCCTTCTCCGTTCATGTGTGTCGTTATTGTCCCGGCCGACTTGGAATCCAATGTCATCATGGAGCTGACACTGGGTTGCGATCTGGGGACTAGGATTGCGATACAAACTATACGCTGACAATTGACAAAGCCGCAGAGCTATGTGGGGGCGAGTGAGGTCGAACTAAATGTTGAGGAGACTCAGCGTCCCTACCGTAAGCCAGAAAAACACACCTCTCGAGCTTTGAGTCTCTGTTTGATAGCTTACTTGTGATTATGGATACAGAATTCGCCGAGGGTTTGTCCCTCGGCTCGTCCTGGATTTAAAGGCTGTTGTGTAAGCTGGAGGGGGAGGTGGGTGGAGGGGGAAAAAAATCAAGCCCCGGGAGGACGAAAGAGCGCGATGGGTGTGTAGCGAGATTTCCATGCGTCCTGCCTTTCAGAAAAGGCTAGACCATAAGTGCTCTTATGCCCGGGGTTCGATAAATTAGTTGGAAGATTTCGCGTCGGAGTAGTTTTGATTGACGATGGCCCTTTGCAACGGAAAGGACCTAGCGACCCTGGAGGTTCAGTGGACGTTGCACCGCCAGTCATCAACTCGACCTGCTCCCTCTGCTCAAAGAGCGATTGACTATGCTCATATTCCTATCGAACCTAAATAAAGCACCTCAGAATTCTGAGGTCTGCGCCTCTGAGGTGTCACACAAAGATACAAGGGACCCATGACCTGGCTTTATGCAACCGGTTAAACCAGCAGTGAGAGTGGGTAGAAAGCTGGGCAAGCCCACAGGGAACAACTGCCTTAAATTCTATCCGCAGAAGGCCGTTCGGGGTCCAGGGCCACTTCGGACTCAGATGCTCCTGCCAGCTATTTCCTCAGGTCGCACTTCAAAAAGGGAAGCAACAAGGGCTGCAAACTGGTCCGATTCTAAAGAAGCCCCTATTTACCAAGTAACCCGAGGCAGCATTTTCGTTTCTATTACTAAGCACATTTTCAGTGCAATACTGGGTGAAAACCTCATTTGCTTCAGCCAAGCATACAGCCTACAGACATGGCTCCTTCATTTGTGTGGTGATGCTCCCACCTAATATTGCTGGCGTGAATGGGGTGTCGTTAACTGAGAGTGAAGGAGCCAGACTGAGATGACCTTCACGAACTCTCCTTAACTCTATCACATATAACTGCGCAAGCACCTGTGGAAGAGCTATGTTTTAATCAAAGTTTTGCTCTTAATATTGTTTGTAATGAGTCCTAATACAGAGCAAACCATGGTTGAACGTGCCAAGGTTTTACCGACTTGCCGACTCTTCTCGCTCGCCAAGTGTAGACTCCATTAGCTTAAGCTGGCTAACATCGTCGCCTTCATCATCTTCACTGGCATCGATATTGATCGATCCAGAATCCAATACTGCAGAAACCGTAGCTTTGAACCTCTGTTTTGTGAGGGGATTGGTGACAACCAGGAGCCCGAATGAGCCCCTGCAAGGGACACAATCCAGCTCCTGGAACGATCGATTATATCGTCCTCCCTCCATGGCAGCTGACATCTGTTTCAGCTAAGCCTCAGCAAAACTTGGCCAAATCCCTGCCCCTACATCCTGTGGCTTCCTTCTGTCGAGGTGTAATGCAGAATGTGTGGCTCCGGAAACCTTTGGCGACAAAATTATACCATTCTATCCATGTTAATGGCGCATGATCGCTGTGTCTGCCTTCTAGCAAATTATCCCCATTGTCCCCACTTCAGACCATACTCTGTACTGTAGATTTGGGGGATTGCCCAAGGTGTAGTGCGTGAGTGTTCACAAGAAGCAAGGACGTGGCTGAAACTGAAGTGGGCTCGTGGTCACAACTCGTCACGTTGGGGCCGAAACTGGATAACGCAATGTCTCTCCCCTGCTAGAAGGTTTCTCGGCACGTACGGAGTACGTATTGGCGGCCGCTTATGGAGGGGAGCCTCCCGATGGGCCTATAGCACCGAAACGATCATGACGCGTTCCACTCTTGCTGCAAACCTACAGGGCAAAGTTAACGACGCTGGCACTGTAGCCGCTCGGCAAGCGCCGCAGGAACGTTGAACACTTCCACTTTCACTTTCCAGCTGCTTTTTCCCTTGAAACCGGGGATAGCCTGGCGCATCCTTGTCCAATGTCGAACGGCCTTGATTCACCAGCTCGTATCCGGTACTGGCAGCCGAGGAGAGCAGGCTCGATTAGCCTACGCAGTCGCATTGACATGACGACCCAGACGGTCTACCTGCGCCTTAGTGGCATCTTAGATTTCATCCACGCCAACCTTGTACACGACCAGGGGACCAACGGACCTTACGCCCGATATCAAGTACCCAGCCTCCTTCATGTCTTGGTTCTCTCTCTTGCATGAGTTCATGCACCGTATCTTCGCTCTGTATTTCGACACCCCGGGGCCGAAACACTTCGCGTAAGGTCGAAACGGCGTTATATTAAAGTGCTTGCCCTTCAAGTCATTGGGCCAGTATTTTTCTGCAAATAACGTTGCAAAGTCCCTCCTAGTTTTAAGTGTCAGGGCCACAAATATTCGAGTTCTAACTTTACCTAGGGAAATTATTTGAAACTCCTCTCGATAGTATCAACATCAAGGAGGGATCATTGAGCGAATATTACTTGCAGAAGTCAACGGATCAGGGCAGGGCATCAGAGAAGGGTCAAGAATGTACAGCGAAGAATTGGCTTCGCCACTTGCATTTGAGTGAGATGATGAGACAACTTAACCTCGACAAAATACCACAACCCTGCACTCAACACCTAGCTCGAGGTCTTCTCAACCAACAACGACAATTGAATATCCGCCACCAGACTATTCAGAAGTCAATTCAGCTGCACCAGCGGACATATTGGTTGAGCACTCAACCGACCAACCGCAAGAGTTACCACTGCCGTCAAATTTCGCAGACGGCGTTTCCATATCGGAATTTTCGCAGCCCTACGTCAAAGAGGCTCGAAGTGATTTGCTTTCAGTCGATATACCAATCGTTCAAGCTATGCAAAAAGATATAATGGTGGTGCCTCTACACAGCGACGTCCCTATTGGGCAGAATGTCGGCACCACATCTGCTTCGCTTACAACCGTATTTGGCTCCAGGAAACAAGCTGGAAATATCAAGCCAGATCGTGAGTCTAATAATATCTGTCCGTATGATATTAGATCGTGGCGCTTCGGAATACCGATCGCAAATGCTGAGACAGGAGCTCCAGATATCTGCTGGTGCAAGCAGTGTTTCCAGTCCGGACCCCTTCTCGACAACCGGATTTGCTTCGGCACTAGCGACGGTTACGTTGAAGTGTGGACTGACAAGCCCAAAGCGTCCATATTCTCGTCGTCTCCATCCTTCTGCTTCTGCAGGACGATACCCTTTTACGTAGAAACTGTGACGAAATATGACTTCTACAAAGCTAATCCGCAAAATCTGAGAGATAACTCACCGAGAAGACAATACCTTCTCAATTGTCGGAGCTTCTACATATTGAGCACTAAAGATAGCAGATTCAGGAAAATTGACTCAGGAAGCGCGCAGATATGTTCAAAAGGTTCCCTCCAAACCCCACCATCGGGCCACCTGCGCCAGTCGTCCGCGCCAGAGAATAACGCCCACCTACTGGGAGAAGATTCCCAATCCGCCAAGAGAGCCAATCATGTTACACTCGGAATTCCTGATCCACCTAAGATCAGTTCTGATGTTAGCTGTCTGACGCCGGAATCTAAGCCTGCTCAATTTAATGTTTCGATCAATCCGAAACCACCAGTTCTGCCGAAGGAAATGTGTTGGTGCGGGGATTTCTGCTGGGTGACAAAAGTGAGGAGAGCACGTACAGATCAGAGCGCCATCAGACTCGCATGTCGATCTGGGACCGAGATTGGACATCGCGTCTTCTTCTCTAGCACTGGCGGTGAGATCGAGGTATGGACTGACCTACCGAAGCCAAAGAATGCTTTCACAGGGGTCGAAAAGCCTACCTGCAAAATGGCGCCACGACACATATCCAGAGTCGTCAAGGTCGATATGTACACAGACAGGCTAACCCAATCTGCTCCAAAGAGAGTGCACCTCCTTAACTGCCGGGAGTCCGCGAACTACTCCACTTTGATTTTCGAGAGGAGTAGTGCTTGGAATGGCAGTACGACCTTTTTAGTCAAGGAGGATACGATGGGGAAAGATGATGTTTCAGCCCTTAAAGACTGTGGCCTTCATGAGGAAGGAGGCCGACTGACAACGAGTTCCAGCAGGAGGGAGGAAAGTCCCAATTTTCTCAGTTCCGGGCTGCTTCAACCTCCGCAAATTGGTCACCAACGACGGTCCTCGGCTCCTGAAACACTAGGGAACAAGACCGAGCCACCTACCCAAAGTTCAAGAGCGAAGTATTATCGCCTTGCAAATGGGAAAATTGTTATTTTGAGGATGCCTCCAGGAGACATCTCAAGTCCCCACATCTAAATGATTGAACTTCTTTTCCGCTCTTTTTCGGCCGACCAACCCATCATTGTCGTTGGTGTCATTGTCGTTGGTGTCATTGGGACAGCTGCATGGACCTGCTTGAACACTGCCACATCCATAATCAGCTTTAACAGCCATATAAAGAGGCTATCTATTAATTGAGAACGAGGCGTGAGCGCATTATATCGAAGTAGATAGGTCATTTTACTGGACTACATATGTCTTGGTCGAATGATAGTTTCAGTCTGAACCATAGAAAGTCTGAAAGTCGACCGCGCATGTCAACTTACAAGCATTGCCCTTAAAATAAGCAAACAAATTCTACAGTTTCAAGGTATGTACCATTTGCTCTGCCATTCACAGTGCCAAAGGAACCCAATTCATATTGCCGATAGTCGGAGACTTACAGCGATTGGTTTCTGATTGGACCTTAGAAACGTACCATTTCTCTGTGACCCAGCCTGACGACAACTGTCACTATTGACACCTTCTGCGATCAACTTGGCGAATTCTCTCGCGGCCTCTAGCTGGCCATTCTCGATGTACCATTCGTGATCGACCATCAGCTTGAAGCCCTGCCTTGGCTGCATGGCCCTTGGCTTCTGATTGGTACCACTTACGTACCATCTGGCTTGCGCCTTACTCCATGTAGCTAGCGTTGCATTTGGCACATAACAATCTCTCCTCTCTCAGCCTAAAGTCTGAAGGCAATAATGATGACTGTCTCCTTCCTTAGCAACACCCTCCTTGAATTGAGAGGATAGAAAGATAACTTACTCTACCTCCACAGACCCTATCTTGTATTGAGATCATTGAAAATGGCCGATCAACCTCAAAACCAACCAACTCGGCAGTCTCTCACTTCGAGAGCACGTCGCATCAGAGACGAAGAATGGGAACTGCCGTCGCCCACAAATTGAAAAGCTTTATAGAGAGGAACGCTGCTCAAAAAAAGGAAGCGATTGGAAAACTCAACCAGAATGTATTTCCCGTCACGTAAGTACATTCTCTGCCTGCACTAATCTCCGACAAGGCTGAGGGCCTTTGTCAGCCTCCAAAGGCAGCTCAAACACATACCGAAGTGGGAGGCCAAAAGAAAATCGATAGCTCCTCAGACATGCAAACCATGCTATCGGTCAAAGGCAGCGTGAAGAAGACGGGAAGACAACCGACTTCCTTTCTCGTGGACATCTTGTGGATGAAGCGAAATTGCGGCGGGCAGAGAAGAGACTCAAACTTCCAATATTGCCTGGTTCTGGTGAGTTATGTCTCTCATACCTCTCCGGTGAATAGCGTATGCTCATGTACATTCAATGACAGGGCTTCCATCGTACATTGAAGTTATAAGTCCGAAGTCATCCAGCCAAGGTCCTTCCCAAAGTCGAGCCATCCGTCGAACTAGCCCTGGCTGATAGCCCCTTCTCAGAACCGAACGGTCAAAAAACATCCTGGGAAATCTCCTCTGGAAATTTATACTCCACAATGACTGATCAACAAGGTATCCTCTCTAGAGGCACTGTTGCATGCGACCCGGATCTTGGAACGTTTCTCTATATAATGGGCGAGAATAGCCAGATCTGGCATGCTAGTGTTATGCAGGTGAACCATGCTCAAGAAGTAGCCCCTATTCATCCTCATGAATCATTCCCTTCCATCACTGATAACGATTATGACCAGTCCTTATCCATTCAGGCACTAGGGAATAATGTCCATTCGCTTACGGACGAACGGCCCACTTCTGCCAACTCCGGCTCCAAACTGGGTGATTGCTTCGCGACTTAATACTGCTTTTGATGTCGATCTAGTCAATCCGCGATGTGCCCACTAATCTCTCTCTAGGCATGAACTTGAGCCTATGTCTCTGTCAAGCAGAATCATCTTCTACGGTACAGACTCAGAGAATATTCTACAGCCAGTGCAAATGATGAGGAAGCTGTTCAATCGCCTTCAAGATGACAAATCTCGAAAGACGCATATGTCATGGTGTGCTGCGTCGGAGAGGGAGTGGCGTGAAATTATAACAAGTGAGGCTTTACTTTCCGACATAGATGAGATTGCAACTTGGGCCTATTAGGCTTCCGGAGTTATGGTCCGTCAGCAGAGAGCAGTTCGCCAGCTCTCCAGTAATGACACGCGAACATTTCCGCAAAGATGTGATAGGTACAATGAACAGATGTCACAACTCGATGTCCAGAGTATATCAACCGAGAGCAAAGCTGCACGGCTGAATAGTAGGGTCACCAAATACTGCCACGTTCCTACTCGTTGTACCACCAGGGGAGTTCTCCAAGTGTAGTTACGTCAAGCTCCAAAAAGGGCCTCAAAGGGTGACCAAAATGATTCGCCAACCATTATCGCCATTTATGTCGTTCCACAGGTCAGACAGAATGCAGAAACCGGTATTTACGTGACTATGTCAGACATTCCTGAAAGTCCTCGAGACATTCCAATTTATTCTACAATCCGAGCATTTAATGTCGTTCCCCAGAACTCCGAAATTATCCAGTGTGTCACGGTGAATGATCTCAAGGGCGTGAGAAGGCTCATTGAGCAAAAGAAGGCTTCTCCCCGGGATGTTGATCCAGAAGGCACCTCACTCCTCTCTGTAAGTTTCACATCCCTTCCACAATTGCTTTGGGCTACATTTGACAGTGAAAACAGTATGCAATCTATTCGGGTTGTACGGAGATTTTCCGCTTGCTACTAGAAGGGGGAGCAAGTACAGACCAGCGGAGAGTGCACGAGATCCCACCCGTCGATGTTATTACCATGTAGGATAACTGACCAAGTCCACAATTTGGGAAAAGAATGTGGTCTTGTTGACGCTATCTGGTACTCGTACATTCGTATGGTGACGAAACGAAACTAGGTGGGACTGTGCAAGACTTTAGATTAAAGGGTATTGCCGACACCGATCAGCGTCGTTTAATGACAGAGCTTGCTATCGGAACTGGATGTCTTGCCGAGGAGTCCATACTGCTCACGAGGTGGCCATCACCGATTTCTTGCTATGCGAGATTCCGAAGCCGAATGACAAAAGAAACAAGGTTACAAATTCTTTATAAGAGCTTATACGTGCCGGATACGACAAAGAGGCTCAAAACCGACATGGAAAAACGCCTCTGCTTAGCGTCGTCATTGCCCTTGGGCGGCCATCCTTGAAAGTAATGGAAGTATTATTGGCCGAAAACACCAATATTCATGCCATTCATGGTCGTGGGCGAGGGGCTCTTCATCTTTGCCTCTCATTCTCTGAAAGTCTTCGAAATAGCTTTCAGAATGTTCCATCTTGGTGCACAATGCCCCATTTGTAGCCGATCTGCTCACGGGTGAGGACGCTTCCAAAAATGAAGCTTTGTCGGGGGTGACTGCAGTGCACAAAAAAAGCGGCCGCAAGGGAACGAGGGAGATCATGTCAGTGATGATAGAAACGAGGAGTTTCTCATAGGGGACTCCCGTGCGATGGACTCTCCGAGAGTACTTATACGAATTCTACCGTCTATGACATTAATGGTCTCTTGGAAGCCACTGACGAGACTCAAAGGTTGACAGGGTGCTATTGGTGCACTCGCAGCCCCAAGCACGACTCCTTCGACACTTCCAACAGTGACCTGGGGATATTGTTCTACTGTGAAGATAGGGACGTTGACGACTTCAAGGTGCCAGAGATGCCAGATGCGGAGCCTGAGCCGTGGATGTGCAAAGCAGCAGTGCGGCTCAAGCTCCTTGTGTTGCTGAAGGCAGGATGCTGCCCAAATGTTCTCGACAATGAGCGGCTTTCTCCAAGCGATTACGCGGAGCGGGAAGGACTATGGCCTTAATGGGAGTGGGGGGAAGCCACTCTTCCACAGTGGCTTCCAGTATCACAAGGACAGCGATTCATGGGTTCGGGAATCTTGAAGATTTTATGGCAGCCTGTCTTTTTGTATCTGTCCTGTAGCCTGATTTGGAGTGATTGTGTTGAGATCAGTTCATAGAGTCTTTGGAACTTTATTACTGAGAGGCATCATGGCGAGAAAATGATGGGATGAATGAGATATCCTACCACTGGGCATGCTGGCCCATTTTGTTCACTGGATCGCTGAGAATTTTGCTGGGAATGAGAACGTCAGTTACTTCGTTCGTGCTCAATCAATTAATTTTGATACTAATGAGAACCCAAAGGATCACTGCCTTGTCTATATTCAATTCCTGTTTAGATCGCCGAGGCTGGTTATCCAGGGGACGGCTCCCCAGCTCTCCGACCATCCAGCCCCTAGCCAACCCCTCACCATAATTTACCAAGTACACATTTGAGTCATAATCAATCTCCAACTTAAGAAAACCAATTCCCACCTACCAGTAACCGAGACCCCTGGGGTTGACTCATAATGACCACGACTATCAGGGGTTGCGCAAATGCATTGCACTTTTGGCATTATACAACAACTCTTATTTCAAAATGTTGGCACGGACACGCATGGCCCATTTGTTATTGTGTTCAGCTATTCTCTACCACAGCTGATGCCGCACCAAGGCTCGACTTGCGGGGGGTTCACAGTTGGCAAAGAAATTCGAACAGCCAGCACGCAAAGGCTTGAGACGTGATAGAGTCAGGCACAGGTTTCAAATATCTGGGCTTGTACGAAACCCTTCCATCTAGGCTCAGCCAAAGTCCATGTGGCCCGAGGCCGCACCACGTATCAAAGCAAGAAGCAAGTAGTTCCCCTGCAAGGCAATCATCAACATGCCTTCACAAGCGCCAACACCCTCACCACCACCACCACCACCACCACCACCACCACAGCCAGGAGCGCGGATCGAAATAAAGGGCGTGACATCCGTAGCCGACATCCCAGCACTATCCAAGATCAGCAAACTGGCGTTAGAGAATGATCCCATGTGGGAGTTCCGCGCTCGATGCGGTGCCCCGTCGATCTACGACCATGCTATGCAGAAGCTGACCGCGGCGATCAACAACCCTGCGCGATTCACGGTGTTCAAGGCTGTAGTGGTCCCCAGCAGTGTAGGAGCGGGCGAGGTGGACCAACAAAGTGAAATCATCGTCGGATATTCACAGTGGATGCTGGGCTATCTGGAGACCCCCAAGATGGATCCATTCGCGCCGGAGGAGAAGCCTGCGGGCTCGGGCTCGGGCAGTGCCAATGCCAATGCCGCCTTTGAAGCCAGTATACCAAGCGTTGGGGCTTCTGAAGCGAAGGAGAAACAGACAGGTGGTCTGGATGCTGCTCTGGAAGCCATTGCCTCGAATGACAATCATGCATTTCAGAAGTCGAAGCCCTTCTACTCGAATCCCGACCACGAGGTTTCCCGGAAAATGGGCAACGCGTATATCCGCGCCATCAGGGGTAAAAGGCATCTATGTAAGTAGATTTTACCGTCTCCTAATACCCATCCTCGTGTCAACAGAGCGTGGGCGCCGGACTCACTGATTGACTGGCTCATGATTCGTATACAGGTCTCCACGGACTGATCGTTCACCCCGCCTACCAACGCCAGGGCATCGGGCAGAAGCTGTTAGATTGGGGAATCGAGACCGCCGATCGGGAGAATGTGGTGAGTTGGCTGTTCGCGCGGCCTGCTGGTTCGAAGTTGTATGAGAGAAATGGCTGGGCGGTAAATACTGTGATTGAGTTCGAGGTCTTGGGTGGGAGCCTTCATGTACAGCCCACCGTGGCGATGTTGAGGCCCCCGAGGGTGGCGGGGAATAAGGAGTATTTGCGATATTGAATCTAGTGCGACATATGCTTCTTGTGGGCACGATGGTGAGGTGTGCGGACTTGTTCAATGTCACCCTGGTGGATTCGAGCTCGCTCTTGTTGATGTTGTTGAGTAGCACCTTCACGGTTCGTTGTCTGCTCTTCGCACTGTCGATGAGATTCTTCGTGCGCATTTCAGCCTTGCGCCCGGCGCGGACCGTAAAGTGGCAAGCCCCGCTCCACACGACCCACTTGTTGAATACCTCAAAGAATCGTGTGAAGTCATTGCTCGGCCCGGTTCCAAAGACATCGGCAGCCTGCTATAGACTTGCTTGTCATAAGCACATCTTCTGGTTGGCGAAATGGGGGCTATTAGATCTACAGTTTGGCGTGTTCCATGCGACAAACCCAAATGCCCGGAGCATCAGCTCCCTTGAGGGTTCTGGAGGTTATGTTGTGAATTTCTCTGTCGAGTTAGTCGTTGGCAAGATGTTTCTAGAATTGAATAATTGGCGACTTGACAGCCTAAACCCGTGCTTCTTTCAGTGGACTTACCTTTTTCTCATTGATTTCGATACCATACAGTAATCTCTTTCTGCCTTACCAGCGGCAAAGAGGAATTATCTCGGTGAGAATCAGATAGCTTGCTTATGCTCAAGAGATGGATGGAAGTAGCTCCTGGCGCCACCAGACGTAGCGGGACTTTGTACATTCTGCCAGATATCCCGTCTCGCGTACCCAAAAATAGGGGTTGACGCGTATCAAGGCCCAAGGCGTCGTGACGAAAAGCGCGTGTCTTCCACGGAAAGCCACACTTTGACACGAGTGCCCCGCGAAAGTGACGTGATAGGACTTCGTCACCTCGTGACCTCCCTCGGTCATCAGGAGAGGATTTTCCAGTAAATCACGCACTCACTGCCTACGTAGGCAGGTGCCCATCGAAGGTTCTAGGGATGGTTCTCAAAATACTCATACAGTACTCGTACTTGGTCCAGCCTGGATCCTTCTAACCTAAGTCGACAATACCTGACAGGACCTGACCGGCCAGGCATCACGTTGAAACTCACCTAGAATAGAATGAGTGACCGATCCCTCCAAACACAATGTTTCTTGCCCTCCCCTCCCCTCCCTGATGAGCCCTGAAAATAGAACCGCCCAAAGTCTCCTTTCACGATTTACAATCGCCCTATCTGGCTACGCGCTGGCTCAGGTTTCACGTTTGATTACGTAGATTTGTCTGGGGGCCGTGGCGTGGGCTCGAAACCGGAGGAAACAGGTAGAACCATTTTGTCGTGCATAAACGAACAGGTGGTCGTGATCCTGGCCCACCACGACATAAGACGTCGGTAGTCGGAGGACCAAAGGTCACGGGAACGAGACACGGAGTTTGAATGCACTTCCATTAGGATAGAGGTTCCCCGTACGTACTGACAAGACACTTCAAGGCTACGGAGAAGCAAACGACTCCCAAGTTCCACCTTCAAGGGCTTGCTTGAAGCTTTGAATGATCCGCCGTACACAGCAACATCAAGGATAAGTCATCGAATCAGCCTTGGCCCCCACCCTTCAGGGTGTGGCTGAGCGCACCGCGAAGTGGAGCAAACCGCAAAACGTATCGTAGGCTCGCACAACAGTGCAAACAGCGTGGGGCGCGCTTGCAAACCTAATGGCATGCTAGATGTCTCATGGAGAGGTTCATGAAAACAAGGACAGCAAAGGTTATCTCCAAAAAGCGTACCGCAAATAGAGAGGGACGCCAAACATGGAAAGCAAAAAATAGAAAAATTAGACCTCCCGCAATGTACGAGTAGCTGTCCAAAGAAGCACCCAAAACAGGGATCCCAGGAACCTGGGGGGGTGTGGCCGAAGAGCATCGGGTGCCGGGTGCCGAGAGTGCGAGGGTGCGGGACGATGCGGGCGGGAACCAAAGGCCGCGGCCGCGAACGAATGAGACGGACGGAGGCACCCGAACGAAAGAAGGCCTTCAAGGTGGTGATGGCTGATGATCCAACGGCAGACATCAGGTGGTCAGGGGGTCAGGTGGTCAGGTGTCGCCTGAAGCCTGAGGATCGAGGCAGGGAGGGAGCTAGGCACACGCAGGCAGCATCAGCGATCCAGAACCCCGGGGGAACCAAGAGAGCCCATGTTCAGCTGGGACTGGATTTCCCGAGACCTCCAAGACGGACCTTTTGGCCCCAAACGAGGTGTGGACGTTGCATAGTTTGCTACAGTATGGACAGAGGCAGTCAGTCAATAATGCAGATTGTTGGAGGACCGTTTAGGTATTGTTGCGGAAAATTGTTGAGCCATTCTCAGTAGTAATCCTGTAATGCTGTAATACTATGGAAAATCTTGCTGAGGCCTTCCCTCACTCAACCTTGCACACAGCCTTGGATCACTTTTTGCCTCTCTCGAGGCTCAAGATCCACATTACCAACCGAAACATCTCTCCACCAGAACCACACGGGACCAAAATCCCCTTCGCAAGGGTGCCGCTTCGTCTTACATGCGTGCGATCGCATTTCTCGCATGTTGCCACAAGGGCGGACAAAAGCGGGTGACCCTTTTCCATGCCCATTCCCATTCAGCCTTGCATGTTGTCCTTTTCCCATGAGGATGGTGACGACGATTTCGCAACCCAAGGACAATCAAATGCCATATCCGGCCAGATTGATGACAAAACAACATGACATGAATCCCCCCAGACAACCGAATGCGTAACCCACCAGCCAAAAAGTAACGAGGATGAGGAGTTTCCCCCATCACATCCCCTCACTGTACTGCCTGTAAGCCTGAGCTCGGCTGGATTGCTTCGAGTCGAGCTCTCCTCTTGGTATAATCGGTTCATCGCTAGACCATCCAGTTGAGTAGTGAATGTCGCTCATTCGGCTTGCTAGGACTGTTACAAGCCGGGCATCCTGTTTCGATGCTGGACCATCCACTTGACAGATTTGTACTGTAGCCACTGCCTTGTTTTTTGCTGTTTGTCGTTTGATTTGAATGCATTCATTCATTCATAAAATGGTAACCGTAGACCCGTTCAAACTCTCATAAAATTGCCAGACTCCCCTAAAACGCCGGGTCCTTCACCTCCTGGAAATATATCGTTGTCCCCTTGGCTCGGCAACGATGACTATTGGCTCCTGCTCGTACGGTCGTCGACGTCGCTTCTCCTCCTCATCCTTGTAGTACAAGGATCCCCTGCGCTCGGGATAGATGACAGACTTTGGTCTCTCCTTGCGCTCCGTTCGGTCGGTGTGGTAGGTCTTTTCTTTCTTGCTCTCATATCGGGGACTAGGAACAATCTCGACAATCTCAACGTCCCCCGAGCGGTACCGTCTCTCTTCCGGATATTCCTTCTTTCGAGAGGAATGTTCCTTTCGAGGAGATCGGTCAAGCTTCTCAACCTCGACGTTTTCCACTGGGGCGTGGACGAGTGGCTTCCTGTTGAAGACCATTCCGCGATCGATGGCCTTGACAAGCAGGCTGATGACTTCCATGCCGACTGGGATCTGGATTTGAATGCGTTCTCCACGTTTGCGATCGATGACAGAGTAGGGCTTGCCGCCCTTGGCATAGATGTAGTTGGCAACATCCTTGGCCAAGGCATTTCCTTTGCTGCACAAAGGGAGATCCTGCTTGTAGGCAGCATATGGATCATTGCATGCAGAGCAACGAGAAGCGTGCTTGGCGAAGTAGCTCATGACGGAGTTTTCATCATCCCTTGGTTGACGGATGGACTGAACCTCTGTGGCGAAGCCCACACGTGGAGTAGTCATGCCTCGCGCCATGGTGACTGGTGTTGACGGTGATCTGCTAAGTGGTGTTGAAGTATTGGAGTGAACCAGCGGTGGTGTGGATGGTGGAGTTGTTGACCGCGCTGCAGGAGCACGCGTGATGGTGATATACTCGTAGGCTGGTTCAGCTATATGAGCATCATATGCTCCCTTGGGATAGATGTAGTAAGTGGTGCTGCGTTGAGGCGACAGCGTGACGGTGGTAGCGAGATGGGGTAAACAGGTTGTACGCAGCCTGGGATCCTGCTTGAGTGGTGAAGTCACAATGAGAGTGCCCTGGAGGGAAGGAATGGCTGTCGAATATCAATGTGTGTGAATGTGTATCAAATGGGAGAAGAAGAAGAGTCAATGGGCGGAGGGGATTGGGAAGAGATATAGACCTGAGGCGGAAGGGCCAATGGCATGTATGGTGAGGTCAAGCACGGATGTGCGATTGGAGTTGGGAGGACAGAAGTGCATCTTTTGGTTGGAAGCCTGGAGGGACCCCGGCAACTACGCCTTACCCCAAGGGGACTGGGATACCAGGCTGCAACAGGCATCAGGATGTGGCCAGGTCATTGGACTAGACAAGATGTGGCCGAAGATGGAATGACTGGATGAGAGGGTGAGTCACCAACCGCACTGAGTGGTGGAGGGGGACACAGGCACCGCCCGCTTTTGCACAGAAGGGTGGGTTTGCCGGTCAACAGCCTTGAAGAGCAAGGATAGCAATTGCAAAAGGCCCAATTCACGAACGGGCGATGAATCTGGTAACGATGGCGATGGTGGGACGGACACCGGTACTGCGAAATGCGTAATGCGACCAACTTGGTGGATGAAACAAGAACGAGGTGATGGCAGTGGCAGTGTTTGTCGGAGAGCTCAGGGCTAAGGCGCCTAGGGGCCTCGGGCCTTGTGCCATGGCCACAGGGGAGCTTGGTGTGTACGAGGTACTTAGCAGCCCCCCCTAGTGCTTGTAGCTCGTGCTTCGCCTCATTCACCGGAGAGGGTGTAACTTGGGGAGTGCTGGTGCTGCTTGATGGAGGCCACAAGCACCCGCACACCCATCTAGATAGATAGAGACAACAAGCACCCGCACTCCCACAGACACACGCACAAGCTTGCCTTGCCCCTCCCTGTGTGTTAACCCCTCCCCAAGAGCCACCAAGGCTGAGCAGTCGGTAGGGGCCACGGGGCCACTGATCTCATCCCCCCATCACCCTTCGACCCTCCAAACATTGCGCCCCGTTTGTTAAGCACCCCCCAGGAACCGCGAGTTCCTGGCCCATGAGTGGCCCGCGGCTGGTGATTCTGGCTCAAATGCCCCTCCCGTCTTCTCACACCGGTCACTAACAAGTGAACCTGCATACAACCTGCAGCTGCTCTGACCAGTCGGTGCAGATGGCCCTGCAGGCCACAGTCATCGCAAAAGACTCTTCAACCCTAAACCTGCTGAGAAGTACAGTAGTGACAGACAAGAGTCACTTTCAAAAGTTCCCTTCCCAACTCGGCACTGAATCTCCCTAATCATTATCTTGTTTGTTTTCGTGATTCCCCGTCATCTTGTGATGGTTGTCTTGCTCCGACTCTGACTTGGACTTGGACTTGGACTCGGACGCGACCCTCGCTAGCTGCCCTTGTTCTGGAAAGGACTGACCTTTGCCCCTCCCTTCGCTTTCAATCCTTCGACAACTGTGGCTTCTTCAGCCTCGATTCTGCCTTGACTAGTCCAACCCTGGTGTTAGCCCGTACCCACCATGCCGTCTCAAGTATCGCTCGTGCCTTAGACATGCACTGCCGCTTGCGCCTCCACCAATCCCTCGTCCCCGCTTAGCCTATTGTGGTTAGCGACGGGTAGATAGTATCGTGCCGTCTGTTCGTCAATCGTCATGCCCCTCCATCATTTCCCACACTCTGTCACCTTCATTAGTAACCAAACAAAAGGTCTTCCAAAGGTCCCCTTGTCCCCCTCGTCATCTGTGTAACCGTGATGGCACGTCTCTTCTTTGGAATGCCGGACTGTCACTTGCTTGGTATCCGGCCTGCTACCTCGTCTACTTGGTACTGTGCTAGGTATTAGCTTATCTCCCTATCGAACCGAACGTTAGCACCCTTCTATCACTGACTGTCCCGTGCCCCAATGGACCTTTGCTAACGCCTTGCGCCTCGGTTGACCTCATCGTCACCTTTCCTCCCAGGTCCACTTGACAAACCCACACGTTCGTCTCGACTAGACATTCCCGTCTCAGACTGGACCTGCATCTTAGAAACATCCCAAATCATTGCCCGACTATCCGACCGTCCCACTGCAGCGGCCAGGTGCGGGATGATTTAATTCCCCCCCTGCGTTCCCAAGCGGCGCCCTGCGGTGCAACTCTCCGGGGTCATATGCATTTGAACTCCTTGAAAGCGGCTCAAAGGACATTGGGTCCTACAGTACACTCCTCGGAAGCAGCTTGCACATACAGTGATCACATGGTTCTTCCACCCTAGGAGTTGAGATATGTGTCTACTCGTGCGAGCTGTCAAAGTCGTCTACGTAAGCAAGATGACGCCTCCCCATGGAAAAATATCGAGTCTCAACAAAAAGCAATAACAAAGCGTGGTTCACATAGCACAGCTAGGCATCAAAGATTCCTTCCAAGCCCATGCTGCAAGGCAATCAAAATATGCACGAGTGCCGCCACCACCAAGAGCCTCAAGTCTTGAAATTCTATGCATGGAACGTTCCCCTCCCCCCAACCACCAATATGAGGTACCTGAGTAGTACTTTGCCCTACTAAGACTCGGCTGGCGCATGCAAAATCATGCACCACTGAACATGTCCCCGGACGGTGACCACCCTAACTACCTGCCATCCAAAATGTAGATAGACGTCCCTTGCATGCTCACTAGTAGTCACCAGCCAGATCGGCTGCCGCTCTGCGGCAGCCTGATCAATGACAGGTTGCAGAACAGCCCTCACCGCACCAGGCACCGCTGGCCTCCTGGGGTCACGTGCAAGTAGTCCCAAATGCCAGTAGTGCTGTCCATACCTGGACCAGATCAATTCACGGTGAATCTTGCCAACCTCGCGTCCGAAAGCTGCCATCAACGATGTCTCTTCGGATGGCTGATCATGTTCATGTTCATCAGCCTCGTTGTGGTTGAGGTCATCTGGCGGTGTGTGCGACCCAGGCGGCCACCACGAAGCACACGCTGCGAAATCGCCTGCTTCTGTGACGAAAGCACCCAAGGCCGCCCCAGGAGCCAGGAACTGCTTCACGACGGAGTTATACACCGGCAGAGTTTCTTCGTCAGGTGCATCGAGACCAATTCCATCTGGCCCATCTTTGAAGAACAGTGCCCACATTGCACTTGGAAGCATGGCATGGGAAACTATCGAGGCGGTCTTCTCATTGTACTCCTCCGACGCGCCAATCGTCACCTTTGGGAGATCTCCTTTCGGCATTTCGGTTTCTGGGGGTTGATTTCGCAGCTTGCACAGCCACTATATGATGTGATTCTTGAAAAGGTCCGCGCAATTATTCCCTGTGCCGAAATTCACAAACCTCGCGTAGCCGTGCCAAGGTAAATCCGTTCGGTGTCCTCAGGACAAGTGCCTATAGTAGGCGCCAGCGAAGAACCTATTTGCCACATACAGCTTGATCCTAGAGGATGAGCAAAGGCAGCGTTAATCTGAGCTCGAATTGAGCCTTGGCCATGCCATTCTGAGCGACTTTGAGTCGTCCTTGGTAGTATACTGAGGTACGTTGGTAGCTAAATTTGGGGCCTAGCCAGGCATGGTCTTAGAGAGCCTCCCTGCAGCCTGAAGACTTCTTGTGTCCTTACTCGTACGCTGCTGCTCCCAGTATGCAATCAATAATTATCTGGTATGGTTAAGTATCATATGCACGGCTCGAGAAACAGACCCGCAATCACGCTACCTTTGTCTCTATCTGTTGGTGTGGTCAAGCGACGTCAACTGAAACAGCGCGCCATAATCTTCGCAGACCCAGCCAACTCTAGCAAAGCTCAGGACCATCCCATGCCCAATCACCCGGCCAGGGTATGCGCTGCAAGATCTCGAATGGGATGACTAGCTCTGCCGAGTCTAGTCCAACGCCAGTCGAGTCAGTTTCGGTGCTATATATCTCCCCTTCTTCCTTGGTGGGCGTTCTCTCTAGGAAGCTATCGATCTCTGTTACATAATTTCGCAGCCTCCTTCCAGACTGGGAAGCAGAAGGAATGCAGGCGTCAAGGCTTTCCAAAAATTCGGACATGCAGAGTCTGTTGATTTACCTTTAGCAGGCTTCACTGTTTTTGGTCGAAACTTACATGACTGTTCTCAGATGCCGATAGTCTGAACGATGAAGCTCTTTCCCAATGAAACTGCTCAATATATGTCCAAAGCCGGCAAGCTCTTGCAACTAAAAGGTGTGAGGTAGTTGGTAGATGCGAAACAGTCCCTCACTTACCATTGCTAGGCTCATTGCTCTGAGATAACCCGTTGGGATAGTTGACATCTCTTCTATCAATTCCAAAGCAGTTTGACACGCTTCATAAAATGTCGCCTCGCTTATGGTGAACGATACCATATTCATCAGCTGGGAAATTGTGTTGGTGCACTGGTACTAAAGCCAAGAATCTGCAAGCACGCACCTGGTAGGTACAAATAATATTTGCAGCTTGGAAGCTGCACCTGTTTCGTCTCGTATCAGACGACAGAGGTGCCGCCTTTTTGAAGCGAGCTGGCAGCTTGTGATATGCATCCGCTAGTTGAGACAATACCTTCTCATGTGTGTTAGCGTCAAGCATGAAACTTGTCGAGAGTTTCCTCCTTTCCAGTTCAGTTGAGGATCGGCGAGATCTGAAAGACACGATAAGATGCTCAAGGCCTCTGTATATGTCGGTCACAAAGTTCCACCCACTCAGCCATTCCGAATCGGGGTCAGAGTTTGTGTAGTCCTCATCGACGAAGCTTGGATAAGCGATCGCAGACTGTAACTCTGGCAGACGTATAATGTGACCGAGGACAAGAGATGTGTGCACCTCGAGACGGTACATATGCCAGTACAATCGCCGTCGTTCTTCCTTCTCAATCTCCGAAAGGCTGCTTGCCCATCGCCTTTCATCACAGAAGCCTTGTTCTGCGATAACCGTGTGATATAGCCCGGAGTATTGGTGTAGCAGATCAGCATTTCCAGATTCCAATGCCGTCAAGCAGATGATCCCTATCGCTTGCAAACTTTCGAAGTCTTGTATTTCCACCGATCGCTGGGGAACTGCCGAAATGGCTTCCTCGAGATATGGATGGGCTTCAACGTTGATCTGCATTGGAGCTACGTTCGATAGAATTGTGGCGCCGCTCTTGATTCGGTAGGCGCTCAATGCACAAATTGCCATTAACTTTGAAAATGATGCTCTTCCACTCGGCACACGGCCCGCATACCATTCCCTTTTAAACGAAGCTTCGTGCACGGTAATTACTCTATCATGTCAGCTTCAGTTACCAATTCCGAGAGGACCGAGACACCGACATGGGATAGACATCCTCGAAATATGTCATGATCAGGGCATCTACCAAAGCACGTGCTCCATGCTTTCGTTCATCCAAAACCCACGTCTCGCCGTCGACATCCCTTTTCCGAGGTTTTGCCCCACGTTTGGTTGCAACTCGCGTCCAAGTACATGAAGCTCCAAATTGGGTGCATGTCAGACACTGGCCCTGACCACTGTTTGAAGAAATATCACATCTTCGGCCTCTTCTGTGGCAGAAGTCGCACGCTTGGGTCACTCTTCGCCGCTTAGTTGGTACGAGATTCTCACTCATTGATGCATAGGTGAGGTTTGCAAGATCGAAGCCGATATGTTGGGGCAGTAGTGTCCACCTTAGGTATTCCTGGACACTCGCAGTCTCTTGGTTTAGGTTTTCATAGGATCCTCTCTCGCATTTCTTTTGGAGAAGGGACAGCTAAATTCGTTTGTCGAGGAGGGTTCAAGATAACGGGCCGATGACATCATCGCCCTGATATGAGCATAATAAATAACGTAACCGAGACCATTGATTCGAACAACCCGGGACGTCCAATTGCACTTGGATATTCTTGGAAACAAAGCACAAAGAAATTTCTGGTACCAATAACCCGAAAACTCAAGGAATACGATGGACTATCTTGGCTAGTACTGATCTCCTATGCCTCAAGAGCGACACGTTGATTGAGCAATGCTAGAAGCATCCGAATAACATTACAGAGCGCTAGCTATTATTCTTCTGATCCATGATAACCACGTCCCACTTGGAGCAAAGCTGCCCAGAAAGTTCAACGGAACATCAGTCTAACGGCTGGCGGCGTCGGTCTTCTCGGATTCATGATCTAGCGCCCCTTTCTCAGGATCACCCTTCTGAGCCTGCAGGTCAACGCCGTCAACAAACACGGTTCCAACTGGACCAAAAGTACCAAAATAATCGATATCATCAACCAGTCCGACACCTTTAATCGGGAACAAATGGTGGAGAGCGTAGTATGTGATCATGGAGATCAACGTCCCCAATGGCCATGAGATATAATACATCTGAGACCAGCCTTCCAACTCCACTGTCGGATCCTGTACTCGTTTTGCAAACCCCGGTAGCGTTATCCAGACACCCATCAACCAGGCAACCGGGGCTCGCCAGTTCATTCCCTTCCAGTAGTAGTAGATACTCTCAGGGTTGTTTTGGTACAGGTGGCTCAGCTTTAGAAGCCGTTTTCGCACAAGGAAGTAGTCACAGAAGGTGATTCCAGTCATCGGCCCAAGGAAGACACCATAACCGCCTAAAACGTTGAGAAATTTCCCAGCTCCGTTCAGCAGGCGCCAAGGTTGAAGTATGAAGGCGATGCACGACATCAAATACATGCCTCGACGAATTGTAAAAAAACGGGGGAGTAAAGACGAAAGATCGATTCCGGCCGAGACACCATTGTTTGCAACAACCATTCCAAACTGTGCGACCATAAACGAAAGACTTCCGAAAGCGGCAGCAGCTCTAGAGCGAGGCGAGTTGTTGTAGTGTTGTTGAAGGGCACCGAAAAGGCGGTAAGGTTCCCACAGAAGAGTTCCTTGCTGTTCGGGGAAGATCGAAGCCGCGCATGATGTGCAGATGATTCCAATCAAGGCGACGACTATTGTCCCCATTGGGACCATGACCATTTGAGCCAAAATCTGGTCCTTTGGTTTCCTCGCGTATCTGGTGTAGTCCGATTGGACGTAGATGTGGACACTGATACTGCTGATGTTGGTGCAGATCCCAAGAACAATCATCCATCCCAGGTGGCTCCCAGTAGCCTGTGTAACGCCTTGGATCTCGCTGACATCATGAACGAAGCTTCCAGCGCCTTTGGCGGTGGCCGCAAACCAGATCAGGGTGACAAAGATGGTTGGAATGACCATGATGCAAGAGATCAGGAACGGTATCTTGTACTTCTCCGGCCGAATCCACATCAGAGGGAGGTAGAAGACGGTGAAGACAATGAAGCCCACAAAATCTCCCGTCGTCATGGTACCATTCGCCAGGGGCGTATCGAGATCAGCGAAGGACGGCCACATCGCGGTGAAAAGGGTTCGGACACATTGTCCGCCCCAGTAGACTTGAGTGGAGAACCAAATGCAAGCAAGGAAGACGCGCTGGATCACGACGAAGAGAAACCCATACACTCCCCATGGAGCTTTCTGGATGATCGGGAATGGAATGTGCCATTTTGCACCTGGGGCTCCGCTAAGGACACAGAATATGCCGACCAGGATATTGCCAATGATGACTGTTAACATGCATTGCCAGACATTGAGCCCTAATGCTATCAGCGAGGAGCCGGTGGTCCATCCGCCGATATTGAAAGAGCCAGTGATGACCCAAAGTGTGACGAATTCCCAGGGGCCGAATGTTCTTCTCTCCGGTGGTAAGGGGAGAGTATCAAAGTTGGCCTTTGCGTCGTTTGGGCCGCCATCTTCCCGTTTGACTTCTATGCGCCGAACAAATTGCTGGAAATTGACCATAGTGCAGTTTCTCGAGCTGAAATGATGCTTCGAATAACGTGGAGCATTGGTCTAGCATCACGGATTTCATGTGCGCAGATGGTTTATATGTTACCGCAAGGACAACCATATCCTCATGGTGTTAGCCAGTTCCTTATCATCTCAAAGACAGCAATTATTCTTGAATTAGTGCCTGGACCAGTCTTTGTCTTTATCGGCGCGATAGCCAAGGAATTAATAACGGCCAATTATGTTCCCCTTTCTTGTCAAGAGTTGCCATCAATTATCAGCTTAGCCGCTTGTAGCCAATCAGCATGGCATCAGGTAATTCTTTCATTTATCCGCTCTTCCGCTTCTTCTCTTATCGGCCCATGGTACTCTCTGCCCCAGAAAATGGTCTACACATAGGCTGCTAAACGGCAAAATCACCTGGTCATGCTGCTCGTAAAATCTAGCTGGTAGCTCTGGTAAAACCCGATCTCCGACCTGTAAATAGGAGATTCTTGGGGACATCCGTGATTAAGACTCATGCTGGAAACTAAGTGCAAACAAACATAGCTTACCACCGGTGACCCGTGAGCCTGAAACGATGTCAGCAGCAATAACAATGTCAGCTCCTCCCAAGACCATTCACCTCACAAACGGGAACACTTTTACCTATAGCTCAAATGCGGCGACCACAGCGGAGACTATCCCGCTCATTGATGTCTCTCGAATGTTCAGTGAGAGCAAGACAGAACGTCAGGCTTTGGCCGAGGAGATTCGGGAAGCCGCCCGCTCCATTGGATTTTTCTATATGGTGAACCATGTAAGCCGACATGGTAAAATCCCTTTCGAGAAAATAGTTGACATGATCACTTCCAGGGGATTGACATGTCATTGGCCGAGAGTGTCCTAGAGCAGGCCAAGACGTTCTTCTCCCTGCCACTTGAAGAGAAGATGAAAGTATGCACGGATATCATGCCGGATGAGTTCTGCGGCTACCATCCCATGGAGCATTACAATATCAATGGCTTGAAGCATAAGGGTTTCGTCTTTCATGCATTGCATCGGTTCGTCGACTGACCGGGGGTCCAGATTTACATGAAGCATACAACTGGAATTACGATGCGTCCAAGGACCCAGAGTACCCAGACGGATCCGTGGTGCCAATCAATCTTTGGCCACAAGATATGCCACTTTTTGAGGAGAGCCTTTGCGCATATCAGACGGCATTGATCAGTTTGGCTCGTCGCTTGACTCGCATGTTCGCCCTTGCATTGCACATCGCAGAAGACTCTTTCGACGAATACGTTCGAGAACCCGAAGCCGGAATGCGCATCCTTCATTATCCCGAGCAGGAAGCCTCCAGAGACGACCAAAATGGAATTGGAGCGCATACGGACGTCGAGTACTTCACCATCATTACTCAGGACAGCGAGGGATTAGAAGTCTTGGGCAAATCGGGGCAGTGGATCAAAGCCCAACCAATCAAAGGGAGCTTCGTTGTCAACATTGCAGATTGTTTCATGAGACAGACGAACGACTTCTTCGTCAGCACAGTCCACCGTGTGATCAACAGGAGTGGCAGAGAGCGATACTCTGTTCCTTTCTTCTGGGGTTTCAACCGAGGTGCTCCAATTGAGCCGGTCGCAACTTGTATTGACAGCGACCATCCTCAGAAATACCCTTTCATGACGGCAGGAGAGTACTATTTATGGAGGACACGGAGGCAGAAGCAGCTGTGGAGAAATGGCAAACCAGAATAATGGTCCTTAAGCATTCCAATATCGTAGCTGCGATATTGCTGCAATGAGCAAAAAGAGCATCTCATCGGATCCTTGTTTGTTGGTATCTACCTAGCATATTGCCGGTGTATAAACATGGCTTGAGGAAAAAGTACACACCATTGAATTTGCATCCCTTTTGTTGGCGACAGTTCGCCACCTTCCCTGAGCCTAACTTGACATAGGAGATAATCTGAACTTGACTCGTCACCGCACAAACCATTGCGATCTGAGAACCGATCTCGTTCTACATTCCAGGAGAATTACATAGTCTAGTGAAGGCTGAGGGGCAGAAGGTGAGCCGGGACGAGCAGAGCGGCAAGCATTTAGTTACGCTGGGTAGACCGGTTGACACGCGAGGCTGCCTAAGCAGAGTTAGTTTTGAATCCTCGCAGAAGAAGCATATTGATTGACACAAAGTAATACATGGTACTCTGATTACAAAGGTGCCTAGGACCCGCGTGCTACAGTATCTCCATCGTTCGTGTTTGTTTTGAATCAAGTAACCCTGAAAGTAATCCCCTGCCCCCCCTTTGCATCAATTGCTGGGGGAGTTTATTACTCCAATGCCGCGCTTTGCCACCTTGAAAGTCCGATTGACAATTACTACGAGACCTCTGGCATTTTGTCACATGCCATACGAGGGTGTGACCAGAGAGACAAGGCGCCGTGACACTGTAAACTCCTGCGGGATGGCATCGCACATAGAGGGACTCGATCCCCTCCGTAACACACAAGTTTGACCATCTCACAAACTTGTCCTTTGTTCAGATGTCCATATATTCCTGCCCATGCAACATCCCATCTCCGCGGCTCTAGACATGATTCCAACCTGCGCCCCGCACACCGGTTTCGTTGATTTCGAGACATGGACACAGTCACTGACAAACTCCGATTCCAAGGCAACCCCGGCTTTACCAAGTTGAATGATATACATAAGCCATGCTATGATCCCACAGAGAAGTACAGAAAAGTAGCACACGAACATGGTGTGACTCCGAGTGTTTGCAAAGTTGACTTTTTCTTCTCTTTTCCCTCCTTCAGAGACAGTCAGAGACAGAGAACGGTATGTTCTCGCATCTCCCTGAAACGCACCACAGCCCACTCAGTCACGGTTCATCTTGACCACGAGTTTCCCCTTCGCCCTGTGCGTCTTCAATATCGCAAACGCCCTGGCGCCGTCCTCGATCGGCAGTGGACTGCCGTCATGGAAAACCGTCTTGACTTTACCCTGGCGCATCCAATCCGCGATCTGCGCCATCTGCTGGGTGTTGTCCTTCACCAACAACATCTCGAACTTCCTCTTGCCACCACCCAGGAAGCCGGGCCAGGCGAGCTTCATCACCAGATCCAGAATCGATTTAGTCCCGGGTTCTACCCCGATCTGTACGTATCGCGCGCGGTCTGACATGTAGTGATGGCCTTGCCAGTACAGCTCGGCCGGCGAGCCGACGTTGTCGACCACGAGGTCGAACTTTGCACCGCCTTGACTGCTGGACCCCGGACCTGAGTCTGGACTTAGACATGACACGGCCTTCTTCAAAGCCTCGACGACATTCGTGCTGCGGTAATCAATGACCTCGTCCGCCCCCAGATTCTTGCACAGCTCGGCATTCGCGCCCGAGCAGCTGGTGGTGACGTGGCAGCCGAGCGCCTTCGCGATCTGAATTCCCCAGACGCCCGTCCCACCGCTTCCGCCGTTGATGAACACCCTGTCCGCTCGCCCCGGCTGCACGAAAGGCTGAATGCACTGGTACGCAGTCAGGCCTGCGACGCCCACGCCCGCCGCGTTTACGGGATCAACGCCCTCTGGCACGCGCACGAGCTGGGCCCGAGGCACCACGATGTACTCCTCCAGAGTGCCGTGCTTCACGGGCTGGTTTAAGCGCCCGAAGACGAGCTGTCCTTCGCTGAAAGCGCCTTCCTCTTCCCCTCCCCTTCCACCAGGTGTAGACGTAGCTTTCGCCGTAGATCTAGCAACAACACCGGCAAAATCACTCCCTGGCGTCGCATCCCGGCGATATAGCAACCTCCCTACGACTGGCAACTCCGCGATCTTGCAGTCTACGGGATTGATCCCCGCCGCGAGGACCTTCACCAGCACCTTGTCGCTGCCCAGAGCTTTTGCGTCGTGCGCCGGCACCGGCGCCGCGTCGTTCAGGTGCAGGTTCTTCTCGATCCCGCCACGTGTCGAAGAGAATTGCCATGCGCACATCGTGCTGGGGATGGGGGTGCCGCTGGCAGATGAGTTGGGTGGTGCATCGTTGGTTGTCGCCATTGCTGTCAAATTATCTGGCGTTTCGCCTTATGAAGTTGTGTGGTATGAATCTGATGTATCTAACCTGGGAAATTAGAGTGGGTAGAGTTGTGATGTGTTGGCAGGTTGGCGACTGAGTGCTCTCACGTTGCTATGCTATATCACTCGGCGCTGCCGGCGCAGAATCGTCCTATGCGGTCTCCTAGTACAGTGCAGGTCGGAGGTGCTGATGACAACAGTAGTGACGTGTGGACGTGGGGAAGGCTGGAAATGATATCCGCGGCCCTTCAGAATCGGTGGTGGGTTTGACTGTGGCTGACCCTAGCACGAGGTGAGTTTAAATACTAATTCAACAGGAACGTCTTTGGATTCTTTCTCGCAGATGATTAAAAAGATGGAAATAGTACTTGGCTAGATCGACAGAGAGGTATATAACACCTCATATATACTTTAGCTCGTATGATGTGCGGAACGCGGGTGTCTCCACTGCCGTTCTCGGGTTCGGTAACGTGCCTGAAGGATGTCGGAACCAAGTATATCCCTCCCAGCATGCTAGTGTGCTCACTAGTTACGCAGCAGCCTACCTGATTAGCTAAGATCTTGGTTGAGAGGATGTGGCCTGATCCTCACGCGGCTCTGAACCTGACTCAGTAACTGTGATAGTCACTAGACGTTACTTACCTAACCGACTAGATAACCTAGCATGTGATGATCCGTTCGAGGCTCCTCAAGACCAAGACCCCAAGACGAATACTTGGCTGGCCATGACTCCCTCGCGGCACCTTCAGAGTGCTTGGAACGAATAAAACCCCACGATTCCATGACCTTTAATTAAATTATTTCCAAGTACGTTGTACCATCCGGCGCACCGAACATCTTGTACCTCGTATTGGGTCATGATTTTGGCGTGTGAGTACTCCGTACTCCGTATGTGTCAAGACAAAGGGGCACAAGTGAGTCGGGGAGAGGTCGCAAGAACTCAGGTGGTGCACACAAATTTATTCAGGAGTATGTAATATAGGATGTAGCTACGTATGTAGGTAGACAGCAAGCCAATGCTGTGAGTGGTACTGGGCGAAGTGATATGGTTGTGATGACCGAGCCAATTTTGAACTGTCAGCTGTGCTGCCATGTCCATGAGATGGTAAATCATCTGAGGGGCAGTCTCGCAAGGAGATGACTAGGAGGGTATGAAGAGGTGTATTAGCGATATAACCAGAGCCATAAGAGCGACAGGGTATCAAGTATTAGGATGATAGTGATGCATCCAGACAAAGCTGTTGCACCAAAAGCAATTTGGCGGCGGTTCCCTCTCTCCTTGTGGCTCGACATGGAGAATTATCCAACAGGGATACATATCCCTCTTCCCATGCAGCAATATCAACGAAGAGTTCTCCAGCACCTACACCTTTGCAAGGTGCTTCGCACACTCGTCTATCCATCTCCTAACAACTTCAGTCTCGAGATAGGTCTCAGTGAACGCAACAAGGGCTGGCATGCCCAAATAGTCTGCGAGCCCGTAGGACTTTGCCCCAGTCGACGCATTAAACCGGTAGTAAAAGGTTTGTCTATCACCCCTACCACGAGCTACCCGTCGCCGGTTGAACTGTTGCATATTACGCTCAAAGTCTCGATGCTTGGCTTCCGTGTTAGTCGCAAAGGCGACAGTCTTTGATAATGTGTTGAAGAACTTGGCGATGAAATTCTTCTTGGGGGCCTTTTTGTACTCAGGGTGTGTGGTGCCCAAGCTCACTATGCACTTGAGGGGGGGCGATGGATCATTGTGGCCCACAAGGTCATATCTATTGTCCCACACTTGATCGATTGGGTTGTTGTTGAGTAGTCCACCATCCCAGAAATTCAAGCCCTGGATGTTTGTTTGCTTGAGGTACGTAGGAGCAGCCGAGGTGGCACGGGCTGCTTCTTTGATCGTGATTCTGCTAAAATCCAAGGTTGTCGCGCCGGTCGAGATGGGAAGCGGTGCAAATTCTGGTGCGTAGTTGCGCAAAAGGATACTCTCCCCCCTATCTGCCAGGGTGGCGCACATGAACCTGCCCGATTTATCAGTATAACCGTCCAAATGGATCACAAGTTGAATCTTACATTTGACCTTTGCTCGCCTTGAGTAGAGGAGCATTGCCTTTGTTCGTCCGATCATCCTCATCTAATGGATGATTTCCAACCACGGTATCTATCGCCTGCTCCAGAGGCTTGTGAGAGTACTTCTCAAGACCACACAGGGCTTTCACGCTGAGCCAGCGGTTGCCAAACCAGACACCGAATCGGCCTAGTTTGTGAAGTGGGATGACCCCAAATTTGGGTTGGAAGACTAGTTTTGCCAGGTCATTGTACGAGGCAATGACTTGGGTACAGTTCATCTCCAAACGAAACAACATGAGAGCAATCAACCCTCCTGTACTAGTGCCGCCTGCAATATCAAAATAGTCCACTGGTTTTCGCTCGGTCAGATCTTCCGGCTTTCCCTTTTCCACTCTTGCCGCATTCTCGATTTCTTGGACTCTGTCCATGATTTTCTTGAGAATGACCATACTCGATATGCCTTTGATGCCTCCGCCATCAAAGGATATGGCGTTGTATATGTCAGTTGTCCCTGACTTGGGTATAGGGAGGTTAGTGGCTTCCTCTCCACCAGCCATTTTGACTGATAATGTGATGTTCAGGAATTGGTATTGAATTTGCGTTGTTTGCCGCAGGCATGAAGGATAGAGGTGATGTGAGGCCAGATATAGGTCGAGATATTGGCAGTGGCTTGCTCAGCTTCTTGTTGAATACGAGGGATGGGTACCGAGTAAGCATGGTTGGAGCTCTAGGGCGTAATCCAAATTTTCGTGTAATCAAAACGAGCCGAATAGCACAGATGGGGACCGATAAAAAGAGATGCTGAGGTCAGGTGCATGGATAAAATGTCGGTTGAGGGGGGCAAGGCTGTCTGTATGGAGGCACGCGAGGATGTGCGATGGTGTCGACAAGGGTCCCAGCTTGGCAGCGTGTGCAACCTGCCAGTTCTCGTGTTCAGGCTGGGCGGCGTACTTTCAGCGGCGCCTCCTCTTTTCGTAGTCACCATCCTTGACAGGCCCTCCCAATGAATGATACGAGTGGTTTTGGCAGGCGTTAGGCTGTGTCAGCCGCAGATGTCTGAGACTTGTTCAACCCCTTGGCATCCCCCAGCTGCTGAAGGCATGTTCCGTTTTGATGAACCCCTGAAGGAAGTCAAAAAAAGCCCATTACCATCAACACCGACCAAGTTGCGTGAAGTAAGAGGGAGCATGGATGCCTCAAACCCCAGACCATCCTACGGCATTACCGGCCGTCTAGGAACGCGGCGTCCATTTTCTCGTTGAGCAGTGCCTCCACGTTGACACGACCGCCAGCCAGATATCTTTCGCTGACACCAAGATTGACTCTTTTGTTCAGCATGCCCTCTAATTCGGAACGCCACTGTTGAATCTGATCTTTGGTCACTGCACCTCTTTCCTTTTCCTTTTGTGCCTTTCCGCCTCCTCTGCCTCGCCGGCCTTTCTGGCCTTGAACCTCGAAGTCTTCAGAATCATAATCAACTCCAAGTTCCTCAGCTGCGGTTCGTAGCCACTCGTCCTTGCTCGATGTCTTTTCTCGAGCCAGAGAGGCATCGGTGATTTTCTGTGCAAGGTTGAGGCGGCTCTCAAGTCTTGTGACAATCCGTCTGTCAGTCTCCACAATCACCGGTGGCTTGTTACTCTTGTGTACCTCCAGGATCAGTCTCGTTACACCGCCCACTTCGTCAGGTGAACAAAGAAGGATTGACCGCCCAGAGCTTTGAGCCCGAGCGGTTCGGCCAGAACGATGCACATACATGTCGGCAGTTCGAGGCACATGATAATGGATAATTAATTCGATGCCTCTTATATCCAAGCCTCGTGCTGCGACATCGGTTGCTACGAGAATAGTCCTTTGACCGGCAAACCTTTCTAGGGAACGCAAGCGGGACTTCTGTGGCATTGTTGAATGTAGTGCTACTGCAGGTTGCTTCAGATTTTGAAGTAGGTGAGTGAGTCGTTTCACTGCCGAAATGCTGTTCGTGAAGACAATGGTTTTCGAGGTAGGATTTTGCATTAGTAAGGTGTACAGGTAGAGGTCCTTCTTCATGGCCCCGCACTCCACAATAGACTCGTCCAATGCTGTAGCCATCTGTGAGGTAGGATTGACATCAATAAACGTAGGCTTTGCCTCACGAAAAGCGAGTTTCTTCAGCAGATATTCCATAGACTGTTGATTGTCGAGAAGTTCACTTTTAGCCTGGGCTCCGGGTTTGCGTTTTGCTGTGAGCTTCTGCTGGAGCCCCTTCTGGAAAGTTGCCGAGAAGACAAGGGTTTGGCGAGGTGATTTTGGGGTCTTCGGTACTCCAGGCTGATCCTCCTCAAAGACCTCTCGATCCAATGCATCCAGAATATCTTGAACCTCTTTAAAATGCCCCTCGCTGAGAAGTCGATCAGCTTCGTCAACGACCAAGAACCTGATCTGCTTGAGCCGATCCATTAATTCATCAGGGTTGGAACTTGCAGACGAGTCATTCATGACCTCCCACAGACGGCCAGGGGTCGCAACCACAATATCTGCATGTTCCAGCAACCGCTGCTGTTTGTAGATGGACAATCCACCAGTCACGGCGGAGATCCGAGGCCGCTTCTGTAGTCCTATACACAGCTCGTTCAGATGCCTGTTCAATTGCAGGGCCAGTTCTCGCGTCGGGGCGAGAATCAATGCAAGGACCGGTGCTGTTGCTTTCGCCTGCGCCTCTGAGACAAGCTCTTGATGCTGCTGCTCTTCCTTGGTTTGCAACCAATGTTCAAAGATGGGGAGGCCAAACGTGAGGGTCTTGCCAGAACCGGTGACTGCTTTGCCGATGACATCGTGGCCCTGTCGAATCGCAGGGATCGCGGCTGCTTGAATTGGTGTCGGTGTGGAGAACTTCAATCGCGCGAGCTGTGATAGTGTCGGAGGCGACAGATCAAGTTCTTTCCATGCTGACACGTCGACTTGTGGTTCATCGGCGGAGTCGCTGAGAAGACTGAAATGCACATCGGGCTCGATGTCATGCTTTCGCTTTGGCTGGTTGGTCTTGACATTGACCTTCTCGGACTTGGCGGTATTTGCAGTTTTACCTTTGTTTTTCGCTGTTCCAGTAGCGGATTTTGAAACCTTGCTCGCTTTATCGGTCTTCCGCTTGTTAGAGGGTATGGTCTCATCGTCAAAGCCCGCCCACTCATCGTGATCCTCAAAGTCTTCTTGCGTGTTCTGATCCGCATCCACACTCTCATCTGATTTCGGCTGGAACATCACATGATTATTGGCCTCGTCCCGAACCACCTCCACACCGTCGATTTCCTCTAGCCCGTACAACCCCTCGGCATCATCCAGCCTGCCTGGCAGTGTGACTGGCTTCCATTTCAGCGCATCCCCTCGAACCCTGACTCTGGCTTTGGCACCTGATGGTGGTGGCGGTGCACTTGACCCTGAGATTTTCTGCTTCTTATTTGGCTTTTGTTCCTGTGAGTTGACGTTTCGTTTTGTCACTGACTTGGACATTGTGGATTATGTATGCCCTTGTTTTGTGTTCATGTGGTGTAACGACCGGACGACCGCTTTGGCTGGGATTTGATACTGGAAGAAAAAAGTTCACGGATGCCAAAAGCCTCGCACTTGAAAGTCTTGGCAAGAACGACTGGGGTCTCGATTCTGCAAGATTGATTTCTTCTCCCGCCCGGTTCTCCCCGCTGCCCCAAAAGCTGATAACCATTCTTTTAATGAGGAGAAGAAATTAAAATTTACAACTCGTGTTCTCTTTGAAGTTGATTCAATTTGCCCTGCGAAGCTTCCTATAGCCTGGGTCCCCGTTCGAACAAGAACGAAGAGAGAATCGAAGATACAACATGTCTTACGATTCATGGCAAAGCCCCATGGGGGCACGATACGCCAGCAAAGAAATGCTTACGCTGTTTTCAGCTCGGACTCGGGCCTCGACATGGCGTCAACTGTGGATCTGGCTGGCCGAGGCAGAGAAGGAACTGGGACTCGACATCTCGGACGAAGCAATCCAACAAATGCAAGCGGCCCGAGTCATGACGGACGACGACTTTCAGGTCGCCGCAGTGGAGGAGAAGAGACGACGTCACGATGTCATGGCTCATGTCCACGCGTTCGGTGAACGAGCTCCTGCCGCGGCAGGGAAAATTCATTTGGGTGCTACCTCATGCTATGTGACGGACAACGCGGATCTGATTTTCCTACGAGATGGGCTGTCTCTGCTTCTCCCCAAGCTTGCCAAGTGCATCCGGAAGCTATCCGACTTTGCGAGCGAATACAAAGCCCTCCCATGTCTTGGTTTCACTCATGGGCAGCCCGCACAGTGCATCACGGTGGGAAGACGAGCTACGCAATGGATTGAATCGCTGCTGATGGACTTGCGAAACCTCGAGCGAGCTCGGTCCGACCTTCGCTTCCGAGGCGTCAAGGGTACCACGGGCACCCAGGCCTCTTTCCTTGAGCTCTTCCATGGAGATCACCAGAAGGTCAAGCGACTGGACGAACTAGTTACCAAGAAGGCCGGGTTCAGCAGACGCTCGATCGTTTCCGTCCAGACATACAACCGCAAGATCGACTTCGATACTGCAAATGTGCTGGCTTCCTTCGGCACCACCTGCGAACATATTGGAACCGACATCCGCCACCTAGCCATGCTCAAGGAACTGGAAGAGCCATTTGAGAAGGATCAGATCGGCTCTTCAGCAATGGCGTACAAGCGAAATCCCATGCGATCAGAACGGATGTGCTCGCTTGGGCGCAAACTTGCGACCTTGCCTGCAGGGTTTGGCGCCACATATGCACACCAATGGTTTGAAAGGTCGTTGGACGATTCGGCCATCCGACGCATCGACATTCCAGAGATATTCCTGATTGCCGATGCGCTCTGTATTCTGCTTGAAAACGTCTCGTCTGGCCTGGTGGTTTACCCCGCCGTCATCAACAGCCGTCTCCAGCAAGAACTCCCATTCATGGCCACTGAGACCATGATCATGCGCATGAGCGAGAAAGGCGCTAGTAGACAAGAGACTCATGAACAAATCCGCGTTCTTTCTCACCAAGCAGGTGCCGTAGTGAAGCAGGAGGGAAATCAAAATGACCTGGTGGAGCGAGTTCGCAAGGAGAAGTTTTTCGAACCCATCTGGAATGAGTTGACGGAAGAAGACTTGTTGAACCCAACCAAGTTTGTGGGTAGATCGGCCGAGCAAGTGGAGGAGTTTGTTGAAGAAGAGGTTGAACCGGCACTTAAGCCATACAAGGATCTCCTTGGTGGGCAGGCGGCGGAAATACATGTCTAGGAGCGTGAACGCCTCGACCAGACGGAGCTGGGGAGTGTCAAGGACTTGATTTCTGAAATTGATGGACGCAGTTCGGAACGGATAAGTTTCTGCTCTTGTAATTAACAATTCACGACTGCAAAATTCGGGATTAGGATGGTTGAATGCACCCAAAAGGAGTCTTCCAAAGTTGGCTGGGTGGCATCAAGGCACATATCAACAAAGCGTCACGCATCCTTCATGTCCTGCACCATCTTCCATAATCGCCGCTGTTGCTCCATCTTGTCGTGTTTAGATTCCCGAGTCGAGCGGGAAGCTCCATCCTCGACGTCGCCGTTAGAAGCTGGCTTCTCGTCGCGTAGTCGACCAACCTCGTCGAGGAAGGTCTGGATCCTCGCCTTGAGGTTGTCGCACTCTTCAACCTCTCTCTGGCCGTCTTCTAGACAACTCTCCAGTAGGTCCTTTGCACTCTCTCGCGCTTGATGCGGGCGATACATGTTGATGACGACGTGAACGTTGAGGAAGAGTTGTCTGAAATCGTCCAGCTTGTCTTGGTATTGTGTTGGGTCGAGGGAGAGCAGAGTGGTCAATTCGAGGAAGTTCAGCAGCAGGGATTTGGTAAGTTTCTTCAAGAGAAACGCATGGTCTAGTTTTGGCTGATTGGGGTCGAAGAGCAGTTGGTCTAAGGGTAGGGAGGAAGGCTTGGTCGGATCGATGACTTGTTTCTGGCCGAAGGTGGTGTAGTGTTCGGCTGCGCTCGGAGGCGGCGGTGGAGGTCGCAAGTACGCGAGCGGTATAGGCAATTTTTGGTAGCCTTCTGAAGGTTCTAGAGACTCGTATTTCTTCAACTGCTCTTCATTTGCGACGGTAAAGTGTCTCCAGAAGGGTGGGGGCGCAGGAAAGGGAGCCTCGGGCAGTTGGAGTGGTGGATCTGGTTCAGCCATAGCTAGGTGACGGGCAACATTACAGGCCGGGAGGCAGGGGATGGTGTCTGTGTGAAGTCGGAAGAGGGTGCATTCAATGCCTGGCGCGTCGTAGCGGTGATGATAGTAGGAGGTGGTTCTAGAGAAATACTGGTTGGTGGTTTGCTCTGTTTTGGTTGTCATCTCTTAGCCAATCAGATGGTGTCATTTGCGGAGTGGAAGACACCCAACACTGACTATGTGGCCCCGCTATGTATGATCTCCTTTCATCCACTCCATCATGTCCAACATATTCGCACGTTCATTTATCATGAACTAATCATTACTAGCATCGGGTGTGCTCAAGACCTCCGGACTGCAACATGCGCACGTCAACCAACGATACCCCCGGAGTAGCAGGTGCCGTACGACGCTTCTGGCAGCGCTCATACGCCGCTGATTATGTTGGCTTCGTGTTACTTGTTGCTGCCTATGTATACGTCAGTTGCCATATAGATCTATACTCGAATCCGTACCGTCCTCTAGCTAAACCCGTCCAGGTCCAACTTCTAGAACCCTTCCATCGCATGTTCACCTTGGATGACCATGCGAAGCAATATCCTCACGCTCAGGTTCAGCGAGTCTCCTCTGGAGAGAATATATTATACGCTGGGATCGGGCCTCTGATCTTCATCGTGGCGTGGTCTCTAGTCTTCCGGCCCGGCTTCCACAAGGCCCATGTCACCATCTTCGGCCTCTTCATCAGTGTCTTCCTGACCTCGCTGTTGACCGACATCATCAAAAATGCCGTGGGACGTCCGCGGCCGGATTTGATCGCCCGGTGCAAGCCCAAGCCAGGAACCCCCGAGCATGAGCTCGTCACCATCGACGTGTGCACCGAGCTCGACCATCACGTCCTTCACGACGGGTGGCGAAGCTTTCCCAGCGGTCACAGCAGTTTTGCCTTCTCTGGACTGGGCTACTTTGCCCTTTTCCTGGCCGGTCAATTTCGCATATTCAGGCCACGAACCGACCTCGCCAGAGTCCTGATAGTGCTCGCCCCTCTGATTGGCGCCTCACTCATTGCAATGTCCAGACTGGCCGACTACCGGCACGACGTATTCGATGTCACCGTTGGAAGCATCCTGGGTATGTTAGTGGCTTGGTTCTCCTACCGACGATATTACCGCCCACTTAAGCACCCGCAATGCGAGGTGCCGTATCCTAGTCCTTGGGAATACGCTACAGCGAAGGGCCCCAAGAGAGCACGGGATGTGGAAACTGGACGGGACGAGGACTTTTCCATAGAGGACCTTTCCGAGGATGAGGCACAAGCATATCCTCTCACCGATCCACGGGCAACACGGTCCACGGAACTACAGCAGAGCCACCAGCCGCCCTAGTAGGATCAGGATAGCCCGGAAAGATATGTGTGTACGCATGTATTCGCTGCTCAGATATAGTAGACTCCTAATCATCCCTTTTGTATATACTCGTCTCATCGTAACAAGCCATGGCTTGTGTCTAGAGACCGGCACTCGAAGCTCACGCTCCAATCTCCTAACGCAGCAAAACACATGGAAAGTCTGCCTCCCGGGTGCCCCCTGATTATGGCATTTTACATGACAGTGCAGGGAATGATGCAGCAGTCACATTCGTAGTCGCCGCAGTCACAAGGAATGCAGGGCTTCGTGGGGCCCTTGATCCCCCTTTTGATGCTCGAAGTCGAGGAGGTGGAGGATGGAGGCATTTGCTGGCAAGTACGAAGTAGATTGCTTTGGTTGGTACGGTTCCCTGACGCAAAAAGGTGACCTAGATGAATGGAATGGTTGTCAGTTGTCAAGCATACTCTGTGATGAACGGGGAGATCAACCTACCGATGGTTTAACTTCCTTACTCTAACCGTAATTGAGATTCGAGGATGGTGACTTCAGATGGTGACCTCAGTTTCAGTTAGTCTCGTCAAGTACGAATGGTACAGAATGCGGTGCTGTGCTGGAAGTTGGAATTGAATTCCAATGGTAGGAGATCTTGGGTGAAAGCATGCAGTGCAGGATAAATGGCAGCCGAAACACTGACGTATGCACGCCCTGGTTAATTGGTTACAAGGGGCTCGGGGGGGCTGAGCCACGCCTAGACAGGAGTCAAAACGACTCTCCGGGTGCCCATATCCGCATCACCGACGCCTACGCCAGCACATAGTCGGTGGACCAGCGGTACGCGCAAGCTGTCAACATTTGAAGTGGGTGGAACCCCCGAGGGGCCCCAACGGGCACCCCAGTCCAGGCGGTGCCTAGCAAAGATGCTGGCCACACAACATGGCCGGTTTCGACAGGACTCCGTACTTTGTCTGACAAGCAACGCTCACCAAGAATCCGATTGAAACTTTGTCAAGCAGGTGTCATTTGATCTCAAGCATGTCTTCGTACCTCGTTAGTACGGACTACTAATTATCATTGCACTTACTGTGCACGCCTTCAATGCGCCATATCTCATCTCAACTTCTATCACTGACCCAACATGTCGGTTATAGGTATCACAAAGTACAGATCACAACCACCAAGCTCCCGACTCTGGATCAGACCCGATGGACTTGGGGAGGCTGGAGATTTAACGCCAGTGCAGGCACATGTTCCGTACTAGTCGCAGATACCTTCCCGAAAGGTTCCAACCGTACCCGCCATGAACCCTGATTGCTCGATCCCGGCTGGCAATTGCTATATTCCATATCTGATAATTACATAGTTAGGGGAAATGATAACTCGGAACAGACTGTCTTCTAAATATAAGAGCGGGTCTTGATATTGATGTCGTTGTCAAGTCCGCAACGGCGTAGCATCTTCGTTTCTAACGTATTTGTTCGCCCTTGATCCTTACCGCTATGCCATACTCACTGAAAGGCCGCAGGGTGCTCGTCACTGCCGGAAGCAGAGGGCTCGGGGCCCTCATCTGCGAGAAGTTCGCCGACGAGGGCGCTCACATCATGGTCAACTATGTTTCTAGAGAAGACAAGGCCCGAGAGGTCGTCGCTCGCGTCGCAGAGCGCGGCGTCCAGGCTTTCATGATCCAAGGAGTGAGTCCGCAAGCAAGCAAGCAAAACACCATTTTGGTGATTCTCCTTGACCATTCCTACATTTAGGACGCAGCAAAACCCGAGGACAACGCTCGCATCGTGAAGGAGACAGTTGACCGGCTCGGCGGACTGGATATCATCGTCGCCAACGCGGGCTGGACGAGGTTCTCTGATTTCTCAGATCTCAATGCCCTGCCGCTGGAGGACTGGAACAAGGTAAATTGACATGGTTTTCGCGAAGACTTTACGTGCTCGTGAATACTAATGATATAGTAGTGCTGGGCTGTGAATGTTATGAGCCACTTGCAACTCCTGCAGACTGCCCAGCCCGTCTTCACCGGCAATCCGGACGGAGGAGCCTATGTTATTACTTCTTCAATTGCAGTATGGTTTAGCCACTTAAAGCTCCGTTGCCCTAGTGTATCCCCTATGCTAAAACCCGTCCTCGGACATCCAGGGAATAACGCAAAGTGGCAGTAGCCTGCCATATTCCGTGACCAAAGCCGCGGGTCTGCAGCTCATGAAATGCCTTGCTTCGACCCAAGGGCCAAAGACGCGCATCAATGCTATTCTTCCGGGCCAACTTCTAACCGACTGGGTAACGTCTGACCCGTCTCTTGCAATATGCAATACCCTGTTAAACATATTGATATGCCTGGTCTGACTTTCAGCCTTTGTTAGGGACTTCAATTCAGCCAAGAGTCTATCAAAGCGGAGCAACAGGAGGCTGTGTTGAAACATGAGGTATGGTCTTTTCACCCAATGCCAGATGGCGGGCGCTTACTCTTGCAAAGACGTACCTGGATGACTGCGCTGCGTTGTATGTTTCTGTGGCTCAAAATGCCTCATTGACTGGCCAGCAGATTACCGTGGATGCTGGTTTGACTTTAGGATGGTTGTCCCGCTCCTGAATCGGGAAAAGCAGGTTGGTTGAAATTGAGAGCCCAGAAGCTGGTGCCATGGATGAGAGCAGTGTTAGGAATGACCTGTCATGGCTTATGAATAACATATTTTATGCCGCAATGAGTGTCATCGACCCTTCCCGAAGAACCGCCGCCCATACCGGCTCCAATATTCGAATCGGTGTAGATTCCACTCGCATAATCCGTGAGCGTCGCTCAGTTGCGCCGCGCGCGGGAACTGTATCCATTCTTCTCCATACCTCTTCCACCACATTCCAAGCTCTCTGCATACTCCCAATCCGAGAGGTTAATAATTTCTGAAAATATAAGGCCCATCTGGGTCTTAGTTCTTCTGGTGCCTCGCACGCCGCAACGAATGCAGGCCATCCAAAAGAAGCTCCTGCCTTGGAGAGTCGAGCTTTATCAGACTCGGCCCGTTCCAGCGCGAGCAGCGTGCAACGGGAAAGGTGCGTTAGGGAACTTCGAGTGGGGCTTATGGACGCTAGGTCGAAACATGACTGGAAATATATCTGGGTTGCTGAGTGGAAGGAAATAGCAAGATTCTGAACCAGGGATAAAGTGCCGGGCTTGCCGGGTCCAATGGACGCGAATGGTTCTGCAGATGGCGTCCAACAATCGAGCATGTCTGCAAGATCCAGTATTGCGTCAAAGATCTTGATAATGAGGTCTGTGCTTGTCGCGCTGGTCGATGTGGCATAGTACCAGATTTGGTTGGTGTAATAGATCGCAGATGCTATCGAACTTGTGATCCCATATGTAAACTCAAGACATGAATCTACCTCAGTGAATGGACTGTTGAAGATGGGCGTATTGGTTGTGAAGAGAGAAAACTGCCACACTTCAGGAAGATGGTGAGCTGTGGTTTGAGCGAGTGTGGTCAGAAAAAGCCCGGCGATATCCAATTGCCTCATCCGAGGCGTGTAGGCCTCCATTGACCGTCGTTGTGCTTCATGCAAGGCGCGAAGCTGGTGGCAGGCTTGGAGATGGGTAAGAAACTCAGTACAGTCTCCTTCCACAATCTATACACATTCGATTAGTGCTTGGCGGGTGATCACGAGATTGGGGTTTTTACATCAGCCGTGACAAGAGTCAAGCTCGCGGACATGGTCATGTAGATGGCCTCAGCGTCCTTCGGCTGCTCAATGAGGTCTTCTTGCAGCAATTTCAAGGCCTGTAATCTATTCAGTCTGCCAATTTCGTCGTACATGTGCCATGACGTATCTCGTTCAGTCTTGTGGCCTCGAAGATGGAATGCTGAGGCCGAAATAAGTGAGTGGAGGATTGCCCTGCTACTCTTAGAACTGCCTTGCATTGAGATTGAAGCTTCTGGTACTTTGGTCAACGACCCCACCACTGCGCAAGGAACATGAATAGTACGAAACGGATTCCGAGGGTGATAGATGGGCTGAAGGATATCTGATAGTTGCGAGATATAATGAGACAAGAGGATAGTGGTCCGACAGTCGAGCCCTGTCGAATTTGGAATGATCAGGCCCAGTGAAGAGGCCTGAATGTTCGAAAAAATTGAGGGATCACCTGTTCCATAGCCATCGGGTCTTGTAGTGGCAGTTTCTTCGCCAAAATCCTGCACCAGGTATGGGAAGGGACGGTGGATTGGGTGGGTGGAGGGTAGGGTCAATTCTGGCATCTCATCTTCACAAGATTCGCCTAAGCTGGAGCAGTTGGAAACATCTAGCCGAAATATTGAAAAGGGTCCCGCGATGACGCTATTTTCACCAAGGCTGCTTGAACCATCGATGATATCGAGATATCGGGCTGCATCTTCAGTATTGTAAGAGTTGAGAACTTGCGTGCCTAGGCAGATATCAGTCACATGGTCCATCTGCATAGTATTGGGTTTGATCGCACCTCGCGGTATAACGATGCGTTGTCGGTACAATCCAGTGTCAGATGAATGGAACGAGCCGTTCTGTGATTGTGGGACCCATGATAATTTGATCTCAAAGCCTTCGCAAAAAAGCCCGGCTCGAAAACATCGACTGCATGCTGGTCGTGGACCAGGACATTTCAACTTCCGTCGTCGACAAGTCCAACACCTGTGTGTCTCACCTAGTCAGCTGGTTTCGTCCTAGACTTCAGACCACGGATGACTTGCCCGCCGAAGGACTTTGTTTTTGGAATGCGCCGAGGCATCAGCCAGAGAATCAGGCAAGAACGGGGAGCATTGGTCTAGAAGCTGCTCGGAGACACCTGCTGGCTGACTTTCCTTCTGCTATCAATGCGCTCTCTGTGACGTTAAGATGGTAAGAGTACATCTCTCCTAGACGGCCCCGTGTGAAGATGTAGTTGGCTCAAAGTTCACGATAAGGATCGCTGGTCGCAGATGAGCGTTCTGTCCCACACTAAGCACCCGGCCCACCTAATCTAACCAAAAGCTCGCAGACAGTTTCCTAGTTGAACACAGCCGCTTGGGATGGCCAGTCCGATGGATTACTGGATAGTAGCCCGTGCATGCTATGCCCCATGAAAGCACAAAGATGCTCAATAGGACGTCAGTACGCTAGAACAGTATTTCTAGCCGCTCTAACGGAGTTTGGTTGGTTGCTGACGGCGCTCACGACATTCCCATGGAAATTATGCGCGGCTTCACAGCTCGGGTCCCGCTTGAAGATACGGTAATCTAGCACTTTGAAGGATCGCCAGCCGGTGGGTGGAACAGAATTGGGTACCGGAATCGATCATCTATGCTCGAATCTAGGGAGTGTGCTGTACATTGAGGAACGGAAGTTTCCAATGACCTTCCCACGACCTCGCCGGCCAGCCTTGAGGATAACAGCTACTATCCTTTGATTTCGATTGTGCCAATCTCTCGGACGACATCTGGCTTAGAGTATGCTAATTGCAAGCTGCGACGGATATAACCCTCAGAGGAAATGGCTTTGAACCGTGCGGGATTCTCTGGACTCACGAAGATCGGAAGAGCCTTAAGTTCTGCCTCTTTGTTGGCTGTGGTATTGTCAGCAATGTGGTCGACAATTACCTCGTATGTGCTCCTACTCACCACCCAAGAAGAACGGAACAGAATATCTGTCCACTCCCGATGTGTTGATCACTCTGTGCATGGTCGACACGAACTTGCCATTCGTGAGGATTGACATCGAGTCTCCAACATTGACAACAAACGTTCCAGGAATAGGTTTCGCAGAGATCCATGATCCAGAGGATGACAGCACTTCCAACGATGGAATCTGATCTTGTAGCAGAATTGTCAGCAATTCTGGGTCGGTATGTGGCCGAAGACTAGACGGCTCTTTTGAATTGGAACCGTCTCCGGGATAGTAACACATCTTGAGAATCGAGTAGGGTTCCGTGACAAGCCCATCGAAATAGTGTTCGTCCAAACCCAGACCTAGAGCAAAGAGCCGAAGCAGCGATCGACTCAAACGTAGCATCTGCGTCATATGTTGCTTGGTATTTGCTTCGAATCCTGGTAGCCGGCTTTCCTGAGGCCACCAGTTGTGGCCCTGAGCACCTTCCCTTGCTTCGGGGTCCACTGATGGCTCGTATCCAAAGTTCATGCCTTCGTTGAGATCTAATTTGCCATGTCAGTGGACTTGAGAACTTTCTGTTCGCAAGGGCTACCTCACTTCTGCCAGCTGGGTGGTTCGCATCTGTGTTACGCGGGTAGTATCCCCAATAGTGGTCATGTTTTGCCGTGTCCAGTTCCATCTTCTCTTTGACGCTCAACTCAGTAAAGAATCGTTTCGCCTCAGAGAAGATCTGGAAGATATCCTGATCCGGAATTCCATATTTACTCGCATAGAAAAATCCGAATTCAATGCAAGCATCACAGATCTTTTTGGCAACAGCGCGACGTTTGTCGATATCTTGATGGCACATGTCAGACAGGTCGACAATAGGAAGCTGGTCTTTGACCGGTTCGTTGCTGCCAGGAACGACTGCGCGCCATCCTAAGCCAGTCCGAACTTGCTCTTTGCCATCAACCTGTCTCCTCCAATATTCTGCCATCTCATATACTCGTGGGTTCCTGTGCAGTCGTATTCCGTCAAGTGTCACATATCCTTCTCAGAAAACTAAGCTGTCAAAAGCCATATGTAGAAGAGAAGTATATCGGGCTTGTTTTCTGGGTATTGAATGCGATAGCCCCACTATGTAGGCATCTCGGAGCTCGGCGATCAATATCTTGATTTTGACGACCTTCGCAGACAACTTCCCCAACGGCAACGAACTCAGGCTCGGCATCTCCCTCAGCGTTTTTGACCGTGTACAAAATACTTGTCTCTAGCCTTCAACTTCCAGGCATGACGATAATGGAGGACCTGGATTTATCAGCCAATGCTTATAGGCGATCGCTCTGTCAAGGCAGCCGTCTGCGAAGCCTTGAGCAACGGCTGCTGCTCTTTGGCTAGTCACCGGCTTTGGAAGAGGAAGTGCGCCTTTTGACGAGCCGACCATGACAATTGATGTACTTGGTCAGCTGCAATATAGGATCAAGCTTTGCATTGCTCCATCTGGATCTGAAGTCTCATTATGACTCTACCATATCTCTTCAGTCTACGAGGCACAAAGCCTAGCTAGACCTAAAGCCAATGGACCTTACGCATCATTTTTCGAAGGCCTCCAAGAACCGAGTGCCAAATGTCTTGAAGGAATATTATAAATTTCTTCGTATACCAGAAATGGGCAATCTCGCGGGTGGTTTGTTGCGTCATTGTCCTCGAATTGTGATGAGGTGCTCAATGCTAACCACTTGATTCTTTCATAGGCTTGCCTTTTAATGGAAGTTTCCCTTTCAACTCGGTAGAGCTCTCGACTGTTGGACCAGAGAGCCTTTCAACACCTAGTCATAGAAATGATGCATCCGGATATACAGTTGATTCGACAGTACGCGTTCGAATTTTCCCGGTCCTCACCAGGAACTAGCTCAATACGTAAGATAGACCTGGACACTGCACTTCAATACGGCAGTGCGCAGGGCTATCCGCCGCTATATGCGTGGCTCCTGAAATTGTCGAATTCGGTGTATCATCCAAACATCCCGTACCAGGGTGGTGCTGATATTCTGATTAATGGTGGATCGGCAGATGGACTTTCCAAGATCTATGAACTCCTTTTCAACAACTATGACGGAGATCTGAACGACGTCCGAGATCGAGAGGGTCTGATCGTTGAAGAATTTGTGTACTCGCCGCCAATCACCCAAATTCGACACAGAGGTGTCAATATTGTTCCAATCAGAATGGATTCCCAGGGCATGCTGGCGTACGGCGCTGGCGGTCTCTCAGAAGTTCTTCAAAATTGGGACTCCGCCCGAGGAAAGAGACCGCATGCCCTATATATTATTCCGTGAGTTTTAAGAGCATCTCTCAACTTGGTCAACCGTTTAAATGGCAATAGTACGGGTCAAAATCCAACCTCCGGTGTCTTGTCCTTCCAAAGACGCAGAGACATATACCAAATCTGTTCGCAGTTTGATCTCATACTGATCGAAGATGATCCGTACTGGAACCTTTACTACCCTTCATCTGGAACGACAGGACGTGGAGTGAATTCTAAGAACATGTTTCCTGAGGATTCTAATCATAATTATAGCACACAGTCTCTAGGAGGCCAGTCCACTGGGTTTCGCTTTCTCGACGAGATTATTCCGAGCTTTCTGAGCATTGACCTGGATGGACGTGTCATTCGGTTGGATTCTTTCTCGAAAACTATCGCCCCAGGATGCAGGCTGGGTTGGATAACTGCTCAGCCGAGCATATGTGAGCAATTGTTCAGGATTACCGATGGAACAACCCAACAACCTTCTGGCTTTACCCAAGCTATAGTTGCCCAGTTACTCGGGGAATTCGGGAATACTGATCCTACAGTTGTCGATGCTGCAAAATCATCGAACGGCTGGGGCTTAGCTGGCTGGGTTCGTTGGCTCGAAGGCCTTCGCTCCATCTATGAACGGCGGATGACCAAGATGGCCACAGTCTTTGAAGACAATAGATTTGCGGGCTTTGAGACAGGTGAGACTGAGATGTTCACTTTCAGTTGGCCTAAGGGGGGAATGTTCATCTGGGTGCAGGTCAACATCTCCAACCATCCCTTATTTTCTTCTATCGACCCGAAGCGTCTCATGTTTGCCCTCTGGATTCACTGTACCCAGCACCCCTACCTGGTATTGACGAATCCCGGAGGAGATTTTGCAGCTAACGAAGCCGTAAAGGAGGAAAAGGGGTACCTGTTCCTTCGCTTCTGCTTTGCAGCGGTCGAGGAGGATTTGCTGGAAGTGAAGTCGCGATCATTCGTCGAGGCTTGTAGAAAATTCTGGTCACTATCTTACGTGAAAGACATTGACTTCATTCTACGTGAAGAAGACGCTTTAAATGGGATGAGAAAGTCATCTTCGGATGCCGCTGAATTAGACAGAGAGGTCATAGAAACCTGGTGAAAGAGAAAGCATGTCTCTTCAAAAACAATGATAGGTGCTATTCCAGCTTGTGGACCCCCTCTGAAGTATATTTTGCCCCCTACGCTTCACATAGAAGGACATCTTAGAAGTGCTTGGAATCGAGAAGACCAAAGCCCAATCGAAAGTTCTCGATTTGTCCTGAACCCCTAGCTGATGCCCTATGCTCATACTCCTTCTCCTTTCAGACGACGCCAGTGTTATCAAAGCATTGTCACCTCATTCCTGGCCATCTTGCTGTTTGAGTTCCACCTCTGTTGACTTCGAAAACTCCGTGCAAATAATACTTGAATTTAGTCATCCCGGAGACACCTTCCTCTGGCTGCCTCCTATGTATACATACGGATGTTGTCGTTGAACGCCGAAACTCTCATCCTCTGACTCGTAACCCTCGGTCCACGCCTTTTCCCTAGCATCATGCGCCATACAAAAGCGGATATACCCGCCACGTCGGATCAGTGTCAAGAGATATAAATGACAATGTAAGCCTTTCAGCAATCCAGCGGTAGCGATTCCTTGGGTTACTACGGGTGCCCTCCATCATTTGCGATTGTAAATTCCAACCAGGCGGGAGACCGTGCCACCGACCAACCACAGAATCTATCAAGCTAAAGACACTCTTACAACATGGCAGCCGTCGTGGATGCGATCATTGTCGGTGCAGGCCTGAGCGGACTCCAGGCAGCACTGACATTTCACGAATCGGGCCGATCTTTTATCATTCTTGAAGCCCGCGACCGTGTTGGGGGCAAAACATGTTCCGTCCAGCGACCGGATGGCAAGGGCGTCCAGGAGGTCGGCGCCACATGGCTGAACGACACCAACCAATCGCACATCTGGAATTATTGTAAGAGGTTCGGTCTGACACCTGTCGTGCAAAATATCGAGGGTTTAGTCGCTAGTGAAGACGCCGACGGAAGATGCCATATGTTCCCGTTCGGTGAATTACCTAGGGTAAGTGTGATAATTTGACGGAGATGTGTGCGAAGAAATTGTCCTTTGCTGACGTTTCGGAGCAGTTTGAGAAGTCAGAAGTGGAAAACATTGAGATGATCCGCGATATGGTCGAGACCGCTTCTCTGAGTCTAGAGACTTTCAAACAGCCCAAGCGAGGTGAGCTTGATTGCGTGTCGTTCGAGCAGTGGTGTCGAGATTCCGGGGCGGGAGCTCGAAGCTTGGAGACCGTTCGACTCTGGTGTCGTGGGACACTTGGTCAAGACTCGAGCGAGGTCTCAGCGCTTGCGTACCTAGAGATAGCACGGGGTGGGCTGGGGATTGTGAATCTGCGATATGATGGAAAAGATGGCGCTCAATATCTTCGTCTCGCAGAGGGCACACAGTCCATCCCGGTTGGGATGGCTGAATTGTTGCCAGCCGGCTCGATCAAACTCAGGACTCCTGTCGTTTCGATCACGCAGAACACGCCGAAGCTGTACATCGCCACCACGGAATCTGGCCACGCCTTCAAAGCACGCAAGGTCATTGTCACCGTCCCAAGCCCAGCATACAAGAACATAACGTTCTCTCCGCCTCTAAATCTCCAGAAACAGATGCACACGACTGCTGCACGCTACGGGTGTTTCATCAAGTTTATCTGCCTGTTCAAAACTCCCTTTTGGCGCCGCCAAGGCTCCTGTGGGCTCGCGCAGAGCTTCCGCGGCCCTATCAACCACTGCCGCGACACTTCTGTCGATGCTAATGGCAACTACGCGCTGACATGCTTTCTTTGTGCTGGCCCAGGACGAACTTGGATGGCTCTGGATCAGAACGACCGCCGAAAAGCTGTGTTGAAGCAGCTAGGTTCCTTGTTCGGGGTAGGGTATGAAGCGGTCCAATCTGAGTTCTTGGGGTCTATGACCTCGGACTGGATGGAAGACAAGTGGGCTGGATGGGGCTGTCCCTTCGCAGCCACACCGCCTAACGTGATTGCTGACGGGGCCGTCGATAGTCTAGATAGCCAGAAGTCTGGTGGGATCTACTTCGTTGGTACCGAGCTCGTGGATGAATGGCGTGGGTATATGGACGGCGCATTACGCAGTGGTATCACGGGTGCTGGACAGGCGTTGGCGGATTTACGTTCAGGGGATGGAAGGCTGTGACTTACATAAAGTTGCTCCTGCTGCGTAGATCTTTAAGTTATGGCGAAGAAGTCTGCCACGCGGCGAACTTGTAGTATGATACTGAGGATAGGTGGAGGGACATAGTCAGGAATCATCACATACCTGGAGCAAGAGGCTCATTGAGGCTGCAAGTGCATCTCCCACAGAAAAGCGACCACCGAATAGGAGTGCTTGATAGGGGCGACAGCCTCGTTGAATCTTCTTTACCTCGAGTCATGGATGTGCGGGAGACAATCTGCATGACTCGAGCGGACCGCATCGCTTCGCCACACTTTCTCTCAATTCCTATTGAAATGAAATCGAGGCAGGACCCAAAAGTGACCACTTAATCAACGAGGACTAGATTCAAAGAGCGGGGATACGTCGATTCGACAAAGTTATTGCACTATTGACACCCGGTACAGTACGTAGTACACTGTCATGACGAAATGTCCATCCTAGTCCAACAGGTTGAACGTGGCCACCACGCAAATCCACCAGAAAAAAACAAATAACCCAAAACCAACCCACCTGGGGTTTCCTCGACTAAAACATTTTGAATGATATGACTCCAGAGCTCCCCTCGCCCAAGAACCCCAGAGTCCGAGAATAAGAAGACTGTAATCCAGAAAAGAAAGCTAAGGAGTAACCGCTCCCTGGCGGCAATGTGGCCGAAGCGGATCAATCCGAGCTCTTGCATCAGCACTGGGCGAATGGAGAATGACTTGGAATTTATTGCCTTTGCCGGTGCTAAGTCCACCCAACAACGCATGCTCAGCCGGCTGCGATTCCCCATTTGACGACATTACACTCATGTTGGCCGAAACAGCCACCTTTCGCATAAGTCAGCATGAGTTAGGTAAGCGAGGCTCACGTTGGGGCTTTCGCGGAGACGAATGGCCCTACCATTGAGCCAAGAATCCTCCTATGGCATGTAGCCTATCACACTCATGTTTCCAAGAACTTCCTGCACAACCTGTCCTTTCGGATTGGCATCGGTGAGCTCATAGTCGGAAAGATGCTGCATCATGGTGTGGTACGTCTCGTCGTTTGCCGGCCTCCAGGTCCGACAAGGACGGGAATCGCTATTGAAGTCCTCCCAGCCAGGCTTGATGACGAGATGTTTGGCCGTCTTGAGGGTCCCATCCCGCATCTCAGGCCCGTTGAAGACCTTGATCGGCTTTGAAGTCTCCCCATCGAGGACGTAGAACCACGTCTCCGGCTTATGGTAAAGCGGGGCATCTCTCCATTTACTGGATTCTTCATCGTCCTTCACCCATTCTCCGCAACAGCGCCCGATCGAAGGTGCCCGGAGCCAGCACTGTACGTCCAAGAGGTTGATGCCCCTACACACCTCGCGGTAGATAGCAAGCGACGTGAGTGCGTCTCGGATGCAATTATGAGGTGGCATAGGTTTGCACTCGTCTAATTCAATCATCCGTTTGTTTCCTGTAGGCAGTTTGATGGCGACTGCGTTTTTGCAATAGTCTGTAGCCGCATCTTCCCTGATGGCGAGGTTACTGGCAGCGAAGCCATCCTTTTCGGAGAATCTGTGAGGCATCGCTGTGGTCAAGGCAGCGAAGCAGACCATCAAGGAGGCGGTAACTGTGGAGCTCTTCATGTTGGTTAAAGAACTACCAGTTGGTGGCTGAGGATGCTTTCTATGCTGAATGTCGTTTGCAGAGCAAATTTCTTGCGCGAGTATCCTAGGGGAACAATATCTTGGTATGAAAGGTAAGTGTTCTCATGAAGGAGTATGTGGGAGACCTCTAGGAATTGGCTGCTTCGCTAATAAAAGAAAGGGAGTGGAAAATGAGGACCTACAGCGAGATCTCCACCAAACACATAATACATGTTTGCCTTCTTCGAGGACTCCACTCGCCTGGAGGCGCTGTCTGCTGCCATACCCAATAGTTAACATCAGAAGGTTTTGCAGCGGAGGTCAGGCTTTGTCGCAAACCACTGCACTGGGATCGAAGCGCTGTGGGCAGATGCAGCGTGTGGTCAACTTCTCAGCCCGCACCTTCAAGGACCAATACATTCGAAGATCCTCTTTCAGCAGAAGGGCCAAACATGTTTTTTTATCATGTACCGTTCTGTCATCGGACACGTCACGCTCCACTCCCTCTCGCTGTCCAAATGTGGCTACCCCGGAGACCGTCAGTGGGCGTAAAGTCTATGCGATCGCTGAAAACACTGAGGCAGCACGCAACGAGCAGATCACTACACGTGGGACGGAAATTGAATTTACATGCAAGATCTGGGGAAGTTTGACTTTCCATTTCATTTCCATCTCAATTTTGAGATCATCGGCTCATGCGCATCATGGTAGGCTCATCTCGTCTCGTCTCATCTCATCTGTCAGTAGCTATGGGTGTTTCGTCTGTACATCATCTCTAATGCTGTTTTTAGTGCGAAGTAGAAGTCGAGTCGCGCTCTCCTTTGTTCTCTTTGCTTGATTTTATGACTCTGTACCCCATTAAAGACGCCTTTTCCGTGCCGGCTCGCGTGAAAAATCAAGGGGGAAGAAAGAGATCGCTCATGACTTTTCGGGACCAACCCAACCCAATAGCCCAAGAACGCTTCGCTATGCTGTGATCAACGATCCTGCTCTTATCCACGCTGCAACGCCATGACATGCTATGGATGCTGATTGAGTTTGCTAAGAAGAAAATAATCTGAATCTCTGATCGAATTCGATCCGTTCTTTGGGGTATCATCGCTTTTTGAAAACGAAAAAGAGGTCGTTATTGCTCACCAGGAGCGTCTGATGCAAGAAAGGCTGCACATGTGCCTAAACGTCAACGCACATGGTAGGACTAAAGCGGGTCCAAGGTGTGCTGTTCGAAAGCACCATAGAAGTCGTCATTAACGATGTAATCTGACGGGCCGTTAAAGTTGTAATCTTCGAAAGGAAAGATGTTATCGTCCGCAAGGTCGTCAGCACGGGTCGCATGTGTGTTGGATTGTTTGCTGGTGGCTAAACTATTGGGTGGGTTGGAAGTCGGATATTCTCCGGATAGGTAATGGTACGCATTGCCGGAGTGGTAGATCTCATCTCCCAGCATAGTCATGGATCCCGATAGGGCTTCATCATTATCCGAGACATTGTCGACATCACCATGATCGTAATCTCCAAGGCCATAGTACAAGAAATCCTCTTGCTTCCCTGGGCCACCAACCAACCCGTCTATAGCTGAAGTCTTTCGGGCGCCTTTGTCTTTGCGAGCCTTTCGTTTACGAGGCACAGAAGCTGGACCTTCATCGACAGACTGTTCTGCTTTGCGTTTCTTCTCACGAATCATACGCTTACTTTCAAGGCCAAGGTGTGCGGTGCGGATGTGCTCTTCAAGGCTGGCTTTGGTGGTAAAACCACGGTTACAACCTTCAACAACCAAATCCTCCTGGTTTTGAAGCTCATCTGGCAAGGCAACTTCAGTTTTACCACACACAAAGTCCCGGCTGTTCTCGTGAACCGTTTTGACATGGACATTCAAATTGCCTCTCTTGGTAAAGACCTTGCCACAGCCGTGTGTACAAGGGAAGGACGGGGCCTTTTTGGACGAAGTAGGCAGGAGAATGCCATGCTGGATTTCCAGATGTCGAGTCAGTTCCTTGTTGGTGGTGAAGGACGTAGGACAGTGAGAGCATGTCGGAGGGTGGACAATCTTCAGATGAGCCTGAAATTCACCGTACGTTGGGAAATATGCCACGACTATCCGATCGAATTGTCCAGATGCGCGATGAGCTTCGTTCAATTCCTTGCAATCATCACAGGAAAATCGAGAGGGATCATGCTTGGCGCGCTGGTGGGTGCGCAATTTCTCGGCGGTGTCGTATGCCTTTGTGCATGGCTGGCCAGTGACCGAATCTGTCTCCTCACATGGAAATGGCTTGATGTTCTTGTGAAAAGACAATATATGCCGGTCTAAGGTGCCTTGTTTTCTGAAGGTCTGGTCACAATCGGGGTGGTTACAACGGAACCGATCTTTGTCTTGGTGAGTTTCCACATGTCTGCGCAATCTTGTAGCCGTTACGAAACTCTTGTCGCAGCCTTCAAAAGTGCATGGATGGTCACGCAACTTAACATGTTGGCTCTTGACATGGTGTTTGAGGTGAGAATCACGGAGGAACGCCTTGGTACATGGCACGTAGGGGCATTTGAAAGGGCGAGTATTTGTGTGTGATCGCAGATGCTCCTTAAGCCTAGCCTGACGATTGAACGATTTGTGACAATTTTCCCAAGGACACGGGAAGGATTTTCCTGGCTGTCGCGCGGAAGTGGTGGAAGTGGAAGGAGGGGTGGAGGCTGGAGTATCGTCGATCTGACCGCTGACCGTTCCCTCGGAGTAGTTCAGGTCGTAGTCGGCCAGATCGACATTCTCAAAGTCGTCGTCTGAGTCGATGTCGATGTCAATGTCGGCCATGGTGAAGTTGCGTGGCTGTGGGCCGTCGAGGGCGCCTGTCGCGCGACGATCTAGGAGAGGTAGAGGGGTAGTGGAAGGTGTAGACTTTCCGCACAGCTTGGGACTGAAAATTACGAGGGATTAGAGGATGTGCCGACCAATGGAAGAGTGTGGGGAGGGATGATTTTGATGGAGGTTTCGGCGTCCGTGCGGTTGGTTGAATCTCAGTTTCCATTCGGTTTTAGATTTTTAGGTGCGGGCTACTGCACGTGATTCTGCTGCAGCTGCATTCTTGGCGACATAATGCAGATCACGTGCCTGACGCCGAGCATGTCTCCACGTGACCTGACTTGGAATTTTGTTTTCAAATCGGACGCGACCAGTCGACAATGGACACTTATTAACGCAGGCAGGCAGCGACTGGAATGCACAACAACCTACTGCTCGTTCGATATCAAACGGATTCCCTGGCTCCACCGTTGATTTCTGCTTTTCGTCTGCGATAATCAAGTGCGCGGGTTGTCCCTCCCTACCTCATCCTGTCCTGTCGCAATCTCTACAGGCCACCCGTTCGACAAACGGCCTGCTATGTCTGACTATGGTGATGATGGAGGGTAAGTTGACTGGCCAAGTCCTTCCTTCATTCAAAACTAATGCGCCAAAAGCTACGGTCAGGACGAACCCGATGACACCTTCTACGAGCCCGAGGAGAATGTTGAAGACTTTGCTCCTGACGTAGATGTCGACGAGGAAGCAGTCGAGGCGCAAGCCGCTGCCGAGCATGATGAGGACAAAGTCGTCGTCTCTGGTGATGCAAACCAAGTCCAGAAACCGTCTAGCGATGCCGACAAGAAGATTCCTGAAGGGAAGCGCACAACAACACCCTACTTGACCAAGTATGAGAGAGCTAGAGTCCTGGGCACAAGAGCTTTGCAAATCAGGTATTGCGGGTTCTATCTGAACTGCTTTCTTGAAGCACTACTGACCAACCCAGTATGAATGCGCCTGTGCTGGTGGATCTTGAGGGCGAGACCGACCCCCTCCAGATTGCCATCAAGGAGCTGAACCAAAAAAAGATACCTCTCATTATTAGACGATATCTACCAGATGGCTGGTAAGCTAGAAATCACATCAGCATCTCGCGCTTACTGATGATCCATTCAGGTATGAGGACTGGACGTGTGAAGAACTCCTCTGATCTGAACTCGTTGCCGTCTCCATCTACGCCACAATCCAGAGAATGACCACTTCTAACGTGATCCGGAGCACTAAATTAAGCTTTACGACCCATGTATCTCTGTCAATCCGTTGCCTGTGGTCTTGTTCTGGTTTACGCCGGTGAGGCTTGACACCGACGTGAGATGCTGTGACTGCCACAGGTACCACGATAAACGAAAACGACTCACACTGTTCATCAATGATGACAACGCACACTATTGGGCATAAGACAACAACAACCCATCGGCGTATCAAATCATTTCCTCCGACAAAGTATTTCAGCACTCGGGAGAGAGTTGAACAAGAGAACTGGATAGTGCAGGCCACTGATGCGCTGCGCCTCCGCGGCTCGGCAATCCATGTAGATATCCACAACGCTTAGCGTCCGCAAGGCTTACTGACGCCTTGCCAGTTTGAGTTATTCGATAGCACCCACCTGGCTATCTCACCTCGGCGGCTTGAAACCGCTCCAATCATCAGGCCAGTCAAAATCCGTGATTACTGACTTTGGAGTCCTGATTTGCTCTTCGGCAATAATACAGAAGCTCGTCCTGCTTGTCAGTTATGCAGTCGCGCACCTGTACTCCTGATTAGAAGTGCAAATATCATTACTTCTTCTGTACAACAAAATTTCTTAATTTGCCAATTGGTGTAGGCGTAAACGAGTTGTATGCTTAGAGAGCGGCTAAACCTTGGAGCGCAGACTCATATCTGCGATTAAAGCTTCTCTTTGTGAAGCTGGTGGGTGTTACCGAACTCCCTGCAAGGCCACCATGTCTCTTTACTCTTTGACCTTGTTCTGAACACAATTCAAACCGATCTGATTCGGTCGTGACATAAACGAGTGGCAGGAAATGGCTAAACGTGTCACCCTTTCGCGCCGTCACATTCTTGAGGGGGGCCCAAATCCGAGCTTATGATCCTTTTGGGGCTGCCGAAGGCATACCATCTCACTTCCAAAAGTCCGATGGATCAAATACAGTCGGATTGCAGGCCTCGCTTCAGCGGCTGTATTGCAGGATACTATTTCTGAGGACGCTGTCGGCGGTGGATCATCGCAGCAATCCGACCATGGATCCCAGGGAACTGATTGATTGATTACAGCAGCACGAGGCAAGTCAGGCTCGGTGGAGGCTCTTGAATCCTTGCGAACTTGGATCGAATTCGTCGTTAACGCCCAATATGGAGAGCTCCAGTGGATGGCCTATATTATGGCCCAAAGAAGCCGTTCTGCCCCAAGTATGAAAACAACTTTCCAGCCCTTGCCAAATTCGCACAGCTCTGAAAGCGACGTCCCGTGGGTCAACGTTGTGTGCGAATGTCTTCTATGGAAAACAACCAAATTCCCCAAGCCACGATACCCCCGAGGCGATCAGCTTCAAACAGGCGCCATGGACAGAAGAGGATCCCTAGAAAACCGGTGCCACAGCGGCGGCCGAATTCTTCGAGAAGTTTTACGCAGACCTTCGCATGGTTGAGCGGTGCTCTGCTGGACCGTGACAGTACACCCACCGTCCAGGAGGAAGAACAGTCACAGCTGAATGAATTCAACAGACATTCATATCGTTACACCTCTCAGTTCGACCCGCGCATGCAATCTGGACTTACTCTGTATGACCCGGAACTTCAGCCAAATCGATTGTCCAAGCCACCAGACGCGTCTACGAGATCTAGTGTTGTTGACGCGCTAAATCTTGATTGGCAATTGCCGCCATTGTCTCGACCCTTTGCTGACATTGATGTTTCATCGGTCCTAAATGTTGCAATTGAAGCGCAAGCAAATCTATCACCTCCTGCACCTGGAGATGCGCCGCCTCCTAATGGCGGTCTGATCGCATGGCTGCAGGTGCTTGGAGCATTCTTCTGCTACTTTAACAGCTGGTAAGTACACCCCTTGTCACACTGCCACATAGTGCATCAGCCAGAGCTTGGAACAACATAGGAATGAAAGATAAATCCTGGAGGGGAGACTGCTAATGAATTGATAGGGGGACCATGAACTCATTTGGTGCTTTTCAAACATATTACGAAACCCGTTCCGACTGGCATAGAAGTCCGTCCGAGATATCTTGGATCGGGTCCGTTCAGTCGTTCCTGTCACTGATGGTAGGAGTCGTGACTGGACCTCTGTACGATGCAGGGTATTTCCGATACATTATCTGTGCTGGCGGGTTCCTCGTCCCTTTTGGATACATGATGACCAGCATCTGCACCCAGTACTGGCAAGTGCTGTTAGCGCAGGGTTTTGTCATTGGAATAGGTAACGGCTGCCTGTTCGTGCCTGCTGCTGCAATTCTACCACAGTATTTCAGCACCAAAAACCCGCTTGTCAATGGCATCGCAGCTAGCGGCTCAAGTCTGGGTGGAATTGTGATTCCGTTCGTTATGACCCGCCTTGAACGACAGATTGGCTTCGGATGGGCAACGCGAACCGTCGGCTTCATCGCGGCGGCTACAGCCACAGTCAGTATCGCGTTTATGAAGCCTCGTTTGACCCCGAAGAGCCAACGCAAGCTACTCGATCTTGCCGCTTTCAAAGAGCCAACCTACTCTTACTTCACAGGAGGACTTGCAATAGCATTTATTGGATTCGCCGTGCCCACATTTTACCTCGGTACCTTCGCATCCACTACGGGCGTTGCTAGCGAGGAATTCTCTTTCTACTACCTGCCTATTCTCAATGCCGCGTCGACATTTGGTCGTATCATCCCGGCCATTCTAGCGGCAAAGTACGGCCCGCTGAACGTCTTAATTCCGATCTGTTTGTTCGCTGGCTCGCTGGCTTTGATATGGACAACCATCAAGACCTCCGCCGGCACGATCGTGTTTGCCATCTTCTACGGATTTTGTTCCGGAGGCTTTGCAGCCATGTCGCCCATCGCCCTGGTGACGCTGACACCTGATCTTCGCACACTTGGAACGCGTATGGGTCAGCTGTTCTTCTGCTGCGCAATGGGACTTCTAGCGGGACCGCCGTCTGCCGGTGCGATCCTGAATACGACCAAATCTTGGATCGCACTAAAATGCTTTGCTGGTGGTACCGTTGTAGCTGGTGGACTGGTTTTGATTTTTGCGAGAGTTAGCAGGGTGGGTTGGAGTCTAAAGAAAAAGGCCTAATGGGGCCAATTCCAGCATCCTTCGCGTGTTCCTCCTGTTCCTCGTACCCCCATCTCGGCTTACCTGGAACTCTCCCTGCCCATTCCGAACAGGAAGGGTAGATCCCTTTCATGGATACTTACTTAGTCAGTCCCATCAGGAAGCTGACCGCAGGCTAGCGAGGATAGTAATGCTAACTCGACAATGGTGAGTGGAAAGTGCTTGCACGAGGTATTGCCCTAGGTCTATCGTGCTGACTAAGATCACCTAGGTGGTTGGCCAACGATCCTACGAACACCTCGTAGGTCACAGGCGGAGCGGAGCCTCGTCGAAATATGATTCCAAATCAGCCCAGTGTGCAATGAAGTTTGCATAAAGCTAACGCAAGACCTTCGTGGATTCACGATTCTCCATCGTATTCTTGCGAACCTTATTGACACGCCCCTCAAAATGGCCACCCATAACCTGGCAGCAGGCCAATATACCGTCACCATCAATGGTCTGATCATTCACTATACCATTCGTTCTTCTGGTGCTGGCCTTCCTCCCTTGGTTATCCACCCACCACCATGGGGTTGCGGAGTCGAAATATACTATTCAACATTCGCACGGCTCGAGGCAACATACACCTTGATATACCCTCAACCACGTGGCAACGACTCATCTCAAAGGCCCGATGACCCGGCCCAGATGTCCAGCCGCCACATCGTGGACGATCTAGACCTGTTCCGCCAGCATCTCGGCCTCGAGAAGATCAGCGTTCTCGGCCATTCCAGCGGCGGCACGATCGCACTGGGCTATGCAATAGCATACCCGGACAAAGTAGACAAAGTGGTCCTTCTCGACACTGACTTATTGGGCTACACCAGAAAGGATAACTCATTCTTCGAAGCTGTGACATCGATTCAAACCTCACCGGGTGTGTCGGTAACGAACGACGCCGAGTTCAAAGCCTTTGTCGTCAAGATCCTGCCGCTCTACTTCGCACACCCCGAGAACGGCGGGCCGGAGCAGTTCGAGCAGGCTTGGGCCAAGACAACCGCCTGTCTCTGGGCGTATGGGGCCTACTACGGAGCGGATAAGAGTGAGGCTGGGCAGTGGGACCAGTTCTCGGAGTTGGGAAAAGTCCAGACGCGCAAGATGCTCGTTCTTGTTGGGAAGCAGGATCGTTGCTGCGGCCCGGAGGTCAGTGAGGCTGTTGCGCAAGGGGTCAAGGGTAGCCAGCTGGTTGTTCTCGACGACTGTGGCCACTTCCCATGGGTTGAGGGTGGGGAGGAATTTTGGAAAGTGTTGGAGGGCTTCTTGAGTGACTGACTAATCAGATAATGAAAGAGGGTGTTCAGGAGGTAAAGCTTGACTCCTCGTTGGATACGACGAGGCCTAACGTGAGCGATATTGCATCCTTGGACACGGAAGTGACTAAGTATACGAAATAAGAACGAGAGATAATTCCCGAACGCCTTTCATGAAACCTTCCAAAGCAAAGAAAGAATAGATAAAAATGGAACCGGCCTATCTATCTATGACAATGAAATTTCCCACGGAGCGACCCCTAGCCCTTTCCATAACTTTTTCCTCCTGCAACAACACCCGCTACGAAACAAAAGAGTCAGTGCTCGTGCTGCCCCTGTGCTGCCCCTCATCCCATTTCCAAGTCCCCTTTGATCAACGCCATGCACACATACACAACCCACAAGTGATCCCAGAAGCAGATAATATCCTGGGTTCGTCCACGTCTCACGACTAGCACGTGAACCATGAAATGCTCTCAGATGCTCTCAGATGCTCTCCCACCACTCCACAACAACGCGGTAATCTCAATGAATCGCACCTGCGAGCGCGGCTGCTCTGCTTACAGAAATCTCACTCCTGGCACTCTCTTGATGACGTAGGCTTGGAGTACCTCATCCCATTTGCCGTGCTCTTCAAAGTGCTCCTTCGTGGCCCGATGGCGCGAGTAGGACCTCTCACGCGGAACGTGGGCTCTGGGGTTCCCACCACGGCCTCTGGTCTCCTCGCCGTCGCTGTCGTCGCTGTCGTCGCACTTGGGGTCTTGACAGCGAGCGCGGCGGCGCTCTACCTCGGTTTGAATTTGTCCCAGCGTCAAGTTGTTGATGTCCAAGCCGTCGAGCTCGTGACCACGCACGCCCGCGAGTCTGATCCTATCGAGATGAGCCGGTCTGACTTTGTGGGCTTTGTGGACGGGGACTTTCTCAAGCTTGAGGTGCGGGTCGTCGACGCGGTAGATTTTGGGAGAGCGGGGCGAGGGCACTGGTGGTGGAGACGGAGATGGGCTTTTGGGTACTGGTGCTGGTTCTGGAGATGCTGGTCGTGGGTGGCCCAAGAGGTCACGCAATTTGAATGTTGGAGAGCATGGGAAGTATCGTGATGGAGAACGATGGCGTGGACGGCAGCTTTCGACTCTTGGTGTGGGTACAAGAATTGGAATGAGCACGGGACTTTCTGGGGCTCTCTTGGGAATGGGCTTTGGCACTGCTGGGGAAGTTGGAGATGGCTTGTCATGGCGGTCATGTTCTCGGGGATGATGGTCGTCCTTCTTGTGCTTGCCTTTGCGGACACGGCGTCTTGCAGGGTCAGTGGGATCCATGCAGTTAGAATCAGATTTAACCTCGTACTCTTCAAGTTCGCTGGCTTCAATAACCTCCCTTTCGTACTTGTAGAACTTGTAGGAATTGTAGTGCTTGGATCGTTTGCGGAAGAGGCAGAGCCTACCATTAGTGTCGCGGCCAATCCATGGGACTTTCTTCTCGTTTGGTGGAGACATGGCGAATGATCAGGATCCACTGGAGTATTTGTATTGAGACCGGTAAGGATTGCGGTTTTTCGAGTTCCACGAGAAAGATCAGAGGGCTTGAGCGAGTATCTTGTTCGTTTGCAATTCAAAGCAAGGATTGTAAACGGAGTTGTGAATGCCAACAGGATTCAGTCCTTCCATCGGCCTGGACTTATGTTCTCTGAATTCTGCAAAATACTCAGACGAGATGCTTGCACAGACAACACTCATTGATGCAAGTGTACAGAAAGAACAAGGCTGCAGCAGAGACATTGTTGCTGCACCAGGAGCTGCACTTGTGCCAGGGAGCAGCATTGTGACAAAGGCTGAAAGAATGACTTTTTCCATCTGGGTTCTGGCACCTACCTTTCCTCACAAGGCTGGTCACATAGACGAAGTCGATGTCAGTGGTGGGTGCCATTGTGATGTCTCCTAGCCTGCAAAGTTTGCTCCAGCGAGGTCTCGAGACATAAAGAAGGAGTGTCTCACCAGACTACAAATCTGGTCATGTGGCCAGTGGCCAACATGGCTTGCGGGATGGCCTCAACGTCAACGGCAGCAGCATCGCAAGAGTTAGTGCTCCGGAATATGTTCCCCTGCCACAATGAATCTGTTTATCCGTTGGAACCTGGCTTGCATACATAGGTAATGGTTCAACTAATGTGCATGGCCGACGGGGGAGAGGAGTAAACAAACTCAAGAAAAATGGGAACAAAAGAAAGATGTCTTGACACACGTGACCGTCTCAATGGCGCCTCCAGCAATACGCGCCCGAGGGGCCCAATTCTGTAGCCCCGGCCATCTTAGTTAGCGAGCATGTACCAAATTGTCCTCACGACGGCTCCTATACTGGCATGCCCAGGTTTGAATTTCCCACAATCACGCACACTTGCCTAACTAATTCCAAATCTACCAGCCCGTGATATGATGTTCCGGGTGAAGACTCAGAAGCTCTCTGGCCAGGACCCAATTAGTTCCAGTCTTGCCGTCTGCGTTGTAGTAATAGCAACTACTCGTAAGCACCTACGGGTCCTTGATGCATAGCAACCAATTGACAATACCATAACAACACTACTAGATATGCGAGAAGACATCTTCCGGAGCGTGAGAGTGAGCCCGCCACCTGATGGCAGCATAAGGCCTCATGATATCGCCGCCCGAGGGATGATAGTGATACGATCAAAGTTTAGCCCTCACTCCATCCCCTGATTCTGTCCCCTGCAATCTGATAAGCCTTTTCAACAGGAAAATCTCATTGCTTTACACTCACTGGTATTTCAGCTGTCTTCTGGTTAGCATGGGACAGAATCCACCCTGCGACATCATTTGTGAACTTTTGTCCCACCCCATCAGGCTCCGCGTGCAGCTTGTGGTATGCATCCGGGTACGCTTGGTACACCTTGTCCCCTTCTGGTGCTGCCAAAACATCAAATAGCCTCTTAGCTGCTGAAGCAGAGACCACTCGGTCTGATGTGCCGTGACCAAGCCACACAGGACAGGGTAGCGTGGGATGCAAACCAGCTATTTGATGCCCATGGCTCATGCTGGAGAGGTCTCCTGCACGTTGAAGAAGACCTTTGAGACCTTCTAGGGTACCGGTATCGTGACAAAGGGGATCATTCACCCAGTCTTCTCGCACTTTAGCAGCGTGAGACAGGTACGTTGAATCCAATTTCTGCTTCAGTTGCGTGGTGGGAAGCAAGAAAGCGGCCAGTTTTCCAGCAAACACTTTCAGAAAGGATGGCTGTTCGGAAGGATCAAGCTCAATATAGGGCGCTTCGAGAAGCAGACCAGCGATCGGAGGTCGATTGGAAAAAGCAGCTGGGTCAGACAGCAGGTAATACAATGACTCGTTGCCTCCCATGCTGTGTCCCATCAAGAACAGTGGCCTCCCTTTGGCTTCTGGAAGGGAAGCAACATGAAGCACGAAGTCGTGGATATCAGCGATGACCAGCGACGTAGGTCCTGTATTTCCCTTCTCGGTTGGCTTATTCACCGATCGTCCCCAGCCTCGTTGGTCGAAGGCGTAGACTGCTATGTTATGTGGAGGAGAGCTGAGAGTCGGGAAGAAGTCATAGTACGCTAAGGCCAAGTCAGCGGAATCCTTCTTTCGGCCTTGTTGGTGGGGATCCACCATTTACGTGGTCGGAAAATCCGTGCACGAATATCACTGCTGCCGCCGCCGCATCTCCCGAGTCTGGCTAGGGAAGGTCAGCTACATTTCACACGCCTCAGGATCCCACTTGAGAAAATTGATATTGGCTGGAAATATCATGATGGTTTCGAACCGGGCATGACATACCGTCCAGGATTTTGTGTACAGGCTTGTACCGTCCCTTGTTGAAAATGATCCTTCACTTGTCACCGTCATGACGGCGAAAACCAGTCAGAAATAAAGGGCGTGTGAGGGTAAAGAGCCACCTTCAGTGCGATGTAGTGTATATAGCGATAATCCAAAAGGAATATGAAGTGGTACAGGTCGTATGGAAGGAACGTGGTTGATATCTGCAAGGAGCTAGGGCTGTTTCAGCTCAGCACGTGGACGATGAACCGAGGCAGCAGTGGCTTTAGGCACACCCGTCAAGCAACCACAACCACGTGAGACGTGCGGTTGTCACATCAGCTTCCTGGAGATATGCCTCCTATTCTGGTTTGTGCAGATGGATGCAAGCATCTGAACATTATGAGGGAGAAACACCCGGGGGCAATGGGTTTCTGCATCGTTGTGGTAGGGGGGCCGGCTGAGGATGGAAAGGAAGTGAGGTACCGAGTATACGAAGTCCATTTCTGGCCCGCGTCGGCTCAGCAAAACCACATGGTCTTCCCTAAACGGGGCGTGAAATCACGAAAAGGGCTAGAGAAGGTCATTCGCACATTATCATTAATACCTGGATGATGAACACCTGTGGCCTTCCCCTCGTCCCGCCAGATCGCCTTGTCAACTGGTCAACTGGTCAAGCCGCTCACAATTGCATAAACAAACGTTACTACAGTGTCTGCGGAACTTTCGCGGTTCCAAGTAGAGGTTAGGACTTGCATCTGGTCTTTGTGATCTGGTTCGTATGCCCTACCTACCTACTGTCGATGATTTATTTGGAGAATAAGCACAACTCGCTATATTTATAAATTCACCTGCGCAAGCTTCTAGCCCCGAGCTTATTGGAAGGGACTTGGACTTGCACGCATGACAATGCTAAAGCTTACCTTGACAAAAATTCCACCAAACGTTAAGATGAAACAGAGTGAGCCTCCCATTGAGCGACTATCAGACTTGTTGAGCAACGTTACAATTTGGGACGAGACGAGCTCCAGATCTGCGATCATGTCCTTTCATGCTTACCCTGATAAGCCAAGCGCCCCTCAAGAAACGTGGAAGCCACCCCAGGAAGTGCGCTCGAGAATGCGCGCGGGTTTGATTTATGAGATGGTTTTTCTCGGCTTTGGCATGAGAGAAACGAAGGACAGAGGAACAACGACAGGCCTCAAAGAGCTGACCCAATGCCCGCGACCCTATAAGGCTTGAGCAACGTTGCTCCAAGGCCCGTGTTCTCCTTCTGTATTATACGCATTTCAATCACTCCCTAATACCAAGTTTGATTTATCACCAGTGTGCACGAATCAAATCGGATTGAAGTCAAGCTGGCCGTATGCCCTTGCATTCGTTCCGCTGTCACTAGCACTCATTGACCCGAGAATTTCTTGGCCAAATACATATAGCATATAACTTGGCACCACAATCCATGCGCCGTTCGGAATGATCCAAACCGTGACCAAGTCAAACAACGAATTGTGCCCAATGCTTGCGAAATCCGAGAAAGCTTCATTGAGCCCTGGAAATGGTTAGGAGATCCGTTCGTTATGTCTGGTAGGCAAAAAGGCTCCCAATAAAGTAAAGACTTGCTCACAGTCATGACTGCGCCCGAAAAACAAAGCAAAACCGCTAAGCTCACACACACACCATTGCCCTTACTTCTAAGCGGCTGATATGTTGATAACTCCAGTCCCCAATCTGGAGTCCTATAACATAAAGATACCAGCCGTAAAAAGCACTTTCGAGCACGTTCATTGCTGATTGCGCTGCAGTGAACCCGGTACGGCTGTTCCACGCCGGCCACCCGTAAATAAGGTCGACAGAACCATATATGGCAGAGGGCGTCCAGATGGGAGAATGGAGCTTCCCGCCAGGCATCGTGTATGGACGGAGATGCACGTAGAGCGTATCCCATGCCACCAAGGGCAGAGAGACAACCAGCCAGACGACTAAGGCTATGGGTGGTCTATGGGTATAGCCTGGGGAGATGGAGACGAAGGATGCGGGCGGTCGCGCTAATGGCTTCAGCTCTCCCGTCCCTGCTGTACTTCGCGGCTCGTTGTCAAGCATGAGACCCCTGAAAGTGGTAGTAGGATCATCCCGGCTGCTTACTCTGCACTGGCGTTGCTTCGATGCGTTCTGTCTAGAAATCGACATGATTGAAAAGGGGGAATGAGTTCAAGAATGTTGAGAATGTGAGGATTGAGAGGAGGCTTTGTCGTCCCTGAACAAGAGTGACACGACTGATATGCGACCTGTCTTTGAGGTGGTGCCATAAGAATACACGTAGACGATTGAAGCTTGGGACGCAGTTGAAGCATCTCCTCTGCGTTGGATGACCTCGCGACTGCGTACAGCGTAAACCTTTCCGCATGAGTTCTAGCCACTGCGAATAGAGGATTTCCTCCTGGCACATCCCCAAGTCGAAGACGGAGCCTTCATCCGCAGTCCGCAGTATGTCTCGTTTCTTAGCCAATCAAATACGCCACACGCCCACCGCCCGGCCCCAACGGGGGGATATATGACGAATGGTGATGTAGTGCCAGGTCGATATGTGAGGGGACAAAAGGTCAGCAATGACGTTCTGGTAGACAATTGAGGATAACGATAATTATGAGCTGGAGGGAAAAGCGACGTCTGAGCCGGTGGTTCACAGGGTGTACTGTATTGATCAAAGAACAGGCCTCCTTTCCTGAACCCTAGCCCTCCGTGTTTTGAATTCGAGATTTTACTACCATGAAATACCCGGGTGGCTGCTACTGCCGCAAGGTTCGCTATGAGCTCGAGCTGGAAGACCCGGAAAAGGCACGTACGAGTCTCTGCCATTGTGGGAATTGCAAGAAATTCACAGGTGGCCCCTTCGGCATCACGACGAAGATTCCCAAGTCGAGTTTCACTGTGACAGAAGGAAGGGACAGTGTCAAGGTCCACGAGGCTGATAATGGAGCGGGCACGCTCCTCCACCGCGAATTTTGCATCGATTGTGGGAGCGGGTTGTTGGAGTATGGTGTAGGTAATTTCATGTTCCATTTTTCAAGTCCGCTGTGTGCAGCAAGGTGTTTAAGGGAAAGGGGCCTACTTCAGGGTCCAGCCAGGCATCGAGAATCGAGATGGCCGCCTACCCCTTGTGATTCTTTCCGTGACGCAGTGGATGTGAATGATTATTGCATTCCTTAGACCATTTCGAAATTGCTAAACCGATGCTCGCCGTTTCGATGACGGTCTAGGCCAATGCGGGAGACTTCATTTATATCTTCTACGGGACCCTCGACCGACCGACCGATTTGCCGCCAAAGGGCGAGTTCTTCTGTAGCAGGCGGGACAATTGGATGCCGGAAGTTCCCGGTAAGTTTCTTTGGTGCCGTTCTATGAATCATTTTGCCCCATCCAGGGAGCCTGTTTCCTGGATAGTGTTGTTTTGAGTTTTCATGAAAAGCTGACATGGGCGGTGCTTTTGATATAGGTGTCTTCCATAAGCAGAAGATAAAGGAATGAGCATTGAGAGGATTAGGCAGTTCCCGATGAACGAGGAATGGACTTGTTCTCCTTCCAAAATAGTTCTTTTGGCTGGCTCTAGGCGGGGCGCAAATACCGAATGATGAGATGCGCTGTTGAGAAATGAAAACAGGCATCACCCGTGTTGAGCGAAAATGCTAAGGGGATCACACTAAGGCCTTCGGGCTCCAGGTGATACAGTTCAAGATATCAGCTGACTATGGACCAAAACCTGAGCAAAGGCCTCGAAGGGATATAGTTGTCAGGTATAAAATTCCGTTCAATTCAGCTCTAGTAGTTTCAGTCGACCCTGCTACGAGGCTGAAATCCCGGTTCCATCCCAATTCCATCCCAACGCTTTGAAAAGACCAAAATCCGGTGAATTGAATTTCAAACTCCTATACCGTCTCCTCGCAATGTCATAGGAGCAAAAATCCGGGCCTGCAGGGGTTGCTCATGTAGCCGAGTCAGCTGCGTTCGGAACGGATTCCTTCCGATCTTGCGTCAAACCTCCCGTTTGACACTGGTCCTTCGTGTAGTGACCGACTCGCAGCAATCAGGGGGACTGCCGTTCGATACCAGGCTGCATCAGGGTCGATCCATCGCACGCAAGTTGCCTGTCTCAGTAGTTGCCAAATTTCGAAGCAGCTTTGGGCTACACTGAGTAGAAGTTAAGACAGTTTGGTTAAGAAGGATAAACCGAAATACTGCAATTTAGAAGTTCGTAACTTATCGGTTCGTAGTTGCTGTCATAGAGATTCGGTTTGTTTACCGGCGGTCTTCAGCCCCCCCGGGAGCTGCATATATCCCATCCATCTCTGACCAGTCATGTCGATTGTCATAAGGTAAAGGTGGTTTTTGGCCCAGTATGATCCATCTAGAGGTGTCAGCATGTCAATCGTTTTCATGTCTTAGATCGATCGGTCGAATTCTCACATGGGCCAATATCCGTGGATATCTTTCCTCCTCAGCTCCTGCCGACATTGGGCCAATAAGACCTGGAGCTCTTCAACCTGCCATGCCAGCAACTGCGTGAAGACCTTGACGCTGAGTCCGTAGAACCCATCCATCAAATTGACATATCCAAACATTCCAGCTTCCCGTAGCCTCTTGTCCTTGGCCCACGGACCTATCGGCATTTTGAAATTCAGTCTTGCAACATTAATGAATCCTGCGTCGCGCATTTGCTGCATGACGAGATCTGGGTCGCAGTGGCCTTTCAGTCCGATCTTGTTGATGCCTTCGGTCCATAGATTTTCCCATTCGGTGATCCGTGAATCTGCGGGAATGCTGTTGTCGTCGGAGTAGCGTTTGTAGCTGAATTCTTGGGATTCAACCCAGCCACCTGGTTTGAGGACTCTGGGGATTTGAAAGGAGATGGTTAGTTACGGTCACCATGCATGGAATCTAAATTGGAGATTTCGAGTGGGTGTGTTTACTTGAACGCCTCACGATAGAAATGGGGCCCTATGAGTACCAATTAGTTGTACCCACACCACTTGTTTGAGTGCTCTTACAGTTCTTTAGCGAAGTGTCATTCATGACACGAGAATGTACTAGATCGAATTGTTGTCGAAATGTCCATTCTTCATCTGCATCTGCAATTTCAAACTGGGGACATCATCAATCTCAGGGCGTAAAGGTCGTTGTAAAACATGTATACCTGTAAATTCGGTGGAACATAAGATGGTTGTATCGGACTCAGGTCCGTCCCACATACTAAATGGTATTAGCATCTACGAAGAATGAGGCCCAGGGGTTTCGCAGCACACATACCTTCGGCGGCCGGATAGGTGTCCGCTGTGGGTAAACTTCAGCCCCTAGGACTCTGCCGTACGACGGAATACTAACCGAACTCGATGGCCCAAATACCTGGAGACTATCAGTTGGCGATGCTTTGTCTTAGGTGATGCACTCACCGGTGCCAGTGCCGATGTCAAGCACGGAAGTTGGATTCTCGACAGGGGCAAAGAACAGCCTGTTGCCGACCGACAACCTTACGGCATGGTACATAATATCACATCGCTCTTGTTCAAGCTGAGTGATGGGTCAGTGCAAGGCCTCCTAGCTCAGCATCTGGCCACAGACCTCGTCATTCGGTAGTATATATTCTGCGTGATTCCATCAGCACGATGTGTCTGTCAACCGGACCAAGGATTTGCTTACTGCCGGCGTGATACTACTTTCAATTAGATTCAGAGGATCCCTCCAAAGGGACGATTTAAACGTACTGCATGATAGGTCCGTCCGTGCGAATTTTCATAGTCGAAAATGCTTGACGTGACTGTTCGCGTCGATGACTCGCTGGTGGCGCTTGTCAATTCGCCGTGTAATGAAAATGCTGAAGCACCAATATACATACACGTCGTCGCCATAATATGCAGAGTCTGTGTCGTTGAATCCCTGTTGCGACAAATGATCAATGGCCAACGCGATAAAACAGAACTCTTGGCCATACCACCAAGTCCTCGTGCACCACAATGTCACCTTCATCGTGAGTTCTGGCCATGCTGACACAAATCAACGGCAACGGCTATGGCTACATCACATGTCCTAGTGTACCTATAACAACGATATTTGTGGCAGCAGCTGGACTGGGTCTTAATGTTCGAAACGTTGTGTGGGATGAGCAGGGGGGCCACGTTGGTAACTGCTTTACATATCAATGAATTAGATTTATCGATCGGGAAGTGTCCGGGGCCCAGAAGAAGACCATCATCTGCTCATTACAACGTACGGAGCACGGAGCACTTGGCCCACCTGATGAGCTGAGCTTAAGCTTGTGGCCCAGACTGATCTCGCGTGAGGCAAATCCAACCGAAGCGGGACTTGCTACTCGTACATGCGAATAGTTACTCCGTGCAGGGGCGATGCAAACTCCCGGTTCCCCACGTGTTAGTTGCAGGTTTGCGCACAGGCAACCACAGACCAACCAGGCACACTTCATCGCGCAACATCTCGCTGGAGGGAGATGACGCTGCATTCATCGGCTGTCTCCTTTGACTCTTGTGTCTTAGCATCCATCTGGAATCTGTCAAAATGTGGCCCTGATCGAGTGGCAACCTGGCCGATAGCCTATCAAACCCCCGGGGGAGCCTTGTCGGTGAAATGGCCAGGCTCTTTCAGAACCTTGCCGGGGCCAACTGGAGGGCCCTGGGCCTGTGGCTAGGCATGCACTGGGACTACCCGTGCATCCGGGTGCCCCAGTTAGATGCACGTCGCCGGCGTTGGATAACACTCGATGAGAGCCAGCTATCTTCTACCCAACGACCTTAACTAACTCCGCTAAGCAGTTAGGTGGGAATGAAGTGCTCCATGGTTGACGAGCCCTATCATGCTCTCGTTTACATGTTGCTCTGGCGTTCCATTGGATTGTTCTTTTTCTTTCAACCTTAACCCCCCTCTTCACAGCTTGGGGCTTCATCGCGTTCAATCTTCTGGTTTGGCTTGCTTGAAGAATCTTCACCACTTACTATGGGCGTCTTAGAAGCCTCCAGGCTGTCTTTGCCTGTTGCCCTCGGGATCGCAGGCGTGCTTTGGGTTGCATATTTCGTGGCAAACACATATTTGAGTTATCGGAAGTTGCGACATATCAGCGGCCCTTGGCTAGCATCAATCTCCCCGTTATGGATGTTCTATCACACTTGTCGCGGAGAGCTTTACTTGGCTGTCGAGAGTGCTCTCCAGGAGTACGGTGAGGAAATGCATTGTTCGTCAGTTTCCGCAGATATGATTTCCTGATGGCATCAAAACACAGGCTCGCCGGTGAGGGTGGCTCCAGACTACATTGTCACTGACGACCCCGTCATCCAAAGACATATGGCCGCTCCAAGATCACCCTTTGTGAAGGGGCGATGGTTCAAAGGCATGAAATTTGACCCTCGTCTGGATAATTTGTTGTCCATGAGTGACGAGAAGGCACACAGTGAACTTAGGGCAAAGCTGATGCCGGGAGTATAGATGACCCACCTCCTATGGTTCGATCGTGCTGCTGACCACAAGCCAGTACACTGGCAAAGAAGTGCCCATGCTTGAGCAGGATGTGGATGCCCGAGTGGTGGAGCTCCTCGACCTTATCCGTCGAGACTATGTGGACAAGAATGAGGCAATGGACTTTGCCCAGCTGGCTGGATATTTCACTTTAGACATTCTAACTCAAATTGCTTTTGGACAGGCTCTGGGCTTCTTGGTCAAGAATCAAGATCTGTACGACTACCACAAATCATCGGCAGCCTTCTATCCCGTCATGGAGTTGAGTTCCAACCATCCCACGATCCTTGCAATTCTCAATAGCAGAATCATGCAGGGTGCAGCACCAAAACCCACCGATAAAATTGGATTCGGAGCCATCGTAGGCGTGGCCCACAAGGCAGTCGCCGCACGCTTTGGCTCTGATGCTAAGAAAGTCCCAGACATGTTGGGTTCATTTATCGATCATGGGCTCACCCAGCAAGAGTGCGAGGTTGAGTCCCTACTCCAAATCTTGGCCGGCGCAGATTCAACAGCGACTGCTCTTCGAACAACCTTCCTGTTCGTATTAACCAGTCCTCCTGCATATGCCAAACTACGCGCTGAAATGGCAGCGGCAGTTGACCAAGGCAATGTCTCATTCCCAGTGATTAAGGATGTTGAGGCCAAGAATCTCCCTTATCTGCAGGCATGTATCCAAGAAGGCCTCCGTATGTTTATGCCGCTGCAGGGCCTTGCAGGTCGGCTTTCACCCTCTCCCGACGGCGCAACAGTCAACGGAGTCTACATTCCTCCTGGAACAGAAGTCGGAATTTCAACATATGCTATGGGACACCGTCGTGACATTTACGGGCCAGATGCAGACACGTTTCGACCGGAAAGGTGGATTGAGAATGACGCAGAAACCCTCAAGAAATATGAGAGGGTGAACGAGCTCGTCTTCGGGTCAGGCAGATCCAGCTGCTTAGGGAAAGGAATTGCACTCATGGAATTGGGAAAGGCCATCTTTGAGGTGAGTTGATGATTGACTTGGCTTGGTGGACGAGGACTGACAATTCCAACCATAGTTGCTCCGTCTTTACGACTTCACCGTAGTGAACCCCTTTGATGCCATGAAAGTTCGTTCAAACTCCGTAGTTGTTCAGACCGATTTTTATGTCCGCGCATGGCCTCGAAAACAAGACTGAGGAGGTGGCGCTGCAACTCTGGAGTCTGATTTGGCTTTTAGGCCAACCAATTGAGTGAAGGAGTGGAAAGGGTCAAAGCCTCCTAATAAACAAGCTGCGATAATCCAGGCACATGTGGCATGGCATGCTCTAAATCTTAGTAAGAAAGTGCAAGAAGCTTTCCTCACCCATTATGCTGAGACATGCCTGGAGGTCACGATGTTGTACATACCTTGTTCTGCATGCTGTCATTCAAGCTGTTCCAAAGATTTGGTCAGAGTCGCGCGAGTCGAAACAAGTCTACGGCTAGACATCGATACTGAAGGGTACCATCAAGTTCCATCAATGTGGTTCTCCCTTGACTTCCTTCCACGCTGCTGTACTTTGTCGAGCTATCCAAAGCGGCGGGAGGGATGCCATGCACTTGCCGACATCTTGGCACTAGACGTCATCCCGGCTGCTTCGAACGGGGACGTCAACTGAATTCTTGGAGTTCGTTTTATTTGACATACAACTGAACAGGTCAATCGGAACAAACGTTGGGCCAACTATGAATCCCGAACTACGACGTCAAGTCATCAATGTCTACAAAGGTATGAGGAGCCCTCGCAAGGAGGTCGCAGGCCTTCCAAGTTCGATTAGTACTAAAGCCTCTGGTCTTCTAGAGCTCCTGGAAATGGGAAAGCATTACCCATTAGGATACACATATTTCCGTACCCGGCTGCACAAGGCGTTCATGTCGCAGTCAGATATCAGAGATGAAGAGAAAATTCGCCAGGGGATCAAGCGCGCCGAATTTGTGAAAAAGGAGATTGAGGCGCTGTACTTCCTCAAAAAGTATCGTTGGTTGAAGCACGGTTATTACAGCTGATGGTCATCGTTCCTATGCTCCTGGTCACTAGTTGAATTCTCGCATGCCCTACTGAGAACCGGGAGGCCTCTGCATTCTGTCCATGGAGGTGTCCGCCCCAATTCTCGGAGTCACAATCTCAACAGCCGAGAAAAGCACCAGAAAAGGCTGTCGCCTGTTGCCAGCGGAACGGGACACATGGGGCTGATTCTATGAGCTGGGGAAAGGTACGCTATCTGAAAGCAGGGCCACTCGTCCGAACAAAACAGTCCGTACACATTACAGACGCATTTTTGGCTCAAATCCAAAGCGACGACTATTTCAGATTACCTTCCCTGCACGAACTCCCGGACAGATGTACAGAATGCCCCTCCTTCGAAGGAGAACTGACTGATCGTCTATAAGGACCTCAAACTCCTAAACTCACGCTCAGACTTTTAGTCATTTCCACAGAGTGTGGTCGAAATGGGGGACTTTACAAGAGGAAGCATAACCAAGCATCTAGAGACATCGAGAGAGATACAACGAGGTGGGTTCTCTAAGCAGCGTACTGGGTCCTAAATGAGGTGAGCTGCACGATTAGGGGCGGCCTTGGACACTGAAAACGATCAAGCTTCGATATTTCTACATGGCTGCCCAAGGGGGAGATGTGGAAATACCTTTCCCACTTTTAATGGCGTCAATTTCTTAATCACGTGACTTTCATCCAAGAGCAGTGATGACACTTTTGTACATACATGCCAGACATGCCAGCAGTTTTTCTACGCGAGGGATTGAGCACTCCCTCTTGCTCCATTCTGTGTACGAATAGCCCGTCTGTGGTGAGCATGGTATGCCTAAGTTTTTATGAGTGGGTTCCATTAGTATGTACGGGGTACAGGACTTGAAGCCATTCAAATTTGGCTAAGAGGTGCCACGATCTAGATCTTTCTTTCATTCTGCACCACGTGCACCGCTTCGCCTGCCCCTGGCAGAATAACAATGCAACAGGCAAAATATTCTCCGTCCGACGTTCCAGTCAATAACTACTATGCTGACGGACGCTCCTGATTCCGACAGCAAATACCAAGGGCTGCGGTTCTACACTGATAGCCGAAGCCGGCCTCAGGCGAGCAAGCTCCTCAACACTATAGGTTGGTATATACATAGATTCAAGGTCCATCTTTGAGCCTTTGTTCCATCTTGCTCAGCATCGATCATTTTGGGGACTTTTGGCCCCGTCCACTCTTTTGAACGTGTTCGATCATTTCCTACTGACCCCAGTCTCTCGCTTCATACTCCCTGAGCAGTGACGGCTTTAGCCTTCGGTTTTACCTGTTTATACGTTTAATATGGTCCACTTCCCAGCGATAGTCCTTCTCGGGGCAACCCTCGCATCGGCTGCTCCTCGAGGCTGGGAGGACTGGAGCAACAGTAGCGGTAGAACGTCCTCGGGTTCTTTGCCTCGCCAGCCGCGAAACCTGAACCACCTCATTCCTACCGAGAACCAGAAAATATACTTCGCAGGTGGCAAAAGCAGTAGGTTTCCCAGAGCGGCCATGCCGAGGACCAGGAATGCTGACTTGTCAACGAAGGTCCTAATACGGCGCATTAGATGGCCTGGGCAGATATCACATACTTGGACACTTCAGTTGTCCTTGACCACTCGTCCTTTATCACGTATAAGGCCACTAGCAGCGGTGGTATCCTCGTCACGTTTGCCAGCGCAGATTCCTATTCCCAAGCCAAGTCTTCGTGGCAAGCTGCTTCATCTTTACTGCTGATTGCTAATAAGCCCGGTTTCTGTGGTCAAGGTCAGGGTGAAAGTTGTTACCTCCAGGTCGACATACTAGATATCTCGGATGATCTTCGCAGCTGTCTCGTGTCCGGGAAGTATAAGGGTGTAGCTGACGTCGTGATTCGCGGAGAGATCGAGTGGTGAGTCTATGTTCCTGGTGCTCGTTCGCCTCGATTTACTCCTGGGTCTGGAGCAATTAAAAGAGCTATGCAGGTGGTTCGCGATCGTGGTCCACGACGTCCTCAAGCTTTCTGTTTGCCACCAGCTCATCTTCTTGATACGGAGCCCTTTCGAGCTCATCCGGAGTAACTTCTGGCCCTTACGCAACCACGACTGGGCATGGCTCATCAGGTGGAAGCTCGACTTCCAGTCGCCATTGTTGTCGGCGTCAATATCCCGAGCGGTAAATTCAAGAAAGAGCTTGCTCTGATTGACAGGCCTTCCATCATTGCTGAGGGCGCGGTTTCTGGATCGATTGGCCTTGACGGTGGTTCGGTGGGGACGACCGATGGCTGCAAAGGTATTGCGACCAAAATCAGTCTGAAGAACAAGATGTGGGCTGAGATTCCGGGACTCAATCCGTTTGTCCTCGCAGATATGGATCCCAAGCAATTGGCTGAGAAGTGTATCCCCTTGGGTGATCAATCAGGCGGGGGAGGCACCGGCCCGACTGACCCAAATGATCCAACGAACCTGACCGATCCCACCGATCCCGCGGACCCAACCGGCTCGACCGACCCTACTGGTCCAACTGGTCCAACTGACCCGACTAACCCGACAGATCCAATTGATAAGCGTTCCAAATTTGGCAAAATCAACGCTCGCCAGACCACAAATCCATTGTCCCCTGGTGTCATCGACACTACAGCCACTGACAACGCAAATGCCACTAGAAGCACCACCGATTATGTGCTACCAGACCTTGGAGAAGAATACTACAACACAACAGATGGCTACACTGTGGCATCCCTGATCGACCCTGATGAAAAATATCACATCGTTCCATGTAACGACGTAAATGTGTACATCTTCGGTATCAACGAGACAGTTCCTGAATATGATCGCGCAGACATGTGGACGATGTCGCCCAACCCTGATGCCGGTGACGAAGCAACTGAAGATGACCGAGTGGTGGCTGACGCAATGGGTCGTATACCCCATTACTATCCAGAGGAGATGAGCTCGACTGGGGTGTCAAGATTCAGAGTCAGCGACATGGAGAATATCCCGATTGACGTGGAGAACGTTTACCTTATCAACCTAGACGCAGACGGCAATGAGGGCAGTGAGAGCGATTCAGATCTATATTTCGCGGTGGATGTTGGAGGCACAGGATACTACCCGATCATTTGCACATACCAGGAATCGAATCTGAATGCCCGCGTATTCTTGGCCGCTGACCCTGATACTGGTGTGGAACTGTTGAAGAGTCCTGATGTCAAGTACAGCATTACAGGAGGAACGGTCAAGGACTGCTTCTTTATGCCACTGGTGCTTGGGACATGAGGAAGCTGAGAATGCTCAGACAGTATTTCACCGTACTTGGTGACTGTCCACTTTGATAATCAAGCCTCAAGGTTTACTCAGACCAAAAATGAAACAAGTAGACTTCCTTTAATCACACATATTGTGAGGCTGATGCATATCATCATTTTACTGTACCTTTCGCTACTTGTAACTTCATGTGCCGATATTGGGCAATACTGGAGACGGGGCGCCTGTGTGAAAGTGAATGGGCTGCCGTGAAAGGAAGCAAAAGAAGCCGTGCCAAGCCGTGCCAAGCCTACGAGGACAGTCTGTGTGGAAAGAGGCGAGCGGAAAGAGCGCTTGGAGGCGCTTGTGGCTCAAGGACTGCAGTAGTAGCGCTTAGCGCGCGGCTGGGCTGGACTGGGCTGGGCTGCGCTTAGCTCTGATCTCTCGCTGCACCACTGCACCAACCACCAACACACTCTGCTACACACCAACCAAACCATCAACCTCAGTCTCTCTCTACTCTTGTCTCTCCCTTAATCATCTCCATCCATATTTTGTCTCCATATCAAGTCGGCTTGTTGTCAAACACAGTGTACCCCCAGTCCCGCTGCCTTGCCAGTTCACTTCAATTCACTCGACTGCCTCTTCACTGCCTCCGCCGGCCACCTTGTCCAGACTTGAACCTTGTCGAAGCTTCAACCCGCTCTACCACCATTGCTCCATTTCCCCCAACCCACGACTGGGCCCGATATCAACACGACCTGGTGTGCGAGTGCACTGCTCTCTACTCTTTTCAAGGCCCTCTGAGCTCCGCAAGGATCTCATGTTCAGGAAAAGAAGACAAGGCCTTCCCTTATCCCCATTCTCTGTCGCGCACAACCCTTCCACCGCCCCTCCTCCCTCCTGTCGCGCGTTGTCTCGGCGACTCCCATCACACTACCGACCGCGCGGCCTGCCTTGATAGATGGCAGATGGTGCATTCCGCTTCACTCAGCCTGGAGCAGGGCAGTTTTATCCCTCACAACACTCTCACCACCGCAACCAGAACCGTCCTGCCTCGCCCCCAGGTCCACGCAGACCGTTTCCTACCGACCCCCCCTCTCCATCACGATCGCCTGTGAATCCCGCTTTAAGCTCCAATTTCAACATGTATTCACAGAATGGCTACCAAACCCAGCACGGTCTGATGGGTGCGGCACAAAATCACCAACGATATGGCAACATGCACATGTCTAAATACCAACAGCCTCATCATGGCCATCACAATGTCAATCAGCACCATGGCCAGCAGCATCATCATGGCGGACAACTCGGCCATCAGCATAGTATTTCTGGTGGTGGCTTTCAATCCTCTACTCCGCATCTTCCCACCTATGCCCATGAACACATGCAAAATGGGAACGGAAATGGCTTGCCTTCCGATGAACCCGAACTTGAAATCGACAACGAGCATTGGCGCGAACAGAAGCAATACTGGGACGAAAGTAAGGATTTGTCGGGCCCTAACCAACGTGCGCGCACTGTTGCCCATCATTCTAAAGGTGTAAACTATGTACCTTTGGGCGCCGCTGCGGAAGAGATTCAGACCGATAATCGGGGAGTCGCACCATCCAATGGGACCGTCGTGAGCAAACAGACTTGGGACGAGCTTGACCTTGGTGGTCAAGGCTTGTGTGCCCTTTCACCTGTCCTGTTCAATCCCTCCTATCACTTCTTGAAGCGACTCGACCTGGTCTACAATCAGCTTGAAGCCCTGCCTCCCGAGATTGGCCGCTTGAAAAGTCTTGAGCATCTTGATGTGTCGTTCAATCAGCTCACGGAACTCCCGGAGGAAATTGGAATGTTATCGAATCTCAAGCAGCTGTTGCTCTTCAACAACAACATCCAGAGCCTTTGCTACGAAGTCGGCTTTTTGTATAAATTGGAAGTCCTTGGTGTCTATGGCAACCCGCTGGAACAAGGACAGCGGGACAAGATCACGGAAGGTGGCACTAGAAAGCTGGTTGAGTACCTCCGTGAATCCATGCCAGGTATGTAATGAGTGAAATGGACACTCACCAAGAAAACGCTAACCAACTTACAGAGCCTCCCCCTCCACGTGAGCGTGAATGGCACCAGCTGGAAGAGATCGCCGAGAACGACCTCAAACAGGATACCATCAAAGCCATCACTTACAACATCTTATGCGATCGGTATGCAACGCCAAGTTACTATGGTTGGGTGCCTGAGAGAGTCCTAGGATGGGCGTATCGGAAGACGTTGTTGATCGACGAGATGAGAGAGATGAATGCCGACATCATTTGCTTGCAAGAGCTAGATAGGACAAGCTACGACGAGTTCTTCCGACCCGAATTGGCTGTCAGCGGATACAAAGGATTCTACGGTCAGAAAGGTCGTGCTGAGACTCTGGGAGACCACGCCAAATTTGTTGATGGCTGCGGAACATTTTGGACAGACAAGAAATACATACTCTTGGATTCACAGCATCTTGTTCTAGGACGGAAAGCGGTGGAACGTCCAGGCGCAAAGGCATCGGCTGACATGCTCAACCGAGTCTGGCAGAGAGATGATATTGCCACTGTGGTGCTGTTGGAAAATCGTGTGACCGGTTCGCGTCTGATTGTCGCCAACACTCATCTCTACTGGGACCCCGCTTTCAAAGACGTCAAACTGATTCAAGCAGCTGTGTTGCTGGAAGAATTAACCAAGCTGTCAGACAAATACGCGAAATTCCCTCCGGCAACGAACAAGCAAGTCTTCCGATTCTCGGGTTCTGAGGATGAGCCCCTTCCCGAACCGGGACCATCCTTGGCATATTCTGCCGGTAGTCAGATACCACTCATCATTGCTGGTGACTTCAACGCGGCAGCAGGTACAGCTGTCTATGATTTGCTGACCAAGAAAGGAATGAGTGCAGAACATACCGATCTTATTGGTCGAGATTATGGACAATTTTCGAAACTAGGCATGCAGCATCAATTTACACTCAAGTCGTCCTATGCACCAATTGAGGATGAGATGCCGTTCACGAACTACGTCCCTCATTATGTTGATGTTCTGGATTACATCTGGTATTCGAGTAATACTCTTCGAGTGGTTGGATTGCTCGGCCAGATCGATCCAGAATACCTTAAAAGGGTACCTGGATTACCAAACTTCCATTTCCCGAGCGACCATATCTCCATTGCGGCCGAGTTCAAAGTCGAGAAACAGCGGAGTGTACAAAAGGCGGTCGAAGCCGACTTTGGACCATCCAGCAAGAAGTAAAACTTCTAAAATGACAGGCTCTGATATGAGACGAATGATGGTTACCAGGCGATATTTGGGTCATTGCATGGCGTTTTTCAAGGCAAAGAAACACCGGACAGCTGGAGGGAAAGATGTGGCCAGGAGTCTCAGGTTAACGGAAACCACGAATGATGATCTTTGGAGACTATCAAACCCATTTTCGTGGCTGGGGTCGGGTTTGTGGGGAAGAAAGAGGGGTGGGCCATCTAACGTCTACTACAGTTCACCATGGTCTGTGTCTATTCCTTTTTCTCGTCTATCTTCTCCCAACAACCGCGTCAGATCATTATCAAACGTTTGTCACAAACTAAACTGTACGAGCATTTTATTCGGTGCAAAAATGCAGATCATGCTAGGGAGATGAAATGCGGACTAAAAAATCTGTCGAGGATGGGCAGGCGGCGAGGCAATGTGAGGATTAAAGGGTTCTTCAGGATCAAAGGCGCCGAGGCAAATGGGGAATCTTTGTTCTTTGTTTTTGCCAGCAAACACATGTCATTACTTGCATGGGGACGCCTTTTGTTCGTCGTTGGACACCATGGGACGCGTTGATCTTTCTTGCATCTGGCGATGAATGCTATTGTTCACGCACACACGCAACGTGGGCAAGTGAAGAAGGCCCACAGGCAATACAATGCAGCTGACACGTTTGTTTCTCTTCTCTTCCCTGCTCTATCCTCTGTTCTCCTGGTAGCTTTTGGATTCCATTCCTGGTGCTGCAGTCTTCCTTCTCCGTGTAATGAAGACACCCTCCATCGTCTGCGTAATTTTACATCCGTTGCTTACACATCAATTGTAAGGGCATGCCCCCGGCTGCTTTTCTGCGTCACTTGGTTGTCGATGATGTCTGCCTCGCTATAGCTTGCTCACACGTCCTTCGCAAATTGCTCGCATCCGCATCCCCAAGTGAGAAGCAGTAATAATAATGAGCTCGGCCAGCTGAAACATCCGTCAGCAGACACAAACTTCATGCCCTGGGGTAGATATCCAAGCGGCGAGGATGACCAGGGCCGTGTTTAGCACCGGGCAACAACGGTAGGACTGATCGGATGGAGTATTGGCAAAACCTCTGGTCCGTCGACTGAGCTGGGGGGCGTCGATTGCGCCGGGTCGACTCGACTTCACCACGTACAGTGCGATGCGGTGCGGTCTCCCGGCCCATCCGAAGAACATCCGCCCGTGCAGAGCTGGTTTAAAGCGCAGGCGACCAGCATCGATCGTACCATGCATGTTTGGCCTGTCCATCTGGTACTTTCTGTGGAATTCCCACTACCTCGGGACATCCACTTGCTTCAGCCCTTCTCCGAGGCCATTACTGGGCTGCTCCGCCACCGCGGCGGCGCTTGCTGTATCTCTCTGCAGCTTCGCCGCCTCATGCTCCTCCTCAATCAGCTTCCTCCTCTTCTGGCCCTCCCGCAGCGTAAAGATCTTCCTCTCGAACTGCAGTTTCTCCGCGAGGAGCTGCCCGCGCCGCGTCTCCAGGCTCTCGATCGCCTTGCGGTAGTCGAGCTCCGTCGCCGCCGTCGGTCCTGCTGCTCCTTGTTGCTGGTAATATTCGTCTCGCCTGGTTTGTGCGGATGCGTTCTGCCGCTCGATCTTGAGAATGGCACCGACGATGGCGCCGGATGCGACGATGGCGGCAATGCCCACGGCGTAGATTAGAGGTTTGCTTTTCCTGGCGGGCGGGAGGGAGGATGTTGGCGCTGCCGCTGGTGTTGAACGGAGGGATGATCGTGGTGGGCGAGGTGGTCGGGTGGATGGGGCGGTGCCTGGCATTGTTCTTTTCCTTTTTCGAGTTGTGTTGTCAGGGCCTTGCCCGTTGGATTCTCGCTCCACCGCATTACAAGATCCGCCTGTTCATGAGCAGGGCCCGGGTGTACCAGCTTCTGAGAGTGAGTTTCCAGGAAAGTCCATTGCATGGCGAGAACACAAGTAGAAGGTCAGCCGACGGCAGCTGCCGCTGAGATTAGGGCTGGACATCAATCAGCCTTCCACGTGAGACGGCTCGGCATAGCTTCCTGATCTGGCGTAAGGGATCTGTTCTTTCCGTCAAGTGCGGAGAGCTCATTTGTCTACAGTAGGATGGATGGGGTGACGCGCGCTGCTCCCAGACACGTATTTCAGGCTCCCGACAAGCATTGTTCCACGACCCATGGAAATGCTATAGACGAAGCAGCGACAACAGAATACAACACTATTTAATTCTCGCGATGGCAGATGAAGCGGGCTCACTCAACTGGCGCATGAGCGCGCATCCCATCACCCTCCTCACATATCTAGGCTTCCGGATAGGTATGCATGATTCTGACGACTAGACATCCCAACCAACGGGGCAGGCCAACCCTTCTACCCTATATCTAGGCATGGATCCAAGCTAACTCAATCCCGCTACCTATCCAGGAAGTCTCCTGATGTACCTATTCGGGGTCCTCTTCATCCGCAACTTCGTGCTGGTGTTCATCCTGACGCTGCTCCTCCTCTCGATCGACTTCTACTACCTGAAGAACATCGCCGGGCGCCGGCTCGTCGGGCTGCGATGGTGGAACGAAGTCAACACCTCGACGGGCGAGAGTCACTGGGTGTTCGAGTCCGCTCCGGAGGGCGCGAGAGCCGACAACAAGACCGACAAGCGGTTCTTCTGGCTGAGCATGTACGTCACGCCGGCGCTGTGGATTGGGCTGGCGATCCTGGCTATCGTGAGACTGCAGTATTTGATTTGGCTGGTTACGATTGGTGAGCATATATCAATACTTGCTCCCCACTCTCTTCCCTACGCTCTTCCATTTGTGTCTGTCTCGAAACTTTTGAGCAAGAGAAACGGAAGTGTGCTGATTTTTCGAACCTCAATCGCAGTCATCGCCCTGGTTCTGACAATCACAAACACCGTCGCCTTCTCGCGGTGTGACAAGTTCAGCCAGGCTTCGAGTTTCGCCGGATCCAGCTTCCTCGGTGGCCGCCTCGCGAGCGGCCTTGCGAGCAACATGGTCGGGCGTTTCTTCAAGTGATTTGCGCAGGGGCTTTCTCAAACGGGTGCATGCCATACAGGCAGGCTACATCGCGGAGTTTTGCGGGCATCTTGTGGGCCTTCGATTTGATGTTATACAATGGTCTTTTCTTTGACTGTGGGAACCTGCGCATGTGAGAAGACGGTCAGTCAGTCAGCTTTCCCTCGCCATTAGTATTCGATCGAGGGACATCATGTCGTTCGGGCCACCAGTGTTCCGTGCGCAAAAGATTGTAGTCGGATAGTTGGAAGGCAGAGCAGGATCAGGGTCAGGAACAGGCACAATCCCAAAATTCCGTGGATGAATTCCAAAGAACTGATCTTTCCACTCCCCTTGATATTCTTACTCCGTCACCCTCATTACCATGGTCCTACGCCTACTCACTCAATACTGGAAATGCTTTTGGGATATCAAGAATGCACATGGACTATTTATTCCATATCCGTTCACGTCCGAGTGCTGGCCCATGTGGTCCGATAGAGCGCCCAGAAAGCTGGCGCTTGCATTAGAACATGTCTGCAGATTGGGTTGAATGAATTTTGGGAATAGCTTTTGCCTTTTCGGGCCGGCTTAACTAGAGTCGGATTCGGAGTGGTTATACAGTCACGAACATCCACAGTAATTTCTGGTCCGCGCATTCGACAAGTGAGACCCAATTCAACACAGTTGGGCTCTTGCCTCTTCTCCTCCATTCCGGCATGCCCACCCATTGATGATACACCCCTCTTTACTTCGCTTGCTCAGCCTGCTCCCTCAACAGCACCTGCTCCATCCGCTCGAATCCCACTAGCGCTTGGCCATATCTATGAAAGACCTTCTCATCATAGCCATCCGCGATTTTCTCCACGAAGTCATCCTCCCTCCATCGTTTACCAATCAGCTCCTCAAACGTCTCGTTCTTCGATTCTTCGCGCTCGATCGCCCAGACGGCCTTGTAGGCCGCTCCTAGCGCGCAGGCATTCTCGCCAACATCGAGTTTAAAGACACCGTCGGAGCCGCCGAGAACCTGTCCGGCGACGCGGGCGATAGCACGGTTGCGTGAGCCGCCGCCAACAAGATAGATGCGACGTGGTTGTGGAGGCAGATCTGGTGCGGGTGAAGAGACGAGCTCGCGTGAGCGTAGGCGGAGGGACAGGAATTGAGACTCGACGATTAGACGGGCGTCGGCTTGTGGAGTCCCAGGCACGGAGTCTGTGCGGGTGAGGGTGTCGGTTTGTACGTCGTACGAGAAGTGCCATTCGCCTACAGGGAGGTTCGGGATGATTTCTGGGCGCGGGAAGTAAAGGCCTAAGTGCATTGGTTTCGACAAATCTTCCTGTGCGAGTGGTGGAGTCAAGAGAAGGTGTTTATCGAATTCATCCCAGGAATTCTTGTCTGAAAGAGACACAGTGGAATTGATTGCGTTGCGCACTTCTTCTCTTGCCAATCCGCCGTTCTTGTAGCAGAGCATAAACATATACAGACCAGCAGTGGTGGGAGAGTTGAAAAAGTGTGTGGCTGGATCGGGTTTATACTCTGATGTCGACATGAGGAAGGTAGTTGACGTGCCTAGAGATACCATTGCATCGTTGTTGCGAAGTGGTAATGCAAGAATTGTTGAAGGATTATCACCGGTAGAGACCACAATCGTACAATCCTGGCTGAAGCCGTGTCGCTGCACAAAATAGGAAGAGATCGAGCCTAGATTGCAACCGCCATCTTCAGGCACATCTCCCAACTTGGATCTCAATGTTTCCACGCCCGAAGAACCGGCAGTTAGTTCCAGTAGCTTTTCATTCCATTTACCAGCTTTGAGATCCCAGAGATTCATTCCACAGACATCCGAAATATCGAAAGGTGCAAATTTGCCTAAAAATACCGTTGCAAGCCAAGAGGAGACAAGGGTAATTCTGACGGTCTTGCTATATTTGTCAGGATATTTCCGTTGGAATCTCAGAATCTGGGGACCCGTAAACCGGTGATGTGCTTTACTTCCAGTGGCAGCGGCCAGCTGCGCTTCGCTACCCAAAATAGCGTCAAACTCGTCACACTCCTTCTGTGTACTGGCATCCTGCCAGTTTGGACTGAAAGGATGTGCAAACGCGCCCTCCAATTGTGCTTCCAAGGTCTTATTTGGGTCGAGCCGTGCAAGTATTTGTTCGGCATCAGCATTCCAAAAGACGCTTCCATGTTGCATGCCTGATCCACTAATGCCCTTGATTCGTGAAAAATCTAAGCCATTATCCTTCAGCCTTGTCAGAAGGGTGTCGATCGCTTGCAGCCACATGGTCACGGGTGCAAAGACTTCATGCTCTGCTTCGTTGACAAGAATACCCTTGTTGACATTGAAACCCTTGGCGTCTGCATCGAAGTCGAACTTGGCCTCATGGATTTTCTTCAGACTAGAATCGACCACCAGTCCCTTCAGTTGTTGGGTAGAAAGGTCGAATCCGAGGTAAAGAGGACCATCAGACATAATGTTTCAAGGCCGATTTTTATGTGGGGTTGTATACAATGTGTGCGAGACAGAATAACAGGACCCTTCCTTGTCAATCAACTATGTGTAGGCGGTCAAGACCAGGTTGAAAAAAAAAGTTTATGGTGTGTTGGACAAGTGGAGAATCTGAAAGATAACTCTTCAGTCATGAGTAAGGTCGTTAAGTCAATTGCGTCAGGCAAGGTTCCGGTGGTCATCTTGGCGGATGATATCAGCCTGAATCCGCTGGGTGCAGCTCAAGGAACACCTTCCGGGCATATACACCAATCGTTTCGCCTTGTGTTTGATGGTCACATGACGAGATGGTATTCTATCTTGGTAAGTTGTCCGGAAGACTGAGTCCTCATTTCTCCTTTTTCCACTGAGCTGAGCAGGCTGCATCGCCATTTGGATGTTGATGCACATGCCCATTGCTGTGAGGGTGTCCATTGTGATGGGTTTCGTGACCATTCCCGTTCTCATCTTCTGGTTCGGGCTCAGGACTGCTTCTTGGACTGACATCCGCCTTGATGAAGTCGCTCGCCAGTGTCGAGCTTGGATCCTCAATAGGGACAAATTTCACGCGCACCCTTCTTACACCACGCACCTTTGCTCCGGTTTTTTCACGAACGGCATTCTCAATCAGTTCGGTTTGCTCGAGAGTAAATTTCTTGGGGACAGCCAGTTCGATGTCGATCAAATAGTTCTGGCCGGATTTTATTCCTTGAATGTCTCTGACCTCAACTTCGTGTCCAAGCTTGACTCCTTCAATGCCCCTTTTGATATCACCGTTCAGTGCTTTTGTGGTAGCTCTTTTGATGGAAGATTTGACCTCGTCGTCGACTGTGACATCTGCGAGCTCTAAGAGAGCTGTCTTGGTGTTGCCCCAACCGGCTCTGATGACCATGGCAGATATGATCAAACCACCAACAGGGTCTAACCACGAAGCATCTGCGAACACGTGAGCACCTCCTATGGTAGCAAGAGCAACAATGCTGGTGAGAGAGTCGATTCTGTGGTGGACAGCATTCGAGGCCAAGACGGAAGATTTTCGTTCGCGGGCAATCTTCATGGCTGGAAGTCAAAGATTAGCATCATGGAATTGAGACAAGCTCGAAGTTGTCACTCACTCGCCCTGTAGAGCCACTCCTTGACCACAATAGATCCTGCAGCTAGCCAGGCAGCATTGAGGTTGGGAATGTTATGACCCCCGTGACTATGGTTGTGACCGAGAAAGGAGAACAGCCCGTGTGAATGTTCAGCATGTTCATGGGCGTGTGCCGCTGTGTCGAGAAAGAACTGAGAGTACAGAGCATCAAGGCCATTGAGACCCATACCCAGACCCCCGAATAGAAGTAGGCCACTCACGCCCAGGGCTCCCAGACCTTCGATCTTGCCAAATCCACTTGGAAAACGATCCGTGGCAGGTTTCAGTGACCAGGAGATAGTAGCCAAGGTCATGAAGTCGGAAACCAGGTCGGTCAAGGCGTGGAAGCCGTCGGCGATTAATGCTTGTGAATGGAAGACATAGCCTCCAAATCCTTTTCCTATAGCCATACCCAAGTTGACAAACAGCCCGATCCTCGTGATCTTGACGCCAGCATCACGTCTGTTACTCGAGGTGAGGTATGTATTGTCATGACTATGTCCATGCCCCCCATGTCCGTGTCCATGTGAGTGTCCTGCATGACTGCGCGTTTGTGTTTGTGTTTGTGTTTGTGTTCGCGTGACTGACATGGCGTATCTATGTGCGAGTAACCGGCTCGTGGAGAGGACGATGGGAGATCGTAACCGTAGCTGGAGGGTGGAAAGTGATCGATGGGTCGACAGGCAAGTAGCCTGCTTGCAGAAACTCATATGCAAATGCTTGGTGACATGACTAGAATTGTGATTACGCAGTGGTATACGAATATGAGAATGGGAATGGGACAAGTGTCGCGTTCCAGCGTGGATGGAATGCGTCAGCGGCATTTGGAGTGGCTGAGGCGCTGACGCGCGCAGCCGCAGGTGCCAGGAACGAACGAGACCACCGGTTTGGCAGGAGACAGGGGAGAGCGCAGGGGAGGAAAGAGAATGCGGACACCGCACGACAAACAACTCGAGATTTGCTGCTCAATCGGACATTTTTGGCTCAGCCATGGTTGGTGTAGAGTGGTTAAGTTGATCCACGAGGCTGACGTCGGTTTCTGATGCTGAATAGTAGAGACGCATAAAGTAGACGGTTATCAATTATCAATAATAAAATTATAAAATTAATAAAATTATGGGAAGCATGACCGATTCTCTTCACATCATCACCGCATCCAACTGCAGCACAGCAATTAACAATATACAATTGTTAGGCGAGACTCTAGGCACACCCAGGCACCGCTAGCCGCTAAAAGGGTGCCTGAGGCCCTTGGCCCCCAGGCGAGAGTCTTGCACCCGATCAACCCGGGAGCCGCCGGGAGATCATCGGATCAGCGCCGAGACCCCCAGAGACATCCAGAGACATCCCCTTGTCAGAGCAACCGTGAACAGCCAGGCAGTATCGAGTACATGGCAGGAAGTAGCAGTCAATGAAGTTCACGTCTATTTAATTCCTCAACACTTTGGATTATTCTCGTACTCTTATACATGGAATTCGAAGCCTTCCAGTTACCTCGTCCCTCTTTCACCTCTTCCCCATCACTACTCCATCTTCAGTCTCTCCAGGTCTTTGATCGCCTCTTCCAGTCTCTGCACCTCACTCTTTGAATCGGCCAACTTTTCTTCTTCCTTGGCTTGTGTCTCCTTGCTCGCCTTGGTCCAGCCTGCACCGCTGATGATTTTCTTCTGCTTCTCCACCTTTGCCTTTGCCTCTTCAATTCCCTTTTGTCGTTTCTTGAGCTCTGCCTCGATATCTATCCGTCCTGCAATCTTGAGATACACAGCAGCGTCTGCGTTGATGCTCTGGAGGGCGCAACCGCAAGGAGGCGACGAGTCGGTACTGGGTGCGAGAACCTCGATTTGTCCTGCGTACTTGCCACCCAGTGATTTGATCGATGTCCGCTCTGCTGAGGCGGTCTTGAACGCGGACTCGGAGTAGGTTTGGATGATTAGGTCGCCCGGCTCTTTAAACCCGTAGTTTGATAACAGGCTGCGACCTCCAGCTGCAACATCCATGATGAATTCGTATTCCTCCGCTGCCTTGGGATTTTCTAGAGCTTCTGTGAACTCGGGGTATTTCGCAATCATAATACTTTCTGTGCTGTCACCCTTGCGACGAGGGAGCTTCTGCCATAAATGCTCGGTCAAGAATGGCATGAGTGGATGCATCAACAAGAGACCCCCTTCAAGTGCAGTATACAGTGTCTGCTGAGCCGAGCGTCTCTCATCTTCGGGCGCCTCGGGCGTGAGAATGTGTTTGGAGTTCTCAATGAATGTGTCACAGAGCACATTGAACCAATACTGATAGAGAGTACCCGCAACCACCGAGAACTCTCGTTTCTCCATCGCTTGATTGATCTCTTTTGTAGCCTGATTTAGCCGATGGAGGATCCATTTCTCTGCTAGGGACTTGGGCTTGTTGTCAGTGGCGGTCGCATCTGCTGCAAAATTTTCGCCCAGTCTTCCAAGAGCGAAATTGGTTGCTTGGTAGATCTTGTTACAGAATCGACGCTTCGCTTCAATCTCTCGAATATCAAATGCAATGTCACCGCCACCAGTCGTGTAGTTCACCAAGGTAAATCGCAGTGCATCAGCACCACACTCTTCAATACCCTTCGGGAATGCACTCTTCTGGTACGCTTTCGCTCGGTCAATTTCAGCTTCGTCCAGATTGCCCGCGTAAAGCGTTTCGTGAAGGTTTTCCAGGGTGATGCCACGAATAATGTCGAGAGGATCAACGACGTTGCCCAAAGACTTCGACATCTTTCGTCCCTCGGCGTCTCGGATGAGGGAATGACAGTATACTTCAGTAAAAGGGACATCACCAGTCAGCTTCAGCCCAAGCATCACCATTCGAGCCACCCAGAAGAACAAAATATCCCATCCAGTCTCTAAAACCTCGGTAGGATAGAGCGAGCGAAGGTCAGAAGTCTCTTTTGGCCAGCCCAACGTGGAGAAGGGCCACAATCCACTCGAGAACCATGTATCCAAGACATCTTCGTCCCACTGTAAGGAGAACTTCTGATGAGGAAACTTCTTCTCGGCTTTCGTGCGAGCCTCGGCCTCATCGTAAGCACACACCCAGAATTTTCCATCAGCATCATCGCTCGTCCCATCTTCCAGCTGGATGAAATAGGCTGGTGCTCGATGGCCCCACCAGAGTTGTCGAGAGATACACCAATCTTGAATGTTTTGCATCCAATAATGGAATCGTCGTGATTCTGACTCAGGTCTGATGAGAATTTTTCCATCAAGGACCGCTTTGTCTGCCTCTTGAGCAAGTTCGGCCATTCTCATCCACCATTGCGGCTTGAGCACTGGTTCCACCACGTCCTTACTTCTCTGACACATCGGAATCGTCATTGGGTTGTCTTCCTGCTTCGTGTAGAGGCCAAGCTCTTTCAGAGCACTGAGGACTTCGTAGCGAACGTCGAACCTCCTGTGACCTTCGTACGGACCAGCATTGGCATTCATTAGACCATCATCAGTAAGAATGTTGATAAATTCCAGGTTGTGCTTCTTGCCCTTGTTGAAATCGTTAGGATCATGGGCTGGCGTGATTTTCACAGCACCTGTACCAAACTCTTGTTCAACTTCTTCATCTGCAAAGATGATGATCTTCCGATTGGGAAGGAAAGGATGAATGGCGTATTTGCCAACAAGGTGCTGATATCGCTTATCGTTCGGATGTACAGCAATACCTGTATCACCCAACATAGTTTCCGGTCGAGTGGTTGCGATCTCGATGAATTCATGGTTCTTGAACCGGTCTGGAGAACTAGAAGTCTTGTGCGAGTCATCGCCATTGCTGATGGGATATTTGAAGTAGGTAAGCACTCCGAACTCGACCATCTTGTCGTAACCGGGCACTTTCAACTTGGTTCGACCCTTCAATTCCTTGTTGTCAACCTCAAGATTGGACAGCGAGGTACTGAGGGCTGAACACCAATTTACCAGGCGGTTGGCTCGGTAGATAATGCCTTCCTCGTACATGTCGATGAAAGACTTCCTTACAGCGAGAGAAAGATTCTCATCCATGGTGAATGCTTCTCGACTCCAGTCCATAGAACCACCGAGTCGCTTCAACTGGTTGGTGATGTTACCATGGTATTTCTGCTTCCATTCCCAGATTTTCTCCAGCAGCGCAGGACGACCAAGGTCGTGCCTGGTCTTGCCTTCAGTCTTGTAGATCATCTTCTCCACCACAGTCTGGGTTGCAATACCAGCATGATCACAACCAGGGATCCAAGCGGTTGTCTTTCCCTTCATTCTCGCGTGGCGAATCATTGCATCTTGCAGGGCGTTGGTCAAGGCATGGCCCATGTGGAGGGAGCCTGTGACATTGGGAGGCGGAATAGGAATGACGAATTTGCCTTCTGGCTTGACCTTGCCGTCCTTGGTGAATTGGGGCTTGAAGTATCCTCTGCTCTCCCACCATTCGTACCTGTCCGATTCGATCCTTTGGGGTTCGTACGCATCAGCGGCGGCAGGCTTTTTGACCTTCTTTTCCTTGACCTCTTTGGGTGCAGCGGCCGGAGTTGCTTGCTTCTTCGACTGCTTTTCTTGGAACTTGGCGAGCTTCTCAGCTTTCTTACGTTCCTTTTCAACTGTAGATCCCAAAACGATTAGAAATCTTGTATCACAAGGAGCGGGATCATGTTTGGGGCAAAGAGGTATGGTCTATTGAGCGAATGGACATTGTATAGCTAGAAGACAAAGTCCACTGGAGTATACAAGGCACGTTCCCAGTCACAACACCATGAGGGTTTGGCGCTCCGGTACTTGTTCTCTAGTGACTCGTGTCTGCAGGGCACTGCAATCTGGAGCATGCGAAAATATCAAACCACAAGATGTACGGGTTATCAATGCGGCGTTTCAATGGTGTCATGCGTACTTTCTTTGGCAGTTTTCTCCTTCCCAGCTTCTCCTATCACAGTCTGGCCTTTATCGTTACCTTGCAGATCCTTGCCGGGCACATTTTGACCAAGAGAATCCGTTTTGGCTGCATTTTGTACTGCGGAGGTGGTTTCAGAGGACACAGGTGGGGGAGGGCCAGACGGAGAGCCAGTTGGCTCACCAGCTGTGGTAAAAGTCAGTACTACCGCCGTAGATGGAAGTAATGGAAGTAATGGAAGTAAACGCACTAATATTGTGAGAGGCGGCGTTCAAGGCCATGTTGAAGCGAGGTAGCCGTCTCCAAGCAGGAGGGCGCAACAGGAATGACCTGACAAGTATTTTTGCTAGAAAAGCCTTGCGGCAAGGGGCAAAGTCTTGTTCTTGGTTATGAGAAGCACAGGAAAGAAATGGCAAATGTAAGATAGGAGAAGCATGAATCAAATAGCGAAATCGTGAGTCACAGGTCGAGAGGAGGGGAGTTATTGCTTGAGGTGGTGGTAGCAAAGTCTGGGGTAGTATTATGAGTCTGTAAAGGCACTGCAATCAAGGGAACAACTCCTGCTGCTTTTACTTTTTCCTTGGTGTTATCTCGATGCCAAGACTTAGTTAGCACCTATGTACTGTACTCCGTACCTACGAGCACCTACGAGCATGGAGTTCTTATCCGTAGAAGAGATCACTGACGAGAACAGACTGAGGCCCGAACGGATCTCTTGAAATCGTTCATTTCCTGTATAGTTCCATTCTTCCCTGCCCACATCTATCTCTGTTTTCCAGTACTTGATTTTGACTCTGCAGTGGCTCCCATAAATATAGATTTCAACGCCGCGTGCTAATTAGCGAGTCCCATTGATACGTCGTGAACTAAAAAGGCATAATATTTGCAAACTATCACATGGTACATTGAGGCATGCACGGTTACATCTAAAATAATTGGCCGTGGGCGCCTGGCATCGGTGGAAGTGGAATCTGATGGCAAGGCTGCCAGACGAGGAGGGAATGCAAAGATTCTGCGAGTACAGAGTACGAAAGTCTGAATATGCCTGGCTCAGGCTCACCCACCTGATGTACGTGAGGGTCATGTGTTTTGTCACTGATTCACCAGCTGAGCAAGCGGACGAAGTTTAGGAAAGAAAACCCAATAGTACTTCGCTCTGGAAAAGATCCTTCACCCTGGCAATAAATGCAGCCATAGGGTAGATGAGCCGGAATGCCACAGACGCCCAAGATATTAATTTTGGTCGCCTCGTTACGGAGCTTCAACAGCGTTTGGATTCCTTGCCGTGAAGGAAACGGATTTCATCAGCAGATCAAGATCAGGAAATCTACTGTAATCATTTCTCGATAAGAGAACGCTTCCACGCAACCACTTTTAACTCATAAGTGCCTTTGGTGTCTCGCTCCGATTGCTTTTCTTGATCAAGCCTGTTTGGTGTCAGGAAAACTTCCGCTAGTATGCCAGTCCACATGCACGTATATTTGGAAGAATCACCGTTCCTTGACAATGCAGAAATAGCTATGCCGCGAGCTCTAGAATAAAGTGGCCGAAGGACTGCAATATCACAGCCTCGTCCGGACGGAGAAGAGGGTGATGCAGCGTTTGACTACGGGGCTACTCTATCTAGGTCCGCCAAGAAATAGCTTATCGCCGTTCGACTTACATTCTTAAAGCCTCACAGCCTTGCAGAGGATACAGAGATACGTCGACGCTCCTTTCGCAAAAACTTGATACAAGCCGATTCAATTCGAGATTTTGGGGAGAAGTGAGTCGAGCTTTCTTTGCAATACTAAGGGCCCCTCTATTCTGATTTAATCCCCGCCTTGCATCCCCGTAGGACTCCAGAGTTACCTCTGCCAGTCGATCCACCTGCCGCGCTTCCCCTGTTGCCTTTCATGCTTCTCATCGTCTTCGTCATCAACGCAATTACTTCCAAGCAGTGATACTGACACTTATGCTCTCAACTGTCGCTAGGGGTCTTGGGGACTTATGTATTGCCATGAATCATCAACTGTGTCAGATCAGGTCCCTTACCGTAGCGACATTGTAGCTGTTATTGGTGCTGCCTTTCTCATGTCTGCATGACATGAATGCTCGAGAATTTCAGCCTACATTTCTTTGGTTCATGACACATGGTTTTGCGAGTTTTGCTGTTGTGCGGCTGTTCTCACTGGTGCGAAGTATGCATGTGCCATTGCTTCCTGTGCTGTGAGACGTTCCTGTAGACTGTGTCAACGGGGAAACAGGACCGAAGTCCAAGGGAATGATACATACCTGATGGTCATATCTGAGGAGCTTGTCAAGAAAATCAATAGCTTCAGGAGTGACAAAGCGTTGATTGTCGGTATTGACAAAGCTTTGCCAAGGCTTCTTGGGAAATCTGCTGAGTATATCGTCATATTGCGCGTCGAGTTCGATATCGTATCGATCGAGGTACTCGAAGAGCTCGTCGGTACCGAGGACCTTTGCGATTTTGACCAGTTGGTCTGAATTGCTTTGTCCGTGGAAGAATGGTTCCTTTCTAAAGATCATAGATGCAAACATGGCGCCTAGGGACCACATGTCCAGAGAATAGTCGTACTCTTGATAATCAACTAGCAGCTCTGGGCCCTTGAAATAACGTGAGGCCACACGTACGTTGTATTCGGTGCCTTGATGGTAAAATTCGGCCAGACCCCAATCAATGAGTCGCAGCTACAAAGGGTCAGCATTGATCTCCCATAGGATACAGTTGAAAAGATACCTTCCGTTTCGCATGATCGATCATGACATTGTGGGGCTTGACATCACGATGCATGATACCTTTACTGTGACAGAAATCTAGAGCTTTGAGTAGCTCGTTGATGTAGAACCTCACGTCATAGTCGACAAAGCGGGGATAGAGAACGCGGAAGTCTGTGTTATCGACGTTCTCAAAGATCAAGCTCGGAGTCTTGCTCTGACTGTCGCGCACCACATCGAGCAAGGCGACAATGTTGGGACCACCTGACAGATTCTGTAGGATCTTGATTTCACGCTTGATCTTCTTCTTCTTGACGGGTTTGAGAACTTTGATGACGCATTTCTGGTAGTTGGCGACGTTGATGCCTTCGAAAACTTCCGAATATTTGCCTCGTCCTGAACTCTTCGTTTAGATATGTCCTCTGCATCCCTTCCACTGAAAACTAGACATACCGATCTTTCTCACAATCTCATAATTCTCAAGTACGCCCCACGATATGGCCACCGAGTCATAATCCCAATATGACCGGGGCATATTTGCATTGACATCGGCATAGACTCGCGCCATTGCGACGGGGAAATGCGACGAGGGAGGGCGTAGGAATTGTCTATATCATGCGCTGGTGTGATGCCTGCGACGCAGGGAAGGCTGCACGCTGGACGCTGAACGCGGGCGATGTTTGAAGGAGGGGACGGAAGAACCCTGGTTGCAGGGCGACTGAGGGACCCGCAAAATGTGCGGATCAGCTAGGAAGAGCACCCAACTGGCTTGAGTGGATATGGCGTAGGAAGAAATAAAAAAAAAAGTGCTTGCTAAGGCTGGAATTGTGGTACGAGGTAAATTGGAGGTGGACGTGGGTGAACGTCGTGGTGGTGGTGGTGGTGGTGGTACAGGAGGAGGGTAGTGCAGTGGCCAGTCAATTGGTGGTAGGCGGTGCACACGAAGGCACTGTGCTGCTAAAACGGCATGAGATTATTTACCAACCAGACACTATCTCCTTGCCGCCCTACTCAAACAACATATATTCCACCATCTCACTCTGGCATATCGCAGGCGTCTAGATACTCCACACTATGGAAACCTAACGCAGCAACCAACAATGAATCTGGTCAGATAGCTGCTTGTATCCTTCTTCACCAGAATACACCATGCTCCCCCTGCCCATCCCACCAGCGGCGGCTCTCAACGTCGTCACTCAGTTCCCTCAATATGCCCTTCCACGACCTTAATGTGCCGTACACCTCTAACCACGCCGACCTGTCCAACACTCTCGCCTTCCATGGCGAACTGGGCTACGGCGCGGTCGCGCTTGCCCTCTCCGTGACAGGGAAACTTCCCTCTCAGCCACAACCTGTTCCTGTCTCGCAACTCACCATCCCCAAATCCATCACCAAGATCCTCACCCGCCTGACCATCACCATCTCCGACGCAACGCAGAATCACCGATTAACATCTTTCCAGCCACACTACGATCTCCTTGCCCTGCGGCCCACTACCGAGAAAGCCCTCCAACTATGCTGTAACAGTCTTGACTGCGACATCATCTCGCTCGATTTCGGCCAACGCTTGCCCTTCATCTTAAAATTCAAGACCGTCGCTTCGGCACTACAGCGTGGTATTAGGTTCGAAATATGCTATTCGCCGGGAATTTCTCCGTCTTCCTCATCTGGTGGTGGCAGTAGCAGCAGCAGCAATGATGCGCGCAGGAACTTAATTGCGAATGCGGGGTCTTTAATCCGTGCCACTCGCGGGAGGGGAATCATCCTAAGCAGTGATGCAAGGAACGCCTTGGGGGTGCGTGGTCCGTACGATGTCATCAATCTCGCACAAGTTTGGGGGTTAGGTCAGGAGCGGGGGAAGGAAGCGTTGTGCGAGGAAGCCGGCAAAGTGGTGAGATTGGCTGGGATGAAGCGCACGAGCTTCCGAGGCGTCATCGATGTCATTGATGGGGGTGGAGGCCCCGATGGGAAAGTTGCGTCGACATCAGCTGTGTTCAAGACTACCTCAACAATTTCCCTCGGACCATCACCGATCGTGGCAAGCAAACAGAGCAAGCAAGGGGTAAGCACGCCTTCCTCAGACACCAACGGCACGAAGCGAAAAGCATCCAACACCTCACTCAACGGTCAGTCTACCACTGGCCCGGTCACGGAGGAAACCCATTGCCTGTCCAAGCGTGAGCAAAAGCGACGCGCGAAGAAAGCGAGGATGGAGGGGAAAGCGCAGGAGCAACTACCATCTGGAAGCTGACTTGGCCATGCACAGATGTGACTCCTTGCATCAGATTCTCCAAGCCCGAATAACTTCCATCTTTATAGATAGGAGTCTGACCATGCATGGCACGCCTGCTGTGTGTCACGAGTCGCCACTATTCGTAGAGCGCTGGTGACAGGACGAACTGTACAACTCTGCCATTTTGTAGCATTAGCCATGCGACAAGGCTGGCACCGCGTAAAGAAGAAAAGATGTCCTTTCCTTCCCCAGGCAGGGGAGGCACAATTTTACCGATCGATCGATCGATCAATTAATTACTCACTCCTAAGTACTCCATAATCGATCAAACGCGAAACACCAAAAAAATTCTGAATACGTATAGTCACGAGCCATTAGGAAAGGTCTAAGTGACCTAGAAGAAGATAAGAGAAGTAATGAGAAGAAGAAGAAAGCTAAAAGGAAGGTAGAATGCCTCAGGAGACTGGAGGTCGGAAGGGGGTTAAGCCCTAGGACTACCAGCAGAAAAAGCGTAACAGAATAGTTACGGAAATTACTGAAGAACTTAAAAAGCTTATATATAAGCTCCGTCGAGATTATCGAGAAAGACGGAGAGGAGGCTCTAGTACTAGGGAAGAATAGCTTCAGGAAGCTTATAGAGGAGCTCGAATACCCTAGAAAGTACTAGGGCTAGGAGGCCAGTAAGGCTATTAAAGTTCTTCGATGATCAAGGCGGAATAACTCGTAATAAAGAGTACTCGCCTAGTATAAAGGGAAAACATAAGGTGGTGTTTATGGATAGTAGGGTTTTCTACCCCAGAGGGTTTTCCTACTATAGAGCTATATAGACTTCCCGACATAAGCCTACTAAGAGGCTTTTAGGTGTAGGAACTAATCAATCAATCAATCAATTAATTAATCAATCGATCGATCAAACGTAATTCAGAAGGAGCTAGCGAGATTCATCTGCACGCGCTCCTCAGAGGCAGAATGCGAAGCCCATCCATCAGCGTTGCCATACACACATACAAAGACAGTGCACTACTGACTATCCATGTGGGGCCCCGCGTTCTCGGAACATCGGCCACCATCTATCCTATCCTGTCCCATGCATCGCAATTTCTGCTCAAGACGAGACTAGATTGGATCAGAGCACCGAGTTTGGGTCCGACGGCCTGCCTCGACGGCTTCGACTCTTCGGGCAGGTTGGGTTGCTCGACGAGAGCGAGCAAATCGAAAGAATATGCAGGAATTGAAAACGAAAATGAAAAATCAAGCGACCACCACTCACTCGAACACTGGAAAGAATGTTTGTGAGAAAAAGTCGCAGGCTCGGCGGGAACCGCCCGACGTCACATTGTGATGGTCCCTGTCTGTCTCTATCTAATGACAAAAAGGCCCTTTCGTGCCATTTCCACCTCTGGTCTTTTTGTCCAACAAATAATTAGAGGCAGGAAAAGGAGACATTCACCAGTCATCAAGGGCCGTGTGTTTTAAATCATCCCTCGCCGAGCAAATTAGAATCCTGCGTTTTTGTTTGTGGGCTCCTTCCCATCTGTCTGAGAGGAAGTTTTCCTCACCCTCTTGGGTGGGCTTGTGGCGCGCAAAGCACACGCACGGGGGGGGGAGGGGGGAAATCCGCCATCTTTGGTGTCGCCTTCCGAGTCGTTCCTCTCGTCATGGCTGGCGTTCTCTTCCTTTTGTTGTTCCCGTGCCCGGAAAGCATCGCATAAATAATCGGAAACAGCCTCTTCTTCGCCCATTCGTTCTGTTGGTGTTCAGGGTTGGTCGTATATTCCCTCTCTAAATATCCCAAAAAGGCGTTCTTCGATGGTTCAAAAAGAAATAAAACGCTGTCTAAAAAGTCGTCGTTCAAAAAAGTTTTTTTCAAAAAGGTTCTTCACAGGAGTCCGCCGCATTACCAGAATCCGGGGGGTGGGGGGAAGATGAATCCACTGTATTCAAAATGAACACGGGTCCAGGCAAGGCGCAAACTTGGGTATCATTTTTGAGGGGGCTCAATATTGCAACAATGTAGAAACAGATGATGGGCGGTGTTGGCCCTTTGCACTTGGGCAATGGGGGAGGGGCCAAACGATTCCGAGATTTTTATATATCAAAAATTCAACAAAGTCGGTGGTCTGATGCTCACCGGCCGATACCTAGGGTATGTGAGCCTGCAAGAGCAGTCAGTGTCGCAGGATCCAAGGGCCTGAAAGATCCCACTGGGAACCCGCCTTGCGAAGAAGCGTCCGTTGGCAACGGTGTTTCAGTCTTATCCCCCGAACCTACTGGGAGTAGGTCGGGTGCTGATGTCGATAGAGCGGCGGCTGTGGCTATAGATGAAGTAGATCTGGTGGTCGTTGATGCGGATGTGGTTGTTGGAGCTGCTGGAGCCGCTGGTGGCGGAGCCGCTCCTGCAACTGGAGGGCCAGGTGGGGAGACAAGAGTGGCGGAGGTAGTGGTGCTTGATGAGGAGCTCGAGGTTGTAGATGACGCCGCTGTTGAGGATGAGCTGATGACGGGTGCTGGCGGCGCCACTGGTCTAATGGGAGGAGCCCCGGTTTCATTTGGCTGCGCGTTGTTAGAAGAAGAAACGCTGCTAGAACCAAAGATGTTCGTACCAGTTGAACCTGAGAAAATTTGTCAGTGAGAGCTTCAAAGATGATTTCATGCAAGAGCTAAACTTACTCAGGCCAGCGCCTGGAGGAGCAGGAGCGCCAGTAGCTGCTGGAGGCGGGGAGGCGACAGTGACTCCAGTCTTCAAAGCATCAGCAGCCGGGATCGAAGATCGACCAGGTTGGATAGCGCCGGTGAACATAGGAGCATTTCCCATGGGCCAAGGCCATTGTCCTCCAGGTGGCGGGCTGCCACCACCGCACCAACAGCCGGGCGGAGCGTTCTGCCACTGGGTCACAACAGCAGTTGCGACTGATGTGCATGGTGCAGCAGCAGTAACGGTCAGCTAGCAAGTTTGACAGTCAGTCAGGGTTTCGCTTGGTTTTGGAAGACCGTAAATCTCGGTCGCTTACCGTCTTGGTTTCAGTGACGGTGGCCTTGCCTCCGTCTTTGATGCTGGTGACTGTGACTTTTTCTCCCATCTGGGTGTAGGTGACGGTAACCGTTACAAGCTTCTCGACAGGCTTCTCGACTTCTTTGATGACGGTTGTAGGCTGGCAAACAGGAGCTGGTGGCGGCGCGACGTGACTGGGTTGCCAGTCTTGCCATTGAGTCGTCTGGTGGTCGTTTCCTTTGTTGCCTCCTTGATCACCACCCCATCCACCTGGCGGGCCGCCACCTTGTTGACCTCCCCATCCACCTTGGCCACCTTGGCCGCCATCACCACCGTGACCGTCAGCCATAACCTATAGCCAAGTCAGTTCATGGGTCCCAGCAATCTCGGGACCTCTCAAGAAGCCATACTTGCGCCAGGCAAGCTGCCAGAAGTGAAGCAGTGAAAAATGAGCGGATAGCCGGCATCTTGACGAACTGTATAGGATAAATTTAGATATTGGTTTTCTTGGGGTTTGTTTTAGAAAAGGAGCGAAAATGAAAAATTAGTTGATGACCTGCAACAAGAACGAATGACTCGGGATGTGGATGAAGAGAGATGGGAAATGGAGTGACAACAGCGAACGGTTGCGTGTCTAAATGTACATTTTGAAAACCCCCAAGAAACCAGGGATTGATTTCATGCAAGATTGAAAGGAGGAAGTTCCTTTCGGCGTGGTCAACATCCGGACAGCGGGCTCAGACATCGAGTGCAGAGAAGCATCAAGGCCTGCAAGCGGCAAGACCAGGCGGAGGTGAGGGCGTTCACTGTACGCTGCATCGCCATTGGCTCTGGGGCGTTTCTCAAACGCGACATGCGACGCAAACGACTTCATCCGAGTCTCAAGGTCCAGTGCTTTGAGGCTGGGTGGTATCAAAAAGAGGCCAACTGTGCCAGAGGTGCTTGCTGAGACGGATGGTGTTTCACAGTCAGCAACAATTGAGGGCCAATGTGGGGCCGGAGGGAGTAGCCCAAAGATCTAGATAGGAGACTGCTTGCACGCCTCCCGGCGTCTGCCCTTGTAGAGTAGATCTTGGCGCCCGCTAAGCGAAAGAGATCTTGCCTTTAATGTGACTCGATCCAGGCTTTTTCTTGACTCGGTGATTGTGGAAGTGTGGCATTTACAGCGCAATGGACCATGGGCTACCAACATCCTAAAAGGGGCTGATGACTCCGCTCTTGGCATTTCTGACCGTTGGGCGAGTCCATGCCAAGACTGATAAGGCTGCCCCTGGCGCGACAAGGCTCCCATAACCCGTACAGCCCACAGCGGCCAAGGCCCAAGACAAGAACGCCATCAGGGGAAGCGAGCGACCCTCGACTCAGCTTCAGACCACCACCATTGACCATGCTTGGATACTACTATCTTGTCGAATGCTCCCTTCGAGCCCGTCCTGCCGATCGACATCGAGATTTCACACCTCCGTATCTCCCTCGAGTTTCAGTAAAACGAGGTTTTCCATCGCCCACGTGCTGACCGACGGTTCTTAGTCTAGGTTTCACGTCGGCCATATTATGCCAAAGCACCGACATCCGCTTGCTAGATCTGCAGGTCTGGACTCTTGACAGATTCAGGACAGGGAGATGATGGCTTTCTCCGTTAGCATGTGCTTTTGGCTTGTCATTCGTAGTCCCCGTCAATGCAAACACATGGTAACGTGGCAAGGCACCCTATCTATGCTCATTGGTTGTAGTAGTAATACACGCAGGGCCAATGCCATTCTCGGCCGAAGTCCACTCTCAACATCATCTGGGCAGCCACAGGTGGAAGTGGTCGGCCTCCCTTATTCAATCACGTCCAAGCCTTTGACCTGTTCCGTGACTGCTAGGCCCTTGATTCGTACTGTCACCTCAGAGACGAGATTCTCCATCTTGACCAACACGCCCTCCTTCTCGGGATGACCATCTGGAAGACCCAACTGCTTGACTCGGACCTCCCCTCGGGCCTGCTCATCTTCACCAAGAATCACGGCGTATTTGGCGCCATACTTCTCCGAGTTTTTGAACTGTAGTTGTGGCTTTGGTCGCTCCTTCGCCGAATATTCGACCTTGAGCCCAGCTCGTGCAAGCATTTGCTCAATGAGTAACCGCTCGGCGCTCATGCCGCTGAAGTCCTTGCCGCCGAAAGCCATGATGTACACGTCTGTGGCGGTCGAGGAGACATAGGTGAATTTTTGGCCTTGCGCTATTCGAGCCTTGGTGATGCTGAAGATGCGGTCTACACCAAAGCTCACACCAACGCATTGCATGTCGGAACCGGGTAGAAAACGTTCGACCAGATTGTCGTATCGCCCACCAGCGGCGACCGATCCCACACCGACTGACGGATCGTCTGAGCGATCGTCGTCTTCTTTTAGATCCTTCTTCGCTTTCTTACTTTTGCCTTCGCGTTGCACTTGCTGGGCGTCACCACCGTTCACTGTGGCCGGAGCTGAGCCTTCGGTCACGACCTCGTAGATAATGCCGGTGTAGTAATCGAGTCCACGTGCTAGGCAGAGGTCGAATGAAATATCACGGTGTGCGCCCAAGACCTCGAGTATGCGCAATATCACATCCATTTCGTCGATGCCTTGCTTCGCCTTCGCATTGGCCTGCAGAGCCTCGTCCTTCTTTAAAGTGTCCAGAAGCTGCTTGCTGCCCTCCCATTTCTCGCCTCTTTGTACAACATATGTTCTAATCTTGTCTGCGACTGCCTCGTCCAAGCCCTTGGTCTCCACCATTTCCGTGCGCACCTTCTCCCAAGGCGATTTATCCAGCTTGTCTACAGCGCTAGATATTGCCCGGATTTTGTCCTCGGGAACTCCGCAGACCTCAAAGATGCCATCTAGGATTTTTCGGTGATTGAGCTTGATCGTGTAATGTCCTTGCCACTCCAAAGCCTCGAACACTTCGACCACAATGGCCACAATCTTAGAGTCCCACATCGTGGAAGATCCTGATCCAGCAAAGTCAACATCGCATTGGTAGAACTCCCGCATCCGGCCCTTGGCAATGGCAGGTTGATCTCTTCTGTACACCTTTCCAATGGCGAAGCGCTTGTATTCTCTCACTTCCGGGTGCATGGCTAGCCACCTGGCGAACGGGACTGTCAAATCATATCGTAAGGACAACATCTCCCCGCCCTGATCTGCGAGGTCATAGATCAATTTGGAGTCTTCGCCATATTTGCCCTTGAGGACGTCGGCAAGCTCGAAAACGGGGGTGTCTAATTGGGTGGCGTACCGGCTGAGGACGGTTCTTATTCGGTGGAAGATGTCATTGAGGAGGCTAGAATCTTGATCGGACCAGTCTCTTGTGCCTTTGGGATTTTTCAAGGTATCCTTCGTTTTCTTCTCTTTGTCTTTCGCCATTTCCGCGACTGTAATAAAGGATCTGGAAGGTTTTCGAAGACAGCTATAGGGTGAGTTCCGGGCAAATCTGCTTGTGATCACAAAGATTCGAGAGCGGAAACACATGTAGAGTGGCTTGGTGAGGGGGGTTTTTCAAAATCGACCAGTCACCCAGACATGCCGCATGTGAGTCCAAAAATAATAATACTGTCACTGGTCCAAGTTGCACGAGTCACTCCTACGGCTTGGCAGCCAAATCTGACTCGGGAGGAGTCAGATTTAACAAGAAACCTGGACTCCCCCTCGACTAGCATTATTGGAAAGCCAAGGGCCCGCTCTTTGATTATAGTGCTTCGTGATAGTTAACGAAGATAATGCACGATGGAGGGATTTGGGAAGATGACCTTGGTACCAAACACAGCATAGTACATCTACGTAGCTATTCGAATACAACACCTTCATCACTTGCACCTTTTCGCAATCTTGCCGGAACACCTGAGCAGCCTATCTACCATGTCGTCGAGCCTGGAACATGCCCTGGACTGTAGTTGCCCCTTTGTGGGCTGAACGGGCCACCTATAGTACCTGGGCTGCCATTATTCTTGCCTCTGCTGCTGCCACTCCCCTTGCGTCCCGTCATCTCGTAGTCTGTGTTGGTCGGCATGGGAGGAATTGGGTCGGCATCCTCGAAGTCTGCGGAGAAGTTGCTTATCGCGCCTATAGATCTGTTGGTATCAGACCTGGGTCTTCGCATGTCATTCGAAGGAAGAGTCTTGGCGTATGCGAGGAAAGGCGAGCTTTGCACTTCTGGGATGACGGGGCTATTCGGAAAAGCCTGGAAACTCCCAAATGCGTACGGGCGCGCATGCTGGGGCTGAGGACGGGTGCCTGGGAGTTCTCCTTCTGGAGTCAAAGGACCACTGTTGCTGAGTATCATCTGCCGGTGTTGGTGCTCTTGTTTTTCGAGCATGTCCAGTTCGCGAAAATTGGATTCCCAACGGATGCGAGCATTGCGCAGCTCGTTGTCGATGAATCTAATTTGATTTGACATTTCAGCCTCTCGCCTTTGCTGCTCGGCCTCCTGTGCAGAGGATTCAGCTGCCTTTCGTTCCTTTTCGTTGAGGCCTTGCACATTTGCTTGGTTGATACGATCGTGCTGCTCAGTCAACTTAGTGTTGCGACCTGTGAGGCGTTCTTTTCGTGTAGCGACGTTGGTAAGCTCATTGGTGACACATGAAGTCTCATTCTCCGCTTCTGAACGTGCTTTCGTCAAAGCAGCATTGGAATCAGATAGGTGCTTCGCTTGCGATTCATAGTCTTGTTTACACACGGAGTAATCCTCGGTTGCGTCATCTGGCGTGTCATCGATCGCCGCGGCTGCATCCGCGACCCCATCTTCGTTCTGTCGAGTGTTCCGTTCGAGTTGCAAAAGTTTCTGCCGCAGCTTTGTATCGTCAGTCGAGGCTTTGAGCCGAGCATTGAAGCTTTCGACGTCTTTTTCAACCTTTGCCAAGTTGGTTCGATGTTGACGCCGAGATTTCGTTTGACGATTGCGGGCATCGTTGGCTTTCGCTTCGGCGGTAGAGATCGAATTCTTCAGCGTCGTAGTCGGGGATGAGGGCCGAGTAGATTGACGATTAGGTACTGGAGCCATAGATGTCGAAAGATCCTTGTCCAGCAGAATTGGAGTCTTGACCATGATCGAAGCGAACTCCTCGTCGGTATCAGAGGCGATGAAAGTGCAAGTGTACGTACAGTTTGGTGCCAGGCCGGAAATAGCACCTGACCATTGTGAGCCAGCGATTTCCGAGGATGGAGGACTGTCTACTAATTCCAAGGAAACCGAATGCCATTTCGCTCCATTGATGCGTACATAGAATGGCCTATGCTCATTTGGTGAAGATGAGTCATTATTTGGTTCGCCGAAGGAGAGGTAGGTTGTTTCAAAGGAGATAGTCGACGGGCGAATGTCGGAAATCCAGACGATGTCCTGATGAACCACTTCAAAAGGACTCCCCTGATTGTTGGCTACAGTCGGAAGGCCTTTGTTGTGTTCGACCTCCCTCAGCACATGGACTTTGGTGCTCGCAAGAGCTGCCCAAAAAGGTTGCTTGCTCCGGATATGGTTGGCATAACGGCGCCTCTTTTTCGCACTAGTGACCCTTTCCTTCCCTTCTTTCAATCCAGGGGTGGGTGGTTGCTGATAGTCGACTCCGGAGGAAATCCCAGCGGCGGTTGATCCATCTAGAGCGGAGGTATCAGACATGGAGCCGGCTAAGGCTTCCGGATCTATTCGCTTTGACTTTGTATTGCCAATGGACGGGTTGCTGCTTGATATCCTGCGGCGAACGATAGCCATGACAGCCTGGCTGATGATATGAACCGCAAAGAGGCTGCGGATTTTAGACGGAGACCCATGACTCTGACCGAAATCAGAATCTGAGGGTAAATACTTCAGGTAATCCGACAGACCAATCTGTGAAAGAAGATTCATGGGTACCAGATTCGAAAATAGAAAACGCCGAACGCCTTTACTCCGGACAGAGTGCAGGAGGAGTATGGCTGCGAAGCAGAATGTAGTGACTCCTCCATTCTTCCCTGAATTCCCATTGCCCAGGGTGATTGCGATTTGTATCTGAGCAAGATCCAGTGCGAAATTTTGAGCCCAGCTCCACAGGCAAATCCAGAGCGCAAAGCCAATGACATCCACAGCAGCGATAGTGTGAACGCTTGGAGCGCCAGCTGAGCCCTGGAAGATGTCGAGTAAGGAAAACAGGGAGACCGGAGCTCCGCCTCCTGGCATGAGAGTCAGGGAAGCAAAGAGGGCTTGAACAATGGTTAAAATCATGGATGGAAGAGCTAGAAGTACAATGAGCAGGGACACGGTATCGCATGCTGGTCGGGATCTTAGGATAGTGTTGGCAAGCTGAAGAGCACTGACATCCGGAGTAGATTTGGCCCTGGAGGGGGCGAGGTCGCCTCGTCGAGTATGAAGCATGGTCGCCGCATGTGAATCCCACTTGGCCTCCTTGTCCTGACTCTTGGGCTCGCTTGGATCCGCTGTTCCGAGTCTGTGGGATGGGTGTGCGGAGGACTGTGTGGTGTCTTGAACCGAGTCGGAGGTAACAGTGGAGGCTTGATCGTGGGTGGAAGTGGTCAGGCCAGAATCGGGTCTGTTGTGGTGAGGAACAGGCTCGGAAGGGGCAGGACCCTTTGCGGTGCCATTGAGATGACCATTCGATTTTTGCTTTGTGACACGTTTCCCAGGGCCTACGAGGCCGTTCTCATGGCGACTGTTATGCTGATGCTTTTTTCCCGCGAGGTTTCGCGGCATCTATGTGTGCGGAGAGCAGTGTGAGCTCGAACCCAGTCAGCTTGGTGACTCTTTTCAGGTCAGCAAGCCAACTGGACAATTCGAGGGTCGAATGAGACAGCGTGGAGGGAGAAAATGAGGTGAGGGGATGTCGGGGGGGCGGAAAGGGATCGGTGTGGGAATAAATGGTGGCCTAAATAACAGTTGAGAATAGAGCGAAGATGCAGAATAAGGCGAAGGTGCCAGAAGAATGGCGCAAAGGAAAGATGCCTAGGTGGACAAAAAAAGATGGGAGCAGGCAAAGTGTGGTTGAGAATGCAGGTGGTGGTGTTGGTTAGTGTGAGAGCACAAGATGCGAAAGACAAAGATGCGATGTCAGTTCAATTGTCAATTGTTGGAGCACGGGCACAGGCAGGCACGGGAGTCACGCACTTGGACTTAGCAGGAACAAGTCTAGTGTGGGCAAGATTTAGCAGGTGCCAGTGGAATCATCAATACCAAGCCTTAGGGCCTGAAAATTGTACAATAGCCAGCAGCGCAAAGCCGCAAGCCGACAGGGCGCTGGCAACGCCAGAGACGACAGGGGGGAGGTGGGTTCACCCTCGGCCTACGAGTACAGGCTAAAGCTTGGTCATGTCATGATGGGCATGGGCATGGGTGCCTGCGCCTTGCCTATGAATATTGGACAATTGGTGTGGCCCCGGGGGGCTAGAAGGCTCCATGGAGAACCCCCTCGGCACTGTGGCCTCTCAGCTTGGGTGCCCTTTGCTCAGTTTCCGATGTGCCTCTGTGCCTCTTGGCCTCCGTGTCTCCGCCGTCATCCAATATTTAATCATCGAGAGCCTCTGTTACTGTCCGTGCCAGCTGGAACATGATGCATCGTTATTATTGCATGCCAGCTAAAGGCCGTGCCAACTTCCCCAACCCCGAGTCTTGTGCTACTCGTACACCGGATTGCATTGCCAGGACTTTCCATTCAAGATGCCAGGGCAGGAAGGCCGCCACCAGTGCCTCCACTCTACTCCATACCGAGTATACTCATTGGTGGAAACGAGGGTCGAGGGATGTTAGGAAGGACCCTAAGGAACCACACGGGCCCCACGCTGTCGAGTTGAGTTTTTTTGCCATTCAGACTTTCTGATGCGACCAATCTCAGCGTTGAAGTCGCAATTGGACCAGAGGATTGCAGAAAAAAACCTTGCCGGTTCTTTACTGTCCAGATCCATGTTTTTCCCTCCCACAGCATAACGGCGCTTGTCTGTCCTAGTCCGTTTCCAGGGCTGCTCTCCAGGATGACCGGCTTGCCTTATATCAAAAGTGCTAGACCGTAGGCGTCCGTCATCCCACCTTGGTTGGAGAAGATTATATTAGTCTTTGAAAGTTACCTCGTCATCGAGATGGGTGTCAAGACTCAACTAAGACCTCCACTCTTTTGACGTTCTCCCTCTTAGAAGTCAAGGTCATGTGCACTGTGCTTCCTACTCGTAGAGCGCTATCCGATGTCCAGTCCGCAGTCTGCAGAACTTGCAGGTCGCCAATCGTGGAAAGCTGCCCACCAAACGCCACTCCCGTTAGGCTCTAGCAGCCTTGACGTGGTGCGTTGCGAGATGGACACCCAAGCAACCAACAATCATGCCTAAAGCAATATCCCGCAGGCGCAATTGAAGCATAACTGCACGGGCGCTCACAAGCATTTGTTAGCCGCAGCTGGAGCAGCCCTTTGCTGCTGGACCCCCGCCAACCGAGCCCAAGATGATCTGTACCCGCGCCTAAAACTGCCCGATGATGTGTTCCCCCAACCTGCCAGGTTGCTTTCGCATTCCTTCATGTCGTCCTCCGTCCAAGTCCTCATGCCCTCATGCCCTGTCTTAGTCTGGCACTACTCGTCGATCACTTCCTCCAGTTTCCGACGCTCTGCAGACGTCCTCCGGTCGACCGCACTCCAACGGTAATGCGGCAGTGCGAGGTGCAACAGTCTCGTGCTAATTTCCGACCCATCCCCTCCATCCTCGTCTCAAAGTGGTTCTACTAAATCCTAACCTGGCTATCTCAGTGCTTGACCGGGCTAGGTGGCGATGTTGAAAACATATCACCGTAAACTAATACTGCACATCATTTCCAGGCTTGCAGACTACAGCGATGCAGAAGGACCCGCGGGGCAGAAGGCAGACATCGGTCTCAGCGATGGGTTCATGCTTTCGTGTGCCTCTAGTGCACTCACTGAGGACGAAGCATCATGAACTCAGCTAATCCCTGCTATCAAATAATTGTGTCTTCCAACCCGTTTGGCATGGTTCTCAAAGTGCTGATCTCCACATCACAATATCTTCCCTCCTCCATTGGCCTTTGAGTGCCGTATGTGGTCCAGCCTTCCTCTGGTACCAGTCTCCACCCCTTGTTCTCAAGCTGCAGACAGCTACACCGCAAGTTGATGGACGGACATGAAAATGTGAAGTGAAAGCAAGAAAAGGCCGGTGTGTTCCGCTCCCAGTCGTCGAGACAAGGGTTGGTCTGGAGAGCACATCATCTCTCACAAAGGCTTGGCATATCGAGTCCGCATCCCCAGGGTCTAGCCTACCAATCACATCCCACTTACTGTTTCAGTGCTTTCATGGCGAGAAAGACGTGCACCGGGGGGCAGGGGTCGAGGACCGGGTATTCTAGCCACATCCCTGGCCCATGGCGGAACTTCTTTATCGACAATGGCGTCTTCCATACTGCGCGGCCGTTCCTCGGGCGCACGTCGATGACAACGCGGGGAAGGTTGTCATTCACAATACCTCCTAGACCGAGGGCTGATCGACAAAGGATCTCCAAGATAAGCATTGGGAGCCATGCATGTTACTGAATTGCACAGTCCTACAGAGGAATAATCACCGTGAAGCTACCTCCACCGTCTCAGGCGCCACAAAATAAAATCTGGCGGAGAACTCCGGTGTCTGATTCGGTGTTCAATCAGGCTGGGTTCAATGAACAAAGATACAATCATTGCTATGGTGTTCAAGACTACCTAGCAGGCAGTGTTTAATACTGCCACTTTGATTCTGAGATTTGATGTCGCTGCTGGAACACACTGCTCCCATGAGGGTGGATTTAATACTCCTCACGTCGTGTCAACCCAAGTCGACCACTGACTTGCCGTCCCATCCCGGCGAGATCGATGTCAAAAGATAAGCTCTGTTGGCATTCCTAGGCTATTTGCTCTTTCTGCTCAGGAGAATAGCTCTCTGTCTAGGTACATGAAGACCATTTGAACGGTAGAAATGTTTGAATCGACACAAGTCACTCCAAAGTAGGTAGCGGCGCGACTTCAATTCGGACGATATCTTATATATAATTATGCCATACAGTTTTATACAGTATGTGGGGTAGTCACGGGCTGCGGGGAACAGGTCAAGCCACACGACGGCTGACGCCACACCCCGCCACACTGACCTCAGGCTTCTTCTCATACTGGTAGAAGCAAGTGCGTGCCACACGGGCAGCTCGTTGGCTCTTACCATACCACAACCAAAGAAGAGGGGCAAGAACTCTCCTGCCTCGCACCTGGAACGCCACCATTTATCAAAGCCGATCGACCTGATCTCAAGCTTGTGGCAGTCATGCGATGTCTTTCGTAAGTCTCTAGTATCTCCACGTCCTCTTGACTCGTGTTCAAATCTCGCAAATCTTCGACTGGAGTAATCATCGATCCCAACGATCAGATCATGGCCAAACCCACCGTGCTCATAGTCGGCACAACCGACACAAAACTTGCCGAGATCGCATATTTACGCCTGAAAATCTTGGAGGAAGGGGCTTGCCAGACTAAAGTCCTTGACGTGAGCCATACCCCGTCCAAAGACCCTGCACTCGCCGAGCTTTCCGCCCAAGAGCTTGTCTCTCCGCTCCACGAGCACAGTTCGAAGCTCAAAACCCTGTCTCGGGGAGAGTACATTGAGCAAGCCATCGGAATCTGCTTCCCCGTCGTGCGAGACTTGGTCTCCCAATCGCAAATTCAAGGCATTGTCTCTGCAGCTGGTAGTAGCGGCTCGTCACTTGCCACCGCTCTAATGAGAAAAGCATGTCCTATAGGATTCCCAAAGCTGATGGTCTCGACCATGGCAAGCGGGGATATCAAGCACTACATTGAAGAAACAGATATCACCATGATGTATAGCGTGGTTGACATAGCAGGTATCAACTCTGTTCTTAGACGCATTTTGGCCAATGCCGCTGCAGCCATCTCTGCCATGACGAGCTCATATGCAAAGGCTCTGGTAGACCCTTCTATTCAAGGAACAAAAGGCAGACGCATTGCCATTACGATGTTTGGTAACACAACCGAGTGTGTTGACCAGATCCGCCATATTTTGACATCGACACCACATGATGTCTCCGACTATGAAATCTATGTCTTCCATGCCACTGGAGCTGGAGGGCGAGCCATGGAAAGACTCATTGACGAAGGCCAAATTGATGCTGTGATAGACTTGACCACAACCGAAATTGCCGATGAATTGTTCGGAGGGGTGTTGACAGCGGGACCTGATCGCCTCGAGATCGCCGCAAAGAAAGGTATCCCGATGATCCTCTCAGTTGGGGCTTGCGACATGGTCAATTTTGGCCCAAGGGACACAGTACCCGAGAAATACAACGATCGAGAGCTCCTCGTCCACAACCCAGCCGTCACCCTCATGCGCACGACGCCCGAGGAAAACGAGAAGATCGGCGAATTCATCGCTTCCAAATTAATCAAACATGCCTCGGTCCCAACCTCAATCCGCGTCCTCCTTCCCCAAGGTGGAATCAGCGCCGTCGATGCGCCAAACAAGCCATTCCACAATCCACAGGCAGATGAAGCACTCTTTCAGAGCATCGAAGAAGGCCTGGAAGGTTCAGGGATTGAAGTCGAAAAACATCATCTCCACATCAACGACGAAGTCTTCGCTGGACATGTGGCGAGTGCAATATTAGAGGTCATGGGTGTGACGCCGCGTAACTACAGGTTGGCCAATGCCCGGAGGCGCAAATGGAGTTTTGACCATGGCGCAAGTGTTATGCTTGCGAGGCGCCCCAGCCAGATGGAGGAGCCACCTGCTACGAATTTCAGTGTGGTTTGACAATTTGTAATTTTGGGGAAACTTTTACCTTGCCAGGAGCCGACTGTTCGTATGTGCGGTGAGTCAGGGATCTCAGGCAAGAAACAGACTGTCTTGCGCCTGGAAAATTCCTGGAGACTGTGAGGGGGTGTCTTCAGCTCTGACCGTGGTTGCGTTGAACGCTGGGCTCGGCGACATTTATTCGACATGGGTAGTGGATCAGCGCGTGCGAGTCACTCACTCATTGTGTGGGGCAACCGTGACATCAATTGTTTTGCCATATTTGTACGAAAGTCTTCAGCTTGTACTTCCGTTAGCAGATACCCTCAGATCTAGTTTTTCCAAAACATTCCTTCCTCTAGTCAGCCTTATCAATGATGTATATCCTGCTTTCCCATGCCCGGAGTGTCTCTCTCATAGGAACAATCGAGTCAGCATCATCATCATCATCATAGTTCGACATCAAGACACGGCAACCATTCAAATCGAGGCCATCGGGTACAAAAACCGGCTGCTGCTCGTCGCCCGAAAAATTCAGCGCAACAAGCACACTTCGGTCCTGGCTTGGACTTCTCTTGACAAGAGTAAAAGTCTTCTCGTTTGTCGGGTCCAGCAGTTCGAAGTCGCCGTACACAAACAAATCCTTCCACTCGGGGCTCTTCCGCAAGCGGATCATGCGCTTCCAGAACTCGAGAATGCTGCCGGGCACGCCGAGCTGGCTCTGCACGTTGACGGTCTTGTAGCTGTCGTTCAGCTGCATCCACGGCGTTGGTGCGGAGGTGAATCCGGCACCCGCGGAACAGCCGTCCCACTGGACGGGCGTTCGGTTGTTGTCCCGGCCCATGAGGCGGAAGCCGCGCATGATTTTGCGGCGGTACGCGTCGTCGCCTGGGTGTTTGGCGAGCGCAGCCTCGAGGGCTTGGATCCACGGCCCGTCGCGCATGTCCCCCAGCGAGAAGGTTTCGGGCAGGCTGGTCATGCCGATTTCCTGTCCTTGGTAGACGAAGAGCATGCCGCTGAGGGTGCAGAGCAGCATGGAGAGTAACTTGGCGCTGCGAGACCAGGAAGCTGGGTTGCTGTCGTCGCCATATTTCGAGACGGACCGCGTGCAGTCGTGGTTCTCCATGAAGACGGTTGTCCAGCTGTCGAGGGCTTGGTCCGTGATGAAGCCCTGGGCTTTCGCGAATCCGGCTTTCACCTCGGAGAGGACCGGGGGGCCTGCTTCGTAAGGCTGAAGGTTGGGGTCCACGCCTGACATGAGCCATTCAAAGTCGAAGACCATGTCCAACTCGCGGTTGTGAGAGGAGATGTATCGGAGCGTCTCCTCTGTTGACGTCAGGGCCAGTTCGCCTATGAGGACGACGTCGCTGCCAAAGGGGTCGAGGGCTTCGCGCCGTTGTTCTTGAAGCCATTCGTGCATGCGTGGGCCGTTGAGAAAGAATTTCGGATCCATGGGTTGGACCTCATCCTCCGGGAACTTGATGGGCGCGTCCGGGAAGGATTGATCTTTGGAGTAGTGGTTGACAATGTCCACGCGAAAGCCGTCGACGCCCTTGCGCAGCCAGAACCTTATCGCAGACTCGTAGATGGCTTCGCGAGTGGTGGAATTCTCCCAGTTCAAGTCAGGTTGCTGTGGGAGGCAGATGTGCAGGTAGTACTGATCTCTCTCGGGCACGTATGTCCAAGCAGGACCTCCGAAATTGGATTTCCAATTGGTGGGAGCATGGCGAACGCCATTGATCATCCTCGGGTCCTTCCAGATGTACCAGTCTGCCTTGTCGTTGGTGCGAGACTGCTTGCTCTCCTGGAACCACGCGTGTTCGTCACTGGTATGATTGACTACGAGGTCGAGAAGCAGTTTCATGCCCCGAGAATGGCACCCCTCGATCAAGACGTCCATGTCTTTCACGGTGCCGTATTTGGGCCAGACATCTTCGTAGTTGCTGATGTCATAGCCCCAGTCGTGCTGAGGAGAATCGTAGGTAGGAGACAGCCAGACGAAGTCGACACCCAGGGACTTGACATAGTCGAGCGTGCTGATGATGCCGGGAATGTCTCCGTAGCCATCACCGTTGGAATCCTTATATGAAGCAGGCCAGATTTGATAGCCAACGGCCTCTTTCCACCATTTTGGTGCAGACATAGTATCGCGCTCAAGGTCAGCACAAAGGACGCAAATGTCGACTTACACAGATAAAGAAAGGGACATCGGCAGACTCAAATAACGAGCTGGAATCATGGCCAGTCTGAGGTTACAGTGGTAACGTTGAATTAGTTCCTGGCACGAAATCACCGATTGAAGAAGCCTAACCGCACGGCCAGCGTAGCGAACTGCGATTTGCGTCTTCCATTGAGAGTCGGACCGATTGGAGTTGAGACTCCATTTCTATGAACGGAGAAACTACATGCATGAAGTAGGAGGCACTTTGGGATATGGCTTGACCAATGAACTCTCTATGCCTCCCAGGGATGGATATACATCCCAACTAGCAATATCACAGCTAAGCCGTGGTCTGAGGGACTGTACTCAGTATTGTGTGAAGGTTGCATGTAGTAGATGGCAGGGAAAGAGTTCTATGGGATAAAGGAAAGTTACCAGTAACTACTAGGCAGTGACGATGGTAGCCGGATCATCGTTTCTCCGAGTGCATCCATTCGTGGGCGGGCTTCATCCTTCTAAAGGAAATCATCGATCTTTTGACCGCACTCAACAGCTTTCCTAGGCGCTTGCATCTGTTCGGCTTCTCCTGCATAGCACAAACACCGAATTCGCTTCCATAAGATGCCTCACGCTGCCCCTTCTCGCGAGGCGCCGACGGCCAATTCCGACCTCTCCGCCGGTGCTGATCTAAGACTAGGTGAATATGCAGACGAAGTCACTCTGAACCTGTCCGAAGCCCGCATTATTCTCCTGAAGACCTTGTCCACGCGCGCTTCGCGAGGAGGCCAGTTCGAAGAGACCGAAACGACCTCAAAGACGCGCGACTACCTGGAGATCTTCGCAGTCTTCAAGGATTTGGCTGAGGCCCAGCAGGTCGAGGGAATTATCGACTCGTACGGAAAGAGGTTGGAGCGCTTCGAGAAGAGTCAACTAGGGAGTTTGGTGCCTACCAGCTCCGAAGAGGCCAAGGCGCTGATTCCAAGTTTGGAGAAGAAGGTGGAAAACGGTACACTGTCTGATGACGAGCTGGATGGTATCTGCAGAGAGTTGCAAAGACTGAAGCGCCAGGCACAGTTGTGAGAATCTCTATCACAGTTAGGGAAAGCGAAAGAAGTCTGGCTTCCACCCGGTCAACCATCTTTGTTTACATCATGCTCCTCAATCATTCAGGGAACCTAGTCATACCGATTACAACCTCCTGACTCCTCGTCGACCTCAGGCAAGCGATGCATCGGACATGGGAGTGCTTGGAATATATGAGAAGAACACCTCGACTTGCTTCACCGGATGTGTTTTTGCACCCACAGTCGAAGCTGTTCAACATTGAGAGCATGTTTGGTAGACCTGACCAGACATCGAAATCATTCTCCAGGATGGTAAGGACCCGAGCCTAAAGTGCCAATGATCGTTGCCACTAGATTATTAAGCTGCAATTGGCTGTTGGTTCCGGCAATGGGACAGGACACTGACAGCGGAATGATTGCCATCATAGCTTCGGCCATAGAATCTAACAGACTGGTTTGATGCATTGATGGGGGACAGACAACTATCCTCGAACGGCTGCGGCTCATGGTCATAGCCGAAAAGAGAGAGACTCATTTCCAGTGTGAGTCCTATAAATGAATGAATGAATGACAACTATCACTCTCTATTTTCCGTTCCTCTCTTCCCAACTGCCTCTGATCTGAAAAACAATTAGCCTCCATTCCGTGCTGCCAATTTGCACGAACTGTAGATATTGAGCAACCGCCCGCCCCTTGAATATATGCTCTGAGGATCTTCACCACGCTGACTCCAATCTCCTAGAGGACCAACAAGGGCGGAGTTTTGACCTTCTCAACGTCGACTCACGGCGAGCCACATAATACCCTCATCACTCGAGCAAAAAGAAGGTGAAGGCTTGTACTCGTCAACCAGTACCTCTCCAGGCCCCCCTGAGTTTTAGATGATGAGTCCTCCGTCATCGGACTGTGAAGAGAGACGAAGCAGAATATCACCAACAATTATGATTTACACGTCTACCAATACATGTTTCGAAGCTTGCGAAAGAGTTGAAAGAGTTGAAAGAGTTGCTCAAGACATCCGCTCTTCATATTCTCGGACACGGCTGCCGCATCCGCTGGTTCGTGGGCCGAAAATTTAAATCCCCAAACATCCTTCAACAGCACAGTCCGTCTGCAAATCTCGCAGTGCGCCTGAGCAATCAGAATTACCCTACCAACCTCTTCACAAGTATCAAACCCTTATGCGTTAACCACTGATTCCTCCGAGACCAGTGACAGGCTTTTCCATTCGAAGTGGAGGGACTCCAGAATTCCATCTGTTGTTTGTTTTAGAGGAACTATCCGCCACGATGTATGACGAATCTGTGAGTGGCTTTCAGTCAAAGTGTGTTGACGTGCCCCTTGGGCTGTGTGAGACGACACCTTTATGTCTGTATACAAAGCCTTCATTTCAGCACAGCAGTTATGGAAGACATCACAATTGTATATGCGCCTAGTCAAGGAGAATACGATCTTTATCGGAAATTTATTATGTCAATCACAATTGATGGTGACCCGCTGGACCTCAACATCCTCCCTGAGGTGGGACCTTGCCACCATGCTATATAATGCTACTAGCCCAAGAGGCGGTGGCTGTGAATTGATGTCTCAAAGTGTCTTATCAGAGCTCTAACATGACCTTCTTAAAGTACACTGGTAACACGATACCTCACAGCAAACATCAGCTTTCACCACTGTTGGAACCAAACCCACAGCCCCGATTACATCGGGAATCGACTGGGTATATATTTCGCCTTTTCTTCTCTGTCCATCCCTTTTTTCTTTATGGCTGCAAGAATCCCCCAAAATGCCTAGAATTACATACACATACAATATGGGAAGAAATAATGTTGGAGGATTTGGACTGTACAACTGTACGGGCCAATCGATACAGGCAAGTCAGCGTTGTTGAGATTTCTGTCTTCTTCTATTCTATGGTCACCGTTCTGGTTTATATAGATAATTACTAGGCAAGATGACCTCCTGCAGCCTGTTTTCCATGATTCCAAAGCATTCCAGAGGCTGTGGCACTGACTCATTGATCGTCATCACGAGATTGTCTGCCTGTTCCGTCGATAGTCACTTTGGCGCCAACAAATAAACTCCCGCTCCCTCGACATGAAGACGCACTTCCTGCGAACGGCAACGCGGATGATAACGCAATCGAAAACCTGATCGGGAGCCTGATCGAGAATGGAGCCGGGAACGGGAACGAAGACACTGCTGAATGGCGACCTCTACCAAACGGCGGGGTGGAGGTACGTTGTGGAGGACTCCATTTCAGCTACCACTGCTCAAACGGGCTCATGACACACGGCCTGGAGGGAGGTCCTGAAGGGATCAGAATCACCGAACGCCGCAATGGTCGGACAGTGACATTCGCGCTGCCACCCCACTCCGACAGTGGCAGTGATGTGGATAGCAGCGACGATGGTTTCATAGCAGGCACGCGAATCCTGGCGCTTATGGATGAGGCATTTGGGTCCGCAGCTGATCAAGCAGAGCTTCAAAGAGTTCGAGAGGAGATGAGGCGTCTTTAAGAGCGGATCACAGTGTATGAGGAACGTCGACGTGAAAGACATGCACGTCGAGGGGAACGGCGCTGAGACGCGCATGCCTCGTTCAGAGGCCTCTACATCATAATGTCCTGACATTGACATTCTCCAAACGCAGTGATGGATGACATGATACCTTTAATCACTGTTGGTGACTAAACGCACAACTTCTGACTACATCAACACTGTACTAGGTATATATATTTCGACTTTCCCTCTCTCACAAACTCTTTCTCTTACAATACCACCAAGGAACGGAAAACCGCCCAGATTCTACAATTCCATATAGCTACCGCGATAGGACATACCGTATCGCGTTCTCTCCAGAGGAAGACGCTCTTGTCGAGAAAGCCAACGCGAACGAAGATCGAACTGAACGGCGAGCCGTATCAGCATCCATGGAGGAACACATGAAGGCCATGAGAGTGCGAATCTGGGGATATGATCCCGGAGCGTTCAGTCAACGTGGAAGTGAAAAGCATCACCGTGGAGGTGAACAACACGGAAACAAACAGCCTCAAGGTGGAAACGAACAGCCCCAACAAGGAAGCGCAGAGCCCGACAAGGAGAAAGAGGCGGCCCGTCTAGCCGAAGCGATCCTGCGTCAACGCGAACAACCTGGTGACCGAGTCTATCGTTTAAGGCATAGGGATGGAAGCTTACTCGTGAATCCCAACGATCCTCTTTGGGAGAAACATTGGAGAGAAGACAACGCCGACAGCAGACCGGCCTGATACATCCCGCTGATGTGGCGGGGATTGGTTTCGAATGTGCTACGAGGTTTTTGAGAGAAGGCTATCATACACTTTACAGGACCTGGGTCTGCCTAAGTGGAATCATTGAGCGAGTTTGCCGAGGGCTGAGAAAGATACTCCAGCGAGTTGGTTGTTTGATGGACAAGCAGGGACGACAGCTACGCTGATGTACTAGATAGATCATCACTTTGTAAGAAGTGGCGGCAGAGTTGATCAATCCCTAGGGGATCTTCCGCCGTTCGCAACCGGTAGACAAGCCCTGGTTGACTAACACCAAGACATCTTCTCTTGTTTCTCCTGAATGGTTTTTCTATGAAAGTCTCGCTACGTCGACTACGAGCCCATCCTCGCGTGGCCTCGTGAGAGGCTGTCTGGCCGTCGCTGGCCTTAGTAGCACTCCTCAAGCTCAACCGTAAAGGCTGCGCGAGACAACTTAATTTCCAGTCGGACATGATTCGTTCACGAAAGTGATGCGCCATCTCCTCCGAACAAAGTACTGGAGCATTGGTTGCGACCGGGGCAAAGGCTGTTCTCCATTGACCAAACCCTAGCCGCACGAATATTGAGGAGAATGATGGTAATGCTTTGTCACAATCTCGCAAATCCCAAATATTTCTAGATTCGCCCAAAGGCGGTGCCAGTTGGTCCCGTGATGCGAGCGTGAGAGGGTGCAATGTCGAGTTTCGAAATGATGATACTGACTCGAACATAGCCACAGCTGTGAGGGAAGAGAACGAAAGATGGGGGTTTTTTGGTCTCCTTTATTGAATCAAGCCTTACCGTTGCAGTCCTTGAGATCTGCTTCTCTTCTAACCAAGGCTCCTGCCTGAACATCGCAACCCTAACCCTGAGATAACACCCCACGCTCGCAGTAGTACACCAAGCTCCTTGGAAGTGTTCCTTGAACTTCAGGGATTCCCCAATTCATAGACGACGTCAATTCCTTGACAAACCAGGCCGGCAGAGCGATACACCACCGCTACCACGGCAATGACGGTGGAGACATCGACGTGCCCAGCGCCATCATCATCGTTTGGACCTTTCCAAGACAACAATACCATCGTGGCCACATCTTCCACGTCTGCCACTAAATCAAGCCTCGGCTCACCACTGCGACCGACAACGAAAGAGGAGACCCCCGGGTCAGGACCTGAGGACTTTCCTCTGTTCCGAGAGCAGCAAGCAATCGGCATGCTTAGTCCAGACGGGTCGATCCGATCGAGAACAAGGCCGAGGCAAGAGAGTTATTTTGCGGATGATGAAGAGGAGTATTATACCGAGGACGGCATCAGCTATCTGAACCCGGGAGGTGGGCAGGTTTGTTCCCTCGTGTTGTGTTGTGATTTGCCGTGGCGTGAGCTTTGATAGGAAGTGTTGGAAGTAGCAGGAAAGGTGGCGGGTTCTCGTTTCCGAACACGGGAGGAGTAGCTTGCTGAACTTGGATGATGAAGGAAATATCTCGAGCGGTTCTGGAGAGCAATATGCGGGCGACTCAATCTGCTGGTCGTCATCGCGAAAGTGGTATGCCCAGCAGCATGATGGGGGAAGCGATTTACAGGTCATCTCCCTGTCTGCCATGCTGTGCTATTGAGTCAAGATATGTAAAGCGTGCAACCAAGCTATAACTGGTGAGAGCCTCAGCTTTGCATTCTCATGTTGCAGCACGGAGGCTTTGGACCCGTTGTTAGGGTGGAATGCGCAGTTTCGTGTGGTCGTTCCTTAAGTGATCACTTATGACCATCGGGGATCTTCCTTCGAGCTCGATGAACATTCAACATCTGGAGTGGAGGTGCGCCTGTCAGTAAGAGTCGTAATGCTCAAGCAATGAACAGGTTCCTCTCGTATCACAATGATTTTACAACCTCTTCGTAACTAATTGGCATCAGCTTTGATGGCGAGCTCAGACAAAGACTGATTAAGCGGCAGCTGATCGAAAGCCACATCCGCCGGAATTCGGAAACTGGCACAGAACATTTTCTTGTTGGGTGCCACAAGGCGAACATATCGAATGGTCATTTCCAATTCCGGGTCGTCACGCCTGATCTGACTGCCCAGATGATGGGATATCCTCTGGCAGATTTCGTCAAGTTCCTCGTCTTCGTTTGCATACTTCGCCTGGAACAAATACAGATGAATCAAGGGCAACTTGGTGGTAGTATGTGGTCTGAATTCGGCCTCTCGGCCCTGATGAGTACCTCTGAAGGCGTCGAGGAATTCTATCGCGGTGGCCGGCAAGTTCATGACATAGTGCGAGAAGGCACATGGCTCGTTGAGTGTTTTTGCGCTCTCCTCGACTGCCTTTTTCAGCTCCCGCTTTTCAGCGTCGCTCGCGTTCCGTGAGATCTTGACTTTGGATGGTATAACAACAGACCGTGGATCCATGGCAAGATCTCTGGTCGCTTTACGAATAAAGATTCTTCCATCCTGGCAGGAGGCAGTGACGAAGCCATCGACTTTATTTCGCTTGACGGCGTCCTGAAGGCTCGCGAATGAATCTGGATTGAGATCATTCGCTCGGACGAAGACCTTGCGTTTTCCTGCTGGCACGGCGAAAGGCCCCACTCCAGCCATAACGTCGCACACAGCCTCGCCTTCTTTGAAGAATTCGAAGAGCCGAGAATGTTCGGTACCAAGCCGTGGATTCCAGTACACCTTTCCAAAGTTGAACTTGAATTCACACTGTGCTTCATGCACCGTAACATCGAGATCATCTTCCCCGGCCAGGACTTCGTAAGGGAATGTGCGGAACACTGACTCGACGCCGACATCTAGAGTCTTGTTGATCACAGTCTTCACCGTGGGGTTTTTGTCCAGCAGTACCTCTCCGATTAACTTCTTGTAGGGCAAATAGGCGGCTCGTAGATTGACGTGTGCTTCTGAAGTTGGTATAGCGTTCTCTACTGGGGCGCTTCCAAGGGGGGACTCACCTACGTGTCCAACATGAGCAAACCCAGCTGGTGTTTCTTTTTCTTCCTCGGGAAGCTCTGGGAGAATGGCCTCTAGAATATTGTCTGGCAGCCAGATCCTTAGCTAATTGAGATCTAGCTGTTCATCAAGAGATTCACTTACGCATGGTCCAGTCATTGTATGTCAGGGTCAAGTCGAACGGTCGGATTTTGGCCTTCCCACCGTCAACCAGTATGGAAAGGGCATCAGGCCATGTAGACGATTCTAGCATCTTTCAGCGTGAAATCTCTCGGAATGCTTCGCCATCGGACTTACGATCAGGATGAATCCCGGGACGGAGCAACAGACATTTTGCACCAGGACTCAAATCATCCTCCCTCAGGGTTTTGATTGGGTTTAATCTGAGCAGAGCAGCAGCCCTGTCGAGCTCCTTTCGAACATTGGAGATCTCTTTAGCGTCGGCGATCGATGCAGCCGCCAAGGGAACCACCTTCTTGAAAAATGCTCTATCAAGTACCTGCATCGATCGATTCACAGGTGGCCGAAAAATCTCTGGCAGCTCGGCGGAATTCATCTTGAGGGTTTTCAGATATGCTGCGCCGGTGGAGAACAGTCGGCGGGTAAGACTTGCCATGCAATGTCCCAGCTTTGAATCTATTATAAAACAAATCAACCATAAAAGCTTGGTGACTCATTTGGGATATTTCTTCCCAATGATGAGTGACCTTGGGGGTGTGGCACGTGACGTCGAGTTTCAGGCGAAAGCCGTCAGGACGCGAAACGCGTTGAGAGAGCGGAGAGAACAGGCGCGCCTGTCGATGACGTCCTACACAGTCATGGTTGAGAGCCCAACCGAGACAATAAGAACAATTTACAGCAATTACCGGGTGGCCTTTGCTGGTATTGACCTCCTGGATTTTGGACATTATGGCGAAACGAACTCTTGATGGTTTTTTCTCATCTAAGTCCAAGAAGCCAAAAGTTGAGGCACTATCTTCTACCACCAGTCAGCCTGCGCTAAACCCCTCCGCCTTCACCAGTCATTCAACTTATGCGTGGCCAATTCCGCAGCTGCCATCATATATCGCAGCAGAGATAGAAACACAGGTAACTGCAGAAGGCAAAGCGATCAATGACCAGCCACACCTAGATCTTCTATATTTCCAACCATTCATTCCAAAGTCGACCGAGCGGGAGCTTTTCGAGTTCCTGCGCTCAGAGCTCTTCTTCTATCGGGTCAAGTACACGATCAACCGGTTTGGAAAGGAAACCGTGATCAACACCCCTCGCTTTACCACCGTATTCGGAATCGATGAGACTAGTCGTTTCGTCGATGATGGGAAACGCATCGTCGAAGCTTCCGATCCCTCCAAGACAGTTCGCGCTGACAAGTACAAGTGCAAGCCCCGACCAATTCCAGAATGTCTGGATTTCCTGCGTCGTGTGACTGAAGCCAACACGGACACACAATATAACTTCTGTCTGGTAAACTACTATGCCACTGGCAATGATAGCATTTCGTACCATAGCGATGACGAACATTTCCTTGGACCGGACCCAGCCATCGCATCATTCACTCTGGGTGCGAAACGGGACTTTCTCATGAGACACAAACCTCCCAAGGACGACGGGCCAGTGTTAGAGACGAAGGACTTGAAGCTCCCTTTGGCGAGCGGTGATATGATCATAATGCGTGGTAAAACTCAGTCGAATTGGATGCATAGTATTCCTAAGCGGAAGGGCGCTGAGGCTGACAGGGGTCGTATCAATATCACCCTGAGGCGAGCGATGGCCCCTGCTGGTACGGAGAATTACTACCGATACAATGTCGGCGATGGCGGAGTGTATAAGTGGGACAGGGCCAAGAAAGAGATGGTCTCCTGGAATACCTCGGAGGCGGTCGGATGAGGTTGGACCAGCTATTGCTTTTTCTTTTTCGTTTTCCCAGCCCTGCCCTTGTCGAGAACCATCGTGGTAAACGACCTGTAGATGGTCCCTCCTTCAACAGTGTGAGTTGTGAACCCGAAAATGGCAAGGAATGCTATGGACAGAAGCGCAACCACCAGAAAGCTCAGCCAGTATGTTTTGATGGAGTACATCTCGGCAATTTCCGGTAGCTGAATGGAGAAGTAAGCCGTCATCAGACTGACGGGGAGGAAGAGGATGGTAGCCTTGGCCAGAAGGATGGTTGTTCTGGTCAACCTTTCCACTGCCTGGGACTCCTTGAGAGCGACCAGGTTGAAGTTCTGGACGAGAAAATCTAGTCAGCAGACGAGACCACAACAATGAGGTATCGACTTACCATCAGCACAAGAGACTCCTTCTCACTCAAACATTCTTCAATCTCAGTCAAGGCGTAAAGCCTAATCCGGCCCAACAGCCTCTCGAAACGCACAATCGACGACGAAAACAATTTCACCCTACAGTCCGACTCATCCTCGAGGAAAATGCGCTCATCCTGGACCAACTGCGACGAGCTCAACTCCGGAAACGCGGCGGGGTCATTGTGGAGCGGGAAAGTCGGCCTCGACGAGAGCATGGCGAGGTTCGCATCCTTCTTGGATCGCTGCCAGTGTAGAAGTCGCGACACGATGTGCTCGTAGCTCTGGTACATCAATTTCAGCACGGTCAGCTGCCGACCCAGGTTGTGGATCTGCGAGACCAGGTTCACGTCGGCAGACACGAACATGGCCTGGCGCAGTAATTCCAGCTTGTCGCGGTACGGGTGGGCACGCCGCGCGATGAGCTCGTACGTGGTCAGCCAGTCGTCGAACAAGTAGTAGAACAACAGACTCGCGGCTTCGCTGGCGTAGCTCGCGTCCTCGTCGGATTTCTTGGACCGTTCGTACCACCGGACCCGGACTTTCATCAGGGCGTCGAGCGCGCTGTCGTGGTCATGCTGGGTGGACAGGTGCTTAAACACGTTCAACACGTTCCGCCTGGCGGCGGCGTAGGCGGACGGCTTTTCGACGTCCGGCTGTTGGAAGACGGAGACCAGCGTGCCGTCGTCGCAGATCAAAAGCGAGGACCAGATCCGGATGCCGGCCGGTTTGGTCGACGCGGGGTCGTCGTCGACGTCCGGGACGGTGAACAGCGCGTTGAACCCCACGTAGATGTAGTGACTGCCGAAGTCCACGGAGTTGAAATGCCATAGCTCGTCGACGACATTGCCGAAGGATAGCTTGTCTCGCAAACCAGGAACATCCTGGGGGGCTGTGGTCGGTTGCCGATGGTTTTGGGTGGCAGGCGTCACTCCCTTCTCCACATCGACGCTCGTTGCATTCGAGCTTTTACCCGGTTGTGCCAGAACGGCCAACTCGCTCCCATCCTCGCTATTATTCGTAGCAGTCGTCGTCGTCGTCGTCGTCGAACCACCCGCACTCGCCGCCTTCCTCACCGGTTTCTCAGGCGGACACAACAACCCGGTCAGCCTCGGCGAAAGGTCGTATTTCTTCGCAATCGCCTTGATGACATCTCTCTGGCTGCCGGAAGCCCAGAAATTCAACCAGACAGTCTTCTGGCTCGCCGTCACCGTCGGTCGGCGACTGCCCCGTTCGTCCAGCCACTTCACAACATCTGCCTGGGTGAGATCAACCGCACATGTGGCTTCGTTGTTGTCGAAGCGGACGCCGAAGTTGCTCGCCAACGGGCTCTTGAGCTTCTTGTAGCACGCTTCGTACGAGCTTTTGTCGTCGAGGTTGTAGAGCATGCTGATGCTGGCATCATTATTGTTGTTGTTGTTGTTGCTATTGGGCTCCGTCGGCTGCGCCATTACTGCTGGGGTAGCATTATCCGCATGCGTAATCTGGGATAGAATAACAATCGCAATCGCAATCGCAATAGAAGAAGCGTCGGCCTAACAAACGTGCACGGAGGAAAATGGAAAATGGGAAATGGGAAATGGGAAACGATGGATCAGGCTGAGAACTACGGAGTACAAAACTTTGGCAAACCCAAAAAAAGGGTCACGCGTGGTTTGGACGGGACCATGACCGCGACCGACCCAGGCTGGCCCCCAGGTTCACTCAGCCTCCTTAAAACGACAGTCAAGCTTCGCTGAGCGGGCCGGGTAACAAGTAGCGCCCGGCAGTCCTTCCGTTGCATAAATTGCACCAGGGAGTCGATCTCCTCCAAAGCCAGTTGGGCCTCTAAGATTGCTGTGGGCTGTCTCAGCTTTCGGCCGGGGCTCCACGGGCTGTGCAACCGGTGACCACGCCACCGATCAACCCATCCACTTGCAGCTTCACATGGCTTGTACGTAGTCCTACTCTGCCAGTAGTGGTTGCTGAGATCTATCACTTCGGTCTAAGCAAACCTTCCCAATCACTGTGTTGGTTCGTTCAATTCATTCAATTCATTCATTCATTCATTATTGCTACCCCAAGATATAGAACCAACAGAGAAACGGCGCAACTAGCTACATAGCCAGAGGAGATCCAGTTCGAAATGTGCTCTCCCCCTCCCTCCCTCCCTCCCTCTCTCTCTGTCTCTCTCTGCACTAAAACCACACAGAGTCTCCTCGGAACCCGCGTTGGGCTGGCCGCAACGGCAATCAGATCTTAGCAGCGCCCTTCTGGCCGGGCGCAGCACGGATCCTGTTGATGTACTTCTCCTCGATGGCATCGGCGACGGGATCAGGTTCTGCCTCCTGCAACGCCCTACCACCTTGGCCGGGGACCTTCAAACCCCACGCACCGCCTTGGTTCGTCCCGTCAAGGAGACTGCAGGGCCAGGCCTTCAAGTCTCGATCGCGCACCGAGCGGTGGATTCTTTCCTTCGTGTTGTCCAGCACGAGTGCCTTGCGGTCCTGGCTGCTGAAAGACTGGATCGTATCCCATGCGGTGTCCCAGAAGGTGTCCAACGGGTCTGGATCTGGTGCCTTGGCGAGCCTCGTCCACCTCGTGTTGGGGTTCTTCTTCAAGCGATCAGGTAGGAGATAGTACTCGTTCGCGTCGTCTGGGTTTTCGGGATCTTCGTCGATGAACGACAGCTTCCCGTCTCCGTGGCACTGTGCGATCATCCAGGCGAGAGTGACATCCGAGCAACTTGGATCGTACTTCCCTCCACCAACGTCGGAGTGCACGCCGCTGAACCACACCTGCTTCATGACCTGAAGGCCTGTCCCATCACTATTTGGCGTATACCCGGATGGCCATTGCCAGAGCGTCGGGGCGTAAGGGCTACGACGTTCATCCAGGGCCAAGGCATGGTATGCATATTGGATCTTCCTCGAGAGCTTCGCGTTGTGGAACTCGATCTTTTCGCCGCTCATGCCTGCACCGTGAAACTCCACCGTATCCCACACGCCCACAATCTTCACCGAATACTTGGCCTTGTCAACTCGATCCTTTCCGATCTTTTTGAGGAGCGAGTCCGAGAAATGAAAGTCAGGGGTCTCTGCGGGGCTCTTGTAGAACTCGTCGTACACCTCGGGGAAGTAGTCCATCCCACGCTTGGTGAGGAGTCCGAGCTTCGTGACCAGACCAGCGATCGACCGGGCCGTAAATGCCCCGCGAGAGAATCCGAAGAAGAAGATCTCGTCGCCCGGATTCGGATCATAGTTGTGCGCTAAAAACCCGTATATACTTCGAATGTTGGACGAGATCCCCAAACCATATGCACCTGCAGACATTGGGTAAAGTAAAGGTCAGTGAAAACCGCATGGGCAGACAAACCCATCACCATGGGAGATTTCTTACCACCACGAATTCTGTCGCCCGCACCGGTCCCAACCTATTTCCAACAATCCACCCGCCCGTTAGCTATGGGAGCTCGACATAAGCCAATGGACCGAAAGACGAAGACATAACGTTACCCCAGCCTGGTAATAAACAATCTGCTCGACTTCTCGAACACTGCCGTCCTTCTCCTTGACCTTAGCGACGGGGCTCAGAGCGCGTGCCAGCCTTGCGACATTGGTCGGATGCGATCCTTTATCGCCAGACAGTACATTTTGCCATGTTCCTGTTTTCGCAGATCAGATATTTTCATCTACACGGGTCGAGCAATTGGGTGTCATTGCGGCAATTTTGGAGTGGATTGCCCTGATGGCATAGTTCTTTTTACCTACCATCGCAAAGGACAATCAGGCGTTTGTAGTTGCCAACCTTCGAAGCACCCATTCTGCGGGCGGCCTTGAAAATAGAAGGAGAATGGCAGAGCGAAAGAAGTCTGTACTTTTCGTCCAAACTAGAGCTGAGACGCTCAAGACTGACTGTCTCTTCTTTCTGACGTAGGTTTTATGGCTGCTTCGTTTGAATGGGCTCTAAATTGAACGGCACGAGATTTAAAATCAGCGGAAGGGAAGCCCATTCTACCACGTATAAATACAAGGTGGACGTGAGAGCTTCGAATTGCACACATTTTCAGCTGGGCGTCAAAAAACTGTCCGTCTTGGAAGGCTGGCAATGACAGGCAACCAGATTGGTGATTCAAGCCATGCAAGGTCAGACAAACCTCGTATGAACGAGGGGTAAGGACGTTCAGCCGCATAGGTCCAATGACTTAACGGGCATCGGTTCAGGCCTCAGCCTTTTACAAACCCCGGATAGAAGAGAGCCATTGGCGACAAACTCTTGTGCCACCGTCCACGTCCTGAAAGGATTGGTACAGAATGGAAGGTTTGCGGGTAAAGAGGGTGTCTGTGTGACTTCGGGTCCTGCACAGGATGCAAAAGAGATCCAGGTACATAATCGTACATTGTAAGCTGGATGTGGGCAGGATGTCTGGAATGTGTGGACCGCTGGGAGAAGTCAAGCCTCGCAGTGTGGTCGATCAGTGTGCTGAGAAGGGTTCGCGCCTTCTACGGATAGGACCACGCCTGAGTTCCCCGCTGAGTTTTCGGTAGCCAAGATAGGTGCCAACCGGACCACAGCGAGATCCGTGTGGATCTGTCTTGTCCCGAGAGTACATCGTACATCAATCGGAATGCGGCCTTGTTCTCAAGGCCTGCATGAGAGCTTGAAGACAGAGGCTCGGACACTCATTGATTGGCTGAATTCGAGGCAAGGAGAAAGGAAGAGCACCCAAGTACCGAAGTGGTTAATAATGCCAGAAGCACTGGAAATTTACACAGTAATCGCTTTTCTTGGTTGTGCCTCATGCTGGGCATCAACTCGGGTCACATATAAATCATGAGCAGCCCCACATCCATGAGAGCCAATCAAGCCACCTTCCTGTCTTTGGCAAGGCTACTCTACCTGGAAGTAGGGACACTTAACAAAAGGGAAAAAGAATTGTGAGACAACGAACTGGAATAACTAGGAGTAGTTGTGGAGAGAGTATTGGTAAGCGGCGGCTCCGTCCAAATCAGGGGCTGAGAGATGTCGAACGTTCCAAAGATTTGCCGTTTCATCTGGAGACTGTCCGCCATGACTACTGCCCCTGGGACGTTTCTCTAACAATGATGGATCAGGCTCATTAAGTTCTAAGCTCCGATCACTTAGGACCCTGTGGCCAAACTGAAATCGCAAAAGCATTCTCCACTCGCGTTCAGGATATAGAATAACTTGCTATGATGCTTGATCAACATATCGCAAGCAAATCATCTTGCATTGTCACTTACCGCCACATCGCGAAGGCTCCGCGAAGGTATCATATAGTCCCAATGAAAGCAAACATCGAGGCCAGTGGGATTCAAATGTAACTGAATAGCCATCTCCTCCTCCCAGCGTAGTCGTCCGCCATACCATTCCGACATCGATTTGACGAAGTCTGCCTTGAGCCTTTCTCCGAGAACGTGCCGGGCGAGAGCCTTTTCATTGATGAGGTGTGGTCCTCGATCATCATAGAGTGTTGAGGCCTCGATGGTTAACTTGCGGAGCTCAGGGAAGGCTGCTTGAATCTCCCGGATATTTGTGGAATATTGTACTTGGGCTGAGACTGATCGTACGAACCGCGCGTTTGTAGGACCAGCTAACTGTAATATGTCTTCCAACCTCATGAAGTCCATAAAGTGAAAGGTACAGCTCCTGAAAAATGGCTTTACCACTTCGTTGTAGCACTGACGATTGACCAAGAACAGAGAGGGCAGACCCGACAGTAGCTTCGCAGGCTCAATCCTACACTTTTGAATAGCCCACGACCTTGAAAATGACCTCCCTGTCACAACAACGTGCCGTTGGCTAAAGACATATTCGAAAATGATGAGCCTCAGCTCCGGAGGGATCCCCAGAAGAGACAAGGTTTGCTGTCTCTTCATCCTCCACGGTGTCTTCGAGTTTTTCCAAAGGTTATGAGCGCGTAGCATCAGGTCTTGTGTTTTGGGTTTCCTGGGTGTGGCCAATGAGCAACCGTTGGAAGACATCGGAATCACTTTCTCGGCTTGAAGCAGTCTGGGCAGGTGACGGTTTGGGGTGGTTGCAAGATGTCGGGGGGTGGGCCACTCCCAGGACACTTATGACGATTTGAATCTGCGTGTGTAGATCGAATACTCTTGAAGGTAGCCCGTCACTATCCGCAGAAGAGAGAGCCGTGTTCCTATTCGGGTTCTGAGGGGGAGAGAGGATCGACCAGTAGTGGAACAACCACTGACTAGTTGGAGGCCACGTATTCCAGACAATCCCAAATAGCTGCAAAATGAAAGATACATGGATTGTAAGAAATGTGCATGGAGATGATTTCGGCAGGGAACAACGAAAGCTGGCTAGTAGAATGGAGGATGAAAATGCGGATGTGGAGAACATCTTGGAGGGAAGATGGACAGCCATGGATGAGTAGTGCAAGCGCACCTTCTCTTTGCGGAAATGGAAAGCATCATGGATATAGCTGAGGCAGGCGCATTCGAGGACTCGAGTTTCAGTGTGTTGCGCATGATGGCGTAGCAAGAAATATCACCGACGTTGCGCATTTGGCCCAGTATGTGACTGCAGACGCGCTCGGGTAATTCAGGTAGAAACTCTAAAAGGGCCATTTGCTCCATTCGCTGGAGCAACCCGCTTGGAAAGTACAAGTGAACCTCAGACATTGTGGCGTGGTAGGATCCATCCGTATCCCTTATACTTCCGGTATCATGTCCCTTCAGGACTGACCTACAACCTCGATTGCACTTCCGACTTTAACCAATGGTCTCGAAGGAAGAGTGCTGCTGGCCTTTCGCTTTTCAGCTGACCTGGACTTCCTCTCGCTATCATCGGGTATTCGTAGCTCCAGCAAGCTCAGCGGGCGCTCAAGGACGATGTTTTGGTATCGGTCATGGCGGCACAAATCCTCAGCCTCGCGCTGGAGCATGGCCGCATCAACCTTCAGACTGAAGTCCATGAGATAGCAAAAGGTGATCTCAAGCCTTCCAAGTTCGCTCTCAGATACCCCACCTACCTTACTGAACCGGGCATGCGGCCAGGATAGGTCTTCGAGGGCCTTCATAGCAACGCGCAGGCATGCCAGGAGCAATCTATGCACGTTTCTTGGTGTCACGGGGAGAATTCTGTCCTGGATGGCCAATCGTGTGATGTACAGAGAGGAGGCCAGATACACAGCGGTCGACATGGGGCAATATTTGTGCATGCGCATCAAGTAGTCCTCGGTCGATATTGGAGGAGGGCGTTTCGAGTAGAACTTCCTTGCGAGAGCACCGTGTTGGATGTAGATAGGTTGTGCATGAGCACCGATGATTTGCGAGGCCGAAACTGGTTCGTGGGCCTGCGCTTCCGGCGAACCGATAGGAGTCTTGCCAAACTGTACGCCGTCAATGGTGTCGTGTGCAGTATAGCCAGGCGGCCGTAGCCCAAAGGTCTCTTTCTTTGGGGTCGTGATCTCACCCGGCGTAAGCTCACGCAGCCTCGAGAGTCCCTTGGCTGGAGAGGTACCTCTGCTCCGCGCAGGAGGAGTAGGTGGGATGTCGCCGGTTATCTGAACCAGGTCGTCCACACTGCGGCACAATAGCTTCAAGGCCGCAACAGCCTCGAGTGTGAATATGTCCACCGTTTCAGCGGTGATGCCGTCCAATCCTTCCAGGTTCGGGCTTTTAATGGAGGGAAAGATGCCTTTGTCATTCTCTGGCTCCGGGGGCGCGGGCAGCTTGGGCGACGACGTGGTGCCAGTGACCTCCTCTTGCTGGCAGTCCCGCTTATCATGTTCTCCCATGATGTGATTCCTTCTGTATGACCGATGCTGACACGCAGCCTACTTTATCGTGAGGGCAGGATTGGAGGCGAATATGTTTCGGCTGAGTGGCTGTCGGATGGGCTGCCACATGGTCAGGCTGGGATGGAGACAAGGACCGTCTGGTGCTCATGGACGAGCCCCCTTCACGCGCAGTCTATAGGGCTCTCTGCTTGCTTTGAGGGCGAGATTGGGTTGCTCTTTCAGTGTAACGAGTGTGTCGTCACATATGCAAGGAGCTCCAAGGAACTGCGAGAAGAAAAAAGCGGCGCTTCGCTTGAGGGGCAGATTGACGTAGGGGAGCGGGAAGAGCTGGCGGGCTGGCGGGAGGAAAGCTGCTTTGACTTTCGAATCGACAGGGATGGCAGAGGGACGGCGGGAAGGAAGTAGACGCCATCCAAGTGTTGACCAGACCTTTATGATAGCCGTGCACGGTCAAGAAGGAGGCGTCGAGTCTTTTTCCCAATCGAAAGGGCCGTGGTCAAAGCGATGCGAGCGGGTGGTGGAGGGGAAACACGGCAGTAAGAGTCCTACTATGCAGTGAGGCGTTAGAACTTAGCAAGTTAGCACTGAGTGCTCGTAGGGCACCAGCTAGGGGGAGAGGATCTTGGGGACCGCGGACGGTATATGACTGATGTCTGCTTACACTCACACCACAGGCATCACCAATGCCCATTTATCCATTCGACTATTGGACTCGGGCGACTTCAACCCTCGCGGTTACTATGAGAGGTGACCATTATCCGTCTGGCGAGCCACTGAACCTCGATCATTCATTTTGGCGCCCCGCTCCAGGAAAAGATCAACAAGTCACGCGCCAAATGCCAGGTACAAACTGATCCAGACGAGGTAAATGGCCCCCGCCTGGACTCGATCAGCTGCAGGCACTGGGCACTGGGAACTGGGCATTGGGTAGCACCGAGGGCGATTTACTGCTCCGTCCGCGTCCAAGGCCGGGCCTCGGGGCGAGTCCCCACCTCGAAGCTTGGGGGCGCCTAACGCCTAGATCCGCCTAGATTCACGGTTATGGTGTCCCGGGTGGGTGTTTGACGGCACTTCTAGGCTTCCGTACCGTGGCCTGACCAATATTGTGACTCCATAGTATACCTGCCTACTCGGTACTCCGCAGTTCGATTTACTGAAATAATCAAGGGCTCCACATCGCGACCGGATCGTCCGAAACCATAAGGATCAACATCGAGTTGCCGAGACTGATGCGGGATCATCGCTGCACGACATCTAACTAGATGGTTAGATAGTCAGCTAACTACGCAGTCCTCCGTACGCTGTGCCGAACAAGACCAGGAAGCCCCAGCTATTCTGGAATTACCGCGGAGTGAAACGGTTTCAAAAGTGGAATTGTACGGACGACTTATCTACGGGCTAGCTAAGCCAGGTCCTGTCTACCTACATACGTACGAACTGTTCTAACTGCGTAACTGAAATGTCAGCCTTTGATGATGCTGTGATCCCTTGACCTCGATCCGAATGTCCTAATCCTCCGTAGCGCCGCTGCATACGCCTGTTCCTGTTCCTGTGCCTGTACCTGCGTCTGTGCCTGAATGCCCAACCGCCATCCTAACGCCTTTGGGCTTTTGAGTGCCTAACCAACTAATTTAAGTCAAGGAAAACAAACATGATTTGTGATCCCGCACTCACCCTCTCGAGAAACACAAATTGTTGCACCGCTGGCTCTGTACAGCCTCGAATGTGAGCTTCCGTTTAAAAACGCCGTCCTTTCCCACAAGACCCCGACCTTGTTGCTTCGCAGCAGTAACCCCCTTTTTTTTTGGTTGCCCTTAATGATGTCCTAATGTACCGTTACCCAATGGTGCTATTGCACCATAAACTCTCCACACCCTGTACGGAAAACATATGCCGGAGACTATCGATGTCCATGACCTCGCTCTCTATGCTCGCGTGGGTTGTCCACGATGACGATGCTCTGCCGGCGAGGGCGTCTTTCTGAAGCCGATGCCCGCTGCTCTTCACGAGCTGTACGCTCAGTTCGTACTTCGAGTCGTCGGTAGTCATCTTGAGCTCGATCAAGCGCTGTTCGATGATCCACTCGGTGGTTGTCATGGGCAGGTACCACCGCCGCGATCGGGTTGTGCACAACTACGGGTCGCCTGACTTCAACAAGCCGTTCGCGGTCGTTGGTTAGACGTCTTTCACGATCAGCTGCAGCTCGCTCACGTTGCTCAAGAGACCTTTGTCGTTGTTCATGCGCCAGGTCAGCTTCGAGCCTGTGCGCCTTTTCCTGGGCGGCAGCAGCAGCCCTTTCGGCCTCAACCCGCTCCTTCCGCTCTTTGGCGAGCATGTTGTTAAAGTCGGATGTCAGCTGCCGAACCACTTCATCGTCTGCTCGACGATGATCAAATTCAGACCACGCCGAGCTCGGGCGGTTGTCCACCCGTGTCTCGACATAGTATTTGCCGCTGTCGCGCTTCTTATGTGGCGATGATGGAGTTTCCACCTGAGGATGAGCATCTTCATCTCTTGGGTGGCTGTAGACAACCTTGACCTTTCGGTATCGCTGAGGCTTTCTCTCCTCAATGATCGGGTCAAAGTCATCCTCATGTCGATACTTTGACTTGGATTTTGGAGACAACCTTGGAGGCAGAGGAGCGAAGATGTCCTCTTCGTTCAACCGAGTTGTCATTTTGTGATACGGGCCCCTTGGAGGAGACGGTGGTGGTGGAGGGGATGGCGATGGCGATGGCGATGGCGAAGGGGTGCGGATTCGCCGCTGCTGGCGCCGACTCCTGATGGGCGACTCCTCGACGATCTGAACCCTTTTTCTGCGAGTTCGGAAGAGATTGTATATCTTGGAGCCAATTGTCAGTCGGTCCTTCTTTGGCTTGGCCGGTCGAACGATGCGGTAAGAGCTACGCACCTGTGGATCCCTTTCAATAACTATGGGTTCGGAGTTGTAGCTGTTGTGACCTTCGCTATAACGTCGACCCGACATTCAACGAGCAATAGTGGAAGGCAACGAGGAGAGCGTCAAGACGGTGAGATGGTCGTTTGGTTATGTCGTGCCTTGGATTCGTCAAGGCAAGACTCTGCATTCAGGATGGCTGTTGGATATTCACCGGGGCTAGCGATGTCGATGAGAAGATTGGCAACTTTGAATCTTGGTTGAGTGCTTGAGTTCTTGATTGATCAAGACGCAAGATGCTCAAAGGTCTTTGGTCTTGTCATGATGAAGAATCCAAGACAAAGCAGCCACGCTGGGACGAGGGACCTTTAGTAAGAACCGTGACGATAGAACATTGTGACCGTTCCCTTGTAAGGACAAAGGGTCGCTTGACGAGGCACCGTGCTCGCTCTTGCCTTCAAGGCTGTGATCTCGGTCTGCTGATTTGATAAGGTTAGGTTATGCGATTGAACCCCAGTATATACTTTGAGGTGGAAGTGGGTGCGAGCGGGTCATCTATCAAAGGAAGAAGAACAGGTGATTGGAGATTTCGGATCAATGCAAAATATGGGTTAAAATCTCGACCCAATGCACGGCTGTGAGGAAACAATTGAAGCCTAATGGCTCCCGGTGTGACCGTATAATGGGCGACCGTTGAACTGGTTCGCATGGTTGTGGGTAGGCAATGCGGTGATTTTGGCTCAACGGTATTTGGCCGAATCACGCCCAAGGATCAACTTAGCCTGATGCTCGGTTTATGGTCATGACACACTCATGCCCCAAGCTCACGTACCGTCATGCTGTATTCCCTCTCTGTATAGCAGTCGGGTTCTCCTAGTGGGTGCAATCTGCTAAGCACTCTGTATTTCTGTTCGGCCCCCCCATGAGTATTGTTTCGTTTTCATGCAGCCTTGGGTCGAGGTGTGGCGTCGAATTAGATAAGCAGCCTCGGATCTTGATGCGGTCACTCTTCTGGCCTCCTTCTGCCACCAATTCAAGGAGGTTTATCCAGTAAGGGTAGATGGGGGCCATATAGAACTGCTAAGAAGGGTCGCGAACTTGGAAGTGATGATTGATGTGTTTGATGTGAGTGACCTGCCACAGAATACAGTACTAGAGGGGGCCAGTATTGGTATGATATTAGTATCAAAGGACCTCCCCCTGGGTCAGCCTCAAGTGGCTGATGTCCAAACCCCTGTCACCAACATCATATGTGCTTCACCATTCGTCCAAGCCACTGTAATTATATCGTCATTGCTAGTCTAGCCAGGGCTCGGGCCCGGGCTCGTCAACTACTGGAGACGGGGAGGTAGCTAGTGTGTGCCATTCCCATGTTCAACGCTTGTTCTTCAGTTGCTGCCTGTTTTCCAATCGCACGGTTGCCTGAACTGACATTTCCAATTGAGGATACTCTCATATTAGGTACCGTTGATGCTCAGCAGGAGGTGTGTGCCAGACGTTATTGCCACAAACCAAATATATCTTTAACTTGCATCCTGGGGCGTGCCCAACGACGATGGCCGGAATCAACCCGCAACTTGGTGAGCGGTCGGTTTGTGGTAATCGATTTCGGCCCCGTCATGTCCCTTATCGATCTCGGTTGTGGAGCCAAGGCGAATCTACCAGCTAGATTTTGCGGCCATGGAAGGATTGCACCAACTCGCTCCAGGTCTATCTGAGAAGGAGCAGGTGGCCTTAATATCAATTGAAGAGAGTGGCGAGTTTGAATTCTGATCGACCTCGACGACTAGCTGGCCTTGGACAAATGCGTCAAGCCCAAATACATCCTGCTGCTTCTTTGCACCTGAGAAATTCCAAGACACGGAGTCAGCTGGACCTTGACTAGCTCGCCCTCCCTGTACGGAGTAGATAAGGGGCCATTTGCGAGGTCTTGTGAGTCAGTCACCTGTGTCCCTGCTCTGCTGAACGACAAGGCTGTGTTGTAGACGGTACAGGGTATGTCCGCCTGATGAGAGCCTCAGCCTCAACCTTAGCCGACCTTAGCACTGTGCCAAGGCGTTAATTTCCCTTGGCAAGGCGGATTCTGCAGAGCCGCCAAACTTCTTTTCCAGATTACTGGTTGCTGCCCACCTCTTGCTACTCCAGATTGACTTAGTCCATGCATGCAAGATCTGATGTACAGACTATGTTGCGCAGCTGCAATTGCCCATTCGTGCAATCGCGCCCCTTGCAGCATAGAAATTCCACACACTTGATTCCCAGACCTCGACTGTCGAGGATCGAGCCAAGGCAAGCTGGAGATTTCACATGGTACGAAGTAAACATTTGCTTCAAACCTACAGGTGACAGCTTGCCTTTGATGCTGAGCCAATAACAGGCCACAGCGATGTCAATTGTACATCTATGTGCATTGGTATCATTGCTATTCATGAAACATTTTGACATCGTTAACGATAGGTCTCCATTGCTCCAGCTCTTTCCTAATTAACTCAAGGTCATATGCCCCAGACCCTGCCCAGTAGTTCATAACTTCATATTCTTTTAGAGAATGAGAAATGTGGTGGCGGCCCAGACCTGTGGAAACAAATGATAATGGATGGCATATTCCCATCCTACTTCCCGATTACTTTCCCGCAACCCCATTATGCTGGTCCAAAAGGGAATAATGCCATGAATCCCATGAATATCGTTAGCAAAAGTGACGCTGAGCTGGGCCCCTGAAGCGCAGCACCCCCTGTAAAACTCGATGTCCGAGCTGACGCGGGCAAGGTAGCTGAAAGAGCCGCCGCCGACACGGAAGAGGTGGTCGCGATTGACAAGGACGAGGATGCTTGTCCAGAGGATGACCCGTTTGATGTCGAAGGCGATACAGTGGAGGTTGGACCAGAAGTAGAGCCTGAATTAGAGGTGGAACTTGAGCTAGAAGACGACCGGGAAGTGGTTGTGGTACTCGCCTGGGTCGAGACTGCAGCTTCCGCAACGTAGCCACTGCAATAGTCAAGAAATGTCACCAGGGACGATATCAGCTTGGGGGGCTCAGTATATGCTTTGTCCTTGTTTACATCGATGCAATTGCCACAATTAGTATACTGTTGTGAAAAGACCCCTGAAACTGGGCACAAGACAGCTCCCTTCAGACCACAACTCTGTGCATTAAGCACAGCAGCGTTACAAGGATTGAAACACGCAGCAGGAACTTCGTAATCGGGTGTCTCGTTCTGACGTTCTGCAAGATTCGCTCTTGGAGTGATTCCTGGCGGTGCTGGTCTCCAGCTTTGACCTTGCCCATGATCTCCGTTTCCGTTTCCGTCCCAATGGTTCCAGCCTGATGAAACCGGCCCTGCTGGACCCGAAACCGGCCAATCAGCCCAGCTGGAAACTGGCGGTGGCGGAGGCGGTGGCGCCACCCAATCCGAGGTCGGAGGAGGCGGCGGTAGAGGAGCCCAATCTTGCCACGTCGTAGAGGGAGGGGGAGGGCAGTAAGGGCCCGGTTGACCGTTGAATTGGAAGATGTCATACCCAAGATCAAATATGGGTGGAGCCAAATTAGCATAACCTGCTGGGGGGATATATGGCGTGCAATTGTGGGTGTCCCAGCTGGTGTCAAGCGGTGGCAGTGGTTTCACCGGGAGGCAGTCTTCTGGGCTACAAACGTAGGTGTCCGCTGGCAAGTTTTGTTCGAAGTTGCAACCAATCTGCTTGGGCGTGCACAGAGTATCAGGAGGGCAACCCCACAGCCAATCAGTCGGCAAGGCTGTTGGTGGGGTGTAGGTTGGGTTAATTGTTCTGGTAGGACAAGTCACAAGCCCGACAAGTGTGGTGCAAACCGGAAACTCGGTCACAGTATCGGTAATTGTTGCAAATTCCGTCGTGATGATGACGCTTGCACTGATCACTGTTGCCGTCTTCGTCGCGGTGGCAGTCTCGTGTGAAACCTGGATTTGTGTCTGTGTCGCAGTGTCCGTGAAATAATTGTTGACTGTAGAGTAGATTGTCGCAGTGGCAGTCTCATGCGAAACCTGGATTTGCGTCTGTGTTGCAGTATCCGTGAAATACTTGTTGATTGTACTATAGACCGTTGCAGTGGTAGTGATGATATCAGTTTCGACGGCGGTGACGGTTATCATCTTGGTCTCCCACTGAGTCAAGGTGTTGTACAAAGTCACAGACTCAGGTTTCTCCCATTGTGTTTGCCAGACTGTGACATATTCCTTTTCGGCAGATTTGGTTTCCCAACAGGTGGTTGTTAGCCAATGAGTGTAATCACCACCGTCGCCTCCTCCTCCGCTTCCTCCTGCATTGACGCTGGCGGTCAGCAGAACGGTCAGAACGAGAGTCTTGAATGAGCGCATCTTTAGACGCACTTCACTGCCGAAAGACCCGACCCTCTCTGTGAAGAGTGGCTATGCTGCCGGCAAGTGGTGAACGAGATTGTAGCGATCGATTTATAGCAAGCACTAAGGGAGGGAGAAGCGAGAGTATGGCACCACTGCCTGTATTCACCGAGAAAGCAACCAGTGGCTCTACAACAAGAGTTCCTGAAAATCTATGCCCTGATGAAGAAGAAGAAGAAGAAGGGAGTAAGAGAGGGAAGATGGGCTCCCTTTGAAAGCAACTTGGTGCAGGTGCAGATCGCACGATGGTGGAGTCGGTCATACCTTTTTGGCACCAGTTGAACTTCTTTCGGGCTGCACGTTGCATTTCGCATTCTCGCCCGAAGCGGAGAGCTCGTCGAGATGGCAATGTTCCTGGGTAAATCGACCGTCGCGTACCTGTGGGTAATCTATGATGTGGAATGACAAGGGCTGTAACTGGGTGACAGTCTCAAGACGGGACTGGTCTTGGTACGGAGTGTATCTTACCATGCCATGATTGACCATATTTGGACCGTCCGACGCAACAAAGATGGCTGGGTGTGCGGACAGATGGGGATGAGATGGTGTCCCGTCGCTCGGCAGGCGCAATCCATGTCTACCGAGTATGAAGTGATGGTAATGAGAGACATGATTCCCAGGATAGCAACACCTGGACTGGAACTCGGGCCAAACGAACACGAGTCTTGGTTGGAGGTGAGGCTCGAGTGTAGGGCAAGCGCTCAACAAAGTGGAGTCGGAAGAGTGTGCATTGCAGGGAGCTTTTAGACGGATAAGGCCGTGGCTGGAGAGGCGAGCCAGACTGGAAGAAGCAAATCAGGCGGAGCGGGCAAGACATTGACCTGTCTTTGCCTTAGTATCGTCAAAAGTCTTGGTGTTTATACCTTGCCGTTTCTACTAAGTTCAAGCTAATACAAAAGTGTCATAGTACCCGTTACTCTAGCCCATAAAGGAATGGCCGCCGGCCTTATCAACATGCCCGGGGTCTAGGGCAGCCATAAGCTACTAGCTCGATGCCCACATTGTCTTTTGGACGATTCACAGTATTTTACGTGTTTCGTTCTCGCTGATGTTTTAAGGCCCGCTGCCACTATGTCTGCTCTCTGAAGCGAGCGAGTTCCAACCACTGACAACTCAATGTTGTCCCGTGCACACCTGCCTACGGATTAGATCTTACAAGCAACAGCCAAGTTACTGCGTGTTTCTCTTTTGGGAAAGCTGCCCCTCTGCTCTTACATGTTACGGCACCTGACGTTGTGGACTCGATTCTCCATCCCTGGCTTGATACAAGGTCCGATAGACCGACTATGATATCTCTGTTTCTTATTTTTGGATACAGTCGAAGCCTGTACAGAGTACAACGTAGCACGGCAACCACGCTACTGCGCCGTCTATGTCATGAATACTAACATACTGGGCATGAAGATGGAATATCATGGCTTGACTAAGGAGACAAACTCCAACACAAGATGGTTTGACCACAACCCTTAGCACTAGGCACGTATAACGTGGCTATACGTGTCGGTAAATGAGTTGAGCTGTGGCTTGTGTGCAATCGATGGAAAACTCCTGATGGAGGGAACGATGGTTTCTGTCAATAATGGAGCTCAAGAACCCGAAGCATCCCTATGTTGCAGGATTAGCTCCCAGGATCGACAGGGGTTTCAGAGGTGTACACAAGATCAGCACTTTTCCCGCTAGCGTCGACATGTCGGAATGGGTTACCAATCCGCGGCTACGGTAAATCCGTCAACACATATTGCAGCTTCTGATGAAAGACGCGGTATGGAGTACATACTACGGAGCATTGGCATTTCATGAGTTCCTCGATGGCAGAAATGTGGGATGATCGCGGTTTCGCGCGAGGCTGCTCCGTACTGCTGGAGCGTTTGCATTTGACAGGACAAGTACCAAGTCGGGTTAGTACTCATCAGGCTGGGACATCATTCGCTGCACCTAGTTTTTCGGAGAGGTAACTCATAGGGTGATTCTGAACGAACATTCCACGCACTATTCCAACCCATGCAGACCCCGAGAATATCCTCCAACCAGGGCACCGATTATGCATGGCATGGGGCCAGAAGCTGTCCATTCTGTGTTGCACAGCCGCTCCAACCGCGGCCTTAGGCATAGTGTTTCTAAGGGCTAGTCAGTGATAGCTTACCATTCTCAAAAGTGCCGTCGCTTTGGCTAACCTGTCTTGATTCATTCGGCCAGAGGACGCAATGCTACATTCTCGAAGAGGTCCCTTCCGGCCTGGCCGAGTTGTCGCGTCTGCATCATGCGAGCCAAACAGTGTCACCTCGGCCCTGCTGGCATTTCTAAGGTTTACTAGAAGTCTTGTTGCAATCTAGAACACAACTTCACCTCTTCCTCAATTATTTCCGCAAAGCCTGCTTCTTCTTTGGCGCAACCGCCTTCTCCCCACCCTAGGCGTCCTTTTGTCTGTGAACCACGATGGTCACGACTTTGACGGCATGGCTGCTTACGCTATGCCTTTGGAATGCTGCTACTATGGCCGCGGACGCGAATCCCAGGTTATGTATGTGGACACAACCTCGAGGAGCCGTGGTTCGGGACACTCTTTACCTCGACGGAGGCCAAATGCAATATTGTCAATGGGACGCAACAGGACAGACATGGCTTCAAGGCTCTGCGGTGTCTCCTCCGGACCAGGAGCGCGGGTACCTGTACACGTTGAACTTCTCCAAGACCTTTGAGCTATCCGCAAATTTTTCGGACATATTTTCAATCCTCCCGAATGCTGGTGGGTTTAGCAACAATCCACCATTTATTGATGGCCACATGTTTGCTGATGACTACGAGCTTTATACGTACGGGTAAGAATGATCTTCCAATCCTTATATCACACCATAACTGATCAAAACTCAGTGGTCTTTCCCTCACACTTGAGGGCGAAAAAGCAGATCTCATTAACGATCAATTATACATGCCAGAGCCTGACTCTGGGAAGGAGAATATCTACCAGAACAACTGGGCTCCCGACTTTGATACTCACTATCTTCCTCCGCCACCAACAAGCAAGAATGTTACACACGGTGCTGGTGTAAGCATTCCAAGCGAACATCTAGGGTTTTATTTTTCAGGAATGCAAACTCCATCCGGGGGATTTCTTGTGGCTTACGGTGCAGAAGCTATCTCCGTTACACTTGGCAACATGCTCAAGGTTGATATGAAGTCGATCCACAATGCTGTCTGGGAGAACAAGACCCTCCCCGATCACGTAGGTGGTCGTGGAAGTGCAAGTCTCGCGTGGGTACCAGTGTCCGATCAAGGCCTATTGCTTGCCATAGGAGGAGTCACGAATCCAGTGGACATTCGCTATACTACCAATGCGTCGCTTGATAGTGAAGCTAATGCAGTAAGCCCTGGGTTCATGCACACTATTTCGGTATATGATATTCACAACGACGTTTGGTATAACCAAGACACTTCTGGAGACCTGCCACCACAACTTGCCGATTTCTGCGCTGTTGTGGCTCACCAACCGGACGCAAAATCTTACCAGATCTATATTCAGGGAGGATATAACGGGGTCGACTTGAACAAGGATCTGAACATGGATGTCTACATTCTGTCAATTCCTTCGTTTCACTGGACTAAAGTTACGCCATTAAACCAAGCTGGTGCGCGGTGGGGTCATGTCTGCATAACCCCTTACCCAGACCAGATGTTTGCTGTTGGAGGCCAGGGAAACTATAAGGATATACGCTTTGCACGAGGCAGGTCTGTGGAAGTCCTCAACTTGAACAAACTCATCTGGCAGGACAAATACACTCCAGAGGAATGGTCCCACTATAAGATCCCTCCTCAAGTCACTGCCGCCAGAGACCCTAGTGTAGCTGCCGATAATATGAACGCTTCTCTCGCAGCGCTGTTCACCCAAGAGTATCAACGGGATATCGTCAATTGGTATCCTTACACTTTGATATCAACTGGCAGCAAAAGCATATTGGGTCCAATACTAGGAGGTGTTTTAGGTGGAGTTGCTCTTGTAGTTGCTGCATTCGGGTTTTGGCTTTGGCGACGCCGGCAGCAAAGGAGGAAAAACCGTCAATCGAAGACCTCTACCGCAACATCAGAGACCCTCCAGGGCTCCGGAGACCACCTGCATGGCTGGTTTCGAGACCAAGCTAAGCAATCTGTGTCTGCTGTGGCAATGGAGATGGACACGAGCGACCAGGAAACGGTACTCGGTTCTCGTATTCAAGGTGACGGCGAGATCGCAGAGCTAGGAGGTCGCGGCATCTTTATGCCCAGAAATTCGATACAAACAAATACGCCGCTGTCCCCAGAAACCCTTCCCGAAGTGAGTGGCGAATCCAGGAGGATAGGTGAGCTTCCCGATTCCTCGACCCAACAGGATTCGGCGTCCTCTCGGGGCGAGCCCGATTACAAACCACATAGGCATTCCAATCATCCCCTAGTTTACAACAATGGCCTGAGCGCAACTGACTCTACCGCTGGGCAATCTACTGCTGGAGGGATGTCTTCCGTCGGCGCCGAGGAAGGTTCGTTTCGGGGACGTGACTCATTCCAAGGGTTTCCTTTCAGCGAGAGCAGGCGTGACAATTACGATAATGTCTATCTCGGCGGGGTGGCGTTACCAACAAATGGACCTGTCACCACATCTCCGCGACAGCGCCGTATTGACACTTACTTCCAGACGTCAGAGCGAACGAACTTCGATCCGCTACCTTCACCCATCAAGCCGCAGCCGGAAGGAGATGATATCTACGGGAAAAAGCGGCCGCCGAATGCACCTCGCCAGGAGTCCAATGCAAGCAGCAACTTCGTCATCACACCCTTGGGAATTTCCGACTCGACCCAAAGGGCTGCAAGTGAAGTGGGCATGACCAGCGCAGCACTAGCCACCTCGCCTTTATCACCTATCCGTCCTACACACCGGCGCAACGGTAGCAGTATGAGCAGTGGTGGCCAAATAATAGCGGGCAATAGTCCAACACTGCCATATCAAGGTCCCGAGGAGGATCATCGCCAATCGGCATTCATCGAGAACTTGCCCGACCATCCTTCCAGAACCTCGACCAGAGCTTCCAATGCGAAACGAAAAGACATCAAGCCTCCTCCTACGCCAGTAGACGAGGAGGACCAAATAAAACAGCCTGATACCTAGCTAGGTGCTCAAGTAGCTGAGAAGGAGATGAGGACGATGAGGTAAGAATAGAAACGATATCGCCCACCGAGCGAACGGGGTTTGCCCAAAACGAGCCCTTGAATGCCCACATTTCTCCGAAACACCTTCCCCCAAAGATTACGGTTTTCTACGATTATATGATACTATGTATGCGACAGTGCAAGACTTCAAAATAAATGGTACACGGCGGAGAGGCCTCAGGTCTTGCCTGGCGTTTAGAGGATGCGGAGTTTAACATCCCGGGCTTCTGGCGAAGCCAATATACGCCTCGAATGTTCCAATGTATGAATGGCAATTCATTTCAATTCGTTACAGCTTTCATCAAAGTATTCCCATTCATAGTACTGTTCGAAGCATCTGTACTTCTTTTCGCCAGTCACCTGCAAGACTTGCTTCTTTGACCAGCTTTCATGCCGAAAATCCACATCACCGACTGACAAGGGAGAAATGTTGTGCCGTTTGAAGGCACACTTCCTCCACGAGTCCCATGTCGCAACTCCGCACACGAAGACTGAACCGAGAAGGATGTCGTAAGGCCGTCCATTTGACCTCAGCTTGGTTAGTGGCCTTGCGAGGTGCCTGGACCCAGCGCGAACTAATTAACCTGAACGCAGGGTGCCGTACAGGAAAGGGCTGGGAAATGTCCGACAGGACCCCGGCCAAACGTTCGAGACCAGCTTGGAACCGATTTCGGCGGGCAACCCTGAGCGGACACCAAGGGCGCGAGTCTAGTCGGATAGATACATAGTAGCATCCACGAGTACGGAGTACCAACGTACTATAGCTGAATACCGTTCGAAACCGGTTGGATTTCTGTCTCTTAGCAGTGGTCAGGCTGGCTATAGTACATGGTAGCTTCAGTGCCGAAGCTACCTCGAACCCCGGAGTTATTAATAAGAGGCAACCATGTACTCTGAACGGAGTACAAAATACGATGCAAGCCTCTTTGCTACACACCGCGTAAGCACTTGTACATACGGCCAGCTGCTGACTCTTGCAGATGCCGTTTAACCACATACTGCGGACGGAGTCCGGAGTACTGAGTACGGAGTACCAGGCCTCGCCGATATCCATCTCTGCCTGCTCTCGCCGTCAAAGCTAAGCCTTACAGTACATACACCAGTGGCGCGAGCAAAGGGCCCCTCGCCCCCAGCCTCCCCTAGCCGTAGCGGCCGTGGCGGCTTTTATAGTAGTATTTCGCCGTTCTCAGTTGGTGCGTGCGTGGTGCGTATTCCGTATATCATGGCCTCCGTATCTGAAATCCGCCGCTGCTTACAGTATCTTCGTGTCTTGTCGTCTCGACTGCCCATTGAAGAGATACTAAGTACAAACATGCCTGAACAGGGTGGCAAGAATACTCCAAAGTGGTAGATGTGGATAGGATGTGTGTACGAGTATGTCTTCTCGTGCGATGCGCTTGATGCAGCAGCACAGTTTCCACAAGGGGGCTCGGTACATAACGAAGTACACCTAGGTACTGGGTACCTACTCCGTCCTGCAACGTATCGTATCGTACCGCATAGCACACGCTTGGGGCTTCGGATTCCCTTCAGATCCCACCAGCCTTAATTCCGTGGTGGACACCTCAACGGCCACCAGGCTATTTATGTGATCTTCTCCACAAAGGCAGAGGGGTTCTCGCAGTAATTACTAATGCCTATGCTATGGCCCGAAGCGAGTGTTCCGTAGGGCCACCTTACTCACTTACTTGCACGAGCTCGCATCTTTAACCATGTTGGAAAGCTTTCGACTTCGTCTTTCTCGGGACCCTAGCTCCTATGTTAGTATGGAATTGATTGGCTGGAAGACTAATTCAAGTGGTGATTCCTTTGTTTGTTCTTCTGTTGTGAGTCAGTACATAATTAGTAATTATAGGTCGTTCGTTTTTGTTGCTTACATATTCATCCCAGGCCCGGAAATATCTTATGCGAAGACCCACGCTTGTTTGGGACAACCGAGAACGAGGGAGGATGTTCTGTCGTCTTCATTCGTTGGGAGCCATCGAGTTTTGAGCGCCCCTCTATGAATGGGATGCTCAGCCATCGATTCGTGTTGATACATAGTATGCTCAACAAGGCAAGTTTTCGGATTCAGGGTCGGTGCTTTGGCCAGTGTGATATGTACCGTAGAGGTGCAGTGAGTTGTCTGGGATAGGTCAAGAACTGCCTCAGCAGCATTACCCATAGTAAAAGCAACATTGAAGCAGTACGACAGTGACCGTCTCGATTCTGTTTCTCAGCAGTGCATGGTGAAGGTCGCGAGGCCCTTCTCGGCATGCATGTGTTGACAACTCATTATCAATATAGGACTACCCTCAACTTGAAATCCCCTCCAACACTACCACAAGCAGACATGGCCTTGCAAACCCGACATTGCTTCTACCATATGCATAGACACCCCGTCCGGAAAATCCGATCCCTCCACATCATCCCCTTATCTTACTCCCCTCCTCCACCAAGGTAGACACGGTATTGTGGAACATATGCAAGGATGAATGCTCCTAGTGCTTGTAACTGCTTCTTACCCTTCCAATGGGAAACGGAATCTCCGCATCACAGCTCAACAACAGTCGGGCCCACCTGCTGGGCGACGAACTGCTGCACGACAGCCTGCGTAGCCTGAGCAGCGGCACCAGCAATCGGCATGAGGCCCTCAAAGTCATTCGAGGTTGCGACGTCCGGGTCTGGATAGAACCACGCGGCGATGGCAATGATGAGGTAGACGATCTGCACAATGGCAAGCAAATGCGTTGCACGTTAGCCCTTGATATCAGTCATTCAGGAGGGAAAGAAGAGAGGAAGAAACAAAACATCGAGGAGAGGGGAATACGCGGGATACTAGCACGGTTTGACATACCACCAACAAGGCCCCCTCAAGGTAATTACTCTCCTTGTCCCTTAAGAAATTGCCGACGACGAGGATGCTCAGGACCAGCAGAGCGACCATGAAGATTTCAAAGTTCAAGTCCATTTTCTTGCCGAGCACCCAGCCGACGATGACGACCAGCGGACCATTGAACAGCGCGGTCTGGATGGACGGTCCGAGACAGTGATAGAGCGCGAAGTTCATCTGACCGTCCCAAGCCTCGTCGATCGCCGTGAGATGCTCGGCGGCCTTTTCGACGAGCGGCAGGAGGATCAAGCCGAGGAATTGGTCGGGCACGCCGGAGTGGACGATGAGTTCGATCTGCTCGACGAGGAAGAAGGCGAGCAGTGTGACGAAGAACAGACTGGCGACGATGGCAAGCACACACTCGCTGAAGGTCAACTTCTCCTTTGCAAGGTCGTACGCGTGGTCTTCGTCACGCAGCTCATCAGCCTCGAGGATCTCGTCGAAGATGCTGTGCTGCGACCGCGCGTTGAAGATGATGTAGATGGCGAAGGAGATGATCAAGATCACGCTTGTCGCCTGGCTCATTTTCAAGACATCATCTTGGAGTTTCTGGCTGGTGAATTTGCCCAAAGCGCGGGTTTCACCTTTCAAGGCAGAGTAGAATGCGCTGGGGATCAGGAGGCCGAAGCCTGCGACGAGCAAAAGACCCGAACCGACTTCGCTGACCGCAGCGTGGAAGGTCTGCGTCTTCTGACGAATGCCGCCAAAGAAGAAGCATAGGCCCAGACACAGCAGCAGATTCGTGAGGATAGAGCCTAGGATCGCGGCCTGGATGACGGGGATCAGGTTCCCTTCCTCGGCCGAGTTATCGTCGTCTCCAGGCTCGGGATCACGGTGCTTGGCGATCAAGATGACAAACAGCACGATCTCGACGATGCTGCCCAGGGCGGTCTCGATCAGAATCCCCGCGACTTTAGGCATCTTCCGCGCCAGCTCCTGGCCGGCGAACCCGAGCAGATTCGCGGCCGGGATTATCCCCAAGTACGCCATCGCAAACACCCACTTCTGCAGCGTGTGCGAGTGGTGGCCTGGTAGGTAGTGTAAGACAATGGCGACCGGCACGAGTGGCCACAACACATTCACCATCATGGAGACCTTGGAGGAGCTGCGGAAGAGGATGCGTAGGAATGACATGGGGTGGATTCCTGAGCGTCCGGACTCGCCTTCGTGGTGGATAGTGAGAAGCCCACCACCTCCATTTTCGCTGTGCCCGCCGTGCCCGCCATGGTGTGGCTTGGGACTAGTGTCGGTGCCGCTGGGCAGAATGTGATGGACCGGGTTCGAGGGCCCCGAACTGCTGTCGTGGGTGCTCATTCTGAAGAGGCTGTAGGACACTTTGCGGTAGTCGATGACGACTGAGACTGATATTGTTCCCGGAGGACAACAAACGATTCGAACACCAAAGGAAATGGAGATCCCCCAAATAAAAGGAGCTTGCTCTGGGCTATCCTGACGTTGGCAACACGTCTGATTACGAACAGGGTTGAGAGAGCTGCAAATAAAGTCCTCTACCTTCAAAACAATGAAGTAGAGATAGAGTTTTCTATCCCCTTTGCACGAGTGGCAGATTGACCAGTTAGACACCGTACCAAATGCCGACTGATGCCAGGCGTAGATCTGAGTGTCTACCAGAGATAAGGCTGGATGCTCGGGTGAGCTTATATGAAGACAGTTGTATCAAACATAGGCTTATATTTTCGTTTTCTTTGCTCTTGGACCTGGTTCCTTGATCGATCAATATTCAAGACGTTGGGGGAGGTTGGTTCGTCGTGGTGAAGGTGGTGGTGGCTGAGCAGCATTTAACGCCCAGGCCAAGACACCAGCGAACGCAGTTGACAGCTGAGTCCAAATCGAAACTTGGCTCACCGCTGCACAAGAGAAACCTTGATCAAGAGTTTGGGACATCATGAGCTGAAACGTCTTTCTTGACTATTCTTCTTTGATAAACCCCTAGTTCGGTAGTTTCTGTGACTGCCGATTTGATAGGAAGAATAGGCAAGGCTACTACCTCACTGGGCACCCGTATCCCGTACCCCGTGCCACCCGCCTGCCACCCTTGTTGATACTGCTGAGTCAGCGGGTTGCCCACGAGGCCAAGGCAATATAACCAATTAACTTCGCATTCGGCCTCCAGGAATGTATTGAGCAATCATACTCCAACAGTTATATCTTTGAAATGGTTGAGTCCCATGATCTCATTAAAAACGATGTATGTACGCTATACAAACACACGCTTTCATTCCCGTCGTGCAACATCACTCGTCGTAAAAGTGGCTCCTACAGAAAAAAGGACAAATCCAGGCGTCGGGTCACCATCTTATCGGCCCAAACAGCACAAGCCCGAGGAATAACCCTGATCGTAATGCTGAATGTCTTTCTGAAATTAAAGATAGCGCCTGGGCTATTGTATTCCTCACCTGTTAATATTGGGCATAACAGATAAAGGCCATACGCCATAGGAATTCAAAGTGGAAAGATGTCGATTGTGGTAGCTAGTGTCCCCAGCTGCCCTTTCTCGCTCGTGCACCCCAGTCTTCATTTGCACCAACAGGACGGGCACGGTCATCAGCAAAATTGGGACTTTGTCGAGCCCACTCTTTGATATATAGTCTCAAGGCTTCCCAGCGCTTACATTTGCCAATAACTTCGCGTTCGTCGGCGCCGTCGCCTTCTGGAGCACCAACATAGCCCTTCGCGTCGACGTTGTAGTCGTCTCGTCTGAGCTCTTCTAGTGGTATGCGGCTAATTTTGCTTAATTCTTCGTCGAACATGTGCGCAAGGCTGGGATATCCAAGGCTCAAATAGTTGTAGATCTGGGTAATGACACGGGTGGGAAATTCATCTTCAATTTGTTTCTCCAGCTGTAATTTTCGATCGATTGTGCTAGTGAAGATGTCATCTCCATCCTGACTGCGGGGAGGAGTCAATGGGAGGAATGCCAACCCCGTGTACGGCCTCTTACGCCCGGGTGTTTGATTCCCTCGACCAGGTGTCTGGCTACCTCTAATAGCAAGAGACACCTCGAATGGGTTGTTTCTATCCCCTGCTGGAGTTTGAGGAACAGGAGTCTGAATCCCACTTCGCAAGCCGTTTTCCTGGGGTGCAGGTCGAGATTGCGATGCCTGGCACAAACCCATCCATAGACCAGCCCCTGCACTATTTTGAGGCTTTGAATCTGTTTTCCATAGCTGAGGTGACTGTGGACTCGGCATCTCGTCGTCACTATCTGCATTTCGTGGTCTTGGAGCCTGATCTGGATCGCATCGGGTCATCTTGGGTGAAATTGTGAAAGGGAAAAGCAGATCTGACCCCAACATTGGAGGTGATGCAGCTGCACGCATTCTTGCAAGTTCCGAGTCTTCATCTGGCCGTGGTTTTTTGGCCTTTTTGACGGTCTTTGCCTCAATGGCATGCCGAGTTGCTAAAGCTGCTGCACTAAAGCGGCTCTGCCCAGCAGTGTCGGCTTTGAGTTCACGCTTCGCCTGCTCCAGCTGCTCGTGATGTTTACGCATATTCGCCATCTCTAGATCAAGTTCTGCTGCTGATGACCGACGGAATGTTTTCACATCGACGCCCTTCTCGCCTTGAAACATTGGGACTGGCAATGGGCCGTCTTCATCTTCGTCATGGGATATGGCAAAGTGATCGACTGGTTCGTACGGCCTCTCATTGATATAGGCAGCCATGGCCTGCTCTTGCAATTCCTTCTCTGTCACCGTCTCTGCAGCCAGGCGAAGGACATAGTCGGTATAGCTTTCTTTAGGGTCGGGTTGATTTGTGTTCCTTCGGTTCTCAATGTCCAGAGATGAAGGAGAATCGCTCAGAGATGGAGTATCAGAGCTTTCACCTTCGTCAGTCGACTCTATCATAGGCAGGTCGGGAACCACAAATGAATGCTGCCGAGTGATCTCGGGATGTTTTCGAGCCAAGGCAGCGGCGGAGAATTTGGATTGTTCCAGGTCAGTCACTTCATCCACGTCCTCCTCCTCCGCTTCCTTTCCCGAAGCAGGATCCGGTTGAGAAGACGGAGGGCTTTGTAGGACTGGAGACGGATTGTGGACACGTCGATATGAGCCTTTAGCGGTCTCTAGCAATTCCGGAGAGAACTTGCGGGGTCCAGAGGACTCTCTACTAGAAGCCGGGGAAATTTCTGACTGAGGGTCCGGGTCAGTCTCTTCATCCGAATCCCTCGTGTCTAGTTTCCGGCGTCGTCGCCGTGTTGTAGTGGTGATTTCAATCGGCTCCGGGGCGAATCTTCGTCTGGGGCGAGGGGTTTTCTCAGTGTCGACTTCGTCCTTGAGAGGCTTCTTGTCGTTACTGCTCTTGGTGGTGGTCTCAATTGGCTCCGGGGCAAATCGAGAGCGCGGTTTGGTCGGCTTGTCTTCTTCCTGTGGCTTGGGCGTGTCTTTGCTCTTCCTAGTGCTTGTCTCAATAGGCTCTGGGGCAAATTTCCTCCGTGAGGTGCGTGTAGATGTCTCGACAGGTTCTGGTTTGAAGCGTCTTGGTGTAGTAGAGTCTTGATTGCTTGATAGAGTTGAGGTAAGTGAAGACGACGAGGGCAACTTGTCCTGCGTGTCTCGAGCGGAAGCTTCTGAATCTGGAGCACGGTTCCCAGACTCCGCAGTTTTCCTGTGAGAAGTACGAGTTGTTTCCTCGATTGGCTGGGGAAGGAACCTGCGAGGCTTGGTCTGGGAAGGCATGGCTGCGTTATCTGTCTTGCGTGCTGTGGCTTCGGAAGACGAACTTGACAATAGAGCACCTGAGGGGATCACAGCTGAGCTAGATATCGGAAGGGTGCCAGGAGTCTCCATCGTATCGGGAGTCCTACTCCTGGGAGAAGGCGGGGAAATAGACATGGCGTGCGTCGGCAGGGAGATGGATAAGCATATTATTCCCTTGTCCGATTCCTCTGACTTGTTAAACTAGGAGCACACGAGCATCAGGCCCAGAAGCATGCTCAAGGATTAAAAAATGCGGGGAAGGGCGTGCAACGAGGTAGGATATCGGGCATATACGGAGGTGGTATGTATAGGTCGAGGAGAGAAGAGGGAGAAGACGAGGAGGAGTAGGACGGAGAGGATGGTGGATCCTCGTAGGTCGGTCGGTGGGGGGACAGCGAAGCAAGAGTCCCAGAGAGCAAGGGTGAAGGAGAAACAAAGGGACAGAAGAAAACAGTGAGGCTGCTGCTCAGACGAAGCAAGCAATCAATCAATATGAGACTGGCGGACGCACGGGTGTTGGTGGTGGTGAACTGCGGTTTAGGGTCGGAGCGAGTGAAGGACTACGTAGGGCAAGCACACCGGCAGCACTCGTAGCATTGAAGGAACGAATCAAGTACCCGTAAGGGGAGAGAGAGTCAGCTCAGCTGTGAGTATTTTGGAATGGGATCCCGAGACGAGAATTCTGGGTGTGAGTCGAGCAGTAAGTGGTAAGAGGATATGACGACAAGGGCAAGGTTGGCAAAAGGAAAAGTTGTCGGTGATTATTAGTGCCAGTGCTGTATCCAAGCAGGGCGTGGGCGATGGTGGCATGAGGAATGGCCTTCATGATGATGGAGGTACGGGGAATGAGGAATTGCTGGTGGAATGGGGGCACCCAGCAGTCCAGGGCTCTAGGGGGTGCGAAGTGGGCCAGGGCCCAGCTATGACTCTATGAGTCTATGACACACCTCCCTAATGCAGAAAACACGCCGCTAATCCTAGGCGCCATCTTAACTAATCAGTCTTCCCCTTACAGGCACCCAGCCGTGGAGTAGCGGGCCCCTTCGGCGCCATTTAGCGGCTGCACCCCTTGCGATCGACGCCTACCAGTAGGTCGAAACCCGCCGACCACTGGGCCGCTCGGGTATTTGTGGATAGAGCGGAGGGGATTAATGGATGAACAGCGCAATCAACGTCTGCGGTACCTCGTGCTCGTGCCGCTTGCCTCGGGGTTGGCTTCTGCGTCCTCGACATGTGGACTTGTGCATTTGGCTGGTCACCTCACCAGCAATTGAATTGAGCTTTGGTGCTGCAAGCGAAGTCTGGGACAGCAATTACACGACAATGGTATAATCCATGATTGGATCTGACAACGACTGGGTAAGGAACCGTGCATTTCAACGCTTTGTTTTGCCAGTTGAGAATCCAACAATCTTTTGTTTACAACCCGCGCCAAATCGATAAGCCAGGTGCACCCCTCATCACTTTCTACCCTGACTCAGCCCTTCTGCTCGGCATGAATAACCCGACTTACTCTGGTGGCCTGCGGCTTGCAGCCAATACAATACGGAGGACTCCGCAGGCTTTACTCATAATTCGTCTCCATGCTGATCTCTCTCTTCCTTTTTTTTTTATCCCTGGCCAAGGACTCCGAGTGCTCCGTACTCCGTATTCCGTCCTAGTGATGGCCTGCTTCCCCAGATTCATTGTATTAGAACCGCGGAGGCTAAGCTCAATCCAGAGGCGGTGAGTATTGTCGAGCACATACAGGTACGGAATACCTTCTCATGGGGACAACACAAGGTTGTCATTTCAATTCCCTGGACACCGGATCAATGCTTCATCCCAACCTGCTGTGTTGAAGAGAAGCCTCCATTTGTGCGAGCCTCTTGATTAAAACTCATCTCATTCCAGCAAAGAACAGAATATATCTTAGGATAGTGGTGGCTAACACGATTCTGCCGCTAGACACCAATTCAGGACAGCATGCGTTCGTAACAGATCCGTCTCAAGCATTTGGCTAGCATCCTGGTACATAAGACATTGCAGGGTCGATAAGGTGCCGCCCGTACAGTAGTCTTCGAGGGCGCGTACAGAATCCGACCACACATTCCTCTAGACGAAATGGCTGAGACGAGACAAACAAGATCATCACGCAGGCAAGCTTTCATTGCAGCACCTACCATCTATCCGGACTTGGCTCATCTCCATCACTCTTGCGGTCTGACATGGCACCCGGCAAGTATTTACCATGTCCAATCATCACCCACCCGAATTCTCCCGATATCAAGGTTTCCTCATGCAGCTGTCCCTTCTTCCATGCTTCCTCCCGCGCGGTATCTTCCCTCTGACGACTCGTGCTGTAGCCATCATGCAACTTCCCGTACTCCGTATCTCGCGATCGTTGATAGAAATAACACGAAGCGGTCAAGTCAGGAACCAAACATCGAAAAGTCAAATCATCAATCAGTCCGAGTCCTCCACCTGGGCCAGCTGTGAATCCTGCCTCACCATGATCTTCGCCAACCCTGGTTCCATGTGCAAGCTTGTGCTCATTGCATTTGCATCCGACCCTCCCATGTCCGAGTGACTAGAGCTGACCCTAAGGCTGCGTCTCCTCTCCCGCTGATGATGCAGTCCGGGGAACGCGCGTGGCTCCTGTCCAGAGATGTGCGCGTCTGTGTGAGCTCCTGGAGTGTAAAACGCGCTCGATGTCGTTCGCGACCTGGTGGGTGATCGATTAACCGGCGTAGGGTCTGCCAATTGTCCTGTCTTGGAAGGCTGCTGTCTGGCTGACTGAGCCGGTTGAATCGAATCAGCAACTGATGCATAGTATTGTCGAGGAGATTCCAATCCTTTGTACACCTCCTCAATCGGTGTAAGCGTATCAGCGGGGTCGGGCAAGTTGGGAGTGCATCTGTCGAAATGACTGTAGTCATTTGTATACCTGGCAATGAACGAGTGCTCAGCCTTCAACGTTTCATGTCGAAAAGCTTCTCGTACGTCCGGCACGTTACATTTCGCCACGTCGTTCCCAAGCACACCCGGAAGGTAGCAGTACTTCCCAAGCCAGCGCTGCTTCAAGGAAAGCTCAAAGCCGCACTGATCCACTGAGTGTTTTGCCAACTCACACATGTCGACCGCACTCAGCTTATAGATCTGTGCTGCCACCGAATATTCTTCAATCAATGGCTCCTTGGTAAAGGCAAACTGCAAAGGATCATCTGTCGAGAGTGAAACATTCAACCCCTTCTTGAAGTAACTGATGAACGGATTTCGATCATACGTCAAGAAAAGAGCGTTGTTGCTGAGTGGAGACATGGCAACCCCGATCTGCTCCAGATAAAATATATATTGGAGCAAAGGCACTTTTCGAAGCATGATTCCGTGACTAATGCTGTGACAACACAGAAGTGCTGCAGCCAAATGGTCCGTGTCACCCGCCTCTCCACAATGGGGCCGCAGAAGGAATGTATTGAATCCTCGCTGTTTGCGCCATGCATTCAAGGAAGTCATGTTCGCAAAGAGGTAGTAGATCCAGTAGCCATATGGTGGGTTTTGCTTCGTGTTCCATTCCTTCGGTGCTGGGAACTTGCGATACAGCCGCCTTTCCACCTTGCTCTCATCGTCCACACTATCAAACCCAATCACCCGCTGGAGAAAGATGTGGAGTTTGGGATGAGTCGATGGGTCTTGCGTGACTTCAAACAGTGGTTGGAAAATGTTGGAAAGGCATTGTTCAAAATTCTCCATGGTTTTCATCGACTTATACAAGGCGTATAGTCTTGGAATCTGAATGAGCCAACGGACATTGTGTGAGAAGAGACGATTGTCCACCACCCAGGCTGCAAGCTTGTCCCATTCCTCAAGGTTACGTCCGTATATGCTGATCCGCCACTCGACCTAGATCCAATCAGCTGTGATCAGCAACGTCAGAAGAGAAAGCTCACCATTTGATACTTGCTCGACTCGAGATCCGAGATGACTTCCCGAGTGATCTCCGCCAGGTACCGACCTTTGATGAAGTTGTCGGTCTTTAGAAAAATGTCTCTCAGTCTGGATTGCCCTACAGGGTTGTACTTGAGATTGAACTTGTCGAACCGATGGAAAGAATCCGTATGAGCGTGCATATCCAACGTATCAATACTGAGGTCATAAGCTGTGAGTTCGATGCTCTCAAAAACCTCTTTCAGAGTTAGTTTTTTTCCATCCCTGTCAAGTACGACTTCATCGGGACATTTCTTCATCTTGCTTTTGATGAATCTCAAAAGATGCTTCTGGTTCATACAAGCAGAATGATGCACGTGAGTGTCGACCTTTCTCACATTATAAAAGTCGCGATGTGGAACTTTCTTGGTATCTGCGACTTCCTCATACTCATTCAGCAAAGAGTAAAGGTTGTACCGACCTTCCAGGTATTGAAGACGTCGATATGCAAAGCTCTTAGCAGGCCCATCGGACGCAATCTCGAGGATGATGTCTAGAGCCATGTAGTAGTCTCTCAGCGACGGTACTTCGACAATCGGCTTGTCACTTTCGTCATAAACCTGGTAGACACTTCCCTCATCCATGGCAAATTTCAAATTCCGACGAGCTTTGCCAGGAATAAAACATTCACTCAGGTCGAAATCTTCACCAATTGCGTGCCCTGCCTTTCGAGCCTTTTTAAACGTGGGCGATGATGGAGCTCCCCTCTCCGATCCAGCTTGACTCGCACTTGCTGACCATTTGCTCAATTCATTGGTATTGCTGGCTGCGTTTCCTTTAGCGTCGGCCATGTAGAGACTGCTTGAGGTACTGTTAGGAGGTATGAGGTCCACCGTGGGTTCCCGGGCTTTGTGTTCGTTCCAAACAGGATTTGGTGGAGGTGGATATATCTCCCAGTCTTCGTCATCCTTGGGATTATCTCCCCTGCACTGGAGTGAGGTCTTAAGATACTTCTGTCTCAGGTCCAGCAATGTCTTGATCTTGTCACAGATGGACTGAACTTCACTGACTATACTGTCTTCATTCGCCGCAAGTCCACCAGGGCCATTTCCGAGACCCATGCCTGCCCCTGCTCCATGGACTCCTTCATGGGCCATCAATGGGTCTTTGAACTCATGCGGAAGGCCGGGATGATGTTTGTGGCTGCGAGCTGCGGCATCAGCAAGTAATGCCGCATCACTTGCATGCTGGCTCCCTCCTTTGCTCTGAAAATTGGGAAAATTCTCTCGAGAATGGCTCAATTTTAAGCCACCACTTGGACCCCCCGCCCTTTGGCTCAGGCGGGATTGCCTGGATGCCACGCTAGGGGTACGATTCAGCGTCAGATCCCCATCTAACGAGACAGGCATAGTGAATGACTTAGACAGTGATTGGGAGCCTTCGAAATCTTTCTCAGTTTTGGTATCCATTCGATGGCGTTGATAAATGAGCTTTGCATCAGCGTAAGAGTCTCGCTTTTCAGCAGCGTAGTGATAGAATGGGTGCGGGACTTGATCGTCCGGCTCGAGTTCTTCGGATGAGTTGGTATCACCAGTCCCCGGGGTATTTGTTTGCTCATCATCGTCCTCCTCAAGGTCTTTCACGGAAGCCTTGCGGAGGGCACGCTGCTGCTGTCGTGGCTCATCCTGCAGGCCCGTAGCCCGCGATTTATACACATAAACGTCCGCTTCCTCATCCGAGTCCCCTGTGAGACTGTGTTGGGCATGAGGTAGTGCAGTACTGCGGCTATCCATGGTAGACTGCCCTCAAATCCTAGAGTTGATAGGCGTATCTAAACACAATCTAAAACCAAAAGTAGCACGGACAGCCCTAGTGACCAACAATAGCAGTAAGCGATCAGAAGCGAGGCCAACAATGTGAAATGTGTTGTTGGTAACCTGTTTACATGTCGTAGCCAGGTAGAAGTCTCAGAATCAAACAGAAAAGAGCACCTGCAACCGCTACAATAATGCAGATAGCAATGGTCGGTCAGTCACTTTGAGGGAGCGGTGGTCAAGGCAAGCTGCGAGACTTGAACTCTAATGTGTCATCGGGTCTTGGCATCCACAACCACCTGCATTCCAAAGGACTACTTAGTAATGCTAAGCCATTTTAAAGCCTTGGCGTCTTAAAGGAGCAGGTTTTACGGATTACGATAAGATCACACGGTTTCCCACCATTTTTTCTACATAGCTGCCAGCCTCATGTAGCCATGCCGAATTCCTCCTACTTCAAGCAAGCAACACGGTACATCGGTTAGTAAGCTAAATGTGTAAGCCAGCATGAGACCGACGGAAAAAAAACCATTCCGCGATCACGAAATGGCTATAAGAATTGTCGGCAGCAAAGATACAAGGCTTGTCACTAACTGGACAACCAACAACCGAGCGCAGTTTATCTAGTCGAGGCAGTGCGATGAGGGAAAGCCTTCTTGCAGTACATGAGCTCGCTTGGGCAGGGACTGTGACTATCAAAAGCCTTCTCAGTTTCGGACCATCACTCTTTCCACCAACAAACAAGTTCCAAGCGGGGAGGGGCCGCCCCGAATCCGAGACTATGCACCGCCTGCTCATCTGGTACCTACCGAAGATTCAAGAGATCAAGGAGGGACTACCAACATCATCTTTTCATCCGCCGGATCCGTGGAGAATGTGGAGCAAGAATGGTTCCTAAGCTCTTCGACATCGATGGATATAACGCCTCGTCGCCTTCCTATTTACATTACGTCCAACCACTTGGCAATTACATAAACGACATCGGAACTGGATCGACTTCCTCTATGCCGCTCGACTTCTCTCTCTCAGCTTCACGACTGCACTACGAGAGATCTTGTTTGTATGCAAAATATTGTCTCTTAGCACTCAGCTAGTTGTGGCTAGTCCTTGTTGACGCCATCTTGTCCCTCTCGGTTTGTAATCTAAGTTGGCCTATCCAGAGTTCCAGGGACCGGACACCTCGCGTGACCAGAACCTGGCTTACCAACCCCACTTAACTCACCACATGCAAAGCCAAATATACTACAATTCAGCGATTCGAAGGCTAGCTCGACTTAGCAAAGAGAAATGCCAGTATAATCTCCTCTGTACACTCGCAGCCATGCTTCTCTTTTGCTATATGGAGTCTGCTACGTGCAATCTACGTGGGAATAGCTGCCATATGAACGGCATGTCGAGTTTATTCGCAGCCGAGGTGGAATAGATTCGAACCAGCCTTGGTGGAAATGAGCTAATGGTGACATGGGAGCAGTTGAAATATTACGACAGGTGGATTAGAATCCAGTTCAGTATACTTCGTTTCCTGGAAAGTCAGAGTGCCTTGCGAATCTCACTACCCAGCCAGAGCCTGAAAGCATCAAAGCGCTGGACCTACAAACTTCCTTTCAACGTTGTGTGAGTCTTACCGACTTAGCTCCAAGTCGTTTCTTCGGTGGTGGAACCATCCGACTCTGTTGTCCAGCAAGGCTGATATTCGCTTGGACTCGTCTCATCATGAAGAAGATTATATACGCCTGCTCCTCGAAGAGTCTAGAAGACTTGACATATGGCAATCCGAGTCTAGGCCTTCAGAACTTCCAAACACAGCAATCGCAGGATTAGAGCCACTCCACTTTCCACTATAAGAACTTTCACTCAATGTCGCATACTACGCCCCAGCCCGTGTTATGCGAACTTCATGGAATAATCAGGAGTTTAATTCGACCAATCCCATCAACCTCAACCACGAGGTTCTTGAGAATGATTACTGGATGAGACCACTCCTCCGAGTAGTGCACGGGATCGAAAGGTCAAATTGCGTGCGTCAGAATGCCTACAGTATTGGGATTTCAGGTTGATTTCTTGCCTGCCTTCTTCGCTCCTGTAGCTTTGCTGCTGGACTGCGGAATAGAAACCTGGTTAAAGGGGTTTGAGCAGGCACAAGCCTTCGAAGAGGGAGACCTACCACTTTCACAAATCATTGCCACAGTGTGTATGGTTAAACTACAGTGACAAGCCAGCTATGACATATTTGCCATCTCTCCCATGCTAGAGGATGGTGGCAGCCATAGAAAATTCAATTCCTAAGGCAACCATAGTCTTTCCCAAGTCCTGATTCTTGGGAGGCGCCGCCAAACAGGTTGCGCCTTTTCGAATGGTGTGGCCATCAAGTATAACCCTGATTGAGAGGAGTCCACTCTACTCCGAACACTGCATTATCTAGTAAACAGTCGACGGGGGCAGTTTTCGTTAGCACCATTTTACTACCTAATAGTATTAGCCTCTATCAATACTGGAATTCCTCGTTTTGATACACTCAACGCGTCTGGCGCGCCTCGCTCACCTTCTTTCTGCATATCTCGATGACTCGTACTGTCACTACTCGTACTACTCCCCTTACTCCCTCTACACCTCCTCATACGTGTCATATAGTGCCAAGCGCACTTGCCACTTACGGTATTTAATACTCCGTACCCACTCTGCTCCTTAGTAAACTTAGTATAATAGTAGAGAGAATAATTCTATACTAGAGGATGTTACTCCATAGCTATCATTCTTATAGCAGGCGATTAAGCCGTATAAATCGTTATTTATACTATTCAGACCCCAAATCTTACTCCTAGCCTAACCTGCGGCACATCCTTAGAGTGATAACCGCGAGTATACTCTAATAGCCCGCTAATATTGTCTACTCCAGCTCTGCTGGCCGCTACAACAACGCTGAGAAAATAGAAATCGCCCTTACCTTCGCTATCAACTTTACTATACAGCCATTACACAACATTCGCCAAAGGCTAATGGTGTGTGCCATAGAAACAATAGCTACTCAAGCCCTATACAGCCCTTTCAGCTGGCGGAAGTCAACAAAATAGAGAACCTTCAAAAGAGGTTATAACACCGAATGTATACATACTATTTATCTCTCTAGGCAGCATGCGATAGAGAGTTGCGGTTTCGGGCTAAATAATGCACCACCCAAAGGATTTCTTGCTCTTGCAAGTTGCAACGTCTCGTATGTACGAGCAAACTGACGTTGATTAAATCGTGCATGAATTTTCGCACCTGTCGCCAAGTATGACCCTAAGTTAAGGAAAGGGGTCTCGAGGTTCGGCAGATTAGTAGTGCGGCCATCGGTAATTGTTCGCGGTCACTGTAGATAGAAGCGCGCTCTCGCAACCGTTCGTTGGCAATGTCCTCCGTGGACACAATTATGCGGGTCCGGCCTGCGATGCTCAGCCGAAACAGACGTCCGTATTTCTGACTCCATTCGTGAAACTTGAGTTAGCTGTGAAATGGCGGAACTTCTAGTAGAGTCCTGAAATAGGTCTTTCAGGTGGCCGTTCAGGGATTCGCGTGCCCCAGGTTATCTTCACTAAGCGCGAGGCAATCCAGAAATATGCGCAAACTGCCAGTGACCAGCTTCCTGTCAAGATCACGGTGAAAATGCTCCTTGGCTTTCCGGCCTCAGAGCTGTGATGCAAGTGCTGGAGGGAATATGGATATGAGAAGCTTCGACATCTCAGAACAGTCTAGCAGAATCACAGTCATAGTTCAGATTGACTGCCTTGCCTTTCCCTTTCCAAGTCCCGCACGCATGCCGAAATCGCTATTGCAAGAACGATAGATGAATTTCTATTCACATGAAGAGGCGGCTCGGGTTCCTCCATCCGGGGAAAAAAGGGGAAAGGCTGGGAATTTCGTTACAACCCCGGAGAACCTCACACACTCCAGACTCATTCTGGCCGGGGTTAAGTGGCATAGGTACGAACTACCCAGGAACAAACGCTCGACGAATTTGAGGCAGAAGTGGCCTGTGAAGCTTGGTCCCTTTGCTCGGGTTGGATGCTGTAGATATCTGGCCATCATTACTGCTTGAATCTCCCTCATTCCTTGATAAGGTCACTTACCTCTGAGGATTCCGCTGATCAGCTTGTCTTCACATCAACTCAACTTCCATCGCAGCCGCCTTGCTGGGAGCTCCTTTAAGCTCCTTATTGCGCAGTCATGGAAGCAAAATTGAGGCCATTCTTTAAGGCGTCCGTCAAAAATAGACAGTTGCCTGGAATCGGAGCCTTTTTAGTAGATAAAAAAGGCATTTTTCTTTTCCGAGAGGCTTTTGGATCGACTCAAATAGAGAATCCGACTGCACCTACGTTTGATGTGGATACCGTCCTACCGATGTTTTCATGCACAACACTTTGGACCACGATCGCGGCGCTGCAGCTGATTGAGCAAGGCAAGCTGACACTCTCAGATTATGTAGAGCAATATGTCTCCGCGATATCGAAAGTCCAAGTCCTCGAGTGCAATCAGCAAAAGGAGGGATCGGCACCATCATTTCGACCGCCCAACTCGAAACCAACCATTCTTCAGCTTATGGGTCGACCCATACAGCAGGGTTTTCCTACGACTTTCTCGACCAACTAACACTGGCGCGGCGGACGTCCACAGGTCGACTGCCGACGCAATTCTATACTGTTGGTGATTGGGCCGACTTCGAACGCCCTTTGGTAGCCGACCCAGGCACGAAGTACATTTACGGGATTAGTACAGACTGGTTGAGCTTTGTGATTGAAGCAGCATCAAAGATGCAACTCCCGGACTATATCAACTCCCATATCCTGATACGTTTAGGAATGAAAGACACAGCTGCAATTCCAAGGCCGGAAGGGACAAAGGACATCGTTCACTTCAAGGTGAACGACCACCTGATCAGCGAAGCGAATATGAAGAACGCCGAAACACCCAGGTTTTCGGTGTAAGTGCTTTTATCTACTCAACAATTAATGACTATGCGACGTTGCTTCCTACTGTCCTGAATGGAGGAACAAGTCCTGGGATAGGCGAAACCATCCTTGCGAAGGAAACAGTCAAGGACTACCCTTTACGCATTTACTCTCTTCGGAAATTGACAAGTCTTTGCTTGGTGAATTTCGACCTAGCATTCCGCTTCTTTCGCTCGAAGGTCCGCTCATGCCGACCCTGCCCTCCAAGGCCAGCGGCTGGTCAGCTGGATTGCTACTAAACCATGTCGACGTGCCGGACGATCGCAAAGCGGGCAGCGGCGTCTGGTGCGACCTTGGAAATATATACTACTGGATCGATCTCACCACAAGGATAGCCGGGATGGTGTGTACCTCCATCCTACCATCCCCTAATCCGACAGTTCTGCGCTTGTTCGAGAGGCCTGAAAGAGCTTGCTACGGTTATAAGTCCAACACTCCGGATGAAGATCAAGAAATGAAAGACTTTCAGCCTCGGAGTGAGGAGGTGTGGCTGACCTCAACATAAGGTACACGTCGTCCATGCCTCTTCTCCAGCCCATAGCGTAGCTAGAGCGCTGAGAGGTTGTAGTTTGCTTGTTCAGAAGGTCCCCTGGCTAGATCAATAAAGTACAAACGTTTCGCGTCCTTGTAAGTGCATCATTAATGGCTGGTACCCGCCTGATAACAAAGTATATATCTCCCCGTCATGAGATTCTCAAGGCCTTGTTTTGTAGAGCTCAATTTGTTCTCTGGATTTTCAGCCCTGTCCCAGACTGTACAAAAGGACGCTCTGCACCTGCCACCCACTCATTTGCCACCCCTCAATTAACCCTCACTACTCTCTCTCTTCCTTTTAGGGAGACAACATCGAAGATGACACAGTCATAATCCACTTGTTACTCATTGAGAGTGGCCTTTCGCTGTCTTTGCTCGCCGTCCTATTACAGTATGTGCTTCAATAGACTACCGAGTCCGCTGCGCCCAAAGATAGAGGAACAAGTTGCCTTTAGATCCACCGGCAATCGTCGAGATCAATGCTGTGCGGGTTAATGAGCCCACCACATTACTGGATACACAGACTTCTCTATCGTCATCCCCTCCCGCTCACCAAGGCAGCCCTTCTGACGTCTCGTCTTTGGTTCTGATTCCACTAGCGGCGTCTGGTATCCAACTTCCGGGTTCTTCGGTAAAAGGCTCGAACGTAGTGATCGTGTCTGCCATGCTCATCACGAGTTCAAATGGCGATGTCGGAACCAGATTCGTCACCCTAGTACATCCATCCCCAGCTCCCGGCCCCAAATACTGTCTTGTACTCTGTGGTTGTGACAACCATGACTATTCGCGATTCTACTGGTGGGCTCTTTATTTTAGTTGCGAGCACGACATCTTATTTCTCCGCTCTTGTCAGAACCCAGCTTATCACAGACTCAAATGGTCGATCATCAGAGTTTGGGGCAACAGTGACCTCTCATTCTTTGACCACCAACCCATTGGTGGTCGTTTCTCTGGTGGTCCCTAGCCTTCCCGCCCCAACCAGCCCTCCAGACCAGCAAAGAGCAGAAGAAGTCCAGCTCGGACTAACCCTTACCGGCCTGCAATACTTCGATACCTTTTACCTTCCTGTTCTCGCGGCGATTCCGTTAAAACTCCTTTAGGGGACTGTCTTCGCATCGACAAAAATGATGGAGCCTTTCTCCGTTCTATATGGGAAGCAAGGAATATCGGCCGGGGAACTTGCCTAGTTGGAGCATCTCTCCTCATCTCTCTTAATTCAAAGCCTTCAAAGAATATTTTCAGGGAGTGTAGTCGCCGCGCTATCTACCGCGGTATCCCTGCTTGTTAGTTTGGTTCCTCCGTTGGCTACGCAATCCACAACGGTTAGAGCCATCGGTTGGTGCTCATCCGAAACTATATGGATACGCTGCAATCCGATGTGGTATCTTAACATCAACTTCTCACGAGCTCTCCAGGACATACTTTGGGTCGTGGCTGTGCTCACTGTTACTATAATGATCTTGTCGAGCAGCCGACGCACGGGCGTATTTTCGAATCCATCTTCCATCGCGACCCTTACTTCCTTGCTCAACGACGAACCCTTGCGAGCAACTCTTCGGGGAATTCCGTAAACTTCAAGCCATTCCGCAGTCAAGGAGTTCATTGTTTCCTTCCGGTATAGACTGGGTCGATGTCCGACTTCGGTGGAAGGATTGAGCTACGGAGTTGTGAAGGGGGGAGAAATATCAGAGACTGCGGTGGCACCACTACCCGGGCATCGACGAAACTCTTCCCTAGCAGCCACAATTTCAAGAAAAGCATCTTCAAACGGTTCGCGAATACCCTTGACCAGCCACATGCTCCAGGATGTTGTCTTCCTTGTGGCAATTCTCGCTCTTATCCCGATCCTCATCAGCTATATTCTCACTTCTGGCGATACTCCAATCAACAACTTTCTTCAACCAACACTCAGAAAGCCGTCTGGTGCTCGCTCTAACCGCCAGCCTATTCGACGGGCGCTGGAAAGATCTCGAGCGCCAAGTCCGGGTAGTGACTCCTGATCGACGTCGAAGCCAAGGTGGAGCAAAGCCCGAAGCCACCATTCTTGTCACCCAGAATGGAACACCCATCCCGTCATTTGTACCAGCACTTTGGAGGGGTAACTGGTTTCACGCAGCGATAGCGTTCGTGGCTTTGATCTCTGATCTACTCATCATAACCATCTCCGGCGTTCCTTACTCTAGCGCTCAGATCTTGCTGGATGCGGTGGTATGCTTTTACATCAGCATTGTGATCGCGGAGATCATGGCCCTCTCAACTCTAGCCATACTCAAATGGAGAACTCTTAATGAGAAGATGAAGATGCCGCAGGAAACTTCCACGCTTGTTGCTGTGTAGATGGTGCTTTATAATACAGACAATGGGGTATGTGATGACGTGCGAGGGTTGGAGCGTATGAGTGCTCGTAAGGAAGACGAGAAAGTTAGATTGAGTGGCAGAAGGTATTGGGCAGGCTAGGTCACCCAGCCAGATGGGACGCAAAGATGGTGTATTGAGAAGGAGAGTGGGAAAGGATAGGGAATTTGAGGTGAGGATGAACAGCCCATCCATTTTTATATGCTGGGGTGGATATAGGGCGATGCATGCGAACACTCAGTGACCAGGATTGACTCATTTGGTCATGCAAGCTTTTTGTCTCACCTCGACAACGTCATCGCTCTCAGCCAATTGCAATGAGGATGGGGGGAACTCTTGCAGCCACAAGGCTGAGCCCATCAACCATGGGTTGGACGTCCGTGGTGGGCACATCGTAACCCGCACATTTATCATGCAAGCGGGACATTCGCCAAGACAATAAGGTCTTACAAAGTAGAAAAGTATCACGAGCTTTCCAGAATGCCGTAGATCTACTCGAAGACCTGACCCACAACGTATGCTACCTTTCTGGTCGGGCGACTAAGGCAGTGAGCATCTGTCCTCCGGCTCTATGCAGATCTGGAGTAAAGATTTCGAGCCTCGGTGTGTCTTCCCTTGAAGACGATTAGCCAACGCTGATTCCTGGATCTCTACCATAGCTGGTAGCCTATGACGGGTGGGAAGTGGAGAAGCGGTACAATATCCTGTTTATGCATCCTCCCACAAACTCAGTTCGTGATATCGGAACAAGGCAAATGGGGGCAATTACGTGTGGCAGAAGGCTAATCATCCACATATAACTCCAGTCTAAATGTTCAAGCCCGACTAACTAGTTAATTAATGAGCTGAATGAACTGTCGCTTGGCAGTGGGGGTAGTGTCTGTTCGAACTTCAAAAGCAAGTATCGGTCTCGTTGGATCAAGGCCGGAAAAGGGGTGCTATACAGAGTAGCTATAACTATTAGTGAACTGTTGCGCTTTATACAGAAGACATTGGTGAGACGCTAAGATGGACTAGGGAAGAGTATTGACTATGCTTTTAGAACCAAGCTGTCAGAGCGGATGCCATAGCCCCTAGCGATTAAGCTAAAAAGACGTGGAGTATCGACACGAAGTGTCGATATCTCTGGCAATCCACTATATATACGTACTCCTTGGCATCCCGTGACACAAGCGTAAGTAGTATCATTCAAGATTAGTTAGTAGATTAGCTACCTCCTTCCGCTAGCGTACCATATATTAACGTATTATAGAATAGTCTATCGTGGCTCTCGAAAGCCATATAAAGTGATAAATGATGTAATCCAACTAGACTAAATAGAGAGTAATGAAGTGGCTGAAAAAGTGTGCTGAGGAGAATTACCGTGCTCGACGGTACGTTTGTACACCATCGAAAGGATCAGGGCTGATGTCGGTTGACCGCTGTCCAAGCCGGCGATTGGCCTCCACTGCCTCACCCTCTACTCCACTTATTCATGCCTCTTCTAACCAATCATGTTCTGCAGCCGAATTCAAGAGGGAGCGTCAAAGACAAAACGAGATCGGCCCAGGGTCCACGAGTCTTGTTGTATACCACACTGTCAAGCCGTGCACAACGCTTCTTGTCCGGTCGTTGGGAACCACAGCCTTTCGGATAATCATGGATTTAAATGTGTACGCCAGGCAGCAGACGGGCATCTCTTAATCATTTAGCAGTCTTGGAAGCGAGTTGAACACGAGTAAGAGACACGGATATACTTGGCTGAACGTCGGGACTCTGTACAGCTTTCAGCACGGTGTTGTCGTGTCATCAATAGTGTAGTCTGCTGCTGGCTTTTCTATAATGAAGCTCTCGTGTAACTCGCCCGACCATACCGCTGTCGTCAGTTCAAGTACCACTGCCAACCTCTCGTATCGTCCACTCTTAGGTACTGCGACTCTGGAGTCTGCAATCATACCAAGACTCCATCAATTTCTCTACTTGGTTGCCCCTCCTCACTGTATCGCAAATTGTAAAGGCAATGCATGTTCTTGAATTCGAGCTGACCTCCCAGCCCCATGGCAAGGGACACAGTATCTACCCAATTGAGCTGTGCGCGGGTCATAGTACCATTTCCACAACTGGATCCAATTCTGACGCCTTTGAAATTGATCTGTGAACCCCACCATGCTGTACTCTCCTTTAACTCCTTCTTTGGACAGTTTCTCTAGGTTGCTATTAGTGGGAGAATTAATACGAAGGGCTCATACCTCCTGCATTCGTAGTGGAAACGTGCATCCTCTGTCTCATCTCTATTGTCAGGCTCTCGACTCCCTAAAGATTTCCATATTTTCACTTCAATTTGAATGCAAGTACCGCCGCATTCTAGTTCCACTCGGACCCGCAGGTCGGTGGCGCAGTAACCGCAGTTCAAGAGATCCAGGCTTCTCGTCTGATCACCGGCGCAGCCTACTCGGAGCTGCAACGCATCTAGGATAACCGCAGGGAGTGTATCTCGAGTGTGAGCGCAGCCGAACGCTCCTGAACTTATGGATTGGAGGCACAAGTCTATCCGGGACAAGTTCATTGGTGTCAACTTGTGAGGTTAGAGCACTAGGGGGGTCGAGTTGACAAGGATACGGATAGCTTGTAGACACTGTGAAGCAAAAGCTTCCCCCTGACAATCCGAGCGTCAAGACTCGTACCAATATACCAGTCCTTGGGAAAGAATAGAGCACCATTGGACTTGCACTTGTGATTTAGTTCATGGAGCTGCGGACCGTATCGCGAGCCTTTCGCAAATCCTCTTAGAAACGCGTCCACCATGTTCCGATAGATCAGGGCTGGTTCACGGACAGAGCACCAAAGTGCGCCAAGCTTGAACGACGCATGGGTATGATGGTTAGGGCAGAGGTATCGCTGGCATTTCTGCTAGCGGTACAGGATATTGCAGCTCCATAATCGATTGGATTAGGCGCTTAAGAGGGTAACTATGGGTCAGCAAAGCAGCAAGAGCACTTTCTGCCCCCAGGTCCCTAGCAAGGTTGCTCCTAGCGCTTCTTGGCTCTATTCCAAACCCCTTTAAGCGAGGTAATCTTTGGTATTCTCATAAAAGGTGGGTCGCGTGATCACTCTGCTACGAGTAAGAGCTTAATTAATTAGTACTCACTGAATTGCTCAATAAGGCTTAGTGTTATTATGTAGCTAAGAAATGCTTATTATTATATGATAAACCAATATCTTAACTATAATTCTTCTCGTGTATCGAACGCTTTTGTATAGAATACGCTTGTAATCCTGTTCTCTTAGCAAGATATACAGCGATGCTGATGACGCAGGCCACGGCGCCGTAGGCTATCCCAGACGTAATTGGGTAAAGTGCCAATCCCGACTGGCGCGAATCCTTAATCGGTGCGAAACCTGTCAGGTTACTGGGAAATTCCGTCAATAGGTCTTCAGTACCACTGTCCCAGAGGCTTGCCAAGCCAACACCAGATTTAGCCACTGCGGCGTCTGTACACGCATCTCCTGACCATGGGATGATTGGCAGGTTTAACGTCACGACTCCTCGGAGTGAGCCCGCTATTGGGAGGTAAATGGAGGGAAATGGCGTCGAGGTAGCTGTTGTGCTTATACCGATCCTTATGGAACTCATATTTTTAGTGAAAGACCATTGCCAATTGAGCATGGTCCTTGTTCGTGGTGAATTTCTTATTGCAATTCTGAGTACTGAATGGCTGGCAAATGTCGTGGGCGCGATATGAAAGTCTCTGTTCCTGCGCTATTATATGGATATGCATATCTCCGTATGTAAATCAGCTTTGGAAACAGCTCTCGTAAAATACTATGACAGCATTAGTACTCCTAAAATAGCTGAGTCTGTCTCGTACAACGGCTAGTCAATGGCACTGTCAGGTTGAACTGTCGCTGTTGGGCAGTCGCCGTTTGAGATACCTGTTTTGTCAACAAGGGGGAGCAGAAGCGAGTGGAAGGGAGATGAGGGGAGCGGACGAGGGAGCGAGCGGACTAAATAGTCGTTACCGGAAAGAAAAGCGACAGGGGATTGGTCAGCGAAAGGGTAGTTAAGGACGAATGTTCGAGGATTTTATACATACGTAGTCCTATGGACGTGAGATTCCCCATGGAATCTCAATAGAAAACAATAGGCATCGGAGAAGTTGTGAATGTGAGAGATATGTGAGATGTAGAACAAAACTACACACTCAGTACACTCGCACTACATGTGATTGAATCCAGAAAGAATCCCGGGTCGGCCCCATACAGTATCCGATCCTATCTACTCCACCATTTGCTGTCCAAGTAACGCCTAGCCCCGCCCAAAAATGCTCGCTGGCTAATATAATCAAGACATCCATCCGCAATGAACGCATCCCCCTAGGATAAAAAAAATCTAAGCTAGATACTATGTAGCTACAGTAGCTGCCCTATCACAATCACAGGTTATCTCCGCTTCTTATTCCCAGGGAGGTGATCCAACGCGCCACAGACCAGCTCCACAAGCCAGGCGTCGCCCTTGTAGTTGTGGCACGCGTCCATTAGGGAGTTGAGTTCTGTCTCTGGCGTGTCGGCGACGGCATTACCTTCGATATCGGTGCCAGTGCCAGTAGTAAGGGTATCGTTCAAGTTCAAGCCAGCTGAGTCGTCATCGTCGTCGTCGACGTCAACAGACTTGCCGTCGGCGTCGCCGGTGGTGGTGTTGGTCAGGTTCAACGTGCTGCTTCCGAGCTGCCAGCCCTTGGCTGAAGCGGGAGCGTTCTTCGGTGGGTCTTGGGGGCCCAGCGTGCCTTTCTTCCAGCCGCCGGAGATGCTGGTCGGGTGGCCCGTGCTGTCCTTGACGCAGTACTTGGAGTTGAATTGGGTTCCCTTGCGGTCGATGAAAGCGATGGTCGCGACGCGGTTCCACAGGAAAGTCGGGTCGTAGAGCATCTCCTTGGTCCACCAGATGCGGCAATCGGACGCTTCGTACACGAAGTGCAGAGCGGTTTCCGACTTGTCGCCGATGCGGTAGTGGTTGCGTCCATTGACGCCGCCGGCGCTTGATCGGAAGACTGGGTCACCGGTGAAATACTCCCAGATGGTGCCATTGATGGAGTTGCGGAATGCGTTGGTGCTGCGCCAGAGTGGAATCCAGTAGGCGTAAATCATGTCCGCGAATGGGAAGAGTTGGGAGCCTTTCACTGCACCAACGGCTTGCATAGGTCCGGCCTGGGGTCTTCCTCCCACGGATATGAATTGGATACCAGCATAGCTCTTTAGGTACTCGGAAAAGACTGCGCAGGTACTTCCACAGACACCATCGTATAAGACAATGGTATCTTGAGGCGCAAAGGGCTGTCTGAACCCTTTCCGATCGTTGGTACCTGTTATGATAATGCCGGTGCCTTGGAAGTCAGACGCGCTTGGGTCTGTATAATTATTCTGGAAATATCCGGTATAGTCAACACCTTTCTTCGGGTAAGGTCCGAAAAAGGCTTCGAAGGTCGGATAGTTTCTCATATTTGGGTCAACAATTGATTGGAATGCAAGAGGAGTGTACAGGAGTTCTGAAGTGTCTTCGTCTGTTTCATCTGGGGTCTTCTCTGCGGCCGTCACGCTACAGATTGCAACAGGTTAGCAAAGATTGCCCTAGCATGCGTTCAGAAGTATCGATCTCTTTGTCCAGCAAGTAAGGCAAGTCCACCACAAAACATCTCGCTTCTTCAGTGTAGGAGATGCTAGAACTTACTTATCACTGGCGGCATTGCCCAAGATTTCTAACCCTAGATGAGCACGCATATTCGATTTTGAATTCGGTGCAATGGATGGGTATAGTTGAGCGAACAAATCGGTTCCAAGATCAATCAAACCACCTAGGTCTTTGGGTCAGCATCATCATGAAAATCTTCAAATGTAGATTCAAGCTTACCTCCGTTCCCTTGAAGGTCGATGATTAGTTTCTTCTTCTTGCTCTTGACAGCGGCATCAAGGAATTTTTGCACCACAGCCTGAAATTCCTTCTCATAATCCAAGTATTGACCGTTGCTAGGCGAAAAACCAGCGACCTTGAGAACGGCGACATCAGTGAGGCCAGTGCCATTCAGATAATAGCCTGCTACAGAATCTGCGCTGTGTTTGATGACAGGCCAGGGATAAGGGGGAATATTGGGAGAACTAGTTGACGTAGGCACTGCTGTTTCAGTTTCGACCTCGGTCGCGGTGGATGTAGCAGGAAGGCTTTGTGTGGTCGTTGTAGCAGCAGCAGTGTCATTGACGAACGCGCCTGGACACATGACTTTATAAGCGTCTTCGCCATTGGTAACGCCTTCTAGGTCAATGTTGACAATAGCCACGTTTTTGATGGTACGTGCTGTTCCATTGGCAAACGTGAGGATAGTCTGTGGTCCAGGGTAAAATCCTGGAACTGAGAAAGTGGTGTCTGATGTTTTACCCAGCTGATAGAACAGCTCGTTCCACAACGCATCGGGATCTTGTTCGTATTTGGTAAACGATTGTTCAAGCAGGAACGACACCACATCCACACCATCAATTTTCACGATCGGGGATGGTGTGAATCCCTTGACAGGAATGAGACTCCCGGTGGTAGCGTTCGCTCCAAAAAGATCGACTGGCACATGTCAATATTCTGGCGCCCTTCAGATAATAGTCCCCACTTACGAGCAAAATAGATCTCAGGCGTCTCCATGCCGTCAGAAGAGACAGCTACCAAGTCGGCAGCAAACCTGGCAAAGGTAAAGGCTCCGAGTAGATCACCAAGCCAGTAGAAATGCCCATCCCTGGCAGACACGGTCAATGATTTCAGCTCGTTCTGGAAGTCATATTCGCTCTCATATTCTCCTGCCAGGACCTTCTCTTCTATGGCGGCAAGGGCATAGTCGATATCCACTGGAGGAAAAAGGTAACCTGATGGAGGATTCTTGAGGATCTCTTTGGTGCTCAGAAACTCAATGTACGTTCGCAACGAGAGGAGGAGCCGCAGGGCAGGCTCTTGGTAGTTCGGCACGCTCTGTAGACATTCGTACGCAATTTCGGCAGGAATCAAAGGTTTAAGGGCTACAATAATGGTTAGCAGTTGAACAAGCAGCCCAATACCATGCGCGGAATACCGTCAGGATTTGCGACGAGGTTCGAAGCAACAGCGCTCGCAGCAACTGCGCAGGCAGTGTTTGTACCCGTCTCTGTCTGTCGACGGGCCAGTGATGGTTCAGGAGGATGGGCAGTGGCGATGGCCAGGCCATGGGAAGCTTGGTATAGAGCGAAGCCTGTAATCAGGCACTTTCGTAGCCAGCCGGTGGCCATGATGGGCTGGCTTGTGCAAACACAAACAATGGGACTCTTCGGTTCTATAGCGATCGTGGCAGTAAACGAGGGAGCTCAGTGAGCACCGCTGGAGGAAGATCGGATATGGTCAGGGCGGGGTACTACTAGCAGTGAATATAATTCAAAACGAACGGAGCGTGGTGAAACGACAGTTGAGGAACGGCCGCAAAGAACAAGCAAATTTGACCGGACGCTCGAAGGATCGTAGCGAGGCAGCAGCCCAGTTGATGCCGTCTTGATCATGCAATGGCGTGTGTGGACGATGACCGAGTCAGCTGTGGTGCCCAAGAGTCCGAGAGTTGTAGAAAGTACACATGGTGGGCAGAGGGCAAAGATACATAAACGAGCCACAAACCTCGTGTAGGCGGAGGACGGTCAGGAAACCTGTCTTGACCCTTCTCATCACAGTCTGGATCTGTGCCTCGTGTTTGAGCGGACTCGAGTTTGATCGAGGGTATGAGGATGTGGCGGTAGCGGTCCAGTCGCAGGTGAAGCTGCGGCTGAGGCTTAGACACGAATGACCCCCGCCCCCAATAAAGCAACCAAATTTGGACCCAAATCTGGACGATTCGTTTGGAGACCTTGGCTACGCCGCTGCGCCTGGTGGGACGAATAAAGGTGGCTCGCTCATGCTGACTTCCCCGTTCCCGTTGCCCGTTGGGTGCCCCGTCTACGGAGTGCTCGTACGAGTAAAGGCACTTGGAGGACTGGACTGGATCATGGTCAATCCCCCCTGTTTAGCACTAGTTTCGGTTCCCGGACTTGGTGCCTCCCTCTTTTCGACGTCTCATCAGTGGTCACTGATCAGCCTTGCAAGTCGCACGTGAATTTTTCGGTTTGAAGGGATCGCCTTGTGAGTCGCGTTACACCTGCATTCGGCCAATGGGTCACGGGCCTGTGATTTGTGTGACCTGCGGGCCAGACATATTGGGAAATCCAGAGAGAATGTTGGCGGCTCTCTGAGTCCCATCGATGGCGTTGAGACCTTGGAGCTCAAGGGCATCCATAAATTTCTGATACCGTTCCCAACCCTCAGCCATAGTTGCCGACAATGTGAAAATTAGCTTAGGATGCCTTACAGCATGTCAAATGTAAGACGTGCTGCTAGATAGACCGAAGGATTCAGCATGCTGAACTGTGTAAGAAGACCGGAGGACCCTAGACGTGCCAATTATCGGGCACCGCACCCCGAGAACCTGCATGGACGAAGCATTGGTAGTAATTATTACTAGGAGAAAGCTTCTAGCAAAGAGTGCAGGTGAAACAGTAGTGTACAACTGGATTGGGACGCGAAGTTACAGTTACAGAGCCTTTAATCTCCCTGCTCCATCCCCTCGCATAGGTCACGTTTTGTCAAACTCCAGGGCGATAAAATTGTAGAGATCCCGATTCGTCATCGATACATTTTGTTGATACTCCAATCCAGTGATTGTATCCCGTCAGCGGTGGACACAGCCACCGTACCGAAAATCAATTCAAATATCACAACCGCGAATTGACTGCCCGTCGGTGAGATGATATCACAATACCGCGCACAATAATGAATCCATGATGTGACCCCCAATAAATGATTTTGCCTCCGGGTGGACTGTGTTCCCTGAAGCCTGATTTATAACCCATACATTCGAATAACAAAACACCCACTCCCAACCGGGGTAAAGCGTCTTAAGGGTCCACCGCTCTTCTCTTTCGCCTCCCTGAACGTTGGCTTTGTTTGATAGCCTCCTCGGTGAGAACATCATCGGGCAATACAAAATCATGCTCGAACAGTTCCGGAACTGGAAGGCCAAAAGCCAGGATGCCTCTTCCACGTTGACGACCTGCAACAGCCGCGTCTCTCAAATGACGCTTTTCAAAGAATGAAACAAATGGTCTGCGCGGAAGAGGTTGTGGTGGTAGTGGTGGTGGTGGTGGTGGTGGCGGCGGAGGGTCGACCGGCCGTGACACTGCTGGCCTCTTCCTCTTGATGGCGATATTCGCCTCCTCAATGAGTTGTTGTGAGGCAAGGGCATCTAGTTCGCTCGAGTTAGGTGCTTGCGAAGACATGGTTTGGATGCTTCCCTCATTGCTCGAGCTCACACTCCCTCGCTCACTCTCACTCTCACTCTCAGCACTCTCTTGCTCCATTTCTTCCTCAAGAAGAGCTTGCTCTTTCTCCCATTTCCTTCTCTTCTCTTCCTCCTTCCATCGTTTGAACTTGTTAATCAATGCTTGCGTCTCACGGATAAAAAGTAGTCGTTTAGGCTCGTATCGCTTCTTCTCGGTGTCTGTTATGCCTGTGATCCCTAACGTCTTCAGCCAGTCCGGGCCACGAAGGTCGTCCAAGAGTTTTTCGAGTTGGTATTTCTCATGCTGTGCTCGCTCTCGATCACCATTTTTCATCTGTTTCTCGTGTCTCTCTGCTTTAGAGTGGATTCTAATGTAGACATCCCCGTCGAGAGGATCCACGGCGGAGATACCGCTAGAGGTACCGCGCTGGGATAGTTGTATAATTTCTGTTCGGTGCAGTGGCTTTCGAGCTCCAAAAGGATCCGGTTTAGGAGGGTTCGGTTCAAAGTCCGGAGTATCGTCGACAAGAATGACCCTAGTCTTGACAGTCAATGCTTCTTCAAGACGTTAGTGACATGAACTGGTTTCAAGGATATCATATCATATTACCTGGGTCTACAGGCTTCAGACTGAGCATCTCTTCAAAATCGGGGAAATACTGAGCAAGTTCTGTTTTGGCTCTGGAGCCACCATCTTCAGATCGTAGTTTACGACGATCATCATGAGACGGTGCAAGTGATCCGCCGCGAATTGATGCCTTGGCTCTTGCTTCAATGATCTTGATCTGTTCATATTGAGGTTTTCCGCTGGGGGATTCGAGTGCAGTGGCACCAATGGAAGGGTTTGTAGATACATCGGTCGTTGAAATGCCGGTAGGAGGAACCGCAGGCGAGATAAGTTTGGGACCGCCTCGTGATCTCAGTGGAATCCGAAGATGGGGGATTTCGTTGTTGTTCTCTGAAAGACGACGTCTCTTGAGGTTTTGCTCCTGGCCTATGACCGTCGATGCTCGAACGCGTTTTGATCGAACAGCGTTGCCTGAATCACGAGACTGTGAAAGTAGAGGCGGCGTCTCCTCGCTGGACCTTAGGGTAGGACGCCTCAATGACGACCTGGAGCCGGCCACCATGATATGTTAGATGTTCTACTGCTCATGATGCTGCAGTTGCGGTCGATGCAAATGTCAGGCCCGTGGCTATCAATGATAGAACGGCTGGTGTCAATGCTGCCGGGGGTTGCTGGTGACGGTGTTCGGTATTGTGCGGTGGGTGGGTGCTGAGGTACTGGGCGTGCCAGGCTAATAATTATGGTCCTCTAGGCGCTCCCTAGGCTGCTTAAGCTCCCTGAGGGAGCGTCTGACCTGCAAACACCTGCAAACCGGTGCCCCCAACGCCGCCCATCTTTTATGACGTCTGCAACCTCCCCCTTGCTCCTTGCCTCCTATTGCCTCCTTTGCACAGCCAGTTTCCAATATTATCGTTCGACAGCCAGCTGGAACAACAAGTCAAGGATTATTATAAGATCATGAAGTTACTCGAGTGAACGATGTCTAACTGCCCTTCAAGACTCTCTGTCCTGCTACAGGCACTGTCCAGAATGTCAACCACTTCAGGACCCAACCCTGAAGTCTCGTAACGATAAATGCCAAACGCCGAATGTGTTTTATGCCTTTTCCCTTCCTTCTGATCCTGACCCTGACCCAGTGTCTTCGGTCGGTGTATCCTGGTATGCTTCATCCTCACTATAAAGATCATCATCACTTTCCCCTGCAAAAGCATCATAGAGTTCGCCTCCTCGTCGCGCTCGGCCACCGCGGCCGCTTCTGGATCTCAATCCCTGTTGTTCATCTTCGTCAACATCTCCCACCATCTCAAATTCATATGCATCCCGAGGGTTGTTCCTCAGTCGTTTTCTACGTTGAACGATGAAATATGCTCCTAACCCAGCACAGAAAACGATGATGAGACCTAGGGAACCATATATCCATATCTGTGTTCGCTTAGAAACCCCAAAGGTTGGAAAGAAGGCCGGAAGAAAGCTGTCAGAATATGTATGAGTTGCCTCTGCGGCAGAGTCTGCGGCAGTGCTTGGTCCAGAGACCAAAGTCTCGGTTGCCACCGGTATGGCAATGGTATTGGTAGTGGTCACCGTCTCTGTTGTGTCTGCCCCTGGTTTAGGTTTGGTCGGGCGATCAATGTGGTCGGAGGGGGTTGCAGGAAGTGTCGTGGGGTGGGTTCCTGCCTCAAAGCTGGTCGTGCTCACTACTGCTGTCGCCGTTTCATGATCATCGTCATGCTCATCAGGAAGAGGGTGCAGCCCTTGAATCTTGGCGTCAATTGATTCACCCCAGAGGTTCAGTCGCCAGTCAATAAATGTTCCATTGAATTCATTTTCTTTGGTGTCTTTCACAATCACGGTCCACGTTCCAAAACCGCTTTCGCCCCTGGACAGATATTAGTCGTCGAAAGGCTGATCTTGTTGGCTGAAGAGTGAAGGCTTACCAGTGTGCAACAGACATGAACGTCCAATCATCATAACCATCCTTAGAACTGTCCGGGCGCCGAGCGGTTGCGATATGACTGACAACTCCGCTAGGGCTGATGAGATCAGCGCTCAGATCTCCTCTCCTGCCGTGCTGGACATTCATAGTAACGGTGACATGCTCAAGTCGTTCTATGTTTGCTTGCTGCAGCATGTCCGCTGTGACTTCATAGCTGGCTACGAGACCTTGGTCACCTTGTGGAATGGCATGTTGCACAGAGAGCCATGGCGAATGAAACCATGCTTGGGGTTTGACTGTTTCGAATTGTTTTGCAGCCTCCACAAAGCGATATGCATCAACCTTACCATATCCAAACGTGTGGCTGAACTTCTTCCCTATGGCTGTGTCCTGCCAATCATCATCGTCAAGATGTATCGGAACGGCCGTGTCGATACATAGATATTGGAGATCTCGCCAGCTTAAATCTGGTCGCACGCTGAGAGCAAGGGCGACAGTTCCAACGACCAGTGGTCCTGCAGCAGAGGTGCCACCATGACCATTATAACATTTATCTGTGCCAACATCAGTGGTGTGAATGGCATCCTTGGCGCCAGAGCTGTATGTTACGACCAACTGGGCAGAGCAGGGTTCCGAGTAATAAGGGTGGTTGCCGGCCCGGTCGATTCCACCAACTGTGATGCTGTATATGCTATTGGTGTAGCCGTCAAAATTGCAGTTGTCCTCGGCAGAAGCACCATTACCAGCTGCAAAGACAAAAACTGATCCCAGGCCACCTCGACCGCTTTGGACACCGTTGACCATGGCTCGTTGGATAAGGATCCCAGGAGCCTCCATAGTGGCACCATCATCCGGGGGACCCCACGAGCAAGAATAGATTTGATTCTCCTGATAATGATAATTGATGGCGGATGCCTCGTCTTCATCACTAATCGGCTTAGATAAAATGCGAATACCCGCAATCCTGCTATCATAAGCCATACCCACGCCGCATACGTTGTTTTTCACGGCAGCAATTTCGCCAGCGCAGCGAGTGCCGTGCTTGTCATCAAATAGCAACGGCTTTGGCTCGGGAGAGTTTTCATTGAAATCATACGAGCCTTCAGCGAAGTAGTTGTCCTTAAGATCATTGCTGTACATGTCAAGCCCGTCATCGATAACGGCGGAGATAGTGCCATTGCCTGTGATGCCTTGTAGCCAGACCCCGGTAACATTCATATCATGCCCAAGTTGTGTAGGATTGAAGAGATGCCATTGTTCCTTGAAAATTGGATCTTGTATATCGAGCGTTTTGGCAATGTTGTCTAAACGTTCTGCTGCCTCCTTGTGGACTTCGTCGAGTTCCTCGGTCACCTTTGAGTCACCCGAATTCTGAGAGGAACGCGCCGTGGAGTGAAGGGGTGGTGGGATTCTTTTCACATGTCGATGTCTCCTTTGCTGTTTCTCTGACCAAAGAACATCGTCCAAGTCGAGGGATATCAGTCGCTTGTAGGAAGGCGCCTCATTGTCCAAAGAACGCCGCCTGCGAGCTTTCCGTCTCTTTAATTCTTGTAGGGAGTCATCCAGGTCACGGCATGAGCCCTTAGGACAGGAGAAAGTGTGGTGATGGAGGAGTTCTCCAATCTGGCCTTCATACTTTATTCCTAGGCGATGGGCGACGTCCCAGGGATCGGCAGAGGACCTGAGATGGATGGCGAAATAGTCGTTTTCTTCATAGTGGCGCTGACCACCATGAACGCTTCCAGCAAACAACAATGTGCAGACCCATGACGACAGGCGCATGGTAGCAACTATGGGATCGTCACAGTTGGAGGAAACTCTTCATTCCTTGTACTGTTCACGGGAAAGATAACCAGGGGGAAGTGGCTTGCTTTTCAGAGACTTGTTTCTCCGTGTTTGAAGGCGTCGGCAGAGCCAGGCGGTGAACGGTGATACGTAGCAAAATAGCAGCGGGAAATAAAGAAGAGGAGTCAATGTAAATCCAAAGGAGTGGCTCGATGGCTTGGTCTGGTGAGGCTGATGAACGGAACAGAACAAGAACAGGCTTGCGCAGGCAAGTCCGGACTTGGGGCGCAGGCAAAGTTGAAAATCTGGAACGCTGCTAAGAAAGGTTAAACAAAGAACGTGAGATAGACCGACAATACCCAAGTTGTTCCGGGAGGGAACAGGTGTGCAGGGTTTTAGGAGGAATATTGGGAGAAGAGGCGACTGTTGAGGAAAATGTCGATGTTGGTATGGGTGGAATCTTGTCTCATATGGTCAGCCTCAGAGTCTGAAGTAGTACGGAGTACGAGTAGTATGCGGTCCCAAGTCCAGACTCCCAATTGAAGGTCTTAAAACGGCACGGTGGACATCTTGGTTTAGTTAGGGGGGAGAATGGTACCTAGATCACGTGGATACACGTGCCAGTGGTGATTACTGTGGAGTGGTTCACCTGATTGAGAGGAGAAGAATGATACGGTGGAGTAGAGCAGTGAGCGTGGTCGGTGAACCATTATGTACGTATGTACTCGTACGTCCTGTGCCAGGTGGTTATACGGATACTTCGTTAAAGCTTGCAGCATAAGGAGCCTAACCATGACCTGGGGACAAGCGGCTTGCTAGTGCCTCGCAGGCTGCGGGCCGCAGCTCCAGTCCGCTGGGTGGTGCCAATGATAGGCCTCACGCCCAGTTAAAGCGCGCCAGTAACCTGCCTTATGGGCAAGTTGCCGATTTTCCTGTTCAACGTGGTCATCGAACAAACCACACCTCGCATCCATTCTCAAGCATCTACCAGCCACTCTGAACATGGGTCTATCTTCCGCGTCCACCTTTTTCTTCTGCTCTGCCTTGTCTCTTGCGCTTCCTTTGCTCACTTATCAATTTACTGAGCATGGCTGCTTTCTTTCTTGTACATACATAATAATGCCTTTTCCAGATAGCCGCTCGTTCATCTCAATTGCCATTCCAACCTGATTGTGCTACCTTTCACTTCTGCCTCACTCGTACCACTCCTAGCCACTACTGAGTTTGACTCTTATATCTCCCCCAGCGCCCTGTGCTCTGAGCTGCTGCCCTGGGCGACTTCAGCTTGAAGTATACCTCGCGCAATTGCCAGACCATGGCTACCACGATGAATCCTGTCGGGATGTACCACGACCCCACCCTCGATGAATTACTCACACAATCCAAGGCTCCGTCCAAGAGCCACGGGTCAGATCGTCGCACCAGCAATAGCCAGCATCGCCGTTCAGCATCGGAGAACGTCAACTTTTCTGCTCTTCCCCCAGCTGCGCCCGAGGTTCCTCGTGGGCCCCCAATCTCATATCGTGGCTTAGGCCCTGCTGAGCCCAATATCCACAGATCCTTTTCCCAACGAGCGAGAGGTCGCCCTTTTGCGAAAGAAGCATTTGCTGATGAAGAGTTGTACCAACCCCGAGACAAGGATATCAAGCCGCAAGTCGCCTTAGAAGGCAACCAGAGAGACCTTCTTGCGAAACTTCCCAGAAAGCCTGCCCCGACAGAAGGTCTCCGCCTTAACACTTCCAACCTGAACGGCACTCCAGCTGTTGCTGCGCCACGAAGGGAGATTCAGTCAGCAAGACAACCACCGACCGACCATCAAAAACCAGTCCACAAGCCTAGGCGCATTTCCGACACGCCCCGGAATAACGAGGAGCCAATTTCAGCTGTCAGTCGATCGAGTGCTTTCCGTGATGAGGCCCAAAGACGAGATTGGGCCCCGGATCGGTCGCCTCTGCAGAAGCTAGAAGTCACTTTAAACGACATAAGCAAAGAAGAGAAGAGGGCCAGGGTTCAGGAAGCAGAAATGCTGTTGCGAGAACGGGACGCCAAGTTGGGATGTGGTCCTGCCGAATCCCCTAATGATAAACCATCGCCAGTCACGGGGAGTACAAAAGCGAAAGTCACGGCAAGACGTTCCAGCGCGAAGCGCGAACGTGGTCTTGAACATGAGGTACAGTCTGTTCAAGATGCTGTACTGGTCCGTAATCTAAGCACAACACAGCGACAACGTCTACAACATAGTACTACCGTCGACAGTCATCGCCCGGATATCCGAAGTCTTTCTGGTGAAAAGCACCCAGGGTTCGAATATACTATCTCAGCATCCCTGCACGATCAAGCTGCTAACTCCCGAGGAGCTAGCCATAAGTATAGACGGGGAGATTCGCCAGAAGATCCACCGGCGAGATCTTCCAAAGAGGTTTTTGACGAAGCTGCTGCAAGGCTGGAAAATTCAAACATGTCTCAGCAGCAAGCAACTTTTCCGCCAAATGCAGAAGGTTCCCCATCAGACGCGGTTCCTAGCCGCCGGACTCTTTCTAAGCGAAGAGCTGAGCCCACAAATGTTCGCCTACCTGCAAGCGGTGGACTAGCAGATCGCGAGAGAAATGCGTCTCACAAAGCAGCGTTAGAGAAGTTGACGGGAGTATCGCCTCCCGTTGCAAGGAGCGGTTCACGCAAGCTTCAGAAAAACGTACCAGCATCCGTTGAAGCAGCCAAAGCCCAACCGAGCAGGATACCTAGCAGGATTCCGGTACCGACTGAATCATCAGCCATCGCAGGCACCGCAGTCGAGAATCCTTTTCCTGCTCCAGACCATTCCAAAATCGAACCGTTGACCAGCCGTCCTCGTCCTCATACTCCAGTCGGCCTCGGATTGCAGTCTTCACCACATCCGAGCAGCCCGCAATCCCCACCAGCAAAGGTAGCCGATGTGACTCGACAAAGACAACGCAAATCAAGTGTCTCTTTCAAGGAGCCCATGACTCGTCGCCCAGTCGATGAATGGAAGGAGGCAGGTACCGCAAAGCTGACGAGCAGCGACTTCTTGAGCGACGACATTCCTTCCGCGGACAAGACTAAACCTTGGTGGGAACAGGGGCCAACAACTTCCACTCGCAGAGGCAGTAGGTCTAATAGAGCATTCGAAACAGCCCATTTGGATGGTCCTATTGACGACAAGACTGCCCAATTCAAGCCCAAACTTTTTCTTCGGTGTGGACCATTGTTGCGCTATACGGGTATGAAAAAATCGAAAGCGGAAAATGGCGAACTTGCACGGGAATCCTGGCGCGGCAGTGTTATGATTGTGACTCAGGATTCTCATTCTTCATATGATACTCCCCCCACTCTACGCCTGTTCGCACGACCGCAAAGATTGCTCCCACCTCCGCCGGACAAAGTTGCAGAAAATGATCTCAATCCGGAATACGTCGACCCTATTGCTGGCCTAACAAAACTCTCCAGAACTGGCCGAGCTCTATATGTCCGTCCGGTCGATCATTTGGAGGAGGGAAAGGACCTGTCGCAGATTGAGGATGATGATGGCCTTTTCGAAAGCTCTCCTAGCCCGTTGGATCTTGGTGGATCTCATGACACGGCATCGATGGCCAACAACAAGCGGATTTTCGACAAGGATGGAGAGCGGCTCGGAAGATACCAGGAAGTGCGTGGTGCGAGGTTGTTTGGAGATCCAGATCGCGATGTCACATTCTGGAGGTTTAATATCGAGGTGGAGCTCCAAGATCAACAGCAACACATTGCATACCGAATCAATCGTGGACCTGCGATTGGTTTCTGGGTTCCAGCGCGAGGTGAGACGATGAACATCATGTTCCACAGCTGCAACGGTTTCAGTCTCTCTGTCAATCCCGATAATTTCAGTGGTCCAGATCCATTATGGAGAGATGTTCTAAATACGCATCAAACTCGACCATTCCATGTCATGATAGGAGGTGGGGATCAAATCTACAACGACCGGGTAATGCTCGAGACCCAACATTTTGGAGAATGGACACGAATGCGGAATCCAGGCCACAAACATCACGCGCTTTTCACCAGTGAAATGAAGGAAGAACTTGAAACATTTTATCTGAATCGGTATGCTTCATGGTTTTCGCAAGGTTTATTTGGAATGGCTGCCAGCCAAATCCCCATGGTGAACATTTGGGATGACCATGATATTATTGATGGGTTTGGTTCATACCCCAACCACTTCATGGAGACACCCGTTTTCTCGGGACTTGGAAATGTTGCATTCAAGTATTACATGCTCTTCCAACATCAAAGCGTCCCGGAAGAGACCACGGCGCATGAACCCAGTTGGTTACTTGGGCGCGAACCTGGTCCTTATATCAAACAGCTCAGCAGAAGTGTCTTCATGCAGATGGGAAAGCATGTTGCATTCTTAGGTCTTGACTGTCGAACTGAACGGATGCGGAATGAAGTACTCAGTGTTGACACAATTGAGATTATACTTGACAGATGTCGCAAAGAATTAGTGGAGGGCGAGACGAAACACCTCATTGTTCTACTAGGCGTCCCTATCGCTTATCCTCGCCTCGTGTGGCTAGAGAACGTGCTCACCAGTCGATTCATGGACCCTGTGAAAGCCCTGGGAAGGGTGGGCATTATCAAAGGAGGGTTTTTGAATAAGTTCGACGGCGGCGTCGAAATCTTGGACGACCTGGATGACCATTGGACTGCAACGAACCACAAGCACGAACGAAATGATCTGGTCAAAGACCTGCAAGATCTTGCGGCAGAGAAATCTTGCAGAATTACAATCTTGAGTGGTGATGTTCATCTCGCGGCGATAGGGCAATTCCACTCAAACCCGAAGCTCAAGATTCCCAAAGATCGAGACCATAGGTACATGCCGAATGTGATCTCTTCGGCAATTGTGAATACTCCACCATCGGATATGTTGGCAGACATACTCAACAAGCGGAACAAAACTCATCATCTCGATAAATATACCGACGAAAATATGATCCCGATGTTCACACACGACGTTGACAGCAAAAAGCGCAATAACAAACACATGTTGCCTAGGAGGAATTGGTGCTCGATCCGGGAATATGTCCCAGGTTTAACCCCTCCGCCATCACCCCCAGAAAGTCCAGAAGTTTCAGAGGATGAAGAAGAGCCCGAGGAGTCACCTGATCAAGAGACTCGTCCTCGTCGCTTCTCATTCTCGAAAGAACATGTTAACCCTAGAGCTTTGTTCCGAAAGCTGAGTTCCCGTAAAGCTCCTCCAACGTCGTACCGTGACACAATGTATGAGCAGGATCACTCGATATCCTATGATGGTACCACACAGCCCCAAGCGCGTTCTTTTCGTCCGGGTAGCAACGCTTCTGGATCACGGCAGTCCTCGGCTGACTTCCAAGCCATTCCAGGGAAGCGAGCGTCCTCGTTCGACCATAATTCCTCTGGGTTCCCAGTCCGTCCTGGTATGTTTCGGCGTCGTCCCACGAATCTATCAGAAAAGGCCGCCAGAAAGGGCAACATTCCTGCGATTGATGCTGACGGCAACGAAATTGATGTGAACGATAGTGTCAACCTCGAAGGGGGGCTCGACGTTGTGCTCAACGTGGAGATCAACCAGAAAGACCCTTCAGGTATAACTATGCCTTACCGCCTCTTGATCCCCGCGCTTTGGTACGATGGCAGTTCAGATCGCGAAAAGCTTGATGAGGTTGAAGGGGTACAGAGAAGGCCAACGTTCCTCAATAGGATCGGCTTTGGGCCTGGCAGAAGCCATGGAGCGGCACGGAAGCAAGGAGAGGGCAACTGGGGCCAAGACTACAGTGAAGAAGAAAGCGTTAGCGAGGATGACGACGTGGAAAGGACGCGTTTGCCACGACGAAGATTCAGCCTATTTGGCAGCAGACGACGAAACCAGGCAGAGTATTTGAGTGAGACAGATTCGGAGCATGAGGATGAGTTGCCAGCACAGACGCCGGGGCAAGTACAATCGCCTCCACAACCTACTGGTGGCAATAGTGCGAGTCAACAGAAGTATTATCTGCCACATAATATGGCAGGCCCTCCAAGTCACGACTTTCTCTACGACACAGAAACACGCCCTCCACATTCGCACAGCCTTGCACCTGCACCGCATCCTAGCGTCCGGCGATCACTCACAATCACGTCTAGTTCCAAGCAACCATCACACCAGAATCAGCAGGTCTCACAAGTCAAGAATGACCATTCCAGCGTTCCTGCACGAGCAGCATCATCTACAACTACAGGCTCTAGGTCTGGTCATGTTGTATCCACCGGGAGGCAAGACGCCACCGAGTGGAACACCGACGACACGGGGAGTGGAATTTTTCAAAAACCTCACTGGCCTCGTGGTCAAGCTGCTGCCATTCCGGCAGAAACATTGGCGGGACCGGCTCCTGTGGGAACCAGTGGAAATGTTCCTCAGCGTCGTCTCAGCAAACAAGAAAGGATCTTGGGAATTTCATCGTCAGATCCTGAGCCACATGCGCCACCCCTGAGAGGGAACGGGATTATTGGCAAACCGTACGGGTTAGGTAGTCCTGGCGGTGACACCGGCGCAGGCCAACGATCTCTTGGTTATACTGGGATTGAAGCCTACAAAGAACCCAAACCACGAAGAGGATTCAGTTTGAGAAAGGCGAGGGATTGGCTGGATGGAAGAGGGAGAGGAGGCCAGGATGACTTCGACTAGAAAGGAATTCCATGGCGAGTGTGCACGTGATTGGGCCTCGGAAGAAGACGGGGGGCAAGTTTGCGAAATAATGGCCATGAGCGTGAAATTTTGAAATTTTGACCGATCAAATAATCTTCGACAGGAGCACATTGCAAAATCCATGACGATTGTTCGTACTCAGCCTTGGGTAGCCATTTGTTTCCCCGATATGTCCCGAGATATCGCTCAAGGCTCTCGCGCAGAATTACTCGAGCGGGCAAGCTCCTCGTGACTTTCCCAGTTCCAAGTTCCGGTAGCTACCCTGGATAGAGCCACCTGTGGAACCCCGGGAGCCAGCAGTGTGTTATCCAAGATTGGAGAGGTGGATGTGCATAGTCGCCGATGATGGCTGTGTCTCCATAGCCTGCTCGCCGTTATCCCACATGCCATTCTTCGACAGGTCACAACCAGATCAAATTTGGGAGGGCCAAACATGTCTTGTAAGTTGTTACTCAGCAATGCAATCTTTCACAATGGCAGCGATACTCAGTACAGGGCCCGGTAACGTGGCCCGATCCTGGCTGCAATCAAAAGCACCCTGTAAAACGCAATACATACTCGTAGTCTCCACATAAGCTTGAAGTTGTGTTAGTCATCAGGAGTGCATGATGTGAAAGACATCGCAGGGCCACTAAGGGACGACTCCCTCGTGTTTTGGGCCTCGCTGGTGAGTCAGCACCTATCAAGGGCACTCATGCTCAGTAATCGTAAATGCAAGGCCTGGAAGCGACTGGCCTGCGGAGCTACGAGCACCTGGTTTGGTAGTTCTTCATTAGATACGAGTAGCTTCAGCTGCACGTCTGCCGGGGGGGGCACGAGAAGCAAGAATGGGCCTTAGTCGAAGCGACCTCCCAGAGGCCGAGAGGCCCAGAGCCACCCAGATCTCCGTAGCCAGGCCCCAGGCACCCACCAGGTCTCCGTCAAGGCGTACGAGTACTCCGTACTCTTGTCCTGTAAAGCCCGGTTCGAATACGAGGGCGGGAAACTTCGCCAAAGGTCGGGTCTATGCAATTCGCAGGCCCGTGGAGGCATACTTTTGGCTAAGGCACGAGCTCGGTATGATTCCATTGAAACCCGTCCGTGCTTGGCCTCAAACGTGGCTCTCAGCCGAACGGGACGGCGTCCACTCAGCCATCCCACTCCTCCCTACGCTATGAGCATTGAGCATTGAGCACTGAGCACTCGCTTCTATGCTGTGTCTCCACGGAGACATCTGGCATTCGTTGATGACGCCTGATGACTGGTGACTGAAAATTGTCGCAATGCGGATTGGCTTCTGTGGCAATCCTATATTATGTGCCGTGACCCCTCGCACGGTGTCCTGCTCGGGCAATCCACATACATACAGTCCAAAGGACATTTCCCTCCGTCTTACGCTCTTACCCTCCTAACGGGATCACTGTTTCGTCTACACATCTCAAACCATGAATCCATCGAGGACTCTTTTCGCTCCAGCATTCACTGCGAATATCTCACGAGCAGCCGCCAAGGGCCTCTACACCTCAACCGCCACAACAGCAGGTCTTCGTGTCTCTTGTGCGGCAATCAGACCCTTGAATGTTGCCTCCCAAAGGAACTTTTCCGTCTCACACAAAGCCCAACTCGAGTTCTTCCCGCCGCCCAAGAACCTTCCTCATATCAAGCTAACGTACGTTGACCATGTATAACCGTGTTAGCCTCTCCCACGTCTGGTATGCTAACAGTGATGCAACTGCAGTCCACCATCATGGCCACATCCCGACGCTACTGAGAAACAACTCAAAGAGGTCGAGGTTGCCCACCGAGAGGTCCGTAGCTTTTCGGATTGGTGGGCGTACAACGCCATACGGTTTCTCCGCTGGGCGACCGACGTAGCGACCGGCTATCGTCACGATCCCAGCAAGCCCTATGTAATGAGCGAGAGGAAGTGGTTGATCCGCTTTATCTTCCTCGAGACCGTCGCAGGTGTCCCAGGTATGGTGGGCGGTATGCTCCGACACTTTCGGAGTCTTCGCAGGATGAAGCGGGATAATGGATGGTGAGTTTCCAAGGCATGGTCGGGACCTGTGGTGACTCGTCCGTAACTGACTCTCATCTGCAGGATCGAAACACTACTCGAAGACGCTTACAACGAGAGGATGCATCTTTTGACCTTCCTGAAAATGGCCGAGCCAGGATGGTTCATGAAGCTCATGATCCTCGGAGCCCAAGGTGTCTTCTCCAACGGCTTCTTCTTCGCCTACCTGGTGGCGCCCAAGATGTGTCATCGTTTTGTCGGCTACCTGGAAGAAGAAGCCACCAAGACCTATACTTATGCCATTGAAGATCTCGAATCCGGTAAACTGCCTGGGTGGGAGAACCTCGAGGCACCCGAAATCGCCATCAACTACTGGCACATGCCTGAAGGCCATCGGTCGATGAAGGATCTCTTGTACTACATCCGAGCCGATGAAGCCAAGCACCGAGAAATCCATCACACCTTTGCGAACCTGAACCAGGCCGAAGACCCCAATCCGTTTGTGTCCGAGTACAAGGATGACTCAAAGCCCCATCCAAGCAAGGGGATCGAGCACCTCAAATCCACCGGTTGGGAACGAAAAGATGTCATTTGAGTGAGACCATACACACATCCAAGACTTGTATCAGTACTATCTGAGGAATGCAACTCCCAAAACAGCACGCGCGTGTAAATGTACAGTTGATAAAGATGGATAATGAAACGAACCTTTTCGGGGACTGGAGTTGTTGAGCCGCAAACGTGTGTCGATCAAGGCACTGGTCGTACTCCGTACGGGCTTCCAGCTCCAACCGAAGGTGTGGGGGGGCTGATTGGGCGTTCAGGTTTGGCGTGTCAAGTCACAAGTAGGATGACTTGATGACAGGAGTCTAAACTGGTTCGGGTTCGGATTCGACATGGGTACCGAGTTGCAGGTCCGTCTGCAATCTGGCTAATGTAAGTTGCAGATTTCACAACAGAGACGGTCTGGAAACGGAACTGGACTGGTGGACTCCGGAGTTAAGATGGTCGGTCAATAACAATTGCTCCAGCAAGCTCTCGTTTGCGTGCCACAACATATTATGATGGTGGCCACCGTCCGTTGGCATTATCGTTATTGACCATGAGTGAGGTACAAGGTAGAAGAAAGCAACCAAAAGGAAGATTTTCTCAGGTGCAAATTCAATTCAAGTCAAGCTCAGATCTTGGAAAAATTCCGCACATTTTACGCGTAGGCACGTAAGATCTGTATTGGAATCTGCCGCAGATTCTGGTGGGTCCAGCTTTGGTGGAATACGAATGGAATGATCGACTGGGCAGGCATGGGGACCATAGCATTATGATGGACCAACTAATTGATTAGTTTAGTCCAAGTGAGATGATTTGTTTATTTTTGTGGATGATAATTATGTCAGGCTGCAAGTTGGACGTCAGTGAGTGGCTGGACACGTACAAGTTTTGACTTCCCAGGACGCGTTTGGGGGGCAGCGATGGGTGACCATGAGTGGCCATGGAGTCCATGAGTGGCACTGAGTGGGAGTGAGCGGACTGGGGTGGATTGCAGTGGGCCTGCTCCCTCTCCCTCTTCGTCCAGCCACAGATTTGCGCCGCGGGCTAAGTCGAGCCTAGAGACACGCCGTTGGGGCACGCTTGGGCGTGCTTGCTACTCGTTAATCGACCGCCTGGTCACCATTATGATTGGGGGCTTTGGGGCCTCGGGATCCGCAGTGCCCGCTGCCAACTGCGCACTCTCTGTACCCGTGGCTCTGCCTGATGCCTGCACCCGCACCCTGCTCCTAAGCGCCTAGCTACTAACCACCTTAGGCACCGTTCTAACTAAGACTACAACCGTAAGCGGCACCTGTACCTTAACTTGTAACTGTAACTGAACTGCCAACTTCAAACTTCACCTCACTGTTCCTCGACCCCAACCTGTCTGTATCTGAATCTGCGGCGCCTAATCAACCCACATCTCTTTGTGCTTTTTCCTAACCTCATACGACTTTCGACTCACCCGCAGTCAAACCATTTCATCATCACATCACATTTGCCATCTTGTCTCACTCACGCTGACTCGACTCAGCCAGTGTTATTGTTGTTGTTACCCCAACCTGGACTCAATCATATGACCGACCTTGCACCAACAGCAGTCCCAGCCTGCGCTGGCCCAGCTGCCCTTCGTATCATCTCATAACCACGAGCAGACCGATCTGCGCATGCCGTCTGGCATGACCTCTGCTCCCCGCCGTCCTTCGATGGTGGAAACGCAGAGTGAATTCGACCTACATCAACTTCTAGTTCCCACCCCAACCAACGATGTCCCTCCAGCTCATCACTCCTCCTCCGCCTCTTCCGGCCCCAGCAGCGATGCTGGCTCTTTTGTTTTCCCGGACAGCTTGTCCAGAAGCAACTCCGTCTACTCCTTCTCCAGAGCCTCCTTCAGCAGTCAATTAGCCAGTCTGACTTCCATGAGCCTACCCCAAGCCGAATCCCTCGCAGCCACCGTGACAAGTCTCCCCACCGCCCGAAAGGCCGTCAAGGCCCTAACCAGTGCCGCTGAGCAGATTCAACAGTGGAACAAGAAGGCGCTGAAGGTTTTGGAGAATCTTGATGCCGACGAGGATGTAGAATGGGCCGCCGCCGCCGGTAGGTTAGGTTTGGATGACACGGAGAACACCATCAATAAATTCGAGACTTTGATCAATGTCTATGTCATTTCCATCGAGGAGCTACAATCCCGCCCGGATATTGGCGATGCCAAAACCGAGGAGCTCCAGGCCGTTGTGGAACAGATGGAGTCCACCCTGGAAGGCTGGGAAAATGTCCGCCATGATTTGAAGAAAGTGCACGAACAGGTCGAGCTGGCCATGGAATGGGAAGAGCTGTGGGCAAAAGTACTAGGTGACGTCGGAGCAGAGATGGATAGCCTGAGTCAGTTAGTCTTTGAGATGGAAGAAAAGAGACACGCAGCCTATCAGACACAAACTCAAGCCGGCCCGAGTCAAGTCTTCGATTTGAACGAATTGGAAAGCTACATCGACGAGCCCTCTCAGAAAAAGACGACGCCCAACTCACGTTTCAGTCTCCCACCCTTTGAATCCTCACCTCTGGGGTCGCCCATCATCGAGAACCCTGCCGACGATTCGAACTTGCTTGCTCTTTTCGCGCGCATGCAACCACTGAGAGCATCGTTAGATTTCCTGCCGATGAGATTGTCGATGTTTCAATCACGAGCCGAGAAAATCTTCCCAACAGCCTGCCGAGAGCTTGATGACAAATGTGCGCGACTAGAAAGAAATTGGACGGACCTGTCGAAAGAAGCGGACAACTTACGCCGGGAATTGAGTGAAGACCGTTGGGTGATAGTATTTCGCAATGCTGGTCGACAAGCTCAAAAGATGTGCGAGTCCGTGGAAAGGAGCATCGTCAAGGTTCAAGAGGCCATTGGCGAAGAATATCAACCGACAAATCCTGCTGCTCTAGCGAAAAGGATTGAGAGCTTCGAAGCAAAGAAGATGCACTATGTCCCTGCCATTGGCAGAGTGCTTGCGATTATCCAAAAGGGCCTCAAAGACCGGCTTACGGTGAACGGCGAGATTCTACGCTTACACAAAGACCTCTCATCTAGAATGAGAGATTTGACTGATACGATGGAGGATATGGACTCCTTACTGGAACCATTTACCGCTCGACACAACTCGAGATTACGCGAGTCAATCTCCAGCATCGTCTCAGCCGATCGCTCATTCACCAGTACCACATTTCCGGGAACGCCAGGAAGTTCGCCGCCGTCCTCGATAGATCTGCCCCCTCAACGGAGTGAGCAAGTCACTCCCAAATATGGTCTCAACGGATACAGTAAGCCGAGGGCTGCATCCTCTAGTCGACCACCCCCTCTTACCTCGTCGAATCGACGATCATCGATGCTCCCACAGAGTAGACGGCCCACGACTCCGATGTCCCAGGCTAGCAGTTCGATCATGCGACGAACGGCTTCACCTTTACCGGGTCCTCCGTCGGTCTATCGTCAAGGCGTGTATACCCCACCAGTAGCGCCTGCTCCTCGACCGGGGCCAACACCTGTTTCAAGCAAACCACGATGGTCAGCGGTGGTCAAATCGCATGATTCAACGCTGGCGCCAACCTATCGGTCATCAGCATCAACTTCACCTTCAAGCATATCGACAATGCGGAGGTACACACCCCGGTCGATATCGTCAAGTACTGCATTACCACTACGAAGCCCCCTCAGTCGGGAGACTTCAGCTTCACCAAGTGCTTTATTACCCACCCCTGCAGAACGGGAAAGGCAGCAATTCAAGTCATTTGCTGAGAGAGTTGCCGATCCATCACCTGTGAGAACGAGTAGCTTGATGGATCCTGTACCTTATCACCGAGGACGCAACTCGAGTGCGCCTACAGGAACCATCAGATCGCCTTCGTCTCTTGCGGTACATAGTCAGCAAAAACCCACCATGAGCGGAGTTACTCGACCTCCGTCGTCACTCAGCCGGAGTTATCACTCGACGCAAACCTTGCCATTGAGAAATACCGCGCCGAATCCTCGAGCGGATAACAGAAAAGCGACACGAAACAGAGAGGACTCTCTGGGTTCGGACGAGCTGGACCGAGCCAGCGAAAACGAGGATGATCGGATCACCGAGCCGAATTCGAGTCCGCTTTCGAAAAGAACGATCACCAGGCCAAGTAGTGTTTTGGCAAATAACAAAGGGAAAAGAATGTCATTACTGCCAGTTCCAGTTGGAGGTGGCAGGCAGAGTTCATTAGGACATAGGATCTCATGAAAGAAAGAAGAGAGCTTGACCAGCCGGCCTGAACATAGCACTCATATCACAGCGTCAGTTGTTGTCGGTGTTTTTTTGGATCAGATGAGGGTGAAGGCAGCCTCGACGAACAGCGTTCCCCCGTGAGGGTTCTTTTTTCAACAGCGAAAGTTCAGTGTCCAGCGTACAAGCGATGTTTGATTGATTTATTTTCCAACTATCCCACCCCGAATTTCCTTTTGACGTCACCCCCTCCACCGTCACCTATCCTCGCTGCCATGCTAGGTAGCTAGGTAGCTAGGTAGTCAGTCAGACGGATCGCTCATTGCGTTGTAAGTAGGCAACGGCGCGAGTACGCGAGATAGCATAATTGAGAAAGAAAATGCAACATTACAACAACCCGGACCTGGAACTAGTCAATATTATTAACAATAATATGCGTACTCGGGTGCCGTGTCGCGCAGGTGTTTTTATATAAAAGAACTTCGTTGCCTACCTACCCTCCTAGGACCCTTAATCTGTTTGAAATCGGGTCGGCCTCTCCGCCCTATGTCAACGGTCGGGTTCTAAGCAGCAAGCCACAATACCACGAGACACACCCAAGACTCGAGGAAAGAGTCCTGTACTGACTCTTGAGTTGTCGTATGGTAGCAACGGTAGCACTGCGCGCAAAGTGACTTTTGATGTACTGTACCAGTCCTGTCGGGCCAGAGTTCAAGCCACTCGAAACCCTTGAAAGACGTCGTCTGCCTGGGCACTGGTATAGAACTGCCAAATTAGGTAAGGCCGGTCTTGGCACTCTCGTACTGCCAGCCCGGCCAGTCGCGATTCGCTGGAGAGACGCCTTCAAGATACTGTAATACTTTTTCGCTTGTACCTGACCTTTGGTCCTTTGGGCTGTTTGAGTGTGCCCCATCTCCTAGGACCTCATCCCGTCTTCTAGGGTTTCTTAGCTTGATCCCCAGACCCTATTTCGAGGTCTCTCAGACTGCTTGTTTCCCTGATTCAACTTCTCAAGCTTTCTCCTTTGGAGTCTTGAGACCTTCAAAGGCCCTGATAGCTCAGATCGGATGTTGTAACCCTGACACAGCCCTGAATGCCACATGGCTCACAAACCAGCTCGGTCTCTGTCCTTTACGGGGAGGGGACATGCAAGTTGCGATTGGTCACATTGTCTCGAACTGGATGTACCAAGCACCATCTATCTTACTGGCATCTCCTTTTCGAATGAACAATGCCATTCTGACTGAAATCCGATGTCCTGACTCTTCAGGGCTCGTATTCAGCTCTGGCGCGAGATGGGTTCCTGGCTCTCTCCATGTCTCAAGGGGACCAACAGACCCAGCGCCGCCATGATGGGCTATGATTTCTAACTCATATAAAATGGCTGTCGATCTGTCGTATCGTCTATCTGGTAGGTTTCCAGGCACCACAGCTGCAGCACCTCGTGGTACATTTTTTGCATAGTCTTCTTATGCGGAAAGCTCCCTCTCCCAGCCCACATTCTCGCTATGTCTGTCATCACAGAAGCCGATATATACACTGGTGTTTGGGTCGACTGGTCTCGCGGAGCAGTCCTTGGTAGTACTGTTACGCGATCGGCTCGCTATGCGTCAGTACTCACTGCGTTTCTCGCTCTTTTCGTCACGATAGTCGGGTCCTGCCTCTAGAGGATATGCAGCTTCCTCATCCACCAATACTCCTCCAATCCAGACGCCAAAGACGGCCTACATCACCAGCACCAGCTCATGTTACGGAACACAGGATCTCCTGCAGAAGCAGCCAAGTCCTTTGGTGGAATCGCCTGGCACTGGAGAAGAAACGGCCCTAAGGCGTGGATGCGGGCACTCCTCTTGCCCTCTTTTCGCTCGTCTTCCTTCTCGCCTTCAGCGTCGCCTGCGTCCTTACCGGTCTTGTCACTCGTGCTGCTGGCTCACAGAGACTCATTGCCAGCGAAGACTGTGGGTCCTGGGCAATTGATCAGTCGGCTAGTGCCCTTGATCGCCAACTCGCAATGCAGACGAAGGCCCACAATGACACGATCCTCGCGGCGACCTATGCGAGACAGTGTTATGGTCAGGACGCTGCTCTGAACAAGTTGCGCTGCAGCATGTACACCAAGCGATCCATCGCTTGGACTGCCTCGGAAGTCGATTACCCTTTCGCCGGTTCCATCTGCTCTGCCCCCCTTGCGCTTCAACTGGATTCTGAAATCATCGACTCACATATGGATCTGGGTATGAACACCCCCGATTCTGCACGCGTCGGCTTCCGAAAGGTCACCACTTGCTCACCCCTGAAAGTCACCCCTGAATACGGATCGGTCGTTACGTCGACTGGTACTGATCGCTTGGGTGTCGAAGATGACAGGATCCGAGAGTATCAGTATGGCACATACTCTAGTACGGGTCTGGGCAAGAATGTTACCTACATGTACAATCAGCACGCCTACATTGATGGATTTGGCTATGACTCGGTGTAAGTTTTCTCATCATCTCCCCTGTTTATCCCATGCGCAGGAAGCTAACAGCTTTCTCACTTGACAGTGCAACCGAAGCGTCCCTCGAATCGGCTTTCTGGGAGTCCATCCCCAACTCGTCCAAACCTCGGCCGACCTGACCCTAATCTTCCTCGCCCCAAACGCCATCAAATACTCCTACCCCGACAACACCCCCTTCTTCAGCGCAAACTACTATGCCGATCTCGGCTCATTCAACGGCGTCAACCTCTCCTATTGCTCCGCAGACGAATACGTCAACACCAAGGCCTGCCAAGACCAATACCAATACTGCAACGGCGAATCCCTCGACAGATGCACCCGGCTGACTGCCTACCAACAAGCGTACGCCGCCATCTTCAACTCCACCACTCTGGACTTCAACGCCGTGCAGGAAAGCGTAGCAGCACGCATCATCCTCAACACCCGCACGCTCAGCATGTACCACAGTATCGGCGGGCGAGGGGTGCAGGCGCTGCGCGTCTCGGAAACCATCCAGGAGCGCAACCAAATGGTGCACATCCCGCACAGCCAGTGGCAGGCCGCAGTCGCCAGCTGGCTCGGCGTCAGCATGGCGCGCCTGCAGCGCTCCGCTGTCGAATACGCAGCCCCGAGCCTCCGCAAGTCCGAGTACCCTGCAGGCGCACACCCGGGGAAACTTGACACGCCCATCTCGCGCGCGATGTGCTACAGCCAGAAGGTCGGGTTGGTGGGCGACACGATCTCGTTCTCCGTGCTGGGGCTCGTGATCATCCTCACGGTCGGCAGCGCTGCGATCCTGCTGTATCTGGTGCTCGAGCTGTGCGTGGCGTGGTTCCGGCACCGCCAGGACGGAGGTAGCTACCGTCGCGTGCGGTGGGTCATGGACGAGAAGATGCAGGTCCAGCGCATGATGTTCGAGGAGGCCGGCATGGGCGGCACGTGGACGAACCTCGCTGGCGCGGTGCCCGTCACGCAGACGAAAGAGGTCTTCGCAGCTCTCCGTCATGTTGATCCTGCGCATCCGCGCCTCGGGAGGCAGTGGACCCGTCTTGGAGAGGGAGACGGCCGCGCACAGCAGCAGGTGTATCTCATCGACAAGACTGCAGGTGCGCAGCAGCCAACGGGAAATGCCAACCCGTATGTCTCGCCCATCGGAGAATACATCCCTGTCCTCGGCACTGCGACCGCTGTGCCCATGCCCACTACACCACCATACCCGAGTGACAAGCACGGCGGTGGCGGCCAGCAGACATCCCAGGTCTACCAGAAACAGGTCTACCACGCGCTCACGCCGCGGGGGGCACTCTCCCGCGGGAAGTTTCGATGGCAATGGCAATGGCAATGCGATCGCGCATCCGAACGCCTATTAAGAGGTTTATTGGTCTTACATTGTGCGCGCTGTTGGTGTAAGCCGGAGGCATTTGGATCATAACCGACATTAAAATCGTTTGGCATGCGGGAGGGATAAGCGTCGAGATTTTATTGCATATCGATGGACGACGATGGGTCGGGGCTTGGTTCGGACATGGCTTTGGCACTGGCATGCATTTCTAGAGGTCAGGGGTAAAAGCAAATGCCAAATCGCGTAGACATACAGACCGACAGAAGTTCTACTTGTTCTGATTCTTGTTCCTTGTGTATATAGCATGGATGGCACTGGAAGTGAGGAGATAGCATCAGACACGCTGGGATATGTCACATGAAGAGTATGCTGTTTACAGTCCCTCCGTCCACAACCAAACACTACCAAGAGTGCCTTCCTTCTGGTATTGGCCTCATGAGCAGATAATTGGCTGTTCTCTTTGTATCCTCGGCAACTCACAGGTTTCATATAGAAAATTTAGACGATGGCAAGGTCTTGTTGATTGTTTGGTTGGCTGGTTGAGGAAATCCGTAGGCGTATTATACAGAGATGCAGTGACTCGCACTCTCGTGACCCAGGCACCAGATCGCGGGTTCGTGAACTGTCACTTCTTACCACTCCGCTAAGTGAGCTTTTCAGCCAGTCTGATAGCCCTCTCTGCCTCCGGGTGAGCACAAAAGTTCCCAGGTTCAATTCCCACTCTTTGCAGCCCACAGCGAGTCCGTAGTATTTCCATACGCGGAGTCAAGCCATGCATGAGCGAGATGCTTCATGGACACTGGTACTAGGAGCGCCGGGGCAATTTTTCCACGTCCGAAATCATGCTGCACGGGACACGAGAGCGTGCCAAAGTCTCAGCCTCGCCAGGACAAATGCTGGATTTATCAATCACTCCCCCAGAAATCGCCCCAACAATCAAGCCAGACATATCGTTTGTAGTTCTGGTCGGCAAGTCAACTCACGTCAGTCTCCGAGCTGGATGAATAATAGGATAAGCCCGATTAAGTTGCGGCACCCGTGAGCTTTTGGCGAATCCCGTACCTCGCCTCCACCAGAAGCACCAAAAGTGCCCTTGCTTTTACCGGAGAGAGTAAACCGTATGATGTCCGATAAGTTGATCCGGAAAAAAACGAACAAGTCGTCCCTGGGAACTTCTGACCTGTCAGTTTATCCTCCTTGCAACCCTTATCCTAGTACGGCTAGGGCGGCTTGCAAGCATTGGTTTTTGGTTTTTTTTTTGCTGGCTTTTTATTTTGCCTTGATTGAGATAGAGGCTTCAGCTCTTCTCTTTCTCTTCGACTAGGCTAGTAAGTAAAAGTCTTTTCTTTTTATAGAATATACTTGTAATACACCAAACCTATCTGCCCTTAAAGCATCGATACTAAGACATAGAGTCTCTTCTCCGATCTTACTGAAAGCGGGGTGGATCCTGCTTACCGTTCAGTAGAACAGGGATGAAGGCTATCCGATGCCTACAGACCTTAAGACCCTGTTGGAACTAAAGTCGTGCTGGTTTGGTTGGTCTCTGTCGAGATGACTAGATTAGAAAATGATGAGGAGCGAGGTTGGGTGTTGGATTTTGGAGTCGCTCTTTCAATACCAAGCTTTTTCTAGGGTCGGCTATGGCACTTGCCGAATGCTTAGCATCCGGTCTTGCAAGGGCCAAGGGCTGTTCAACAAACTGGGAAGGAGACGCCTAGAGAGAACGACAACGACAAGTCCCTGGGCCTCTGATGTCTAGATATGGGTATTAGGTGCCTGATCCCTGGATCCGTGTTGCTGGTTGGCTGCAAGTATAGAATATAGATGCGGCAGCCTCGTTAATTAATCTATTACATGGGCTGTCGAGTTTTCCAGCAAGTAGGTTCGCACTATGTATATACGAGCACATCTGGATCTCGGTAAATAATAAGATTACGAATCCGTCTCCACTCTTGGTTCACCTCAATAACACGGGAGCCTAGCAGGGCATTCTTCCCTGCCGCAAGTCTTTGACTGCATGCCAGAGAGACAGTCTAATCTGTGGCAGTGAAAATAGTCAAAATCAAGTGGAAAAGGACCCTACCACGTCAACATGACTTCAGCCCAGAGGCCTCATCAGGAGGAAGCGACATTCCGCAACTACGATACCTCGGCTGCGAAACGATATGCTCAGTACCGGAGTGGTTGGTCTGACTCCCTCATCCAGACGCTCATCTCGCAACACACTTCCTTCGGTGGCGAGAACGGCCTCCTCTTGGACATCGGCTGTGGCCCGGGCAATTCTACAAGAGACCTTGCCCCGCATTTTCAGAGCGCTCTGGGGGTCGATCCTTCTCCAGGCATGGTTGAGGTTGCTCGCGGTATCCCCATCTCAACGGCTCGCGGTGAGCCCGTAAGATACGAAGTCGGGAAAGCGGAGGAAATGAGCTCTCTTCCGGCTTTGGCGCAGCTCAGTCCCGAGAGTCATGGGAAAGAATGTGTGGATCTTATCACCGCCTCGACTGCTGCACATTGGTTCAACATGCCGCCATTCTGGGCGGAGGCGGCCAAGATCTTGAAACCGGGTGGGAGCGTGATTCTCTGGTGTGCAGGTGGCTTCTACATTGATGCTAATAATACACCGAATTATGACAAGGTTAGACAGCTTCTTGATCGTTTCGAATTGGAAGTGCTCGAGCCATTTTCTACTGAAGGAAACGTCCTGTGCAGGAACCTTTATGTCGGACTAAAATTACCATGGGATTGCGTGAAAGATGACCAAGAACTGAAGGATGTCCTGGAAGTATTCGACCCCAAGGACTTTACAAGGCTGGAGTACAACAAGGACGGTTACGTTGCGCCAGGAGAGTCGTTCGTGCGAGGCGGTCGGTCTGACTTTGACACGATGAAGAAACTCATGGGCACAGCTAGTCCGGTCCAGAGGTGGCGGGAAGCGTACAAGGAGCAGTTACAGAACGGACAAGTCGAAGATTTGCTGGACAAGGTGATGAGAGAAATCAAAGAGCTTTTCGCCGAGGTCGAGGAGGGAAAGGATAGGGATTGGATGGATGTTGGTAGTGCTGTTGCTGTGCTCGTTGTCAGAAAGCGGAGGTGAAAACCCATTTGTCAGCGAGGTGGGAAGGGCGTCCTTCAGTGTTCATAGTACTATCCGAATTGCAAGAAATGGCTAGCACTCTGGTGTATAAATGCATTCAATGGCATGATTCCGTTTACTATTTCCTTCTTACGTTGCAGGCGCTGGTGGGCAGGCTGGCATGTAACAGGGAGTACACCGTTGAGTCTCAAATAGTCCTGAAAACATCCTCAGCCCGCTGTTGTTATTCCCTTGAACAGCTGTTCCGTTCACCTGCCTCTCAGAGCAGTGCCCATATAACAAGTCAACTCCTGGGACACGAAGGCACTCTTGCCATTTTCAAAGTTCAAGTCGGGCAAATTGGCAAACCGTGTCTTCCAACTCCAGGGCGCCTGAGAGCCATCTCCATTTTCGCATTCCCGACAAACGCGTATTTCCTGGACTTCGTTCCCGCGCCCAATGATCTCTCAACTAGGCTATCTGGCCTGCGAATGACTCACCTTCCACTCATCCAACAAGCCCTTGAAGTCTCTAGGAGAATAAGGGGTGCTGATCTCGGCGAGCCACGAGTTTTTCCTATGGTTCTTCAGCTTCATATCGCCAAGCAGAAGATCCATGTACGGGAGAGCCTCGAACACGAAGTCCGGCAGCGTGGCGCCATATCCACACGGATACCGCCATTTGCCCCATTGGGTGTGCAGCATGACTTCTTCAGTGACCTCCTGTTCGGTCTGTGCGAGCCGATCGATCTTGCCGTGCAGGTACAGCGAGATCCAGAGCCCTTGGACGCTGGCGCAGATGGATGTGCTCACGGTCGACACCATGCCTGCGAAGGCGATGTTCTTCGCTCCGATCATGGTCGGCGGGATCATGAATCGATATAACCGTAGGGGATCGCCTTTCTTGGGCTCGCAATTGAGTTGAGGCTGGTCTCTCAGGCGGGGAAACATCTCGAGTACTTTCTCGTCGGCTTCTCTGTTGAGCATTTCCTTCTCGGCCTTGCTGTATTTCAACCCAAGCGCATATTCGTCCAACCCGTCGAATTTCAAACCAGACTCCTTTTTCCATCCCGTCGAGCAGACGATTACGTCGGTTTCGAGCTTGGTCCCAGACGCAAGCACGACGGCCTTGGGCTCCAGATGGTTGATGTTTTCAACGTGGACGCGGATTTTGCCTTGCCGCACCATGTCGAATAGAGACGTGTCGTAATTTTGGATGCTGAGTCCGCTGCCAATCCAGAAAGCCGAGTGCCAGGGTTTGAGCTTCTTCAGCTCTGGGTGGTTGTCGTAGCCGTTCAGTGTCAATACATCGTTGCTGAGGACTTTCCAGAATGTGTTGACTAGCCATCGTCCGATGAACGTACCGTGCAGGAAGTTCCGGATTGTGGGGAACCCGTCCTCGCCTCCCCATGGACAAGGGCTGAACCAAGTCATCCATCGCAGATGTAACAACTGGTCGAGCCGCTTCTTGAAAGGTGTAACAAACATCGGAGCGATCCACACGGGCCCATGGCCGTCCGGGCGCACAACTAGATCGACAGTTGCACCATCCTCGACCATGGCATATGCTACATCGAACGCTGACTTGGCGCCACCCACCACCACAGCATTGTTCACTTTGCCCAAGTGGGGAGCCTGCTTGCAAAAGTCCTTTGCGTGGAATAAGGGTGCACCAAACGATTCCGACCCAGGATACTGAGGCATGTTTGGAGAAGACGTCAAACCTGTCGCTAGGATTAATTTTGCTGTTTCGATAATCCGAGATCCTTTAGCCCTGGGAAGGGTAATGGTCCAGCCATTGGAACTACTCGGCGCTATCTTCTCGACACTGGTATTGAATTGAATCCGCTCAAATACACCAAAGTGTTTGGCGTAGTCTGTTAGATAACGGTGTAAGACGGCTCCTGGGATGTGCTGGAACGGGCCCACGCCGTAGATTTCCTCGGACATGGGGAAGTCAGGATACTCGTAGGTTCCGATCATGTTGTTGGACTTCAATCCCGGGTAGAGTCGAGCTTGTCCCCACGTGCCGCCACAGGTGTCGGCACTCTCGAAGACGGTCATCTTCTCCGTGGGATACATCTCGAGATATGCTTTGGCGGCGGCGAGGCCGAACCAGCCTGTAAGTGAAATGGGGTCAGAATGGGGCCTCAGAGGGGAGATTGAGGGATGTTCCTACCGGCACCAACAACTACAATGTCATACCTTTCGCTCATAATGGGTGATTCTGTAGGTTGCAATAGTTTAGGAAAAGGATAGGTGTTCAGGACTAGTTTCAACAACAACAGCAGCAGCAGCAGCAAAGAAGAAGAACAACCTGATGGGGAACTTGTTGATGGAAAGAAACCCCTACCGCCTCCTCAAGAGAAAGATATATCTGAGGGGCTCTCATGTCCCCCAAGGTTAGAATGGACAGACCCGACCAAACTTACTCCAGACTCTGCGATAAAGCTAGTTCGAGCTTGAGCTCGAAGCTCGAAGCTCGAAGGCCGAAGCCAGCGCGGAAGGTGGCATGACTTGTAGCCGTTAGGTTTCAGCAGTAACACTGCTATCCATCTGGAGCATCTTATTTGGACACAACTAGTCGACAACTAGTCGGAGCTTGGAAACAACTTGCGGACCACTGACCTCGGATGGAGGAAGCAGTCAAAAGATAGATCTCTGGATGGCCAGTTTGATGCCAACTTGAGACCTTACACGAAGTCTAGCTCGCCTAGGAGCCCAGCCAGGGTCCAGCCCACCAGGGCTTATCTTGGGCCGGGTTATGTAATTCTTCAGACAATGAGCAGGGGTGTAGGTGCTCTACCCGACTTCAGGGTCCCATTGCCGACTTGATCAAAGCGAGGGTGGGGGAGGGTCCAATCAACAACGGCTTGTTCCGTCTTATCCATTCCGAACCGTCACCAAGGAGTGCCTCGTATCATGCTGGCTGAAGCTCTAACGTAGTCAATTATCATAGCTAATCAAGCCATCTATGGTCCCCGCGTGCAGTCCACCCGTAATTTGAATATCCGCCGCAGTGGTATGTCTCGAGGCATCGCTCAACAGGTAGATAACCGCGGCCGTCAGATCGTTCTGGGTACTCAGCCGCTGCAGTGGCGGGGACATCCACATCTGCTCGCCCTCGCGCTTGCTCTTCGACTCTCTGACCTTGCGCGTCATCTCCGAGTCGACGAAGCCCGGTGAAATCGTGTTCACTCGGATGTTGTGCGGCGCGAGCTCCACGGCCAGTGCTTTGGCCAGCATCAGTACCCCGCCCTTGGAAGCGTTGTATGCGGCCATGCGGTACCCGGGCAGTGCGATGTGTGCGGATTGCGATGCGATCAGCACCATGCTTCCGCCTTCGCTGCCGCCTTGCTTAAGGATTTGCTTAGTTACCAGCTGTGCGATGAAGAAGGTGCCGCGGACCTGTTATGACCGGTTGTTATGTTTAGTAAATTACTAGCTCTTTGCCGAAGGAGAACCACATAGGAGAGTAGACCCACATTGATGTTCTGGATGTTCGTAAACTCATCCCAAGTCTGCTCGATAAAGGGCTTATCGATCGCGATGCCAGCCGCAGGCACACAGCCGTGGACAGTTCCTCCCAGGAACTCCAGTGCTTGCTCGAACCCGGCGGTCAAGCTCTCGTGCTCTGTGACATCGACGCGGACGTAGCCAGCCTTGACGCCGAACTTGGTCGCCAGCTCGTGGAACTCAGGCTCCGCGGGCTTTCCTTGTCGATCCAGCACCGCCACGTTGCCGCCCATCTCGCAGATTGCTCGTGTGACTGCGAACCCGATGCCCTGTGCGCCGCCCGTCACGATGTAGTTTCGCCCTCGCAGCTCGAACATCGGCCGCACGTTGTCTAGCGAGGATGACATTTTGGGCTTTGGTGTTGGTTATGAGTTAGCGTAGGTTGTCTCAGCCTGGGGGCTTCTCCTTCCTCTCTAGCGTTGACGGTCCGAAGGTCGAAGATTGCTTGCTTTCGTTTACACCTGCTTCTGCTTTTATTTGGCTCTCCTTCATCCGAATTTGTGGTATATGAAGGGGGACAAGCTTGGAGCGACACAAGGGGGAAAGCCACCCCCGCACACGCAGAAGTCTTCGCAAGGCTGTACTCTGTAGGTTTGTTCTGTGTGGCCCTGGTGGGTGCCCTCCTGAATCCTGAACGGTAAGGTTGCGTGACTGCTCCCGCTCGAAATCGACCCTTCGTCCACTAAAATAGGATGCGGATGCTCGTGAACTTGTTAGGTTTATAGAAGATTGTCGGGTAGTGTACCTGTAAGTGTCACTTGAAACCTTATCGGGTATTTCTCCAGCTTAGGCCATCATCCATCGCGTAGGACGTTAGAAATGCTGGTGCGGAGCTTCCCATCGTAATTAGTTGCGGAGTTTGGTCTCAGTCATGACGCTTCACGTGCTCGCCTTGGCCACTTGATCAGGAGATAGAAAACAACAGCAAAATACTGGCTTGCGAAGGTAGAAACTCACCAGAATTGACTTTCACAGACATTCCGGCAAGCTAGGTCAGTGACAGGTTCAGAAAACCCCGTCAGTTTTGAGTCCACCCCAAAGAAATCTCGAGCAAGAAATCAATCATCACCCACGGGTTCTAACCGCGAACAAAAATGTACGCTGATATCAGCAAACCACCCAAGGCGCTGCCGCAGCCAAATCCACAAGAGATCAGACCAGGGTTGACGCTGCAGACGCCTCTGCTGCGAAGTCGGGAAAATGGCCCTGGCATCATCACCCTCGTTCCGGACGTGGTCGACAAGGCAAGAACGCATCTAGACGGCGTCCCCTCGTTGCTCATCAAGTGGGCCGAGGAAGGATACGTCGTGGCCGAGATCCAGGCCTCTGCATTGGCCGCCGACCAGGAAGTGTTGCGGCATGCCGTTGCTGCTCTTCAGCAATGCGAGAAGTGTGAGAGCACGGAGAGGATTGGCCTTATCGGTACGTATCCACGTATTATTCTGCTTCTACCAGGTTGAGGGTCCGCTGGGTGTCCATCTTAACACTGAGGCCAGTCTATGACCACACACTGCTGGCCAAGCTCTCCCAGATTGCTAGTATACCCGAGATCGCAGGAGCAATTGTGTATACAGATTCAACAACCAGTCTTCAACCGCTATCGGTCCCGACGCTACTGCACGTCGCTGGCGCACCACCAGCCCAGCCAGACGCCTCCGCGCAGAGACCCGCCCAGGATCGTAGGTACTACTACCCAACGGTGAAATCATCCAGCTTTGCCACGCCATTCACTGCCGACTTTCACTACAATTCTGAAGCGGTCTCACATACCCGCAGCTTGACCTTTCTGAAACCGAAAGTCAACGGCCCCTATTTCGACCTCGAGACCATCTGGGACGAACACACGTATTACGAGTTCGCAGATCGCTCGGTCCAGCATACCATGAGCACCATGGTGCAGGAACCCTATGTCAACCACGTTCCCACGGTGAGTCATCACATTCCGTCCCGTCCCCTTGACGAGGTGCATCAGGGGAAGAGGGTTGCAAATTGTACAGGTTACAGTGGGGATTGATGTTGACTCGTGCAAATTACAGCTCACTGGTGGCGTGGGCCGCGAACCACTCTCGAATTTCTACCGCGATAGCTTCATCTTCAGTAATTCCGCCGATACTGAGTTGGAGCTCATCAGCCGGACTGTCGGTATTGATCGCGTCATCGATGAATTCATCTTCAAGTTCACTCACACCCAGGAGATCCCTTGGATGTAAGTTCAATGTCACTTTGTCTCGCACATACCCATCCCACCACTTTCCGACAGTACCTTGCTTGACGAATTTCACGCTTTTAATTCCGATTCAGGCTTCCCGGCGTCCCAGCCACAAATCTTCCGCTTCAACTCCCTTTTACCGCAGTGGTGAATATTCGTGGGGACCGCCTCTATCATGAACATATTTCCTGGGACCAAGGCACGGCGTTGAAGCAGCTCGGCTTGCTACCGGACTACATGCCCTTCCCATATCCTGTGCCAGGTGTTGTAGGAGGCACCAAAACCGAGTACAGACTGCCCATCACCGGCTTGGACACCGCGCGGAAAATTCGAGATCGGAATTCCGTCCCTTCAAATGATATGATAATCGGTTACAAGGTCCGCCCCAGTGGAGCTGGGGTGGAGAGTTGATATAGATTGCGATATCAATGGCGTTACAAAGTCATATGGGAAGTTGGTGAAGCTATGAGCAATATTCTCGATTGCCAGCGACTTAAATTAAAGCCCAACGGATTTCCGACGTTATGTATCGTCAACGACGTATGAAAAGTCGGTAAAAAGTTCCTGTTCAGCTGGGGATAGAACTGAATTATTGATCAGTAGAAATCCGTATACACTGAGCTGCGGATCCTATTCCCGCCACCAGTGACACCACAAGCGTTTAGATTTGACATACCTCTCTGCATCTGGTCTGCTAGGGGTGTAGTAAAGGTGTTCCTGCTCTCGCTACCAAAATTGCTTGTATCTTGGGCATGCTGTACTGTGGGCGTGAACGGAACCTGCACCCGCTTTTGATACACATCTTGCCAGATAATGCCACTGAAGAACGCATGTGTCATGATCTCGTGCGCATCCGTGGGACCGCTTCCAAGCCTCGAGCTCGGTTCTCGTGCGAGCAGATTCCGTAGAATCGATACACAGTCCTCAGACAGAGTGCTTGGGTATAGCGGGTCATAGGAGAGGATAGCATCATATATCTCGTCTTCATTTTCGCCTCGGAACGGCGACTGCTGCAACAGCATCTGTTATAGCATTACACCAAGGGCCCACCAATCCACGCTCCAGCCGTAACTTTTGTCCAGGAGTATTTCCGGCTGGAGGAACTCAGTCTTCCCACAGAATGTTCTGGTTGCAGATCCATACCACATGGTCTCCGTGCAGAACTCGTAGTCTGTGAGCTTAATGTGCCCTGCAGTTGTCAGGAGAATACTGCTAAGCTTCAAATTTCGATGGAGAATACCGTTCCCATGAAGGCACTTGATTGCCAGACAGATCTCAGCAGCGTAGAATCGAGTCTGCTTAAGACTGAACGGGTGGTGCATAAGATCCAGCATAAGGTTACCACCAGACATATAATCCATGAAAAAATAGAGGTGGGTGTCAGTCTGGAGGCAGGCGTGTAAGTTAAGGAGGAACGGGTGACGTTCTTTATTAGCGAGGAGGAATATGCGTGTTTCAGACTTGATACATTGAACTTCGTTGTTGTCGATCACGGTTTCCTTGTTGATTGCCTTCACTGCGTAAAGCTTCCTCGAGGTCTTGGCTTGAACGAGAATGACTTCACCATGGTGACCTTTACCAAGCACATCTAGGGAATTGAAGCCATGAAGCCTAATTTGAGAGGGTGGAGAGTTTTCTGAGTCTTCCATGCCTGCACAATGAGTAGAAATGACATTCAAAAAGGCTCCCTCAATACTGTGTGGTTGGATGGTAAGTGAGAACGAGTTCAATTGTCTTCAGCTTGGTGTATGGGTCCGTTGAGAATGGACCGATCAATCGAGCCTAGCTGGCCATTTTGCCGCCCATCAATAACACATACGAGGGGTGTGAGGCCAAAATCGACCAGGAAATGGGCATTGAGAACGCAAACATCCCCTTTACTGCAGGACCGTATCACACAAGGTGACGTGTACGGTCCAGCTTCGTCTGATTGATGGACTGCTTACCTTTCACTTAAGCATGATATCTGGGCAAAAGACTGCTCATGTTATGCATGTCTCGAATGTAGACTCGATAACGATTACCTTCAACATGCTTGAAACTGTCGTTTGATCAGAGATGTCGGGTGAGGCTGCACATGGGTGCAGTGGTGGAAGGCGCTTTCATACAAGGGGGAGTAGAGTCCTGCACGTGAGCAGGCGTGGGCAGGCGCCAAGACATATCTTGGCATCTCCAAATCTTTTGAAGCCCTCGAAGGTCAAGGCTGCGGTCGCGGGCCTACCATATTCCCATAGACAGCAATATTGAGCCCCAGGTGCAGCCTCAACACGAAAAGCGCCATCCACGGTCCACCTGTGACCTTGCAGATCGTGTTGACTCGTGTCTACGAGTTGATAATTCACAGTACGAGACTGCTCCCCAAAGTCCTTGCGCCGTGTGACGGCCCGCGATCAGCAAGATGAAGCTCGTTAGGTACGTGGATGTGCGAATCTGCCGTTTTTTCAGTTGCCAGGGTCGCAATGATCCTACACAGTGGAGATTGGCCTCTGTGGAAGGGCATAAAGGACAAGAAATGGTCGCTAATAGGCACACTCCGTCTCCAGATTCCTTATGAAATGCGCCAACGAATCCGTGACGATCGAACTGAAGAACGGCACAATCGTGTCTGGCACAATTACCTCCGTATCACCCCAGATGAACACAGCACTGCGCGCGGTCAAGATGACGGTCAAGAACCGGAGTAACCCCTCGGCGCCGGGAGATACGGTTCAGCTCGACACAATCAATATCCGAGGGAGCACGATTCGATACTTTATTCTGCCAGACTCGTTACCGCTGGACACGCTCTTAATCGATGATCAGCCGAAGCCGAAGAACAAGGCGAGGAAAGAACAGGAAGGAGGTGGGGCTGGGGCCAGAGGGGCAAGGGGAAGGGGTGGTGGCAGAGGGCGCGGCGGCGGTGGTAGAGGCCGGGGCAGAGGCCGAGGAAGAGGGTTTTAAGATTTTGTTGTGGATGGACGAGGAGACATACTGCCAGGTCAGGGCCATCACAGGAGACCTTTACAGCTCAACGAAAAAGAGTCGCATTCCATACGGACGGCGTTGTGGGCGCTTAGTGTTTTCTCTTCCTGTGAGGAAGAGCCGGAGGTAAATATGCTCTGAGTTCGCGAGCTGAGGTCGGCCAATTTCTACGAGTATCTGAACTTTGATGGAGATTGCTGAGTTCCTGTTCAATGTAAGTTCAGGTATCAGCAAGCCACCCTCTGTTGACAGCTTAACGTACAAAAACGCCTGGATGACGAGTTGAAAGAAAAGCACACGTGAGACGACGGGGAATGCAAGCCAGCATGAATGTCGGTGTCCATTCGAAGAGATTTCAAAAGGCGCAGCCACCATTTAGATGTCCCAAGCTAGACTATCAACAATTGCATGGCGATCGCTCAATCGCACAGGGGTATCAATTGATGCTTCGATAAACTGTATGTCTTCACATCGCCATTACTCGTCGATCATTACAGGTCCTGACATGCTAGAGACATGTTGATATACGAAATCGTCGTAACCGATGGCCCAACCCTTTGGGTCTCTCCTCTTGAGGGCGCCAAAGCCATTGCACCCATATCTCGTAGGAGCATGGCCTCGCCCTTCTCATTCATGCGGTCGTCGAGGCCGAAACCTTAGTCATCATTGCTTGGTGGCTGTGAAAATTTACCCTGTTGAGGCCGAGAACTTCCATGTGTAGCCTTCCGATGTGACGCAGCTTCGCTTGCAATACTGCGGCCCGCCTTGTACAGCGCTCGAATCGCTGGCAGACAAGATCAAATGATCCCGATGTGACGCATGCGCTGCACATGGATTAGTCTTGGTAACAACATCAATCTTTCGTAGCTTCACTCACAATATCCCCCACTTGGAACATGACAATCAATCCTATTTTCTGCTGCAGACTGAGCTTCAACGGAAGGAGCTCAGGGATAGGCAATGCTAAAATAAAAAAGTCTTTACCAATGCTGATTGCCGCGTGTGAGAAAGTCAACGCGTTGATGTTGGGGCACTTCGCATCATCAATGGACTTGTCCCAATTCAATTGCACTGGGAGGCACTGAAGCAATTGCAAGATGAGAGGTATAACTAACTCCTGGGACGGTGACAAAACCAAGACCAGCTTTCGCCCAGATGAGGAATATTTCATCTGCAAAGATTCGAAGGTACAACAGGAGAAGCGAAACCTTGGTGACCACGAGGGTAATCACGTGAAATGATTCGCCAACCCAGACTACAAAACTAGTGGTGAGGACACTGGGAAGATGATCTCAACGTACACAGCTGGAATATCTTGGTCTCCATTGACGCTTCCACATTCCGAGTGTTCTTCCCGAGACCATGGGTAGTCACTGTGACTCGTCAGTAGCCGTGAGAATTACCAATAGCGAAGACGTACTCCAGATGCTCATTCCAACCTTCGGAATAAGAAATACCTAGCAAGAACTAGCTGGTCTGTTTTCCAGAGTTCAGAACAGCTTACCATCGCCGCTAGAAGGGCACGGTCGTCCGAGTAAAGCGTCTTGCTGATGAGGCATCGGCAGATCAGACGCAGCACAACTGCGATAGCCGCTGGCGAGGAGAGAACCAGATCTACCACCAAGATCTCGCGTGACCTGGGCTCCGGCGTTAACTCGCAGACCTGCTCTCTAAGCTTGCCCAAGGCTGTTGAGTGAATTAGTTGTTGATCATGTCCTTTTCGGCGTTGGAGGTCACACATACCTGGCGAGTCGTCCAAGGTACAATTTCTCAACATGCATGCCGCGGTGTCATCTACAAGCCGGTTGTTGACTTCACTCCACGGCCTCACGTTCAGTACATTGAATCTCTTCTACGGCAAGAAATATTCCTTGTCGAAATCAACAAGGATGGAGAATAGCCTCTCCGGAGGCCCCTAACCTCCCTCCAATCCTCATCCAAGGCGCCACCGCTTGATAATGAGATGTGGAGTGTGCTCTTAGCACAAGGCCATCCAACCACCAGGAATGCCGTGCGATGAACACGTTTAACCATGCGATGAAGCTCAGTGAAATGAGATCTTGCGATCGAGATCCGCCCGATTCTGTGATCAAAGTTCGATATGCCTGATGTGGTGCGCCACTGGTGTGAGGATGTGACAATCCTCGCCTTGCCAACATGAGTAGGGCTCGTCGATTCTTACAGTCAATAGGACCAAAGTTCGCGAACCAAGTCTTTCATAATCTTGCAAACATCACATCGTAGTCAATATCCCTCGATGCATCCCAGGTCTTGATAATCATCTGCTTTGATGAACCAAATCCCGCTGACGAAATGCCCTTTGGAAACTCTCAGACCTTCTTGTTCCTTGTTCCCTCATTCTATTCTTTGCTTCCTGGTTGTGGAGACATAATCCATGAGGAAGAATCAACCAATGTTCAGATACCGATCTAATCCCTGAAGAGGCCATGCATCTCGAACGTTCGATTAGAGTCAAGTCGGACGGCGGTTAGGTGCAGGGGGCTGGATGATGTAAGACCTTAGTGTCCATCCTTTCCAGGATTGTTGCATCGCTTCCCAAAACTTGGCAATCGATCCGTGTTTATTACCGAAGATCCATCTGAACAGATCGATATTGTCAGCTCGATAGGCCGCATCGTGTCTACTCCCCATTTTATGATTGAGGCTAAAGCAACAGGTCCATCACGGACCCTAGGTGCCGTATACGAGTTTTTCTGGGGCTAGACCGCACAAGCCGTCGTCACCTCGAATCCTTGGTCAAGATATCGCCAATTACTAACCCCGCGATTACGCCCCGATGTTGTCACTAGTCAGTTGTGGGGACCACCAACACTCTGCATTCAAATTACGGGCTTCACAAAGTCGCCGTAATACAACTTTTAAACTCTCCGTGCGGTGCCTTTGGCGTCTGTTGAGCTGACACGAGATAAGAAAGGACACGAGGTCCGTCCTCGCGCCAAGGAGGGGTTTTTCTCTCATGATAATATACATACTTGGACTTGCTCATCTTTCTCTCTGCGCACATTCACGATCTCAACACCCACGATCGGCGTAGAAGTCTTCAATTGTTTCGTCCCAGACATCTGAACATCGAGTATCTGCCTAACAATATGTCTACCAAGATCCAGACGTCGTTTGGCCATGCCCTGCCACCGGCGCCTCGACATGCTATTACCACACACGTGCCGACCTGGAGATCTCTCGAACGATTTCGAGATCACGATCCAGTGCTAATGAGTTCTTTCACCAGCATGTATCCTCGCTTCTGGATCCACCCAGACATTGTGCAGGTGAGTGGCAAGGCGATGAACCAAGCTTGCATGGTCAACGCTCCATTCCGAGGCCAAAAACTTACCTTCTCGTGGTTTGGGGATGTAGCTCTCATCGAAGATCACCGAGTTCGCAGGCGAGAAGGAGAAAGCGTGCTTCATCTTCCCATCGATTCAGACAGCTGAGCATGCTGTTGCATATTCTACCTCTTCTGGCCGAGGAAAGGACGCGGTGCCGGCTGATCAGATTGCGATCCGGATTTTCATGGCACAGATCCCATTATTTGTGGTTTTCTTCCCTCCCCCCGCCGCAGGTGTGGTTCATGGGTTCTGGGTTCACGCTGGATCAGGGATCTCTTCGCGTCTGGCAGAAGAAACCTTGAAACACTTGGACAGGCTCACGGAAATGCAAGTCGACGACCCGAGGCTGGTCAGGGCAGCTGATAGCCCTGCTCACACTACCCTGAGGCAGAGAATTGCAGGGCTCCTGGAACGTGCTCCTGCGGGCCCTCCGCGGGAGAAGAAAGTGGGCGAGCACGATGTCTACCTTTTCCAGACCGGAATGTCTTCAATCTACTGGGTTCATCAATATCTGCTCAGCAAGTATAACTCTACGAGTGTCTTGTTCGGATTTGCTTTCCACTCCACGATCCATATCTTAGAGGACTTTGGCCCCGGCTCCGAGTTCCTCGGGCTGGGGACAGGCGAGGAGATTGACAAGCTTGAGCAACACCTCTCGGTGCTGTCACAACAAGGCAAGACTCCTCAAGCCATCTGGGCCGAATTTCCGTCCAATCCATTACTCGTGACGCCGGATCTCTTTCGACTGCGGAAGCTCGCCGACAAACACGGGGTTTTGCTCATCATCGACGAGACGATCGCCAGCTTCTGCAGCGTGGACCTCCTCGGCGTTGCCGACATCGTGGTTTCCTCGCTGACGAAATCATTCAGCGGCTATGCAGACCTGATGGCAGCCAGCGCGGTGCTGAATCCTTCCTCCAAGCGGTACGACGAACTGAAAGAATTGTTCAGCAACCAATACGTCAACAACTTCTTCGCCGCCGATGCCGAGAAGCTCGAACAAAACAGCCGCAACTACCTGGAGCGCTCGGCGGTGCTCAACAACAACGCCGAACGCGTCGTCGAATACCTGCAGGCTCAAGTGGCAAATCCGAACAGCTGTTTGAAGAAGGTCTACTATCCTACGGTGTCGGCTTCACTGGACAACTACAAGCCGTTCATGCGCCAGACGACGCCAGATTTCAAGCCGGGATATGGATCACTCTTGAGCGTGGAATTCAACACGCTGGACGCGACGGTTGCCTTCTACAATAATCTGAATGTGCACCAGGGCCCGCATTTCGGGGCGCACTTGTCGTTGAGTATGGGCTACACTATAGGCATCTACGGTAAGGACCTGGACTGGGCGGCTAAGTACGGTCTCGTAACGGAGCAGGTCCGCATCGGCGTGGGCCTGGAGGATACGCAAGAGCTATTGGCTGTGGTCAAGGAGGCGCTGGCGGCCGCTGATGCGTTGGTGAAGAACTAGGTGCGGAAAAGGTCCAAGAGAATTACCATATAAACAGGCTGCGTCAGCGCTGGGAGAAACTTCCAAGGCTCACGATAATAAATATGCTGCTGTTTTCTCTGTTGCGGCAGACACGTTTCACCTGAGGAGGCGCATCGCCTTCATCGGGACCGTCCTTTCCCTTAAGAGCCCCCCATCATCCTCAAACTGCCTTTTCCGTCCCTTTTACTCCTTTCCAGAGGAAATGGACTTCCCATCTGCAACCCGAGCCTTCATTTTCACCACCTGAGAATCACTCTCGCGAAGATACGCCTCATAGCTCAGCCTATACACATCAAACATCTCCGCGAACAGCGGCTTCCTATCCGTCCAGCCGGTCACTCTCCTAATCTTCTCGCTCCCGACCCACTGCGAGAACCCAAACAAGACATGGACGAAATCGATACCTTTTCCGCCCATCGAAGCGAACTCTCCAGACCATTTGACCTTCAACCCGTATGATTTCTCGATCGCAGCGGCGACCTCCCTTGCCGTCTCGTAGCGGTGGCTGGAAATATTGAAGACTTGGCCGACGACACGGTCCCGAGGACTTGTTGCGATGGCAACGTACGCTGACGCGACGTCGTCGCCGTGCGTGCCGTGCATGATGCTTCGGGGGTCGGATGGGAGGACGAGTTCTGTGAGGCCGTCGTCTTTGGCTTGCTGCGCAAGTGTGAAGATCGGTCCGTAGTACGTGCCGGTCCGGCCGTAGAAGGTCGTTGGGCGGGTGAGGACGGCGTCGAAGTCTTCGCTGTGCGAGAATATCGTCAGCGAGTGCTTCGTGCGCGGCGCCAGTTGGGGAGGCCCGTTGAGCGGCGACTCCTCGGTGTGCGGCTGCAGGTCTGGGTGCCCGTCGTATAGCGTGGTGCCGTAGTCCTTGCATCCACTGGTGAAGATCACTAGTGGCCGTGCTGCCCGTCCTTGGATGTCGCGATACCGTGCCGCTATGACCTTGAAGAGATCGATAGAGTCGTTGAAATGCCCGACGTAGTTGACCACGTCTTCAGTTGTCGATGCTATCACATTCAGCGCCGGAAGATTTGCGACCCAGGATGTGTCTGCTGCGGACCCAACAACCGGGATTATTTCGTCTTTCAAGAGTCCTGGGGCGTGCTTCGCATCTCGTATAAGCCCATATGTCTGCCATCCTGATATCGCGAATATCCTTGCTACTGCACTTCCCAGAAACCCGTTGGCTCCAGTTACCAAAACCGTACGTGGCGCCATGATGTCAATTGCTGATCGCGAGGGGCTAGTCGTTGCCGCTCACCAGAATTGAATACCGATATCAGCACACACCTGCATCCCTCCTTGCTTGACACATCTTAAGTACGAGCAATTGATGTGGATCAGAATCAATTAATAATGCGTTTGGAACTTGGGTGTCCACACGTCGTACCATACATGCTCCCGCTAGCCACATCCAGAACAAATCCGAGGCATTGGTCTGATTTGCAGGTTGACCCTGGCAAGAGGAGCCGGAATGGGTAAGGGCGTACCTAGTTCCGCGCTGTGTGACAGACAATCAGTAACGATAGTGAATTCGTCATGGTGTATCTCAGGAAACTATTGTGTACGATTTGTTACCATCCACGTTGATAGTATTAGCTTTTCGGCACATTGAGGAGCTAGGCCGGATTAATCACCTTTGAGCAAAATACTTCTCCCTGACGATAAAAGGTATGATGATTTGCTTACAAGGTTTGCTGAAGCAGTAGAATGGGGTATCAGGGATAGAATCGAATACTCTGTGGTTGAATAATACTCGGCCTCGCGTTCTCAAATTTTGGTCGGCGGAATACCATGCATGACCAGCGCCACGAGGCTGAGAGTTGAAAAGGGGGAGACTGCTTACATAATACCGGTAGTGTTACGCTCCAATTAGATATGCTCGTTGATTCGCGGAGAAATGAGAATTCAAACGTTGCAAGAAAGGATCTGAAGTTGGGGCTGGTGCATGCGATTGAGGACCAACGGTGATGCAGGTTTTCAACATCGACTTCCAGGAGTCTGCAGGGCAAGCATCGATCTGGCCTTTCCTCTTTTGCTGTTTGCGAAGGCTTTCATTATTCTTCTATGATTTTCTATCCGTACAAAGTCGCGCTCGTAACGAGACCTAAGCAATGCCTGAGCACAAGTTTGAGCACTCATCTATGTCTCATAAGCTCCAGCTACACCGAGATTACGCTGGCTGCTCTGATTTTCCGAGGAGGACTATCCTTCTGTTTCAAAGAGATTGCAGCTGAGAAGCTCCTTATCATAATGCAGTTGTAATTCCTGGTCCTTGTGGCGGCGCTCCTCTATAAGCAGCTCCTCATCTTTGAGCCTGGCTTCCATCACATCAAGGCCGAGGTGTTCGATTTCGTACTGCGTCAGAAGGTGCTGATCCTCGATGCTTCCGTGGCCGAACACAACGTCATTTTTGAGACTGTGAGCAATGTCGAAGACATTTTTTTCACACTCATATCCGACGTCTATTAAATTTAAGCTTGAATGAAGAATTGGACCGATGATTCAACCCGAACTTAAATCGGCACCCCCTTGAGATTGTTCCGGCACCCATTCACAAGTGGTATCGTGTTTGTCGATGCGGATTTGGTAGGTTAAGACTATGAAGTCCCAAGGTGAGAGGAGGGTTATGATACCCGCATTGAGGCTTAGTGCTACGGCTTCAAGATCAGTCGACTTCTAATGTCCACCCCGCCGGTCTTCGAGTATCGTGAATCAGGCTTCGGCATGCGCAACTTACTTGTCTTGCTAAACAGCCGGAGTTCCGAAGACAAGGCTTCTTTCTCTTCCAAAATGTTGAGTACTACCCTGTACTATTTCATGGGTACTCCATCTCCGAAATGCGGAAAGTCAGGGTAATAGTATGTTTCCAGAGGTTCATAGTGGATTTCAACATTTCAATGGCTTAGCAGGGCGAGAAAAAGAGGCGGTGTCAGTCCATACAATATTGTTGTGCCGATAAGGTGGATAGATATCTGCGAATCTGGAAGCTGTGGCTGCATGCAGAGCATGCCAATCAAGTGCCTCATATCCAGAATGATGTTGCCTAATCGTAGCGTTCTCAACCCTCGAAGTATCTGAGGCTCGAGTATGAACTCTGCATTAAGAGTGTTGTAAGGGTTCCTGGTCAATGCGTGGAAATGACCACGATCAGTCGACGATGTGAGAGCAAGTTGTGTAGCTTCAAGAGAGCCATGGGATCTATCGGAGCTATCCAAGTCATCCACGTCATCCACATCATCGGAGCCATCGGAGTCATATTCGAGATAGGCAAGGTCGCGAGCCATGTCAACGCGGGGACTTTTGAAAATTACTTCGATACTGAGTTCGGAGAGCCCAGGGAATTTCCAAGTCCACCTAAACAGATTTCCTAGGGCCATTGCGAGATCGTGCCGAGTATCTTCGTCGTCGAAAATCGGGAAATGGCTCAGCCTCAATGTCAAATGTTCTATATGCCTCAAAGCAGCATGTCTATAGTAGCCGACAACATGGTCCACATTTCCATCTTCAAGATCTACTATCAGATGCGTGATCGTGGAGCATTCGACAGAAGCATCAATCAGATCGCGGAGACTGTTGGATATACTGTAATGAAAAGCACTTCCGAACAACCAATACTGCTGAGGACGACACCAGATGCTCGGCTGATGCAAAATGCAACTATCGTTCTGAAGCCGGCTTATAAAGTGAGAATCCGACCACCACTTATCCAAGTCATAGTCCTCGGAAATTTCGAGTTCGTTGCAGTTTGTGAGTTTGCAAAGCGCATTTGAAATGGCTTCGATCGATAACGGAGCAAAGAAGTCTGCCATATTGCGATATATCTGCAGATACTGCTGGTGAATTTGGAGAACTTCCGAATGGCTAAGACCTTTCAGTAGTGGTTGATACCGATCCGCACATGCTTCCCCATCGACACATTCGTCAAGAAGCACGACTGGATTCCAGACAACCTTTTCGACCAGGCTTGCATAGCAGCTTTCAGATATGGCGATCAAGCCTGACCAGGATTTGGAGAAATCGTTGAGATAGAGTGTAGAGTACAATCTTTCAGCACCAAGCCTTGCCCAGTCGCGGCAGATTAGTTGAAAGGTTTTCAATGCCAAGGTTCCAAGGTCGCCGAGGATCCGATCCCATATTTCCATTGGCAACACCGGGGGAGGTTTGAGTACAGGCTGATAGGGCTGTTGTGGTGAGATAGGTATGCTTCGTGCATGCTCAATCGCTCAATCGTTGAGAAGGGCAACAAGGTCTGCCGAAGCGGCCTGGAAGGAAACTGATGCTTCATCTCGAACGGGAAGGATACCCACCCTCACGTGATATCGATTCTGCTTGTGCCTGAGTGCCACTGCTCACGATCTCCAAGGACCAATTAGCAGTTGAGAGAAGATCGAGAATGCAATTGCAAGAGAAGGTCCGGTTTCAGGTCGTGCTTGCCAAATCTGCAGCCTCGTGGTAAACAATGGTCTGACGGTTGCCTCTAAGGCAAGAGTGCCTGCGCGGTTTGCTCTTGAAATGCCACATCGCTCTTCACAAATGACCGTCTGACCAAACTCGCAGCCGATTTTGGGTCCTCATTCACGCGCCGTGGGACTGTCCGCCCAGCTTTTCGCGCATGTGACACCTAGAATGGGAGGATCTCGATTAATGGCCATCAGTGAAGTCAACTATATGGTATTTTGATTGGAAGAACTACGCACGATAAGCTTACACGGTGTTAGAGCAGACGAAGTGACGCTGATGTGAGCGGAGGACTCAATGCTCCACAGTGGGAAGCGCGCTTATGGTTACTGTGCCCCAAGCTAAATTTTCCCATTCCGATGACTCTGGACTCGGTATTATGGCAACACATTGATGAGACGCAGCTATTGTCGAGAGCGTATCCGTCCCTTCGTTTCTTCTGCCGATGCTATTTACCTGCGGGCGTGTAAATCAATGCACCGCACTATGGCCCCGAGTAACACACCCTTTGCGCCTGCGCCGCAATCTCCTGACGCTGGCGATTGAATCCTCGTGCGACGATACTTGCGTGGCTATTCTATCAAAAGAAAGGAGGAATGAAAGGACAGTGGCAAACGTGCACTTCAACGAGAGAATTACCCATATAAATACTGGAAAGGGTGGGATTGTCCCCACAGAGGCATTGACAAGTCATCAAGAACACTTAGCCAAGCTCGTGGACAAGTCTCTGGCATCCCTTCCACTCATTGCAACTGAGACTTGCGATTCAAAAATATTGCACCTCCGGAATGGGGAGCGCAGACAAAAACCAGATTTCGTCTCTGTTACGCGCGGGCCGGGAATGCAGGCCAACCTAGGGGTAGGCGTCAATACTGCGAAGGGACTCGCAACAGCATGGCAGATACCAATCGTAGGGGCACATCACATGCAGGGACATACGCTCACCTCGAGGCTGGTGGATGCGGTCGACAGAGACGCAAAGAGGCCAGCGAACTCGATTCAACCAGCATTTCCATTTCTCACATTGCTGGTCAGTGGGGGCCATACTATGCTGGTTTACTCGGAAGGTTTGGTCAAGCACAAAATAATCGCTACAACAAAGGACAACGCTATTGGGGATGAATTGGACAAATGTGGGCGGATGATCTTACCCAAGCATGTGCTGGACAGCTTGCCAGACACCGGATATGCCAAGTACCTTTCGGAATATGCTTTTGGGAATTACAATTTTGAGGATTGGCTGATCCCCCAGTCAAGAAGCGCGGAGATTGACAAGCCTCTGACCAAGTTCGGATGGAAAATCCCTATTCCAATGGTCCGTAACAGAGAGTTGGCTTTCACTTTTGGTGGCATATCGAGCACGGTGAGAAAGATTGTAAGCAATCAGACAGGAGACCTACAGGGACGAGGCTTGTGCGAGGAAGAGCGATTGATGCTAGCAAGAATGGCCATTGGTGCAGCGTTTGACAGTTTGGGCTCCCGAATTATCATTGCCCTGGAGATGCTCCGCGATCGTGGCGTTGAGATATCTACGCTGGTGGTGAGCGGAGGGGTTGCAGCCAACGACTTCCTGCGGTTTCATCTACGACGAACACTCGACGCGAGAAAAATGGGACACGTTGGTCTCAACTTTCCACCCGTGGAACTGTGCACAGACAACGCAGCGATGATTGGTTGGGCAGGGATCGAAATGTTCGAAGCAGGATATCACTCGGACATGGCCTTTCAGCCCCAGCGCAGTTGGAGCATGGATAGCGAAGCCGAAGATGGAGGCATTTTGGGTATTGGAGGATGGAGGACGAGATAGTCCGTACCTGGCGATAATAAAAAAAGAAAGCAAGTCTCGATACCACCCCGACTGCAGGTACGAGGTTGTCTTTGCGTTGCATCTCAATGTGCACGTGAATTCGAGTACCCGGTTTCAATTCGAGTTTCGCGGCAGCTGGCACCATTCGCACGTCCAGGTAAGAAATGATTGGGCCTCAGGAGTTACAAAGGCTTTAGAAAAATACGGTGCAATTTGATTGGGCCAGAATACGAGGCAAGGTTGGTGTTTACAAGAAGCTCAGCCATGAGTCAACCAGAAGAAGGCGGACCCAGATAGCTGCTGTGTGGATCCGGCGCTGGTTACAGAACTTCCGAGAGTGGAACGATTGATAGGCTGATAGTGATTGGCTTTGTCAGAAACGAACACACAGACCAAGCGGATTGTGGGCTGTGAACCTGTGAACCTGTGAGGGGACTGAAGCGACTGAACCATTTGCGGCAGTGTAAAAGATAGAACCAAGCTTTCTACGGATCCTCGCGGGTGGCTCTGTGATGAACCAGGACTCCAGGAGTCCAGGACAGGATGAACGCCGTATCCCTGTGAGGTACCAAGTACGGACTACGAGTACCCCTCCTGCAAGATTCAATGATTTCACTCAAACCCCTCTGTCGCTTTGGTGCTATGAACGCCGTGCATTCACGACACTGCATCTGCACGGAGACTTCAAGTTAGTGCTTCAGGTGTCTCGGTATTGGCGTGGAAACTGCAATACAGTAACCGGTGTAGAGAGGTTGAACAATAAAAAGGTCTACGAGTGGATGATAAGCGATTGCACCACAAGACTACGAGCACAGGTCCGAGGGAGTAAGGCCACCCGTTCTCCTGAATGACGTTGGGAGACAAATGCCAGGTGGATGTTTTGAGCTTTCCGAAAACAAGGTTTCACGGCGGATTGGACTGTAAGTTGTACCTTGTGGCCGTCTGATGGGCATTTTCACATTTCCGCTCTGGGACTCTGAGCAGCGATAGCGTGTGCATAAATGTGTGGCTTGAGTTTCGAAACGGCGCGTCTTTGGGCCGGTTAGGGCACGTGATGCACAGTTGTGGGAAGTGCTAAAGTTAGACCGGGTGTAAGTGGCTGAAAGGCATTGCGCAAGGCTGATTTTCCACTGTGATCAACAGAGCACAGTGGAGCCAAGTCGTCCCATGTTCTCTGCTCCTGGTATCTGTACCCGTATCATTTGGTAAGCGGTAGTGCGCAGGCCCCCAGGATGCCCAGCAGCACCCAAGGGAACAGTTAATGATATGTCATCAGTTGTTGAGCGCCAGGGGCTGCCAGGGTGCATGTACGGAGGACTGAATGATCACGTCAATACTGTTTCTATTCGGGAGCCTGCCTTGGCTATGGTGACGACAACATCACTGGCGGGTTGAGGTCTACTCGTAATATCACCCGGCAGTAATAGCTGTAAAAGCTGCGTTCTATTTGATTGCATCGGCGAGGTTCTGTATAACTACTCCCAACTCCGTGCATACATGGGCGAGCGAGGGGAGGATCAATTTAAGTTGAGACACCCTGTTGTGCAGTTCGGACTCGAAGGAGACGTTACGGCCGACACCTGAGCAGATTGTGGCCGAGCACCTTAACGCGGGAAGTCTGGGACCTGTGTACCAGTACCCGGGTATCCGTAAAGACACGGTAAAAGACCTGTAGTCAGGCGTGCACACCACCCAAGTTGATTACGGAGACGGCAGAATTACAATATCGTTACCGTACCGTCCGCGCCACAAAGGTTCCAACTTCCTGCAGAAGCGCAGAAGCGCAGCGAAGACCACGGACTATTTGGCAGATGACATGGAGGGCAGGGTAAGTGTGCCCACCGCGAACCCTGGTCACTTAAAGGCCTTGGCAAAATAGGCACCAGGTCGATTCAACTTCCATCATCAGCGCCTGATGCCGCATCTCACAATCATCTCCTCTCTTTCGACTCATCATTCCTCTTCCTCCACCATACTTTCCCTCCCTCACTGTCCTTCGCCTCGTGCTTGCTCAATCCGGCCATTCGGCCACAATCTCCAAAGTACACTCCTGAAGTTGTTGCCACTTGGCCTGAGGTTGTGCCCATTTCGCCCGCAACTTGCCATCGCTATCCAACATCAACTTCATCTCACTATCCATCGTCACTTGAAGACACCTCGTGCCTTGGTACCTCTCTACCGAACACCTGTGCACTTCTCGACCCTCAACCCAACCTATCACGGACCACGTTACACAGGGTTTTGTCTCTTGATCCACTGGCACTGCCCGAAAAGCCTCTTTGAACCCCTCCACCAACGACAAACCGACTGTCCACCCTCTTCCTCATCAGACACATTCCTTGCGCCCGATTTACACGGATAGATATCCACCATTTCGACGAACTCTGCCGCACTAGCAAAGAATAACCCTGCACTTCTACACCAAAGGAGCTAAGAGCATATACCATCTGTGAGTAAAACCACCGGTATTGGGATTCCGTACTATTTCAAACGTTTTGGTCGATATTCATTGGTACGGGTGAGTCATAAGCCACGGAGAACTCTTCAAAGTCGTCCAATAGGCTGCATGCTAACCTTCAACTAGCACCTTGCGTGTCAGCTGCATTTCTTCTCGCCTGCTTCAACTACTCAAATACCAACCATGTCTTCCTCAACCATGCCCCCTCCTCCCACTCCCTTTTCTCATCGCCGGTCACATCGAGTCATCACAACAAATCTTCCCCAATCCCCCCCCACCTCTCCAGAGTCATCAGCATGCATTCTGCGTAAGATGTCCTTGTCCAAAGGTGCCACATTTCACTATTCATCCTCTCGACCAACCAAGGATGATCCAGTTCTGAGCATTCCTCACTTGGCCCGTCGTTCTCCGACGTGCTCTCCATCCGCTCTCACTAGCTGGCTGTCTGAAAAGGAAGACGTCGCACAGTCCATCTTAGACTTCGAACAAACCTTCTCCGGAGCCCGTGGGAAGAAGTCTACAACCCGTCGTCGATCAGCACAGAACTTCGAACAGCTCTCTGTTCGCCGCCTCTCATTGCCATCCGACGAGGGGATTGGTTCTTCTGTGAGCCCCGCGAGTGACAAGGGACTTTCCAAGTCCTTTGAAAGAGCCTTGGATCTATTGTCGAACAGGGATAGTGCACTGGGTACTTCGATTGGTGACTCAGTGGAGCAAGTTGTTGGACACAACTCTGAAGAAGATGGTCTTGTCCAAGACTTGATTCAAGGTTGGATTGCCCGTTGCATGATAATGTGTGATGATATTAACATCTCCCCTGCAGAAGCTGACTCTCCAGACTCGACACTCCGTTCCGCACGGCAGCGAGTCTCATCTAGAACTTCAAACGACGTCGCCCGATCTGCTGTCACTCAAAGCATTGCTCCTCCAATCACACGACCTATTGCCCGCCATCCTCCTTTGAGCAACTTGGCGCGAAAGAAGATCAACGAGTATATAATCACTCCCATCCTCGAGGAGTCTCGATTTGATCGTCTGCATCCTCTTGTCACTGCTCTTGGCTCTCGGACCAACAAGACTGTTCGATGCCTGCGTGACCTCGAACAAAGCCTCATCCTCCAACCCTTGGTAAGCACCCTGACTTCACGACGATCCTTCTGGTCTGACAAAGCCAACAAGACACTTGCCATCTCAACACAACTCTATCGATCATTTGGAGAGTTCACCATCCAACTTGTTGTCGATACATATCAACATCTTTCTGAATCAGAGCAACGACGTGCCGCTGATCGTTCTTACAACAACGGCTACTTCCTTGACTTGGTTCAACAAGTCAACAGACTAGCTAGCCATATCGGTTCCTCCAACTCGGCTCAGCAGGCCGGATCTGCTGAAGATTCTGACGAGATGGCTTACTCCGCTGATGACGAGGTCACCTTGGAAGGTGGCCTCGATCAAACAGGCCACCTTGCTGAACTAGTCCGCTGGAAGAATGGCAAAGGTATCTCGCTCAGGACTGGCCAGGTCTACGAAGCTACTCCTGGTCTGAAGAGACAAAGCAGTGCCGCTCTGGATGAAGATGTCGCCAGGTCAATGGCCCGCAGAAAGAAGGGATATATACCTGAGATCATCGAGATGAAGTGCTCTGATAAAACCTGCGGAAAAATCTTCACCCGAAAATGCGACCTTGCAAAACACGAAAAGACTCACTCTCGTCCTTTCAAGTGCCCAGACCAAAACTGTAAATATCATGAGATGGGCCTGCCTACAGAGAAGGAGCGAGAGCGTCACTTCAACGACAAACATAGCGACAGCCCTCTGTTTTTCAAGTGCGAATTTTGCGAGTTCCGCACGAAGCGCGAATCGAATTGCAAACAGCACATGGAAAAGAAACATGGCTGGCATTACGAGCGTGCGAAGGGCAAAGACAAGGCCGCTCCCTCCGTGGCCAGGATGACTCCTGCTCAGACACCTCGGACCCCGAGCATCGACTTTTCTCCCAGCCCAGCTGTGTCGATCAGAACTTGGGATGACACTAGCTCCATTGCTGGAAGCATTGGCGGTAGTATGGCCGGAAGTGCCTCTATGACGCCATTTGAGCAGCCCCTCAATAACTTTGACAATGCCTTTGCCCAGGCCCCGGTCACTTATTCTAATCCAATCTTCCCACGAGCTAGTCGCACTATGCAATATGCTCAAGGCGGAGACGATTTTGATTTCAACTCATTCTCGGGAAGTTACCAAAATCCTGCCCAGGCCTACATCTCTCCCACCAACACAACTCCAATCACACCCCACATGATGGGTACGCCTATTACCCCTGCATACAGCAACATCACCGAGCCCTCTCCATATAGCGCTCACATGGATATCACAATGGATTGCACCAATCCAACACTCTGGAGCACTGGACTCCCAACACCAGGTTCCTTTCTCCAGGCACACTCACGTAATCCATCCATCTCCGACTATTCTCCCATGATTGCTGGTCCTTCTGGCCAGTCATTTGGTGATGAGCCTATGATCAATGATTATGATTTCCCACATGGCGACTTTTCGTTGTTCTCTGGTGAAGGCTCTAGTGCCTTCTCCAACCCAGCCGCAGCAAATGCTACATTGTTCCCAAGTGAGCCAGAAGCTTTTGCCACCCTCGACAACGATCCAATGTTCAATGAACAGTGGGAAAATGACATGTTTGACTTCAACATGGACACCAAGCCTCTGGGTAACTAGAGGATAATAAGGCCAGGTCATGCCAGCCCTTCTGGCCAATTGTATATTTTATTCAAGGCCAAATCCGAAGTCTTTTTTCCTTTTCCCCTACTCCACCCATCTTACGAAAAAATTGATTCAAAAAAAAGAGATGTGAGGTGTCGAGAGGAGCGTGTTACTTTTGACGGGTTATGCGGTCTTCGGATATTTGATGATGCAATGAACACTTTTCTTACTGCTGCCTTCAAGCACAGAAGTGCCACGCACTTGGGGAGCTGCCGAGGATGGAAAGGCTGGAGTCGGAAGATTGTTCCAATCACAGTACTATAAGAAGGCGAAGCAGCTCAATACGTTTTTTCATGAAGCCAACTTTACTTGGGCCAGGGATAAGGCAAGGTTATACCAAAGTGGGAATGGGATGCGCGAGTCAGTTGCTGACTCTGATCTACATTACCAACTAAATAAACAATACCTATCTTCTCATCACTTATCATCCTTCTCGCTGATACCTTGCCCCTGCCACTGCACTTTCTGTGAGTTAAGTCGTCTAGTTCTAGCTGGTCATTGTAGCGACCCCAACCAGTAGAGCGTGACTACCTAATGCCTTGCTCGTCCCTCGACGCCGCCTCTTCACGAGTCGTTAGTAGTTCCGGCCACCTATTCAGTCTGGTCTATTCCTCTCGCCCTTCCTTGTGAGCGTCGTCAATACTACGTGTCAAGCAGAGGATGCTACCCCGGCCTGTTCACAAAGACACCCTACGGTCCCTACGTGCTCCGCCGTCTGCAGTTGCGTTTCCGTGGCCATGTTGCGGACCTGTGGCACAGTTCAGTGACTTATTGATCAATTGCACATTTCACGCGCAACATGCAGGCATAAGGTTTGAGGATGGTGCGCTGTTGTGATCCTACAAGACTTTGCTGCAGGGAGGGCGTTGCTCACTGTCAGAGACCAAGTTGTACTCGTAACTCAGGCGCACGCAAAAAGCTTCGTGGCTCTTCAAATTGCCCTGAAAGTTGGTTCTGGTCACGAGAACCAGCCTACGCCGAGCCCATGAATCTCATCTCGGAGATCATTGGAGCTGTCGAAGGACTTCGCGACGATCTTGATGCTGTGAGTATGGTGTGGATATGCGCCCGGCGACGGTGACGCTGGTTTGTGACGCCTCTCCGAGTTCGTCTTTACACAGTTACAGGTGGGAGGGAGAGATACATCTTCAATACCTGGCAGAGACCAACATCACCTCATTGGCACCCTTGGGCCGAAAGATATGTGATGACTAAGTAATTCGTTGCGAGGCATATGGGTGGCATATCCGTGTCGCTCAAGTACCACACTGGGGTATGGGTAGGAGTCACGAGGCAGCGCGAAAACAGGGGCACCAGGGGAAAAAGCAAAATTCCATGGCGCAGGTCTTCCAAGGGCTTGCTAACAGCGCCGGGTTACATCGTGTGTCTAGGAATCACGATTTCTGGCCTTGGTTCTGGTTCGGAAATTTCATTGATTGAGTGGTTTGTTGCTTTTGCTAGCTTTGCTTCCTTACATCAAGGCCTGCACTGAGCACTGATCAGTGCGGCTGAGTTGGAACGTCCCTTTGAACAAAGACATCAAGAAGCATCCAAACGAGACCATCCTAGCAGGTTTCTGTTCATCATCTCTTTTTCCATTGCTGACCGACCCACCTTGTTAGATCGATCTTCCACTTCTTCGTACTGGATTATGACAGCCAGTCATAAAGGCTCTGGCCTGCACTATAACAGAGACTGATATGACAACCGGATAGCTGTACTCCTCCTTTTCAATGGAACAATCTCTGCACTGCGAGTTGGAGTTGAAGAAAGGAGTCGACAGCGAACCAGTGAGTGACAGCGACATCAAACACTGCAGTCCACACTGTTGCAACGTACTAATTCGAATGTTGCGCGTTCAACTCGCAATTCGTGTATGCAGCCTAGCACAGACGTTGAGCTCACGCTCTGCGACGCGTCTGAGATTCTCGTAATACTGCTCCCCTTTGAACCCGTGGCGTTCCTTAGATACTGCCCATCCATTGAGGCGTAGTTTTTCGATGCGAGCTTTCTTGGCAACCGCTTGTAGGTCTTCGACCTCTCTACCATCTCCTGATATTATCGAGTCAGAGCTAGAGGTGGAAGCCTGTTCGAAGGACCAGAAACTCGCAAGGGGATTTTGAGTCAAGATTTTGGATTTAGCATGATCCGCCTGAGCAGCCTGGACTTGGTGGATCTGGTCACTGATGAAGGAGATTTGTTTCCGCAGCTGGTGGCGGAATTCTGCCAGGCTGGCGTTGTAGCAACTCAGGTCAGCAGAGTCGAGGTACGCTTCAAGGTGGTGGTTGTGGGGGACCGGGCTGAAGGCTTCTTTGATCTGTGTAAACCTGGGTGTGAATGGAGATATCGACCAGGAGGAGTTGGTGGACGAGGGAGAGTGCGGAAGCGGAAGGGGAAGCGAGCCTTCAAAGAGGCTGATGAGAGTCTGCACAGCTGTCTTGCGTACGGGAGTAGAATTGGGGATTTGGACGATTCGGTCGCCCTGAATCTGGAACTTTACAGTGTGATTGAAGGGCAATGGTGGCAAGGGCCGAGGCGTGCCGTCACCTTCTCCGTGAGCTTCCTTATAGGTGCTAGTATTTCTCCTTGAACGGCTAAACAGTGGTGAAGGCACGAGACCATCCGCCAATTTGTGCATTGTGCTAAGGCTTTTGATCAGGCGATCCTTATGGGTCGAATCTAGAACCACTAGTGGAGTCCAACCTGGCGGATCCTCCTGTTTTGTGGGATTGGGCGGTGGCATGTAGGTCTGGTACGGGGCAGGGCTCTCTTCTCCGTCGAAAACAGATAGTGGTTCCGAAGTGTGGGAGTGCACAGAGTAGGTACTGTCTGGTGAAGTTGAGATAGGAGCGGTAGAAGGCCGGACGGAAGGGGTCTCTGGTTGGTAAATGATGTTGTAACGGTAGGCTGCAGCTTTGGTCGGGATCGTAGTGGGAAGAGGCGATTCTTCGTGTTCCTCATAGATGCCACGGGCAGAGGTTGCATAAGCTAATGGGAGTACTCTCAAGGTCGTGTCGAGACCATCCCTCGCTAGTTCTAGGAAATGAAGTTTGTTCTTAGAGAAACTATGGGCAGCCAGACCCATACACTCGTAGCAAGTGGCATGGTAGTACCACAGGAAGCCTTCGTGCAATGGATGCAACTGCATTGGACATTAGTGTCATTCATGACTCAAAGCAACTAAGTAGAAGAAGAAACCACAGGCCCCAGGGTTGCACTTACCTTCAAACCTAGGAGATCCTCGCACAGTGTAGCACATTGCTTGTACTTGCAGTCTCGGTAGAGACTTTGCACTTTGACGAATTCATCTCTGTAAATGCTGTTTGTTCCGTTGCAGCCACGAACTTGCCTAATATGAGCAGGGGTGCTGTTGATCCCCATAGCTAAATGGCCTGTTGAGAGACAAATGAGACAAATTGCCGGGTGCTCGATCCGGCTGCGTCAAGAACTACCTAGAAGGGGGGTGTGATCTTATAGTAAGTAGTGCTTGTGACGGTGAATTCTGCCAGTATGCAAACATTTAGGCAGTAGGCCGCATTCACTGAACATTGCACTGCACTCATGGTTACTTGGCCACTCGTGTACCCCTGTTGGTGCCGCCAGAACAGCACTTCGCAATAATACCAGGTAGATACTCATATATCTTGCCAACAAAAGCCTTGCCGTGTAGGGCCTTCGCTTTTGAAGAGCACGCCTTGCAGCCTTACTCTTATATCATATAGCAAGACTGATGATACCTTCCTCCGCCATATCATCAAGCTGACTCTCAATCCAGGCCTGGCCCTTTTGCTGACCAGCTGCATGTGCAGCGGTGGCAACAACATTTCCCTCCTGTAACGACTGGGCAACACTGGCCCTGAATTGAGAGATGAGTTTTTGCTCACCATCTTGGAAAAGCTTACTTGCGTTGCGATAGAACACATCTGCGTTCTTCAAAAGCTGGTCCGCATTTTTCGTAGCCGTTTGGTAGGATACTGGTGGCTGACCAAGCTGGTATTGCAGTAAAGAGCAGTTGCCACGCAATAAATGCGTCTCAGCTATTTCATCCGGGACAGGCTCCGCAATTTTGGCTGCGGCTGCTAGACTCGCCATTGCTGTTGACAACGCGTTCCAGCTCTTCGGCGCATAAGAGGCGATCAATGGTTGTTCACGCTCCTTGATAGCAGTGCTAAACGAAATTAAGCTACTTGCGTTCGCTGAAAGAGCTGCAAAAGACCCGTCCAAACTAAGCTCTGATGATTTGAATGCGTCATCTCGCTCCCTTTTATATGTTTCGACGTCAATGGACCCCATTCGATAGCCAGCCTCGAGCAAGTTCGAGATGAATATCGCGCGGGTCAATGCCACTTCTTGGACTCGATCCGGAGCCGCTTCCTGAAGGAGGACAGGAAGTTTCGTCTTGACAAGCTTGGTTGAGAATTCTTCGACCCAAGCAAGGCTGCTTGACAACGTAGAGTTTGCCAAGGAGGAAAGGATGCTGCAGAGGGTGGTCAAAGTCCCGAGCTGTGCTAGAATAGTATCAATCAGAGTATCTTTGGTGACAGGCTCCACAATAGAAAACCACTGGTCTTCGCTGTCGTTGGTTGCCGTCGATAATGCATGGTCTGACCCACCCAGCTTTGGAGAATTGGCCGTTGCGAAATCCTGATCAGTTTGTGCTTCCAGATTTGCTTGCTGTTGAGCAGAGTCCTCCAATTTGAGTTCTTGAAGAGCAAGGCAGCGGGTTTGAACTTCCAGTGCTTGCTCCAGTGTTTGCAACGCCTCTTGATCGGCACCGTCTCTGGCCTGTATCTCGGCAATACCGGTCAGAACCTGGGATGTGTTGAATAGACTATCCGCATTGTTCTGATCCAGATCTAGTGCATATCGATGTGCCTCTAAAGCTCTTTGAAGGGCTTCAAGCACCGAAGTCTGAAGCTGGTTGACTAAGATGGGATGAGTAGCAACCTCCAGCAGAACTCGAGCCCTATGACACCTGAGTTAGTCTCATCGGACATCTGGAGGTTGGGTTGAACAAGACTAACTTGTTGTATGCCAGGTCAAGGCTACTGGGGAACTTTCGGAGCCCCTGATCATAGGTCTCGACTGCCCTTGTGAAGAAGCGCATAGACTTCACTGCATCGCCCGCCCTCCATTTCCCAGCGGCTTCTTCTAGATCTACTCCGGCTGGAGGGAAGATTAGAATGAATTCACGCAATACCGTCTAGTGAGTGTACCGACCTTGCTGAAAGTCGTCGACAGTGTCTAGGGCCTACAACATCTTAATGATATGCTACAGGAGTTCCTTAGCTCAATATTGGGTGCCTACCTGCTCTGATTTCTTCTTGCCTTTGGAGTGCTTGAGCATGGCTTTGGGCTTTGAGGTCGACATGAGGAACAATGTACAAGAGATCTTGGTAGAAAGAAGAGAAGAACTTCGCTATCAATCCAAAAATACCATCACGTTCGACAGGGGGTTCGTTCGTCAAAATTGAGTGGAAGTTAAGTCATGTTGTGTGTCGTGCATTAGGGGCCAATTGGAGATAATTCGAAGATGGTACTATGACGATTAGTGGCCAATTAACTTGTTAGACAGCCTACTCAGAGTCGTACTCCGTACTCCGTCCCAAGTCCTGACTCCTGACTGCTGGGTGGTAATTGTGCTCGTTGGCCCCTCGATTAGGTGGTCTGACAATTCAAGTTCCAGATTTGGGCCTGAATATTAGCCGGATTAGACCAAGGGTGAGCGACGGTCGCGAGCCTCGAAGGCAAAACCAGGCAGCAGTAAGCCGAAGGGAGTAGTGGCTACTTGGGTGGCTACTCCAAACTAATACGGAGTGCGGAGTATCATACACACTCACCCAACACTGCCGACTGCGAGGAACACCTTTCTCATGGCTGGAACATTCAACCCGCGGAGTCCATTTTCACGGGTAAATTAGCCACACAAAATCCGAAGCTTAAATATATCGCATTTGCTGCGTCAGACCGATCTCGGGAAGCCCATCGTCTCCATCGTGGAAAATTTTCAATCTTCACCCCCCACCAAATTATTCAAATGTGGTACCTTTTGCCTGGCACCACCGATTCTCATTTGCAGAGATGGTCATAGTTCTTCCAACGCATTCACGAACAACTATGTGTGAGCAGAACCCGGTTACCACCCTCCTTCGTGAACGTGCAGTAAGCCTTGACATGAGATACAGATACGGAGGTAAGACGAGGGCACCGTCACGAGCTATCAAACGATAGCCTTGCTCGAAATCAACAATATTGGTGCTTGCACTTACTCGTAGCTTTCGGTGCAAATCCCGAATTCCGATTAGTTCCAGCAGGGATAAAGTTGGTTAGATTGTTCCTATAATTGCACGAGGATAGGTGAGGAAATGATACTTCTGGGCGTGCAATGTGGCCCCTGGGCGTTGGAAGGGCACCCTCGGCACCTCCGGTTACTACCGAGGACGCCCCTCGAACCCAACCCAGGCACCTAGGCTGCCCCGGGCCCACCGAGGTCTATCACTAAGTACTCGCACATACTCGTAATAGTGCTCATAGGTAATGTCGTGATGCCAATCCCATTACTCACTTGCGCTACTCCGTACTTGGGAGTCCGTGGCTAACCTGCAGCAGTCGAACCCGTAATCGTAGGAGGAAGCGAAGCCCCTCGGTCCCTCCCACCCCTCCCCCTGGTCGGCCGCCCACGCTGCCACTGTGGCCCACCAATTGCGCTGGCCCTCACGCCCGAAACCATCAACTGACAGCTCCCACAACCCACGCCAGTCATGAAGACCCCGCCGCCTGTGGAGTTCCTCAAGGATCCTGCCCTTGGGCTCTCTGACTTTTGCGCCCACCAGACCTGCAGCAATCAATCATCTGCGCTTGCTGCATTTGCAACCACCACGCCGACCTCTTTTTACTTACCTGCCTACTCGTACGTCGACGACACACTTCGTTGTCCCATTCCGTTCGTTTTCCTTGACGACTGACCCTCATCGCATACTCTGCTCACAATTCATCGTGTCTGCTACGGATCCCGGTCCTCTATTCCACCAGCACGGATCTTTCCCGTCTCCCACCAGTGCCCGCCGTCCCCACGCCAAAATGAACCTGTCTTGATCGCCTTGTCTCTACCCGTTTCCCGCCGGCCCACCTGCGGGCGCAACACCTCTCCTATTCGCAAAACACTCAGATGATGACTCAAGAAGGCAATCAGGCTTCAGGATGGCCGCAAGATATGCAAGAGGACCATATCGTCGCTGGGGTCGGTGACGATGACTTCACAAAATTCCTCGACCTGGATGACAGTGGCTTCTCCCAGTTCTCCAATATGACTCAGACTTCCTCTGGCCTCGACACTCCTATGGGTCGCCTGGCCTTTGGTAGTGGTACTGCCTTGAATTATAGTGGCCAGGATCAGATGGACATGTCAATGGCGCCATCCCACAATGCAATGAGCTATAGTCATCCAATGCACTCAAGCGCAGCATACTCGCAATTTCAACCGTATTCGCAGATGCAAATGCAGCCTCATTATCATGTCCCGCTCACTCCCGTCAGTGCAGACATGCAAGCGACCAAATACGTCCAGCAAATGGGACACAATGGACAAATCCTCTTTGACCAACAGCAGGTATGCTTATCTTGTGCTGCTAACTTCAAATGTGCTCATCTTCACAGGTTTCGTTCACCCCCTTGGTCTCTCCAGCCCAAACTCCCATGGATGGAGGATTCGTCATGTCCGACTATGGGCTAGCAGATGATTTCTTCAGCCCACTAACATCCCCTGCCATCGAGGCACAGGCAGCATACACCGACACCACGGCATCTCCTGTAGATCTCAATACTGATCTCGGAACTACGAAGCCGACCCCCTCGGGCCAAAAAAGATCTCGACGGAAGGTGAGCAATGCGACTCGGACTCCTGCGCGGAGTGTGAAACCATCCCCAGCAATGAAGCCTCAGTTGCGACAACGCCCGCCATCAATGAACTCGATTTCATTCGAAAAGCTCACGCAAGCATCTCACGGCTCCAGTTTACAGCCACCAGGCCCGGGGAGCGCTACTTTCCAAACAAGCGATGACTCGGTTTCGCCGGAGCCATTGTCAGAGGCTGCAATGCGACCTCCACCAGTCCCACAACCGGGAAGATCGCCACGACCGGCGGCCCTAAGCAAAAAGAGTTCAGATGGCAACGCGGTCACCCCAGCAACTCTGATGAGAATGCCCAGCGATCAGGCGCTGTCGTCCAAGGCATTGGACCAGCCAAGGGTTCCCAAGGATGGAGAGGAGCTGATGGAGGATATGATGTTGCCTGCGGCAGTCTCCGTTGCCCCTCCTGTGCTGGCGACGATCGATACTAGCAGAGCTGGAGAAGACAGCGAGACGACACCAACGATATCTGCCAAGTCTGCAAAGCTCAGTGCCTCGAGTACACCGAGGAGCACGTTGATCCGATCGGAGTCAGTAGAGAAGTTTGCTAAACCAGGAAAAGTCGAGGGCCGTGGTGGACGGGCAAGTAAGAAAAGGCAAAGCACTTCGTCTGCCACCATTTCCCCTGCCCTGCGGCCTAAGATCTCGCCGAGCATCAGCCCTCTGGTGCCTGCGTCTGGTAAGGTTGTTGAAGAATAGACGGTGGGCAATTGACTGATTCTTGAATAGCCCCTGGCATGCCGCACATCTCGCCTGACGCTAGTGCTCTCTACTTGGCGTCCAAGTCCAATTACCAAAACATTCTAGAGGGCACACATCTCCCCGGAGTATCATACCCCGAGACACTAGCCGAAAATCTCACATCGAAACGCACATCTCACAAGATTGCCGAGCAAGGGCGACGCAATCGAATCAACCTGGCATTGAAGGAGATTGAGGCACTTTTGCCAGCGTCGATATTGGGACTTAATGGGAAAAAGGATCGAGCAAGCTCGCATGAGAATGAAGAGACAGAGGCCAAAGCAGCGGCAGCGGCCTCAGCTCAGGGGACCAGCAAGGCAAGTACAGTGGAAATGGCGATTGTTTACATTAAGAATTTGCAGAGCGAATTAGCAGAGACCAAGGACAAACTAGAGGCAGCAGAGAAACGACTCGCAGACGGCGCCAGCAGTGCAGAGAGCCAGGCTTCGGAGGGATAATGGCTGAACTCCTGCTTCGGTACCCTTGTGATACCGAGACGTTCTCAAGACGTGATGGATCTAATGGCGTAAATGGTTTGATGATTTACTGACAGAAATGTGAACTTCTCAGATGAGCATGATGGTGAGGTCTACTGTGCACTTATTTGAGCATTGGACATAAAATCGGTTGGGGCGTGGAAGTTGACTTTCCGCACTGGCACCGAAATAGATTGTGTTTTATGCTTCTCATCGTCGTTAGCCATCAATTGAGCCTAACTAGCAGATGTCCTCGTGAGAGAGACCATTGTGTAGCAAATACCTAAGAAGCAATAAAATTGTACATGGCCCTCGAATGCGTGAAGTCCCGTTCGTTGATGGACTGTTGAATGTTCTGGACATTTCCACCGGCAACCAGACAAGGTACGGCGAGGCTAGCAGTGGGGGCTGGGTGAAGTCACGTGCACAAGATTCTGTGGGTCGCAGTCTTGGCGGGTTGAGTTCGGCAGCCTGCCATGAGAACCAGAATTCTATCATCTTCCACGGCCATGGGCAGGCTAAATTTTGTGTCTACATAAACACCACCAGCCTCTTCCACTTGTTGCTCTCCCACACACTTTCAAGCTTCTCACCCGTGATACGACACTTGGTTGTCTTCTTCCTCTCATTATACACATCCTAATAGGTAAGTCGTACTTGCTGTTTGTGTTCCATCTCTTCCCCAACCTCGCAAACTCCAATTTGGAGTCGGCCTCATTGTTGTTGCCCTTGCTGCTCGTCCTACTTTCAAGTAAGGCCGATCTGATTGACCGCGACCTTCACTCTCCCGGAACCTTCACCTAAGCTCAACCACTCTCAACATCATCTCTGCTAACACTGGGCTTCTTGTAGACAGACATACATTCTCCATACCACCCCAATCATGTCTTCAGAGACCTTTGAGTTTCAGGCTGAGATCTCTCAGTTGCTCTCCCTCATCATCAACACCGTCTACTCGAACAAAGAGATCTTCCTCCGAGAGTTGATCTCCAACGCCTCAGACGCCCTCGACAAGATCCGATATGAAGCTCTCTCAGATCCCAGCAAGCTGGATTCCGGCAAGGATCTCAGAATTGACATCATCCCTGACAAGGAGAACAAGACCTTGACAATCATTGATACCGGTATTGGCATGACCAAAGCTGTAAGTTTCCTGAAACTCACCGAGCCCCGACATATGACTGACATTTCATTTAGGATCTCGTCAACAATCTCGGTACTATTGCTCGCTCTGGCACCAAGCAGTTCATGGAAGCATTGAGCGCAGGTGCTGATGTTTCCATGATTGGCCAATTCGGTGTCGGCTTCTACTCTGCGTACTTGGTCGCTGACAAGGTGACTGTCATCTCCAAGAACAATGATGACGAGCAATACATCTGGGAGTCCAGCGCAGGTGGTACTTTCAAGATCGTCCAGGACACTGAAGGCGAGCAGCTTGGCCGTGGCACCAAGATCATCCTTCATTTGAAGGATGAGCAGACTGACTACCTCAATGAGTCAAAGATCAAGGAGGTTGTCAAGAAGCACTCTGAGTTCATCTCATACCCTATCTACCTCCATGTCTTGAAAGAGACTGAGAAGGAGGTTCCCGATGAGGATGCTGAAGAAGTTGAGGATGACGATGAGAAGAAGCCCAAGATCGAAGAAGTTGACGATGAGGAGGAAGATAAGGAGAAGAAGCCCAAGACCAAGAAGATCAAGGAATCCAAGATCGAGGAGGAGGAGCTCAACAAGACTAAGCCTATCTGGACTCGTAACCCTTCGGACATCACCCAAGAAGAGTATGCCTCCTTCTACAAGTCTCTCTCCAACGACTGGGAAGACCACTTGGCTGTCAAGCACTTCTCCGTTGAAGGTCAGCTCGAATTCCGTGCTATCCTCTTCGTGCCTAAGCGCGCTCCTTTTGATCTCTTCGAGACCAAGAAGACCAAGAACAACATCAAGCTCTATGTTCGTCGCGTCTTCATCACCGATGATGCTACTGATCTGATCCCCGAATGGCTCAGCTTCGTCAAGGGTGTCGTTGACTCTGAAGATCTTCCCCTCAACTTGTCCCGTGAAACCCTGCAGCAGAACAAGATCATGAAGGTCATCAAGAAGAACATCGTCAAGAAGACCCTCGAGCTCTTCAATGAGATTGCCGAGGACCGCGAGCAATTCGACAAGTTCTACTCTGCTTTCAGCAAGAACATCAAGCTTGGTATCCACGAGGATTCCCAGAACCGCCAATCTCTTGCCAAGCTTCTTCGCTTCAACTCTACCAAGTCTGGCGAGGAGACCACCTCTCTTACAGACTATATCACACGTATGCAAGAGCATCAGAAACAAATCTATTACATCACTGGCGAGTCCCTCAAGGCCGTCCAGAAGTCTCCCTTCCTTGACTCTCTCAAGGAGAAGAACTTCGAAGTCTTGTTCTTGGTTGACCCCATCGACGAGTATGCTATGACTCAGCTCAAAGAGTTTGAGGGCAAGAAGCTTGTCGACATCACTAAAGACTTTGAGCTCGAGGAGACTGAAGAGGAGAAGAAGGAGCGTGAAGCTGAAGAGAAGGAGTTCGAAGGCCTCGCCAAGAGTCTCAAAAATGTTCTCGGTGACAAGGTTGAGAAGGTCGTTGTTTCTCACAAGCTTATCGGGTCCCCTTGCGCTATCCGAACTGGTCAATTTGGTTGGTCTGCCAATATGGAACGTATCATGAAAGCTCAAGCTCTCCGCGACACTTCCATGTCTTCCTACATGTCTTCCAAGAAGACTTTCGAAATCTCACCAAAGTCGCCCATCATCCGAGAGCTCAAGAAGAAGGTCGAGACTGACGGTGAGAACGATCGCACGGTCAAGTCCATTACCCAACTGCTCTTCGAGACCTCTCTCCTGGTTTCTGGCTTTACCATTGAGGAACCCGCTGGCTTTGCTGAGCGCATTCACAAGCTGGTCTCTCTTGGCCTGAACGTTGATGAGGATGCGGAAACCTCGTCTGAGAAGGCCGAGGATGATGCCCCAGTGGCTGAAGCTGGTGAAAGCACCATGGAGGAAGTCGACTAAATCTCTTCCTGATAGATGTCTCACGGGCAGGCGCATATTTTAGCTTGTCCTGGTATCATCTCCATCGGCGTTTGGTGTCCAACATGTCTTCCCTTTCATCAATGATATCCCAGCAATGAGTGAATGGTTTGAGAGACAGGAATTCAGGGCAAAAAGTGGAATAGGAAACATTTGCCTTAGGCATAGATAGTGAAAGCGACTGCAGTCTTGAAGGAGATTGAAGTCAGTTCAATGCATGATGCTTTTATCAGAGCAACCTGCGTACAATTTGCCGTTCACGTGGTAGGATCTTCTAACCAGGTATTGATCCTCAGTAATGTACACCCTTCCACCTCATACTCTCGTAGCTTGACTGTCACCCAACTGTTTGATCTCCAATTCGGCCTACTGTACGCCAAGCCCGCCCCCCCCGTGAATTCTCCGATCTGCATTGTTGGGCTTTTGGTCCGCAGGGACTGAACCGAACATGCTGTCCACATGGAAACTTGAATCTTTGGCCTGATCCAGATTCCAGACTATGTCGCCGTCCAACGTCCATGGTCATTCGCCGCGCGGTTTAATACGAAATTGAATGCTGCACGGGCGTTTCTGGGGACTCGGAGTGGTTAGTTACAATTTGCCCGCGGGCACTCTGCATTTTCCCTTGCTTTGCTTGATCAGACAAACTGCTTGAAGACTACATATTACAAGAACAAGAGGAAGAAATCCATATACACTCATATTCCCCGCCAACATGCCTGCCAAGTCACGATTCACGCGGCTCGACGCATTCACCAAGACGGTCGAGGATGCGCGCATACGTACGACTTCGGGCGGGATCGTCACGATCACCTCGATCCTTTTGATCTTTTATCTGGTCTGGGGAGAATGGTCGGACTACAGGAGGATATTGGTCCAGCCGGAGCTGATTGTGGATAAGGGAAGAGGTGAGTCCATCACTGCACTACGCATGTGTGCATGCGCACTTGGATTACTTCTGTCTTTGCGCGGGCTGCTGACATTGGAGTTGGATTTTGTTTTTTGTAGGAGAGAAGATGGAGATTCATTTGAACATAACGTTCCCGCGAATACCGTGCGAACTCCTCACACTCGATGTTATGGACGTGTCCGGCGAGCAGCAGACAGGGGTGGTGCATGGGGTGAACAAAGTGCGGCTGTCGTCTGTCAGCGACGGCTCTTCGGTGATCGACACACAAGCCTTGATGCTCCACGCGCAGGACGGTGCATCGCATCTCGATCCCGAATACTGCGGCTCCTGCTACTCGGCGCCCTCGCCTCCCAACGCAATGAAGGCAGGCTGCTGCAACACGTGCGATGAGGTGCGGGAAGCGTACGCACAGAACAGCTGGTCGTTCGGGCGCGGCGAGGGGGTCGAGCAGTGCGAGCGCGAGGGCTACGGCGAGCGGCTCGACGCCCAGCGGCACGAGGGCTGCCGGATCGAAGGCGTGATCCGCGTGAACAAGGTGGTGGGCAACTTCCACATCGCGCCGGGGCGCAGCTTCAGCAACGGCAACATGCACGTGCACGACCTGAACAACTACTTTGACAGCCCCGTCGAGGGCGGCCATACCTTCACGCACGAGATTCACTCGCTACGCTTTGGGCCGCAGCTCGACGACGCGGGGTCCAAGAAATGGAGCGACCACCACCACTCCAACCCGCTCGACGGGAACAAGCAGGAGACGGACGAGGCCGGGTTCAACTTCATGTACTTCATCAAAGTCGTATCGACCTCGTATCTGCCGCTCGGCTGGGACGAGGACCGCTCGCTGAAACAGCACTCCAGCCTCGCGGACCTGATCCCTCTCGGAATGCAGGGCAAGGGCGCTGGCAGCCAGGGTTCTATCGAGACACACCAGTACTCGGTCACGTCGCATAAGAGGTCGCTGGGTGGTGGTACCGACGCTGCTGAGGGCCACAAGGAAAGGCTGCATGCCCATGGCGGTATCCCCGGTGTTTTCTTCTCCTACGACATCAGCCCCATGAAGGTCGTCAACCGCGAGGCGCGTCCAAAGACCTTCGCGAACTTCCTCACTGGTGTGTGTGCCGTCATTGGTGGTACGCTTACCGTTGCGGCGGCTATTGATCGTGGCGTCTATGAGGGTAGTACCAGGCTAAAGAAGGTCCATACTGGGTAGTATTTGGAGAGAGAACGAAGATGGGAATGAAAATGACTTTTTTTATGAAAAACCAAAACGAAAACCATTCTTCTTTTTTCGAAAAGGAGAAGAACTAGCATTACTACTAGAGAGATTCTTCCACATCCCCTTTCAAATGGTTGGGAACCTGACTATGTACGCGTTATGGAGGTTGCTGCATCGGTCACGGGGCGTTCTTAGGTCATGAAAAATGAAGAAATTTTTCGAAGTCTTTCGTGAGTAGCCGTCGATTGCGTGTCCCTGCAAATTTAGTACCACTTATGGAGTTGTGATACTACGCATTTGTCCAATGGTGCTCGGTTTTCGAAAATGGGGACCTAGAATCTTTCGAGAGAGAAAAGGACCAGAAGGAATTAGCATTTCTTCTCATCTTTTAAGAATCCTTAGAAAGGCAACAAGAACGTCCTTGCCGCCCATCCATATGCAAAAGGTGGTGAGAGAGCAAAGAAATATCAATATCAGAAGAACCTGTTTCTAAGCATCGACACAAACCATACCACTCAAAAGCAGTAGAAAGACGCCTTTTTCCACCCAACCCAACCACCAGAAAAATCGCCCACAAACCGAGCAACACGGCCCCGACCGAAAAAGGCATATGACGATGCCTTTTCGAAACGGGCAAATGTGTGCTCGGTCTTGGAGTGAGCGATAGACAGCGGCGGAGGGGTAAGAAAGGTTGCCCTTTTCTTTTCTGCCCGGGCTTTTGGCCTGAATCCTTTTCCGGCTCTTCCTAATGCCGTGAGGTTTCTTGAAGTCATCATGTTTATGTTTATTGATTTGTTGTTGCAAAGATGTGAGAGAATGAGGGCAGTGTTCAGAGCGTGAGTGGTCGTTAGGAAATGAGAGACTCACCCATCGAAATCCGTGGAAGATAGTAGATCTAGGGACCGAGATTGCTGTACAGGTAGAGGATTCAGTAGTAAGTTGTTCCTTCTACGGAACAGGTCCTAGTTGAGCAAAACCATGTTGAGCTGGCTTCTAGCCGCGGTTGAAGAAAAAAATTGTAATCAGGGGCAGCTTCCTACGTAGAGCAAGAGAGCGGCGTGTTCATGACCTTGTAACACAAGGAGTACAACGTATTCGAGCATGTCGATGACTTGTAAGGTTATCCGTTCATGGCGTCCTACAATACCAAATTATGAAAATGTATTCGAGCAAATCTAGGTCCGACTTCGACATTCAAGGTTGAATGTCTAAATACCGCCAAGAGGCTATGGGAAATTTGGACGCTTGTCGATTTTAGGTTAGGATCCGATTTACCCAGATCACCACGTGAGAATCCCTTCACGTGACTGGAACTGCAAGTCTCCTTCTCTCCAGCCGCAGCTCGATGGGTAGATAGATTGTCGAGAATATTTTGGAAGGCTGCACATCTTCAGATGGAGAGAAATGCCTTCCAATCTCCAGAGAGCGCCCTTTTCGTCTCATCTACCTATGTTGAGGCCCTCGGCTTTCCTGGGGCTGAATGCAGCATGAGGTATGCAAAGCCCGCGGAAGGCGGACGGTCAGGCAGATTCAACCGCGCGTCAGCCTCATTTGTGTTCTAGCCACTGGGACTATTCGTTTTCCTTTGTTAGTATTGACTCAATACTATCCTCTCATGGCTCCTTGCGTCTCACACTGGTCGACTCGGCTGGCTTCTCGAGTTGTTCTTATGCTCTTATGGGCCGCAACGCTGAATTAAACACTTAAACTATCATCCAACTTACAGACAACCGGGAAAGGAGCTTCGCGATGACCCTGTTCATGTGCCCAGTAAGTCTTCATCTCGCGCGTTGCTCAGAAATAGAAGTGACTCTTGTTGATGATAGCATTGTGGGGAACGAATGCAAGGGCAAGATATTGCTGACTACAACGGGTGTCACCGCAGCGATGTTACGAAATGCGGTATAAATGTTCTACTTGCCTACAACTTTTTCATCGTAATGTAAAAGGCGAGTACGACTGTTCTAGTTGTCAGCAACTACTTCATGGTGGTGTGAAAGGCGAGTCCAGATGTTTCAGCTGTCAGCAACTTCTTCGTGGAGTCGAGTGGGACTGGCATCGGGTTAGTGAGTATCATTAATGTCCTCGGTTCGAACGGCCATGGCGGTGGCAGTCCCTCTCCATTGGAATGATCTCTTAACACGAGCGAACATTCCAGCGCCGCGAATATCAAGCTTCACCCTCGAAAGAAGCATTCTCAGGAGCTCCCGGCCGCCCCGTCCAATACCCTCCACAGTGACAAGCCCCAACTAATTACTTAGGCCAGCAAGCGGCAGTTAAGGGTGTCAAAAAGGAAATAATCTGGCGGAGCAATTTCCCGCCATGTTGGAGTACTCTTCCAAATATTTCCTTGAAATGATGGTACTATCTGTTGATAGGTACTGTGACTTTGTCAAGGTAGATTTCGCCGTAAACCCTTTGTAATCAAGCTTTATGGATACTGATTCTGCTCTTTTGATACGGCGCTCAAGTGACTCAGACCCAACCAAATCGTGTCGATGGCGACGGACCTGCCCTTATGCGAGCTGGACTACAGTTACAACCCTCGACCTCCGGACTCTCTAGCTCGCTACAGATCGACACATATTGGAGATGGCGATGTTACGGCCCTGCAGCAACCGTACATTTTGTGGGTATAACCTCACGACCTGCCCGCCAGCATGGTTCCACGACTGTGTGGAACCTTTCCCTTTGGGCTCGACTGTCTTCCTCCCAAAGATACCACAGAAGCATTCAGGATGGCTACTCAAGACACCAGAGATGGACTATGCTTGGGGTATTCAGACTAAGGCGGAACCGTACTTCCTACTTCTGGGGTGCTCTCACCTGTTGATATTTCTGATATTTGCTGGGCCGTTCTCATTCTTGGCTTGGTGGCTGAGTTATGAACATTCGCAGACAGGGATATGGGACCTTCAGGATGCAGCTACCCCTGCCACGATCGTTAGAATCCTATTGTCCCTTCTTCTGGTCGGTCGCACACCCTTTGCATATTCTTGATAACCAAAGATAAAGTGGGGTCTCGCGCACTGGCGATCTAGTTCGCGCTGGCCTAGGTAAGAGAGGCAGGTCTCTTGCCTTCGTCACGCGATATAATTGCAAGAGTGCAGACCTTTGTATGCTGCCTAAACATTGGAATTGGTTCATAGGAGCCAGGATTGAGTTGCGATTCATTTCTGGACTGAGGACACTCCATCTACCAATTGCTCAGATTCACGAACCTCTTCCAAACTCATCCCGTCTGCTTAACAGGCCCCTCCACTGACTATTCTGGAACTTCCAAGCACTAACTAGACTTCTGACTACGCGCCTGCCTGCGCTGCTTGTTGTCTCGATGCCATTAGATGGGGTATTTGATTGATGGAATCATCTGCGAGAGGCAATCCCAAATTTCGAAGTCTTTCATTCTCTGCCTGTCGCTTCTTCTCTTGCAGAGAGAAGCGCTCGGGAAGGAACATCTCTCTCTCGCCCGTGATCTTCCAGTCTCTGAATTTCTCCGGCCCTCCGAGATCCTGCATAGTCTTTAGCTCGACGAGGCTATACTCAGCTGGATTTGATCTGCTGAACTGGAACGGAGCCGAAAGTGAAACCGGTGGATTTGTGATTATTCCTGGATAGTGATGAAGGAATCAGCAAGCGCCAGAGCAGTGTTTAGACATGAATTCAGCACCACGCACTGATTGATCTCAAACCATTCTTACTGGCACTGTGCAACATAAGCGGATGCATGAGGACAACATCCCCCTTTTTGCCGGTCATCTCGTGAAAGCTTTCGTCAGATGCTTCCCGTATTGTTTTATTGAAAAATGAGTGCTGATTGTAGGGCACCTTCGGTTGCCCACGCTCATTCATCATTGGATTCAAACCTTCAGGATGATCATACTAACCCCTCGACACATTAGCATTTCAGTTCAATCTACGAGATATCGTTACTACCATTGAGGAACTTACCAGAACCTGCCCAATCCGCTTGGGACCCTCGTCACAAATCCACGTTGCTCCAGCATTCTCATCGACATCGCTCCAGCAGGGAATCACGAGCAACGCCTGTTCAGGACTGTCGAGGAAATGGATAAAGAAATCGCCATCGACATGCCAGCCGGTCAACTCCTTCGGTGGCACCCTCTTGCCCTCGGTCTCCGGGCTCCCGTGATTGACGATAAATCCATCTGTCCACATCTCTCCCCCTTGAGCGATGCGGTCCTCACCGCCGCACAACTCACAAATAGCGGCCCAGGCGCGAGGCGCAATCTCCTTTGCCGGAACGACATGATGCTTGGACATGTGAGACCGCTCAGCCGTCCATGTCGACTTGTCATTAGGATCCATCCCCAGCCGGTGCCACACATTTCGAGTCCACCAATCACACTTATCTAGTGGGATGGCTCCTGGCACGCGCAGGAAGCCATGCTTCATGAATGACGATACCTGATCAGGGGTGAGCGTCTTGAAGCTCTGGTATTGGAGGAGTTCGTCGATTGTTGGACTGGCCATGGTAGCGGAGGGTGGCGACGCCGTGATTTATTCAGTTGAGGTGCTCAAAGTCTGCTATAAGTAATCAAACAACGCGATGGGTGCAAGGCTTGACGACAATCTCGTCAAATCCGTCTGCCGCTTCCAGGAGAGCTAGCTTCGAAGCGAAAGCCAAAAATACGAAGTTGAGAGCAGGTCAGCAAGCGAGACCAGACCCATAAATTTATACCTCTTGAAAGTCGAGGCACGAACAAACGGTTACAGACCTGACCTGCCAACGGAGAACGATACGAATACTTCCCCCCTCCTTAATCTGAGTGATTTTTCTATCAACGAAAAGCACTCCAATTGATTGATAGAGATTCTTTCTACTGGCTGAGCTTCATGAATCCCACGGGGAACGACCGCCGCAGTAAGGAAATCCTTGCCGGGGAGCAATCGACGCGTTGTCGACGTGGTCTGTTTTCCGTAGTTTCGATATAAGGGACTACCCATGCACGCCCTTCTGCACCCCTCCCCCGCTGTGGGTTAGCCCGTTAACGAAGTAGGGATCGGACACAGTGCCCTAGGCTCTCCAATGGATTCGTGGGGGTGCGTGGCCTTAGGGCAGCTGGGTTATGTAGGCTGCTGAGCTAGAGGCCCTAACCAAGTCTGCAGATCCGGAGAAGGAAGCGAAAGGTAATGATCCTGACTAGTTAAGTGTGCTCCGGATGAGGTGGCGCTCTTAGGCTGTATATCATCATTTCTATAGGATACACCCGATCTGCACAGCCTATGGGCCAGGATGCCCTCAAAGTCTGAGTAGCTGGCGTGAGCGTAAATGGCTCGCTCTGAATATCACTCAAGATCGCAGTTGACCTGCGATATCCCATCGCTTTCAGCGTGGCCGTTGCCAGAATCCTCTGGCAAGGAAACGGGAGTGCTGGGCGACTTGCAGACGTCTCATCCGGAAGGAGGCGATGGAGGCCCCTTTCATTCTGTACGGTATGCTTTGACTTATGGTTAAACGGTCGGAAGGAAAAGAACTTGCAAGCTCAGCCCGTGGCTTCCTTCTGAGGTAATATCTGGTCCTTGGAACGGGCATATATGTTCGGATCAAACCATGAATTGGTGCAGCGACGATGTCGCTGGAACGGACTTGCTTTCCTCTTGAGCAATCATTAAGGGACAGTGTTACTCGCCGCTAGTATGCCTTGGGCATGCATCCTCATGCATCCGTATCGATTCAACAAGACAGAGAGTCTAGAACCCTCCCATTTCTCACCATTACTTGCTATTAAACATGACCTCATAACTCATCTTCACATTCGATTCAAGCCGGAATCCAGTCATAGGTCGGGAACTTCACAGCTTGGTTGTACTTGTGAAATAGCAACTAGACCTTGCTCGGTGGCGGGTTTCCATGATTTGCAATGGTCTCTACCATATCCACGTTGCCAGCCTCGACATGCTTGGGCGAGCCTGAGACAGGATTCATGTCTTCGTGGTGCACAACCTTCTCCACGGCGAGGACTGCCTGATCTGCCAAAGCCTTATCTTCGAATACTGTGGGATGGATGTTAGCCTAGATGCTCGGGGGGGAAGGGGGGGAAGGGAATATCGGTCAACATACAGAAGGCCAACTCTTCCAAAGTCCTGTTTGCCGTCTCAGGGAAGAAAAACCAGACGAAGCATACTTCAAATGCTAGCCAGCAGCAGTAGGTGATGAGCCACCTCCATTTGATATTTTGCAGGCCAATTGGGTTGACGAATGTTGTGAAAAAGCCCGCTAGGCGGCCAAACAACTGGAAGAGTGCGATACCTCTGGATCTTTCGGCATATGGCCACAACTCCACAAGATATGTATATGTGAGAGCATTATAGCCAAGGTTGTAGCAGGGCGTGTAGGCAAAGATGAAAAAGATAGTAGCCACACCAGCTGCGGAATTGGTTCGATTAGCGTCTCTTGCTTCCATACTCTGTTGCATAGAGATGGTCCAAGCGATATAGACAATAAGCAAACTGATTGTGCACGCAAGGTACATAGCTCGCCGCTTGAACCGAGTAACAAGCATGGCAGCTGTAAAACCACAGACAAGACCCCAACAGCTTAATCCTACATTAAGCTTTTGCTTAAATATCGAATCTGTCTTTCCAATCATTTGCAGGAGGTCGCCGAGGTAATAGGAGATGAGTGTGTTGCCAGACCATTGTGTAAATAATCCTAAAAATGCGGAGATAAATGCTCTTCGTCGCATTCCTGAACTCTTGAGGAATGAGAGCCAGCTTTGCTTCGATACCTCGAGTTCGAGGTGGATAGTAGTCCTTATTTGAGCCATCTCAGCCCGAACAAACTCGGAATCGTGATCGCCTTCGGCGTGGTATTTGACGAGAATTTCGTAGGCCTCTTCTGCTCGATCCTTCGTGACCAGCCAGCGAGGGCTCTCAGGTAGAAAAAAGACAAATACAATTTGCAGGAGTGACGGAGCAATTTGCAGGATAGACGGGATACGCCATGCCCAGTTGCTTGCAATACTGTTGGTGCCGAAAGTGATTCCAGCTGCAGCGATTGAACCGACGAAATAGGCGACGTTGAACAATGAGGTAAGAATTGGTCGCTCCTTAGGATAACCCAGTTCACCGATCAACGATGATCCTGATACAATGCAGGTCGGGATGCCAAACCCGAGGATACCACGGGCAACAATATACATGGCGACTGAAAGAATTATTAGATCAGCGAAACGGTGGTAGAAGAATACAAGAACTCACCATTCTGCGCACAGCCTTGTAGAATTGCGCCACCGCACATGATAACAGAGCCACCAAAGATGGACCAGCGGCGGCCAAATTTCTCATTGACAATCGGAATAAAAGGCAGAGAGAGAATCGCTCCCAGCGAGTAAGCGGCTGCAATAATGCCTTTTAGAGAGCCTTGTGGGTTGTTAAAGTCTGTGATCTCGGTCAGCACGTGGCATTTCACATAAGGAGTTGGACTAGGAAGCATTACATTTGATCCAGTAAGGCACAATCTGCAGAGCGTTTATCATTTGAGAGTCAAAGCCAGAGGTCAATTCAATGCCCATACAAGTTGGGAAGAGCATGAAATAAAGATATCTCAGATTTGGCTTCTTGTACCATGGCACCTTGTCTTCTTGTACGATGGTAGTAAGGATGGGATCAGATGCGCCGGTAGGCTTGAGCACAGGTTTGAGGAGAGTCATGGTGAGTTCAAATGCAGGAGAGGGACTGAAGAGACGAGCAAAGAAAGTGAGGGATCGCGAATTGAGGGAGAATGCACAGGTTTTATCCTGTTGGAGGAGATATAGCAATATCTATTAGAAGCAGGGTGTAGAACAATTTTGCCTCTCTCGCAACTTTTATCCCCACCAGCCCTTGGACGAGGAATGCGCCACATGTGTAAATCTCGTGTTGTCTAGAAGTCATGCTGTCTGGGCAGAGAGCCAAAGGTGATGCCAAGCTAAGAACAGGCGGTAGAAGCCCTCGTGAACATGAAGAAGAGCTGCAGATCAAACCTAAGAGAAGGAGACGTGATGGTGCCAGGGAGGAGGCAAAGTGTGAGTTCTCGGACTCTTGGAGTCTTGGTGGCATCGATCTGGCACATCATCAAGGAACATCGTGTTAGGTCCCTGGTAAGGACGAGATGGCCGGTATTGATATGCAGAATAAACCTCCAGGACGACCCTTTGGAAGGCGGGGAACAAGGTGATCTGGAGCGGCAGCCATTGTGGAGGATCAGGTGGAAAATAACCGTGCAGACAATCTCATTCGGCAACCCAAGATAAAGTAGTGTAAGCTAAGCCCATTCAAGGCCAAGGCCCGTTTTATAGCGCGTGGCCAAATAGCCGACTCCCCAGATTGGGTTCCTGCCTCTTTGCAGGCAGGAGCTGGGGAAGGCTGACGGCGCTTTGAGGACACCACGCTACAAGGCTTGGCAGCCCTGAAATGGTTAAGCGCCCGTCAATCAACCACAAGGCACCTCATATGGAGAAGGCGCGGCAGTTACTCTGGCGCTCACTTACCTTGAGTCCATGACTGACCAGAGGAACCACTATATTCAGACGTCAGCTTCTTCCGAATAGGAAATTGGTATCTCCATTCCTCATTGCCTATCTCGTGGAGTCGTTCAATTCGACGTTGTCCCATGAAATCTTGCCACCACTAAGGGCCAGTCGCTCAAAACGATGGAGCCTTGAGGAGAATCAAGGCTTCCAGTACTCCGGAATCTCGAGTAAGCGCAGAGGCGTCTCTTCTTGCAAGTGCCTTTGATGGAGTCTCTAAGACTACCCCATACCTCGTAACGGTAAGCAATAATGCATGTCGCGCAGTAGCTTCACTTTTCCCGGAGATTCCGTGGCTTGATGGTGGGGAGGCCGGGGAAGCTCCGCCGTGCTGCAGAGTTGAACAGAGGTTGAACAGATGGCGTCCATGGCGACGAAAGCTGCCGTCTCTACGGTTTGCTTGATTTTGAAACTCCAGCGCTTTTCTTTCGAGGAAGTCGACCTTACTTAACTGTGGCGTACATTGGCAAACGTCAGGCTGCTTGCCCCGGATAATTGCAAACATGGTTGATCCCAAAATTCAGCCTGATGTTTAAATCGTTCGGGGAGACTCCGCCGTCAGGTCTCCTTCCTCCGTTGTGAATGGGGTATCCTCGCCGAAACCCACGCCGTAAGGGCTTGGCCTGAGGATATACCGTCCTCCTTCGGTACATTGATCCACTCCGACCCAGTCATGTCGAGGATGCTGAGAACGATGGATGATAGTACTTCGACACAATGGCATCTCGGTCGTTTCACTCCTCATACAACTCACTACAAACCAAATGGTGAGGTCCTCAGCAGAACCGATAGTACGGCTGTCACCGACGACTCTTTCGATGGCAGACTCAGATTCCGAGCCAGCCATGGCTTTTGACGTCGATACCGTCTTCCCACAATTGAAGCAAGCTGACAAGATTGCTTTGCTGTCCGGTAGGGAATCAAGAGTTGAACATCGTATCTCTACACTTTTTAATGATCATATATCACAGGCATTGATTTTTGGCACACTCACCCAATTCCAGCACACAACGTGCCCTCAGTACGATTCACTGACGGGCCAAATGGCATTCGTGGGACTAAGTTCTTCGCTGGTGTACCGGCCGCATGTTTACCATGTGGTACAGCGTTGGGAGCTACCTGGGACAAGGCCCTGTTGAGACAAGCAGGAAAGCTGCTTGGAGATGAATGCATTGCCAAAGGCGCTCATGGATGGTTGGGTCCTACAGTCAACATGCAAAGATCACCACTCGGCGGCCGTGGATTCGAATCGTTCTCAGAGGATCCCCATCTTGCTGGAACAATCGCCGCTTCCATGATTCTGGGTTGCGAAAGCACCGGTGTCATCTCTACAGTCAAGCACTTTATTGGAAACGATCAAGAACACGAGCGACGAGCTGTGGACTGTCTGATTGCTCCTCGTGCCTTTCGAGAAGTGTACCTACGCCCATTTCAAATAGTAGCTCGGGATGCCAATCCTGGAGCACTGATGACATCGTACAACAAGATCAATGGCCGCCACGTCGTGGACAACGCAGAAATGCTCCAGGGCATTGTTCGAGACGAATGGAAGTGGGATCCACTAATCGTCAGCGACTGGTATGGGACATATACGACCATTGACGCCATGGTGGCAGGTCTCGATCTCGAAATGCCTGGCGTTTCACGCTATCGAGGCAAATATATTGAATCTGCAGTTCAGGCACGCCTGATCAAACAATCGACGATAGATGCACGCGCCCGCCGCGTCCTTAAGTTCGTCCACAGAGCCAGTCAGGTCAAGGTTTCCGAAGAACAAGTAGGACGTAATTACCCTGAAGACCGTGCCCTGAACCGTCTTGTCTCCTCGAACAGTATTGTTCTACTCAAAAATGACAGCTCAATTTTGCCTCTCCCCAAAACACTGAAAAAGATCGCCCTGATTGGATCTCATGTTAAGATGCCGGCGATTTCTGGCGGGGGAAGCGCGACCCTACTTCCGTATTACACAGTATCTCTACACGATGCCGTCACCGAAGCCGTACCAGAAGCCACGATCACGCACGAGGTCGGTGCGTACGCCCACAACATGCTCCCTGCTATCGACTCATTGTTACATAATGCGGTGATTAACTTCTACAATGAACCTCCAAAAGTCACAGATCGAAAGTTACTTGGTATCGAACATGTCACATCGGCAACATTCCAGTTAATGGACTACAACGGAATCCCAGCGCTGAATAGAGCCCTATTCTGGGGCTCGTTGGTCGGAGAGTTTATCCCAGACGCTACTGGCACGTGGGACTTCGGTCTCACTGTATTTGGCACTGCTAATCTATACCTCGACGACGAGCTCATAATCGAAAACACCATTCATCAGACACGAGGCACTGCATTCTTTGGTAAAGGAACGACGGAGAAATTCGGCTCAAGAGTTTTAGAAGCCGGCAAGTCCTACAACATACGGATCGAATTTGGAAACGCGAATACGACAACCATGGAAACCATCGGCATGGTAAATTTTGGCGGTGGCGCCGCACATCTCGGAGCGTGCTTGCGGCTAGGCCCCGATGAAATGATTGAACGGGCGGTGCAAGCAGCTAAAGACGCGGAGCAAACGATCATCTGCACTGGATTGAGTGGCGAGTGGGAGTCCGAAGGCTTCGACCGTCCACACATGGACCTCCCCCCTGGGATTGACGAGATGATCAGCCAAGTCATCGCAGTGGCCCCAACTGCCGTGATTATCAACCAGTCGGGCACGCCGATCACGATGCCCTGGGCGGACCAGGCTAAATGCATTGTGCAAGCATGGTACGGAGGCAACGAGGCTGGCCACGGCATGAGCGACGTCCTCTTTGGCGATGTCAACCCTAGCGGGAAGCTGCCCTTGTCGTGGCCTGTCAGCGTCAAGCATAACCCAGCATATCTCAACTACGCCAGCGTCGGTGGCCGTGTCCTCTACGGAGAAGACGTTTACGTCGGCTACAAGTTCTACGAGAAGACGGACCGAGAAGTCCTCTTTCCATTCGGGCAAGTAACGCCGCCTTCCTCCTTCCTTCTCCAGTCCCTGACAAAACTAAATAACGTTAAACGCGAATGATGACATGAACTAACTTCCTCCTTCCTCACACAGACACGGACTTTCATACACGACCTTCGCACTCACCAGCCCCGAAGTGCAGGTCGACCCCGTGGAGTTCGCGCCCGAGAACCCAAGTGTAGCAATCATCAAGATCAAGAATACCGGCCCCGTCGCCGGCCAGCAAGTCGTGCAACTGTACGTCGCCGCGCCATCATCACCGACTCCGCGGCCGGTGAAAGAGCTGCACGGATTCGAGAAGATTGTTTTGCAACCTGGCGAGGAAAAAGAGGTTACCATCGCGGTGGACAAGTACGCCACCAGCTTCTGGGACGAGATCGAGAGCATGTGGAAGAGCGAGGCCGGCACCTATGAGGTACTGGTCGGCACGTCGTCGCAGGAGATCCTTGGGAAGGGCACGCTCGTCGTGCCTGAGACGAGGTATTGGCTGGGTCTTTAGAACGAATTCGGTCCTTTGGGGTATTAGAGCTCTAGATATACCATATAACCGCCAAATCCGCCCTCTCGCTTTGCGGATGCTGTCTGTGGGGAGTGTCTGGGGGGCTTGCTTGGCTTTTTCCCTCGCACCTTATATTTGCAGGTCTCAATTAACCGTGTGGAAATGGAATGGGATGCGGCAGACCCGTACCTTCATCTTGGAATCACACGCCAAATAAGTCACGAAGTGTGAAGTATTGATCAAATAAATGTCCGATAAAGTATATTCGTACCTTCGAGTAGGAGGAATCTGCCACTGGGCTGTACTGTATGTGGTAGGAAAAACAGCATGATATGTGAGTCGCCGCTCCCAAAACGAAGAGATAAGTACATGGGGTCTTGATGTTGTTATTCCTCTCTATTTTATGTAGGGCCTTTCAACAGCCAGTCCAAGAGAATGCCCATTTCAGATATGCCACCGCCCTCGTTGCTCCAAGCCTGCAGACGGTCCTGAACCATACTGACACAGTCCCTCCACAGGTTCGGCACGACCACGCAGGCTGCGGACTCGATGTTGAGCTCCTTCGCACGCACCGCTGCAATCAGGCACAGTGCGTGGTTGAAACGCACGCGACACGCACCCCACGAGCCCGGGTGGCGGAAGAACGGGACCTCGGTCTGGATCCGATATATACTGAGGCGCAGGCCGTTTGATGCGCGAGCTCCGAATGATTCGATTTGCGCCGGAGTGAGTCGCGTGCCACCGTGCAGGCACATGTACAGGTACGCCCGGCAAAGGAGCTCGCGGACCTCAACGTATCTTTCTCTTACGAGCTTGACGAGTTCCCCTTCGTCTGGTGAAGGGAAGACATCCGGCGGGAGATTGAAACGCAGCACTGGCGGGAGACACTCCAGCCACTGCTGAAGCTGGTGTTCCAGGTTTTGCAGCGTGTCGGCTAGCCTGCTGGCCGTGGGTGAATCGATAGTGGGTGAAAGCATGGTTGCTGCGGTCCGTGTACGGTTGAGTAAGCGTCGCAGTGAGATTTCGGCCAGGTAAAAGTAATAAGAACCTTCGATCGTCGTCTGAAAGGTTGGAGAATCCTGGGAGAAGATGTCTCCACGGCTTTGTTCGAAACTTTCAATAGTGGGGAATGTTGGGAGAGAAAAGGGGAATGATGATTCCTGCAGCGTGCAGGAGGGGAGATCAACAAGTTCGTGTCGAATCTCACTAGTTAGTCCACCGATGTCAGTGTATATCGTTTGAGTCATGCTGTGAGCGCGTACCACTCAGACTTCAGACACGTCCAGTATAGTCGCTGTTCAAGACCTATAGATAATTAGTAGATAGCACTAGAAGTCAAGTGACCGCAATTTCAAGGCATACTTTCTTCCTGTTTTGATCTTTGTGTTTTCCCATGAGCGTGCTTCAAGTTATACGACTCCCACAACATGGATGCAGTACGAAACATTTTCCATCCTGGGATGGGATCGATGTTATACTGATGCCACATTCTAGTCTGCCTCAGCACCGAAAATCACGGGCTTTGCGTTCATGCAAGGAAAGCTTACCCGAAGAGACAGAAGCATACTACCCCGAGCAACGACGCATCCAGATGGGCTGCGGACATTCGCTTCTGAGCCATTGCAAAATAGCTGAGTGATTCTCTCAAACGGTGTTCTGGCACGGCCATTGTAATATACTGTTCAGGATAGGGGTTTCCCTGCTCGTCGGACTCGATTAATCGACGTTCATCGTCGGGATAAGTTCCCCAAATTGCCGCCAAAGCAAATACTAGAAGCACCAGGCAGGACGAAGCTGTCCAACCGAACCCGTTTTCGAGAACATCGGCAATATGCGTTTCTAGCTGGTCCGCGTCTATGATAGGGTTCTTGGGTTGAATCTTAGTCATATAGATATCCCTCAATTCAAAAATCCGCGACGGTGATGGATGTGCTGTTTCTTTAGTTGCATGCAATTGGTCAGCACATTCTCTTCTCACTCGGCTTCCAGTACTTATTAAGGGAAGGTATGCACATACCCAGGGCGAGAAGATGTGGCTTTTCCACGTATGCCGCTGCTGGGAATGTGTCAACAGGCTTTTCGGCTGGGAACACCGCCCAGCTCAGGATCATATCAGAGCCAGTAATCGAGGTCCAGGAAATATCCTTCCGCGACATTGTCTCCAGGTCATCATCTTCGGTGGCTGAGAATTGTGACGGATGGGGAGATGGCTGTTGTCGAAGGCCATCTTTGGTACTTTGAGCAAGATCGGACAGAACACGGCCCTGATTGTCAATTGCGGCTAAAATTTTGGTGGCCCAAACCTCGAATCTTAAAGTAGTATGATCAGCACACTGGATCCGGAGCGGCGTCAGGGGGAACTCAGGCACTGCTTACTTACATTGACGATGGGTCTTTATCAGGATAGACACAAGATACACCACGTTTAGCGCATTTCGAACAAACAGGGCGAGCAGAGTCGCATCGTGTTTTGCTGATTCTGCAGTGTTCGCAAGCGGCTAAAGTCCTGGTGTGTGAGATCTGGTCATTTGATCGCTTCCTCTTCTTACCCATTGAGTCTGAAGAAGTCAACGGTGGTGATGGATTTGGGCCCTCCATCTTTCTTCATTGAGAAAAAATTTGAGCTCGCCCGAGTTGCTGGGCCCAGCCATGTGGAATCGAAATCGAAATCGAAACCCGAGGCTAGCAAAGAGAAACGATAATTCGGAAACGTTGAGTTAAATCTCAGATGGCTTAAACCGTGCCCAGTGAGTGCCCAGGTGAGCTTGCCGAGAATGGAAGTCCCCAGGCTATTTGCTTCGCCAGAGACTGTGCCCTTTAGCCTAACCTCCAACCACTGAGCACCGAGGGGGCCCGAGGGGCCATTATTATAAGGCCCAGGTGGGTTACCAAGTACGGAGTGCAGTACCCAAGTACTCTGTACCCCAGGCACTCCACGCCTAGACCTTGGTAGTAGCTTACCTGGGGACTGAGCGCTAGTCAGGGCCGGTTAATACGCATGACTCTTTTCGCTTGATGATTCGAACTGCATTCCAACCCGTTATCCTCGAGAATGCTCGCCAACAAGGTTTGCGACGAGTGAGGGTAGATCAAGACCTGACCGCAACAGGAAAGCGTACTCCTTTAGCAATGTTCTTTGGGGTAGGCCCGCGACAAGGGGGACTGATTCACCAGCTTCCAACGGAGAAAGTAGAAATTCATTGCGAGATTAGTTGGGAAGGTGACCTTGGAGAACGGAAACGGATGAACGTATTTCCCTGTCTCCACATCTAATTTACACGTTAAATTACGTCAGCCGTGGGGGAGAACACATGGTGAGTGGTATGCACTATATATGTGGGTGACATGGTGATGCGACGATCAACGTCATTATCGACGTGAAACTTGGATGCATGGGGTTATAATTCCTTCAGACCAACTCACCAGCAGCTTCACACCAAAGTCTTCAAACTCAGTCTGGTCCAAGCACCAGAGAGCAAGTAACACCACCAGAGCCACAAACCTCGCGTAAGGAAAAGGGGAGAAGCGGTTATGGTCCGCATCGATCTAGGAGGGTTTCCAGCCATCGACCTCAATGGAGGACCGGGCGAAATAACTCGAGTGAAGAACAGAATTCGTCGGAACATGAGGGGCCAAGGGGGGAGCACAATCAGGATGAGCTGGAACACCAGCGTCCCGCGGATCGTGCTGACGAGCGACACCGAAGACTTCGACGAGACCATCGTAAAGTATTTCCACGAAGAGGGCTTCCAGCTGGCGTATCTGGCATATGAAGGAAACCACAACGAATACATCTCTAAACTGCAGCATCTCCAGGATCCGTTGGAACTCGGCGAGAAGTATGCAATCGTAGGTAGGTTCTTTGGTTCAAATCAAAAGCCATTCTGTTTCATTCGTGCAATAAGAAAACAAGATTTCATACATCACGGACTCTCTGACATAAATATACCACACTATCTAGCCTACGGAGATGCAGCAGCATTAGTCCTCGAAGCATGTATGAAGCCAATGCCCAAACTGGTCGCCGTCATCGCATATTACCCGCCACACATGCCGAGAACGACGACCAACTTCCCCCCGACGCTCAATGTGCAAATCCATCTAGCAGGCTCGCAGAAATTCGGCACACGCCATCCTAGCTTCCGATACGAGCACACGCACGAGGGGTTCGCGGAGCACGACCTGGAGGAGTTCAACAAAGTCGCCGCTCGACTCGCATGGTCACGCGACATAGCCCTACTGCACCGCTCCTTCGACATGCCGGAGTACGACCTGGAGGGCATCTGGGACCACCAGCAGCAGCTCGAGCTTACGGAGAAGGACGCTGACAAGGCCATGACGAACATGGTTTCCGAGCCGTATGTCAACCACGTGCCCACTATGACCGGGGGCATCGGGAAAGACGATCTACACCGCTTCTACTCAGACTTCTTCATGCCAGGCAACCCGCCATCGCTGAAGACCCGACTCCTCTCGCGGACCGTGGGCTCCGACCGCGTCGTCGACGAGATGCTCGTTAAGTTTACCCACACGACAGAAATGCCCTGGATATTACCAGGGATACCGCCGACGGAGAAGAGGGTGGAAATCGTGCTCGTCAGTGTGGTCTGCATTCGAGGTGGCAAGCTGTACCATAAACATGTCCACTGGGATCAGGCCACAGTGTTGGTGCAGATTGGTCTGATCGATCCAGAGTATATTCCCAAGTCGTTCAAGACGGCGGAAGAAGGGAGGGAGCAAGAGGTCGAGAGACTTCCAGTGTGTGGTAAGAAGGCGGCGAGAAAGGTCGTGGACGAATGTAGCCATGAGAGCAATGAGTTGATAGACGATTGGTAAGGGAGAGGGCAGAGTGGGGAACGAAAGACTGTCACTTTGAATTCATTGAACCGTGTCGGGCGTCAGCATGGAAAGGAATCTGGACCTCTGGCGTCTCGACTTCAGGCGCTCAGGTGATCGCGAAGATATTCAGCCACAGGTGGACTTATTGTTTGAATAATGCATGTACAATTGCTGCCTGGGGGATAATCAAAAGCGCCAGCAACGCAACCCAGCAACGCCCCTCCCTAAGTTCCATGTTCTCATCATAACTTGCCCTTAGCGACGGGCACCCTGACACCACTAGTGTCTGCCAACAGCCTTAGCCTGCCCGCGAGGAAATCCTCCCATATCTCCCTGAACCTGGCCAGCTCAGTACGAGCATAGTCTTCTACATCTCTCCACATCCTTCTCCCCACACCCTCACTGTCTAAATATTCCAGGTCCGGCGTCAGGATCTGGGTCCGAAGATATTCCCTGCCGAGCCTCTGGCTTTCAAAGAGGTCTAGCATGCCCTCTAATCGCGGGATCTGTTCCCCGCTCTCCACCTTCATGTGTTCGAGCAGTTCGGCGAAGAGCTTGTCGATCACGCTGGGAAAACCATCCGATTCCAAGGACAAATCGAAGAGAGCCAGAAGTTCGAGCCTCGCGTGGTCGTGGTCGGTGCGGTCATGCTCTGCCATTTCTCTGCCTTCATCCCCTAGCTGCTGGATGAATGCAGGTCGCATGACGATGTCTTCGGAGACGTCATGACGTACGAGCCGCCAGGTTACCTCAAGTAATAACCGGCCACGGTCAGCGGCAGTGCGGGCTTTCTTCAGCCGTCCGGCGTACTTGTTGATATTGTTGTGATCCTGTTCGATGATGGCGGAGAATGTAGGTGGAGAGCTGTATGCGGGAGCAGAGGCGCTCGCCAGAGCGGTCATGGTCGATTGGGAGTTTTGATTTAGTAATGAGGGAAAATGCGTCGAGTCTTCCTTGGTTGAATGATCTTTCATGCCAATTTCGCAGGATGGGAAGTGGGTGAAATATGTATTCATCACTGAAATAAGTGATACAAATAATGTAAGATCGACACCAGTGAAATGAGCGACAGTTGTAAGAAGAGTCCAGCACTCTATCGGAGTGCGCGACAGATGTGACCGCGGAGGGACTAGTGGCAACGGCTGACAGAGCCCTGAATGGGATGTTCAAACGAGAGCGAGAACGAGTGGACAACCTTGAGATCCGTCCCGTCCCATGATTGCTGAGATGGCACAAATAATTTGGGTAGTGGGCAGTGGCTTCACCTACTTAGAGACGTCCAAGGTCCTCGGTACCTCGTATAACAGATGGAACAGGGGAGAGGCGGGAGATGCAGGACAAGCGAAAGGGCCAGATTCAGAAGACACAGCCGTCGTGCCCACCGAAAACCTCCACTAACAGTCTCGAACCTTGAGAGACAATCGTGATTGGTGATGGAAGGCGAATAAAATCTGCTCCAAAGGGTGGAGTCACATGTCGCAGGAGATGATAAGACTGGGCCTGCGATTGCCGCTTTAAATATTCTGGTCCGTGACGTCACATTCCCTCGAGACCGAGTCTACAGAACGTCCTCCCTCCGTCTTTTGTAACGAGCCACCTTTCTAAGTCTTCGCCGAGCAGCCTTTGACTGCCGCATTCCCTCACAGTATAACTAGAGGTAAGGAACTTCGTACCTTCCTACCCCACGCGGAAATGACGCAGATGAGGCGAGGTTTATAGACTACTGACAGTGCTGCCTGCGTCCTAGCTCGCGGCTGGAATCAGCTAACCGAGTCCACCGCTGGCTAGGTATTGTGTGCTAATGTGGCTCGATCATGCACAATGTAATATACTTGCACGCAGCCACGCTTTGACGCATCCACCTCTTTACAGCCTCAAGGCATGTTGTAAGACGTTGGCGGACGGCACCGTTCAAGGAGAGAGGATCTATAGTACGGCTCTCCAGCTTTAAACAGTGGCCAACCTTCGCTATACAACTGGTAAACTCGACAAGTGTATGCCGACGGCCCTTCTCACCATCCCCACCACTGATAATCATCGTCTGGGCCCTGTCCAATGCCGACCTGTCCTTAGACTTTGACGAATTTCCAGTTCTGATCACTTCCGTCTCGACGATCGTTGTTGCTTACGCTGTTCAACGTGGAAAGTCGAATTGGTTGGCCGGTGCTCTTCTGATCAAAATCTATGTGACCGTGGTACTAGCGACGTATTTTGTCCATTGACTTTACTGACTTTAGGATTTCTAAACAATCATGTCATATTTAAGCCCAGTTTCTTTGAATCTTTGAATCTTTGGCTCACTATTAATCTCAAACTGTATTACTGAGCTTACGCGATTCTTTCCCAAACCAGTGCCTCTTGAGGACTACTACTCACGACACGCAATTTATATGCAGGTGCCTCCGGCAAACTGGAAGTGAGTAGGCGTAAGCATAGGGCAGCAGACCCCTCGGCCCCAAACCAGTTAGGCTCTCTGGCAGTTCCACCTGCTTGGCAACCCGCAAAACGCCAAGGAATTATGGACCCGCCAGGATTGATGCGAGCAAAAGTACCATCGATGGAAACGTCCCAGGCTCGTGGAGTTGCCGGTGCGCCGTTAGAGCAGGTTGTTCTAATCCTTTGTGGGCGATCTCAAGCGAGCGGCCGCCCTCTCGCTTGCTTCTTGAGCGGAATAATCCAGGGTGTTTGACGGTACTCCGTAGTGAGCTCGAAACAGAGAACTTAACCCCGGCTTTGTTAGGACAGCTTTAAGGAATCCCGCGGGTGCTTGTTGACCTCTCCATACTACGAAGTCCACACCATGTACCCACTACCCTGTACGGGCATGACGATGCAGCTTCCAAGTTCTCGGTGCATAGTTACACATGCAAAAACACGCAAAAGCGGGAGATTTGCTCTAATTTGAATCCTCTTTATCGGAGACCTTGGTGTCCAGCTTGATACCGTCCATTGTGGTCAATAGCTGCCCTCAAGCTGTAGGCTCCACATTAATTACAATTCAACGGCATCCCGCTCAAACGCAGCAAAAAAGAAGTCATTCGGCACTAACGCTAAAGACTGATGTCTGAAACAAGCTCTGTGGATATCCAGCTTCATCGTGGTCCGACTTGCTCTCCAGAATCATACACTTCTCGGCTGTCCCAAATCCGGCGTAATAAAGCCTCTTCCGGTGAGAGCCCGTCTTGTTCATCGTCCTGCAACTCGTCCAGGCTGCCATGTGATGGAGTGACTTCAATATCGTCATGACTGGTCTGTCTTTGGAAGTGGACTCTCCCTCCTCCTCGACTGGACGATCGCAAAGCCAAGGGGGACGGCTTTCTGTCCTCTAGGCTGCGGCTAACACCACTTTTCGCAGCATGTCCGTTGGCATTATTCGAACTCTGTCCGCGCCTGCTTTGTGGCCTGCTCTTGGAGAATGCCCCACCGACAGAGACTGCCCCAACGTCCTGAGGCAGTGTTCCACTTTCTTTGAGTCTGATCATGCTCTCAACGATCGGGCTTCGAAACCTTCTTACCACTGTTAGCTGCTTGATTGCACCCTCGTAGTCTTGCTTAACAGCTTTGATCTCTCCAGCAATGGTACGGCCGCCTGCTAGGTTTCTGTTTCGACTTCTTGATCCTGTTCTACTTTGCAAAGAGGTCGAAGATCCCAGGTCCAATCCCATTCCTGAGGGGGGCGGTGTGGTTGGTGTCGATGCACTAGCACGTATCATCTCCCTCCTCTGTAGTTCAAGTTTCTGCTGTGTCCGCGAGGGGGCTTGTTGGCCTCGTGGTTTGTGAAATGTCCGTGCTTTCTCAGGACTCTCCGAGGGCTGAGGTTTGTAATTTGAAAGAAACCCTGAAGGTGAACCCGAGTCCAAGTCCTCATCAATGATTCGCTGTGAAGAAGCTGGGTCCTCAAGAAAATGCGATACGCCGCCATCGATCAAAGAAGACTGCCCAGGACCGGGCGTGGTTGGCGTGGAATTCATAGATGCTGCTTCGGCGTGGGTGATTTGGGAGAAGGACTTGGAGGACTCTGTTCGTGTCAATTGGGTTGGTGTAACATGTGCTGAGATGGTGGACATTGCAGGAGGTGCTCGAGATCCACGTGTCTTCTGTTGAAGCAAATGTGGTTCAGGCGGGGTCCGTGAGGGAGACATATCAGACTGCTTCCACAGGTTGGGTGCGGAGCGGTTATTGTTCTTAAGAGAAGGCTGAGGTGGTGATGATGTGTGCAAAGGATGACTGATGGAAGTTTCATGATGTTCCTTGGGGATGGACTCGCCGTTGGGGGTCGCCGTCCTAGCTGGGGTGGATGTCTTTGAGTTGTTGCGAGTGGCTTCCGGCGATTGTGTTGTAGAATCCTCCCATTCTGCCTCCTCTTCATCCTCTGAGGAGTGATCGCCGATTTGAAAGACATTATCTCTTCTATCTTTGTTCTTCCTCTTGGGGGCAGGCGCTAGACCAACCTTCTTTAATGCTGGGTGGGAGAGGTTTCTTGCCAGGGTATTTGCCGAATGATTCTTCCGCAGGTTGCCATGGGAAAGATTCTTGGCCAATGCAGCTTGCGAAGCGTTCCGACGCACCAGTGGGACCCCAGGGCTCTGAGGGGGCGTGGAGCCAGTTGATTTCTTCCTCTGGTGTGGGTGTGGATGCGCGTCTGAAGCAATGTTCGCTGTCGAGTGAACTTTGCCCAATTTACCGAGCCCCTTCCCGTGTGAGACGTTTCTTGAATGACGACTTACAACATGAGGACGGTGGACCTTGTGCATCGTTGTCTGTTTGCCTGATGAGGATAGAGAATGTGTTGAGGGTGCACGCTCGGTTAGCGACGGTCGCTTCATGGGGGAGGGGGAGGAGGAAGGCATGGTGTTGTGGGTGTCAAACGATGCCAATGATCAACTGGTTGAGGTAATCCTCGTCAAGATATAGACATGATGAAATGAATGTAGGAAGAAACTGTACTTGTCGTGTCATAGACGAAAATGATATAGAAGGTTCTGTGACGCAAGACTGCCGTGACCACACGGTTGAGGTTGCTGGCAACTGCTACCCGAAGTAACTCTGGCAATCTTTTGGCGGGCACGCCCGAGGCTGCATTCATATGCACGTGATTCTTTTTCGGTTTGGAATAAGTATTGTCCGTCACCCTTCGATCCATCACTCGTTGAGTGATTGAACACCAAAGTTTCTTGTAGCATTCAGACTGTCGTGCAATGGCTGAAACAAGAGAAAGGATCGGAAGCTTGAGTCTTTTCTAGATATGCCCTAGTATCCTATTGTGAGAACGACAAAGATGCAACACGGCCATCCACATCATTCTGCATTTTCTATCTTCGACTGTTGTGGATGTGACCGTGCCTCGCCGATGATCAACACCTGAGGCACCTGGTTTGTTATATGTTATTGCATGGGACCGCTGATGTGTTTGAAACCATAAATTAGGAACTAAATCCCACAATCTATTCCATTGGTGGTGATATGGTTGATTGCCGGCTTTGATCCCAGCAACGTGAGCTTGCCTCATTGACTTTCCAACACACACTGAATGCATACTCCGTATTCCTATGCTTCAAGTTCCTCGCTCATTTCAGCTCTCCGAGTAAGAAACCCCGTCTAACCAAGAGATCCCAACCGCTTTGGAAACACTCCTACTCTAACTGGTCCTGGCTGGTTACCACAGCTAGTGCAAGCCCTTGCGATGCCCCTGGTTGCTCGCCCCTTTTTACTCTTGGCAAATGGCTATCGACCACAGGGCGCTTAAGCAGGTGTGATTCTAGGCACAGAGGTCTCGACCGTTCTCAAATTGTATTATCTTCAAGGATCCAGGACCTCCAATACGAAGGACTCCGGATATGGCTTTGACTCAAAACAACGCCTCCCCCTCGATACATGACCCCCGAAGAGGCGCTGCATCTGGACGGGGAGGTTGGTACAGGTGAGGGATTCTCGTGACCAATTACTAATAGAGCAAGTTTTTCGCTTGCTGAGTGCCTGCTTTAACTTCAACACTCTTCATTGCGTTCAATAGTGAACAATTATATGCAACATACCATGGATTCTTTCAGCTACAGGCTCTTACCTCATGTCGTGATACTCGCCTTGTTGCTCCCCATCATTACTCAAGCGCAAACTGCATATCAAGAGATATTCACTCTCGACCCTTTCTCTCTTCAACAGACATGCGTCCAATACTGCTTCACGACTTCGCTGAGTGGCTGCACGACCGATGTGCTCGCTGATGCGATCGGATGCCCGTACAACCCATGCGATGAGCCATTTCAGGCCGTCGACGACTGCTACTGCCGTTCGGACCTCCAACCCGCGGCCGAGAGCTTCCTTACCTCTTGTATCAAAGAGTCTTGTACGGTGGGCGATGTTTCTGGCAATATAGCCAGTGCGTCTAGTCTCTACGCCGGCTACTGCACATCAAAAGGCTTTACTGCTGCACTACCTGCGCAGAACACCGCCGAAACCACTACTGCAGGCACCTCTGGGGCCTCGAGTTCACCAGCAAGCCGAACGGGCACAACCTCCGCGGCTTCGACCGGGGCGTCAGACGGGAATTCTACTTCCTCAACGCAATCCTCAACCAATAACACTCTGACTACCGCCTTGGGAGCAGTGGGAGCAGTTGCGGGAATCGCCATTATCATTGCAATCATTTGCTTTGTGAAACTCAGGAAGCAGAAGAAACGCTACCCGAACGGAGGGAGCGCGCCATATGATGTTTACAATCGATCGGTAGTCGGGGACTCACCCTCTACACGCTATCTACGCTCGCAAGTTAGCAGCCGCCTGTCCGATGATGCTCCAACAATATTTCCCCACGAATCTGCCTCGGTCCTGGGCGAACCCGTCAATCTTCCGCGGTACCCAGCGTCCCTCCCAAGTTTAGTTTCGACAAACAGGCCCGATGAGTCGAGTATCGGCACCAGGAGAAACCGTCCCCAGTTCTAGAGTCTTTAGGGATTTTTGTGGTGTTAGTGTGAGATCGAACTTGTGATGGGATAGAAAGATCTCTCGCTTCATGAGTCCATGATGGTTTGTATAAGGCGCTCGGGACATTCCTTGGAGATTCTCCTGCCAGTTTGAGATTTTCTTTCCTAGTCCTATGCTGGATATATTATGTATTTCTCTTCATTAGACCAGTATTTCCAGACCTCGATTGACTCAATACGGAGTCTGTGTACTCTGTTGCACATCGTCACTCGCTCCAGCTCTACCAGATGGCTTGCGCTCATGCAAAGATACCAAAGCAGGGGTGCCTAATGCGGACAAGGGGTCTAGCGAAATAGCAATCCAATTCGGTCTAGTCTGCAGCCTCCTTGCAACATGAGACTTTGATTGCAGCTCCGTGAAGCCATTGTGCTTCAAGCTTCACTAATGACCTCGTAATATCCCCTGCCAAGGCATATCTCGCTCACAGATTGTGAACTTGTCGGCAGCTGTCGGTTCCTATACGAGGCCCTTTAACCCATTGAGAATCTGCCTTGAGACCTCCTTGCCACATAATGTGCAAGAAGTTTGCAAGCCTCGCCTTTGTGGCGTCTTCGAATCATGCATACTTGCAAATCCAAACAGAAAGACACCCGTCACCTCGCATTGACGTCGCCTCCTCCACAGCCTATCCGTGTCGCACGCTGCCCGAGTTTCTGTTTAGATTGTTGTGCAGGGGTCTAGTCCAAACCAGCTGGGACAAGGCTGAAAGTCGGCGCTAAATTTCAACGAGCCCCTGAATCACATGGCCATGGCAGGAATAGTGGTGGATTCTGGACAATGCATTAGGCTGAATAATAATAGTATACCAAGTAACCTAGACATCGCTGCATCGCTGCATCGCCTTTTTGATAGCATCCGTCTGTTCGATATCTCTACCTTCGATACCGAATTCTGCTTCTAACCACCATAGACATGTCGCAGATTAACGAACAAGCAAATGGGGTACCTTTTGATGGAGGTTGTGACAGTGAGCTGGAGACCAGGGGTCTTTGCCTGCTATCGCTGGACGGCGGAGGCGTGCGTGGACTCTCGACTCTCTACATCCTTAGGGGCTTGATGCAGCGACTCAACGACGAACGCGAAGAGTCGAACCTACCACGCGTGAAGCCATGCGACATTTTCGACCTCATTGGGGGTACCAGTACAGGCGGGTAAGCGCTCTATTCTCCCTTTATTTAAACGAGTGGGTTATTTTGGTAAAAGGTGCTGAGAGAGGCTGAGACTTCCGCCGATAGATTGATCGCGATCATGCTGGGGCGACTTGAAATGGACGTCGACGAATGCATTGCGGCATATAAAACTCTGATGAAGACGGTGTTCGAGAAGAAGCGAAGCCTTTTCTCGGTGGGACTGACAGGCAACATTAAGGCTCGATTCTCTTCCAAGGCGCTCGAAAGGGCAATCAAATCGGTGATCGAGGCTCGCGGAATTCCGGTCGATGATCCATTTTACGTCAAAGTGGAGGATGAACAGTTGCGCAAGTGCAAAGTGTACGAGCCCAGAAGTTCCTTCCAGAGTTTCTGTCCATTCAACTAATCTCGAACTCTGTGTAGATTCGTTTGTGTTAAGGCAAAGGAGACAAACCACATCAGCCGTCTGCGGGCGTATCGCCTTCGTGGTCGATCTCCTGACACGTTTACGATATGGGAGGCCGCACTTGCTACCTCAGCCGCCCCAACATTTTTTGATCCTGTGCAAATTGGCGATCGTACTTACGTGGATGGTGCGATGGGGGCCAACAACCCTTCATTTGAAGTAGAGAAAGAAGCATCGAATATCTGGTGTGAAGTTTCCGGTAGGCTGGAGCCACTGGTGAAAATGTTCATCTCTGTTGGCACAGGAAATCCAGGGATCAATCCCGTGAGTGATCGCGCGTGGAAGTTTGTATCTGAGAGCATAGTCAAAGTCGCAACCGAAACAACCGAGACAGAGGAGATGTTCTCAAGTCGCTGGAGAGGCCACCTAGACGCTCGATATTTTCGCTTCAATGTTGAGCAGGGGCTTCAAAATCTTGGTATGGCAGAGTACCAGCAGTTTTCGCTGATCTCAGCTGCCACCGATGAATATTTGGAGAGTGGCAAGACTGGTCCTAGAGTCCGGACCTGCGTTCTCAATCTGAGAAACAAAAGGTGTTTGTACTCCTCTTAACCATCATCGACAGCTATGGCTTCATGGCTGACCAGTACTGCAGACTCACCTAACGAGGACTTTTGCTTAGAGCAGGCGGCAGCCCAAGAGAGAGAGGATCAGAATAAGCACCGAGAAACCCAATCCATCACTGCAACAGAAATATGTGAGCTGAAAAATCCCCCCGTTCAGCAGTATCATCAATCGTCGTGCACCGGGTTCTAACAAAACTATTCAGCAGAATTGATAGGACGAGGCAATGCCAGTCTGGCTCGTAACCAGCACTCGAACAGTCACAAGGACCTAGTGGACGCGTACAACAATTTCGCTCGAGCGTTGCGTGCGAAGCGACAACAAGTTCCTCCACCATCCGCAAAGGACCTGGCTCGGACATACCAAAAATTGATGTCCACTTGCCTCAGGCTGAGCTATTATCTTGATTTCCCAGCGTCAAAGCGCGTAACCTATGTCAGTGAGGCCGAGAAGTTCGGGAAATACGCATTGGAGAATGCGATCAAGTCGCAGAACGATGGCAGGGTCGCACAAATGCAATTCTATCTTGCGTGTGTCAAGGCTCGAGAAATTCAGCTGCGAATGGATAGTGAGGGTTTGATTCGATCCACGGCCCAGCTTCCGGAAAAGGAGGCTGCACTGACTTCCCTCAGAGGGGCGTTGTTGTATCTCCGTACGATAGGGAGTGTTGACATGTCGGTATATGAAGCAATGGCTGACGAATATTTACCATATCTAGGAGACGGAGATTCTGCTCGTGTTGCAAGTTAGTATCATATTGGATACGGCGCCTTGAGACCTTTGCGTTAAACTGGAAGCTTTTCTGAACCAATATGAAGACAGACTTAGATATAAGATGATGTTGTCCACTGCCATGAGGACAAGGCTGTTCCTGTTGGAGCGAACCGTGCTTAATTCGCGAAGTATGCCGAAAAAAGCAATTAAAATGTCTTCTTGAATTGCCCTAATGGCCCTTCAGATATCCGAATTACCAAAGTCTCACCTGAACGCCATGCAAAAAGAAAAAATTGTGATCTATTCAATGACCATTCAGCAAATATTTGCTAGGTAGCCTAGCCTCCCAAGCCGTTTTGATCTCAGCTTCAGCATCGTAACCATAGCACCAACGTTGGGTGGTTGGGTCACTCCACTGATTAGCACTGGTTGTGAACTGACGGCCTTCGACCTCAGCTCTAGTGGCAGCATCTCTGGCACGTTGCTCGGGTCCATCCGGGAAGTGCCACAGCTTTCCATTGATCAAACTTGCCTCTTGCATCTGGCTGGTTCTTAAGATACGGACGGATTGCCAGACGTCCAGAGCTTGGGGTAGGTCAGCCATATCGTCGACAAGGTCGATCGCTTCAGCCAGTGCTGCTGCATCTTCGACTGCCATCGCAGCACCTTGTGACATGTATGGTACCATGGCGTGCGCTGCATCGCCCATGATCAGGAGTCTATTCGAGGAGGCAATCCACCTTTTTAATGGGCTACCACTCAGCAAAGGCCACTTTAGGGTGGTGTCTATCATATCAATGATTCTGGTGAGCGTCGGATCCCAGCCTGTGAAGTGCTCTCGCATCTGGGAAAGAATGGTTTCAGGGCCCTGTTGAGTCCAGGTTGCAGGGTCAGAACGATCCGGATGTGACAAAACCATGTTGAATGCCTTTCCACCAGAGATGGTGTACGTCATGACGTGCCGCATATCTCCAATCCAAAGATTCAAGCCTGGCTTTGAGAGAAGTTGTGCAGTATCTGGGTAAGCCTTCATCTTCTCAACATCGACAGTGGCCCGATACGCGGCAAAGCCGGTCCGCAGAGGAAACTGGTCAACTCCGTCGAGCACTTTGCTCCTCCCGATCGACTTGACGCCATCGGAAGAGACGACTAGATCTCCTGTATAGATCTTGCCATCCTCCACGGTGATTGATGGGGCATGTTCATCGTAGTCAACAACCTTGGAGTTGAGAATGACTTCCACACCCCATTGAAGAGCTAATTGGTATAGTGCATCATGGAAATGTGCTCGGTGTACAACATAGTACGGAGCATCAAAGTTCTCTTGGAACTCAGGGACAAGCTTGGTAAGAGCAATGACTTCACCGTTCTGCCAGCGTTTGAAGGCGATGCTCTCAGGGGTTACCACTTTTGCGGCAAGATACGGCTTCAGTCCCCATTTGATCAGGAGACGGCTAGAGTTGGAAGGGATCTGAATGCCAGCGCCGACCTAGACGAGTGGAAACTTTAGCAGGTTTCCGACACATGTCAACTTATAATTGAAGCATACCTCCGCTAAGAATGGTGCTTGTTCAACAACAGTCACTTTGTGGCCTCTCCGGGAAAGGGCTATCGCTGCCGCTAGTCCACCAAGACCGGCACCCACGATGACAATTTTGAGATTCAGTTTTGAGGACTTGTCGCCACGTGGCAGTCTAGATGCATGATCCATTGCCTCTTGCTGCGCCTGTTCCTTCCTTAGCTTGGTGAGGAAGTCCAAGCTGCCCGTTGGGTATGAAGCAGTCTACACCATGGTAAGTGAATGCTGCCTGGCCATTGGTTAAAGGCTCACATCAGGCAGCTTAATAAATTGCGCAGTGTCTTCAGACTTCAAAGTGGGTGTGCCCCTTCCATTGGCCGTTGTTTCTGAACTGGGTTGAATCATCCTGAGATCACTGATTCCGTTGGTTCCAGATGTTCGGAATGTATTTGAGTTTTAGAGACTATGGGATTTGGTCCAGGAAATAGCCAATGTCTTGGTGATTTGTATAGAATTTCTTGTTGCAGGTCTAGGATGATGATCCAGTGTTCCGAGTATAACAGCCGATATTGACCCGCACATATTCGGAGACTGTGTTGATCATCAGTGGTTCGGAAAGATGAAAGTCGTTTTTGTGGGGAGATCCGTCGGGGAAGCATCGGGAAGTGAATCTCGCCCAGCATGGATCAACCCATATTGTGCTCTTCAGACAATGGCAGCGGAATCGCCTTCTAACTTATCTTTAACGCCGAACGCATTTAATAGAGGACATCTTTCCTGGTAGCTTGAAGTTTTGACCAGCAACAAATAAAGGGCAACGAACAGTGCTAAAGCGTCAAGAAATTGTTGAATAAGGCAAGATACTTACTTCATACATCATGGCAACGCAGACCACCACCATCTCAGAAACCAAGGCTCCGGCTCGGACGTCAGCCCAGCAAAACAAGGAATTGGTAGAGGATGCTCTGAAAGTGCACACCAAACCACTATGGACGCAAATGGCAAAGCTAAACCCTCCCGCTCCCAATCCTACCTGTATCCCACACATCTGGCGATACGATGAGGTTCGACCAAGTCTGCTCCGCGCTGGGGAGATTGTTCCAGAAGAACAGGCAGAACGGCGGGTGCTGATGCTGGTCAATCCTGCTAGAGGTCAGTCTCTATCTATTCCATTCCTTTTGGATCGCATTGCTAACCACAAGAAGATGCTCCATATACGACCGATACTTTATACGCTGGACTTCAGCTTGTTATGCCAAACGAGACAGCAAAGGCTCACCGACACACTGCGTTTGCGATGCGTTTTATCATCGAGGGTACAGGTGGCTTCACCGCCGTTCACGGTAAACGTATCACCATGCAAAGGGGGGACGTTATACTCACACCCACCTGGAATTGGCATGACCACGGCAAGGACGGCTCAGGTCCAATGATCTGGCTAGACGGGCTTGACCTTCCCAACTTCCGACATTTCCCAGTTCACTTCGTCGAACACTACCAAGACCCAAGATATCCAGCCAAGGACGTTGACTCAAGCGATTCGCCAATTGTCTTCCCCTGGACGGCGATGCAGCAAAGACTGGACGAGAAATCAGGCAACTGGACGTCGGAGGATTATCTGAAGAAGGATGGAAGATCGGGTAAGCCACATCCACCTCAAATTTGCTTCGACAGATGGCATTCCGGACATTTGGCTAACCTTTCCGTCAATTTATAGTCTCAAAGATTCTTGGTGGATCGGCTGAACGACTCAATGCAGGTACTCAATCTCCTGCAGTGCGTGAGACGGCTTCCTCCGTCTACCACATCGTCACTGGCAAAGGGTACAGCGAAGTCAACGGACAACGCATCCAGTGGAAGCAGGGTGACACTTTTTGCGTGCCGGCATGGAATAAATATCAGCACAGCGCGGAGGGTGAGGAGACTGTGTATCTGTACAGATTCCACGATAAGCCCATGTTGACCTCCCTTGGATTTTATCGGGTTGAGGGTGTCGATGTCGAAACCCTTGTGTCGGACTAATCACAGTTCACCACTGAACTGTTCTGTTGCAACGCAAGCATTTGCGTGAAGTTGGAAGAAAACCTATTTGTGTTTTATAAGTCATTACTAGATGTGATTCCCCGATTTTGAGAAACGTATATACACCTTCAAACTCTTGATTGGACATTGGCCCGACATTTTTGTGCTCTGACTGTCAATTCGTGTAATATTCTTGAAATGATATCTAAATCTGTAGATTGCACGATCTTGAAGCTTGAACAAATAATGACCAGGCCACGTCTTTCCATGAAAAAACATGATCGGTGGTCTGCAAAGACTTGATGGTGACTGACAAGAAAAAAGTTTCTTGTTTCCGAAGTTTCGCACCAGCTTGCTCAATAATTCCCCCCCCCCCCCCCCAAGACGAGAGTGATTGGCCAGAAGCGTATTATCCAGTTGACGTGTATAGATCCTAAATAAACTCAACACAGCCAGATATGCTATTCAAAAGACCTGCCGGCCCCCACCACATCCATGTATTCTCATGTAGTTATCCCCAACACCGTTGCTGAAAAGAGGAGGCTAAAAGAAGAAAGCCAAAAACACCAGTCTCCCAACCTGCTTACTAGTTACGAACGTCATCGGTGATGGTCATATACAGACGAAAGGGCCTATTTGCGTTTGCCTGCAAGACTCATAAGCCTCCGACGTCGCTCCTCCTTTTCGCGTTTGAGTCTTTGCTCCTCTGCTTGCTCTCGGGCATCGTCCACTTTAGCTGCTCTCGTCGCGAAACGTTCCTCTTCGTCGATGTCAAAAGCTCCTGCTTCCATATCAGACGAGGCCTCTGAGTCATAATCTCCCTCGTCCTCAGATTCGGCTTCGGAATCTTCTTCTTCGTCAGTGCCTAGATACTCGTCATATCGGTTCTTCTTGAGACCAGGCGGGAGTCGCGGTTTTGATGCAGACTTCCCCATTGTACCTTTGTATCCTGTGGATGGTGCATGTAAAGGTGGTCGAGCTACTTTTGGAGCCCGCGGTTGATCTGACTTCTTGGCAGGGCTGACACTGCGTCCTTTTTCTGTTCTGGCGGATTTTGCTGACCGAATAGTGGGTTTCTCCTTTGCCGCTCTTGCTTTCTCTTCTTCTTGCTTCTTCCTCTCGGCCAACTTGGAAGTTTTCTCTCGATTTGTGGCTTGGTGCTTGATCATTCCCACTTGATTTTGAGATTTCGCCTCCTGTGCCTGCTTCGCACGTGCCATTATATCTGCGTATGATCCTTTCGCAGGCAGCTTTGCATTTAAAGTCGTCGGTGTCACTGGAGGAGTCGTGCCAGCTTTAGACATAGTAATGATGGTATCAATCTTCGGCTTGGGGGCAGGGGCAACCTTGTCAGCTAAAGGTTTTGGGGCATTGAGCGGAGGTGCAGTGGTGCGTCTGTTCACGGTGCCAGTTAAACCAGGGCTAGGATTTGGTCTGGTGTGCTTTTCAGGTACTTTTACTGAATCGTCGTCGGCTTTTCGTTTCGTGCCGTTCAGTGGCGAGGGTATAGCCGGAAAGCCTGGGCGTATGCCAGGTCTACTAACGTCTGGCGTCTGACGCTGTGGATTTGCGCCTGTCGGCCGGGCGAGTGGTTTTGGAGGGGTCGGTGCTTTCCCACTGCCAATTGAATTGACGATATCGCCTAGGAAGCTCATGTTGGTGCGTGGAGGCCGAAACCAGAAGAAACAATGTAATTATGTCAGGTATTGAAGAGTTGGCTTGTGAGGCATGATCACCATATTTGCTCCATCAGCTTATACGGAACCTCGTCGTGTTTGAGTGAGAAGAACAATGTGACGACTAGAACATTGAGTGAAGCATGATACAGGGGATATGAGTGCAAAGAGCAAGCAGCAAAAGAGAAGAATGAGACAGAAGAACAAAGAGAAGTGACTCCCCGCAAGACCAAATTCACCCGCCCGTTTTCGTGGATTTTAATGGCAAGTTAGCCGATCCGCTTGGTGCCACTAGGCTGTACGATATTATCATTAGCCCCGAATATGAGCGCTGCTTTTAACCAGGCTTGGCTCGGCCGCTCCCCGCGAACTTTTTGACGCACAATCAGAACTTCTTTTGTGCGCCCAGTTTCACCAACACCTAGATTCCACAATCATCTCTCAGAACTTGACGTGCCAGTCTCCGCTCAATTAGCGGTTAAATTGATTGTCTCTCCTGTTCGAAACAGCGTCAAAATCTGTATGTTCACTTTGTGCCAACGATCGGTGGTTGAAGTGCTAATTCACTCAAGAAAATACTCAGAATGAAGCATCTCGCAGCCTATCTCCTCCTTGGCCTTGCTGGCAACAGCTCCCCCTCCGAGTCTGATATCAAGGAGGTCCTATCCTCTGTCGGAATCGATGCCGATGACGAACGTCTCTCCAAGCTCCTCGAAGAGTTGAAGGGCAAGGATATTGGCGAGGTAAGGACAACCCGATGACACTGCCCACAAATATTAGGCTAACACTTGAACAGTTGATCGCTGAAGGATCCACCAAACTCGCATCCGTCCCATCTGGCGGCGGTGGAGGTGCCGCCCCCGCTGCTGGAGGTGCTGCTGCTGGCGGTGCCGCTGCCGCTGAGGAGGAGAAGCCTGCCGAGAAGGAGGAGGAGAAGGAAGAGTCTGATGATGACATGGGATTCGGTCTCTTCGACTAAGCAGCTTTACTCGCGAGTTGCCGAAGTGCATGCCTGAATTAATGCTGCAGTCAACATTGGTCAACCTTCCAGAGCTGCTACGTTTAAGATGGATGCAATCATGGCTAGCCTTGCTTTTGACAAGTCCGCGCAAGGCCGGAGCAGGATTTATGACTGTGCAATGCCAATACAATAGCAGACTCGACTCCGAGACAAATTCTTGTAGAATTGCGAGTCCATTCCGCTAAAATGATGAATGCCTCGTCATTTCATGGAATTAAGAGCCAATGCAATTCAAATCACTTTTCCAAATACATTAGATTTTGATCTTGATGAAGCCTCAGTCATTGTAAGCATTATATCCCATATTTAACATCGCGTTCGAACGCATTTCAAGGGCACTGCAACTCCTTTCAATTGATATGCGATCTGTAAGGAAAATCAGTTATCCGGCATACCTTCCTGCTTGATATGCCAAGATTCCCCTTCCCACAGCGAACACATTTTCCAAATCAGACTTCGATGTTGAACCGCACCCACCTGCACAACTACAACCATCCTCGCTTTTCGACTGTCACATCGAGAAGCGACTCTGCACTCCGACCGCAATCATGGCTGACACCGAATACGTACGTTTCTGGATCCTTTCGCGAGCCTGATCGATTCAACTGACCCCAATGGATAGAACGCCGAGGAGGCCGCCGAGCTCAAGAAGAGAAGAGCGTTCAGAAAGTTTTCCTACAGAGGCATTGATCTCGATCAGTATGTGTTCTCCTCTCTAGCCCGTCTTGAGGCCTGAATTTCCATGCCTGGGAAGAAAAGAAAAGTCCTTGATGATCAGGATTAACATTTGGCTTTTCTTCTAATAGACTCCTCGACATCCCCTCCAATGAACTTCTCACCATCCTCCATGCCCGCGCCCGCCGTCGATTCAACCGAGGCCTCAAGCGCCGCCCCATGGGTCTAATCAAGAAGCTACGGAAGTCCAAGCAGAACGCCAAGCCCAACGAGAAGCCCGACCTCGTCAAGACACACCTCCGAGACATGATCATTGTGCCTGAGATGATCGGTAGCGTCATTGGTATCTACAGCGGCAAGGAATTCAACCAAGTCGAAATCAAGCCCGAGATGGTCGGCCACTACCTCGGCGAGTTCTCCATTTCATACAAGCCTGTCAAGCACGGTCGACCCGGTATTGGTGCTACTCACTCTTCGCGATTTATCCCTCTGAAGTAGAAGTTGTTGAAGTGGCAGATGGGTTTCGAAATGGCTTTTTCTGCGGATGAGAGGTGCACGGGTGAAAGAGGATATTGTCACAAGCATGGAGAAAGCTGACGGTCCCTCTATTGTATTGCTATGAAAGCAACGGATCTCATGCCTAGCAATGACTCGATGGTCAGAAGACTGTCAATGAAAACTACAATATTTGCTGCGAAGAGGGCTGCTCGCCAATGCGCCGATCTGGACCATAGGCTGATCGCTGCTAGAGCGGATATGTTCTACCCGCTGGATGCCCGGAACGCCTCGCTGTGAAATACAAATTCCTGCCCCTCCCAGATTCAAATGTCCGCCAAATTCATCTGCGCCAAAGACCTCATTGTGCGCCTTATGCTGATTACTGTCCGTCGATTTCTTCTTGACAACTGTCTGGAAATTAGTTCCACGTGCTAGGATCCGTAGGAGTTGATTCTTCGTGATCTTCCGCCTCCTGCTCCTCGTCAGAAGAGGCTTGCGGCGCAGCTATGGGTTGTTGAAGGTTCGCAGGGTACCCCATTGTAGGGATGCGTGCTTCATTGGGGCCAGGAAGATCTGAATTCTCGCCTCCATCTTCCTCCACCTCGCCACCATGTGCGCCAGACAGGTTCAAAAGGTTGTTGAGGACACCCTCAACTTCACTGACACCATTCATAGGTCGTAATCCAAATTGGCTATTTTCTCGCTGAAGGATATTCTCTCGTCGTAGTGGTGCCCCTGGATCAGCCACCACGATAGCCTCACGGTGTCGGCGTCTGAGATGCTCTTCCTCTTGACTGCGTTCAACTGATCGTGGGCGAACACTGTTGAGTACCGGTAGCAGACGCTCCTCCCACCCCGTCTGAGCACGCTCGAGAGGCACCCCGGCTGTGTCTTCGCCACCGGTCATTACCACATCGTGATCGTCGTGGTCGTGGTCGTGGTCGTCCTCCTCTTCGTCGTGGTCGTCGTGGTCGTGGTCGTCATCATCATCGTCATCATCATCAACATAATCGTGGTCGTAGGAAGCATGCCACCTCGGAGCCCAACCATCGGTGCTGCCAACATTCTCCACGTAACTATTGACTCCTCTAAGGCCAGCATCCAACATCTGTCGGCGTCCCGGAAGATACTTCATGACTTCCTTCACGATATCTGCCATGAGAGGATCATCCATGCCCCAAGAGGACCGCTCGCACAGCCGCGCCACGTCAGAGCGTCTGAAGCCGTACTTTGCGTTCTCTGGCAGTGAGCATGGAAAAGGATATTTGGCAAGCCAGCGGGAGACCAGGCCGGCACGCAACGCGTGGTCCATCGCAGAACTCGTTTTATACCTACCCAGTCTTTGCAGGACGTGATGCTTCAGCATGTGGTTGAGGATGATGAGTAGTGAGGCCTCGTGAGCTTGCCGATGTCTTGGTTTGAGCGGAGATGGGGGCATTTTACCTGCCTCCTCGCTTTGACATGTCGAGCTCCGATCGTGTGCAGCCAGCCCATGGATGAGTGCCTCCACCACGGAAGCCACTGGTCTGTATTCGGTCAACTCATCCGTCACTTTCGTGTCGTTGAGTGCTGGATGGTAGAGAAGCATCCACATTGCATTGATGGCATTGTCGCGCCGTACATAGTCACTGCTGGCGAGATCTCGAAACAGCAAATTCTTGGTGCTCGATCGAATCGTCCGGCTCGCAACTATCTTGATTGCAGAAGTGCGCAATTCATAGCTGTGGCCATCTGCAAGGGTCCGAAGAGTCTCAATTTTCAGTGAGTTTTCCGAGTCTTTCTGAAGGCGTTTGGGAGGAGGTGGAGGATCTGGTTCGGGTGCCCGTGCCTCATCTTTCACTCTCTGTAGAAGCGTCGGGACAGTGAAATACGCTGAGCCGAGGCTTACCAGGAAAAGCGCCCATAACAGTCGGTTTGAATCAAAAAGCGACATGATCGATGCTCCAGTCCGAAAGAGATGGATTGCGTGAGAGGATCAAGGTGGTGCGGGTGGCCGCTGACCCACCAGACCAGGCTGAGGTGGCTGACATAAGCAGGTCAACCCGCACGTTAACACGAGACAAAGACTCTTAGCATTCCCGACCAGCGTCGCTCCAACAAGTCGCCTGCGTTCAAAACATGTGATTGAGTGTGACTCCGTCCCAGGGTCAAGAAGTCATGACTATCCCACCGTGCGCGAGAAACGATGCGATTAAAAACACGTTTCATGAAGCAAGCCTCAAATGACAACACGCAATGAGGTGTGGGATTTATATACTAAGAGTGTACGGTAGTCTATGAGCTTGGTCACTTGAAATGTCAGGAAGTTAATTCCAGTAAGGCTACCGTTAGTCATGGGCCTCCTCAGTGGCACCTGGACAACCTTCCAACTCCTTGTCCGAATATCTATATTTGCACCAGAAGCAGTAATACCAACGCTCGCGGAGGTACGCAACCAGGTTCGCCAACTTCTCAGAGACCTCGAGGGCTTCAAACTGATCAAGTTCCTCGTCGCCATTGTCCAAAGCGATATCGACCTCCTCGGTGTCAGCCTTCTTCGCGAAGGAAATCTGATCCTCGCTCTCTTCTTCTGGGTCATTGTAATCGGCTCGCCTGGAGAGTGACTGATGGAGATCGTACCTCATCCTTCGGTCCCGTTCGTTGATCGCCCTTTGCTTGACAAGACTTCGCCATAGAACATTGACACACTGCAATGGTTTCGTTCGCTTGGGGGTGCCCCTTGCGGCATCCACTTCTGCCTCTTCTTCTTCTTCCAGCCTTTCGCACACTTTCATTGCACCCCACACCTGCCCTTCCATTCTTTTTTCTTCTCGCTCCTTCTGCTGTCTCTCTCTGAAATCGCCGGCCTCGACTTTCCTCTTTTTGTCCACCTGCTGTTGTGCCTCGACTTCCTCCCTGAATTTCCGCTTCTTCTCGGCATCTGCTCCTATACCGCTTCTCGAGTCTTTCATATCTAGACCAATGGGTTCTAGCAGTCGGGTATCTTTCTCACCATCCGCTGGCTCTCGTGCTGCTCCGAGTGCGCTTCCAGCTTTGTATCCCAGTGCCGTCATCATCTTGTACCCTTTATTGTTGGTATCCAGAGCATTCTTGTTCAAGGCCCCGTCTCGTTTCTTGCGCTCTTCCTCAGCCAGCTCTGCTTTGGACTTCGGTCGCGCCTTTTGCTCAGCTTCACGGGCAAGTCGTCGCTTCTTTTGTGTGAGAGTCTCATTCTTCTTGTCAGGAGCAGTGTCCTCGAAACTCATGTTCATGTAGTCATCTTCGTCATCAGCGGCCGATTCCGGAGCCATACTGCTTGGGTAGTCAGGGGACTAATTGGCAGTGTTGGGTCTCAACTTGGACGAGAACAACTTTGATCATTTACAACTCAGTTCACGGCGGCTGTGATCTGCAAGCAAAAATACTTTGATGTGAGGATAGGTCTCTGAAAAGATCTCTCAACATCCTCACCGGTTCTATATTCATAGAACTCATAAGTTGGTATTTCAATCGCAATACTAGCAATATGGTAGACGCAAGACATCTAACTGACTGTCACAGTTAAATGCCACTCCATTGGAGATACATACCGCTTACCCCGACTCTTTGTGTCACGTGCCGAAGGACGTGGACGCCTAAATCTGCTAGCATCAATCCTCGGTACACTAGTTAGTGACTTGGCAATTGTGCCTTGCGGCTCCCTGACTCTTGAGCTGCGCTCCAATCAATTCAATCACAAAACCGGCTTTCCATTGAGCTTGAACTCCAGGTCTCTTTAGTGTTCACTCACCGAATTTGATGCATAAAGCAAAGTCCATCAATTGATGTCGCTACACTCACTACATTCTTACACAAGGCGAACATGACAGACACTGAATCATCTACAACCCTCGAAATTTTATGACTCGGGGAAAACATGCAGCCGACTGCATCTCCCATTCAATCAGTTCCCAACCCGCGAATTTCGTATGGATCTCCGATGCCCTTTTGACGCAGACTCTCTCCCGTTTCTGCCAGCAGCGACGCCATGGTAGCTGCGTTCCGGGCCCGTTGGAAGCTCGTAGAAGGGCGTCGCGCAGGAAGACCACAAGCCTGGCCTTCCCTTCCTGGGGGGATGTTTTCACCAACCCGTCCGAGCTTATAGAACGTGGCGCGCAGCCGGCTGCATGGTGGCAGAATGGTGTGAACTGGAGTCCGGATCAGAGTATGTGATTTATTTTATAAGATGATGCTTGAACTAACAAGGGAAAGCCCGTCACTCATTGCTTTCATGGCTACTACGCCCTCCGAAACCTCCTCCTGTACAGGCCGTGGCCCCTGATGCTATACATACCATAAGTGAGCCCGAACCAGCTCTGTTATCCGGGCTTGTGGCAGACGCGTTGCTGCCAAATATAGAGGGATGCCAGACACTAGACGATATCCGAATTCGAATACAACAGCGCCCTATCAATTTGCAGTGTGTTCCAGCCTTCTGTGACACCGTCCTTGACCACCTCCTCAAATCGCCTAACTGGGCCAAAGAGATTCCAGCACTGTTGACGGCTCCTGAATTCCACCCTGCGGGTTCATCCTTGCATCTCAAGTTCTTCACCAAACTACAAGGGCTCCCTCTGGCACTCCACACGTGGGAACTTATACGGAACTCCATTTTCCAAGCTACAACGTTGGGGTTGGTCTCTCCATCGGATCTCCGCAACATCTTCGCCATAGCTGGCAGCATGAAACTGCCATTACCCAAAGCATCTACTGCACGTACACACAAGGGAAACTTCCTTCACGGCCTAGTAATGGCTATCAATCGCTCTTCGGTCCTGCACCTGAGTGACCTTGGGAAGCCATGTCTGAAGAATCTCATAAGTCTTCTGGGAAAACACGCAAGGTTTAGCAACGCTCTGTTCGTTCTTGGTCCGTGGGCAACTGAAGAGAACGCAGATGTTTTCATCCGTGTTGTGCTCATGCGACTAAAAGATATGCCTCGAACGCAAGAATTGAAGGGCGATGCGACGTACGACCTTGCCAGCGATCTTTCGAAGTTGAAGACAGCCGTACTGCTGCAAGCACTTCCACAGGTATCGATGCACCTTCTCGGTAACCATCCACACGGACCAACAAAGATCAACATTGGCAAATTGACATTCAATAAAATCCTCAAATTTAAGAAAGTACCTAGGTTCTTGGTCAATTGGAGACTGACACTAGCATACCTGGGGACCATTACAAGCAATATGACCACAGAGAATAATCTGTTCACCAATATTCTCAATGGCAGCCCTGATCAGCAATATTCACAGCTTCTGGCAGCTGCCTGGACCTACATTAGCATGTGCCATGACTACGCGGAATCCCGTTCGCTGTTACAGCACGCGGGATTTGCATCAGTCTTCTGTCAGGTGTCTCAAACTGAGTCTAATCCTTTCACCAATGATCGTCTCGGTCGCCTTGTTGTGGAGGTCTACCAGCTCGCGATTCCCAACAAAAGTTTCTTGATTTCCAACATCGCACCATTTATTTTCAACCGTTCTAAGCTCGTAACTTCCCAATCGCAACATAGAACAGCCTTACAAGGTCTGATCAACCGAGACTATTCTATGCTGGTTGGCGGCAACATGTTTCGGAATGCTTGGCAAAATTACCCCTACGAGCTGGTTGACCTCGCCGAGTCTATAAATCCACATCTTGCCCTGTTTAAAGTGCTTTCAAGAAAATGGATTTATCACGAATGGGAGTCTTACTTCGTAATCAAGCGATTGCTCAGGCACAATCACTATCTCAAAGTACTCTTGTCTCAACTGGGACCCGATGGTACTCCATTCAGAATCGCCCAACACTATAAGAAGACTCACCAACTGCAGGCAGAAGGCATGCCAACGCCACTCGAAGCTCTCAGCTTCATCAACCACGTTGCGGCGTCTATTGCGACAACAGAGATGTTTAGCCCTCGAGGGCGTCTCAACAAGCTCTACTGGCTGTATCTCTACTTACACAAAACAAGAGCTCCGATTACCAAGGAATTCACGCAAGCGCTGTGGTATGTCTGTATGCTCCAGAGGGGTGGACGAGGCCCATCATGGGAGTTGCTGAAGTGGGTGCTGGAGCAAATCACAATCGCCGAGGGCGCAGATACCGCCACGCTTCTCCAAGTGAGCTCAATTGCTCGACAAAAACGGCAGGAAGCATATAAAAAGAGCCTCGAAGGCCCAGACGAAGCGGTGGTGTCGAATGCGACCTTCAACGAGATCAATCGCGTCGACGATCTGTACTGGGCCAAATCCCGGAGTCCTAGGCCCCAGCCACGGCTTCGGCGGCAGCAAACGAAAGAATCTCATACGATACTAGATCGCACTACCATGAGTGAGGATGATATTATCCAGATAGTACGCTCGGGCGATCTGGAGGATTTAGAGCTGCGGTGAAAGACAGGCAAGACAAGCTATGATATGGCATGTGGTGACCGTGAATCATGTTTATGATTTAAGTTGCGATCGGGGCGGTTCTACCTCATTCTTAGCTGGCCCATCGATCTGTTATCAGCCTTGGTACTTGTACACTTCGCAGTGTATCAATGATTCCTGAATGTTCAGATCAGTGTGAGACTGGGGGAACACTGGGATGTGCTGGATGTGGGATAAGTAGATCATGCGTTAAGCCTCCTAAGATGGTTTTGACCTTTACCTTTATTGAAACGGGTCGATTTGTTCTAGAAGTAGAACTGTATCTATACCAAATGATTTCCATATACTAATGATCTTTGCTCGATGTTCCGGACAGGGGGGAGATCAATCATTGTAGGGAATTACTACGATTTCTGAATGCCAGTGGCATCTCCCTGAGTCTCGTGCTTCAGCACACTCGTTATGGAGGAGCAACAAGCAAGAGGAGGACGAGGTCGATGATGATGATGATGGTGGTGGTGGTGGTGGTGGTGATGGGGATGATTTTGAGATCGGACGAGTCGACACCGCCCTATTTCGACACATGTAGATGGATATCGGGAACTCCCTTACAGCATTGTCACAAGCCCACGAACTATGTACGGATAGAGAGCTGAGCTTGAAGTGGAGGCCCCAACGGAACTCACGCGGCTTCAACTGCTGCTCTGTTCAAGGGGTTCTTCCTTGGGTATTTGCATCTTCGGAGCAATGGTCCGAAGTAGGATTGAAATGGCGTCATTGGGCAGCGAAGCGTAGCGTGCGGAGAGGTCAAAGTCGGGGTCGAGGCAGGCTAGACCGGGGCAGGTCAAGTCAGCCGGCCATAGAGTCCGAGCAGGGACAGAAAGAGAGAATGAGGCAAGAGCATGCCTGGGACTGTCAATGTCAATGCCAATGCCAATGCAGGGCACGGCCGTGCATGGGCATGGGCATGGCAAACGCCAGTCCGTATTCCATTTCAAATCCAGCCAGGGCATGACACGATCAGGTGTTCGTTCCATGGAACTTTCTCTTAAGTGTGAGGTTTCTGTTTTCTCTTTCCGTTTCCCGATTGACTGATGGACCAGTTGTGAGAGAGAAGGGGGGGAAGGGGGGAGGACCAGCCATCGAGAATACGAGAAAAGTCCAAGGTTGAAAATGACGTGGATTCTCCCGATGCATGTTAATGAGCTCACCGTAGAACTGGTCTGGGAAAGTGAACTCGGTCGGGGTTATGTTGAGTTGGTCAGCGAACGAGCAAGCACACTTCGATGGCATCGTACCTTGTACTTCAGGTGTTTTTTTTGGCCACGGAGAGAGACAATGCGAGCGAGGGAGATCGAGAGGGAGAGAAGCCAGCTAATGATGCAAGCGAGGTGGATTGATCAAATCTGGGAGTTCTCTTGAATTACGGGGTATCAGGAAATACAGTTGGTTAGAATCGAGGAGGACAACTTCTCATTTCAGGAGCCGCCGTCGGTAGTGCCACCACATGCCGGCTACTTGCCGCAGGCATCGGATCGTTGATTGTAGGTTAAATTTGAGGCAGGGCTCAAACCATGGCGCTGGGTACAGATGCTCCTTGAGAGATCTGCGTTAGCGTCGCACTGGTCGGGTTGCACAACAGCTCTTGGGTCCCGGGGTTTCATTCGACAAGGTGGGAGAGCGCACAGAAGATCGTAAGACACGTTGCGTCGGCGACGCTGACTTGAAAGAAAAACCGCGGCGCAGAGGGGTGCGGGAAATCTAAAATGGATTGTATTTTCTGTGTACTCGGCGCCACCCAGATGCGTGGGAGATTGACACTGACTTAGGCTTGCGAGCCCGGGTAAATGTCGTCTCTTTTTAGAGTCGTGAGCAAGCCTTAGCGCGAGAGACTGGTAAGATCTGATGGAGTTGTGAATACCAGACCATCCGCATAACCAGCCTAGGATTTGGTGCCCAGTAGATCGGTAATAAACACATATTGAGTGTTGGAGCGCAGTGTTTGGAAGCAAGAAAAGGACAAGTACTCGTACTCGTCCGCTGCGGCGGAAGTGGAGTCAGGTTAATGATCCAGTACCTAACTAGCTATCTCAAGTTAGTCAGTCTCCAGGTGGCGGCAGCTGCGTCACCTGACTCCATCTTGGCCCTTTTGCTTTCCCGTACAAGAAATGCTTGGCAGTTCATTGCAGCCAATTTGAAGTTCAAGATCACAAATGATCAGCATGCCAAAAACATGGTTGGAGGCGAGCGACAGGCTGTTTGCTTGAAAGGGAACCCCTGACTTGCAGCCTCTGTACTGATTAGAGGCCTTGAAAATATGCGGCGGTTCTTCGGATCTTCATAATCAAAGACCATGTCCTACGGCCTTTGCCCTAAAGGACTGCCCTAATAATGATCGTGCTAAGCCAGAGGTGGGAAGAAATACCGACAGCAAAGCCTGGGAGTCGCTTCGAAAAAGAAGATCCCTGCGCGGGACTGATCGAGGCTGAAGGCCGGAGCAGACGAATCAAGGCGATGGCCACTCACTCGCTGGCCGGAGTTTGCGAATTAGTCATGCCTCACATATGTTGTGTTCTGGAGGTCAGAGTGGACTGGTATGGGAAGCAGATCATCAGTGGGTGCTGCATGAGACAGGAGAAAGGAATTGTTTTCGTGGTGCGTTTTCGCACATTGAACTCCTATTCAGGGAATTAGGACCTATGTGGCTCATGTGGTGAATGCAGTGAGCACCGCTTTCAAGGGCCATGTGTTAGAATCGCCCCAGGGAAGAAGGATGGTGATTGCATATTGACGTGTATCGTGGACCGATGGGTCAGGAAGCAGGGGTCCAGGATCCCAAGAGAGGACAAAGACTTGATTGGATGCAAGATCAAGACGGTAAGTCCAATGCATCAAGATCCATCAGAGTATGCTTCCCCAGTATCGAGATGTGGAGGCGCACGGTTGATCCAAGATGGAGCAGATGGCGCTGTGAGATTGAAGGACAGAGAGGCGGTCAGGCGACGACATTTGGGTTGACCAGTCAGATTTGGATTGAAGCAGGAATTATCCCTGCGGCGAATTCGGGTGACATGGTCAAAGTGTGCAAGACAGCGCCGAGAGGAGCAGCGGACACGAACTTTCATGGAGGATGGGAAACGAAAAGTCGTACCACAGCATCAGCCCTGTGCCACCATGGGCGGAGAGAATCTCGGTACAAACGCAATTGATCTGATGTGACACTGAAAGCGGCAATGCGGGCCGGCATGAACGGCATAGTGACACAAGCGCCCTGATCAATGTTATCAATGGGACGGAGTACCTGAACTGAGATCCTGACCGCTGGAGTCCGGAGCATGGGCGAGGCCCGATGATATGGGCTGGTGGGCTGGGTACGGCAACGGCAGGTCTCTAGGGAACAGTTGGGGGTACCAGTGTCCCGTAACAGTGTGATAGCGAGAACACCTAAGACGGATTGGACCCGGAGGCGCGACGGGAACACCAGGAGGTTTTCGTTAGCAGTGTTCTATTGGGTCGATGGATGCAAGTCGCGTCACGGCGTATTATGGCTGCTGATTGGCTGCAGCTGATCGAACCTGCAATCAGAACAATCAGACAGGTCTCTTTGGATGTTCAAGACTCGAGAGTGTACTGAGTAGCAAGTGCTATGCAGTTATTGGGTACGTTTGATTAGCATTTGCAGGCCTCCCGAGTCCAAGTCCAAGTCTCTGGTGATATTGAGACTTGGCTTTCAGTGGCGAAGTGGGAAGCACCAATCCATTTCCCCGCGCCGCACGGTGATATGTCTCCATCATGGTAGGGATGACAAAGGCCAGGACACTGGGCATTGGTTCAAGGTTGGATGTCTACGGTGCCTACTACCCAGAGACTTTTAGGTAATGTTTTGGCAATCTCGAGCGTCAGACGGAGTAGCAGACGCCCTCTACGCACTTATGTGAGGTACCAAGCCCTCTCCATGAGGCTTCCCCATTTGGGCGCCTACCCTCCCCTGTGCTCTTGCTGCCTTATGGGTAGATACCTACCGACGGTAGGGACTGCCAAAAGTGCGCGTACAGCGATGTGGCCTGTACTGTATGCCACTCAAACTCACCGAATGGCACACACTAGAACCGACTTCGAGTCGATCAAGCGAAGATTGCCTGGAACTTTGTTCAAGGCCTGCAGCGAGAATTCTGGTAGGGTTCAAGTTTCAAGTCAAGTCAATCTTGGTTCTTTGGAAGGACGGAGGACTCCATGCCGAGTAGAGTATCCCTGGATTGGCGAGTAAACCGAGGATGTATTGAATATGTACCATGCACGCCTCGCTAAGAGCATGTGTTATGCTAGAACTGAACTTTAAAAAGGCGGGATTCAGGCGCAGAGAGGCACACTTTAACTCTTAGCTAACATCCTGGGCCTCCGTCTAACTCTCATCGTCATCCATTTTCCGGTCGTAAAAGTGGACGTTGTCGCTATTTACGGCTCATGTGACACTGGACTGGACTGTCCAACTCAACGATCCGACTCTCCATAACCTTGTAAGTCGATCGGCACCACGGAGTAGTCTGGAGGATCGACTAGACTCTGGTATCTCGAGTGCTCGGTAGGCTGCCCGGGTAGCCGGAGCCACTACCGTTGAAGCGGTTGACCTGGTGAATGCAACATAATCTTGGATTTGCTGCCGTCAAGATTAAGGTTGCTAGACCAATACAGATCCGGAGCTGAAGTGTGGGTAGTGACAAAGACTTAACCCAGCAGGCATATGTGCTAGATGTCCTCCGTACACGTACATTGATATGTACATCATTGTGCCAACTTTTGACAGCAAGCTGGGCGATGGGCTGGAAGGATACGCCAGATACTCGTACGAAGTTCTGCACGGAGTAGCTAAAGTCGGTTTACGAGCCTGGTTACAAGCCACAACGGGGATGCTGCATGACGAGAGATATTGCGCAGTACAGGGTACCCCGTACCTCGTCCCGAGGGGCTAGTCGATCACTCATCCATTAGCGAAAGGACACCCCTCAGAGATGCGAGTCAATGCGAGGCACTCAAAGCAGGATGTTGTAGTGGTGCGATTACCCCTGCATTCTCGGATGTCTCTCTAAACCTCTTGCTGTTACGAGTCATACGAGTAGTTAAGGCTGCCGCCACTGGTATCCATCCTTCCCGAGATTCGAGTTCAATGAGCTAATTGCCCCCCCCCCCCCCCCCCTCGGCCCCGCTGTTGGCCTGTCTGCCCCTTCCCCGTCGGCTACTAGCTATGTAGGTACATAAACCTCCCCCCACCTTCCCAAATCCCATCCAAACATGTCATGACCAGGACTCCGTACGGAGTACTCAGGACAGATACAGTACGGATCCCTCCATAAATCGTTACTACAGTACTGCGTACTCGTACGTACTCCGTACTGCAGCGAGTATTGTTGGCGTCTTTTGTTCTCTGGCTGCTTTAGACTTGGTACTATTACCTTCGTCCCTTCAGTTCGTAGTTGCCAGCACCAGCACGTTTTTTATCACCTATCAACTCATCCCTCTTACCACCTCCGCACCAGCGCCAGCACCAGCATGTCTTAATCCTATCTTGCCAGAAACGCTTCCTCGACGATTGCACTCCACCTGTCCACATGCTCCTCATCTCACACAGACCACCCTCCAGTGTCTCCACCAGAAGCCCCTCCTCCCAAGGGTACGAGTAAGCCCACGCCAATCGACCCCCTGTTCGTGGCTGGTTCGATCCTCTAGTAAACAACGGTCGAACTCTGCGCTCAACTCCTCGCAGTCCACAGCTCCACCATCAATAGCCTCAAGTCCAATCCACAGAACATACTCCGTATTCTGGCAAGCCAATCCTTACGCCCTGTAATGCCTCACCTCCTTCAGAGACGGTGCTCCTAAATGCGGAAATTTGCTTTCCCTTTGTACGCTTCAGTCTCGGTTCGTGCACGGCCCTCTCAACTCGATCTTTTGCATGCTACCATCTATGCCGCAACTTGTCCGATTACCCATCCTTGCAAGTCCATGGCTCAAGGGCTCGGGCCCTCCTGGTCCCTGCCATTTCGTGCCGGAGCTCCATTACGCTCAAATCTACCCGTCCACGGGCTTGGGGAGGCGTCCACCATGAGCGGCAAAGCTCTCCACGTCAAGGGCTTCTATATCACGAATAGTAATGTCCTTATTCTGACAAGCTCCAGACCCCCTCTTCTCTCTACCTTGAACTTTGCTCTTGACTCTGAGGTCAAAACATAATCGTCTGAACTCAACATTGAGAACATCCCACCCAGTCCTATTGAACATTGCCGAACGACCCTTTCTAGCCCTGGTGAGCCCTCCATCCACCTCTCCCTTCTCTTGCACGACCCCGTGGCTAGAATCACTCCCATGGCTGCTTGTCAACGAGGCCATGTCATTTCTGTCATGCCCAGCTCTGCCGACAGATCTTCTGAAATCGTCTCACTGGCATTTCGGTCATGCACATCTTCTATTTCTTCATTGTCCTCCGTCTGGGTGCAAGTCTGGTGGCACAGAGGCCCGTGGCTGCTGCGAAAGCGGCTCCCCTGGTCTGACACTTTCGAGCACCAACTCCCGCCGTTCTCTTTTTTAATCTCCTTCGCACTGGCCCTTGCAGCGAAAAGCTTTCATCTATCCGTTTTACCTCTTGATGGATTCATACAGCTCGTATGCTCATGCGACTAACTTTGACTCCATCAGCACGGGATCGCGAGCAAGCGTGGTCTTAGAACAATCACTGGTTTTACCACAGCAGGCTCCTCAGCAACAACTGCCCTCTTTCTCCGAGGTAGGCTCTGCCCTGCCCTCTGAAGTAATGGAATGCCTAGCTGATTGTCCGAAGATTTTGCAGTCACACGAGATGGCATCTCACGACCATTATTCGAATCAGCATCTTCACCATGGCCAGCAGGACGAAGGTCGGTCATATCACTCTGCCACTGGAGTAAGGAGATCCGGCCAACAGTCCCCGGACTCGCAGCCTGGTACGAGCACCGAAGGATTTGACAATATCTCCAACCGAAATGTCGATGGCTCATACCACGACCACCGCCATCATAGGCTGAGCTCTTCTTGGGCCTCCAACTCACAATTCCCGGATGTACTCAGTCCTCCGTATGCACAACGCCTCCAGTACTCACGGACCAGTCTGCCGCCAATCCGTGATGTTGCCAATAGCTTTGATCATAATTATCATTCAGATACTGCCCCATATTCGCAGACCTATGCGCCGCCTACTATTAGTCACAATGGTCTTGATACGAGCTCCTATGCCACTGATAGACCATCTTTCTATGACGCTACGCAACGTTATGGTCATAATTGCCCCCAGGTGAACAGGCCGCAGCCCTCTGCACAGATGGAATACTACAGATTCCCCCAACCAGGAACCCCTTATCAGCCCCCACAATACGCTGGACTCGAGTATTCCACTCCAAATATAGGAGTTCACCATCCTTCGTCACCAACTGTTTGTGGGGACCCGGATAGCCGAAACCGAAGGCGCCGAGGAAATTTACCCAAGCCGGTCACGGACATCTTGCGTGGCTGGTTTCATGAGCACCTCGATCATCCATACCCGACCGAGGAAGACAAACAAGCATTTGCGGCTCGTACAGGATTGACGATTAATCAAGTGAGTAAATTTGGAAGACGAGAAGCCTTTGCTTGATTCTAAGGATCTTCTCAGATTAGTAACTGGTTCATCAATGCCAGAAGACGGCACTTACCAGCTTTACGACAGGCTCGCGACAGAGGCACGCAACTTATAGCTACGGATTACGATTCAGACCAGCTGCGCCGGACCCATGTTCTTTAAGGACTTGTTCATCATTGGGAAAGGGTCAGCCCCTACAAAATTTCGGGTATCTGTCTTGGATTCTATTTCAGCTCGCGTTTAGGCAATGTTTTTGTAGCATCTCGGGCGTTTCCAAGCATGTTACAATGGATGGATGCTGTGATGTACCAGTCATCCGTGGCCAATTGAGTGGTGAGGTTGGGAATGAAGCATGCAATAGGCAAATATGAGATATGAGATCATTTACAGGAACAAGTATAGCAATTGCAAGTATGCTGATAACGACCTTTCGAGATCCAGTACTGTAGAACTTACACCTGAGGGGGTCCTGAACTGAAGACTGCATGGATCGTCGATTCTTCATTAAGTTTCTTGACAGTTATAAGACTATGTCTTCTGGACCTTTTGAAAGGCTTCCAAGATCCTCGCGTATCTGACAGGATGCACTCAACATGAAAGGACCATCCCCCTGTGGCTGGCCAGAACGCGATCCTTAGTCTCGCACACCACTTGCAGCAAGCCCATCTTCAACGAAAATTGCGTACACAGATGTAGGAGCGGAACACGTGTGCCGTAATGAACATGGCAAGGTCAACCCGAGACAAATTGCACCTCACTACTTGGCCACTCGTCTACCCACTCTCACCGCTGATCTGGAGGGTTGCTATCGCACATATTGTTCATCACCACCAAGTCGAATGGCTAGGCGCTGATGAAAAACATCTGTATGCAAGCCATTCAGTGAATTCTAATCCCCACTGGTGACGTTGGCACAGAAATATCGGGTATCTCGTGCGGGAGTGTCAATCTATCCGGCCCAAGTAAGTTGGCAAGCATGATTAGACTCACACTTGTTGACCTAACACTCGTGACGATAATTAAGGTTGTCATGGAGGAGGCGGGATGCTGTGTCAAGGACAGACAGCCTGAAGCGCAACTCATCGAAAGCAATGATGGGCTACTGCTAGTGGTGAGCGGTGGACTGCCCGGCTAGTTCTAGTTGAGTCGCCTCACCAAGACTGGCTGTTTTTTGACAGGAGATGGCGACCAAGAAACCTCCCCTCGTCGGGCCACGACACGAGTGATCGACAGCCACGTTTAGCAAAATTGACGGTTCCCACGGGGTAGCGCGTTGTGATCCAAATCTAATTCAAATGCTCGAATTGGGCAGATCCATGGCTTTAAGCAGGCTCCGACCAGCGAGGTATAGTGACACTTGATTGGTTGGGACGAGTATGCGCAACGAATTTTCAGAAGTTTCTCTTGCATTGACGCTGCGTCAGTCTGCCACTAATTGGTGGTGGTGCGACTAGACACACATGCCGGTCTGTCAACGTCAATCGCCACATCGACCTCGATCACAGGGATCATGGATTCAGCATCGCCCCTGGACCTGACTAGCCTCAAGAGGAAACGACTCTGCCCTAATTATCTATATAAGCATGGATGGGACGGGAAAACGCCTCCGCCTAGGGGAACCTGCCGAGATAAACTCACCCCGCATAAACGCCTCCGGGCTCATGATGGTGTCCACTGCATCCTAGACGGGACGATTCAATCTGGATCGGCTGGTTTATCTTAACCTTGTTGCTCCGTTTCTTGAGCATTGGACTGATCGGATTCGCAACATTGTCACTGAAGCGGAGCCGTACGTAGAGAGTGGTTGTGTTCCAATCGAAAAAGCTTTACACTTAAGTAATAACGCTGCACGCTCTCCTCCACCGCTGCCAATTATTCCCTTGGTGGAAGCGGGTAATTAAGTTTTACGCCATCGCTTGGCCAAATGTCCGTTCCTAAAATCTTCAGAACAGATGCATGACCATCAGCAAAATCTTCGGAAGTCATTGCGGGGCGGCGAGTGGATAGGACGGCGTTGAAAAGGTCTGAGTCGACACACTCGTGTCGCAATAGTATGTACTTGGCCTGGGAACGCGGGCGAGTCGAAGTTGACCTCAAATTTGATTGCGGAATTTTCCACAATGCATCACCACCCAACTCGCACGCGTTGGTGGCTGGAATATTGGATGATTCATCCCATCTTGCCTTTGTGGCCGAAAATTAGCAAGCGTCAACTGCTCTCACGAGCATTTCGTCTAATAATGAAGCCTCACCAGTCCCAGACCCCGGGAGCTGATCAGAACGTCAAGGAACGCAACATGTACCTTTCGGAGTAACATATCGATGTGGTTCATGTGACAGACTTTGGCGCTGAAGAGACTGTGTCCAGGCACCACGCTAATGTTATCTGGCTTTGTTCGGCGATGGGGCACAACACATCACTCATTTGAAGTACCTTGAACACCCGACTTATCTCCAAAACAGACTCGAGGCCCAGGACATCCTGCACGCAAGGAGCAGGTGACTTCAGGTCCGACATGGCCATGCCAAACAGGTGACCTTCACAGTGGCAACCTGCCTCGCAATTGGCAAGTGTCTTCTGGGTTCCAGTCCCTGGATAATAATGGATACTGCGAGGACCTCGTCTGGATGCAGTCTCTGCTAAACAGCTGTTTGAGTTGGGGAATACCGGGGCTCGATCCCTAACCCACGCATTCTTCTGCACAGTATTTCCTCGTGAGAATGATCTCTAGGCCTACAAGGCTTTGTTGATCTTTGCGCCAGAGAAACCTAGTACTACTACCAGTAGCTATCATGCCTTCTGGTGTGGCAGCCTAGTAAAGGAGCCCTTGAAAAATTAGGATGTAACGCCCAACCAGGACTTTGGAGGTGAGTCTGGTCGATTCGCACGGACTGCATGCATTACACCAATACCATAATGAGGATAGCCTTGTCATAATCCACGTTGTTGCTCCTGCACCTCGAATCCAGACTGTTCCTGCTCGGCCAGCATGAATCTTGCATTTTCCCAGCTAATCATTCGTTTTCCATCATACAATGTGCTACCAACATTCTCTTGTGAGAAACAGGTTCAGTTGGCTCTACGAAGATACTAATCAGTTTCACTAGCTCGGAAGGGTTCTGGCTTCTCGTGACCACACAAAAGTTTTCCAGCCAAAGAAAGATGACTTGTGGGTGTATTGGTAAACTGTTTCCACAGCATTCCACTACTTCCGTGCCTGAGTACGAAAGTTCCACCACGAACCTATCAAGATCCAGTCCAGCAGCGTGAAGCGACAACACCAAGATAGCCTAGGTCAAATACGAATCTAACAGAAGTCGTTGCCAAACGATAATCTTTACCTATTATCTTCGATCGGTCGAGTTCGACTTCTTGGCCGCTGCTGGCAGCCTGGCACCAGGCTGGAGGAATTTTTGTTACACGATGGCTCGGGGTTTCGCAGAATGTATGCATGCTATTTCCGGCATAAGTACCTTTGGAGCATAGGACAGTTCCAGCTGAGCGGCAGGCCAGCGGGTGCCTTCAGATCCAATCTCGATAACTAAAGCCGACAAGCGGTACAGATTGAGAGGGAAATCGACGATGTATCTAATCATTAGCGTTAGCCCTTCGCAACGCTCCGTCCAGAACCCTGATTGCCATTCCGTGGGTCGCTAAACAATGAGCTGCCAGTTTCGGATCGGCACCCAGTGGGTACCCTGGATACAGTGGAATGTCACTTGAAACTCTCATTAGTATTGCCACCGCACTTTAATTTTCCACCCAGGAAGGCTACTGGCTTGGAACTAAGGGAATCGGTTTCGATGTGTTGAGGATTGCTTGCTAGACATTTTCCAGAACTGCTACTAATATGACGTGCAACCTCATGGTCAAAAAGCAATCCTGTCCATCCTGACTAGCTCGTTCTATTTTACCATTTAGAATTCAGGGGGCATGGCTATTGTGTACTGGACAGGAACTTGACCCTGCCAGAAACACCTTTGTGACCACAATGGGGTTGGTAGGCGTCAACTGGGTCGTTCCTTGAGGAAATGTGACAGCTTGCCACGCTGTTCAGTACATGACTCGTAAGCAATCACATGCCCTAATGGAATATCTCGCTTGCTGAGATGCCATGCAGCATTGGTATCATGGTATGATGTTGAAAAGTCCACTCGAGTCCGTTGAAGCCGGATTTTTCTGGCCGAGAGAAAGGGGGCCTTACCTGCCTGAGCCAATTCTATAGAAGACGCGTCTGCTCTCGTGAGAAGAGCATAGTTTGTCAGTGATGTAGCCCTATCGAGTACTCCCTACATACTTTGATTGATAGAATAACAAATGGCAACTAGGGAGACCCCCGGGATCTTTGTATAATTGCGCCGAATTAGCGTTTGCAATGATCATTGTCATCGGTGTCTCTTAACCACGAGAAATCGGATCAATAATGTTGCATCCTTGGAGACCAATCCCAGCTTAGTACTTAACGCATACAATAACACATCTGACACAGGTGAGAAAATTCAATCTACGCAGTCCAAGAGAGTGAGAGATTCTGCGACCGGAGGCAAGGTTATAGGAACACGGACAGTTGTTGGAATTTGGGCGTGCTCGCACAGTCACGAGAGCCCGCATCAGCTGGACAAGGTCCAATTCTTCTCTGCAGACGTTTAGCGTCCTCTTTATGATTGGGGTTGTTCCTTAACTTACACTAAGAGAATCTGCACCTGAGTCAAAAAATTCGGGCACATGCTTTTCTCAACACAAATCACACTCGGTCGTTTTGACTCTAAGGTTTAGGGCTGTGGCTAATGGGAAGAGCGGCTTCCAGTAAGACCCATGAATGTCACAGTATGAGGCTAAATCTCCACTCTCATTTCAGCCCGCCGAAACTCTATCCTAGACTTCGGATACCCCCCGTCTATTGGTCGGGAAAAGATGCCGAGGCGGCACAGAACAAACGGGCCGGCTTGGCTGACTGAGGTGGTTAATAATCCCACAGCCATCCTACTATGCACGAGTATATACCGTACATACTCGGTATACCATCCGTCGTAAACTTGTAACAGGCACATCCCTCGCGATATCGCATGGGAAAAGGCCTTACCTTGTTTGATTAATCTTGCCGACTTAGCTAAGCTTCTTACTCGTGCACTACGGGTATGTCTGCTGCGTCTCGTGCAGGGAAGTTGTAGGTATGTTTGTTGCATTAGGCAGTCCTTTGATCCTCGGCTTGAAATAGAAGCAGCGCTTTTGGTCAGAATTGGCTTGGGCTGCATGGACTCGAAATGTCCACCCCGCCTTGGAACCTGTCAGCGAGGGACAAAATGGCATTTCCTCTTCTATTCCCTGACTGGCTGCTAGACCTTTGAGCTGTGCCGTGGGCAAGGGATTGAGTTGAGAGCCTGAGAAGAAGAGGCTTCTGGCCTTGATCGGAGCCACGTCGTGCTTTTCCCAGCTTTTGCATCTCTCTGTGTGTCTCTCGCTCGTCCCGTTCGAAGGGGAATCCTCGATTCAGGAAGGCTACTTGACAACTAGTGACCTAATGAGGCTAAAGCTCTGAGAAAAGTGGGGCCCACATCGTCAGCATGCTAAAGTGCCCATGCAAATTGACGATGTCCATTTCATTCTCCAAGTAATTGATCACCGTCGTTATCTGATCCACCCACAACCCTCTCAGCCCTCTGCCAAGGGGCCCTGCAAGACTCGGGCTGCAGCAGACCGAGTCACGCGCCTCTCCATCCTCGAAAATCGATCATCTATCTGGCTGGGACGTTTCATACTGCTAGGTTCCGTATTTCACGTGCAGCTGCTCCGGTGACCATTCTGCACTACCACAATTATCCGGCGTGCTTAGATTATTCAATTCTTGCCGACTATGTAGGCTTACCCGATCCAAATTTGGTCGAGGGAGGCGTTGCGCCTCCGACGATTAGCTTTTTCTTTCACAGTGAACAAGTGATCATAAAAACTTGTCACCTTGATTTTGGCTGGGCATTTTGGAGAGGTTGCCGAATCACTGCAATCCCTGTCCGACCGGATTGGTCGCCATGCCGCAACAAAAAAATGACCTGTCATATTCCTTCAAGACGGGTGGAAAGGCGTTCCGACCAACCTAAATCTATGCAAGCCGCTCCTTGTGTAACCAGGGACTGTGTAGCCTTTGCTTCTGTGCATTGCGTGGCGTCGATACCAGGGTTTCTGTTCATTTCCCCTCTTCCCTTTCCGACCTCTTCACTACGATTCGATTTCGGTCCATGTCCTTCCTGCGAGATCCTTGGTTTGACGTCCCGAGGAGGAAAACCCTTCATACTGCTCACGGCGACAAACCGGCCTGCTAGTATTGCAGAATCCCTTGATCCGGGTAAACGAGATGTAAAGACGCACAAGGTATGAAACAGGAACGTGGTACTGCATTGGCCACATCGCATAATGAGCTACGTGGACTGTGCTGCACTGTAAGTACAAGGCCAGCATCCCTTGCGCATCAAGAAAGATGGATATGGACAACCGGGCTTTCCTCGCAACACTGCGTGGTCAATTCTGAGAACGAGGTCTATCCTTGTTCCAAACTTATCATAGTATATGGGCTTCCTTGCTTGAGCTTGCTGCATGAGAATGAGACTTAGAAAAATTTATCTACAGCGAGGGACAAAGACCCCGAAGGCCGATGCATACAGGCTACGAATGCCGGGGGCATTCACTCGGTGTACAGCTGAACTTGGAGGCCATGAACAGAAGTCGTTAAGCTTTTTGAGGACCGTCGTGTAGGTGAGCACTCTGATCTGAGACAACTGGGAACTTGAGTACTCCCGAGAGGGTGGTAAAGTACATTGTTACCAACTCAGACTTTGTGCTTTGTCAATGGCAAAGTTTGCGGGCTGCGCCATTGTTGTTCCATGCCAAACAATTCTGGTCTGGATCCCGTACTGTGAGTCCTCAGCCTTGCTGTCTTTGCCCTCCGTCATCAGTCGAGTCGGGCCCCGTACCTAGCCTTCATGTTGAAGTACTTGCATTGCAAAGAGAGTGGGCGACATGCCAGCAGATGAGGCTTAGTACAATTTCTGTAGGGCACGAAGCGCACAAATGCCCATTCGTTGGTCAATTCTCAGGTCCTCTAGACGAAGTGCACGCAAAACAGGCGGCAATGATTGCTCTAGCGAACAGCAATCTGTTGTTTCTCTCGGAGCATGGCGTTCCATCCGGGGCATTACTGGGTCTACCTCAGTAAGGCCCGGTGCGAAAACGTGCATATCATGGATCTATTGCTTCAAGCATCAGCAAGCTTTGGGCGCCACAGTACCAATGTTGCCTTCCAGATTTCAACAATACCTGGAGTGGCATGCTGGACGGCAGCACACGGCCCGAAGGATCTTCCAATCAGTCCATCCTGGTGGTGAAAGACACGAAGTCATCCTCGCCACCCTGCAGGTCATCAGTTTGCAATGGAGAAGGAATACCTCAGCCTGATGAGTTGTCAGGGGTAGCGAGGGTAGAAGGCTGCAGAAGCTCAGGGGCTCGGGACATTACATTCATGTTGTCGAACCACCCGCTCTTTAAGTCATATGATGTGTGAGTGGGGTTTGGTCTCGCTCAAATACGCTCCGGGCCTGGTGAAGGGCTGATTGACGTGGTTCGCTCATCCGCCCCACCTACAAGAACGGCGTGCTCAGGCAACGGTTTCTGCTCACGAACTGTGACGTTGGCAATGAGTTGTCTGATACGAGGCACAAGGTACCGAGTCCTCTCTACACATGAGTCGACGGTCCTGGCGCTGGCATGGTCTAGTTCTAAGTACATGGATGTGCGGCCAGGGGCTTAAGTTAACGCAGATGGTTCTGGGAAACGAAAGCTTGACCCATCGACAGCAACAGGGTAAATCGTCTCTCTTTCCCGGTCCTGCGCACCTAGTCCGTACTGTAGTAAACCGAAAGATGAATAGTGGTCCGACGTTGGCACGTGTTGTCCCAACACAATGGGAGTTGAGAGATTGCCGGGTGCCCAAGAATACCTCATGTCTCGTCCGGTCCTCACAGAACGGCGGTGTTGAGAAAGGCGAACCAGAGGCCAGCGAATAATAGGGGGCAACTCCAGCTTGACGGGACCGGGCCAAGAGCGAAGATTATGTATGTACTGCGCGATTTAATCTGATTAGATGAGATGCAGATTGGCGTCGCGAGGAGATTGGATAAGATTAGATGCATTGGTGAGGGCGGGCTCGGTGGGGTATGTGTTGGAGGGGTCTTGGCACACTTTTTGTTGGTTCGTCGCAAGCCCCGAACTCGTCCCCTCACCACCCCTTTGTAGTCAACCTGAGCGGCTGGCAAGGGAGCCGGCCGTAATCGGAGGTCAGTGCAGGTCAGTGCAGTGAGAAATCAGCTCTTGAGTGTCCATGCTGGTGATTTTGAAGATTGAGTGTGATCTCTACAGTACTTCGGACTTGGCTTTCAATGTACGAATTTGGGAGTCTGAGTCGAGACAGCCAGTTCTACAAGCCTGAAGCAGGCTGGCTGTTAGAGGCTGGCAGTCGCAGTGCCTTGCAGGTGTCATGAACAGCCGGCGAGCACCGGAAGCAGTCCCAGCGGGATAGCGCGGCCAAAAGCAATTAGTATAATCCTCCCCATGGTGGGGCTTCTGCGAGTATGGGTCAGTCGTAGACGAACGAACATGATTACCACGACGTAAGTATCAATCATATCTTATCCGATTGCAAGATATGTACAGTACGAGTATGCACACATATCAATCTAGATGCATGTGGAAGCAAATAATTGGTGTAATAGCGATGGTTTGTACAAGCGATATCCACCCTGCGGCTGAAGCTGGATTCCAATGTGGCATCTTTGCTGGCTGAGATGGCCGAAATCGCACGGTGTAGACTACTGGGCCGGCCCCGTCATTCCTCACTGCCGTTGCGGAACTCATCCAACGAGATGAAGACGCTCAAAGTGGAGGTCGAGGGTCAGAGTAAAGATCAAGGAGAGTTGGATGAAGGAGCCGGGTGGCCAGCCCAGTACCAGTCGATTGATCAGCCCATCGGTCAAGTCCTCGGCGGGGATGGTACGGAAGCCCCTCGTACGATCGATACAGGGCTCGGAGCGGGGGGGGGCAGATTGAAGGAAGAGATATGGGACTCGGAGTGATCGTGATTCATGCCGACCGACAACCAAGTAGTACTGCTGCCAGTGTACAGTACTAACTCGTAAGGAAGAATTTGCCGCTTGGCTGGCGAAAAGCAAAGCATTCTGTACACTCAGTGCCCGATTTCCGACCTTGGGATTCCCATCCTTCAAATTACTACGAGTATTCAATGAGCGCTGATTGTGGTTTTATTTCCCCGTGCACGCCCGTCGTTTCCCCATTTCCACGGAACTTCTTTTTCTCCTTGCTCCTGGGAGGTTTGATTGTTCTTCCTCACCATATCTTACAATTCACGCTCTCTGGTCCTGCAACAGTTGATTCCTTGTCGGCTTCGCTTATAGACAAGCACATGCTCAATCAGCTATACCACTCACTGAGTCAATAATACACACTGTGGAAGAGATCTTGTCCGTCGGCTCTGGCGTCGGCTGTTCCCCAAAGTGCTTCTCGGGTGTTGTGGGCAGCAAGGGTTGGGTTGGGGTTTGCCGCTCGGTGTTCCAGGTGTGCCAGGTATGCCCTGAGGAGGAAGGGCATCACCACAACCACCGTCGCAAGGACACGTTCCGCACGTTACATCATCAACACGAGCCGTCTTCGTAAGTTTTTGGGTTCCCCCTCCCGATATTGGCCTGTGGACCGTGACCTTCTATCACGAGTGCTGCACGTTTTCAATCATTCTATAATGCTGCCAAATCCCACCATTCCCACTTGATTGAATATCTATCTAGTGGCCGCTCTTAATTCGACATGGCGTTGTTCACTGATCTTTCCCACAAGCACTAACATGAATTCACACTCAGGACCTACTCACACAACTCTCACCATGCGTCCCTCGCACTCTCTCGCCGCCACCGCGCACCCTCTACCGGTGACGGAAAATTCACATCCTAATGATCCCATACCCGAAGAGCCTACTCGATCAAGAAAACTACCCCTCAGTGCCTCCCAGCTTAGCCAGTCGCCGCCGTTATCTGCCGCCGCCACCAATGCCTGCTCTGACGACGCATCGAGTGTCGACACCCGGCCCAGCACGCCGGTCTCCGACAATCTATCCGACGATTCTCTCGATGAGTTACAAGAAAGACCCAAGGACGAGATATCAGTGAGGAAAAGACGTGCATCAACCTTGTTGGTGTCTCAAGATTCCGAAGATGCAAGAAGATTCTTGGGAGGACGAGGTGCTGCAACCTCCATGATTCAAAAGGCATGCTGTGGCGGAGGCTGCTGTATGCTGAAAGAGTTAACCACCAAGGGCGCTCCTCAAGGAGGAAACCCGGTCAACGTCCCAGAGAATGATGCTTTTAAGAGCTTGAAAATCAGGCTTGGTCACTTAAGCCTGGACAGTGAGCTGACAGAAATCGTCGAGATGCCGAACAAGACCGTTTCCTTGGAATCTCTTATAACTTCAGCTCCTCCACGCAAGTATGAACCTAGCCCAAAAAAGGCCCCTGAAGTCCTCAAACACCCTCCGAATTTTGTCACGCCTCACCCTCCCTTTGAGGTCTTTTCAGCACCCCTCTTCCACGCTCGCGAATTGACGAAACCTGGCGCCGAGAAAAGAACATACCATTTTGACATTGATGTCACAGACTATCCAAAAGAGAGTGGAGAGGTCGATTTTGTGGTTGGAGGTGCCATCGGAGTTTGCGCACCCAACTCCCCTGATATGGTCGATGAGATCTTTAATCTGCTTGGTGTTCCCAGCTTCGTGCGAGACAAGCCGATCCTACTAAAGACGACCACTGGAAGATGGCCTACTATTTGGGGAGATGAGGCAGCACGGGAGCTTGTTACCACTCGAAGAGAGCTTCTCACATGGTGCTCAGATATCCAGAGCTATCCACCTACAAAGCAATTATTCCGAGTTCTTGGAGAATATGCTGAAGACGAACATGAGAAGATGATTCTGATGTTTCTAGCTTCGGCACAAGGCCAAGCCGCATTCTGCGACCTTCGAACTGGTCCCTATCTGACCATCACACAACTACTCTCAGCTTTCCCATCCTCACGTCCACCACTCGATTCTCTCCTGACCGTTCTCAACACTTTGATGCCTCGGTTCTATTCTCTATCTCAAGACCCCATGGTATCATATCAGAAAGACGGTACCACGAAACGACGTCTCATCGAAATCGCGGTCACAGTTCACGAAGCCGACGACTATTCCAAAGGACAACGGACGGGTGTCGGGTCTGGGTTCCTAGAGCGCCTTGCACGACAAGTCATGCAGGCAGAGAAGGAAGGCAAGAATCCAAAAGATCTTGACCTCCGAGTTCCTATGTTCAGAGGTCTCATGGCAAATCCACTTGCACGAGAATTCGTCTCTGATGGGCCTATGCTCTTGATTGGGGCTGGCGTTGGTATTGCCCCCTTTCGCGGCTTTGTCCACCGTCGGCTAAAGTCGGCGAATTGCGCAAACAAAGTCTGGGTCCTCCAAGGCGTACGCGATAGCCTTCTTGACGAGCTTTACTCGGGTGACTGGGGTGTCCACGAAGACCAAGTCAAGAAAGTGGTCCAGTCGCGAAGCGGGGAAGGAAGATATGTTCAAGAAGAAGTTCGAGCACAAGCTGATCTTGTGTGGTTCATCATCAATGCCTTGGATGGCCGGGTTTTCGTTTGCGGAAGCTCCAAGGGTATGGGTGAAGGGGTCGAAGCCGCACTCGTGGAGGTTGCGGAGGGCAAGGGCAAGCTGAACCACGAAGAGGCCATTGCTTTCTGGGCCGAGAAGAAAAAATCAGGCCAGTACATCGCCGAGACGTGGTGAAGAACTATAACGACCAACAATGATAGGACCGCGGTAAGGGAAGGGCTTCGAAAACTACTATTAAAAGGGCGGATCGAATCTAGTCAGCATTTTTGGTAAAAGTCTTCTGTGAGAACAGAACCATTTCAAAATTCTAGCATTAGCCTCCTTGCCTACATCGATCGGCAAAACGGGGGCTCATTGGGAGGCAGCAAGCGTCAACAAAAATACAATTTCTCGACATCTTCAACCTTCACACATATCCTGAACCTCTATGCGCGCGGCATCAACTCATCAGCACACGGGTTCTCCCCAACATTCAAAGAGGCTGGTGCATGCCAATGACCCTTACACCTTTCATCAGCAATAACGCATTCTATGAATGACCAGTTTTCTTGCCAGGAGAGGGCCCGGAGAGGCATAACATCGAAACGGCATGGCGACCGGCGTTCTCATCAAGTGATTTTATCGAACAAGACTTCCCACACGTCTGTTCTTGGGAAGTGAAGGCGTTGCATTTAAGAATCGGCCTACAAAACTTTTGAATTCAAAAAACCCACACGCACCACTGCAGATACAAAGCATGGTTGTTCGGTACGGCCATTGGCATTTTCACAGCAACATTGTTTGGACACTGCACTGGGCGGCTGTTTTCTCTGACCTTCTAGTCGAAGATTTGTGTCCTTGGTCTTTCGCACTGGACCATAGCCGTCGGGAGTGTGGTTAGCTGCACCATACGTTTGAGCGTGACGGTTCAGTATAGGACATTTATCGCAAAATCCCATGGCGGTGTTGCTTCGTCGAGGGGTTATCGTCATTGTCAATGGTGGCGATTCTTTGTATATGTATGTCTTAACCGCAGTGAAAAATGAAAAACAAAATTGAAACTATGAGACGTATCTTGCCCTCTCTTGTGGAGTGATCGATACGATACGTACTTCCCTACCTTTCGCGGGATATCCTAGTAGCGGCCCAGGATAGGTAGCTTGCTGCTTTGAGCGGAGTATAATTACGTATGCAGCTTGGGAAAAGAAAAGTATGCTTTGTTTCATCTCGTGGGGTATGTAGTACCATGTTTGAATGCTCTTGCATGGATGTTACTCCCCGATACTATAATAGATTGATTGGCAGGCTTAACCCAAGACAAGTGCATGTGCTCGATTCATCTAATCAACCTTGCGTAACATATTTAGATATCCACCTAAATAGGTATCCTTTCGTACAGGTGCATCCACTGATGACTACATCTGTCCTGTGCACCTCTTGGGTAGAAAGAGATGGAATAAACAGTATTCGAGCCAGATTGCAGGCATACCATACGTCGATTCACCTGATTCGGTCACGTTTCTCGTCCTTCTTGGCGATAACTCCGTGCTCGGTTGACCCTTTAGTTCGTGCTGCCTTGCAAAGACGAGCGTAAGCTGGAGGGAATTGGGTAAGTCCGAAGAGCTTCGAGTCCGCATGTCAGTGGTAAGATTCTCGGAATTTGCGCCGTCGGAGTTGCTTCGTGGCCCATCGCCCAATTTCGACCTCTGGACATTCCGAGGCATTGAGTTGGACAGCGTGTCAAACCCCTGGGCTGTAGGTTACTTTCTCCGTGCTGCAGTTCCCGCTTCGCGGGAGACTGCTGCCCAATCGAATCCATAATCTTGAGCGCATGATCTAGAGGAAGTGTAACGTGCTCTGATACGCGAGATAGGTAGGAGTTTTGCGGCTGAGCGAGAAAGGACTCATGTGCTTTCAACCCCGCGAGCCTCGCAACATGTCCATGTACAGGGTCGCCAAAGAAAAGTCGGCGACTGAAGGGGACTTTGTGCTATCTTGAACTCTCATGCCAGTCTTACGGAACAAGTCTCGGCTGTTAGTCGAATTGTCGATCCGTACAGCCGTACCGTCGAGCAGAGATTCGAGAAAACTTCGGATCATTCCCTCGTCATCCTTGTGCACTTCGGTATCGCTGCCGGAGGAATCCTCGTCGGAGTCGGCGTTGTAGGAGATCTCGAACACCAAGGCCCGAATCGTGCTACCTGCTTGGTTTGGACGACTAGGGATCTTGAGGTCGCCGAGACGGACAGTCCATTCGCCATTGCTCAGGGATAGAGAGGTGCCATTTTCCAATGTCAGTGACTGTCGGTGTGCCCATTGTGGCTGCAGTTTCGTTCCGACCAGTTGAGTAAAAGTCTCAAGAGCGGACGATGGGATAGTGATCATGGTTGGAGTGATGAGGGCATGGTTGTCTTTCTTGCTGTCCTTGGGCGCGGATGTCGCCACGTACGTTCTTGTAGGAGTGTGAGAGAGGGTCAGGATACTGGTGAATTTGCGTAAGGAGATATCGGCATTGGGGAGAAGAGAAGACGTGTCAATGAACAGGCGATGATCGAGGAAGAAGGCCGGGAGTGGTTGAGCTGGAAATGATCGAGAGATGTGGGTTATCAAGCTAGTTGATGGTGAGGATTGATGGGGAAGGATCGGGAGGAAGAAGAGCCTGGAAAGTGTAATCAGCGGAATTAGGAAGGAGAAAATGCTCAAGTGTCCAACTTACCCAGTTATAGCCATGGTGAACGCATCATACAGGGGGGTTCATTGTTCATGATGAAGAGTGTCTCCAAAGAGGATCAGGGAGATAACGCGCAATAATATTACAGTAATATGTACAACCAAGATGTCACGCCTTAGATCCTCGGACAAAATTTTAGTAACGAGCAGAGAGCCGCTTAGTGGATAACTACACAGGATAGCTCACACTAGCACCGACTAGCGGTTGAGGGCAGAGCACTTCGGCCTCTCGGAGGATTCTATCCGCTCGCTAAGGAGTACTCCGTAAAGTACTCCGTAAAGTACTCCGTACCTGACTTGCTCATACAGGAGTCAAGGACCCCCCGTGGTCAACTTTCTGACACTTTCCGGGGCCCGTAACGGCTTCCACTGGGAACAAAAGAATTGGACCTTCTTTCCCCAGATGATCGGGACAAGCCGCTGTCTCCGAAACGTCTCGTTTCTTAATTCCAGACATCTTTGACGGAGCCAGTTATGGTGTATTCTTATCACTTGTCCACGAGTCATGATCCTCATCAGACGTCTCTGGCTCTTACCAGCCTTCTTCATTTCCTGTGCCCTCTACTACCTCTTCCTCTACCCGAAAGAGCCCTCGTCTTATCCCCATCCTGAACGCAAGATTCACTGGGTGAAACATGAAGAGCGCTACCCGGTAGCTGGCTACCGCGATCTACCTGTCGGACCTCTTGCGCAGATTCCAAGGATACAGTATGATTTCGAGTCCCATCCCGAGCCCCCTGATGCCAAATCCCTGCGAGAAAAGCGGCAAGCCGCTATAAAAGACGCTTTCTTACATGCTTGGACTGGATACAAAAAGCATGCGTGGACACGTGACGAAGTTGCTCCCATTAGCGGAGCATACCGTTCAAGTTTCGGTGGATGGGGTGCCACGCTGGTCGATACTATGGACACGCTTTGGATCATGGACTTGAAGGCTGACTTTGATCAATGTGTCGATGTGGTCAAGCATATTGACTTCACTACGAATGAGGAGGAGTACCTGAATATATTCGAAACCACAATTCGATACATGGGAGGTCTTCTTGCCGCATATGATCTGTCCTTGGGCAAATACAAGCTGCTCCTTGACAAGGCCGCTGAACTAGGCGAGATCCTGTACTCGGCATTTGACACCCCTACGCATATGCCCATGGCGCGTTGGTCCTGGAAGAAGACTGCTCTCGGTGGGGAAGTCGAACCAAGCGAGACCACCCTCCTCGCTGAACTCGGCAGTTTGACCTTGGAATTTACGAGGCTGAGCCAGCTAACAGGCGACCCCAAATACTTTGATGTTGTCACGAGAATTGCCGAAGAGATGGAGTGGCACCAGAACAAAACCAATATCCCCGGCTTATGGCCTACTATCGTCAATGCTAAGACCCTAAGCTTTGACTACAACCATTTCACCTTCGGTGGTATGGCTGACTCCACCTACGAATATTTGCCCAAACAATTCATGCTGCTTGGAGGCCGAGACAAAAGGTATAAAAATATGTATGAGGACGCCATCGAAGCGGCACAACGATATCTGTTCTTCCGCCCCATGCTCCCAAAAGGTGAAGATGTCCTGTTCAGTGGAAATGCTCAATTGACGACCCTGAACACTATTCCAACTTCAAATCTCGAACCGCAAGGCCAACATCTGACTTGCTTTGTGGGTGGGATGGTGGGCATTGGTGCCAAAATATTCGCTCGTCCAGATGAGCTACGTGTGGCTCGTCGATTGGTTGAGGGCTGCGTCTGGGCCTACAACGCCATGCCGTCCGGATTGATGCCAGAGACATTCTTCATGTCAGCATGTCAAGTGGGTGTACACGAACCACAACCCGGCAAGTGTGACTGGAATGAGGACAAGTGGTATGAAACAATCGCACAACGAAGTCCCGCGGGCAAAGACGCGGAGCACATGTCTGCTGTCGAGCGAGGTAAATACGTGGCGAAGAAAAAGCCAGTCTTTCCAGGCTTTACAGATCATCCTGATAACCGCTACATTCTGCGACCCGAAGCCATTGAATCCATCTTCATCTTATACCGCATTACAGGCGATCGCACCCTACAGGAAACAGCTTGGAAGATGTTCCAGTCAATTGATACCCAGACGAGGACTCAAATTGCCCATGCTGCAGTTCATGATGTGAGAAAACCAATTCCCGAAAAGAGCGACCGAATGGAAAGTTTCTGGCTGGCTGAGACGCTCAAATATTTCTACCTCATCTTCAGCGAGCCCTCTCTGGTGAACCTCGATGAGTGGGTGCTGAATACAGAGGCACATCCTTTCCGACGGCCAACCAGCTGAGCTCACATTTCAGATTGAGGTATGCCTGGGTTATGATTTGCGACTACTTGAGCATTTGGTGGATCAACTCATCATAGAGCTCAGAGCGCATGTCGATATCTCTCGTCAGTGATCCTTGCCTACATGTTTTTGCGCTCGAGCCGGTAGCAAGCATCTCATTTCAAGCCAAAGGCTGGACGGAAACACCTCGCACCATCTCTACTCAATGGTGATTGGCTATGAAGCGTTTTAGAAGCAGCCATCTAGGCCAGCAATTATTAACATGCAAGGTTCCGGCTCTTCGAAGCTGGGCTATACACATCAATTTGCGCTCTTGTGGGAATGATGCAAAAGACTTCCTAAACGGCTCTGAGTGCCACACTAAATGAGCTACACAGGAGATTCTACGCCGAGCCACCTCACTGGCTGTCGATTCAGTCTTGGCTGGCGAAATGATGCCTACCGCAAGACCACACCATCACGCTACGACCGATTGTTCAAGAATTGGATACAAGCCGTGCATATGTCGTGTCTAGCTACTGGAACAGCCCACTGCTCGATGGTGCTTATAAAGATGCAATATGCTGCTGTAAATGCCAGAGTGACAGTCTGTTGTAAGCCACAACCCTGTAAGATGACGAATTTGGACAGGTGGAATTTCAGTCGATGTATGTGCCTGGTGTACGAGCGTGAAGCAAACACTTATGTAGCTACGGAGCTCGATACAATCTAAGAAATGAAACCTTATTAGAAAGCGCATTATTTGATGCGCCAAACAACTTAAGTTAGGTATTCAGTCGACCTGCATACTCTTACAAGGCCGTTGGAGGCTGACGGCTCCATTCTCCCACCATCTCCTTCCTTTTGCACCTCAGTGCTCGTCTTAAACCTCAGTGCTCGTCTTGTAATCTCTCGGCCTGCCACCCGCCAATCCAGCCACAAACACACCCCCTGTCGCAGCAATGGCACCATCTCCCAAGTATGTAAACACACATCCCTGAGAATCGAAAGCGTACGTCTTCTGCCCACGGTTCACATTTTTGCAAGACCAGGATTCTTCCTTACCTGCCGCCGCCTTCCTGCCTCAACAGCTCATCCACATCCTCGTCGAGATTGCTCAGAAAATCGCCGTGGTGAGTGTCGGCACCACCACCCGCCGCAGCAGCAAAAGCCGATTCTTGGCCGAAACCCTCCATGCCCATTTCGCCTAGATCGGGGACCATCTCGTCCTCGCCATGACTGAGCTTTCTCCTCTTCGCACTCAGACCGTTGAGACCTCCACCACTTCCACTGTATGAGCGTACGCGCGAGACGTTGCTGACGTAGCCACTAATCCCGGTGTTGGTTGGCTGCTGTGACGGACTGTAGTCGCTGGCCGCAGAGGGGTTGCCGAAGCTAGCTAGTGCAGCCGCGACGGCGGGATTGTTGCGCGATTGAGCTTGAGAGGGAGTTGCAAGGGATTCCAAGGGGTTGTATCCTGTATCGTCTTCCAGCTCACGTTCTGGGGTCAACTCTTCGATTTCAGGCCGGCCGAAGCCGTCATCTGCGGACGCCGGATTGTCTAGGCCTGGAGAGAAGACTTCGTCGCCAATGGCGCCGACCCCGGGTATAGTGGTCTCGGCTGGGCCCTCAGCAGAAGATAGGCCTCGAATAATGCCATCCTCTACTTCCCTCTTCTTGGCGTCCGTTCTTGTCTTTCGACTGTCGAGCTCTAGATACGTCTCCTCGTCCTTCGCAAGCGCACCCTTGTTGATCTCCAGTATCCGTTCCAGGTCAGCGATCAAGGCTTTTCGTGCCTTGATGCTCGCCGAAACAGATGACTCTGCCGCGACTAATGATTTGATGAGGCTTGAAAGACGGGCCGCATGGACGGGCGGGCTTGGAAGGGCGGCAGATGGGTCGTTTAGTTTCATGTACTCAGATTGAGCTGTGTCGATGGCTGGACGGGCGGAAATAGTCTCCTTCGTCACTGCAATCTGGAGCGGTGCGAGGGTTTCGAGCTCTTTTGGCATGCCGGCGGAGGACGTAGAAGTGAAGAGGGATTGTCCCATCAGAGTCTTCTTCCCTGAAGAGCCTTTTGATTTGTCAATTTCATCCGTTCGGGCTTCGATAGCCTCCAAAATAGGAGGTTCGAAAACATTGCGTGAACGCCAAACGTCAACAACGCGGCGGATTTTCCCTTGAATGTCGGGAGGGCTAGAGCGGTAGGCTGTGTGGATAGCCTCTGCCATCAACGGTGCGAATGCATCAGGAAACTCGGAGCGTTTCCGCGCTCGCGCATTTTGCACAATGTCGTTGACAAGGTAAATAAAGTTGAGTCGTTTTGGCGGTGGTGAATCTCGCAGCCGGGTCAACCAGTAGCTGGCAATGCGATCTGCGTGGCGCCTATAGTAAGAATGTGAGTGTTTTCTCAATCATCTTGAAGTGAGTGTGGTGTGGTTGACTTACTTATGGAACATAATCCATTGTGAGACCGACACGATGCTATCCTGAGTCTCATTTAGAGTCGAGAGCTTGGCTTTGAGAGCTTCGTCCGTGAATGACATCCTGTCAAATGCCGCTTACTGCCACCACCGAGGTGTTTCCCTGATCTTAGAGATCCGTCTCAGGATGTCGAAGTGGCGATCTATGAGTTGAGCGAACAACAGGGGGTTACGCTACGAGCTATGGCTAGATCAACAAGCGAGATGCTATTATGGCGCCAGCGTCGAACCAGAGCAGCGGTCACCTTTTATGCGCAATTGTACATAGAGCTCGGAAACGATAGCAGAGAATCAAATATCAACTCGCAAGTACAAAGGACAGCTAGAGAACTTTGGAAAAGAGAGGCTCGGAGGGTGCTGCCAACGTTGAAGGGCAGAGTGTTTTGAATGATGTTGCCCCGCCAAGCAACTCCAGCTCTCGGAAAAACTCCTCCGACTTCGTCCCGAGGCTAGCTATACGGTAGAGCATTCAGCTGCCATGCGTTGGGCTCGACTTCGACTCAATTCCCTTCATACATATATTCTTGATCGAAGATCTGGCTGGCTTGCTGGCTGGCTGGCTAGTATATTTATACTAATCAATTATGATGATTGATCCGTGTAGGCGTTCATGATACCGTGGTTCTGCTGAGCATAGCAGCAAGTGGAGCAATCGGCGACCTCGGGGTCTAGATCTGGCGTGGCTCGTGATAAAGAGTAATCCGTGATGTAACGATCTATCCAGCGGGGTATTTATCCTTCAGCTGATGTGCTCGATCCGTGGATTCATCTACACATCACATAGTCCATTGATCCTGTCGTACTTGATTGAATAGCTCGAAGTCACCAGCCAACCGTGACAAAGACATATCAGATTCCTCGCTGCCTAACTACCCAATCTCCTGGTAGAAGTTGGCAGAGCTCAAGAACAAGCAAAAGCCATTGACCATCGGAAGACTAAGAAAATGTGCATGAAACGAGCGTGTCCGACTTGCCGTAAGTACTACCAACTCCCAAGTTGCTACGGCTCTTCTCTTTCTCAGGCACATCTATCCCGAGCTCAACCGGAACCTCCGTGTGGGGAGCACGGTTTCTTTGTTGCCCGTTGCATGTACATCCCTCTTTAGGAAAGCTGGTCTGACACGACACCCCTGCTACAGAGAAACAAACGTGGTGGGGTTGTGGCAATCATATTCCATCAGTGATGGACTCAATCCCAGAGAGTGAGAGATGCACCTGTACGCCCACTCGCGAAGTCGAGGGGAAGACCTACCCACCAAAGTCGGGAGAAGGGAAGCCGGCATGATAACGTGGAGGACTTCCTGTCAAGCAAGAGCTCTGCCCTTAAAGTCCATGCGTTCGAAAGAAAATCCAGGGAGGTAAGGAGAAAGATATGTGGGATTTCATTATTCTCTTTCATCAATGTACCTGGATCAAGTAAAGACGATACCACCATCAATCACTATTGTTTGTCCCGTAATGAACTCAGCATCCTTGGAACATAAGAACCCACCCACAGGATTGCCAACATCTTCAGGTACACTGACTCTTCCCAGCGCCGTCAAATCTGAGCTGTACTTCTTCACCGATTCACCCTTCTCGCGGCCCTCGATGGCGCCCAGTTTTTCGTCGATGAGATCCCACATTGCCGTACCCACAATACCCGGTGCATAGGCATTCACGTTGATTTTGTGCTTGGCCATTTCCATTGCAAAAACCTGCGTGAGGCCTCGCACCGCCCATTTTGACGCACTGTAATGTGCCAACAACGGGAATGGCTTAAGAGAGTTGAAGCTCAGAACCAGTGTTCAAGTGTGATAATCATGATCAACAAAGAATCTAGGTAAGAGAAACTAGATATACCTCACTGACAGTGTCACCGACTAGTGTCACCACCAGAGGCAGTGACACTGCTGAGGCAGTCACTCTAGTGACACTACTTACGTGACTGGGGATTCAACTCTCCCCCTGTATAGTAGTTCCTAACGGAACTACCATACCTCAAAAGAAAGAAGCCACAGTCGCTCCTCCTATCCTTGTGTTCCGTCGCTGTCAACTTCCTCCTAGTCTTCATCTTCGCCCACAAATAAGGACCAGTCTTTCTCCACTTCATCAGTTGCCGAGCGCGCTTGAGTCGACGTGCTATCAGCATTAGCTTCCTGAGATGTAGAAGACTCGGTGAGTGTATTCGTGGATTCACCCATCCCTGGTTGATACAGCATTGCCCCCGATGTACTGGACTGCTTCCAGCCTTCCCGGGCATCTCGTTCATTCCTCAGCTTCGTCGCCGTCTGCCGTAGAGAGTCTCTTATCTCCTTCTTTCGTCCCTTCTTCCCTTCAACTTTCTCATTGTTTCTGGCTGCACGAGCCACACGTCGAGCATGAAAGGCCTGGGCCGCTCTCATATGTTTATTGGTCTCAAATCCATCAGGTTGCCCATCCGTACGCGATTTAGTCTTGGTTCCAGCTTGAGGTGTCGACCTATTCTTCTCACTTCCCTCAGAAGCTTCTGCAGTATCACCTTTTTCAATATCTTCAGTGGAAGTCGCCTCTACCATTCCAGCCATCATTTCTCCCCCTGATGAGAGATTTAGTCGAGCAAGTATATCCTCATGAGACATCCTCGGAAGCGGCTTTGTAAAAATATCCGCAAGATTGTCCTTTGTGTCAACACGTCGTGTATCTATGACACCTTCTTCCACCTTCTCACGAACAAAGTGGTGTTTGACATCGATATGTTTTGATCTGCTGTGGAATTCAGGGTTCCTCGTAAGCTTCAACGCAGCATTATTATCGATGTATAGTGGCACCGAGTCAATATGTACACCAGGGATCCGGAGATCATTGACAAAGTTTCTAATCCATACTCCTTCTTTCGTGGCTTCAGCTGCCGCAGTATATTCAGAATCCATGGTTGACGTCGCCACTGTCTTCTGTCTCTGTGATGCCCATGAGACGGGTCCACCAGCTAGCGTAAACACCCAGCCAGTAGTGGACTTCCGCGAGTCCTCACACTTCGCAAAATCTGCATCGACAAAACCCTGGAGCTGCAGTCCATGCTTGCCAGAGTACACTATGCCTCTACCAGGATTATTCTTGAGGTAGGAGAATATCGCATCTACCGCATCCATGTGTTTCTGATTCGGATTAGACGCATACCTCGCAATGTATCCCGTGGCGAATGAGATGTCTGGTCTTGTTTGATTACTCGCAAAGTTCAGCGAGCCTGTCTTCGACTGGTATTCAGTCCGGAACTTAGAGTCTGCCGTATACCCCTCCTGCTTTGAAAGTCGAAGATTCTTGTCCATTGGGGCCTTGGATGGCAGCGTGTCCTTGAAGCCGTACTTTTCCAGAATCTCATTGATGTATCGTTCCTGATGTATACGAATCTCACCAGGCTTCTGTTCCACGTGCATCCCAAGGTAGAAAGAACACTCTCCCTCGTCAGTCATTGTAAAGGCATCTGACATCTGCTTCTTGAAGTCCAGTATCGCCTGCACATTCTTTCCCATAACATTAATGTCGTCCACATGGACTTCTAGTATGAGCCCGGTTGCATCATAAATGTAGACACATGGATCATAAGCTGAAACACGCCAGCCCCAGCTGATTAGTGTCCCTCGCAACTTCTGAAACCACGCACGAGGAGCCTGCTTAAGCCCATATATCGCTCTGATCAACAGTAAACAGTATCCAACGGGAATCCAGATGTCTTTGGGCGGCTTCATGTAGACCTTTCTGTCTAGATCACTGTTCAGGAACGCGACTTTGATATCCGTCTGGTGGATGCGCCAATACAGAATGGCCGCAAGAGCCAGCAGAATTCTCGTTGAGGCTGGCTTCACCACGGACGCAAAAGTCTCTTCATAGTCGATCCCCTCTTCTTGCTGAAAACCTCTCGCAACGAGGCGCGCCTTTCGTTTGAGAAACTCTCCCTTAGATCCAAGCTTATCGCCCATCACCCATCGGGAGGTGACTGGTTTTACACCGTTTGGGAGAGGTACAACTTTCCACGTACCCTTTTCCTCATGAGACTTGAGTTCCACTTCTTTCGCATGATGATCCAGCAGATTCTTGCCTTGTGCTAACTTCAAACTCACAACTGGGTCAGCGGCCTCAGCTGCCAGTGCAAACCTAAACTTCTGAAGTCGATCTGCCGCTGTTTGTTTCAAGGTTTCCACTTCCTCGGCTTCATTGCCCCTCACCGGGGAAGTACGGTCCTCATCGTTATTCTCAGGAGAAGCCTTCCGACCTCGTTCTGCGAACTTGTCCCTCAGAGCGCGGGTGCCTTCTGGAACTGTCCAACGGCGTTGGCCAATATATTCCAGGTGGTCTGGTCGTAGTGTAGCTCCTTCCTCGGTCATCTCATATGGTTGAAGGGCATAGGATTCAAAGGTTCCACCACTTCGCCTATAGTTGCAAGTCACCAACTCCATTCCATCCTGTCTTTTGACACACTGATTACAGGGTGTCGATCCATCACAGTTCCAGCGCATATGCTGGCACCGAACACATTCTTCATCAGAGGACTCCCCTTCTGTCAAGGGGCCAAGAGTCCCGAAACCCTTAGGCATAGGAGCTCCTTCACCAGGAACCCGATATGACCGAATTAGCATTCCATCTTCAGCGTCATACGAGCATGTTCTTTTCTTTGCAATACATTGCCCGCAGGGCTTGCCCCGGTTGCACTGCTTACCACTAAGCTGAGAGCATCTTCTGCAGGGAGGCTCTTCATGAACGCTCAGTACATGACAGCTATTCGCCAGTCTCTTAGTCTTGCACTGATTACACGGGAACTTCCCATTGCACGTCAGATTTTTCTGAGAGCATCGATAGCACTTCTGATCATGAGGGACAGGTTCAAAACCCCAACGCTCCACTCTCTTTAGCGCTCTCTCCTCATATCGTTTATCCTTTTTTCGGGTCGTGACCTTTGCTCCAGTCAGATCCCAGTCGCACGGTCTCCCAGAGGCGATACAGCCCTTGCAGCTAGACTGATCAGTGCCTTCGACAGTGCACTTCCTATCGCTTTGGTAACATCTTCTGCATTGACTCCGTTCCGCCTGCTCAACTTGTTTCAGCTTGCCCCGATTTTCAGGAAGGATCAATCGCTTCGTGAGGTCTGTCTGGTCCACGCATTTTCGGTGCACCCTCTCGCATCTCGTGCAGGGTGATCCCTTTTGCTCACGATCACAGATGTACGTGTGCCTAAAGCAGTAATCACACTTACTATCATCCGGAGAGTAGTTTTTGCTGTTCGAATATCCATGGCTTTTCACAAAGTCCCAGTACTCCTGAGAAGGCTTTCCATCTTCATCATAGTACCAGGAGTCATCCTTAGATTCTGACAATTCGGAGTCCTGGAACTCATCCTCACCTTGTTGAGCATGCGTGGCTTGACGACTTCTCTTTGGTGCCACCATTTCATCACCAGTAGCTTTGCGCTTCGCCATCCCCACGTATCTGAATCGGTCAAAGGGATTTGTTGTCCGACCAAGACCTCTCCGAAGAGCTGGAGTATCATCCTCATCATCTGCGTCATCACTCGAGTTCTCATCCGCACTGGACGTAAGTTCTTCGCCTTCAGGTATAGACCCAGCAGTGGAACGGATCTGGGATTCAGCCGTCTGTGCACGCTCAGCACCTCCACCAGAAGACTCGCTATGTTGGGACTCCCCCTGATGATCAGGCCCTCCATCATCAGAAGAATCCGTGTCTGATACGGCGAGCTCAGGAGACGGGACGCGATCTTCCATACACGGAGCATCATGATAATCTTTAAGTCCCTCTCCGTCTTCAATCCTAGCAGCACCGATACGGTAGACCTTATGCTTCTCCTCTGAGTAGATGCGATATATAGCTTCGTTCTCACATCCAACGAAATACCCTAGCCATCCCCGAGGACTATGTAACTTCGTCATCTCGGCTGTAAGCCTAAACTCCGGTGGGTATGTAACATATGCACGACTTCCCCAGATTCGTTCTCTCGAGAAGTTTGGCTTATAGCCTCTCAAGGATTCATACGGCGTCTTAGCATCTTTCTTTCGTAGTGCCCGAGCTGGAGCTCGATTCTTGAGCCAGACCGAATGTTGAATTGCCTCAGGCCAGAGTTTCTCCGGGATCGTGGAGACTCGCAGCATCTCAGTGCCTTTTTCAGTGATGATTTTCGAGATCTGTCCCGACATAGAGGTCTCCTGTAGCATGGGAGCAGCCTTCTCTCTGATCGTGCGATTGGCTCTCTCTGCCACACCATTCTGATAGTGTGCATATGGCTGTATAGGCTCTCGGCGGATAAATTTTGACTGACACCATACAGCAACAGGACCATCTTCGAATTCGCCATCAAAGCGGCAGGCCCGTATCTGAGTGTTGTAGGCTTTCTCGATCGTCAATACCAACGCCTTGAAAACCTCGAAGAGCTGTCCTTTCTTGTCGTATCTTGCACACCAGGTGTATCTGGTGCAGTCGTCTGTGATGAAGAGGAAGAATGTCGTGCCATCAAAACCTTCTATCGGGTAAGGTCCCCAGGAATCTACATGAACTAGTTCTCCAACTTGTTTGGCATGGCGCGCAGCTGGATCACGTGGAACATTGACCAAGGCTCGGGTCACGGCACAGACGGGACACACCGCCTTCAACTTGTCTTTGATCTGCCGCTCAGTGAGCTGCATCCCAGTGCAGGAATTCTTTTTCACCAGGTTCAGCATACTCTGAAAGCTGAGATGGCCTAGTCGACGATGCCATTTCCAGACAGGGTCATCGAAATCTATGGCAGCAACAACAACCTCTCCTGTCTCAAAAGGTGTAAGGGCCTTTTCAACATCCAGTTGATATAAGCCTCGCGAGAACGGTGCGTGTCCGACCTCATGGCCCTTTTCATCAATCCAGGTCATATACTGATCATTATAGACACCAGTCATCCCGGTCTTCTGGACAAAAATGCCTCCTGAGAATAGATTGCATCTTCCCTTCGGAGCATATGCAACTTCTGACAGCATCACGGTCACAGGGAAACCATCTGGACTCTTCAGAACGAGTTGAACGGTACCTCCTCCCTTGATTTCCAGGGAAGCAGCACCATCCGCAGTGTTGATATTCACATCAAGAGGGCGAAAACTTTCTTTCTTGAACCATTTAGTGTCATTGACAATGTGCATGTTTGCACCGGTATCGGCTAGCCATGTATCTGGTGTACAGAACTTTCCTGCCACGAAGGCTCCAAGACTCTCCTTCGAGTAGCCAAAAACTTGCCTAGCCAAAACTCTAGTACCACTCCCCCCCATGACCTGCACCCCCTTGCTCAATCCTTGATCACGCGTCTGCAATGACGGATTAGCTGGGTTTTGATGGGGTGCAGTAGAGGAAGACGTACCTAGAGAGTCAGCACGTTCATAGGCAGCTCTGAATTCGGAAAGATCAGTATCGGCAACACCAGCCATATTCTTGTTGTCAGCAGCCTGGGTGTTGTTGGCATTTGCGTTGAGTCTCTCTCTGACAGCTCTCGGCATCTTCTCCTTGTACTTCATCCAGCAGTCCTTTTCGAGATGACCAATTTTGCCGCAGTTAGGGAATGTGCATTTCAAGTGACTCTTGTCCTCACGTCTCTGTCTGTACAAACCACTGTTGCCTTGGTTGCCATCGTTGTCACCTTGATGACTACTGTTATTGCCCTGATAGCTATTGTTGTTGCCTCGAGAGCCATTGTTGTTCAAGTTTGCCTCTTTCTTGTTCTTTTCTCTCTGCTTCTTCTCCTCCTTGAACTGTTCTTGCTTGATTTCTTCCGAGAGAAGTCGATCATAGAGGTAGTCGAGATCGGGAGGAGCATCTGGAGTGGTCGAACGAATCCAGTCATACTTGTCTCTGAAAGCACGGTAGGTTGTCGGGAGACCATGAAGGAGCGCAGTAGCAAGGATATCATCAGTCATCTCATACTTAACAGTCTTGAGGTCCGCTTTGAGTTGGCGCAGTTTATTGATGTATTCATTCATTGTCTTGAAGTCTTCGAGCTTGACCTCATTGAGTTGAGTTAGAAGGGAGGCACGGGCGCGTTCATCAGTGACAGCATATCGCTTCTTGATAAAGTCATACGCTTCTTTGGCATTTGGAAAGTCTTCGATTTCAATCTTAATACCGTCGGAAACCCAGGATTCAAGTGTCTTGCCTGCAAGTTTCATCTTTGCTTTCGCGGTCTTCCATTCATCGGAGTCGATTTGCCAGCGTAGATTGTTGTTGTTGGAAGCCACAATGGCGGCGGTTTCTTCATTGTCGTCAGAGTCATCGGCACCAGGAGTGGCGACTTGCTTTGCCGAACGCGCAGGTCCAGTTCGTGGTGGCTTGACGATCTTAACAAGATAGTCTTCTCTGTTGGGTTTGTCTGGAACAGTCTCAACACCGTTAAGATAGTCTAGGGTATCATTGGCCTTGGTTGCACGTTCGAACTCGCGCTTCCAGGTGATGAAGTTGGCTTTGCCTTTGAGCTTGCGCTCGGTCTTGACTTCCTCCGCACGGGATTCAGCCATCTTGGAGTCTGAGAACCTAATGTTCCTGGGGTCTGGGGTCTAGGATTTCTAAAGGAAGTCTGTGATCACTGACCACTTGAACTAGTTCGAAGCTCTCAGGAAAAGAGTGCTCATAACCAGTTGAAGCTCAGAACCAGTGTTCAAGTGTGATAATCATGATCAACAAAGAATCTAGGTAAGAGAAACTAGATATACCTCACTGACAGTGTCACCGACTAGTGTCACCACCAGAGGCAGTGACACTGCTGAGGCAGTCACTCTAGTGACACTACTTACGTGACTGGGGATTCAACTAAGAGCAACGATACTCGCACCACCCAGGATCTTGTATCCACTACTTCCTTCCGGCACAGGGCCTTGTTTGATCATTTGCCTCGCTGCGTGTGTATACGAAAGCCAAACGCCCATAAAGTTGACATTGAACATCTTCTGGACGTCCTCATCAGAGATCTCCAGCACCGGTGCAACTTGTGCGATGCCCGCATTTGCGACGAAGACGGTCAAGTCTCCAAGCTTGTCCACAGACTCCTTAATTAGGTTCTGCACATCCGAGGATGAGGTCACATCAGCCACGACCCCGATGGCGCTTCCAGCCCCATGCTTTGAGTTCAGCTCATTAACAAGCTTGTCAATTCCGGCTTGATTCGCGGACACGTCGTTGACGGTCACTGCGTAGCCTTCTTGAGCCAATCGTCGGACGATAGCCTCACCTCTGTAAGAATTCTGAGACATGTTGACGAAACTCAACAGGGATAGATGCGACTTACATGCCTCGGCTAGAACCAGTCACAATTGCTGTTCTTCTATAAACCATTTTGTTTGTTTGAAAGCAGTTGATGGGGCTAGTCTGCTCCTGGAAGACTCTCAGGATATCAGGCTGCAGAGCAAGATAGGTGGCTCAAACTCTGCTGATCCCATCTAACATGTATATAAACGTCCTAAAGTCTAGCCATCGTCATCCCGAGGTCCCCTCTTCGGACACGCGGAGCTCCCACCGCGAATGAGTAGAAAATCCTGCAACACATGCGTTGATGTGCTTCAAGGCGTGGAGAGGGTTGGAGAAAAGAGGCACAACGGGGGGCGAGTGGATGCGGGGCAATAGGCACCGAATGTATCTCGGTGACAATAGCCCGAAAGCACGTTGACTTTCTTTTCAATGTTGAAAATGGATCTCGGACATACTCTGCTTTACCTTTGGCGACTGAGTAATGCATGGTCGCATGTGAAGCAGAGTAAACGGCTTTGTTTTGGTTGGACATTGCCATTAGGGTGGACTCTGCCGTTCACAACTTCGTGGCTGCGGTCGACTTCCTCTCATTCCATGAATTTACATATCGGAAGTCGGTAACTGTTGACATTCCAGTATTTCCTGCGTACACCTTCCCATTCGGCATCCAGCTTTGGCAGCTCCATCAGGTCCCAATCCACGTCAAATCCTGACTCGAAGAGATCTAGCTCGACAACTTTTTGATACACATCGTAGCTAATCTGGCGATCGGCGCCCATACCGTTGAAAAACGACCACCTCCCTTCTTGATCAAGAAGACTGATCACTTGCTCGGAGACAAACTCGCGGAATTCGCCGTACGACTCTGCAAAGGTATCGAAGTAAATCGCGTCGAACGTAACTCCCTGCGCCACAATGGCCGGAAGAACATCTTGCCATCTGCCCTTGTGAATGACGACGCCTGGTTTATCCATCCATCCTGTGGCTTGCATTTCACTTAGAACCTCTGAGTGGGCTTCAACAATATGGTGGTTTGCAGGTTTGTTTGCGTGATTCTGAATATGTGTATCGAGAATGCCCATGCCAAAGCCGATGTTAAGAATTTGGAGGCCCGATCGAGGTAGGAGTGCATCGGCGGACTTCAGCATAATATTGCTTTCCCATGCCATCATCACCCCGTTCTGCTGTTCATCCAACAGCATATTGCCACTCCTAGACAATGTGGACGAGAGGTACGTAGAGCTGTTAACTTCATGATGCTCTCGAGGTACGGATTCAGTAGGAGGAGCAGTATCATCTTCGAGAATATCGCCTTCCTCACTCTCATCAAGTCTCTCGTACTCTTCCAGCCGAGTCAGGAGCATCTCGGCCCTGACCCCTGCATCGACGATGAGTTGGTAAAGAGATTCCAGACCCAATCGGTATGCTAGACAACCGGGGGTCTCATCATTTCTGTCCAGTTGATTCCAGATAGCGCCGTTCTCCAACAAAAATTTCACGATCTCGATCGCTCGCTCTTCAATAGAAATCGGTTCACGCTCCGTACCATTAGCATGGGAAGTGCTTCCATAGATAGTAGCGTGCAATGGTGAAAACCCTGTAGCAGGATCCTGCACGTCAACTGCTTTGCAATCTGGGAATGAAGTTTCATTTACCAGCCGTTCTAGACTCTGGAGATTGTGGTGTGCTGCGGCATTTAGAATATTTTGGATGCTGTCAGAAGGGATTATGCCGATATCTGAATTTTGCACTTCCGCTGCCATTTCAGGGTGTTGTGATGCTGAAGTCCTCATCCAAAGACACTCATAAAAAAGGTATATCCTCGTCCTGCTAACTTCAATACCAAACAAATTCCACAGAAACGGGTATGAGTGCGAGCAAACTTCTGGAGACTGGAACATAGATAATCCGTCCCGAAGCCAAGCAAACTTTCCAGATGCCAACTCCGGATCTGAGGACGACGGCTGTTCCAGCCTCAGGACTTGTCTTTCTTGATTAAACCATAAAAACCCTGTCTTCTATGACTAATAATCCTGGGCTCCAGGATTTGTTGTAAGATGTGAACTGCCTTTGCATCAATCACCCTTCTTGTATCGGGATCCAAAAGTGGCTCACACTGGCATGACAAACAAGTGTTGACTTGTTAGATCTGCCCATCCGACACAACGCTGTCACGATTCGTGGGGTTTCCAGGATCGGAGTCGCGTATCCATTTCTCTTCAGGAAACAATGCAGCCATACACACTCAAGTCATGTTTAAACATCAGTCGAAACCCTGACGCAGAGATCTTTGATGTGGAAACAGCTGTCCTTCAGCGTTTAACCCGTCGGGGTGGCAGGTGTGGCGACTTTACAAGCAGACCAACGAGCTCCGAATATTGCACTGGTATCTTTCCTTGACAATCTGGTTAATCTCGACTAGCCGGTTCCTGGCTCTATCCAGATTTTGGTACTGTGCTTTTCAACACTGGTTTCCAAGCCGCCTGAGCTTTGCCGTGGCGGATTTAAACCACATCCAGCAAGCGACTGAGCAGCCAACCTCGTTCATCTATATTCAATCGATTCCCCCATTCTGCCGCCCACCAGGCTGTTGACTACCCAGACATGGGCAAGACAAAGGGGAAGAATGTTAAATTAGGAGCCTTTGAGATTCAGAATGATCTGCTTTCCGACCTCATCGCTGCAGCAGGAAGTGAAAATTCTCTGAAGGCCGCAGACGGTCACAACGTTGATGGCTGGGCTGACGAAGACATTCGAACTTACAATGAACTCCTCAACGAAAGAGCAAAACTCGAGAAGGAAAAGACTGAGCTCGAGCAAAAATCATCCAGGCATCAAACCCAACGAGCCTTGCTCGACGAGCATGCAACAGCCCTGGATAGCTTTTTCAAACCCCAACTGGGTGGAGAGTTCAAATTCACGGGCCAAAGTAGCTGCTGCTTGGATGCTGATGCTGACAACACTTGTGTTGGGGATCCCCATGGCCGTGGATTTCCATGTAAGCATGAAGTCTGCAAGCGTGCAAAGAGCAAAGGTGTCTCTTGGGTTGAAATGGACACCATAAAGTATTATCATGCGAGAATAATGGCCGAGAAATCGCAGAGAATGCAGAAGGCTCTCCGCAAACAACGAGATGTTGAGTTGGTACGCGTGAAGAAGGACGACGAGGAAGAATTTGCTCTGAGGAATCGCAAGAACACTAACCTAGATAAGGGCCACCGTCCCACTCTTGATGGTTCACAGCCATGCAAAAGTGACAGGAATGCCCCTCTCGACCCGTCTACGTTGGACATGCTTGCTTCCAACGACTTCTTGCTTGACCCTCGGAACAGTGCAATATTGGAAGCTGCGAAGGAGAATGAGCATATTGTGAGAAGGATCCGTGCAAGGCTAGATAAAATCCGGCACGATGTTAATGCTGGTAGAGTTTCTCCAGCAGATGCACGAGTGAAGTTGGACCAGGCGAATTTAGAAATGGCGGAAGCTGAAAGAAAAAACAACGAATTCCGTCAGATGATTTTGGACGCCGAGCCCGCGCTTTCACACTTACAACAACCAAGCCCAGGCAGTCTGTCAAATGTTCTCTCCAAAACATTGGCTTCTTCCAATGCTGACGCCTTTTCTCAAGCCTTGACTGTTATGAAGGGCTTTTTTAGTGCCTCAGATCCTCACGACGTTCAGACCGCAATCACAGATTTACGGAGTGTCCTTGAACTCAACGGCCCTATGTCTCCTGTCCTTCAAAAGTCCTTCCAGACACTGGAGGAAATGCTAGCAAAACCCAACGCGAAGGGATTCACAGTTGATGTCACTACAGCCGATGGGACAACCCGGACCTGTAACAACGTTGTTGAAGTCATGATGAATCTTCGGCTCAAGATGCAAGGCAAAGATCCTCGCTCCACGATTGCCGATGCAGACCTCAACTTGGACAATGACACCATGAAAGCCAACCATGAGTGCGTGGAGGTGGAAGAAGTGGCCAAGAAAGACATGGAGAGAATGGTTGAGAAGATGGCTAAAGATTCCGATGACACCCTGATGGAAGCTCTAATGGTCATCAAGACGAGAGCTATTTTGAAGTCTCCCATCCCACCATTATCAGACATTGTACTTGATACTGTCATCAGTGACCTAATGTTTAAACGTGCAGCCAACGCTCTTATCCTAGATGCGAACAAAGGCGCCCGTCTTCTAGAACTCTCAGGCAAGCTGACGAAACTTGTGATCGAGACTGCACGAAAGAAACCGGAGAAGTACATCCTGACTTTGGACCTGGTCAAGGAACACATTGTCACAACTCCAACTCCACCACAAACCCTCCTTGATGCCCTGTCTAAGGTGGAGGTTCAGATGTCGAGGTTTGTCGCCGTGCAGGAGGCAAAGAAGAAGAAAAACAAGGATGAAAGCCCACTGGCTGCGATGTTGGACATTACTTCTCAGACTTTACTACATCCGCAAATTGCATCGTCCACCAGGCATGCTATCACCCCAGAAGAAGGCTTACACCAGCTTGATGCGCTCTTTGACCGTGGGGGAAGATTGGCAAATCCCAAAACTCTCCGCGACAGTATGGCCTTACATTACCGGACATTTCTTGAGCTCGGGCCCTGGGAAATGTTCCGAATATTCGCTGGGTACCATATAGAGCCGGCATTCGTCTTTGAGCCTTGGGACTGGGAGATGAATTTCTTCAAAGCAAACAAAGAAATTCTCTTCCCTCCCACACATCAGTGCCTAGAAATGATATTCGACTATCAGAGACGCGGTATCTGTCCTGGTCAGACAGCCCTTGTAATTTCTCAACGTTTGACATGTCAGATTCGGATCGACTTCGAGGCCGCGAAGACTAATCTTAAGCTCATCAAGGGCATCTTATCTCACCACAACTCTGCAAGCAACAAAAATTGGTTCCGTACCTTTAATTTCATAGGTCAAACAATGATCGATCTTTTCGGCGCACTGGTCGTCGAGATATCAGCATGGGAAAAGAACGATGCGACCATTATGGCGATGGATGTTGCCGCCATGTTTTGCACCTTCTCCCTTGGTGCTTCTGGTCAAATGCAAGCTTATAGTAATCTGAAGGTCCTTGAAGAATTCATCGCAGCCGCTCTCGTGGACTACGACAAGGGAAAAAATCTAGGTAGGCTTCACGACACTTTGGGTCGATTCTACCACCTTTGCAACGATCCACGTTATCTTTGCAGCTTCCAGCACAAATGCCGTGCCCAAGTACAGGAGGAAGACAAAGACAAATTCAAAGCAACTTTTCCTGTCCCACTTGAAGTCGAAGAGGCCCGGAGCAAACCGGTGGAAGCGCTGCCTCGACCACTTAAGGCATTCGAAGGGCTCAAAAACCAGATGCCTGAGCCAAGTGCCCCGCCGCGTCATATTCCTATTATTTCCAACGTTCAATATGAACCTGCTACCGACCCCGGTGCTGTTAGGTCCTTGTTAAACGCATTGAACAGTTTGGACTACATTAATGATCTTGATCCGCAATCCAACAAGGTCAACGATCAGGAAATCCAATTTCGAAAAGCCATTCAAAAGTACAAGGTTAAACTGAACGAAGACTTGGATTCTTATCACGAAGGCAGGGGAGCTGAATACCAGAAGGTACTAGGTCAGATTTCTTCAACCACCAATGATTTGAAGGCCCTCCACAAGGACTTCGTCAATGGAACACAAGAAAAGGATATCTCTACCAAGTCTCGGTTTTCTGAGCATCTTGATGAAGAGTCAACGGTACAGGAGAATGAATTAGGATCTCAAGGTATCAGTTTGAGGCACGTTTCCCGGAAATCGCCAAGCATGGTGAAGACTTGGTTAGACATCACTTCAGAGTCTGGGAATGTCCAGAAAAAAATGACCGAAGCTTCCACAGCATCTCAGCGTGAAGGCCGAATTCAGTCATCTACTGCGTTTGAGACTAATCACAAACGTGTTTTGCCCACTTCTACAGCCTCTCAATCCTCTTCCACTCAACCCGGTTCTAGAGCAACAGCCACTGCTGCTATGGATACCAAAACTACGATCACAGAATCTACCATTAAAACTGCCGCAAAGACGTCTGCGCATGAGCCAAAATTCTCTCCACCTGAAGAAAAGATCAAACAACAACTCACAACTTTCCTCAATGGGGTTCTCAACATTGGTTCCGACGTCAAGGAGATGCCCGATTCAGTTCACAAGGACGTATTCCAGGGCGTCGCGAAGCATCTCCAAGACATGGCGCGCGGACACATCGACATGGCTTGGATCATCGCCGAAGGTCGCAACTACACCGCACTACAAGGCTGGCTGAGGGAACGATTTGGGAGCAGACCAAAGAAGGAGGATGATGACGGCTACGACAACGACGACAAAGTCGCTGCCACAACAGCCAATACCCACCCAAACAATACTCAGATCGGCGCCACAGGTCCCAACACAAACGGCCAAATCACTGACCAAGGTAGCGCCGCGCACAACAAGGTGGTTGTTCCGGCGGATCGGGGTCCAGGTGGCCGACGTCGCAAGCGTGCGCCGCGCAAAAGCAAACATTGAGATGCCCGTCATCCCCGCCTTGCAGACCCAAAAATTGCCGGCTGTTGTAGACGCTGTCGACCACCATTTCCACTCAAAATGCTCTTCAATGCGTAGGCAGGGTCTTGTATTGTTTTTTCTTCTTTCAATTATTAGGATTCAACGTGCATGAACAGGAGCATCAATTGGACAAGGCAAAGGAACGGGAAGGAAAGGAGTCAAAGCATCAGTCCGGCGCAATATTCTCACGTAGCTGAGTTTCATGGAGGCAATGACAAAAGTGTGGAAAACCAAACACAGGACCAAGAATCCCAGCAAAACCTTTGTAGCTCGGTTTGCGCGTTATGACCTTTTTCCATGCATATTTCAGTTTGGTAATACTTTCTTTGGTTTTATCAAGTCGTTGTAGGTAGGTGTCGGGTACAATATCCCCACGACTTGGAACGTAACATCGACACACAAGCGCCGTTTTCGGGCTTGGTAGCCACGAGAGAGAACACAAACGGGACCACTCTTATCTGATTGAAGACATCTTCTTTCTTTTCTTTACCTTGAGCATTCACTCCTGATGTTGTCGTTGTCCCCACCCGCCCTCCGCCCCTGCCTCACAGAACTGTGCACAAAACGACGATTTCACTTCGACTCGAATCGTCATCATCTCCTTACATAGTGCAGAATCCCCATATGTCTCAAATGCCGCCAGCGCCGGGAGCGTCCTTGTCACCTTTCAGGCTCAGTAGCATCTCACGCATTTTCTTCTTTGAGCTGCCATCGCCACCGCCCTGCTGGCCTTTACCAGACAGATCGACCAGCTTGGCAATTCTCTCCCACGAAGTGCCTCCGGCGGTTGTGTCTTCTCTCTTGGCCAGAAACTCTTCGGCTTCCTTGGCCGTCTGGGCTTTCTGTTTGTCGACCTTGCGGTTGTAGGACTCGTAGAACGAGTCAATGTCCTTCTGGGCCGTGGAGATGGTCTCTTGTTTCTTGGTCTGGGACGCCTCGTCGCGCCGGCTGAGGTCTGCATCGCGCTTTTCGCGCCATTGGCGGATCGGCTCGGTGTCTTCGTCTTGCGTAGGTGCCTTGTAGTTCGTGTAGCCGGACCCTTGGAAGGGCTGCGAGGAGTTGGTGATGGTGCCGCCAGGGCCGACATTCTAGGGAAAGAAGAGAGTTAGACCTCGTGTGTTTCATCGTGCTTATAGATCTCGTCAGGGACGCGAGTTCGCTCGCAACATACATCGTTCCGCGTGTCGATGGCAGGAAATGAACTCTCGAAAGAGTCCAAGTCGTTCTGTGCTGCGCCACCAGAGCCCCGGGGTGCAGAGACAAAGTCATCGCCACCTCCTAGTAAGTCATCGTCATCGCCATCTTCGACTGTAGCGGCGCCGGGCTTGTCGTTGGCCGCGAATAGATCCGCATCTTCTCCAAGGAGTGCCCGTTCTCGTTCCAGGAAACTTCCCTGCGCATTTGAACCGGGCCGGACATCGGTTTCACCTAGTATAGAGTAAGCATCGTACCGCTGATGTTTCGATTCATATCTCAAAGTCGTACCTGCATCGATGTCTTCGATTGAAGGAAACCGATCCGCCATCTTGGGGTTATGGGGTAGGCGGAGTGGTTTCTAGGCTATCGGGAAAGGTCTGGAGGAATTGACAAGGGAAGAGAGAACTTATGATTCAGATGTATGAGTTCTTTCGGTCCACGCAAGGGAGGAGGTATGGAAGTTCGTGTAGACGTCGGGCTGGTGTCTTGTGAGATTATTTATTGTTGCGACCTGTCGTAGGGGATTGGACCGCACCCAGATATGGAAGGAGCAATCCAATAACCAACCGCCTGCCGCCTTAGCATTGTAATATGGAATGTTTGCCGAAGAGCCCGACTGGGACATCTTTCGCTTGCCACTTTAAGACAAGACTGATGCTTTGTGGTTTCGCTGGCCTTGACGGCTAAGGAGTGTCTTTGTAGATGCTTTCCTAGAGAAATTGTCGAAACTACAGCATGAGAGACCATAAATTAATACTGAGTATATGTTCCGGCACAAAACAATCTTTGAAAGGCATTTTCAGCCTTGCATAAGGGCGCCTTCGCTCAATGCCACTTTACAAAGCCAAATGAAGCCTGCAACTGCAACCAACGTCAGGGAATGCCGTACCCTATACCCGGCATTACTTGCGGAGGTAGACCCAGATCCGTAAACACAAGCCCATCCTGAGATGATCCCTCCAGTCCCACACTCTAGTGGTTGCGTTGGTGAAGTTGAGATATCTTCGTCCTTGCATTGTTCAATAGATGATCCAGACGGACAACATTTCTGCGATGACCAATAGTCCGCACCACCCCCGTACAGAATCAAAGACGATCCAGCTGGACAACAAGTCCCCCATGAGCCATCGGCATTATTTTGCACCAGGAAGCAGGAATTCGAATCACAGAACCCAGCCGTCGACGGGTTTGGACAGGAGGACTGTCGTCGATGAAGATGTTTCACTTGCAACTCCGAGTCTGAATGTTGCAGTATGTTGGGAAGGCTCTCGACAAGGACCGGAATCTGGGTTTCCTGAGAAACGGCTTCCTGTGCGATTGCCACAGGTGCTAGAGCACTAATAATGAGACCAATGAGTAAACTACGTCGTCCCTTCGAATTTCCAGACCTGCCATCCATATTGGCGGCATGGAGAAACTGTAGTATAGTAGCGGATGCCCGGATGAGCCTGAGGTGGCTGTGTGGGTTTATGAGGTTGCAGACGCCGGATCATGAGTAAGCACAAATTCCAAGCATTCCAGCACTGAGATTGGTTGCGCCAAACTTGCCAGATGAGTGGACTTGGATACCACGGGTTGTCTGTTTCGTCAAGAAATCAAGCTCGTTGAGGTCAGTCTTGCTTGTATATTTCTTACGTCCGGCGAAACTGCTTCGGCTGATTGCATGCTGAGGACAGCAGCGTCTTGGGCAATAGGAATAATTTGCTCGAGGTTGTGGCCTCGCACAAGGCCTGCAACGATAACTCCCAACATTGTGTCACCGATCCCATTCACTGAGATGATTTCTGATTGAGGAACCTTGCGAGATGGGGTGATGAGGCGCATCTGGACTCCTCCAATCTGCGAATGTTCAGACTGACTTCTCGCGACAATACAAGGTGCAGACTTCGGATTTCTTAGCCTCTCATCGTCCCTTTTGAGTAGACTTGCGACCAGGCATCCCTTGCTACCCAGTTTGGTCACCAGATTCGGAATGAAAGGTAGAAGCTGAATACATTGTTGTGGGATTCCTTGTTCAACCAACTCGTGCCCTACAACAGCGCTGAGCCTGTCTCGCGAACTTGAACCGGACAGGCCAAAGCTGTCAATCACCCTCCACCACGATTCTGATTCAAACATCAACGCATCACGTGCAGAATTGAAGAGTGCGGTCAGTTCGAAGTGGTTCGGAGATGCAAGACTGACGACGTGTTCAGGAACGACCTTGAGACTTGAGATTGACGAATTTTCTTTATGAAATAGACGAGTTGCTTTGGCCACGGAAACCGGCTCATAGGCAATCATCACATTGCGTGATTTTGCGGCATTCAAGATTTTCGATAGTATTGATGGTGACCAGTTTGCATCGACTACAACCCAACTAGGTTTGTTTCTTGCCATTACGCCAGACCAGTAGTCCAAAGATTGCAGTTCTGGTCTCCCCAGAATCGACATGTCTGCCATGGCCACAACGAGATCTTTTTTTGTGTCATTGACTGCCACATATTGAGCAGTCCTGGCTCCTGCTGCAGTAGGAATTTGGCGTATGTCCCTTGTGGGCAAACCGATTTTGGCGATATGATCGATAAGTGTTGTTCCTGCAAGATCATCGGCCACAACGCTGGCCAGATTCACCTTAGCACCAGCATAATGAGCAGCAATGGCGACATTGCGCCCGACACCACCTGGCGATTGAGTTATTCTGGCGGGGTTGGAAGTTAGCAGAGTGGGCGATGTTGTTGTGGTGTCATTATCCAAGGGCTGGTTGTCGCAGAGCGTGTCGCTTGCGAGAGACCCCACGACGAGGATATCGACGCCTTCCTGAGATGGCGTCTGTGATTTTTGGTTCGTATGTAGTTCATTCGCAGGAGAGGTTGAGACAGGCTGCTCAGATCGAATCACGATGGTCCTTTCATCTCTATCTGAAGTCAATACGAGACGCACGTCTAAATCGAACAATCTAGCATGGCTCACCGCGGTGGTGCAGCCCCATCTCTTCGTTCAAGCTTGGCCAATTCCACAGCGACCTTTGTACCGCGGATGATGTTTGCCTCGATTAATGCACTATTTGCCTCAACGCTGCCGCCTTGGCTCAATTCTCGGATCCGTTTGAGAATATAAGGAGTGTTGGCGTTGCCCGTAATCCCTTTCTCCTCAGCTTCAGCCACAGCTTGTGAGAGAATGGAGTCGATCTCCTCTCTGGTCATGGCAGAATCCTTTGGGACAGGGTTCGCAAAGAGAAGGCCAGACTGTAATCCAAGAACTGATTGGGCGTAGACAATTGTTGCTGCGTCAACTTCATCAAGGATTGTCTGGGGGCTTTTGACCCCGCTATCTCTCGAAAAGAAGGCAGGGAAATCCACCTTGCCCTTGCGTCCATCTGCAAAAGTGCCCACACCAACACCCTGCGTCTCGAGATACTCCAAGGTACGGGGAATGTCAAGGAAGCTCTTACACCCGGAACTGATGACAGCGAGCGGAGTGCGGCCAAGTTCGGTCAAATCTGCAGAGATGTCCATCGAATTCTCGCCGCCGCGGTGGACACCCCCAAGACCACCAGTCGCAAATATCTTGATCCCAGCAAGATGAGCCAAAATCATTGTGCCAGCAATGGTAGTTCCTCCATTGAGTTTCTGTCCCCGGAGACCGAGACCACCAATAAACCCTAGGTCTCTCCTTGAAAGCTTCCACGTTGTTTCCTGCCCAGCTGTCTTGATGAGCTCAATTAACTGCTCGGCACCCATACCAACATGTGCGACACCATTGAGAACACCAATCGTCGCAGGAATACCGCCATTGACTCGAACAAGGGATTCAAGGTGGGATGCGAGAGCGATATTTTCGGGGTAGGGATAGCCTGGTACGCATGAGCCTTAGGTGACGAGGAGGCTCAACGCCGACCAACCGTGGGTGTAGATTGTTGTCTCTAGGGCGACGACAGGTTTGCCTGTTGCAACAGCGTCTTGTACCTCCTCTGAAACCCGAAATATCTTTCCCCTTCCTGAAATGTTCCTACCGGAGGAACTTGCTCGTTGGGAGTATTGGCTGAACGGGCGGGTTTGAGGGAGCAGCTGTCTGGACACGACCACCCTGTGGGAGAGTGCCATCTGGACCATGACTACTACAATTTCGAAATGGGGGCCGCCACAACCAGCCAGCTTCTTTCCAGCTCGGATGCTGACAAGCACATTCACGAAGTCATACCTCGAGCCGTAGTCAAGATTCAACACGCGGAAGTCCGACGGATACTCTCCATCCCACAAATGAGTCAGCGCAGGAGACAAACAATTTGAGGCTCATTAAAGTTGGACCTAATTAGGAATTAGCGCAGATCAAGGAAGCGCCCCACACAAGTACTTTATAAGAGCCTCCACGGAGTACAAAAGCATTGTATTTTTACTCCGTACCTGTGCTCGCTACCTTTTCAACACAAAAGGCGAAGCGGAGCCACGAAAAAAATGCATCAGATGGTAAATTCACCCGTCAACGCCTTTACTTGCCTCTTCGTCCGAGCTTTAGGAATTCCCTTCACTTCCTCAACTGCTCCAGAATGATCGCACCTAAATATTGACGATACATCGATTCTTCCAACTACACAGACTCCAATGCTGGTAACTAGTGAGGCCGTTGGAATTTGTGGATTAGGTCGAGGAGGACTACATATCAGATGACACTGCGTATCTGTTGGCTTCAACATTAGCTTCAACCTCGTGTTGTGAAGGAGTTGCCGTCAATTTTGACAAGGTATCCATATCTTACGCCTTCTACGAGCTGGGTACTATGAAGGTGGTCAGACAGCTGCCGCTTGGTCGCAGACACCGATTCCGTGGAATGCAGATATCAAGGCGAACCTAGCAGAGTACATGCAAGCTACAGCAGGTAGATCGCCCATCGTCCGTTGTGCAAGCCTGTGCTGCCAACTGCCGAATCATCGAGCCCCGAGTCACCTCATGAGGCATGACTCGTGGGTTCGAGTACTAGGGCTTAGTAAGGACCCAGTCGGCACTCGAGTCTTTTACTATGTAGCCTGTAAGTCTCGCTAACAGTCGATATAGGTTCAAGGGGACTCCTAAGCTACATACGTTTTCTCTGTCTCGCTATTTTATTAGTAATCATACAGAAGACCTTAAGCTCTTTTTATCGCCTAACTGAGCCGTCTAAAGCTACCCTATTAACAACGTCGTCCCTTAGTACACCCTTTCCTAATATCGACAGTATCGATATCGACTTTTATTAACTCTTGATCTACTCGATGATCGGGAGTTGGCAGCGCTGGCACTGCCACTAGAACTGCAAGGTATCGGAGTTACGATTCCGAATGCACATTTATGCAAGGCCAAATCTTGAGATATTGAATAGGTTTGGCTGGAAGATCTTTGGGGGTGTCAAGGATGATCGGATGAAGTTGAACTTACTGATTTGGAAGCGGAGTGGTTTGCAGTCAATTGGAGCACAGCATAGTGTCTCGGCCTAGAACCGCTGAAAGATCATCGGTCTTGAATTACCGCCGGTTGCCTTGCATGTAGAATAGCAGAAAAGAGGGGTCTTTGCGGGAAGGAGCACAGTATTCGAGCTCTCAGGACTGACCATGCATTGCCGGTTTCGAGCAGGTGGCTTCCATTGGCACAGACAGTCGTGAGAATATGAGCGTGATGGAGAACCCCCAGAAGCTGCGCGTTTGACTATCGGAAACGAGTTCAAAATCTCCCTTTGTCGACGACTGGAATTTTGATACTTATCCAGCCACAAGCCGAAGCTATGGAGAAGTTCAAGTTCCAGAATCTCAGACGCTGTCAGTGTGAGTGACTTATTGGCTCTGCAATGGAAGACGGGCCTTTCAGGATATTCATACTTATCTCCTTCGCGTTTTGGATTGCTTATGGCATTCACCTGGTGTATACCGGCTTTAATTCCATCCTCTTCGGCACTTCCCAGGTCCAAAGCTAGCTGCTGCCACTTACTGGTATGAGGTATGGCAGGACTGGTTCGCCGGTCCATACCACGGGCGGAACAGTTGGCACACAGAGAAGCTGCATGAGCTATATGGGCCTATCATCCGACGAGCTCCGGATGAGTTAGACATCACCGATCCGGAATGGTTCCAAATATTGTTTGCTGGTGGTAAGCCAAACAAGTACAATCGGGAAACTTTCCAAGGTGGAGATGCCAGCGGCTTGATTCAGTTGGCCAGAGATCGAACTAGACATGAACATCGCAAAGGATCACTTACCACGGAAAAGTCGAACTGCTCTCTGCTGAAGTGGAAAAATGCATGCTCGAGAACGGGGTCCTTCATGCGACCAACGCATTTGGAGCGCTCACACTAGATGTGATAACCTATTATTGCTTTGGACAACGGGTAGGATGTCTATCAGCTCCAGAATTTGCCCCAAAATAGCAGAAATTCTTTAGAGGCATGCTCAATTGTGCCTTGTGTAAGAAGTTCGGGCTGGATTGTCCGAAAGCGTGAAAAGCTAGCCCAGTGGCTTCTCCGGCACATCTTTCCAGATATTGAGTAACTCATAACCATGAAGGGCAATATCCAAAGCAAAATAGACGCAATCCTTGCAGAACGAGAGAAAACAGAGGCAAAATGTCGTGTCTTGGCAGACTCGACCGACTCGTCAAGAATTGCAAGGGAAGACCGAACCATCCTTCATGATATTCTTTACAGCCGCGTTCTTCCCCCCGAGGACAAGTCAAAAGACAGACTTGCCGAGGAGGCCTTTGGACTTGTTATCGCTGGGGCATTCACCACAGGCACGGCACTATCCAACTTGACTTACCACTTACATGCCAATCCAGAATGGTTGATCAAACTCAGGGAGGAGCTTGATCAGGCTATGCCTAAGCCTGACAAGCCTGGCCAGTGCAACAGAATTGGAAAGACTTCAAATTCTCAAGGCGTGTATCAAAGAGAGCCTTCGAATCAGCGGACTGTTCACAGAAAAGCTTGCATTTCAGGAGCCAGAGGAAATTCTTTACTACCAAGACTGGGCTTTACCTCCCGGAACTCCAGTCAATATGAGCATCTATACAATGCACGCTGACAAAGCGATTTGGGACGAGCCACTCGAATTTCGGCCAGAGAGGTGGCTTCAAGATTCTGGGACGACGGCTCATCTGCAGAAATACTTTGCTCCATTCTCAGGGGCACAAGAGCTTGCATCGGGTCAAAGTAGGTCAGAATCTTCAGTATTAATAGCCTGAAGCTGATCATAGACAGTCTTGCATACGTACAGCTGCATTTGGTGACAGCCTGTGTGCTCAGAAGATTCGAACTTGAACTCGATGATGATGTGATGAGGGCAAGAGATGTAGATGTAGTGAGAGACTGTGGAATAGGACTACCTCCTCCCGAATCAAAGGGCATCCGATTCAAGGTCGTCAGACAGAGACTGTGAATGGCCATCTCAGAGGGAGCCGGGTTGGATATTATCGAGTAATTGCAACATAAGGTCAAAGCGTCAGTTTGGGGCAAACAAGAGGGAGGGGATGTAATGATGCTGTTGTGCTAATATTGTTGCCAAGCCGCCTGCTCTATTTGGGACTAGCACGCCCATGAGGAACATTTTGGGCTGGAGCGCGACTTGCAGTTGGGGATTCGTGTTCAATTCAACTTGTTCACAACTGATCTAAGTCAGTCTCTCGATCGACTTTCTTCAAGACAAATCTTCGTACCAGGAGGTCCCAATCCGTCAAAATGGTATAGCATTATATTTCTGAAAAGCCATGTTGAACTGAGTGCTAATTCTTTTGTCCCAGCTGGATAAACTCGTAGGCATGGCGATGTTGATAGCAGCCACTACGATCTTCTTATATTACACTCTATGGACTCTTCTTATGGTAAGTGTTGGTTCTTCATTTGGCGCACACAAGATCTGATCATGCGTGTAGCCTTTTGTGGACGATGACCACCCGCTTCAAAGTCTATTCCCTCCTCGTGTCTGGGCGATTCGAATACCAGTGATTCTCACACTTCTTGGATCATCTGTAGTCGGTACATTCCTTGCACTGGTCATGATTAAGAGCAACAGGAAGAAGGCAGCCAAGGCCAGAGCAGCAGCGGCCAAGAAAACAAAATAGACGGGGGGAGGTGTCAGGACCGGACATTGGGGCTCGGTGTATATCATCAAAGTAGATCTAGGCTGTTCTAGATGTAGGGGCACCAAGGGATCCTAGGTGCTTCTGTGGCGCATTCAAGAGACTGAAAACATTTGATCTGACGTGTTTTGGAGGACCAGCGTGCTTGATGATATAGTGCAGGGCGCATGCCGCAATGTTGTGCGAAGAGTTCTCCCGGACAGTGGCCGCCGAACCAAGGCAGTATAATGGTCCTGGACATTTGGCCGAGAACTCCTTTCGTGTCAACGCCCTGGGATCTCAATTCATCCCATTAGTTTCGGTGACAGGAGGAAGTCTGACAGGGAAACGCTTGAGCAAGACAGTTGTTTGTCACAACCGTCTCCACATACGGAGCCTGGCAGCGTCCAATCCTAGGATCACAGGCACTGGAACATTCGAGAGCAGCCGTGGAGGTCAGATTGCAATTGCCGATAAGTCGAGTGGCTTGCTTGGTGAGTCAAAGCAGGAAGTAGTCACCATCCCGAGTGCTCAAAAGACACGGAGCGTACCTGGATGTGCTCCTAATAGTACTCTTGTGAGTCATCAAAATTGAGACCAACATCGCAATGTCATTTCTGCAAGCCCGAGGTAGCCTGGTTTCGATATATCCGTGGTGGAGGAGAGCTTTGACCCCGCGCCATAGTGCAGATGGTGAGATCAGGTGAGGGAATGGGAGCTGCAAACGGCAAGGGACCTTATGCCGTCGGGCGCGGGGAAAGCTCCCACAAAGTCGGTCAGGAACGCAGACTGTCCGAGTACAGAGCACTGTTCTCCGTGGACGTGGACGTAGACGCGAACGCGGACGTGGATGTGGCCGCCTCCGCCATCGTGTCATGTGCACTCGAGGCATGCCGCATGCCGCATGCGCATGCACTTCTGACTTCACATCTAGGTTCAGCGTGACCCGAGACCGGGTAAACAAGGCTTTCTGGGCCCTCAGATATTGGGTCTTTTGCCAACGTGACTCCCGCTGGACCAAAGGGGCCGAGGGCCCCTCATAGACGCCCCTCGTCCCTATCTTTGACGTCCCGAGTTCACTATGGAGTACTCGTACAGTAGATCTACTCGTAGTTGGTCCCCTACAGTACCCACCCGCCCTGCCTAATCTCATCTCTCCGATGCCCGATCCCTCGTCAGTGGTCACTCTCCAACTTCCCAAGGTACATACTTACATACGGATCGATGCCACGACTCACAGCCTACGGGTCCTCAGATTGACTACTTTGTACTTGCTAACATTTCCCTTCTTGCCTCACAAACTTGCCAACGAAACCACTCATTGCTTGAATCGACTCTATCTCCTGACAGGCATCATCCTGCTTGTTGATCGCCTCAATAGATCAACAGGCTCTTGCCCTTCTCTCCAACCACGCGTGCCTCCACAACCCTCGAACTACTCGTACTCCATCAACCCCGCGCCTGCCCTGCGGACTGCCCACCAGCACCACATCAATAGGAGAGGGCATCCTCACTCTTTCCTACCCACTATCTCATTTCACGTCTGCTGTCGAGGTCCCGCTTTCTGTCCGTCCTCCATCTGTTCGCAGACTCTCTTTGAATGCCATCTTACAACAAGTCAGCTTCCTCCGACCCCAAGAAGACAGACTCTTCCTATTCTCCCAACTGCGATCTCCAGTCCATAGTGGCCGATCAAGACTCCTCTTCAAAGGCAGGGAAGCGGAAGACAAAGAATGCTGTCAAACAGTCCGTGTATAAACCCGACAATGAAGACAAGTTCCAACCTGCCGAGCAAATGGGCGTCCCGAATCCCTCGATCCTCAACCAACTGCATGGTTTTCCTAACAATAAGAACACCAGCGTAGACGCTCTTAGCGATCTGACATCAACCCAGAAGGTCTCTGATGAAGCTACTCCCCCCACAGATGTCTGGAGCAGAGCCCATAGCTATGGCAGAAGTCCCCCAGGCGAAGCTATTCCCGGCTTGAGCATTGGGGGCTCTCCAACTGTCGAACCTGGCTTTAGCAGTAGAGCCAATCTAAACCTCAGAAGCCCCCCAGTCTCTCCTCCCTTGAGGAAGGCCAGGCCTGTGAGCTACGGGGGCGGCGTTCCACCATTGCCCTCCCATCCAAGAATCTCCACCTCTCCCTACAGTTACAGCACAGGCGCTTACGGCTCCCCTCCAGCCCTGCCGCATCTGCCTCAGCAACATTTCTATGGACCTCAAAATATTGATCTAGGTCTCCCCCATGCTACGGCTCAACAAAGGTTACCGGACCCAGTTGTCCTGCGATTTTCTCCCGTTCCCGGAGGTAGGCTTGAGGCGAGAGATGCAGCATTGCTCGCCTTGGACGGGGGCCTGAGTGTGCTTAGCTACAATGGCGACAGGATGGAACAGGTGGGAGCTCTTCACGGCATCCAAGGCACTATTGCCGATGCTACCTTTCTCACTTGGACTTCTGGTTATGATCCTTTTGCCGAATATCGCCCTTTGGTTGCTCTCACCGTCCATGGTCTTGCGGAACCTGAAAAGGATGCCCAACTACCACAAGAACGAGCCTATTCCGGTGCCCCTGAAGGCCTTCATGAAACCAGAGTCGTGGTGTATTCTCTGGCCAAAGCCTCGCAAATAGTTGAATTGCTAAGAGTACCCTCGCAAATGTCGGTGCATCCTGGCGGTCAATCTGCAACTGCTGTTGCCGCCAATTTGACAGTCCATGCAAGTGGCAATTTCATTGCTGTCACTTCTGGTCTTAGTGGCGAGCTCTACATTTTCACCGTTCGAAAAGGCAAAGAGTCCGCTGTCTTTGAATGCCTGGGCAAATATTGGACGACAATCCAGCCACAGCTCCAGCGGAGAGATTCCTCCCACAGCCGTGCCTCTGATGCTGAAGTTTCTCCTGCTGACATCGGTCGCGGTCCTGAAATGGACGATCTTCCCATTGTCAGCCTGAATGGGCGATGGCTAGCATACTGTCCTGCAAGAACGCCTTCTCGGTCATCCATAGGAGCAGTTCTTGGCGGTTTGGTGCTTCATAACAAAAATACACATATCAGTACTAGAACTGCTCCTTCCCGTCCGCTGAACAACTGCGAAGTCGACTCACCTGATGTTGATACCTTCTTAAGCAAGGTAGCAAAGGGCTTTGCCCAGGAAGCCGTAAAGGGAGCGAAATGGATCAGTGAAAAGGGAATGCAAACGTGGCAGAACTATTGGAAAAGAGACTCTCCCAGTCCAGGCCAGCCTGCATCCAGCTCTTCAAGTCCACCCATATATTCTCCACCTATGGGTCTAGTTCAGTTTCCTCCAACTCACGCTGGCGACGCTCAGAATGCTTCCAACGAACCCGAAAGCGTCACTATCCTTGATCTAAAACTTCTTCAAGAAAACCAAGGGAGGAAGAATCTCGAATTTACACATATGACTACCTTCCAGCCACCAGGTGGATGCAGTTTTCTGTCATTCATGCCAACTGGTCTTGGATTAATGACTGCCAATCGCAAAGGTGATGTCCAGTATATCTGGGACTTGATGCAAATCAGATACGTGAAGCTTGCCCACTTACCAACCGATGGGGAAAGTGTCCGCGTGCGCCAGATTGCTCGATATGAGCGGTTAAGCCCATCCACAATCATTGATATTGCTTGGGATGGATTTACCGGTCATCGATTTGCGCTGCTTACCAAGAATAAAACAGTCCACCTTTTCGACCTTCCTAACACCGCTTTCCAGTGGCCGCCACCGCGAACAAAGAAGCACCGTGCCGCTTCCGTACCAGTCGACCCGTCTCATGCCAAACCCGAAACTGAAACCCCGCCTCAGGGCGGCTTCTTTGCATCGGCCATGAGCATCGCCGGCCGTACACAACCGATGTTTGCTAATCTACGCGGAAGGGCCCCAAGTATGGGTGGTATTGGTGCAACTGGCATCGGGCTCGCCTCCACGACGGGAATAAAGGGTGGGCGGGCAGTGGCAGCCGGACTTAGCAAGTCCCTTGGAGCAGCCTCCGAGACCGTCACAAGTATACGTCATGCGAACCAAAGTAGATTACACTTGAAAGCCAGTGCCCGACAAGGCACTCTCTTGTGGCAAAGACGTGACGGAAAATCTGTTCTCTCAGTTCTTGACCCATCAGCCATCAAAATCTATTATGTTCGAATGACAAAGCCGAGAGAAAATCGGCAGAGAGAGACGGTCTCTGTGTTTGATGCTCGTAAGGCAGTGGCAAGCAAATTCCCCCTTGCCAGCGATCTAATGGCGGATGTTTTGGTTCTTCAATCGACTCCTGTTGTGAAAATGCATGGAGAGAATGACCAAAATGATGAATCTCTTGTTTCAGGATTCTGGAAAGTCCGAGCCAACAGAGATGGGAACCAAAGAATGCCACATCCATTGGCCTCGGCTGAAATCGAGACGAACGCACCTTACCAGCCCTTTCATTCTGATCCTCGAGTTACAATATCCGTCCCTGCAAATGATCAACAGCTTCAAAACTTAAGTTCATTACCTTCAAGCCGGCTTCCACTGCAGAGCTCCGAACAAGCAAGCACCACCCGTGTGAAGGATAAATGGGTTTTTGGTACTAATATTGGACATATGGAACGATCAACCATTCCCCCCACCTATCCGTCTACCGATCCTACTGGCTCGGTGATTTATCGTGAAACGAAGCTTGCCATCGCTGGTAACCCAACCGAAGGGGCACCTTTCCAGATTGCGGACGAGGGAGTCAGTCATGTAGTGAGCAACACAAAGAAAAAGAAAAGGAAAGGCAAGGCTCAAGGGCTCATTCTAGACGAGGATCACGATGTGAGTGGACATGGTCCGCTCAAGCAAGACACTCATGATCCTGATTTCGATCTGTTAGATCAGGACAATCAATCATGAAGACACCCGGTCATCTTTGAGAATACGCATCAGGCGGAGGCAAGCTGTTCAGAGGAGAATGATCCGACAGTCTTTGCAGAAAGCCAATTACAGCGCTGTCGGCTCCTAGTTCAACTTCAGCCTCGTACTAGATAATGCAAGGACCTTCTGGTCTCAGCTCCGACCAATAAGAACACGCTCTGTGTCTGTCCATTATTCAAGTAGTCCGTAGTGCAGATTCCCTTTTTTTTCTGCCAGTAGAAACATTTCGATCATGTTATGAAAGGGACCCAGCTTACAAAGAACGCGTGCAGGGGGATGCTCGACCCTCTTCCACGCGTGTGAATGTCGTTCAGCTTTTGTTAAGCTTTGTTTCGGTTTGTTTACCTTGGTCTATAGGACCAGCTCTTGTCTCAGCAACCTGTCAAGAAAGCACCTCTTTGTCCTCGGACAGACTAACTAGGCTGGCTCCAAAAACATTCCCACCTTATCTTTAAGTTTACATCTCTCTGCTCTGTCTGTAAACTTTCTTATCCATTAAATCTGACACGGATACTTATTACCAAGAAGGAATAGAATCAAACCCATCACAAAAGATATCTACATAAACGCTCACTCACAGTCTAGGGAACAAAACAGGAGGCAGCTACAAGATATGGCGACACCCAAGTGCAAGTACGGGGTTTTCTTCCCCGAGCATACTGGCTACCTCTACGTGAGGAAGTTAGCACCAGGTAACGAAGGCGGCGTGGCGCTTGTTCGATCCATTACTGACGGAATGCAGTGTGTTAGGAAGAGTACACATCCCCAAGACCATAAGGATCCCGAAAGCAAAATTGCTGAGGTACAGTTTCATCGTCCCCATCCTTTGATCCCATGTCTCATTTGGTCTCAGGATCATAAAGTACTAAATATAGATCATAAGGACCACAACACATTCAAATCGACGGTGATGATTCACAAGTACTGCAATGGTGGTACTCTTTACAACCTTGCTTGTTGGTGCAGTGCGGATCCCGAGCCCAGAAAGTTGCCTGAGGCGCTGATATGGCGCATGCTAGACCAGCGAATCCAGACGTGGCTGTACTTGATCAACAGCGAGCCCAGCACGACGCGTCTGGACTGTCATATGAACAACGTCTTCCTTCACTATGAGGATGGAGCCAAGTTGCCAGACTTTTACACTGGCGACCTAGGGCATGCAAAACTCATTGATCCTATCATCTGGCAAGAGCCCTCACCCAACCTCTTCGGCCCCACGGCCTGGCCTGCATTTCGGAGGATTGGCCCGCTCGACCGCCTTGATCGCATCGTTACGGACCCTAACAAGCGACAATCATATTTGGGTACGATAGCGGAAATCTCCTCTGACTTTAGTCACATTTGGTACGCTCTCGTTGCTTTAATGTTTCGAATTGATGTGGAAGAAAATGATCCGGACGACGAGGAGATGAGAGATCAGGCCAAGGCGTTACAAGAGTGGTCTCCCGAACTTTTCGAGTGCGAGGAGCGAATCCGAGCCATCAAAGGTTTCTGGGAAGGCGAAAAGTTCACCCGGTACAACGAATTGGACACCCTGAGGTTTCAAATCGCCCAAATGGCACAGCGAAGCGCGCAGGCTGATCCTCAAGCAGACACGACAAGCCATCTCAGGTCTCTGGACACGTTCAGCTACGAGGATGACATCTTCGGCGACGAAGAATTTCCTTTGGACGGTGCGCTTCTTCAAGAATACAGAGGTGCGCATTCTGGCTCGGGGCGACCATGCGTTTTCGACTCCAGAGTCCCATTGCTGCAGCTAGCCAGTGCCTGGCCAGAACCATGGCGCATCGCTCGCATCGAAGAGAACACGGACAGGGTTTTCGGTGTCGAGAAGATGACATACAGCTTCACGCGTCCAGAATTCCGAGCAGGCAATAGCATCCAGGATCCTCGGTACGAGCATCTTGCGCAGCCGGAGTCGCTCAGAATTGGACTGAATCAGATCCAAGCTGCTGCAGCTGTGGCTGAGACGACTACCCACAAAGTCCAGCAGGACTTCTCTCTCCTTACATTCGTGCGAGGAGAGGGTGACGATCCCAATGAGGACGACATCTTCGGCCTCGATCCGGAATGGACTGAGGAGCGTCTAGCTGGACCTTCCTGCACCTCTCCTACACAGTCGCCCAAGGGAAAGTCCCCGCTAAAGCGGTCTCCGACAGAGGATGAGGGTGAGAGCGGACCGCAGCCAAATCGCCAGCGCTTGATCGACGAGTTTTTCCGCAGAGAGCCCCAGATCAAAGCAGAGGAACAAGCCTTCTCTGTCATGGACTATCAGAGGTTCTCGGACTCACAGAGCCCAGGAGACTCAATAGAAAACCCAACAGTGATAGATGACGAGGAAGAGGAAGAGGACGTGGTCATGTCATGAATCACTCAGCCTCGCCAAATTCGCTTCGCAGCATAATTCAGTTGCCGATATCTCTTCATTATATACTTACTTACTTACCCTTCAGGGTTGAACCCACAGAAACGTCAATATATCTAAAGAGAACAAATACTGACCAGGACATATTTTCAAGCATCTTCCAATACTTGATAGCTGTATGAGGTATGCATCCAGTACTACCTACCTCCCTACCCTCACGTACCCCGCGCCTTCTCCGCATTTTTCGTGATATCCTATTCCTCAAAGCAAAGGGCGAAACAGTAGCCACCTGCTTTGGCCATTCCCTGTCGTCATGTTATAGTCAAGATAAGGCCTCGTCCCAGGTGGGAGCGCGTCATCTACAGATAGCACTCCTGTTCAGGCCCACGATTCATTAACCGGCAGGTACATACGATGTAGAGTACTCCGTACCTATGTTGGAGGAAGGAGCCATCAGTCCAGACACCTCCAAGATGCAATGTGGGGTAAGTAGCAGTTCGCTAGTTTGAACCATCCGCTTCCTCGGTAGGCTGGTTCATAAACAAGCACACAATCTCTACTTAAGGCCACTGCTAGATAGTTACCCTCGTCCGAGGGGTTTATCCGAGTTTGGGGGATGTGGGGCTCAGCAAGAATGAGCACCACACTCGGAGAAGAGATACATAACAATGAATGCATGCCACCCACGTCGCTGGATTTGGAGGCACGCTTCGCCTCGCGCCCCCCTTGGATTACCATAGCAGAGCCATCGTGGCCGGAAGACAAGCGCGCTTTTACCTGCATACTGAGGCATTTTCGAGTCCTTCGTATGCGCGCCTCTAGTTAGTGGGGAGGGAAATGGCATTCACTAATATCCTTCTCATCGGCGCGACGGGGAACCTAGGCAGCTTGATCCTCAAACACTTGATAGCATCACCAGCAGACTATAAGGTGACGGTTCTGACCCGAGAGTCGTCGTCCTCCGCCGCAACAACCAAGGATGCATTCCCTTCAAGCGTAACAGTACGCAAGATCAGCTCGGACTACCCGGACGCGGAGCTCGTCGAAGCATTTAGGGGGCAGGACGTGGTGATCGGCGCAATCTCGATGACGGGGATGCACCTGCAGTACCGGATCATCGACGCGGCGGTGGCGGCGGGCGTCAAGCGCTACTTCCCGACCGAGTTCGGGCTGGACGAGCTGCCGGACTGGCTGGTCGAGCTGCGGCCCATGTTCCGCATCAAGCACGACGTGCGTGATTACTTGGTCACCAAGGAGAAGGAGGGGCTCCAGTGGACCTGCATCGTGTGTAACGTCTTCTTCGAGATGGGGATCATGAGTGGGTTCTTTAATTTCCACTGGGGTGTGGGAGAGGGTGGGAAGAAGAACAAGGCCGTCTTGGTCGACGGGGGAGACGTCAAGTGGGTGGCCACGACGTTGGAAACCGTGGCGGTGGCGGTGGTGAGGTCGATCGAGAGGGCCGACAAGACGAAAAATAAGCTCTTGCTGATTCAGGATTTCCGGACGAGTCAGAGGGAGTTGTTGGACCGAATTCAGCTGAAGACCGGCGCCGATGCGTGGACGGTCGAGGACGTCAAGTACGACGAGTGGCTGGAGGAGGCGAAGGAGACGGTTCGAGGCGGTGATAACAGTGCGTTGGGCAGGTTGACTTTTGGTACCGTCTTGCTGGGAAGCAACTGGGAGGAGAGAGCTGAGTACGGCAACACCCTCTTGGATCTGCCTACTAGGTCGTTCGAGGACGCCATTCAGAGTGTTCTCAAGGATGTCTCGTAGCGAGTCATTCACCTACGTAATTTCTCTAAGAGCTTGATGCCTTGGATCATAATCCCTGAAGGTGAACGGCGACTTGCAGTATGCCCCTCTCAATATACGTACGCCTCAGGGGGTTAGCTCAGCCTTGTCGTACCGCAGAAAATCAAACTAAAGTACCTGGACATCCCAGTCATTGCCCGTTCAGTACTCGAACAAGGCCGTGCGATAAGTACAGAACCTATAAGCTGTGGCCCAATCGACAACTCTTCATACGAGCCCGGTCCGGTTTTCACTCTCTACCACGTGTTGACGCGACATGGGTATGCGGTGGCGGTCGAGAGTGAACGCACGTGCTTCACCAAGACATGGATATGTCACAACGAAGAACGCCTTGACGCTCGAGGGGAAAGAATATTCAGTCGCCTTGAACGGGTTCGTTCCATCGCTGCAATCAGATATCACCCAGGTACTCCGTACGTAGCAGGATGACACGCTTTCCAGGACCCGCGGGTTTTGTGGCTAGCCTCGAGATGAAGCCGGACAAAGTTGACAGAAAGAGCTCTGGACGAGGCGTGCGTGCCACTCACTACTATTGGAGCGGCCGGGGCTTTTGAATTCGAAATCACGGATCAATACCAGGCATCGCAATCGCCGCCATGGGCTCTTTGAAGTTGCAAAAAAACAAAAACACCATCATTATTGTAGACTGGAGCTGGGTTTCATGCAAGAGATGAGAGAAGAGGAAGCCCAAAAAGCAGCCCGACGAACCTACGAAACCCCGGGAAACAGAGCCTCTTTATGCAAAACCCTGACATCGCAAAAGTACCGTGCTATGAGAATTATCCGCAATGCTGTCCTGGACCAACCCACCACTGGGCACGATGGCTGCGGCGGCGGGTTTGACCTAGCCAGGAGGCTCAGCGTCTCAAGCTTGCGTCGCCCATGATGCCTCGGACCCACGGCCAACGCTGCCATCTCCCGAGTGGGCTTTTGTGCGGGTACACGCGCTGGGATTGAACCGAGCGGAACTACGTTTGCGGGCGAACCTCCCACCATTCGTGAAGGAGTTCAGCATTTTCCAGGCCGAGCACCACACGGATCCGCCAAAGACCTGGGGGGGAGAGTTCGTCGGGATTGTCGAGGACGCCAGCACGGAGTGCGGGTTCCAACGAGGCGAGCCCATGACCGGGATGGTCTACGGTGGAGAAAGATGGAGAAAGAGCGCATGATGGGAGTTGTGCCGAGATTACGCTGTGTCATCGACGGAATTTGTACCGGCCACCTAAGGGGATTGAGACGAGGTTGGATTGGAGTGTTATCGGAGGGGTGCCGATGAGCATGAGAAGTGCTTATGGAAGTATCGTGCTTGCTGGGCGACTGGATCGAAGACCAGAGTGGAGCAAGGTCATGGTTCATGGCGGCACTGCGAGTGTGGGCGTGTGGGCGATCATGCTTGCTAAGGACCGTGGTGTGAAGGTCATCGTCACAACGAGAAACAAGGACAAGTTCGCCTAACTGAAGAAGATTAGGGCAGATCGTGTCTTGCTCGATGGAGAGCTGGAGACGGAGGTCCCGAAGCTGTTTCCCAAGGGCATCGATATTATCTTGGAGCTCGTGGGTCCAGGTCAAACCCCACGTAGCCTTAGTTTGGCAGCAAGGTTTGGGACTGTAGTTCTTGGGGGAGTGCTGATTCTGGGCTGGAAAGCACCGGGAATCAGTCCATTCATGATCCCACCAACAAGAAATATGAACTTCTGTACCATGACGAATGACGGGATTGGAAGCGAGGATGATGGGCTGGAAGATATGGAAGGATTACCCGCACAAGTACTAGAAAAGGTTGAGAAGGACATCTATCCTGCACAAAGCTTTCCGGATAAGATCTTCAAGCTGGAGGAGATAGGCGATGCACACACGTGCATGGAGGATAACAAGGCATGCGGCGGTGTCGTCGTGATCGTGACTTAAATGTAGCATGATAAAACTCTCATTATATCTGCCCGCGAAAAGTCGTCAACCGCAGACTGAACTCTCGTAGAGTCGAACGCCTTTCAAAGGATTCTAAAGACCAAAGACCCTACTCAGCACACCGCATTTCTGAAATTGTTTGTGATCATTCTTCCATCCTAACATCTTGCTTTGGTTGAATTCCAAGATTTTTGAGTAGGTAGGACCGCTTGAAATAAGTGTTCGGGTGAACGATCGTATCCAGCTCTGCCGGGCCCCAGATGCCTTCGTCCTTGACTTTCTTGATTTCGGACTTGTGTGCCCATTCGAAGACACGATTGCAGGCAATGTGGAATCTCTTCTTCTCCACATCTTCCTTCACTCCTCGCAACACATCACGGTCGTTCACACCCGTTGCTTGCAACATGCTAGTGAGGTTGTCCACGCTGAAGTGTCGATAGGGGCATCCGTGGGCTTCGCCCGTTCCAGGTGGATGTTCCATCAAGATCTTCTGGCAAGAATATGGTGCATAGCCTCTGCCACGTCGATTGGCATCGCCGCCAACATCGCCATACACGTGCCGGACGTTGTACCTATATTCCTTGTTGAACTGATCGTCTGTGATGAGTTTAAAACTTTGCCGCCAAAAGATCAAACAATCTTCCAATGTCAAGCCTATGCCTTTCAGGAAGAGAGTGTATTGTAATCTTCCGAAGTGCAAGAGTTTACTGTTTTTCCGCAACGTGTTGTGGAGATGTTTCATACACAGAGGGAAATGTTGGGAGAGAAGATCGATATTGGCGGCATTTATTTGTGCGCCGGCAAGCGACGGGTCTGATTCTGAAAATCCAGCATCGGGAGTGGCAAAATTCTTCGAGAGATGATTGAGAATGGGAGACAGACGTTCGTCTTCGTCAAGTCGTGGAAGGGCTCGAGATGTGAGTTCTAGTCCTTTCTCTAGACGGGTTGTAAACTCAGTCATAACCATACTGGTTTGCTCACGTAGAGGAACGTATGCTTTGCCCCTCTTCACTAGTACGGTTCGATGTTCGACAAGTTCCGGAACTCGAGTCCAATCTACCTTGAACCAGTTCTCATCCTCAAGTCGACGTAGGCCAGGTGTGGCAGACAACAACTGATCTCCGAGTTCTCGCTTCTCATCTTCTTGAACCTGCTCCCAGTCCAAGCTCAAACTGTCCACAAAAGCTCTTCGCTCTTTACCGTCATCTGCTTGAAACCTCAGCTTGAAAAGCATCGTCTCGACTCGGGAGAATCGTCGCCGCAGGTCTTCGGTGCCAGAGAAGGCCAAACGCAGAATGTAATGAGAGTAGTGGTCTTTCCGCCGCTCATTTCTGAGTCTTTCATCTACCATACCGCCAGGGGCGGCTGAATTAGACGAGAGGGGGAGGTATTTCTTCAGTAGTGGTTCGAGATGGGCGGCAGTTTCCTGAGGTGACTTGTTCCGAAACGAACATGACTCAATTTCTGCGAGAACTTGAAAATGTCAATACGCAAAGATGCATCAGACGCTGGGGCGGCATTACTTCTCAATCGGTCGATTGCCCAGGTCTCGAACTCCTCGAGACTGATTTCCTGAGTGGGAGGAATATCATAGAAGGATAATCTATTGCGATAGTCATGATCTTTATATGTCGCAGTCGCAAATTGTGTTTTCTTGTGGTCGGTTCTCTTCCGTTTGTGGTCGAAACGTGCCTCTGATCGAATCATTTTGTCGTTTTCCCTGTTTGAGAGTAAGTATTACTTAGGAAGACGGTGGTGTCCTCGTCCTTTAATTAAATGTCGCATGGGGATCACTTGGAGGACGTGTCGCGACGCGCTCAGGACCAACACGAATTCTTGGCAGCCTTTGCGGTGTCAAGGAGTGGGGTAAAACTACGCGCGAATCAATAACCACCATACTCCGTACTCTGTACGGTAATTTCGGAGTGGGGAGTACACCATGGCGAACCCAGATCCCCTCGAACCACCAGCCAGATATCAACCGTATAGCACGATGCCACCGGATAATGGCCGAGAGATTAATGAAGTTCTCAAAATACAAATAGAGTGAGCTCAGAGCAGTCTCTCCATTGTTTTAGCCGCCAATATGTCCTGACTCCCAAGCATCAGTCCCTCCCTGTGCTAATAATTCACAATCTCCCATGGCCTCAAGATAACCGATATTGTACAATTCCAATGCGCAGAATGGGAGGGAAGCATTGGGGACATGCAGGGTAATGGATCTTCCAACTGATGCCTAACCAGACTGGGGGAATACCCATCTAGTGATAAACGATGCAAAACACCAATAGGACAATTTACCGCGATGAAACCGGCTGCGCATCTAGCAAAGGATTGTCCAATTCCATTCCAATGTCGGAATCATCCATGTCACCATCACCATCCTCTTCTTGAGCTTGAGCCAGGACATCCGCCATACTCCTTCCCCTAAAATTTGTATCTCCATGGATGTCCATTCGATCGTCCGGCAGCGACAGCACAGGCAGGTCAAGATCACCATCGCCTTCACCTTCGCGTGGAGTACTGGCTGGCGGAGTTTCAATAGGTGGTGCCGGTGGTGGCGGGGGCGGCGGTGGCGGTGTATCGACCTCCATACTGGTGTTGATTCGCTTGGCAGGTGACGCAGGACGCTCACGGTCTTCTTCATCATCCTGGACCATTGCGGTAGTATCATCTGGACCAATGCGCTTGCGTTTCAAAGTGCCATTTCTCTCAGAAGGAGTTCGCGCAGATGATGGAGATGCGGAGATATAGACTGCTGTGGCATCGATATCTTCTCCATCTGACATCTCGATATCCTCTGCTCCCGTATCGTGTCCAGGTGGAAGATTGGCTTGACCAGGGGAGCCCGCTGGTGAAGCAACTGTACTGCTCTCAATTGGGCCCTCACCCTTCGCCCTGCCTTCCTTATGTGCCTTTCTTGCAGCCTTATCCTGTTCATGCTTCTTGTGTTTCTGATAGGCCTTATCAAAGAATTGTCGACAAAATTCTTTCACTTTCTTCTGCTGCCGCTCGTCGATCTTTGTAGGATCTTTGACTCGCCCAGCCTTGAAATCTGAAGCGACTAGTTTCTTCGCAATTTCTTTGGCGAATCGCTTCAAGTCTTCCTTAGGAATTTTGTTTTTGTATTTGTTCATGACGTGTGAGATGTGAGGGAACAACTATACAACGCATTATTGGTCAGATAAGCAGAACTGTATGGGAAAAACTCTCCGATAGTAGACTTACAGTGTTTTCGTACAACTTCTTCTGTTTTTCTTCGTCATATGATCTCCATTTCTCTCCCTTCTTTGCTTTTGGGAATTCCGGCGTGTTTGGAGTTGCTGCCTTGGCATCCTTCTGGCTTGATGTGACAATATTGTCAATGATGCTCTTTAGAACATCCTGTTCGGAAGGTTGCTTCGGCAGCGGCAGGGGTTGATCAGCTGGTTGCGTTGGTCTGACCCATGTTGTTTGGCCGCCTGCGGAGTAGAAATATGTTCTTCCTTTGTCCTGGGCAGCAAACCAACCTCGGGGAAGCGGAGGCGGCCCTCGAGGAAAAGGTGGTCGAGGCCCATGGAAATTGTTTGGCTTTTGCAATGATCGTGGACCAGATGGTGCTGAAATTCCCGCGGGCCCCCGAGGGGGTGTACGTGAGCGCGATCGCGACCTTTTTCTCTCTTGCGTAGATTCTCGCCTTTCAAAGGAGATTGCTTCAGTCTTGATGACAGTCGATGAGGCGTCTCGCTTTTTCCTTGGTATCCGGTACGCTATTTCAAGTTTCGACCACTGTTCCAGTAATGCGGTTGCCTGAGTTGCCACTCGCTCATCTGCATGCTCCACGAGCGGCTGCAGAGTTTGGTCGATCTTCGCGTCCACGATCTTGTTCCTCGTCAGTCGCGGCAGCCGATCAAGGATGTCGAGGATTTGAACTATGATATTCTCATCTTCTCTCCATGCAGAAAGTTGCGAATTCAGGATCTGATAGCCATGAAATCTGACCACCCTCTGCCAGATCTGTTCATCATCACAACGTTGTATCCGTTGCAAAAGTTTGACGGCAATCCACTTTTCTTTGCATTGCATCAACGCTGCCATGACCTTGGTAACACCATCTACATCCAACGACTTGGCCTCGATACTATCGACGTAGTCTTCGTCGTCTTCAGCAGTCTTCTTCTTGCGCGGTCGTTTGGGAACAACGGTATCCCATGAATCTGCATCTTCAATGCCAAGAGCTTCGATAGTGGCGGCGGAGAGCTTAGTGCCTCTCTCGGTTTGAGTTTTGCCTCCAATGAAGCCTGTGCAATTGGATTCACCACAGTAGCATGGTTGTGGATTCGCCCCATAGCGATCAACATTGTAATTGAAAACAAGCTCTTCCCCAGCCTTAACATGACGCTCTGCAAAAATGCCCATGCGAAGCTTGTCACCAACAACCCATTTGTCCACGTAGCAATTGGGATTGCAGGAGTGATTGCAAAATCGGCCAAGGTTGCCTCGTTTTGTGGCGTCAATGAACTCACCCTTGCTAAGAGACATGAAATAAAAATGCTTTATGCCCTCGTCATCGTACTGAACCATGCGTTTCCGGAATGTCGCTTCAGGAATAGTCTCACCAATATACTCGAAGATGAAATCATGAGGGCGCAGGTCTGTGTTTGCCCGCAAGCCGTAACCTTTCTTCTCAGTCTTGATCACAGAAACGTCGGCATAGACGCGCCGTGAGAATCTTTGATTTTCACACGAAGTACCGCAACCACAGTCGTTGGCACATTCCATCTTACATGCTCGATTGATGCAGTCGGAATCATCGCCACAAGCCAGGTTGCGCTTGCTGGCAGGATCTGTAATGGGTGATCAGCTAGAAGGCCCCCCACTGCCAAAATATTGAAACTTACCCCATTCTTCCGAGCAGTCGCAGTCCAAGGCATGATCGCTGAAGCCAAGAAATTTATTTTGGTAGGTGCAAGCATCGATGACGGTAAAGGTGGAAGTAGCTTCGGTGTAGACGTCCGGGAGGTGGTCGAGGAGGGGAGCAATTCGTGCAGGCAATTTAGAAGATGCGGATCGGGATACTTTTGTTAGCTTTGTCGGCTTTGTTGGCTCCTCGGGCTCTGGCTTGACAGGCGAGGTGTGACCGTTGGCTTTCTTGGCACCTGACCTGTCTTTGCCCGAAGCTAGGACCCGCCTGGATGAGTCGGTCGATGTCGACGATGAGCGAGACGTTTGGGTGCGAGCAGTAGTAAGAGTAGTAGTGAGGTGCGAGGGGCTAGCCAAATTTTCATCCTTGACTGTTGCTGCACCATGACCACTTGAGTAATCTTCCTGCCCGTCTGTGGGTGAGCCTTCTCGTTTGACATGGACTGGCACTTCATCATCGAAAGAGCCTTCTCGCGAGGACATTCTGCTTAGCCGACCCATATCGAGGCGATTAGAAACGATGGGCGGCGGTTAACAGGTCCTCGAAGCTCTAAGGTGGGTGCGTATTGAGGCGGTGAAAACCCTGAGCGAATTAGGAGATCATCAGGACGCGGATTCAACAACCCATCCAGATTATCTGAAGGTAGCCCGATCAAATGTAACGCCAAGTTCGACCTCAGAGATGACTGGGCCTGCACAGAAAGCGGCGTTTCGATGAGTCGAATCTGGTAGATAATTGTTGTGGATGACACAACAAGGTTGTCGCCGTGCCGTCGATTTTGGCAAACGAGGGGCAAGCACTTCGCTCAATACAGAAAGCCAAAAGGCATCAAGTTGCAGCTGACCACTCGGGATAGCCGCAATTCTCTCCAAAGATGATAACGTGAATGATGAGCGGAAATGACGAGGCAGCGTTGGGTGTGTGGTCTAGTCAAACTGTCGAAAGCGGAAGTTGATGATGGCTCAGTAGCCTCATTTTCCGCTTTGCCACACCACGCAAAAAGCACAGATATGCAGATAGAGAGGGCTTCCCTGAAGCAGTCCCGAGAGAAGAAGGGAGCACGGCTTGGAAAAAAGGTGCGCACAAGCTGGAAAGAATCGTTGTTCTAATCTGCCAGTTTGCAGCTTGAAGGCTGAGACTTGTGAGAGAAGACAAGGGCTGACTGCCTTGCACTTCACCTTCAAAAAGTGAAATGCATCTGCCAAGACCACCGCCAACTACCACAACCACATCGCGCGATTCCGGTTCAAAGATTCTGCCATCCTGCCTTCGACTTTCCATCGTCCATACCGTCTTATCGGCGTTCATTACTATCTCAGTCACTTCTTGTGTGGTTTCGGCGTTGACATACCATCACTGGATCTCCTGCGGGTCCTCCTCACAACTTGCTGGAATGAACTCACTGATTCACCCCCGGGAGGCCACCCGAGGCTCACCTGGCCGGCCGTCGTCTGTCTTTCTACATATAATACCGGTGCATGACAGCACACCCATCTCAGGAACTCTCTTGTTAACACAGACCCTGCCCTTCGGACACCATGTCGACCTGGATCAGTGCCGCGGGCTACCTAGAGGTGCCACAGTTGGCCAAGTTGGAATAGTTGAAAGAATCTGCTGGGCCGGCATCTTTTATCGCCTGTGCACTTCATGATTATTTAGGTCCCACTCAAACTCTCCTGCGTTGCTGCTTGATCCTATTCAGGAAGCATAGGCACTTCAAATACCCACCTTGATACCTGAAATTATGGCTCATCGTCTTTCGATCTGGTGCGGCTCTTCAGTGTGTCCACGAGACCTCGAATCGATGTCTTCGCCTGTCTTCCTTTATCTACAGCCCTGCCTTTCCAGGCTGATGGATTCCTGCCACTAGGTGATAGTGGAAGGGTTGAGCTTGAATCTACTTCGCTCCATGATTGCTGAGGTAGTGGTGATGCTTTCGCTGGGTCTTGACTCTCGGATCTCTCAGATCGTCGTGCTTTTTCTGCAGCGATCCATTCTCTGCGCTCCTGCTTCCGCTTCTCATATTCCTCTCGCGCTGCTTGCCGAAGAGCACGGCTGACTTCGGTCACTCGTGCTTTACGAGTGGAGAACTGTGTATAATCTTTAAATTGATTTTTGGCATCTTCACCCATCGCAGCCCATTTTCCTGCGAGTCCACTGATTCTCATCAGTTTGGCATCTACACGGCGTGTGAGATAGACGTTCGGCTCCTTGTTCTGCTCTTGAGCCCTTGCCATGATGCGTTCAATCTCGTCGCGGTAAGCTGTCTCGTAAATGTCCATGTCGGCCGCTCCTGGGCTTTCACTGACGATCGGTACAGTGTCGCCATCGGGTACGAAACCGTTGCCATCCGCGGGATAGGAGCTCGTACCTGAAAATGTTGACGGCCCTATATAGAGGAACAACTGTTCTTGGAGAGGATCGCGCGCGTGTCCCCGGTTGCCAATTTCATCCGCCGAAGCTGTACGTGGTCTGCTAGAGCGGAACGGTGGTAATTTTGTTGGGTCCAAAAATTCCGTGTCTGCGATAGTCCGTAATTTAGATATTCCTTCATCTGAATCTGTACTTGCCTCGCTCACGAGAGTTGCCGAGCGCTCTGGCTCATTCAGGGTTGTATCATCAATACTCAAAGTAGGTACGGGTTGAATGTGCAGCTTCTTCAATTCATGACGAATAACTTCTTTTTGACCCTCGACTTGCGCCTCACCTGCTCCGAATGTGTAATTATGGGGTTTTGGAGGGAGGGAGATGTGATCCTGCCGTGGTATGCTGGCAGGAGGATGGGAGAAATGTGCGTCTGCCCCCTCTCCTAAGATAGATTTCAATGGTGGAGATTTGTTCTTGTCCAGCAGAGACTTGAATTTGTTCACCGCTTTCATCTACGATCTTGTTACTTAATGCTCTCGTTTGAACGGCCCAAATACTTACAACAGTCATCAAGTTTCCTATATTGTTTGTTATAGCGGCATTCATTTCGGCTGCAGTGGGCGGCTCGACAAGGTCAGAGGTGTTTTCTTCCTCAGACAGCAATTTGTCAGATCCTCGTTGAGTTACCCAAGGATGATCCTGAATTCCGTTGGGATTAGCTGGTCGAGACATTTGCACAAGGAAGGGGCGCGCTTTCAGACTCACTCTCAATTCGGGCATTTTAATCCGCTTGGAAGGATCCTTCTCCAGAAGCCTTTGCATTAGGTCTCTGAAGTCCTCGTCACTTTCTGTATCCAAATCCGGTGTTTCGGTCTTGATGGCCTCGTACAACTCGAAGATGCCGGTCTTCTCGAAAGGTATCTTCCCATATTTTAGGCAGTACAAGGTTACACCCATGGACCATATATCCGCAGCTCGACCAGAGACATCACCATGACGAGCGATACAGAGCTCAGGCGGAAGAAAGGCAGGGCTCCCCGCAGATTTAGCGGTCAACATCTCGGAGTCCTTGGAGAACATTTCCGAAACCCCAAAGTCGACCACTTTGAGCACATCATCGTCAGTGACCAAGCAATTGTCTGGTTTTATGTCCCGATGAACCACTCCTTGGGCATGGAGGTATTCAATTCCCAAGATCAGGTCTCGAAACCAGTACCGGCAGACGTGGTCAGGATAGGGATCTGCTCTCTCCTCAAGGCCGACCCTCATAACGACGCCTTTCTTGCACATTTCCATCACCATATAGAGGGAGTCCTCAGTGGGGTCATCCAAAACCTCGATCAAGGACACCAAGTTCGGGTGGTTAAGTTTCTTCATGATTGCAATTTCTTCTTTGATAAGATCAATTGAATTTATTTTCTGACTCTGCTCCTCGGGAGTGGTTCTGTGTAGGGGAGAATTGAAACCTTGCAGTGCTCCACGTCGGCGCTGGTTCAAGGGTTTCCGGAGAATATGCGACTGTGCGCGTTTTCTTAGGCGTGCCTTGGAGAATTCTTTGACGGCCTGTACCAACGTCAGCAACGGTAGATCCAACTTTACGAAGCGCTAACATATTCAGTGCCAAATTGATCGACTGCAAGATGGACTGCGCCAAACGATCCCCGCCCGATTTCTTGCTTGATGACATATTGATTGATACGGTGTTCTGCCACGCCATCGTCGTGACTGGTTACATATTCGGATCGAGCATTAAGGGATTCCTGGGACGGATTAGACCAAGTATGAAGACGGAATGAATGGGCGAGGACAGTATGTACCTTGACATATTTGGGCGCTGAAGGAGTGCGGCGGTGGTGACGAAGAGGACTAGAGTATTCAGGAGTTGAGCTGAAGGAGGAGGAGGGGTTAGTCCTTGTTCAACGAGAATACTACTCGCAGCACATAGGAAAACAGTAGGAGTCGTAGCATGACATACAGGTGTTTGACAACCAGGGGTTTGGCGAAGGTGGGAGGTTGTTCCGAGCTGTGGTCAGCATGTGATTGTGGGCGTGGGACGGGTCTGCGACGAATTATAGGTGGGAAGCGAGAAGAGGCTTCCTCCGCCTCCGTGGACGTAGGGGATGCGACGATATCCATGGCACTGTCGACATTGAAATCCAGGGTTGCTGAGTCCTAGAAACTGGAGTATGAAGTCTCCATAGATAGAGGTGTGGAGGACGTTAGGGTCTTCAGCTTAAGGATCGATGGGGAGTGATTCTAAGGTTAGGATAGAAATCCCGCCGCACCTCCTCTCCGCACTTGAATGAACTTTGTACGTCAATGTGCTTCCTGTGCGCCGTAGGTCAATGTCTATAAAACACCTTTGACTATAAAGGTAAGAAGCATGTAAGAAGGTATACTCAATGGGTAGGGAGATAGGTGGGTGTTGGTGGTGGTGTTTGCCCTGGTGGAGCGGACAATTTTGAATGTCTTTACTTGTGCAGCTGCGGAGGTCGCAGTCGCAGTTGCACCCGTTGATTGTGCACGCAGCCCCTCCATCCCTGATAAGTAAGCCAGGAGTCTCGAACCTCAGCTTTTTGATTCAATCCCTTGTAGCCTGCACCCTGGACCACCAATCATACTCATCCACCTCTCCAACAGCCCTAGTGGTTCAAGTTCGTTGAAGTCATTGAAACCGAATCTGTTGTTGGAACTCAGTGGGAAACCTAGTGATGAGTGCGCCCTAATCACAGAGGGACCACGACTGCCGCCATGGTTGTTTACTCCTTTTACATTTTTGATAGGCACGGTAGGAGGTCCTCTTCACCATGACAGTGAATCAGATGTGCTAATCATACAGCCGAATGCATCTACACCAAACGCTGGATCAATCCCTCGGCTTCTTCCTCTGGTCGGGGCTCAAGGCCCCCCTCACAGGCGATCGTCAGTGGAGGTCAACAGCCACGAGCAGCTCTGAGCGCCGAAGACGATGCAAAGCTCATATTCGGCACCGTCTTCTCCTTGCGGAACATGGTCCGGAAGCTGGGAGGAGAGGATGACAGGTTTGTCGACTCCTCTCACGCGGGTTGAGCAAAGTCGCTGACCTCAAGTCGCGTTCTAGTTTCCTCTCCTACCGCACTTCGCAATACAAGCTGCACTACTATGAAACTCCCACCAATACAAAGTTTGTTATGCTTACTGATACAAAGTCCGGCTCAATGCGGATCGCGTTGCAGCAGATTTATGTCAACTGCTACGTGGAATATGTGGTCAAAAACCCGTTGTCTCCAGTCGAGCATCCCGGTGGCATTGGTGTAAACAACGAGCTTTTTGAAGCGAGCCTGGAACAATTTGTGGTATTTTCACAGTCCTGGGGTGCCTTCCAGGCCATAAATAGGCTAACATTTGACTCAAGGACCGAGTGCTCAACACGACCTGAGCCACTCACTATCTCTTCGGCTGACCCAAGAACAGACCTGCCATGGCATTCACCATCTTGGCCCAATCGATATCGTTGGTGCGGCGAACAATGCCAGAACGCAATCTCCCGGAACGGTACGATTGCCCTTGTACTGTCACGGGTCGGATCTGCCTGGCTCATAGCGAGGCTCGGTCGACAATGAGAAGCACGCCACTTGCGGAACGCCCAGAAATCTGGCTTCATTTCTGGTCCCAATATATCAGCCATACTGACAGAGTTGACGCCTCGGCGAACCGAGGCTGGGGGTTTGGCCAGCGGTTGGAAGAAAGAACCCCAGACCATCGTGGAGAAGCTCGATGGTTCGCCAGATTCTGGAACATAGTCAAACAAATGCGGTAACACTTGATTCCAGGTAGGCATGGCGAATGCTCGATTCAACGAATACCGATCCAATTCTGGAGCCGTGGGAGAATTGGCGGTAGTAGGCACCAGATAGCCAACATGGGCCATTAAATTGGCCGCATGTTGACGGCAGCCAATACCAGGGGGATGTTGGGGATATACTTGTTGATTGGGCAAGGCTGAACACTAGGAAGTGCTCAGTCTAGAGGACTTCTGCATGACAAGTCAACCAATGAGAAAATTCCAACCATAAATGTCATGCAAGTGGAGTCGAAAGCAACCAGTAAGAATCGAGAAGCTTTCATCCGAAAGACCAGCATGTCTCCAGGGCTTTTCAGAGCATTTCTTGTCAAACCCAAAACCGGTGATTCAGGGAGCTCGCCATGATCCAGCTGGGATGATGATATTATAATTTCAAGACTGCATCCTTGTCCTCCCACGTGCTAAGAGGCCCTAGTCCCGTAATCTATTTCTCAATTTCGACTTGGAAAAGGAAACCAGGGTACTCAGATTTCTAGGCAGGGGATCAAAATGTACATGGACAGACCCTGGAATTGGCAGAAGAAATCAGCCCTATAAATGAGCTTTGGATGTTCTAGCTGAAAAGGGGAGTAACTTGTGTTTACGAGGGTGGAGGTGTGCGGGGAGGATGCTATCCTGGTACACATTAGGGATCTGCCTTACAGCTAGGGACAGTGCTCCGTACGAGGTGCCGAGTCACGATGAAGAGACGAGGGTCTCTCAAGGCAGATCTTGTATGCGAAACCTCGCCTAAGGTTGACAGATGCTGCTGATTGCAGTGCCATGCGTGCTGAGTCCGTGTGAGAGTGACAGGTTGACAGGTTAAGACGCAAATGCCGACATTGCCAAATGCCAGAATATCGTCAAGAACGGCAGAAACTGATTTCGAGAGGATGTGGGGAGCCATCACACAAATGAAACCCCTTGGGCCATCAGCGAGAACATTGGCTGATGTTGTGACTCCAGAGCTGCAAGTGTCGTGCTTAGTTTCGCGTTTAATGCTTGCGATTTGTGTTGCGAGACACGTAGTTGTGGAACGAGGGGTAGGATTAGCAATTGAGTGTGGTTGTGTCCATGGAACACCTCACCACAGTCGCATGGAAAGTCACCAAGAACGGTGTCAAGTAAACAGTCCAAGGTTTCCGGGACCAGCGATATAAACGGAGAGAGTACGTACTCGGTATTCGTGGTTTACATCACTCCGTACATACCACCAGCTTGACCGAATGCGGTCAGGAGTGTGGCAACTAGACAAAATCTCGATGGATCACGGAGTACTACGTATACCTCGTGCGTTTTCTTGAAGACTTTATGCGGGGCGTTTCAAGGAGCCAGCTTGCGACAGAGACGCGACATACTGCTCATAGTGTGGATTGAAATGGATGACGAACACTGGCTGTTGACAGAGATCCCTGGGAACGGATACGAATTTTGCGAAGAGGAAGATGGCAATTGAGACCAAGGCGAGGACGCGGATGGACTTTTGACCAGCTGGGCTGGTGATTGATTCGGAGGCAAGGGCGGCCGGCTGGCAGCGAGAAGACACCGGTAGGGTAAGAGGAAAGTGCAGAAATGCCAAGAGCGTGTTCGGTTATTCCCGGCTTGGCGCCGTGACTGGCGATCCACCTGTCCAGCTCCACTCTTGGGCACCCCGGAATATTATGAATCCGCACCTGGGCTTCCTAGGACGCCGTACAGAGTATTCAGGTGACCCTCTAAGTAGGGTGGCTGACAGAGGTTTCTGCCCCAAGCCAATTCTGGGGACATGGTCCTGTGTGTAAAGTACCTTGTCCTTGACTTCATTGGGCTGGAACTTCTGAATCTAGCTTCTCGACCCTTTGGCATGCTGCATCTGCGGGTGAAGATTCACCAATAATGTCAGGACTGAGTACGGAGCACTTGGGATACAGCCAACAATGGATAGTGGCCATTGTTGCATCAGTCTGCAATCACCAAGGCTAAATGGGCTAACAGTTTCGTCTCCACCAAGCCTGGCTCGACGAAAGCCATCCTTCTTGGGAGAGAATGGTGTGCATGATGTTGATGATTAAGTGTCGCCGACAATTGATCTGCCGTTCTCGGTGTGCCTGCATTCGGTCTATGCAAAACGAAAGGCCTTGTCAGACGCTGATTATTCCTGTGCCTGGCGCGGACACTAAAAGAAAGCCGTTCTCTGGGTCCAGGGGTGAAGCGGACGGCCGTTGCCCTGAAAGAGAAGCCCCTGCCAGGTCGCCGCCTCCTACGAGTACATACTCGTACTCCGTACATAGGCTGGGGATTTCCCCCCCTGGTGCCTTCAGTTCCTCTAGCGGCGATTGTTGTACTCCGTACTCCGTACCTGTACCACCCCTACCCCTGGTTTTAACACCCCGGTCAATCGGTCATCCTTTCCCAAGCCAGGGCTCCACGATCCAGGGACCCAAAAACGCGCCGACAAGAGGTCACATTCCGCTATCCAATCCTACACTGATTCTCTGCCTTCTGTGTGCAATTTGCTCGCACGCTTTTCTTCTCAGTCCACCATGTTGCATTCTCCTGGGCTCGATTCGTTCGACAACTCCCCTGACCGAGACAGCCGTCCAGAGCAATTCTATTCCCTGCCGTCATTGGCGAGAAAAGCATGGCAAGGAGCCATTGCTGCTGACGTTGCGGTGCATTCAAGGGCTACGGCGCCACCATCTTTCGCCGAATTACTCCTCGTGGTCAACCTCTCTCTCGTTCCCATGAATCGCCATCAAGCCTCCTGCTTTCATGGGCCCTGGTATGCTTGCTGCTGATTCGTTTGCATACTCGTACGTCCACACACCAGTCCAGTCGTATCTCAGCTGCGCGGCATTGAATCCACCACTCTCCACCCAGACCACTCACAGTTATCCCATACCTACACCGTTGTACGGGGCGCTCTAATCCAGATATTGCTCGAGACCTGTGTAAGACAACAGGCTCAGTACTCCGTACTCCGTCCACAATGGTCCGAGTCAGCTGCAGGTCCCAGAAATCCGTAGCACCTCTAGCCAGTCCGGAATCCACAATCCCAAATGCACCTCATTATCCACCCCGCCAAAGCCTCTTTTTCCTCATACCCATGTCCTGGTCGCTCTTGACTTCTCTCATGGGTCAGCTCTGACACCGTGATTTCTTCTCGAGACCAGAAGTCTACTCTTTTCAGCGCCTCATAGTCCCTCCAAGACCTGGGTCTTACAACCCCCGTGGGACTATACATCTTGAACGCCATCGCCCTGCCCTTCATATCCCGACTTTGTGCCACCCACCCTCCATTACAATAGTCTTCCTCACACCCTCCAGTCCCGGAGTACCTGTGTCCTTCATTACGCGACTCGACTTAAACCACTATCCTCCTACCGTCTCCAATCCGAATGAGTTAACCGCGGTCATGAGGATATAGCATCGTCATATTTGGCACGCAGCCTCGAACTAGTACACCATCTTTTGCAATGTCATCGCCACCTTCAGAGTTTCGCGGGTTATGCCCGGCGCCATACCTTCAGGAAGCCCTCTTTCCAGTTTCTGGCGGCTGTGAGTATCCGTGTACTAGATTCAGCCATTGGCGATCTCATCGCTGACTTGCAAAAGTCATTTCAGGAAGATTTTGTATGCCTGTGGCCGCACTTGGGAATGCTACATGTTGTTTGCCCTGCCCGACCACCCAGTGGACATATGCCGATGGTATGTCTTCCTGCCAACTGGAATGCTAGGTCTCGTACTGACATAGCTAGGCTTTGACCAACGAACCGAAATCGCCAACTGGGTCAATCTGGCGGCATTCCTGTTCTCTGTCTATTTACTACTGTCCTTCATCGTCCTCCCTGTAAAGTATACTCATCGGCACTACTTGAGTGTTTGTGTCACCCTCGGTATAGTATTTATGGAGGTATGCGATACAAGATGTTCCACACGAGCTTTGAGCTAATCCTATCTCCCAGCTTGCCTTCATCATTCCATTAGCTGCAAAGCCAGACCAATGTTTCAATGCCATTACACCAAATGATATGAAATCTAACGGCTCATGTGCGATCAGTGGCGCGTTTCTCCTATTTGGAGGGCTTGCAGTCGTTGTCTGGGTCTTCTGCCGGTCACTGGCACTTCACCTCCAGATCTGCTGGGAGGTGGTACCTGGCGACAAATTCTTCTATGCGAGTCTGGCATTCGGTTGGCTTGTGCCCGTGATCGGCTTGGCTTTGACCCTGAGCCTGACTGGTGTCTCATTTCGATTCGGTGATGTGTGCCATATCAACCACAAGAATGCCCTGCAAGACTTCTGGGGCCCGCTTCTAGCATTTGCTGCGTTGGCATTAGTTCTCCAATTCATCACAATCGGGTATTGTATCCATGTATACATCAGGAGCCTTCTCGACGATGATAAAACCACAACAAACTCGAGCTCAGCCCCCACTTATTCCGGCAGTGTGCGGACCATGACTGCAAGGCAAGCTTACCGCCGAGTCAAGAAGGTTATTGAGCTACAATGGAGAGGTGCTACGATCGTTCTCGTTATCATTGGAGAAGTGGTTTTCTTCTCAGTGGTCTTTGTTTCCATGGATAACAGCACTCAAATCAATGCCGATCTGTTGCAAAGAGCCGGACCATGGCTCGAGTGCTTGTTTCTCAAGGGGGGAGATAAGAATCAATGTTTGAATCTGGCCAAAGATCTGGTCCAGCCTGAGGGTGTCGTTCTTGCGGTCCTGATTATTCTTGGGGTAAGTACTCCTTGATCCACCCATACAATTGCAAATCACTGACGATTGTATAGCTCAGCGGATTCTGGTGCCTGATGTTCTTCGGACGCTGGTCCATGATTGAGGGTTGGAAACAATTTTTCCGCTCCAGATTTCACCGCAAGAACGAATTTGTTTCAGCGGATGCCAGACGCATGTCCAACGACCCTCGTACGTACGAACTGCTGACAGGGAACAATCCGGGACTGAATATCAAATCTCCAGATCGCGCCTATGCAAGCCCACTCGCCCGTTCGCCATATACTCCGGGTCAGCTGGATTCCAAACAAGATTATTTCAACTCTGCTCGTGTTTACAACAACCCTGTTACGAGCTTTTCCTACCCTCAGCCTCCCAATCAAAATCGTGACTGGGATCCAATGTCTACGCATGCCATATCACGGAGCCCGGATCCAAAACTTTATCCGATGAACAAGCTGCCTTGATAGAGGCAACCCGAATTACGACCTCTCCCTACCCCTATCTCATCTATCAACATCACAAATATTATTACACGATGCAAGGCTCATAAGCAGCACAACATATGCACAGTATAAATAATACCCTGGAATTTTGGCGACAATGGCCATTTGCATCACATTGCTTGATTTCAGAAGTGATGATGTGCGACCCAAGCAGGCAAGCTATGTCTGATCTTCTAGTATTCTTATGTGTCACGAATTATGGCTTTGATCGCGAATTCCCAACCCTGTCTATCACGAAAAAGAGGAGGAATAACTCGATGTGTTAACAAAGTGCATAGCACGCCAGTCATTGTATAGTGCGGGTTTTTTTTCCCACCTGGGCGGACATGTAGCGGAACACCCACCGCATTGGAAAGGACCGCCCGCCCTCCCCCTCCCAAAAGGCCGTGAAGTTTGGAGAAAACTTGCGCAGCCACATCCATTCGGTTTTTTTCTGCTACATTATCAGCGAGTCCTCTTTCCTGTACGAGCGAGCGATTTTTATCTGTCAATATTCATCGTCGATACACCACCAGAACATTTGCTTCGCAGCGGAAGGGGAACAGGGGTCCGGGGGGGGTGAGCAAGAACGGGTACGCATCCCATCATCGTGGCGATCCCTGCTCACAAATTGTACAAAACACTGGAAATGGCATCTTACATACATATACCCCTACCCCACTGTCAAAATTGTAGAGGCCGACAGGGCTGGGTCGCCTTGTCTCGCGTCTAGATTATCACTGCCAAATCTTGTAGCAGAAGAACGAGGGGAATGCTTCTGCGGAGAAGGAAGGGAAGTACAGTACAGGGAGGAGAAAAGGGGTGGGGGCACAGTTGTACTGAATGAGAATCCAAAGATAGGGAAGATGGCGTACTTTTCACGCCCTACAAAAGAGTCTCTTGTCACTCGTTAAGGAATTTTAAGATCGATCCGTCCATACCACGTGTCACATCCACTCCTACTCCAAGACGTGTTCAATTCTCTCCAGAATTCGAGTTTCGCAGTGGAGTATCCCCAAGATGTGATCCGTGTAAGAACACGAGTGCGTTGCCTCATGGTACGTATGTAAGGACGTACTAGGCTAACAACTAAATACCTCATGCATGCATCTCGGAAAGAAGCCGAGAAAGCGTCAATGATCGCGAACCTCGTAACTACCGGGAAAGAGACGGTGCTTCAGGGACGAAACAAAGACACTTTGACTGGCTATTTAGTTAGGCAACTAGATAGGTATACTACCCAAGTGCGAGACCCTGGATGATAGTCAGCACATTACTACATACACTGCACATCGTAATCAACACGGAGAGCCTACCCAAGTTGATGGTCATCCTGGCCTGCCCTTGCTTTGACGTTCGCATGTACCTCGTACGGACTATGGTGGATGTACCCTGTCCCCTGGGCTGATTCTCGTCTCGGGCCTTCCACCGGAGTGGCCGTGCATGCTACTACTCAGCACCATTGATCGTCGATACCAACTTAGCAAGACTGTAGCTACAGTATCGAGGACTTGCAGCCCGGGAGATCTTGCTCGTTGGCTACCGTACTACTGTCGACTTACCGCCCTCCTGGATATCCCTTAGGGTTCTCGCTACATGGTCCCTACTACTCATAAGAAAGGTGCTGTTCTTGAGTGGGGCTGTATCTCCCACCAAACGTACCAGCAATGGGGGAACCTGGTGATAGAGCACTGTACTTCGGTGAGCCCGTCTCCGAGCTAAGGAGATTGTGGTGTTTTGGTGGGTTGCGATGTAGCATCGTTGCTTAACGGATTGGTGTCATATTGTCGTTCCTTGACTGCGCCAATGTCCTCATGAGCACGAACCCCGGATCCCGGGCAAGGTAGGATATTTGCCATAAGGACAGGAATCACAGCCTGTTTGGGGCGGCTGATATAACTAGACAGGGGCTTTCCCACCAGAATTTCCCAAGAGCCCACTGGGACTAGTTGTTCATTGGGGGGTGGATGTTCACGGGGGAGAAACCTGAGCTTGGCAAAATCAGGATCGAACATGCCACTTGCGCAGCAGGGACTTCCGCCAGGTGCAACGTGTTTCAGAATATGCAAGTCAGCAGGTTAAAAAAGGATCTCGAATGAGGGAGTGAGGTTTGAACCCTTAATCCTTAATACCCGAAGCCTTTTCGCATGACAACTGCTTCGTCAGCTCAGCAAAGGCATTGCAATCATAACAGAATATGTGTTCCGTCCTGCGCAAGGCACTTGTCTCAGCACAAAGCTGTGGACTGAGTTTAGGATTGACCTTTAGATTCTGAAGACTCCTCGAATTCTAAACCCTGACTTTCTTCCTCTTGTGACGCATAGATAGTGCAGGAGCACGTCCGCGTGTTGCGCCGCTTTACTGGTAGCTCACCAAAAGGGGCCTGCATCTGAAACAGGAAGATCGAAGATTTGCACGGACTACATCTGAAACACTTCGCCATCTGCAATGCCGAAGAGAGATCGGTACTCCGTAACTACAGTAGATGAGAATGACGAATGGCCAAGGGAGCATTGCGTTTCATCTGGAAAATGGCCGGCATCACAGTTACACCTCCATTATTGTACTCGGCACTTGGGCCGAGCGTTATGTGTTCACTGGATAGCGATCAACTCGTTTGAGTGATAATAGTCAAGAAGAGCTGACGTTGCATTTTGCGGGAAGGGAGGTTGGGAGGCCCATGTGCCAGCGATGGTATAGAGGGGCCAATCCTGTCCATCTTCGATCACCCCTGCCATAAAACACGGGCAAATTCAACGGCAATTACTTATGCGGATACTGTACGGAGTACATATATACTTGAAATGGATTTATGCTTTGGGCCGACAATGATGAGCGGCAGGGCATAGGTAGACTCGGGCACTTCTACCTTGCTGGGTACCGAGAGGTTGTGCGACGTGCACTCTCGACCAAGTTCTCAGACTAGTGGTAGTGAATGGAGTTGTCAATGGGACCATCAACTGAGACGTCAGACCGTTGGTGTGAAGGCGAAAAGGAGCAATTGGAGGAACTCCGGCTACTACTGCCCGACTGGAACATAAAATTGGGGCCTTTCTCAGTAGATCATTTCCTGTGCCTGGGCCACTTTAACACCCAGAACTGAAAAATAAAGTGCCTGTCAGGCGGCCCATTCCGCTCTGAGGAGGCCGAGGGACAAAGCTCGGAGCAGAATCATCGGACACTTCGCAAGCGTCCCAAGCTTGGGTGTGGATGATCCAGTGCAGTACGAGTAGTACGGAGGACTTGTTCGTACTGTAGTTAATCCGTCCCCATGACAGAGAACCTATCCACTCTGGCTTGGCTTTCATTCCGACGAGTACATACGAGTACTTCGTACTCTTCAGGTTGGGCATCTCGTGATCATGGGGCAAGGCTCACCGTTTGAATCCATCATCGCCCCAATGTAGGTCACCGGTCGAAACCGTCGAAACCCTATACCCACCCAGACCAAGTCCAAACTCTGTCAAGAGTGTCATGATAAAGGGTGGTGGCAGTGTTGTCGACTCGAAACGAGTCACGACTCACGACAGACCGGGTTCGAAAAGGCTTCGATCGGGCCACTGCTCAGGAAATCACCAGACATGGTCCAGGTTCTTTCAAAGTTGACATCAACAACCATGTTGGCGAACTTCTAGCGTCTTGGTGTCCTGAAGGTCACCCATGTCAGATTTGGGCACTGGTAGGGCAGACATGCCACATGGTGGGATGCTGACAGCGTCATGACAAACAGTGGTTGAAATTGGTGATGTGTAGACCAGACTCTGCTTGAGAAACATTACAGTACGGAATACAGCCAGGAATAGAAGGGAAAGCCACTAAGCAGCCAAACTCTTACAATTCTAGTGGTGAACACGCTCCTCTCTGCTGGATGTCTTTGGCTTTCGGCGATCTGTCTTGGTGTTGACTCTCCCGTTGACTGAGATTGTCAGACCCCAGATTTTCTGGGTCGTTCAAGGCTGGATGTACGGGTATTTGGCACTTGCTGTTCGAACTTCGGACGAACACCAAGCACTAGGCATGGGGAGTGGATTTCGAGATGTCGAAGTAAGCTCTGACAGGGACATGAATCGACGGGCATAGGAATTCGTCTGAATTTTCCCAAGTCAAGCGACGCCCCGAAATTTCATCCCCAAGCGATTGACGCCTGGAAATCCAACCCCCGGCGTCTGCTAAACCAAAGGCGGCATAATCCCCTAGCGCAGGAACGCCTAGCCTCGTCCTCGGTGTGTTCGTCAAAATGCTTGAGTTCCCGCGGATGCGCATTGATGCCCGCCACGTCTCATACCTCGCCATTGCTGCCATTCCAGAAACATGTGGATTGAGGTGGCCGATTATTGGATGTGTTGGTCGACAACCCAGAAGAACACGAATCGTTTCAGATCGGCAGCCCAACAAGTTCTTAGCAAACTGAAGCGCATTCCTCACCGTCGCAAAGTACTTGGTAGTTCTTCTGCATGAGGGACCTCGTATTGCCAACAGCAAAGCTACCCAGAGCCATACTTGGGTCACGGTTTTTTGAGGCTTAGGCGGGTAGACTTCGTGCTATGGCTTGCATAGGCAGTGCTCCGTGCTCTGGAGGGTTGTGTGGAGTTAGACCTATTCGTAAGTCTGGACCGAACAGGACTGGGCAGTGTCGACCATTCCTCAGTTACTCGCTCACCCAGCCACGGCTTCTCTTGAAACAGCATTATGGGGGCTAAGCGATGGTAACATCTGGGTGCAGGCTGGTATCCTGTACTCGTCTTTGGCGAACACCAGTACCTCAGCTGCTCTCTACGTGAAGAAGAATCTCGTGTTGCATTCTTGACATTTGGAAATAGAGACTGCAGGATCTTCAATCTCAATCTCAATCTCTCTCTCTCTCTCTCTCTCTCTCTCTCTCTCTCTCTCTCTCTCTCTCTCTCTCTCTCTCTCTCTCTCTCTCTCTCTCTCTCTCTGGGCTGCACGAAAATCTGGGTCGCCCGTTGTCAAAGTCTCAACAGTGCACAAAGGTCAGATGAGGTCACCGAACTTGGAAGTACGTGGAGGAGGCCGGCATGTGTTTGTCTTGATATCGTATAATATGACCTCGTAAACTAGCGCAAACGATCAGGGCTGCGGTTGAGGACGCTGAGGGGACATGGAGATCCTCTTTCTTCCACGCGAGCAGAACGGGCTTCTCGGACAAATCTGGGGACCATGGAATCGATCCTTACTTTTGTTTAACGACGGAATTCCCTAAAGACCGTCATGATAGTCATGAAGCCATGGACAAAAGAAAGCCACAACGGAGATGATGCCTTGAGCTGCACATTGCATCGGGAAGCAGAGCGACTGCCGTTTCTGGCCAAGCGATTCTTGGTGGCTGCAACAGTTTAAAGGTCAGACCATGATTGCACATGGCACAGAAACAATCCTTCGCATTTTGAATAGGTAGAGCGTATTCGGTAGTCCATCAAGAGGCTCGCGATTCACCCGTTCCTACCTAATCTAGAGACTTTGTATTTCTCGCTCCAACTCAACTCTAAGTTTGACTCGTACCTAAGATTTAGCGCGTGGGCTTGGAGCTCTCAATAGCATCACGATGCTTGACACTGTTATGCAGGGTATCAATGCATTTCCCTGGTGTCTGCGCATGCGTGCTGCTTGGGGACTGGAGAGGGCAAGGTTGTTTGGGGCCTAGGAGATGTGACCTCCCGTCCATGCACCAGCCTCCACTATGGCAGAAGGTAAGTGTTTGGTAATTGGAAGATCAAGAAATTGATATAGGCACGATGAAAAGTTTCCTTCAGACGTCGTGCATTGGAGATGGTAGGCACGACGCTGTACACACTAATGCCATGAAAATAAATTATCAGGGGGGAAATGAAGGAGTTTTGAATGAAGAGGTCTTGCGGGTTCATAAACAATCGGAACACTGCACGGGATCTGTCATTGTAATCAACGCTTTCTTCGATTTGGGTTATCGATCCCTTCTGTCTGTCGTCCTGTCGACTGCTAGTGGGGAGAATTCCAGGCCATCGCGGTCCTTTGCTGGTATTTGCGGCGCTCGAATTGACACTCGCCTGAGCCTAGTGACAACCCCATGGAATTGAGCTGTCGCAAGCTGAATCCCTAGTCGGATGTATTCATAATTGACTCGTCTATGCCGCATCTCTCTTTCCCTCCTTCACCTCCTTAAGCGCCTTCATGGTTCCATGCAACGCGTGTCTGTGGTTTCTTCGGAATTTGGGATCGGTGCCCTTGAGAGATGGGTATCTGTGAGTCTTTGGCTTCTTGATGCTACAAAGTAAATCAATATTAGTCGTCTATCGTTCGAGAACGTCGTGCGCAACGAGGGAGGATCTGGTACCCGTTTCTGTGAGCCTTCTTGGACTGATTGTGCTGAGACGAGTTCTTTGATTCTGTTCGGGATCAGCGCACGACATCTCCATAGACGATCGCATCTACTCACTGGCCATCTTAACTGAAAGTGACCCGGGAAACACGCTGTTGATTCGAAAATGTCCAGCGAGTTGGAAAACGGCAACTAAAAGTTCGTAGTTGATTCCGAATGTGCGAGTGCAGATGGAAGGTTTCCCGATAAAGTCTTGGCGAGGCTGAGATGGTGGGCACGCTGACCACAAGGGCTCACGGAGACATCCGGGATCTCCGACTCCCTGGCAGAGTAAGCCTCGATCTAAGGTTGGTTGTACAATACTGCCAACAGTTTTTGCAAATATCATGAACGGCATAGGCCTCTCAAGGGCAATTTGGGAACAACTTTATTTTGTCTAATTGGAATCAACTTGTAATTTCACCCCATTAACGGAATGTTTCTTGTGAAGCACAGATCATGTGAAAGTCTTTGGTATCATATGCAGGTCATTTCTCTCGCTCCATATCATGCTTTTCATCTTCACATTTGGCCCCCTTGTGCGATAAACTTAGGAAAGAATGTCTTGAAATTTTTCAAATCCAAGGTTGCCAACTTTTGGAGGTAGTCACTGATCATCGTGTTGTTCATCCCCATTGTCCTCAGCTCGTTCTCCTGCAACCATGTCAGATACTGCTGGCCTGTCTTAAGGTAAATTGTCTTTTGCAGTCCAGCAGCTTCAGAGAGTGCCTGCCTTGCTTGTGCATCCTTGGTATTAAATGCTGGGTTTGTAGGCAGGGCCCAGCAAAGGGGAGAGAAGCGAGTGATCATGAATTGATCGAAACCAGGCAGTACAGGTTGAGGATTAGTTACATCTGTGGCGATCTGCGTCTGAGAAGATCCCACATCAGGTCCACCCCAGACCGTGCACATCTTTGCGAGTAGTAGGAAGGCCATCTTTGCAGTTGGGAAATCTTCAACATCACGCGCAAGATGCTCGATAGAGCTGATCACGGATTCGAAGATTGGCTGGTTCGTGTTACTGATGAGTATTCCCCCGAGATCATTTCCTAAAATCACGAGGAGAAAATTGAGGTATTCTCTCTTGAGTTCTGCTAATTCGATCTCATCATCGGTTCCTGAAGTGGCAGTTGAGATCCCGGCGAAGACACGCTGTATCAAGCCAGAAAATAAGGTATCTAGGAAGGCTTGTGTGTCCAGTTTGAAACCAAAGATAACTTGGTCAAGCAACCGAAGGAACAAAGCCATCTCGTCGCGCGAAGAGGTTTCGGTAAGTAAGCCATCAACCCATTGCGAGAGCTGCCGCATCATCTGTGTACCGACAAGCCCAATCAGACGAGAAAAAGCAAAACGAGCCGCAGTTCTGATGAGGAAAGAAGTCTTCAAGGCTGACAAGGCAACAAGCGTGACCTCAGAAACCTGGGTAAATGCCTGTCGAGCTTGTAGGGAAGGCTCTGTTCCGCCTCCTTGTCCTCCTGCTCCAGGTATGAAGTCGGAGAATCCTCGAGCAATTGTTCCGAGGGCCATAATGCCGTGATGAACTTGAACGATTGCAAGTTCGCCACCCGAACGTGCTGGCTCGAGGTTGCGCTCGATGTCTGTGAAAAGCGGTTGCATTATGGCTTGGATATATTGAACCTGTTTATCAGATGGGACACCACCCGCCCCACAAATGCTGCCAACTGCCTCGAAGAGGTACAGTTGGCTAGTGAAGGTTGAGTCAGTTGCTGAGTCGCCATCAGAAGACATATCGTCCCCATCAGATTCGCTGGGTAGCTCTGCACGAATGGCAAGCAAATCCTGCAAGCGCTGGACCACGGCTTCAGCGGCTCCTCCTATTTGCATTCGTAATTGTCGGATTAAGCGTTGGGTGAGATACCATGCACGAGCCTTGACTTTTAGACTTGGATGATGTGCGAGTTGTAGAAAATTTTGTAACACAGAGTGAATGTGTTCAGTGTTTTTCTCAAAGAAAGTACTGTATCTGACGCAGATTTCCATATATTGTAGCTGAATAGCTGGGTGGGGGAAAGAACCAGTGTCTGTGTTTTATTAGCATTCACTCTAGCTCGCAATTGGACAGACTTACTAGATTGAACCATTTCAAGCATCATTCTTATGAGCTTTTCTGCAGCAGGAGAATTCGGCTTGTTCTTTTGATAGAGCCCACCTCCCTTTACAGCCAGCTCGCCCATCAAGAAGACTTCGTGCAATGCTAGGTCAAGATCTCTCCAGTTCAATTGAATGCTTTCGGTCCTAAGTCTCTCGAAGGTTTCATGCACCAAGTTAGAGATGGCTTCAATATAGAGCTGCTCGTCAGCACCAGAAATGACAGATTGAAGACTTGCAAGCCTCTTCCTCAGATCTTGAAATTCAGCCTCATCAGTCTGCTCCTCCTCTTGGCCCCAGTCTGCCGTGTCATCATATCGCATTTTTGAGAAGATTGCCTTCAGGATGGGCAGGAGCATGGCTGCACGTTGAGCGGAGGCTGCCTCTCCTTGCCCTCTCCGACGAAGGAATGACAAGACATCATTCATGGCGGTAAGGACAGTAGAACATACTTCGTCGAAGATATCAGAGAAAAATCGAAGTAGGTGAGGCAGGAATGAGGCCAGTAATTGCTCGGCTTTAGTCCAAGTTGGGGAACTCTGGTTCTCAGTTTCTAGGACTTTTGCAATATCCAGGACCGTGGTGTTGACAAGCTTTGCAACGGTCTCGGCGAGATCTACATCGTAATTGGATGCTCGGCTGTCACTGAGAGGCGGGCATGCAACGAGTTGGGAGACAACAATCTCCAGATTCAGAAAGCCGATCATGTTAACCTTGTCCGCGGCAGGCATCTTCTTGGCTACAGTCTCTGTGAAGACATCGATGGCCGCGTCTCGAGCCTTTTCTTCTCCATCTCGGAGGTCGAGCTTTTGAGCCCGTTCTAATTGCTGGAACAAGAGTTCCAGCATCTGTTGATTAACAACAAATGAGATGTCGACCCAACTAATCCATTTACCGACAGCCTTCAAGCAGAGTTCTGCAATGGCGTCATTGGAGGTTCTCCATTGAGCAAGTATGGCTTGCCAGGACTGAGCGATTTTTTGGACATCTCGTTCACGGATTAAATCCTTCAAGGTATTGGCTCGGTCTTGCTCAGCAGGTGACCTCGAGAGCAATATATCTCCGATCTCATCGTGAATAGAATTTAGAACGGTCAAATAAAACACTATCCCAGCATAGTTGTCTCTTGAGCCGGAGGGTGATATTGTAAGGGCCAAGAGATCATCAAAGCATGATTCCCAACCCGATCCGTAAGAGGCGGAAAATAGGTTGGTGATCGTCTGAGCAAGTTTGTTGACGATTACCCCAGAGTCGGGCGTCTCATCTTGGGAGTGACTCGCAGGCCCGTAGCATTTTTGTAGGTATGAGAGCAATTGCTCTTTAATTAACTTCAAGCCTTGTTCGTCTACCAAACCGGCTTGCAAAGCATTGTTGACAGTCTCTAAAGAGAAAATTCGAATGACCGGAGGCTGACGTGGTAATTGAATAGAAAGGGAAAGACAGGGTTGCCACGCTGAGGGTTCTTGTTTCAACTGATTGACATAGTCAAAGGCTTGCCGCTTGAGGGCTGGGTCGGCGGCGGGGTCATAAGCGATTTGAATCGCGGAGACGATCTGGGATGAGACTTAGTGCTTGTTAGGAAGGATGAGTGAGTGATATACTGACTTGTTCTTCCATCAGGTAATGCCAGTGTTCCTCACCCAGCGGAAGACTTCAGGAACACTGGTAGTTTGATATAGTCACCGCATTTGCGTGACGAAGCGGAAGCACGTGCTCCCGGAATTATTCCATGGCACAATACGGAGTAGTACGGCCTGAAAGTGACGGATTGATTGACTGGAGCTTGTATCTGTTGCAATGGGAGAAGAGGAACTTGTCACCTTTTCCAAAATGTAGGCAGAGAGAACGAGATATTGGGCTGCAAGGGCTATTCTGCAGGGTGGTGCATATAGCCGGATGCTACTCCGTAGTCGTAACAAATGCCCGTGCTGGCGTTGACCACTGCCTAACAATTTTACGAGTCCAGGCTCACAAGCCGTGGACCCACCGACCTCGAAATCATGGTCGTTCTTGGCACTACGGCGGACTTTCCAAACCACTGCGTGCAACTCTTGGCTTGGCATCCGGCGGTGCTGCACCTCCGGAAAACACGTGCTGGAAATCAACGACGACCGACCGAACGATGATGCAAGTTCCCGCTGCCATTTTGGAAGTCCTAGGTTGCTACTAGTGGCTCGACACTCCCAACTTACAACGGCGCATTCCTGGTACCTTTCTCCAGGACGTAACTGAGGTATCTGCAGCTCCTGCATAGCATCCTTTCATCTTCACTTGCTCACTGCCATCTGGAGGTGCAGCCCTCTTCAAGCCATGGCTGCCGCAATCAATGAGTCTGCTCCGCTCCTTCCACAGCACAACTCCCCCAATCATTCTCCATCAAGACCTGGCCTGCGTCAACAAAGAACCGTAACATTCAACCCTCTAACTTCAGTCAGCACCCAATCCGGGGCAACATCATCGGGATCACTCAGGCCTATGCAAAGCCCTTCTGCCGCTTTGGGTGGTGCTAGCCAATCTCGCGAACAACAGCCCATGCTCAGTGCGCTGAATTCCAAGTTGCGCCGAAGAAATAGCCATGGCGCTCCCCTTCCAACAACTCAACCTTTTACGCCCGCTCCTCGTTCTGGCGCTCAGAGAACAACCAAAACCACTGAGAAGCTCAAGATCCTACCCAATCCGGAGCTTGACGAAGAAGATCCCGACGAAGAGAGTGGTAGAGATGTCTATTCCCAATTTACTCGAATCAAAGACCCAACAGCGAGGAGAGATGCTGCTAGACTTGGGAAGGCAGATAGGGACCGACTGCCCCGAGTGACTGCATATTGTACGGCCCAGGGTTACCGTCTGGAGGGCATCATGAAGTTCTTGAAATCTCGGGCAAGAACGAGAGGCGCCAATCCCAAACTGTTTGATGAATGCATATACAGTCCCTACGATTATGACTTCCTCAAGAAAAACGATAAGCACAAGGCAGATGGAAGAAGTACAAGCCCAATTCAAGAACGACTGGCCAGGGTTATGGCCAGCCCGAGGATAGGACCAGCAGAAAGGAGATATTCAGACAGCGCAGTTGAGGTCGAGGACAATAAAAAACATAGGAGAGACGACCTCATAGATTTACAGGATGAACTGGGCCCGCCAGATCCACTTACGGAGGAATCTGCACTTGCCATTACCGCCTCTCACTCATCCACTGACTTAAGGCACCCAGAAAGCGATGAAATGCATCAACGTACCAATTCAGAGCTTTCAACAACGGTACATATTCCAGAGGTATTCGTCTTTGATTACGGCACAGTTGTCATTTGGGGCATGACCTTACAGCAGGAGCAACGATTCTTGAATGACATGGCCAAGTTTATTGAAGCACCCCTACCCACTGAGAGTGTGCAGGCTGAGAACTTCAATTTCTATTATACGAAAGAATATCAAGCACGGATATACAACGATTTCATCAGTCTGAGGGAACCCCGAAACCATATGATCAAGATTGCCATCAGCCACGCACTGTCGCAGAGTGTGAAGACCAGCTTGTTCGAGGACCTAGTTGGCGAGACAATCGAAACCACGAGTCCTCTTCCAGCCCTGATAGCACAGACTGGAAGTGTCAATCTCACCAGACGGCAGCTGAACATGCAGATTGGAGAACTTTTCATCTTGAGAATCAATATCCATTTACAAGGCAGCGTACTGGACAGCCCCGAATTAATGTGGGCCGAACCTCACCTTGAGCCTGTCTACGCTGCTGTACGGAGTTACCTGGAGATTGAGCAACGAGTCGGACTTCTAACGGAAAGGCTGGATGTTATTGCTGGTAAGACATCTACTCCCCGATCACCTTATTATCTCGCTGCTGACCTATCAACCCAGATTTGTTGGCTGTGCTCCGAGAACAGGGAAGCAGGAGACACGGCGAAGTTCTGGAATGGATTGGTGTGTGCAATATTTTGCTCTCTCCCAACCGGAGTCAACATGCTGATTGTTGTAGTTATTGTCCTCATCGCTGCTGAAATTCTCGTTGCGTAAGTATTTCTTCCCTTCGAAGCCATGTCAATAGTGTCGGCCGTACAAGTTCGAGCGACGTGAAGTTTACTAACCATACCAATCTCTAACAGGGCAATCAACATTGTCGTCGATCTCTACGCGGGCGTGGATTGAACACCACTTTGAAAGTCTTTCTTAAATCCCACAGAATACCTCACCGCAGCCTCCCGGAAATGAGATCGTCTATTCCTAATCCAGTATCAAGCTCTATGAAGCTTGCTTCCTGCTTCAGAAAGTAGGATTAACAGAACAGCATAATGACTCGCAGTGTATGTACAGCCGTTGACATTTGGGCAGACATTTTTTGATTGTCAATATTCCTGTTATCAATATGCAAGTTTCCCTGTTCAGATATAAATCTAGCGTGGCGCAAGAGGAGTTTAAGCGTCCGGGTTGGTCCTTCTGTAATTATGTTCCTCCGAGAACAGAACCGCATCGAGGTCAAACGGAATTATACTAATAAGATTCATGCTGAAATGCCTCACTTCTTGTGGCTTAAGTCACCCAATATGCACACAGCTATAGATAGATATGACTTAACCGGCATGTCCATACAAATTTCTTTATAGCATTCCACCGCACAACGCCTCGAGATGCCAGGATATCAAGGCCAGGATATCATAGGGGCCATTACATCCCACTTCCTGCCGACTTCTGAGAGGAGTCCCATTCAGACTACGGGAAGCATTTATGATGGGCAGAAAACTTCACTCACTCTCCGATGCTCGAGGTCAAAGTTCGGCTATCTCCTCCTTTTCAACGCCTGCCTTGCCCTTCCAGCCTATACCTTTTATCCGTGCTGAGGGAGGGTGAACCTTTATGGCCCCCTCCCTCCCCCTCTCATTCATCTTTGAGGCTCACCACTCAATCTTATCATGTATATCATGCGATCACCACGCCAACGAGTAGCATCGCGCTCGGTTTTCGTCCTTGTGTTCGCGGCCCCAAGATTCTTGGCTAAATCACACTAAGAGAGAAAGAGAGATGGAAACCAATAAATTTCAAAAACGGGGGGGGGGAAATTCAGTGCGTCATCCATGTCAACCCGTAATTGAGGCCTCTATACTCGGTTGCAGCTTCGTTGCGTTGTGGATATTTCTCCCACCGTTGGAGGAACTGTCGGGCTTGCAAGTCTCTGTCGAGATCGTTCCTTCCTCCCAGGAAGATTGATGCGGGTATGTGGCTGCTGTTGTTATTTCGGTAACCAGCGCCACGACCACCACGACCACCAGGGAAATCGAGGACTGAGCTTTCCACAGGAATGATAGTTGGTGACTCCTCGTATGGGACTTGATTCGGAGGTGGACGTGGCAATAGTGGGGGTTTATCTTCATGTTGGCCGTCCATGTTGTCACGGAGGATTTTGACTTGCTCTTTGAAGACGCGCCAGAGGATATGATGTTCCAATGGGTCATGTTCGTGCTCGTTGTCATCATCAACATCAGGGAACCCAACGACTCGGGGCATGTCGTCTCCCCGCGCTATTTCGAGTAGGGACGACACGTACGCCTCTTGCATGTATGCAAACGAAAATCCGTCTGTGATCCGGGCCATGGGAGCGCACAGCATCTTCGGGAAGGAAACTTTGACATTGTTCTTCTTCAATTTATCACGCCAGTAGCCGGCATACAGCTCCCGTTCGTGTAGGTTGGGAAGAGGGAACAGATATTTCCGGTCGAAACGGCTGGGCCGCTTGCTCAGGCCGGGGTCGAGCTGGTCCAGGAAGTTGGTCGACGCTACTGTCAGTATGCCATTGTTGTTCTCGAGCCCGTCAACCTCGTTGAAGAAGTAGGATCGCGTTGATGGCGTTACAATGGTTTCAACATCCTCTAGTACTAACAAGCAAGGTGACATGTATCGAGCGAAGTCGAATACAGAATGGATGTAGTAAGTGCCTGGAGCGGATTTGATATAGAGGGTTGGTATTGGTGGGTCTCGCAATGAGAGAGTCCGCATCAGAGCTGCCAATCTTCAGCACTACCCTTAGGGGCGTCCCAATTCTCACTCACCTTTGATAGTTATCGTCTTTCCATTACCCGGTGGGCCATGAAAGAGCAGTCCTCGTTTCCATGGCACTCCGAGATTATCATAGACGTTTTTGCCTACGCAGGGTCAGCTCTGAGGTAACGCGTGACCTTCTTACCCACTTACTGTCAAAGAATTTCTGGCTGACTTGGACCAAGCTCTCTTTCATCTTCTCATCCAGGATGACCTTATCCCAAGTCATCTTCTGTACCTCCTTTAAGAGCGTGAGGTCCTTTGCCCAGATGCGGTCATAAACAAAGATTCCCGGCACCTGCTTGTACAAGACATCGCCCGCGGCCTTCAGCAACTTGTCGGTCTCACTAGAGTGGGTGTTAGGGGTTTCGCTGTCACCCCGCGGCTCCTTGAGAATGTATTGGATGATCGTATAGCTAAACTTGACATAATAAAGGAGAAAGAACTCGTCTCCAAACTTATACTTGTATTTCGCATAGCTAATCATCTCCCCCAGGTGACCCTCCCCTCCACGCTTCACATCCGGTGGGACAAATCCTCTCCATCGACTGAGAGTATCGTGCTCGGTATCTGCTTCATAGTGGGCATAACCAAGGTCGGCAAAGTAAATCAGGTTGACATTGCCGCCAGGGACTGTGGTCACGATCATTTCAGGGTATTGCGCTCGAAGACGCGAGCTGAATTGGATGTCAACATCTGCGACTTTCGCCGAGAGGATGTCGACATAGTCATCGAAGCCACCGTTGTTCGCCGTGTCTTTCACGCCTTCGACGAACGTAAAGGGTTCGACACGTCCCATGGGTGGTGGACACCGTTGAATATCACTCAGCTATGACTTAGTGCGAACGAGGGAAGAAATGAAAGGGGTTGGGATAATCCTCTGGCAAGTAATAGGTCTGAGCTCAGGACACGAAGTTCACAAGGAAAGCAAGGTGGCGGCAGGTGCAAGCGAAAGCGCCTGCTGTTGCCTACATGCAGATCTGGCCTGAGGCCAAGTCGTGAGGCAGCACGATGAAGCACTGAGTGGGTGACGATCGAACCTGGGGCGGGAACTCCACCCAACCAGGATATAGCGACAAATCATCCTGGCTCTTCCTCATATCTGCCTGGATATGGTAGCCTTTGTAGGAGGCCTTGAGACTACCCGGGTATTTAGGGACCCCGGAGCACGAACTGCATCGGGGCAGCGGACTAGCATTACACTGTGCCCCTTGCGAGCAACAGTGATCTAGAAATGCTAGAATTGCCTAGGTGGGTGAGTATGTAGGTAGCCGGTATGTATCTACTATCATAGTTGAATGAGTCCAGGATAAGTAGATTTCTCGAGGTGAGCTACCGAGCAATTGGGACGCCGGGTGGGGCACAACTTATTGAAATCCACATGGACGAATGTACCCAGGTACTTCCTTGGTCCCTGAACTACATGAACAGGTAATTGATATAGGCGACCTAACAGGTTATAAAGCACGTCGCATTTGACTCGGACCATTGCATAATCCTTTCTACTTCTTCATTATGGCGGGTTGACCCCGAAGCGATATGATATGCAAGCTGGAGTCACGGGTGCGTCCAGGCTCAGAAATGGTAAAGGTCCAGCCGGTCGCATTGACTGTTTGATTCGACGACATACTAATGAGCGCCCATGGCAGCACTGTTATCCTGATGAGAAACTCTTGATCGTCTGCATCACCGAGTCATCTCGGATCTTGAGTGCCTTTGCGAGCGCAGACTCATCTAATCCCCTCGTGCTCTTCATATATTTCTTGAACTCCTCGCTCATCTTCACCACCTGGACCAAGTGACTCCTCTCAAGGGATACCTGGGGTTTGGATGCTCCTGCCCTACGCTTCTTCTCTGCATCGAACTCAGCTAATGCAACGATGGTATTGAATGCGTTCCGGATCTCGCGGCCATTCCACCTCAGGTTGAGCAATCTCTGGTTTTCTAGGGCATAGTCCATCACCCCCGGGCCGACCTTAACGTCAGGCCGCTCTTCACCAAGTTTTCGGAAGGATGTGGTCCAGATCTTCTGCCTCTCAGCGTCCTCAAAGTCTGCGTAATGAAGCACGACGTGGATTCGTGAGAGCATAGCCTCGTCAAATGTACCAACCCTGTTTGTTGTCAGGAACAGAACACCTTGGTAATATTCCAATGCACGAAGAAATATCGAGACCAAGCTATTACGTGCGAGATCGCCGCTCATACGCGATTCTAGGTAGACATCTGCCTCATCCAGAAGTAACACTGCTTTCCATAAGGTCGCCAACTTGAACCACTTCATCAGTGCTCGTTCAACTTCGGGGGGCTCTATCCCCAGATCACCACAGGTGATCGCAAGTAGCGGTGCTTGGCTAGCCTCTGCAACGCATTCCGCGGTTGATGTTTTGCCTACATCAATGTTAGCTGCTGGCCATCTACTATTTCGCGTTCAAGACTCACCAACGCCAGGTTTACCATGCAGGAGGAAAATACGACCTTCTCCTTTGTTCTGTACAATATCTGCGCTCCAGTGATTGAACCCTTCGTTATCTTTAGCATTGGTGGATGTATCATCTGAAGCAGTCGAGTGAGTGCTTGACAGCGCTTCGATCAAGTTCCGGGCTTCGTCCTTGAGGACGAGATCACCGATGATGTCTTCTTGAAATTTCGGTTCCTTCAGTCCGTCTATGTGTAACAGATCTAGTATCCTTGTCAGCAGATGTTCATTTTGACCAGCCTCAGGACATACACCAGCGACGCTCTCTTAGCACAAATCCCCATACTTGAACAGGGAACAACATAAAATGCTCAGGTTTCAAGCTGGCTTCGGTTGGCTCAACCAGGTCATACTCTGCCATTCCCTTCGCTTGTAATTTGGATTTCTTCGCTTCTTTGATGCGACGTGCGTACCTTCGCCTTCGACGTCGTTGACGATAGTGAGTGTCTGATCCACTGCTGTCACTGACACTGGAACTGTCCGACCCGATGAGTCCATCCTCATTGGGTAGCTTCAGGCGCAGGACACCCGTGGATTCTGGATCATTGTAGTATGTGGTGGAATCGATCATGACCCGGCCATTAACCTATCGGTGCGAGTTAAGATCGCTGCCGGAATGATGAAGGGGAAGAAACTTACTCTGCGTGAGGGTGTGTTAGCAGTTGTGACTGTGTCACCAGAATAAGACATGTAATGTCGCTCACAAAGCCTGAAATATTTTTGCCCACGAGTGATCAAAGTCTCTCGAAGCTTTGGATCTTGAGCATACTCTATTGGGTAAACCGGTAGAGAGTTTATTTCCCGTTCGCCTTCGAATGGCGTAATAGTCACAACTTTTTGGCGTCGGCCAATCCGAGTTCCATCGAATTCAAGATAATGGAGCTTGACAACTAGTGATTTGGGGATCGAACTGTATTCAGGCAGCTCACCTCGGAGAGCTTGAGGTGGTCTGACAAGCTCGGCCAGTCCTCTTGATCTTTTGCGGCGCTCGGAGTCTCCGCTATAAAGACCTTCCAATTCGTACCAATCAACGACATAGGCGTCTACGCTGTTGCCACTCGAAGCATAAACCATGGAACCTGGTCGGAATAGCATCCATGCTAGGGCATATGTGCAAGTAGGTACAGGTTTTTTCCTCAGTGACATCTCATGCTCGTATGTAGCGGTGAATTCCGGCGAGAAGACATAGTTTAGTAACAAGGGGATGTGTTGCTTAGGCGGCAAGTCAATGCTTGGTCGCTGCGATTCCTTCTTGTCATCATTCCGTTCAGTTGTAGGCGAAGGCAGTTCACCTTGGGTCATATCCAGCTCATCAGGGATTCCATCACTGTACGCTTGTAATTCATCCCGATAGTGGACAATCAGGGTATAAGGCGCTGGGATACACATGAATTCAAAAGCTCTAGATATGCCCGGGTACACCTTGACGCAGCGTCGAATCGCACGCATAACCACTTCGGAATAAATCACCAGATAGCTTCCCACACTTGCAGTAACTGAGATTGGTCGCACTGGCCGTCCGCGTCGATATGTAGACCTTTCCACGAGTTCTGGATCCGTCGCATCATCATAATAGCTATTCCTTCGTCTCGACCGGTGTAACTTCGCGTCTCGATCTTTCTCCTGTCTTGGGACGGAATACATAGAGACAACTTTGAAAATGTGGTCCTGGCCATTGGTTCCTGCGGATCCAGCGTGGGCGCCCACTTTCGAGATCTTGTGAGGGGCCGGAGTTGTTGTAACACCAACAATCATAGGCTCATCGTACTCGTTGTCTCGTGATCGGCTGTACTCATAGAGCTCAGTCTCAAAACTGATGGGTCCTGGCTCGACCTCTTCGAGGACGGTAGGTCTTCTGGATAGCCGCCCGTTTTGGGTCCGATCATCTGTCTCACGTGCACCCGGAGATCTGCCACCTGCAGATCCTTGACGATAGTCCGAACTTCTTGCTCGACCTCTTGATGGAGATAAACTTTCGCTGCTATCGTAACTTAGAGGGGTTGAATAAGCTTCCTCCACAACCGCTTGAGGAGCTCGTGGGCCGCGGTCGTCAAGGTCTGAGATATCAGCATCAGAATCTTCAAAGATGCTCTGAAAGCTCTCCAGCATCGATGTCAGCGCTCGTTGGAATTGTTGCTGCTTAAGTTTCTTGTTGCGTGAGGCACGATCTGGCCGTGTTCGTGCTTTAGATTCCCGCGGGTCTGCGTCTGAACTGCCTAGCATAGCAGCGGGCTCCTCAGTAACATCCTGGATTGATTGATCTAGGGACGGCCCCTGAGACAGCGGCATGCCGTCAGGCTCGACTGCCACTGATGTTGTCATGATGGTATATACACAGCGTTAACCGTTCACTAGCGGTGGCTAGTCTAGGTGAGGTGGGTGGAGAGAATGTTTCTTTCTGCTTGCGTAGGCCTGTACCGTTGATTCTGGCGGTTGAAGAGTAACGGTATTGATTGAATACCTGGTGACCTCAAGTAGAAGCCTTACTATCCATTGCAGTGGACAGGGTGAATGAAAGGGAAAGAAAATATGGCGGAAGGCTGGGTGGTAGCTGTCTCTTTCTTAGAAGGCATAGAAGGGAGGTTGTTAGTTGAAGGGGTCGCCTGACCAAGGCTCCATCCACTGAGCAGTAGACCCATGAGGAGGACTTGAAGCTTTAGGCTCTGTACGAGTAACTAGTACGTAGTACATGCAGCCTGCGAAACACGGGTTAGACTCGGCAGCTTCTCGCCTTCAGCCCCATCACAGTGTTACCCAACTGGTCCATGATGCAGGTATTCGTCACACCTTGGATGGGATTCCCACCTCGACTTCAAGGCCGTGGGGGCTGAAGGGGGAAATGAAAGCAGATAGCGGGTCCAACTTCCCGCTTGTAACCCATACGTGAGCCCTATGTTAGTATGTTACATATCTATCGACGGCCTGCATTCAAGATGCTCATCTCAGGCCAACAGGCTGATAGATAGCTGTCGCCTGAACTTCACAAATCCCGGTTGCCGTTGATCAACAGGAAGCCCAACATGACATCAGACCAGACCGCCGATTCGACACTCGGGTCTGGAAATGTTTTGCAAAATTTCGTTACACACAACAGTGCAACACCCGACCCAACGGTGCTGTTGTCAGCGATCACTGACAATGAACACCGACGGCGAGAACAGGAAAAGCTCCAGCTTCAGGCCTACTTTTCGGGCTATGACATTGCGAGGTAAGTGAGCTTCGCTTGCTCATCGGCACGGACCGATTCATCAAGAGTTTGCGGCTCAACACCATTATATTTGCAGTCTTGAATTTCAGTTCCTTGGGAATGAAAGTCAGCAGCTGGCCCACGCCCTCCAGCAATTGTCCCCCAGCGATCCCAACAAGATCTGGACGTTCACTGATTTCCAATCAGCTGTTGAAGGCGCTAAGTTAAAATGGGAGAGTAAGAAGCGACTGGGGGGAGGCAAGTAGATTCTGATTGCCTGTGAAATGTGTAATGATTCTTATTTCAACCAGGCAAGGTACAGGCGACCTTCCATAAATTTATGGGCAAGTTCAAGACACATGCCAACCTGTTTAGCTTCATTCCTCAGGGCAATCAGTATACGGCACTTGTTTGCTGGGCGTCTTCGGTCTTGGTGAATGTGAGTCAATACCATGACCGGGGTGGAGTGCTTTTGCTCGGTGTTGACCTCCTTCAGGCTTCCGTCCAGCACACCGATACAGTTGAAGAATTGGCAAATGTCATGGAAGTTGTCAATGAGGCGGCCACTATCGTTGAGAGCGAGTCGAAGCTCTTCCCAGGCGAGATTGTCCAGAAATCAGTGGCCAAATTCTACACCGCGATTTTCTTACTCCTAGGGGATGTCGCAATATGGTATACTTCAAAGAGTAGAGAAAAGTTCTTCAACAGTCTACACGAGGGCTTCCACAAGCAATTTGCCAGCGGTCTACAGAATGTGCAGCGCATGTCTGCGGTGGTGGGACGGACGGCAAAACTCGCCGCGGCCGCGGAGAGCAGATACACCCGACTTTCAGTCGAGGATCTGAGGCAGGAATTGCTTGACGAAAGAGCCGGATTAAATGGAGCACTAAGGAGAATTGCACAATCCATGTCAGAGCAGTTCGCGGCACACATTCAGCGTCTCGAAGAACAGAGCAGGTTACAGCATGAAGAAACAAGAAGGCAGATCTTGGCAGCCGTGGGTTCTCAGATGCAAACAACAGAGGCTTCCTATCGTAAGGTGGCAGAGACGGGCTGGGGATTTTTGCGGGAGAACCTTCGGAAGATTGCGTTTGATAACGCAAGCAGTGACGCCACAAAGAAGTTGGTTTACACAAGACAAAGGCTTCTCCAGGAATCCGGCAATGGAAACAGCTTAATACAAGGCCAATCGAATTATCTTGAAAGCCCAGCAACGCTCAACCAACTACAGGATCAGATGGAGAAGTTACTCATCTATGTCACGAAGGGAGCCAGGATTCTAAATGAGCTTGAAGATGTTCTCTCCATGACAACGCACGAAAGAGTGTCTGTGGCGGTTGGGTTGTGGCTAGAATCCCCAAAGTCCAGCTTACTTTATCTCGAATATCCTTCTTCGACAAATCATATCCCCGAAATATCATTGGTGGCATATCGGATCGTACTCTCAGCAGACTCCTTGAAAGCTCCGGTGTTCTCTTTCTTCTGCAGGCAGAATGCAGTACAATCTCTAGAGCAACCTTTGATGGAAGCTGATCCTCTCGTGGGTCTAGTTTACTCAATGACCTACCAGATTCTCACCCAAGCCCCGACGCTCCAGAACCAAAGACATATCGACCCAGACACAGATTTTCAGGGGCTTGACGCCACGAGCTGGGGAAAGGCTCTTGAGCTTTTTGGCAAGTCTTTGGAAATCCTTCCACCGCTGGCACTGTGCATCGTTGACGGCCTCGAGGAATTCGAAAGGGGACGAGAAGAGCGGATCAGCGAATTGGTGAATGTTTTCCGAAGGCAGTTGAAGCAGTCGGAGAAGACCCTGAAGGTTCTGTTCACCTCGTTCACCCGCTCCTTTGGACTATTGGATTGTCTCAATGGAGATGAAATCAACATTATCGATACGGGCACACGTAGCTCTGGAGCCCGTGGCAAAGCTCTTTTCATAGTCTGATTATCGCGTGGCACTCGTTTGGAGTTGCGGTGAGTCGTGATGTGAGGCAGTATCATCAGACATGTGATTATCTCACGCTGGTCTTCTCTTGACGAACTCGGCCAGATCGCCCCTCGTCACAACCCCGAGAACAAATTTGCGGCCACCGTCAGTAACTACAGCAAAGTCTTGATTGGCGCCGGTCGCAAACGGACCAACATTCTCAAAGAAACCTTCCAACTCCCACAATTCAGTTTCCATGGTGATGATTTGATATTTCTTGCCGCCGCCGCGTTGGAACTTGACCATGGCCTTGGAGACCGGGTCTGAAGGATCAAGTTGTTTTGTCTCAAAGAGGTTTTTCAAATGAGAGACGGACAGATAACCAAGGAGGGAACGGGTATTGTCCGAGACAACGGTTAAGTGCGAATAGTCGTGTGAGGAGGCTGACAGGAGAGCAGAAGAGAGCGAGGTTGCTGGTGAGGTCGAAAGGGCAGGAGGGAGGTCCAAGTCGGCGACGGTAGCACCGCGATATTTGTTCGCCCATTCATTCAGCTTTGTGGCGTGCTGGTCATCTAAGGGAGGCATTCCATCATGTTGAGGGATGATGGTTGCGCCTAACGGCACGCCATGTTCGAGCGAGGAGTTCATCGAGGGGGATTCAGGCCTCGTAAAATACTTGGTGAACCTTGTAAAGCAAACTGGATTGGCTGGCGGATTATGTTGTTTGTGATGCCAGCGTGGGTTCGAAGAAGATAAAATAGAAGTCGCATGTGCATGCAGTTCTATAAAACGAAAACCAACTCTACTCGAGCGAAGTGGAGACCCTAGGATGTCTTTCTTGGGCGTTCTTGGCCACAGTTGCTGCCCAGAGCAATTCTCCAGGCGTGAAGCTACTTACGGGGCCTTTGTTTGCTATTCAGCACGAAGGTATTTAGGCGCTGCTGGCATCTAGCAGAGGCTTAATACTAGTGCTCTTGCGGCGTTGAGCGTGGGAACTGGTCAACTTACCTGAACTCCAGCCCCCCACCTTGCCTCCATCATGTGGAAGAGCACCACGACGTAATGAAACAGGCCTTCCCCCGCTCCAAGCCGCTACAGCCGCACCCGCAGTGACGATAGAAGCAGTGCACTGAGGCGAGATGAGAGGGGAACTACTATCCAGCAGACCCGCATGGCATGGCATGGCCTTGCCTTGCTCTTGTCTTGCTTTGACCATTTGTTGGCGATAGTATCTCCCAATCACCTCCCTTGACCTATCGTCCTACCTATCCATCAAGGTGTTTGCGGTACCTTCCTTTCATCTCTTACTGATACCTCATATTATCAGTTCAATCGTCGCTCATTGTCGTCGGAACTGCCTGTGCTCACTCTTGCCAAGTGCGCCATCCTCGCATTATAAGGAATCAAATGTAATTACCCTCTCGCCTCTGTTTCGGAGATAAGCAGCTCACCTTTCTTTCTGCCGCAGCACCATGGTTGCGCTTTTCCCAGACGCAACGGCCCTGCACCAGGCATTGCTCCCTACCTCGCCGTTTTACAGGCCCGCTGCAAAGCCTGTCGAGCATCCGAAGCAGAGACCCATCTTCTCGGCGTGGAGTGCTGCCGAGACTGCTAAAGACAAAGCTGTTGAGCTGAGTGAGGCGGCTCAGAAAGAGTACAACAAAGCTAGCCAGAAAGCTCAAGCCAAAGCTGGAGCCATCGAGCTATATTCAGCGAAGTACTACGCAGCATGTACAGTGGGGGGTATTCTAGCTTGCGTATGTTAAGAGCAGGAGTCTACTGATGCTGTTCATGATATTGACACCGAGTAGGGTGCAACTCATACCGCCGTCACTCCACTTGACTTGGTCAAGTGTCGTCGTCAAGTTGACCCAAACCTCTACAAAGGCAATTGGGAGGCATGGAAAAAGATTGGAAAAGCAGAGGGACTGCGTGGCATCTTCACCGGTTGGGGCCCTACCTTTGTTGGTTATTCCGTCCAGGGTGCTGGCAAATACGGCTTCTACGAATACTTCAAACATCTCTACACCCAACTTGCGGGTGAAGAGAATGCAGCTCAATATAAGACCATCCTCTTCTTGACTGCTTCGGCTTCGGCTGAATTCATTGCCGATGTTGGTCTCTGCCCATTCGAAGCTGTCAAGGTCAGAATGCAGACCACGATTCCCCCAACCTTTACTGGGACTCTCCAAGGAATTTCGTCCATCACTGCCAAAGAAGGAACCGCAGGGTAAGCTGGAGATGCCACTGGGACGGCGGTGAAGGTTTACTAACCGTTCAAAGGTTGTACAAAGGTCTCTACCCTCTGTGGGGCCGTCAAATTCCCTACACCATGATGAAGTTTGCCTCTTTCGAGAACATTGTTGCCGCGATTTACAACTACCTTCCGGGACAAAAGTCAGACTACAACAAAGGCGCACAAACCGGGGTGGCCTTTGTTGGTGGTTATCTCGCCGGTATTCTCTGCGCCATTGTGTCGCACCCCGCCGATGTCATGGTCAGCAAGTTGAACGCCGATCGTGGTGCTGGTGAAGGGTTCGGTGCTGCTATGAGCCGTATCTATGGCAAGATTGGCTTCAGTGGTCTCTGGAACGGTCTGCCCGTCAGGATTGTAAGTTTGATTCCAACCCAATTTGCGCCTAGGAAGACGCTGATTCATGGTGATTTAGGTTATGATTGGAACATTGACTGGTTTGCAATGGATGATTTATGACTCGTTCAAGATCTTTATGGGCTTGCCAACCACTGGAGGTGGTGACGACAAGAAGACAGCAAAGGCTTAAACAGACAAATGAACAGGAGATGGTGAACTCGTATTGTACTCAAAGGCGAAGGCACGCTTCGAATAGCTCAATTTGTATGTACATGGACATGAAATAGCAGAGGAGAAAATAACCATCGACCCTCGCATTCACAATCGGTTAGCCCGTGTGTTCAGCCTTTTGTTGATTTACTCGTAGATTCGCCGGAAATCTCATTCCCCGAACGCTGAATTCATTGGCCTATCACGTATCCGATTTAGCGAAAGAGTGACGTATCGAAAACTAAAAGTGAAGACTAATCTTATAGATAAGGCACAGTCCGACTAGCGTACATGTGGCTGCTTCCATTTCGCTAAACGACAAAATCACTGTACACAAGCATGAACGCGTCGAATCCCGTAGCATGGCAGGATGGTGATGGCTGACAGTATGGCTGTTGGCTGTAGACTGTAGAGCTGCAAGAAGATGAAGACGGGGATTGAGGGGCATCGCAAAGTCTGGAGATATCGGCGAAATCCAAGCGTTGCGTGATAAAGTCCAAAGCACTCAACGTGGTCCTCCAGTTTACAGTATTGGCTAAGCTCGTGGTCTCTGCTCGCTAACAGAACGCTATCAACTTCTTACTACTGTTTTCGAAGGGTTCCAGTCGTCGAACAGATCTTGGCTCGCGTCACCAAGCCATCGTTGCCTTGGGTCTCATGCCACCCGCCGAACTAAAAGTTGCCTACGATCAGGATCCGCGACTTTGCTTTTGGTTGAGGGTATGAGAGAGGAGGACCGGGCGGTATGGTGGGAGCCCCGTACAACCTACTAAAGGCCCCAGTGCCGGCCACTCTTCACTTCTCGTTATCTCTCGCCTATCCCTCTGGTGATAATTTGACCCTCAAAGCAAACATCTGCAATTCACGTATCATTGCTTGGTAGACACACTGCTTACCCCAGTGAAGACCCCCTCCACTCTCAGTTCCCACTTCTCAGGTAAGCCATCAGTCTCGAATTCAGATGCTGCTCTCTCCTACCAACATTATGCTATCCTACTGTCCCGAGCTCGTCTATTCCCGTGGCTCGGATGTCCGGAAGTCGTTACATCATTCATCATTGAACTCCACATGCACACAGATGGCGATATAGGACAGGGCTAATGACTCTAGACTCCAAACGCATAGAGAAATGGCAGCGAATGTCTCTCACGGCCGAGGAGGTATGGCGCACCTCCACTCGACACTGCAGAGCTTTCTCGAGAGCGCAGGCTAACGTCAACTCAGGCGCCGCCAACATCCGACCAGACGACACCCCATATGTCGACGGCGAGATCGTGCGCGAAGGCCCAACCGGCAATCAAGGTGACGGACCCTACTCGGCCGGACGGGGAGGAGCTGGGAACATCGACAAGGATGGAGTAACATCCGGTGGTGCACCCCACGATGCTGAGATCATCCCCGAGACAGCAACTCGAGTAGCCAGGGAAGAATCCCACCACGTTGGCCGAGGAGGCGCAGGCAATGAACAACATGTGCACGAGAAGAAGGCTTCGTTTTTGGACAAGATCAAGAACCTCTTCAAGTAGAATCATGGGTGCTGCTACCCCTCATACCACAAAGGGAATTCAGCAAGGCAATTTGAAACACGATTTGCCTAGGAGTTAAAACTGTTGATTCATAGATACCCAGCAAGAATGTTGCGCAGGCGATGGTAATAATGGTCGTGGCAGTCGAGGGTGGTACAATTGTTTTCATCCTTCTTGAAGCAACTTAAGTTGGGTCTGAGACTTGATTCAAGTTTAGACCTCTACTAAGATGCTGATAATCCCTCAAAGAATGCATTCCGTAATGTCTCATTGACGACTACTCATGGTAGACAGGAATAACTTGTGCCTTATCCTGATGCGTACTGACGACTTCACGCGGTGTCAGCATTAGTACATAGGTGACAACTGTGACATATGCCGTAATTCGCCAGCTTCTATAATGTCCTAGTGTATCCAGTATCTAAGTCGTTACATCCAATAGATACCTTACTTATCGAAGTGTTCACTGACGAACGTGACCTTGTACCTTGACCATGGTTCCCTAAATACCAGGAACAGTTTGCGACAAGCGAAAATGGAGAATACGGGCCGTGTCGGCCACTTCCGAGAGCTAATGACTTAGCAAATACGAATAGAGGGGACATCTTCCATAGGTAGTATCGAGAGGAAATGGGGCTCGGTACTCAGGACCAAGAAAACGTTAATGGTTTTGGGTCGATCTGAATGTGGTATGCGGGACATGCAGATGTGGACAGGAATCGATATTTCTTGTAATATTGTTAAGTGATGGGATTCCCGAATGGTATCTGGTAATACCAATGATAATACCAATGATAATACCAACAGCATGAGAACTCCGTACTGCGTATGAACCATGGAGGATATCGTAATGAACACCCCAGGGCATTAGCGATCAAAGCTCCCAAGTCTCTCCTGTTCCAACTTCCAAGTCGGCCCCTTGGCTGGTTGGTTATACCCGGCGGCCTATCGGCCACAAAGACCCTAGCATTGCCATTGAGTTGGTGACAGCCCCAAGGACTGCCGTAGCCTCCGTCCCCATCCGCCAAAACAAAGTTACCATACGGAGTACGCTTGGTATTATTCTGCCTTTCCGATTGCTTTTTGTATTATTGTCACTACCACGTTACCGCCATACTTTGGCCCAACCACCCGACATCTCACAGTCTTTGCACCGTTGCGCTTCCCCCTCTGTGAATGCCATCCATCGCTGAGACGCGCCCTATTCTTCAGCTATCGCCTTCCTTTATACTTTGCATTTTTCGCTGCTCGCCACATCGCGTCTTTCATTCCGAGATCCTTATCGTCATACCGCGCCATTATTAGCCGCTGAGAAATCGAACATTTGTACCGCGTCCGACTTGCTGATTTCCCTTCATCGACTCGACCCTGTGCCTGGATCACACGCATCCAGCTGTGACTTCCTTCAATGGCGTCGACGGTTGCCACGTCCGAATCCTACCCTTCGAACCTGCCCTTGACCCCACGCGATAGTGATATTGAAGCCCCCAGCGAGTCTTCTCAAATGGCGGGAAGGAAACGCAGCGCGAGCGAGATGGAAGACGAGACGGGCAAACAGAGGATGGGCACCAACGGTGGTAAATCATCGAGCGCGCCAGAAACCATTGAGGCCGAAGTCAGCCCTGATTTCTCTATCCAATGCCCTGCCCTCCCGCGGCGCGGCAAAAAGGCTTTGAATGAGGACGTCTGGCTTGAGAAAGCTGATGCGCCGCTTCTCGCGCCCCACCTGACCATAGACTATACAGTGCGACCGGGGAACAAATGGAAGGAGCTTTCCAGGTTTAAGAATGCCAAATGTAAGTCCCCTTGGTTACTACGCGCCCGCCAAGCCATCGTGTCTTCTTCTGACCTGGACGCGCCCATACCACAGTCAAGGACCCTTTTGTTGTTATCTACACCTCTGGCCAGATTGTCTATGTAAATCGTCATAACCCTATCCCACCCGCACCTTCTGCCGATGCCACCGAGGATGAGAGACTGCAGTATGACCAAGAAAACTTCTGGGTGGGTTTAATTTCGGAATTTAGAGCCGAGAGTCAGGAGAAAGTCTATGTCAAAGTCTTTTGGCTTTACTGGCCCGACGAGTTGCCTGGTGGTCGACAGCCATATCACGGCAAGCGAGAGTTGGTTTTAAGCAACCACGTGGATATCATCGAAGCCCAGACCATCGCAACCCATGCCGAAGTCAGCTTTTGGGATGAGAATGATGACTCGAATAAAAACATACTTCAGGAGCGGTATTGGCGGCAGACCCTGGATTTGAAAAAAGTCAAGGAAGGCAAGAATGCACTGAGCAAACTGCGCAAGTTTTGCATATGCGGGGGCTATGACAACCCGGGCGTCGACATGTATCAATGCCATAAACCTCAGAAGGGCTGCGGAATGTGGAATCACCAAGCATGTCTGTACAAAAATCTCGAGGAGAGAGCATGGAACAACTTTCTTACCGGGACGTTGGCACACGAACGAGAGGGAGAGGAGAAGAGCTTGGGCGAGAAGGTTGGCGAGACCCTGGGTAATCTAGTCAGGCCTCTGGTCTCCTTGAGCGGCGAGATCAAAGATAACAGCGTCCTCCCATCAACGCCGGTAGCCAAAGGAAACAAGAAAGCGAAGTCGACACCCGTGAAAAAGGCCCCATGGACAGGCAAGTTGAAGGCCGAGATCGAAACGACGGGAGGGGACGTCCATCATGCAACCATCAGTCAACTGGTGCCCACTCCAGCCAGCAAAGGCGCACAACGATTTGAACCCAAGGTTTGGAGGATGAAACTGAATTGTCTGAACTGCGGCGAGTCTTTGAATTAAAAATCAGCTCTGTGTACATTTAATATGGTTTCAGTAACCCACCTTTTCTATTGAGGCGGCTTCGTGGATTTTCGTGTCTCTTGTTAATTAGCACCAGGTAAAGCTCCAGCGTGTGTAAGCTTTTGAGGAGGTTCAATGACTACCTAGGTACCGATACGAGGGGGCAGCATGGCGAGGTATAGCAACAGCGACGGCTTATCCAAGCTTTTTCTTCATTGTAGTGCTTTTCCCATTTGCTCACCGTTATACGTATTTCGGTACAGATTAAGCTCCGAGGGGCACGGAGTTCATACGGGGCGCTCAGGACGCATACCTCGTGACATGAAGGATATGCTGCTGGAAGCGAGGGGCTCAACCAACGCAGTCTGCATGATCGCATACGGGGGACACCCTCATCCGCTGTTATGCGGTGTTTATTGTTGGTTCCCAAACTATGGAGGTGGTTAGACACGCAGAAATAACACCCGGGCGTGATCGATGTTCGCCTAATAATGAGTGATGGCAATGCTGGGCCAGCGATCCTCTCAAAAACCCCCAACGCGTCGGCAACATCACGGGGGTGAGATCACCAACTACTCATCGTGCTTCTTCACCTCGACGGCGGTATATTTTGTAGTAGGCGACAACAAATGATGAGTCAAACGCCAGAGAGGCACATATGAATCTGATTGATCCGGCAACTATCCAGCCCAGGCCATGCATTCCTTCTGGCGTAACAATTTCAATAATTTAGGCTTTTCCAGTAACGCTCAGTTTCGGGGCCGAGGGAGATGCTGGTGCCGCCGCTGTTACACTGACTGATGTCTCTGCGCGAGGTAACAGATGTGGCTAGTCTTTTCGGGTTGTTTCGTCTGCCGTGCGACCCGAGTCCGATAGAATTAAGTTGGACAGAATTGCAATAAGGTCAAAAACAACAAAGACTCAAACTTATTGCTATTAAAATACGAGTACGCATGTGTGGTATGGACTTCTCAACGTCTTGGAGTGTTGATGTTTGTCCTCCTGGCTCGACGTCAAGCCATTCGTGACTAGGTTAGGCTCGATCGACGTGGTTTGACGCGCACCTGTGGGTGCCTGACCACCAGACAAGACTCAAGAGGCTTTCTTGACTTCCTTCCTAAACCAAACGGTCGCCCAGTGCTTCTACATTATTATGTACATAAGAGCCTGTATCGGCCTCTGGCCTCGTACTTCTGGATGGAGACAAGCCGTGTCAGCGGGACTCGTTCCCATTGCTGTGGATGCCAGCCCATGCCCCATGAGTAGGATTTGTGTGACAGACAGATCGTGACATGTCTGTCATTTATTTAGGCACTAAAAACTCCGTCATGTATTCTAAAATAACAGCGATTTGTCACTTAAAGGTTCTGCTTAAGATGCACAAGGATATCTGTATTAAAGGACTTTACTAGTAGTTATTAGTTTGAAATAACCTATCTATGTAGAGCCAAGTCTCTAGTATCTAGCGCCATGCTAAGCCTCTAAAGGTAGCTATAAGTATTGTCATGACGCTCGTCAAATATCCTCCGTCCGTGATTTATTGCCATTTGACTGTCATTTTACTAAAGTGACGGACAAACTTGAATCTTACCCATGAGTCTATGACTCCTTCACGCTGACCCCCAATACCAGCATCCACTTTTCTGCAGATTCGTCATCGATCTGTCTTCGGTCCGCGCTTACAAGTAAACCGCATGGTTCAATTTCTTGAACGTCTTCGGATCGGTCTTTTCCCTCTGAAGCCGAATCATCGTACTAATCGTACCAATAGGTGCTGGTCCACACATCTTCATACTCCGTACTAGGTAACCATTGTCCATACTAAAAACGCTTGTCCTGTGCTTCTTTTACTTCTCTTGCGACCGCTCTCATTCAAAGACGGAAGTTACTCCCTCCCTCGTTTCTGTTCATATTTTCTGTTCAGTCATCTTTTCATACCTGGGGTGGGCAACAACCCATGGTTGAAACCTCTCATTGCCATTATTATTGTCTTGTTTTGCATCATACCAGCGAGCTTCTGGTGGTGGCGACTTTTTCTCACTGGGGAATTTACGAGAGCACATACAGCCAAAAGAAACAGAAGCCCTTCCGCTTGTGAACATATCCACTTACCTATATCGGCAATCTAGTCGAACAAAAGCTTTCCCACTCACCGCACACCTCTCGGTATCAGGACATCGACGACGGAGCAAGGCTGAGTTGGAATTTGCCAGCCACAACATATATCACAAATACACTGCTTGTCGAACAATCTTCTCATAAGAACCCAGCTTCCTGGTTCCCGATCTGTTGACATCTCCACTGTTGATGCTAAAGTTATATTACGGGGCCAATTCCTAATCTTGTTAGTGCTGTCTGGTCCTGGGTTTTCCGATCCTTTTCTTGTGGCTCGATATGGTCGACGAAGAAAAGAAGTCCCAGACAGTCGCTGACGGCTTGCCCAGAACAGGAGCAGACACTCAACCCGAGCCGCCCTCAATACACAGTCATGGGTCCTCACTCGGAAAACAACCTAGCCACGAAGGCGGAAGCCCATCTCCTGTGTCATCGACAGACGATGTCCCCGTGGGTGGGCCACCAGATGGGCCAGCACTTGAAAAGACGTCATCTAGGGCAGATGCATTCTCCAAAGCCAGGATTGGTATCATCATGTTCTCGCTGGGGATGGCCCTCTTCCTTGCCGCTTTGGACGTTACCATTATTACAACCGCGCTCCCTACGATCGCTCAGCATTTTAACGCCTCAGCCGCTGATTACACCTGGGTAGGCAGCTCTTATCTCCTCGCAAATGCGGCGAGTGTCCCATTATGGGGCAAATTGTCCGACATATGGGGTCGTAAACCTATGATCATCATGGCCAATGTCATCTTTATGGCCGGCAGCTTGATCGCGGCCGTATCCAACTCTATTGGTCTCCTGATTGGGGGCCGTGTCATTCAAGGCATTGGAGGTGGAGGCTTGGTCATCCTCGTCAATATCTGCGTCGCCGACCTCTTCAGCATGAGAGATCGACCCAAATATTATGGCATGCTCGGTATGGTGTGGGCCATCGCTTCTGGTGTCGGACCTGTCGTCGGGGGCGGTTTTACGGAAGGTGTCAGTTGGAGATGGTGCTTCTACATCAACCTGCCCCTCGATGGACTGTCTCTCGTCTTACTGGTGTTCTTCCTCAAGTTGGACACACCCAAAACTCCCTTCATCGCCGGTATCAAGGCCATCGACTGGGTAGGAGTGATTCTAATTGTCGGAGGAGTGACCATGTTTCTCTTTGGTATGGAATCCGGGGGCGTCACTCACCCATGGGACAGTGCTTATACACTCTGCTTGATCATCGTGGGCATATTCACCATCGTCCTATTCTTTATCAACGAGGCTAAGTTCGCCAAGTATCCCGTGATCCCTCTCCGAATCTTCAATGACAGGTCGAATCTGGCGGCACTGGGAGTATGTTTCATCCACGGTTTTGTATTCATTGCCGGTAGCTACTACCTCCCTATCTACTTTCAGACGGTTCTCTCTGCCAGTCCCTTGCTCAGCGGTGTCTATCTCTTCCCCACGGTGCTCAGTTTGTCATTCGCCTCCGCCGTGACGGGGATCGTGGTCAAGAAGACCGGACGGTACCGGCAGCCGATCTGGTTCGGACTGGTGATGATGACGTTGGGATTCGGACTGTTCATCGACCTCGGACCGCGTGCCAACTGGGCCAAGATCGTCATTTACCAAATCATCGCGGGCATCGGCGTGGGGCCCAACTTCCAAAGCCCACTGATCGCGCTACAAAGCCACGTCAAAGGCCACGACATCGCGGTCGCAACCGCCACCTTCGGTTTCATCCGCAATATCTCCACCTCCGTCTCCGTCGTCCTGGGCGGCGTCATCATGAGCAACGAGCTCAGCAAGAAACAATCGTACCTCAGCCAATACCTACCCGTCGACGTCGCTCAACGCCTCGCAGCCTCAAGTTTCGGCTCGACCACCGACTTCGTCAAGTCCCTGCCGCCGGAGCAGAAACAGGCAGTAAATGTGGCGTATACGGAGAGTCTCAAGACCATGTGGATCTTTTACACTGCCTTCGCCGCCTTCGGCATCCTTATTAGCTTGTTCATCACCAGGAAGGAACTAAGCTCCAAGCACGAGAAAGCCCGCACTGGCATCGCAGAGCAGGAGCGCGTCCGCCTAGAGGAGAAGGAGGCAAAGCGTGCCAGACGCAATCCTCAAGATACCGAAGCTAATGCGGATGCCTCATGATTGGCCGGGGGCCTTCTCTCTTCTCTGTTGGATATTGTATTTTAGTGACCGAAAAAAGCGTGTGTTTCAAAAAAATGTTTGAGAACGGGAAGAAGTTCAAAAGATCCTAAGTTTGGTCTGGTCGTGGTTCCCTGTCTCTCAGGGGCCATCTTTACATAGCTCCACTCTCACAAGTCCCGGCTAGAAACGGATACCATGTATATATGATGAAGAACTATGTCCAGAACAACTAGAATTTCTCTCTCGGGTCCTCGTTTATCCCTTCTGATGACTTGCCAAAGAAGCCTCCCAATCCACGATGAATTCCATATCCACCAGAGTCGGGAAGTACCAATCCATGGTCGCGGTCCATGATTCATACTCGTCGATTTTGTGCTCGAGAACGACCGCCTCTGCTTCGTTGGCCGCTTCGCGGAGAAGACCTGCGAGCTCACTCCCGGCGTCGAAATCGGCGCCGTGTTTTAGAACCATGAGACACCATTTCTCCTCTCGATGACCGGATGAGTTGACTTTGTTGTCGACTATGTGTAGAAGGAACGCGTCCGGGCCGTCCGCCCTCCGCGAGGTCGATAGGACCTGGGCAATTGCCTTGGGTAAGGGTTCCCTAGGTACCCCTGTGAGCGCGGAGTCTTGATCGAGAAGGAAAGTCGAGGAGTCAGGGTGTTCCTCGAGCGCGGAGATGAGCTTCCATGTCTGCTCGCAGGCTTTGTCTTCGCTGTCCAGCTGAACTCGAGGGAAGTCAATTTCAGTTGTGTCGGCGGGAATAGTGGCCAGGGGGGTCCTTAGGCAGAACTGCACCCGGAAAATGGAGGCATAAACGTGAATCCCTGACAGGGAGCGGAGGGCGTTGATCTCGACAAACGCCGGTTCTTGTTCATCTCGTATCCATTCAGGCATCGGTATCGGGACCGGAATCTGCGCCATCGCGGCCAGATTTCTGGCTGCTCGATGCGTGCAAGTGATGCACCACAACGACCGGATGATCTGGTGGTCTTCGAATCTCAATGTGGATGAGACCGAGAGAGTGGCGCGCACAGCCTCCGGCAGCACTGCAGCAGATTTATGCGCCTCTGCCTCTCTGGTGGGACTGGGACGGCCTTGCACACGCTCATGCCCCTTCCTCAGCCATGCAGCCTTCACAGTAGGTATTTTTTGTAGGGTTGTGGTGAACGAAGGACGCGTAACAATAAATAACGCGCCCAGGTAGTACGATCGAACTTGGGACCGTGCAGGCTCGTGAGAAGATGGATCAGTGGCGACGGGTCTTCCGGGATGTTTAGGTGCACGAATTTGAGCAGGGGTATGTTTGAAGATCGCACAGTGGCATTTTGAATCCATGGATAGCGTTCTTCCGAGGCGTGGAACCATTTGAGCGCAGGATGAGCTGAAACGGAGCCCGAGTCATCAAGTTGATTCCTGTGAGATGTAGCCTGCCGTGCTCGTATGCTTTCGTTCTCGACGCTCGACGTCGAGCCTTCAGTGTCATTGACAAGGTTCCGCACATCGTCCATTTGGGCTTTTGGTGGACGTCATGTCGTCGTTGGATGCGGACCGAAAGGAGGGACTTGTATTCTTGATTCTGCTTCACAAGGCTGAGGTAGCGGAATATTTGAACCGTTAAGATATCCCGAGCCCAGTTCCAGAGGTTGGGCCGAACGCTCGTGCAAAGCCAGGACGGACGTTTTGAACATACCTACCTAGTCAGCCTTTCGAGGTCTCAGCCAGACGTGCCGAGGAAGGATTGCACCTGGCTTTCACAGGACGGGTGGGATACGCGCGGAAATGGTGCGTATAGGACCTCGCACTTGGATACTCCGTGCCAGGCAGAAGCAGCAGGGGTTTGAACCGAGCAAATGAATACCTCGCATGGGGCGAGGACGAATGCGACGTGTTCAGGCTGACCCCATCAATGGCTCAGTAACTGGGTACGCAACTACCGGGATAGTGTCATTCGCCGCTCGAAGTAGGCGTTGTGTGTATTGGCGGAGAGAGAGGGAGAGAGAGCTATTTTGTATTCAATGTTTTAATCCGAATTGTGTAATCATTTCCGTACCTTAAGGATCGTTCGCTTTGCTATGGTTGGCTGAGGGCCAACCGGGTCCTTGCTGTTCTTGCTGTCCCGGTGCATGGACGCTGATCAGGCTTCTCGCCCAGGTGGAGACAGAAGACGCCCTATTGAACAAAAGTGAGTTTGTAATTTCAGCAGGCCTTGGGAGCCATGGCCCCTCCTCTTGAGCGAGGAAGAAGCCTTGTGATCATGGTTCGGACAATGGAAGAGATAATGACGGGAATGAATGTGTAGCAGTATCATCTGGGTATCTACGCGGTGAAATCTCAACTCAGTCCGCGTAATCACGAACATTTTCACGGCTATTGTACAAATTCGGGCTCACACAAGAAAAGCTTCACACGCTAGAACGTATAAAACCACGGCTACCCTGCACAAAGAGTGTTGGGTGAGAGAACTCGTTCCTCAGCGCTTAACCAAAAGGCTCCTGCTGTGGAGCGCCTAGGACGTTAGACATAGACCCAATACCAGCAAGGTGTTCAAAATATGAAGACATCTCTCGTGCATTCTCTGCACCAATGCCTAGGTCCCATTCCTCGAACATACCGTTCCAGGCTTGTTGCGAAAGAGGAAGGTCGGGCAGAATAGCGTCCATGATCTGAACATCTGGTTGATGAAAAGCCGAGGTCCCGGTGGGGGCCGAAATTGAGGACATGGAATTTACTGTTGCTGGCAGAGTGTCGATCGTGTCAAACTGTTGGGCACCTATCTGATGCTGGCGCACTTGCTGTTGGCTCGCTCCCTCGGTCTGGTCAAGGTATATCCGTGCAATCTGGCTGAAGAACTTGCAGCCTTTCTCAAGTTTGTCAATTCTTGCGCTTTCCGGATGCGAGCCCTGAAGCGTAGTTACTACCTTTTCAAGCAATTCCAAGTCTTGCCTGTTGCGCTCAACTATCGTGTTGCCAAAAACGACAAGATAGGGCACGAACGGGCACCACAGCAGACTCCAGTGAATGAATCCGCGCCAGTCCTCTCCAGTACGGTCTTTCAAGATCTCCCAGGCTGCGTTGCTGGTGGCCAGTGCCTGACGTGCTGTCAACAAAGCCTCCTTGCAAACCTGCAGTGGATGATGCACTTGATTTGGATGTGGCGCCGATGGAGGGATGACCCGGTAGACGAGCGTCAACGTTGACAGTATGACAATGTCCGTAGACAACAGTGCATCTTGAAATTGCTCGGCATAAGGTGTATTTGTGCTGTCGATTTCGAAGCCCTCACGGAGCTTATGCAGGCGCTCGGCGAGGCAACGTGCGTGGCGAATCTTGACTTCTATAGGCTCAGACTTCGCTCGGGCACAGTACAGCTGCTCGTAGGCATCACCCTGAATGTCGGCATAATCGATCCATAAGTAGAACATTTCCCCCCATTCATTGTCCATTTCTTCGGGTAGCTGTGGACGTTCTAAGCTAATGTCATACCGATGCAGATTAGGGGCTCGTCCGAAATTGAACGCCATACTCAGATCTGTGGTATATACAAACCAAAAGATTAGTCGCTTCTTGGTTGTTTCTTGGTCCGGGGCGACTGAGTACGGTGGAAGCCGATGGTAACCTGCATCTTGGCCCATACGGCAGGCAGCGGAAATAAGTGCCCATCCAAGAGCGGGCCGTGACACTTCCATGGCAAAGATAGCCTAAGGGTGTGCGATTAGTAGAGTCCTGAAGACTTATGAAGGCGAAGGAGTGAATACTCACACCCATCATCAATGCTTGCATGTTTTCATAAGAAGCGTCCATGACTAAACGCAGATTCCGGCATGCCACTTCCGAGTTTTTGATGCAGAGGTTGACTATGGATTGGACTTCTGATCTGGCCATATGAAGTTGTTCCATGTCGTTGACTGGTAAGTCTCGGAACAGGTAATATAGTGCCGTGTGTACAATGATGAATGTTGCGATGGTGTAAGGCTCGGCGGGGAAGTACAGATTCTGGCAGAGCGTAGTGACCTCCTGTAATGTCAACATAGGGCATTCGTACAAGAACCTGTGGCCGTGCACTATCCGAAATCAGTCAAGTGAGTCCATTGTATTTAGCGAAGCATGCCTTTGACGTGCCTAAGCAGGCGGAGAACAGCATCCATTGGAGGGAGCACGAGATTCGAGAGTTGCGGATAATGGACAACTTCACGCAGAGGTTCTTGATCAGAACCGGTGCTCCCATCTTGACTGTTGAGATTCTTGGTCAAGAAGCCTCTTAGCGTGGCAACTGCAGCGGAAACGTCTTGGATCGAGGAGTATGGGGAGTTATTGAGGCTGCTCTCGAAGTCCATGACGGCCAGCTTCGAATGGGCAGTGAAACTGGAATCACCCTCAAAGCCGACATCGGTCTCGACCAGCTGACTATCTCTGGGCGTTGACAGTGATTCCGCTCGCATAGAAGGCGAGGCATCTGTTCCGAAACTCTTGTGGTTGCTCGCAAGTACCTGCAAGGTCTTCTCGAGACTTGCGAGTCGTCTACTGACATTTTCGATCTCTCGCTCGCTGACCATTTAGTCAACCAAGAGGTACCCGAAGTGGGATCACGAACGGCTATAACTTACTACCGACCCGAGACAAGAATCCGTTGCTTCTTCTCTGGATTCCTCTTAGTGGTACGGCAAGCGACTTGGCTCGCTTTGCAACTCGAACAGGGCGCTTTCCGGTCACATTTTATCTAGAGTCACGCCGTCAATTTTCAAATTGCACAGAGATAGAGAATCACGGTTAATCGCACCTTTCTAGCTCGGCAACTATCACACTGAAGAGATTTAGTTTCACTATATCTCCGAACAGGGTCAACAACTCACAGCCGGGATTCTTAAGGAGAAGGCTTCGGGATCCGACAAGTTTGGATCCGACATCTTTCCCACGCGAGAGAATGCCCTTTGCTTGTGGTGCTGAAGCGTCTGGGAGAATGCCAATACATTGAAGTGCCCGACGGACGAATACTGGAGCTCGACAAGAGACTAGTTGACTCTTCGTTCCTGGATGGTACCATGGGACTTGGTACTTCAGAAGTCGATGTTGAAACCCTCGGAAGCCGCGGCGGCCGGGGGAGTCATGCCAAGTCAAAGTCATCAACGTCGTCGTTCTTGGAAGGTGGGGCCCACGGCTCGTCTCTCGCATTCGCTCCACGGTCCCTCCTCGCCGTTCGTATTCCACGCCTATCAGGCCTCGTAATTATTGGCCCAAAACCAACGCGAGCTTAGAACGATGATGCTTTGAATTGCCTCTGAGATCTTGTCATTTCGACCTATTCGGCGCCGCCACTCCGTATTGCTGCCTGGCTGCCAATACTTTACTACTTGTTTAGCTCGATATGTCGCGTTTATCTTGGAAGCACATTGCCCTCTCTTCCAATATAAATGTTGGTATCCTCAAACCCTTTGGCCAACCTAACATCTGCCCTCCCAGACAATGAATATATCGCATACGTGCAGAGTTTGCCAGTCAACCCGGTGTTGATTTCTCAATAGGCTCTCGATGTCACAAGACCCGGAAAAGTCAATTTCCAGCCAGGATGGTGAACAACACGTTTCCGGGAAGCCTCCTGAGAAGGAAAAGGAGGGCAGCATCAAAGACTACATCCGAGTCTTCCACTATTGTGACAAGTATGATTGGATCTTGAACGGCATTGCATTTTCCTGCGCCATAGCAAGTGGTAGCTCGCTGCCGCTCATGACATTGATCTTTGGGAGTTTCACCAATAAATTCAATGAGTTTGGCAGTGGTGGTTCAAGCCCTGCCGAATTCAGAGATGACGTGGATTCCTTTGTCCTGTGGTTCGTCTACCTCTTCATCGGAAAGTTCTTTGCTACTTACATTGCGACCGCGACAATCACCATTTCCTCCATAAGAACAACAAGAACATTGCGGCATGCATTTCTCGAGTGTACACTAAGACAAGAGGTCTGGCATTTCGACAAGCAGGGAAATGGAGCAGTTGCCACCCAGGTCACCACCAATACCACCAGAATTCAAGGTGGCATTGCCGAGAAGCTTACCTTCACTATTCAGGCTCTCGCTATGTTCTTTGCCGCATTTGTTGTCGCTCTGAGTGTCCAATGGAAGTTGGCGCTGATTACAATGTCGGTAATCCCCGCCATCTTTCTCGTCACTGGGATCTGCGTAGCCATCGATGCAGTCCAGGAAGCTCGAATCATTCGCATATATTCTCGGGCAGCAGTTCTAGCAGAAGAGGTACTGTCGTCTATTCGAACCGTTAATGCATTCTACGCCAAGGAGAGGATGATGCGGAAGTACAACACCTTCTTGGAGGAGGCACACAAGGAAGGAAACAAGAAATCACCGAACTATGGCATTTTGTTTTCAACTGAGTATTTCTGTGTGTACGCCGCCATCGCCTTATCATTTTGGCAGGGCTACAGGATGTTCCTGAGTGGTGAAGTTGAAGATGTCGGCAACGTCTTCACCGTGGTGCTCTCTGTAACCATTGCTGCCACCTCCATCTCTACGCTTGCACCGCAAATCCAGTCCTTCACCAACGCCGCCTCTGCTGCCTCCGAACTGTTTACCATAATCGATAAACCGACATTACTGGATCCCCTTGATCCATCGGGGAAGCAGCCTGTCACTTGCCATGGTAATATTGAAATCAAGAATCTCAATTTTTCATATCCATCCCGACCATCTGCTCAAGTGCTGCGCGACTTTAGCATTTCAATACCAGCCAGCAAAACGACCGCACTTGTAGGTGCTTCTGGTTCTGGAAAAAGCACTCTTGTGGGACTTCTGGAGCGATGGTATATTCCAGCATCTGGCAGCATTCTTCTCGATGATATTGATCTTCCTGAATACAACACCAAATGGCTACGAAGCAGAATACGTCTGGTCCAGCAGGAGCCCATCTTGTTCCGAGGTACTGTCTTCCAAAACGTTGCCAAGGGCTTGGTGGATGAGCAACGCAAATTGCTTCGCGCAGAGCAGATGGAACTCGTCCGGGAGGCGTGTAGAGCCAGTAACGCAGACGGTTTCATCACTGAGCTTCCTCAAGGTTACGATACGGAAGTTGGAGAACGTGCTGGTACCCTGAGTGGCGGTCAGCGGCAGCGGATTGCAATTGCTCGCAGCATCGTATCCAATCCCAAGATATTACTGCTCGACGAAGCGACCAGTGCGCTGGACCCTAAGGCTGAGAAAGTAGTGCAAGATGCCCTCAATCGTGTGTCGAAGGATCGAACCACATTGATCATTGCACACAAATTAGCTACCGTCAAAGCCGCCGACAATATTGCCGTTATGTCACAAGGTAGAATTGTTGAGCAGGGTACTCATGAGGCCTTGATTGACCTCGATGGCCACTATGCTTCCCTCGTACGAGCGCAAGACCTGTCAGCTGATGAAGCAGAGGAGGCGGCGATGCTAATGGAGGAAAAAGCTAATGGTGAATCAGCCGCTGAACGTCTTGCGCTTCAACGATCCACAACAGGTGCAATTTCCCTGACAGGGGACCCCAAACTCCAGAAGAAGGTGATCGGAACACTCAACTACTCACTTCTGCGATGCATCATGATCATGTTCTATGAGCAAAAGAACCTGTATTGGTGCTTTGCAGTTTCATTCGTGGGCTGCCTGATTGGAGGCGGCACATTCCCTGCGCAGGCAATCCTCTTCGCACGCTTGTTGACGATCTTCCAGGTCACTGGACAAGAAGCCGTTGATCGGGCCAACTTCTACTCACTTATGTTCTTCGTTGTCGCGATAGCAAATCTGGTTGCATATTTCGCAATCGGATGGCTTTGCAACATAATTGGTCAAACAGTGACCCACAGGTATAGAACTGAAATGTTCGATCGTGTGCTACAGCAAGATGTGGAGTTCTTCGATATACCAGAAAATACATCTGGCGCGTTGACGTCCAAATTGTCCTCCGTTCCAACCGATATTCAAGAGCTTGTCAGCGCAAATGTCCTTCTCATTACAGTAGTTATTATCAATGTTGGATCATCCAGTATTCTAGCACTCGCGTATGGATGGAAGCTGGCACTGGTGGTGATTTTTGGTGCATTATTACCAATACTTATTGCTGGGTATCTACGAATTCGCCTCGAACTTCAGCTGCAAACGAAGAATTCACAGAACTTCTCAGACAGTGCAGGGCTTGCAAGCGAAGCTGTTGCTTCAATAAGAACGGTAGCCTCTTTGACTCTCGAGTCACAGATCCTGGAGGAATATTCAACATTACTAGGCAACATCGTCTTGCGATCGACGAAAGCTTTGATCTGGACCATGTTCTGGTTCTCGCTGTCACAGTCTATCGAATTTCTCGCGATGGCGCTGGGATTTTGGTACGGTAGCCGTCTATTGTCCACGGGAGAATACTCTACAACCCAGTTCTACGTCATCTTCGTTGGAGTGCTCTTTGCGGGCCAAGCTGCGGGACAGTTCTTTGCGTATTCAACTAGTTTGACCAAGGCAACATCGGCAGCTAATTATGTTCTCTGGTTACGTACTCTGAAACCTGTGATCAGAGAGGATGAAAACAACAAGGATAATGGACCAGACGGAGACGGTCAAATTGATCTTGAAGACGTCGAGTTCCGCTACCAGCAAAGAGAAACTGCGAGAGTGCTGCGAGGCATATCCATGGCAGTCAAACCTGGCTCATTTGTGGCGTACGTTGGAGCATCAGGCTGTGGCAAGTCAACACTGATAGCCCTGCTCGAACGATTCTACGATCCCGTCAGTGGTCGCATCTGCTTAGATCGCAAGGACATTACCGGCATGTCTCCCCGGCTGTATCGGGGCCATATGTCGTTGGTACAGCAGGAACCTACCCTGTACCAGGGGTCTGTGTGGGACAACATCTCGCTTGGTCTTGATTATGAGCCATCGGAAGAAGAGATCAAAGAAGCTTGCCGCAAAGCAAGTGCGCTAGATTTTGTTGTGTCTCTCCCAGAGGGCTTGGAGACGCCCTGCGGATCTCGGGGAATGCAGTTCTCTGGCGGGCAACGACAGCGTATTGCAATCGCACGGGCGTTAATTCGCAACCCTCGGCTCCTTCTACTCGATGAAGCAACATCGGCCTTGGACACTCAGTCCGAACGATTGGTACAGGCGGCTTTAGACGAGGCTGCCATGAGCCGCACAACAATCGCAGTAGCACACCGCTTATCCACGATTCGCAATGCTGACACGATATTTGTGTTTGCCAATGGCAGAATTGCGGAGATGGGTACGCACGCAGAACTACAAAAATTAAAAGGCAGATACTACGAAATGTGTTTGGCGCAATCTTTGGACAAGGCTTGATGGGCGGCAAACGACAATGGGGCGATAGGGTATGATTGACTCATCGCAACTCTTTTTCACCATACGTATTATTGATAGTTGCAGCATGTATAAAATCTTCTATTTCAGACTTTGAACTACATAATATTGACACAGATACTAAAGATCCAGGTGCCCCTCGCCTACGAAGATCGACTTATGGTGCAGAGGACTAGGCCCTCTTGAGACTCAGTCTTGCCAGCAGAGCACAAATCTCACATATCCGAGCAGGATGTTCGTTCGCTAAATCAGATCTTCTGTGTGAATTGTCTCTTGCAATATTCTCTGGTGTCCTGTCATCTTAGGATAACGGAACTATGAAGTGAGTGCCCAAGGGTATTCGATGGTACTTGGTATGTCTCGTATCTGAGCAGCCTCAATTTACAAGCGTTCAAAGGGCCGAAAGCGAGGCTGGCAACTCAGAGCTGTAATTAGCAGCGTGGTTCCGTCCCAGACTCCCAGGGTCCTTCTTCGGTTGGCAGCAAACGAATCGCTAATTAACAGCCAAGCTCAAGTTGGATGAACGAGGGCTTGCCAGTCTTGCACCAAAGCCTCGCTTCGGGTGAGAATTAGGCCCAACTAGCGCTATTGCTTGTTCCCCTTTGTCGCGCGAGTGACCAAACCACGCATACTCTGCAGAGGAACGCCTGAGTGTGACGAGCTTTACATAAGGACAGCTGTTCATCAGAGTGCACGCTAACACCTCTATAAACTCCCTTGCAAAACCCTCAAAGACAACTCATGAAGACATGTGGGTTGCAGAGGTAAGTCGTGTTCCTTATCTTCATATCATTGGATATCAGTTTCAGAGCAGGAAAGCTCCCTCCACGGAGTGCATCCTGGCTAAGCTTTGTACTAAATCAATCCCACACTTTCTGGATCTCCGGCTGAAAGCGTGTTTGCACTGCGGCACCAAGATCCAAGCCCAGCAACAACAAGACGTGGCTAATATCTCACGGGGTAAACTCAGCTTCTCCATGTCTTTCACGATTGGTGGAACAACATTTCCTCCACCAGGTCCAGCATCTCTGCGCGGAAGACCTTAGCGTTGGACTCCATCTCCTCGAGCAGCAACGACTCGGAAATTCTCCGTATAGGGGTGCTCTCTGTTGCTCGCATCGCGTACCTGGGCCTTGTCGAGCCTGTGTCTACGCACGCCTCATCGGTCATAACCGCCATTGCCTCACGCGACCAATCCAAGGCCGATGAATACATCCGGCGGAAGAAGACTTATTTGACGGGGAAATGCACAGCCTACGGTTCGTACGATGAGCTTCTCAACAACCCACACATCGACGCGGTCTTCATCCCCTTGCCCAACAGCTTGCACCATCAATTTGCGCTGGCCGCTCTCAAGAAGGGAAAGCACATCATGATTGAGAAGCCCATCGCCTCCAACGCGCAACAGGCGAGGGAGATTCGCGCCGCCGCGATCCAATCCGGGAAAGTGGCCTTGGAAGCCTTCCACTGGCGCTTTCATCCCGCCGCCGGCTGTGTCAAGTCGCTTCTTTTAAGCGGGGAATATGGTGCCGTGTTGTCCATCGATGCAAGATATGCCATGTTCGGGGGCATGTTCAACCGCGGCGAAGACATCAGATTCAAGTACGAACTTGCCGGTGGAAGCTGCATGGACTTGACGTATGTGTTCTCCGCGATCGCGTACCTGGGTGTGCGTGACTCGTGCGATCCAGACTTCGAGTTCGAGGTGCTCGATTCAAAGTTCCGGCTCAGCCCGTACGACCCACTCGTGGACGAACAAGTCGAAGCGACCATCCTCCTCAGCGATCCACATCCTTACGGCTGCAATCGCAACAGCCGTGAGACTGGGGCGCCGCCATCTCAGATCCGTGCTACCGTCGGAGCCGATCTGCACTCCCCGCCTTTCCTGGGGATAATCCCCCGGTTCTGGGATCGACCGATGCTCACCATCCAGACCGAGAAGGCAGAAATCACATTTGACAACTTCATGGGGCCCTGGATCTCGCACAGCATCGCCATCACCGCGGTGACCCGGGACCCCACCGGCCAAAGAATCCTCCGCCGCGGAAAGAAAATCCAAACGGCGTGTTACCAGGGCGGTCCGCTCTGGGAGCAGGAAGAAAGCCGGACGGGAGCGAAAGTCGGCGAGGCGTGGTGGACGACGTGGCGGTATCAGCTTGAGGGATTTGTCCGCAGGGTGAAGGATGGCGAGGCCTACGCCGGGCCCTGGGTGACGTTGGACGAGAGCGTCAGGACCATGGAGATGATCGATGCTGTCTACGCGAAAGGTGGGCTGCCTGTGAGAGGTGCCTGAACAGGGTGGGATGGGAGTGGTTCTTGAAGCCTAAGCTTACTTAGTTTCTATTTCCTTTGAAAACTCCACCGTGACCCCAACCCTGGTACGTCCGGTTTGATAGTTATGATCAGGATTTATGAATAACTTCTAAAGGCGATGCACCATCTCTCGAAGTACAGCGATGATTGCCCATTGTCTCTCCCTTGGGTGTGGTAGCAGCAAACTAAGTAGATCCAATGGAGCATCCTCGATGCGCTTGATTCAAAAAGGACGCTGTGGTATGAAACATCTGCAGCAGTGGACAATTTTTCCAAGACGAGGGCAGAACCCATCCACCAGAAGACACCACGGCCTTCATCTATGAAAAAAAAGCATTATTACATCCGCTTGAATCACAGAGCTCGCTTCTGGCCAAGAACACCAAAACCCCCCATTATTCGTATGAGGGAAGCGCGAAATTATATTCCTCTTCCTCATCCTTGGCTCCTACCAAGCAGTGCCCTCCTCCTGCGCTTGCCTCAGCTTGTCGTAGAAAGCCCAAGGCCAGCTTTTCATCTCGTCGTCCTTGGGTAAACAGCTCGCGCCGTCGGGGGTGGTGGTCAGCTCGCCGCGTGACCTCATCGCTTCCTCTCTTCTACGGCAATACCCAACGACGTTCCCGATCACGCGGCCTAGCATGTCGGGGCTGATGGCTACTGGGTTCAGGAAGGGGTCAGCCTCGCCAAGCAATTCTTTGATTGTCGGTCTCAGACTTTGTTCGCGCGTCAGACACCGCCTGAGTGTTTTGATGAGGCCGAAAGGCACAACAGCGCCGCCGATGCCGGTCGAAGGAAACTGAATCTCCACCTTGGGATTCGGAATACTCATGATGCGCTCGAATTGCTTGGTGATGTGAGCAAATGGGGGCTGGCCATACGTCATTTGATACAGGATGCATCCTAGGGACCACACATCGCTGGGCTTGCCCAGTTTCAAGAGTTTTGTCCCTGCTGCCGACCCAGCTGCTGGCGTGTGGCACACCAGTGACTCCGGCGACATGTAGTTTGGAGTTCCGATTTGATTTTCCCGATGAACATTGACCGTATTATCTTGGATGGCGTTGGCAATGCCAAAGTCGATAAGCTTGAGCTGGCCTTTCACAAGAAGGAAATTTGCAGGCTTCAGGTCCGAATGCACGATATCATATTCGTGGACAGCTTGAACACATTCCAGCATCTCTTTCCAATAATGTCTGGTGAATGTGATATCAAGCTTTGCGTTCTCACTTTTGAGCTGCTCGTTCAGCATTTTGTTGAAGTCGGATTCTCCAAGTTCCATCATAACGTTGAGTACACCCTTTTCCTCATTCACCTCGTAGTCGTACAGCCTGATAACGCGATTGACGTTTTCAAGCCTTTTCAGCAGATCAATCTCCCCTTTATATCCAGCTATTGCAGCCATATCAGCATCCTCGAGGTTGACTCGCTTCAGAGCAAAAATCTTATAGTTTTCCGCCATAATTCTGAACACTCTAGAGGAGCCGCCTCTTCCTATACAGTCCAACCGCCTGTAAGTCTTGCCGTTCAGCACGTAGTGGACTGATTTCTTGTTTCTTGATCCTGCGTTGGAAGTGGCGGTCTCTAAAATCGACATTTTTGGTGGCGGAGCTGGAGCCGGTCTATGAGGAGTGTTGTTCGATCTTGAAGTCAAAGGGGGACGCGATGGGGAGACGCTGGCAGATACATGACCAGCGGCTTTTGATTCCGATGCCGGCTCGTCCTCATGTACGTCGAGCATAGAGACGGCTTGTTTTGTTCGGCGGAAGGTTGGCGGTGGCTCATTCTCCTGGTCCTGCGTAGACGGCAGGGGTGGTAGCGGCGGAACTTTGAAGATAGGATTCTTACGCGAAGATGATGATCTAGATGAGGTACGGGATTCGATGACCGCTGGTGTTGGTTGTGACTTTTGGATTGAGGAGATCCTTGATTGTGGTGGTGATGGGTGTCGCTTTGAGGAATCTGGTGATTGACGTCTTGGGGAAACTCTGCTGGGTTTGGGCTGTTTAGGGCTTCCTTGTAGAGCCAACAGGTCTTCGGGCAAGTCTTCTAGTGCTTCTGTTGCCCTCCGACCGACTTCCATTTCAGGTGTCCTGGATCTTTCAAAGTTTTGATGCTCAATCTCAGCAGCCTCTTCTTCACTATGGCGGCGTACCATCCCTCTCCGGACAGGTTTGTTGAGCAATGCTCCACCTATCCTCCGGACGCGCATTGTACTTTGTGCGCCGTTGTCATCGATGCGCTTAGAGCGCATGACTGTCGAAGGCACCACAGGGCCCTCCTCTTCTGGACTGCTCTGAGCATCTTCCGGTTGTGGATTTGGAGCATGAGGTGAAGCTTCAGGATGATCCACATGCATATCTTCTCTCATAGAATCGGATTGTTTCTCCGATGGTGGCGATCTCGACAGGCGTCTCGAGTCGCTAATGCGTATCCGCCTGACTCTGGGTGCTGGAGTCTGTGAATCACTTGCTTCCGGGCGTAGATGAGCAGTGGATTTATCGTGGATTTTGTACATAAACGAACCATCTCTTCCAAGGATTGTTGGTGGTCCCGGCCGCGTTCCGGAAGTCACACGAACCACACGGGGAGCAGGACTCCCATCTAGCTGCACTTGAGGACTAACATTTCTCAACGAGTCGACAGGAGTACCTCTGGTAATGCGGTTTGAAACGCTGACAGGCCTTGTTCTTCGAGGCGGAGGTTCCGCGTTCTCCTTGTTGGCGTCCGGCTGTGAATTGTCCTCCCCCAATATTGCTTGAGCTTCAGCACTCAACTTGATGGGCGCAAGGTCTTCATCATCGGAGCTGTCTCCAGTTAAATTGCGTTCAAAGTGATTATTATTGTTGGAGCACGAGGTGTGATGGATCGACTGGACTCGTGCAGCAGCTGAGCGCGTGGACGGTTGATGGGTCGGTCGACGGGAGTTGTTGAAACTGGAAGCAAATGCAGCAGGACTGGGCGAGACATAAGCTGACATCCTAGAGACTATTGAGAGGTACTGATATTGAGGTGCAGGTTCATAATCAGCTCGTTGATGAATAGTAGTGGACGCGATTTTTGTTTAGCTGGTGTGAGGTCGATGTATTGCGGCCGGAGACTTTGCATTTGAGTTCCGATCCCAGCACAGTGGACACCCCTGCCAAAAAAACACATGTGTTGCCCAGCAACGGGAAAGATGACTAAGCTACACAACATTCAAATACACAGATGAAAGCAAGAGCTCTTCTAAAATACAACCATGCAAGGGTTTGTATGCGAAGGAGTATCAGAAGTACGTGATTGCAGAACTATGCCAGCGTGCAAATACTTCAAAATTAATTATATTATATGTCCACTAATTATGACTGATTTCTCGGACACAGAGAATTCAGTAGCATAGCAAAGTATGCTTTCCCAACCAGCACCATCGCACAAAATGCTTTGACAAAACACGTCACTGAAGAAACCATTTTCTTGATGAAAGACCCCCAAATGATCGTCATCAGAACCCACATTCATCACCAACGCTAGAGCATGAGGGTAAACCCAGCAAAGGTGCCAGTTGCAACCACGGCAAGACCATAGATCTGCCCGAAATTCACAACGAGCCTTGCCGCTGCAGAATTTGATGACCCAGAAGATCCAGATCCCGCAGTGGCAGAGGCGCCACTTTCGGTACCAAAACCAGTGTAGATAACACCATCTGATGCAGTTGAGGCTGCTGCACCACCAGTCGTCGTGGCAGACATGGTTGTGATTGTGCTTGTATTCACTCTGGTAGGATTCTGTGCACCGCAGGGGTGATCTGCAACACATGCAGCAGCACAGGTGTTGTCCAAACCACAAGCTGCCTGACAATTAGTGTTATACTGAGTGCAGATGTAGTATGGTATTGTCTGAGAGTATTCTGAGGCGTTGGGGGAAAGCCCATTAGAGCAGACGCAGCTGTAGGAAAGGGAAGCCGCATCACAGGTGTTGGAATAAGTGGCAGCCGAGTTGCCAGCTTCTTGTAGGCAAATCAATGGACATTGGGCGATCTGTGATAAGCACCATGCCTCTGGAGTGAACAATTAGTGGGCAGCCCACCTAGTAGGGATCGAAGGGTGAGACACTTACCTCTGGTCGATAGTGGTACTGAGTTTGGATCAATGGTTTGGGAAACAGCTGAAGTGGTCAAGGCAGCCAAGGCAGCTGTAAGAAGCAAGAATTGCATGTTGATGAGGGAATTAAAAACAATGTAATCTGCTTTCAGATTTGTTTGCTGAACGGCTGCAAGGAGAACAGAGTCTTTTGATTGTAGCTGTGGGCAGAAAAGAGAGTAATAAATCGTGTATCGTTCAAGAGATCTTGTTGCTTAACGAAGGGAAGGCTGGTAAGATAATCAGTCACGTTAGAATTTCAATGCATACAGAAGCAGAAGGTGAAGCAGACAAGTCAAGGAGGGCCAGAGGATAAGTACTACTCGCACGAGCACTGGCACGACACGCAAAGACAGACGCAAAGACGCAGAAAGTGGAGGAGGCAGGGTTGGAGGTGGAATGGAGAGTCCGAGTTCGCTGGTATGAGCTACGAGTTGATAGTACTACGAGTATTCGTACTCCGTACTACTCCTCCCATGCACCCTAGTGTTCTGGCGCAGTACGATACATACGCGAGATGGCGTCCCGCCACTCATCCTAGGCATCGGAAAATGTCCAGCTATACCTAAAACACCAGTTGATGAGGACGAGTTGCGAACTTGCAGCATGTCATGATTGGTGGCACAACACCTTCAGAGGCATTGCACAGTCCATTGCGGATCAAGGTGGTTGACTTGTCTCAGGCGTGCATAGCCTTGGTCTGTTGGGGCACTGGTGAATGGGAGTCTGTGAGGGCCACGATCATGTCAAGCACTTGCGAGCAAGTTGCAGCTCAATAAAGGCCCGCCAGGCATCTTTTTCCGGGGGGCCCCTTTCGGGCGCTAGAGTGACTTAGTGGCTGGCTTTACCCAATGATGGCCTAGGCGTGTCCGCTCGGAGCCCCATGCAGCTGTGCGGCTTTACCAAGTACGGAGTACATATGTACTGTGGATACCGCTGCTCACCACTCCAACTTGATGCATGGGCGTCCAGATCTCGTTGGTGGACTTGCGCAGTGGCCTCGAATCTCACCACGAGCCCTCTTTTTACCACCGACGAGTGGTACCAAGATATTCCCTGGCACCGGTGGGCAAATTGAGAACCACGAAGTATAATCGATGAATGGCCCAAATATTGTCAGGCTCCGACACTTGTACTTGCGTCGATCTGTCATTATCTCGTAAATTGTAATTTATTATATGAATCACCAAAGTCATCGGGGAGGCTGCACACAGTCCGCAATCCTAGCTTCTTTTGTGTAGGGCCGGAGTAGGACTAGTTTCCATTTCCAGCCGAGACCAGGCCCCCACTTGTGGCAAGGCCTTCTCCCGGCCTCACAAAACTTCTTCTTGACTTCAATCCGCTCGAGAGGCCGGAAACAGATAACCACTGGCAAGGGATTCTCGTGTTTTTGTTTCACCCACTGCTTTGCCTTATGGCTACCAGCACGCAACTTCTGATCCACTTTTACCAGAATTAACCTTGTTGGAGCCTAGATTCTGTGGTTTCATGCATCTATCACATGCATGGACCACACTACCCCCAACCCCAACTATGCCGACCCAGATCCTCATGGTACCGAGTCCGAGGTGCTGTTAACTTCACAACCGACACATACTCCTCCACCATATTGGCAACACAACAGAGGGTCTTCTTACCCCGACGACCCTTCTACTGACCGTCTTCCCGCCATCATTCTTGAAGACCACACCCTATCCAAAGCCGCGAGCAGAGGTGGCTTGTGGGCAAAATCCATCGCCATCGACGACTATGTTATCGTTCGAGGCAGTCCAACTGGTATTGGTGCCTATGTTGTCTGGAATTGCAAAGTCCAGACATTAGATGGAGGCCCAATGGTGATTCGGAAACGCTATTCAGAATTTGATGAGCTACGGTCCAAACTGGTAAAGGCCTTTCCTCAGTCCACCAGCTCTTCTCTTCCGCCATTGCCAGCAAAAAGTGCTCTGTTCAAATTCCGGCCCAAGTTCTTGGAGAAAAGGCGCGAGGGTCTGGCCTACTTCCTGAATTGTGTAATGCTTAATCCAGAATATGCTGGATCGGTATATGTGAAGGATTTTATCTTCCCACCAGAACAGTGACGGTCTATGGGACTGCTTCGTTTGTCTGATTTCGGCCTCATCTTGGGTGCGACACGAAGAGTGGACAAGCTTCAAAATTCCTTGCACCCCCGACCTAGTTCCGCGGAAGAGAATGGATCTTTACAAACAGAACAGTTGGTTGCTCTCGGAGCAGACAGCTACTCACAGCCTGGGACCACTACAAGTTGTTCTGATAATCCAGACTGTGTTTTACACCACTGTCGTGTACAGTAATCTCCTACGACATGAGTTTCCTCTCTACCGATAACTATTCTGGGCAGCTGGAAAGGGAGTTCCCGTGGGACAATCTCACCATTGAACAGCCGGTAAGCGGATACTAATCGCAATATCATTCATGTGCAGTCATTTGGAGACGCAGTAATATTCTCGAATTGACAAAAAGACATATTACAAGATACACACTTTTTCCATCATGCATTCCCACTGCAGTCGTGCATTTCATCATCCCGAACTGCAACTTCCCCCCATGGTTTTTGAGCATCGTGAGCCCGGTTTCCAAGCCTCTAATGTGAGTTGCTTAGGATTCTTTGCTCTGCATTTCCCTCTTGGGCGAGGTGCCCCTTGTTGTAGGCAGCTCATTCGGGGCAAAATCGAGCTACCCAAACCATGTTTTGAAGGAGTTTTGTTTGGCATTTCTTCAAGATCTCTACGGCCCCTTCCACTGTTTCCACCGCCAGTCAGAGGCAGTGGTTGTGGCATCTTGCTTGGTGGCCAACACTTGATTCTAGAATATTCTTTTTGCGATGAAGGCCGACACACTTTCATAGCGAACAATTACCCCAGAAATGTCGTCCATAGGCCAGCCCAATTCAGCCATTCCTCAATTCAGCAGCTAGTTGTAATGGGCATGGATTCTCAAGATATGGGTGGCAATGATGTCGCACGTATATTGACAACTTCGTCACTGTTGATCATCTTGATGTTGGTCGGTGCGAATTGTTTGGCCTTCAATTTTTGGTACGGCATTGGATCGGAAAGTGAACAGCAAGGTCCCTAAGTGAACAGCAAGGTCCCTCGCTGAAGAGATTGCCTGTAGAACAAGCGGAAATAAACTCGGCGTGACGTGATCACTGTGGTGTCGTACGGGCATCTCTCCATCAACAACGACCTGGTGACTGATAGTAGATAGTCTACGTCATGATTGGGCACATGCCATCGATGCCGAACTTGGGCAAATACGGGGTACAAGTACAAGACATTGATAGCCTCATGCGCATAGGTATTAACTTCATACCCGCCAGCACAAGATGGGCATGCGAGAGGCTGTGCACGTTGTGGCAGCCATTGGTGAAGGTTACCTTATTCGAGTATGATACAAGGCTGGACAGCCTCGTGGCACTTAAACTGGATCCAATCGAGAGCAACATATGATTAGTAATCACATTCCTAGACTTACCTCTCTGGCTTCGTCGGAACTCCTTCTCCAGGCGTCTGCAAGGAGGCTGGTCTTGTCATGTGCCACACTGAGTGAAGCGATCCGTATAAATATGTACTCCGTACTTCATACTCCATACTCGCTACCTGTGTAGGAGGGTCATCATGATGCTTTCACAGTTCATCAAGTGGCAGACCACCATGTTTCTGTCACATTTTGAAATCGGCTGATGATCTTGGCAAATCCTATCACCAGTGACACCCAACGTGACCCGTCAATCTTATTAACCGAATGCAGTCCCACCTTACTGTGGCTTTGGGCCGAAGTCAAACGTGACAGCATTGTGGCTGGAACGCCTTCCGAGCCGATTGTGTCTCTGACAAAATCTGACAATAATGACACGGCTCGTGGCCCTCAGCCGAGCGGGAAACCTCGGTCTCTGGCTCGAGTCTTGCGTGTTGTGTCTTCGTCAGCTCAGCCAACTCGAGCAGGTGACGACTTTGACTCTGCTCTCCTAGAACCCACCGAATCGTTTAAAAACTAGCGACACCTCTATCGAATCTTGATTGAGTGGTCGGTGGGTCGGCGAAGTGCGATCTTCAACCCTTTGAGTCGGATTCGAGGGCAGGCATTTACCTGGTGGGCATCTATTTTGGTGCTACGCACAATAGCCTTGCTGGTGATGAAAGAGCTTAACCCGTCCAGGCGGGCAAGTGTGTTTTGGGCGTTGAGCTAGAAGCCACAGGGACGTCCGTTGCCCCATCAGGCCGCACCATTGGTGTCTGGGGAGCCCGGAAAGCAGCCCCACCAGCTTCAGGTCTAGGTGGTGGCTTCGAGCGACCCGTAGACCCGCTGTCCCTGAATCCCACGGTGGAAGGTATGAAGCGTGAGGCCAGAGACGAGAGACGAGAGAACTGCCAGTCCCTCCGTATGGTCCAAGCCTGCAGGCCTGCAACCACTCGTACTAGTCAGTCGGGCAATTACGAGGGTGATTAAATCATGGGCTCACGGCACGACACGTCGCGCTTCCTTGACTCCTGCCCATCACGTTTCCTGTTTTGTTGTCGTTTGAAGGCCTGCTCACTGGCATTCGTTCTTTTTTCCTTAACCGAGTCCCAGTGAATCCCTCTCTTACTCACTTTGGGCTCAGGCTCACACTTTGGCAGGTACAATTGCCGCACCCTGTTGCAGTTGCAGTTGCAATTGCAGGTCCAGCCTGCTGCTGGTCTCCATCTCATTGATTGCGTGTGCTGTCCAACACACCGTATCTATTCTTTCACTCTGTTTTTTCCCCTGCCTTAACCTTCTTGTACATCCAGCGCACGCTGGACCCTTATTCAGTGCTTCTCGTTTATTTCTTGTCTCAATCCCCGTGCTTATCCGCACTTTTCTCAAATCCTGTTCCACCGCTAAGGGTCCTGTACCGCATCTGATCCCATTTGCTCCGGCGCCGAAGAACCCCTGAGACCGCATATGCAACTTGCCTGACAACAACCACCACCCTGCCGGCTGTGCCTCGCTGACCCTTCCTTTCGCCGGCTCCCATCCCGTCTGCGTCACATCTAGAGATCCTCAACAAAGACTCTCATCGACTGGTCAAACAGATGAAAAGGGTCTGTCTTCGCAATCACCCCCGCTCCTGAGAACCGTCAGGACAATGCCGTTCTTCTCCAAGGTCTTCAAGAACAAGGAAGCCGGTGGCAAGAAGACTGCGCTACCGGCGGCCAATGGAGATGCTCACAAAAAACCACAATGGTCTGATGCATGGCTACGCACGAGGGTTGACCCCGAGGAGGTCGTCGAACTGCTTCACCTATGTACTGCCGAGTTGAAATCTCGAGGTTAGTATTTCCCAACAACGTCTGCCGAAGAGACAACCTGACTATTTCACAGCTCTCAATGTTCCTTTCCTTCTACTTCCATTTCGCCCTTCTTCAGACCCATCCGCCGCACGGACTTTTGTGCGCAACTTCTTCCTCCCGCCCCAAGATAGATCACGACTAGCTGGCGTCCTGCTGGAGAACGAGCTCCGAATGACTGAAGTTATGGTACAGCAGGAACTTCTCGCGAAAATTTGACATCTGTTCTAAATGCAAATAGGTCTTAATCAGCGTCATGAAGTGGTGTTGGGCGCGACTTCCCGGTGGCGTTGTGACGTGGGAAGTTTACGAGGGCTTCAGAGTCGGAGAAAAGGGTAGGATATCGTCTTTCGGATTCAATGAGCACGCAACAACTGACACCTCGCCAGACTCTGGCTATGCCCGCGACGCCTTCAGTACTTTCATACCGATCAGCGCGGACTCTTCAACTCGGGTGCAGATCATTCAAGATTTCTTCGACCTCCTTGCAGCTGTTGCCGCGCACGGGAAAGCTAATGGACTTGGAGGCCACAAACTCTCCAGGTACGCTGGTTGGTGGGCATTTGAACAATATGATAGTGGCAAAGGATTCGAATCCGGTTACAAATCATGGGCCAGGTATGACAACTCCCTTGTATCTTCATGGAGAACGGCTGATTTTCCAGTGCTGCTGATGCTGCTTCACATCTCTTCTTCGCCTATCTGCGTTCACTCTCTAGCAGCGGAAAGAATTCTAGCATCCTTACCCTTCCTAGATCATTGCAGCAATTGCTAGATTCAACTAGCTATCCACCAAAAAATGGCCTGTTGACGAATGACACCACCAAGGTAGTCATGATCGTCGATGTTGTATCACCAACCCCCTATGCTTTGCTTCGAAGAGCAAAAAACTTTCAGTACCGGGATGATGATCATAGCCTTCAGCAATTTGCCAGTTTCGAAGATCCGGTTGCAGCCCTCACAGATGAATGCCGTCGTGTACTAAAAGCCATTTCTTCCGCAAACCAGTCTCATGTTTCAAATGCAAACACTTCCACCAGCCTTACAGATCCGTCCTGGTCCAGATTCGAGGACATTGGTTTCGGGAACTCGCTTGAGGACGATGATGAGGATGGTGATGGACTACTGGGGCGCAAGCGTATCGTCACAAGCAAAATTCACCCAGCATCTCACGGAGGCTATCAAGACCTTGCCCGACCAACTACTCCCTCATGGGCTGACTTTCTTTCTTCCGGCTTTACGGACGAGCACGGCAACAAGACTCACGCACCAATGCTCCTCCCACCAGATCAGATTCTTCCCCCCATCAACTCCACGCTGCCTAGAGGGCAGAGCTCTCAATCACACCGGCGCCATTTAGACACGCAGCAAAATCTTGATCCTGGTGAACTTGCGAGCATTACTAGGGTTACTGTGGATGATTCATTCTGGTGGGTGTGGATAAGTAGTCTTGCCTCAGAAGAACCCACAAGCCGGAAAGCCGTCTTCGGGCGATGTGCCCTCATCGAGACTGTCATCCATGATGGTCAATGGATGGTTATGGAAGAGCAGGTGAAAGGCGCAGCTCCTGAGCCTGCTGCTGGTGCATATATTGCTGAGAAGAAAACATTCCTAGGGTTCACCACAAAACGTGGCCGTCTAACAAGGCGCAGATCCGGAACGAAGAAAAGCCCTTTGTCTCCTGAGCCACAGTTTGGAACCAACAATCGTGCGACACTTGCTCCGGATCAGCATGCAAAGATTCAGCAGGCTGCCGCTGAACTTTCGCGGAAGAAGGCCGCAGAGGACAAGGAGGAACGATCTGTACTAGCAGCACGTCGTGGCCGTCTACCCGAGACGGTTGCAGCTTCGAAAACGAACAGCGTGTTTACTATTGGCCCTCTCATCAAAGATGAGGCTTCGCCAGCCCTGCAATGGGCTAGTCAATATGACAAGAAGGCCATCCGAGCTAAGTACTTGGGTGACACATTGGCTGGCAAAGGTTCGCGTGAGTTACTCACGCTCCCATCGAACGGTGTGGGACTGAACCGGTCTGCATCAACACTTTCCGTTGTGAGTAAAAACAAAGATCTCCCTGCACCACCGGACAACAACTCCAGACGCCATATACCAGAGAGAAGTCATTCGGCAGAACATGGCGCTGCGCCGCCTACGGTGGTTGAGCCCGCACCGGTGCCAACAGAACCGATTGTACCGATCTCGGCAGCTGGCGCAAGTGAAGCAGCTGAAATTCCCCTACCACCAGAAACACCCGACCTATCAGAGCCAAAAGCTGTTAAACACCAGCCCGCCAAATTGCGTAAGTCATCTGATGTCAAGCGAAGTTCACCTGAAGAAAGGAAAACACGAGGAAAGACTCAACCAGGGCCACCTCCGGTCCAGCAAAGGAGCGCCATTCGAAGACTGTTTGGAAGATCTAAACATCAGGAATCGAAGGGCCCGGAACCACCGGCACCTTCAGGTATCGACGCGGAGGAGGATCCTGCTATTGTTGCTGCTAGACGTGCCCTGGAAGGTGATCCGATGGCAAATTCAGGAAACCTGGCATCTCCTCCTCTATCACCGGCCCACTTCGACCGTTTGAGAACAGTTCCAACTGCTCGGCCTGAAGCTGCTCGGCCTCAAACCCCACCAATGGCGGATGCAATACCTGAACAAGACGAACACGATGATTTGGGCCTACAGCGAGAACCCACACGACAGGCACCAGAGCCTCCTCGAACCCAGAGAGAAGAAGAATATGACCAGCTGTCCAGAGTTGATACGAACGAACGAGAACATGCTGATCGTGAATTTTCGACGTTTGATCAAGGTCCATTGCTTGATCAGCCCGCTTTTGTTGCTCCAGACACTCCTCCCAGGAGTGCTTTCTTAACTCCCGCCGAGGAAATGCCACGTCCTCCTATCAGTATCCACTCCGGTCGATCCTACCAACAATCTGAGAGTTCGAGGATTGAGGAAGAAGATGAGGGCGCAGCAGAGATGCAGCACCACCAAGTCAACCCTCAGGATCGATGGGCGCAAATCCGAAAAAATGCGGCAGAGAGGGCGGCTCGACAAGAAGAGCCAACAACACGAAGCCGTACAGAAACCAGAACAGATGACGGCGATACAAGCGGAGAAGAAAGTAAGTATCGCAAATCTCCAATTCCTAGCCCTACTGACAAGATGACAGCGATCGAGTCCCGTGTAGCTCGCATTAAAGCTCGTGTCGCTGAGCTAACTGGCAATATGGACGGTGCCAGAAGATGATGATTACGGCCATCATCACACCAATATGAAATCATCATTTCGATTCATGTGCTGACAGCACCCAAAGTAGAGCAACCATGTCCACGACTTCTGAATTTACCGTGATAGCACAAGGAATACTAGGCAGCGAGGCGTTTGTCTAAGTTTTGGGGGCTGTGAGTTTCTTTGCAAGATACCACTTCAGCGCTTTCGCAGAAAATGTTCTCCTTTGATAGGGTGACCATCTCACTTTCTCGCATCATGTTGACTTGGCCGCTGCAGCGCAGCTTGTTAAATACAAATCGATATTCGGGAACGATACATCCGTGCAACTTGGTCATGGACTCAGCAGGTACACATATCTAATTTTGTTTGGTGATGTGATCCAGTCTTCTGTGGGTGATCACTCACCGGTTCTTTTTTTCCTTTTTTGGAACCAGGGAGTCGACGCAGCTACCTTGCACTTGCCCAGAGGTTTACGCAGTGCATGGGGAGGGTGAAGTGAGGCAGAGAGAGGAGCCTGTATCCATGTGGAAAAGGGGTGAGAAGGAGGGAAAACTTCTTGGGAAACACTGTCGATCATCTCCTAGAGATCCACTGAAGGAGCAAAGCAATGGCAGCCACACTCTAAATATCCTTTCTTTTGATGACCTGTAGGCTTCCTATGCTCCTTCGTCTGTGCCGCCGCTCTACTTTGAACCAAGTCAGAGGTGTTGCTTGAAAATCGACGAGGTTCATCCAGGTCCTATCTCGCTTTTCGCGGTTCGCGCGCTTCGCTTTCCAGGACCCAACTTGCCGCCTCACCAGCTTCTTCACCCTTCTTAGTATACATCGAGAACTCCGGGGTGAGGTACTGAAATGTGCATGTGCCTTGTCGACACCGTGTTGAGGCAATACCAAGCCTTGGTACAGAGGTGACTACCAATGCACTGGGAAAATAACCCAGGGCTTGACCGAGCCAGCGCATGAAACCAAATGGACACTGAACAGGCTAGTATGAAGACCATATTCCCTATCTATTGCCGTGTGACAGGATCTGCCGCCAGGTATCTATAGACAACTGTACAAGTCAGAATGAGCCTCAGAGTCCTACCATCCAACAAGAATGGCCCCGAGGCCCTGCTGTACCTGCCACATCACGGTGGTGGCCTTGCTGTCTGGGCCAGGTTCCCGGGTCCATTCACAGGATGCAGAAAGCAGATGCTGGTGCCATACAGTGGTGGAGAAGGTCATGTAGCGAGTACTCGGTACTCTGTATCTCATACTCCGCCCTGGATGTTCCTATTTCAGAGATCATCACCTCGTGTTCGTCTTTGCCGAATATAAAAGCTGAATCACTGTGGCTTTACTTACATGCTGGGCCCAAAGGGCCCCAAGCTTCGACCTACCTAGGACGCAAGGACCAAATTGCTAGGATTTGGCTTTCGAGTCACAAGCTGCTTGGGCTTTCGTAGTCTCGTTCACAGAATGGACACCACGGGGGTGGGGGGGCTCATATGGCAGCTAGGGGATCCCCCCAAACTGGCGATGTGGAGCTGGCCCTGAACGGCGCTGGCTGCTGAATGCTTCCACTTTCGCTTGTTTGACGAGGTTTCTGCAGGTACATTTTACAGGGTAGGTATTCATATGTACGAGTACTCCGTCCATCAGACCTTAAGACTAGGCTCTTGATTGCTCGCTTGCTTATTTCAATTGTCTGAATCGCTCAATATCGTCCAGCTGGGATTGGACGGTCGGCTGGTTATGAGCGCCCGACATGTCTGGACTCCCAGAAATAGCGACTTAGGGTGGATAGGTGAAGACAAGTCTAGGGAGCATGTAGGAGTAAAAAGGATCTGGTGAACCTTATTGGGTGGGTGAGTGCGTATGCGTGATTGTTTGGATATGGACTTCACTTACAAAGGAGCCCGCATTTCTTGGGAGAATGACCGCACGGTCCTAAGCATGGAGAGAGGAACAAATGGTTTTACTACAGTACGTGTATGCCAAGAAGTCGTCAGCAAGATGAGTAGGCGCAGCGCGATGAAGGAATCCCATTGCATAAGCGACCGGATGAGGGAAGAGCGAGCGAGATGGATACCTAGGTAGGAAGGTACATACTTTCTATGCGCAAGGCCATCAACCGTTAGTTAGATCCATACCTTTTCCTGCCCTGAAACAACGCTCTCCCGGTAGCCGATGGCTACTCCAGTGTTAGCGTAGCGATCTCTTTGCTGTCCTAAGAAGTAGCTCGTTCAGCCAAGCGTTTCCTGAATGTGGTAAATGGGAGGGACATCGCCATTGTGGAGTGGCGTCTCACTTCTACGTTCATGGACAGGAAGACAATACCGTTCGGCTGGGTAACGGCCTCGAGAAGTATCATTGAGGGCGGGTAGCCAAGACCAATACCATGGCTTGGCCATTTGCAGACTGTGAACGGAAGACAAGATTCCATCCGTTATGTGGCTGATCCTGGTGTGTTGACATGCAGAAAGGCGTCCAGCATCATATCTCTATCGAGACTCGAGATCTGGGAAGCATGTACCGTACATGGAGAAGGTGACCAGGTCGAGAGGGCACATCTAAAAATAGAGCTCTTAGAGATCCTTGAGGAGCTTTGTCTGGCGGTGGTGGGGTTCGGTTCGGTGGCGTGCTTTGGTCAGGCTCTTGGCTTGCACGTGCAATCAACGGCGCATGGACGATGGAGCAGCCAGAAGCCTGATGGAAAACCTGAAACGCTGGTGTGGTTTTCCCTCGGACTAGCAAGGATATCAAACCACACGCAATGAGCGACATGTCGTGGGCGCTTAGCTGCATCTTTGGCTTGGTTCCCTGGCTCAGTTGGCCGTAAGCTACTCGGAGAATAACTGTCGGAGGCGATTAGCACGACATGTGAATGCGGGCGTTTTCTCTGCGAGTTATCTGTGAGTTATCCGAGAACAGCGGAATCATGTACCGCAAGCCATCCTTTTCTCTCTGCTGGTTTCTTGTCGCAGGTGAGATTGAACAGGGCAAATCTATTGTTTCATGTCTTGACCAAGGCCACAATTTCAAAACAATGCTCCGATCAAAAGAGATAGGCTAACACCCAGATACGGAGTACGAGTATCCGTATAGTCAAGGTCTGGGCGCCGTAGGGGTGGCTGATGCCCCTCACCCCTCCCATGCTCGTCTAAGCACCACTAATGGGTAGTTAGTGCGGCGTTAAAGGTTAAAAATTGTTGTTATTCTCTGCGGCCTGTATAGAAAGAAGTTGGACTTGCACAAAATCGGTCTTTCGGTGAAGTTGGACTGCGCCTACTGTGCTTGCGTATTGGCCCTCACTATGTACATGGGTTGCACCAGGAACATTGATTGGTGCAGATTGGTAAGATGATAAGATGGATCTTAATATGAACATTAGTGCAGCGTGCATATACAAGGCAGTGTATCCGGAGTAGTATGTACCTCATTGGTTTACATGCATGGCTTCTGTTACTTCCTCTCGCCCTTGACTTCCAACTCAAGTAAGTGGATCGATCGATGATCGACTCTCGAATCCTTTCTCGGACCCTCGGTGTCAGAATAGACGGGTTGTGATAGGGTTAAGAGGATTCGGAATGAAGGTGGTGATATCTGATGTAAGGCATCCTCTGGGTGAGGTTACGCTGTTGGTGGCTTACCTGACTAACGGGCACTGGCACCCGGGGGTGGTAGTCGGTAGTACTCCATACCTGGTCAGTCGTTAGTGGTCACTTCGCTAGAGGCCAGGCCCTGTTAACAGCCCCTGGTAGTACTCGTAAAAGACTAACTAAACTCGCCCACAGGTCGCTTGCTGCTTTGTCTGCTCCTGGTCGGTGGTGGCCTGCAGTGGCTCGATCATTCGCTTGCCTACGCACGGAGTACGAGGTACTCGTACGTTGCTTGCCTATTGCCTCGAGCCTCTTGCCCACTCTTTTCCCGCCCGCTCTCCTCTCACTTCCTCTCTTAACCTTCCACGCTTCTTCCTCTACTCTCTTCGAACTTTTCTATCTTTAGCATCTCCCATCCAACTATCCACCATCCACCAAACGCATTCCCCGGTATTTCCCATTCCCAATTCAGTTTTCCTGCAACCGTCAAAAGGGCCCGCCTGAACGATCGTAGTGCTTGTTTCGACCTGTCACTCTACCACCTCTTAATCCCGACTCCCGATCCAGCTCTTTGTTGGACTCGATTGTTCTTGTCGGCCTATATTGGTCCACCTACTGCCACTTCCACTCTTCACAAAGGGCATTCCCATCCGCCTTGGGTCGACCATTCGGCCATCAAAAACAGACTTGCGCACCTTACCCTCCTTTTGTCCTAATTCCACCATTCCTGGTCTGGTCGTTGGCCTGTCCTCTCCTCGTTCCCCTCATATACTTTGCTGTTGGAACCAGTTCTTGTGCAAAGCCCGTGCTTCAACAAGACATCTCTGACTCCTCGCCAATAATCGTGTTGGCACATGCGCTGAAATAATATACAATCATGGGTCGGAGGAAAATTGAAATCAGAGCCATCAAAGATGATCGCAACCGTTCTGTGTGCGTAGCTGACCCTACTCCCGCATTGCGCCGGATCGCCAGCTAATGTCAACATAGTACCTTTCTCAAGCGAAAGGGCGGTCTCTTCAAGAAAGCCTATGAGCTTTCTGTCCTGTGTTCCGTCGATGTGGCAGTCATCATTTTCGGGCACAATAAGAAACTATATGAGTTTTCTTCTGGGGATATCAACGAGACCCTAAGGCGATATCAATACGTACGTCGGCTGCTCCCAGATTCTCCGTGGTTAGACACTGACAATGATCAATAGTATGGCCAACCACATGAACATAAAGGGCCTATAGACTTCAAGAACAAAGGTGGTGCTGGCGATGAGGATGAAGATGAAGATGACGACGAGGATGTGCCAAGTCATGCTAGAGAGGAATCTCTCCCTCCTCATCACGTCCTGCCTCACATGCAGCACCACAACTCCTTCGCTCATATTCAACAGCCCATGGCTTCTGTTTCTCCTCCTATGCCGAATGGCATGTTTCAGCCTCGCCACTCCACCCCTCAACCTCCACATATGATTTCCAGACCGCCTTCACAGAATATGGTCCGTAGGACCAGTTCCAATCTTGTCCCTTTACAACAGCCTCACCCTACCCCACCTCCACCCCAAAATGGATTTGCCTACGTGCCGAATCCACCTATATATAACCCTCAGGCAGCTGCTATCGGTCCTCCTCATCCCTCTCCTCAACCTCAGTATCAGCAGTTTCCTCCTCAGCCACACCCGCATCCACAACCTACACCTCCGCCAACGCAAACGCACCAACAAATGCAACAGGCACATCAACAATATCTACAAGAGCAGCAGCGAGCATCCCAGCCTCCTCCGCCTCCTCCCACAATCTCACAGCCTACTCTACAGCCGCCGGCCCAGCCACATCCCCGAACCTCGCCTCGACCTGAGAATCAGTCCCTAAGACCACCGGAGCAGGGTAGTCCTCCACAGCCAAAACATATATCCTCCAAATCTCGAAGTATCTTTACTCCAATCGACGAGGGGGGCTCGGTTCTAGCACAGCATTTCTTTGGAGCTCCAGACCCCCCAAAGTCCAAACGGGAAGAAGACTTAGCGGATATCAAACCACCTCCCAGGAGCATCACAGTCCCCTCCATCCCGCGGCCGTCTTCTCAACCCAACAGCCGATCACAGACCACTGTACCTGAATTTGCCCCTCCACAGCGGACAAACACTTCAGGTTCCAAATCCGGGGCTAGACCCAAACTGAACCTTCAGATCCCATCAGAAGCCGAGGACAATGATTCTCCGAGCGGCGGATCGCCTCTGCAATCAGCAGGGCCGTCAGCAAATCCTGCTAGGGGTGGAGATCACATTGTACTTCCCCCGCCTTCCCCTAGCGCCTCGGCAGTCATGTCAGCAGGCGCGTCGGGACCTCCGAATCCCTTTGCTAGACCTCCGCCGCCCACTTCAAATCAGAATCGAGATGCTTACGGTGACAATCGAAATAACATTGAGACCCCCATATCAGCCTTGCCGAGTCGATATATGAACAACGACCTGCTACCCAGCCCGAGCAATTTCTTCAGTGAGTGGTACGACTCAGGGCGGAATCCTCTGAATTCAGCGGTTCTGCCCAGTCCTTTGGTATTTCCTACTCCAGCAGATGCCAGGTCAGGGCTAGGCTTTAGCGGTAGAGATACCGCGAACGAGTCTAACGGAGAGAAGAGAAAGACCAGTATCGATATGCAGGATAAAGAGGGAGACGTGAAGAAGGTGAAAACATGATCCGCACGTCTTTGACGAAGTCCGATATAGAAGTGTGGACCTTGACTGGGTGAAGGCGGCCACTGGCTGACCCATAAACGCACTTGACCGAGCCTCGAATCATTAATGACCGATTATGATCTCGAAAGTACTTGAAACCGTTTTGTTTCCAACCTGGCTCTTGGCGATATTTTGGCCTCGCTTGATTTTTCTGTCTTTTGGTTGTCGATTTGAAAGAAGGATACCATAACAGCTTTGTTTATACACCAATCAGTTGCATTGCATAGCGAGGGACGCACGTGGAATATTCGGCCCCAGGCGTGTTGTTCTGGGACGTTTTGGGTTTGTCTTGGACTTTGCAGGCACGGTGCGCGATTGATATGTGTGCAATCCTATGACTTTGGAACTCTATATGTGATGTTCCTTATAACGAGCTTACCTGTCTGTGAAAGGTGGATTTCTATCTATCCCACCTACTGTGCTACTCTACTCCTGCCCACCACCCGAGATATCTAATGGAGACGGGCTCTCGCCAAGTGGGCTGGTGCGTGAGAGCCACCGCAAACACTTTACTCGCCATAAAGAAATCCTACACAGTGCCTTTTCAAATGGCTAAGCTCTCCTTCAACTCATGATACAACTGCTCTGAGCTCTGTAGTCTTGTGAAAGTTAACTATTCCCTGTCGGCATCTAGCGCTATCTGTGCCCTGCTAGTTTGAAAGGGAGCTTACTCTGATGTTTGGTAAGGTTAAGTTGCGCGAGTTGCCTTACGGGGCGCAGCAAGATGGACATCCATGACTCTGGCTGCAGAACTGAGTAATCTGGTCAGCATAAGCTGTCACTCAGGCAGTAGAACAGAGAAACCCAAGTTGGCCAGGGTCACAGTCGCACCGCCAGTCACGTTACAGGCAAGTTGTTGCTGAAGTGGAGACCTCGCATCCAGGAAAGCAGCTCGGAGACATGAAGAGCTCGCTGTCATTCCACGCAAATCCTGCATTATGGCCGCCTCGAAGGCCTGGCCTCGCATCTCTCAAAGACAGTCGAGGGACCTATGTGGTTACCAGTGAGGCGCATCACACTCAAGGTTTAAGTTGTGCATTCTGACCCAAGGCGGCGTCGCGTTTTGTATTGTAATTAGATCGGATGGATGTTCTTGAGATGACCCTTCATCGATTTTGGAAACAATCAAAGACCGTCGAGTCGTCGTAAAGCTCCAAGCCCGACCCGAATCACCCTGGCCAACTCTGTTCCTTGTCCCCAGATATTATTATGTTGTCCTTTCATCTCCACCACTTGAACTGCAAAGTTGGTTTGCGCACCCTGGGCATTGGGCGCGAAGACAGCTTCCATTGCCTCAACCTGCTTCCAATCCACCATGCCATCGTCGCGCGAATGGGCGAGAATCAAGACTCTCTTCTGTGTGCCTCTTTGAGCCCAGGTTTCGCCGTAATCGGCTAGGGAATAGCTCGTTGGGCTCGCCAGAGCGACATCTTTCGGATCATGGATTGCATTCTCTGTAACCTCGGTATATACCGGGAATGAGTGGTGCAGACGCGCGAAATCATAAATGCCCGACACGCCGAGGACTGCCATTGGAGGCTCGATCTTCGGCAGCAACTCCGAGTCTGCCCTGGTTGTAAATGTCTTCCCGGACGCGAGTGTGCTCAAAAGAGCCATGGTCGCCCCAACGCTATGGCCGACCAAGAGATATCGCTGTCCAAACCCATGCTTGCGCTGGAGATGAGCTATTGCGGCAAGCACGTCGTGAATGTGATCTGGCCATGCAGCATTGCGGAGTTCATATGCGGGCGTGGTAAGTGTGTCTTGAGGAGATTTGGTTGGGCGCGGGCTGAGACGGTAATTTATGCTGGCGTATCCTGCCACATATGGGATGATGTTCTCCTGCTCTTCAATGTTTTTCATGAGGTATTGAAGATGGAGTTTCGGCGCTTTCGTCAGGATTGATAGCGCGGGGTGAAAACTCGCCGCGGTCACACTGTCGTCGCGGAAATATCCTCCATGGACATATACAATCCAAAATTTGGAATCCTGCGTTCGTGACGGATGAAAAGACTCTTGGTCAGGAAGATACAGCTCGTAGGACTGCAGAATGCTGTCCTGGGCGTACTGATGGCGACTTATTTCGCGCTGGATCTTATCTGAAAGGGGCGAAGGGGTTCGCCGTTCTCTGGGATCTCCGTTTCCCTGATATGCTCCACCTCCCGATACCTGTGCCGGGAAGCTGTGTGAAGCACTACTAGGATGTCCGGAGCGAGACAGATGGTACGAGGTATGCTCTCGATGGTGGAGTTCCCCTTGCTGGGGCTCTGTTGCCCTTGATGAAAGGTATGCCGATCCGGAGTGCTTCTGCTCCGAGGCCTGCAAGGCTGAGAGGGTTGTTAGCAAGTCTGATTGTTAGAAGGTACTAGATAAGTCCAAGGCTGGGAATGCAAAAGCGACCCTGTTTGATCCAAAGGTCCCTGTTGGAGTTCGGTGGCACCCCTTGCCTAGACTCTACATATCCCATATCAGGCTGACCATTTAGGAGTTATCCATGAGCCATCATGCCAGCAACTCAGGGAGGATGGCACCTTAACAAAGCTGTTCTATACTCGAAAATTGCAAAAAGGATGTATTAGAGAATCTGCAAGAGCATACCTTGATCTTGCATATATCTGATTATTTTCTTCATTGTTGGTAGTGGCTATCATGAGCGGATGGACCAGCATCAATCGGGGTTGATAAATTAGGATCCCCTTTTCTTTTTCTTTTTTTAAAAGCCCATTGCATCAAGAAGGATCTTGAGCGGGAAATTATGAATGAACGTGACGATGGAAGTCCTGCGCGCCTGGATGCTCAAATCATTTGATTCAGTCAACAGACGAGGTGCTGTTAATTCAGGAATGGTCACGAGGACCCTCATGACATTTAATGAACGTCGCTTGTCATGGGAGCTGGCCGCCTTTTACGCGTGCAAATGTTGGTGCTGCTTTAAAATGGATGAGCGAGCTCGTTCACTTGTTCCCCGACCGGATTTTCCATTTCGTTACATTGAAATTCAGTTTGCGTTGCAAATGATTACTTAGGTCAACTCCGAGGAATAGGATCGCACTGCTACTTGTTTGAAGTTCAACTATGACGTTGAAAGACAGACACCCGGATATTTAAGGCCTGCCAAACACGCTGGTCCTGACTGACATGTGGCCCCACCCAAGCATACAACCCAACTTCCACCCATGGGCTGCATCGGATCGATTACTCAAAGGGTGGAGGGGGCTTCACTTCTTAGGAATTGATTAGAAACCCGTTGCTGTTGCGGAAGGGAGCCAAGCTCCCAATTGCCTGATACCTCCGAGGACTATACTTTGTAATGTACGCAGTAGCAGGGCTAGTCCCTTACACTCATGGGAACATACGACGATTTAATCCCTCTATGCATACGAGAATATTTCGGGGATATCCTAAGCAACCTGAAGTCGGACATCACAGGGAGCGTTCGGCTTCTGGAAGTACTGCACTCGTCCAATGGTCGTCTGTGAAGATTGGAAGCAAGCGTGATGCACACGGTCCTCTTAGCACTCATAGCCATCAATACAGTATGTGCGGCCTTGAAAGACCTGTAAAACCTTCCTCAATTGGGTCTTCCGGCCTTCGAGAGATCAGTCCCAATCTGTCACCTAACGAATGCGCAACTTGCTTGGGGCTTGGAGGCTGCATCGTTAAGCGATTGTTAAATCCATAATTGTAAATATTCGGATCAATCAGAGTACCGTCCATATTGGCTGTGTCAAAAGTAGTCGAGTTTCTTGGCAGGCTGGGAAGATATGTCAAGTTTCCGACAATGTGAGGACCCTGCCTCGTCAACTCGGTGGCATCCATCATGCTAAGTGAAACTCTACAACCACTATGGTCGATTCCTAATAGCTGGAAGTCAAATGGATCCAATGAATCGCTATCTTGCTCTGGATCATACGGCGGAGTTCCATAATCTCGGGAGATATTGAGATGGGCACTGCGAGAGAATTCCTTGCACACTGGAGACTGTAAACTCTGGGATATAGATTCCAACACCGGGAACTGCCGGGCCGATGTGTTCACATTAAGTGGGATAGTCTGTCGAGTAGGGTACTCGAGCAAATGACCATCGAGGTGGCAATCAAGGTCGTCCTGTATCGAAAGACGGAATTGGACAGGTTGAGGCTCCAGATGCTCACTTAAGTGGTGGAGGCTGGCCCGGGGTGCTTGCTCTTCCACTCTGCTCCGCCCTTGGACTGTAACAGGACTGGAGATCGAACCTTCTGAAAAGCGACTGGCTTGATGGGCTAGATCTTTGTTGAATTCATGGTTGGGAAGGGGGTGAGTGGTGGTATTTGGGCACCTCTCCGGTGTTGAGATACTGTCATCAAAGTGGTGGATATTGTCTCCAAACGACACAGCCTCATCTTTGGCGGTTTTCATTGCCAGTTGCTTCAAATCCTCCAGTGACAGATACTCCTTATTCAACCGCGACCATTTCTTGACGTCAGACAAGAGAGCGCTGTCTGTGTATTCCTTCAAAAGGCGACTACTTGGCGAGCTCATCGAGTACATTGTAGCTGTTCTGGATGCCTTACAATGACTTCCATCCTCCTGAAGTCGAGGTATAGTCGATGCTTCAAGTAATGCGTGACATGGTCGCCGATGCTCTTTCCGCAGGCGATCACTGTGATCTGGGGGCAATTTTGACCAGGAGATCGCACTGGTCGAGCTGGCCTTCTTAGATGACATGCTCCTAGAGCATGATTTCTGCCGAAGAGAGCCCCCATCCAGTCCATGGCGCCCAGTTGTCTCAGAGTGGCCGACATCATCTCTAGGTGTACGAGTCGGCGACAGGTTCGTCGAAAGGTGATATGGTTGCATTGTTTTGGATTTTGGGCTTGCAGAGTTCTGACCTGGGCGAGAGAAGAAGCGAGAAATCCCTTCACTTGGCATGTCCTTCGTTCTCTTCAATGCACTGCTGTCAGGATTCCCTCTAAAATGCCTACCTCCCTGTTCTCTTTTCCTTCTGAGAAAGGTCATTTCTGAGAAAGTGAGATCTGGTAACCCTTGCCATTCGACTGGCTCAGATGCTTTCCCTTTTGCGAAAATACCAGGTCCCAGAGTGGGATTCAGAGTCAGTCTCTCTGTGTGAACGTTAGGTGCATGAAAAACTTCTTGGGATTCAGCTTCTGATTTGTGGCGGGCTTTTCTTTTGGAAGGTCCTTTTGGCTGTCTGGGTTTTTTCTCTTTCAATTCATATCTGTCATATCTGGTCTTGTTCCTTTGGCGCCGGGAGTATTTTTCGCCGAGGTCTGGGTAATGTGTATTCGATGCTGTTCGCTTAACAGCGGCTTCGTCTTCGAGAGGGAGATGCCCAGCCGAATTCTGCCGCGATACACCGAGCCTGCGCACAAGACGTCAGCCCCAGTTTATCACTCGAATAAAGGTCACTCACGCGGACAATCCCTCCAGGTTGTTAGGGAGATGTTTGGCCTGGGTGCTTAGAACTTGCCAATCGGGGGCTCCCCGTTGCAATGTGGACTCAGCCAGCCATTGTTGCACGAGCCCATCAGGCTTGAGAGGCGATAGTTGATTAGGGAGCATTGGTGACTTTGGTGGTGAGTAGTTTCACTTTTGCCAAAATCGTGCCATCGTAGGAGAGCCGGACAAGTTAAGACGCAAGAAGCCGTTGACTTTGGGGTGCATGGATTTGTCGAAGCCCTTTGGTGGCAGGAATGAGCCACCATGCAGAGTCACCTTCACTTGTGGGTGGGAAGGCTCGATCCACATCGACGGAGAACATTGTGTGCCCGCAATACAGTATGTCCATTGACCAATAGAGCCGGTTGGGTCCGACGGGATAGCCAGGTGTTGCAGTGCGATGTTGATATTTGACGCATATTTGCTGGATGCATATCAAGGTAGTGTCGATGGCGGCCTTGTTTTTCTGAACCATAGTAGTGGGATGTGTAGTCAACGCTTAGTGCGGGTCATGCATGTCATTGCTGCAGCTCTCTGCATCGAATCCTGCGCCTGTTCATGGCCCTCTTTTAGGATGTTGCTGCATGCATGATGATCAAGTCAACCGCATCTGACTCCAATGGCCCTTCGTGTTCAAGCTTGTTACAAGCATGCTTCAGCGTTCTGCGAAGAATAGCGCACTGTCAAAGTATTTTTGATATTCATTCGTTAGTAGCAGAAGTGTTAGCTTGGTGGAAGTTGCTTGTGAGATCGTGGGAAATATGTCGCGGGTCTCTGACCTAGTTAATGCGAGCTGTTGGCAGCGACACGGTGAATACCTTGATAGCTAGGTAAATAGCTAGGTAGTTATGTTGGCAGTTCGTGATATTGTGCTGATAAGCAGGTAGTGGTGTATCTAGGTGGTCAATATCGTGGTCTGAAGTGGGACTCTCTGTCCTCAAGCATGGCTGCTTTCGTACCGACGCACCTAAGCGACGAGGGTAAACCCAAATGAAAATAGACTATTTGATCAGTTGTCTCTCTCGCTAGGAGGGGCATGATCTTTATCAAGCATATCTTGACCAGTCTCGATATTGATTGAAGGAAGGACTGCCGGGCTTGCCAACTAGGGTAAGAAAGTCGTTTTCAAATTACTGGAACCAGTTAGTCAGCTAGTTTTGACGGGCTGAATATGGTGAAGCGATGGAAGAATCGGCGACCTTCAGTGCTGCCAGCCAAGGACTAAGGCACTGACGAGCTCGAAAATCCCAATCGGTACAATCTAAGGGACTACGATCCTTACCGGATCCCATCTAGTGCGGGAACAGACCCCGTCTTTGCAAAGCACATCCACACAGAACCAATCCAGACTCCAGAGTTGCGCTCAGGCGAATCCAGCATCGTTGGCACACCATCAGTCCTGCAAAGGGCAAATGGCTGGAAAGGCATGGATTTTTAGCCTCGGATTCGCGCAGGGGTTTCTGGCAGGACTTCACTAGAATGGGTCTGCTGCACCGCGATCCAGCAATGCTTCCCATCAAACTTCCTATCCCAATCCAGAGGCAACCGCCCGTTCGTGGTAGAGCTCCACCGCTCCTCCATTCACGAGCCGTAGCTCTTCTTTTCTCCGAATGGTACACTCTCCTCGGCCGCCTTCGGTTCTGCTACCAATCCCTGGTGGGGTGCCCTCTAGGGTTTGAGACGACCAGTCTGAGGAACTGAAAACGCAATAGAGCAGGTACAGTTGCCACTAGGACGCTCTCCTCTTCGGGCTGGTCAGAGCTTCTTGGTTTCCTCCACGACTGCGGTTCACCCGCATGAAGTCAATAATCTAAAAGGAATCAAGTTTGTAGAGAGCAGCGGTCAAGCGACTAGCCGGCCCTCTGAACTTACAATCTATCCCATCGTAGTGTGCAACATCACTCGCCTACAAGATGGCGCCATTATTGTGCCGCGGGCTCTTACACCGCGGTGGACATCTGCTTAGCCATGCACGGCTTGGAGGGGCTATCTCACACCTCTGCCATACCACCATGGCCCACGTGGGTAAGGATTGTGGCAACGCATGGTAAGTCGGGCATGCCCCTCTTTCCTTCAGGCCGATGAGGAATATTTCGAGCTTTTTCTCCAATGCAATGGGTAATCCATCTCGCCATGAGGCTGCCGTGTAATAATGTGGTGCGCACTTGGGCGCACGAGATCGTATGTTCAAGGATCATGGATCTTGTCACCGACAGTTGCCGGCAGATTGTGCCATGATGGTGGGAGCCCCTTCTGGCTGTCCCCCACTACTAGTCACTCCCGACATTGGTTTTGGAAGTCACCGTATCAGTGGTACACCGGGACCACCCAGTTGAACCATCTTAATGCCTCTGACATCACAGCGTCACAAGATACCTAGGCAAGCTGCAATGTCTTCCAGAGGAGAGACGGCTAGGCTCCACAGTCCTCTCACTTTGCCCGTAGATTTCGGAGGTATTGCTGCAGCGCGCCGCAACAGAATGCGTATTACTCGGAAGGAACACCTTGCCTGTTACTTTCTTTGCTGATTATTCTTTCGTTAGCCATCGAAGGTGTGCTTGGCTGCTGCCGGAATTTTTTCTCGGAAAGGTGACGCTCACGAGGGCACGAATTCAAACAGCATCGCCCGTATAAGGGTTGTTCACATAGGACTTGCGTTTGACGTCGCTTCCGGCCTGCAGTGCCGAATTGATCTGTCATCCTTACTTTCCCCAATTCCTTAACAGGCGTCCAAGGCTGGAAGATCCTGGCATTGGGACTGGATCGTTGATTGGGCTTGTAGTGCAACCGACCTAGGGAATTAATCGCAACAACCGGTGCAGAATTTCGGCCCAATAAAAGTCCATTGCACTTCCAGGCTGGACTGATTTCTGTCCTTCGGCATCACAACTCTCGTGCGCTGAGCTTTGGGATCCTCAGACCGATATCGTGGCTTTCCTATCGCACAATTGTCATTTGCGCAAGAATATCTGACCCAAACTACTTACCACCTGCACAATGGCGAAACTCTTTGTTGGGTGGGCAAGTTGAACCCATTGGGACCGGCTCTGAGACTAATGAGATTGCCACAGGGGTCTTGCATGGCACACAACGGACGAAACACTATACGAGGGCTTTACATCATTTGGTAAAGTGGAGGAGGCTGTAATGTCCATGATGACTGCCGCGTGGTGCCCAAAGTTAATCGTGCCCAGGTTGTGGTCAAGGATCGAGACACAAACAGAAGTCGTGGTTTTGGGTTCGTGCGCTTTGCGACCAAGGCAGAAGCAGATGCCGCTTTGGCAGGAATGAACAACGCAGTGTGAGGCACAAGAATCCGACAAAAGGGACTTTGGTACTGACGACCAGACAGATTTGACGGTCGATCGATCCGCGTAGATCACGCTCAGGACCATCGGCCTCCAGGAGGTAGTCGGGGTGCAGGAAGAGGAGGATTTACAACCGGACCTGGCACAAACTTCCCGCAGCCAGGCATTCAGGCTCGCAATCCTTCTTCGACTGGATACGGTCGAGGCGCAGGATACCCCTCTTCATATGGGCAATACAACCCTCAGCAGCAGCAGCAGCAGCAGCAGCAGCAGCAGCAGTACCAACCGCCAGGAGGCCAGTACGGGGGAGGACAGGCCCAAGGTGGCAACGATCCATACAACCAGCAGGGGCCTTACCGTCAGTGAGTGGAGGAGGAGCGGCCTGTGGACGTTTGATCTAGATAGATACCCATTTGCTCTATCAGTTGAAGTGTTGAAGACCGACTCGGGCTAGGTAAATTGTGGATCTCAGCCTAAAGGCATTGTATCTTGGGCAAAGACTGTATCGCTGGTGTTCTCTAATATCTAGTCATGTATCCTTCTCAATCTCTTCTTGTTCTTCGGTGCTGTTAATCTTCCTCAAGTCGTGGCCGATTGAAGAAGGACATGCCGGCCGCGTAGGTGGATCCAAAGCACGCACTCTTCGTGCTAGATCGGCAATATGTTCGTCATGGCTGTGAGCACTCAGAGCTTCTAGGGCATCTTGGAGATGCAAGAGATACTCCCTGTTCTCGCCACTGGGTCCAATGCTGACGTTGATGGTTTCGGCAATGTGTTGCGGGAGTAGTGGTCCAAGAAACTGTGGATTGTCTGGCATGCCGATATAGACTAAGCATTGGAGATCTTGCTGTGAAGAATCTGCTGGGTGAAACGGAGTGTACTGGATGCTGTAGCCGTTGCTGTAAGGCTTCGTCAGTCAAATGGGTGTGAGAGGGGTGTTGCGGGCATGGCTGTTTGCATCTATGACACATGACATATGCCTTCGGAATCGGGTTTTCGAGAAATGGCAAGCGCGGTCTCAAACAACCACGTGTGCAGGGGCTCCTTCTTACGGCACTAATGGCGGTACAGTAACTCAAGACTTACATCTCACGAATATCGAGGTATGCCTTGACTTCGGCCACTCTCTCGGGTATGATATGATATGCAACACCCCACACAAGATCGCTTTCGGTCGCACGTTGCTTTCGATGATTAGCCAAGTGGAAGGCCAGTAGTGTCACTGGCTTGGGGTTAAGGGCGTACAGGATCCTCGAGCGCTTCCCAAAAAGATCTCTGAATCAATGTGACAACTCTGCCAGGTGCCTCAGGGGTCCCACGATGATCCTCACTGGCGACCGTCTTAATCTGAAGAGCCAAAAGACTCGGTCATCGTTCCTGAACTCACCTAGCCTGAAATTCTCCGTAGTCAGCAATCATCGGGTTTGTCGGCCCAATGTCATAGCTTCTTACCTGCCAGAAGCGTCGAACATATCCCTTGATGAATCCTGGAATTCTTTGATCTAGACGCCGAGTCAACACACAGCGGAGGCCAGCATGCTCTCAACTATACCAAAATGCGGAGGTGGTTTCCAGATCAAGCTTCTGCAAAACATTGACCCCCGAATAAGCAAATCAAGGCTGAATTTCGTTGGAAGAAACCACATTCCGGATAGACTCACCCGTAGCCAAAGAGCCAGAAGTCATCCGACGGACAGGGAGTCATTGCTCTGGTGGAGGGTGACAGGACAGCTGAAATATTATCAGGAAAGACTTAGCCTGTAAGCCATGCCAGAAAGCGCGTAATAGACCGAAAATCCGAAAATTTAGTTACTGGCAAACAGACCTCAGTACTCATACGAGGCCCTGCTGGTACTTCTGATACTCCAGAGCGGAGGAGTACTCCGTACGAGTACACAACATATACATATATGTCATCACAAGGCAAGACCCAAGAATGGCGTTGTTTCAGTTACCACCTATGTACCTACCAGCCACCCTTGTGTCGGAAGATGCACGCCAGACTTCCGCTGGGCAGGCGAGGGCCGGGGGCGCCTTGGACTGGAGACTTGATCCCGGCCCATGCGCGTCGTCACTTAGACTTAAACCTAGAATCCCTGAGGCTGCCCGGACCCTTGCGCCTTGAGTTGGACGAAAGTCCTCACAATGGCCTGCCTATTTGAAGACGACCGACCGACACCTCGAAATAGTTGACAAACTCATGTCGGTGTTAGTTGGTCGTGAACTCGATCACCTACGCGTGTTAATGCGGCGGGCTTCCTTTCCATGCTACAGGGAAAGCTAGGACGGTATATCAACATCGGTAGGCGTACCGAGCGTGTAACGACTAGAGTCTACTGTAGGTATCAAGGACGTACTCAATCCTGGACGAACTACCTACCTCGTACCTACCAGCAGATAGAGTGCTACTACTGCATACTCCTTACTCCGTACGACGCACGTAGGAGGCCACGGAATCATGGAGGTGCTCGGATTCCCATCTACTATTCTGTATCTAGCATGACCTAAACTTTAGGTAGCTGTCTTCGGTGACGCAATAACTTCCCGAGCATTGCATGAACTACGGAGTACTAGCACGTCCTCAAAGAAGCCTGCCTCGTATCGGTGACGGATCTATTGAATCTTGTCGGAAGCAGCAGTGACGCTGGCAGCCCGAAGTACTCGGTGCCTGGTCCCTCGAAATGGACAGGGCCGAAGAAATGCACAGATGCCCGCAGCCTCGAGATATCGGGGACTTGCCTGCCGGTCGCCGATGCTGCCCCTCTTGGAGCCAAGCGATCTAAATAATAGGCACTGGGCCAGGTAACTTTTGGGCACCATTGTAAGCAGGAGGTACACCTATTCAGGCCATTGGGGACGCAGTTGGGCAGACCCGGGCACAGTGTAGCACGATTAAGAACTTGGGACTCGCTACTCCGCCCTCTCGTATGTAAGAATAAACTATTTGCCCACAACCACTCGGCGCTAAGGACCTTCAGCATGTCCTGTTTCCAACCATATTCCTAGCGTTATTGGCCCTGGCAGGCTGGCACCCACTGACACCCAGCATCACCCAAGCCCTTGTTGGAACGACAAACAAGTCATTGCTCATTGTGAAATTTGTATAATACCGCGTACATGGCTTAATTGAGTCCTCGCAACGCCTCTGCCTCCCAATCTACCAAAAGAGAACCCAGACCATCGCTATTCAACACTCATCTCATGGCGTATAATAAAGCCTTCAATCCGGATGCGTTGCCTGCGTATAGTGCCACAACCCACTCTTCATCTCACGGCTGAGTCTTTTGTCTAACTTCACTCACTCATGTAGTCATGCAGAGCCTGAACAAGCCGCCCAAGCCCTGAGCCAGCTCCAGGCTAATCGAAGACAGTCATCTCCCAATGCGCCTCCCGGGCAGCGATACGGAAATCAACCACAACCTGGATCACCGGGCAATGTTGCTCGGCGTCCTTCTCCCGCCGGTCGAGGTGGAGGACAGTCGTTACCGTCGCAGACCTCCTACAGACCTCCTCCTGTCCAGACCTACCAACAGCAGCGACCTAGTAACAATCAATCTTATGGTGACAACCAGTACAACCGCCTGCAATCTCCTCCACCAAATGCTGCCAACTACGGCTTCGATCGGCGGGGGTCGAATGAACAGCAGACATATCCACCACGCACAACGGCTCCTACAGACCCAGATTCCGTCGATCTTTTTCGTCTTTTCCGCGCAGCTAATGCCTCCGGTACGGGATCTCTTACTACGGCCGAGCTGGGTTCGGCTCTCGTCAACGCAGATTTCACCCCCTTCGACCCTCGAACCATCACTTCGCTCATGCGCATGTTCACGTCATCACCACCGAACCAGCCCCAGGGTCCTACAATCACTTTTGAAGAGTTTGAAAATCTTTGGCAGTTTCTTGCGGCGTGGCGGACACTGTTCGAACGATTTGACGAGGACGGCAGCGGCCGCATCTCTTTGGCTGAGTTCACCAAGTCTATGACTGCGTTTGGATACCGGCTTTCCCCACCCTTCGTTGGGGTTCTTTACAACACATTCAATGATCGAAGTCCTGTCCAAGGCCAGGGAATGAGTTTTGATTTGTTTGTGCAAGCCTGTATCAGCCTCAAACGCATGACGGATGTGTTCAAGAAATACGATGATGATCGAGACGGCTATGTGACCCTCAGCTTTGAAGAATTCCTTATGGAAATTCTCCGACTGAAGGATTGAATGAGCGAAGCCGCACCAACATGCTCTGCTCAAGGGGAGGGACAATGTGACGTAGGCATGGACGATAATGAACGCTGATGGCACCGTACGAGATGGCATTTTGGATACGCTATCACGAACAACTTCGTGAAACATGGCGGTGATCAATCGCAAACAGGTCGCGATGACACATGTATTATATGATTATTAGAACATGAGTCTCGAATGCCAACTTGGCTTACTGTTTCCAAATGCTGTTGTTCCTCTGCCCTTAGGAAGGGCAACTCACCCCAGCAATAAGGAGGCAATTGACCAATAGGAGCTGCAGGATTGTGTCTACGGTCGTCGGAGCAAACTCCGAGTGTCGCTGACCCAGTTGATATCCAATACGGAGTTATGGGTCTGCGCTTAAGCGGGTTAATGGAGGTTTGTGGAGACGAGGCAGGCATATTCCTCCAAATTCGACCAGTGAAGCGTCACCGAGGCTTCAAGGGCCTTCGGAATGTGGCCAAATCATGGCGAGGCCTGACGCAGAGATCCAAAGGAAGAAACTTATGTAGAGTTTGAGGGGCCCGTGGACCTCAGATCTCGCATCTGGCTACAATTCCTTGAATGGTCGCGTCTCCAAAGTCTAGAGCAAGGGAACCACGTGGACGATGAAGAAATTTGTGTTCTCCAACTCCAAACCCTTCTAGAATGAGAAAAAGCGTGTGCCCCTCTAGAAGTGAATAGTAGAGCCCGAATGCTTGGAGCATGCTCGAGCTCAGTGGGTGACAACTTACAGCTTGAGTCGTCTCCTTGCATGATTTAGGCAAAAAGTCATCGACAACTATCCTAGGTGGTGTTGATCACGCCTTAGCAGCCTAAGACAAGACACGGGAACTCACAGAGAGAGAAGCCATGTTTACGAGGGTTCCCGAGTTCCATCCATGCCAGGCATGATAGGCTTGTAACGCTGATGGAGGAACGTAGTCTGTTCTGCTTTAGGGCCTCGAAGAACCATGGGGATGCAGTGGCGGAGGAGGCCACCGCCCACTGAGATGCCGAGGGGTCTGGAGTTAGCCCCAATGGCGCCGCACCTGCACCTTACTTGTTAGTATTACTCGTACGCACGCGGTCATAACTAGCGCCGCGCCCAAGCAATCCTCCACTCATGTACCACAAACCGACTGGGTTGGTGGGTTGTTCACGCTAGAACGTTTTACTCCTGCAGACTCCAGGCACATGGATTGCCGCGCTTGAGAGTTTAGTTGCTGTGCTCGGTACTAGTCGGTGGTCGTGCTGTCGCGTTGATTGTCTCTTGCCGCTCGCTAACGCACTCCTCTGCGCGACTGCTACAGTGGCATGTAGAGGACAGGTGATTTCGCTGTCGGGCTCTTTGCACCCTCATCAGCATAGTAGGTTGAGGTTGAAGCCCTGGAACCTCGGGTCACCAGACCCCAAACCGAAGGCCGATAGTGGCAATGATGGACGGAGTGCAGAGTACCCGTACGAGGTACTCCGTACTTTAGGCTGTGTCAGTGGCCGAGGGGCAGGTGGGCAAACCTCGTCTATCCGTACCGATTATGCAACTAGCCCCAGTGATGGAACCGGGCGCCCCCATCATTACTGTTGTTAGCTTGCGGGCCTCTGGCATTTTGGTTTGTGCTGCCCACCTGGGTGCCACCTGGCACCTGCAGGCCACCCGCCCCCCCCGCTGCAAGCAACCACCGTCCCTACACAGCGAGCCAGTCAGCCCGGGAGTTGTTCTTCTCGCTAGCCCTTCGAGAAGAAGACTTGCGCCCACGAGGAGAGACAGCATCTTGATCTTGCAGGCGCCTGTGGATTTCAAAGCTGCCACCACCTTGAACTGACTTGAACCGCACTTACACTCCCACTACTGCTGTTCTCCTTGATCTGATCGGAACTACCGTTGCTACGCTGGATACGTACATCCTACTTTACTCTCTCCCTTCACCTCACTCCTTCGCCTTTCTCGTTCGCTTGCCCGCTCACCCACTGACCTGAGCCTCCCTCGACTGCTTCCTCTGCATTCGGCGGTTGTACCACACCCAGCCGTGATTGCTGCCACAGATGTCCTCGGGTCGTTGCAGATGAAGTGTGTGAACCATGACTTCCTTCTTTGGGAAACGCAAGAGCCAGGTACGTTCATTGGAACCGGTTTCGAGCAATTTCGACTTGCTCTCCGAGCCAGCACATCTCCTGGTTTGAATGAGTACTGACGCTGCCATCTCTAGAATGCTTCGACTCCTGCAGTGGGCACAATACCCGCGAAGAATCCTAATGCGCCTGTTCCCACCCCACTGGAGCGTATGCTCATGAACGCTGGTCCCATTCGCAATGATGGAAGTGACAAGTTCTTTGGAATGGAAAATGTACGTTATCATCCACCTGTGCCTAAATTCTTGATTTCCACTGACGGCATTTCCACAGTTTGGCAATACCTGGTCAGTGCTGCATCTCCGTGAATCCGTCCGCTTGGGTTGACCAACTGACTCGTTACAGTTATTGCAACTCCATATTACAGTGCCTTTACTATTCTGTTCCCTTTCGAGACAATGTTCTCGCTTATCCCCGCCGATCTAACCCAGAGTCTGTCGCTCATGCACAGGCGAATGCTCCTGCTCGAGTACCACCAACCCAGGCTAATGGAAATGCCAAAAAACTCCAGGGCCCAACTTCGGCGCGCAATGCAGGAACACCACCTAATCAGCAACAGAAACCAGAAGACAAAGACTCCCCAGAATATAAAAAGAAGCAGGCCCTAATTACGGGGCCCATCTTGAATATGAGCTATGAGAACTCGTCCGATTACGACATGCCAGAGGATCTTTTTACCTCATTGAAGGATCTCTTCGAAGCAGTTGTCATCAATCAATCAAGAAGTGGTGTCGTCAGCCCTAGCAGGTTTCTGGAAACCTTGAGAAAGGGAAATGAAATGTTTCGCTCTGCCATGCATCAGGATGCTCACGAATTCCTCAATCTTCTCCTCAACACAGTCCTTGAAAGTATCGAGACTCAAGATCGGAAGCTTTTGATACAAAAGAAGGTCGAATCCTCACTGCCAGAGTCCGAAAGTTCTTCCATTCTCAAGACAGAGTCAGGGACGGTCTCTTTTCCTTCCGTCCTCCCCGTCCCCACAGCTGCACCCACCAGGTGGCTTTCCGAACTGTTCGAGGGTACGCTCACATCCGAAACAAGATGTCTGACGTGTGAAAATGTATCTCAACGTGATGAACCATTCCTAGATCTATCCGTTGATTTAGAACAGCACTCCTCCGTTACTGCCTGCTTGAGAAGGTTTTCAGAGGAGGAGATGTTGTGTGAGCGCAATAAATTCCATTGCGACAATTGTGGAGGCCTTCAAGAAGCAGAAAAAAGGATGAAGATTAAGCGGCTCCCAAGGATATTGGCTCTCCATCTCAAGAGATTCAAGTATACCGAGGACTTACAACGCCTCCAAAAGTTGTTCCATAAAGTGGTATATCCATATCATCTGAGGCTTTTCAATACCACGGACGATGCTGAAGATCCTGACCGATTATACGAACTTTACGCAGTCGTCGTTCATATCGGTGGCGGTCCATACCACGGCCACTACGTTGCCGTTATCAAGACTCAAGACCGTGGCTGGCTATTATTTGACGATGAAATGGTTGAACCGGTCGACAGAAGCTTTGTACTCAATTTCTTCGGCGACAAGGCTGGACTCGCTTGTGCCTACGTACTGTTCTACCAAGAGACCACCATCGAAGCAATTCGGAAAGAGCAAAGAAATGAGGGGAAGGCACGAACGTCCCAAGATGTGACCAATGGCTTAGGCATCATTCCCAACAGCTCAACTGAAATGCACCGAGTCCCGACCGTAAGTCCCATTGCCTCTCTAGCATCGACAGGTGAAGCTGCTCAATACGCAGCCCTCAACCACGCAGCCACTGCCCCTCCTCAATTCAAAACCAATGGTCACGTTGAGCCACCTCAATCTCCGCCCCTTTCCGCAATCAGGCCTCCAAGTCCGGTGCTGCAAAGCAAGAAAGAGAAAGCCAGGGAAGAAAAAACTCGTAAAGCAGAAGAGAAGGCCAGAAAGGTAGCTGAGAAGCAGGCAGAGAAGCAAGCTGAGAAGGAAAGATTGGAAAACGAAAGACAGCGTCGAAAAGATCTGTCCAGCAAACTGCAGGAAGCACATAAAAGGCAAGAGGCCGAACTCAAAGCAGCTCTGGAGGCGAGCAAAGCGAGCAAAGCAGACGAGGATCGTCGTAATGCTTTAGGAAGAGCAGAAACCTATTCTCCTGAAAGCAGCAGCCCATCTGGGCTTGACCGATTCAAACGATCAAAGAGCCTTCGATTCGGATCCTTAAATAAGAAAGATAAACTGCGGTCCAATCCTTCAGACGAAAATGTCTCCGAACCGCCAGCTGTCGCATTGCCGTCCGATACCAAACATTCCGACGCACAAAAGGAGAAGGAGAAGGAGAAGAAGAATCGATTCAGTATCAGGAAGAAATCATTTGGCAAATTGACCTGAGGATCTACCACATCATCTCATCATCCTTCCCAGGTCCTCGCCATGTACAGTCACACCTACGCACGCCGAATTCCCGAGTATATACCTTTTTCGATCAAAATGTGGCTGCAACAAAATGGTGATAGGTTGTTAATATATACGCACATCCTATTTTGTCCAATCAAACAACTATGGACATGCAAATAGTCAGGTGGTTATGATCAACTTCAGATTGCACATCCTATGATGTGTTCGATGAATCGACGGCAAGGTTCATGATGATACAATTACATTTGATGGCGTTACACACCCATGGCCTCTTCTTTAGCGGAAAAGGGTCATCCCAACCGTCCCAAAATTAATGAGAGATAGCGACAGGAGTTCCAATTTAATGAGCCACGGCTTCTATTTACCACTGCAGGACAAGGTCCAGAGCTTCGATTGGATAGCTACCAGGAGAAAAGCATTTATCTAGGAAGGCAATCTAGTTTGAGCTACCTTTGTGAAAATGCGCTGGCTTGCATGCTTGCTTTGACTTCTCTCATCAACTGCGTCTCCGCCGTTTCCGCATAAGGCTGGTTAAACGTCGTTCGTCAAAAGCTACACTTCGTTGACTTCAGCATACTCGAGAGCAAGATGACAATCGTAGATGATCTGACCGTCCACTTCAAGGGACTGGGGGCGGTTGGTCGCTGATAGACGCGACTTGAGCTGGCACTTATCTACAATGTGAGGTTTTCTATGAACCGACGAGCCCTTACCATGGGGAAACACTTTTTGAGACTTTCCAGTCGAAGCCACCAGCGACAGAGGGGTAGACGGAGGAGGAGAGAAAGAAAACCCACAAAGCCTAGGAAAAGGAACAGGAAATAATTAAGGGAACCGGATAACTTTTCGAGCGAAAACGGACATGGACATGAGGAAGGGGAAAATCCGATGATGGGTGAAGGTGAAGGTGACTGACTCCGTAAGTACTGTAGCTGTCTAGTTAGGTCCTCACCACTGTCCCCCAATGGTAATCATCCCATTGATAATGGTTCTGCTGCTTTCTTCTCTTGTTCTTCTTCCGTTCCTCCTGGCCTGAATATACATCCCGGTTCATGGCTCGACAGTACAGCGTAATGGGGCAAGCGAAGACAAGGCCAAGGGCAACGCGATGCCAAGGCCAGGCCATTCTTGCAGCGTACACTTATAGAAATCTTCCGTGCTCACGTAATGCAACAATTCTTCTCGGTGTCTACTTATGTAGTTTGTTCAGGTCAGGGGTTCTATGTTCGGGGATGTAAGGAACACGAACGCGACACAACAAGGAATATTGGAAAGAACAAGGTGTGGTGAGGTAGGATTCTATCCTGCATGTGGTGGCCTTGCTTATGCTTTTGAACTGCGGTACACCTGTAGACGGGAATCTTCGCTTTTTGGGTACACTTCCTTCTCATCGCTCGCAACACTAGCTGTTGTACTTCCTTTCCATTGGTACTGCACTTAAAGGAGACATGACTTGGCTTCTGCGAAATGAGCAGGCATCCATGTCGTCCAAAGCATAGTCATTGCGGTGGCACAATCTGTACTTGCCTGATCTATACTTGCCTGATGGCCGCCTTCGTGGCTATCGTATTGTTTCCCCTTTCTGTATTTCTCGGACAACAGGTGCGCTGGGTGGGATGCTCAAGCCTGGGATCTTCCAAGGTGTCCTGCAATTCTGGGCATCAACTTATGCTCTGTTCTGTTCTCGGCTTGAACGGCAGGAAAGTCTGTATAGAGAACAATAATAAGAGCAAGTGGTGTGGATACTGGCCCTGAAATCTCCGTGGAGGTGGATTGTGGGCGCAACAGCTCATGATGGATATGCTACGGTCTTGGTGCAGGAAACCCTTTGAATATCTCCCTCGCTTATGCTTTGATCCGGGCCGTAGCCGATATAGAGTCGTCAAGGGAGCCCAAGTACGAGCCCAAGGGACTTGTAGGTAGATCCGTGATAAGCTTCCGAGGGCATTGGTCTTTGAGACAAGGACTGGCTGAATACTAGGAGTTGTGGTCTCTCCTCCCGGGTTTTGGTTCTTGGGGAGGATCGGTGATATATGTGATCGGCCTCGAGTCATCGGGTAGGACATGGTTAATGTCGGTCGTGTGGCCAATGGGCCTAATGTCAAATTCATCGCGGCTCTTAATATATCCTGTTCTTGCAAGGCGCTGTCGTGTGCTAGCCTAGGAGAAGCTCATAGACGATGATCGTGAGGTTGACTCCAATCAGAGGCACTGTAAGATCCATTGTTAGTCAAAACGAGGCGGAAGGAATGTTGCCAATTGACAGCAGAGCCAGAATTGAGTACGCACCTCGACATAGAGTTCTGATGCTGGAGATCAAATGAATGCCTTTGCTGCGAAAACTCTCGGGGTCTTGACCGGGCGTTCCAAATGCCGGTCCGCCAGCGGGATCATTGAGTGAGGACTTCCCCCAGCCGACTGTGTAAAGAGAATTTAGTTTTGTGAACACCTTTAACATGTGTAGGACGGATAAGACGTTGGAGCAGAAAACGTACTTCGGGCGAGGAAACGGTCTTCGGACAAGATGGCGACCGCGTTGAGAAATAGGCAACCCGCTATATGGATGGCACAAGAGGTCAGCGGCAAATTCCTTCAGTCTTGAAGATTTTAAGCATATGATGCTCACCGTATATGATAGGACCGAAGCCGAAGAGAGAAAGCATTTTGGCCGGGGATTTGAAGGTATTTCGAAGAAGGTTTATGGTCAGTATAATGCAAGAAGATGGGTAAGATGAAAAGCTGGCTGATCTGACCGCGGGACGGGAGACTGTAATCGTTGCAGATTGAGAAAGGATGCGGCGGCAGAAGCGGAGGCGACGCTGTAAGAAACAGGAGTAGTATTAAATGGTGGGTGCGAAGTCCAGGTGAAGCCAGATGAACGTGGGCGGTGGAGTTTTGATGCCAGAGTGGTTCTTTCCCCACTAGTTGGTAAATATGTAGCTTGCTCGAACCTGAGGTGAACAGGTACTTCGTACTCCGTCACCCTCCGTACACCGTAATTATCAAGTATGTATCAATAACAGCGTACCTAATTATTACAGTACCTCACTCTAAACTGGTGCCTCAAGTACGTACCTGGGCTACCCTCCATCTCCATATCAAAGGTATCCCCGAGTATTCGTACATCATCCACGAATTGCTAACCCTTTCCGTCAATGCCTCTGTAATCACCGCAGATCTGCCATCTCGTTGATTCACGAGGCTGAGTCCCAAGTCCATCAATGACCTGCTTGGGCAGACCTTGTTCAGCCTACCACCTCCTCGTTCGCATTGCTTCGTATCAGCATTCCACTGCTGCCAGGCCTAACTCACCCTTCCTTTATCTTTCTCCTCAGGCCGGATCCTGCTAATGCAAGCTGCACGGTTCCGTATTCAGCTCTCGTTGGGCTTTACTTGCCGATCACCCGTATCGGCACGGGGTTGTAGTTTGACAACAGGCCTCCCTTCTCTTACTGGTTCTACAGCTCTTGAAATACAACCGAATTACTAATGGGTCCTAGGACCGAATTGCCCAGTATTAGGCAAGACGAGATGGCGTTTCTTCGTGATGCAGATTCGCAATGCAACTTTCATCTCTATATAAACTCTTCTGTCACCTGGGGCAGCTCTTTTGCTCTTTCCTATCACAGTGCGAAACCCGCTTCAAAGAAAACGGCCCAATAGTTTCAAATTGTTCATTTTATCATCGACTGACAGTCATGGCCGAACCTTTAGATTCTGTGACGGATCTACCACCCGTTCGTCGCTACATCACCCAGCACAATGCCGATGGCAAGAGCATCCATATTGAATCTCCAGCCCAGAGATACTTCCCAAGTCCAGGGGCAGGAGGGTTCGCCAAATCTTACTCCGTTCCGCTGCCGGCAAACCTCACAGACAACGCTGATACAAAGGCGTATCTCGAGAAAGGTGGCCCCACTAGCTGGGATTCACCCTCTGTCGTTGCCCCTAGTGGTGTCAACCTTGTCATCGTGGACCTTGTCCCTGGGGGTGTAACCCCATTACACCAAACTGTTTCGATTGATTATTCCGTTGTCATTATTGGTGAGGTCGAACACGAACTTGACAGTGGAGAGATTGTGAAGTTGAAACCTGGAGTAAGTCCACTCCATTGAGATTGCCCATTCGCCTGTCTAAATGAGATAACATAGGATCATATCGTTCAGCGTGGAACTAACCATCTGTGGCGAAATGCGTCCAAGACGGAGCCTGCTCGATTCATCGCCTCCACTATTCCGATTGAACCTTTGAAGGTCAATGGCGAGCTTCTGGAGGAGAAATGGACTGTTCCTTCTTAGTCCTGTCAGATGGGCCTTGATTTTTAAGTAAAGTAAATTGACTTGCTCCAGCCTTATCCTTAGAATCTTTCTTGTTGTCATCGAAATTCCTAGCATTGATCGCTGTGATTTATCAGTTGAACTGCTTCTCGACGACCTCTTAAAAAGGTTTCTGTTCAGTAACCAAAAGTGCTATGTATTCAAAGATTTTACACCTGTATACACCTGTATACGAGAAGCAACAAATATATTGCTATCGAACTTCTGCAATGCTGTGCCCCATCACGTGACACAGACAATGCCCCTTTTCTTTCAGCCACCACCCTCATCTCAATTTTCATCTTGTATGAAATCTAGTCTCGAAGCAATATTGCACTTTTCCACTTCATCCAGCAGAGTTCCATGATCCGGCATCATGGCACGAAAGCTCGAGATGTGGCAGCTCAGCTACATCATTTTCCCCGCGTTTGTCTTACTCCACCTCTACACAGCACCTTACACGAAGGTCGAGGAGTCGTTCAACATGCAAGCGACGCATGATATTTTGACGTACGGCGTGCCGACGGAACATGTCTATCTTCGCCTCAAAGCTCAGTACGACCATATGACATTTGCGGGTGCTGTACCGCGGACATTTGTTGGTTCTCTTGTGCTCGCTGCTTTCGCGAGACCCTTCGTCTGGTATGGTGCTTTGAATGGCGAGCAGCAACAATTCTTGGGTAAGTGGTTACAATACCACCGCGAAATCGGACGAGGAAACGTGAAGCAGATCTATCCTCTCTCGGTGTTCATTGTTGCTAACAGTTCTCTGGTCTGTGTTCCTCTATAGTGCGTGCTCTTTTGGGACTATTTAATGCCGCCGCCCTCGTCAGTTACGCGGCAGGTGTGCGACGAGCTTACGGCAGAGTGGCGGCAGAGTGGTACATGTGGCTGCAGGCCAGCCAGTTCCATATTCTCTTCTACTCGTCTCGTACGCTTCCAAACATGTTTGCCTTTGGAATAAGTATGCATGTCCATTCACATTCATTAGTGATGAGCTGTTCGGCAGGAAACCAGCTGACCAATTCTCTCCTCTTCCACTACCAGGCACAATTGCTCTTCGATTCTTCCTACCAGACCCGGCGTCCTCTACAGCCAAAATCAAGCGCACAAGATTAGCCTTGTACCTGCTGACGTTGCCGACTGTGATATTCCGGTCTGAGCTCGCCTTGCTTCTCGGAGCACAGTGCATTTACATACTACTCAAATCCGGTAGCGTCGCGAATGCAGCCGCTCTCGTGCGGACGACCTTAGTGCCTGCCATCCTCGCTGCTACCGTTGTTGGCCTCGTGCTAACGGTGAGCATCGACACGTTTTTCTGGCAATCCCGCACGCTCCAGTGGCCCGAAATGGCGGGTTTTCTCTCCAACGTCTTCCCGACCAAGGGCAACTTGGGAGCCTCAGCATGGGGTACCTCACCGTGGCATTGGTACTTCACCTCAGCGATTCCACGAATGCTCATCAACCCTCTCCTCCTGCTCTTAATCCCTTGGGGTCTCACGGCCACCGCGCTCGCTCCGTCACTATTCGACCTCCTGATCCCACCGTTGGCCTACACAGCTGTGTACTCGCTGCTCCCACACAAGGAAACACGCTTCCTCTTCCCGATCATTCCACCACTCACCGCATCCCTAGCCCTGATCGCCAGCTACACGACCATCCGCATGGGCCGATCGATCATCTACAAGCTCATGACCTTCAGCCTCCTGACCACCACGCTGATCAGCACCTACATCTCACACGGACTACTCCTCCCACTCTCTGCACAGACGTACCCTGGCGGGACAGCGCTATCCTCACTCCACGCGCTGAGCCTGAACTACCGACCACAGCCACAGATCAGGGTGCACGTGACGAACCTCGCACTGCAGACGGGCGTGACGCATTTTCTCGACATCCCGTCATCAGTCCTGCACGACCGCCCGCTCTTTGTCCTGCCCGGATCGGCCGATGGGCGCAAGCCGACGATCGCGCCTAAAGCACGCAGCAAGTGGATCTACGACAAGTCTGACAACGAGACCGAGTTCCTAATGCCTGCCTTCTGGGCCCATTTCGACTATGTCATCGTGGAGGACCCCTCCTGCGTCATCGGCGCATGGGATGTCGTCGATAAAGTATTTGGGCTGGGCAAGCCGAGCGTGCTCGCTCCGGATGTTGGAAGAGGACTACTGGTCCTCGGTCCCAAGGAGAAGAGGAGAGAAGATGATGGGTTGAGTCGTCTGCTGGCCAGTATGTATGGGCATGCTGGGAAGTGGGTGTATGGGGTCTTGCATGATATCCTGAGGGAAGGGTATGGGATTGATCGGATTCTGGGCTCGACGGGGAGAGATTGGAGCTTGACCAGAGGCTGGTGGCTGCATTGGGCCTTGGAGCCGAAGCTGTTCATTCTCAAAAGGCCTGAGGGTGGCATCCGGCCTTCGTAGATAGATATATGGATGCGATGATTTCACTTTCTGCTTAACCCAGCATCACTGAAGGAACCCGGGTATGCACCATATTCAGAAGGCATCATCATCACCTACCTCCTTGAGCCCAGAGAACCTATCCTCCCCTCCAGGCTCCCAACCATATCGCCGACCACCTTAGCATTGCCCTTCATGGACTCCTCAAGCTCCAAAATGCCCTTCTCCACCACCTCGACTGCCTCCCGCCACTGCTTGATCTCAGCCTGCATCTCGGCCTGTTTCCTCTCGACCTCGTCGAGGCCATTTTTCGCGTCCGCCGCGCCCGCGTGGATCACGCTCAATGCTCGCAGCCGCTCCAGCACCACCGGCAACAGGGGCTGCAGGTTTTGTATCGATGGAAGCAATTGATACAGCGCCGTCACCTTCACGGCCTGCTCTTCCAGAAACACCCGTGAGGTGATCTGCAGAGACTCGTCGTCCGGGCGGTGGAGATCCATAAGCTGCTGGTTGGTGTTGCTCGCGGATGGGTCGTTGTTGATGTTGTTGCTGAGACTGGGCGGGTAGCCGCTGAGCCCGATTGCGTTCCCTTGTGGGCCTGAAGAATTGGAGAGACCTCGCCGAGGACGCGTGTTGATGTGCAAGTTGGCTGACACTAGCTGGTTCATGCGTGTGTTGTGGAGTTTCTCGAGGGCTTCGAGTGCGGACTTGCGGCTTTGTTCAAGGGCTTTAGACTCATTGGTGAGGGTCTTCAATTTACTGGAGACAGAGTCCAGGAGGGGGGTCGTATGTGGAGCCGACGCGGTAGTATTAGAAGTTGGGGGATTGAGCGCGCCGAAGAGGGTGGCTATTTGGGAGGAAAGCCTGTCCAGTGTCGGAAGGATTGAGGCCGTTCGAGGGCTTTCTGCTCTTGTAGATGCCACACCCAGTGCGGCTTCTAGGGCAGTGAGCCGGTCTGAGAATGCTGCTACTGCAGCCAAAGATGGTGTGTCGTGGGGCGAGGGTTCATGAGCTGCAGTCCATTGTGAGGTTCCATCTTTCGTCTGTTGTCGCTGCTGCTGTCGAGCATTTGAGTCCAACTTCGAAATGAAATCCTCCTCCGTCGTACCCAATCCTTTCAGGCCAGCCTTGACACTTAGACCGTCAAGAACCCTACTCAATTCCTCCACCCCATCACGATCAATGATTTCCTCCTGCTCAAGGTGCCTTTCTTGCTGCTGCTGCTGCTGTTCGACGCTATCCTTAAATTCGCTCTCTGAATCTTTCTCTTGCTCCAGCTTTTGCAACTGCAGTCTCACCTCTTCAGTCTCCCTCTTTAAGCGCGCGAGTTTCCTGCCTAGCGTCTCATCTTCGCTGTCACTCATGTACACAATCTCATCTTCACCCTTGTCATTCTTGACCATGCGCCGCCGAGAGCTTCGTGTTCGGTATGAGCGGTGGGAACCACCAATTGCGTCTGAGAAGTCTACACCTCTGGCGTCAACTCTGGAGGCGCCAAATCTGCGTCTTGCTCCCTCTTGGTCGACCGGTTGCCTGTCGAGACCTGGGGCGCCGGAGTCATGGTCAGAAGGGACAGGAGATATCGTCCGCACTGTGCCTGTCTGATATTGTTCCAAGTTAGATACATATAGTTCGCTTTCGCTTTGGACTACGGGCCTGGGGAAAGCAAAGACTCGTGTTTACCTGCACAGTTGAAACATCGTCTGCTAGATCGGGAGTTTCGTATACTTCTGGTGCAATATCCTAGGACGAAGAGTGTTCGTTAGTTTGGTAACATGTTATCATCTGCAGGTGTATTGATCCTTACCAGGTCAGGGAGACCAGCGTATTTCTTGCTAATGGCCATCTTGAATTTCGTATGTCACTTAGCATGAACCTGATTTCCTCGTCTCAGTTCAAATAGGCTTGATAGTCCACGAGTATTTATTTACCCGCATGCCAGTTGGGAACTCCAATTCTACGGGGGAGGGAAACTTAAAGTAGGGGAGGTCGCGTAGCGCTTGGCGCGTCATGCAATAATTAGGATAATTAATTCCACTGCTCGGAACTCACAGTCGCTTCCCAGGACCACCAAGCGCTTAAACCCTTCTGCTCGCGACTCACTGTCTTCTCACCTTCTTCTCATCGCAGGCAGTCTCCCGACATCAGCGTTTTGAGGCAACACTTGAATCTTGCGCTCAAGAAGCATACGAGAGATGGAGGCTCTCAAGGCTCAGGGAGGCCATTCAGCGTCGCATGGGCGGACATTCGAAGTGGAATTTATCGACATTGCATCGCATCCCAAGGTGAATCGAATCCGAAGTGAATTGCATACTCGCATTCATATCTCCCATTACTAGTACTCGTTGGTTTCTGATTAAACTCTGGGGTGGGCCGCGAGTAGATCTTCCCTACCTGAGCACTTCGACCCGTATAAATAAAGGTTTGAGACGCGTTGAGTTCTTAGCAGTCGACAAGGATCCAAAGATAATTATGCTCCGGCGCACTAGGTAGAGTCTTTCATTTGAAAGCATGTTGAGAATCTAGACACCAATGTGGAAATGGTTTGATCGCTAGTTGCGCGGCTCTTGATACATTAATTACTATCGCTCGCTACCGATCCTAAGCCACACGAAGCAGACGAAGGGCATGCCCCTTTGTGGGACCTTTTAACGGTCCCATAGCTCGGTACCGCTGCCTGCTTGACTTATCAAGTTGATGCTCGACCTTTATCCTTATGCAAATGCTTGTCTGCATCCATGTCGACAAGGAAGCGCTCCCATGTGGAGATAACAGACTGATAGAATTCCATGTGTTGGGTCGCTAACACCCCCAAACTGTCTCGAAACTCAAGTCCTTTAATTCTCTCAAAATCGTTGACCTCGCGGACAACCTGCTCATCGAACATCTCACTTGTTCCTTTAGCACCGTCCACTTCACGATTTAGCTCGGCAATTTTAAGTTCGAGTTTTCGTGCTCGTTCCCTTCGTGCTGTCTCGTGATCAACTCCCCGAATATCCTCGACTTTATTGCGGATAAAGGTTGCCGGATTTAGGTTTGAGCCGTGTGAGTATGGGTTACTCGAGGCCAGCATATCTCGTTCAGAAGTTGCTTTAGACAGGTAATCAGTGAGGCCTTCAAAATCAAGTTGTTTTTGTTCCCTAGTTTTCAACAGTGACTTGACAGAGCCGATATACGCCTCCATATCTCGCAAACTGCCGAGATAGTTTTGATCTGTGTGATCTTTCAATCCTTTCCAGCCCCTCGAAGACTCTTCTACACACCCTGCAAAAGTTTGTAATTGCGCTTCGATCGCTGGTTCCAGAGGCGTAAGCTTTCTCATATTGTTAGCAAGATCAGCATAGTCGGCTTCCAGATCGCCTTCTCGCCGTGCCACTCGCGCAATGATCTTCTCCACATGGGAGAGATCCTCGTCAAGTTTATTGGCCCTTTCCGTCACCTCAATAAATCTCTTGTCGGGCTTGTGTACTTTTGAAAATGCATTTAGCATGGTATCTGCGACATTATCGAAGAAACCAGAGGGGGCAGCTGGGTTGTTAGTGTTCTCGCCGACAGTATTGCTCCGAGAAGGCCTGAGTTTCATCTGTGCATTCCAATCGGCAGTCTCGAGAAATAGGATCAGGATCGGTGCTCTTCGCAAGACTGGGTGTGATGTACACCGCTTAATGAACCGGTGTAGAGACCAAGCTCGTCGCTGTGTGAATTCGTTGCTAAAGCGGTCTCCCCTGACGTATGCCATATTGTTTTTCTCGGGTAGCGGAGGAATGGCGCAAGCTTGATAGTCTTTGTGCAAAGTTTGCCGCAGGAAGACAAAATCAGTAAAGCGTCGTCGAACCGAGAAATCCGACTTCTGGAAGGACTTAAAGTCTGTCTAGAATTGATGTTAGATCATCAAGGTGAATAGTGGAATGCAATGAAGCTTACGTGTGTAGTGACGAGGTAGGAGACATAAGCATCTTTAGTCCCATCGTTCTCTTTCAGAGGGGTGTCGACGGTGACCTCTAGACTACCATCCCGGCCTATTCCAGCCAGATCAACATTGTCTGCTTGCTCCCCAACCTGTGGTTCACTGGATAAACTGTCGCTTCGCCGCCCACTGGCGGATCTGGTGGGCAAATCGGATGGGTGAGAGAATGGTGCAGAGGACTCAGATTGCCGAGGATCATCTCTTTGCCATGATACACTGTCGAAATCACCATGGTCATCCATTGCTTAGTTCCTACGCCAGTAGGCAACGGTGATTCGGGAGATGCGGTGCTTAGAGATCAGGGCGGCGTGGTCAAGCAGGCCAAAGATTGCGGAGACAATGCGTAAAGAGGGCAGTGATCTCGTAGGAGAAAGGAGAGATCTGCTATCTTGGATTCGGTATATTTTGTTCTGCTGGTGAATGAGTATGCGAATAAGCTGGAGTTGAAGTCGATCTGCCCGCACCGCAAGTTGCACCTGCCTACCACTCGGGGTGATCAGGTCTACAGCTTCCTACTGGGGCTGGAAAAGAATGATGCGTGTCTTGGCAATAATTACCTTGAGGCGGCGCTACTTCCTGGTCAATAAAGCACAGGCCCCTTAGAGCACGCAAAGATGATGGAATGCTTTGCATATCTACTTAGATAAATAGCAATTTTATTTGTGGTCATAATGTGGTGATGGAACTATCACCGAGAGTTAATTTTATTTTGGTCTTATTCCAACCCAAGTCGTCTAGTTAGAATTCAAACTCCCCTCGAAACTGTTCCAGGTTCATTCCAGTGCCGACGCGCTCTGTCAAGTCTCGTCGTCCCATGCCAGTGAATGCGCGTCTCAACGTATCGTACAAATTCGAGCTCTCGTTTTGTTGAATCATTCTCTCCAGCTCAGCGTCTCCAATCCCGGCTCCATTGGTTGATCCATCACTGACAATCTCGCGAGCTTTGTCCATGCCTTGCTCACCGACAACCCGATGTAAATTCAGAGCTCCTAGTAGATGCCCGGCGGCTTCGGGATAGCAACCAATGTTGATGCATGATACCCCTAGGTTGTATCGTGCTCGCACAAAGTTCGGATTTACTTCGAGCGCCTTGCAATATGCATCAATGGCATCCTCTGATCGACCCGAATTGGCCAATGTCGCCCCCAGTCTGTTCCACAAGAGGTGCAACTGGCTCTCGCGATTGACGAGCCCTTGCTCGCTAGAAGCTAGGGCTGCCTTGAAGCAGTCCACGGCTTTCTCAAATTCTTCGTTCCCATAGAACAGGACCCCTAGGCCTACCTGTACGTCGGGATCCATCTGTTCTCCGGAAGGTGATAATTGCGCCGCCTTGATGAAAAGGTCGGCCACGCGCTCATGCAAAATTGTTCGGTCCGTGAAACCTATATCAGAAGCATCTGAGACATTCTGTGGAGGATGAATGGTGGGATACTTGACACTGATCCATCGTTCAAGCGTTCTGTAGGCGGTACTGTCATAACCTTCATTGGTGTAGGATACCGCTAGACCCATCAAAGCATCTAGGTTGTTTGGGTCTAACTGGAGCGCCTTTTCCAATGCTCGTATCGCTGGCGATTCTTTCTCGTTCTGTGCTTGAGCTGCGCCGAGTAAAACCCAGGCTTCGATATGGTTCGGATCTTGTTGAACTGCGGCTTCAAAGGCCAACGCAGCTAGGGAAAGATTGCCGTGGTTCTCGAGGATCTCCTTCCCTTGCTCGAACGCGGATCTTGAGGCTGTACTGTTCTCTAGATATGGGTTCTGGGATTCAAACATATAATCTCCGAGCATCGGTTCCCTTTCGAATGGATTGTGGGTATTCAAGCCCATATCAGAGTCGAATTTATCCCACGCAGCGAAATCCTCATTAGAAAAGGTGTTGTCGTAGTCGCTAATTTCCTCGGTCATTTGTCTGGATAGATGCGATTAGTCTCGTTGCCATACCACAAAGGCCCGGGATCTTCGTCAGTGCCTACTTACCTGTCGATGTCCTCGAGCTCCTTCTCCATTGCCTTATTGGCTTCTTCTGAAAGATTGTCTTGTTGCATTTCCAGTTCTTTGAACTGTGCCTCCCAGTTGGCATCATCCAGTTCGACCATGCGACCCTTTCCTTTATCTGTAGTCTGATCGGGCTGCTGCTGCATGTGGTTGAAGGATCCAAAGTTCATTCCCATATTCATCCCACCACCCATGTAGCCCATACCCATCGGTCTTTGGTATCCATTCATCATAGTGGGTGTCTGTGTAATGGGACTCGCAGTTCGTTGTGCGGCCGAAGCCTGCTGGAAGCGGGCGAACTCTTGAGGTGAAAACCCATTTGGGTTGTGTTGGCCCATCTGGGAATTGGCAAAGGCCGCCTCCATTCTTGCTTGTTCACCAGGATCGAAATCGGTGGCCCATCCTGGAGACGGTGATCTTCGTGTGACACCCTGAAGGTTGGGTAGGTCTTGCCTTAATTGGTCCATGGCAAAAGGCTGTGGTAATTGACTGGGTTGTTGCATAAAGTCATTCATCATCTAGACTGGATAAGTCGTTGGTAATGCAAAGTGAGTGACAATGGCTGCGAACCTGATCTGAACCTGGAGATCCCATACGAGACCTCATGCTTTCCTCGAGACCTTCAGGGCCTCTCCCAACTAGGCGGTCTCTCTGCAGGGTATTGTCATGTTGGACATGTTTTGTGAATTGCGTGAGGGGATTACCGGCGGTGGAACATTCTGCTCCACCCAGGAAAGACATGATAAAGAGGGTACAATGGATGTGTGTGAGGTGAAAATGAGATGTTGATAGAATGAAGTGTTGAAGAAGAGGGACTGCAGTGGGCTCAGCGCATCAAAGAGTAGGTTAGGTGGCCATCAGTTGGTAACGATACCCCAAGAAGTGATGACAATAAGTCAGCAGAATTGGCGGCAGTTATAAATTCATGGGCCGAGGTCGTTCTTCCGTAGCCGTATCCCTCAACTAACTAGAGTCACTACAGTACAATGAGTACATGCTCGTCCGGAGTACTTCTTGGTACGGGACGGGTATCCCTGGAACCCTCACTCCACCACTTAAGTTTTCTGGGGCTCCGGGTGATGGCCTATTGGATAATTCGATTGGCTGTGGCTATCAGTATGCATGTATGGATGGAAACGGCATTAGGCCCTTAGCTGCGACTATGGCTCTACAGGCAGCAGAAAGCAGACATTCACGAGGCATCAAACAAGCAACAGGGTTGAGAATGGAGATTTTTCAACCGCCGGCCCTCCCATTAACAGTAAGTTTTAGTCCTTTCCTATCCGTCAAAGCCACGACATGCGTGCGTTTGGACACAAGAAAAAAACTCGTGCAATGTGCTTCGGTCCCACCTCTTGGAAAGATAACCCAAGATGCTCCCTGCGCCCATGATGATATCCCTTCCTTCCGACCAAGTTCAGTGTGGTCACCGCCCAATCTGCTCGCCACCATACACACTTCAATAACAGGTTGGAAGTGAAGACATAGTTTCGCACGATTGATCAAACAATGATGTACATGAAGATGTGCAAATCTATTGTAACAGTAAGAAGATTCCCGTCAATGGCGCTTTCGCCCGTTGCACATTCGATTTGAGGGTGCTCAGGCTCCTTTCCCTCTCAAAGGACCGCTCCATCGGTCACCAAATCTGCAAGCACACCTTGTCGCAAGTAGCCTTCTTCATGATGTTTCATCAGATGGCGTGGCGCGTGTTTCAGTTGGGTGAGAACGTGGCGATCCTTCTTGATTCCTTGGTGACGTGCTTGCATTGTAAGAATAGTCGACCCTCAACTTCCGGCCATAGGTCTCCTTGTCTTTCAGGACCTTTAGAGCCTCCATAGCACTTTTAACATCGATGAAATCGGCATGGGCGAATCCTCGTGGTTGGCCAGTTCTTCGGTCAATGGCCACCCGGACGTCGATGACATTTCGAATTCCGCGGAAGAGGTTTCCGAGGTCACGGTCGGTCATCTCAAATGACATGTTGCCGACGAATAAGGTCTTGGAGGGTGGATTCATGGTATGTTCCGCGGAATGTTTCGGTTCAAAGCTGCTGGAATCGCGAGCAGCATACTGGACGGTCATGCGACGGCCTTCGTACAACTGCATGTTCATGGTTTTGATTGCGGATTCGGCGGACTCAAGCTCCGCGAACTCGAGGTATGCAAATCTAGTAATGTGTTAGCTGGTGCTGGTATTTATTTTGATAAGTCTCACCCTTTACTCATTCCCCGGTTATCGCGAATGATCTTGCATCGACTAATTGTGCCGAATTGGGTGAACTCTTTTACGAGTTCTGACTCAGTAATATCGAAGAAGAGGTTACCAATATATACGGTGTTCTTCTTCTCAGCCTGCCGATATCCGTCGCTCTGGCCCCGTCGCTCTCGGAAGGGCCGGTGAGGTGCAATGGTTTGTTCCGCTGCCTCGGCCACGCTGGCGCTTTCGGGAGCAAATGCAGGCTCTTGCGCGACAAATTGTTCGTTCGTTTCAGCGGCAGGTAGGGCCTCCTCAGTAGCTTCCGTCAAATTGGCACTTTCAGCGATAGTAGGCGCTGTCTTGCTTTCCTGTTCCCTTGTGCTTGCCCATCTCCGTGTAGATAGGGAAACAGAGCTGCGCGGTGCTGATCGTGGTACAGAAGATGTGACAAAAGAGGAGAAGGCTCGAGAAGGTAAGACGTAAGCCGACCGTGAAGTGAGGAGGCGCGAAGCGGAATGTCGAAGGGCATACCTGGGCGACAGTCAATTCAATTGGCTTCTTTTCAGGGCCGGCTCAGCGATACTTACATTTTGAAGACTGGGACGTGGATCTGATTAAGAATGTGATAACAGAAAGAAAGCCACGGGGGATGCACAACAAAAAGTCGATGAGAGATATGTCAAGGAAAACAAATCGAATAGTATCTAATGATCAAAGACGACTCGGGAAAAAAGTTTCGAGATGGGAGCTTTTCGTCCTTGGAAGACTCCATTGATTCTGGAAAGGGGTAAGCTCCTTGGCGGGAACAATAGAAGATACGCGATTGAACAAGCGCTCCACAATATAATTCTCTTGGTGGCTACTACGGTGGACCAAGGGATTTATTAGTGTCAGGAGTAGATTTCAGGCCCACGCAAATCTCATCTGCCTCAAGAAAGTATCACGGGACCACGACGCTCTTGATTGAGTCTTGATTTCTTGATTGTGTTCTGCCGATCATGTCCTAGACAAGTCATGACACTGGTCACCTACCTAGGTAGCTCATTTGGAACTGAGGTCTCCATGATGCTCCCAGGCACTTCGTTCCCCATTCGTGCCCCCCCACTGCGTCCATCTAATCGGCCTCAATACGCATAACGGAAGTGCTTATTTTGTTTATCTGTCAAGTCGTCAAACGCGACTCTTTCTGCCTCTTTCGAATCCAACGCTAACCTGTCTCTTCTCCGATTCTCAGCACCGAGCATGATGTAGAGTGTGATCGCAATGCCAATCACGAGTGCATAGCACCCGATCACACCTTGCCAAAGCCTAGGATAATGCGAGTCAATCTGCTCTGATCGGACCCATTGTGGACCGACAATGTTGCCCACATTGTACAAATAGAAGATTGCCGCTGCCATAAAACTCTTCTTGGAGTTACCGGCGACGTTGGCCATACCCATACTAACAATCAGGCTCGTTACTGGAGCGAAGAAGCCAATGATGGTGTAGCCTGCGATCGGTGTCGCAGCATGGTGATACCAGTTGCTCTTCCAGATCATGGCGCAGCCGGCAATGACCGGTAAGCAACAAGCAATGATCATGATGAGGCGTATATTTTGCACCTTTGAACTGAGATAACCTGCAAGGAGAATGCCAACAAAGCAGACGCCGCCTAAAGGCATCTGCCAGAGCAAGGCATCATATGCGGACCAGCCAAACGTCGAGACAATCAGAGGTCCAAAACCAGACACTGCTCCGTTCACCGAGTATGCTGCTCCCATCATGATTGCAATAAGCCAAACCTTGACATCCAGGGCCGCCTCTTTGATCTGGGGCCATTTGATCTTCTGGCACCTGACACCCATTTGACCCATACGCAATCGCTCGATGGCGACTCTTTTTTCTTCTTCGGTGAACCACCACGCATGGGCAGGTGAATTCGGGAAGAAGAAGAACACGAACCCATACAAGACGGTCAACGAACCAGCCATCAGGTACAGATACTGCCACTTCTTGAGGTCTCCACCAGTGATATGGGCGAAGCCATAGTTGATCCCTGAGCCTATGATGGTCCAGCCACCTGTGGCAGAATACCAGAGGCACTGTCGCCAAGTCTGTTCTGCTTGCGTGTAGTATCCAGAGATGATGACCATGAATGCAGTAGGGACGATGCTTTCTGCAAACCCAAGAAAGAACCGCTGTGCAAACAAACCTTTGAAGTCTACTACTCCGGCACTTGCCATTGCGACGCCACCCCAGATCACGATGACCGCGCCCACGGTTCGTCCGAGATGCAGCCGTTGGAACAGGTACGTCAACGGTCCGACTCCAGCAAGCATGCCGAAGTAGAAGAGTGAAGTGGCCCAGCTGAGACGAGTGGTTGACACTTTTGGTGGTGTCGTCGTCGGGTCAACGATGACTCTCAATTTGAGGTCCGTCGTCATTCCAAACACGGCTGCTCCTCCGAGGATTGCCTGATAAAAGAGGAAGTATATTAATGACTGGTTTATCAATACGTCAAGGTCGGCGCACCTTATCATAGTAAACCAACCCATAACCGAACCACATCAATGGTATGAGCGCAAGGTCAATCTTCCGTACAACTCGACGCTCTACTGCTTTATTCCATGACTCCGCATACTCGGGGACCACCGAAGCAGCGAGATCCCTTTCATCTGCAGGCACATTTCAGCAAGGTGGCGGCAATCCCAGTGACAGACTTCATCTCACCCAACCTACCCATGTCTACTCCACACAGCTTCAAATATCCAAAACGGTAATTACAAATGCGAATGAAGCAACTTCAACAGTAACAAAGGTTATCTTTATGGAGCTCAGCAGCACTTTGTACAAATAGCTAAAGCACATTCGTCAACGTCGAGAAAGAAAAGTTGAAAGTGCCAATGTAGTTAAGAATGAAATCGAGCTAGAGAGGGCTCTCACATCCATGCTGGCTTGTTCAAGCTGTTCAAATAGGGAAATCCGATTATGAACCTCAAATTGCTAGAAATTATCAAGTCTGCTTTCCCCCACTCCCCGAGAAAGCCCGCACACAACCGAAGGAGTTCTTTCTGGCTTCCCTCGACAGAGTGAGCCTATTAAGGCGACGGGTGACGCGGGCACCCATACACAGTGACTGTGCTTCACTAAAACGTGACTAAAAGGCTCTTGAAATCATTCACATGCTTAAGCGAAACGGGCCCAGAACCTCCGAATCCACTCGTTGAAGACCCGATCGATGATCTTTGGCTTTTGTCGAGTAAATATGGAATGATGCCATCGTTTAGTGTATGCTTTTCTTCCTTGGCTTGGAAGCTAAACCAAGCCCATGGGTCTGCGAGCCGAACAACGAGGGGGAGCTTTTTGAGCCCTTGTATGGCCGGTTGGATATCTCACCTTCAAAGTCTGTTAGATGGATTTTGGTATTCTAGGCGTGTTTCGTCAATTAAATATCAAAGGGCGCCATGAAGAAAGCCGAGGTCAGCACCAAATGCGAAGTGCTGGCATGCTTTGCGGCCCATGGTAACTACAACCAAGTCGGCGCAATGCCCTCTCCTTAGACACTACATGGTGTTCCTCAAAAAGAATCAAAGTCGGTCCCTGCCAACAATCCCAGCATCCTTCCTTGAAACTTCCTTCCGACTTCCTGCCATTTGACCTGGATGCCCGCTACCAGCAATGGCCATGGCATCTCCCCACTATCACCAGCATCGACTTCAGGAATTGACAGCCGCTCTCCAAGGCTGCTAGACCACGAGATGAGCTCAGCTATCATGCTTCCAAGTTCTGTCACGAGTCTCTCCTCGGCCGTGCTCCCAGCCTCGACATTCAGGTCCAATATGGTGAGTAGAAGCTGCAGGATCGTCGGCAGTATGATTGGATCATGTGCCAATGTAGGAATGCTGTGGAGCTGCGTGAGAAGGATGAGAGTCTCCCTGGTGACAACAGGCAGCTGCAGTGCATGAGGGCCCAAAGTCGAAATGATGATGGCTAGTGTTTGAAGGATTAGTTTCAGAAGACCCGGATGCAACAAAGTCGAGTTCGCTAGATACGTTGAAGTCGACAAGGACAACAAGACTAGTGTTAGGCGTGTACAAAGTGGGAGGTAAATGGCATCTGCGAGGACCTTATGCAAGTCTTTCGGAATTCGCTTAGAGCGAGCCTCGGCTTTTGCAGCTACCTTTTTCTGCACTTCCATGCGTGATGAGAACGTGCGGACTTTGAGAACGTCAGGACCTGTGAGCTTGTCTGCTGCTTCGAGGGCCATCGGTTGGAGTGTTCGGTGGGAAAGAACTGTTGAGATCGCGGAAACAGGAGAGGCGACACTAGCATACAAGGTATCTAGTTTGGGTGGGAGGCGATTTGAAGGGAAGGCTGATAGGGCAGTGGAGTCTCCCGAGAGGTTTTGCGCTGAAAAATCATCATAGCCTGCGAGCTCCCGAGTCCCCAGCCCAACAGCCGCCAACAGGGCTGCTCTTTGGGATAGGGAGAAGTCCCCTTCGAAATACATGCTCGCAACCCAAGGGCCCATGATCCCTGGTTTTGACACCAGGCAAGCAATCAATGCTTCGACCTTTAGCCGCTGTAGTTCGTTAGAGGACATCCCTTCTTGAAGGTTCAGAAGAGAAGCGGCTAGAGGCAGCAGGTTCGTACTGAGCTCGTTACCAAAATTGGCCTTGCGACGTATTAGAGACGGTGCTGTCTTTAGGGCGAGCTCCGTAGTAGACAGGTCGTCGCTGACGTTAAGTTGTTTGATGAGCGATGTTATGTATACTGGAGCTGATGGCTTGTTGCGGTTTACGAGGGTTGGATCTTCATCAGAATCTTCTGGATCGCTATCCGGACGACCGTATGGACGCAATTCGGGGTGGTCCTCCTCCTCTGAGCTAGGATTTTCTTTATCAGAATCAAGTATCTCTTCAATAGCAATGATTTTAGTGCTGTGTTGGACTGGCTTCGAAGGACGCCGGGTAATTGTGCTAGGAGATCGCCTTTTCTCAACCTTTGGTAACGTCATTGTTGCCGCCTTCTTTAGGTCATTCAAATCGCCGACATTGTCAACAACGTTGACCAGATCAAGCCAAGCATGGGCTTCTTCACTATCCATCTCGTCGACTCCAAAATCCATAACCTTGTCAGGCTTGTCTACAAGCTTGGAAACTGCAGTAGCAACAATCATGCCAAGGAATCGAGCACGGGGAACGGAAGCAGAAAGACGATTGGACACCATGTGCAAGAAATCTCCGGAGCCTGATATTTGCTTAAGTGTTTCTGAATTTGACCGGTGGAGGTAGCCAGCCGTGAGTAAGATCGTTTGCGTCGCCGCTACAGGAGTGGTAGTAGACGTAAGCACAGGCTCTGTCAAACATGGGGAACAAAGGGAATCTCGGACTTCATGAGATTACTTACACTCCTGTTGAAGAATAGAATTATGCTGGATCTGAATCTTATTCCCAAAACTGACCAGACATTTCTGGAGAACTTTTTGCAAGTTATCTGTCCTGAGATCAGTAAAATGCAGTCTGTCCTTGGGGGATACCTCACCTTGCTTCTGGGCTAACGTTACAATGACCGCTCTTCGAGCCCCAAGGCCAAGACCAGCATAATCCCCATTAGTGCTTGTTAACCAGTGTGTAAGATGTGCCTCCAGAAGGATGTTGTTTTGAACAAGGCCATTTATCATAGCTGCCATTCCACCGATTGTAGCAGCATCAACGGGCAGTGACAGAGCCTGGGTCAGAATGGTGCTGCTAGTTTGCAAATATTTCCGTGTCATATCTCGGAGAATCATATCAAAGACAGCTTTCTGATCGTATTCTGGAAGAGTCTTGAGCAACGAGTGCAATGTCGTCCACAAGGCCCGCTGGCCAAATAAGAGGGTGGTGTAGAGCTGGCTAATAAAAGCATCTGCAGAATGTTAGCTTTGACTCTATTTGGTAAAATTATATCAACTCAAACCTTGATAACCCAAACTTAAGCCTCGCTTGAAGACCTGGCCCAACATGCTGAGTGTCCCATTGACCATACTAACACCAGAGCTGAGGTCAATGGCTGTTGCGGAAATATTTCTAGACAGCCACTTGGAATATTCTGTGCCATCTCCAATCCATACGCACTCAGGGATCCGATCTCTGAGTGTCGGGACGGTCGCAAATATTTGTGCCATCGTCATGAAAATCTTACTGCCGGCCAGAAGAGAAGTCACTTCTTGCCAGAATACTCGACGAGGTGTATCAGTCGTGAAGAACGTGCTTAAGTCTGACATGAAACGACGCACTACGGAGTGGCGCTCGAGTATTGCTGCTAGGATCGATATTGCATCCTCTAAGACGGGAGTTTCGTCGGTAGGAGCTGCGGAGGAATGGCGGCGAATCTGCATCAACAGGGCTCCTATGCCCGCAACACTTACAAGCGGAGTAATCATCAGCCTCTTCAACTGTGCATCTGGGTCGGAAAGGTCGCGACCGCGAAGATGTAGCCATTGATCTGGAATCGTGATGGTGACAAGTATGTGGACAATTTGAGCCGCTTTGGGTCCAGGCAGTCGTATGTTGAAATCGTGCTTGCCATCAACGCCATACTGAAGATATTGGAGGACAGCCACCAAGTCTTCGCGATCTGGCTGGCTCTTCAGAATTGCTTGAGCATCGTCCGGCAATGTCCTCGTTGAAGATTGGTTTAGATATGATTTATTGAGAAAGGTGGTGGAATCATGGCGTTTGTGCTTTCTGTGAGTGGACTGGGCAGACAAAGTGGTTGCTGCTGAGTCAATTGATGGCCGGAGACTGAATGGCTCGCTCACAACATCACTACTTTCAGAACTCAGGTCGACGATCGAGATATTGGATTTTGTGCTTGCAGGTCTCGGGGTTGAAGCATGTCTCAAGGAAAGAGTCTCGAACTTTTCAATGTTGTGTTGGACTCTGCGAGTTGTCTTGATTGGCTTGAAGAGATCTTCCATGTTGGGCGTCCATTGTTGTCGAAGCAAGACTACGATTGAAGCAAGACTACGAAGAGAACTTGACCAGAAAGTCACTAAATGGTGAGGATTGGAGATGTGAATCTAAAGCCTTGTGACATGCCAAGAAGCTGGCAGCGGCTGGATTTGTCTGTAGTAGGTTGTAATGAGCCCATTGACTGCCTCCCGAGTGTCCGGTTAGGAGCACAAAGGTGCAGTTCTTGTCTATAGGTGCCCTGGTTAAGAGGCTAGTCGGTTCAGCAGTAGATTAGTTAAAGGGCTATGGGGACCGGAGGCAGTAAGCATCTTCGCGGCGGTGCGGGGGTAACCCGTTCCCCTTTTTGGCCTGGCCTCGTAAGCCGTCCCTGTGTAAGATGTTGACCTCCTCCCACGTACTATACTACATTAGTTGTTCTTCCATCCGACAATTTCTTAACACTTGTGCAACCTTTGTCCACATCTTGTACTGGTTCTGGGAGGTGTCGGAAGCACTCATTGTGTGGAGCTCAATAATTACAAGTATCAATCATGGATTTACAATTCGTTGTCCTTTCCGGAGAGTCACTGCGACCGAATACTTCGACCAGGATCGCGATCAAAGCACATGTGATGCGTCAATACAGGCACAGCCAGCGACAAATGCGGCTTCAGCAAAAGATGCAAGCAAGGAACTCGGCCTTTGATTGTTACGCTGAACAAGCTCTTACTTCAGGTCATGAGACGAGCAGATTGGGCTCTACCCCCATGGAGACACTGGCCTCTCATGTTTCAACCAACAGCATGTTGGACCTTGGGGCATGGCCCGAAGGAGATGCATCTTCAATGAATAGATGTGGCTCTATTGATCAGTGGATCATGCCACAACCATCGCATTCGGTCTCCCCCAACCAATTTGACCCCTTTGACACGCTTCCTGTGGCAATGACACCACGGCTCTCAACATTACTATATCAGGGTGAGTCGCGCCTTCTGGCTGCCGACTGATATTGGTGTACTCTCCCGGCTCTGTCTAAGACAAGCTAGGTCTTGCAAACGAAGTTCGAACGTCAGTCCATGCAGACCTAACTGGTACTTTCCAGTCGTGTTGCTTGACCGACGCCGGCTGGATTTATATCACCCTCAGTCATGCAGCAAGTCGCTTCCAACCATTCGTTGGCCGCGATACCTATGAAAGCATATTCTTTAATTCACAATCTGTTTCCGCAGTCAACTCTGCTCTGTCCATCGGGAAGGTAACGGATGAAACGATCGCCACCGTCTCATGCCTGGTCAATCTAGAGGTTGGTACCCTGTGGCTTGTTGACTCTCATATCGCTGACGCCTCCCGTCAGAGCTTGAATGGATCGAAATCTAGTGCCATGGTTCACAATTCTGGATTACAGCGTATGATTCAGCTGAAAGGCGGACTTGGGAGGCTCGGTCTACACGGCGTTCTTCAACGCATGGTTTTGTGGTATGACTGCTGAACCGCGTCGTTCTGTTGTTGCTGAAAGTAATCTAGGTCAGACCTTCTTGCCAGTATCAGACTGGAGAAGGAACCTGCTTTTCCGTTGCAGAATCTTACCCAGAAACTTGCACCTTTAGCTACGTTCGCGCCCTCTCCTTCAGTCTCCTCTCGTTCCTACATACTTGACAATAGCGTTCAATTAGCCACCTTCGCTAAAAGAGAAAACGCATCAGATCTTGTAAACATGTTCAAGAGGCTACATGAGCTTGGAACATTTTTGAATGTTGCCAATTCTGATGCAAGGCTTTGCCATGCATCATACCCTGATCGTGTCTACACCATTGAACACAGTATCCTAACCCTGTTAGAAAGAGTATCCACACGGTTGTGTAATCCTGCTAGCATCAGCGTCATAAAGACCTTCCTCCTTGCTGGGCTCCTATATGTCTATACAAATCTTCGACAAACACCCATCGGCCATGGAATGCGAAGGAGACTAGCCACACGAATCAAGAAATGTTACGAGCAAAACCCTGAAAGCCACTCATTGATGGCCATACAGATGCCGGCTGAAACCCTTTGGTTGATGCTTGTGGCGGGAACAGTGGTATCCCAGCAGCCTCTACTCCACTCCGACAATGAATGGTATGTAACATCAATCAAGAAAATATCGCCCGGAAATTGGATACGGACCTGGAGTGAGGCTGAAACTTTCTGTGAGTGTATGCCGGTACTAGAAGCGTCATTTGCCTCAAGCTGTAGGGAATACTGGCAGAGTTTCATAGCATGAGAAGCATCTGCGAATAGTTACGCTTTGTAATAGGACAGAGCAAGGATAGGTGGAAAGAACCACTCTCAATGAGTAACAAGTATTATGACTGTGTCACTTCTACGTTGTCTAGCTAAAAGGAAGAGAGAAAGGGTAGTGAGGATTAAGTGAGGGGTGGTAATGAGTGGGTGCCAGGTGCAGAGCGCCTTGGCGTCGTCATGTGACACTCCTGGCCGAAAAACTATGATATCGCGACAACCTTCGACGTTGACGGTTTTGAGGCGATCGTTGAGTGTTCCAAAGCCAGCTGCGGCCCGATACAAGCGTCACTGCTCATGGCCTTGGACCAAGTGTTGTTACAAGCCTACCAGACGTTACTACTTAAAGACGTTGCCACAACCAGCATGGCAGGGAAGCATTCTACTGTACCTTTTCAGTCCTTCTTCTAAAACATGTCTCTCCTGGCTGAACACCAGCCTGAAGTAACCCGGATGACTGAAGTGCTCCTCAAAAGGATGCAGTCCTACTCCAGCATCAAGCAGGCGCTGGGCAAGCTCATACTCGCTTTCATTTCGGCCACCTTTCTCAGGTTGCCGGAGCCATGGCCTCAGATTGATAAAGATGAAGAATCCGGCGCTGCTGAGCTTGCAGTCAGTCCTCAAGGGGCGTCCGTTGAGAGGATGATGGAGGAACGATGTCTGGGGCCTGGAACCTACCCTTTGGCTTCGTGCTCGATCCCTACCTTTTGCAAGCACTGGATAGTGTACTTGCGAGCCTCACTCAATCTCTCGCGAGAAAGCTTGATGAATTGATCAACGAAAGCGTGATCCTCAAGTATGGTGGTGCCGATGGCAACAGATGGACCGGAAGGGCTGTGAATTCTGATATTGCTCGCGATTGCTTTGCGCAGGAGTGAATTTAGGGTGACTAGGCAACCCAGGCGAAGACCGGCAGCTGCAAAATCCTGGTTCCTAGCTTTAGCCTTCCAGCATTTGCAGAGCATCGCAGCATAACTTACCTTGCTCATCCCATATAAAATATGCCAATGATTAGCATCGATTATATTGGTGGCCTCGATTGACAACAGTGATCGAAAAGGGAGACCACCTTCTTCTGAGGTCGATAAACAGACATTCCGTATATTTCGTCGCTTACAAGATGAATCGAGTTGTGTTGACAGAATCGACAAAGATCGAGAAGTGTTGATTCTGGATAACACCGTCCTGACGATCGTTGTTGTCTCAGTTCTCTCACGAATCTCCACCTATCTTACCTAGAGGGTTATGAGGATTGACAATTAGGAGGGCTTTGCCCTTTCCACTCGACGATGCATAATTATCAAGTGCTGTCTGCAACCTCGGTACGATTTCTGAAGAAAAAGGATCAATCTCAGAGGAGTCGGCGTAAACGATGCGAAGACTATTAGTATTGCCAAAGTCCAGCTCAAATCGCCCATAAATAGGCCTAGCGACCAAGATCCCGTCTCCGGGCTCTCCGAGAGCATTGCCCAGCATTTCATGGATTGCTGTCAGAGCGGAAGACGTTATGATCTGGTTAGGTCCGACAGGCTGGACTGGGTTGAAGAAGCGATTGAGGTGTTGAGACATGGCAACAGGAAACTTGGGACCACCCATGGTATCGCAGCCATAGGTGAAAGCATCATCGGGGATCGTCACCTGCAACACCAGGAACACAACTCAATCTTCTGGGACCTCGTGAATCCCAGCTGGGTAGCCCCTTACATGCTTTCGGACATATGCTCCTAGTTCTTCCTTGACGAGGCTCTAGGGAAGGTCAGCTATGTGTGGTCCTCATCGGGCTGCATAACCAGGACATTCTCAGCTAGAGCGAATGATATGACTCCATTCGGGTTTTTGTGGGCATCGTATCGATTTTCCCCACCTGGCTCTCTGCGTTTCTCTGGCCTCGTCGGGACAGCTTTATGTCTTTCAGACCAATGATATCCGAGATCGTCTATTGCGATCGTCCCTGTCCTCCAACTGACGGGCCAAGCGCTGGTGCTCTATCTAAACGCAAGAATGAGAAAACAAATTAGACTAAAGCAGTCATGTACTGGTGATGGCTCAAGGATGTGTCCGCGAAGACGTCTACCCGATGTCACCTAAAACGTCATGCAGGTCGTTGGGAACGATGAGCAAGTTTTTTGTGTTGAAAGGTATCAAATGGATAGTAAGACGAGAAATCGAAAGTAAACCCTTGCTTGTTGAGTCACATTACTATGCCAGTGAGGCCCTGGCTTTCTTATTTGGGATGCCTATCGCGGAGAATTGAGCACCAGTACGAGGTATCCTATCAGTGGGAGACAAGCTCAACCAGGTGAGGTGTGATCGACGCGAAGTGGACTAACCATCTATAGACATTGCTCGCTTGCCCTAGTCGGGATCTACCCACGTGATCTATTCATCAATCTCGTTCAGACATTTGAGGGACGCAATTGCACCAAGAAATGATCATTACCGAGAATTGCTAGAGCTTGAGGAATTAGTGATCTGCACTAGTATTGGCTGTCTCGTGGCATCAAAATTGGTGCGCGTGAAAATGGCTAGGATCTCAGTCACTTCTCTTTGCCAAGATGTCGGAACCTCATGTGCATCTGCTTAGGTAATGACTATCGTCTCATTGCAGTCGATCCTACCTGTGTCACTACTTGCCTGCTGAGATAGAGCCATTCAAGGATCAATCATTTCAACTGTACGCTATCCTTCAAGCGAAGGTCCAGTTTGCAGCACCAAATGTGCTTTCTGACAAGCAAGGATTCCAATCAGGGAACTCACGAACTGCCTATCGAACCAAATTGATCAAACTCGCTGAGGGGCTCTTGTGATATCCGGAGCAAATTCTTCTGATTGTATTGAGTCTCCAAGAAAACCAGCGCTCTGGACACTGTGGTCGGGATACTATGAGATTCACTACTGGGTGATCATTCCAAAGAGGAGCGTATATTGTGCCCATCATGGCAGTTCCAATATCAAGTCTGCTGACCAACGGGGCTGCAACTGAGCCACGGGATCGCTGGTAAGAAATTCCTTCTTTCATCGAATGCATACTTACAATAAGATGTAAGGACTTATCTCGACAAGGTATTGTCGACAACATCTCCATATGCAGGAGAAGAATTTGTGCCCGGTCAGGAGACCATCAATGCACTTGAGACCTCAACCGTTCTGGTCATTGGGGCTGGTGGCCTTGGGTGCGAAATTTTGAAGAACCTCGCATTATCTGGATTTAAAGATATCCATGTTATTGACATGGACACTATCGATGTATCAAATCTGAATCGACAATTCCTTTTCCGTCAAGCAGATGTTGGCAAATCAAAGGCTGAAGTGGCGGCAGCTTTCGTCGAGAAGCGTGTCCCCGGAGTGAAGATCACGCCATACAATGGCAAAATTCAAGACAAGGACGAAGAATATTACATGCAGTTCAAGCTAGTGGTATGCGGGCTTGACAGTATTGAAGCTCGACGATGGATCAACGCAACACTTGTAGACATGGTCGACATGGAGAATCCTGAATCGCTCAAACCTCTCATCGATGGTGGAACGGAAGGCTTCAAAGGTCAAGCACGTGTCATTCTGCCGTCCCTCACATCCTGTATCGAATGTCAATTGTCTATGCATGCACCTCGCGCGGCTGTTCCGCTCTGCACACTGGCCACCATTCCTCGACAACCCCAGCACTGCATCGAATGGGCCCACATAATCGCATGGGAAGAGCAGCGGAAAAGCGACCCCCTCGATACTGATGACCCGGAACATATTACCTGGCTCTACACCAAAGCTCTCGCTCGTGCCAAAGAGTTCAACATTCCAGGTGTCACATACTCGATGACGCAAGGTGTGGTTAAAAACATCATACCAGCAATTGCCAGCACTAACGCCATCATCGCCGCCTCGTGCTGCAATGAAGCACTGAAGATCGCCACATCCTGCGCACCGTTTCTCGAAAACTACATGATGTACACCGGCGACTCAAACGAAGCGGGGCTCTACACGTACACCTTCGCAGCCGAGAAGAAGGACGACTGTCCGGTGTGCGGCAACCTGGCGCAAAACATCACCGTCGACCCAGAGAGCACGCTCGGAGACTTCCTATCCAGTCTAGCTGAGAGAGCAGAAGCGCAGTTGAAGAAGCCAAGCATTCGTACTGAAGCAAGGACGCTCTACGTGCAAGCACCAAAGAGCCTGGAAGAGCAGACGAGACCGAATCTAGCAAAGAAGCTGAAAGACTTGGTGGGTGATGGTGAGGAGGTGGGTGTGTCTGATCTGGCATTTCAGATCTCGTTTAAATTCCGACTGATATTCAAGTGACGTCGGTATCAAAAGACTCCGGCTCGCGGTACTGAAATACATAGAGATGCGATGGGGCGGTTTTGGGAAAGAGATAATCTGCATATGCCCTCATAGAAGGCCTAGTGGGGAAAACATATTTTGATCTTGCAATCCGAGGTATCTAGATTTCTTGCAGCAAAAGAAAGACACCTTGCAATGCTGAAACGCCGTTGTTAAATGCATCACATCATCAGGGTTTCCGTCAACATCTCGTCCAGGACGTAAAGCCACAGTTGCGCTTTTTTTCCAATTGCTCTTCCTTTCATCTCTCTATCGTATCTAGTGCACGAAGCAACCTCTGCGCCTTGTACTTGAGCACATTGACACTTTCAAGGAACAACATGTCGCTTGGGAACTGGCCTGTACTCTCGACATTGAAGATAAAATGATCCTGGACTCTCCCGAGCTTGACTTTGTCCTTGAACTCATCGTGACGCAGGACCTCTCTGGACACGGTGTCGCGCATTGCGTCCTTGACAACGGCTTTCTCGTCACCCTGACGGCCTCTATATGCGAGATCTGCGCTCTCGGCCTCGGAGGCGGTGACGCGCTCGAGGTCGATGACGCCCGGCGAGAAGCATTTCTGGAACTTCTTGGCGTCGAGCCCGAGGATGGGCTTCGTGATGGTGATGGTAGGCAGCAGGCGGTAGGTCGCGGTGGCGACAGGGCTGAATTTCGCGTGGTCGCTGCCGATGCCCAGGTGCGCATGCATGATCATGTCGAGTTCCTGGCCGGGGCGCATCTTCACGATCAGGACGTCCGGGCTGACGGGTTCGATAGGTCCTTCTTTGAAGTACTCTTCCTGTAGGCCCGTGGGCTGCCATTGGATATGCCGTGAGTAGACGCTGCTGTTGATGTACTTCTCTTCTGGGTCCGTCGCGTTCTTGTCCGCATCTGGGTTCCGCTCGCATTTCACCTTGAGGTGTAGGACGACCGTGTTGTAATCTGTGCGCTCCATGCCCTCGAAGCCGATCTCCGGGTTCGGTTCAATAAACCACTTGAGCCACTTGAGACCCTCGAGACTGCCTTTCAGCGGGATGAGACCCAGTCGATGTGCGAGGACTTCATCTGCGATAACGGAGGTGTTGTTCTCGACGTAAACCTTTTCGATGGCCAGCGTGGGCACTTCCGCGAGGAGGATGCGCCGAAATGCGTTGGCTATGGAGGCGTCGGCGCCAACGAGTGAGAAGGTTGCTTCATACTTCTCGTTCTGGTGGAATTGGACCTTGAGGTTTTTTTGGAATTTCTCGAGTGACCATGAAAGATCTTCCCCTGCGTGGTGACCTGGAAAATCCGTTGCAGTGATGTTGGTGACGGTCTCTGCATTGATGCCGACAACCTGCAAGTATTGGTCAGCATTGATCTACAGGAGACAGGGTGATCCCATTACCTTCCGACGGTCCAGGCTATCCTGTGAGGGTTTCATGGGAGCCATGGTGCACTGCTGGCTGTTAGTATTGGCACTGGCATTGAGCTCATAGTGCCAAAAAAAATTTAGGAAACAAGAACAGTGCCCGGACTTTTGACGAGCTTAACTCCGGGTGTCTTGATGCGGAAGGTAGTCCGTAGTGGAATAGAAGCAATTATCGACATGCTAAGCCTACAACTCACGCCCCATAAGTCACATTGATCTGCTCTGCTGTAGAAATATGTACTAAGACGGTATGGGTGAGTCTGTTTGGTGGATGCGTTTCACTAGAGCCGGGCATTGATTTCTGCCGTCTGATTGATCTCTAAGTAATCGAATTTTCCAGGGATTCCTGACGCGGACCAAGTACCGTAATGTGCATTCCTCCTTCTGAATGAGGCCTCGAGATTGAGATTCGGATGAATTATGCATATCGAGATGCTTTTCCATGGCCTCAGACATGTCATCTGAACAAGGCCAAAGGTCAAAAGCTTACTTGAGTTTTGTGCTACTGGGAGCTCGCTGACCCCTGCCAGTGTTCGCAACTATTCCCCTGTTCGTATTTGGCGGAGCACGATTGGTTGAAATGGCCCAGATGCTGGTTCTGAGAGATGAAATAATTGCTCCATATGTTGACTCTGGCATTCTCATGGGCCCGTTGACAAGGAATTTTTGGAGCAAGAATCCCACGGTCTCGGAGAAGTCTTCTACCTGCTTTGATTTCGATCCCATAGAATGGGTATTTAAGAGGAGACCATGTCCTCTCAACAAAGTATGAAAGGAACGCACCCATGTGCTGAAGAATAGTTCACATTCAACACGATCGCATCTACGGGTGGTTGGTAACTCCAACAACATGCGTGTATTCGTTACTGGGGCCACAGGCTTTATTGGCCGGGCAGTTGTCAAAGAGCTACTCAACGCCGGCCATCAGGTCCTTGGTCTTGCACGCTCCGACCAAAGCGCCGAGTATCTGGTTGCTGCTGGAGCTGAGGTGCAGCGAGGCTCCCTGGATGACTTGGAGAGTCTCAAGCAAGGTGCCGCTGCATCTGATGGTGTTATACACCTTGCCTTCATCCACGACTTTTCCGACTATGCAGGCAGTTGCTCCAAGGACAGAACCGCCATCGAGGCAATTGGAGATGTATTAACAGGAACCAGCCGTCCATTTGTTATAACATCCGGCACACTTCTACTCCCACAAGGTCAACTCTGCACAGAAGATACTCCTCCGGACCTGAAGGGACCTGGTGCGGTTCGTGGTGCTACTGAACAAGTAGCACTGTCATTTGTCTCGAAAGGTGTGCGAGTGTCAATCATACGGCTACCACCAACAAATCACGGCAAAGGTGACCATGGATTCATTGCAGAGCTTGCGAGGGTAGCGAAGTCCACAGGCGTATCAGCATATCTTGGAAATGGGCTCAATCGGTGGCCCACAACCCATCGCCTAGACACAGCCAAGACATATCTGCTGGCATTGGAGAAGGCTGCTGCTGGTTCTGTGTTTCACGCCGTTGCTGAGGAAGGTATCCCAATCAAGGAGATTGCGGAAGCCCTTGGCAAACAGCTGAGCATTCCATCGGTTAGCAAAACTGCCGAGCACTTTGGATGGTTGGCAATTGCAATTGGGGGTGATAATCCAACTACAAGTGCCAAGACTAGAGAGCAGTTGGGATGGAGTCCTGTGCATGCATCGCTCATCTCAGAAATAGAAGCCGGGATCTATACGAGTGGGTGAAGAGATCATGAAAATGAAAGGGTTGGCTAAGGTTCGTAGTCGACGTAAAGAACTGATAGCATTCCCGAGTCCGAGGACGCTAGTGTGGCGAGCTAGCAGCAGTAGACCAATTAGAAGCGGCGCAATGAAAGCTCACAGTGGTTAATGTCATCGTAGTTGATTTCTCTGCCGCCGCTTCCCACGTCCCATTGACCTCGTCTTAAGTCAACCCTGCGCGACCGTCAGGGCAGCAACTTGTTCACAATCCTCTTCAGCTTCTCTCTTGGGCCATAGGCCGTCTTTATCGACAATGGCCGCTTCGTTTGTGCGAGCCGCAGGCAGGCACTCAGCTAAACGACTGTGCCTTCGACCCTCCTTTCAAGCTGTCCCCAGACAATCGCCCTTCCTTTCACGCGCCTTATCCATTACTCCTACTCGCAATGCCGAACCTGTAAATGTCGCTCCGAGTCCAGAAACAGGTCATGGCCCGATGAGCACGACCATCAGCCCCACAGATTCCACATTCACCAAGCATGTCCAGCAAGACTCATTATTGGTAAATAAAGCTCCAGATACGAATCTAGGCGATGACTACGAGACGAGAAAGATCCGTCATTACACTGTCAACTTTGGTCCCCAGCATCCTGCCGCTCACGGTGTCCTGCGCCTCATCCTGGAGTTGAATGGCGAGGAAATCGTCCGAGCAGACCCTCATGTTGGCCTGCTTCACCGAGGCACCGAAAAGCTCATTGAATACAAGACTTATCTACAAGCCCTGCCGTACTTTGATCGCTTCGACTACGTCTCCATGATGACCAACGAGCAGTGCTTTTCTCTGGCGGTCGAGAAACTTCTCAACATTGAGATTCCTGAAAGAGCAAAGTATATTCGCACATTGTTCGGAGAGATCACTCGAATTTTGAACCATTTGATGTCCATCCTATCACACGCTATGGATGTCGGCGCTTTGACTCCTTTCCTGTGGGGTTTCGAGGAACGAGAGAAACTTATGGTATGTCTCCGATCGCGAAGCCTGCTTGGTGTCAACTCACAAGTAGAAACAGGAATTCTACGAACGCGTGTCTGGCGCTCGACTGCACGCTGCATATGTTCGGCCCGGAGGTGTCAAAGCCGATTTGCCACTTGGACTATTAGATGATATCTATGCTTGGGCAACTCAGTTTGGCGACCGCATCGATGAGACCGAGGAGCTTCTCACTGATAATCGAATTTGGATTGGGAGAACTAAGGGCATCGGCGTTGTCTCGGCTGCGGATGCACTGAATTACAGTTTTTCTGGCGTAATGCTTAGAGGATCTGGTGTCCCTTGGGACATTCGAAAGAGCCAGCCTTACGATGCATATGATAAAGTTGAATTTGACGTCCCTGTCGGACAGAATGGCGATTGCTACGACCGATATTTGTGCCGAATGGAAGAGTTCCGTCAATCGCTACGCATCATCTTCCAATGCTTGAATCAAATGCCTCCGGGTCCAGTCAAGGTCGAAGATTATAAGATTGCGCCACCTCCACGAGCCGCGATGAAGGAAAACATGGAGGCCCTTATTCATCACTTCCTACTTTTTACAAAGGGGTACACAGTCCCGCCTGGCGACACTTACAGTGCCATCGAGGCTCCCAAGGGTGAAATGGGAGTCTACCTCGTCAGTGATGGAAGCGAGCGGCCATATCGGTGTAAAGTCCGCGCCCCGGGTTTCGCTCACCTGGGCTGTTTCGATCAAATCAGCCGTGGACATCTTTTGGCCGATGCCGTCGCAATCATTGGAACCTGTGATCTCGTTTTTGGCGAAATCGACAGATAGGCTAGCCAGAAAAGGACAGAAGAGCTATCTCGAGCTCAAATAGGTTCGAGACAAATTGAATTGTCTCCGCGTTTTTGGAGAGGTGGACCGGTAGTACGCAAGAAGAGGCCCAAAAAGGAGCAAGAAGACGGACCAGGAGGTCGTTGTGCTTCGAAATAAGAAATTTCCAAATATTGAAAAGGCCCATCGGGGAACAACGGGTCCAAGCGCGAAGGCCCAATCCGTGGCAGAGCTATTCAACGTATATACTGTTTAGCCCTATGTATTTCCTTTACTCTAAGGGCTACGTGTAGTATCAAAATCAAAGGAAACTACTGAGTGCTCAACTGAGGAATCTCGATCTAAGTCCCTATATACTGTCAGGAATGACAAGGTTGAGAGCTGCACTAACAGCAGTGGATGTTTAAACGACGGGATACACATCTCATCTTGATCGCATGTTCAGCGACACAGATGTTCCATACACCGCTGCGTGATCACTGGTGGCAGAAGTTCCACGGTCGGATGTCTGGAAACCATAGGATGACCTAGAGCACCGTTCGTAGCTGGTGGTGTAATCTAGAACAATACCTTCAGAGCCATAGGATCTGCTGGCTCACCGGCAGTTGTAACCACGCCTTGCCTAGTATACCAAGCACGGAGGCGTGCGAGAATTCTGGGCTGGGGCTCTTCTCAAGCACTTTCTTATGTAAAGCTGTTGCAGGGGAATTAGCCGCTGGTTTAAGTCATAATCATTTTGCATGATACAAGTTGCCTCCCACACCACCCATGGACCGTGTAATCTATCAATACAGTTCTAGTCCGTGCTTTTCCTACAAGTAATGTCGTAATGCGTCGGTCTCAAGACTGATAGTCCTAAGCGTCCCCGCTCTTGCCACACCCGTACCCCCTACGGAGGTGCTTGGACGATCTCTCTCAAGCCGATATGAGCTCTTAACATTCTCTTCCTCGCCGCTAAATTTGTACTATTGGCAGTTTGAAGGCCCAACTGTTGTAGCACAACATCCACCTGTTGCCTAGCCATCTGCCCAAGATCTGCAGATGTGGCAGGGAATTCTGGAATAAGAGCACCGTTCGAGGGGTTAAGCAGTGGAGAGAGAGATTCGGATCGGTTTGCAATGTAGGTGTTCTGGACACGGGCAGCGTTGTTATGATTTCTATAGAGTTAGAATAGCCATATTCGAACAATCAAGGGTAATACGTACGCTACGGTCATCATAGTTAGGAGGTCTTGACGGGTAGCCGTAAGGTCTTGACGGGTAGCCGTAAGGTCTTGATGGGTAGCCGTAACGTCTTGACGGGTAGCCGTAAGGTCTCGATGAATTGCTGAAACATTTTGATCAAGACTAGTCAGTCGGTCACCTATTTGCTGAAGCTCGACTAGGATGTGTTCGCCGCCAGTGATTGCAGGGAGGTTTTGTGCTTTCCTGATTTCGTTCGAAGCAGTCTGAAAGACATCGGCAATGACAGCGAAATCTGGCTGCGCAGGAGGGAGGGTTGTATTATCCATACTTAAGATGATGGTATCGGTGATCGTGATGAAAGTATCGTTGATGGTGGTATCGGTGATCGTGATCGTGGTCGTGATTGTGATGGCGTTTGTTTGTTTGTTTACGGAATGGTGGGGTGACATGGGGGAAGGCGCCGAGGGAAAAGTGCCTGCAAAAGCGGCGGCACTGACTGCCGAATTCGGCGGAAGATTTTCCTGCAACTTCCGTTGGGGTGTAAACTAGCGTGCCTTAAGATTCCGCCCCCACCTCCACTCATCACCCCCTATCGTGCATAGTCTGGTTCCAATCCATCCTTCAGCTTCTCTCCAGTTTGAAATGGGTTATACGAGGCACCCTGTAATGAGTACCGAGTACCGCATACATCATTGACTTCGATTTTCACTTTTCTCTTTTACCATAGCGCTCAGATCGTAAGTCTTCGATGCAATTCACACCTTGGGAGAGTGAAGCGGGGTACTTATGCTAAGCATCCATATCCCAGTTATCGTCTGGACATGGATTACCAGGATCGTCATCCCTGATAAATGAGAAACAATGAGCATCGTCATGTTGCGCAGCGCAGTAGCGGTACGAGTCTTTGCAGCCTTGGCCGTTCGAACTCAGCTGGATTTGGCGACAGGGAGCGAAGGATTCGTGATTAGACTGCAAGAATTCCGTGCTGCGCCTTCCTTTTCCTGCAGCAAGCGAGGCCATGTCCGCTGATCACGTGGGGCCAAGAGTCACAATCACCCCGCAGTAACCACTCACCACTCACCACTCAGCAGTCGCCAGTCGGGCAATGCCAACAACGCCCTCGACCATTTGCGGCTGATCTGAACAGACGTTTCAGGCGGGTACATGAGTCTCTAGCTGTTGATTGCTGGCCTCCGGTCCATCGACTCTAAGAGCTTTTGGACTCTTTAAACCTTGAAGTTCGCCTGAAGCCCTCATCCAGTTCCTTGTGACAAGTGGTAAAGGCAACTGCCTGAAGAAGTTGCAGCTATGAGTTGTAAGTCTCCCAGTCCGCGACGATCTTTGAACATTGTTGCCTCCCTTCGTCGTTCTCCCTGATCCTGTCCGTATGATGAACTCTTGTACCTCCGCTGGAACTCTGTCATCTCTTTCCGTACTGACTCCTCGTTCTCCAGTCGCAGGAATGTTAAGCAAGCTGCAGGGCCAGCCTGATAGCTATGATAAGAAGTCCCAGTATCGATTCGGAAAGACCCTAGGAGCTGGGACATACGGGATCGTTAGAGAGGCCGAGTACCAGGGGAACAAATGTGCTGTCAAGATCATTCTCAAAAAGAGTGTTAAAGGCAACGAACAAATGGTCTACGACGAGCTAAAAATGCTTCAAACACTGAGCCATCCTCACATTGTCAAATTTCAAGATTGGTTTGAGTCAAGAGTTCGGATTGCCCGGCACGAAGAGTAGACACAGCCATGACTGACGGATTTGCAGGACAAGTTTTATCTCGTCACTCAACTTGCAACCGGTGGGGAGTTGTTTGATCGCATTTGCGACAAGGGCAAGTTCACCGAGAGGGATGCGTCTCAGACAATAAAACAGGTTCTTGAAGCAGTGGACTATCTCCATGATAAGAACATCGTACATCGAGGTACGAGCTACCGTGTGCCACCTGTTATAGCTGCACCAAATTAACGATAACAGATCTGAAGCCTGAAAACCTCTTGTATCTGACACGAGACCCTGATTCCGAATTGGTGCTCGCCGACTTTGGTATTGCTAAAACTCTCGACAGCCCTGGTGCCGTCCTTACGTCAATGGCTGGGTCCTTCGGGTACGCCGCACCAGAAGTTATGCTCAAGCAAGGTCATGGCAAAGCGGTCGACATGTGGTCAATGGGGGTCATCACATACACACTGCTTTGTGGATACTCTCCATTCCGTTCTGAAAACCTCGCAGATCTTGTGGAGGAATGCAAGAGTGGGCGAATCATCTTCCACGAAAGATATTGGAAAGATGTCAGTAAAGATGCCAAAGAATTCATTCTCACCCTTCTCCAACCTGAACCGAAACGAAGGGCAACCAGTCGAGATGCTCTAAAACATATCTGGCTCACCGGTGAGACTGCTTCAGACCACGATCTACTGCCAGAGATCAGGGCATACCTTGCCAAGGCGAAATTGAAGCGTGGTATCGAGTTAGTCAAGCTGGCCAATCGTATCGACGCTCTGAAGTTTCAAGAAGACGACTCAGAGCCAGGTTCGCCAGATGCAAACGATATCCCTTCCAATGCTCAGAACGCTGCAGGTCTCGCCGTGAAAAACTCAGTTAGAGGTGTCTCACCAGGTCGAGGCCTCACGACCAGTGACTCTCCTGAAAAGAGGCGGCTTAGTAGTGCCGCCAAAAGTGCTATCTTCAGAGAGGTGGTACTGGCCAAAGTGCGGGAGATGAAGGAGCAGGAAAAATCCGACAAATTGGTGGCGGAGGTCACAAAAGAGCATGAGAGAAGGAAGAGTTTTTCAGGGCCGCAAAAGTAGGGTCTGTTTATACCGCGACAGGGTGCTGCAGAATGGTGGTAGTGGAACACGCAACCATTGCACGGTTCCAACATTATGGAAATGGTTTATCTTCGGAAACGTCATCAACGATATCATGATCGGTAGCAGTGTTCGACACTGTTTCGGAAGTGCTCGGTATCGTGGTTTCGGACAGTTCGTCTTGATTTCATACCCTTAGCCTTTAGCGACATAACGACGATATCAGTTCTCCAATTCGGCGCAAAAGTATGTGCGAAAGGCTCGTTGTGGTTTTTTAGTATCCGCAAGACCAGATCAGCAGCATTGTGCATATTTGTTTCTAATTGGCGTGACGATCTCTAAGCGACAGATCCCCTGGGAAGGGCTCTACCGGTAATTCACCATCCAGTTGGTGTGGCAGCGCTTGGGCCTGCAAGTATTCCGTGTTCGCTCTTACTGATTTATCAATAAATGAATGGAGCCGGGAGATGTACCCGTTCGGATAAGGTCCCCGCCTTGACTGCCTGCTACTCGTTGTATCATATGCCCAAAATACGAGGTCTATCCATATCCATTTCCCAAACAAATCTTCCTCACTCACTTCCGCGTTTAAACTCCAACGACTCACTTGTGCTAGGTACTGCCGGGAAGAAAAAGTGAAGTGAAGCTCGCTCAAAAAGTATAACGAGATAGTGCTAGTTGAACCGGCAAGACCTTCCACTGGCGCAGCATCATCTGACACAAGAGCCAAGGTGGTAACAAGGTATGGAAGCATTCTTTGTGGGCAGGGTCTACGCAGTCTCAGGCGGCGCTTCAGGGATCGGGCTCGCGACAGTCAAAGCTCTCCTACGGTACGGAGCACGAGTCTCGGTAGCAGACATCCGGATCCCGGAAACACTACAAAGCGAACTATGCGTCGTGGCCGCGGCCTTTAACGAAGAAGTCAAGATCGACGATGTGCTGCTTCTGCAGACAGTGGACGTGCGGTCGCGCGATGCTGTCGAAACCTGGATCGATGACACGGTGTATAAATTCGGGGCTCTGGACGGGGCAGCGAACCTCGCGGGGACAATCCCAAAGGACCAGAACGTCGGGACTATCGAGACACAATCGGACGAGGACTGGGAGTTTGTCTTCGGCGTCAATGTCTACGGGGTCATGAATTGTTTGAGAGCACAGATGAAGTATATCGGCAAGGATGGGGCTAGGAAAGGTGGCAGCGTCGTCAACGCCGGCAGTGGGCTGAGTCTAGAGGGTCGAGCTGGCACCAGTGCTTATACGGCCAGCAAGCATGCTGTTTTGGGGCTGACGCGGTGTGTGGCGAAAGAGGTCGGTCCAAGAGGTGTCCGCGTCAACTGTATCGCTCCGTGAGTACTCTTTATCAATTTCCATCGGTCTTCCCTCCCTTACCTTGTCCCACCCCTTATATACCCAGCTATATGTTAAATAAATCAGCGCTGACGGTTGTATCAAAACAGCGGATTCACGGAAACTCCGCTGATGAAACAATCACAGAGCATCGAGGGATCAGGCGAGAAGGAGGATGCCTCGACCACTGCGCTGGGGAGGTTCGCTCAGCCGCATGAGATTGCAGACACTATTGTATATCTCCTAGGCGACAGAGCCACCTTCGTTACTGGGACGGTCATTTGTGCGGATGGTGGATGGCACTGTTAAGATACTCGTTCGCGCCCACAAGAAAGCCAGGTGGGTGTGGCGCTTCACTGACCTGGTCTGTTAGTTCGGACTATGTTGTGTAAGTCGACTTACCGTACATAGCATGCGCTGCTAGAAAGACCAGTTTGTTGCTGACATCGTGGTATTATCGCTGAGATCTATGCAGAACCAAATTAACGGCATGTTATGTTGAGTATTGAGTTGGAAAGAACTGCTCATAGATGATATGAAGCAGGAAGAAAATTGCCGAGATTATGCCGGGAATAGCCGACGTATCAACCTTACCTCCGTGGGTACTCCGTACAGTACCTCGTATACCAGTATAATTACAACATTTTATTTCTCCAATGCCTTTTTCATAGCAAGACGACCATTCCAATTCTTCGTTTCAGGCACAGTATGGTCCACTAACATGATAATACAGCGTGAGATCGGGCTGCGCATCCCCCAGTGCCTCGCTCTGAGGTCCAAGTATGTTGTCGGTGTCACCGGCGCAGCTCGACAATACTCTGCTCCCCCCGATCCTCCTGTCCCAAGGACAGAGGAGCCAAATACCACCACCGTCTCCCCGCGATGGCTGACCGACACCAAGGCACGGATAGGCAAGTGCATATCGTTCGGCATGTCGCCGTCCCTCGTCGACTCGGCGGGCAACATCCTCCGCGAGCTGGGAACCGACTGGCGAAATCTAGTCGCAGGCAGTGAAGGCTATCTGACCTCCAAGGAAAGAGCAGGGCTGCACCGACAGGCAATCGTGTGGGGCGAGCAGGACTCGATGGGCCACGTCAACAACGTCATGTACGTGCGCTTCGCGGAATCCGGGCGGTGCAACTGGACGCGCAACATCGGACAGTACTTCGACCCTACTCACAAATCCGCGTGGGAGAATCTGCTCACCAACCGCGGCATCGGCCTTATTCTCAAGAGCATCACCGTCGAGTTCAAGTTCCCCATGACCTGGCCGGACCGCATCTCCGTTTATCACAAGCTGAGGTCGCGGCCGGACGAGAACACGCGGTCCATGGTCCTGGACGTCATGATCCTCTCCGAGGGCAAGCAGCGCCCTGCCGCCAGGTGTCTCGAGGACGTGGTCGTCTATGACTATAAGCTGGGGAAGAAAAGCCGGCTTGAGGCGTTCATGCTCGCCCAGTTCAAGCACATCTTCGATCTCCAGGAGGCCGCAAAGGTCGAGAATCTAGCTAAGATCCAGGTCATCGAAGGCCAAGTCCGCTTCCTTGAGACCCAGAGCTGGGATAGGCCTGGTGCGAAAGAGGACCTCGGCAGTGCTGTGCCGTCGTCGTGATGGTGTGATACGCTCTGAACAGTCCACCTTTTATCGTTGTCGGGACACATTTTGACGATCGCTTTTTATACCATGACACCTGATGGGGAGTGACCAATGATCATTCCCATAGATAGAATTACTGCGCTGGTGGCAGTCCCACGACTCCCTCGCATGTTTTGTCGCAATTTTCGAATCTACATGTTTATTGCCATCATGATCATCGCCTATCGAATCTGCGATGGGTGGCAGTGCTAGGAGTGGCATTTCGACCTATGGAGGGGCTTCTGAATGCGACTCCAAGTCAGGGCTGCTTGCTATCGCTATCAACGACGAGTTACTATTTACTTCAGCCCATCAGGCTCATATTTAGAGATTTGTGAATAACGTGACAAAAAGCCAAATCATTTACAGACAGCCTCGTGCTAACTCTGAATCTAGTCCTATCTCTGGGAATCGATTTGAAGACGGTAGGAAGAAATATAGACCTACATTTTCGTTACGGTCGCACGGATAGCTTAATTCATCTCATGAATAGGTCAGGTCGCTCCCCTCGTTTGGTCATGTTTCTGACTGGTGTGTACGGCTTTCTAGCACCAGGTCGTTTTTTGGGATAGTTGGTAGCTGCATAGCTAGCCCAGATTCTAAAGGAAAAACCATAAAAGCGAGATCTCGTCAGTGTTTCCAAGCCCCAAGCCCCAGCCAAAGCCCAACAGCAGGGGAACCCACATACGCTCTTTTTTGTACGAAGGCACTCCATAATTTACTCAGTACCATCTTTGTTGCTCTTCTTGATACTACCAAACCGTTTCTTCAGACCGCCGCTGAGTCTCTTGCCAATGCTACCACTCCGGTGGACTTGAGCTCCGTCATCATCCCAACCAGTGGTGGCAATGGTGCCACCTCCACTAGGCTCCCGGCTGTGACCGGTGCGGTGGTCCCGCGGATTGGTCTTCATTTCGATGCCGTCGCTCGCTGCTTTCTCATCGCGGATCTTGTGCTCTTTCAGAGCCTTCTCTATGCTGTAGCTCGGCTCGCCTTTGCCCTTGATGTCATCCGGGTGATATTGGACGCCCGGCCAGCGCTTGTAGGCACCACCACCGGCTTGATTATCGGTCATCATGTTGTCGCCTTCCTCGTAGGTGTAAAGGCGACCATTGCGATCGTAAGCACCCGGTGCATAGGCTGCAACGCCATCGAGCGGGCGGTGGTGCTGGACGCTGTCAATGATCTTTTCTTTGGGTGTTGCTTTGAGAGCTTCCTCATTGGAGTCTTTCAGGGCGGCTAGAGGAGAGTTGACCGTGTTGTTTCTTGCATACAGAGTTACATCATAGGGACCACCGTGGTGATAGGCACCGAGTCCACTGTTATCCAGAGAGTCGATGGTGTCAGGTCGGATGTGGTGCTTTCGAATCATGTGTCTGGCACGGTCTGCCTGGTGTTTCTCTTTCAAGAGCGTGTCCAGTGGTCGGTGGGACATGTCACCAGGATAGCGTTCTCCGAGAGAGCTGGTTCTTCGACGTCCAGACCTATTCTCTCCAAAGGCTTCTTGTCGGTGGGAAGGAGAGCGGGGAGAATGAGGCGAATTGAGGTTGATCGGTGATTGAGGAGGATATCTTCCGTTGGGAGAAGCGGCGGAAGGTGGTGGAGAAGGGTATGAAGCAGCTTTGTTGCTGCTACTGTTGAGTGACGCACTGCGCCGGACCTCGGAGGTCGTTGAGGTGGTACCTGGGCTTTTGCGATATGGATTGGTCTTTGACAGCCTTCGCCCTGGAGGAGACTGTGATGCAGATTGCTTTATTGGAGCAGCAGTAGCACCGGGGCGAAAGGCGTTGCCTGGGCCATCTTCTTGGAAAGGCTCAGGCGCATTGAGAGGGTCAAGAAGATATTTGGTGGCCTTTTAAGAAGCAAATTATGTCAGGCTCAGGTATGATTGTAGATAGACATGAAGAGTCATGCACATACCCAATCTTTATCACTGGTGGATTCCATTTCTGGGTACGCCTTTGATGGAGGCCAATGTTCGAGTTGGACAGCAGATAAATGTGCAAAGAGATTTCGGTGGGGAGAGGTGAGTCGCCGGCAATGTGGAAAGAGAAGTTATTCTCTAATCACAGCAGGTCGAGCTGATAATCGAAGCCAGATCAGAGTAGTACCTAAGATCAACAAAGACGACATCCAACCGAATGGGATGGAATCAAGGTGGAATCAGGTTAGTTTGAGCCTGGAGGAAGTACTCGTACGTGGGATGTGAAGCGAGGTGATCAAGCTGCCAATTGATGGGGCGGATGGGCAGATGTCATGGTGGATCTTTGGTGGAGGGCAGAGGGCCGAGGGAGCTTGGAATGATCAGGAGCATCCAATATTGCCCTACCACATGCCTGTTAAGTGGTGGCTAGCACCGCCTAGCAGGTCACTAGCGACCGCATAACTGGTGCCTAGAGAGTCAGGGACCCCTACAAGGCGGAACACGCCCCCCCAAATTGGGACCCTTGGGCATTTCACCATTTGCGAACGTCATACAGGTAAGGAAGCTGCCCAGCGGACTTCCACACACGGTAGGGAGGAACACCCGCACAAATGTTATGACCCGCACAGCACAGATTCACCACGTACTCAGTATGAGTAGTACTCCGTAGTATATTGTGCACTTCCTGACCCATCATCACAAAGACAAGACCCAACACAACGCGACGCGCAATCCCCCATCCCCATCTTCCATGAAAAACTCTTTTCCCGCCAGTAGTGTGAGCCTTTTGTCACTCATCCATTTCCTCCCGCCCGCTGCCGGTCTCTCACACGAGCGACTGAATGGTCTATTTCTCGGTAGCACCCCTGCTTGCATAACTTCTGTCTGAGACATTGTCTTCGTCGCCAGCATGTTTTGATATCAGACTTGGACTCTGCTACGGATGAGCCGTTGTGCTCACTCTCCTCCCATTGCTCCATCCAGGCTCCATTTCCAGGCTGTGCAAGCAGTTGATCACCGATGCAGAGGACTGTCCTCCAGACAAGCTCAGACGATCAGCTTGGCAGGTACGCAAGCCATCTCTGTGGCAGTCCAAAATGCTGGTTGATTATCCAGACTCGAGTTCTGAAAGCGATCTTGACAACAAGACAAGGATAAATCCTGCTCGAAAGCGAAAGGCTCAAGCCGAGCCCATGCAGGCGGCGGCCTCCAGGAGACCTCCTCCTCCTCCTCCTCCTCCGCCAACATTTCACTCGCTTTACACAGCTGCTGCTCGCACATCTACCTCTGATGATCCATCTTTACATGATGGCCGGACTCGTCAGATTCCGCACGTGGTAGGTAACTGGCCTACCCATGTTTATCTAGAATGGTATCCTGCGCCAAAAGAGGTTACACTTGTAGGCGATATCATCAGGCAGGCATCTCTCAAAATCAATGCAGTCAGAACCATATCTGGCGCGGAGACCTTGATCCATCCATTTCTCAGATCAGATCTTGGAGCATTACTCCCTCTTCATGTCAGTTTATCTGCCCCACTGGTGCTGAGAGCGGAGCAGAAGGCCCGCTTCCAGGAAAATCTACAGGCTCAACTGGAGCAATCGCATGTCAATTCATTTATGGTAAATATCGCAGGGCTAGAATGGGTCTCGAACCACGACCAAACGAGATTCTTCCTCGTCCTGAGGCTGAGTCAGCCCAAGGATGACCAATTAAATAAGCTCCTGAGTGCCTGCAATAAGTCGGCCCAGCAGTTTGGTCTGACACAGCTTTATGTTGACCCAGGAGAAGCCGGTCCACAAGCTGACAATAACGACCGAAGGATACCCGATCGGTCAAGTTCGTTTCACATCAGCATTGCGTGGACACTTCAGAGGCCCACCGAGGAAGCTACAGATTCGCTCTCTCAGTATGCTGTGGACCGCTGTCGAGAACTTGAGATTAAGTTTGACCGCCTCAAGTTGAAAATGGGTAACAACGTTTTCGATATTTTGCTCGACAATTGCAATAGCGGCCGCGACATCCCAACTGCAGTTGAATCCTCCCAAGAGTTCGTTGAACCTGCGTAATGCCAGCAGGATCCAACTGATTGAGACGAACCTCGGTCCTCTTGGGGAACAGTTTCTCTCTTGCTTCCAGCGGTGAAAGGGTTGAGAGAATCCTTCTTGCTGAGTGCCGATTTTGCTGAATGACGTGGTCCATGGAGAAAGCATTTGCACAATGAGCCGGGATCCCAATTTCCCTTATCGCAATCAGTAGCAGATTGCCACCTGTAGGCATTCATGGAAAGCACGCTGGACTTGAAAGGTAAGTCCAGCTCCACGGTGTTTATTATGGTGACCAGCCTCAGCTTTTCAACACCTTGTTTCTCTTTTCTCTTCGCTTTCTCCGCTCGACCAACTTTCTATGCATCTTCTCCGCCATCTTCTCATATCTTTCCTTCTCTTCTTTGGCCTTCCTCCTGTCTTTAATCGCCTGGATCTTTCGATTGCGTTCTAGCTCCCGCTCTTCCTTGAGCTCTGCTTCTCTCGCTTTAGTGGCCTGTTTGACCTTGTCTGCTTCCTTCCTTTTGGCATATGTTGTTTGGCCGCCAGTTGGCCGGAATGCGGTCTTTGGAGCATGCCAATTCTTTCCTGTAAATGGGATCAGTAAGGATTACCAGCAGAAGGCGGAAGACCTGGCCTACCATTAACTCGCTTGCCCAGCGATTTTGCAGCTGGTGGAGCTACTGCAGGCAAGGTACTGACCTCCGATGAGGCTGTAGTCATGGTTGATTCTTTGGAGCCGAGAATACTTTGTCGGGCAGTATTCTGGGCTGTCTTTTGACAGACTCCAGAGGCAGGGTGGCAGGACTCACATTGGAAGGTCGTGAAAAAAGACCGGAAAGCCTATGTAAAGGTGGTGGAGGTATTTTTGCCGATCTTATCTTATCTTAGCGTGGTCAAAGGATATTCCACTTATTCCCATTTCGAGTATTCCCGCCTCCCTCGAAAATATGTCGCGACATCGGCCATGCAGCTTTTGCAAAATTTTGTATTCTAGCCATGCATAGCGGGTCTTGTTGAGCCATTCAATTGTGCCCTTGTCGTTTTTCAATCCTTGGTCCTAGCCTCGATTAGCATTATCCCACCATTGACGTGGCGACCGCCATCACCCTTGCTCTGTTTGACACCGCTGCTTTCCTTCAAAACCGGCCCACACTTGTCTGAGGCATTCCTCGTATAAAACACAATATGTCCCTGCAATAACAACACCTCTCTGCTCCTGGACCCTTTATACTCCGAGCTATTTGTCGATCCTTGGATGGCAGGCTTCAAGGACGATGTGTCCGCCGTCAATGGTCTACAAGAAGCAAGCAGCCCAGCCAAACTCTCAACCGACATTCAGGTGCAGTCGAGCCAATCTATTGAGGCATTGAAAGATATCCTATATGGATCAACGGCAGGAATACTGGGGAAGTTTGTGGAATACCCATTCGATACTGTCAAAGTCCGTCTACAATCTCAATCACATCATCCTGGAGGCCAATCATTAGCAGGGCCATTCGATGCCTTTGCTGCTGCATTTCGAAGTCCTGAAGGCCCACTCGTGTCTCTGTACCGGGGAATTAGTGCCCCGTTGGTAGGCGCGGCTGTGGAGACCTCTTCACTGTTCTTCAGTTATCGGGTTGCCCAGGACTTGGTCATTGCCAGCACCCCCTCCTTGCGACGACAGCGAGAGCAAGGAAATGAGAAGGTCGAATTGCCCATCTCTGCCCTTCTCGGTTGCGGTGCCGCCTCCGGTGCATTCACATCGCTCCTTCTCACCCCGATTGAATTGATCAAATGTAAAATGCAGGTCCCAGCGACTCCTCATATGGCTTCAGAGCTGGGTTATTCCAACCCGAAGCCACCAGGTCCATTGCAGCTCATCCGGGCAGTATTCAGGAACCATGGCCTGCTGGGTTTCTGGCATGGTCAGCTGGGCACTTTGATACGAGAAACTGGCGGCTCGGCAGCATGGTTTGGCTCTTATGAAGGCGTGAAAATGTTATTCCTCCGAGCGGATTCCTCGCTTTCAAAAATATCAGACGTCAAGGTCTGGCAACAAATGCTTGCTGGTGCTGCGGCAGGCATGTCGTACAATTTCGTCTTCTATCCCGCAGACACTATAAAATCTCGCATGCAGACTGCCACTGTTGACACCGTTGGAGCAAAGCAGATGAGCTTCGTCACCACAGGCCGCCAACTGTGGCACGAGCAGGGTTTGAGGGGTTATTACCGTGGCTGTGGCATCACAGTTTTTCGATCTGCACCTAGCTCTGCTATCATTTTCAGCATTTACGAGGCATTACGACGATATTTTGGCTGAGGATGTGTATATCCCTGCATTTAAAGCAAGACTAATTTTATCGAGAGAGAATCTTGTTCAGGTGTACACTCATGATGGATCCTCGAAAAATCCAGCCAGCACGCCTGGAGCTTCTGTCTGGATGTCATCTCTCAAGTGGATAAACAGACAAGAGCCGTAAAAACACTATCTAGGACATGGCTCTGGTTGATCTCTTGCCCACCACAACCAAGGACGATGAGGTACTGTGAACGGCAGCGGCAAGCACACCATATTCACGCTGGTTCGCGTGCGATTCCTCCATCAGTAAGCCCAGATCGGTTTCGTGCGGGCTCGAACATTCACCTGCCCAAGATCCCATGTTGGGAGGAGAAATGAACCAATTAAAAGCTGCAAGGACATGCAATGAAAGCAACTACGCCCACCAAAACGCGGCAGATGCGTGGGAGAGCTTCGTGATCCCTCCCATGTTCTACAGCATGTTACAACACTCTACGTGGCATCAGCCACGCAAGACCCTACCTTCCCATCAACCGAGTGACCGTCGTAGATAATACCGGCATGGATTCTTGAAGAGCCTTCAAGTCAGCCGGGGAGTCTCGTGTTCGTTCATATGACCATATTCGAACCCAGATGCAGGCTATGAAAGACGGATCTCGACCCGCAGGGCAGCTCAGTCACGACTAAAGAAGATAGAGTCCAGAACTAAACATCTCATGGGCACATGGCGCCCACAATCACAAAGACTCCGTCCTTTTTACCTTATTGGTGATCATATCTACAATCCTCTCGGGCACATCTGTACCCTTCATAGTCTCACATTTCTCCTTAGAATCCACCGTGCCCACCATGCCCACGTCCACCATGTTCGTGTCCGCCGTGTTCGTGTCCGCCATAGCCACCGTTGTGACCATGCTCATGACCCTCATAATCTTCATCTCCGCCGTGATGATCATGCTGGTCACCATAGCCGTCCTCCCCATAATCCTCGTACTGGGGCTCGTCTTCGTATCCTTCTTCGCCGTGCTCATGCTCCTCACCGTGCTCGTCGTAGTGTTCATGTTCATCTTCACCTTCTCCTTCCCTCTCGTGCCAGTCTTCTCCCCCCTCCTCCTCGCCTTCTTCGCCTTCTTCACCATCTTCCTCATCCGAGTCCGAGTCTGTATCATCCTCTGACTCCTCTCCCATTAGGTCGTGTCGATAGGGCAGCTTCCGAGGACGTTGGCCGCTTTCCTCGTCGTGCTGGTCGTGCTGGTCGTGCACATCGTCCTCATCGTCCTCATCCATGAATTTGCCCTTCTGCGCGTGTTTAAACGCCTTGTAGCACTGACGCACGCCTTCATCCTCCGGTTCGAGGTTTCGAAGCTGTTTCGCCAGTCGCTTCAGGTTCCGTAGAGTCCGGCGCAGTGCATTTTGCCGAGTTTCTTCATCGGCTAAAATGGGTCAAAACAAATACAGTCAGTCAATGTTATTGTGAGGTGTTCCTTCGTTTCCCTCGTCGAATGATCCCCTGAGGCCTCGATTCTCTAGTCCTAGAGTCGAGGAGAATCAAGTAAACCCCTCAAAAAGATACAACCAAATACTCGCTAGGGGTCTGTTTTCGCTCTAACCAGTCTGACTGCTCACCTTCAGGATCATCGTGTTCCCGCTCGTACTCGTCAAGGTACATCTCTATCTCGGCGACAATACTATCACGGTCGTGGTGGTCATGCTCCTGATGCTCCTCCCCCTCGTCACCGTTGCCATGTTGGTCCTCGTCACCGTAATACTCGTCCTCCTCTGCGTGATATCCACCCTCGTCACCATGGTATTCGCCCTTGTTGCCGTGGGTGTCATAATCACCATCATCGTATTTGTAGTCGTGATCGTCGTGTGAATCGTTATACATCATTATTTCTTCGAAGAACTGGGATACACGGAGCTTCTTGATTGGATTTCGGTATGCTCGAGAGTTGTGCCTTGAGATCCAGAGGTCGGCTATCGTGAAGAATGACCGAAGAGGTGTCCGCTACCCCAAATGCGTGATGATCTTAGGTAGGAGAACTACAGTAGGTGTCGCCCTCACACCCAATGTAAATACAGAGATAGATAATCTTCCCAAGTGTCCCCTCCTTGGTGGCTTTCGCCGGTCTCGCCAAATGCATATATTTGGAAAACCCTCTGCCTATGCGACCCCAGCAGAAGCTGACAGGAGGGTGAGGTAAGTCCGCACTATCTTTTTTTCGGTTCATTCCTTCCACCGCCCCAATCGATTTGATTCAATGCAGCATGCATTTGGGATTGGTATTTCTGCTTCGATCATTCCTTACCTCGGTAGTGGCGTGAACATGACAAACGGCAGTACCGACACCATGATTTTAGGGTTGACATGAGATGAGATGACATGTCTAACGCGACAAACCAGGGAAGGAGCTCTCATTCATGTGCCCATCAAGTTGCCAAGACGAAGAACGTGTCACCCACCTATGAACATTGAAGACAAACGGCGAGATCTTACTCCCATAGTAGTTCATACTTCAAGTAGCATAAATCAGGTGGAGTCCGAATCCCCATCAATCAGCACTAGCCGCATCGAGATAATGGTTCAAGTAATATCAAGTCAGAGGCGATTTATGAGGTAGTCGGGGTGGCTGTTGCCAAGATCCTGGGGCCAAGAGAGAACTACTATTGTAACTTGGGAGAAGGAGTCAGAGTCCCATTACTAGGTCTATTCAGTACCTGGTTATCCATGGAGAAAATCTTGTCCATCATAACGACGAATTATATAGTTAGTACATGTCATGTCAGACAGGACTGCGAGATGGGGCTCAGCGCTTGCTTACCAAGGTATGATAGCTCTTGATGATAGGCACGCACACCAGCAATCAGCCGTTCGAGAAGGGCAGGACCTGTTGATAGTGTACCATTGCAAGTGAGAATTCCAACTTTGCCATCGCACTATTAATATTTATCGTCAGCCCCCTTTCCCCTAGCGTTTCAAATGTCTTCGCCGACTTTTTAACGTCGGTTTGCCCGCATGGATCATGCCAGTCATCAGAGACTCAGATTTACTACCTTCTTAGATATGTATCCATAATAAGAACGAGCCTCTGGTTATTATTCTTGTCTGAGGGTTCCTATTTCTGGCACGGAAGGACGGGGCCAAAGATGTATCCTTCTCTGTCATCGATATGGCTGCACGTGCCAGCGGCGGTATTCATCTGAGTGCTTGTCATATATGGGAGTTCAATCCTGTCACACTAGGGAAGTGGCGTTCTACATGATATGAGCGACGTGCTGCTCTTCCCCCTTTTGGACCACTTGCTTTGTATCATCTGTCGAGCTCTTCTGTTATACTAGCGAACAGGACATCTCAGGATGTCTCAGAATCCCCCCCTTCCGCCTCAGCCTTCTCCGGGAGTTGCATTTGCAAGAAATCCACCACCTGGCAATCCGCCAGTTGCCAACCCGCAAGTCCCGCCGACTGGCCCACGTTTTCCAAATCAGCAGCCTTTCATGGTGAGACCGTCACCAATACTCCCTTCGGGTCAAGTAAGACCGACAGTTAATGCCGTTAGTATCGATAGGGATGCGACATGGGAGTAAGTTCAGGCGCATCTCTGCAACTGGGACATTCCCTTGCTAACACTTTCAGTGTCTATGCGATACACGGATTGAACAGTGATGTCGGAACGTGGATTGGTAAACCCAGCGGCTTCAACTGGTTGAGGGAACTCCCGAACTACCTCCTTTCCAAAAACGGAGAAAAAGTCAACACATACACAATCGGCTGGAATACTAACCCTTTAAGCCCAGCAAACATATCAACAAAAATCATGGACAGTGCGAAGTTCGTTGCGGATGCAATCATCGGAGTAAGAGGAGAGAGTCCGGTACGTTGCCACAGTTATCCAAATATATGCAGACGGGGTTTGTGAGTGCTGATCTTTTGTTGCAGAGCCTAGCCGGGAAAAACCCGGGCAGAGTTCCGAGGAAAGTCATCATCATTGGACATAGCATGGGTGGTATTCTGGCCCGAGGTGTAAGTCACCATTGTAGCCCTGATGCAATTCATCTCTTCACTTCATTTTGATGATTGATCTAACATGAGGTGTTGCAAAGGTATTGGGTTTCATGCACGCAGATCAGCTCGCAAGACCAAGGATTGTTGAATCTGGTCAGGAGGCTGAGTTTGGTCTCCCTGAACATCAAGCAACACCAACAGCTAGTCCTTACATTGATTTTTTGAGCTCCGTCAAAGGTGTAATTCTTCTAGCATCACCATCTGCAGGTTCCAGCATTGGAAAATGGGTTGGGGGAATTTTGGCCGCAGCGGCCGGATTGCCGGGGGGGCCTAGCCACATCAACCGGTCACATATACTGGCTCTCAGACCAGGTGTCGATGAGTTGGGCGAGATCAGCAACTCTTTTGAGAGATACTGTAGGTGGTACGTGTCCAATGTGAGACGACAACTCAAAGTACATGCACACCGCGAAACGAAACCACTACCAGTAATCGGCATGGTACGTCAAGGCTGATCTGCAGGATATAGCCGCGAAGCTAATCCACGTCTTTCTTCAGGTAGTGAACCCGGAATCCGCAGATATCCCGAAAAACATTTTGGCGTGGGTCGACCACAGGACCGATGATCTTATGGGTCTAAATCATATGGAGGTAACTGGTTACAATTCCATGAATGATCGAGAACTGCAAAAAATACTATCCTCCTTTGTGGAGATGCAAACGGCAGGATTGCAGGAGAGCCTCCCTCTGCAGCCTCCTTCTCAGCAGTCTATCGATCCACGATTCGCGCCATTGCCTGTTGGAGGGTTAAATACAGCACCCAGGGAAATCCAGGTTCCTCGCCGTGGAGGAGCACCACGTGGCCGGGGAGGAGCAGTAATGCCTCCACCTTCTCAGTTACGAGGTATGACGAGCGGGCTTCAGCAAGGTGGTCAACCTGGTCAAGCTGCAGCACAAGGGCAGTTCCCCTCATACGATCCACAGTTTCCTTGAAGTACTTCGGTCGATAGATTCAGCAGGGTCTCCCTTTGGCTGCCTTCGCAGTTTGTGTATGATATTGAAAACCAGAGTCCATAATGTAACATGATGTCCGATGAAATTCGACGTAAATAATTGAGGCTGTTTCGGTTTACGTCAAGCTTCTATGATTGGAGGTCGAGCGGGTGCTCACTGATAGATCTAGTGAGTAGATCAACATTATGTAAGGAGAAGCAATCCCCCTTGGGCCTTCAGAATATCTTCCCAATCGACGACAATTTCGGGATCGTGTTTTAGGCCAGGATGCTCTCGTTTGCGGCTCCACAACTCTTCAAGGACCTCAAGCGCGGAAAGAACGTTGACGAAATGTCTCTTTTCAAGGATCATCCTCAAACGCATTCGTATCATCTCGAGTTGACTGGCCTCCGTCGGATCAACCTCGCCGCCAGCCATAAAAAGGGGAAAGAGAAGTGCCGACTCCGGAACGTCATTGAGCGGGATCTTTGCTACATGTGCCAGTATCTGATTTGCCTGATACTTCAAACCCGCACTGATGGATGATATCATATCATCCATGAACTCCTCGGTAGGGATGGTGTGATTCATCGCTTGGCCGAGTCTTAAAAGACTACGGATCCGTCGATAGACATGAATGAGAGCTGCGCTGCGGTACGCGTATGCTACAGCAGCCAGTTCAGGTTTTGCTGAGGCATCGCATCTCCAAGCATGCAATTTCCTTTTGACTTCGAGATAAGCCTCCAAAGATGTTGTGAATTGTTGCTGCATAGAAAACAGAAGAGAATCTTCAGGTGCCGTAAGGGTGAACAAGCTATCATGATCAAAGGAGCTGGCTTCGGATATAAAAGTGAGGACCTCTGAAGCGACTCCTAGATAAGTGTCAACCACATCTGTAATGCCTTCGAGGTAGTCGGCGCTAATCAAAGGAGGTCGGCCCAATGTCACGCTACCGAGGACATCATGGTACGCGAAATTGCGCAACACCCACTGTCCTTCGGGGCTCTGCTTGAAGACCTCTGGGCCGGTCAATATTGTATTTCCACCGATTGCAGTGTGCTTGGCGGACTCAATGATATGTTTGGCACCCAGCAGGTGATTGTACCAGCCAGCTCGATCGCCTTGACAGACTTCGGAAGTCAGAAGGACTAGACATGCAGCGGTGTTCGTCTCGTGACATGCACTGCTATCCAACGGCGAGGCCACTGATTTCGCAAGTGCGTGCAGGGCCATCGACCTCGCCTCAAGGGCCGTGGTCTCGTAAGATGCGTCAACACTGGCGATATGACCAGATGACCACGCGACCAGTGCCTCAGAAAGGACTTTCGACTCCATCGCCATCGGGAGGTAAGCTACATAGGTTGAATGGCTCAGAACTACGCTTATAAAAACACTTTCAGGACGGAGGCTTACCAGACAGAAACGAGTTGTGTTGCTGAGATATCGACAAAAGCCCCGTTAAAATACTGACGTAATGTCTCATGATATGTCTCCTCGTGAGCAGATCGATGCCTCCATGTGGACGTAGTGGCTCCCAATTCAACGAAACATTCGTGATTGGCGGTGAGTATGATGGCGTGCTGGAGGTTGATCCTGGTAGAGGGACAATCTGGCGAACAGGTTCACGAATGCACTCGAGGTTCAGCCGTTGACAAGTACCACAGGTCGGAAACCTGTTATCGGAGCACTTCTTTCTCCTGAGAAAAGAATTAGACTCGGGCGCACGAGACAAAGGAACCAGACGGGATGAAAACATCCTCACCTGTAGCGGCAGGTCAAACAGCCAGTCTTGTCATGCTTCGAGCCCTTCCTTTTCCTGACCACTTCATTCTTCTTTCCTTCCATGATCAGAATATTGAATGTATACCGTCACTGTCGACTTTGATTCAGCAGATTCGTATGACCATACCTCAGACCATTCTTCAGGCATGTCCTTGATTTTTCCTGCGCTGACACACGGTTTTCCTGGATAGGCGAATCATCCTTGGGCTTCTGTGAAGGTTCTGTGGATGCTTATACAGCAATGAACAACAAATGTGTGCAAGATAGAGCCAGGATCCAACGAGGAAACGAAGGGTTTGTCCTTCGAGGCGGGGTTAGCACTTGAAAAGACATACTCTTGCTCTCGACAAATGTCGGCTTTCCAGTCCGCCGAACCTACTCCGTAATTAGTCTCTGTAATTAATTAGTATCTGTAATTAATTAGTTTCTGTAATTAATTAGTCTCTGTAATTAATTAGTCTCTGTAATTAATTAGTCTCTGTAATTAATTAGTCTCTGTAATTAATTAAGCCTCGAAGTGAAGCCGAAAGCGGATTAGTGGCTTGGCAAGGTCGACGTCGACCTTCCAGGCTCGTCAATCTTTCTAATTCTTTCCCTTCATCAATCATGCGAAGATAATCGATAATAAAAACTTTACAAGTGACCAATAGAGAGGTCGCGTGTTCAAGATCTTTGAACCATAATACCTTTATTTACATCAGATCGTGACCAAGTTAGGTGCCTGCTTCAGAGTCATCCCAATAAACCAAAAGGTGGAAACATCTCGTCTCAGGTCTGCTTCTAGAACAGATCCATTGCTGAACTTGGACGTATGGTCAGACGCTTATTGGCTCAAGAAGGTCAAGATCCGGAAAGCCCTCCCAACAAGGATCAAATCGCGCATCCATCACGTGCCTGTCGCGATCAGGGCGGCCCTGGACTCGTATCTCATTCCCCAGTGAAGTGGTGCTGATTCTTAACCCATCCCGTTCCAGCTGGGTTTGGCAGTCCCGAATAAGCTTCTGGAGATCCCTCTTGATCTGTTCGTATTTAGACTGGCCTTCCTCTTGTGGGAGGACAGATGCGAAGACAATGTTAAGGTAGATGAGGTCCTTCAGATTGGCTTTGGTGCGAGACAGGCGCCGTATCATGGGCTCTAGGGTCTCCTTCACTGAGGACATCAAGCTCTCTCTTGTGAATAGTGATACTCTCGAAGTATTGTCGATCTTGCCCTCGGTCGAGGTACGAGCATCAGGACTCTCTGACTGCACTTGGGGCAGCGATCCCACTCTTTTGATCTCTGAGCATAGTCCAAGTATTGCCTGTCCCAATTCGTGCCTGTAAACGCTGTGAAAGAAATCCCAATAACCTTGAGGTCGAGGCACGTTCAATTCAGAGAACTGAGGATCAAATAAGTCTTGATAGTTGGTGACCATGAGGTAGCTTTGGAGGAAGCCTGCTCGTGCTTCTTGTGGGATGTCTTCAGCATTGAATGCAGAGGTGAAACACGAGTACAGATACATCAAAGGTCTTCGAATGCTAATGTCCAACTCCATGCGAGCCATCAGTCGAGGAGAAGTCTTGCTTCGTTCGTCTCCCATGTAAGTGAACCGTAAAGGGGGGGGGAGATTTTGTAGCTCCTTCTCCATATATCTGGTGTCTCCCAAGAGTTCCTCGATCGTGAATTCAGTAGCGCTTTCCATTTTCTTGCATGCAGCAAGCCGATGTGGGAACGACTTTGCAAGCACGTACTGACATAGGCCGTCCGTCCACAGCTCTGTTGGGCGGGAGGGTGGCAGTACTTCCATGCCCTCATATATCTCGTCGTCATTGATGTTTCGTGGAGGCCGACAGGTGTACGGAGGTACCATACACGGCAACCTGCAAAGCTCTGACAACATCAGATCAACTTCCATGATCGTCATCCAACTTCTCCTCCTCAACTCCCCTTCATATATACTGACCCCAGGCAAGGTGGTTGGATCTTGATCCATCCTCATCACAAGAGCATCTCTTATGATCTCTCCACTGAGACCAAATAAATCGACAAGAGGGTCCGAGCCCAGCCATCGACACATTACAGTCAACATCTTCACCTGCAAAGCCGGAAGCTGATATCTCTGAACGCCCTTCAAGCCTAGAGAGAAATCCTCCATGAATTTGACAGCTCTGCTGTGCTTGATGAGAGAATACGTGGATGCCTCTTTACACTCCTCGTGCGTGCCGAGAAGAGTGCCGATAGCCAGTGCACCTACAAGCTGTGGAAGGAACCCGAAACTGCAAGCATCTGGTCCTAGGCCATCAGTGAACAAGATGCCTAATTGACGTCTAAAATCAGACCAACACAAAATCCGAAAGCAGTGCTCCATGTTGTCAAAGTACAAGACCGCCAGCCGCTCACATACCCGGAAGGGGGGTAGGTCGAGTGGGAGGCGTTCAGTCGCTGGTCCTGGGTCATTGTCGGCTGGCAAGCTCTGGTCATGAGTCTTCAAAGTACGTTGCAAATTCTCCAAATCATCTCGGATGCGTATCAATTCAGGATCATTATTGCGATTTTGTAAAGCTCGCATGAATTCGCAAGCGTCGGAGAACTAGTTGCATTTGTTAGTTGGGACAGCTTATGACATCTGAGACTAGCATCCAAATGACTTACTCGAGAATCAACACTACCATCAGCGACGAGCTTCTGAGCTGCTCCCAAGAAGACATTGTGCTCATGTTGCTGCGCAGAATCATGAAAAACCAACACCTGCTCTTCTTTTGGATCTTGTGCAAGCAGAGCGGTTTCTAATTTGGCGACCCTTGCTTGGAGATCTTCGATAATACCTATCTTAGCTTGTTGCATACGTTCCACACTAATGCCATTGGTGCTGGGCAGGAATACATGGCCATTTTGCTCTGATGGAGACTGCGTTTGATGTCGCTTCGGATTCGCGTTCGGGGATTCAGCCGTGTCGGGCTCTGAACCTGGCTGATACTGGCATCTCCCTGGACGTCCAACTTTGAGACATTGTTGGCAGGGGTGCGTGCGATCGCATTTAAGCTTCTTCCGTCGACATTCCAGGCAGGAGATCACTGGTCGAGGTCGCTTTGCTGAATGCGTTACGGGACCTCCGTAGTTGGACGGGTCCATGCCACAAATCGCATGGATGCTTAGGATCCACGGTCACTCGTTAGTACATCTTGATAGCCTGATATCTTGCAATGTCTGACTCAATGCTACGTGGCCAATCCTTCGTCTTCAATGGTGCATGTCCATTGCAACTCAACGAATTGGGGCTGAAAATAACCCAATGAAGTTCTGTTGTGTTGGTTACATATGTAGTGAAACGGATGAGCCTCGGTATGTAAGAACACAGTGGAAAATATATTCTTGTCTGACAGTCACACATATCGGAGGATGAAGTGAGATAACAACCACCTTGATGCCTTAACTGGGTCTGAGACCAATTGTCAGACATCATGCAGCTCATTGTGCAGACGAAGACAACCTGACTGTCGGGATAAATCGACATATTTGCTCCGGTTGTTTAACTGCGTAGTACTGGACCACTGGCGTCTCTAGTATATATAATTCTTATGGCTTATGCCCCTCAAACTTTATGCATCACCCAGATCCATTCCTCCTTTCAGTCCGAGCATTTCGGTCTTCAAACTATCTTTGCCGCAGACTAGGCAGTTCTCCAACGAAGATGGATCCAAAATTACTAAAGATTATTCAACTAATCGAATCCAAGAAAAAGTCCTCTCATCCATGGGAGCGACAGAAACGCTTTGAACAGCCGTACTATTCGTATGCGACCCAGGAGAAGACATGGAAGGAGACTTCAGCCAATGTCACGACAAAAGCATCACAGCCGACATCGAAGGTTTCAATATTGTCCTGGAACATTGATTTCATGCTTCCGTTCACGGATGAGAGAATGGTGGTTGCATTGAAACACTTGGAGTCGCATGTCAGGGCCAGTTCAAACCCGACCATCATTATGCTTCAGGAGATGCTGGTGTCGGATTTAGAGTTGATTAAAACCCAGCCATGGGTGACGTCGGCTTACAACATCACGGACGTGGATGACAGACACTGGGAGAGCGGACACTACGGAACAGTGACTCTCATACCACAATCTCTACCCATCACCTCGGTCTTCCGGGTTCACTATGAGCAGACCGTGATGGAGCGAGATGGTCTTTTCGTAGATGTTGATGTCGGAAACGGGCAGACCATTAGAGTCTGCAACACTCATCTCGAATCATTGGTTGCCGACCCTCCCAAGCGGCCGCATCAGCTCGCCACCGCAGCAGAGCATATGCATGACCCTGTCATTAGTGGCAGTGTGCTGGGAGGTGACTTGAATGCCATACAGCCATTCGATCGAACCCTTCATTCGGACAACAATCTTCAGGATGCCTATCTCGCCCTAGGCGGAAAGGAAGACAGCAATGACGGCTATACGTGGGGCCAAATGGCTCAGGTCAAACTGAGAAATATGTTCGGATGCAGCAGAATGGATAAAATATTCTTTGTTGGGAATTTGAAAATCGAGAGTTTTGAAAGAATCGGAGCAGGTGTGGAGGTCGAGGATCAGAGTGTGAAGGACAGCCTGATCAAGGAGGAAGGCTTAGATGGTGGGTACGTGACCGATCATCTAGGGGTGAAGGCGGATTTTAGTATTATCCCCGTGGGCTCCTCTGGTTCAAAGATCTAAGATACATATGAGTATTCGCACTACTGATGACTGCGGCTTGGGGGCCGGAGAACTATGAAGACGATGATGAAGAAGCGAGACCGGATCCCAAGTTTGCCTGCTCTATCACACCATCCATGATACTCCTTCCACTTATGACGCTTGTAGTGCAGATGACAATTTTCTTCCGCTGTCCCGATTCAGCGACTTTCTTAGATATGAATCTTAGAGCTGCCACCTCAGTGAATGTTATCCCGCCCAGGAACATGACAAAGATAGTCTTCCAGCCCACCGCTCCTGAAAGAGCAACTCTTGCTTTAGCAGCCTTCTCATCGGTCGCCTTTTGGACGACATTAAATGTAGGTCCCTTGGCCGACTTGAGAATATCTTCAAAACCTGTCCATCCAGTACTAGTGGGTGTCAGTGGTAGTGGTGACTTGTGCAGAGACTGGAGGTACTGCTTCTGTAGAACACACTGCACTATCCTGACGCTGAGCGGTGCATAGCCAGAGTATACATAAGCCACGTCTTCGGGATCGTTTTCATTGTACTCATCAACGATAAGTCTCAGTTCTTTACGAAGGTACGCATAATTAGTCTTAGTTCCCTTTTCGGACTGAGACGAGCCACCCCCAACGGGAAGGAGAAGGGCTGAAGCTGACGATCGAGGTTGCAGGAGCTCCATCTTCTCTAATGCATCCAAGGTCAGTAGATGCTGATAACCATAGGCGTGTAGGATCTGCCTTCTAAAGAAATCCAGATCCTTAGGTCGAAGGCCACCGGCGATTGTGGATTCAAGACATAGCAAGCGGAGGACATTGCTCAATGGAACATCGCGTGACATGAGTTCTTCAATTGTATCATGTTGATAAATCGGATCTGTCCCTGCGGCAATGTTCTGCTGCACTTCAAGCTCTCGTGTAAAGATATCGGATCGTGTATGCTTCGTCATATCGTCCGCGAGATTGGTATGCACAGCGAGAGATTGATGTTCTTGTTGATACCCGGGTAGCCTATTGACAAATTCTCGTAGTTCATTAATGCCTCGAGCGCTGTGCCGACCTTGATAATCTGATTCGAGACGACGAGCTATCTTGTTCAATGTTGGGCCGATAAGAGCAAAATTCGAGGCACGGAGCTCGGTGTAGAGGTGGTCGGATGAGTCTAGCTGAATCTTCCGCTTCAAGCCCTGGCGGACTGTCGGTGGAGGAGATGTCGCAGACGATGCCCCTGCTTGTGGGCGTTGCTGAGGGGCGGCTCCCACAATTGATGAGTCAACCTCTGCACGATTATGCTTGATGCCGACTAATTCATCAACCAAACCCTCATATGTCAGTTGTGTCAACATGGGAGTGGCAAAGTCAACATCACGATCGATGATAATTAGCTGCTCGATAGTTGTGCTGGGCATGCTCGTATACTGTGTGGAAGCCTCGTCCGCATCAAGTTCTTTACGTTCTCGAAGGAGAAGATTTGCAAGCCTCCTCGCGTTGTCGCCCTTACCGAGAATTCTTGGGAATAGACCATGCCGCTGTTGGATCTGCATAAGCGCTTTCGAAGCAAGATATAGCGGAGATGGATCATGTTTCTATCTCTGAATTAGACCTGGGGCTGATTGAGGACACTCTGCCGAGAAAAACTTACCAGGTACAAGTCATTGAAAGCACTATCGAGCTCTAAGGAGAACATGTCATCTTCCAGAGGCAGGAAAAACAACGGAAGCTCCGAGATGTTGACATCTCCAAGCACGCCCTCAGCTTCTAAGACTTTGTTGGACACCAAGGTTCTTCGAGGAACCCAGAAGATTGAAATTTCATGTTCAACTGGACTATTTCTTTGGAGCTTCTTGACCTGTTCTAAAGCCGATGCATATCAGTATCTGCGAACAACTTTGTGCTCCAAAGCAATGACAGAGCAGGAAAGGCATTATGAGTGAGATACAAATGGGGTTAATGTTGGGAGCTAGACTGATAGCGTAGAGTAGAGCAAACTGAGTCGACGCAGTCTCTTTCAAGGCACCATCCTAGGTTCTGGGAATGAATCACCATATCTTACCTGCTACAGCCTGAACAAGGCTGGCCTTTTCCCCATGAACGAGATATACAATGTTTCGCTGCGAAGAATCGGTGTTGCCATTTTCGAGCTCAAACACTTTGTCTACCCCATATTCCTTGAGAGTAGAAAATTGGACAAACAGCCCCAACAGACCTGTCAAATCTTTCCCGACCACAAGATTCTTCTTGCCGCGGACCTGTCCATATATTTAGCAACGAGTTTGTCACGAGTCTACGCTGGCTGCCTTACTCACGCCTTCAAGTAGCCCGAGTAGCTCCTTTCTCGCTTTGTTGCGGATATGCTCTGCTTCTTTGTTTAAGTTCGGGGCCATTGGCCTAGTGTCGGTGAGAATCCTCCGGTATCATTCCACGGAGGTTACTCAATATGTAGCAGCTTGGATTCAAGAGAGATACGAAGTACACGAGGCTCATCGAAAGACGATTTGGTGATATATTTGCCAAGACCTCTCGAACCAGTGACGTCTTCGACACGTGATGTCTTTGGCCGAGGCCTTCGGAGCCTTCCTGCGATTCTCCGTGCCTAAAATCAGCCCCCGCCAGTTGGGCTAAATTCCCAAACACCGCCCACTCAGCCACGGCCTCCGCGTTTCAGCTTTGGCAGGCTGCATAAAACTCCTGTGGCCAGCTCCCTCGGTGTCAGCGGCATCTTCCTCATATTGACACCCAGAACGTTGACTCTACACACACTGATTCCTCACCAACGACAATACGTCAAAATGGGCAAGTTCAGTTTCAAGAAAGGCGACGATGATGACAATGATTCTTCCCGAAATGCTCTTTTCGGTTCCCGATCCTCGAAGAACAAATCCCCCGCTCCCCCTTCACAGAATCCATATGCACAGACTGCAGTCCCTCCAGACGCTTATACAAGGGCTAAAATGAGCGCGGGAGTTGCTCAACCGCCACCTGGAGGTTTTCAACAGGGTAACTACGGTGGTGGTCTTCCGGCTCCTGGCCAGCAGAGACCTGGCTACGGCGGCGGCAATCCATATGCGGGGGGGCCTCCAGATCGTTACGGCAGTGATAACAAATATGGACAATCACAGGGTGGTCAGGGGGGCTATGGTGGTGGTTCTGGGGGAGGGTTCTCTTCTGACAAGTTCGGCAACCAGAATGGATACGGCGGTGGTAGTGGCGGCAACCCCTACGCGAGCGCTCAGCAGACTGGTGGAATGCTGCGGCAAGGTGGTTATGGAGGTCTGGGACCTAGTAACGCTACTGAGCCAGACAGCAACAGAGACGAACTGTTTGGCGGAGCACGTGAACGAGCTGAGCAGAGACCACAAAATTCTGCTGGAGGGCCCCCTGGCTATCAATACAATAACCCCGACGGCAATGCGGGCGGTGATCGAAGTTACGGAGCATACGGTGACAGGCAACTTACAGCGGAGGAAGAGGAGGAAGAGGATATCACAGCGACGAAGCAAGAAATCAGATTTATGAAGCAACAGGATGTGGCATCAACACGTAACGCTCTGCAGATTGCCGCACAGGCGGAAGAGATGGGTCGGAATACATTAGCGCGGCTAGGTGCTCAAGGGGAGCGAATGCACAACACCGACCGGAATCTCGACATTGGAAACAACCACGTCAACGTTGCCGAAGATAAGACGAAAGAACTTAAGACGCTGAACAGGAGCATGTTCGCGGTTCACGTCAATAACCCATTCACGGCGAAAGATCGACGGGCCCAACGTGACGAGGCGATTATGGACCGACACCACCAAGAGCGTGAGCTCCGCGAGGCGTCGCGAGAACAAGCATTCCGTAGCACGCAGAGGATGAACCAGAATTTCAAGGGCCTAGACGAGGCAGGTGCGGGAACCAGGACCAAGACCAGCCTCGCCGAGCGAGCGAAGTACCAGTTCGAGGCCGACTCCGAGGACGAGGGGATGGAGAACGAAATTGACCGCAACTTGGATGACTTGACCGGTGCAGCCAAACGCCTCAATCTACTCGCCCGTGCCACGGGAGAGGAGGTCGAACAGCAGAACAAGCTAATCAACCGCATTGCTGAAAAGGTGAGTGTTCCCCCCCCCCCCCCCCAAGAACGAAAGCCTTCCGCTTGTAACGTGCAGCATGCTAATATTGATGACAGAGCGACAGATTCGACGACCGACTGGTGTTCCAGACCGAGAAGTTGAAGAGAATCCATTAAAGAATCACCTTTGGAACGATTATTGTTGGGTAACGCCTGAATGGTGCTGCAGCAATAGACATGAAGCGGACATCTGGAGTTTTGGGAGCATGACCGAATTTTGCATAGCTGCCCTGAGGGATGTATTTTCCATTTTCCACTCTGCAGCGAGTTCCGCCGCTGTTGGTTGGCTGCTTCAACGGTACATATATCCGTGGACAATTGTAGCAAGAGCGACAGAAAATTTGGTGCTGTCAAGCTCCAAAGATGATGAGATCGGCGAGAGAAAGCAACCCTTATTCGATTATTACCTCGGTATTGACTCACGATTTCCTTACTGTTTTCCTCTCCTCAACACGGAATACGGAGTATTTCTCCATCGACTGGGGTTTTCAGCGGTGTTAAAACGGTCAAAAAAGGGACAATGCAGGTGGGCATCCATGCACGGGGCCGGGAGATGTACAAAGTTACAGATGATCTCGATCTATGTTCTCGGAAACTAGGCACCAAGGACCTTTCTCTTTCTGATTCTACTCCTCCAGGACGAGGGTCGGTCGTCGATCGTCGATCAGTGCCCCCTATCAGTCAGTATCCGGATAGACGTGCAAACGGCCTCCACGTAGATCTGGCTTCGCCTTTCTGAGGTTGTTGAGACGACGTTCCGAGATAGGCGTTGGCGATCCTTTGGTCCTGCTGTGCTCGTTACCTTGAAACTCGTTCCAAAGATCTCTATCCATATATGGGTGTTGACAGGCTGTGAACGCAGCCTGCGCCTCTGCGTCCTTGCTTGCCTGTGCGGTGTCGTCCTTCTCTCGACAGCAACATGGGTGGATCTGGATGGATTGGGAACGCGCAGTAGCTCGTGGCCTGACGTGACGGAAAGTCTTTAGGTTCAGGTAAAATGGGGTTCAGGTGGCAGTAGTAGGTGGAAGAGAGAGAGAGGGAGGGGGAGGGCGAGTTCCACATAGACTCAGAGACCGAGGGTGTCTGTCTGCGCATGCATGTGTGTGAGTGATCAAGAGAGGAGGAGGAGGAGGAGGAGTGGTGGTGGTGGTGCGGCCACCAAGTGCAATTCGATTTCCCTTGACTCCGATCATGCAAACCTGGACTGAATTTTACGTACACCTTCAGCAAACGAGCATCTAGACGTGTCTCTCAAGACCCCGGGATGTCAACTAACGCAGGGTACTCAGCAGGGAGGATGTATTTCTCTTCTCCCTCTCCTGCCAGGGTGATTGAACCCAGCTTACTTGCGGACCTTGCATAATGGGTCCGCATCTGGGACTGAAGATGGGAGATGGGGGGTTGATTGAGGTGATTTCGTGCTCGTCAGTACGCGTAGTCCGTAAATGCGATGAGCAGGTTAGTGCGTCCCGGTTTGAGCCAGGGCGACTGTTTTTTTCTACCCTCTCTACATACTCGTTCAGTTCCTGGCGGCCTAGCAAGGCAAGCGGAGAGAGGAATTATGGGGAATGGCGCAAGGCTCTATCTACGGATCCTCTTGCTGGGTACGGAGTACGGAGTATGCAGTAGTGAGACTCGCTAGCTAGCTCGAGGGCTCCCCCATTGTCATTTTTGTTCGCAATTTCCCATTTCTCCCGCTTGCTTGCCGGATCGAGTCGCTAAGGAAATGGAGTCCTGTATGAAATTCTACGCGGTTCCTTGTCGCTGTCGAAAAGGACAGAGGCTGGCGCCACAACGTATTGCCCTTCCTGCATTGGGATGAAAGTATCCAAGCTAATTAGTCTGTGAGTTACGTTTCCCGCCCTGAGCTTTGCTGCAGCCCGGAGTACGAGTAGACTCTCTTCCTGCATAGTCTCGGTTAGTTTAAATGTGATAGACGAGTCATTCCGAAATTGACATCTTGAGAGTATTTTGCTAGGGGACCTTGTACGTTGCAGCTGGGAGCGTCCCGCTCATCTGCATCTGCACCCGCATACCGAGGAAAATGTAGGTGCCTCGTACAGGATGTACAGATCCCCAAAAGATTTTGGTTCTGGGCATTTCCACAGGCACCAAAGTCTTTATTGCGGCGTTCCTGGATCTGCAGTGATCGTCGGGTTTCAGGAAAAGAGGGCCGCGGGCGCGCGAACGATTGGAGAGGCTCAATCTCATCTGCGCTTGTGGCTTCTTTCTTGTTCACCGTCTCCGAATGAGAATGCATTGTCTGGCTCAGCACGAGCGTGATCAAAGGAGCAAGCAGAAAGGAAACCATACTGTACGTCTGCAACTTTCAAGCGGGGTTACATTCAACTGTTGCATTTGCAGACATGCCAACAGGTCATGTGCGAAATATGTTGCTGTAGAGATAGAATTCGAAGGTAGTGCAGTCAGGCATGAAAGCTTGCGTCCAGCCGTGTCCAGCCCTCGAAGGGCAGTAAATAACAGTCCTCCGTGCTCGTACATAGTTTGACGGTAGGATAAGGTTAGGGGACTCCCCCCATAAAGGGTCTATAGGCTACTCGGCAGAATTTCAAGATGAGAAATGAGCCCAGTCGTAGTCCAGGTGTTAGGGTACGGAGGATTTGTTTGTTAGCTGTGTATGAGGCGGGGTCAGATAGGCTGTCGCCACTAGAATTCCGGGCCAAGACACTTACCGGGAGATTGTGAGAGCGCTACTCGTAAAGCATCACAAACCCGAGATGCTGAAAGGAAATCCCAAGATGGCCAAAGTGGAAAGCGTCCCTAGCCTCGCAACAGGCGAAGAAACTATGAAGACAGGGTCGACGGGGGACTCCTCAGAGTCCTCACGGAGTAAGAGCCACCAAGCTCAAAAGAAAACGCCACCGATTGCATTGACAGGGTTCAAGCGAATCCCAAAAGAATGAACTTTACCATAGAAGTGTGGATCAACCTGACCAGGGCTTGTATACAAGTACAATCTCGGACAGGGCAATATCAACAGGAACTCGGTAGCTGGGACAGCCCACTACTGCGTTTGGGGCTGGTAAGAGTCAAGCTCAAGACCCAAGAGTTCAGCCATAGATGAACGGGGACGACAACTGCTATCTATGTGATACTGTACATCCTGCTCCAGACATTCGAGGCACATGGTGGATATGTCGATTTCCATCACCATAATCTTCTTTGGTCTCGTCGCGAGATCTCCATTCCCCATCCTGCAGAAATCCGTCGTTAGGGAGTGTAAGCACGAACGGCTTGGACCACCGCTCTCGAGCCGCAATGATCGGCACTCACCCAGCCCAATGAGATAGACATTCTACCCCTCACACATATTGCATGACGTTTGGCGGCATCGCGGGATGCATGGGGACGGTGGGCCCTTCTCGGGCCTCAGTTCTGACTCTGACAGCCTGCGGGCGCACGCCCAATTCAATGCCCAAATGCCAAAGCCAAAGCCGTGACAGGCAGAGCAGAGCCAGACAGAGCCAGAAACAAGTCCTACTCGTAAGCACGGGCTTGTAACTACAGTCCAACTGGCGCGAGCGCCACCCGCAAGATTAGTTTGCACCCACTTGGCCACTATTCGGTCCTACAGTAGGCCATTGGCGGCATCAGCGACCGTAGAAACCCCCCGATGGGAAAGTCTGACGGGTGTTTCAGAATGGGGCCCACAAAGACTTGTTTGCAAGCCCCAAGCTCACACTACTTCTGTCGTTTTGTGGGGCTCGAGCACTGTTCAGTCTGGAGGTAGAAAATGGGCTGGGGTAGTGATATTAAATTGGCAGATTTAACATACCTGGCCCGCTGGAAGGGGACCGAGTTCGAACTCATCCAGGGAGCGAGGCGCAAGCGCGAACAAACACAATTGCTCGGTGGTTGTGATTTAGATCGTGTATGCTATGAGGGAAGGTCGCTGCGAAGACCCTGCGTCGGCAGTTCAAAAAAGAGATAACACACACAAAAGGCTACAACTCTGCAGGGTCTCCGTGGTACGAGCAAGGAAGCCGAGAGTTGTTCGAGAAAAGAGGCTGAGCAAAAGAAGAATCAGGGTTGCTCCGGGGGTATCCATCAAGCCTTCGTGAAAAGTATAACGAGAATTCATGAGTGGAGGGAGGGCAAAGTTAATGCAGGGTACGAGATACCAGAGAGTGGTGACGGTCTGGTCCTACTGTCCAGTCTTGATTCTTCGCACGCAGTATGATGCACAGGACTCGAAATCGATCTTGGAAACAACTAGCCAACAGGGTTAAAGTACGAAGAACCTTACAAGTGCTACCAACTAGATAGCAGATAGCGGCCAAGCCAGAGGACAAAGTACGGAGTACAGCGTCACCACTGAGGACCATGGACTAGGATGCGCTCCTGGCACGAGTAGTATGGAGTACCAGAGGGGCTGCTACACAAACATTGCGGGCAAGACCTTTGACTAACAAGGTTGGAGCAACAGTTGAGCAATTTTCAACTAGGCTTCTGGCTATCAGATCACAACCACATACTGGTACGGAGTACATCTTGCACATATTTACTAAGATCGACGTAGGCAAAGAGATTCAAGCTTCTTTCTCTCGTGTGGACCAAAGATCCCTTCCCCCAGGTGAGAGACAGGATCACCGTTGGATCAAAATCGGGATCTCGTGCAGTTTCATTCCTGGAGAAAAATATCCCAAGGTCGTGGGTGGAAGTACATCTACCATATGCACGCCGCCTCTTGAACCGCGACTTGCACTTTCTCACTCGTGCTTGGATCGGGTACGATGCCCTGGGGCTGCAAGAGAGCAGGCACTGCCCAGGCCCGCACCGGAAATCGGCACACAGACTTTTAGCCTGTCAAGGGCCTAGGCAGAACGAGCCTGGGTCAGTATTGGGTGCGCTAGTAGTGGGCCATGGTTAGGCCTGCGCCGGCGACGACATGATGGGATTTGTTTGGACCGTCATCCTACAAGGTCCATCGCATCTAAGGCGGGTTGAGGTCACTACTCGTGTTAGACTTGGAGAGCGAAGGTGAAGACGCACGCGCACGAGTATATTGCCGATACCAACAGCACGAGCAGAGCTCTCTGAAAGAACAAGATCGTGATCAGGAACAGGGTTTCACGTGCCAGGGCGACCTTGGTATAGCCTTAAGCTGGGCACCGGACACCCAGTACGCAGTACTCCGTACCAGGTAGCAGTTGGCTGCCAAGTTGCCAGGGCTCGCATGCCTGGAAACGCGATGGCTTGTAGGGCACTTACCAGGGAGAGTTGAAACCTACACTGCTCGTAGAGGAGCCCGAGGCGCCGCCAGAGAGCGGTAGCCCTCGAGGACAGAGCGAACCGGCGGGTGTCAAGCGAGAGTTTACGCTACGGGAAGGGAAGCGCAGAAGAAGCGGCGTCAGCGGCGTTGATCCAAGCTTGAGCATTGGCAGCTTTTGGCAGAAGTCGCCCACCCGCCAAACCCCCTTGCAAGCCACCGACTGGAAATTGAGGAGGGGCCGTTGCCGGGGGTCTTGATTGGGTGCATGGTGCATGGCGCATGTTCTGATGCAAGCCCCAAAAGTGCATTCGTCGTTGGAGCTTGGCTGATGGTGCCGGTGGGCTATCCTTTACTTGCAGGCAGACCTGAGTTAGCATGTTGGCAAAAGAAAGGAACAATCTGGCGCTATTACTGACCAAGGGCGAAGCCGAATGCCAAATGATGCTGACCTCGCGGCAGTCAACAGCAGGATAAACGACCCTGGAAATTGTCCATTCAGAGCCACTGTGGTATCTTGCATTCGGCGGTTGGCAGCAGAACCAAGCACCCCGACCCTCTTCGTCCCTTCCAACGTACGAGTAGAAGAGCAGCTCGTACCCTGAACCTATCCTCACCGCTCTCCTTAGTATGCCGCTAAGCCCCAAGGCAGCTCTGAGAGTTCGCCCTTTGGGTAAGCACGTTCTTGTACCTGCCATACCGCTGCTCCCTGTGCTGACAGTACTCGGTACGATGGTGCCTGGATCTGCTCTCACGTATCCGTACAGCTTCAAGTCGAGGTTCGCCTGATCTCTTTGCCAAACTTGCCATTAAGAAGAGAAGCGCCCCCCCCATTTGCAATGTAACACCCAACACATCTATGGCCATTGACCAATGCAGCCGGATTGGTGACAATCAATCATACCCTCTCTGGGCTGCAGCCCTTTTGCCTTGTACTATGCCAGGCAGAGGTAAGTGCCATCAGAGGCTAACGGGGTGGCGGCAGGCTAGGAGCAGACGCTAGCCGGGATTCCAGATGTGGATCCAGAGTTCCGATACCAGATTGTAAGACGAGGTCCACAATTGAGAGGAGTTTATTATGCGACGAAAAACTCCGACGTGTGAAATGATGTATTGTAGATGCGAATAGACACTAGCGGGTGTGAAGCGTGCTGGGGGGAGAGGTGGAGGTTAAAGTGACGAGGGAAAGAGCGATGGTGCAATCACAAACATCAGCCCGCCCTTAGCCTCAGTCGCATTGGGACTACGAGTGCGCAACTAACTACCAGCTATCTACTAACACACACCGAGTTAGTTACTCCTTCATACCGCGTACGAGTACGGAGATGGATTGGGTTGGCCTTTTTCCACCTCAGGCTAACCTTCTACACGCTGTTTAGTCGGTATGATTGTGTTCGATGGGGGCGTCGCGCTACACACCGGGTGGCGTCCAATTGGCATCACGACCGATGTCAGGTTTGAAGAGGGTCCCTCCCCCCTCTTCCTCTCGAGGTCCTTGCTAGGAGGGTCCTGGAAACTAAACTTGACCAAGCCTCATCCAAGAAGACCGGGTTGTCTGCCACTTCCGACAACATTTTTGACTGTCCCAAGCCAGTATCCCTGTCGTCCTCTTTGGTCATTTTCAAGGGATTCATCATTTTCCAGCCTGGCACACGTCGCTCCACCACTCATTCAACTCCGCTGCTCCCCACTGCCAACCAACTCGGCCAACCACTATCTCGAGCTAAAAGCCCTGCATTAAGAGAAAGGGTACTGATTGCAGCGAAGCCAATCCAAGATTTGATAGAATGGTGCAAAGGCTTTTGGAGAACTGCCCACCGACGTAACGGGCACAGACAACAAGACATCACTGGCAGCAGTCAACTTTCTGCATCTCAAACAGACTTACTTATTTACCCTCTCATTCCCCACTACACTGCCCGAACGAACCTGTCCATCTGTTTTGAAACTCTTCATTAAACAACCACCCGTCAACATTCTACTGTCGGAAACCAAACACGCTCAGAGAGTCAATACTACCTCTCAGGGCCAAACCATACATGACCTCCTCTTCGGATCATTGCATATCCAAAGCTTCAGCTACCCTTACTCGCCATTCAACCCGTGGATAAACAAGTTCACTGCCAACTGGTATCACCTTTAAGAGCTTGCTTGCACGGCCAATTCTGTCGATCTGCCGTTCGCCGAACTTGTTTGAGGATTGCGCATCCTCTGTAGCAGAGTTATCGCCCATCAAGTTGGAAAGGGGCACTGCACTCGCACTATCGCCGCAACAGAAGAAGATCAGCATCGATCTTCGGTGGACCCTTCTCTTACACCTTCCCGCCTCCACAACTCACTCTTTCGGACTACATAACCTTTGCTGATCCCCTCGAGTCAGAGAGTTCGATCACCACATTACGCTCTTCAGGAACCAGATCTGTCTACTCTGGTCCATTCATCAACGTCTTGCCATTTGTGCTGCGAGGCTGGAACTTTCGCATCACAACACTTTACGCTTTGCTTGAAGTCCAATCTGTCTTGGAGCTACCTGCCATCACAGCAACCGCCCTCATGACGATGGTCATTGATAACCAAGTCCGACATTACGGTGGGATGGGTTACGATCATATGTACCCAAACACAATGCATTCCTCACCGCAATTTAGCGATCCTTGGCAACACCAGACTGCAAGCTCTGGCTCTTCATTTCCTGCGCTGTCCAAGACCGACAGCTCGCGATCTGGTCTCACCATGCCATATTCTCAGATGCCCCCAGTGACTGGATCATCAGCTCAAGGTAGCAGCTATTCCAGTGTCGGGTTTTCTGCAACCGATTTACTAAGTTATCCTCAAGACATTCCGCGCTCAACCTACACCGAGCAGTCTTATTCCGCTCCCTCAGTTACTTCTGCGTCATATGCGCCCTCTTATTCCTCCATGAACTATGCACAATCAATGCACCAGCAACAACAGCACCAGCAGGCACAACAACATCGCAAGTTGTCGGACACGTGAGCATCCTCCCTCTACCATTTGATCTGACAAACTCACTAAACATTCCTTTACAGTGTCGACGGCTCTCGAGCCGCACATGCAAGTTTTGGTGAACTTGACGCTTCGAGAGGCATGCTTGCTCTGAGCCACCAAAACTTGCAGGATATGACGCCTCGCAACATTTTCGAGGCTCGAGCACAGCGGCCCTCGGCGGACGCGTATGGCTTCCCACACACCAACTCAACTCAGTCATCTATTTCGAATGAGTCCGGCCGTAGTTATCCATATTACGCCCCCAGTTCAGTTGGGTCAATTGGTGATAGTGCCACCGACTACAGCTCGGCGGCATCCGACGCCGGCTATGAATCCATGGCCGCGTCTCGCACACTACCCCGTCCCACTCAAATGATGGGATTGCCACTTGGACCTCCAGCACCACAGTCGATGATGGGACAATTTTCGTCCAAGATGTCGGCCAACACTCAAAAGAAACATAAATGCAAGATTTGTGACAAGCGCTTCACACGACCTAGTTCCTTGCAGACACACATGTACAGCCATACAGGCGAGAAGCCATTCGCCTGTGACGTCGAGGGATGTGGTCGTCACTTCTCAGTTGTTAGCAACCTGCGCCGACATAAGAAAGTCCATAAGGGCGAGACTGTCTCTAATGCCAGCCATTCTGATGGGGAGGATTAGAAATCTCCATATCAGAGAACAGGTGATATTAGAGACAACAAGATCTATTCGTCATCATCGACAAGATGTGTCGACTATGATGTCTGCACCCGTTCATGGATCCTTGAATCAGCATCGATTCTCTTGACGACCTTTCTGCTCCAGTGTACATCATGTTTTGCTATGGCGCGTCCGGAGCAGTGCGCCATAGCATTGTACAACAAATGGTGGTGATTAGATGGAACTGACATTCCCACCAATCCCCCCGGAAACAGTCAAACTGGACCAAGGGACCTTGAATTCCCTTGGATTATTCTTTCACTACCCTCGCTATGTTAAAACCCTTAGTTTTATTTTAACGACCCCTTGATACCCAGAGATGATGGCACCAATCATGAGGTTTTCGATACTTTTTTGTTCCTCCAGAGTGAGCGTTTGAGACTTTTGCGATGATGCTAGGCGTTGGCATGGCTTTGTCTCCGATGGCTACGAATACTGTTGACGGTGATTAGCACAGTACAAGGTCTTCCACGTATGAAAGAAACGTGGCACACAACAGGAAAGAATAGTGTTTTGATCCCTCTGTCTATGTACGGAGAAGAAGGGAAATGTTCAGGCTGGCCCACCGTGACGACAGATTAATCATCGTCAGAGCTTTAGAATGCTACACGCGATGAGCTATTGCTATCACTCCCACCGCGGGAGTTAGATTGGATGGCAGTGCTTAGGTAGCTATTTGTCCTCCAATACAATAAGCAATTGTTATTTGCACACTCTGGCAATATATCTGATCCTCACTCGCTCTCTCTCTCCCTCTCTCCACGCTCTTCGTCCTCTTCCAGCGTTTGAGGTTGTCATTGGTCCAAGGCATGGTATATCATGTGACATCCCTTCATTCCTAAGGGGTGACGCGGGATGATGTCATTGTTGCCCTGCCTCAAACCAGCGTCTCATGGCATGGGTTTGTGACCCAATCCGACTGTAATCGTCGCCCTCCTCACTTCCCTTGTGTCACTCCAATTTTCCCAGTAACAGTGCTCCATGGTGCCCTGGTTTAGACTCCCCTGTCTTGGAAACTGCAAACGATAACTTTGGGGAGTCCGAGCAGTATCCGTACCCCATAGATAACATCCCAGGGCAAGTAGCCCCAGCCATGTTGAATGTGTGGACCATCGTGCAGGACCCTAAGGCGGGGCCACCTTCGTCAGTGGCGCTTTTATAATTACGACTCTGACTGCTCCATCTGGTCCCCACACCGGCGTCCCTGCTTGTAGCCACCATCTCATCTTGCCTACCCTACAGTACTGTACCAACTCAATCGCGAATCAATCTGGCGCGATGAACCTGATACCGGCACAAGAGAAGCACTCGCTCGGGGCTCCCTCATGACGACCGTGCCGCCGCAGCAAGCACCTTTGGGCGCCAACGGCTTCAACTGGGTTTTGGTTCGCTCCCTTGGCAGCTATGCAATCTTACCCAGCCATCCTGGCTTCTGGCTGCGTTTCAGGGTCCAAGATGCACCATTTCATCACACATACAGCAACCGACTGGCTGATGGCAACTTTCCTAAAAATGACACAACATCATATTTAGGACTGGCAACGTGCTGGCCGAAAGGCGGCACGACTACTCGTACATCTCATACCAATCATAGGGCTTTGACCTTGTCTTCGCCGGTGCTCAAGTCCGTCAGAAGAGGGGTCTGCCTCTTGGTCAGTTGCCGGTATACACGCCTATATGGGAACTAGCTAATGCTGTCCTGACGTCGTTTATCTGGCACGAGCAGCAGCCTCTTGCCACTTTGCACACACTGAACCGCTTAGCTACCAATCCCGGGACCTCGTACACGCCCAGGTTATGACATCGTTCTAGAGCTGCTCAAACAGCACCAACCCATTCCACGTTCGTGATACCGGCGACACACCTATCAGAGCTATCCCCACAAGCCTCATGGAATAGTTACGAGGTGAGCCGGCATTTATGACGGACGGTTGACCTTGTACCCTGTACCACACATGCGCTGGGGTACTTTCACTACTGTCCGGACCAAAGTCCTCACCTGATGTAATTAGTTGACCGAGCCTGATCCTGCCTTCATGACCATCCCCGCCGATCTTGACGGATTCGGGACAATGCATTTCTCGCCGCCTTGATTTCATGCCTCACTGTTGTTGCCCAAACTTCAAACAAGACTTCGTCGCTTTTCATGTATGTACTTGTGTTAAGAGCGATAGCCTTGACGACGTCTGTGGACGATCATTTCTCCCTCTGAGTGGGCACCAAGTCTGGCATGCCTGGTCCTTTCTGTTCTATCTCCGCATCTTGGGTGAGCTGATGAAGTCCCTAACCTATCTCAAACCTTCATGCCATCGACGTCTTTGACGCGTCATTATCACGCGGGTAGGATTTTGGGGAATCCTTTGATAATTATGGCTGACCTAGCTCGAGCACATCATTGGGATTGGGCACCCGAGGCTGCATGATCTTTCACACATTCAGTAGACAGGGAGGGCATCTTGTTGAAAGAATCCATGTTGCTCTAAGAGGGCAACAAGAATACACTTGGCTTGTGTCACCTTCGACGGTTTCCAAACACATGGTAGGTTGGCATGACGAGACCAAGAGCATCCCTCGAGTTGGACGCTTTACGATGAATAAAAGACTTTGCAGGGTGGGCGTTAACCAAGAAAGTACCTACTTCTCGGCCATGGCAGGTTGGCTGGATGATTGCCCACGCTCTGGGACGAGCCTTGCTACGTCGTCCACCTGGACAGAATCCCCTTCCCCTCTCTATCTCTATTCTGGTGTGCAAACTCCCCGTGGCAAGCAGGGTAAGATATACTGTATCATTGTAGGACTCGAGGGAGCGTTCCTCGTCCCAAACGGACTTTTTCGTCAACGCTATGTTTTCCCATGTCCTCTCGCCTCTCGCAAGCATACGGATCAATGCCATATTACACCCTTGTTTGTCCACCGAACAGTAAAGTCACCGGGGAAAAACAAAAAGAGTGAAACTATAAAGGATGCAAATAGTGATCTTGTCTTGACAAGGCTGTGTATACCCTCTTGCTCCCCTCGGCGACAGCTCGCGTTCGACAACTTCTAACCGTGCATTGATGAATGAATATTGAATCCTCATGTATCTGGCTGCTAGCAAGCTGAACCTGCGAAGGACGCCATTCCTCTGCCCCTTCCGTCCCACAGTTTCCATCCAGAAGGGAACGTCCTGAAACAAGGAGGAAAATACCAAGGAACCATGTACATAAAATCCTCCATCTCATCATTCTCACCATTGTCTAAAGAAAAGAATAAGGAAGTTCGAGAGAAGGCTTCGTCAAATATGGCTACTCCATCTCCATTCTGTTAGAAAAGGAAGAGACTTATCATGCCTTCCCATGGCTATCTGCGAGCTATAATCATGACCGGCAACTACCTAACGAAGAAATACCGGTTCCCCAAAAAGGAGGTGCGGTGCGCCCCCCCAAACATGATTGCATATATGTACTAGGCGTGAGAACAGAGATACACATAAGTAGCACGGAGGGGAGAAAACGCAAGCGCGCATACACGCAGTGGACAGTGCCCATCATCGCCCGCGCCGTCAGGACAGACCCACCCTAGTCCAAGGTTTTCCCCGGGGGGGGGGGGGGGGAACACACAGGCACAGTGCCTCCTGCCTGAAGCTAAATGCGCTGACCCATTCTGCGACTGTGTGGAAAGCCTAGTGGTGGTTGTGGTGCGTCGAGCGCTACCGGTGAGCTGTCGGAGACATGTTGCCGTCGAGTCCAGAGTGATACCGAGCATAGGGCTTCATGGATGGTGCGTTGGAGGTGAGCACCAGCCCTTCCCCTTCGCCCTGAGGCCGGTCATTATCTTTACCTTCATCCTCCTCCCGTACGGTCTCCAACATCTCCACGTCCTGCATCGTCTGCGGCGTAGACTCCCGGTCGAAGCCATGTGTGGCAGAAGCCGTAGTCACTCCAGGCGCAGAGATGCCAGCAAGTACAGGAGATGCTGTAGCTTCGGCGCCGGCGCCGTCAAGATCGAAAGGAGCAGACGGCGCAGGTTGGCCGGCACCCGCGGGTGACCCTTCCTCTTCCACCGCAGGGGCTGGGACATGGTCCCAATTACAGGCGAAAGAGCGCGCGAGCACCTCGTCACACACCTGCTTCTGTACATCCGTGGCGAGAAAATCTTCCGGCCGGCTGCCAATGGGGTTCGTGAGTGTTGGGTCTTGGTGCAGTGGGCATCGGCGGCCTGCTTGGATGGCCTGTTATTTGCGGTGAGGAAGCCACGCGTTAGTGTGGATGTCTATGTATCTGGTAGGAGGGCAGATTTGATATCTCAGAGTAAAGGAGTCTGCAGGGGAGAGGAACTAAATAGGGCAACTGCATTGCATATAGGTCGCGAAAAGGTGAAAGCATGCCCTGTCCCTCTGGGAAGCAAGCAAACATACATACCTCTTCAACCCCCGTTGCCACACAGAGTTCGCAGCGTAAGCCATCAGGGCACTTCCTGCAACCCACGACGAACTGGTAATGAATGCAGATACCTAGACTACGGCATTTCTGCTCACAAGGATACTGCACGTACAAGATGCAGGGCGTAAACCTGTACATCGTGAGCTGCCGGGTCTCTGGGAGCTTGGGCCTTCTGATCGTCACAGGCGGTGTGCTGGGGATGTCGGCGGGTTTGTTGACGTGGAAGAGTTGCCCTGAACGATGCAATAAGCTCTGGATGTAGAAGGTCGCCAGCTCCGGAGTGTCGTGTCCACCGGTGCCGGTGGTGCCGCGTTCTGACCTGTTTGGCGTGGCTGTTGAGAGCTGAAGAGACCAGTTTGTCATGTCCCCTGAGTACCCGGCGTTAAATGGCGCGGCGGAGTGAGTAGGGCGGTATGTCATGGTGATGTTGTAGATAGCGTAGTTGGCCTACTGGAATGTAGTCGTGGCACCGCGGAAAGAGATTCGGAGCGACGGCGAAGGTATCATGAAGAAGGGCTTCGAAAGTCAGACTTGCTGGCTTCGCGAGGGACTAGCGGCCGAAAAGAAAATGACAAAAGTCCAAAGTTTCACACTGAGGTGAGAGACCGGTTTGGTTTTTGTGACAAATGACTTGATATAACGGGGACCTAAAAAAGGACCAAACGAGTGACGAAAGGACTGGTACGGACAAATCGAATGAGACAATTGGCTGGTTGTCGTAGGAGCATTGAAAGGAAGCGAGTGGATAAATGGTGTAGGAGGAGAGATACCATATAAAGGAGGAAGGGTGTAATATTTGTACCTCTGAATCAAGCACCACATGATCAATCCTTGTGAAGACCAGCAAACGGAGTATGTCACGAGGGGCGGCAACATCTTGAAGCGGGAAGTGTTAATATAAAGAAAGGTATAGGGGGCAACATGAATGACTAGGAGGAGAATGAAGATACCGGCCAAGAGGCGGCGGGGCGGAGCTGCGGAGAGTATATGCAGTCAAGTCCCTTCCGGGCGGAATTCGGGATATATCGAGGGACTTCAAGGAATAAGCCGATAGGCCGGTGGTGTCCAGTGGTCATGTTTGAAAAGAATTCCGCAGTGCGGGAAAGTGGACATGATTGAAGGTGAAGGCCTGCAATGATGCATCGGGAGACAACTTACTTGCATGACACATCTCATACGCAGCGAGCACTTGGCATATGAGTGATTCGGTTTGGTTCGGTCTGAATCTGAGGTATCGCCAGGGTTTTTGTGCCATTTCTTTTACTCAGAAGGAGAAGTTCTGGTTTCACGCGTGTAGCTGACCTGTTTCACAAGTTGAATCACAAATGTGAGTATTCATTCTCATCCAAATTTCTTGGCTGGCACTGAATAAGTGATCCTAAGTGAGTAGCGTCCAAGAAAAGAAGGTTGGAGTGCGGCCCATCATAGGAGGGTAGGAAGATAGGAGTATCATTCAATCATATCCACGTCCAATTTTGAACCGTGCATAAAAGTGGAGTATGGCGCTGAAGGCTTGAAGTAGCAGCAGCGGAAGGAAGAAGAGTTGTGAATGCTATGATGGCTGCATGTTATCAGAAGTGGCCGTCTCTTGAATAAATCTTCTCCCAAACACCACTCTCGCTTTCTGCCGAGTTTGCTCCCCATGTGGTAGAGGACGAGCGCATTGGAGTAATATGACCGGAACCACTACTAAGTCCTGTTTGGGCGAAATAAACTCTGGTAGTATCGGTTTCAATTTTGTGTTCTTCGTCCATCTGACGATATTGAGTCCGATAACCCATCATCGATGCGACCAAACCTCCAGGAAGATATCGGCCAATGATGTCGTACAGTCGAGCTCCACTTCCAACGAACACTACGTTGGATCTTGTCATGCTCTGCCACTCGAAGCGGCCAAATGCTTTGAATGTTTGGACTGGTGCTAGGGCGTCGAAAACTGCATTGTGGAATTCCCGTGCAGCACTGCCTCGGATGAAACTACGTTGGCCTAGAGTTTTGCGTTGAATTGCTGCTCTTTGTGAACTGTGCCAGTGAGTATTTGCATGCGTAAGTGCGGAATTTGACGGGTCGAGTCTGCCTGTACTCTGTCCAGCTGCTGTCCGTGTGCTGGGGACGGAACCCATGTCAAAATTGCCCATCTTGAGCTCACTGACTGTTATATTTGCGCTGGCTGCGTAGATTTCCCTTCTGAGAGTTGAGGCTAGTGCCGAAAGAGAAGTTGTTACCAAACCTTCCGGGATTTGTCTTGGGGAGTTGAGGGACTGGGGAATCGAAGGGTAGGCAATGACGATGCTGGCTGGGAATTTCGGGTCTGTAGAGTAGTTGGCAAGAAGTGGAAGGAACTGCTGAATTGTGAGGACTGGGGAGACCAGGCGGGTATTCAAGGTGTCGACAATGTCGCTCGGAGGAAGAAGTGCAAGTGGGCCTTCAGAGTAGCCGGAGCAACCTGGAAAGACGACAACTCCAGCTAGCGTCATGTTGCCTAAAGACGATCCTTGAAATGATCGACTGGAAGTAGGAGAGGACGGCCGAGAGGATTTTGTAAGTAGATCTCTGATGGGCTCGAGATTGGGGTGGACGTCAACGGCTGGGTTGGGTACAGTCGAGGTCAGATCAATCCACAACGGCCGGAGATCAGCTTTGGCTTCTTGCTGGATCAGTGAGTCTTCATCTGTTGAAGAAACAGTGACATAAACAACGTAGCCCCGTCGTTCAAGATCGAGTGCTAGTGACCGTGTAAGAGCATCGTGGAATGTGGAACATGCCAAAACAACAATCTCTTTCTTCGCTCCGTTGGGCAACTTTCTTGCCCTCCGTTTTCTGGCGTGCGCCTTTTTTCTGCGACGGATCAAAAAGATGGATGTGCTTGTGAATGCGACAACAATGGCGATTGCAGTACGATTCCTCGAGACCCATGCAGTGGTCTGCTCGATGAAGCCTTGAGGAGGAGGTGGAGGGCGAGCAAAGAAATTGCCCATGGCTCCATTCGATGGACGAGGGGGGCGCAGGGAATCAGGGATCCAGCTCGCCGAATCTAGGGCGTCTCGAATTTCGGTGGCAATGCTATTCGTGTGTTTCTCGATGTAGTCCGCCACACGACTCCCGTAATAGGCGACATCTTGCGGAATGCTCGCAAGCTGCAGGATGTCAGATATGTGTGGGTGGAAGAGGATCCCTGATGAAATCTACTTACCAAATCCAAGAACTGCTGGTCGTCACTGGTCATTGTTCTTATCGTTTAGTGAGCAGACCCGCGTAGGGGCATCATGAGTGATGAATGTGGTGTGAGAGGGACACTCTTCACCTTATACTCGTAGAGATCCGTCATTGTATGTACTTTCTCCAATCGATGTTGATTCTGTCCAATCGGCATTGTGGGGACACATCTTGACATCCAACCACGTGACATGACACGTGGTCCGCTTCATCAGGCTGAGGTCCTCTTACGAATCACCCTGGTTACTGTTGAGATATTCCTTCTCGTAGATTCTGGCGCCATTTTTGCTATTTCCGTAGAGGGTCCGTCACTAAATTCTATGCACTTCTCTATGCGTTATCACAGCGGTACTGCCTCGAATACCTGAAAATGGCGGCGGACAGGTGCGGCACTAGGTGGTGACTGCTTTCTTTCACCTCTATTAGGGTAAATATCTTCAAGAGTGCTTCTCCCGCTAGTTTTTGTTCTCGAAATATCTTCCCTGATCCAAAATATCACCTTGTCGGTCGTAAAACATTCTGGTACCTCACAACAAACATGTCGCATTTTAATACCAGGGAGTTAGATCCCTTGATCGATCAATTCCAGCACCTCAGGGACAAGAGGCGCGGAGGCGAGGCCCTCCATATCTTAAGAAAGGTCGCTTCCATAGTGAAACCCATAATGCGCCAGCGTAGCTGGCGTGTAGGAACACTGGCAGAGTTCTTCCCGCCTGAATCCAATCTACTTGGCCTAAACACAAACCATGGCGATCGCATCGACCTCAGGCTACGCTACGCTGGAGACGAAAATCAATTCCTGCCAATGGAGGAGATAATCGACACTATGCTTCACGAACTATGCCATATCGTCCATGGTCCCCACAACGACCACTTCTATGCGCTGTGGGCCAAACTCCAGGACGAGCACAAGGCACTCACCGCAAAAGGATATACGGGCGAAGGGTTCCTTGGGAAGGGCGACAGGCTGGGTGGACAACGCTTGCCGATGCATGAAATGAGACGCAGAGCTCGTGTTGCTGCGCAGGAGCGTGCCGATCGGACGAGGAACAGCGGGTCGGTACTTGGTGGGAAGGGTATTCTGCGTGGGCAAAGTGCCAGAGACGTTATAGCAGCTGCAGCTGAGAAGAGGGCTAAATCCGAACGCGGATGCGCCAATGGCACCGAAGAAGGGAGAAAGCTCGCTGAAGGGAAAGCGCCCAAAGGTGGGCAGGTCACCACCACGAAAGCGGATCAAGAAGATGAGAACGAAGCCGCCTGGATACAAGCGATGATTGAACTGGTGCGGGAAGACGAGGCCCAGATGTTCAATCAAGACCACCTTCGCCCTGACACTTCACTCACGGCCGGCCTCGACGCGGCCTCAATCAGAGAAGAGCAGGCCAGGATCGAGCGAAGTATCAAGCAACAATCACGGCCAGCCAAACGCCCTCCGACTAGGCCACCGCCAGAGACCTGGACGTGCGAGGTATGCACACTCATCAACCCAATCGACGATCTCAGGTGCGGAGCATGTGAGATAGAACGACCTCCAGACTCCTTTCCACCTCCGAGACGAGCACGAAACAAATCCCCTTCCTCAGCCACCAGCACCAGCACCAGCACCATCAAAAAATCCACACCGACAGCTCTCCAACCACGCCTGAACGCCTACGACTCGATCGCGCGGATAGAATCCCAAGCGGCGAGGATGAATGTAGCGAAGCCGATGGGGTGGACATGCCATAGCTGCGGGAACTGGATGGAGGAGATGTGGTGGACGTGTTCAACCTGCGGCATGATGAAGGCGAGTTCTTGATGACCCTGTCACCGGACAGGAGACCACAATATACTACCTAGAGGATAGGATATTCTTTGAGAGTACGAAGAACAAGAAGCTGAGGCCTTGCAAACTCGAACTCCCCCGAACGGATACTAGTGTCATAGATGATGAGGCCTGGTTGCTCCAATTCAAGGGGGACTGAGACGCACTCCCTTCGCCCGCTCTACCTGTCTAGATTTTGCTAGATAGATGTCCGGCAACGATTGAAATGAGATACATGTAACTTCCACCGACACCATCATCATCAACCAGCGAAGGAAGAGAGGAAAAGCGCCGCCTTTCCTTTCTTGCACCCCTTTTTCAATTCCTCCAAACCTAGTATCTAATGCTCCATCTGTCCCCGAGCTTACGTCGTCCACAGATCCTGGAGTGTGAGCGGCCTATGTAGATTGCCTTTTGGGTTCTTTGGAACACTAGCTAACCAGATACTAGGCCAAATCATGAAAAGCGTGTGATCCCTTGGATTAGCCAAGAAGGAACATCGCGATTGGATATGGATGGCGCTAATTTGAGGCCACTACCATTCTCTGAGATGATGTATTAACAAAGAGGGATTGCTTTCTTAAATGTGAATCTTGAACGAGGATGACCTATTCACTGCCAATGTGCTAGTGGTATCTAAAGGTTTCCTAAAAAGCATTCATTGCCAGTGGTGCATTGGAGGGGGAATAATCTTTGGGGGGGCAGATATCAAAACCAAGAGGATCAACGACAACGACTTTCCAACAGATGCTCATATCACATTAAAAGCCCTCAGGTCCGATCATTCATCCTGGAAGAATCTAGAAGGAAAAGCGGATCAGCATCACAGTTTTGAGACGATTGAAAACATGAAAACTTACCGCATGATTGCCTTGATACCTCTAGAACCAAGGCCATGAGGGGGATACGCAATCCAAATGGGATCTGCAACCGCTCCCATCTTCTCTCTAAATTCGGATTTTCTTGCCAAATTGAATTGCTTGACAATAGCATCGTACGTAGCTTGGAGCACTTTGACCTTGGCACCACTCATGTGATGGCCTGGCGTTAAATGTGTTGCCGCTCCACCACCGAATGTAACAGTTTTGACGCCAGCATTGGCAGCGACAGTCAGTGCATGAGTGGTGAGGTATTCGATCGTTCCGGACGGCGCTCCTGGGAAGTCAAGCGTATATTTTGCTTGCCAGCCCTTGCGAGGAGCAAGTTCAGCCATGACAGCAATTCCGACGAGGGTGCCATCCCTGTCCTCGGCGATAGTGTAGCGTCTGTGCTTCTCGTCACGGAAAAGGTCAATATTGGAAAGATGTATTTGAGTGCCCTTGCGATTTGACAACCAATCTTTCACTCGAGCATTTGCTCGATCTTTGATACTGTCTGGGACAGGAAGATTGTGGTCAAGATCGGTGAGTTTCACCCCGTCACTTTGAGCTTTGCGGATTTTCTTGGCCACCTCTGGGTCTGATTCAGCAGTCTTTTTGTGTGGATCCACACGCTCCTCAGCGACGCACGAGAGAGTCTTCCAACCGAGGCGTTCACCTAAAACTTCCTCCATCTCAGGGCTTATCAAAAGCCACAGAGGTTTGAGGTGAGTCTCCTTCTTAAGCCATTGAAGGAACGACACGATAACGCGATAGTACTGGCTTGGGTCGCAGAGTGGATCACCTGGCAGAATAGCGTAGTGACCTTCTACAACATAAGAAACAGCAGCGCCAGTATCTGCATGACGCCATATCTTGTAGCGCTCATCACCCCATGATGTTGCGGTTGCATCACCATAATTGGCCACAAGGTCGTAAAGATCAGGCATTTTCCGATCCTCGACCGCCACTTCACGGCCGCGCTCTTGACGCCACAAAGGATTCAGTGTATCAGCCTCAGGGTGCCGCAGCTTTTCGACGATGGGCTTTGCTGGGAAAGACTTTGGATCTCTGTGGAACAAAGAGGCAAGGCGGATGTTACCCAGCTTGAGAATGAGCATGACAATACGTTCCAGGCCGACGCCGCACCCAGCATGAGGGGGGGCACCCCATCTGAAGCCTTCCATGTATTCGGCCATGTCCTCAGGATCAATGCCCACCAGCCGCATGTTTTCTTCCAGCATCTTGGATTCGTGAATACGTTGACCACCCGAAATGATTTCTTGGCCACGTACAAACACGTCAAAAGAATTGGTGTATCTGGGATCCTTAGCATCTGGCATGGTGTAGAAGGGTCGGGCCGATCGAGGGAATTTATCCAAGATGTAGTAATCAGTCTTGTACTTTTCTTTGATTAGTTCACCAACGCGAATTTCATCTCGTGTGCCGAAATCCTCCAAGGGTGAAATGGGCTCACCCTCTTCGTTCAACCAACCTGAATCATTCAAGAGCTTGACAGCTTCTACAAAGGGAATTCTTGGAGTTTCTTCCAGCCAGACGAGGTCCTCGCTAGGAAACTGTTGCTTGATCAACTCAACTTCTGTGCGGTATTTTGTGTAAATGCCATGGAAAATCTTCTTCAGAACAGTATCAATGACATCCATCATTTCGTGATAGTGTTCCTCAATCGACATTTCGAGGTCAAGTCCAGTATACTCAGTCAAATGACGATGGGTGTTTGAGTTCTCCGCCCGAAAAACCGCACCAATCTCGTAGACGCGCTCGAAGTCCGATGCAATCGCCATCTGCTTCGCGAGCTGAGGAGATTGAGCCAAGAAAGCGGACCTGCCAAAGTAGTTGACTTTGAAGACTGATGCGCCAGATTCTGTAGCAGCACCCTGAAGCTTCGGAGAATGGATTTCGACGAAACGCTCGTCATCAAGCGCAGAGCGAAACATGTTTCCTACACCCGCCTGGATACGGAAGATGGATTGGGAAGGAGCAGTTCGCAAGTCCATGATGCGGTTCGACAGTCTGACACGGTCCGGGATGACACTTTGACGACCGTCAACCTTTTGATCATCATCGAGAATGGTCAATTCCGCCTCTTGAACGGAAAAGGGAACTAGTGCAAAGTCAGCTCGGGATGTGGAAGGCGGAGGAGAGGAGGTTGCATACCAGGTTCTGCGCGCTTAACTATAACATGGAGATCCGACACCTTCACCTCTACTGTGTGTATGGAGGCTGACTTGATGGGGATTTGCGGTTTTTGAAGGACTCCCGTAACCAATAAAATATTGCCAGTGCGCAAATGCTCAGCCCAGTGAATCATCAGGGCTGAGACTTTACCAGGTTCCTCAACCAGGACGCCCTGAATTGTTGAGATTTGCTGTCGGAAGATCAAGAAGACGAGCTTCGCACCCATATTCCGGACGTGATGCAGCCTGCAACGAAACTGGACCTCCTTACCAACCTGGTCTTCAGTGATGGTACTGATATCCAGGCGTTGCGTCGCACCGCGAGAAGTGGACTGCATTAGAGGCAGATCACCATAGCGGGCTTTCATGTCATCAGTCTCGGTCTTTGCGGCTTCTTCGAGTCTCGCTTTGGCACGTTCCTCAGAGTCATCACGATGCTCAAGACTCAAACGGGATCGATGGTCTCTCTTTCTCTGCTTTGTCTTTGCTCTTTTCTGTGCATTCTTGCTGATGCCATCGCTATCAAACTCGCTCATATCAGACTCATTGTCGCTGGAGGTGTAGTCCTTGTCACCGAGATGGAGAAATTGAGCGAGGGATCGGCGGTGAGGACCCGGACTTTGAGAGGTAGTAGGAGAGACGTCTCCGCTGAGCTTGGTGTCACTTCCATTGGTATGTATCTGCTTGGACAACTTCCGGAGGACAGACATTCTGACGGCCGCCGCGGAAGTGTCTTAAGTGGATCGGAAGTCAAGGGCAATTCAAAAAAGGCTGAGGGACTATGCCACCAGAACAGATAGGCGGATGCGGTATTCAGGGCAGTAAAATCTCTCTTCTGTCCGTACGTAGAGGGGAATAGAGGACTAATGCTCTACTGGCGAAATGGGTTAACCTCGCGCTGGAAATGAGAGCAGAGGTTACGACCAAAGTCAGCCAAAGTATGGCGGGAAGTCGGCGTTTACGCACAAACGCGGGCGGGGAGATATTGAAGATAGCAATGAGTACAGAGTAGTAGGAGGAGGAGGGGAGGGAGCGATGCCGGGCAGAGATGAAAGGAGTATGGACGGCCGGACGAGAAGCACACCAGATTGGGGTGCCCGAATTAGCTGGGAGGCCCTGGAAAAAGATGAAAGATATGACGAGGCAACACACACAACACCAAAGTGGTAGTGGCAGGAGGCAGGAGGCAGGAGGCAGGATCGCAAGAGCTCCATCGTACTCGTACGCCCGCTTCGGCTGATTCGGGATGATTGGTGAGTGCGAGGGGGCATAAAAGCTAGACAACTGGCATCGGTAACGTCATTGAGTGCGCGAAATGGGAGGGTGAGTGAGTGAGCTGTAGCTTGCTGACTCAGGCGGGGTGGGCATCTCGTCCCCTCGGCTTTGGTCAGTCACCCAATAACAACCATTGAACCAATCCCACTACTCACCAAGGTGGGAAGGTGTTGGTAGGTAAGCAGGCCATCAAACTGGAAAGAGTTGGTGCTTGCTGATTTTCTTTGTTGGTTCCACCTGGCAGGAACATGAACATACTCGTAAACATAAACATGAAACGATATGAGATAGTTAGCATATTTGGACGGGCTGACATTCCCGTCCTCCCGGAGCAACTCACCGACCAACCCATTACCAGCAACTTAACCAAGGGACGAGGCAGAAGTAATTAGTTGGTAACAGGGCAGGCACTCGTACTTCAGGCTCAGCAAACAAGTAACAATTTCGGTTCCATTCGAATTCTTAGCCAGGCCTAGCCACTGGCGGTCGCCGGCCCCTGACTGGCACCAGGTGACGCCTGGGTGATACCCACCCAAAGTAGGACCTTGATTAGTCAGAGCATCGCATGCAAGAACTGGACTAGGCATGAGATTAGGTGTAGTAATCAATTATAATAGGAAGCGGTATTTGGTGGACTCGTTGCATAAAAGGTCGGGGTCTCATTTGATTCTCATGCTGTTGAAGGGGAAGACTTTTGCTCACCGTGTCTTCTGCAGTGCTCTGGGGTTTGGGGATAGCGAAGTATTTGTAAACACTCGTGGCTACACCCAAGGTCGATCAATGATTAAGATTTCCACGAGCAACCAGCCAAGATACCGCCCGCGGCTTTTACTTTGGTGACGTGGCTAATCAAACAACCTTGAGAGTGAAGATATGTATGTACGTGAGTCGGAGTAGTTATCACTGCTCTAACCTCGGTATACCTCGTACTGCAGTGCTTTATTAAAACCGTGTCCGCGGATGGTCGGCGTTAAAGCGAAGTTCGCGTGCAGCACCAAGAACAGGTGGTGGTGGCACTACCACTGCGGACGAGTAGCAACACAGCCCCCTCGGCCTGCGGGGGGAGTTACGAGGACTCGTACACCACTGGAAGGCTACAGCCGTCATCCAGTGTCTAGGAAGTCCAAAGAGATGCCAAATAACGGCCGTTTGAGATCGTCCCAGGCCAGCCACCTATCTTGTTGCGTATCTTATAGGCGGTCCGGGCATCGGGTGAGATGCATCTCGCGCCAATGGCCATCCATCTTAGGCCTCTTCCGGGTCATCTCCGGATTCAATCTGATGCGATTTGATGCGACCTGATCGTTGGGCGTATGTACTAGGGTCTAACACAAGAGTCGTGCCGCTGCTACTGGCATGACAACCACAGCCACAACCACCACGTCACTTTATTTTTTACTTCCTGATCATCTTCATTCCACGGAGTAGACATTACTGAATTTGATGCGAGAGAGCTCGTGCCCGTTCGAAGTCTATTCCATTTCTCAGTCCTGAAGGATATGCATTCACAAGAAAAAGTATTTCCAGACGCCTCCGGTTCACTGCGAGATCGTTGAGTCCCTCCACTGCGACACCTGTTACTGTTCTTGGAAAGGACTTTCTCAAACTCCCTCGCTTATCGCTGCTGCGTGCTTTCCCAACCATCGGCTGATTGTTGGCATATATCAATTTGCCGATCCCACCATCGTCACACTGATCCTCTAGTACTTACTTGGTCCTCTACCCCTCTATCCTCCTTTTCCTTGGAAATGCTCCCTTGCACATCATGTCAGGGATCTCTACTCCTGCAATTCAACTCAACGACATGCCTCCCAACCCCAGCGAAATGACAGAAGCCAAAGACTTCGCCGCCAACCCAAAAAGCCCAACGCTCTTTTATCAACACAGTCCCTTCGATAATAGTATGCTTGAGCCGCCGGAGGATCCCTTGACGGAAACCATATCGGCCACCGACAGCGAGTATCCCGCCGAGGATGGCTATCTCAATCAGCGCAGGCGGTCCATGAGCCATCATTTGATGAGAACAGACATACCCTCACGAGAATGGCTACACGTCCAAGCCAACTTCTGGAGAGCCTGCATGAGACTAGGTATGCTTTTCCATGACTGGGCACCTCCAAGAGCACCACGACCTGCTTTCAAGCATGAAATTCGTACCGACACTGTTCCCATCGAGCTATTCTTCTACTTGCCGCCCAATTATCACAACACCCTTGACTCAGATGCTTACTACAGATTTCCCGCTGTGATTAATTTCCATGGCGGCGGCTTTGTGCTGGGAGATGCAAGCGATGATCGTTACTGGGCCAGGGTTGCCATGGAACGGACCAATGCAATCTTCGTCAGTGTGAACTATCGAAGAGCCCCAGAACATCCATTCCCCGTTCCTGTCGACGACTGTGCAGAAGCTATCCTCTATGTGGCAGAGCATGCAACTGAACTCAACATCGACCCAGGGAATATTGCACTATCCGGATTTTCTGCTGGTGCCAACCTAGCATTTGCTGCGCCCCTCAGGATCCAGTATCATTATGGTATCGATGTCATTAACGGGACAAAGAGCTCTAGTCCCACAAGACCCGGCACCTCTGAGACCGACATGAGCAACCGTGAGGATCCCTATTCCGATGATCACAGCTTTTTGAGTGTTGGACAGTCGACTGCCAGCCTCATCCGCGCGAAGACGATGACTCCCCTTCGAATTCGATCAATAGTAGCATGGTATCCTCTCCTGGATTGGACCATGTCCCGATCTCGGAAGATTCGGGAGTCAAGGAACCCGAAAAAGTGTCTCTCCAAAACATTCACCGACCTCTTCGACGTCAGCTACTTACCTCCCCCAGACGTCGCTGGAGATCACTGCAGCCCATATGCCTCACCAGGACTGGCGCAGGATCACATGATTCGCGATGGTCTTCCTCAAGAAATGCAGATGTGGCTGTGCGAATGGGACATGCTACTGGCTGAGGGACAACAGCTCGCTGACAAATTTGAGAGACTAGGTAAAAACGTTGACAGCAAGATGATTCCACGGGTACCTCATGCCTGGGACAAATCGGTGAATCCGTTCCGGGATCAAAAAGCCATCGATATGTTATATACGAAATCTGCGATCAATTTAAACAAAGTTTTCCAGGACAAAGACGGCATCGGCTGGGGCAATTCCATGAGCTCCCTACACCCGGCGGACACCATCATCGAAAGACAGCCCAGACACAGCGTGGTGATGCCATTGTGAATATGGATCGCCTTCACCGGCATTCCTTGTATATCTTTTGCCCAGTCGCATTGTCACCGGTGCTCAGGTCACAAATCGAAACTAGTCCACTCCGCCTTCCGGGGACGTGGTTTTATTTACAAAAGGAACTTCAAATACCTCCAGGCTACTACAATCATCATATGATCTCTACCACGACTACAAGATGTATCTGTTTCGTCCGACACCAAACCTAAATATTAAGCGATACCAAGACTTGTATACATCAACCACCCGTTTCACTACGACCATCTTCAACCATTCTACGAAAACGTTTATCTTTTCCTGGATTGACCTTCCACAATTTGTTTTTTGTCATTCGGTCTGTTTCTCTCCAGCATTTTAGCGTGGGCGTTATGGAGCGACGAAAAGAGCTGGGGACTTTATATTATACTTTCGTGTACAACACGCTTTCCACTTGAGCGAACTGCATCATACAGCGGGCGATGCCTCAAGTGAGCAAGCAGGCGAGTGAGCAAGAGTGAGCAATTCCGTGAACTACAAGACATGAATGGAAAGAAATAGATGATGAAGCTATGCCCTAGAGAGAGCGATCACGAATCCATGGATGTACTCCACGAACACGACACTCCGACGTTGAGGCTGATGAGGACACTTCTCTTCCCTATATGTATCAAGTCGCAACATCAATAAGTCTTTACCTTTTTGCCCAGTGTGAACGTTGGGACTTCTTTCCAACTTGTCTCCAACCTCGTTCTCTCGATGTCACTCCACCATCGACCTGGATATTTTCTCCTGTGCCCTTCTGTATCAATCTGCTCTGCCCCGTATGAGCAGAAAACCGGAAACTTCGATTTCTAGATTCCATTCAGTAATCTACTTCGATTTGCTTTTCGTGCCGAAAACATATGGGGCGAGGCTCAGCATGGATGCTAGAAGAGAGAGACGGGAACTACTTGGACGGGGCAGGAGTGGTCGGTCATTCTAGAAAAGACAGAGCGTGATATCCCAGTTGTGACTTGTGAAGTGATGGTATGGTTGCTTGGGTTTCAAAAGTACGAGTCGGGTTCAGAAGTTAAGAAAAGAAAAAGAGCGATTCGGGGAACCTAAAGAGCATGCCTGCGTTCTTGCAATTGGTTCCTTTTGGCCCGTGCAATTATGGCGGATTCCCCACTGGTTGAATATAGATTTGGACTTTGATGTTTGCGTCGCTAATTCGCTGGCATCAGCTGTGAAAACCACAGTTGCCGTTCCTTCTCATCGCTGGGTGTCAACAGAACAGATCAAAAAGACCTGTGTTGGACTCTCAGCATCATCTGAATTGGAATATAACACTACCATGCTCGGGAGCTAGTGAACACACTCGGTCGGCATTCTATCTATCATACATTCGGTACGATACAAATGTTTTCATGTTCATTTCAAGTTCCACCCACGATGTCTTTGATTCAACTTCACTCTTTTTGTAACACTGCTCAATGATTCTTCAATGTGGAATGAATGCCTAGCATCTGGTCAACTCAATATCGCTTGAACCATTCTCTGCGATCTTCTCTCCAGGTGGTAGCTACCGCGGGATAAAATGCTTTGCCATTGGGATCAAGAGGGACATGGAGTGGAACGCTTCCATTGAGTGTGGAAGTGTCAGGTGGTTGATGCGAGGATGGAGCAGTGCCGGAGATTGTGCTCGTACTCCATCCTGTCCCATTCGGTGTAGGAAAGGTAACATTGCTGGGTCCCGAATGACCAGTGCCGGTTGCTCGAGGTGGTGTCGTGTGGCCAGTACCGCCAGTAGCTCCAGATGTGCGATTGGTGTATGTGGGATGTGTCGGACTCAGTGTGCCTGTCGGCCAGATGGTGGTGTTAGGATTCCATGGGGTTGGATGACCCCAGGATGTAGTGCTGTTGACTGGGTATGGAATGAGAGGAATGACTGGAGTCGGGCCATAGTATTCAGATGGTGAAGGAGTTTCAGAGGGGATGTTGCGGCAAGCATATTCTTCAAAACCGTGCGTATTGATACCCAGGTAGCCACCAACTCGGTAGAAGAGATCGAGGTCCTCACAGATAGCTGTGCGATTGGACGTGAAGTCTCCAGCAACCTGAAGAGCATATACTGCAGCTTGGAGAGTGGAATAAAGCTCAGCCCGAGTGGTATTGAAGTAGTAGCCATGGTCAGCGATCCAGCAGAGAATAGCCTTGACTTGGTCTGGGTCAAGCCAGGATTCTTTCAATTGATACTTGACTTCAATAGTTTGGACTTCGGCGCAGGCCCATGTGGCATTCAGACCAGAGTCGGCAACGTTGAGAGCGAATATAGCTGACCAAACGGAGGTCAATAACTGTTGTGCTCGACCAGGAAGCTGGCTTGTATCAGGCGGAATGTCATTGCTGAAGACCGTTGCTAGGTTGAGGAGGGCACCATTCTCCGAACGTGACGTGAGTTCGCTACGAGAAGGAGCTCCGGGCAACCCGTTGGGTTCACCTGTATGAGCAACGACCAACTCTACGTTGTTATGCTCGCCCCAAAGCAGGCTTGAGGTTGTTGTAGGGTCCACTCCTCTTGTCGTGGCGGTACCTGAGGGAATGCATGCAACTCGAGTGACAGTCAGCGTAGGAATGTGGGTTGATTCGTACCAAGGACCCTGAGCATCATAAGTTGAGAATATAACTGGGAAGGGGCAGACTAACGGAGGCCACTGGGTTGTGATTGATGTCATTGGTGACGGTACAAAAATCACAATCAACAACCTGCTATTGTCAGTGGGAATTCAGCTAAGAATCAGATAGGCTTACATAGTAGGTGGTGGTCAGGAGGGCCTCGTAGTAAGTGGTTGTAGGAACAATTTGAGGGGTCATGTAGGGACTGAAAGTAAGAACACAGCCATTGGTAGTTTGCACAATGCGAGACGTAGTACAGTCAGCGATTGCTCCAAAGTTGCCAGACAATCCCAAGACCACAACGGCCAAGAGAAAGACAACTCGTAGCCACATGGTGAGAGGTCTAGAGAAAGAGGAGCAGCAAGCCTTTCTGGTGGTCTGTTGAAGTAGGATGGAGAACCGAGGACATAGAAGCCAGCAAGAACTCGAGGGAAAGGGGAAACTTGGGGGGGTTGGTGATGATGAGTGAGAGGGCAAAGGCGAGGAGGGGAGAGAGAACGGTCGAGGAAGAGGAAGAGGGACGGTTTGTTGAGAACAGTGAAGTGAGGCAAGAGGAGAAAGTAGGCGTCAATATCTAAAGTGATGGAAGGTGCACTGAAAAGGGCACTTGTTGACTGACGCGCAACTCAACAGATGTAGTCAAGGAAGGCACACAACATCATGCTTGTCATTTCCGATTGCAGTTCTCCCATATTGAGTACCAGCATTGGGCGAGAGTCACTGAACTCACTCGTGACGTCGATGAGATATTTGAATGGCATCGTTCTATCGAGGAGACCAAGCGCTGCCTGGCCAATTTATTCCGCCATCTCACGCAGAAGTCGGGTCTGCTTAATGACTCCAGCATTCGTATTGGGCAATGGGGAGCCCAGGTCACAATCGACACATTGATATCAGTTCTCATCCGCCGAGTTCTGTCGACCGCTAGAACACTTTATGTCCTTAGTGTCCTAATTGATCAGTGATGCTGTGTTTCACAGCTCCATTACCCCGGGGCTCTCTTCTGATATCTTGCCCACATGGAGAAGTAATTACGGTAGATGGCCGTCACATAACTTACACTGAAATGAACACACCTGTCGAAGAAAGCACGAAAACACCAAGCCGAGAGAGCTAGATGGGTTGCTGCCACGTGACCTGCAAGCTGAGAGGATGCTTGAGTGGCTTCGAGAATTACTCGTTGGCAAGAGGGTATGCACATACTGCGAGTATGTGACCTATCGGTAGTATCGCCCAGATGCATGGTATACAAGCAGCATCATTATACTGATTCCATAACGGCCGTTCCTGCACAGACGATCTCGACGGCTCCCAGATAGATTTCGTCGGTTTTCAGAGCTGCGACTTTCAGCATTCGCCATAACTCATCTCGTTTCACAAGAACAATGAGACGATCTTGAAGCCGGTCATCAGGCGAATGACTAGTCCACTGATGTCACTATGTTAAAAACTATGATCATCAAAATAGGCTATCTCGACGTGCGGGGTGAGTGAGATTCGCCTGTATTTGCCATTTCTCCGACCAGGACGTGGAGCACGGCACGGCTCTGTGAGTAAACTCTACCACCATCAGAGCACATGGCGTACTTGCGAGTACATACTCTCCAAATCATCAAGCCTACCGCTTTCCTGTTATGTAGAGAAGGGCCGACGTGATACCAGAGATGACGGTCCAGTGCAATCTATGGTTGGAAGTAATAAACTCAATAATGGACCAAGTCTTGGGTGGCCGTATTTTGAAGCATTGTGAAATGAAATGCCAGACGCTTTTCTCGCGAGGCATTGTTTTCATTTCACTCTATAATTCATTACCATGCATCACCAGTGTGCTTGCTCTCAACAACTGTCTCAACGACTGTCGTTATCGCTTGACGAGCTCGCGCTCCTTTAGGGTGGTTGTTTCGACTGCCGATAATACGATGTGACCGTTGTTCTGGTGCAGGAGGCATTTCGTCGTACCTGCATCATCCGATTCGACTTTTCGCTCTGCGCCGGGTGGTGCTGGAATCAAACGAAGGGGCCGGGGGCCAGAAAAGCGTGCGAGAAAGTTGTTCTTCCATGCACCCGTCACTGCCGGGAATGCGCTGTGGACAGCGCCTAAGGGCGCCGCAAGAGTCCGAAGGCCAACGCAGTCGTACAGGATCTACGGGTTTGGGACAGTGACCCAGTCATTTAGGCTGTTCAGCATGAAGGCAGCCCTGGGGCTGCGATGATGGAAGTGCAGGGTCGGACGTCTTGAGAAATTCCTCAAAGCTCGGGCCTCCATAGGAACTACAGTCAGCGAGCAGCCAAATAACGGATTCTTGATACCACATAACTGTGCAGAATGGGAGAGATTCGGGCGTAGAAGAAGTGCTGGAAGCATACGAATCTCCGCTCTTCCTTTCCGTTACATCCTTGGCCCAAGGATCCGCCTGTCATGAAATGCCTCACCGAACGTTCCTAGAAGGATGGAGAATACGGGGACCTGCAGCGATGTGTTCGGAGCAGTACGGCGCTGTTGACCTGGTGAATTGCCGAATGTAGCGTCGATAAACAGTTCTGAAACGTAGAACCCACAGTTATTCCCACGCGAGGAAGATCCGTTGAATACAATCTGCCGCGCAACAAGGGATTCTTGTCTGGAAAAAAAAAATACCTCAGTCCTGTCACCATGGCTGATGAAACGGCTCTGGTAGCTCTGCATGAGTGTACGGTGCCATCGCCCACATTCTAACAGTTTGTTGCAGGGTTGGCAGCCAGACTCAAGTCTTGGGCTTTCGAAACTACAGGGTACCTAATAAATCACTCGCACTGGGCATTCATGCGGCGGAAGCTCTGAGAAAATTCTACGCCCAACCAGAGAAGCAAAATTACCGGCTCGCGGAGTCGCAGTAGGAGGAGTACGGAACAGACTAGGCACCAATACCGGACAGAGGTTTCTTGTTTTGTCTCCAGAGATTGCGCGGCATCCGTGTATCTGCGAATAAGGCTGAGAGGATGATAAGGGAGTAAGACAGGAGCCTCACAGCCTGATGAAAAGAATTTGTGCGAGGATGTAATCTCAGCAATCGTGATTGTTGTTTACAATAATTGTCAAAGTTTCCGATTTGGAGCCCAGGGGATTGGCTAGGCTAGGGCCCTGACGCTGAAGCCAGATCAAACAGATCAAACCTAACTCCACAGGCAACGCTTGTTGTTCGCCTACCTCACTAGTGGGAAATTCAGAGCTTAAGCTTCAATCAAAATGTGGATGTGGACTTTGTTTTGAATTTTGCAAGCAGAAGCATGCGGCCGCCAGAGCAAGAGCTCCACGGCCAACGCTTCGTTGAGACCTGGGTCTTGCGGATATGCCTATCGCTCTGGACCAAAGGGGCTCATGGTACATAAACCACCTCGAGCATTGGCTGCACCAGCACGCTGATTAAGCCCCGAGACGAGCTGGGATCGGATACACGAGGGATACAAAACTGGACCGAGCAGGTAGCAAGTTCAACGATGACGGCAAGCTGCAGCCACCGCACATTGGGGCGAGTTTGGGGCTTGCCTCGGGATCACAACTGGCGCACGCTCCTCTAACAAAGACCAAAGGCAGTGACAGACAGCCTACTCGTATGTGCGCGTGGGCTAACCTTTTAGCCCTTTTGAATGCTTTGGGTCCCTTCTAGCGAACTGGGGGATGCCTTGGTCGGGGGAAAAGCGATCAAGCGCCGACCATGATTATTCCTATTATTCGGTGACGGTACGAGTAAAATACCGAAAATGATACGCTCCACCCAGCAAAAGCCTTTCAAATGACGGCCGCGACGACGCCTCGCAGCTCTAACTTTCAACAGCTAGGCCAACGGGTCCACCCCACGCGAAGCCGGCGGTTCCCAATGGGCCAGTGGTGAGGAGAAAAGATGCGACGTAATGAGGTCAGCGACGGGGCGGTTGTGTGCATTCACCCGAGTTCCTAATCCGGGCATGGTTCTTCAGCATCTAACCCTCGCAGCTTATCCCGAGCCAAAGGAAGAACCATGCCTGCTGTACATTCAAAACATACGAGTACAACGACAATCGTCTTATTTTCTCTGTTCGGGCCTACCCACACGGAGTCTCATGGCTGATGGACTGTCGGCCCCGTTGTGTTGTAGTGAGAAGTTTGTGCGACACAATCTACCCGAAGGTCTATCAGCCCTCGTATTCAAGGTAGGAAGCTGGAGTGATTTCTCCAATTGATCAACCACAATTACGAGGCACGACATACAAGTACTATGTACAAGAGGACATCACCGTGGGAATTAGAGGCAATTTTGTCCCGCTTCTACATACAGGCTCCACGTGTATCTCTTCACTACTAAAGAATGACTTCGTAGAACCGCTTCATACACCGCACCAGTTCGCTAGTCACAGATTTTTGCGAGCCGCTGCATGTACCGAGAACTCGGTACACAACGAGGATGAACCTGTCTATAACAGTCCCTCTGGTCCTCTACTGATTATTCTAGTGTTTCAGAAGGGACGCCCAAATCAAGCGTTGGTGTTGGGTCTATCTCACCTTTTCATGTCATTCATACTCCATTCCAGTGACTATCATTACTAAAATGTACGGAGTACTAACAATTCTGTAAGCCCGCCACTTCGTACAAGGTACTCCGTACTTCGGTGAAATATGTTCTTTCCCTCTGACTTGCCCAGATACTCGTTCAGACCTGCCTCGCAGATGTGCGTTGATGTATTCAGTAGTGCCTAACTAGTCCTGAGATCGTCTGTCGCTCACGGACGGTTCGGCAGCTGATGCAGCACGGAGTATGTATGATGGAATCTCGCATCTGGCATCTGGCATCTACCTTGCATCTGGCATCTAACACATCGACAGTGTTGCATTCATGGAGAAACAAAGACCCCTACTAACATTTAATAATGACGCACTTCCAACGCTGTTACCACGCTCAAATACAATGCGGCTATACGCATTTCAAGTGCCGCCGCGGAGAACACCCGTCCTCGGTACTCCGGTGGTCGAAAGAGGTTCTCGTTTTGTCACACAGTAGTAATAAGAACGATACACTTACTACTGAGGGCTGTCCTTAACTTGCACCTCGCATATAATCGGGATACAAGGGCATGATGAGATGGGCCTGAGTAAGGTTAAGCCAGGAAGGCCTGGCACACACTGCGAGCATTGATGGAGTTGTCATGGGGGTTGGAGAGGGGGCGTGGGTGCCGTGTTGTGAACTTGTGAACCCTCAGTGCCAGTGTGAATCGCACGTTCCTTGTGAGGGCCCACGCCGGCGTGACCCGGGTGATGGTTGGTCGGCTACTCGGACCACACTTGAACGGGTTTAGGCTCTTGCTTCTGCTAGCGGAACTCCAGCAGAAACAACTTGCAAGCCAAAAATCTCCTGCTGTGGGTTTTCCCTTCTCTTTCTCCACCCAACCATCACTCATCCTTTCCATGCTCACTTCTACCCTTGTAACTTTCAAGCAACTCCATCCAGAACCCCCCGGCCTTTGGCGGCATCATCTCAACCCTAATCCCTGCAGCAGGTCCCTAGGTTGTCCCGCGTCAGCTTAAATCTTTAGCTCAAGGTGCGTGGTTTCCGGTACGCTTGGGCGTACCAAAACAAGCCCTCTGACAGTCAAAACACCCCCGTCCGCTGGATTTCACCTTATCAATAATGGCTCAGCGGCATTCTGGCTGACCTCAAGCTCAAGGAAAGCTTAAGCAGCCAACCAGATCGCCGTCCTGAAGACCTTGCTCGAGCTATCGCAGCCACGGCTTGACGGATCGCTGGTGGAGCCCATTTCCTGCAAACCCTCCAGTCGACTTTGACTTTACCTCTGAATGTCCAAGGTGAGCTGCCCATCACCTTTGCTCGCATGTTGTGAACAGTCTTTGCTTTAAAGAGGGGTTCCACGCTGCAAGCTCCAGATCTTCTTTTCTTCCCTTCAGCTTGGTCTTTACGCCTGACCTCGTTGTCGTCGTCCTTTTTCCTCTTCTTACTTTTTCTTTTCTGCATACTAACCTCTCCACTCCCACAGTGAACCATGGCGGAAAAGGATCTCGAAAACGGCGACCCCAAGCGCGAGAGGATCTCGTTTGCAGACGGGTGGGATCCAGACAAAGATGAGGGCGAGTATGCCAACCTCATTCGATACATCTCCACCTACCGAGACCGTCGTTTTTCCAAAGCGCCCTCCCAAGTCTCTGGAGATGATGTCGCAGACGCCTCACAAGACAAAAAGGTTCCGTTCTACCGCAGAATCTTAGGTGGTGGCAAGACCAGTTCCGATCTCTACGAGGTCCCGGAAGAATGGCTAAATACAGACATCAAACAAGGTCTCACCACCGCAGAGGTTGAGCAAAGAAGACGAAAGACCGGGTTCAACGAACTTACCACAGAAAAAGAGAACATGTTAGTCAAGTTCATCGGCTACTTCAGAGGCCCAATTCTTTATGGTATGTTGAGGCGGTTTTGAAGCTACCACATCTCGTATAGCATAACTAACTTTTGACTAGTTATGGAGCTCGCTGTTCTTCTCGCTGCTGGTCTGCGTGATTGGATTGATTTCGGTGTCATCATCGGTATTTTGCTGTTGAACGCTATTGTCGGTTGGTACCAAGAAAAGCAAGCTGCCGATGTTGTTGCCAGCTTAAAGGGTGACATTGCCATGAAGGCTGAAGTTGTTCGCGACGGTCAAATTCAAGAGATCAAGGCTCGTGAGCTTGTTCCTGGTGACATTGTAAGATCACACGTTCTCGAATTTCGGGCTTTATTAACTGATTTCAGCTCATCTTGGAAGAGGGTGCCGTTGTTGCTGGTGAAGCCCGCTTGATCTGCGACTTTGACAACCCAGCTGGTTTTGAAGAATACAAGGAAATGGTCAACGATCCTGAGGGTTACCACTCCAAGAACCATACCGACTCTGATGATGACGAGGAACATCATATTGGTGTCTCCATCGTCGCTACAGATCAATCTGCTATCACTGGAGAATCTCTGGCTGTCGACAAGTACATGGGTGACATCTGCTACTACACCACTGGGTGCAAGCGTGGCAAGGCCTACGCTGTGGTCACCGAGTCTGCCCGAGGCTCCTTCGTCGGTAAGACTGCTTCGCTCGTCCAAGGTGCCAGTGATTCTGGTCACTTCAAGGCTATCATGGACTCAATCGGTACCTCTCTACTGGTCTTGGTCGTCTTCTTCATCCTTGCTGCTTGGGTTGGCGGTTTCTTCCGCAACTTGCCGATTGCAACTCCCCAGGATTCTTCCATCAACTTGCTGCACTACGCCCTCATCTTGCTCATCATCGGTGTTCCTGTTGGTTTGCCTGTTGTTACAACAACCACCCTGGCTGTCGGCGCTGCATACTTGGCTCAGCAAAAGGCAATTGTCCAGAAGCTTACCGCAATCGAGTCTCTGGCTGTGAGTTGAATAACCCCCCTCCCATTGCCTGGTCCTGACAGATTGTAGGGTGTCGATGTTCTGTGCTCCGACAAGACTGGTACTCTTACTGCCAACCAATTGACCATTCGAGAACCCTACGTTGCTGAGGGTGAAGATGTGAACTGGATGATGGCTTGTGCTGCCCTTGCTTCCTCGCACAACTTGAAGGCTCTTGATCCTATTGACAAGATCACTATTTTGACCCTGAAGAGATATCCCAAGGCTCGTGAGATCTTACAACAAGGCTGGAAAACTGAAAAATACATGCCATTCGACCCTGTCTCCAAGCGTATCACCACTATCTGCACTCTAAAGGGTGAGAAATGGTCTTTCTGCAAAGGTGCACCCAAAGCCGTTCTCGCCATTGCAGAGTGTGACGAGGCTACTGCAAAACACTACCGTGATACTGCAGCTGACTTTGCTCGTCGTGGTTTCCGATCTCTCGGTGTGGCTTCCAAGCGTGGTGACGAGCCATGGAAGGTCATTGGCATGCTGCCCATGTTTGACCCTCCTCGAGATGATACTGCCCATACCATCTTGGAAGCTCAGAATCTCGGTCTCAGCGTTAAGATGTTGACTGGTGATGCCATCGCCATTGCCAAGGAAACTTGCAAGCTTCTTGCTCTCGGAACCAAGGTCTACAACTCGCAACGCCTCATCGCCGGCGGTGTTACTGGTTCTGCTCAGTACGACCTTGTCGAGAAGGCTGACGGATTCGCTGAAGTCTTCCCGGAGCACAAGTACCAGGTCGTTGAAATGCTTCAACAAAGAGGTCATTTAACTGCCATGACTGGTGATGGTGTCAACGATGCTCCATCTTTAAAGAAATCTGACTGTGGTATCGCTGTCGAGGGTGCTACTGAAGCCGCGCAAGCCGCTGCTGACATTGTCTTCCTTGCTCCTGGCCTCAGCACGATCGTCGATGCTATCAAGGTTGCCCGTCAAATTTTCCAGCGTATGAAGGCCTACGTGCAATACCGCATTGCTCTCTGTTTGCATTTGGAAGTTTATCTGACCACATCCATGATCATCATCAACGAGACCATCCGTACCGACTTGATTGTCTTCTTGGCCTTGTTCGCCGATCTTGCCACCATTGCAGTTGCCTACGATAACGCTCATTATGAGCCTCGCCCTGTCGAGTGGCAATTGCCCAAGATCTGGGTTATTTCAGTCTTCCTTGGCTTCCTGCTTGCAATCTCCACCTGGATCGTTCGTGGATCGTTCTATCTACCAAACGGTGGTCTAGTTCAAAATTTCGGTAACGTTCAGCTCATGCTGTTCCTCCAAGTCTCACTGGTTGAGAACTGGCTTATTTTCGTCACTCGTGGTGGACAGACATGGCCCTCCTGGAAACTCGTCGGTGCCATCTTCATCGTCGATGTCCTGTCCACACTTTTCTGTGTTTTCGGCTGGCTTTCCGGTGAGCCTGACCAATTCTTCACTAGCCCTCAAGACGCATTCTCCCGAGACCATTACAGCTCGGATACTTCCATCGTCACTGTGGTCGTTATCTGGTGTTATTCCATTGGTGTTATCATCGTTGTAGCTATCGTCTACTACCTCCTTGTCAGCATGACCTGGATTGATAACCTCGGCCGTGCCACTCGCAGCCATGCCGATACTACGATGGAGAACATCCTTGGCCATCTCAGCCGCATTGCTATTGAGCACGAGACGGATGTGCATGGCAAAACGAAATGGGTGTTGGGCTCTAAAGGAACTGGAGAGGAAGAGGAAGAATAAACCGGGGGAAGGGTTTGAAGGTGTCTCTATTGTGCGCAGGGAGAAAGTGTGCCAACAAAACATCTTCGTTTTATTTCATAATGTGAGCTAATGGACAAGACTACAATACGGTGGGAATGAACCATCAAACAACACTTGTATGTTCTGTTCCCCAAAAAACAGCGGAAAAACAAAAGGAAACTCACTATCAATGCCTCGTCGAGGTTTTCCAGTCCATGTGTTTGACTTAAGTGGTGCTATGCACCATGTTTCCCCGTCCTTCGCTGTGTGCGGCATTCAATATGTCCGCAACCTAGCTCTGGTTTGTCCATAATACTCAGGCCTGAAATTTCTAGTACCAGTCATAACTACGCGTAAGACAGTCCCAACCCTTCTTGATTTCATTCCTGTGTGGTAGGGGGTTATAGATTCACATGCTCTAAATTTCGTTGACAGGAAATTCCCTTTGCGGTTATGTGTTTGTCTTGAACTCATTTCGTTTAAGGATCTCTAGAGGATCGCTCGCTGCGGCGGCGGCTCTCCAAAAAAGTTCTGAAACGAGATTGGGGTCCTTACCTCCAGCGAGGATTGTCCTCGTACTTGCCCTAGAGCCTTGTCTGGCTAGACTCTCCAGCAATGTGACCAGGATCATCCCCAGGATATGTAGCCAGGTCCCAGGTACCCATAGTGAGCCTTCTTTCCCGTTCGGTATCAAGACCCTCCTACCAGTGGGGCCCAAGCAGCCCCAGCCTTGCCTTGTCTTTGCTTACTGTAGAGCTTGGAAAGCTTCGCCTCGCTCTTTGCTTGCAACGGGTCCATTCACCACCACCCCTGCCCTGTGTAAGTGTGTCTCTCACCGAACGGACCGTTCATTCCTTTTCCTTACCCACTTCCCACTTCGCAAACATCCCGATCTGCCATGTATCCCACCCAGTCCACAGCTAAGCAAAGCCTTGGCGCCCATACCTAGACCCGGAGTCCATCGTGACTTGTCTGTGGCTTGCCTTTCCCCTGATTCATATTCGTGTAGCTTTGTTTTCCGTGGCCATCTCACATATCAACAAACTGGCCCCCTCCCCCCCCCGCCCCCAAGGAACACGTTTTCCCGTTCGAGATAACGCGCAAATTCTTGTGGCGGGCACCATTGCGTCGGGGATGTGTATGTACGGCGTACGTACTCCGTACAGCCCCATAGAGACCTGTCCTCATATGAGTTCATGCCATGAAAGCGCCATAGCAACCGGGACCCCCTCCCCGTCCCTCGTCTGTTTCATCTAGACAGCCCCCAAGGCCCTGACTCCCGTCATACAGAAAGTGGTTGCCCAGAGATCTACTCGGTAGGGTCTAGACCGGAGATATGGAAAACACCCGCTACCGTAGCGCGAGAGCAAGCGTGCACTGCATGACTTCCTGTCCTGCAGACGTCGCTAGCGACGACTATGTACTCAGTACGAGGCACCTTGCAGACGGCATGAAAGGTAGACTAGGCGTGCAAAATACTCCGTCTTCCGTACTCCGTATTGCATTGCCAGAGTCCGAATGTAGAAGAGTCTTGTTCGTGATCCCTACTCGCTTCTCTTTGGCGAGAAACGGTGGTCTGCTCTACCCCATATCCGTACTTGGGCTCCGATATGAGACCCCCAGCCTTTAGTTGATCTGAAGGGGTATCACGGATCATTGGCAGTTGTCTCTCCAGCCTTGCCCATTAGCTGTTTCATCACTGGTGAAGGGGGGGGAGTTAAATGTAAGACATGCATGCATAAGTAAAGAGTGATTCCCTTCACGAGACACCGTACATTACATTGTTCATTGTTCGTACTGCTTGGAGTGCGGCAGACGAAGGATTTCGTACCCGGTATGAAGAACGGAGTACAGGTGTGAAGCACTATCCAGAGCACATAATGCATACATGTACTCCATGCCTCAGAGTATTGGGCCAGATTTGTTTGAAAGCAAGAACATCATTCATCTCATGTAGCGAATTGCAGTAGAAATACGGAGTAGGTAGCCGGAGCAGTGGGATTCCTGACTGCCGATCAGTCAGGCTGCAGGCAAGCTCAGCCTTGCACCAAGGGGGGCAATGAGGTTCGGACATATTTGTGGGAAAGCTTCCTGGGCTTCGATGAATGCCTCAGCCTGTGCTTAGCTCCTCGGTCTCCTCTATTAGTCCCGTTCCTATGGTTGGAAGTGATATCCAGCAGCAAAGCGTATAGTACCTATTGCGAAGGTGCAAAGGTATTCGGCATCTGGGTATGTAGTGTTACTGTTTCGCAGTCCGAGGTAGCCATCAGTTAGACAATAATCTTGTCGTCGGTCAAAGCTCCACAACAACAAACATGGAATACAAGTGGAGGCTCGTGCATGTCAGGTGTCACTGCCAGAAATATCAGTCATCCATGCGTAGCACGTGCGCTCTTCTATTTATGACATGTTGGTCCCTGCTTTGTGACGCCAAGGCTCTCAGTCAGTATCGAGAACCCTCAGGTCTGTGTCCCAGTCATGCAGCTGTAATTGCCAATGGTCAGGGTGCGTTGTCTTTGTGTGCTTCTCTTGTATCGAATTATCGAGGCTCGCTTATTTGGGTTTTACCTAGCAATGTATTTCGGGAAGACCGCTCTGTAGAGAATTGCCTTGAGCGCCTTTCCTCAAGAGTCAGAGTGCACATGCCGTCTGTACATCATTTGGAAATACCGTGATCTCAGTTGCCGTGATCTAGGTTGCGATTGAATCTATAGCCCATATTGTGTAACCATATATCCCAAAAAACAAGGCTCCTGATTGAGTTTTTTGGACAACCATAATAAACGGTCAAATCGCATGGTGGCGCCAGGCACTCGGAAGTCAAAACTCAAATTAAAGGAGGTGGAAAGCCCTAGCACGGCGAGAGAACTTTCACAAGAATAAAAGTTGGTCATATAACAGGATCTATTGGTCTGTGAATACGGGCTGAAACCCTTGGCTCATTTGCTTTCTAAAATTTTGTAAACAGCCGTACATGGAATTGATACCAGCAGTTTCGGAGGTCACCTTTTGATTTGCTAGCGAAGAGCAATCGCAACCCGGCTTGAATGTAAAATTGGAATGATTTCTTAGAGTAGCCATTGCTTGCTCTTGTTTAGATTCGCCATCCCGTCATGTTTAGGCTGTTGAACCACGACTCGGTCGGACAACCTTCGGAAACATGGCTGCGAGACCGGTCACTGGCAGTGATTCTCTTGACATGAGAAGGTATGTTCCATAGCATTAGTGTATGGTCGTGACCCTAAATTCTGTGCCTGACTTCCAAGGGAGTGGGCTGAAGCTGCGAGATCATGCAGATCATCTCGTTATCGCTCTCGAGCTCCCTCAAAGGCTCAGCCTTGGATCTTCAGTCTTATCACATGACGTGAATATCTAGCAAGTGTCAGGGACACGTCTGGTGTTGCCTGAGGTTTGTGGTACAGAAATTGATTGACAGAGGGATGATTTTTTGAGAAGGGGATATCTTCTTTCAGAGTAACCTGTGGTGAAGTCCCAAGCCATAGACAGATTAGATGGCCTTACCTGGAAAGAAAGAGGGAGTGATTGATATATTTCAGCCATCTAATTGTCTTCCATAAATCACACAAACTCGGGTATGGTGTAGTGGTTAACATTACTGTTTCTCAAACATTATTTGATGTTTCTCACACAGTAGCCCCTGGTTCGATTCCTGGTACCCGAAGATCATCATCATCTTTTTTCCTCCTTGTATCGTACCAGGGTTGATCTTGTCAGAAGAGGCCTTTGACTTCTTTGTCTAGGTAACAGCTCTTTTCTTGAACAGCCCAATCTGTATTTTTGTATTTTGTTGTGGGAAGTTGCAAGTTGGTGACGTCCTTTGTGTGAAGTAAGGAAGGGGCTCCGTTACAGATTCTCCAGTTAACGTGCTCAAGACTGCTCTATACTGTCAGCTGTAGCAAGATAGAGGTCGAACTTGTTAAACAAAAGGACCTGGGCATAAAGATCATAAGCTGACGTTTAAATATCATCTAGGACTTCTGTCCTAACACCAAACAAGTGTAAGCTGTCAAAAAGGTCGGACAATCAGCATTCTGAGTTGTGTAAAGCGAGAAGCCTTGGTTCTGTTATCGAAGACAAACCGTCAACAGCGCGGAGAGATAGAGCACGGATTAATGAAGATAGTAACCGTGTCAATTGACTGTAGTTGTCCATCTATCTCCACCTGGTGTGCTTGTACTTATCACGATATTATGACATAGTTGAGGAGAAGCAAGAATGCTAAGTCGCGTTCGACTCCCAATAAAGATTGACCTACCCTCTCACTGCTGAACCGCATGAGCTGCTGCAACGGAAGATGGCCCACGGCAAAACAGTTGAAAATATATGGCTATCAGCCCAACGTGGCGAGGCTGGCATGCTATGCCGTGGGAAGAAGGGAAAAATCTATAGTTGTCAGGATGCTCAAGGCCATCAGCGGAACAAAGATGCCCAAGAGCTAGTTTGAAGCCTTTTGAGTCTTGGGTTTCGTGATCAAGCCCCTAGATGGCTGGAGGAGACTGTCTGTCATCTTCAAAACTCGGGGTCCCACCGCCTCGTCCGTATGCTCTTTGCTTCTCCTGGCCAGAATTCTCTGAGGTAGCTTTCCGATGACAAAGCACGTAGATATTTTAACGCTGGCTGTACCCTCTCCATTTTCATTGACTCTGAGTGACTCTTTTGTCGCCCATTACTAAAGAGGTAGTGAGTCTAAGGCATCGTAGCACGCAGAGACACAATGTACAACAGTCTCTGCTCTCTAGAAGTAGCCAACTATGAGCGTAGAACTCACGTCTTGCTTGCTATCTGATGCAGAGATCCTGGTAGGCTGAAAATGACTTCCTATCATCCAAGGATGTAGATATTGTTCGGTACTAGATGCTCTCACCCATCTAGCAGAACGGCCAAGGGTGAACGAAACATTTCAGAAGATCGAAATGGCACTAAGAGGAGTCAGAGATTAGTATCCACCTTCCACTCCGCTGTTGGATTTAACCTCAGCGGTGCAGATTGCTCGCAGTCTGTCGCGGTAAACTCAGGTGATGGAGAAGAAATCCTGATGTCCACAATGACCAGAACGGACACGAAGATACCGAATTACCTATCAACGCGGACATCGTTTACCATAGACCGAGAGTACATGTGTCGCGTACGTGTCCGCACATATCGGGGCTCGATGATGAAGCAGTGGCTACGCAACATATTACATCGAGCAAAGCGATGATCTCGAGGAAATCATGATAGCTCATCGCCACATGATGGGCTGGAGGAGAGGACAACATGTGAGAACGATGAGAAGCTAGCCCCGCCTTCAACTTGCAATGATAGGAACGACAGATCTTTGCCTTCTTTTTGCGTTTGGCGGTAGTGGGATGTCAAACTCTGGCAAGCATTGTCAGCATTGTTTCTTTTATCAACTCATTTTCAGCTAGGTTTCGATATCGGGTATTGTCAGCGAGAAGATTTTGGTCACCATTGTGGGGAGGTCATGCAGAGCAATCATCAAGCCAGGCCGAGGCTGCTGCTGCACCCACTGTCTGGCTAAGGATGTGTGTTCATCAGAGGACAGATTGGATGAAAGAGAGATGTTACATACATGACTTGCTTGGCCATCCTTGGCTCTTGAGTGGTATGCATATCGCCTGCCTCCATATTAATATGGAAGCTTTGAGTCGCGGTTAAGAATCTCGGAGTTGGGGCCATAAGAATGTTCTTCTGGTCGCCTCCAACGCCTTCGGCGTTTCAAGAGAGTCTTCGACATCGTCATACAGAAGAGTATCCACTACGTTCGGTCCAGGATCGTCATTATGTTGATGTTTCTTCCTATCCAAAGCCCCTGGGCTTGTCTGCTCACGATCGATTCTTCTCTTCTGTCTCTCTTCTTTCTCCTTGATAGTGCTTCTCTCATTGAGCAGACGTTGTATTTCAGAGTGTCTGAACATTTTGATTTGCTCATCCGTCAATGTCCGTCTTGTGCCATCGCTATAATATCCCAGGCCCGCGGACTCCTCTGGAGAATGTCCGCTTTCTGTTTGGGGGTTCGCCGGAAATTGCTCGACCCAGCCTGTGAGGGACGGAACGCGCTGTTGGGGGAAATGTTGAGCGTGAAATTCGCGCAGCTGGCTGACTTCTGACTGTGTGATCATGCTAACTTAGGCGTGGAAAGACAGTCTGGTACAGTCGCACCCGCAGGGTGGGATTAGAAGGCCGCTCGCAGGACGCGTGGAGAGCAGGGCACAGCTTCAAATGCACAGCGTGTATGGCAAGGAACGAATTGATGATGAAATACGATAGGGGACGAATACCTATGTGATAGGGCCAGGCAGTGTTGCTGAAGCAACAAGGCCGCTTGCGAGTTGTGGTTAGGCAAGGCAAGGCTAAAGTGCCAGTTTGTGGTACTCCGTAGACAGGTACGTAATTACCTATGTATGTACGGAGTACCGAGTTTGTATTATTAATACTGTACTTCAAATTTATGACTTGGAAGTGTATCGGACGCCAAGGACTTTCTGGTCCTTTAATCGCGCTCTCGAGCTTAGTTATTCCCAAGGTACTGACTAAGTGCTCGGGGACCACGAGTTTAACGCTGCCGTTGTCTAACGTGGGATCAGTAAACATATGAGCTTCTGTGAGGAGAATCACACACTGCCTGGTCGGGTAGTCGCCGCCCATACGCCTTGAACACCAGGAACTGCGTCAAGCTGGGATGCTTCTCGCCGAGGTAAAACGACCTGTTGCCGCTCCTTAACCACTGTCAACCGTTTGGGTAGTTATCAGTCAGTGACATGCATGGGATGCCAACCTTGTTAGCTGGAAATTCGAGAAGGTTGAAGTTCGCAAGCTGCTCGACTTGGTCATCCAGGTCTCCGCTCTTTAACCACTGTCAACCCTTTCGGGTAGATACCAGTCATTGACATGCATGAGACGTCCAGCCCTGCTAGCTGAGATACCGAGAGTATCGAGGCTTGCACTCGAGTTAGTCAAGCAGGCTTAGGTATAGCCCGCGGAGTTGCCATGAAATCATTGTCCACCCTGCCGCCACGGTCCATCGGTATTAATCATCAGAAATAGTATATATTGCAAGCAGGTACTTCTCCAGTAGATTTGCAGGAGCATTCTCTGAAGCATCTTATTGCGTGAAGCCTCTACTCGATTGGCGCACTATCAATCCAGTTCAATCAACGGAGCACTTCGATCTCGTCCCCCAAGCAATTTCCAGCAATGGCGCGTGACCTCATTCTTCTTACAGGAGGCTCAGGCCACATTGGTTATCGCACACTTATTGAAGCCCTATCAAAAGGCTACAAGGTCCGCGCCGCTGTTCGATCGGACGCGAAAATTGCCCAAATCAAAGCAGCAAAGTCTACCCAACCTTACCTTGGCCAGCTGTCATTCACCATTGTTCCAGATATTACCAAGGATGGTGTCTTTGATGAAGCCGTTCAGGGCGTGGACTATATAGTGCACCTGGCATCTCCTCTCGCAGCGTCCTCCGACGATGACGAAGCAAATATCATTCAGCCGGCCATTCGTGGAACGTTAAGCATTCTTTACTCAGCCTTGAAGGAGAGCAAAGTGCAACGTGTCGTTATCACTTCATCCGTTACTGCAGTTGGGCCATGGTCCTCCGCAGGTGGCAATCAGCCAGTCCAACCATTTACAGCAGACGGCCTTCAGCCGGACCCACAAGGCCCCTACCCAAATGCTTTTGCGGCCTATGGCTCTAGTAAAATTCTTGCATACAATCGCACTCGAGAATTTATTGCCAAGGAGAAACCGAGCTTCACAGTAGTCAACATAATGCCAACCTTTGTTATTGGCAAGAATGAGCTGGCGACAACACCAGAAGCTGCACGGGAGGGTTCCAATCAAATGGCAATGGGTCCTCTTCTCGGCTCTAAGCAAGAATATGGCCCGCCCGCTGCTGCATGCCATCTTGACGATGTTGCTTTCGTTCATATCGCGGCACTAAACCCTAAAATAGAGGGCAATCAAAATTTTGGGATCAATTTCAATGGCGCCAAAGGCATTGTGTGGGACGATGCAGTTGACATCGTCAAGAAACATTTCCCCGAAGCAGTTGAGAAGGGTATTTTCCCGCTTGGTGGCTCGCAGCCCTCCGTGGCACTACCTTTTGATGCTAGCAGGACAGAGGAGGTATTCAACTTCAAGTACAAGAACTTCGAGGAGATGATTGTAAGCCTTGCCGGCCACTACGTTGCAATTTCTGCGCGTCTATGAAACCTCATCATCTGAATAGTATAGTAATCAGATTACATGCAACTAGCCATCTAGTTTCTGTGCTGTCGTAATATTCCAATCGGTTCAGACTTTTATATCCAAGGCTGATGTTAACGAGTATTGATTGGCTCGGTAAACGGGTCCTCTTCTCCGAAAGGCTTTCGACATCTTCATTTTGTTTCAAACCACATAACGATTACTCGGAACCTATCTCGATTTGGCAAATCCCTCCTTGTTCTTTGAATAAAGGACCTTTGCTTGGGGTCACGACTTGACCAAATGAACAGCTGCGCGGTAGTCTAAATCCTTGCTCATAACGCTCCCATCTGCAAAGTGACGAGTCAGTTAACCCGCTGTGACATCACCTTTGACGATCTTGGGAAAATATGTCCTGAGATTGCGGTTCGTGCAAAGGCTGGCTGTCTTGTAGTGAGACACGATCATAATACATCGCACCTGCTTCTGGTCCACCCTCATCTTCAAGCTCGAAAGTTATCTTATATCACATCAGGATCCAATGAGTCCCGAACCCGCTTCCGCCCAGGTCAACATGTCTACCGCCTCTCGCGCCATGTTGAGCAAAGTCCGAAAACTTGTGCCTCCCATGCTCGAGAAATTCCACAAAGGTCAGCTCGGGCGAGTGGCTGTAATCGGCGGCAGCGCAGATTACACAGGAGCTCCTTACTTCTCTGCCATGGCGTCGGCAAGATTGGGATGTGACTTGTCCTATGTCTTCTGCGAGCCCTCAGCTGCGCCAACGATAAAATCCTACTCTCCAAATCTCATGGTATCGCCAATTCTCAGGTCTACTGCTTCCATCTCCCAAGCGCAGCAAGAGGCTGATGCGTCCGGCGAAGAGTTGGCAAAGCCCATTGTGGACATGCTTCCTCGTCTTCATGTCCTTGTGATCGGACCAGGACTCGGTAGAGATGCTGTTACCCAGAAGCAAGTCAAGGCTATAATTCAAGCTGCCAGAAAACACGATCCACCTGTGCCGATGGTATTGGACGCCGATGGTCTATGGCTCGTTCAGACTGATCCGGGAATGATTAAAGGCCATAAAGAGTGTATCCTGACCCCTAATGTGGTGGAGTTTGGGAGGCTGGCAAAGTCTGTGGGACTCGATCATAATTTTGAAAACCCGGAAAAGGCATGCCAGCAGCTGTCCAGGATTCTAGGTGGAGTTTGTATCATCCAGAAAGGCGCAGTTGATTACATTTCGTAAGTTGTTCAATCTTTTTGGCCGTCTTCCCTCCCTTCTTTTTTCAAGGGTCTGTGATAGATGCAAGCTTCTGCATCTGTTGAAGACTAGCAGTGAGCATTAATACCCTAACTCCTTCACCATCCTCTTCCGACCTATTACTCATATTCGAGTTACTGTAGGCAGGGAGTCGAAACCACTATTTCAGATTTCCAAGGTGGCCTCAAACGATCTGGTGGACAAGGTGATACGTTGACAGGATCACTGGGTACGTTTCTTGCATGGCGAGAAATCTACCATGAAGGTTTGTGGGATGTTGGCGAGCCAATGAGCCGCGAAGAGACTCTTTTGGTTGCTGCATTTGGCGGAAGTGCGATTACCCGGGAATGCTCTCGCCGAGCCTTTGTAAAAAGACAACGAAGTCTACAGGCAAGTGATCTTACTGATGAAGTGCATGAGGCATTCTTAGCACTCATCGGAGAACCTGAAGACCCGCCAAAATTATAGAGGGAGAGTACAGAATGGAAGAAGAACGCTAGTCATGATGAGAACAGAATTATGGGTGGATTGCGGTTCCGGGGGAATAGTGACGGTCAATGGGAACGAAGTCCATGGTCACACATGCATGCAAAGAGATCTAGATGTTTTGGGAAAACGTAGTTTTGTGGTTTTGAGTCCAAATTTCAACTGTCCTTGTTTTCTCCGTATATACAATGCCAAAGTTGCGCATCTGGCCCCTACCCATGCCAAAATAATTTTATTCGTAGACACTCACAACCTTGCCTTTCTTAAGTCTCGCCAGTCTTGCTTCTTCTTGAGCTTGTGCCTGTTCGTGATAATGTTTTGTGAGCGCAGTTAGATCTGCTCCGCCTTGTCCAGCAGAAACATTCCAAGGTGAACCATGGTTGAAGGCTCTGTATCTATGTCAGCATGATGCTAGTAACAACTCAGGAAGGCTGTGATGTGACATACTCGGGATACCGAAGCACAGGATTTGTATCAATTGGCGTTGAGGCGAATAGCTGTCTGTCGGCAGCAGCCTGCTCCATTAGCCGTAAATGAATGACGTTCTTTCTCTCTTCAGCTTCCTGTCCGATCTCATATTTCTTGACTAGCCGGGAAATGAAGTTGTCACCGGGGTTCGCTGCCACGGCATAGACTGCGGCGAAGAAAGGGATTGAAGCTAGGGAGATGTATAATCCGGGCTGCACAGTATATCAGCTAAATGCATCCCGGGGCTGTCCAACGAGTTTGCTTACTCCGAAAGACTCATTCGCTGGGCCTTGAGCGACATGGAATGCACTTTCTCCTTGGTGGGCCTCTCCGTGGCCGTGGGGTGCGTGGTGTGAATCATATCTTCGGGTTTGGCGCTGGACTGAGCGCCTCAGGTGACGAGCTGCAGCTCTCGCCCCTCTTGAGACAAACGACATGGCTGAACAGGCTGCAGAGAAATCAACAGCGAGGAATTCACGACCGTCGAAGTTGGCTGCGTTGAGTATCTTAAGATGAGGTCGAGCTCGGCGGATGCCAATACTAGATATCCACTAGTCTATTTTAGGAACAGTCTCCCTTGCGCTGCTAACTTCATCCTCACGAATTATATCAACCGCAACACAAGCCAATCGACGCCTGCCACGAGCTTGCCCTACAGAATGGTAGGCATTTGGCCTTGCTAGCCGATCCAAGTCCACCAGGTGAGAGAAACGCTGGTGTTCATGCAAAGGACGTTTGTAGGTGGACTATGGCAGATCATCCTGTTTTTGCGCCCCCCAGTTGGGCAGCAAGTGCTTCGCCCGATCCACCACGTCTCATCATGACTGTTATTTCTTCTTTTTGCTCTTCCTCCATCCAGTTTCTGTGCGACCTTTGGGAGAATATATTATACAGTCTTCTGTCTCTTTTGGACATCACGATTTCTGTTTTATCACAATATATCCATTTCCTTTATGGCTCTTCTTCGACTTCCTCGACTTTTGCTGCTTAGTGTCTGCCTCCATTTTCGTTTTGCGCCTGCATACTGCTAACAAGCTCAAAGCTGTACAACTACTTATCTTACGGTCCAACCAACATATGTCTCTTTTGACTCATTTACACAATTTTGCTTGATGGTGCTTCTCTGGATAACGTCTTGACTGCATCATGTCTTCCAGCGCATACCAGACTAATGCGAAACCCCGGGGTCGGAGGGGGAGCTACTCAGAATCCTCTGACAAGCAATCTCGCAGCAGAGCTTCAAGTTCCGCCTCCATGAGACTGTCGAAGACTCTTTCGAGACACCTAGACGAAGTTGCCGTCCCCAGGAATAGTCGGCCGAGCTCTCCAGCTGTACACAATCATCGACAGAGGCCACTAGATTTGAGATCTTCGGACGCAAGTGTCAATACTGGATGTCATACTCCAGATTTAAGGAACAGAAGCAAGGCTCATTCGATGCCGCAAGCCTCTAGTGGCGAGAAGGATTTGGCTCCTCCGCCGATGGTGGTGGTTCCTGTCAGGTCATCTGAGCCGACCACACCCGGTCGATCTGGTGTCCTTGGTGGCGCAAAGTTAGACGCTTATGCGAGGCACCAAGAATCAATGAATACCTCGCCCGGACTGACTCGAAACACCAGGTCATCCAAGTCACTGGCATCAATGCAACCAACTGTTACGGAAGAAGCTGAGGAGAGAGCCGATGAGACACCTTTGCCAACCGCTCAACCTTCTGTGTCATTCCCCACCGTCCTCCCACAGACTATGCCATCCAAAGCGCATGATATGCTCCCGCATGACGTTCCAATGCCAGTGTCGCCAGTGACATCAAATCCATCACCGCGAATACTTGCATCCAGTGACCCCAGAGCTTCAGAATCCTCCTTAGATGAGTTACTCCTTGCTGCGCCTTCTCCCAAGGCACCGATACCATTCATCTCGCAACCCGTAATCAGTAGAAGCGAAGAATGTGCTCCAGTGACGATTGTTCAAAGCCCAGGACCGGGACTAGAATATAGTCAGATGTACGAGCAAGTGCCACCTCCGGCTCGCACGCCACTAGCATCCCCTCCACAGTCGCCAATGCTTCATCAGTATATGGGGAGCCCACCCCTTCAGCCAGTACCTTACATGCACCCATTTCCATATCCTCCACCGCTCATGCCCAACGCTACCTATAGTCCCAGCTTTTACCCTGCTCACTTTGCACTTGGCCCCATACCGAACTTCCAAGCTGAAATGATCCCGAGCTCCAGTTCTGTCGGGCCTGAGGATGAACGGACTATGCTCCTTGAGAAGGTCTCTAATGTCCTCCCTGACATCAATCGCTTGCTCCATCATTACCAAGAGACACAAGGCCTCTTGTCTGAAAAAGAGAACCTCGTCAAGCAGGCCGAGACGCACCATGTGGAAGAAATCACGAAACTGCGAGTTGAGTTGACTGTTACCAAGGAAGAATTCGAGAAAATCATTGGCGAACTGGCTACTGAGAACGTACGACTTAAAGCAGAGCTTAGTGAGCAAACCGAGAGGTTCTCACGGGTCGAAGAAAACAACCCCAGCTTAGCAGAGATCAGGAATGAATTGACGGAGCTGAAGTCGAAGTACAAAAAGCTTGAAATCGAACATGGACAAGCCAAATTTGCCGTGGATCAACTGAAAACAGAGAAGGATATCTTGAAAGCTGAAGCAGAACAGTATACAAGAGAGCTACAAGAAAACAGGCTTCAGCTGGAGGAGAGTTGCCAGAGGCAGATAAGAGAGAATGAAGAGGCTCACACCAGGACGTCAGCTGAGCAGAAGACCAACCTTTCGAAGATTCAACTCGATCTCGCGGGAATGATTACAAAGCACACGATTCAAAAGAAAGATCTGGATTCTGTGAGGTCTATGCTCAACGAAAAGGAGCATGCTCTAGCCCTGAAAACCAAAGAGCTGGAGACCATGCTGCAGACGCACAAAGAAGAGCTGGAATTAAGGAATCACGAAGACCAGGAAAAAGACGCCCGACACAAGCAGGAAATTGCCCTCTGGTCCCAGAAGATGGCGGAGGGGGTTGTAAGGCGTGAAGAGATGATAAATAAGATGCGTGCATCTCTAGAATCACAAATCGAAAAGGAGAAGAAATCCACCGAACTTCGAATCGCTTTATTGACAGCAAAATTTACCGACCTAGAGAAAAAACAAACGACGTCGTTTGAGTCTGCGAAAGCTGAGAATGAAAACTTGAAGAATGAGATCACCAAGGAGCGAGGCGCTCACGACGCGCTGAAAAGTCTGCATTCAAAAGAGAAAGAGGCGCATAAAGCTCTCCAGTCTCGACATGATGCACACCACACCCAGTTGACAGATGCTATGCTTTTTCTAAGGAACAAACAAGCAGAATGGCATCGAGAGAGTGAGAAGATGGATCGCATCTTGCAAAGTCTGGGAAAACTTGGTTCTAGCAAGACCAATGGCAAAGGTGATGAGTACTTGTGAGTATAGTCCAAGATTACTGCTTTTGAGGATAAGATTTTTGTTGGTTTTGTGGTTTTTTGTGGAAAGCCTCGAATGACACTGGGCATCCATGAGATGCGATGGGCTTTGTGTCAACTTTACTGAAAACTGCGCTCTCATAAGATAGCGCCCACGATTTGAGTTCGAGTCAACAATTCTGTATATGGACGATGCAGGGCGCCCGAGTGCCTTTCACTCACAACTGTCAATGATGGATTGCTTGAAGGGCGAAGGGACAAGCAGGACAGTCCCCGCTGACGTTTTGTCACAGTGTCAGCGCCTTTGATCAGCTTGCAACCTCGGTGGAGGAGATCTCCAAGCACTTCTTCCATGACAGTCTCGGAGGGAGAGGTGGACATGAGGAGTCAATTTCAGATATCTGGCCTTCCAGACATCACAGGGCAAAGCGAGGCTGCGCGAGGTCTTCACTGCCTTGTGATTTAAAGTCAAATTTTCGAGGTCCTGCAGCGGCGAATTTTCGAGCTGTTCCTATTCACAACGGCCTATGACGGTCACGATACTTATGGGGTTGATTATACCTGTCAACGATAGCAGACATGATTCGAGCGAAAAGTGTGAACCGCGAAAGGATTTGGAGATCAACAACCATGCGAGCAATCTACGGAAGTACATATGGACGCAAAGTGGCTGTCCTGGCGGCCGGGACGATCAGCGAAGAAATCATGGAAGGCTTTCAGTCACTCGCAAATCCAACAATCAGCACATTTTTGCTCTGGGCGGTGCGACGTGTGGTCAAGGCTGCAGTCCAGCTCTGGCGACGAGCACGGCTTGAGTGGGATCTGATCCATTCGACGCTGCCATCAACGCCGGATTGGGAACGAGGGACCGACACAATGCTTTGGATACGACCACACGTTGTTCGGGAGCGAACGGGCTCCCTGGATGCAAAAGAGGCCAGTTCCAAGAGCGCATGTGTCTATCTGCAAGGTACAGGAATACGTGAAGGCTCCCCACTGGTCATGACACGGCGTCAGGAGCTTCTCGCGGAAAGGAGAGGGTGAATCAGGAGGAGGGATAAAACTGGTTACTATCGGCGTTGTTTTCCTGTTTGCTGCTGTAACAACACCATGGGTCTGACGTCAAAAGCAAAGGGAATTCTGTCTGCAAGTTAACGGGCTGTATTGTATTATCGTGTAATCAGTACCGCAAAGGGCTATGATCAATGGCGGCTCAAGAGTCAACTAACTCCTACTCCTGCGCCTCTGTCAAGCGACTGACTGGAAAGAATCACCTGATCCGGACTTCGTACATACGAAGAACAGAAGTAAGGTTACTATCGAGCACTCCGTACTGAGTACTCCAGAGTAAATGAGAATTGAAATCCTATGATGGAGACATCCTGGTTCAAGAACGACAACTCTCAATTGAGAAATCCGCCCACGAGTCTGCCAAGTGCAGAACAACCTATTGGGGATGACCCGTGTAGACAGGGGAGGAGTTGGGTCCGCCGTGGGCAACAGAGGAGCTACTAACGGGCTGTGCAGGTGCCATCCAGTGGCTATCTGGCCGTTTCCCCTGCTCGTTGAAGGGTAAGGCTGACTTGGGGCTGTGCAGCATGTGCTGTTCCACCTCTCAGGCGCTCCTCCGTCCCTATTGAGACCCCAGCAGGCGCTGTCAAGGCTCACACCAAAGCCCTCGCAGACTCGAAGGCTGGCTATCGCGACTCCGGTGCCGACACCCGTTGTCTCCATTTTGACCTCGTGGAGATGGCTCCATTTAATGCCATCATACCAATGCTTCACCTGATCAGATCGAGCTCCACTTGATCCCGCACTGGAGGTAAATACCTATTGTATCTATTCTGTACTTTCGGATGCATGGTGTCGTTGATTTCGTAGCCCAGAAACAGCGGGCTATCCCCTTTTCAGCCTACCGGTTAACACCTTAGACCACCGGCTGTGGCTAGTAAACCAAAGCTTCCCTGTCGCCAAACGAGCCATGGGGCAGCCTTTTTCAGGCCTAAACAGTTAGTGTCAAGCAGCATGCGTGCAGCCCCATTTTCTACTGTTCCCCTCTGGTCGGGAACAGCCTGAGAGGCAGCAGTTAGCCAGAAGTACGAGGGGGATTAACTCCCGCTAGGAGCTCAGGATGGCCATACCAAACCAAAACCCTTCAATCTTTACCGAGCTGCGGGCGGCTGTGTCACATCATTCAACTCCTCCTCCTCCTCCACTAACCTCCATCCATCCCATTTCCACCTCCACTGCACTGCCGGCTTTTGACTACTCGTACTGCTGAGTTCTGGTTTCCCATCTCCTCCTGCAGAAAGGATAAACACCAGCACCGTGGAAGTATCCGTACCATTTGCTGTTACGCGCCCATCACAGCGACCTCATTCCGACCAGCCGACCGCATCCCGGACTAAGGCTGTGGACTCATTTGCCCTACGGCTGCCCTTTCACTACCACCACCACAACCAGCAGCTCGACTTCTTACTCCTATACATCGTGAATTCATTTCTCACCCTTTACATGATCAAAATCCGCCCCTTGATCTGCCGCCAACCGCGCTAAGTTCTCTAGGACCAGTCTACCTCGCAGCTTTCTCTGGCTCGCGAACACTCCCGTCACCACGAGCCCTGTACAACTCTGTTAAGCAGACTGCCTCTCGTTCGACCGTGCTACAGACGTCCCCCTCCCTTCTCAATGATTGCCTCCTGCTTTCTAGCGTCATAGTCACACTGGAGTTTCTATTCATATCCCCTGACTCTTCAGGCATGTCTACAGAATCCTCACTATAGTCTCCACCAGTGCGGACCTTGCTGCGGCTCATCATTTCCTCTCCTGCATAGTTCACTCTCAGCCATAACCTCCGACGTCTGTTTCATCAGACGAAGAGGCCAAATACTTTCGATAAACCTCCTGCGCATGGTCTCCTGGTACACTTCACAGCCTCCTACCAGGCGCCACATCCAGGGCCATGCGATAGCGCCCGGCTTGTTTTTCCTTGTACACTCTGCTCACATCCGGGAGACAAGCATACCTGACTTATCTTTCCCCTCCTGCCTGCAACCAGAGCTCGGCGAAAATGTCGTCCTCATTCACGCACCCCCAGCTTACCCAACCGCTTGGGCAGTCATCTCCCTCCCTCACCCCGCTCAAACCCTACCGACCACAACAGGGGCAGACACAATCACAGAGTGCAGGTCAACAACCATTTCAGAAGCGGCATACTCATAATGGAAGCATAACCTCCAATCCCTCACAGTTGGTTCAGAACTCTCAGCAACTCGGAGGGGACGGTGTGTTCTGGCAGTACGACCAGCATTTCGATTTCTCTGTCACCGGAAGTCCTGGCACAATAGCGCAATCCGCTCAACTCTACAATTTCGAGGAGGACAATTCACACCACGACTCTTCTCTAGATGACTTCCTGACAACCGAGACTTCGTCTGAGAATCCAATAAGTGAACACACTACCCCTCAAGAACTCATCTGGGAGCAGCAGTTTATTACTCAGGACACTTCTCAGCCCCATATATTGGATACCTTCGGTGCTCATCCATATCCAGCTTCGCAAGGCATAGGTGGCACAGATACCCGCGGACTCTTCGGTCCCACGGAAGAGCCACTCCCGAAATTCGTCTCAAGGGAAGACCTCTTGGGCCCAAGTTTCGTCACTAACGGTGAATCGAGACAGTTGACGGGATTCCCCAACGAACAGAGCTCATCCATGGCATCTTCACTGACATCTCCTTTGTCCCACAGAAAAGGAAGCTCCCAAACACTAAAAGTTGATACTCAGGCGAACCAAACTCCTTCGCTCGGTCAAACTGCTGGCTCTTGGCACCAGCCACATTCAAACAATCCCATACCTAGCCCTGTCGTTATGATATCTAGCTATGAGCCAGCTGAATCAGATCGAGAGGCTTCTTTTGCGGGCCCACTGGGCCCCGGCAAGCGTAGCCGTGATAGTGACGGTTCAGACGATGAGGATGAGGATGATGACCAGGATGGCTCTATTAGTTCTGGAGCAGCCAATACTTACTCATACCATTTGATGCCTCCGGATGCACACGACATTGGCTCTATACGTTCAGTTCCCTCTCCGCGAGTCGGTTTAGAGCCATCACGAAGGACTGAGGATGCTGTTCTGTCGGTGAAGGATGTCGAACACAATCGAGAACGCCAAGAAAAGGACGCTGAAGTTGAAACCTGGCTAGCCAACAGCGATGCTGGGAGTGAACCAGACGACCAGTCTTTGCCTCAACCCACTCGTCAACTTTCCTCATCTAGCCGGCGTCGCGCCCATACGATTGGATTGCAAACGGATGCTCTCGGTCGCGTGTACCCAGACAAGGGCATACCTGGTCCAGGAGTTCTCGTCGATGTGGAATCAGACGATGAATATTTTGAGGACTGTGTCTCTGTTGCATCTTCAATCCTTCAAAATATCACCAACGATGCGCTTGAAGTCTATCACCAGAGATCCCCAAAACTGTCCCCCAATACTCTAGCTCCAGTAGAATCTCCAGAGCAGAGCTCCTTCCCGACTTTAGACAGTGAGATTCCTCTTGAACATCAAGAACCACTGCCGCGACAATTCTACAAGAGGAACCCTATCGGCGTGGGAACGGATGGCAAAAGGGAGCAGCCAGACTCGTCGAATGCGGCTGCATACAAGTTCAATCAAGAAGCCGTCAAGTGGGAGACAGCATCAAGGGCTGCTACCTGGGGTACTCGTCGTCGACTAAGTGAGAGTGAAGTCAATTCCATTGTTGATGGCAGCCAGGTCCGACATCTATCCTTGTCCAAGCGTGGCCGTGAGCGGGGCAACAGCATTTTGAACAAGGCCCGAGGACTCTTGCCACGCCGCAGTAGCAGCAATATCAAAGGTGAGCCTGCAGACGGCGAAAAGACCCCAGCGCAGCCTGGCCATGCACACCGGAGCTCTGTAGGCACAACGAAATCAAGTCAAAGGAAGACCAGCATGACGAAACCTCGATCACCTCAGCTAGATACTGGTGGTGCTCTCATGGCAATGACTGGCCAGCTAGCTGCCATCGGAAGAAGTAGCACCAAATCACATGAGCCAGATCCGCCTAAAAGCTCGCGGCCATTACAATCGCTGCGTAAACAGAGGAGCAGGAGCGATGTCACAAAGAAATCTTCCACGCCCGGACTGGCTGAATTGATGACTAGGCACGGTGGCCCACCAATCCCCACTCTGGCCTCTCCAATGCATGAGCGTGAGACGATTCTAGCTGCCCAAGTCATTGATAACGAAGACGCGGCAGGCGATGACGACGATGAAGATCAGACTGACGAGGTCGGGATCCGCATGGAGTTTGAAATCCGCGCTGAAGAAATCACACCCACCTTGGAAGGATTCAAGGATCATGCCCGCAAACTCAACCCCCGACTTGAACCATACTTGATTGATCGAATCGGTCAAGAGCAGGTTCGCAGATATAAGAGATTGGCTGAAACCAAAATCAAGCATATGCAGTGTGTGCAGCACAGTAAAAAGTGTGGTTCGGGGAAGTTTTGTTTCGATCTTGGAGGCGAAGCGGTCCTTTTGGCACCACGCGTAAGCTCCAAAGATCCAGAAGCGACATTGACCCAGTTCCAAGTCAACAGCTCAGGCGATCATGAAATAGACGAGTCCGGATTTACGGAGGGGATTGTGACACCAGCCTTGTTTCCTCCCGGTATTCCTTTACCCCCCGTCAAACGACTACCGGCAGAGTTCGAATGTCAGCTGTGTTTCCGAGTGAAGAAATTTTCCAAGCCAAGCGATTGGACGAAGCATGTCCACGAGGATATCCAGCCATTCTCATGTACATTCCCTAATTGCACCGAGTCCAAATCTTTCAAGAGAAAAGCGGATTGGGTACGACACGAGAATGAGCGCCATCGACATCTTGAGTGGTGGAAATGTAGCCACCAAGAGTGCTCTCATATCTGCTACAGGAAAGACAACTTCGTTCAGCATCTTGTCCGTGAGCACAAAATGACGGAACCAAAAATGAAAAGTCGAGGTTCGAACAGCAGCAAGAATAAGCCAATCAATGGGGCGTCGTGGCAAGCTGGCCAGGAGGAAAGTGATTTATGGCGAATGGTGGACGCTTGCCGGTCTGAGACAAGCAGCAAGGCCCGAGACGAACGGTGCCGCTTCTGCGGCAACGTGTGCACGAGTTACAAAAAGTTGTCCGTGCACATGGGAAAGCACATGGAACAGATTGCAATGCCAGTGCTCGAGTTGGTGAGAATGCGTCAGGTGGGTCCCGATACCATCATCAGCCCCGTTGAACAAGTACAACCTGCTTCGTCGTTCGTGTCCATCCCAGCCAACATGAATGGTGGTGATTCGAACAACCTGTCGCCCTATCCCACAAGCGCGGTTTCGGCATATCAAACGTCCTCTGCAGGACAATCGCCCGCATCAATCCATGGGCGGGTTCAGAATGGAAATTATAATTTCGATCAAGGTTACTACAGCCCGCATCCGATGGGGCCTGGAGTCCAAGCCCAACTAGTTGCAACGTCGTATGGTTCTAGCCCATCATACCATGGCCAAAATCGCATGTATATGGACGGGCCGGAGTATATGGCGACTCAGAATGACGGGAGACAGGAGCACAGTCTTTCTCCACAAAGTCAACTGGTGGCCCCCAGGTCACAACCCATGACAACGGGATATTCGAACACATACTTTGACCCAACCGGAGCAGCGTACAACCAGACGCCGCTACAAACAGTTTACACAGGTTCTGGCTCCTCGGCAGGCTATATGCCCCAGTACGCCCCGTCAACGTTGCAAGATCTTCCTGTGCACTCGCCGATGGGCATGAATGGACACCCAAGGCTTGGTATACAAGCGATGAACCAGCAGCAGCAGCAGCAGCAGCAACAACAACAACAACAACAGCAACAGTACCTGTTCGGGGGCCCAGGCAACGGCAACGGCAACGGCAACGGCAACGGGCGATCCATGCAGTATTCTTGAGGAAAAGGAATATTGTTTGGACATCGGAAAGTCTACGAAGTGAGGCAAGGTAGACGGACTGGGTCGGGCAAACGTGGAACGAATGGCCGGGGGGAGGGTCAATCGCTTGTGGTATAATGAACATGATTCAAATATGGTTTTTTGAGTATGGGATATGTGTTAGGTGATGCTATAGATACCCACGGATGTTTGTTTCGGCAATTGATGAATTTGATTTATATGAACTGCGGAACGTGAATATGCATTTGCGTATGACATGAACTCAATCTTGTGTCCTTGCTTGTAATTGCGTTGAACAGGCTGGCTTTTGAAGGGTGAAACGGGCGACGATAGCAAGATCCTTACAAAGTTTACGAAGGTCACAGAAAAGTACCCGGCATTAGAGGGAAGCTTGTGGGTCGGGTCAGGTTGGGTCCCTTGCAGTTACGTGCCAGAAACGAACCGAACGTTGCAATCTTGGACCTTTGTCAATGTGGATAAAAGCATGGTCCGAAGATTTGTGAGAAACGAAACAACGCGGGCGACAGCCACCGTGGTCATGTGGGATGGAAGCGATGAGAAGATACCAGCAGGAACAAATGAGAGTGATGCGACTGGTACTGATGCCGTTGAGTTGTAGGTGGAGGTCCAGGTGGTGCATCTCAAGTCAGTGCCAGTGGTAGGTTGGTTGGTAGTGGTGCGGCAGATGATACACCTTACATGGTACTGCGTATTGCAGTTACCGTTCCCTGACAATAGGCAACCGTGCAGCCCACTAAACCAGAAGCCGTAAGCACCAGGCAGCCTAGGCGGTCAAAGCCTCAGGCTTTGGGTGGGCTTGGCAGTACACCTGGAGTCCAACTCGCTGTTCTGCCAGACTTTGAGCCTGAGGCCCACGGTCATGAGGAGCCGCAAGGCAGAAGGTCCGTAAGTTACGAGCTCGTAACTCGAATACAAGACAGCCAAAGTGCCCGACTTGTGCCCACGCTGGAGCGACTGCCAGTTCACCCGCTTTCTCTTACACCTGGCTTCTCCTGCTGCCTGCTCACCGGTCATCGTCATCCTCAACGATACCGACTTCAATCTTTGTTCCCTATTCATCTTGCACCTTGGACATCTGGAAGCTTGGGAACACTGATCCAAGTGTTGCATTCTCGTCACACATGGCCGCGGCGTTACCACCACGTTTCCAAAAGTCGGCCTACTAAATCCACTCCGCTGGGATTGGCGTTTCTCGCGGCCGTCGAGAGCCCATCCCCACCCACGACAGCCACGCCTACTGCTTCCTTCACTCACGAACTCGCTTCTGCGAGTTGTGACTTCCTAACTACTTGCACCGCCCCCGCGTCACATATCCTTTGCCCGTTCCTCCCTTCAACCTCATCGCACACAACAACAATTTCAACCTCTTTTACCCCTTCATGCTTTCATATCAATCTGCCCTTCGAAATCGCCTCGTACTTCTGGCTTCGCCTCATTCTAACTATCGGGCAACTCTAAACTCATCCATTACAGCGATTAAATTGTGATTGGCCAGCCCTGTTCGCTTTGTCTTTTGCAGCATTCACTAAGGCACAACCTCGTCTGATAGAGGAGAGGCTGTGCCTGCACGAACATACCCCGTCGACAGCTTGACGTCTCTCTGGCTCCTGCCCTTTTCCCTCTCGCCTGCTCGATAACCCCCCTCTATCGGTTCATCGCCAACCCTCTCTCGACTTTCCCTATGGATTAAACCTTCCCAGGTGAGACTCCTTCTTTCCGTCATGTCGTGCCTTACGATTTTTTTTGCCAAACAAAAGGTCTTCATGCTGATCGTCACATAGTCCCTCCTTAAACCTGTGTGTGTCTACATCTTTCTCCCCCGAGATGGTGAATTCCACCTCTCAACTATGCCAAACTGGCTCCCGCCAGATGCAAGCCATGAGGTCAAATGTAGTCTCACACAGCCACCCGTACCTGTATACGGGCAAAGTTTCTAACACATTGAACTAGGCCAACATTAGTATATCCCATACTGGTGGCGCTGCTGTGGCCTACCCAGCCTTCACTTCAGACTCAGACTTGAATGAAATCCGGTCTCCGTTAGCCGCCATGAAACCTATCCTGGACCAGGCTTCTAATTCCCAGTTTTCTGCTTCTGGAAACCACTTGTGCGATAACTTTTCTCTGTTTGATCCTGCTGGTCGTGGTGATTCCTCCTACCAACCCGAACTCAGTAACTGCTTCACTGGTTCTTCCTCGAATGCAAACTCCTCGCTTGACGTGGGCAACCAGCTAGTCGATATCTCAGGTGAGATCAATCAACAGAACCTTCCTCTCGGCCTGGATCTGGATCCTCCCACTGCTCCGCCTTGGTCTCACCTGTCGGCCACTCAAGGACGAAATCCTTCTTTTCCAGGAGCTCTCCTGCCAACCTCAGCAGACAGCTCACAGCAACAGTCTACTCCGAGACGACCTCGTACCAGGTCCCATGGGAGTGGAAAGGGTTCATTCCGAGATTCGGCCTACTCTACTTTACACCGAGGAACTCGTCATGAGGATGAACTGATGCTAGATGTGTCCTCGGCCAACATGAACAACTTCAATATGGACCAGACGAATATGGCCCACCAGTATGGGCAACAACCGTTGCCTCAATATCACGCACCAAGTCAACAACAAGCAGAGTTCTCTCCGTCCTACTCTGTGACCTCGAGTTCACAATATTTCAACCCGCCACCCACAACACCTACGCGAAACACTAGACCCCAACAGCGTAGCCATTTGCCACACAACAGACAACAGTCATTTGCCTGCAGCGAGTGTGAATATCACGCCAAGACAAGATCGGAGCTTAAGTAAGTCCTTCTTAGCTAGTTTATATGCTAGACGCTGACATAAGGAGTAAACATAATGCTCGGCATCAGAAGCGGTTCAAGTGCCATTTTTCTGATTGTTTGCAACGCCAAAAGGGCTTCCCAACACGAAATGACTTGGATAGACATCTCAAGTCTGTACATCATATCAACAATCGCCAGTCCAAGGATTACAAATGCTTCGCCAAAGATTGTACAAAACCGGACAAGACATGGCCTCGCTTGGACAACTTTAAACAGCATTTAAAGAGCATGCATAAATCTGAGAACGAAGCTGAGCTTTTACGATTGTAAGTCCGGCTGTATGATTCTGATGTGCCACTAACGTTACCAGGTCTGAGGAGTGGTTTGACACCCAAAACCCACCTTCATTGCCACCACACAATGATGAGATTGAATCCAGTTATCAGCAAAGTCATACCTCGCTTGGTGATTTCGGTGATATGGAAAGCCGGTTCGCGCACTTCCAATCGGGTTTGTCAAATCAGTATCCTGAGCAAGTCGATCCAAATGTGCAGAGAATGGAGAACTCTCAACTGGGCTTGGTATCATACCCTCCCTTGGACCCAAGGCTATTCGACTCGCAGGTCCGACCGCAAGGGCAGCGCTCTCTTGATCACAGCCTTGCCACTCAAAATGGTCGCTTCCAAAGAGCGCACTATCGTCGGGCTTCGAGTCCTGATCCCTCAACTATTAATCAACAACCTCGTTCTGTTCCTTTTCAAAACAATTCGACAGCCTTAGTGCCACAAGGTGCGTCGATACAACGTACTCGGTCCCAACTCAGCCATTTACACATTCGTAATTCCCATCCTACGACGGGTAACTACAACCAGATGGTTGAAATGTCACAGACGCCAGATCTGTCTTGGAATCTCAACCGAGCCATGTTACTGGGAAGAGGAAATCAGCTTCTAGAGCTCCCACAAATGCGAGAATCAAAGCGTCCCCACACCACCCCTGATCCAAACTTGGATCCAAATCGAATGATGACTGATTTTATGGCATCTCCAGTTGAGATGCACAGTGCTATCGACCCTGTCATGAGCCAAGATGACTGGTTGGGCAGTATGGGTTTGGGTGCTGAGGTTGGAGATATACAAGCAACTTCGCAGCACCCGGGACTCGTCGTTCATCCACCTGCTGACGAACCTAAGTCACACAAAGACGCAATTGGAAAAGTCATTGCAGAGGAAATTAACCATTTCCTCAAGCAGTATGAAGCACGAGTGGGTAATGAGAGGTCGCTGTCTCAGGACGACCTAGTGAAACGCTTCAAAATTTCATTGCGATCTTCTCTCGACACCATCACCAACGCTGACAGCTCTTCAAGAAGCTTCATTGGTGGACTCGTCGATATTGAAAAGACATCTCATGAGAAGGATGGGGAGTTTCGCTGCACTTTTGAAGGTTGTCGAAAGGTCTCCAAAAGATTAAGCGGACTGAAGAAGCATTTACAGCGTCACAAAAAACCTTTCGGTTGTACGTTCGATCGTTGCAGCAAGGTATTCGGCTCCAAAAACGATTGGAAGCGACATGAACAAAGCCAACATGAACAACAGGAGTGCTGGCGATGCCACAAATGCTTTGAAGTCTTCTACCATAATCAGACTCATATCATCAATCACCTAATGGACAGACACGGGGTGAAACGAGCCGACGAGGCAACCAAGCAAGCAAAAAGCAGGAGAATTGCTCGCAATTACCAAGGTCAATTCTGGTGCGGGTTTTGCGATAAGATTGTTTTTCACGAATATCATGGGGTAGAGGCCATCAACCACAGATTCGACCACATAGCTGATCACTTCAAAAAAGAAGAGTCCAGTAGTGATTGGATTGAACTTTGTGGACATGGCAGGACAAAAGGCGCATTGAAAGAGCAATCCCAAATGCAGAGTCCTGCCAATACTGAAGATGATGATGACGATGATGACGATGAAGCAGGAGAGCAGCAGATGGCAGAGCCAGGGAACTGTCCTGAATCTTCCATCGCATCGGGCTCCACGATGCAGAGTGGGATGTCCACAGAACAACAAAGTTTATCGCATTATTCTTCCTCAACTGCAGAGGCCAATTTCAAAAAGGGCCGCAGCGATCTGAGACCGGATCAGATCACCACCAACCCCAAATGGGCGCAACAACTTGAACCGGGACAGGAAGTGTTGTCAACGAAATCACAATCGACACGCCCAACTCGGCGTGGTCGAGCTTATACTTCATCACCAGTTCGAGGGCAGTTCGTCGTTTGCTGTCAGTGTGGCGACCCATATAACGTCTTGCTCGGCAAGTCTTGTGTTCCTTGCGAACACGATGCCTGTCCTCGTTGTAAAGTAGGTGTCCCTTTCTGTATGGACGATGATGGGACGATGATGATGTGACGAATGATTGTAATGGAAAACGCCCTTTGATTTTGAAAGCACGGTTGGAACTGATCGTGTTACGCTATCCTTGCAACGGAGTTAAGGCTCGACAGTATTTTGATTTTCTATTCCAAGAGCCTGGTCGGGCTAGTCGCTGACCATAGATGGGAGGATACTGTCCTGTTATCACCAGACCCAGTACTTACGCAAACAGCAGAATTCCATGGACCGGTCATCGGTACAGGTCGGCAAATTTGGGGATGGTGTTTCTGTGTTGTTTTCTTTTGGGTTTGCCTTCGGGTCCAGTTACATACATCGACATATGTATCAGGTCATTGTGGGATTTTCTTGTGGTGTGTGTTTTTTGTTTGAGATACCTTGCGGTTCGCGGACCGGCCTGCAATGTGCGGTTTTGATTTGTTTTTCAACAATGTAGTTTAGGTTTTCTTTTGAACGAGTCTTACGAGAAGAATACCATGATACCCCTTTATGATAACGGTTGATAGATGATGAACTTGTTTCTTGGAGTTTGTTTCTTTCCTTCTAAGCGATCCTAGTAACTAGCTAGTTGAGGCAGTTCGGGTTTTGCGGCAAGTGACATTCGAGATTTGTAGGCCACCCCCCTCTACATCGCACATGTCTTGTTTCTAGGTACGTAGGTAAGCACCTCTCTACACCTACCTACCTTCTTGTATTCTTCGGTTCGGCTGAAATTGACCCAGCTACATCCCTGGGTAGATAGTAAGTGGGTAGCAAGCAGATTGGTATTGGTGCAGCATGGTCCGTCTCGTGCATGATCACCGGTTCTGGAGCCTTCCCTCCCTCTTCCTCTCGTTGGAGATCCCATCCGCCTCGGGAGGCATTCCCAGCCTCGCTTACAGCCTCAGATATATAGAGCAGATCTTTATCATAGAAGGTGATACCTTGGGCCCCTTCTAGGTTTGGTCAGGAGCGGGCACTAATTCCTTTCAAAGCGATCTAACTAATACCTCTTCACCCCATCCCACAACAGGCGCTCACTCATCTGTCCACCTCTAACCTCCCTTACCTTTCTGTGTTCTTGTCGTTTTCACATGTATCTATCTCAAAACAATCCTTACTCCCTTCGAGTCCTTGTGGCCATGGGGAATGAAGAAGTCATGCGCGATCTCGGCGTCTCGCGCCGTGGTTTCGTACAGCTCGACGTCGAAGCGGCGGAACACCATCGCCAGAGTCAGGTAGATCTCCGCCGTCGCCAAGTTGATGCCCATGCACTGCCGCGTGCCTTTGCTGAAGGGGACGAGGTACTTCTCCGCTGCTGGGGAAGAATTGTCTAGCCAACGGTCAGGATTGAATTTCAGCGGATCCGGGAATCTCTCTGGGTCCTGGTGCTGCAGGATTGCGGACATGGACACCGGTGTGCCGGCGGGGATGGACCAGTCTTTGTACTGTATCGGGGCGTCGGGCGAGATACGCTGCAGGCGGCCGACCACGCCGTGTGAGAAGCGGTGGCCTTCTTGCACGATGGCGTGCAGATACGGGAGTGTCTCCAGGCGTGCCAGCGGCGGGATGACAGCGGTATTGGGCATTGCTTCCTTCAGCTCGGCTTTCAGCCTCGCGTGGATTGCCGGGTTCGCGACGATGTGGTATGTCGTCGTCTTCAGGAAGAACGACGTTGTTTCTTGTCCTGCTGCGATCATTGTCTGGCCTTCGTCAACTAACCTTGGCAAGGACTTTTCATGTGGTGGGAGGTCCCCGTTGATCAGTTCGTGGAAGATGGTTCGATGCGTATCGGATTTCTCGCCTTGCGCGTCGCCGTTCATCAGGTCGCTGATTTGTCGTGCTAGATCCTGTGTGTGAATACACGCACATTGTTAGTACTCGTATTGGCTTCTCTCTCCTTTTAAAGTACGGATCTGGTAATAAAATGTTTCTCCCACCGAACCTTTTGAAAATTGATCAGATTCATCACAGCCGGGTTAACTTTTTCGACGATCCATTCAGGCGTCGCCTGCATTGCTGGAAACAACCACTTGAATTGTTTGTTCAAATGGGCGCTGGTGGTGCTTTCCACCATGGCATCGGGCCATTCACGCTTCCAGTTAGGGTCATCTACACAGCCATACGAAGTGTTGAAGGAGTACATCGTGATAATGTCTGTCGTCAATGCAGCGAATGCTTGAAGCGTATCGACCGGCTCCCCCGTCACCCTGAGTTTCTCGAATCGCGCCGACAGCTTCTCCAGCAGGCCACGAATCAGTGGCTCCATGCGGGAGATGGCTTGTTTGGAGAAATAAGGGTTCAAAGCACTTCGACGAAGCCGATGAAGGTCGTGAGACACCGTTCCGAACATCGACGAACTGTTGCCGAACATCTCCACCGACCACCACCATTTGTCGCGCTTCTGGCCCGGTCCGCTGTACAGCACTTCATAGAAATCCGGGTCGCGCACGTGTAGTTCGTATGGGTTGATCCGAATAATTGGTCCTTGACATTGTACTCAGAGATCTTGTCCGCAGCATGGGCACAGCGGGTGGTGGGTTTTCTCACATACCATATTGATCGTGGAGCTCGTTGATTTTGAAACAGTATCGCCCGCCGCGAACCACGTCGTGGTAGAACTCGTACCATAGCGTAAGAGCGGCGAGTTTGGGACCGGGAAACTTCGCTATCGGGCTTAGATGGAGACGATAGATGGCCAAACAAGCAAGATACAAGACCACACCACCGGCTCCTAGAGCACCAAGATATAAAGGTGACATGTACTGGAAGCTGGCCATGTTTGACGAAGTCGGCTTGTTGGTGGCGGCCACGATCTTTGGCAAGAAGCGGTTCAATTATCGAGCAAAGGTGGAAGGAGCCAACGCCATCAAAACTGCCAACAAGGCAGAAACCAGACTAACAGCTGGCTCGATCTCCCATGGCACTTACAGGCAACGCACAATGCAGACCCTCGCAGGTTCGCAGAAATGGTGCTGGATTACATATCTCTCGGCTTTCTGCGGACGAGTCGTAGGCTTGACACAGGCTTGCTGGGCCAGGGGGGAATACATGTATGCAGCAAGTCCGCTCTTGTACATGAAGGTTGCAGTTGCCAGAAAGCGAATCAAATGGGCCCGGTAAAGAAGGCATGGCGTGGGCGGCTCCACGGACTGGAAAGGCCCGTGGCAGAGCGTTGGCTTGATGATAGGTACATAATTAGTTGGTAGATAGCAGCGGGAGGGCAAAGTCCTAACTATTGTAGCTCTAGGCTTGTTGGCGTGAGAAAAAGGCCATCCCTGCAGCAGCGGAGGGGAATCCTATTGAGGTCCTCCGTACCACCCTCCGAAACAACAGACATCAAGCTATGACAGTCTTGTACTGGTCGGCGACATTCGCATACCCCCGGGGGAACAAAGCCTGTTTGTGCCGGGTTAGCGATGCTTTCCCCTCGGAAGTGTTCACGTAATACTGTCCAGGGGAACTTCTGGCCGATATCACTCTAGGGCTTATGCAACGTAACGTGGTGGTCAATATGCTTTATGGGAAGGGCGGGTAGACAAACCTCCGAGGTGCTTATTACTGAAACATCGAGCTTAGGGAGGGACTTAGAGACTGAGGAAGGTCAAACCTAGCCTCAATACTTCAGACATACATACAGACGAGTGGCTCTGTACGAATGCTCCAATCAGCGCTCCCGTGTGCCATAATCCACGCGTTGCAACCTCCCCTAGATGCATACGGAGGACGGAGTATCTACGAGGAGGTACATGAGTGAGATCCACCCAGGACCGCTAGGGACATATTCCCACCTCCCCGCGGCGGCATTAAGCTTTGACCAGAATCCCTGCACGCAACGTGCCACGTGTGTGTGTTTACTGAACGAGATCTTCTGATAGCACGGGTTCTGGAGCGATCGTGTTTGCCGGTGACCGGCACTTTTCATCCGTATACATATACGCATGGGGGCGCAATACTTCGTTTCCTCTTTCGTGAGACGTCGACGCCACTGAATTGATCTTCTACCCTAGTCCACCTTTGTCTTGCTGATACTGCTATGCTCGCAGCCTCGGTAGCGCATAATGTATGGGCATCGAGATTCGAATGCACGGGCATGTGTCTGACAAATATTGTAGGACATAGAAGTCGATGATGATAGTGATGATCTAGATTCTGCGCTTGGATCCGATGACCTGTAAGCTTTCCTGGCTCTTTATTTTCTTTTTGGTTGTTGACTAGACACACTGAATACTGGGACTGCAGCCGCGACGAGACGGCGACCTTGACGTCGTCGATTTTCAATTACCGTTTTGAGAATGGCCGACGCTATCATGCCTTCCGTGATGGCGAGTACTGGTACGCTTGATTTCTAGCCAGCCTGGCCCTGCTCTTACATCAAATAGGTGTCCGAATGACGAAAGCGCTACCGAACAACTCGACCTCGGTCACCATATCTATTTGCTGCTGCTCGATAACAGACTGTTTCTTGCGCCCATTACACCCGAACCACAGAGAGTGCTGGATATCGGCACGGGCACGGGAATTTGGGCAATTGATTTTGCTGACTCGTGGCCCACCGCTCAGGTCATCGGTACTGATCTTTCACCTATACAGCCCAACTGTGTTCCTCCCAACGTCCAGTTCGAGATCGACGACGCTGCTGATGAGTGGACGTTCCCCAAAGAATCTTTCGACTTCATACATGTCCGCGGTCTCTTTGGTAGTCTTCGTGACTGGCCTGCTTTCTACCGCCAAGTGCTTGCCCACCTCAAACCCGGCGGATATTTCGAACAGATGGAATGCTCTGTCTACTGCCACGCCGATGATGGTACAAGCCCTCCAGAATCTCCGCTTGTGCGCTGGGGTGAGCTCTTTAACGAGGCTGGCATCAGAACGGGCAAAACTGTTAACGTAATTGATCACCAATATCAATGGCTGAAGGACGCCGGCTTCGAAGACGTAAAAGAACACCGCTTCAAGATGCCGGATGGTCCATGGCCATCAGCAAAGACGGAGCAAGGAAAGAAGCTGAAACAGATAGGCAGCTTGAGATTGCTAGAGGTCGAAGCCGGAATGGAAGGCTGGTCAATGGCGCTGTTCACAAGGGTATTAGGCATGTCCTATGAAGAAGTGCAGCTGTTTCTAATGGAGATGAGAAGGGCTTGGAGGGATAAGCGGGAGCATGGTTACACCCGCGTCGGTGTCGTCTACGGAAGGAAACCCTCCAGGTGAATTGACTTGCACAAGTGTCGTTATATACGCGAAGCCTGACATGATTCAATTGGCATTGCCATTGCGAAGTATAGAGATATGGCGCAGGAAGCGGGTGGAGGATTCAGGATCTCATGTATAGGTTATGTTCTCACTGAGCCAAGGGTCTTCGTGTGGTCTGCATGGCTGTTCGGGTAAGTTGGCTCCCTTCATTGTTAATGTCATTTCACAGCCGCCAATCATCATCTGTTCTAGAAGGTCGCCCATCAACCCCTTTTCTGTACGTAGATCTCGCTCAGAGCCCCATCCAAGCTGTCCTCACAATACAATCGACACCTGGCTTGCGCTTACTCGGTCGAACCAGGCCCAGGTGTCGGAGGTCTGCTAGCGCGCGATAGAAGACTGTAAGGGAACGGCGTTCATCGCCATCTTTGTCGGGAGCAGGGCCATTCTCCTCCCCTTCAACACCGGGAATACTGGTGTGCACCACTGTATCGCAAAATGCATCCCACAAATCTTGCACGTTGACAACGTTCCCTGCTTCATTGAGTAGTGTCAGCAGCAGACTCGCCGGTGGCAGTGTTGCACGGTCGAAGATCTCGCCATGCTTGGTGGTACAGCATTCACAACCTAGGTAGTCGGCGGGCCGCGTTAGGGCACGCTCGAGGGCGTAGCGTGGTCTCGCGTGCAGAATTGTTGACAATGGAGAGCGCATATTGAGGATAGCCGCTTCGGAGAGGTATGTCTGGAACGGATTGGTGACCATGACACTAGCCGTGGATGCAGATTCGTCGGTAGTTTTAGGAGAAAGCATGGTTTTCAGATATGACGTTAAGAGGACAGTGAATTGCTGCTGGAGTGCATGCGCTTTATCCAATTCTGGATTCGCAGGACCACCAAATTTGCTCAAGGACTCCTTGATAGCGCCTAGGGATAACGTCTTTGAACCGACGCTCTCTTCGCATCCCACCTCAGTTGAAAATTCTGCGAAGGATGTGTCGATCGCTGATTGGGTGACTCGGTCTAAAAAGTCGTGGATTTCCTCATGCGACAGGTCAGCTACACTTAACTCAATATCGTGGTAGATTTCTGATTCAAGCAGATTGGGCAAGGAGTTGATCAGCTGCGCTTCCAATTCTAGAGGGGTTAGCGACGCGGGTTCTAAAAGACTGTACAATGTATGCAGCAGCTGCACAGCCTGGAGAGAGTTCCTCATTCTTGCCTGACTACTCCGTAGCATTTCGATGGCATCTTTTATGAGAGCCTCATCAGACGACAGCAACTCCCGAGCTTGGTGACGGTGAGATTTTTTACCCTTGACGAGCTGCTCACAACGCCCTCTAAATCCTGACGTGTTGCGGATTGCCTGGCATAAGACCTTGTCACGGGACAAATCTATGCCCGATTCCGAGCACAACAATGACATCGGGTTCGCAAAGAAATGAGACATGAATGCGTATTTGATGGCCCGTACGAAGGTTGTAGCGGTCGTAGTTTGGTCTTCCGCAAGGCCTGAGATCACTTTTAGAACGGCGGGCCCCAGAAAGACATTGCTTTGATGGCTGTGTTGTACTGCGCTGTATATACTGTACAATGGGTCGGCAGTGTCGTCAGTCGAATGGAAAGCTTTTGCATCCATCAATGCCGCGACGGATCTGGAGAGTCGAGACTCAAAGAGCTCTATCGTAGTCGATATATTAATCAGGAGGTTGAAAGGAACTCGGTTGATCCAAGAGTTGGTTGTAGCGATCAATTCGGAGAGAATAGTAGTATCGAAGGTTTCCACATCAGCCACCGACAGCAGGATTCGTGATATACAATGCTGCTCAATATATCGCTGGAGTAGCTCCAAATCGAAGTTCATGGGGATGAATGCTTTTTGTTGTGCGAGAAAAGTCGTATACTTAAGCGAGCCTCCATGTTGGGAAATCGCCAGCCTGATAACATTCTTTAGTGCAATCTGCAGATTCGGACACTGGCTTGGGTGAAGCTCAATAAATATCTCCTGGTTATCCCCCAGCTGTCTTGCCTTCCAGCCTTGCAAAATATCTCTTCTTGTATTCCTGGTCGTTCCTGACACGATCAAGCCGGTCTTAACCCTGCCTTGGGTCGCCTTCCTGCCCTTATCTCGGACAAATTCCAACACATTATCCACGAAACTCTCATCGACCTTATTCACAACACGGTCGATCTCGGTCTGATGCAGTGTCCATATTTTCTGGAATTGTTTCCGCCGGGCATCAACAGACTCTTCGGATTCTTCACCACCATGGAGGCTTGGCCACGGCAACTCATCGTGCTCAGCTTGATTAGGTAGGGCAGGCTTGCTGATCTTGCGCCTTTTCCGTGGCTGGCGGCCGTCATCTTCAGGTATGGCTGTAGGCTTGAAAATGTAGCATCCCTAATGGTTCATAAGTACGAGATGAGAGTGTACGGTGGTGCTTGAGCATTTACAATATGTGAGTTGTCATCGACTTCGTTTTCTTCGTGCTCCATGGAATCTTGAGCGTTGACTAGGTGCAATCAACGTGCAGCTTCGACCGTGGTCTCGTTGACGAGAGCAGGTCGTTTCTCGTCAGTCGTGAACCACTCTAACGCGTTAGACGCGACAAAAAGAGGCTAAATGCTGCGCCGTACTAATATCGCGTTTCGGCCAACGAGGCTGAGATTCCTCGCCCGAACCTTTTTTACCTCTTGATCTCCGTGTTGCCCATCTTTTTCTCAAGATAATCAGCACACCTGCAATTTCCTATCCCTACAATATCATCGAGACCTATGAGGGGCATATGCCATCTTTCTCGACGATGGCATCAGCAATTTTGTTTGTCTCCTTGTTTTGCTGCCCATCAGCGATGCCTCCAACACCTGCAGCCCATTCGCTCATATCGGCAAATTGCTCGAGGCAAAGTCCTCCATAAGCCTTCCCCGTCTTCACTTGGTAACGTCAAATTCAGCGAGTATGAGCAGTCTGGCGACGATGAAGCGACTAGGGTACGTGTTCACGATGCGCTGGACTCGGAGAGTGTGCAGGTGCAGGCAGAGTTGAAAGAGTTGGAAGATGAATTGGCCATACTACGTGAAGGGCCTTTTGGTCCGAACAGCGAGTTCATGCAGTCCTTCCCCCCCGAGGAGCGAGAAGAAATACTGAAGGCCTTGGAAGAGGAAGGCGTTCATTTGGAGGCGGACGAAGAGTTGCTCACCCCTGAAGAATTGGATCAAATCGCCAGGGCAGCAGAAAGCGACAAACTCGTTGAGAAAACAACCGGCCCGTTGAAAGTTACATTGGGCATTCCTACCAAAGATAGAGTATATGTTAAGAGATTTAACCTGGCACTGCAAGAGGCCGAGGGTGTGCAAGGTAACGCTCGGCCCTATCTGTCACTCTGGAAATGGTATTTGAGGTGCCAGCAGCAGGTATCCAACTTTGGTGTCATACTCCCCGAGGAAGTATGGCATTTTCTCTGGAAAACCCAAAGCAATGAGACCAACTTCAGATCCCGACATCTGCAGATGCTCGCCAAAGACATGACTAAAGCAGAAGTGTCATTGGCAGACGAAGAGTGGCTCCAATACATCCATGCGCTCCAAACTGGTGGTAATATCTCTTTGGCAGCTCAAACATGGGATTCCCAGAAAACCCGCATGGGAATGAAAGAGAAAGTCGCATTGGACTTCTGGATGCTCGGTGTTAAGCTCTACGTTGCCTTGGAGAGACCGCAGAAAGCCCAAAGGCTTGCACTGGAGTGCTATGGCCGGACAGGCACGGTTGATCCTGAACCCCTAGTAGCAGTCATCACAGCATGGGCCCAGACTCGAAGTCTCAACGCTGAAGAAAGAGCGTGGGCTTGCTATCTGGAACTACGGAAGCGTTTAGAAACTCGGGAAACGGAAGACGAGACTTTGAGCACTCTTGGTCGCATCAGCAGTATCCTTCTCGAAAACGGCCGCCAGCAGCTTGCCTTGGCTGTTTTCAAAGACATGTTCATGCTCAGGGCTAGATCTCCCACTGATTCCTGGAAGGTTTTCAAGACAGTGTCCAAAAAGATGGGAAATACTGAATCCGCCAGTGAGGATCAAGTCAGCAAGATAGGTTTAGCATCGTTGGCGTTTTTGCCTAAAAGCTTCCACAACAAGTTCTTCTTTGGCTCTTGGATCAAGTGGTTACTAGGGGAAGGACAAGTCGACGAAGCGGCATTAATAGTGGAGTTGATGTATGAGCGAGGGATTCGGCCTGACGCCCGACACCTCAACGGCATCATTGCAGCTTGGCTTCGTGATGGTTCACCTACCGCTGCTGAGAAAGCCGAATCTACGGCTTGGGCGATGGTTAGGGCGCGAATCGAAATGGTCAGGGATCGAAATCGTGAAGGTGGTAAGACTTTGAAACCTTTACTTCTCGAGACGACCGGGCAGGTACGGAAGGTACCAGCCTTCCTTCAGCGTGGTGCTCCTCCTGCCACTATCGAGACCTTTTCAATTCTGATGGTGTATTATAACCGACGTTCAAACGCTACCAGCGCCGATTTCTTGTCTAGGACGATGATGGGACCGGCCGAGATGAACCCTAACTCGTTCATCATGAACCACTGGATGTACGCTTCACTTCGGTCAGGAGACATACCTGAAGTTTGGAAGACGTATACCGCTTTTAAGCCTAGAGTGCAACCAGATCTAGAGACGTACGCGGCCCTTTGGGATACTGCGAAAGTACATTTCGGCTCACCAGCGGCACACCTCGACAACGTCCCCTCTCCAAGACATCTTTTCAAGGAGATGGTAGAATGGCATGCCGGTCTCAATCGTGAGACGGAAATGCGAGCTAGAGAAGAATTTTCTACTGAGCTCTATGAGCAGATCATACGCTGCTTTTGTTTCACGTCCGATCTCGAGGGCACACTCTGTGCATTGCATGGGTTACACCAGACTTTTGATGTGCTACCACATGAAGACATCAATCGCTTGATCATCATGCAGGTGGCGCGATCATTCCCTTCAGTCCTTGGACCCGCCGAACAGGCACGGCTCCGTCGAAGGAGGGGGCCTCTTCGAGTGCGTGGCTCGCATCTCAAAGTTGCAGTTAAAGCCGTGACAGAAATCGTGATGGCAATCATGGAGAAGAAGATCAACGAACAGGACCTGGATCCGGACCTGCTCAAGGATACAGACCCGGACGATGAAGAAGAGGACGAAGATGATGATGGCGACGAAGAATCATTTGAGACCCCAGTCGCGCAGGCACTGCGCCTGGACGTCTTGACTTCCTTTTTGTGCATGGTTCTGGAGAGGCGAAGTCTTACCGCAGTGAGTACGACGGTCTTCGAGAATAAGGACACTGTAGAGGTGGCAACACCAATGGCGACAACGGCCTCGAACCAGGTGCATGCCAGCCGCAAAAACAACTTAGCGGCGAACAACTCCCCGGCTGAGACGATTTCCACGGCTGCAGAGGAAATGAATATCACGATCCCAGCCGAAGTCCTAACACGACGAGACTGGGCAGACATTAGGGTGTAGTATACAGTTTCTTACGTGGGAGCAAGAGGAATGAATAGAAAATTGCAAACATATGCCCAACCCGTGTGGGGACGACCTGCGGGATGGCTCAGGGGCTACGTGTATGTATGTATAAAATGAAAGCTAATCAATCATCTCACATCTTGATACTTGCCTTGCAGTCGTTGGACCGGTGCAATTCCAAACCAGTTCGGCTTTCATCCCACCTCGTCAACGAGAACACCGAGCAAAAGACAATGCAAAAACGCCCGGTTACCCCATCGCTACGCTATGCTATACTCTCACTCTGCCCTTGTCAGTAGTCACTTTGGTTCCCGATCCGCTCCTCTCCAAAGTCACAGCAAGCACAGGGCAAAGTTGAAAACCAAAGAAAACCTTCATTCATTCTTTTCTTAGTCGTACATTGGAAATAGGTAGAGGGGGGAAGGGAGAGAGGGAGAGAGAGAGAGAAGTAGGGACTAGAATGTCTACTTCTTGCCCTTTTTCTTCTTGTTCCTGCTACTACCGCCGCCTCCACTAGCAGGAGTACTGGTTGCGTCCGCGGCGGGTGGCTCGACAATCACGCCGTCTTCATCACTGCTGACTGCTTTCGACGTCTTAGGTAGAGCAGCGGCGGCGACGGAGGCAGCCGCAACAGCAGGCGCTGTAGGGGCAGGACTGATTTCACCCTCTAACTCCCTCCTGGACCGTTCACGCTGGTCCTCCCAAGCCTCCTTCTCCGGCACCAACTTCACCTTGACCTTGTCGATCCTTTCCCTCAGCAGCTTATTCTGTACCATTTCACTGGCGCTCTGGAAAATGGTTTGACCCCAGCCTGGCGCCAGAGCGTTGGCCTCCGAAATGACATCCTTTAATTCGATCTGTAGTTCCTGCTCGGCACGGGTGAGGCGTTGGAAGATCTCGTCGCCCACAACGCCGCGCTGCAGGAGAGTGGCTAGTGCGGGTTTCCGCGTGCGCACTTCCATCATGCGTTGGACGTCTTCAAGGGCGCGGGCGAAAAGAGCGGCGCGCAGGATGGTGTCGGGAACTTTTGTGTCTGGGTTGTCTTGCTGGTGTAGGAGGGAGAGGTAAATGTTGCGTGAGGTGTGTGGGCCAAAGTAGGGAGCCAGCCGTAGTTTAGAATTGACTTGCCGTTGTCGGTATAGGTGGGAGAAAGTGGCCATGCTGCCGATCAGGATGCCTAAGTAGGCTATGGGGAAGAGGAGGGAGAGAGAGAAGTATTCCATTTTGGCTGTGCGGTTGAATGGGTTCGGGTTGTGCTCATGGGAAGATACGGTAGTGATGGAATGGGGGGGTTGTTATTGTTGTTGTTGTTGGGTCATATGCATAAAGAAGAAGCGAGTCTTTTGCCCACAGAGTGAGCGATGGGCCGGTAGAATAGAGTGTCGTGACGTGAGAAAGCCGTAGGAAAAAGGACACAGTCCACAGATTTGGAAACCCCAACCTGAAGACCAAAGAGAACAAGTTGCAAATGCAAATGCCCAATGCTCGCGCTGCACCTGCCTTATCGATAAGGTCCCCCGGCATCTTGGCGTCTGGCGCTGGGAACTTTTTTCTTGGTTCGAGGCAATCGACCCATCCGTGTTTGGACTTTTACCATGGCGTACTGGAGGCTCCGTCGCAGACACTCAACATGGCGCCCTCACAATTGAAACAGTTGAAGCAATCTCTGCGAGATCATGGTGTCCTCGGCCCCCAAAAGTCCAAGAAACAGCGAAAATCCACCTCCAAAGATGCTCGGAAACGACTCCAGCGAAACGCCGCTCTCGAGGGCATCCGGGAACGATTCAACCCTTTCGAGGTCAAAGCCCCCGCCCGGAAAGAAAAGTATGAAATTGCCAGTGCAAAGGTATCCAAGCCGTCGATCGGTCGGCCTGGTGTTACACGAGGCTTGGGCGAAGAGAGGCGGCGAGACACCCTCTTGAAAGAGATTCAGAGCCGGAACAAAGTCGGCGGAATGCTCGACCGTCGCTTCGGCGAAGACGATCCGAATATGACCCCTGAACAAAAGGCTGCTGAAAGGTTCGCTCGGCAAAACGAGAGGAAGATGAGGAAGACTACAATGTTCAATCTCGAGGACGATAGCGAGGAAGAAATGGTTCTGACACATGGCGGTAGATCGCTCGAATTTGGCAATGGTGCCCAGGACGATTTTAGCGAGGACGATGTCAGTGCGTCAGACGAAGACACTGACAGGCCTAGCAAAAGACTCCGCCTAGATGGAGGGGAGGCTGACGACAACGACAATGAGCATGAGGACGGCCTGCCCCAACGGAAGAAGACCAAGAACGAAGTGATGAAAGAGGTCATTGCCAAGTCTAAAATGTACAAGGCCGAACGTCAAGCTGCAAAGGCGGACGATGATGAAATAAGAGCAGAGCTAGACAAAGGGATGTCTGCGTTCTACGAGGCTTTACGAAGTCACAAACCTCCAGAGAAGAAGCCTCTTCCTGCGGACAACCCTTCAGCCGATCCTCATATGGACCCGGCTCGAGCGGCTATGCTTGCAGGTAAGAGCAGGAAGGAAGTGGAGAAAGAGTACGAAAGCAACCTACGGCAGTTGAAGTTGGATGCCCGCTCAAAACCTAGTGTGCGCACAAAGACAGATGAGGAGAAAGCGGCAGAGGAGGCCTCTAGGCTTGAAGAATTGGAGAGGAAGCGTATTCGAAGAATGAAGGGTGAAGCTGAGAGTTCGGAAGACGAGCGGGACGGAGAACTAGGCCCTGATGAAGATATCGAAAGGCAAGAAGAGGATGACGATGATGACGCTCAAGCCTTTGGCCTGTCCGCGCCACAGAATGCTCCTGCTCTGAAAAGAGGACTTGATGTTGAGGACGAGGACGAGTTTGTGCTTGATGATGACTTGATAGCTTCCGATTCGGAGGCAGAAATGGCGAGCGAACAGGACGCAGACGATTCTGATTTCGAGAGCCAGCAGGAAGATGATGGCGATGACGACTTCATCAATGGTCTAGTTCTTCCCAAAGACACAATTCCGCACACCAAGCAGAAAGGCAACGACAAGAAGTCGGGGAGCAGCAGTCTTGCCTATACATTCCCTTGCCCACAAACTCATCAAGAGATGTTGGAAATCACCAAGGACACTGAGAGTACAGATTTACCGACCATCGTTCAGAGAATACGAGCATTGTATCACAAGGGACTCGCCGAGGGCAATCAGCTCAAGTTGGACAAATTCGGCGCTGTTCTAACTGAACATGTAGCATACCTGGCCGATTCCAACGTCGAAATACCCTTCTCTGTCCTAGACAGTCTCCTGCGACATCTCCACTCTATGGCAAAAGCTTCCCCCCAAGCGATCGGAGCCGCGTTCCGACAACATCTTGACAGTCTCTCGGAGGAACGCCCCCTCCAACTTACCCCCGGAGATCTCATCATATTGACAGGTGTCTCGACTATTTTCCCCACCTCGGACCACTTCCATTCAGTGGTCACTCCGTCAATGCTGACACTAGCTCGCTATCTTGGGCAGAGCTCGGTTCAATCTCTCCAAGATCTAGGCAGGGGCGCATATTGCTGCTCCCTGGCTCTCCAGTTTCAGAGCTTTGCCAAAAGATATGTCCCTGAAGTGATAACATATCTCGTGAATGCTCTTTTCATCCTAGCACCAGTTCCGCTGGCAGACAAAGACAAGGCAAGCCTGCCTCTTCACGTTCCCATCCGGTTGCCTTCAAAATCCCTACGGATAAAGTCTTCAACTATGGTCGACGGTCCACAAAAGGTATCCTTCAGAGACCTCGTGATGAGTCAAGGCAACTCAGATGCTACCAGTCATGCCATTGCTCTTCTCAACAACTTCATCCGTCTTTGCCTAGCCGCCACCAACCTCTGGAAGCAGAAAAGCTCTTGTTCAGAAATACTTGATCCACTAATTCAAGCGCTTTCACACATCACTTCGAGCCCAACTCGGCTTCCTTCTCAAACTGTATCTTTGGCCAAGACAACACTCGCCGCTCTAGAATCTCAAAAGGCCACAAGTATCGATTTTCGCCGCCCACTCCTCCTACACAACCACCGAGCCCTCGCCATCAAAACCTCAATTCCCCAGTTCATTGAGAATTACAATCCGGATCGACACTACGACCCAGATCGTGAGCGTGCTGAGCTCTCCAAGCTTAAGGCTGAGCACAGGAAGGAGCGCAAGGGTGCGATGCGCGAGTTGCGCAAGGACGCCTCCTTCATGGCTCGCGAGCAACTACGGGAAAAGAAGGAGAAAGATGCTGCATATGAACGAAAGTATAAGAGGCTTGTTGCCGAGATTCAGGGCGAGGAAGGCCGCGAGGCGAAGGGTTATGAGAGAGAGCGGGCGAAGAGGAAGGGCAGGTTCTAAACCTTCCTATCTGGATCTCTTGGGATCGGTCAGAGGAAACAGCTGCTTGGAGCAGGAGGTAGACTTTTCGGCGAAGCTCTCGAGAGACACAGTCGTGTGGCAAGTGCTAGCTGCTTGAGTGCTATGTAGGAATAGAGCAGTACGGACAGTATTACACAAGTGGAACTTTAGCCTCTTAGAAAACATTGGCTTAGTCAATGAGACAGACACTAGCGATGAAGAAGGCACAAGCTTTGGGTACACCAAACTCTGGTACCCTAAACCCTCCTGTAGAAAGAATTCGTTATATACGCACAATGTCTGGGACCAGACAAATCCTCCTAGCCCCCACCAACTCCCAAAAAAGACTCTGCCAACGATGCGAGACTCACACAAACACACAGACAGGCATTATTTATTTATCGAGGCAAAAATTATTATTGTTCCTGGCGAGACTTGAACTCGCGACTTTCGCATTACTTTGAAAGAATTCATACTGGATGCTAGCATACAATATAAGAACGACACGCTAACCACTGCGTCACAGGAACTTGAAGAAACAGCATGTTGGACAGCTGTCTGTGACAAAAGTGTGGCCAATTTCGCGACCATTTCAAGGCCAGTTTTGCGGTACTGAGCTATAAGAACTTGTTTTCTTTAACACGTGATATGGTTGGGATGGACTGATTAATTTTTATCTCCAATGGTGAATGAGCATCACATGAATAATTATGTTTATTGAAAGTACCGATATCTTATGTGCCACATGGCAAAATTGTTGGTGCGTTTAATTATTAATTTTACATGCGCCCCAGCCATCGCTATAAATTCCAAGTCCTCAAAGGCTGGCAGGGCCAACCAACCTCCCACCTGTTTCCCAATTCCCAGTTCCTCCGCAATGCTGTTGTTCGAATATCATGTGGGTATCGTTGTTGCGCCGAAGGTCGTGGATGTCCGTAGTGCTGTGTACAGTATATTGGCGTGACAAAATGGTGCCTAAAATTCAAATTAGAAATGGAGAGAACGCCCACTTACCTTTGCTGTGCAAAATTCATATCCTCTGTCCTCCTGATCAAGTCCGTGCACTCCTTTCACCCTATTAAAGTGACTTTTCGTCCTCGAAGGGTGAAGACTGTTGTATTGATGGATGATATCGACAGCATCAATGTTGTTTGGGCTGTTGATGTTGTCTCTTCCGCGATTGGAGCTGTCACTGTGACAAAAGCTGTGGCCGCCGCTCCTGTCGGGGAGTCTGGCGAGTAAGCGCATCCCACCAGAGAATATTCGGAGTAAAGCGAGCAGCCTAGGGCATTATCGATGCTGATTGTCGAGGAGACAAGCACACTGCTTCCCGCACCTGGACTCACAACGGAAGTGGCAAAGGTAGTGTCCTGAGAGGTAGTCGCGGGGGCCACTGCGCCAGTGGAAGACATTGTCCCGTAATGGATGGTGCGAGTACTTGTAGGTGTGACTGTTACAAACATTGTCACAGTGGTCCACATGGTCGTGGTAGACTCCACGTCATCTCCCATACTCGTAGCTGCATCAGAAAGAAATGTGGTCGTCGTGGGTCCGGTAATTGTGAATATTTCGCCACTGCTAACGAGGGTGGCTGTCGTTTGTATAGTCACAGTTTCGTCGACCGCAATGGGCGTGCTGACCGCTGTCCCGGTTGGAGCTAGCGACTCTGTACTGCCTTCTGTTCGGATGGTATTCGGTGGAACTCCGGTGCTGGAATAGTCTCCCGATGTTGAAGTCATCAGGATAGTTGTTGTAGATTGAGCTCCAGGAATTGCACTCTGAACAGCCGAAGAAGCTGTGGTTGTTACAGCAATAAAGTTCCCGGCTCTGTTGAAAGGAATGGTCACTGTTATAGTCGTGTAACTTGTAACTGTTGTTGTAGATATTGACTCCTCCTGCGCTCCGTTGATGGGTGAGGTTGTCTCTAGAGTTGTGAACGTGACTTGGCCCGACGGAGAAACGCTTGAGCTGAGGTCTCCAAAGGATTGACTTGATAATGTGGCAGTGGTAATGGATGTGTCTGGATACAGTACCGAGGTGACAGACCCAGTTGGACCATCGGTTATAGGGGCTGTTGGATCTTCTAAGGAAGTCAAAGTCGGGGCCGCGGACGCAGTTGAGTTAACAATGACTCCAGAACTAGGCGTTGATGATGGTGAAGTAGTGGTATCCATGGACGTTGTCGAGGTGGATGGATCTTGTGTGCTTGATGGAGGGATTTGTGACGAGGGTGACAGGCCTGAAGCCCCTGCAATAGTTGATGATTTTGTGGAGGATAGATTGAAGGACGCGAACGTCGAGACAGAAGAAGCACTGGAACTTGAGACTGCCAAACTACTATCCACAGCTGGCTGAACGGATCCTGGTGTAGATGATGCAGCGGAGCTCGATCCCAAGGTGGTCGGTTGTAGTGTCGTAGAAGATTGGCTGCTAGCGGATGGTCCTTCCAGGGCATGTTGCCCTACAGGGCAGGTCTCTTGAACAACGCTCTCAGGGCCATGTGTGATAGGATTGCAACCGGGTAAAGCGTCTATGACACCAAGGGATTGTTCGTCAAATACCGAGGGCTGTTGCGGGCAGGTCCGCGCAAAATTGACGTCCTGGTTAGGAGCAAGATATTCGCAGGCACTTATAACGCCACCATCGTCAGTGTACAGACAATTCTTCACGGCTGCATCCTGTATATCCATGTCCCAGCCATTGATGAAGTCGGCATGAAATGAATAGCCTGTAGCGTCACCATTTGAGAAGACAAACTCTCCACCCCCGGATTGATCGACCTGATTGGTGAAGTAGAGGACTCTGTCGAATGTCAGAAGTGGAATTTGGTTCTGACAGCGGAAAGCACGTACTCGAAGAACAACCCAGGAATAGGGATGGGATGCGAAGGAGGGCAGGAGCCATAGTCTATGCCAGAAAGATATGCGACGTGTGCAGAGTTTTCAAGATAGAGATTCTCGCCGTCCCAGCAAGATTGGAAATTGATTTGAGCTCGCATACCATTGACGCAGTCAGTTCGAAACATATAGTGTTGTTCTGGAATATCGTTAGCTTCATCAATACAACGAAAACTTACCCTAGAGGATGTCAGTCACGGCGATGGTCAATAGTTGGAAAGCACACACCTGTCGGCCACTGGCCGTGTATTCAAATATGTCATGGTTGTACTATCATACGACCTTGCTGTTGAATCTCCAGAGATCATTTTAAACCCTGGGGGAAAGGGTTGCGTATTCGAAGAAGTCCCTCCTCGTCCTGCTCACAACATAAGTACATTTCAGTTCACTCACAGCCGTGGGGATAGCCATACCGACATAATAAACTGTCATGCCGAAGTTTGGAACTTCTTCAAACTTGCCATTTGCATGGGCAAAGTACAGTTGGGGCGTCCAATAAGCAGACTTGTCGCTTTGAATCTCGCAGGATGAGCATGTCGACGACAGCAGTGAATTGAAGTCCGAATTTTGATTAACGTCTAAGCCGTCAGCCTTGATATCAGGGTTTGGGATTGCCACCCACTGTTTCCTCCTGCAAATTTATGTACATGTCCAGACACGGTACCTGGATCCACGATGGGGTCGGCCCTAGAGGTTTGTGAGACGGCGCAAGCCATGCGCCAATAAGCAAATGTCACAGTAGGCTGCAAGGCTAGTAGCCATGAAGAGAGAGGCAAGTGTAAAGGCTTCATTGTGATTCAAGAACAGTTTTGAAGTTGAATCTAGACTGTGGGAATGTTGGGTGCAAAAGGTGATCGTATATGAAAGCACTGTTGAAGATCCGGCTTGACCATAATGGACTAGTCGATAAACAAACCTGACGACAGCATCGCCCGACACTCTCCTCTCGCGCCGTGCGCCTTGGACAAGGCTTGCGGCGGCAACAAGGAGATGCACAGTTCGAGTTCGTCCCCGAGCGAGGCTGAACTTAAAATTTGAAAACCCCCGAGTGGCGGAGACAAATGCGACTGGCTTGAGTTCGAGGAGCAGCCAGCCGGACAGACAGGGTGCTCCAGTTTGATCATCAGTGCCCAAAGACCTACCGCGGCGGCTTTTCGCGCTGGCAACAACTCAAGAAGCCTGACCTAGGCATTCCATGTCTGTCTGTACTTAGCTTTTGACGTGAACAAGGGGAATTTTCGGTCATGGACACCGGGCTCATCCAACTTCGCGAGCAGGGACATATTTTCCTAAATTTTCGGCAGGGGAGACGTTGTCACATTCAGCATCGAAGTGGCAGATAAGTCTTTGCAAGAGCAGCAGAATGGAAACGCGCGTACTGTATGTACTGACGATGCTTTTGTGGTCAAAGCTAGGTTGACAGCGGTTGACATGGGAAACAAACTCGGTGGCGCGATCTAACGTTAGCCTGTGCTAGCGCCTCGCGTGCTGGCTTAGTCTTTGTGGCTTACAGGAGTGTGGTCCAATCTACCATTTGGATGAATTTCACGACCAATCTCGGAGATTTCGTAACGGTTGCGGTGGCTCCCACGCACGTACAACGGTCCACGATATCTCGACCTTGGTTTCGGGATTTTAGTGGAAGGGTTCTGACTTGGAAGTTGTAAATAATATTCGTTTGTCCCTCGCGAGAATCAGCCACCAACGATGTGCCAGAAGTCCAGGACTGGCAGAGACCCCTCCCTCCCAACCGGCGATCCCAAGGTAGCTGCAGTAGAGGCAACCTAGGCTGATGCGAAACATGTCTTCTCCTCGCAACTTGAGTGCTGTCCCGTCCTTGAACCCAGGTACGTCCCTCAATGTTGTCTCGCCGGCCAACCGACAATGGCGTTGAACACAGTAGCTTTGCCTGATGGGGCTTCATCATGAGCAATTGTTTCCAGTGCTACCATAAGGTCAGTTCTAATATTGATCACCTTGGCCTGATTCAACTCACTCCAGCCACGTGCATACCCGACGCAGGCTGTGTTACTCATATTGAACTGGGCAAGCTTCAGAAAAGCGTCCTCTAGTGCTGTCTTCTGCTCTGTGCTAGCATTTTCAGGAAGCATGAATGACTTGAAAGCTGTTACGGGAGCTTCCCTGGCTGCAGTGGCGTTCGATGTGAAATCCACATGCACTGTCTAGCTTGTCAAGCGTTGCACAAGAACTAGGCATCTGTCATACTCATCAATGGCACACTGTTGAAGTCGACCAGCTTTACGAGCCCTGCCGAGAGCTTGCCGAATGCCTCCATGTTTGCAAATTCCAGGTGATGGGTTACATCCTCCCAATCTAGAGATAGGTATAGAGAGGTTAGTTGGCGCAGCTGCGTCTCTGACTTGGGGGCTAGATCAAGAGAAGTTCCAGTCGTACCATCCAAAATAACGACTTTTGTTGCATCTTCGTCTTTGAGGCCGCATAAGGCTCAGGTCTGCGATTTGCTTTACCAGATATGTCTCACCCAGAAATGACGGAGGAAACCTCTTTGTTGAGACAAAATCTCCAAGATAGCCCGTAAGTGGTGTGGGACCTGTGAATCGTGGTCGAGAAGCTCAGTACCCGGAAGGGCGAGATCGAAAATGGCGATCTCGGTAACAATAGTCATAATGTAAGCTTGCTGTTGAAGACGGGGTTAAGGAGTATATTTCGTAGAACGGCAGAATTCTACAACCCACTGGATAACTTCAAAACCAAGATACAGCCAAGGAGCCGGCAGATTTAGACGAGTTTATTCAATATTCTCCCCTGCGCCAGCCGGCGTCATTGGAATCATGGTCGGGGTCAGTTCTGACTTAAAAAGAAGTCCTTACTCGGTAAAGATGATTTCACCAGATACAGATAGAGCTCTTATCAATAGTCCCAGTAGGCTAGGATATTGATATTGTAAGTATTCACATAGGCAATGAGCGCTTTCTCACACGTTTGTCCAGAATTCATCGCGTCCTTCACCGCGCGGCACAGAATTGAGAGAAAGAAACCATTGAGCCCAGCCTTTAGAAATGTTCCGCGGTTCACCATTCAAATAACCAATCCAGAATAACGACGCCGGTATCAAAGGGCCAAGTCAGCTCTCCCAATATCGATACAAACCACGATAGAATCCGATATGAGTGCACCTCGATATCCATACGGATCAGTACAGTCAGTCAGCGGTAAAGATATGTAGGGCTCGACTGAGTCCTAAAGGTTTTCGATAGATGGATGCATAAGAGAAACGCAGACGAGAACCCACGGGCATGTCATTTCAAATCAGAACGGGTAAAACCAAAAGCCGAGTCTTTGCAGAGGGTTCATGGTTTCGTTTGGTAATTTTGCATTCCTTCCTACTATGTACTCGTACAAGGTGCCCAGGTCCCCAAGCTAAGCCATCCTCCAATCGGGGTTCGGGCCCGATTTCGTATCGGACCCTCCTTAGTCAACATCCCGCAGTTGCACGTGCGCTTGGTGTTTTCAGAATCAGGCATCATGGTCTGTCCCATCCCCATCATCTTGTAAGTCTCAACAGTAAGGGCACACTTCTCACACTACGTCGCAAACTGGCTCGATCATCGCACGAGCGGCGCCTCGGTACTACGACCCACCGCTACGGCAACGGGGATCATTCGAAGGCTTACTGTACACCTGGACCAAACGCAATCTGACACTAACTTAGCTCATCCCCCAACCTCCATCCCACCAGAGCTATCTTGAACCCGTTCCAAGCCATCTTGGAGACCAGATAAGTCCCGGACTCAGCTTCTCAGAAACATGAGTACACCATTTTCCACAGACGATGATGCTGTTAGCACGGCCTCTGGAGAGAAGGCGAAAGCTCTCTCTCAACCCCGCGTACGCCGGAGAAATCGCATGATCACATCATGCCTGGAGTGTCGTCGCCGAAAACTGAAATGCGATAAACTTCATCCTTGCACAAACTGCAGCAAATTCTCCCGCGACTGCCTCTTCCTGGCCCCCGCTTTAGATTCGGTTTCTCAACAGCGCCTGAATGAAATCAAAGAGAAGATGGGCTCTCTTGAAAGAGTCCTTGAGGAGGATGTCGCCCGCCGAGACGGGAAGGCCCCCAAATCCGCTGCCACTATGTCTCAACGGAGGAGTTCTGCCGACCTACCAGGTGGGGAAATAAGCAGCTCTGACAACGAGGCTGGTGTTCCTGATGATGAAAAGGGACTCGAGCCCACCCCTCTAGCAACCATTGATGCCTCATATGAGGACGACACTAATGACGACATCCTCGACCTTGGGATCAAGATTGGGAAAATGCGGTAAGCTAGTTTAGATGCTTTGACGAGTATTCACCTGATCCGTGTCTTGCAGCCTAACAGAACGTCTCGGTGGATTCTTTCGGCCCAGAATTAATGAAGAGGTAGTGTTATCATAATCTCTTACACACTTGGTCAGGGACACTGACATATCTCAGCTTGGTCTTCAGCTGTCAGAGTCAGCGGCCATTAGGCCTGCCGTGGAAGAGAAGCATCGTCCCGATCCCCAGCTTCCAGATAATGGCAATGATTTTCTAGCCCCCGGCCCGTCCTACATTGCGCCTGGTTCTGGATTTATATTCGGTGATGTGGGAAGCAAAAGATCTCTCATCAATTTCCTTCCAGCAAAAGCAGCAGCGGACCTCCTGGTGCGTAATTACTACGAGAATGTTCATTTCATTGCCCGGGTGGTCCATTGGCCGAGCTTCCAGTTACACTACGAAAACTTCTGGACGAGTGTGCTGGCTGGTTTGGAGCCACAACCATGGCAACAATCGATTGTTCTCTCGGTGCTTTTTGCAGCCGTTGCTAGCATGAATGAAAAGGAGATAAGCACAATATTTGCAAGACCGAAAAGCACAATACTTGGAAATTTCCAAACTGGCACGGAAGTCGCCCTAAGCAAAGCCCAGTTCCTGCGCGCTACGAAACTTGAGACTCTACAGGCCCTTGTCGTCTATCTGATTCCCATGTGCCGAGATCAACTCTCACGTGCCCATTCAGTCCTGGTAGGAATGGCGATCCGCCTTGCTGAATGCATGGGTTTACATCGTGATCCTGACGACATATATGGGCTCACCGCAGTCGACTGTCACGTACGGCGTATAGTTTGGTTTCAACTTTGCTTTCTCGATTTTCGCACGTGTGAAGCACAAGGCCCCCGGCCAGGGATAAAACGGGAAGACTACGATACACGGTTCCCTCTAAACATTGACGATGCCGATCTTTTCGCACTCAAACCTCGGGAAGTGAAGGACAAGTTTACCGACATGACTGTTTCAAGGATCCGGTTTGAATGTACCGAGATGCAAAGGGTTGTGTGGCAGGACCGAATTCGAATGGAGAGGAAAAAAGTCTCCATGACCCACGTTCTATCGAAAGTCGAATCCTTCCGGAAGGCCATGGATGCTAAGTACACCCCTATATTCGATCTTTCCGTGCCTATACAGAAGTACGCCAAGTTAGTCATGACGTTAATGATTCAAAGAATGTATGTTATGATTCTCCACCTATATGTCAACAATGCGGCCAATCGTGTACCAGAACGACTTCGCAACCTCACCGTCACAAGCGGTCTACAGGCCGTGGAAGCAGCAATTTCGATGGAGAGCCTGCCGGAATTCTCCAAATGGGCTTGGTATGGTGGAGCATACCAACAGTGGCATATAGCTTTCCTCCTTCTTACCCTGGTTGATGGCTCATCAACTCCACGAATTTCTGAGAGGATTTGGAAGGTCATCGATTACGTTTTCGAGCCCGACCAGTCCTGGGCACCGTCGACAAAAGTCAGGATTATCGTCACGGCAGTCCGGGATCGTACAACAGTCTATCGAGATCTCCGAAGGATACGCATTCCAGCGAGTATGAAAGGTGGTCTGGGTGCCCATGCTGTGCGGTGGGACGGATTGAAAGAGGAAAGCCCATTTGTTGGGGCTGGAAGCACTGAAGCAGCGTTGAATGCCATGCAGCCCCAGAATGCTCCCGGCAACGGGGCGTACGCATCGGATCGATCATGGAGCTTCGACGCACCGGCGACACTCTACTTATCGTCACAATATCCAGCCTCAACAGAAACATCTGGCTGGACTCGAGTTCTACCGAATTCACGAGCCTCACCACTTCCGCCCGGACAGACTACACAGCAGTCGCAGTCACAGACACAAACTTCTCCCAGGTCAGAAAGTCGGTCTTCGCCAGGCCAGCAGGGTGATTTTCACAGCCCCAGCGACTCTAGCACGAATGATTCATGGCCTCCGCTGATATCGGGTGATCAGCTTCAGTGGAGGTCGGCGTTAGGACAAGGTGTACCGGTCGGACAAGCCACCGCAACAGCACAAGCGCTTCCTGCGATTTCACATCAAAGACACTCCTCGGACAGTGGGCCTTCATTTATCAATTCCGGATTTCCTAGTGACCAGGTCAACATTCCACAATTCCCACCTCCGAATTCGAGAGGCGACTCCTTAATGATGGACATCAATTGGGTAAGATACGCTCTCAAAAAGACTGACCATAAGACTACGATATGCTAATGCGGCTTTCATTGCTTCTAGGCGGAATGGGACCAACTGTTCCCACAAGACGCCAATTCGGGCCTTCTTGATGGTGCAGGCGGGTATGGCGTGTCCTCAGAATATAAGAGCTCAATACCTCCCGAGATGATGTAGATTAGTTCCCCGGATTTATTACGCTTGAGCACGAGTAGCAATTCCAAACAGGAAAATGAAGCCACAACGAACATCGCTTGTTTTGTTGGTTGATGAGTGAGCCGAGAAGGCTGCTGATTCAGCTGCATTAACCTATTCCACCAGTCCTCTTTACCTTCCTATCTGTGTCCCTGTATATCCTTGCAATCCTTGGGCCCATGGACTTTCCAGCCTCTAGACACGGTCAAGAAAGGCGCGTGATGTCATTGGTATCCATCTCCTCGGATATTCCGGCTATCGAAAGCTCGCATGCCATCATCTCTCGCGCACTGATACCCGCCGACATGCAGCTCCATCTCTCACACAGTCGCGGCTCGCCCTTTTTCCTGTCAATTTCAGTGGCCGGCCAACCAAAGCTTGTCGACCAAGCTTTCCGTCGAAACCTCAGATCTGCAATGTTATTATCCTTGTGCACGGATTTGGCGGCAGAACGGCCATGGTTGAGCCATATCCGGACCTTCTTTTCTTGGGACTCTGGACCCCAGAGCTCTGCCATATATTTCTACTTGCTCTCAATCTCATCTGCTTCCGAATTCCGGCTTTGAGTATCTAGACGCATTCGATAGTCAACGCTGTCAGGCAGGCCCTGTTAGCTTTACTCGGAGTAGATCACCCATCTCCCTCCATCGGTCTCCTCTTGTCCTTCCAGCAAATTCTTCCTCGAGTTTGTGTGAAGTGCTGGATCGCCTTTCCGATCATACGGATTTCAATTGACTCGCCAAAACTCCTTCAAGTACCAACGCACCACATCACAACATGGCAGCTACAACATCAACATCGTTGAAACCCCCACCAGGAGCAACGCTCAAAGCGTCGTATCCATTTGGCAAGATCGAGCCCAATTCGGTACGTTTTTTCCTCTTTCCGAACCGAGGTCGTTCTGCACAACGATCAGAGCAAATATCCATTTCAAGCCCACAACAGCCTATCAAATGAGATCATTCCTCCTAACCAGACCCCTCAACTGAGCAGACAAAATACTTTGCATCATGCATGCTGGGCGGCATCGTAGCATGCGGGCCGACACACACGCTAGTGACGCCGCTGGACCTGGTGAAAACGCGACGACAGGTCGACACAAAGCTGTACAAGGGAAATTTTTCGGCGTGGCGGTCAATCTTCGCGAACGAGGGGGTCCGGGGCGTGTTCTTCGGATGGTCGCCGACGCTGGTCGGTTACAGCTTCCAGGGGATGGGCAAGTACGGGTTCTACGAGGTGTTCAAGCACATCTACGGCGACAATCTGTTTTCGAACTCGAACCGCACCCTCGTCTACCTTGGGGCCAGCGCCAGTGCCGAATTCATCGCCGACATCTTCTTGTGTCCGTTTGAGGCCATCAAGGTCCGCATGCAGACCACGCTTCCCCCCTACGCGAACACTCTCCGGCAGGGGTGGTCCAAGGTCGTCGAGAAGGAAGGCATCGCGGGCCTCTACAAGGGCATCGCCCCCCTCTGGGGCCGCCAGATCCCGTACACAATGTGTAAATTCGCAACCTTCGAGGAGACCGTCCACTTCATCTACGGGCAGCTCGGCAAGCCCAAGGAGAGCTACAACAAGCTGCAGCAGACCGGTGTGAGCTTCCTGGGCGGCTACATCGCCGGCATCGCATGCGCCGTCGTCTCGCATCCCGCAGACGTCATGGTCAGCAAGCTCAACTCCGACCGCAAGGCCGGCGAGTCTGCGGCCAAAGCCATGAACAGGATCTACGGCAACATCGGCTTCACGGGGCTTTGGAATGGTCTGCCAACTAGGATCGTCATGATCGGAACCCTCACAGCCTTCCAGTGGCTCATCTACGATTCCTTCAAGGTCTGGCTTGGTTTGCCCACCACCGGTGGCCACTAGACGTCTACGGCATGCTGGTCAAGAAGCCGCACACAGCTGGTAGCGAGGAATGCAGGAAGTGGTACCCAACATTCACTTCTTGACTGGTCTTGTTCTTCGCCCCATTGACCTTCTCGAAGCGGAATTCACAAGAGAGAGAGCGAAAGAGAGAGAGCGAAAGAGAGAGAGCGAAAGAGAGAGAGAGAGAGAGAGAGAGAGAGAGAGAGAGCGAGCGAGAGAGAGAGAGAGAGAGAGAGAGAGAGAGAGCGCGCGCACACACACACACACACACACACACACACACAGGAATTGGGCTTGCTTCTATCCAGACCGCATCGACAAACCACTTCATTCTACAACACTCTTACCAGCGTCGTTCCCCCACTTCTAGAGGAGAGAAGTTATAAAGAAGGGAAGACCAAGCCCAGACGCACCTCGAGGGCGAACCCAGATTTGAAGCATACCGAGCACATCCTAGAGCCCAACTCATCTAATTCGCGCCGAGGCCTCAGCATCAGATTGTCTCTAGAGCAAAAGCCCGGGGGTTCGGGGTAAGGAGAGACAGCAACTGAGGAGTCGGAGGGTATAAACAGTCCTGTCTGTTCTACGCGAGCTTACTATCTGGGCGGCCGATGCATACATCCAATCCATGACGATGAATCTGTGCATGATTGACTGCCGGTGGGGTTTTCAGCTTCCACTTGCACCTATTAGAGTCTGAGCGACCCGGGACGAACCAAGGCAGTGACGGATGAGCAATATAAAAGAGGAATAAATAGAAGCTTGTAACGGAACAAAAATACTAGGCAGAACAAATAGATGAAGATATGTCACTTGGTTTTTTTGTTTATAATCAATATTTGCTTATTCTTGTGTCGCTGAAGGCGAGTTGCTCCCCTCTTGATTGATGCCACCGGTAGTCAAGCCGACCGGGGCAAGTACTATGCATGCAAGGGATATACTATAACCAGTCGTTTGTGACTGAGGGCTGAAAACTGGGGTCGCTGATTGCTTGAGTCGGTTGATTCCTGTCTTGTCCTTCTTCCCACCATCACCAACTGTTGTCCATGTCGATAAAACATAGTTTCATGCTTATTGGCTGCGGCAACTCAATTGTCCTCATCATCCCTCACATGGTTGTTTGGGGATCATCATCACCATGCTTCAGTATTAAAGGCACTCTTTTTACTCCCTTTCAATGACCATTCCTGTCACCAAACATCATATACTCCTTGCTCCTGCACTGCAAGACCAAAGCGATTTGCAAAACACAGATTAGCTCGACCAAATTGGCTACCAGTGTCAAAGCACGTAGGTCAACATCCACCCGAGAACCATATGGATAGCTCTGCGAGCATGTAGCTCCTCGTCTATCCTTGAGCATCCGGGCCTGCTTCCACGTGAAACAAAAAGGTCGGAAACTTTGCAAATAATCACCAGCTGTGTTATGCTAATTCGTAGGGAAATCCGTCCAAGTACCATGTCCTTTGTCTATTGGCGGGCCTGTCTCGGATTTGAAGTGAATGCTTTCGCTCAGCTAATGTTTTCGTATACTCCATTTCGAATAAAGGACCGTAACATCATGCAGTCGAGCACAAATTGGCCCGATAAAACCCTATTGAGTATGAAGACCGCCGGCAGGACAGCAATCGCAAATCGTGGTCGGGAGTTTTATTCATTATACATCACTCATAGCAGCATCTCCATCGCCGATATGAAGATCTGTTGGCACGTGGCGCATCTCGTCGTCTTCGTGAAGAGGTATTTGTTCAGGTAGACTGAGAGGGCTTTCCGATCTTCGCTCAATGTGCTCATCAGGCGGCGAAAACGACCATACCTGTTAGAAAAGATTAGTGGTAGGATTGTGGATTCCGAACAAAAGGCCACTCACCTCCATGACCGTCCGGTTCGATCGGCTAGCCATGATAACAGCCTTCTCTTCTTCGAAAGCCACCCTCCAGACAGCCTCAGCAGGTTGACTCAATTCCCGCACCAGTTGACCAGTTTCGACGCTCCAGATCTTGACACGACCATCACTCCCACCGCTGACTATTCGATTCTCATCAAATTGCAAACTTGTAACACTATTATCATGTGCTGCTAGACGGTGAATGGGTGTGTTGCTCTGTAATGACCACACACGAACTGAGCCGTCTGAACCACCTGTTACCAAAGTGTCTCCCCGCATTTGTAGTTGACCAACAAGCGAAGTATGCCCCTGTAGTATGGCGGTGCACGTGCCCGACTTTGGGTCCCAAATTCTCACGCTCGTGTCTAGACTCCCTGTCGCAATCCTGAGGCCATCAAATGCGATGGCGTAAATCTGACTGAAATGACCCGTCAGCGTGCGCAGACAGCGGCCCTCAGAAATGCTCCATATTCGGGCCGTAGTATCGTAGCTTCCAGAGACAACGAGATCTCCATAAACTGCCAAGCAACGCACACTAGCTTGATGACCAACAAGCACGTTCTTACACATCCCTGTCGGTAGATCCCAAATTCGAAGAGTGGTGTCTCTGGATCCTGAAATTGCTGTATTGGCATCAGACATTTTGAGACACCTGACTGTGGAGGTATGCCCTCTCAGCGTATGGAGACTTTTCCCCGATGCCATGTCCCACACCCTGACATCTCGATCACAGCCACCACTTACAAGGATGTCATCCCATGGGACCATGGCCCAAACACCCATTACATGACCCTTCAATGTCTTCTGGTGTTCGCCAACGGTGTTAAATACGTGGATCTTAGCGTTGTCCATGGCCACGACGATATATTTGTCGGTCAGGTGCAGACTTGTGACGACCCCTTGATCTGGGGTGATGTGCTTGATTATACTCTCACCGCCCTTCCTCCACGCAGCCTCGATCATATATTTGTGTCTGAAATGCGAATAATGGGACTGTGATTGTCGTTTCCGTGCTCGTGGACTCGAGGATAATTGATCTTGCTTTGACAAGGACAGATTCGGGGCGCTATTTGAAGGACCAACGGCCGAACCATCAAGATTCCGCTTGGAGGGTTGATTGTAGCTGTAGGGCCCCTGGACTGCTTGTGGCAGAGACATAGACTCGATCTCGTCGCTTGAAGCATTGGAGGATTTTCGCCATGCGTGCTTATCGCACATTATCTTCCAAAGCATATCGTCATTCACCAGTTTATGCCAACGATGTGAAACTTGAGACGCGCGGGCAAGGCTGAGCGGGTCGTCAATATAAGATAAAACCTGAGTGTATGTCAGTCGAGTCGAGGTCACCATACCTTGCAAGAACTTACTCTTAAGCACAATTCATCGGGCAAGTGCTCAAACGGGTCTTTCTTCAGCCTGGGCGAGACAAAATGATGGACGAAACTCAACAACTGGCTGTCGCACATATTAAGCAATTCGGCCAGATAGCGCTCTCGCTCGGCACCATTCAAATGTGAAAAATGACCTCTTGCATCTCTTAAGAAGGAATCCTCATTTTCACCGGCACAACTCCAACTTGGGGCTCTTTGATATGGAGTCGGAGAGGGAGCAGGAGTCGGTGGAGAGGCAGGCGCGGATGGCAAGATGCTCAAGGGCATTCCCGTCTTACTGGAGGTAGAGAGACGTTTTGGGCGCGGTTGTGACACACTATGGCGATTTCTGGATGAACGAAGAGGATCTATCGGAACAGGTTGAGGAGCGGAGAAATTGTAATCATTGTCTTGATCAACAAGACTCGACCTCGCATTGTAAGGACGGGTGGCTAGCTGGTTTGGATCTATCGACACTGCTCTCGATGGCCGGGGGGAGAGAGGTCTGTTTAAGGGCATGGCCTGGGTATCGTCTTCCAAATCCATGGTCTGGGTGCTGCGTGCTGCCTGAGTGTGAGGTGATGTAGACGCCACTGAAGGCAGAGTAATATGACTTGTATTCAGAGATGCAAAGAATGAATTCTCTTCCCGCTCTTGACTAGCAGGAATGGGCAAGAGTCAATTGCATTATGCTATATCCGAGGAAGTAGGGAGGAATGAAGAGTCGAGAGGTGAATTGTTGTTGACAGGACGCTTGTGACATGCATCGGCAAGATGTAGGTGGAGGGGTTGGAGCGCAGAGGACTGTAATATACGGAGTACTTGGTTGACGGTATGGATTCGGATGGTGATGAATGAGAGAAGTGAGGGCTGGAGTGATAGTCGAATGAGTGGTGTTGGGAATAATGGTGGCGGCGGCAGGTCGAACAGTCAATTCATCAGCAGGATCAGGTTTATCTGACTAGTACGAGTGAACGATCGATCAATATGTCGAGTACGAGTCAGTATTGAGTACGGAGTACTACTCAGTAGTGGTAACTTGGGAAGTGGTAGTGGTGCTTGTAGTTGTGGTTGTAGTAGTAGCTTTGTAAGAAGGGAGATGGTGGGTGCCAGACTCTTGTCGTACTGGCAGTAGTTACTACAAACTAGTTAATACTCTGAACTCCGTCCCAGTAGACAGGATTGGGGGACCGTGGGCTGTGGATGGGCGGGAAGGGAGCATGTTAGGTAGGAAGTGCAGGAAGTGTCCACTCGCTGGCACAGTCAGCGGGGAGTGGCTGGTAAGGCACCCTAAGATATGGAATGTATTGGCAGGCTGGACAGCCCAGTGGCATTTAGGGACTGGGGAGGTGCATGTTTTAGGCAGGCCAAGGCGCGTTCGGGGTCGTCCCGAGAGCAATATTGGGCATGCCTACTGCTGTCATTTGGGCATTTGGTGCCTGAGCGCTGCCGATAGCATCGAAGCCAGGCTTCCAGCTCCGCTAACCAGCTTAACTAGCTTAACTAGTGGTAACTTACTCCACAGGTTGGGTGGTCCCTTCTTATTTAGCGAGCAACTCATCCCTCTTCCCTCGTAGCTCCTGCTTCAGCCTGGCACAAAGATGGACATGGTACTTGGTACTGTAGACATGGTGCCAGTACCCAGAACCCATGTCGATCTTGACCGCCAGAATCCCCCTGGCCGAATCATCTTGACCATTTTGAGGTCTCGGTCTAGATTCATCCAATGCATCTCAAACTGATGCAATGCGTCTGTATATGTCCTCCTTATTCTGAAATCCTGTTCACCAAATGTCTGTATATCCCCGCAAGTCTCCATGGGACAACACCCAACTTATTCCTCTGCCGTCCATCGTGGTCTCCACTCGACTGCTTTCTAACAGCTGTGGTGCTCAAGCGAGGCGGGAATAAACCAAGGGACAGATGGTGCTGATTGTTCCCATTCACATCGACTCGATCTGCCTTGAATGAGAGCTTGAGACCGGCGTTCTTAGTCTCAGATTGGTGTTATTTGACCATATCACATAAATGTACTCTAGGGCTGCTGTTCCATGCTGAAACCGTACGCCATAATGATATTGTCCACCAAGGACCGAATGCGATTAGTTGGCCAAAATGTACCCCAAGTCCCAAGGGAAAAGACAACGTATTCCCTGCTCAATGTGCGTGCCCAACCTGCAAAAATATAGGTAGGATCATGCCAAAACATGCTGCTGCTAGATCTTTCCAGCAGGCCCTTTGGTCGATTGGTGTACCATCTCGTCCTTCACCGTACCCATTCACCTGGCCATTCATCGTGGTCTGCTGATGAGAATTGGATGTATCTTGCATAGAATGCATTGCCACATACAAAAACGTGCCCGCGGAGAAAAGAAGTAACATGCCAGTCCACCATTTGGTCGTTTCAGGACTGTGGTTAGCAGAAGCCCCACCCAGGATGCTGGCAAGCAGCCATGTAACTATTGCGCCAGTAGGTGCGGCCAGACTGAACAGAACCAAATGTCCTCGAGCCGCTCGTTTGGAAAGACCCTGCTTAACCAACACAGAGGTCAGGCCGAAAGCCGCTGGCGCTTTGTGGATCATGATTGCGAAAAATATGACCAAACTCAACCCAGAATTCGTAGCTGTGGAAGACGCCCCCAGAGCTATCCCATCAGCTGCTGCATGGATAACAAGGCCAATTGTGGTTGCAAAACTGCGATTTTGTACGTGAGAGCCTTCTGAAGACTCGAGGAACGAATCTGCTTCTTCATCCCGGTCCAAAGAAGTTGTCAGATTGAACCTGCGCCCTAGATTATTAAGAGCAATGTGATGTGTTCTTGTCTTCGGTTTCGGAGGTTGTGTGTATTGAGGCACCTTGTCCACGAGATACATGAGCATGAATCCAGCTAGCAATGCGATCCCAATCCACGCGTGTTCCGATTCGCTGTGTTTCTCACCACTCTCTTCGCCGTTGCTGCTCGTCTTGCCACTGCCTGTGTCCATCACACCAACGACACCTGGGTCTGTAGGGGTTCGTGGTGGGTCATCAAATTTCGACGGTATAGCGGGGCCTGGGACATTAAAAGGACTGGTCTCGTCACCTAGGGCGCGCGGAACCAGGACCAGAGCAGACAGAGGAGACTCATCGTTCATCCAGTGAATGTCGACACCCCGGGCGTACATATGTCGTTTTGTATGAGAATGCGCCCCATCCCCGACCTCGGCAGCACTGTAGAGAGTTTCAACGCCTTCAGGGAGGATGACCACCAGGGAAGTTCCAACAAGCACACCCATTCCAATAGTGGAGATTAGTCTCAGTTGTGACTGTGAAAGCGTGAGAGACAAAGGCAAAATGCCTGCAAGAAAGGAGGCCAGCGCCATGACTATGCTCAAGATGAGCAGTGTAAAGAGGCCGTCCATGGTCGCGAACGTCGTGGTTACCGAGTAGGTGCGAAGTGCACGACGCGTTTAAGGAGAGGGAGCGAGTACTAATAGGAGGAACGGCCGACACATGATGCGTGTAAATACGTCGAAGATTGAGGATTGGTTGGGAGGGATGCGGTTTGCAGAAGAAAAAGAATAGTGCTAACTTGGGCACCTGTCTTCTCCTGAAGAAGTGGATGACCGACGAGGCAGCGAAAGCCCTCATCCCTTTCTGACAATGACCGCATCTGCTCATCGCCGGGCCCAGCCCCACAAGCCACCACCGCCACTTGAGAGCCAGCTATGAAGACACACAACTTTGGCCATTTAGAATTCGGTGACTGTGAAAACATCTGATATTTAAGCACTATGGGTAAAATGTCCTTATCTACTCCAAAGGGCGAGGCTGTGCCTCGCCATAATATAAACCATCCCCTTCCTGGAGACGAAAGATCCTTGGTCCTCCCAATACCCTCATGAGCACATCCTTAACGGGCCAATTCAGTACGAGCGGCCCTCTCATTCACCTCATCGCAAACGTAGCTCATTATTCTGACTCGGCAACCGCTAAAGGCCTGTCCTGTCCTTTGGCCTTCGTTTTATGCCACGAGGCTGCTTCCACGATGGTCATGTGGCCCTCCTAAGGCTGTAATATCTGGTATGTACAGGCCTGGTATCAAGGCCAACAATCTGTGGATTGTATAGATATTGCCCAGATGTACCAAAAACTTATTAGGACATCGATGGTTCGTGACTCAGGGCAACCCAAGTCGTCAACCATGCCTGTGTTGGGTGAGTATTCTTTGCTGCCGCGGTGGATGTTGGAATATTCCAATACCTCGAGCTTAATCGGTTACTTAATGTCAGTGGTTGTCTCCAAATGGAGTTTGAAATAAAACTTTGTTTTGATTCCGCGATTGTTATGGGGTCCAGCTGGAATATGCCTTTTCTGATGCTGCTGCTGAGTTGGTGGCCTGCCGACTCAAGACTGGTACATTTGTGGCGCTCATGTTCTCATTTGTCACCTGAAGGTGCAGCCAGAGTTCTGGCCGACTGCCTCTTCGTGCAGTTTGTTCGGACTTGCGTCTCTTGATTAATTTAACTGAGCCATAGATTGTCGGGGCATTGGCGACGAAACAGGAAACCAACATCTGAACAGATGCCCATAGGCTTCGCGTTGGTTGATATGATGACTCTGCATATATATATGCAATCCGGATGCAGGTGATGATAATGCAAAAAAAGCCAAGGGTGAATAGCGTGCCAATTCTCAATCTCTCGCTGAGTGTCCGGTGTTGAACAAGTAGGAGTGGAACCGAAATTGCCAGGAGATGGAGATCGAGAACGATGTTGCATGCTCCTTGAAGAAGCAGCTGAATATAGGCCCTGATGCAATGGCCAGGATTGGGGTCTACCTGCCAGTATAGACGAAACGGGTGGCATTCCAAGAAGGTGGACAGTACCACGGCAACATAGGTTAGAGATATTGCGATCCAGCACATGCGGATGAGTATTGTCGTCCAGCGTGGAGCGCGAACTTGGAAGAATTGAGAGTAAAACAGGAGTAGCAAGCAGTTCTGTAGCCAGTAAAAGGTGGTGATCAATAGCCTAGCAAACAATGAAAGGATGCTTCCGATTTTGAGCTTCCTCATGTCTTCAGGGTTGAAGTAGTCCATTTTGCCGAACAAGACATCATTCACGGTTCCATAGTTGAGGACATACTGATTTACGGCGATTCGAAGCGCAATAACGATGATGGCGGCAGCGCAGATGATGGTGCTGACATCGAAACGCCCCTGTTTGATCCTCGATGCAATAATTCGAATCAGAAGGATGACCATCGAGAAGCCAGAGCAGATAAAGCCTGTTACTAGGGCTTCGTGAGATGTAGTGGACATTGTGGATCTTTCATTCCCAGACTTATTAAAGCTGTTGCTAACTCGAACAGAGGACGATGTGATCTAGAGGATAAGACGATGAATCGTGCCGTCAAATCTGCAACTTGGGTCGCTGTAGGATCATCTCCGACCTCCAAGTTTTACATATCGGCCGTTGACTGGATGGAGTTTTTGTGAGAATCGAGTTTGGGAAAGATGGGGTTGAAGTGTCTTTGAGGATGAGGGCCAGGTTGAGGTCGAGGTCGAGTACGAGGACTCTGTGGATGTGGGTGAGCCGAGAAGGGTGGAGGTGGGCACTCTGTACTCCGTACTCCGTACTCCGTACAGACTCCACATGGGCGACGATATGGGTGACGGTCTTGGACTCTTGGGAGTGGGTGTAAGCGACTTGGTACTCGTAGTTTGTTCCAGGAGCCTCCCTGGCGTGCCCGGGGAAGACTGTCAAACCGGTTGACCGGGCTCTTCTTCGGGTGCTTAGAGCCAAATTGTAGTAACTAAATTCGACGGGAGGGTACTCAATTGCAGGGATCGAGAAACTATCGCAACACCCTGGGGCTGTCTTTTAACGGGCAAGAACGGGTGGAAGCTTTATTGGCCCTAGGGTTCTTGGGGCGCTCGAGCATTCACTGATCCCAAGAATGGCTCATGGTCGTTTATAAGCTCCCGATCCACTAGCGTCCCTGGACCGCACGGGCCATGATGTTCATCATCCAAAGTTCGCACAGCTGCTCATTGATACAGTACGGGTTAACTGGCAACCCCTAGCAAGAGCCGGGGACAACCGAGCGATCTCCTGTACAGTACGGAGTGCTCGTACGAGTAAGTAAGATGTTCAAGGTACTCCGAAAAGGGTACGAAACCTGGATCCTCATCACCTGTACTCTGTAGGCTCTCACCTATATAAATCTTACTGTGGGGACAAAACGGAGCTGTTTGTGCGACTGTAGATTCGACAGTATCATCTACCAGAGTTATCACTGAGCCCAGGTGACATGTTGTGTCTGGGGTTGGGGGTTTCTCTCTACTACTCGCAAGCAGGACGTGTCTTTTTAGACGAGCTGTTTTGGTCAAACTGGTCAGGGTAGTTGTGGATTGTCTGGACGCGAGGTAAGGCCATTTCCCTCTGAGCTTGAGCAAGCAACTCAGCCTTCAGCCACCATGGCCTCGACTCCGTATTGTCCTCTAAGTCGATAGTATAAAGAACTGCTGCAAGGATTTCTCCTGAAAGTTCGGTACAAAGTTCTCGCTACACTCACGAAGCCATAGCAGCACACGATCCCTTTTCAAGAAGGCGCCCCGTCCATCGTGGTTTGGGGTACTGGGAGTAATTCTCTGTTAGACATCCAAGGGCCGAGAAATGAAACTTGGTCCGAGGTATCTTGCTGCATGCTGATTAACGAATACGGGATGGCGGGTGAGAGCGCAGATTAGACAGGCCACAGCATGGTATGCATACTCCGTATCTAGGTAAGAATCGTAGATAGCTCAGGGGCTGTGATTGAGCAGGTTGTCCGTATAGCCAACAACGAGGCACTCCAACATACATGCCCCGTACGACTAATGTGGTGGTCTTATTGTGTCTTGCCGCATGCTGATGAAATTTGGACCTTCTGTTGGGGGCTTTAGAAGTGAAAGCCGATTCAGGCAGCAAACAAGCAGAAGTTGACTCGCTTTCCTTGGGCTTGGCACCCACTTGGGTGATTCGTGATTGACCGTTGCGACACCAGCTGATTCAACCACTGCAAGCGATGCCATTTTCGGCTCACATGGCGTATGTAGGACAGGGTATGCAATTACTAATTTCACCGTACCTTGTACTCGTGGCATACAGTATCTGTACTCGTAGATCGCAATTCCGCCTCGAGGTCATTTGACTTTGTCAGTCATGTGATCCCGACCAAAAGGCGGTAGTCTCTGCTTGGCGCCTCTGAGCTGAATTGCCAGACGATCGATCGCGTCCCTACGCGTGCAGTGCCACTTACAAGACCGCGACGACACGACAGATTGGCCGTGCACCCCATCTCCATTCCAACTTATCGGCGGTCTTCAGTTTCAACCTCATCTCACCTTCTACGCGACTCTCTCATTTGGATTGAGCATGAATTGAAGACCCACAGTGCTAAAACAGTGCCAACATGGCCGCCGCTTCAGACGAGTGTCAGTCCCAATCTGCTCTTCAATTTCCGGAGTAGTTACTGACTGCCTCCAGGGTCCGTCAATGCCAACGAGGCTCTTCATATCTCCTTAGTGCAGCCCGGCTCGAAGGCTCTCACTGTACGCCATGATTTTCATCCCGAGTTTACCTATCCGATTGTGGGAGAAGCAGAACAGATCTTCGGCTATAAAGACCTAGACATCAATCTACAATTCGCGGCTCATGACTTACGTCCACACCTTCATATCTCCTATTCTAAGAAATTCCCAGCTGTTGGCACCACGAGTGCGCTCGACCTGAAGAAGACCCTGAAGCCTTTCTTGCCTCCCACCGCATTTGAGTCAAATTTTGACTCTCAGATCCTGGAAGATGCCAACGCCACAGACTGGACACCGCCTGGCTCCTTCGTCAAGGGCTATACGAGAGGAAGGGAACACTTCGAGATTTGGGCTGGTTCGCTCCTCGAGGTGCCTATGCGATCGCTAGTGGACAACATTCAAATACTTATTCTTTTCTTCATCGAGGGAGGCCAGTTCATCAATCTAGAGGATGTCGATTGGACTCTAGACCGATGGCGAGTCTACCTCGTCTATCACAAATCGTCGAGTCCCTCGGTGACGAATGCCTCTCCTTACACATTTATCGGCTATGCAACCACATATCGATTTTACAAATTTGACGCTGCAAAGAGCCGTGCAGCAACTAATGTCTTCACCTTCCCCGCAATCCAAAAGATCACGCCCAACAAGCTCTCATCAAGGCTCCGAATATCACAATTCCTGATCACGCCCCCATATCAGCAAGCAGGACACGGATCAGCGCTTTATCAAGCAATTTATGCCGAAGTCATGTCTGATCAAACGATAGTGGAAATGACTGTTGAAGATCCCAGTGAAGAATTTGACAAGCTTCGGGACATGAACGACTTTGACGTTTTGGAACCTCAATTCAAAGCCGCAGGAATTCAAATCAACGACTCGCCTTTCGCATCTTCAGAGCGGCGCCGAATCAGTCGCGTCCCTACAGCGACCTTGCTTCCACTAGACAAGTTGCAAGAGATTCGTTCAAGGAACAAGATGGCCAGCCGTCAGTTCGCGCGCATGGTTGAAATGTATCTTTTAGCACAAGTACCACATTCTCATCGTGCTTCTGGCGGCGCATCTCTGACCAGTCTAACTGTGAAAGGATCTCGAGCAAAGAACGCTGACGATCGACGATATTATTGGTGGCGTCTGTTACTGAAACAGCGCATTATGAAGAAGAACAAGGATTTGCTTCAGCAAGTCACACCTGAAGAACGAGTTCCACAGATTGACGACAGTGCTCGGGCACAAGAAGACGAATATGAGGGCCTCTTGCTGACATATGGATTGAGGAGGAGTAATGAGGAGGAGCGGCAAGGAAACGGAGAGTCAGCGGTCCGAAAGCGGAAGGTGATTGAGTCGGATGATGATGATGATGATGATGAATCTGATGGTGCCAGTGAAGGATCGAAGAGACAGAGACTCTGACGGTATCACTGCTCTGTTGACGATGGAATCGAAATGATTTCTGGGCTTGCGCGACCGTGGAGTGGCAATAGAAGTGCCCAACTCGACGGTGTCCTCTCCTGAAAAGCCATAGCGTGTGGTTTGGGTAGACACAGTATCCCAGTAAGGCTTCGGGAGCGCATCCGCGGAATACCCGAGCTGAAAAAGCAGATGAAGGCATTGACCGAGATTTCTCCATGCAAGTGGTGTTTAGCAGCGTTGATTTCCCATGTATGATCTTGGTCCCATTGTCATCGACCCAGCAAGGCTTGACGATATCGCACAAACTGCCTTCTCTCGTCGGCCTCCTCATCTGCAATGACGTGCTCGTCTCGGCCAACGGGAGTGCTCTCTTCCCACATCTTGTCCAGCTCCTGCTCATCGTCGCCAGAGACTGCCCAAACACTCTCTCGCAGTCTCTTGTTCCGTTCCCGATCTTCCTCAATTCTCTGCTCGATCGCCCTCTTGTCAACCTTGGTCACTCCATTCACCTTTCCAGCCTGACCCGCGCCGGTTCGAGGTGTCGGTCGTGCACTGTCACCTGCACCACCTCCGCCAATGCCATCGCCGGCACCTGTAGCGGAAGTGTCCATGGCGTCGCCATCTCCCTGACCTTTTACAGTAGTCGCACCGCCGCCGCCACTGCCACTACCAGGGGCAGCAGGGGCAGCACCAGGAGCAGAATCCTCTTGTTCATCCTCCTCACCATCACCTAGTAGACGGCCCAGCTTCTCTTCCTTCTCCTTGAGGCCATTCTCAATGACCATGATGACCTCGGCCTTCAACACACCTTTCTCACCCAGCCCAGTGACAACCCTCCTAACGACCTTGACATTCGCACCACTCTGAGCCACAGCATTGACGATCCTCACAATATCCCTGCGGACCATGTCGACATAGGGCTCGTGGCCGCCATCACGGGTATTGACGTCGGCGTGGTGCTCGAGAAAGTACATAATGTTGGCTCGGTTGTTCATGTTGTTGCCACGCTCCAGATTCTCTAGGATGCAGCTGTGCAGATCCTCGTCCATGTCGCGGTGTTTGAGCGCGAAGTGTGCCGTTTTGATCGATGCTGTCGCCGAGGCTGACAGGTGCGTGAGCAGGTTCGTAAACCGCATTCGAACTTCGAAGGGGTCGGCCATGGTGTGCCGTGGATGGGATCGAGGGATCGAGGGATTAACTAGTCCTTTACAGAGGTGAGGTTGGCGGTATCAATCGCCACATTCTTTGATTGAAGAGGCAATGAGCCCGAACTGCTCCGGCGCAAATGAAGTGGTAAAGATTGATATATCCAGGGTTCAAACGTCAAAAACCAAGACGCAAGAGCAGGAGAATGATTGGCGTGCCTTGCAGACGTTGGAACGGAGTATCAGGAATTGAATCGCGGAGAAATCGGACTTGGCTCGCCTCGCAATCTAGACAAAATAATAATTTCCCCCGCATCGTCTTGCAAATATTTCCAGATCCTTTTACTATGTGACAAAGCGTAGCCCTTTCCACCGGCCTCGACTCAATTCCCTGATATTCCAGTAATAAAAGAGGCATTGGTCGTTCTGACGACCTCCTGAACTACTAAATATCTATCTCGGGGCGACAGGCCACAAAAATCCTCCACTCGAATCATGAATACAGCTCTTCGAGTGCCCAATGGCCTGACCGGCCTCGGCAACGACAGAGGCATGACTCTGACCATCCTTGGATGCGGTGAGCTTCACAAACCCCTCCAAACCCTCTCCCTGCCTCTCGCCCTAATATTGACAAAGTTCCTCCTGACCAGGGACCCTCGGCATTGCCATCCTATCGGGTATCCTGTCATCTCTGACCGAAGCCTCAACCGCGCCGTCGCCCGCCTATCCTGACTCCGGCACCGCAACCCCGACCACCGAAGGCCCACCACAACGAACACCCACGAATTTCATCGCCTGCGTGCGACGACCCGAGTCCGCCAAGCGCATCAAACTTGCCGTGCAGGAATACCGGCCGGGCGTGATGGTGCTGCAGAACGAGAACGTGCGCGGTGTGGAGGCCGCCGATGTGGTCATCCTGGGCTGCAAACCGTACATGGTGGCGGACATCCTGCTGCAGGAAGGGATGAAGGAAGCACTGGCCGGCAAGCTTCTCATCTCCATCTGCGCTGGCGTCCCTGTCGAGCAAATGAGCCGCGTGCTCTACGGCCAAAACTACCCGGCCGACAATCCCCAGGACGCCTGCACGCTCGTACGCGTGATGCCCAACACGGCCGCGCTAGTGCGCGAGTCTATGACGGTCATTGCGACTAATACTCCCCCCTTACCCTCAGAGCTTTCAACGCTGGTCGACTGGATCTTCACGCGGATCGGCCGCGTTGTGCACCTCCCACCGGCCATGATGGACGTGTCCACCGCCCTGTGCGGCTCAGGCCCCGCCTTCCTCGCTCTGATGCTGGAATCGCTCGCCGACGGCGCAGTTGCCATGGGCCTGCCTAGAGCAGAGGCCCAGCTGATGGCCGCGCAGACCATGCGCGGCACCGCAGGCCTAGTCCAGCACGGCGAGCATCCCGCCCTCGTCCGCGAGAAAGTCAGCACCCCGGGTGGATGCACCATCGGCGGACTTTTGGTGCTTGAGGAGGGCCGTGTGCGAGGCACAGTCGCCAGAAGTGTCAGAGAGGCCACTGTTGTGGCTGCTCAGCTGGGCAAGGGAATCAGTGGTGTCAATGGCACGAGGTTCGAGAGACAATAAAATAAAATGCTAGTGATTGAGTGAACGAAGGAAACAACAAACAGGTTTTGGCTCATGATATATTCTCCGGATATGCAAAACGATACCATGATGTGGCGTTTGGACATCAAAAGAAGAGTAGGCAAGCTGAGCTGTGCTGTGCTGTTCTGGCTTGCCTGAGGCCAAAGTCCATTCAGTAGGAGGAACATTCTCAATTGTTACATCTTGAAGGTGCTTCTAATTCTTTCCCACATGATGAATAGTAGTAGTATACACAATTCGAAGATTTTGATGCGGTTGGTGGACCGTGAGGGTATTCCAATCATACCCTTATATGCAGGGCCCACTCATTTTCATCCTTCCTCTTTTTCAATGGCCTCTGATCTGTCTCAAGCTTGACAGAAATTGTGTAGGCGTTCCAGAGGTATGCCACTGACCAACCCCCGGTCCATTCACAGCAATCAGGCAGCGAGTCCGGGCTCCCCTTCACTGGTAAGATCGGTTCACCTTCTAATCCATGGTGACGACAGCGCCGAGTGCCTTCAAGGTGGCGATGATCTTCTCAGCCTCGTCCTTAGGCACGCTTTCCTTCAACAACTTGGGTGCACTCTCGACAAACTTCTTGCTGTCAACCAAACTCAGACCCAGCATGCTCTTGACTTCCTTGATGACCTTCGGTTTCGCCGTAGCTTCAAAGGATTCAAGTTTCAGGTTAAACATGGTCTTTTCTGCCGGGGCGGGAGCAGCTTCTTCCTCCTCCACGGGAGTCGGTGGTGCGGCGGCGCCACCTGCTGCAGCTGGTGCGGCGAATGCCATGTCGGGGATGTTCAGGCGAGACTGTTGAGATATCAGCGTCAGTTATGTTCTTCTCTCATCGAGCACGGGATGTAGAATTTACCTTCAAGCTTGCAACCAGATCGGCAGTCTCTAGTAGCGTCAGCTGGGATATTTGGTCGACAATCCCCGAGATTTTAGGGTTCGTAGGTGGAGCTGCAGCATCTGTGGATTGCCGTCTCCTTGAAGGGGATGCGAGGGTGTTTCGTCGTTGGAATTGGTTTGCGGAGCTTCTTGAAGAGAGACGGAGACACTGTGACGACAAACTTCGCTTCTGTGTGCTAGCTGCGAGCTGGCAGCAGCGATATGCTGCTGACTGGACTGGTCCTGACATCTTACTGAAGTAGTGAACGTGCTGGGGGGAAGCTGTATGAAAGTTGATGAGCCGGAGCGTGAATCGAAGGAGGGTCTTGCAATGGATTGCGCATCCAATCCAAAAATCGCGCCAAGGCGGGAGAGTGGCACGTGATTATGGTTGAATCGTTCTTTCCAGCACCGGCAACAATTACATAGGCTTCCACCTCCTCAAAGATTGTTCATCGTTCTTTCCAATCCTGCGAAGGCTAGTAGATGGCTCCAAATCTCTGGCATCCCAATGAGGCCTTGAAAGCCTCCTAGCACGATCATCAGTAACACTAAAACCTGGCCCACTGTGCTGAAGTCTCTCAAGTCTTCACTTGAAGTGCTCCTCATTTGACTTTGACATTTCCGGAGGCTTCCACATCGTTTCTATCGTGCCTCTCCGTGATGGAAGAACTGCCTGTCTTCCGTGCTGCAAAGCGAAGGAAACATGTCAGAGGCGCATCCCAGTCAATACCTGATCCCATTCCTTCAGGGCCCAATACACCTTCTATAGATCAAGTGTCTGATCACAGCGTCGCCTTAGAAGACAATGGCTCCGCCGATGCTGATGTACCAACACTTATAAAGGCTCGGAAGCAGTTCAGACGACCAGCTACTGGGGTCCATTTCTCGACTTCGAAAGCACGGTTTGGACAAGACGATAGTAACGATGGGGCGCTTGTCAAGGCGGACCAGACCGTGGAAAGGCCCGTCGATATTACTCAGAGATTTGTTGGAGGTTCAGGTCAAGTGGTTGACGTCGATCAACACATGTTCGTACTGCCCCTTTGCGCTTTGCAAGATGAAGTTTAGATATCAGCTTACTAACAAGATAAGGATTGCGTTCATAGACTCAGAAATGGCTAAACGCCGTGATGTCCAGTCGTCGTCAGTGGGAATTACGACGCAGACTACAAGCAGTAGTAATATTAACTCTCCGACGTCAGATGGAAAGCCAATTTCCCTCAAACAAGGAACATCAACAAATCCAGCATCTGCTCAACAGCTCTCTGAAGTCGACCTGGGTTCATCCGCGCATGAAATCAACCTAGCACGTACACAAGCCGCCTTGGAGCGTGCCAAGCTAGGCAAAGCACCCCTTGAGGAAGAAGAGATCAAACCCGTTAAACTTCGTAAACCACGACTCGGACGTGATGGGAAGCCGACGAAGCCTCGCCCCCGTAAAAGAAGGAACAGCGAGGATATCGCACGTGACGCGCTGGTCGAGCAGGTCTTGCACGAAAACAGACTCGACCTATACGAGAATGGAGCAAATGATGGACGGACACCAACCGCTGGCTTATCCGAGAGCGCCACTCAGCAAGACGAACGTCTTGCGGAAGAATTTCGGCAGAATTTCCTGGATGCTGTCGCTCAGAGACAACAAAGGAACAAAGCGTCGAGTCAGCCGAAGGTCCCCGGGGCCACCACCGAGAGCAGGGGTCCAAAGCTTGGAGGGAGCAGGAGTGCAAGAGCGAAAATGGCACAATTACAGCAACAACAGCAGGGGCAGGCAAAGAAATAGTATTCGTTGCAGAGATGCTGACTTGTCTTTCCACCTCGAAAATGACTTTGAATGGTTAGTAGGCATGACTAATATCCGGCATAACTCACCCCCCCTCTGGTAGAGCTTAACAAGGTGCTGCTGATGTATTCAGCAGGGAAAGACAAAGCGATCCCAGGGTCATAATTAAAGTAATAACCCTCATTACGGGAGCCTTCCCAAGCATGCTTGTATTGACAAGATGTAAGACCACCATAGCCATTTCTTTACTACCAAGGAGCCGCCACGACGCCCTCTCTCGATCAACTCGAAACATCTGGTAACTACCGATCTCCCCACAAATTTTCCGCGAAGAACTTGACGACGATCTGGTAACCACGCTCATACTCGGCGCGGACCCTCTGATTCTTCAAGTCGGCCCTCGCACTCAACCAGCCATGGACCTGGTCGGTAAAGGTCTCGATATGCTTGACCTTCGGCTTCGTGAGCGAGGCATCATAGTTCCTGACTTCAATGACATCTTCGTCCATCGACGCCAGCATGCACGTCGGGATCACGATCTCCGCGGCCTCGCTGGGGTCAATGAGGCCTGGATGGAGCTGTACAGCAGCTTTGAACGTCTCCCGCTGCTGCTGTTTTTGCTGCCGCGCAGAAAGCAGAGACGCCATCTTCCCACCCCAGCAGTATCCGAGGACGCCCCAGGTTCGAATGCGCGGGAACACCTGTTCGGCAGTGGCGATGATGCCCGGCACCTTTGGAACGTGGAGAGGCGGAAGCGCCGTCTTGAACCATTCCGCGACGCCCGCGCGCTTCTCGTCCGTGTCCGGCGGGTACCACTCGATGGGGACGGCATTGCCGTGGAAGAAATCCGGCATGATCACCACGGTGGGCTCGACGGCTGAGGAGAGCGCCGCTGAAACCATGTCCGCGCCTTGTTGAGTCTGGGGGAAGTAACCGAATGCATCGTAGATGGACAGGATTGCCGTCGTAGCCTCATATTCGTTGCTGGGGCCCGTCACGTCTGTGTCCGCACGAATGAAAGGACAAATGTTAGCTTCACCGACCTTTGACATCCTTCTGCGAGGCCTGGGTTCTGGTAGGGAGTTTTATATTGGCTTGGACCTACAGGTTCTCATGCCGTCGAGTTCGATGTACCTCCCCTTCAATTCGTAACCCTCACTTATCACGGGCGGAATCCTGAGCGAGACGTGTCAATAGCGATGGACATCTTACGGGCGAAGAAGGAAATGGAGCATACAAAATGGAAGTCAGACTAACTTGCAGCATGCTTCACTAAACTTGGACATTGTGAAAGATGGAATTTCTATTAACGCATCAACCTTCAGAAGTCTACTTCTTTCCACGGTCGATTTTCCAGAAGAGCTCTCCTAAGACCGTCGTCTCAAAGTTAGGAGGAAGTGATGAATGCTGAGCATGCGAAGACACTCAGTATGCGTGGTCGGTCCAGTCCTGGGCCCAGGTGGCCATACAGCCAGGTTCCAGAGTGTGAATGGACGTGCTGACTGGCATAACGGGGTCGGAACAGGGAAGCCCACGTTCCGCGACGTCCCACCAGGAGCGAGATTTGATGCATACTTCTCCGTTAACTTCGTCCTCAGCACAGCGTCCAAGAATGAAAGCCCTTGATATTACCGGCCGACTGATAAGCCTGATCGCAATCGGATTGTCTCTTTGACTCGGCCCGAGATGACATTGCTGGATAGCGATGTGGCGACCCTGGTGGATGGACTCTCCCTGGCCAACAGATCGGAGTTTGTGGCAGCAATAATAGGCCCCTCATGTCCGCTGTAGAAGATCCATCCCACTTTTTATTCTTTGATAAGTAGGTGCAGTGCCATAAATAATTTATGCCTCGCCATTCCATTTGCTAAGCTTTGGCGAAGTATGGTTCCCCAGATTTACTGCTGTAGGCCTATGGTTTCCAGTGGAAAGAATTCTCTGCCCTGCCCTTCCTGGATGTTTATGCAGCATGCTGTGTTTTTAGGCCTAACACCCTGGAGCACCTTCCGGTTTTTAATTGGAAGACATCCTCGCGTAAGGGCGCCCCTCTTTGGGGCAAAGCGAAGTGGGTGAGAAGCCTGAGAGGACTCTGTATCAACCTCGAGCTGCAATCCACGGCAATAGTTGCGCTGCTTGCTCGATTGATGAAAGGGCAGGATGACCGGCACTTTACCCTGAGTGTTGAAGACAAGATATTGCGAGATCATCGACTTCCTTCACCTTCTGTCTCGTTTGCTTCTCCATCTGCCGCCTCTTCCTCTATTTCCTTTCCAAGCAGCGTCTTTCCGAGCGTCCTCCTCTCTCTTCTCAAGCTCCTGTATTTTTTCTCGTCTTTGGGCCTCAGCCTCCCTTTCTTGACCCGCCCGTCCACTTTTCAAATGTACTCCGTGCTTGCAGTCCCTACCATCAGGGCAGAAACCTGCCAGATAGAAGGGACATAACTTTCTCCTCACATGTCTGTTTGGGCACTTTGGACCTTTCTCACAGAATCCTTTATTATAGTCGTCGCATAAAGGTAGCTTCGAATCTTCCTTGACGTGCACATAGAGACACTCATCGCCGTTTTGACAGTATCCGTTCTGGTTGAAGAACTGGCACTCGCTCATCTTTCGGAGGTTATATTCATGAAGATAATCACAGGCATCGCCCTTCTTACAAAGTCCCTTCAGCCAATGTTTGCAGACATAGTTATCATTGTTGCGACTGTAGTGATGTTGGGTCTGCTGAGCTGGAGTTGGGTGGCGGTCGGCGCAACGTCGACCTCGAGGACACTGTCCGGTAGCAGCGAAATCAGGGCAAACAGGAACTGTCGAGGCAAGGGCAGCGAGGCCATTGGCGCGAAGGAATGGAGTAAAGCTGAAGTTGTAAGTGGGTTGCGCAGGAGGGTCGTTCGCTGGCGGGAGACTGTCAGCGAGGCCAGGAGTACTTTCTACGGCCACGGATGTCATAGTGGCGACTATCGAATATTTATCACTCTGATGTCTGAGCCCAAACCGAGATCTTGGGCAACACAGCAGGGTCTGTGGTTGACGGTGAGGGAGACTATTGTTAAGGCACGAGATACTGGGGAGTGCCACCGGATAAATTACCCGATGTTTTGCCGGTCCCACGTGTTTCTCCTCTCTTCGATGAGCAGAGAGAATCCCAACTTTCCTGACAAATTCATCCTGGTACCATACAAATGCTCTCTGGCAATGTCGACCCCTTCACATCTCAGATTCTTATTCACACTCGCTCGGCTATGGGATTTATGTCTGATCATGCAGGGACCCCTTGAGAGGACGATTGGTCAAAGTTGAATGCATTTGCCTGCACAAGGGGGTGGTTCGAATTCGACTGGCTCAAAAACGTAACGCAATCAAGGGGCTTGCATAGCAACTTGTGGCTATGAATACGAATATTCCGAGAGGGCCTTACAGCCTAGCAGGATCGGGAAACGATTCTCTTAACCATCTCAAACAGCAAGCACGTCCGATATATCTTGAGCAGGCCTTCACCGGTCCAGTTCGTGCTCCAAGGCTGAAGATCAAAGGTAGGTAACACATAACGGTAAAGTCTCATGTACGACGTCAGGAAGTTCTTGGAGGTGAGTTAACTACCGTCCACTGGCAAAGGTGTGTCCAGGGCGCAAAGGAGCCTCCCAGCCTTACCGCACCCATAATGGCCTCGAAAACAGATATGAGGACGATGCCCCGGGCTTTTTAAAATCTGTTACTCCCCACTCATTTCAACTCTTCGCACTATCGCTTTATGAGTTAGGCTTCAATTCGAAATGGCCACGAGAACGAATTATGCATCGGCGGTCTCGGGCAAAAAGATTGTCATTCTTGTGAATGTGGTTTCCCCGTTTATCAACATGATAATTGTTGCGGCTGTTATCGCACTATGTATGCGTGGGAAAGGTTTTTGGCTGCACAATGGTATTCCATCCCGGATCGTGAGTTTCTTCTCTCTACTCGTCTCTGTCAAGTTGATAGGGGTAATTTGACAATTTGGCTGCTCAAGAATTACGAACTTACGCTCCATTGTCTCTCTCGACATAGTAATGAGCATGACTATGAGTCGTTAAGCACTAGATTGCAAAGTAGCAGAAGCTCTGGGGGAATCTTGGTGATCTGGCCATGTTTTCGTTCATTTCTGTAGTGGAAGGACGTTTCTTGCGGATTGAGCGACGAGGCCGTGTTCAGGGTAAAGCAAGCCTTGTGTAAGCCAACGGCAGGTACGCAGTTCAGAGTAGTGTCGAGAAAGGCATTTCCTCGGAGGATGGATGGATGGAACGGATCCGTGCTTGCGGCATTGTCTGATCGTCATATACTGTGCCTTTCATTGTCATTGTCAGAATGGCATTAGACAGTCATCCTGTATACATCTCAACTTGGATCAAGCGGCAAAGTCGCAATTAATAGCCCAAGTAACAGGACTGCCATGAAACTTGGGCACCTGCACCCACTCTTCGACAGCGATAAATATCCACTGGAACCTATGGATTTCCCTTCCGGTGCTATCCACCACCACCTTTGACGATTCGGCATTTTGTTTCCTATTCGAGCATTGAGGCCCTGGAAGTTGCGGGGCAGACATGAACTTCTCCTCATTCAAAATCCCCCCACTGGCACTGCACGTCATACTATTTATCTTCAAACACCAAAACATCACTCATTTGCAAAACCATTTCCACAGACCTGGGTCCCTAGACAATCTGCTGGTGTAGTACCATCCTTTTTCCCTCTTCGATTTGTCCTACTATCCACGGTTTCACGATATTCCCAACCATGTCTGTCACGACTTCGGCAACTATCGCCTCCTTTGGCGGCAAGCTTCTCAAGCTGGCTCATAACTCCTCCGTTATTGGTGGTGAAATGAAATTCAACCTGTATCTCCCTCCTCAAGCTACCAAGGGTGGCTCCAAAATACCACTTTTAATCTATCTTTCCGGCCTCACCTGCACCGCCGATAACTGCTCGGAGAAAGGTTTCTTCCAGCACGGAGCAAGCAAGAAAGGCATTGCAGTCTTGTACCCGGACACTAGCCCAAGTATGTTACGCCTCCTCTGAGAAACTGCTTTCTTAAGGCAGAGAACTGACCTTATCCAGGGGGGGTTGGAATCAAGGGTGAAGATGACGCTTATGACTTCGGTACCGGCGCTGGATTCTACGTCGACGCCACTGTCGCCCCCTGGTCCACCAACTATAAAATGTATTCCTATATCACCGACGAGCTACCAAAGACGGTGTTTTCCGTCTTCGACCAAATAGACCCCAACAGAGTGAGCATCACGGGCCACAGCATGGGCGGCCACGGTGCCTTATCACTATACCTGAAGAACCCTGGAAAATACAAGAGCGTTAGCGCTTTCGCTCCCATCGCCAACCCCTTAAGAGCCCCCTGGGGAGAGAAGGCCTTCAAGGGCTATTTCGGTGAGGAGAACTGGCAGACGAAGGGCGCCGAGCATGACTCTACCGAGCTGCTCAAGAAGTGGAAAGGTGGAGACCTCGACATTCTGATCGATGTGGTATGTCTTGAGCCCTTGAATATTTATATATACATATGCCCAAACCCGCGTTCTACCAAAATAAAACTAACTCCACAACACCAGGGCACCGGAGACAACTTCTACAAACAAGGCCAGCTCCTACCGGAGAACTTCATTGCCGCCGCGAAAGAAATTGGGCAGGAGAAAGGAGTCAACGTCCGGTTCCAGCCAGACTACGACCACAGCTACTACACCATGTCGTCCTTTGCCGATGATCACATCGACCATGCCGCGAAGCATTTGTTTGCATAGTACGTGTTGTTTCTGAACGGCCAACACTGAGCCACCAAAAACACAGTCTTTCTCTTTTCTCGACTGCCGTTGTCGTCGTGCCTTTTCCTTTCTCTGCAGTCAAAAACTGACTAGGATAGAAGCGGAGGTAGTGGTGGCAGAAAAGATTCAAAGCTCTGAGAGTCTCTGAGTCTGGGTGTGCCAATACACACACAACCCATATTGTCGCAGCACAATCCACGGCGACACACGATACACAATACAAATGTCAATGCGATGAATGCGACGGATGTGTCTTCACACGTCGACGTCCTTATTGTTTGGCTTCTTCACTGTCTCTTGCTTGTTTCCTTGCTTGACCGCCTCTGTATCTCTCATGTGCTGCCTTTCGTTCACACCTTCAGCTGCTTGCTCCATGTCCTATCCCACGCCTGATTAGATCTGCTTCTTTGCATCGACCGTGCACTCCTATTCCCACTCCTGCTCCTACTCCTACCACGAGCAGCGCAGTAGTAGCAACGGTAGTAGCATTGCCCCCCTCCCATCCAAACATTCTTCTAGTCCATCACAACCACCACCACCACCACTACCACTCCTCCCGTCATGTCACAGCAATCCCAGCGAGAAAAGGACCAGTCCTCGAAGAAATACGAGAACAAATGGCTCCAAAGCACGCGCAACGTGCTTCGACGCTTCGTCAACGACCCAAAATTCGAGGAGGACAAGCGGAGGTTCGAATCCGTGCCTAATACGATTGTATCGAGGTCGCTAGACGACACCGACGAACCCAGTCTTGATCCGTACGTTGCACTTTCTTTCTTGCATTTGATTCTCTGCCTTGCCTTGCCTTGCCTTTGGCCCTGACTGATGACGTTCTCGTGGTTTCTAAAAGAAGAGATAGTCTTGAAGAGGCCGTGAGAGCAGTCTTCCAAACTAAAACCAAGAAGAAAGAAGGCGGTGGAGGTGGAGGTGGAGTTGTAGGTGGACGAGGCTCGACTCAAAAGGAGAAGAGATAGCTAGCAGAGAGCGAGAGCGAGCACCTGCACGTGACCAGTGACAAGGCTGAAGGGCGACACAGCGACAAAGGAGTCTGTCCTGGGACAATACCAGCGCCCACTCTAGGCCCACCACCCTGAGGCCCGGCCTAGTATTAGTAGTGTCTGACTTACCTTTTACGACAACATAAAAATCTAAAGAATGAAAATTAGTAGACCATTGGGCATTCCACATTCAGCGCCAGGAGCAGGCTATTAGTAAACACACTAGATAAAGACAGCGTACGGCACCTTTAAAAGAGACTGCTCTTTACTAGTAGCGTCAGCTTGAGAGATAATAGACGTATTATTTATACCGGGGGCCAGCATGAGAACACAGGAGCAGCGATAGCGTCTTCCCATCTCCTAAAGAAGAAGTGAATCGTGGGGTGTCCAAAGGAAGTTATTTGAGATACCAACCATTTCATTCGCGCCAATAGTAAGTAATAGTTCTGAGGACTCACCCCCCTACCCCTCCTTTACCGTGCCAAAAAAAAATGTTTGCTAAACTTACACACGTCACAGCCATTTCTTTTGAGCAAGGCAACGCTTTTCCTTTCATCACCGCGAACTCTCTCCAATCCAAGCCAGTCCAATTAATAGTAGTGAGTCTCATCCGGTGTTCGGCCACGGAGGTAAGCAGGCTCGCTGCCACGGACGTAGATATCCTCGAACAGAATCTTGGGGGTTGGCTCAGGGGGTGCCATCTTCTCGGCTTCTGCGACCTCTGCGTCGACATCCTCTCTGGCGCGCTTGTCCATCTGCTTCAATTCATCTTCGCTGCACACACCCCAGTCGAGGATCTTCTGCTTAAGGCCTGCGATGGGGTCGTTGGTCGAGCGCATACGTTGGATTTCTTCTCGGGTTCGGTATGTCGTACCGGGGTCAGACATGGAGTGACCGCCATATCTGTAAGTAACGTACTCGAAGACTAGTGGTCCATTGTCGTTGGTGGTGTATTCTCTGCCGTACTGCACAGCAGCTTTTACAGCGAGGACGTCCATGGCATTGATCTTGAGACCAGGAATGTATTGTCCTCGCTTGTAGTATTCGGTCAAGGCAGACGATCGAGCAGCGGATGTACCCATGCCATACTTGTTGTTCTCACAACCGAAGATGATAGGCAGACCCCACAGCTTGGCCATGTTGAAAGCCTCAAAGACCTGACCCTGGTTGGATGCACCATCACCATACAGACTGAGCGTAGTAGTCTTGCTGCCGGTGTATTGATGGGCAAAGGCGATACCAGCACCCACAGGAACTTGAGCTCCAACGATGCCGTTGCCTCCATAGAAACCAGTAGAGAACATGTGCATGGAGCCACCTTTTCCATATGCAATACCCTCTCGTCGGCCGAGCAGCTCACCAATGATGGATTTGACTGTTCCACCACGCATCAGGGCAAAACCGTGACATCTATAAGCCGTAATGATGGCGTCTTCTTTAGTGAGGGCGTGTTCGATACCGACCGCAACGGCTTCTTGACCGGTAGACAAATGGCAGAAGCCTCGAATTTTCTTCTCCTTGTATAATCTGTCGGCGGCCATTTCCATACGACTGAGGGACTTTGTCAATTCCAGCTCAACAAGGGAACACCGGGAATTCATTCAAACTGACCGGACAGAGACCATGTCATAGTACATCTGTTTCAACTCCTTCTTGGTGGTATCGAGCGTGTAGGGGGGAGGGTCGAGGTTGTAAGTCTCGAAACTCTCGTCGGAGAGCTTGACTTGGAAAGGCTTGTCATCCTCCTGCGCAAAATATCAGTACGTGTAAAGGCGAATTGCGAGAAGTTAGTGCATGTCGGGCAATCTCACATCGGGGACATCTTCTTTCTCGGCGTGAGAGCTTGCGGCGTCGGTCGTAACACTTCTGCGACCTAGCTGGTAAGCTTGTGCCTTTGGAAGTGACTGCAGGCCGAAGCCTCTCAAGCAAGCTCTCGACAACATAGCGTGCAGGCAAGGGGAAAAGAAAGAAAGAGAGGGAGGGAAAGGGAAGAAAATGGTAGGAATGTTTTGTGGTGGTGAATGGATGAGTGAGGGAGCTGGTTGCACTTTTGGATGTTGGGACACCGAAAGGAGCAGTTGCGTCTCCGGGCGGAGCTTCAAACCGACGCAGTCTTGGCAGTCCCCATTTAAATTTTTGGGCTAAGTTCCATGTTACCAACTTACCACTTCTACCAAGTACGGAGTACTGTTGGGAACTTGGGACACCGAGGCCACTTTATCAAGCGAACTCCTTCTCATGAGCCCTGTTCCATTGCGATGCCTCTCTAAATAAATAGCCATATTGAACATCAACACCCGTCTCTTGAGAAAAGGCTGTCTCCTTCCATCAATCGCCTTCTTCAGTGAAGACTCTTCCCATGCACGCCGGACCACTCATACAAAGCCTAGGGTATCACCACCATTATGCATTGCCTTCTCCAGGATCTGGGAATGCCATCCCTCATTCCTCATCCTCTTTGAGTCTTGACAGAGCCATCTTCATCTCGTCAAACCACTAGTATCCTCCTGGTACCATGCCAGGCTGTGTGCCGTATCCTCCACTGACCCCTCCCTGTTGGGGGATTTGACCCGGTTGATGCATCGTAGCTGCTACGTGTGCGCGTCCATGGCCTGCGTAGTTGGGTAAATCCTGGAACCAAGGGTGGTGCAGTGCATCTTGGGCGCTGATGCGATTCTCGGGTCTCAGCTGTAATAATTTGCTCAATAGATCCAGTCCAAGTTGGTCGATTTGAGGCAATAGAATAGCAAGGGACTGTGTTGCGTACGAGGGAAAATTGCTCTTGTACTCGGGCAGTTGCGAAATCCCTGGCCAGGTCCTCTCCGAAGGTGTACCCATCAATCTAAAGATCTTCTGCAGTTGGTCTTCGTTTGTCGTGCCGGGGAATAGAGGTCTCCCCGTATACATTTCCGCCATAATACAACCGGCTGACCAGATGTCAATGCTGGTATTGTAGGTCCTAGATCCAAGCAGCACATCCGGGGCTCGGTACCACAACGTCACCACTTCGTTGGAAAATGTGTTTACGGGGATTCCAAAAGCGCGCGCCAAACCAAAATCCGCCAGTTTTAACTGACCCTTGGTGCTGATGAGCAAGTTCTGCGGCTTCAGGTCTCGATGAAGGACTCTGTTTTCGTGGCAGAAGGCGGTGCCTCTGAACAGGTCTTGCATAAATCGCTTGATGGTGGGGTGGTCCAGTTGCCCTCGATCACCTCTCGAGTCCATGTATCTCTTTAGATCCTTGTCCATGTACTCAAACACTAGCATGAGTTTGTTCTCGGTGTGAATAACATCGTGGAGGGTGACAATGTTTTCATGCTTGAGCTCTTTCATCAAACTGATCTCTCGGATTGCGGTTGAAGGAGTGCCTTCTTCTGAATCGAGGTGGATTTCTTTGAGGGCTACCAGTTCGCCGGTCTGTCGGTTGCGACCTTTGTAAACGGTGGCATAGGTTCCTTCACCAAGCTGTCACACGGCGTCAGTAGATCCATATCCATCGCAGGCGCCGAGCCACCAGAGATGTAAGACACACCTTCTCCAACTGCTGGAAGGAACTAGGATGCCTCCGATCCATCTCGGTGTGGCCCCTCTCTTGGAGACGTTGTCGTGCTGGAAGAGGGGTGGCCGAGTGGTGAAACAAGATGGAGCCTGGCGAAATGACTCGCTCGGCGAGTTGCTGGGCGGTGAGTCTCTGTGGCTGGGTTTGGGATCGAGACTGCTGAGAGGACTGAGAGGGTTGGGAGGAGGTGGTAGAGGAGACTGATGTACGATGTGGAATAGTAGCAGATGCAGGGCGAGGAGACATGACAAGAGGAAGTAGTACGGAGCACCTTAGGTAAGGTAAGGATGTGCCCTTCCTTAGTAGTCAGGGATCTTCGCCTCTGCCACATGCATTAAAAAAGGCGGAGCAAGGTTGTGGATGTGCCAAACACGCGCAATCATTGCAATTGGCAATGGTAATACTGGGCGGCTAGAAAGATGCTACGGGTGCCTGGACTTGGCCAACAGGCTATGAGGTACAGACCATGGAGTACCTTTGAAATAGAAGACACTGACACGTTCTGAATCGAATTCTGGGCCCTGGCGTCTACTCCGTAATTATGCCTGTGCCTCTTACCCTGCCAATTCTGCCAAAGGGAAAGACGCCTGTTTTCCCTCATCCCCTCGTCGCCTCCTCCTCCTCGTGCCTTTGCCCCGCTACTCTAACTAGGCGGTTGTTCTCTGCCTCACGAGTCACTATCAGTACAGCCACTACTGCTGACTCACGTCGACCTCACCTTTGGCTGGCAACGGAGCGGAGGGACGAAGTACCGAGTACTAAGAACACCTACCATACAGTAATTCCTTGAATAGCCGCTTGGACCTCTTCCGTGGGTCTGTATGGTCAGCCTGATGGCAAAGCAGCCAAACATGAGCGCGAAACTCCTTTTTACATTGCGAGGATTACATATATCAATTATGTCTAAGTAAGACTACGACTCGCACCACCGGGCCGACCGCCTGCAGTCTTCCCTCGTGGGTGTATCTAAAAATGTGGGGCTTGCGCCCTTCTGGACCATTTTGCCAGTTTCTGTATTCGATCCTGCTTGGATGCATCTTGAACTTTTGTTCTTGCTTTGATAATCACTTCCAATCGCATTTGCTTTCAACTGCTGTTCTTAAAAGGTGATGATGAGATGGGTATCCTGTCGAACAATCATAAAATAAAAACACTTGCATTATTCGTGTCATAATGTCGTCTCACATGTTTTGTGCTTCCTAACTCAAGCCCCGGGCTCCTGGATAGGTTGATGGAGGCGATCGGTGCGTACCCAGGGTCGCCATCGCCGACACTGCAGGTTCACTCATCGTACGTCGTCGACTGCTACGAGGGTCCAAGTCCGGCCGCTGAGCATATGCAATCAGCATCTTGAAGCTGGACCCTCGTCCTTTGCATTCGCTCAGCACTGTTTTGTCTGCAAAGATACTTGTCGATAGATTTCCATCAGAAATCACGGCCGCTTCGAAGCAGTGCTGCCACCACCGTCTCGCAGTAGTCGACACGATTTTGCCGATTTTGGCGTCGGCGTTGTCGGAATGGTCCGCAATAAGATCGTTGAGGGATAAATTGTGTCCCCTTCGGCCGCCAAATGCCATGCGTGGGGAGGCACTTGCCGCCCTCGATTCTCCAGACCCACGCCTTGGAGCTCCGTCTGATCCTCTGCTTGATCGTGAGGAGGAAGACGAGTCCCCAGAGACGTTAGGGCGACCCGCCACAGGCACTCCAACCACGCATCTGCTAATGTTGGAAAACCCCCTAGCCCCAAGAACGCCTTGAATGTTATCGATGATTGGCCGAAGGCTAATCTGCCGGTCAGCTGTCGTCATTTTGAACTTCAGCTCTCGCACCGCTCGTCGAGTTTGTACACCCATATTGACAATATCCAGGTCGAGTAGCATCAGCTCTAGATATCCTCCAGGCAGGAGCACTCTTCGAGCCTCGGCGATGATGTTCTTCATTTTAGCTTCAGCCATAGCTGGGGGGAATCGAAGTACAGCTGAGGAGAAAAATCCAGGAGGGAATGGGAATTTCTCATAGAAGCTTGCCACTTCGGCCCGACGATGGTTGCTCGGTGCGTTTGTTGGTGGTTTGGCCTCCTTCGAAGTCTTTGTAGTGGGTTTCTCCTTCAGATTATGTATAAATGCTTTTTGATCTTCGTACGTGACTGCACAGTAGATTGACCAGTCTTCATTGCCCAGACCGTCAATCACCAGGACATGACGTCCACTCTGTTTGTGTATGTCGTCGTGCGCTGGTGAGAACAAGACTCGTCCAAACGATAGCCATTTAGCTACCATGAGGGAAGCATAATGCAACTCTGACTGGGCAGCTGGGTTTTTGTTCCGTTCCATCACATCTAGAAGTGTGACGTTCTCCTGATGACTATGCTCAACTGGATCATCTGACTTACTAGTGGTCATTGTTAGGCCTTTCATTGAACGTCCAGCCGTGGAGCTACTTAATCGCTCAGAGAGTCCGGTACTGCCTCGTTGGTAAGATCCATATTCACTGATTATGTCTCTAATTGAAAATGGAGACATTGGCTCCATGGATGATTGTAAAGCTAATGCAATCTTAGATCGACGCAAGCGGATGTCCTCGCCTACGGACCTTTCAGGTAGTGTTGGAGGTGGGAAGATGACGGGTGGTGTCGCAGATGTCGCCATCGCTGGCATGAAGACAGTTCGCCTTAGTTCACGGCCTGAAAGATTTGCATTTGACGCTTCCTTACTTTTCTTCGACCGAGGTGAGTTGCCTGCTGTGACGGGAAAATCTGTCATTTTGTTGTAATTTTGGAGGCCTTCTTGGGCATCTAGAAACCTTTTGCTCTTCCGTGCTTGAGAGGGTGACATGACATGGTCGATAAAGTCATCATACTCATTCCAGATTTCATCAAGGCTGGGACTTGTGGGTTCATGTATCCCTGGTCGATATGGCATTCCTCCGGATTGACTTTCCGGCAAGCCTGCACTTAATGTCGGACTAAACAAGCCCAGAGAACCCTCGGATGTACTGGAACTTGACAGTTCGGAACCGTGTCGCGAAGCAATGTGCAGGAATTCCGTCTCACCAATATTAAAATCAGTACCTAGTACGGGACGACTTGGTGAGAAGTTTACATTTGTCGGGGTCTGATTTTCCGTATAAGTGGTAGATGTGTTCGGTTCCATGTCAGGAGAGTCTGGAAGAACCGGTCTTACAAATGGCTGAGAAAACGAAGCGCGGCTCGGTTTGTGCTGCCTCTCTTGACGAGAGATGACAGGAGGTATCCTCCCTACACGCGCAAGTCGAGGTTGCTTCTGTGGCTTCTCATTTATCTGAACACGTATCTGCTCAGCTGGGCTCTGCAAAGGTACCGGGGAAGGTGATCTCTCGAAAGACTGTAATGGCGAGACGGGTGCACTTGGAATCAAGACTTCATCTTCCAGTCGTCTTGCCTCGGAGTCCTCTTCGTCTCGCTCGTAGCCCCCGATCAATGGGCTGGTAAAAGGAGATTCAACAACTTGTGAGAGGAACTCTCCAACATTTTCATTCGCATAAACTTCGCTTTCAGAATCCATCATCGCATAATAGGGCATTGGTCGCGACACGGGGATAGTGGAAACACTGACAGACAGCTCTTCCGGCGAAGAGGAAGATGGAACGTGGACCAACTTCTCTAGTCCTGGATCCACAGTCTCCTTCCGACGAAAAATATTCCATCGAAGCTTTCGTGGTTTCTTTTCTCTAGAGTCATGTCTGGCTTCGGCTCGGTTGTGTTCCGTTGTTGTACTTGGCGTGGAAGTAGAACCAGGTATTGCGAATGAGTGGGCTGTGTCCTGGCTATTGATATACAGAGGTGCTGATAGAGCTTCTGTCCGAATTGGAGTGGGCAGATTGAAGTTGTCTGTTTCGCCACGAAATCGCTGGGATCGCCGTACTGCAAGGGAAGGAATGCTTTGCTGTTCTTTTGACTTGTGCGTTCTAAGATCATATTCATAGTCTGATGCATGCTGCTCGATAGATGTCTGCGACTGTAATGGGATCTTCAGCATCCCTACGTTCGCTGGCTGGGAGGAGATATTAGAATTAGTAAGGTGTACTTCAAGTTGGCTTCTAGAGTTGTTTGAGACACTGGCGCCTGAGCCACCAACAATGGGTACTGGCTTGAGTCGAGGTACAGCGAACTCGTCAATGTCAGACTGACTCCCTCGTTTGGTACTGCTCTCTTTGCGATGAGCGAGCCCCGTTGGGATCCGTCGTGTACTACTAACGGACCTCTCGCTCTCACTATTGTTAGCTGACGAGGTGCCCGAAGAGGCGTCTTGCGAAGTCTTCCGGCCTCTTCTGCTGTATTTACCGTAACCTTCGTGCCCTGTCCCTGCAACAGGCCCTCTTCGTTGCAGTTTCCGTGGGCTTCTCTCTGTTTCAGTCCCTGGTGATTTCCCTCTACGCCCAAAAATCCCCAAGCGAGAGAATTTCCCAAGGCGGCCCGGGGAACTCTGAACTGACGCTTCTGGCCCTCCGGGCGTAGTAGGGCGTAGGACCGGTGTGGAAGCGTTGGCTTTCTGCATAGAGTCGCCGGGAGCAGGTGGTGCCTCATCGCCAGAGTCTAGGATCTCTCGGTGACGGCTGGAAAAACCGGCCCTATGAGTGTTGACGATAACGGGTCTACTGTCTTCCAGTCCTAGAACACCCCGTCGACTGGGGCGGGGTGGAGCGACGGCCAATGATTGTTGAAGTTCATTGTGCGCTTTAGTGACTGAGTCCTGGTGTGGAGAGTCACCGAGGGTCTGGAGGCTAGTATTGCTACGGTCAGGAATATTGCCATGATCTAGGTCTGAAGATGAGGGGGTTGGCTCGAGGTTGTGATGATGTGCTTTTGTGTTGCTTCTACTACTGCTCCTGCTTAGGGCCTGTTTTGCTGACGAGGTCCTCGGTGGCGGCGTAGGGGCGGGCGAGTTGAGTGGTGTTCGCTTCCTGCTGCTAGATTTCTTCAATTCCTTGTCCTGAGGGATGTTTATGGACGACTGACTAGGCGTTAGTGAAGAATATGTCTCTGGCAGCGCTGGCACTTTTGGTAGTTTTCCACGCTTCGATACTGGAAGAGGAACGGTCTGTGATCTCTGGCTGGCAGTCTTCATGGAAACTTGATGTACGATACCTGGGGAGGCCGAAGACCATGATGTAGGTGTGGTAGTTGTCGTAGACACGCTCCAGGGGCTTGGAGTATTGGAGAACTGGGTAGATGGACTGCTGATTGAACTCGATGACTTGGTATAATAATCCTGATGTCGTGTCGAAGCAGCAAGAGCCTGCAGTTCTGGTATGAGTCGTGGTGGGAGATCAATGGGACGGGCTGTGGTGGTGCCAAAGATAGCGTCGAGATGGCTATCTGAAGGCGACATTCTATCTCTCGAGATATCCGACGGGCGGGTAGGTCTTCTGAGATTCGCATCTGTATTCCTCTCCCACGAATATGTGCTTGGATCCATAACAAGAGGCACTTCCTGGGACATCGAGCTATAAGCGAGAGTCGGTTTAGACACAGCCATAGAGGAAGAAACATATTTAGGAGATACGGTAGACTTGAGACTGGGAGATTTGGTAGCTGGCTTTGGGACAACGGTTGGCTTTAGACGGGCTTTCCCACTGGGAATTCCAGGCGAGTCGATTGCAGAGGGTGATGGTTGGGGCATCCGGCCTCCACCAGGCTTCGCAATGTCGTTCTTGCCGTCATTCTGGTTGGACGTTTGCAATCTGGCTGTTCGTGGTACGGTAGCATCTTTGTTTCTGGAGACGCCGTATTGGGTGTTATATGCTTGTGTTCTGTGCGACATTTCCACGAACAGCAATTATCCTCCTTGCCGGCCTCCCTGATTCGAGTGGATTTAGTTGACAACTAGACCTCATTCCGCATTGTTGGCATTAGACTGGCGATGCTGGGAATATGTTCGGGCCGTCCAGCGGTTGTGATGCGGGGAAATCTCCTCGGAGTGTTAGTCCTTCTTTCATAGAACTTTCTTGGTGGTGTGGACGATTGGGTGCATGGAGAATCCAATTTTTGATATGTTGCACAAAACCATTGATACCCGAGACCTGATTATGAGCATATGTCAAGAGTGATAGTCGGAAGAGTGGTAGGCTAATGTGTGGAATGATCAAGCACAGCCATGCGCCACAGTCTGTCGGAATGGCCGAGTCAGGTCAGTAGCGAAAAATAGCAACCGTGAGACCCGCACGTGACACTGCAGGAATGCCTGAACTCTGGGTCAAGGACGCGTAGACCTGCATACGCTGCCAGTTAAATGGAGGAAGACAAGATGGGAAAACAGGAAAGAGGCAAATTATTTCTGGAATAATAACCGCTTGATTTTGAACGATGAATACGGAGTCTCTCGCACCAGTAGCATAGAAGCGGATGGATAGAACAGGCATCCTGTAACGAGCAAGATAAGAAAAGCTAACATTAGTTAGTCTGGAACGGGGGGTCAGGCAAGACTGCGGCACAACAAAAGGCCTGAGGACCATTTGCAATTGGAATACAGGGAATAGCAGTCTTCTGGCTTGGTGGATAGAGGAGGAGGAGGAAGCTCCTTGATGGCGGGGCGCTTAGTGCCGCGCATAATTCGTATCCAGTGCTGAGCTCAAACGTCTTCCAGTCCGAACGTGTAGAATCCCTAGGCGGCATGATCCCAAGGCGAGCTCCATCTTTTCTTTGAGGGCCCCATCGAGGATACTCCCGTTCCCAGCTTGGGAGACGGGAAGCTAGGGTTTCCCAGCTGACTTGTTGCCTCGCCCGGTCGTGCAAAGGGCCATTGCCTCGTGGGGTCGGCTTCCCTTGTCCTAGGAAAGAAACGCGAGCATGACCAAGGGGGAGTCGAGGCGGTACACACAGTTGCTAGCACATTTCATCGGCCATCTGGCATATGTAATGTTTTTTGGCACGTATCGGTCAGTCATGTGCGAGATTTGCAGGCCAATCCCAATGGGATATCCCGGAGGAGGCGCACTATAGGCAGGAGAGATGAGTGAGGATATTCTCCAGCTAAGCTCTGTCGGTGTCTCAGGTGGCGAGGCACGGGGTCTTGGGTTGATGGATTTGAAGTTGATCTCATTCGATTCGGCTTGACCATGGAGAGGGACTAGGCTGGCTGGTAGAATGACTGGTGGTGTCGTATTGACCAAGATGGGGAAGTCATGGCTGCAATGGCAAGGGGGAGCTGAGATGGGCGGAGGTCAGATGAATGACGGCCGGAGGGCGAGGGAGGCATCGGCTAGGCCCAGGATTCGTATCTAGAAAAATGGTATTTCGCCTGTTCAACGAGGTTCGACGAAGCTTGGACGGGCAGTGGTTGGATGGTAGAATAGAGAGCAGATGTCGCTATGTGGGGAGTGTGCCCCGTGCCCTGCTAATCGGGGAAGCAAGAACTGGCGATTTAATGGCTCTCCCTGGCTCTCCGGGCACTCTGGACGGGACAATGATAGGCTCCATATGCTCCATGGGCTCCATTAGGCTCTGGATGGTTCCAAGGAGTCATACTTCGGCGGCCACGAGCATAGGGACGGGCCTCATAGCCTCGGGCAGCCGGATACCTATCAACTATCTTCGCAGGCTTTTTGGGGAGTGTAGGCACCTCATAGGCCTTTCCCTTCTCCACTGACTTAGCTAAAAGGTCTTCAGCCCCCGGTTTCGCCACCGCCGAAGGGGGCTATTCAACGACCAGTTCAGGCAGCGCCACACGCCAGGACTACACTACGAGTGCTTGGTAGATCGATTCCTTCTCTGCACCCGGGACATGAATCATGGTTCTGCTACCGGTACGAGGTACACACCCAATTGCATACGAGTACTATGTAAGTACTAACCAGCAGGTGATTCAGTGGCCACAGATGTTCTGGGATCGGGCTTGAAGGTGATTGTGGCCTGAGTTCGGATGTTGTTTGTTGCTTCAAGGTTGACATAATCATCGACTCATCGCCAGGCTACTCTCCGTGCTGGTACATACGCTGATCCCATTCGAACAAGGCTTTGTGGCCTGTTACCTGCCATCCACCCAACAGATCCGGATCGGCTTGCGAGATCTCATCACTGCTCAGAGCCTGCTACTGTAAATGTACTATTTGCCATCCACATGTCGCATCCTCCCTGTTCCACACGGAGGATGCTTCCATGAAAGCGAAACAGAAACCATGATCTTGTGACTTACCAACGCTTTTGCAGCAGCTCCGTTCCAGCACTGCCATCACGTCGTTGAGCACGTTTGATCACAGTTCTCCCGCAATGCACATGCAAGTCACCCAGTCCGATTCTCCACCCTGCCCACTTTTACTGAGCACCCCCCAAGAGAAATCCTTTATCCACGCCCATTCCATTTTCTTTCCTTTTACCTTGAGCCGTCCAATCATGGCTCATAGATGGCCAAAATGTCCTGCTGTGGCTTGATTTGATACCGGGTCCCCTGTCGATGGATCCATGGCTCCCCAAGCGTCAACAAATCAGCCCCCAGAGCTGGCCATCCTCTAGAAAACTAATTCTCCGGATTTAACGTTGCCTTCACACCCTTAAAGCATCAATGCCAGCATCATGGTGCGTTCCACCACACCATGAGCTGCTACTACAGGTTTACGCGATCACCTGATACTGCGTCAGATTGCGAAACCGCTGGGTAAGCAGATGACAGATATGGAGTGCTTGATTCCTTCATTAACCTCCCTCTGAAACAGCGCGGCTATTGCCTCAACGTGATGTGGCTTGTATATGCTGTCTATATCATCCTCGGGCCCCGCTTGACGCTCTGTTCGAAACCCTTTTCGCACGCCACGGCTTTGGGAAGGTAACACACAGAGCTTTTGGGATTGCTGATGGCGTCGAATTCCAGTCCTGATTTGCTGCTCTCAGAAGGCCTCTGAAAAGTCTACCGCACAAGCCCGTTTTGATTTCCCGGCTATGGAGCTGCAGTGATTCCATTGGATTCTCGATGCTAACAGCGCATTTTGAACAGGCGCAATTGACTTCTCTGCATGACACCGGAGCCGCAAGCCGTGGACTTGTCTGAAACCTGTAGCCTCCTGATTAGCGCCGTATTCGAGACGGGACATTCTTACTGTCTTTGTCCAGTGTTCGTAGATAGGTCGCTAAGGAGCTACATGTCTTTGACGGAGTGTACTAATACTCAGTCACTGCTTTGTCCCAAATTGGACCACCTATTACATACCTAGGTACCTTAGCTAATACTAGATTCCTACTTCTGTGCATCGCCTACCCATTCGATAGCCGCCGCCACGGTTCCATCAATCAGGGGGAATCATCTGTACAAGAGCCGAAAGCTAATCCTTCCCCTGACCTTTCTTGTCTGTTAATGCTGCCGTGTTTGTCAAATCTGATTTTCGGACAGGATTTGGTAGTGCGCAGTGGTACAAGATGTGTCAACTAACTGCTCATGTGGCTGCGGCTGAGACCTCGAGGTCCAGCCGTACCCTAAGAACGCCACCAGCTTCAAATACCGTGTCGTTAGGTCGCTTGGCGTGTTTTATCAAGAGCCTCCCAACAGTCAAAACTGGCTCGATCCTCAGCCGTAGCCCTTCTTTTTAGCAGATTTGGTTGTCAGAAAGCAAGCTCCGATTACAGGTCCACGACTTGAGTAGCATACAGATTGAATTACTGACACTTTCTCGGCGCCGATAAGTTTTCTATGGCCCAACCAAAAGCATGGACTCATTCAGCGTTCCACGACTCAAGCTGAATATTTGGCTACGTGGACCCATACAAGGCCAACAATCCAATTTGAGATGCGCAAGGACGCTCATGAACAAGGCCAGTGATCTTATACCAGCCTTGCTTTGGAATGCCGCAGGGCTTGGCATCGCTAATCGAGCACACACTTGTCGCTTAGATCCGTGGCTCATGGCTGGGTGAGGAGTGTTGAGAGAGGACATCTGACTCTCTCCCAGAGATGAATCATGGTGTTTCCAAGATCCAGTCTTGCTCCATGGAATTCGTTCTCATACCCTCCTGTGCGGCCAACGTTGTGGCGCTACCAGATATGACTCAAAGCCACCTAGGTATCAAAGGCTACCTCGGATCTGGTAGGTAGTAAAACACCTTCTATTTTAAGTTGTCCAGTCAAACATATTCGTCGTGTAGTAAGTCTGTCATTCCAACAGCGAAGGCCATTCGCCGTGAACAGTCTTCTCGAATCGTCTCAGTTCTGCATGGCTCCCATTTCCAGTCAGGATTGACGTAAAATGCTAATATCCACATAGCCTCTGAACAATCCGATATTGCTTAGTATAACTAAATTTCTGGACCACTCTTGGTGTCTGGGAAGGCCACAGTCACAAGCTGAAGACTAGGTTTGAGAAGAGTGCTAGATACTGTAGTCGGAAGCGCCAACCCCGACAACAAGACATGAAGACTTGTCACCGCCGCAACGAGGAAATGTAGAGTCAGATCCCTAAACGAGAACAACATCCATTCTTGGTTCGTACAGACCTTGATTCATGTGTGACCAATGACAAAGTTTGAGATTAGAGAGAAAAGGGGCATAGTATACGCACTCAGCTCAGCCAAAAGATTTCTCGTTCTGGCTTTGTTGAGAGGAGTAATGCACGCAAATAATGGAAAGTTGTGGTGCACCAGTGATATAGGAAGCTGTGTCGTTCAGCCATAAGAAGGATCATGGTGCAAGTGAGTATTGCCAGCCCAACACGACGCTGCGCGTCATGGATGCATTATCCAACTACGAGTAGTAGCAAGGGTTCGAAACAAATAAAAGAATGGTGGTACTCGAACAACGGTAGCTCATTGCTGACTAAGAGCTGCATGTCAACCTTGAACGCTCAACCGTACAGACTGCGCCAAGTAACCAATGATTCCATCTCCAGCCTCGTTTCCATGCGCGCTGCCTTGTGAATGCGCGATGTCAACATCAGGCCCATCTCCGATTTTCCCTACTCTAGAACGACTTTGAACCCAAAGACTCAATCCATCTTTGCGCGCAATACAGCAGGGCAACTATCTCAGTATTCCGATTCCTCGGAAACATCGACTTCACCTTCGCCACACGCAAGATTTAACATGGTTGACTATGCCAAAAAGACCGTCGCGGAGCTACAAGAGATCTTGAAGTCTCGCAGCCTACCGCATACTGGCAAGAAGGCAGACCTTATTGCGCGACTGAACGAAGCTGACACGGCTACTGAGCAAGCTGGTGCGTATCAATCGCGACCCGAAATACCAATGGTTCTAATTTTTGCCCTTAGAAGTGCTTCCTGTTGCAGATGTACCTGCGCCCCAGGAACAGACTGTATCTGCACCGGAGCCTGTCGCTGAGCCTGAATTTCAAGCCGAAGCAGTCACAACCGAAACAGCTGCTGCAACGACACAAGCTGATACAGCAGCATCGCCCTCTGCAAATACGGACACAGCCCTTGCTACAAGCGCCTCATACGCTTTGAATCTCCCCACATCAGAGGTCGACGCTGAGATGGCAAAGCGTAAGGCACGTGCTGAGCGGTTTGGTACTGAAAATGCAGCAACCAATGGCGTAGATGATGCAGACAGCGAGGCACAAAGGGCTCTTGAACGGGCAAAGCGATTCGGGACAGGCCAAACAGCCATGGGCAAGCTGGACGAGGCATTACCGACCGAGAGGGGGCGTGGATTGCGCAAACGAGGCCGCCCAGATGAAGACTCGCCACTGGACGACGCAGGACTAAGGAGAGGATTTGGAGGTCATGGTAGAGGTCGAGGCGGCCGGTTTCGTGGACGAGGCCCCCGAGATAATTCACGGAGACGACAAGGCGACCGCCCTACTGGTGTGGTAAAGGCGTCCGCTGCTTTCACCTCAGACGCTGACCGACTCGCTGCAGAGGCCAGGAAGAAGAAGTTCGCTACGTAATCCACTGCTGTGAAAGCTCCTTGTATTCTAGTTCACGAAAACATTCGGGTCGAATGGGTTTACGAAGAAATTCGCGTGCTTGGGTTTTGCATCCCTTCAAGAGTCGGACGGGGAAAATTGAAAAAGTTTCTTCCAGAAGTCATGTTTTCCACTGGTGAAAGCACACCATTGTCCAAACTCAACCGCTATAACGCCTAGGTCAGATAGACCGGATTTCTGCAGTCATCATGATGAGATTGATCTAGCTATTTATTCTTACACGATGAGACGAGAAGTGATCAATACCGCAAAATAGTGCGAGCGCGATACAGCCTCAATTTCTTCACATGGATGCCTAGGTTGCATTGGGATTGAGTATCTTACAAAGTCATTATAAGCTCTGCCAAGCACCGGATGGCACCTGGACCATCAATAAACTCGGAAACGAGCATCAAGGAGCGACTTCATCCAAATGGCAATTGATTGATGGATTAACATGTTTCCAACGTAGGAGTGAATGGTCAATGTTTTTGGCCATCACTCCGAATTGAGGATCGATCTTGGGCAATCCGATAGTCACCATGTCTTCCATCAAAGATCAGCCAGCTCGGTTGGCTTGACCCAACAGTTTGAAGTCAAGAATGGGTCACTTGTCGAACAAATCTCTCCGCGGAGACATACAGTCACCGCAGAACAAAGGCCTGCCGCTAAGCAATAACAGAGCCTTATCAAAGGGAGTACGTACGGAGTACTCTTTCTCAGCAAGCAAAGAGAGCTCTTTGGCCTAGATCTGCTGGCGTTGAGTGATAGATAAGGCGGGTCCACAATGTTGGACCGATTTTCACATAGCGAAGATAAACCTCGTCCTACCAAAGTCAACCACATCCAACCACCAATCTTCACCCGGGGGCGAGGTTCAACAAGTATGACAGCCCAAAGCTATCAAGCCCTACGACTAAGCATTTCTCAAGCCTGGGGTTCGCTAACGCCCGCTCCCCGGCAAGATCGATCCCACCAACTCGTTCTTGTCGCAAGCTTGGATGAGCCTGTGTGTTACTACCACAGATTATCCATACCTTGTCGACTTCTTTGGCTTTGACATCTGTCTTTTGGCTTCACCATGCCAGCTAGAAAGTCCTATTGAGGTGGGCAACGAGTATCTGTTGACTGATCCTCCCAACAGCCGCTGTGCATAATAGTCGCTGGGGCCTCGAAGAAGTTTTGCAAAAGGACAGCAGCTGTCTTGGTTCTGTGTCTGGTCTTGTGGACCGACAAAAAGGGCCTCGATCCACGATCGTCAATGGATGAGGCATTTCGACTTCACCTCGGAGATTCCTAGACGTGATATGATTGCAAAGGCATACGGATACTTCGTGCACACCCCCATTTGTTACGTTATCAGTTACGGCTACTGGAAAAGGCTAACGGCGGCTTGCATGTCCCACGATCTTCATTCGTTGACGCTATCAAGATCTCTTAGCCAGATCTACCGCGGATATGCTTGATTGGCCTAGTGCTGGTCTTGATTTCAGTGCTTGGATATCCCCGGAGAAAGTCATATCGGTGTCTCGATGATTTGGTATCGGCATTGGTGAAGCATCAAGCAGTACATGTACATTACCAAAACTCCCACTGTCTCTTTCAGAATTCGACCCCCCAGACTATTTCCGCTAGCAACAGCGAGAGAAAAGAACATTTCCACCTCCTTCACGCTTCCATATTCTGCGGAGTTCTGATCCCCACCCTGCTTTCGTTCTAAGAAGGCATCGTGCTCCCCAAACTCCTTTCAAGATGGTGGACTTCGGTCTGCCTTTCAAAGCCCCCGAGGTCAATCCAATAACACACAAGGCACGCGCCATTCCTTTCTTGAACCCGCTCAACATGTACGGACGAGTGTTCTTCTTCTCCTGGTTCGGATTCTTCATTGCCTTTTGGTCGTGGTATGCATTCCCGCCATTGGTAGGTCATTGAAGCTTCCTTGATGCCTATGTCATAGCTCATGCCGTTATAGCTGCACGATACTATCCAGGCGGACCTCAAGCTCACCAAGATTGACGTGGCAAACTCCAACATCATTGCACTCTGTGCCACCCTGCTCGTTCGACTTGTGGCTGGGCCTTGCTGTGATAGATTTGGGCCACGATGGACGTTTGCTGCATGCCTCTTCATCGGCGCTATTCCCACGTTCTTAGCTGGAACTGCCTACACCAGAGGCCAGCTGTTCGCAGTCCGATTCTTCGTTGGTGTTCTTGGCGGCAGCTTCGTACCGTGCCAGGTATGGTCGACGGGCTTTTATGACAAGAACATCGTTGGCACAGCCAATGCTTTTACTGCAGGCCTCGGTAACTCTGGAGGAGGGGTGACATATTTCCTCATGCCTGCGATATTTGATTCTCTCGTGAGAAGGGGCCTGACCCCTCACGTCGCGTGGAGGGTTACTTTCGTCGTTCCTGGAATCATGATTATATCAGTCGCAACTTGTCTTCTCCTACTCTGCCAGGACACTCCGGTTGGCAAGTGGAGCAACCGCCATGCGGTGGCTCAGACAAACCTTGCCACTCATGGAATTCAGACCACTCTTGTTGACGCGCCCACGGGAGGTCTGATGGACAAACCAACATCCACTGCTGGACCAGCGCCTCCCACTGAAGGGCCTGGGAAGGGGGAGAAGATCCAATACGATGCTACAGGGGAACGTAAACTCTCTGCACTTGCCGACCGCGAGGCACAGCTTACAGATCAGCAAATGCTCGATACCGCCCGGGGTGAAGTTGTGGTCAAGCCCACTGTGAGGCAGGTGCTGCAAGTTATGTTAGCCCCTCAGACACTCCTTGCATTCTGCTACTTCAACCCCTTCGGTGCTGAACTCGCGATCAATTCCATTCTTGGTACCTACTACCAAAAGAACTTCAAGTCGCTGGGTCAGACCACCTCGGGTAGGTGGGCCGCCATGTTTGGGCTCATGAATGTCATTTTTAGACCGACGGGTGGTATTGTCGCGGAAATTCTCTATAAACGCTTCCCAAATGTCTGGGTCAAGAAAATCTGGATCCACACCCTGGGTGTCATTACTGGTGTCTTCCTCATTGTCATTGGCGTCCTCGACCCTCACAACACCAACACCATGTTCGGACTCATCGCCGGCATGGCATTCTTCCTGGAAGCAGGAAATGGAGCTAACTTCGCTCTAGTGCCACACGTCAATCCCCAAGCTAATGGGGTTGTCTCTGACATGACTGGCGCTACAGGAAATCTTGGAGGAATTGTTTATGCGACTGTGTTCCGATACCACTATACCAATTACGCAAAGTCTTTTTGGATCATTGGCGTGATGACGATTGCTATGAACTTGGCCGTGTCTTGGATCCGGCCAGTTGCGAAAAGCCAGATTGGCGGCCGATAAAAGCAACAACATTTTACGAATGGTATGGGCCGGCTTAGTTGCAATCAGGAGTGAGGGTTTAGGAATGTATATCATTTCGATAAAATGCTATGTATGAAATTTATGGGAAATATTGCTTTACTAAATATTCATTTTGCACTTTAATCCTGGCGTACTGATCAATACCCCCTTGAAATATTGTTATGCCAACACACGGCGAAGGTGGTCTTGGCGCCGAGTATCGACATGGACTCCTTCGTAACACTAATTAATACCCGATTCGTTGTCGCGTCGAGGTCGGCTGTCGTCACGACTTGTGTTCTGGAAAGTTATTTCGGTCACTGGGAGAGACCAATGCTTATGATATGTCAAAACATTTGGCTTCGAGATATGGGAGCTATGGAACTGGAGCAGAATCATTCTAATCCTGTAATGATTATGCACGGGAATGAATCATGATGCAAGCACGGTCTGCTTAGCCCGTCAATGTTCCACATTCAATTCGTCATGGCCATGAATAGATGACCTAGGGTAAGAATGACTTCATATCCCCATGTTGTGCAGGGTTTAAGTCGATATATATTCAATTCTTAAGTCTTTCCGAAATTGCCAGCGTGATGTCCATTCTCTGCAATATAACCTACATAAGAAGGATCTTTAGTGCTCCGATCGGCCGTCACTCTAATACTGCCATCTTGTTGAGTGCAATATATCGTCCTGTCTCGATCTTCAACGACCAAAAACCCTTCCACTCTTCATCCACACGCAAGATGCCGGAACAACTGGACCCCAAAGAGGTCAATGCTAAGACTGACCCTTCTGTGGCTAAACAATACGACCGTGAAACGCCAAAGGATGTGCAGTGGAAAGAACTCTACGAGCTGATCGATGGCAAGAAAATCAGCATGCTGAACACCTTCCGTGAAGGCGTTGGACCTGTAGGCCGGTCAATGGCCATTGCGCGAAGATCCGGCCCGGATATTCTCTTTCTCGCGAACAGGCACTCCAAGAAATTCGAGGATCTTGAAAAGAACACAAACGTGCAAATTACCCTTCAAGACACCAAATCCCAGGATTGGATCTCCATCAGTGGAACAGCAACGACGGCGTCGAGCGAGGATCCAAGAATCAAGGAGCTGTACAGTCCGACTATCTCGGCTTGGTTTGGGGATCTAAAGGATGGTGTGCATGATGGAACGTGGAAGGATCCTCGTATGAGCCTTATTGAGATCCAGAGCAATTATATTGTGTACTGGAAGAAGGAGACCTCGACACTGGGCTTCGTGAAGGAGGTCAGTGTGGCCGCTTTGACCGGGAGTGTTGCTCAGACGGGTGTGCACCGCGAATTTTTCAAGGCGGATATCGACAAGGAAAGGGTCTAGTCATCAATAGCATGAGTCGGGCACAATACGAAAATGAGTGCTTCGAGGAGATCTCGCAATCTCTCAAAAGTGTTTTGTGTCAAAGCGATGTCCGCTTGCCCTTATCAAGTAAACCTATTTAGAGACGATGAAGAAGTCGAAGCGACTTTGCACCCTTCACCACACGTGAAACAAAACCCTCGTCGTCTTCAGTATTATGTATCAAGCGCACGTGTCGTAAATGCTGGAGCAGAAGCAATAACACTTTGGCCCAGCTGCTGTAATCAGTAAAAAGGAGAAATCGAAGGCGGGGCGCCTCCCGAAAATAGATTAGCTGCTTGGCGATCTCTGATCTGGGCTCGAGTCGACTTTGGCAGGTCACGGGGTTTACTGTTGGGATAGAGTCAATCCGTCATTTGACCGCGTTGTTACTCATATCCATGTATATTTTATCTGTCAGACGGCGCTCCGAATCAAGGGGTCAAGCGTCACGAGGGCGGTGAGCCCATTTCAGTGAATCGTGGCCTCAGTTTGTTCGCTCTTTGGACGTAAAAAAGTCTCCATGACAACCGACACCTTTCTCTTCATTGGAACCTCTCAATCAATCCCTCTGACCAGCTTGTATTTGTTTCATTAGCGGGGTTATCGTCAAGCAGTCCAACGACCATGTTGAAAGTTCCCCATCGTAACCGACCTTCTAACCCGGTCACCAAGGCCGTCATATTGGTATGTTATCCGATGGACAACCCGATGTGAAACAAACTGACAATTGCAAAGGTGGGTGGTCCATCTCGGGGAACTCGCTTTCGACCATTGAGCCTGGATGTCCCCAAGGTAGGAATGATCTCGTCTTGAGCTGCTCCAAGCATGGTACTGACGGACACCCTCAGCCTCTTTTCGATGTGGCCGGCCACCCGATTGTCTGGCACTGCCTGAAAGCCATTTCCAAGGTTCCCGAGATCAAGGAAGTGATCTTCATTGGCTACTACGAAGAAGTTGTTTTCCGGGACTTGATCAAAGACTCGTCTAGAGAATTCCCTCAGATCAAGATCCAGTACCTGCGTGAATATCAGGCTCTTGGTACCGCTGGGGGTCTCTACCACTTCCGAGATGCCATTCTCAAGGGAAAGCCTGATCGATTCTTCGTACTCAACTCTGATGTCTGCTGTTCTTTCCCCCTCAGCAACATGCTCAACCTGTTCGACACCAAGGATGCTGACGCCCTCATTCTGGGAACACGAGTCAGCAACGATGCCGCGAACCACTTCGGTTGCATCGTTCCCGACCCTCACACTAATCGTGTACTGCATTACGTGGAAAAGCCAGAGAGCCACATCTCCAATCTGATCAACTGTGGTGTCTACTTATTTGCCACCGATGCAATCTTCCCGTCCATCAAGAGCGCAATCAAGCGTAGAACCGAACGTCCCCGCATGATCTCCTACCCATCCTCAGAAAACCTCGAGACTTCTTTCGTTGCAGACCCTGATGAGGACGGCGAGAAGAACGAAGTTCTCCGTCTCGAACAGGACATACTCTCCGACCTCGCCGACACGAATCGCTTCTACGTGTACGAGACCAAAGATTTCTGGCGACAGATCAAGACCGCTGGATCTGCCGTCCCGGCGAATGCATTGTATCTGCAGAAGGCCTTTCAATCCCAGTCCGAAGAACTCGCGAAACCATCCGCCACAATCGTGCCACCAGTCTTCATCCACCCCACCGCAACCGTTGACCCAACTGCCAAGCTGGGTCCCAATGTGTCGATTGGCCCCAAAGTGGTGGTGGGAGCGGGCGCCCGTATCAAGGAGGCCATTGTTCTCGACGAAGCCGAGATCAGGCACGATGCCTGCGTCCTGTACGCCATCGTAGGTTGGAACAGTCGCGTGGGCGCCTGGGCTCGAGTCGAAGGAACACCCCTTTCCGTCACCACACACAACACTAGCATCATCAAAAACGGCGTCAAGGTCCAGAGCATCACCATTCTGGGCAAGGAGGTTGGTGTCAGCGACGAAGTTCGTGTTCAGAACTGCATCTGCCTGCCCTACAAGGAGTTGAAGCGCGATGTCACTAACGAGGTCATCATGTAATCAACTCCTGGACTGGGGTCGAAGTGCCTACAGCAGGTATCTATGAAACGGTAGATGGAATCCAACGATAGAGCACAGAGCACGGAACTTTGTGGCATTTTCATTTCCTCTCTTAGGGTGTGGTTCGTAGACAAAAATCTTGCCATAAGATTGCTGATATTAGGTATCGGTATGGGTGGATGTGCGAGTAGGAAGCCGATTCGTTAAGTCACTAGGGATTCCATATGGCCTAATAGCAGCAATGCCATTATCCTATTCATCCACGGGCCTCCTGTCTGTTTGTTACTGTCGATTTGATGAAATAGAGTGACTAGTCCTAATTACGCCATCTTTACAGATCAATGCAGGTTGCAGGGAAATTCACCACCGCATTGGGCGGTCGGTGCGGCCGTTTTTGGAGGGCTTCTTCCATCGATGCCAAAAATCGGTCCCCCCATGGTCCCTTTCCCTCAAATCATTATCCATCCTCCTCCTCTGATATCACACTAAGCGGAGGGAGTTGTCGTGGCGAGCGCTGATTGGTTGAACGTCCATCTTCAGTGCTCGGGAGTGGCTATTCCCCAGAATTCTCGCTTGCATGCTTAGTACCACCTCAAATGCTTTTCACCGACCTTTGCTTCACGTCAACCCGACTCCCTGAGGCCACAATGATGAGCCTGGTGTGTACCACGTTATCTCTGACACGGCATTTTTCTCCTTGATCTGTGTCGAAAGAATGGCGGGTGACTATATTGGCTATGTGGAATCGATGCGACATCGGTACCCCAATCTGCGTCGCTTCTGCGACATTCAGGGCACGAGCCATAGACAGAACAAAGAGGAGACAAGTCGCGTTGTCGTCATTGAGATCCGTGAGAATGGCATAAGTCAGAAAAAATTCGACGCTCCCGACGATCTTGATCGGTATATGCAAGGCCCGCCCTCCACATCAGAACCGTGTAAACATCGGGTGTATGTTCTGGAGGGCTCCGCGCCAGCCTATGTCCAAGTCCTCGGTCGTCGTCTTCGAATGGACCCGTTCGTGTTTTCGGAGCAGTTGATGCGTGGCGGAACCCGCAAGGAACAGGCCGCGACGCTACCTTCCCAACACGGTCCTGAGCGGTCCTTTAGCATGCAGTATGTCGAGTCACGTACATTCCCCGATGGCCACCTAAACACTCTCGGAGCTTGTTGTCTCTATCAAGACCGGAAAATTTGGGCAACCAAGATCAATTCGAAGTTCGACGAAGTGGCGAAAGTCCACAGGATCGCATCCTTTTGGTCCCGGAAAGAACCGAACGGTGACTTCAACGGTAAGCTGACAGGTCCGCTGCCATGATCATGTCCCAATGCGGTGACTAAGTCTGCACCAAGGTCTAATTCTCGTGGATCCGCCGGTCGGAGAGCTCATCAAAATCGGCAAGGCCGCTAAGAAGGAGATACGACGCTGTCAGAACAATCTCTACCAGGGAGGATACGTCGACATCTCGCCGTTCCCTTGTGCCCTGAGCCTTGACAAAGATTGGGAATCCCAACCAGGCCCATCCCGCGAGTCACTGTTCGATGACATTCTGTTCTACTGGAATCATATAGACAGATTCCCCAACTTGCACTCCTCCATTATCGAGGGGCCAGCTGGGTTCTTCGACGGTGCATCCTTCTTCCTCAAAAGCATCATTGCCGCAAACTGGATGCAGTTTCTGGTCTACTTTGACGAAATCATCGACCGCCTTGAATATGCACTGGCTCGCGCGGACATCAACGCCCTCGACGGCGTGGAGAACCACCTGGTCGACGTCGCGCACTGGCATCGGCGCTGTTGGAAGTCCTGCGAACAAGTCGAACACGCGATCCATGCTCTTCAACCCGATTTACGCCTCAACCAGGACTCCTCCTTGACCACGGGCTCTGTCTTCACCAGCATCGCCGACTTTGTCTACATCCACAAGAAACTTTGCGCACTTACAAAGCGTTGCCAGCGCCTCAGCCTATCTCTCACCAATGTTATCAGCGTGATCCAGTCCCGGCAGGCCTCCGAAGAAGCCCACAGCTTAAAGATCCTGACGCTCCTCGGTATGCTGTTTGTGCCTCTGACGTTTTTGTCCGGAATATTCAGCATGTCCGGGGAGTTTCTACCTGGGGAAAGCAGCTTTTGGGTCTACATTGTGGTCAGCATCCCGGCCGTCGTCATGGTGTTCTTGGTCGTCTTCTCGAAAGAGGTTGCGCAGTTCCTGAAGCTCAAGGAAAAGCAGAGGAAGAGTCTCCTCAATGTGAGACTTACAGCTAGACCCCCAGCGTCCGCACACGGAGAAGCAAAGGATGTAGAGAAAGGGTAGCTGGCCCGCCTGGGCAATTTTATGACAGGTCTTCGAAATCTGGACTTGCACATGCCACTTAAGTTCCCGGTTGATTAGTTCTATACTAGAATACCAAAGTATCATGGCAGTACACCACTTAACTTGTTAATCTCGTAAGTCACGTCCCGTCCTGGCCAAACCCCCGAAATGGTGAATTTCCCGGTATTATTACATATACCTATATAGTGTTCCTTTCCTTCCGTAGACGAGTACGCCACTTCCCCCCGAAAGAGGTACTCCGCCGCAGTGGAGGGGACACTCGCCAAGCCACCTCTCTTTCTCGCAGCCTTGCCAACGCATCCCTCGACGGAAGCGGCGGGGGAATGGACTTTCATGTTTGACCGAGCGTGAGCTAGTTCCAGACTACAAATGCCGCTGTAATCCAAATGTCCAGATGCCTCTGAATGAGCCCTCATCGACACTCCCTCGACGCAACATCGTGGTGGCTCAAGAGGCCCTGAGGCGGCGAAGATGTCTTGCGAGTCTTTTGCATCTCCCGATGGAGTCGCAGCGTCTTTTTCGCCTTCTGTACTCACATACCTGACCGAGATCTTCGACAGCAACGCACACGAGGCGACGACCAATGACTGTGGCCAATCGAGTCGGGACAGGAACAAGGCTTCAGCCGAAGCTTTTGTTCGCGCGATTCAGGGCGGCGAACCCGCCACAGACAACCCACTTCTGCAACATAACTCGGTAAGCATGAACGAGTTCTTGGTGCACATGGCATCTGGGGCGGCCGACGCATTGGCTCTGCCTAGGGTGTCTGATTTATTGCAACCCCTCTCCGATTACTTCATCAATTCGAGCCACAATACTTATATCACTGGCAATCAGCTCACGAGCAAAGCCAGTGTTGAGCCCTACCGAAATGTATGTGGAAGCTATTTACTTTCTATGCAATCCTGAGTATCAAAGAAAGGCCCCTTTCATTGCTTGTCCAAGACAAGTCGCCATGAATACTTATGGATCTTATCGCAGGCGCTTTTACGGGGCTGTAGATGCATTGAAATCGACGTGTGGGATGGCATATCATCCGCAGAATGGTCAGATGGCCCAGGAAGGGATAAAACAAGCCGTCAATTGACGCTAAAACCGCATAGCCATGAAGAAGGGAAAGCAAACGTGCCGTCTCGAGGCATCCAGGAAAAATTGTCCGGCTCGTCGCTGGCACGGCTGCGTGATATCCCACGCCAGAGTCCAAAATATTTCTCGTCCACATCAAGCCCGTCCCACTCAGATCCAACGAACATCAAGGCAGTCTCAACGCCGTCTGCCAAGAGGCGGGAACCACGGGTTGTGCACGGTCCCAGCCTCAGTAAAGGCGTCCCCTTTCGAGACGTCTGCCATGCCATCCGCGAGACCGCGTTTGTCTCAAGCGACCTACCAGTGATCATCAGCCTAGAAGTCCACGCGAGCCCCCAACAGCAAGAGGTCATGGTCGAGATCATGCAGGAAATCTGGCAAGAATTCCTTGTGGACACCGATTCTTTGAGCATGACATCCTTGGGGAGATTGCCCAGCCCTCACGAGCTGCGGCGAAAGCTCTTAATCAAAGTCAAGGGCCCACCGCTTGATCATCATGCAGATAGCGGACAAACCGAGGTTGGTCAAGGGCCTAAGGCAATAGGGGCGTCCCCGATGCGCAAGGTCATAGATTTGCTGAGCTCCTTAGCCGTGTATACCCAGGGGTACTCCTTTCGGGGCTTTTCACAGCCCGAAGCCTCCCTGCCCACGCACATCTTCTCTCTGTCCGAAGCAGCGATCCGCAGACTTCACAAGAACGACGCGGACTTGCTGTTCGCACACAACAGAGGCTTCCTGATGCGAGTCTTCCCGTCTGGGCGGCGCGTGGACTCATCCAATTTCAACCCTTGCTTTTTCTGGCGGCAGGGAATCCAGATGGTGGTAATGAACTGGCAACGCCTGGACACGGGCATGATGCTCAATGAGGGCATGTTCACAGATGAACCCGGCTGGGTTCTAAAGCCTGAGGGGTACAGGTCAGACCAGGTCGCCTCGGCGTCGTCAGGGGTGGGAAAGCCTCCCTTCCCAGCAGTGGGCTCGACGCTCAAACGACGCAGTCTATCCCTTACACTGACGTTGTTTGCGGGCCAGAACATCCATCCTCCCACGGGTGATTCTCACGACCGAATTAATGCCTACGTGACGTGCGACCTTCACCTCATGATACCAAGTGAGAGGTCCCTTGACGACCTGAGCATCGCGGAGATAAGGAGAGCACAAAGGCCTAGAACCTATAAACAGCGGTCGGAACCAAGCAAGGGCCCTAATCCGGACTTTCAGCGAGAACGGCTGTGTTTCCCCCTGGTTTCGGACGTGGCTGAAGAACTCAGCTTCCTACTGTAAGTCTTCTGTTGTTCTCTTCCTCGGTCCATTCCTGACTGTGCCTATATTTTGTGTTTCCATGTGCTTTGAGTAACAATCTTATTTTGCTTTTGCGTAGGTTGAAAGTGAAAAATCGTAAAATCGGGAAAGATAGTCTCATCGCTTTCGCATGCATGCGGCTCGATCGGTTACAGCAGGGGTACAGATTTATCCGCCTTTTTGACGACAGAGGCGTTCGCAGCAAGGGGAGGATTTTAGTTAAAATCGAAAAACCGTCATCATGTTCATGTTCATGTTCATCGGCACCGTCTTTATCGTCGTAGGCCTCTCTAAGTCCTGAATCTGACAGTAGAGGGAGGGAGGGAGTAATGAATCGCATGGACTGGCCTTTTTCATGTTTGATTTTCGATATGTTTTCGGTATAGAATGCCGGCGTCTATCCTTAGCAGATTCACGGTCATATGGATAATGACTTCTTCATCGTGATGCATTTCGAGACCGAATTTTGTCGGGGAAATAAAAGCTCATTTCCTAATTAAGTCCGTGGCTTCGTTGCAACATAGATGGCTTGACTCCAATATTATCCACTCCAACCTAGGGAGGAAAGTCTTCTCACTCTTGTTTTGAAGGCGATAGTAATTATGATGCCTAGCCACCCTCATCTACCGCTCTTGCGACCTTCAACATCCTCGGATGAATGGCCGCGGGTGCCGCGACAATGCCCCAGTTGTTATCGAGCCTGCGCCCTCGGGTGAAATCCAGCTCCTTTCCATTGGCGTCAGTGACTTTCCCGCCGGCTTCTTCGACAACCAAAGCCCCGCCCGCCACGTCCCAGACGCACGAGTGGTAGTCCCGGGGAATACGAAATGCGACCTGGACATTGCCGGCGCTGATGGCCAGGGCTGCGAACCTCATCTGCGATGACCAGAGCTGCGTGCCTGGCCAGGGGGCACCAACCTGACGCGCAAACTCCTGCAGCTTCTCCGCATCGTAGGATTTGTTGCTCGGCTGGACGAGACGGATGCGCTTCGCAATGCCTGTATCATTACTCTCTATAATCGCCACCCTCGTTGGCGGACCCAGATAGTCCTTGGCTCCCATCTTGCGCACAAACGCCCCGCAGCCCTTGACGGCGCTGAGGATGCAGCCGTGGCCATCAGTGTCGACGAGGTTCTCGCTGACCTCAGCAAACTCAGAAGGAGAAACCGCAGCGTCAAATGGCAGGTTCGGACATCCGACCACCCCGACCTGTTGCGTCCCATTCTGCAGCAGAGCAAGCGACAACGCGTACTGGGTGCCTTTCAAAAACGCGGCCGTGCCGTCGAGCGGATCCAACACCCACAAGCGCCCGCTGTCGGGCCCACCCATGCCTTCTCCGCCCATGTCGATGTACCGGAACACATCGTCCACCCCCTTCAATTCATCGCGCAGGAGTGCCGCGGCTTCGGGGTGAGGGCTCTGCCGCAATGTCTCCGATACCAGGTCCCAGACTTGCTCAGCGAGCAAGGGGCTGCGGCGCAGTTCGGCGGCCGACTCCTCACCCAGGAAGTGGTCGTTGGGAAAGGAATGAGCGACGGTGGCGATGAGCAAGGCCTGAGATGCGTAGTCGGCCACCGTCACGGGGCTGTGGTCAGATTTCCAAGTGGATCCTTTGTCCTGGGAAGGGAGTAGGGATTTTGTTGCGTGTGAAGCAAGGTGGACGGCGCGGAGGGCAGCTTCCAGCTCTTCGGCATAGGAGAGCGGCATCTCTCTTTTGTCCTTTGACAGAGTGGCCAGTGGAAAGCGCTGAGGGAGATGGGTCAGATGAGGGAGATTTCTTGAGGTCGAAAAGATAGCGGAGCACGTCAGAGTTCGAGGGCGAGATCACCCTGTCGTTGCTGGCTGCTGCTTGCTTCTATCTATTGTTCGAAGAGTATGTACGCCCTCACCAGGAGGATAGTGAAACTTTGGAGGATTGTGGCTAGTGGGGGGCTGTGCGAAGAAGGGCAAGATTGGGTTTGGCAAGGCTTCCTTGCTTGTGGTCGCCGTAAATGACCGCCGTACGTGGAATCCGGGGCACGGACAATGAGCATAGCGACTGTGATATACACTCCGCGCTTAAGTTCAGAATCCAGCCGTGGTTGCCTCCAGTTGGCAGTCACCCACCAGTGTGCCAAGCAAACGATTACAAGTTTACACAGAAATATGAATTGCTGGGTGGCTGCCCGAATTCCCAAGTAGCACACGCAGCACGTGTGATCCACCGCCCTGTTAGGCTTCTACATATCAAAAGCGGCGGCACCAACTTTGCCCGAAGCGGGAGGTCATCCAAACCGAGGCATAGTTCCCGGCAACAAGCTTACAGGGACGGACAGGAGAATGCTGACAGAAACTGCTGTTGCTCTGGAAATCCGTATATAAACCAACCCTGTCTTGCTGGAGATTTATGCATTATGACCTTCTGGAACACATTAGCACTGAAGACGCTCTACCTGGTGATGTGTTCAGTTGGCGGATCCTCGCGGCGATCTGCGTCCTTCCATCGACGGGCCACAGCTGGGATCAAGAAATATGTAACCCAAACGGCGCGGCATGCTCCAGTTGTGCAGTGCTGGGCCGGTGCAAAAAGTCCTTCAGAATAAGGTCCGGAAGAGATTTTGCTGTGCCCGGCCAGTTAGGTATGCAACCAACTAATAGTACGGGGTTTGCAGTTGGTGAAAAAGCTTATGTAAATGGCCTCGGCTTCGGATGCAACACGTGGCCCTCCCTTCATAATGTACCTGTGTCCTTCCCTTCTTCCCAAGACAGATATAGGTGCAGGTTCAGTTCCCCTTAAGCCAGAGCGCAGATACCGCGTCAACAGGTGATACACATCCAGCGTCAGTCTATTGATTTCTATCACTTCACGGTCTCGCAACAGAGGGAGCCGACAGCTGTCCGCACATTATGCCTCAGACAATAACACTGCCAGACGGCTACGGGTTGGTCTCACGCTATCCTGCTCACGCACGATTTCTCTTCTAACCTAACATCGCGAAAAGCTACGTTGCCTTGATAGCACTGGGCCTCACTCCAATTCTCTCCTTTGTACAAGGCATAGTGGTGACTTCATTCCGCAAAGCCGCGGGTGTGCCATATCCCAACGCATACGCAACGCCACAGCAAATGAAAGCGACACCCGCGGCCTATCACTTCAATTGCGCTCAGCGTGCGCACGCCAATCTGCTCGAGAACATGCCTCAGACTATCTTGTCCATGTTGTTCAGTGGACTCGTCCACCCGCGAGCAGCAACCTGGCTTGGGGGTTTCTGGCTTGCATGTCGGGTTCTTTACGCGCTTGGATATGTGAAGGGCAGTGGTGACGATGAGAAGGGTAAAGGTAAAGGCCGCATGATTGGTGGCGGCTTCTGGCTTGCACAGTTTGCACTGATAGGGTTGTCGATCTATGTTGCGGTCGGCCTGTTTTGAGTTGTGTGAGAGCTATCTAGGTTCAAGGACGCCATCCGAGACTGGACAGTGGATGGCAGAGTATATTAAAGGTCAGTTTGAACCGTGGCAAAGAACGAATCCACGGGAAGCTTTGGACTCGTGTTTTTCTACGGGACTAATGGGCCGGATGGCACTTGACTCTTCCATCGAGAAAATTGATTCCATCGCGCGCACACTTGGGTCTCTAATTTGCTTGAGCATGGTTTCGTGCTCCCCTTTCCACGTTTACAGCATGAACACCGATTGATTGAATGCCGGCTGCATCACGAGAGGGACACTGCGTTCATCGTCCCTTGCTTATATAGTACCGATACGTTTTATGTCCATAAGCCGCCGAGGCAGTCAAATTGAGTGTGATCACGTGCGCTCGATCACGTGCTCCTTTCGGCACACTTTCCATTTTAGCCTCCTCAAGGCTCTCATCTTGTCTGTACCGCAGACACTCCTCGGTAAAGAATCATGTTCCCTCTCAGCCCAACAACATAAAGCCTCCCGACAAAGTCGATCACAAGTATCATCGGGCTTAAGAGGAAGGTGATATTATACAGTCTTCGCCGGTTCCAAATAGGCTCTCTGGTACGTTTTAACTGATTCAGCAACCTATCATTCCAGAACAAACATTCATCATGTCATATCCCGCCCCTCCAGGTCTGAAATCTTCCACCACGCAACCTCCTGCCTCGCTTCCCGCTCGACCTCCTCCTTCGTCAGTCAGCCCTGCGCCGACCTTCAAGTCAAATAGCGCGGCCAAACCAGCCTTCACAGCTTTTGCCCCTAGATCAGTTGTGTCAGCAAGCACATCTCGAACCAATAGTCCAGCACAGTACTCCGCTGCCCCTATCACAAATTACAGTGCCTCGACGGGCTATCCCCAAACACAATCCAATTACGCTACCCAGCCTCAGTATGACAGTTCATACTTAGCGGCACCTCAAATTCGCAACCCATTCGTTCCCACATCAGAGACATCTTCTTACCCTCCAGGATACGACCCTGATTATGAGGCGCAGGTTCAGCAATGGCAAAGTGCTTACCTGACAAAAGATAGTGGGCCGGGTTCTAGCACCACGATCCGACCGCCAATAACAAACATAGTGCCAGCCGTCAGCAACGCAAAGACAGAGCCCATCCCTCATAACGAAGCCGGAAACAAAACGGTCCAGCGATCGGGAGGAGGCACAACATGGACCGATCCTACCCTTTTAGAATGGGATCCTGCGCATTTCCGGATCTTCGTAGGGAATCTCGCCGGCGAAGTGACAGATGAATCCCTCCTCAAGGCATTCTCTCAGTATCCATCTGTGCAGAAAGCCCGGGTCATCCGAGATAAGCGGACTACGAAATCTAAGGGTTACGGTTTCGTCAGTTTTTCTGATGGCGACGATTACTTCCGAGCTGCGAGGGAACAGAATGGAAAGTACGTGGGAAGTCACCCGATCGTGGTGAAAAAGGCGGTCACCGATGTGCGCCCAACGATACAAAAACAGAACAACCACAAAGGCAAAGGGAAAGGTGGCCATGGCAAGGTTGAGCATGGTGGTAAGTTCTCATTCTATCTTTGAAGTGCATCTCGTGGTTGGCCCAGAATCCTGATATATTTTTGTGTTCGCAGGCGTCAACAAGAAGCAACCAAAGACGAAAGGCGGCTTGAAGGTTTTGGGTTGATTGTCCACGACTTGCTTGTCCACGTTTTAGTCGTGTCTTAAAGACTACGGGCAAAATTTGGACAATATCTCCGATGTATCCGTACGCGACAATTGAGGCCTTTAGTTCATAGGTAGACAACATCTACCTTCGAGAAGCAACACTCTCCCACCTTTGGATGGAAAGTGTTTTGACGTCACACAAACAAAATAACGCGCCAACAAGCCGGGATCCGGATGTATTTGTTGGTTTGCCAATATCACGCTAGCCGACCACACTAAGCGTTCTAAAATCCCGGAGAGATTAAAGCCCACGATCCTCCAAGCTGGTCAGATGAAGCTCTAGATATAGGAGGGTGGAAGAACTATGCTCGGCGACAGATGGCCGGGTTATCCCGTCACAAGCAAACTATTCACGCGCTATTGTAGCACGAGCACCATCATCATTGAGCATCCATGAATGACATGTTTCTCTTCAGCTCCGAGGTATAGCAGTCCCACGACCACGCCCACGGCTTTTCATGCTGTGCTGGTGTATGCTCTTACGTCACGCGGCCTAACACCCACTGTCAAGTCATAAGGACAGTAAGCTCAACCTCTCATCCAAATATTACAGTGAGTACAAAGTGAATGAATACCTACACCCCTATCGGCGGTGAGCATCACTGAAAGCGCCATTGATACACAAGACACAACAACACACACCTTAGTTATTTCAGGGACACAGTCACTACCACTAACTCAAAATCTCCGAAATTCCCGTATCAAAGACTCTATTCTGTGCTTCTCGACTCCATCTGTCTTTGCCGGTTTCTTCCCATTTGCGGAGAAAACGCCCCATGCCATCCAGCAAGTTGAGTCGGTTCAGGTGATGAGTTTCATTCTCTACCTAGCGAAAGAACAACGCGGCGAGAAACCAATCCGACCCTGACCCGGACTGTGACCCGGACCATTATTCTTCAGTTAGAAATGCAGGACATAGCCATGGGGAAAGCAAATGCACACACCGATATGTATGGCAACTTCGCTCTCCCAAAACAAAAACAGCTTGAGCGTAAGCTAAGGGGGCCTTCTCTGGCCTTTTCTACCGGCGCCGTCGCCGCCACTCCCAACGCGGACAGCCGGGCTTCTTGTGGTGGGTGTCCTCTCGGATTCGAATACTCCGTTCTGACACCCTCGAGCATCCGCGGCGGCCACGGCGCCCCTGGCCATATCGTCTGGATCCAAGTCAATCGCCGTGTCCTCGTCTTGCTTCGCGTCCTGGATGGGCCTTCTACCATTCGGTAAAGTGATGAGATTCTCATCTGCTTTGTCCTGGTCGTCGTTGTCGTCGTCAGCGTCAACATCAGCATCGCTACCGCCATCGCTGTCTTCTAGAAGTGCATTCTTGGGTCTCACGACACGGAGTTTGACCCCATCGCCGCCCAGCGTGGAGTACACGCGTAGGCCGACGACGCAGACGGCGTTCCACGGTTCGCCTGGTCCGTCGCCGTCCTGTCCGAAGCCGGTGTCTATCTCAACCAGCCCTGGAGGTGGGCTGTCGATAGGGTCGCCCATGGGAGGTCTCCCAGCGCCGGGACTGCGTCTTCCTCGAGCGCCTAGCGCATACCGACCGCGGCGCCGGCGAGGGTTGGCGGAGGATGTGGACGAGAAGTCGGACTCCGAAGGCATATCTAGATCGGTGTTCCAATCGAACGGAGGGAAGGAATCGGCATCCGAGATGTCTTGTTGATCGCTGTTGAAGGGACCCAAGTCTGGCTCGATGTTGCTAGCCGGGTCAACGTCGTTGGCATCGGTAGCGGCGCCGATGCCAACCATTGCCGCGGTCGTGCCGCGGGTGTCGCTTCTTCGAGGCGTGTGAGAAGGGTCTGGCTCTTTGATCTCCTCACTCTTACCACCCGTAGGTGGTAAATGGTCCTCAGGCTGGGATAGAGGGGGAAAGTTTGGAAGTGGTCTGACATCCGTGATTGCATCAATACCGTTTACCTGTATAATAGGTGTGGCCGGCTTTTCCTCCGGCGGTTGGTCCTGATTCGAAACCTTATTCTCTTCAGTCACCTCTGAAGTGTTGGTGTCGAGAGGCTTGCTCAAGTCTTTATTTGCTGCTGTCTCAGCCTCTGCCCGCTTGACGACGTCTTCTAATGGTTCAACAATTCTATCAGTCGATGCATCTGAAGCAACTTTCGATATTGGTTGAGCGTCGGAGGGTCGCTGAGCTTTCTCTTCTTGCTTCTCAATTGGCCCAGCATTCTTACTCTCGACAATGATGTCTTCCCCACTGAAAGATTTGATCTTGAGGACATCCTCTTGCCCATTAGATCTGCCACTTTGAACACCCTCCTGCTTTGGACTGTCTGATTCCTGCACATCCAGAGACCCAAATCGGGCGGAACCGCTAGCGATCCTGTCATCTGCATCTTTCCCCAGGGGTCTGTCGACAAAACATCCGCCACGGCGTGCAGCTTCCGAACGTTCTTTCCTCTGTAGTCTCTGTTTGTCTCGTGCATGTCTCTCTTTGCCCTTTTTCCAATGCTTCAGAGCGTCTGCTTTCATTTGCGCCTTCAGCTTTTCTCGATCCTTTGCTCTTCTCACCTTCTCCTTGGTCTTTCGCTGCTGCCTCTCAGCCTCGGTCTCTACGATGACACCTTTAGCATGGGCAAGATCGTAGGATAGTCCCATTTGTATGAGCTTCTCGCGCCTCGTTGCCACATACATGGGAAGCACATCTTCCAGATGGTCCTTGTCGGTGTTTCTTGTGGCTGTAATCTTCATAAGGACAGAGTAAGTGCCTGCCTCCAGTTCGATATCCGTGCTGACGGAGCGAGCCATTGCGTAGTTACCATTCGAACGCACGATGTAATCGTGTTCGTCTTCTTTTGCATCGGACTCGAGACGGAATTGCAGATCATATCCATATCCGCCCTCCAGCCCAGTGAAATAGGTATCATCGAGCTGTGCAAGGACAATGACGACCTTTGTTTTCTCTGCCAACGCGATGGAGAACTTTGTGCTGTGGTACTTGGCCGCCCACGAAACGTTGACATTCGTCCAACATTGCGTGACATTCCACTCTGGACCAAAGATCCGCGTGCGATCGAAATGTTGATAGTTCTTCAACAGGTCTTCGTAACTGATCCAGAAGATCCCGTCATTGCCAAATTTGTGGTCCAGCAACTGCATCCACTCGGGAGTCCATTCAGAACTACCATCACTCCACTTCCCCGTCCACTCTTTCCTGCCCCATGGATTACGAACTTTTAGTAGCCGATGGCCCTTGACCTCTTTCGCATCCATGATGCTGTATGCATGACCTTCAGCAATACCATCACGCTCCCGTGGTTCACCGCTTGTATTCAGCCAATTTGAATAAAATCCAGTGGCACAGCCAAAAAGAAATTCCTTACCCACCCTCATCAGTTCATTCTCCCAAAAGGCGTCTTTGTCCAGTATGTCTGTGCTGTATATTTCGGTGGTGACACCGCCAGTCAAATCCTCGATAGCTTCACCGGTGAACCCTCCATCAATTGATTGAAAGTCACCATGAGCTTTGGCATAGGCTTTCTCCAGCAAAGGCAGCCATGTCTCATTCTCATCACTGCACTGTGCGAAGTACAAGGCCCTCGAGCCCGTCTGGTGGACCTTTCGATATTCCTCTTCAGCATCAGCACGGTTGATGTCGTCCCAGACAACACGTTCATCCTGGGCCTCTGCGTAATCAGGGGCCCGTAAATACAGCTTATCGTCGATGATAGTGTGCTGCCATTCACCGTCTGTGCCAATTATGACCTACGTTAGATTGTCCGGTGGATAGAGGATTAAATTGATGCCTACCTCGGAAGAAGACAAAGCCATAGACCCCAATCTTCTGGTCATGCTTCACACAGATTTTGTCGATCAGACCCTCCATGTTGCCCAAGCCACAGAGAGCCGCCATCAGATAGCAATCTCCATCTCGGCCCTGCCTGACATCGCCGGCAGTAGGGCCGTTGATGTAGAACTGTGGGTTGTCGAAGATATCCTAGGTTTATAGTCAGCATGAGGCGCAATATCGAGCAGGGACTATAACCGCACCGTCACCCGTTTGACACCCTTCGGCTTCATTGCATCTCCTGGAACGCTTAGGCCGTCAAGACAGTTCCTCTGGCCTGATTTGAGATCCCATTCGATATCGAAGTGTGTATCACGGTATTTCGTGTTTAAGCGCTTGCACTCCTTGATGATCCTGTCGACATCTCGTTCGCATTCAGCTCTAGCCTCTTCATAGGATCTGGCCGCACGCTGGCCGGTGACTGTCCCATGAGGGGTCTTTTGGGCCTTCTTGCGAGCATAGGGATTATTGGGCAACAGCGTAAATACTTTGCCTGGATAGCGGGAGTTCAAGCGGCTCCAAAATTGATTCACTGCCGCCTGTGGTGCTTGTCGGCGAGGCTTACGGCGAGGCTGGGCCGGGCTCGGTGGCAACGGATCTGGGAGTGGCCCAAAGTAGGGACCTCCTCCACCTATGTTATCTCTTCGGTCGTCCATTGTTCAGAAATCTGCAAGTATCGATTCTGTCTGAAACGATCTACAATAAATATGTCGCTACCGGCAAACCAAACAAGCTCCCAAAGCCAAGCGACGAAGCTAAACCCAATAGCAAAACCGAAACTCAGGCTGGGTATCTAAGATCTGTTTGCTTGTGGTACGGATGTGGTTGTCGTCTTGCAAGGCGGGAAGATGTGTGCAGCATAAGATGGACGAGCCAGGGCGACTGATGAGGATGGCAGAAGATTTCAAATCATCCTGATCTATGGGAGGAGGAATTTGGCAATCCAACAAGTCAGGTCATGGGAGAGAAACAAGGCTGATGTTGAGGCTGGAGTCGCTCTAGTAATGGAGTACGGAGTACGAGGTTTGTGACACGCTGTTCCAGGCCCGAACCGGTGAGTCTAGGTGGCCCGAATCACTTAAAAAGTGTTAGCCGGAAATCTCCAGTCATGCAAGGCAATCAAATTGCGCCATAATCCGAACACGGTACGGGAGACACGAGTTGGGCAGCGAATGAGTGAGCAAGCACTCTTAGGAGCACATACAGTAGTAGTGCTGGCTTGGGCTGTCCGTATGTCTCGACTCGGCTGCAAGGAATTTGCGGCTGAAGCGCCTTTTGCCTTCAGGGTTCTTCTGATGCCTCTCGTTCGCATAGTGAATTTGGGCAAAAGTGCAAGCTGCAGTAGCAAGCCTCACTACCTAAATAGTACCCAAACTGGCTTCTCTGTACTGTAGCCGTACTGAAGGAGCTGACTCAGTGAGCTTCAAGTTCGTCCCACCCCCTATTTGGCACAGAAGCGGCGTTTCCTTGTCAGTTGTATCATAACCAATCAATGTCGTAGATTTCGGAATACGTAAGGTATGTACAACATGAGATGTTCCTCACTAAAGATACGTATGGTAATTTCGAGCGATGGATCGAAATGCCTGCCGTGTTATTCAGTTCCAGAACGGTGTGTTGCTTCATCGCGTAGGTACTAGGTCGTCACTCAGAATGGGCCGGGACCTGGTCGGTATATCCCGACATGGTAATGAGCCCGGTGCGGAGTATTCACCCGGCCATTGCATGATCAGATCAAAAATATATGGTCTAACTAAAATGGCATATTCTCGACTGCGCAACGTTCGCAATACGCTCACGAAGATCGAAGAGAGAACGGAAAGAAGGCGTTACGGAACAGCGTAATTTAATGACTAATAGACCTGCATCTACCAAGGATGCAGACATCAAGAATCGTTTGAAAGTTATAGAACGTGGTGATCGAGACAGCGATGTGCCAGTTACAGGCGTTCAAAGAGATTCCAACACCTCCGATGGGCGTGGTCATTTCTCGCTTAGAAACCCTTTTTCTCTCCGTGCTCATGGGAACTGACCTCATCATCGGGGATGATCACCAGATTGTCAGAGCGGTAAGGATCAACCTTAACTGACTTGAATTTGCGTGCAGAGACATGGTTCTCGAACAGGACGTCAAGCTCGGCATAGGTAAGGCCCTGGAGACGATGTTAGTGAACATTTTAGAGAAAGAATCCGTCAGGTGACTCACCTTGGGTTCAGGAAGACGGAAATAGGTCCAGATCAGACCCAGCAGATTGAGACCGCCCCAGAAGAAGCAGGTCTTGCCACGCCAGTTCCAGGCGGTGGGGTTCATCATGCGAGGCTGGAGTGTTCCGACGACAATGCCCATGCAGTTGTACACATTTCGTGAGAGCACAACAGTCTTGATTCTCAGACGGGTGGATGGAAGCTCAGCAACCAAAGAGTAGCACACAGGTCCGACTGTAAAGTCGTAGACGAAAGTCAGGATGAGAATCAAGGCGCCAGATGCCCAGCCGACCGAGGTTGAAAGCTCAGGAACTCCCAAGCCGCCGATGATCATCAAAATGATGAACATGCCGACTTGACCATAGAGATACAGTGTGCGACGACCGAAGTGGGGCATGAGGAACCAGGATAGAACGGTACCCATGAAACCCATAGCACTCTGGCCCACGCCTAGGGAATAGGCGTTATCAGGAGATAGACCGGCCTGAATCATGAAGTAGGTGCCCCAACCGATCATAGGAGAGCCGGACGTTTGCTGAATGAGCCAAGTAATACAAGTGACCTCGGTTCTTCGGAGATCAACTCCCTTGAAGCAATCAAGATAACTGGTCCCAGCAGTTTGCTGAATTTCTAGTTCGTTGGTGTGGATCATCATGGCCAAGGTATCCTCGACGTTGAATTGAGTATTTTTCTTCGAGGTAAGCCTGAGGAGAGCTGCGCGAGCTTGGTCAAGTTTGCCATGTCGGACCAACCACCATGGAGATTCTGGGGCCAGGAAGGCAGTAATCGCAATAGGTAGAGGCCAAATCCATTGTATAGCATAAGGAATACGATAGGCCCATTCGCCGCTGACGTTGACAAAGCCCTTGAGGACACCGGCGGCGATCAATTGGCCGATCACCCAGCAAAGGTTGACGTAGGTGGTAAGGTATGGTCGGAGAGGGACAGGAGTGACTTCAGCGGCATAAGTGGTTGTGAGTGTCTGGAAAACACCCCATGGCAGACCTGAGAGGATGTATCCAGCGAGTAGCATCTGGACATTGACTGCAAAAAAGGTGATGAAAATGGTGCCGGTGATGAAAAGAAGAGAGCCGATCATGGTCCAGCGGTAGCCAATGCGCTCCGAAATGATACCGTTCAAGAAAAGACCGATGATCTGAGCAGCTGCGGTACCGTTACCGAGAGCAGTCTGCCATGTGGGAGTGACTTCGTATGTCTGAACGCCATCCTTGATGGGGCCTGGCTCACCAAATTTCCTTGCAAAAGACTGGTTGCCGTAGAAGTTTCCGAGGAGGTAGGTGTCATAACCCTCCATGATGACAGCCAGCGAAAGGCAGAAGGAGAACATCATAGCTTTGGGGTACAGTTTGGCGCCCTCGCGGAAACCCATGCTGGTCTCGAGGTCTGCAGCTGCCTTGGCATCCGCAGAGAGCTCAGCCAAGTTGGGGACGGCGACGGACATCTTTCGAAGGGTCTCATCCTTTTGGTTGAAGACAGCCTCGCCTTGTGTGGCTCCGACTACCCCAGCAGGGACAATGGAGGACCTCCTGCGAGAGGTGTCGAAGCCAGGCGCGCCCATGTTGCTGGCATAGACAGAGACACTGCCATGGCGACCGGTGCGGCCGGGGCCATTTTCTTCGTCGTGAGCGAAGCTCATGTTGAGGAACTGGTCAATGGGATCGCAATGCAAGCAGATCAGAGAAATGCCCGAAGCACAGAAAGTAACTGCTCCTCCTAGGACGGCTAACGAGAGGGAGAGATAGCCAGATGCTTGTATCTGTGAAGGGCGAGACAGTATCCAAGCTCATGGGAGCTCCTATAGATATATGCATTCTGGTCTGCGCGTTTCGCCTCGCCCTGGCAAACTCAAATGACGCAGTCGACCCAGGGTAAGGTGATACCAAAACTCAGGGCAACACAACAGCACGGGCATCGAGAGTATTCGGGCCTATCGAAATCGCTGGAGAGAGTGTCGGTGGCTTTCTCAAGGCCAGTGGAAGCTAGGTCCGACACTCTGACCCCAGTGAGAGAGAGGCCGATCAGGCATTCGAGTGACCTGAAGTCTAAGGATCGGTCAAACTATTTTGTGACCCATCAAATGGCCGTGGGGACAGGGCTAGGCGAATCTGCGAGGTGAGAAATGGTCAGGTGTTGGGTCATTTGACAAGGTCTGGGCCAAGAGTCCAAGCCTGGAGAGGAAGAGGAGCAGGAGAAATGCTCGGGTACCGCAAAAGCCTTCCCCAAGCGTGGCAAGCAAGTTGAAGCAAGACAAGACGAGCAATGCGGTTGGTCAGGACGATTTACAGTGGCTGGCAGCTGACGGGGCACTGGGCACTGGGCGCTGAGGGGATGTGCCAAAAAAATAACAGCGAGAAGAAGTGGAGCAGGTCAACGGAGAGCCTCGCTTCCCGCATGTTAATCTTCCTTTTCTGGTCGATGATGAGGGCAGGCTGTGAGGTGTAGGGCCTACTGGTGAGATGGGATGGATGGGGGATGGATGGGGATGGATGGGGATGGAGTGGATGGAGAGGAGATGCAGACAGGGATGCCATTGACACTCCGGGGCCACGATTACTGGGATGGTTACTCGTAGAGTCGTAGCTGCATGGCAAGCCCGTAACCCCGCACTCTCGACACTTCTAGACACGATGACAAGCACGCAAGACACCGCGACAGATCGACTGCACAAGCCACTCACGAGCTGCGGCACTAGTAAGCTACCTACGCTCAGCTGCTCCTCGTACTGCCCAGGACTGCTCCTATAGGCGTCCACCTGGGCGCCCCGGCCAGATGAATCCGGGCCTACCATAATTGAAAGCCAGTCTTAGCCTTTCCTCGTAACCTGTACAGAGCACTCCGTAGGTGGTGGACTGGCTCTGATGGAACCCCCTTCGTCCGTTTGCTCCCCTGGGGCCCACCCACAAACTCGCAAGCTTCCCGCTCCCTCTGGGTATCAGGTTCCAATTCGACATCCAAGCTTCATGAGGGCCGCCCAGGTGATCTTTGCATGCCCAAGTATTTGCGAAGCAATCGTGCGTGATGCGATGTGCACATCTATCTTGGGTGTCACCCGCTACGTCGAGTGGTCAAGCGTCTTGCCCTGCAGTGGCCTTTGTACGCCAAATAGTCGGAGAAACCAATGACCACATCGTCCATTGCTAGCTTTTCGATTATTCAGATCAGCGAGAAGATCCGTCCTAGCTCGAGTGGCTGACTAGCAAACGTCGAGAGGGTTACTCTCGCTCCATGACCCTTGGATGAAGCACCGGAGAATCGGTACGAGTACTGCATATGGCCATATTTCATGCCCTTTGAACAGAACCACTTCGCGGGCGCCATATGTGATGTCTCTTCTCTTCAAGCTCTTTGCCAAAATCGGATAGCCTGGTCGCTCATGTTGTTCCGGCGCAATTCAGCCTCGAGTGGGGCTTTTGCCCTTTAAGGTTTCTCCCTAAGTCAATATTGAGATTTGTGTTGATGGTTCGAGGCCGAACTGAAACGCAATCGATTGTTGATCACGTCTCGAATAACGTTTCAATCCCTAACCACGATCTGCCCCTCTCGGCGTAAATTTCTTTCTCTCGCAAAATTCCAAACCATATCGAGGCTTGGACCCTCGCAAAAATCTGTCCGAGTCAAAGCACAAGTCCCAGTCAGCCCATTGCGTGGGTGGCGCCCACTGGACTATGAACCGAAGTGCGGGATGAGCTTAGTGACCTCGTAATGCGTATTTAGGACTATTCATCCTTGAGATACCGTTATACCATTCTAGTTAGCGGGTGACACTAGTATTGCATCCTATAGTAGTAGGACTTTGTCCATCATTTTCCCGTCGGCGGTGGCCACTTGTTATGCTCTCAAATCTATGATGACATGAAAGATTCGCGAGGCGCCGACCACCGTCGCTTGTACTTCTTGCCCTTCCCAGTGACAGAAATAACGGCTGTGCAATAGAGACTGTATTCAGGTAGCCATCAAAGTTGGGAGTGAGCCTTTGTGATGATCTGAATACATAGATTGCGAGTACGTGCTCCTTTAGGTAGGTATTGGAAACCCTGGGCGTCATCTGGTAGTCGCCAAGTTTCGCAAATGGTGACATTGGTTTTTTTCTTCTTGGTTTGTTCATTGGGCATGGCAATACCCCGTAAGTCCATCCTGTTACCCCCTGCAACTAAGCAGGGGTATACACAATCCTTCAATTCGGTTCACCTTAGGACAATCCCTTACCTTACCAGGAAGTTCGTTGCGACTGGTTTGAAGGAGAATGCGATCATCAGATCTGTGAGATCTCTGACATACGACATCGTACGTTGCGATGCAATCCTTCCACCAGCTGCTTCTGCAGAGAGCAACTGGCTCGTAGCTGCGTGGTGAAAGCGCGGTCGCCGGCCTTCTCGTTCGTGCAAATGGTCTCCATCGGAGAGGCACCTATTTCTTAGGCGTACTTGCAGATAGAAGGCCGGGTATACGTAAGACACACCGCAGATGAAGCGAAGTGGCGTGCTGGGGTAGAGGTGGCCTCGTACTCATAGGTTCAAAATGCCGAGCAGAACCAGAATTATGGTGCTGCCAACGGTTCCAGCCATCCTCCTAACACTCCTCCGTTCTCCGGACTGCTGATCAACACGAGCAGGGGTGGGCTTGAAGTTTTGCGGAGTGCCGTTGGTGGGGAGACCCAAAGTAACCACCACCTGCAGGATTTCATAAACTCAAACGGGTGTGTCTAGCCGGCGAGGAACAACGTTGATCCAGTTGAAAGACGCCGAGTATTTCACCGAGACTTGCCGATGCCCACAAATCCCCAAATCAGTCCAGATGATGTGTATCCTGTGTCCACCCCACATTGGACCCAAGGCGCTACAGACAACTCGGACCGAGTTCTTGTCACTAGATCCAATTGAGCTTGCTAGACGCGACTGAGCTGCAATAATTATCCCGAGGCTCCATTTCGAAGACCATCAATCTTAACACTTTGATTCATGTTCCACGTATCCGTTCAAGACACGGTACACCAGCCAAGCGTGGACTACTGTTCGCTCAGGGGCTTCATCCTACTCTAAGCTTACCACTGCTGCACGATCTTACATTGCTGCTTCTCTAGTCAAAGGAGATCCCGAGATCCCTGTTAGATGCATACGACGGCAACCAAGCATGGTCGCTCCAGTATGTAAGAGAGCAATGGTCTTTCGCGTTCTACCGTCCCGCTCGCCAAATTAGAAGTTTTTCTGGAATCCTTCTAGGCGGGAGATGGAGCAGATGCACTTCGGATGGTACCTCCCCTGAGTCCTGACAAGTGCCTCTCTATTTCTGTTGCACTGCAAGGGTGGACTATCCACTTTGATCTCGCTGTTGAACAACCGCCGTTTCGCAGGCGTGTAAGTCTAAATGTCGCTTTATCACGAGGCTCCATTGATGTTCAGCTGGGATATGGCTTCACCGGCAGACTTGCCAATTTCCACTTCATCTTTGCCCTTCCCCTTAAGAGACCCATCAGGGGCAGCTTGCACACTACCGCCTCCAGGGTATCGAGATCCTTTGTCTTTCTTTTTCTTTTCCTTCTTTGCAGGTTCTGCTGGTGGGTATGCTTTCTTTTCAATGTCTTGCCATTCAGAAGATGCTTGGAATTCCGCCTGAATCGGAGCGAGCAGTTCCACCAAAGCCTCAGTGGCACCTGATTTGAGCAGTTGAGGTGTCAGTCTGTCAGCGAGATAATCTGCCTTCAGCGACGCCATATCATGGTAGACGAGCGGTTCGCCTTCACCTTCTCTCCTCCTACATACAAAACTGCCTCTGCCCTCGGGATCACGCAAGCTGCTGATGGGTAGTAGCACGTATTCGACAAAGGAGACAATTCCATTTCCCTCCACCTCACCTGCTGCAGCATAGGCTTTTCTCAGCTTCTTTCTGACAGTGTCCTCGGTATCGAGAATGTCAATTTTAGAGTCGGGATCTGAGGCAGACATCTTTCCACCTGCGAGGCCGGGTACCATGGGATTCATAAGATGCGCTCGCTCTTTGTAGCCGACTTTGGGCAAGGTTTCTTGTGCGAGGGCGAAGATCTTCCGCTGATCGACCCCCCCGAACTGAGCGTCGACACCCAGGTGCTGTTCGTCCAAGGCCTGCATCAAAGGGTAGATGAGTCCTGACAGCGGCGCATTATCCACTTGCTTGACCACCTCGGCCCCGGCTTTCTTAGCATCGTGCTCGGTAACAACGCTACTAAGTCGAAAGATATCCATCGTATAGTCTGCGCTTAGTTGGTAGGAGGAGCCAAGCACGAACTCCAGCTTTTCAAGACTGACGCCGACGGCTTTGAGTAGTGATTGTATGATAAACTTGTAGTACTCTGCACGGAATTTGACGAGCTCAATTGGGGCCTTGAGGTTGTCGAGGAAGCCGTGAATATCGGCGAGGAGGATCTTGACTCGACAGCCAGCACGCAGGAAGTGGGCGATTTTCATCATCGGCACAAAGTAACCGCAGTGCGGTCTTCCTGTGGTGGCTGTTCCCCAGTAAATAACAAGAGGTCTCTTTTGCTTGAGGACGACATCCTCAAGGATATCTTCATGGAGGACTTCCTGTAGTTGGTCCTTGATCAGAGCCAATTTCTCCTCAGGTTGGAGTTCTCTTTCCGCCATGATTGAGAGGTGCGCGGACGAGGAGAAGAGATGGTGGGGAACTACGTCGGCGATCGAGGCAGTCGGAAATGCGATGAGAGGGCTTGGAAGCCTAGATACAAAGTGAGAAGGTTCTGGGAGGTTTTCTCTAAATATGTAAGGATATGAGTCAGTCACTGTTCCTCACGGTGCAGTTTGACTCCCCGCCATGTTAGATAGTTGGTTAAAGTGCATGTACTTCAAGGCCTTTATGATCAACCCTAGCACATTGCGCTCTTGGTCTCTAAGGCCCACCATATCGGAGACACTCCCCCGCCGCAACGCGTCGAGCCAAACAAAAGATCCATTGCACTGCGTCCTGTAAACACACGGCCGCAATACCAAGCACAACAGCAGCACCTCAACACAAACACTAGAGTCTACCACCGTTCAGGAGCTGCAATAACACACGATAATCTTACTCAACCAGAGTGGGTTTCATACCTGGCGTCGTCAGACTACACAGGTTCCAACCCTCCCTACGCAAGTCGCATTCTTGTTGCTCTGTTCTCCAATCTGCCAAAAACACCTCCTCCGCCAACCCTGACGCTTTATTTCCAACTGTCAAATAATTCCCATGACAATTTCGAGTTCTTAGTGTATTCACAAGATGGAAAATTATCAGAAGATTGAGAAGGTTGGAGAAGGTTCGCAACATTACCTTTCCCCCATAGTTTGCGTTTAACCCCTTAATCATCGAGTAGGCACGTATGGTGTGGTCTACAAAGCCCGTGACCTGTCCAATGGTGGTCGAATTGTCGCCCTGAAGAAGATTCGCCTGGAAGCCGAAGACGAAGGTGTCCCTAGCACGGCCATCCGAGAGATCTCCCTCCTCAAAGAAATGAACGACCCCAACATCGTTCGATTGCTAAATATTGTTCATGCGGACGGCCACAAGCTGTATCTAGTCTGTGAGTTCCTTGACCTCGATCTCAAAAAATACATGGAAGCCTTGCCTGTGTCAGATGGTGGCCGCGGTAAGGCTCTTCCCGAGGGATCGGCAGTAGACATGCAGCGATTGGGCCTGGGTAAAGACATGGTCAAGAAGTTCATGGCGCAACTAGTGGAGGGAGTACGATACTGCCACAGCCACCGCGTTTTACATCGAGACCTTAAGCCACAGAATTTGTTAATCGACAAGGAAGGCAACCTCAAGCTGGCTGATTTCGGACTTGCACGAGCATTTGGTGTCCCTCTACGCACATACACCCATGAGGTATAAACTTTCCTACTCCTTTGCTTTCCATAGCAAACTAACCTCTCCCAAGGTGGTCACTTTGTGGTACCGTGCTCCAGAAATTCTTCTTGGTGGCCGACAATACTCTACAGGCGTTGACATGTGGTCGGTAGGAGCCATCTTTGCTGAGATGTGCACTCGAAAACCGCTGTTCCCTGGTGACTCCGAAATCGATGAGATATTCAAGATCTTCAAGTATGTCCCCTCTTCTGATCAATATTTGCACGATCTCGTCCCACCCTCTTGCGCCCCCCTCCCCCCCGGGGGAAATTGAGGTCGCTAACCAACGCCCAGGCTCCTCGGCACACCAGACGAGTCAACCTGGCCAGGCGTTACAACTTTCCCCGACTTCAAGACATCCTTCCCCAAGTGGCGCCGCGAGGCCACTAGCAGAATTGTTCCAAACCTCGAACCTGCAGGCCTTGAGCTTCTGGATGCATTGCTCGAATACGATCCTGCACATAGGCTCTCGGCCAAAGCAGCCTGCACTCATCCTTATTTCGCCGCTGGCTCGGCTGCCTATTCACAGCGGACAAATGGGCCTCCGAGGGTCAATGGCTACCATTGAGCCCAGGTATCCTTGGATTTGTAAAGACTATCTCTGCCGGTAGTCAAGCATAAAGTTTCGGAATGAGAAATGTGACCAATGGATTTTCTTTGCATTGAATTGGGACGCGATCATGCTGTTGGGCGGGATGAGAGGCAATGGTATCAGGGCTTGATGGAGTTCAAGACAGCAATCGGTCCGTGGTCTCTGGATTTGTTCCACAAGGAACCGACAAGCAGTGGCAGACTCGTCTGACTGCAAGGCTTTCTTTCTACTGCTTTGCACTCACCAGACACATGCACTGGTTGCAGTGGGCATTCAGGCAAGCCTGGATCAGTCTGGTCTGGAGTCGAGCCGAAATCTCAAGGGTTTGCGGTGTTTCAAAGTCTGGGTGAGACGCTCTATTTTCTACAGCCCTGAATGGCGCCAGTTTCATAGAGTTGAGATGTGTTTTTCTGATCCGCAGTGGTTTCGAGCGAGCACACAATGCTCTTCAAGCACATGCTAACGGCACCCCAAACCAATCATTGCCCCGAAACTTTTCCAGTTTTCCTCGCTCGCGTTGCTAATGGGATGGTCCTCTCGTTCTGAACCATGCCGGCTGGGTGTGTGTACCCAACGCGCTGCTGCCTGCGTGCCATGGTATCTAAACGGACCCAACCCTTCCCCTTTTCACACAAACAGTGCGCTGGTCTTGGCCACCATATCAACAGCTATACACATACATTGCACAGCGCAGATCTAAATGCCCCAGTTCGTCCAGCTCTCGCACGCCTTAAGGCTGATATAGTATGATAGTAAGCATACATTCATGAATACTAGCACATGCAGCCATAGAACATAGCGTCGCGCGCCACTAGCTGAACATAACGGCGAGTCAAAGCAGGGGCATTCAGTAGCAGTAGCAGCGTCTCTAGTAGAAGCTGCAACATTGCAGGCGAGCGAAGAGACCAGCGGTCATGGGCAGTTGGACCTGCGTAGCAGCAAGTCAACGCACGTCCGGAAGATCATGCTGTACGTGGTTGGTGAAAGGCTAGACGCGCCAAGTCACTACTCCCCTCCCAATGGAGCTTGCAAGCGATCGTACATACCATACAGGAGCGTTTTGCATAGTAGGATCCTAGAACAGGTGAAAAGGGCAACTACCGCAAGTAGATCAAAGGTCTCGATGGAAAGATCAATCAATGGTGGAAAGATACGCGTTGTCTAAATCATGAACTTTTTTTCTTTTCCGGTCCTATTGCGGGGGATTAGAAATTAAAGATGTTTATCGTTAGTGACGGATCTTAGCTCAAGGGATAACATTTTGGATGCTTATGGGATATGAGTTGGGTTTTGTCATAAGAATGGGTCGTCAAACACCTGCGTAATTGTAGGCATATGGGGGTATTGATAGCCACTTGATGAGAATCATCAGTCTTCATTCACTGTGTCATATTTCTCTCATCGCCTCGTCTCATTATAATTACTCCCATCGCCGGCCAGCTGCTACCCAATTAAACGTGGGTGCCAGCAGTCTCCTTATCCTCGTAAGTCTCCCTGACAGAGGGCGCGCTGATGCTGCCTCTCTTCCCGGTGTAAGCGGAAGCCTGGAGCATGTTCAACTTGTCTTCGTCCTTGTCAAGAGCACGGAAGTTGAACCAGAAGGCGATGCCACCGAGGCCGGAAAGGACAGCTACAACTCCATAGTTCCAAACGAGCAACGGATCGGCAGAAAGGGCAACGAGACCCTGGGCGATGGCGCTGCTGAAGGCGTTCATGAGAAGGTTAATCGCCATGACGAAGCTTCGCATGTTGTACGGGGCTTTGGTGAATGCGTATTCGAGGGATGTGATGGAAGCCATGATCTCGGAGAAACCGATGAGGACGTAAGGGACGGTTTGAACCCAAACGTTGATGGGCGCGGCCGCACAGTCCGAGTCTGATGCATGGGTGCCACATTCCGAGAGTTTATAGATGTAGACTTGGATAACGCAAGCTGATACCATGGCCAGACTGGCGAGGATGAAGCCGAAGAAGATACGCTTGATCGGAGTAAAATTGATGCGGGCCTTGCGGAGTGCTGGGTAGATAACAAAGTCCATTAGTGGGATGAAGATGATGATCGAGATCGGGTTCAGGTTCTGGATAATGTCGTTGGGAACACCATTGAGTTCCATGACAGCAGCTTGAGAGGTCAAGTTACCAGTCATCTGACCGTAAGCGAGCCAGTAAAGTGGGAGGTACAGGAAGACCGCGCAGGCTTTGAGACCACGACGGACCTCATCGACCCAAGCGTCGTCGAAGGTCATCCAAGCTGGTCTTTCAGCAGCAGGGATATTCGATGGCTTGACACGCTCCCAGAAGCCGGGTGCAGACATGCTCTTGTAGGTCGCGACCGGGTTGAGGTGCCAGTGACCCTTGGAGGCATATCCCCAAAGTTGCCAGAATTTGGCAAAGACTGAACCGGTAGGAGGTGTAAGCACATAGTGCTTTCGGCAGACTGCCAGGACAACTGGTGCAATGAGGAAGAGGACTGTGGGCAACAGATATGCAAGCCAGAAACCAACATATTTCTCACAATACACCATGCCAATTTGTCCTACGAGCGAGCCGATGTTAATACACATATAGAAGTAGAGGAAGATTCGGGAGGTTGTGACCATGGGGTCTACAATAACGCGTTCGCCAGTAGGAAGAGTTTTAATCCGCTTCTTGGTTTCGGTTTGTTGTTCTGCAAGAAGGGGGGAGATGTTTGATTTGAAACCACCAGTGCCGATTCCGAGAATGATCAGACCAATTGAGAAGCATGCCAGGGCGGCGGAATTGTGTTTGATGACACTGGGAGCTGCCGAGGCAGTCAAGATGACGTGCCCGACGATAGCACAGACAATCGCAACGTGGATGGTCTTATAACGACCAAGATGAGCATCAGCGATATATGCACCTGCTAGAGGCATCACATATGCCCAGAACTGGTTGAATGTGACTAGACCTGTGGAGGCTCGCTGACCCATTCCAAGAGCTCCAGATTGGCCCTCGAAGCCCGCGCCGGTTGATGAGCCTTCTGGAAGAGGTTGCTGGATAAAGTTGACGACTGGAGGGGTAAAAGTCAGTATCGGTTGAAGCATTCCCAAGACCGTGGGGATCTACTCACAGACAACAGTGGTGCCATAGTAGGAAAAACGTTCGCAAAGCTCAACGAACGCGACAGTGAAAGCAGGCCAGGGGATCTTGCCAGAGACTCGACGAAGGGTGTGAAGCTCCTCCTCTGTCACCTCATCATCGCTGTCAAAGTCGGCCGACGAACGTGGGACTTCTTGGACACCGGCATCGATAGAACCTCTTCCGAGATGTTTCTCTTGCATGGTACCAGCGAGAGGCGCGTTAGACACAGCGGCCTGGGCGATTATTGGCCCTTCGTTGGTTGCGATGGCGCTCATCTTGGCAGAAGGCTTGTAGTGCTTGCAAGGAGGCAGAACAGAACAATGTTCGATGATGAGACAGCGAGGGAGAGCGGGTGATCACAAGGCCAATATATTAGTCTCACCGATGAGCATCCCTGTGAGACTTGTGGAAGGTGTCAACCGAGCATATGAGCCAGACCCGAACATCAACGGAGCAATCACACGAATAAGGAAGGTAACGTCCACACGTTATCAATCGATACTGAGCAGTGTCACAGCAGCGATGTATCCTAAGGACTTGGCGGCAAGGGACTGGTGTCAGTGTTGCGAAGGATGCGAAGTGGGTGAGATGGGTGGCGCCCACACGCCCAGATCAACTGGCATTGTGGCGAGACCAATACGAGGTATAAGCTTTATCTGGCAACTCACCAGACATTGAAGGCGTTAAGAAGCTTGCAATGGAAGTGCTTGACAAGCCATGAACGACCAGCATCTGGTGAACCCCCAGCCCCCAGTCCGTCGAACAAGGTCATCAACGGACGAACTATCTCGGCACAAGAGGGTAATTATACTCTCTATTGAGAGGTCAGTAAAGATACAGGAGGCCAGGTCTGACAGAGACAATTGAACATGCGGCTCGAATATGTTCACTGCAGATCGGTGGCACAAGATGAAACCTCGTATGGACAACACAAGTGGTGACTAGCAGGACAAATGAGTTGAGAGAATCGAGTGCAACTTGACAGCGATGGAGACGATCATCCGCATGCCAAGCTTCTCTTGCCCTGGTGCCAAGACTCCTGCCAAGACCCTTATCATTGGGGACCAGTGGAATCTGCCACTCGTCGCCATCCTCCTGGCATCCTTCTACCCATGTCGCCGATTGCCTTTTCCAAGCTGACCTCACGCTTTTCTGGAATTCTTCTGTATTGGTAATGTACAAGGCGGCTAGAAGGCGGTGCCTCCGCACCACGATCATCAAATGATAAAGGATTAGGGGTAGTTCAGTTCGGCAGAGTAAGGAAAGTGAAGTAAAATAGAGACGGCCGAGACCGAAGTCGATACTCCTCCCCAGTTAGATGTACCTAGGAACCTAACCAGGGAACCTCGTCCTGTACCCCGGTTTAGTATTCGCCCACTGGGCTCCTAATATTGCAGGCTAAGTTCAAGGTATTCGGTACTCCATAGATCTTGTCCAAACAGAGCTCGACAACTCCACAAATTCTAATCCTAGCAGGCACTGAGGGGTCGTGATTAACTTACCTACTCGCACAGTAGTAGGCACGTGGTACTCTGGTACTCCCTACCTCCGACCTCACCTCGGACACACTCACCAGTATAACTTGGGCATTTATTTTGTCAAATTTGCACGACGACCTGGTCGATATGCGTTGTATGGAGGGGCGAAAGTTGGCCTTCGTCAAATGCGCGATCAGCCTGCATACTGGCTCTAGTCAAGTCCACGGTTGAAGGATCTTCTCCTGATCTTCTATCACTAGCACTAATCTCTCTATTCGCCATCCTCCACCTGGTATTCTGTTTTTGGCTTGTCTTGCTTGGGCTTCTACCAAGACACCAAGGGTCAATGGCGCTACGACGCTGCTTCGGGTCGCGTGCTCTTAGTTGGCTGGGCTGCCCACATGAGTTTTGTCCACTCTTTCGTCTGCGGGAAGGGCGATCGTCTCTTGTTCGTAGAAGGTTAGGGATCAGGGTTAGGGAAACGCTATCTCTTTCTCGCCTCCCTCCGTGGCCACCTCCGAACCTCTCTTGCACCGAGGTTGATTTACAGCCCCTTGATTGGGCCAATCGGTGACATCCTGCCACTTGCCAAGCTATCCGACTACTACTCTACTATCAACCGTCGAGTTGCTGGTTAGTGTCGGCTACACAATGGGGAACGTCCGGATATCGAACTACGTTAAGGATCACCGCCCAAGTCCTCATTTGACCAAGAATCTGACAGATTAAAGGGTCATGATTGCCTGATATTTTTTTCCAGGCGAGCGCCGAAACAAGCGTGTGGAAAACCTCTGCGGATAATCATGGCAAAATTCCATCGTTGAATGCTCCCCATCCCAGCAGGAAACGGTCTGATGTGCATGCACTGACAATGGGAGCATTCCAAGACGCGGTAATATAAGGCTTCCGCATATCCGACTTCAGCAGTCCTACTATCCACCCCCAAGGAGTTAAAACACTTCCAGAACAGCGGACGATGCATGCAGCTTACGCTAGGAACTCGGTTGACAGTTCCTTGACACCACGCATTCAATAACCGCTTCGATCGATGGTTCCACAGAGGAGCAAATGATATGCTGACCTTCCCATCCATTCGTCAGGTTGTGCTATCTTGTGGGTCTCGAATTGCTGTCGATGGACATCCCACTCATGCTGGTTGCGCATATCATGTAAAGTATGGAGTACGGAGTACACTGCACGGTAATGGAGTTCGGCTCTGTGCTAGCGAGTAGCATTCAGGGAACAGCCCGATTACTGCATCCATGTAGGCTTAAAACAGACGCCCTACTGTGGATGGAATTGTGATGAAGCTATGAGGTCGTGTTGTGCCGGGGTTTTGTGAGATGTCCTGACCTTTACTATTTCCCGCCTCTTGAATGTTCGGCGCTGATTGTTGGTCCTAACATCACACAACATCTGAAAGCAGATGGCAAACGCGATGCCGCATGCGTACTCGATCGATCTAATTGGGTCTTCACTTATCGATGGCGATGCTAACCAGCGAACAAAGGCGTCACCTTTCCGAGGTCCAAGCGTATTGTAGCCAAGGGGACGTCGATATATCTTAGAATCGCCGCCAAGCAAGGACCTTGAGTCTGTCTTCTATCTAGAACTGCAGAAACATGCTGTGTTCAAGACGCTACTAAGTACATGACATGATTGTCTGCTTTCACCAAATGATATCGCACGGGGTTCGATATCCATGCCCGATAGGATCGTATAACTTCTCTTTGCAGGCAGTATTCTTCCACCGCGGTCGGATATTGGCTTGTACTGGATTGATCTTGCTTGAGTTAAGGGCACCTATAGTGCTTTTCTGGAATGGTTTTGATCTCGCTACTGCGAGATCAAAACTCACCCTTACACATGCCTTACATCTTGCCAGAGATACGTGGGGCCAAGTCACATAGTCCTCATTACTCGCCAATTAATCCTCCGTGGTCTTGGGAAGGAAGAACCTGGTCGGTCAAGCAAGTGCAAGGAACGATTCGGTCGCAGAGTTACCACCTTGTCAATGACGTCTCCTGATCGAACTATCATCCAAAGAACATGATATTTGAAGTAAAGAGTGAGCCTTTAAACTAGTATTCCCCTTCCTTCTGGATCGAGCATCACCGTTTCCACCTGTGGGTGTATCGACATTGTACGCCCGTTTTCTCATTATTGTTCGAGCATGGGATGAGGTACGGCGCCTGTCAAATTCATCTTACCGAATAGTACTCATTGCTTAATATCCCTTTTTGAGAGACTGACGATCGGCTGAAAGTTCGAACACTTATTCATAGTAGCGGCATCATCCAGGGTCAACAAATTCACGTGGATTCTTTTATCCGCTGGAGATGTGGTACCAGTCTTTCCCGCACAAACTGCTCCGCTCCATGCAGCTCCACGCCCAGGTTCAACACGTTAGGATCAGGCAGCTCTACCCCTGGATAGGTTCCTGTCAGGTTGTATAGATTGAACATGGTATCCCGAGCCTCGTTCCCGGTGCTAGGTAGGACAACATATTTGGTAGGTTTTCCAGTTACTGAGAACAGGTCAGACATCTGGGGAGCATCGTTTGCTTGAAGGGAATTCCTATTCCTACCTCGCTCGATTATTGAGCATATTTCATTTGGACTTCGCACGGCATCCATTGCATAGAGATGCTTGTAAAGCAAGGTCTCCTTTGCAGAAACCCACCTTTCAAAGATTGCTCTCACAACAGCAGCTAGATCGAGTTCCACCCAGAGCATGTGGACTGTCTCAGTATCATCCACTCAGTACTCTTCTTGAAGGATGCTTTAATTCTTGCCGAGCCAGGGATTCAAACTTACGCTTCACATCACCTTTGATGATGGGCTGTCGGAACTCAATGGTATCGTCGGTCTCAACGACGTGGCTACGACGGATCTGGTTCTCATAAAAGTTTCCAGTGAAGACGTAAACTGCTGGAAGGCCGATGTCATGGATATAACTGTCAACACGATGCTTGCCTTCGTAGATCTCACATGCGACTTTTCCTTTGGAAATCTCGAGAGACGAGGGCAGTGTGCTCCAGACAAAACAATGCACGCCAGCTTCCAGCGCCGCCTCTGCTGCATTGCGTCCCTGAGTCTCTTCGCTCGCGGGATCGTCTTTGATCGTCTGTCTTCTATATTAGTGTCATGAACAACTATTCTGGAGACTGGCCACTGACAACATCATAGAAATTCGTGGCAACAAAGGCCCCCCAGCAGCATCTGAAAGCAGCATCTAAGGAGGATCGAACAGTGAGATCGCCTCGCACGATTTCAGCTCCTGCATCTCTGAGTGCCTTTGCTGCACTAGACTCTGGGTTGCGAGTCAGTGCGCGTACAGTGAACTCTGCCGGGCTTTGAAGCAATAGCCTGGCCACCGAACCTCCTGGCAGAAATATGCTTAGTATGCTTGAACTTTCTGCAACCTCAAAAAGTCAACAACCTTGGTTTCCAGTGGCTCCGGTGATTAATATTCGGCGTGCCATCTCTTCGGGTATCCCAGATTTAAGATCACCTGGTCGATTGAGGGTTTTAGGCAGTGGTAGCGTGTCGAGTTTTTGTGAGATCCTCTAACAGCTCCCAGAGATGCAGTGTATCTCGGAGATGCGTATATTTACTGGAGGTTCCTTGGTTGTTCGTTCTGAGGGAAGAAATGCGGAGTACCGGTTATTCACCAAAGAAATATACAACTGCCGATGACAAATAAGGAGAGACTCGACCTTTCTGAACCGTACGTCTACCACGGCCTGCGGAAATATGCCGTGAATAAGCCCAGCTAGCTTTCAATATAAGCTCCGCAAAGTGATTTTTACCTTGGGGGTGTTGTGTAACGGGGGGAAGGAATAGAAGCGGTTGCAGAACGTTGCGTGGAACGAATTGGTTAGTTTGCTTTGTCGTCCTTCAAAGTAGAGCTCACCATCGAGCTGTCTGAAGTGTGACTATATACTATAGGCAAGTCATCTTGTATTTCCGTGCCCGATGATTGTCTCTCTGGTTAGGTGCATTTGGGGGGGAGGTGAATTCACTCCAATTTGTCCTGGGCTCCTCGTGAAGAGATCGGTGGTAGATCCAACAGTGCGATCTTAGATACCAGGCCCTTGACCGATAATTGCTTAATCTCTATTCAGAGAAGGGTGAACACTGAATACAGAAACAGGAGTTGTACGAGTGGTACCTGAGAGGGCACTGGTGGTACGGCAACCCGTGCTTTCCCTCTCAGCATCCTTCCGAAACAGACAAGTGCAAATGATGGCTTGGCACGCGGCGGATTTCCCAAAAAGCGGCGACGTTGTAATTTGGAGGGTTCGACCTGCGGGTGCCTTTTGAAGCATTCATTTATCTTCAGGACTGCCAGACTGCTACCACTTCATTGTTGCCTCAAGACCTACGTACTAACCACCATCAGCCTCTGCAACAACCTCAATCCATCGCCTTCTGACATACTAGACCCTCCAACTGTCGTTCCATCAGTCGTGAGATCACCACTCCCAATAACTCTTCCGCAAACTACACAATCCGCCATCCCACTCTTTGTCCAACAGCTGCCCCTCGATTACCTGATCCCGATATGCGACAATAGAATATCACAAATAATCTCTAACCGTCCTCGTTACCCTCTGGCCTATATTTTGTCCGTGCGGCTCGCAAACACAGTCAGCAGAACCCTTCACGTTCCCCTCCCTGCAAGCTCCGGCGCATTCTAGACCACCTTACCATCCAATCTTGACTCGTCTTTGGCATATACCGATCGACATTCAATGAGGTTCTAAGATCTGTTCGGGCGCTTAGAAAAGTCGGTGGAAGGCTTTGCCAGGTGGTTGGCGTTAACCCAGGTGTGCATTCTTGTCAGAGGCACTCCCGCGTGCCTCTGTGCTCGACAAAGGGGTCCCCGCTGCTTCTCCCACTGGTTAGGGGCTGATTCTAAACACAACTGCTCATATGCTCTCCGCCCATCCGATGCCTCTATTTGTACATTGAGCTGCTTGCTATGGACACCACCCAAGGGTTGGCCACAAGGGACGAGTTGTGGCGCATTCAAGTGACCCTTAACGAACTCTCAGCAACCCAGGTGAACCACTCGGACAGAATCATGCGGCTCGAACAGAAAATCCCCGATGGCTCTAGAACGAGAAGTCTATGGGGTGCTGCTTCACCTTTCCACGGTGTATTGAGTTCTTCACAGCATGGTATGACCAGTCCTTGATTCGCATTCCGCATGAGGAAACACTAAAGAAACCTGCAGAATCTGCTCAGAACCCGGCCGCTGAAGCCTTCCGTAACTTCGATGCCGACCCTGGCACGAGTATGATGAGTTCTTTGACTTTGGATGTCAGCGAGGATCCCAGGAGAGTTGCTGCTTCCAGAGCAAACTCAGTGAGGTTTGATGAAAGTGCGAACAATCACTATGGCTCTTCTCGGCAATCCATCGAGCTCCCGGCGCGCACTGGAAGTGGCCTTGGAGGCCATGCCATGTCCGAGAGATCTCTTTCTCACCGATCTGACGGCAGAGCTAGTGCGTCAGGGTTCGCCCGAACAAACAGTTTTGGCCTGGAGTCCAGTAGGCTACTTGGCTCCATTCACAATTCGCCTAGAGTGTCCGGCAACCCTTCGCCTGGATTTTTCGTGCTTGGACCATGTCCATCCATCATTCGATGCTGGCTTACCGAGACTTTTACCAACGATTCTCTGCTGTACGCTGCTATTTGTACTGGCTCATCCTCGTCATCTGTCAGCTCTTCGCTTGTACAAAAGCTTGAGTTGAGTGATTCGGTCTTCGAAGACGGTGATGGTCGGGCGATTAGGCTTCCGGTCTTCTTAACAGAGGCCAAAATACATTCTCCAGCAATGCGCCCAGCCAGTCCTGTGCCTCAAGTACCGACGTTGGTCGTGAAGTTCGTGGTTGATGAGCACCCTGTGATTGACTATTCCATCCAGATCATCTTGGGCAGTGATGTCTTGAGAAGTCACAGTGCCGATATCTTGTTCTCTCAAGATAAGTTGATGATTTTCGATGAGGAGCGGAATCAACTCTCTATCCCCCTCGTTCGACCTGAAGACGACGCAGCATACAGGGACTTGAGCACCGCGTCACGTAAGCGATCATCATCTATCGAAGCAGTCTTACCACCCCCAGTTTCGCCTCCGAGTCAAGGCCACCTTGGAGTCATTGGTCGACCCGGGAGATTTGTGCGACCAGATACCGGCTCTCCCGCCGATGGGGTGTCAGGTGGCGTGGATGTCGCAACCAATTCAGAAACAGGACGATCAGAGCAGGTGAACGAGCCTTCAACGAGATCCAGTCTCGATTTGAATACTTCAAGAGTTGCAGCCGAGGACTCCAAGTCTACCACTGGGAGTGAGAAATCCTTCACTACACCGCTTTCCAAGTCAGGATCTGGGGTGTGGTCCACTTCCTGGCGCTCAGCATCTTCCAATGCAACAGCTAATGAAGCAGCTTCCAAATCGTCGTCGACATACGCCAAACCTAGCAGTTCTCGACCGATGAAAGTGTTGCGACCAAGTAAGACAATGGCGAATGCGAATAGAACGGCGTCCTCTACAACCATCACTACGGTTGGTTCTGACAATGCAACGGGAAAGACAGTTGAGAATGGTAGGAATGCGAGTCAACCTGACCTGGGAGATGGCAAGGGTTCACAACCGACACCAGTCACAAAGGCCAATCCGATAGGATCTGGCACGGCCTTTGGGTGGTTGAATACTGGCCCAGGAAGACGAACCACGGCGAGTGGATAATGACAGGCCCCAACTACCTAGACAGCAGTCGACTAGATCAAAGGCTTGAAAAAGACGATTCTGAAAGACGACTCGGCTCTCCTTGGGGACTTTGAAGCGTTGTTGGAAGGCAGGAGGTTGAACCAATGCTCTTCTGTATGTATTCTTATTGAAAGATTCAGGGCGCAAGCAGAATCGGGAGTATGTAAGCGAGGATGCACCCAGTGTGCAGACCTCACGGCGAGAAAAACCCACGTAGATCATGCAAGAAACACTTGGACTCCCGCTTCGCCCGATTTTGTTGTCTCTTTTGAGTGTTTGCAAACAGGGCCTGAGCGGCCATCGATGGAGCCCCGTGCATTAGCAGGTTCATAAGAGGTGTTAGAGACTGACGAAGTCAACAAAACCTCAGGCATCTCCCTCCCCACACGTTCCATATTTGCCATGCCGCACCATTCATGGATAGGATTACGGTTTTCGGCCTTCCCAGCTAACTATTAATTATTACTGTTCATCCCCGTTGGTCGCTGATCGTCCCGTTAGCCCGATCCGTACCGAACTTTCCACTGACGTTCTACATATTACCTTAGCTGTCAATCTAGACTTGAAGCTCGTTCCCCCTCTGGTTCATATTCTTTCTTGTGCGCGACACATATTTGGACTTGAGCCTTCTTACAACCCAGTACGAGGTTTAATTATTTTTCTTGATCATTTTCCTGTGTGAGGCACGTCAGCCGCCTCAACAGCACCTAGTGCTATTCCGTTACGGCGGTAGAAAGAATACTCTCCCGCCCCCTCGCACCACCATACTTCCTCCGAGGACAGGGATTGCTGGCCTCGAGGTCTTTTGGTGATATATCATCCATAGTACTCGATCAATTACCAGAAAGCAGCTGTATAACAAGCGACGTCTGACCGCCCGGCATGTCTGAGAAACGCCTCGGTATGTGGGTTTTTTTCCCCCTTGCCTTTGTCTTTTCTTCTTGATTTGCGTGGCGGTATCACAGAACACCTCAAGCTAAGCTGACCATCCTTCTGCCCAGAAAATCCCATGCTCTTGTACGTTTGAGAAGCTCTCCCCTCGCCACTCCCCTTTCGCTGGCAGAAATCTTTTGGCTTTGGCTGGCTTGCTTACGCTTTACCATGCTCCACGGTACAGTGTCTGCGACGTGCAGGATAAATTTCGAAATGCGATCTGGGAGTTTGGGAAGGTGTAAGTCCTTTTCTCTCCATGTTGTCCTGCTTTCAAGGTGTGACACCGTACCACCATGTAATATCTGGCTGGCTAACGTACGTGTTCTCCCACCGGGGAAATAGTGTATCAACGACGCAGAAGATGGTTAAGGCCGGTATGTCTCTCTGTTTGACTGTTCGTCTGGCCCGTCCCCTCGGGATTCTATTCTACTCCCCAGCCGAAGGGAGGAAAATGTGCCTCTTTACCAGAAAAGCATCTCGCCATGGAGAGAAGAGACGGGAGACTCTACCCTCTACCCATCGCCCTCCACTTTCTCCTCTTCACATCTCAAAATAACGAGCCTCCATTTCCTCGTCGTCCAGCATCCTCCATCTCCAATCTCATCTCTGTCGCATCTCATCTAACCTCATCTTGTCTCTCCACGCACAGCATCGATCCTCAACATCCCCATCGTAGCAACCACCCAGAATGCCGCACGGCTCGGCGCCACCGTCGAGGAAGTCGCCAGCCTCTTCCACTCCCAACCCACGCCCGTAAAGGAGATCGACAAAACGGTCTTCAGCATGGTCGTGCCGGAAGTCTCAGACATTGTCGGCACCCCAGCGTCCCAGCGCCAACTGTCCGTCATCCTCGTCGGTATCGAGACACACATCTGCGTGACGCAAACCACCCTCGATCTGCTGCGGCGCGGGCACAAGGTCTACGTCCTCGCGGACGGCGTGTCGAGCTGCAACGAGCTGGAGCGACCGATCGCGCTGGCGCGGCTTGCGCGTGAGGGTGCGGTGGTCACCACCAGCGAGAGCGCGCTGTTTGAGTTATTAGGCGACGCGAAGAATGCGCATTTCCGGGCGGTGAGTGGCTTGGTTAAGGATACGAAGGACGACACGAAAGGTGCCGTCGCGACATTGGGGAAGTTGTGAGTTGTGAGTTGTGAGTTGGGGTGTTGGGGAGTTCCTGTCGTGGCAACATATGACGGCGAGGCATTTAGGAGATTGGGGCTGCTAGTTTGCTACTGCGACCATGGCCCTAGCAGAGGATCAGTAGAATGAAGTACATTCCAGCTATATAAAGGCATACAAGCGAAAAAGAACGAAGCAAGTTCAAGGTCCCGCCCAAACTTCATCTCTGATTCATCGCTAGCTCCGCCTGAGCATAGCAGCCACTTTGGGCGCAAAAGTTGTATCTGATCCATCCGAGTCACTTCCCCCAGGGCACCAACCTGCTCCCAAGTCCCACCAGTAAGCACTCGTGACGACGATCTTTGCGCCCGCACTCACAGCCACCGCCGTATCCAGCTAGAGACACGCCTCACCCCCCGTCTCACCCACCTCCACTGAGGCCTTGCCCTGACCATGTGCATCGGCCGCCATCCACGCCTCACTACGAGTCCCGGCCTCAACAGGCGTCGAATGATGACCTTGAAGATGGCCCGCTCCTGCTCCTCATCCCACATATTTGCTCGTACGACCTCTGGGGTCGACGGCAGCTAATTCTCTGGTGTAAATATGTTGGCGGCGGCCAGAGACAAATGACTAGCATTTCGTCTCAGTCCGGCGCCAGTGATGGTGTTGGTGTTGAGGTTGGAGGGAGTGTCGTCCAGAACTTGCTGCATGTCGTTCTGGTGGTCGTTGTCTTCGTTCGAGGAAGACGAGGAGGAAGGGGCGCCGAAAGAAAAGGAGACTCCCGACATCTTGTCGGGTATGATTTGTATGATTTGGGTTTGGGTTTGTGCTTGTGCTTGTGTTTGAGCAGAACGAGACGAGGGTTGGTCTCCGCTGTCTGGGTTCACGAAAGATCGACGAGTAGAAATAAAACAAGACAAGCAAAGTCGGAGAGATATGAATGTGGGAAGAGTGAATCACACTGTAGTACCTGTTTTCCTCCATCAGAGTAATTCCGGGAATAATAGTAGCGTATTCACGGCACGGGTGTTGAATAGACAATAGAACAGCCCAGAGTCAATCCATATAAAGCTGGGTTTGCAACGAGGGGGGTCCGGGGGCTTGAGCACCGCATTGATGATGATAAGAAGTGCATTTCGAGAGAAAAGTCCTCGCAATTCAAGAGTCCCCATGTGATTTGGGATCACGGGACATAGGGAATCCGTTCAACGATGAATTCAACTTCGTATTTTTGCTGATGAGAATGGAAGAGGGATCCACTTTTTAGCGATACCAAAGAAAAGAGACAGCCACTGGAACAGCGAGAACTGCAATGAGCAGCGCCACACTATTAGGTACATTAGTGGAACCGGCTTAAAAGACAGGAGTAACACTCACTTTCTACTGCAAAGGCGATTGGTCCAAGATTCATGACTTTGTTTGCTTTCAGAAGAGCCTTTGATGTCATCACTTCGAGCATTGTTCCTGCCATCAGTACTCTCCAAAGTGGCAGATTCTGATTTCAACGAAGAAGGGGTTAGTCCAGCTCCAGTTTCCGTTGTGACCGAGTATGGTGGTGGTGCAATATCGGGTAGGGAGTCTTCCTTGTGTCCATCAACATGGGAGTTTACCTTCTCAGATTTCCGTTCAGAGACTTCCTTCGGTCCTTGGTCCTTCACTATCTTCTGGCCAATATTTGCTGGGACATTTGCTGGGGCCTTTCCACTCAACGCTGTGGCCGCCTGGCTACCTTTCAAATCCGAAGGGAGTGTGGATACGACTTCGTCCTCGACGCTAAACGGGATCTGTGCCGTATTATTCTGTTCAGGTTCCGGGGCTTTTGGACCGTCTGGTTGAACTCGAAGGATGTTGTTGACGTTGCCAGAGCCATCATCAGCTGAGAGAAGTCAGTCTGATGCGTGCTGATAATTTTAAAAAGACAATTTTGAGCGCACATACCTGACGGCGACGCGTCATCCAGGACCCACCAGTCACCAGGACCCAATCTGAACTTGTATTGATATTCCCCAGGTTGGAGGTCGATCTCAAATGAAAACTGGTTCTCGACAGGGCCAGGGGTTTCACTCCGCTTGACCTGCATCTCTAGGGGGCTCCATTTCGTGAAGCTTCCAGCGACAAAAACTGGGGGTTGAACGTCCGCTTTGCTGAAGGTGATAGTGGTGGAAACCATTTTGCTGTGTCCGTCGCGTTCCGCAACAATGAGGGATGAGTTGTCACTGCCAGCAGAACAAAGTTGCAAGAATGTTCACACAAGGCCGGAAGAAAAGACGGATAAAGAAGTGCTCTGAAGACTGTGAAATTGATATTGTCAGAAAAGAATACTGTTAGATGATGATAAAGAATGACAAGGACGAGGAAGTGTGGGAGAAGCAAATTCATTGTCTGGTGTTGAGCAGAGCGAGGCGCGATGCAGCTGTCCTCTCCTTCTTCAGCCGTGGGTTGGTACTGTAGCGCCGAGCCTTCTTCTCGGGGCTGCAGCAGTCACATGTCGACGTTGTGCTTTTGGGAAGGCATGGACAGAGACCGAGTCATGCACTGGCCATTCCATCATTGTTGGCAAAAAGCGGCGCGACATGGCATGCGACGCCCTTGCTAGATGTACAGAATGCACACGCACACACGACATGCCTCCTTTTGAGCATTGCTTCCCCGTTGGAATTCTTCACGTATCCAAGCCTTGGATAAGTTTCCTGACACCCCTTCTTCCAGCTCAAGAGTGCGAAGGGCAAAGGTGGAAGCCAAATTGAGATCGGAGAAACATATAAGTCATGAGCATAAGGCTTACCTCTTGACAATCAAAAACAACTGGCCCAGTCCCTGTCGAAAGCAATACCAATCCCTTTACTCTGCAAGAAGCACGTGCTACAACACAAGTTCGAGTATGCGATCCAAAAATATCCTACGAAATAATCAGCAATTGATATGGCCAGGCAGAAGGTTGGACAGTCCAACGTACAGGTCAACCCAACGACCTCACAGAACGTTGAGAGAAAGAATCAGAGAATTGTCGTAATGTCGAGGATATCAATGACAATGGGTGGCGACGACTTGCCAGTGCTCCTGTTCGCAATTTCCACCCTGCTGGGTCAAAGCTTCTGAAAATCACAACAGATAGGAATGTGAAAAGCTGGGGAGCCGCTGAGAGCAAAATTGAAACAGTTTGTCAAATCTGTCACACCACAAACCCAGTTTCCAGCGGCTTATGAGCTTGGGTGTTCGTGCCCCATATCAACGCTGCCAACCAAGTCGAACAGGGAACACCATGCTTGTCGGCTGGTAGCGAATTCCGCGCCGACCCCAAGTTCCCAAGTGCATTCTACTCGTATTTTCCAAGGATGTGGATGCATAAATGTTGGTTCTCCCCGCAGATATCAACTAACTGTGCTTATTGGCCGGATGGCTTGAGAAGCACATGCGATTGAGGAAGTTCAGATGAGTTTGTTGGGATGTCAGTTGAGGACGGCATTAGCTTCCGCTAAACACTCCACCAGTGCCTCGTACCCTTATCGAATCGAAGATGGGCTTGGGCAGCGCCACAAGTGGCGTTGGACATCCCCTGACGGCTATCAGTACAATTATTTTTACATGACATCAAGTTTTGTTCCATGGCCGCACCCTTCACCGTAAATACTGATTTGAATGGTGGAAAGAGAGTCACTTTAAGCATGAAAATGGTGGGTTTTTCATGGGCGCTACCTAGCCGAAACCGGGGACAGCCTTATCATGCCGAGGATCTCATTGCCCGAACGGATGATTGAAGCCGGATGGATTATGCAATGTGCTGCGAAACAGCATAAATACTGTCTGGGCCACAGTTCAAGGGCTGATGTGACATTTAAAGATGGCACCAGTAGAAGACCTTGCCACGCATAAATCCTTCCTTATGATATACGAAGCATCCAGAGGAACTCATGCCCAATATGTGCATCATTGGCTTGGGAAGCACAGGTATGCACGAAAACAAAAGCGATATCAATGACAAAATAAGGGGGATGTAGGTCCCCATAAAATGGAAGTTGCAAACAACCACGTGCTCATCTATCTATTCAACCCAGCAATCACCTTGTCAATACCCTTGACTTGGTCCCTCACCTGAGGACAGTAATGCTTCCGCAACAACTCTGCTTCCCAGACACCACTCCCAGTGGCCAGGACATTCGAGCCTTCGACGCTGTCACTCTCGCCACGGAAGACCCCGTCACCCTTCCTCTCGTCGCTGTACCATAGCGGCTCGATCTTGCGGGCGTGTTTGTCGGCGACCTTGGCCATGAGCGTCAGCAGTGCGAGGGTCGATTTCTCTGGCAGCTGCAGCGCCATCGTCAATAGCCGCTTGTAGAATGCTGCGGCCGTCATGTTCGGGGGTGGTTGTGACGGCGTCAGCAGGATGGACGTAAGTACCCGTGTGAGCAGTAGTATTGGGGTCGAGATGTTGACTTTGTTGCTGTTGGCTGGCGAAGCAAGGCTGGATTTCGTTCCTTCTTTCCGGTGCGGGTCTGCGAGCCGAAGTGACTTGGGCCCGAATTCCACATCGGCATCGAGCGCAAGCGGGTAGAGTGATCGGAAGGTGTTGGAAGTGAAGAACGACAGGTCGAGATGTAGGCTCGAGGCCGCTTTGGAGGCATCTTGACCAGACAGGAGCGTGAAGGCTGTTTGTGTTGAGAGGAGTGATTCACGCATTCGATTGCGCGTTGTGTCAGCGTCGATGTCAAGGTCAAGCGCGGAGAGTCCCGTGATTTCAATCTGGTCTTCGTCCAATTCACCCTTGACCGCTGCATCGGCTTCACTAATGATGTCTTTGAGTGCTTCAAGCAGATCCCCGAAGAAATCCTGATTGATGAGATGCGCGTACTTCGCAAGTCCTTCCAAGACCGCCCCCATCAAATGCGGGATCCCAGTCTTGAGGATGCGGAAGTAGGTGACGAAAACCATCTTGAGGGTTTCAGACTGCATCTTTTCCCGTTCCTCATAGTTCACCGTGGCGTCGGCCTCTTGCATCTCTTTCTCGACGGCTTTGCGTTCTCTCGCAAATTTCCGTTGCTTTTTGGACCGATGCTCGAATTTCTCCTTTTTGACTCTCCTCCCGTGCAACTTTGACATGTCTTCAGGTTTGTCTGTTTTGGTTGTCGAACTTTGAGCCGTGAGTTCCGACAGAAGACGTAGCTGGAAGAAAGTATTCAGGACTTCTTCCCGCACCCGGTAGTCTCTCGCTTTCATCATCTTCGTGACAAGAGTCACGGCTTCCAAGGATGCGGCGCCATCATCGTCCTCGGCAAAGAATTTCTCCATTGTCTCAATGCATTTATTGAGATCAGATGTAGCCTCTCGTCCCGCAAACTCACGTACTAAGACGTTCAACAACTCAGTGCGGAAGTTGAAATGGGGCACCGAAAGTAAGAGTGTGCAGACACAGCTGATAGCCACACTTCTTAGCGACGAATCATCCTCGTAGCCTTTCTTCGCTTTAGCGAGAGAAGCCAGCTGTTTGACATATGCGTGATATCCTGTGACGAGCGCCTGCTCGTACTGCCTTGTCTGCCGAACGTCTTTTGATATTTTGCTTCCCAGCTCTTCATCTTGATACGCTCGTATTCGGTAACCCGGGATGACATCTTTGTAGACTGCAGCCTGTGCGGCAAGAACTAGTTTTCTGACGGGCACGGGGGCGTGTGGTCCAGCGACCAGGGCCAGTTTCTTGAACAATCCCGCATGTTCTTCTGGATCTTCGTTGAGCAATTCAGCGATGCGAGCTATGTCCTCCTTCGCGGTTAAGATCTGTTGTTTCAAAGGGACCTGAGGAACAGGCTCCATCTCAGTGGGAGGTGTGTCGACTTCCTGATCCTGATCTCCATCTCCGTCTTCGTACTCCGGGCCAGAGCCTGAAAGGCTATCGGAATTGTCCTCGAGCGCAGGCAGCTTCTCCTGAAACTTCTGTACACGTCCATCGGCAGTGAAAACGGGTAGTCTGGATGACTCCTTGGACTTTTTATTCCTCGACCTCTGTTCGTATTCTTGCTCCAAATCCCAGTCAGCTGCTCGGGCAAGGAGATCACTGGACTTGATGGTCTCAGAGGGGACACTGTCGTCAGTAGGAGGAGTGACGCGCCTGCGCTTTGCAGGTCGACCGTGAGGCATTGATTCAAATCACTGTGAGAGTTGTTGAATACGTGGGCAGATTCGACGTCAGAAAACCGAAACCACTCCTGCAGAGCCTCGAAGTCGAATTGTGACAAAATTTCGTGGACTGCGGGGATTGGTTTATCCGGAGTTCAACCGATTACCTCCAATTATTTGTGCCTGGTTTGATAATTTTTTCGAAAGTTCACTTCACTTCGTTCATGAAAGTCCGACCAGTAATAGCCAACTCTAACCTCTCACAGCAGCGACTCCTCTCCTATATACTAACCAAAATGAGGCCGCTCACGGACGTCGAGACGCAGACCCTTTTCACGAAGCTCGCCAACTACACGGGCCGCTCGCTCACGCAGCTGATAGCGCCCGAGGGCGACTCGTCCGGCAACGACACCACCAGCAACGATCGCAGCGTCTTCCGCTTGCACGAGTCTCGAGTCTACTACGTGCGGCTCTCACTCGCGAACCTGGCGACGTCCATCGCGCGCGACAACCTCCTCTCCCTCGGCACCTGCGTGGGCAAATTCACCAAAACTGGCAAATTCCGCCTGCACATCACGGCGCTCGATGTGATCGCCCCACACGCCCGCTACAAGCTGTGGGTGAAGCCCAACGGCGAGATGCCATTCCTGTATGGCGGCAACGTCGTCAAGGCCCACGTCGGGAGATGGAGCGAAGACTGTCCCGAGCATTCGGGCATCGTTATCTTGGCCATGGACGATACGCCGCTGGGGTTCGGGGTTACCGCGAGATCGACCGCTGAGGCGAGAAAGTTGGATCCTACGTCTGTGGTCGCCTTCAGGCAGGGCGACGTCGGCGAGTATCTGAGAGAAGAAGATACTCTGTTCACCACCTGAGACCCTGGGCTTGTTCGGTGAACGCCCGATCTTCACCGGTCTCGTTGACATACGATTCACCTTTCCGCCTACGAGCGAGGAAGCAGAAACGTAGGGGGGAAAACAGGACGGGCGGGTTCGTGAGGATTAAGCACAGGACCACAGGACCCGGGGTCCTGGAAGGACTGCACGACCTTTGGAGTCACCGAGGTTCCGATCACTCGGGCCAAAAAGACCTGCTGGCTGATCTTCATTCCTTCTAGAAGAAGGTGGATATAACATACGAGAAGGATGCAGTGCCTAGATCACCAGATCTATTTCTGAGGGCTGTCATCGGGAGAAGACTCTTCTTCTCCCGAGCCCAAAGCCAGGCAACTATGCCGTCGCCATGCCATAACCACCACCACCTCCAAGCAGTTGTCAGTAATGCACGCGGAGACCGTGGTTGAGAGAACACCCCTTGCTTGTCACATTCCAAGATGTAGCGACGCCTCCATATGGAACCCAGAGGCCAGCGTCCGACCACCAAGTCAATGCAATCGCAGTCCGACATGGATTGCGTTGCCGGTAGGACTCGTTTTCAATGAAGGGCTGACTGGTCCCCTGGACCAGAAATAACGCAAGACACTGGCTAGGGCCGCCCTCCTCTCGTCTATCAGGCACGCCATCTTGCGGCAATAGAGATACTCGCACCGCAACTGCTCAGCTAGCCATGCAGAGGGGAATAGCTATTTGTGCAGGGGCCGACGATGCAGCTCGGGTGGATGACGGCAATTAATGGTAACCAACCAGTAATAATTCAATAGAGACGAAGTATTGAGTGCTGTACATCCAAAAGTTGTTGATTGCGACAAGCTTGACTTGGCTGGCCCGTCGACTTTTTCTTATTTTATCTACCGTCTTCTCTTTTCCCAGTCGTCCCAGTCTTTTTTATTGCTGCTGCCCCACGACCAGTTCTTCTCATCGTCGGTCCAGTTATCTCCATCACCGCCACCACCTTTCTTCTCGTCATCTCGCTGCTGCATCCGCTTCTTCCTCTCATCCGCGCTAATCTTTGCACTGTCGCCTTCAGAATTTCCCGGCTCCCAAGTAGTGTCTTCATTTGCTTTGGTCTTGAAAGTCCCAGGCGCAGACCTAGCAGAGCTGGAGACTCCTTGTCCCCACTCATCAAGCCACTTATTGTGATCGGCGGAGGCACCGCTCCTTTTCTTTTTCTTGTCTTTTTTCTTCGCCGTGCTAAACCCCCATTCATCGTCGAGAGCTAAATTTTTCATTGCTCCTGCTAGTTGTGCACTCGAATCGTCTCCTTTGTCGTTAGTCTTGGTCCCGGTTTGGGCGTTGACATTACCAAAGGTCCAGCCGAAATGACCGGTCGGCATCGGCGGCTCATTGGTGTTCTGAGGGAGTTGCGTGGTTTCTTCTGCAACGATGAGTGGCTCTGGCTCATCGTGTATCTCAAAGATACGGCCACGGATGGATTTATTTTCGTCGTCGTCGATGGTGTCCTCCACGTAGGTCGCTCTTGACCTGAGTGCCCCTATTTCTGGTTCCGGAGTCGTTGACCTCCGTCGCTGATCCCCAGCAGACTTGGTGATCGAGATGTTTACAGTCGGCTCTGTGATCGGGGCCACACCTCCAGTATATTTAGCCAACTGCATTGCTGTAATGTCCTTATCGCTCTGGGGTTCTTGCTCTCCGTCCCTCTCCATTTCTTCCATGGGCGATTCCGTAAAAAAATAGTGTCTAGAGTGAAGGGGCGGCAATCTATCAAAAGTTGGGGGCGATGGGCCTCGTGGCGCTCGAGCACGAGCACGAGCATGTGGTCCTGGACCTATGTCGTAGTCGGGCTCGTGCAGTGGGGACATCGAACGGCGTCTTCTGATCGAGGGCAGGTCTGACAAACCATATTGGTGCTCGTTTCTCCAATATACTTCATCGTCGCGACCCAAATTCGAATGGTCAGAAAATGAGCCTACCCGATCATCATAAAGTGATCTTCTCTGTAATTCTTCATCACGACGATCAAGGTAGCCGAGAGATGCCTCTTGTAGGCGCTGTTTTTCGTCGTCTCGATGTGGTCGAGAGATTGATGGGTAATGCTCAAAGGTGTTTATGGTTTCTGCTCGATGTACTCGTGGATACTTTGATCTCTGTTCCACTTCAATCTCAACCCGTCGTGGAGTGTGTGGTGGAAGCTCCGAGTCATATCTGCTCCGCCTCATTCGATCGCCTTGGCCATAGCCACTTTCTAGGAACGCTGCTTCATTGACTTTCCTCGAATTGATATGAGAGGAATCGTGTACCAGGATAGGCCGAGGTGCAATACTCCAATCTTTCCGCGTAGGAGCCAGAGGATAACCGCCAGGCATAGAGTAGTATTCCGCATCATACATGTCATACTGGGGTTGCCGCCGCGGCGGTATAGGTGATTCGGGCCCGTACCCTGTATATACAGAATGCCGTCGGTGCTCGCGCGGGGTCTCAGTTTGCCTTCCTGATTGCGGATACCTGTAATCGCGTATAGGAGAGTGAATCCGTATTGGCTCCAAGACATACTCGTCAAAAGGTTCCTCCCTGCCTCTCACACGAGGGTTGAATGAGTCCGTTCCGGCAGAACCATCTTCAAAACGTGTCTTCTTCGACCTCGAATGTCTTGTATCGCGGCCGGGTGGAATCTGGGGCCGAGGAGTGAGGCCATGATCAGGGACTACATACAGAATATTCTCAGACTCAGGGCGTTCTATGGTAAAAATCCCAGGTATTCCATCAATTGCAGTTTCATTCGTCCTCAAGCTAGAGAAGGTGACATTTAAAAAGCCGTCACGGTCAATCATTGAAGAAAAGAACTTTCGCTGTTTAATATGGGCTCTCGCCAATAACCGTTCAGCAGCGGGCAGGGACTGAAAGTCTGCGTAAGGGTCAGTAACTCAGGCTACGCAACGAACTGGTTGAATACGAGACCTTTATTGTATGTGACCACGGCAACAGGGCGATGTCTGCGGTCAATAAGAGAGTCAAGAAGCGAGGACCCCAGCTTTCGCATAACGATGTAGTCTGTGCCCTGTAATTAACGTTAGGCAAAAGAAGCGGAATATGCGGCAGAGAAAGGTCAAGACGCACCGTTTCGATGTAATCAAATCCCTCCTGAATCAGTCTGGATGGGTCGACCACGTCCACGGGAAGGAGTGTGGAGTAAGAGAGACCATCGTAATGGAAGACCTCGACCACGACGGCAGGCTGCTTCTGGCTCGAGTCTTGCCTGGCGGCGTTTGAATCGAAAATATTCTCTCGGCCACTATTACTTTGTGTGGCCTCTTGACTTTCATTTTCGGCATCATCGAGAGACTCGATCTCGGGTGAGCGGTCGCTACCTTGTCCATAAGGCCTAATTGGGTTAGGAGAGGGGGAGGAAGGAGGAAAGGCCAACCCATTGCTGCCGTCCTCGCCGTCATCGAGCCATGTTTTATACTTCAAATCAGTGGACTGTGGCATCCTGATAAGTACCAGCTGCACCAGTGAGTCCTTGCTAGACCGCCGGAGCTCAAACAGCGACCTCGCTGGTTTGCTCTGGTGGAGGGAGATCATGCTCCATTTGTGTTTCACGTCGCGTTGCTTTTCTTCAAAGACTTCATTGATCTGCTTCCTATACCATAGATGCAATTGTGCATAACGTTCCCACATGTGTCGGCTACTCCTCCTGTAAGCCTTGCTAGTAATGAATTCATCCAGCCAGTCTTCGGCAAGGGGCGTACAAAAGCGGGATTGAGATCTTTGATCAATACACCAGGCTTCCAGACGAGGCCTCTCGACAGGCTTTCTGGGATTGTGCCTTGGTCTCTGCCGTACCGGAATGGAGGATACTTGGGAGATTCGGTGATCTGAGGCCTGCGCAGCAGGGCTTTTCTGATGTTGCAGCAGGTTGTTGGTTAAGCTCGTGCGGTTCTGAGAGATCAAAGCAATTTGATTTGTAGCTCCAGGGTCAGGATACAGCGCACTGCCATTCAGTTCTCTCTCTGGACCGGGCAACATCAACAGTGCTTTGCTTAGAATTCGATGAATCTCTTCTTCGGGGACTTTGGCATCCTGGAGCATCCGCCGGAAGTCACGGTCTCTTTCCTCCTGTTTGTAAGCAAGCTCAGCCGCCTCTAAGCGTTTCCTTTCTTCCCATTCCTTGACGGCCTTTTCGGCGATTCTTTGCTCCTTTGCAGCTTCTTCATCTTGTAATTTCTTTTGTTCGAGTTGAAGAGCATGCAGGCGCAACTCGTCAGCTTTCCGTTTAGCTTCGGCATGTTGAATCTCAGCCCATTTGATGTAGTCCTTAAGATGCTCGGCGCTGGCATCATCTTGGATCATACTACTTTGTCTGCCACCTGATTGGCGTGCGCCTGTGCCAAATGCAGGTACAGAGTAAGGAGGCGGTTGGGTCTGAATGGTACCGGAGGCGTGAGGCGCTGAAGTACGCTGCCGAGTTACGGCCTTTTCATACTCAAGAGTTGCCCATTTCAATGTTCTCGTCCAGGCTGGAATTTCCGATATGGCCTGTTTCTTCTCCGCATCGGTGTCACTGAACAAGGTGAGTGCGGTGACAGCGCGGGGATATATTGAAGCTTACCCAGTCAGTGCAATCATGGACAAATAAGTCAGTGTAAGATCAGCTTTGATACGTGAAACCTCGAGCTGGGAGATCTCCAACCTGGGCTTCAGAAAAGCAAACTGGATCTTTTGGAAACATGAGAGTTCAATTTCATCAGAGCTGACGAGGTTTGGATTGATAGGTGTATTCTTCTTCTTGAGCATGGTTCGAATTTCGACAATGGCATCACTGTAGCGGCTAGCAAGGCCGGCAGCTTCAAGGACGCCTTTATCTCCATACAGCCTTCCCTTCTTGGCCAGGTCGCCTAGGCGCTCCATTGCCAGAGAGGTACTCTCGATCTCAGCGCCCATGCGAGTGAGAGTCTGGCGGGCATCTTTGTAATCCCCGATTAAAGTATTCAATGTCTTTGCGAGAGAAAAGCCCAATTGGGCCACGCCAACAATCGCGCTTGCCTCACCGATTCCCGCCATGGTGCTTCCAAGGGCAATCAGTCGACAGCGCTCATGGGGAAAGAAGCTGTATCAGTGAGAAAGAGTACGAAAACAATTTTCTGCGTACATTTCTCATAGTCGGAGGAATCATATGAGAGCTCAGTGATTGTCTAGCTCTCTCCAAAGCCCTCGCTATTAAGGAGATCAAGACTCAGGAGGCTGGGGAGCTCAGCCTCACGACGCCAAGCCTGATGTAGCTGCAGATGCGATGCAGATGATCGAGAAATCACCGGCCTTTGGGCCGTAGAACCCCTGGCTTCGGTAATTGGCCTGCCCTTGTCGAAAACAGTGAACTCCAGAGCTTGCAAGATCTCTTTTGAGAACACTCCATGATGAGGAGTGGGCACCCAGTTCTGAGTAGGAGGTATTGTTTGCGGACGAGCGGCCAGGGCATCTTTTCAGATGCTCTCCATCAGGCTACAGGCGTCCTCATATTTGGTGGATCGTAAAGTGTCAGTGGAGGACACGGACAACCTGGAGTCTAAGGTACTCTGTAGTACTCCGTTGTACTCCGGAGAAGTTGTGCAGCTCATCTTTCACTTGTTTCATATTCGACCATCCAGACAAAGAACATGCTCTGGTATCCGTGCCGTCCAACCTGGCTCTGCCATTGCTGGGTGCTCGTTGGACATTTGCCCCGGTCCTACTCTTAGTCAGGACTCCGTATTGCCAGCCTGCCCAGAGCCAAACATGGGAAGCCAGATCTGATTCGACCACCCATTGTGGCGCAAGCGCCGTGGCCGATGTTGCCGAAGGGTGGGCACATACGTAGACGTACATACTCACGAATAGTAACCACAGGCATCCTTGACAAGGCCACAACTCCACGAGGCAAACACGGTCCGTCACTGCGCCATGTGACATATTATAGGGAGTGGATCCCCAAAAGATGCAGCTTCGCAATCCTATCCAGATACATCGACGCTGAGATACGAGTAGACCGGAGACTCTCTGGGGGGTGTGCAGTGGTTAAGAAGGCCTCGAAACCCACTGACACCATAACACCACATCTCAACCCCACCTTCTAAATCGATCAAGCAAAGCAAGCCAGTGCAGGGACGAACGAACGAACGAGGCAGAGGCACGATGCCCTTCTTCAGTCGAACCAAACGCCGTCAACGTGCGGGACCGCTGACAGCCACGTCCACGCCCGCAACCACCACCACCACCACCGCGGTGTATCCTGTCTATCCTGTCTATCCCCACAGTCCTCCTCCTTACCAACACCCATGGCCCTCGCAGTCTGGTCCCTACATGTCTTCGACAATCTCTCTCCCACCAATGCAGTATCAGAATGCCTCGCACCCACAATACCACGGGTCGCAGCCACCTGCACCACCGCAACTTCAGTCTTTCCATTACCCAACTCCTGCCTACGGCCATTCTGCTCAACCGGCACCACCATTTGATTTGCATGCAACAATAGGAGACAAGCTGGACGACGTCATCTCGTTGATGGACCAGGGCGAGTTCTCCGGCAATGAACGAGAACTATCCATCGTCCTCCCTGATCCCCCCGTTCCAGAGTACTCCGAGCCACGAAGTTCCGACCGAGACGTGAAAAGAGCAGGCATCTATAGCAACGAGAAGAGACAGAAGGCGAACAACAAAAGATCACAGGGGCAGGGGAAACAAGTCAATGTCTTCGACAAGCTCCAATACTACATGAACTCCCGCTTACCGCCTTCTCTCCCGCCCTTGCGAGTCTACATGCCCACTTATCCCCTACTCTGTCTTGCTGCCCAATACTCTGCAAGTGCCTACTACAACCCTCAATCGCCTTCCGAGCGGAAAGACTTTGTCTCAGCAGATGGCCGTTTGGGCACAAAGGCCATGGTCATCAAGTCGGTTCCATGTGATGACAAGAAGACCATTGTATTTGCCATCCGCGGCACTAGTATGCTGAGCATCCGCGATTGGGGCGTAAATCTACAAACGGGCCCCGTGTCAGCTCAAGGATTCTTAGACGACGAGGGCAACCTTTGCCATTCAGGCTTCCTAAAGGTTGCCAAAGCTATGGTCAAACCTATTGCTTCCAGACTCCGTACTCTGCTTGAGGAGAATCCAAATCGAACGAGTTGCTCCCTCCTGATCACTGGCCACAGTGCCGGTGGTGCAGTTGCTAGTCTGCTATACGCCCATATGCTATCCGAGTCCATCCAATCTGAACTCAACATCCTCACGGGTTGCTTCAAACGAGTCCACTGCATTACCTTCGGCGCCCCTCCAGTCACCCTGTTACCACTGCAAAAACCAGAAACTGCAGACGGCCGATTAAAGAAGTGCCTCTTCCACGGTTTCATAAATGAAGGCGACCCGGTCGTGCGTGCTGAACGTGCATACGTTAAAAGCCTTGTCGACCTCCTTTCTCAACCCGCCCCTCCCAGCGACAGCCTCCTTCTAAAAACCCCAAGGCCCTCAAAACCCTTGAAGCCCTCCACCTCCGCTCTCAACCTGCTTAGTGCCTCCGTCTCTCGCCTAGATCTATCATTGAACCCTACCAAGAAAAAGCCGACTCAGAAGCACTCAAGATCTGACCTCCATCCTCCAGGCCAGAGTGCTTCAAACAAACTCTGGTGGGACATCCCTCCAGCAACATTATCTAACGCCGGGCGGTTAGTTGTTCTACGCATTCCAGCAGGCGGGAGGACTACAGACGTTACAGCCAGCATTGTTAGAGATGATCAATTGAGGCAAGTCATCTTTGGTGATCCTCTCGTGCACTCCATGGATGTGTACGCCGCCCGAATTGAAGCGCTAGCCGTACGTGCTGTGACTGGCCGGGGAGGCCAGTGTTGAATTTAGCAGACGTGGATTATTGACTTTTATGAGGAGCTGACAAGTCCATCAGTCCACCAGTGGGTGCATTATTATCAATGATTAAATGACGCAGGCATACGATACAACATGAGAAAAGGATCTCGATTTTGCAATTTGTGCTTCTGGGAAGAATTTCCCACAGATACTTTTGATACCTACGGTTAATTTGTTTCCTGCGGAGACAACGGCGAGGGGGCATCTTTGATGATTTCTTGTTTGCCCAGTTGATCTTCTCCTGGTTTCGAACTACGCAATGGAAACGCATAGGCCAAGAATTGTTTTATGTTTGAAGAGGGTAGCATTCATAGGTACATATTAAAATAATATCTCCCATTGCGGCGGCATGAGAATTATCTGACGCCGGATTATTACTCTCCACGGCATCTTTCATTCAGCAACAGGATAGTGGTCCTTGATCGACTACATCGTACAGGTACTTCGTGAAATGTAGAGCTCTTCGCATACTCCCCACGGAATGCAAGCTGAACATGCAAAATGTCCTGAGGATGCACCGGTCTGGACACCCCAAGGCCGACAGGCAGACCACCAATGAATGTCCTAGCTAGGTATTTGTTCATCATGGACCCGAAAAGGGTGGCCTTGGTCTCGTGCTCGGTTGAATGGGAAAAACCTATCATATGTAGTGGGATGGGACCGGGTGGAAAGGGTGGGGAACTTTCCCGTGTCTCCATTCTAACTCGAGTACTCGGTAGGGATGCGATTGTAAATAGGCAGGGGCACAGTAGGGAATGGTGGATGTACGAAAACGTGTATTCATGTCCACATTTGCCAGGTCTCAAAACACACATGGAGATGGTGGAAAGCGCGCACGTGCGCACACCGCCAGAAAGCCCATGTCGGAAAGGAAGGCATGAGTTGCTTGGAGCCTCGTCTCGAGGACCCCTCCCTCCCCAGCCCCTCAGGCAGCTTCCTCAGGTCTAGGCCGAGGGGGACCATTATTCTACCGAAAATTGGGCCAGCTGTCGGGATCCTGTGGCAGGGCGGGGCATCCGCCCAGTGCGGCTGCGATGTGGACCATTTGAAGGGTTTGGGATAAAGCAGTGGGTTACTCCCGACAGAGCACTTGAGGGATGGGATGGGCTGAGGCCGCGTCCACACCGCCGATTCTGCAGCTCGTTCAAGTTGGTCGAGATCACGCCTCAGCCCAATCGTACTCCGAAACGGGTCGACCAAATCTAATATGGGGAGTGTTGGCAGCTCCGGACGACGCCAGAGTCGCAGACAATGACGGATCGTCGGGTCGGAATCTGCTCGTTTAACCCGGTGGGGTCTTTTTCCCTAATGAGTTGGGTGTTTAGGAATGGTACTCCGTACCTGTGGAAAGGCCCTACATACTCGTAGGTAGTGCAAGAAGATAGTCCACAGCCTATGCGGCAACCCGACTTCAAGCACCGACAAATCGCGTCTTTCGAAATCCTGGGGGACCCCACACATTTGTTCTCGGATTTCGGTCCAGCAGCCGCTTCCTGAAGTCCTGGAGAGACGTCGCCTTCTGTACTGCCTGGGGCACGGCTTTGCTTGGCCGCGCTTGGCGGACTGCCATGTGCTTCGGAGAGGATTCCTGGACTGTTGAGGGAAAAGACGCTGTCTCTGTCAAGGTCGTCTGATCCTTGGCATCTGAACATGTTTCGCCATGGGATTTCATGGGTTGGTTTTCTGGGACAGTTACAAACGAATTATTAGTCAACGTGGCTGATCCGGCTTCAGTGTGTGATCCGCTTTCGGCATCATCGAGCGCAGATGTGTTGAGTCTGTCGACAGACTCGGCACTCAGCTCAGCAATCTTAGCTTCGTGCTTTGCAAAGTAAGGCACCTTGAAGCCTGTTTGGGCTATCACTGGATCCAGCGTTGCATCTTTTCCAGACAGAGAAGGTATCACGTCACCGGGAAGTGGGTTGGAACCTGCGTCGTCCACGGGCGCGAAATCACCTTGGAAAGTGATATCCTTTCCATCCATCTTGGTCGGGATCAGCTCTGAAGCATTGGGACTCGATTCGAGAACAATAGGGTCCAGATCATCTCCATCAACGAGCTTCTGACCCCCAGACTCTTTAGACTGCTCTAATGTGGATGGCTCACCAGCAGTATCTCTGAGCGTTTCTTTGAGAAAAGTCTCCTTCTCAGAAGGGGAAGTATCAGCAGGTCGGTCAATTTTTGGCGAGTGCAGTCCTCCGGAGGAACCCTCTTCGAGGCGCCGCCTCTTGTGGCCGTGGGCCAATCGGTCGGTGGACTTTTTCAAAACAATACTCACGACTTCCGGGGTATCGTCGCTTTCATCCGACGCTGACGTTGTCGTAACAGGCTCTATCGTAGAGGAAAAGGGCCCTTTGTCATGCTCATTGTTGAATGCAACTTGATTCGCCGGTTCCTCGGATCGAAAGCGCTTGTGCGTGTTCAAAGGAACGGCCGTAGACCTTGGTGGTGAAAATTTAAGTCTCTCTGGCAAGTTCAGGCTTTCCTTTTCGGTTGGATCGACTGGCGGACCCGGAGCAACTATATCGTTGAAGGCGTTGGAGGCTTCTAGCATATCTGCCCGGGAATGTGTCGTTGGGCGCTCTGGGAGTAGCGTTGGGCTTCGCTGTGCCAGTTCTTGAGCCGAATCGCTGACCGCATGCTCACTGTCTTCATTGCGTTCTTGGACGAGAAATCCATCAACATCGCTATTCGATTTAGCTTTGCTCGCGGATGTGCCCATGGTGCTGACAGGTCTCTTTGTTGAGTCGCTTTGCCGAGGTGATGAGCGCGTTTTGCGAGTGGTGGATGGTGAATCTGTAGGTCTTGGCGTTGATTGTGTTGTCGTTGGTACAATGACTTGAACCTTGCTTGCGGAGACTGGCGTTGACAAGCCTTTCTCCTGAGATCTTGTGGTTACCATTGTTAGCAAACTCTGGCGGCAGGAAGAGCTTCGTGGGGCAACCCTTCAGTTCCTGGCCAGAGAAACGGTCAGCGGCATTGAATATAGTTGCGAATGTGTTTTGAAGGAATTTGATTCTACCACTTTGCCAGCTCAGAGTCGTCTCCAGCTTGAAGCAATAACCTGGTTCAGGCAGGCCGTTTTGCAAGGTGGACCAAAGAAACTTCAGGCCGTTCGGCAAAAATCGAGAGCAGAACTCATCTAATCTTATCTCGTTGTGGATTGATTACCTCGGCCAATGAACGCCAGTTTCTGAAGCTCCACAATGCTTCTATGCCTTCTACGTCATAGGCTTTGTCAGCGACCACCAAAGGGACCGCCGCTCTATTCCTGCAGTACTATTGTCACAAGGTGCAAGTCCAAGGAATCGCTGTTTACGCTACGCAAGACTTTTCATACGCGTAAGCTACTCACTGCTATTACGAGCTCAAATGCAGGATGCATTAGCTGTATCTCAAAAGAAACGATCTCTCGCCTAGGTACGTACGAGGAGGTACGTTACGTACAGTACCATATGGAGCACGGGGAGTCCGTGTGATAATGCGAGGTTGTCACCAGCCGCGCGGAGATTTGCCGATGTGCCGTCTCCGCTACCGGAATGTGCTTGCTGCCCTTGAATAGAGCCAATCTTGAACAGCTTATTCCATGTCCTACGCATAATCTGCTTTCGAAATAGGTCGAGGGCTCTGTGATCAGAAGAAGAAGAACTACCTTGCTTCCTCAAGTCTTTTGCCACGTGCGTCACTGGATAGGGGGAACGGAACGCCAACCAAATACAACACTAGTGACTAGATAAGCAGTCGCTTCTGGAGCGACCCGGTCAATATGACTTCCATGGCGCGCGCAACATCTCTTGATCACCTGGTGCTGACTGTCCAGGATCTGGACGCCACCATTAAATTCTACGAAGGCGTTCTTGGCATGCGACACACCTCTTTTACGTCGCCCACGGCGCCGTCGGTTACGAGGCACGCACTCAAGTTTGGAGTGCAGAAAATCAATCTGCATGTCAGTGGACACGAATTCGAACCAAAGGCGGGGACCGTCCAGCCAGGCAGTGGAGATCTTTGCTTCCTTGTTGAGGACAATGTGGACGACATCCTTGAGCGTCTCAATGCTGGCGGGGTCAAGGTTCTCGAGGGAGGGCATGTGGTCGAAAGGACGGGTGCGCAGGGTCGGCTACGAAGCGTCTACATTCGTGACCCTGATGGCAATCTCATTGAGTAAGACTCGACTCCCAAATGCAACCCAAAGTCCCCATTCTAGGGGCCGTAATCCTGTTTGATCCAGTTGGCTGATCGTAGTAACTATGAGTTGAATAGGTTGTCAAACTTGGTAGGAAGAGAGAGCTCGTGATTACCTCCTCTCAAGCTATGCCTAAGTTGTCCTGGACCATTCAGAGTCTAGATAGAAGCTCAAGAGTATTGGATCACAAAGAATTATTGAACGACCTCTCCCTGGCAGGCACGACACTCTGAGATTTGTGCCAATAGAAGAGTATTTTGGCGCTTGTCCTCTCACTCTCATTGCTTGAAAAGGTCAAACCAGAGCGCAGTTTGTTTTCCTCGCTAAACTAACCTATATCGCTCAAGATTGTTGCCATCACCCGCGTAAAGGACAGGCAATTGCAAAATAACAAGCCTACGGTGGGTGGTCGCTCGTGCGTGTAGAGCTAGTTCATGCGGCGATTAGACCTCTTTGCAGAGTCTCTCCTCCATACAACCCAAAGGCTTTGTATTGCAGAAAGTTTATATGCGATAGAGTTGAGACAACATTGACTTCGAGGGAGAAGAGCAGATCGAGACTTGGAAGGAGAGAGCTAGGAACGATTGGGTTAACGCCACAAAGCCCTGTAAGCCTCGGAAATGACAGCGCATGATCGAGGCCTTTTTACGGCCAATCAAGGCGGCATCAAAAGAGGATCTTGAGGATTGTTCATTATTGGCATGAGTTGAATCAAGTAGACGTGGACAAACAAGGCCGTGGCCGAACTCGTCTCGGGGCTGCCCAGCGTAAGTTGGTCGGTCGGTGATTAATTAACCTCTGATTGACGGGGAATTTGTCAAATTGGTCCAAGAGTGAACAGAAGCGAGCCATGCTAATCACCATTCCCGGTCAGTTTTGGCGGGGACCGCCAACAGTCTCTGCATGTCAAGAGCTATCATATCACAGTGCGACCGGTGGCGCTGTGAAGCTTGACATTGGTGACTGGAGTTGCAGACTGAGCCTCAAATCGTCAGCTCTTCCAGAAGTTCGGGGGGCGAAATGTCCACGAGAACCAGATGTCCCTCAGTCTACGAGGTACTTGTAGCTGAATTTGCGCGTGCGACCCTTCCTGAGAACAGTTCATGGTGCTCTGGCAGCTGTGGAAGACAGCTAAAGCTCACAGGATTGCAAAAGTGTGTTTGATCAAGAAAGAGGTCACTGCGTGGCCGGTAGTTGCGCGGGGTGGATTCTTCCACTTTGTTTCGTAACACTTGTAAAGTTGTAACTCTGTCGCCAATAATTAGAGCATAACATTTAGACCCAGAGCGTAGAGTCTCGGCAGTTGTAAGTTAGAAGAAACGGTGACCAATCCCCCGGAGGTTGAAGGATCTTGGGGCCTGTACCCTGCAAGCCTTGAGCAGAGAGGAAGCTCAATAGTTGCAATAACCAAGCACGTCGTCGAGGATGCGTTCAGGCTAGGTTTCAAGATGCGCGGGAGATGCAAGTACTCGTACGAGACATCGTTATGCCCGGAGGAATGCCCTTGAAATCTTCAGCAAGCCACTGCGGCTAGGAGGATGCCTTTCCGTAGTCGAAGACCCCCATTTGGCGAGGAGACGAGCACCTAGGAGACATGGTTCATCGCTCAGCGGCATTTGGTAGGCCCCAAGTGGCTGTCCTGCAAGCATACAATATTCCCGGCAAGACTTACATAGGCCCTTCCTTGATTGCCTTTAGCTTTGGCGTCGGAAGCGATAACCGAGATCAGGCAAAAGGAACCCTAGCACGGGAGGCCGGGGCAGGGGAGCACTCGTATCTTTTTCTCTTCTGCTGTTCCATCCGTCTTGCAATTGATACTCGGTACGAGGACCAGGTAGTTTCATGCGTCCTTGGACGATCTTTCCTCGATAGAGCTACCGCCACTAAAAGCCATCCGAGGCATTTGCTTCTACCTCATATCTAATGAGGAATCCGTGGGAACTAGCCGTAGTTGGGCCTATGCGGTTGCCAGAGTTGGAACGAAGATGCCCACAGCGGACGGAATCTCTGTCCCCCAGTGCCTGGCTGGTCCAAGCTCCACGACAGGGTCCCCAAACGACAGAGGCAAGAACAAAGACCTGAGGATTGTGCCCCCTTCGTTGAGTTCTTTCTCAACAAGCAGCGCGCTAACCTAGTGCTCAGCTTGGCTGTCGGTGATGCAAGCGAAGATGACAGTACTCGTACCTAATCCGTGAAGGTGGTGGAGTGTCACTTTGGATAGGGGGACCTATACCTCGCCCTCCATCCTGTGGAAATTTATCATTCTTGACTTGATTGTTCAACTTGACCAGTCACCGACGAAACCAACAATGAGCACTGCCCCTCTGGACTGTCGTAGAGCTAAGCTCGTCACAGTTAGTGGCATGGAACGTCAACCAGTCATGAAACATCCGAGGGAGTGGTCAACTACTCGTAAAGGGCATGAGTCCGGGCTCACCAGGTCAGAGGAGAGGTCAGCAAGTAGCGAATAAAGTCATGCAACTTAGAACTTGCGATGATGGTCATCTTAGTCATTTGTGCCTCGTACAATACTGTGCTGTGTCAGACAGCTCTCCGTATTGGTGTGCTCGATCACGTTGATCCAAGGACGTAGCAATGTCGATCTCCCCAAGGGAGCGATGACATTCACTGGCAACAATACGAAGGACCATCACCACAGACACGAGATACCCTGGGCGAGTTGAGGGGCGGGCAGTCTTTCGCGTTTTACAGCCGCGTTGTTGCGTTGGGAGGAAAGGAGGAAGTACTGGGTCCATCCGCCCAGGCCCTCCCTACCAAATACCCCGTCCAGCTGCTCTGTATGTGCTCCGGGGGTCGGGACTGTCCATGCGTCAATCCTGGATGGGGAGTCTGTTCTGAATATAGCACAATCGTTTGTTCAGAGCTCGTTTCGAACCCTCTCTGAAGAAGCACTATCCATGTGTATCTTAGCACACGCCTGAATGGTTCTAGGGAGAGGGACCCGAGTTCGCCCCAGTCACATTTTGGCCCGCCCCATGCCCACTACCCGCCATCCGCCTGGACTCTGCACGCACGGAGCACACCGGCCCATGCAGCTGGACCAGCACCAGGGAGAGAAGGGATCTGCGAGCCCGACGAAACCTTATAAACCTCCGAGCCTGATGCTGACCTCTAGGCAGTAGTGAGTGGTTAGAGGCGTGCCCGTGCCAAACTGCCAACCCTCCACCGCTTCCAACCTCGGTCCCAAGGGGTGGTGCATGCTAAACCTCATCAGAGAACCGAAGGTTGAGTTTGTGTCAAAGTCGGCCAGTGAGTCAGCGACACGGCTATACGTGCTTTCTCACTGGATCCTGCACAGACCAGGCATGGCTCTCGGGACATAGGACCGGGCGGTCTTCCAGAATTGAGATTGGTGTCTGGTGTTGAGGAGGGAGAAGTTGACGTAGTCCCTTCAAGATCAAGCCTTTGAGCTGCCCAGTTCCCAGTTCCCAGTTCCCGGTAGCGGTAGCGCGTGAAGGGATCTCCCAGGCTAGCTTATTTCCAACCCATCATCGTCATCAGGACGCCGTACTGCCATGTCCACCGTGCCTTTTGCCTATCCTGATTCTGTCTTGACCTGTGCCCTGTCTATCTATCGGGAGAGGGGTTGACAACTGATATGCCGTCGCCGTCGCCGTCGCCGTCGCCGTCGCCGAAGACTCTTTGGTCTTGTTGGTCTTTGTTGGTCTAGCTTTCCTTGGTCTTGTTTGCAGTGAACTAGCATCTGTTGCCCTTGACCTCTTCCTCTTCAGCGTCCTCGTATCCTTGCCCCATTCATTAGGGAGGATCCCTCCGAGCGTTCTGACTGTTTGGTTTGATTCGGAATTGCTGCTATCGCTTCTTGGGTCATACCCGGCAGTAGCCAAACATATCTGTCACTATATTGAGCAGGACCCTAGGCGGTTTTAGCCCAGTTTCCTGGGCCCATGGTTGTAGCAAAGCCGCATTTTTGAGGTGCCATCCCCGTTTTTGCTCCACCGCGATGTACGGAAGACTCGTATGGGTGAACAGCCGTGGTGCTCTCTCTGGTGGTAACAGTCATACCAGTCTTGGTCCCTCGCTAAAGCTTCGCGAGTCGGCCATGCACTTCCCTCGGGATCCTTGCACCCCCGGCATTCGAAGACGAGGGCTCTTGAGGCCCCTAAACTAGTTTCGATCCCGTCGCTTTCAAGGGCTACTATTGGCTTCCCGAGATGGTTGAACCCACGGAAGACCGAAGGGGCCCCTGGAGCCATCCACAAAACCCAAAACTACGAGAAAGCCTTTCCCCAGTCTCCTCGTACCACAGCCTTAGGTGCCCTGCAACACTCACATCCCTGGCGGGCTATCAGAGGACATTCTGTATCATAGCGCCCCTAACCATCCTGGGTGGAAGACTTTCCTGGCCTCATGAAGTCGGCAAGGGTCCAATCTCAGGAACCTGTACTCCCTGCCTACGGGGTACTTGGGACGAAGTACTCGCATGCTACCGGCCAGTGGTGCCAGTCTGAGTGGGAGGTGGATTGACCTGCCCTACTACATGTGCTCCGTACGGTAGACCCGTACCCGTAGCACGGCTCTGGGCCAAACAAGTCAGAGATCACAAACAGGCATGCTGCCCGTGCCGAATCTCGGTGATCACTGGCGATCCAGTCTTCGGCCTCTTGAATCCCTTTTGCAGGCTGTCCCCATCACATTTCCCTGTCCTTGCCCTGCCCTGCCCTGCCCTGCCCTGCCCTGCCCTGCCCTACCAGCCGCCGGATGTTGATCACGCCACACCTTTCCCATCGCTCCCCCTTCCTTTTGATCGAAGCCGCTACTGTATGCCTGTGGCACGGATCCCTGTCCCTAGATTACGCGAGTCCCAGTTCTTGCTACCCAACAATGGCCCCAACGCCAAGGAGGCCCTGCTAAGCTCTCCAACTACCTGGGCCTGGCCATTCGTCTGCTTCGAGAAGAGTACTCCTACTCCTAGGTCGTCATGTAGATGCTTTCTTTACCGGGTCAGCGTCTGATGAAGAGTTGTGCTCGGTATTTGGTCAATCTACCATGACTACCGCTGTACATCTTCTTCTTCTTCTTCTTCTGGTTTCAGCTTCTACTGCCAATCACATACAGCTGTCCTCGGCACTTGACCCAGTTCACCAGGGTGATGCAACCATACCATCTAACTCGCCCATCTAACTCTGCTATTGCCGTGCCGTTGAGTTCCCACATAACACCAGTGAACCGTGTCAAGGTACCTCCCTGACACCAATACCATCACTGTCATCCTTAGAGCCTTCACTGCCGCCTCGAACTTTACAGCCGTCCTGCGGTCTAGATGATTACCAACACTTTTCGTCTCAGACCAGCCGTCCCGACCGGCACACCGCAAACGCTACTTACAGGCCTTGCAAGGTATGAAACAGAACTATGACCTACGCCAGGCTGTTGATATATATAGACCTATCCACGGGTATTCGATAGCCACTTGCGATATCAGTGAGTCTGGACAGAACTCCATATATTCTCGCCCTAGCAGTAAAAGCTCGGTATCCGATGCCTCCGCCCCTGTTGGAGGAGCCAAATCACTCTCAATGAATGAACCAGCGCATGTCCAGAAACCGGGGTCGACGACCCGTCGCTGTCAACTTCATATCAGACAGCAACCGAGGGCAGCGAGGGCAGGCCCTGATGGGAAGGACCGAAGGTATGTATTGTCTGCCCACCATGTTCCTTCACTTTTAATCAATCCCAAGGGCTATTGACCCTCCTCCAATCCTCCAATTGCAAATGCAAGACTTCGACCCAGATTCGAAGCACGACGTGGCAGAATTGTCGAGTCCATTCTGGGTGGTGCATTGCAAACTAGTGGCAGCACAAACACCAGACAAAGATGTGTCCACAATGTCTCAAACCACCGAGGATGGGCGAAAGGAGGTGCAACGTCTACTTCTGGGCACAACTGTGGCAAGCCCGACCAACACAGCTGATGACCCTGATCCGCCTACATTTACACCTCATCCTCGATCAGAGACCGCTATCGACGTCCCACCGAGCCCGACCTCGAGATTTCTGCCAATCTCAACTTCACGACCTCCTGAGCAGACCCGGCCACCGCACCGTACTCCTGGTACTTTCTTCATCTTCGCCGATGTGTCCGTTCGCAAAGCTGGCGAATATCGACTTCAATTTGTTCTCATGAAGATGGATACTGTGCATTTAGCTCAAGGTGCTGTCATCCCCGCTATCGACACAGTTACAACCGATGTTTTCAGGGTTGTCAATGCGAAAGATTTCGACCAAGTACAACCAAGCACTAATCTAGTCAAGGGCTTGCTGGATCGTGGCGCTGGCTTTCCGTTAAAACTAAAGAAAGGTCTACGGGATGGCCAACGGCGGCGGAGACAGAACTCTGGGGGCGATTCTGAAGACGAATCCGACGACGCCGACTAGAGCTAATCACTCTAGGTTCCTGAAGCCATGTAAGGGCATTTTTCACCTTATTCACCTTACTCGTGGACATGGGATTCCAAAGCCTCTGGGAGAGCGTATTCGGTCTCCAAGTGAGTGAACATCAAGTTTTGCACACATGCCTTTGCCTATGTCCAGGTGAGCACCCTCGGTCTAACTTCTGGCTACATTGCAATGTCTACGGCTCCAGTGATTGTTTTGGTAGACCGTCTGGCATCCAGGCGTTTCAGATTCGCACAGACAGAAAGCTTAATTGTCATGCAATTCAATCGGTCGTCCGGGGGCCAATTGCAACATTATGGAGGAAACATTCAGAATAAGACATACTCCCGGCTTTGAATAAAGAAGATCGACGTCATTTCCAAGGAAAATCGTGTTATGGGGTCATTCCCGCCATTCCCAATGTTCAAGAGCTAGGCTAAATGACGGGATGTTCGAAGAGACGAGTAGGGTTCTTGGTATACCACGACGACACCACTAAAGTTTGGGTAGGGAGTCAAGTTCTCGACCAGTCTGGACGCTCCACCTTGAAAATGAATTTCTTGAATATAAAACTAACGTCCGCAATCTATCAACGCTGTGAGCGTTTCTTGGCGAGTTGCCAAGATTCACAATGTTGGGATACAGTTGTAAATTTCGCCACAGTGTGAGGTAGAAAAACGACGAGCTCCAGATCCCCAAGCATGATGGGAATGCTCTACAGGTCTGTATTTGAGCCGGCCACGCTTTGGAGGATTGTTCCGTCCAGCATGAAATGCACGGGCTGCGGACTATTGGCGGAAACTGCATCATTGTGCAGCGCGCGAGACGGCCATAGGGCGAGAGACAGCGAGAACCAAACACAGCCTTCTTCCATCGAGCCGGCACCAATATCTGTAAAGATGACAGATTCTAAAGTTTAGAGGCTCTGTGAGCATTCTGGAAGGGTGTTCTAGACCACAATGTCAGGCTGTGTCAAGGTCTAGATCATTTGCACCCAGTTCAGTCCTGTTTCTGGCTCGTTTGCTGGGCCTAGACACTTCTTTGGGCCAATGTGAGTAGACTCGGGCAAACTCAGACACGAACAGTCTCTCGGATTGTCTTATATATACTCTAAGCGCAGACCTTGCGTAGCAGGAAGGTATACATACAGAATGTGCCGTAGATCTGGATGCTACAGTATTTGCATTGAGAGGTATGACAGGGTCACTATCAAGCGGGTTGGACGTTTCACCAAATCTATCCAAGCCTCCGGGGCAGGTCGTCATTATGGGCCGGCGAACCCTTGTCGACAGACTGACTGGTTAGATATTAACATCAGGAAACCACTATGTAAGTCATTTCCCCCTCAACACACTGATACATGCTCAACGGGGCCGAATTCAAATACTTCGCACAGACGATGTCATCCATCCACAAACTCGTATCGATTGCCGTCGTGCGTAATGTGGCGCAGCCTCGGCCCCAACTTGAAACCGGCTTGCAACATCGAACAGGGAAAGCCGAACAGCTAAGATAGCAAGCAAGCATTCGCACAAGTTACTCGGGACTGTCTACCCATTAACGAATTATCAGGCAGTAACGGGGAGTCTCCTCAATTCTACGAGCAACAAACATTCCAGCCAAAAGGCAATTCCCCTACACTTGGCCATTTTCGCTCCCAACCCTTGGCTGTCTTGGCTTTTAATGCCATTATGGTCACAAGATCCAAGATCAAAACTCTGCTGGTCCTACGAGTCTAAATTGCACCATCCCAGGTCTTTTGGCCTAGCAAGAATGTTTCCTGAAGAAATTTTCGTGACTCATGATACTGAAATATTGCCCTGCAGCTCTCGGATTGGGATCATATCCAAAGCGTGCTTACTGGAACGTCTCTGCAGCGCGAGATATCCAGTACAATCCCTGACACGCCCAACCAGAAGATCGAATACATTGGCCAGGACTTGGCCTAACGAGAAGCGGAACCTCTCAAGTGTGGTAGTCGGGCTACTCCAATCCTCTGGGTGTTCACAAAGGAGAACTGGCTTCTGCCATAGCCTAAGCCATCTGTGGTAGCAAACCAACGTGTTTTGATCCAGTTTCAGCTGGTCAACCAAGGCCAAATGATGCCGGAAAGAACACTGCTTTGTAGAAGAGACGTTCATTAACTGTATTGAGAGCAAAGCGTAAGTCAAGCTGCAATGAGACAAGATTCAACTATTCTTGCATATCAGTACCGCGATGTGGAAGCATCCACGGACAGTCAAAACATATTCTACGAATACATCAATGGCGTCTGGTCCTGTATGGCGGAATGCGGCTTTCAGCTGTCAAGTTGGCAGCCTGTATGAGGTTTGGCCACTCACATTTGCACCATCTGTTTTATACAGCTTAAGTTCAGAATCTGGTTCGACTGCGCCCTGGGGAGTCGAAATGTCCTTCCATTGAACTGTAGAAAACCTTCGACCGTCCCCTTCCATGGTTTGAAGGACTTGCAATCCAAATTCGTAGGTCAAAGTTCGTGACGGGCCCAAGATTGCGGTCGTATATGGCATTGGATCAAGACCAAGAGTCTAGTGTTTGTTTCTGTATAGAGAGTTCTGCTCGAGATATTCCATCTAAGCTCTCTTGGTCGATGACCTCAGCGCTCGTGCTATGAGGAAGTTGAATCCCTATACTCTGGGCCAAGCTTTGACTTATGGCATTCCTGAGAGGTTGCGAACGCACTATGCTTAACCTGCTGGCCGACACGCCTAGCTGGCTGATTTGGAATGGATTATTTCACCCCAATATCTCATGGAAGAAATGACGGGGGGGGAAGTAGCCTCCTCTCCATTGACCGCTTAGCCAGATCAGCTGCTGTATGGATCAGACGTTGTCAATGCCACTGATCATAGCAAAGCAGTAGAGCACCTTTGATGGCTCAACGACGCTCCTATTGTCATCACCTATTTGGTAGAAGAATGAATTATGCAATCGCAGTCTCAGCATTGGAGACCACCAGTGTGATCTGCTCCCATAGCTAAACTGGCAGTAACGTTTGCTTAAATTTTCAAAGCTCTACCTACACCTGTTGTGAAAATTCACTTCTGCGCAGCATCGATTGTTATGCAAGCGACCTAGCGGATTACCAGGTCTTACATACCTGCCATTCATTCGCAGATATCAGGCTGAGGAAGGCCTGGTGGTACAGAGTTCAATGATCGTCCAAGAATGCACACATACTACCAGTTAATAGCCTGCGACTCATGCCCTAGTCTCCACGACACGACGGCTGCATGAGCATAGGTGCGAAATGAGTGACCGACCAACGCTTTTGGATTTGGAGGGAAGCCTTCACTCGGTCAGCCTCCAGGCTACCGCGAAAAGGAAGTTGGTGATTGCCAGTGACAGGCGAATACGACAATCTATTGAAGGCTGAGTGATTGAGAGGACACTTCACAACCTGCCAGTGGCAGGTACACGAGTGGCTTGTCTCCTCGTGGGTTTGGATTCCATAAAGGCAATAGTCATAGGAAACGGGATCGTGGCTGACTCCTCCAGAATCGGTCGGAAAGACGACTTGACTCGACGACAAATCCCTCTCCAGATTTAAAGTTCTTTGAGGGCCCTCGAACCTTGTTCATGGCTTGAATATCCAAATACGGACTTAGCGAACGTTTCTTTGCATCTGCGAGCCAGCGCGAAGACATCGGGCTGTGCATGGGAGTTGACTTTTGGACAACCACGCCTCGAGCGGGAAGATCAAGCACATTTCCCTCCAAAGCAGGGCGGGACCCGGAAAACAGGATGGTGACGAATTCTGCAAGTGGGAGGGTCTCCGCCAGTCACTGGGGACGATGATCGAAGCCTGTCAGTCAAGATGATGCCCTTTTTGACTTTCATTTCCCTCCCAGGATCGACGTGCAATGTTTCATCCGATGGACTGACTGCCAACCTATGTAGAAGGTAGGATTGAAAATTACTAAACCGTATGTGCACTGGGCCAGTCTTCTTGTTTACCTTTTATCGCCCCTCTTTGTACCTACTGTATCAATTGACTTGTACTAAAATCCGAACGGGTTGGCCCGGTGTCAGTCGTGGCTCGTGCATTCCTTTTGTCAAGTCTTTATGCTTTCTAACGTCGAAAGTGGTACATAAAGTTGCTGTTTTGTCAGAACAGGTTTGAACCTTCAAGATTCAACTCTTGCCTGGCGGAATTCGCCCACAACAGGGCTTTTTCTTTTGTGGGGTTCTCTAACCTGAAGAGAACGAGAGTTCCGAGTACCCTGTACCTTGTGCGAGTCTGACCCTGTGTAGCAGAGAGGAAATTCAAGACCCGGTAAATTCTAAGCTACGGTTTCGATGCCGATCCTGTCTCGGTTGCAACGATATCGGCACCACTTGCCTCTGGCGTCATAGTTGAACCAAAGGGATTTTCCAATTTGTGGCCCAACTCTTCGGTATCCTCCATGCCCCAGGGTTGGGATCGTGCTCCTTCGTGTCCACGACACTCCTGGGTAGAACATGTTTCTAGGTCTTGAAAGGCCGTTTCCATAAATAGTTCTGGCCGTAGAAATCCTTTACCATTGCGACCAGACTTGAGATCTCCTATCCATGTTTTCTAGAGATAGATCTGCGACCTGCCTATTGTTCCCTTCACTAGGTCGGGTAAGTCGGGGACGTTGGGAACTCATGTGAGCGGAGCGGAAACCAGGGAGACTCATCCTTTTGTAATCCACTTGGCCTTGCTCTTGTACAGTAGCTAGGTAACACACAAAGCTGGAGCGGCACGATTGACCTTTTTGGTGAACCTACATGTAGGTAATATGCCTGGGGGGAGTGCGGGGGTGGAAGAATGCATAAGTTATTGTGAACATTCAATAATGTCTAAATTTCTTGATGGGGTAATGTCTGGTGATCATTTGATTCGCCTAATGTTGGGCCTGTCATGTCTGCTTGTATTCGCACGTCCGCGTCGGGCTTCTACACATACTCGTATGTCAAGGTTTGATTGCTCGAGCACTCTGGCAAGCGGGTAGTTTTCCCATGATTTTCAAGTTTCCGGAAAAGATCCACGTCAAAAGAGAAATGGTGAAGAACAAAGAAAAGGGAAGATGGTCGTCTCCCCCATGATTCTGACCGTCAGAAATGGGGGGCAATGCTCGACTCCGGCACAAATATGATCATTCGTTGTTACATGAAATTGTTAGAATCGACGACTTAGCGGAGAGTGCCAGAGGAGCATGTTGCATTCGGACTGTTGCAGTAGTCCTTGGATTCGGATAGTATTGTGCGGAGACATCTAATTCCCCTGCCGTTTGATAGTATACACCTTGTACATGTAGTTTGTCCTAGTCATCACGAATTTACACATCAAAATAATCGTCTTTTGAGCGATGTGGGTGGTTGACAAAAACATGGAAAGATCCACGCGAAAGACATTGAGGAAGACACCGCAGAGCATCTTGCCTGAGTGACTATGACGCATTTAACCACCGTAGTTATTCCCCTGTGAAGGCTTCGCCATAACAACGGTGAACCAACGGCTGCCAAGACATGTCGAGCCACGACTTGTTGAGTAGACCTCAGCAAATATGTCTCTTTCACTACGTGTTTTGCGACAATGGAAGTCGGCAAGGCGCAGATGCTGGAGCAAATCGACTTGAGCAGCGGATCAAGTTGTGTAGCTCGCCCGCTCTGTAGCATAATGTGGTTTGGTAGTAGCCAGCAGTGAGCAGAGGCTCGAGCTTATAGAAGAAGTTTCTGCTTATATAGCGGTTCAGCTTCCAGTAGCATAATCGAAGTCATGTCCCACTCGGGGCTGTCCCATTCGTCAATGGTGTTCTGCAACCATTGAATCGAACGCCCTGCATCTGCAGCCTGGGATTCTTTTAATGCAAGTTGTCCTCGAATGAGATAGGACTTTGCTTCCTTCTCGAAACCGTTCTCACGCAGGAGTACCGCAAGAAGGAGGTATCGCTGTCTTGCCCATACGGGGTAGTGTCTCATAGCATATGCACTCAACTCGATCCACCAAAAACTTGTCCGGGATTGTGGACGCGTGCTCCCTAGGCAATCGGGATGCCAGCCTTCTTGCCTGAGAAGATAGTGGCCCAACTTGAAACAGGAGTCTGGATTGCCTTGCATCGCAGCTTGAGTTAATAATTCGACCCATCTTGTAGAACCCGGCGTGATTTCGTCAGTGTTTCTCAGAAGAAGTTCGGCAGCTCGGCTATCATTCCACCTATCCCTGCCAGTATTTAGAGCCTTGACGTACATTTGCTGTACACTCGCCGCCTCAGGACTGTCTTCAGGTAAGTGAGCATAGTATTCGTCCGCGGCTTTCTGGAGTTGAAACCAAGGTAGTTCATAGCGCTCTGAGGGGCTGACATCGTCCACATTGGTCGAGCTGGGACCTGCCATCCTTGAAAGGTCAACTGCAATCTGATAAGAATTTTGTGCAGTCACTTTATTCTGTGGCTTCCTCAACGCGTAATCCAGATAAAGGGACATGGCTCGCCAATCTGACCTGGACATGGCAGCCCGATGAATATATCCCAGGATTTTGGGCGGTAGATCAACGGGCTTGAGGAGCGATTGAGGATCTCCTTTCGGCCGCAAGCCATTGGCTCTGAGCTCGATTCTCGCAAACGCAATAGCAGCATCTTCGTAATCGAATTCAAAAGCGATCTGTAGAGAGAACTTCCCCATTTCCCAATAACTCGCTTGATTATACGTGGAAAGATCGGTCATGGCAGCGGCATAAAACAACGCTCCCAAAACCCTGTGGCTGGTCATTAACTCGGCCTCGACGGTGCTCATATGCTCTGCATATTTACTCTTCCATTTGTCGCTGGTTTTAGCCAACTGAGCCGCCGACGCAGGAGAAGATCCCACCTCAAGAAGACGTGTGCGTTGCAAGCGAAAAATGCGCTCGGCAGTCCTCAAATTCTCGATGCCCAGCTCCTGCAGGGTGTCCATAACCACACTATCCTCCACCATGTAGTCTGCCTGTACGACTTCTTGGAGATTTATTTCGCGCTGTATACCCGGTGCAGTTTTCAATCTGGCCCGTAATTGATAACGCGGAACCGACGCAGGAAGGGCTCGAGTATACGATAGCGGTCGGACACCATAGAGAGCCGCTTTTTGAGACAAGGGAAGCAATGCGCTGCGCCTCAAATTGCTGCCATATTTGAGAAACCGCATTGGTGACGGATGGACCACATGCTCGTAACGGCGTGCAATGGACTTTGCAACCGTCGCGGAGGTACGCGTGGTTGAATTATAAGTGGTCGAAGATTAGATTGTTCATTGACTCATGTAATAGACGGTCATAAGCACTGCCTCGTAGAATATGTTGCTACGCTATGTACGAGTATATAAGGAAGGATATCGAAACCGAGTCCAAGAAACTTCAATTGGATGTGATATTTGCAGAGGATATGCCATTGCTGCTTTAGGCCGATTTTGCTGCCGCTTTGTAATTAGTTGCACAACCTCCCCCGGAGCTGGAGATGCGCATTTGTATCACGTGATGCAGCCTTCCGCGAAACTGCCAAGGCTGCGGCCAACTGCGTCTCTTTGGCAGTACTTGAATGACAATTACCTTCGCCTTGCCTCACGCGGCTGGACCTCGAATTCTGGGCTGATCTTCGTATTTAGAAAGTACGTCAAATGGCTGATGAACCCCAGATAGGCTGAGGAACAACCGCATCGCGTCTCGCAAGCCACCACCACCAGCCGACCAAGATCCACAGGCCAGTCCGACGTCCGAGCCTGTTCTCATCAACATCATGCCTGCCCCCGCTGGTACTAAGCGCGTGAGAGGCGTACAGGTTTATCGTCCGTTCATTTATGGAACAGAAGCTCTGCCTTTTGACCCTGAAACTCGCCCCAAGGATGCGCCGGCCGATCACACTCACAAGTGGAAAGTCTTTGTCCGCGGTATTAATGGCGAGGACATTTCCTACTGGCTGAGAAAGGTCCAATTTAAACTGCACGATACCTACGCCAACAGTATCCGCATGATTGAGAGCCCGCCGTTCGAGGTTGAAGAGACGGGTTGGGGAGAATTCGAGATTGCTATCAAATTCTACTTCGTACCCGAGAGCAACGAAAAGCCACAGCAGATTTGGCATGGTCTCAAACTACACCCTTACCTTGGCGATGTTGAACAGCAGAAAAGAGACCGTGCCTTGATCTCTAGTATGTGCTACGAAGAAGTCTTGTTCAATGAACCCGTTGAGGCGTTCTATGATCTCTTGACGGGAGGTGGCCGGGTTTCCAAATCCAAGGGAAAAGGGGCCAAAGCAGCGGCCAGTAAACCTCCACCGACTGCCGAAATTCCTATCAAAAGCAGTCCTGGCAATAAATTCAGCCGCGAAGAGGAGGGCAAAGAATTGGATCGGTTAGGTGAGGCCGTCAAGCAGGTGAAGACACTGGAGGATGAGGAGAAGGCCAAGAATCTCACGCTGGAAGCCAGGCTTCAGGAATTGCAAGAAACCGAAGGGAAGCCGACCAAGAAGAAATGAAACTTTGCCTGTCTCACCAATCGATATTTATCTTATGATTGACCTTACAGTCGGGCTGTGACCCTAGAGCTGCGTCTAATCAACTCAACCACCCTTTCGGCCACGCCCCAACTCAATTCATAACCTCGTCCGCCAGCACCGTAGCTATGGACAAGCCTCCTGTCTCCGTCGATTGATTCAATTTCGACGCGGACTCCACCTTCGCGCCATGGTCTTCGACCGACATTATCCTTGACCACCTCAAACTCCTCAATTGACTCTACAAAGTCAGGGAATACTTCAACACATTGCTGAAGTAGCTTGGACCGAGTTTCAGGCCTTGCTTTCTCATGATGGTCTCCGATCTCTTTCGTCCCCCCAACAATTGTGCCACCTCCTCTCGGTCGTGGGATCAAAAACGTCCAGCTCCCATCACGATTCTGTCGAGTAATGGTGTGGTGGTATTGCTGCTTCACCAGCACGGTCTGCCCCCGAATTATTTTAATCTTGGGATCTCGATCGAAATTTCGGCCGGAGCAATTGACTACGGTTCTCACACTTCCTCTGCCGTTCCCTTGGCCAAAATCGAAGACTTGGGTTGCGTCTGATATACGACGCTGAAGTACACTTCCACCTCGGGCTACAAATCGATCAAGCAACCATTCGCAGTAGATTTGAACATTTACCGCATAAGTTTGGTACTCACACCCCCACTGTACACCCTGGGGCAACTCGCTCTTCTCCAAGATGCGAAAGCGATCGCCTCGGCCGGCGTATACATCGCCCGTTCTAAGGCTCAAAGCACCCTCTGTAGGGCTTTCCAGGTACTCTATTCCCTGCATGACCGCGACACCGGCCTCAGGTGAGTCTCGCGCGATCTTCTTCATGATATCCGCTGTGTGGAAGGCGAGTTGTGCTTCATCCCGTAACTGCGGAGTCGACTGCGGTATGGGTCGGTAGTGTGCACCTGCCCATGCAGAGGCATAGTCTGCAGAGGGAGTCGTGGTGTTGGGAAACTCCGCAGCAATAATTGTGATGGTGGCCTTGGGATATTGATACTGAAGGAGCGTCGCACACGAAAGTCCAATGACGCCAGCACCAATCACTATAATGGGTTCGGTCGAGGCGGACATCTTCTCGTGTGTCGGACACTGTCTCAATCGAGTCTTGGGCGTATCCGGTCCTAGATAGAGAACGAAGTCTCGCAGTCTACTAGACAATGGAACTGCCTGAATCCACCCGCGATCGACTCACTCGTAAGCTCTGCAAGACCCAAATATGACCCGTGAGTAGTGACGATACTGTGCTTGACTTCTGGCGGTAGTCGCGGTAGATATTTCCAAAGGAGAGTAGAGGGAGGGAGTCAAACGAACAATAACAGTGCTCTCCCCGTTATACTATGCTAGTGTTGGCTTCAGGTCCCAGAATCTGCTTCCGCTTCCGTCTAGTAAACTGTGTACCGGGCTGCTCCTCTCAATATGCCAGTCGAGAGTTGCGGTCGATTTGAGAGCTTCCGATGGCTAGGGATAGAGAAGGAACCAATCTCAACATATAAATGTCCATTAGCCAGCCCTTGGGTGACAAATGAGATTGTACGATGCTGTAAAGCCGGCACAACGACGTCCTAGTTGGACCGAGGAGAAGTCAAGTACTGGACTACTTGTCTTCTACCACCAGGACAATTGATGGACGTTAAGCAAGGCAAAGATCTTCAAAACTTCGTTTTTAATTAGGTATTAAGTGGATTTCTCATTGGGAGACTTTAGATTTGTTCCGTAACAATGTTCCTCAATTTCCTCCGAATCATAGAGCGCGGGGGTTGATATCATGATGCTGCTGTTGTCCAATAAAGCGGCCTCAGGGCCACGAGTATTTCCGACTCCAGCCCAAAAAGGCATGCAGGGCGAGCGAGACCAATAGCAAGGCCATGCTATGTTTCGCGCCCGGTTTTGGTTCAACCCAAAAATTCCGTGCTTGGCTTGGAGGGCGTACGACGTGGATCGTATGACTTCTCTTGCCTGGATCTGGGTGCTTGTTTAGCCACGAGTGTTGGCTTGCGGTGCACATGTATTTGGTGGTAGAGAGTGCATATAGGCCGGCTCATCTATGCCAGATCGTTGTTTATGGTTATTTCGGCGAAGTGCTTCTTTTGGATCTTAATTGAGCACAAGAGAGGAACACAGATGTGCTGATAGGAGGGATTGCTTGTGAATGTCATCATTGATCTTGTCCGCCTCTGGCGCTTCCAAGAACGTGCTCATCCAATAGGATATGACGAGTATGCTGTCTTCTAAGTTTCACTCTCGCTAATGATACTGACAATGGATATACTTCATGTCTCTCTTTGTAAGGAGAGCTTACATTGCTGTTCCTCGCTCAAAGCTCTCGCGGATATCTGTCGTATACCGGTCATAGAAACGGGCCAACTTGAGGTTGAACTGCTTGTTCTTCTCATTGATGTACGTGACATCGCCCTCGTTATCCTCACGGCCACGCTCCTTCCGCTTCTTCATTCTGATCTCGTCCGCCTTCTTCAAGTCGGCAACAAGACGATCGACATTTTCACGCTTGGGCTTCTGCTCCACGAACCCAATACTGTCGTTGTCGGCGTAGAAGCGGCCATCCCTGTCGATGGCGACGAGTTCACCGTTGTCCAGCTCGACTATCTCTAGCCCGCCTGTGCGAGCGGCGTTTTGGATGATCTCGGCCTTCTGAGCATCGTAGTCTTCCCGAGCTTTGCCCCCGTCCTTCCGCGCCGCTTTCTCTAGCTCCCGCATCTGCTTGTCGTAGATCTTGCCGGCTTCGGTCGAGTAATCTTGGAACAGCACGTTCTCACGTGCTTGTCGCTTTTGCTCCATCCGCACATCCCACCGCTCCGACTCCTCCATCGTGTAATCCCAGGCTCGCTTTCGCTCGAATGCCCCATCGCCATGTTCTTCCTCCGTGTCCGCTTTAAGTAGGTTGTGTGAAGCGATGGCGCTGCGCCGAGAGAGGTTGGCTAATACGGAGGGATCGATCGCCGCGCGCTGGGCTTCAGCTTTCGTCTCTGCCAGATTGGATTTCGAGGATGCCAATGCTCGCGACTTTAAGGCGGCAAAGCGAGAAAGCCGGTCGGAATTGCTCGTCGTGTTGGAAGGTGGAACTGCTCGGGTGGTTGAATTGGACTCTGTGGTTTTCGTCTCTGGATTATGATCGGTGGGAGTCTCGTCGTCTTTGGATGCAGTATTTTGACAAGTGTCTAGCTGTACCAGATCCGCTACCTTCTCTATCTCTCGCCGCGTGTTGCTCGAACCAGCGGCGGGCTCCTCCTGACTGGCACTCAATTTACGGCGTTTTGCGGCTGGCATGTTGATGTGTGTCCTAGAGCGAGAATATTCCAAGTCGCAGGTGAAGGAAGGAGAATTGGCCTACTGTGCGTCAATAGAAGGACAACCAAGCTTTGAATTCTGCTAGAATATGGGGGAGTATGGACGGAGTATATTTGCAGAACAAAATCGCGAAAGGCCAACTTCGAAGTTGGCCTTGGTTCGGGAAACCTTCTATTCTTAGTTCACTACGTCAACATTTCTCTGAAAAGTTGTGGAAGTCAGTCCACTTTCAACCTCCCAAGACGGGTTTGGGGAGGAGGCTCCTTTCTCGTACGAGCAGAGATAGCAAGGCCGTCAGAATCTCCAAACATCAGACTATGGCTCAAGCAGCCAAACGGAAGCTCGTGGTCGCCGGCGGGAATGGCTTCTTGGGTTCCCGCATTTGCAAGTCCGCCGTTGCTCGAGGGTGGGATGTCACTTCAATAAGGTAACTTGTACTCTCCCGGTGCGTGGTCTTGCTAGATACTGAATTCTACCTTTCCCAGCCGAACAGGAGAACCAACGTGGTCATCTGTGTCCTCAGAAAACATGCCCCCCTCATGGTCTACTTCGGTAACCTGGGCTAAGGCTGACATCCTAAAGCCGACATCCTACACCTCATACCTGAAGAACGCCGACGCTGTTGTGCACACCATGGGCATCCTCCTCGAAGCAGACTACAAGGGTGTCATCTCGGGTAAAGAATCCGTTGTCTCCGGGCTGTCACGGGCATTCAGTTCAACGAAATCAGGCAGCGCAGCAGATCCACTCACACGCACCCCTGGTGCAGAGTTGGGTAAAGGTGAAAAAGACGGTCAGATCACTTATGAGCTCATGAACCGAGACAGTGCAATCGCACTGGCACAAGAAAGTGAACGCGAGAATGTCAAGACCTTTGTCTATATCTCCGCCGCGGCCGGTGCCCCTATGCTTCCCTCGAGGTATATCACGACCAAGAGAGAGGCCGAAAGTACAATCGCCAGCCAATTGGTGAAGTTGCGATCTATATTTATCCGACCCGGCTTTCTATACGATAGTAGCCGAATGTTCACTCTTCCAATTGCTGCGTCTGGAATGGTGGGCAGTACGGTGAATAGCCTGGTAGGTGGTAACTTAACCAAGCTATTCGGTGCGGCCGTAGAGAAGCCGCTGAAGGCAGATCTTGTGGCGGATGCGGTAGTTGAGGCCATCGAAGACGAAGGGACTAGGGGCGTGATCGATACAAAGCTGATTGAGGCATTGGCCGCGAAGGCTTGGAGGAAGGGAATGCTCTGAGAGCAGCAGAGTTCCGGATATAAACCTGTACAATATGTTCTGAATGGATGACTCCGGCCTGAGAGGCGTTCGTTCGGTCCAAACGGTCGGTCGTACTCAACTCCAACTAACCATTGGGATGCGACGTTAGACACGTAATATGTATAATAAACAGACAGAAGGATGCGCGGAACTAATAAGCAAGCGTTCCTATATGAAAGATCATTAGAGGATGGTATTGGATGTTGTCTGACCGCTATGGCTTTGCAGACTTCTTGGTGATTATCTTGAACCGAATTCAGCTTTCTCCATCATGTTAGCAGGGCCACCCACCTGCAACACGCCGCATTGTCTCTGATCATACACTGCTGCCCGCCGGCCTTGAAAACGCCCCAATACTGTGGTTCAAATTACCCGCTATGCTTATCACGTGCCTGAGTGAAGATCATTGTACCGACCAGGAAACGGTCGAGATTTCGAGATGCACCAACCTTCGTCGAGGAGGTGCATGAGAGATAAAGGATTTATACAAATGTTGCGAAAAAAGAGAATTGATCGTATCCGAATCTAGAGACGCTCGGTGGGCCTTCGAAATCTGTCATCGATTGAGGGATCAAAGGGCTGTAGCCTCGAGAGTCATGGGCTGCTCATCGGGTAGTTCGAACAGAACTTTGCGGGTCAACTATAGATGATTAGCTTATCGATTCCTCGAATATCACCGAAGATGCTCACCGCCCAAGCACCGGCTATCGATGCCACAATACCGCCCGAAATCATCATTGGTTTCACTCCTCTCGTACTCTTGAAAAGCATACCGCTCAGTCCGCCCGCTACAATGCTGTTAGCAGCGTCATGTTTGCCCCGATAGTATCCTATTGTCGAGTTGAATCCGTTGTAGACCATTGCAACCACCCCAGCGGAATTCCCGAGGAAAGGCCCACGTCTGGTGATACTGTTCAAGACACTGTTCAGGCGCAGCTTGGGAGGCGCAGAGGCTGGCGCGCGGTTCAGTCCTTCAATCAAGCCCCACGTGCCACCAATTGTGAGAGCCGTTAGATAAGTGACACCAGTGCCATAACATAGATCGTCCGACCATCCGCGCGAGGGTAGTAACGACCTGGAACCGGGAAGATCTGAGAGTTGAGATTCGTCCAGTGAAAGGTAGTCTAAGGTCTGTTGATTCAGCCCGGCGAGTGGATGTAGCTTTGATGCGTCCGGTAAAGTGATGCTTCCAAGGAAGGAGGATGCATCTGTCGCGGTGGTAGGGTCGTAAGGTGCAGTTGCGTAGCCACCTATCGATGGAGAGGAGGAAGCCTGAGAGGGCTCGGGTGTCTGCTGCTTGGAAGACTTCTTGCCGCTAAAGGCGTCCCACACCGACATGATGGACTAGTGTCACGCAGAAGAGAAAAGGGAGATAGCAAAGCAATATGTTGTGGTCCGAGTCACTGTCGTCGTCGCCGTCGTCGCCGTCAAAAATCAACTGTGGCGGGCGTCAGTGTTGGAGGAACTTGAAGAACTCGAAAATAAATCTAAATGGGACTAACCCGATTGGGCACTATTTTCTCCAGGGTTCCGAATCCGAGTCTGAATTTCTTCAAAGGCAGAGGAACACGCTTTCAACCAAGGGCATATCGCCGCAGGATGCTCTCATGCCTCTCATAATCTGAGCATGTCTTTCTCGGGTATTGCGTTCCCATTCTACAGACTATGAACACCGTGACGAGGGCACTGGGCTCATCATCCCCTTTGTCCCGTGCCCTTCTGTCGGACCTTGGCAAAGGGGCTCTAAGACACTACTTGCGCAGCACTGATGTACAAATTGCTTTTGATACTGAGATTGTTCCGCTTTGGCACAAACTGGTTTCTACTGCGAGAAGCCCCCAAGTGATTGATAATCATGTCACTGTGGCATCTAACACTCTCTGCGTGTTTCTCAACGAAGGGATCTTGAGTGAGGCCCCGAAATTCAAGGATTTCGTGTTATCGAAAGAGTCATGGTGGGACGCCTTTCAGTGTACCCACAAAGCATTCGATGATGGCAAGACCAAGCCGGCCTTTCAATTGCTGGAGACTCTCTGTAATCTACTGCAACACATGACAGACGATGTTGCCGAGGAGTTACTGATCAGGTCTGCGCTGCCACTCCTCACAACGGTGGTATTAAGCACCCCTCGATGCGACTCAAAGAAGGCCTGCCTCATTTTGTCGTTGTTCATTCGGAGGACTCCACTGAGAGATCTGTTGCCTTCACTTACTGAGCGAATAATGGAAGAGAACAACTCAAGATGGACCTACCGTCTTTTGTCTCATAATATATCAGACGATGATATTTCAAGCTTGGGTCATGGAAGCATGGCCTCCTTTTTCTGTGCTTTGATATTTACCATGGTAGATCTTGACACGAGAGCGTCTGCTTTGAAGTTGTATTCCAACTTGTGCAGCTATCAGTCTGACAATCCCGCTTCGTCTGACTGGCAAGGTACGGGTGGGCACGCTATCAAGCTGTTCCTTGACCGAAACCATGCCACCTTGGGTTATTTTTCTGAGAATGTACTCCCGGTCATTCTTAATGATAAGGCAAGGTTCCTTGTTTTCATTGCGCCATATATCGGATCCTGTCGAGAGGATGATACCAAAATGTCCGTATTTCTCGCAGCACTCAAAGTTGGTCGACTAGGGAACATATTATCGGAGGATGGTAAGCAAATCTCGTGGTCTGATTTACCTACCAACTGCGGAGTTCTAATGGCGATTCTAGAGATATTGGACATTCTGAACGTGGCGATTCCCGATTCAGCCCTACAAGGCAAACAGGAAAATAGATACCAACCATTCAGACATCTACTTATGGGTGCGAGCTCTGAGTTAAGGATTTTGACTTACGGCCTGTTGACATTATCGCCAGCGGCAAACACCGTTGTGCGTCGAGGTGCTCTGACATCTGTGTCTTGTAGCATCAAATACCTGCATGACGACGCTGATGCTCATGAAAGAGGTGAAATATTAAGCATCACGAGAAGACTCCTGAAACGAATCTCTTCAAGTCTTGCAGCTGTATTGAAGTCAATGCCAAATAAAACAATGTCCGGGGAGACCGCCGCCCTTCTAGCAGACTATCGCGGCTTCTCCGTCACTTTCTATGAGTTCACCAAGTCTGAATTGGGTGCACATGTCTCTTACCAACGACATATCCTCGGCCTGCATTCCTTACGCTATTTAATTGATCATGTGGTAGATCCCGAGATATACCGAAATGATGTTATGCTTATAAGGTCACTTACAAGTCTGGTACTCGATCCCTTCGAGGATGTGAGAAACACTTCCGCATCAATTTTACAGCTTTTAAGCATAAAGATGCCGAGAACGGTGACGGAAGTTATTGATGGCAAGTTGATTGCCTCAGTGAGCCTCCTAGCAGTTCATACAGTCAGAGGGGATCACGCTCACGGACTGGGGAGATTGTGGGCGTTATATAATACTTTTCGCACCATGGCTTCTGCCACTGCAAATGCTCAAAACTCAAGCGCCGATCCCTCTAAGCTTACAAACTTGCTACACCCCCTACGACTATCACTCTCTCAGACAGTGATGCTAGGTTCAAGCTCCAGGTTCCCAATACATGGATCTCTACTGTCTCTCAGCTTTCAGCTCCAGGACATGAAGTCTCAAGAAGCTTTGATATTGTCCACTGATCTGTCGACAGTTCTTGAAGTGTGCATCACGATATGGGCAACGGTGAGATCAATCCTTTGTGTCGATTCTCCAGAGACTGCGTATGAAGTAGAGGATGACGATGGCAAAGAAGGCCCAAAGGATCTACTTGCTTACTCATGGAGAGCGCTTCGAGACTCCAGGTATGTATTTCCGACATCTTCAGATGCCAATGGCAATTACTGATGAAACCAGCCTACTCATGCAGTCATTGTTGGCTGTTATCAAGTCTGACTCGGCACTTCATTCTATGATTGGAGATGTCTGTGTGGATCAGTTGATCTCACTTCGGCATCGTGGAGCCTTTTCGACAGTCGCTCAGACTTTTAGCATGTGTTGCGATCGTGCTCGTCTATCCCCTGAGAAGGGCATACGCCTTCTTGTTGAAAAGTGGTACAAGGTACACAGTGCCCCACCGATCTTATGCATCAAGACATCTAATAGGTTGTAGGTAGCACTATCTCAAATTGACGAGCAGGGCGATCGCTTGACGCGCCGTTCAGCGGGACTGCCGGCAATGTTTTCAGCATTACTTAGTCCTGCAGATTCGTCCTTCTTCTCCTCGGCGGTACAAGAGCTCATTGCCTTGGCCGAAGCAAGGACTGACCATAATCAAGAAAGGGAGCAGAAATTGCCGCAAGTACATGCTCTCAACTGTTTGAAAGAAATAATGACCCATTCGAAATTTGCGGCTATTGTCGTACAGTTCCTGAACCCAATTCTGGCACTTTCTGCAGCAAGCTTGTCCTCCCCAATCTGGGCTATACGCAATTGTGGGTTGATGTTGTTGAAAGCATGCATCAATCGTCTAGACTCAAGAGGTTCCGAAGATACCTCTTGCTCGATCTCCGAACGACTCGACAAGGATATAGGCGATACGCCCAGCAGGATTGCTCTGAATCTTCTGAGCACGGTAGAGGGACATACGAAATCAGGCACTGAGCCTCGAGCTACATCAGCGGAGACTATATTTTCGGCTTTAGACCTACTGGGCCACTCAATGCCCCCCAACATAAAGAACTACATCATCGACAATGCAATCCAGCATCATTTGCGTCATTCAAACTGGGCCGTCAGAGACCATGCGGCTTTGCTTCTATCCAAGCGCCTGTCTGTCAAAAAGCTCTCTCGCGCCATGAGAGATCTCCAGGGTGAAGCAGAGTCGAATATGTCTCAAAATCTTGCTCATGGTATCTTGCTCTGCTTCAGATATATGTTGCATGATCTGCAGAATCACCTGAACAACAAGGAACTGGACGATGCACTTTCAGAGCTCGAGAAGTTTAGGGTAACTCTGGAAAATGCCACAATAATGTGCCCTTACGTCGAAGCTGCAATCTTTGACCTTTTAAATGATGCGGCCGCCCTCATCCTTGAAAATGGGTGGAGTTCAGAGGAATTGGTTACTCTATTCGTCAAAGACGTAATACCAACAGGTCAGCTGAAATCTGGCCATTGTTCATACCTTCAACGGCGATTGTTACTCTTCCAAGTTTATACCCTTTTTCTCACCAGCAAGTCGACATCGTCAAGCTCAGAAGAGTCGATGCTTATTGACGTCTTGGTCTCAAACCCTGAATCACTGAGTTATTTGTTGGAGATCCTCATCCAGAAGAGATTTTGGCCAAAGGCACCTCATGGTGTCCTATTCCTTGTGTATCTGATGCGAAGGATCCAGGAGGCGGATTGTGTCCCATCGGATACTGTTGCAACTGTGACCCGTTGCTTGGTTGATGCACTTGATCAGTTAAGCACACCAGCTCTTCCGGCCTTATATTCAATTCTAGGCATGGTCGACCTATCCAAATCAACAACACGAGATGGAACGAACGCCGCTATAAGGCTTGAAGCATATCAGCGTTTCGCTGCGACAACAACCTTGAAGAATCAGAAGCATTCTAGTACACAATTTCTCGGCTGGGTTACGATGGTTGAGTTTGCTTCGATGGATCCCCTCGACTTTCCTACTAGATGGAGTGCAGCTAGGGCTCTCTCAACTTATTTTCGACTTGTCGGCCGACAGCAACCGGACACCACCCAATCCGTTCAAGGATGGCTGCGACCGAAGGTCATTTTGTATAGTTTGTTGAACGATGACGACGATGATGTCAGGGCAGAAGCGGCTTTGGCAGCAGCAGGGTTACTACAGCAAGACCAAAGACAGTATGCCTCAGGCTTTGCTACAATTGCCGCAAGAGAACTACTTCTGAACAACCTTGTGCAAGAGCATGGCAAGACTGCTGAGTTCGCAGAGTGTGCAGTAATGCGTATCTTGCTCTTGCGACAGAATATGGCTGAGAGATCTGGCATCTTGAGCCTGACGGAATGTTTCGCCATTCCTGTGCAGTCAAAGATCCACAGATTGTTACTTGCAAAAGAGGATCTCTTCGCCGAGGAGAGCCAAAATCTCTACATTGATGATATTGAAGAAATCCATGTCTGGAATGGAGTTTTACGTGGGTGTGTCGATGAGCTCACACCAGAGCGAGTTGGCCTTATTGCTGGGTGGTCTTTGGAAGGGCTCCGCTCCATTCTGGATATCCTTCGAGACTACATGAGCACAACCAAGGCAGAGGGGGGTTCTGGACAGGGTGAAAAGCAAACGGGTCAAGCCTTACAGGAAACTGGTGCAAGGGGGCCTACCATGCATCCGTTGGGACCGACATACGATGCAGATCTACTAGTTGTCTTTGTGCAAGTCATCAGTCTCGCCGGTACTGTTCGCTCTCGATCCAGCGACATTGCTCGGGAGCAAATTCTTGAACAGTTGAAAGAGGCACAACAACTTTGTCGTGATGGGCAGGTCAGTGAAGTGTTTGTCACTGTATTAAGTGAAGCACTGGCAGGAACATGAAGCAGGCTGCTTGTTCTCAACCTAACAACGCCACAGCAACATCATATCAATTGTACCCATCTGAGCAGTCAAGCCATAGTCACAGGAGACTGGTCATAAGCCCATGAAATTCTTCCAACTCGAGACACTGGATGTGTTTAGCATCGTCCATCTTCAGCAATAAGTGGGTGAGGCGAACTCTCCGTGGTTCCCGACCTAGCTAATGTTAGGTTGAAGACTCTCGCTTTCCTGGCCCCCTTGCCCACCTCTCGAGACAAAATGAACCCTGCATTGGCAATATTTGTTTGCTTCATAGTGATAACACCGGTCTGTGTTTGGGGAGCATGGCACTTTTGGATGCCAATGATGCATGAACAATTGGAGATGGTGGAAACAGGTGAAGTGAGGGCAGCTCAAGGTCACCCTTCGGCAGTGAATCCTGCTTAGAGCTGGATTACTTTTGAACCCAAGGGCAGGAGGGAGAAGGCGTTTGACACTGCCTGCTGGATGGGACCTGGAATGAATTCAGATGTGTTGGGTTCAAGTTCCTCGATCGTCTAGAGGGTCGTCAGAGAACTATCGACCATCGAGCACCGCGCATTGCGCATCGCCAGTTGTTAGTGCAACCTCGACCGAGCCATACACTCACTACCTTGACTCTTCTTTCCGTCTCCAATGTAAAGCTAGACTTCTAGTTTTCCACACATCAACGCTCCCGTTCTTGCTCGCAATGTCATTCCTCACACAAACAACGGTGACTGAGACCACCATAATTGCCGCTTTCCCAACCATTGTCAGCGATGTGACGGCCACTGTTACCTCCTACCTCGCTACCACACTCTTCGCAACGCAAGGCCAGACTGTCACCATCGCCTCACCTGATGTTCAGCCTCCAGCATCCGCCACGACCAAGTACACGCCAACCACAACGACTCGAACCTCCACGGCCACATTGACTGAAATCGACGTCTATCTGCAAAATGCCCAGGGCGAGATCTACTCGACCTGGATCATCCCGCTATCACTCGCACCACCAACCACAGACGCAATCACAGCGACAATCAGCGAAACTCCACGGTCGTCAGTGTATATTGTCCAGTCAGGCAGCGGACCTGGTGAGGACGATGTCTGGGACAACTGGTCGAAGGGCGCACGGGCAGGGTTGATTGTTGGTGTGGTTCTGGCTGCCGCTTTGATATTTGCCATGGTCTGGTGGTGCTGCAGAAGAAGTAATATCTGGCTTGCACATGGATGGTGGCCATGGATGGGACAGGGGGCAGCTGGCCAGGTTCCACCAACTCCTTGTCCAAATATCGTGCAGCCTACCTATGTCAATGGTCCACTGACGCCGTATACATATGGTCAGCCGTCCGTGCCTGCCTATGGAGCGCGGTACTAGTGGATTGGGGATCAGACTACGGAGTACTCAAGAGTTTCGGTGGGAGCAAGTGTGGGAGATGGACCACGCGGATGAACGAGCTCGGAGGGACCCAGGTAGCTCTATCCTAACTGAGATCGAGACACCAGTTCAGGGCAGGGAAATTGATAAAATCGACATCACATCATGCAGAATAGCCTCATCAGCAGCGGGCTCTCTACAGGGACAACTTCTTCTCCGCATAATAAACAGTCAAGAGGATGATGAGAGTAGAGTGGGATGATACACAGTAAATCGGTGGTAAATAAGAGATGGGATGGGGGGAGTCAGGGACGCTTGGTCCAATGAATGACGTGGCTCACAGTTGGACCGCATCTGATGCTTCCACATCCACTCTACTTCCCAATCGCCAACTTCTGCTTCAACATTGACATGGACCACTCCGTCGATCTACCCCAGCTTCATGCGCCTTGATCTCTAAATTCCCAGCCTGAGTCAATATGTGGCAGGACGACGAGGATAACAACCCGTACGGGTCCTTCGACAACCAGGACCCTGCCGTTGATCCCACCATCACCTCATGTACTGCCTTACATCCAGACACCATACTTTAAAAGAGACGACGGCTGACCCTGCACTCTAGATGCCAACGAACCCTCCACTCCTCCTTCCTCACAGCCTTCTCCGAACCAGCCGCCTCAATTCCTCTCCAGACCAAGCAACATCAGCGACGATGAGGAAGAGTATGAGGGACAAACAGAAGAAGAACAGAGTGCACCTATCCCCCCCAAAGGCGGCTACGATGGGAGAGTACAGCAGATCCTTTATGAGAATCCAGACTTGGAAATCGTCATTACCGATGCTGGTAAGAGCTCGGATGGAGGCTACATTGTCTACAAGATTCGGACGGGGGTAGGCACCCACTGATGGTCACAAGATTGGATTCTCGCTGACTCCAGCACCAGGACATTGAAGTCGCCCGTCGTTATTCGGAATTCAGCTCACTGCGTGTTGCTCTGGTCAGCCTCCATCCTACTTTAGTTATTCCACCAATCCCCGAGAAGCACTCGATGGCAGATTACGCCGCCAAACCCACCAGAGCCAAGGAAGACGCAGGTATCATCGATCTGCGGAAGCGCATGCTTGGAGTCTTCCTCAATCGGTGCCGACGCATGAGAGAAGTCGTTGAAGACGGCGTATGGTGGAGGTTTTTGGATCCTAATTCTAGCTGGGTATGCTTGCTCGCATTTTGGTCCTCTGCCTTGCGAGGCAGCACTGACACGATGACAGAACGAGGTCTTGCACGCCCACCCAGTCTCTTCTGTCCCCAAGAACAACCTGAAAGCCCCCCCACTAGATCCTGCGAATCCAACTGCCGCTCACAATTGGTTGCCCATACCCCCGGCCTCAGCCAAAATTCGACCGGGCGGCCAGAATTCAAGTAGCGGAACACCAATCTCTCCACCAGATCAATCATGGCCTTCCACGGCAGCACATACCACTCCCGGGCCACAGATCTTTGGCCGCTTCCCAGTTGCTGCAGATAAATTGAGCGAGACAGAGTTGGATCCCTATTTTATCAACTTCGAGTCTTCTACGCGGGAGCTGGAACTATTACTGCAAGGAAGCATTGAGAAAGTCAATCGTCGCACATTGGAGCATCTAACTAAGCTCTCGGCCGATCTTGCTGAACTTGGCGCTCGCTACAATGGATTCTCACTTTCTGAACAGTCGACCATGGTTGCCGCGGCGATTGAACGGATAGGTCAGGCGGTGGACAGCACATACATCTCGACGGAGGAATTGTCGTTAAGCCTGGGAGCTACATTTGCCGAGCCTATGCGGGAGAGTGCACAATTTGCAGGCGTTGTGCGTAATGTCCTGAGATATCGGGTACTGAAACGGGTGCAGCAGGAAATGACTCGGGAAGATCTGGAGAAGAAGCGATACCTCCTTGACTCTTTGGAGAGGAGCGAAAGTGAGGCCAAACGCATTGATGCATACCTCGCCAACAGTACAGTTTTGTCTAGTCCTCCTCGACGGTCAACATCAAATGCATCTGCCCGAAGTCAGACGGACGGGCAGTCACCTGGTGGTAGAGAAGGGCACGAGGAGACCGAATCTGTGGACTCAGACTTTCCACCTACGCATGGTGACGCAGTAGGTTCACCACCCTCGTCTTCACAAGGTCAGGCACAGCCTCAGACCGGGCCACCGTCGCCTCCGTCCCACCGGAAGTCTCCTAGTGGGAACTTTGTAACGAACAAGATTTTTGGGAGCTTCAGGCATGCTGTCAACGGGTTTGTTGACGTTGATCCGGAACGCACAAGACGTGACCAGATCGGCAAGACTCGAGAGAGCCTGACACAGCTTGAGCAAGCATTGGAAGTGTCCGAGAAGGATGTCCGAGATGCGACACTAGGAGTGTTGAAGGATCTGAAGAGGTTCCAGAAGGAGAAAGAGGATGATATCCAGCGCTACATGGTAAGTGAAATGTTTAGAGAGTCGAGGATTTCAGGCTGACACAGTGCTTCCACAGATATCATATGCTCGATCTCACATTGAATGGGCGCGGAAGAACTTGGAGACATGGTCGGAGGCACGGGAAGAAGTGGACAAGATCGTGGCCAGATAGTACAGGCTAGGAGGCTGGTCGATGACTGGGCTGGGTGGTGCAGAATGGGATGGAGGAAGGTCGTAGGGTGTTCGTTCAGTCTTGCAAGCCGCCTTGCCCTGTCCTTTTTTGTTGCTTGCTTACTAGTACCACTACGTAGGTAGATCGATCACAATCCTAATGGGCGACTTGGAAGGGGGTTCCTGGTCATGCAACAATGAGTCAGGCAACTGTGGGGTCCAAGCTGCCTGTTTCGAGGGCCAATATTCATGTATTTAGTTTCCCTAGGTAGTGGACAGGCGTGGTGCATGACCACACAGAATCAAATCCAAAGCCCGATAATGCAGTCTTTTTGATTGTGTTTGCGGCCCGCATGACATTACGTAGTAACCAAGGTCCCCGAACAAAGCAGAAAATGGCAGACGATGAGAAGAACAACCTGCATGTCACATTATTGTGGCCGTGGAATGTAATATCTACTGCTGCTATACTGCAGTCTGTCTGTTTCTGGCAGTGTTGCCTGGCATTGGGAAATTGAAGTACATGAGCTGCCACTACTTGCGTCTGCCTTTTTAAAAGTGCAGGTGCGACTTCGTCCTTCGTACTCAGTACCGACGGTGAGGGCAGGCTCAAGTGCAAAGTGCAAGTACCGAGTACAAGCGCAGACGGCAGGCGCAAGGCCCGCTCCACTGTCCACTACTGCCCACTGTTGCCTTCCCTCCTTCCGCAATTGCAATTGGCGGCTTCCTTCTCAGCCTCTGCCACTTCTTCCCTCTCCGCCGCAAATTCAATCCCCCATTGCCACCGGCTCACCTTCTGGAATCCCGTTCCTCATTCCAACATCCACTACTTCTTCTACCGAATAAAACTTACTTCTAGTCCTCTAATCCCGGCCATCCATGGTTCTTGCATAGGCTTTCCGTCCCATCATTAACCTGGCCCTCCGAGCACTCCCCATTGGGACATGCCCGCATCCCAAAAACAGTCGCTGTCACAGTCCAAGGATGATTTAAGCAGGCATCTGCGTTCCGCATCTCCAGCAGTCAAGAGGCCTGCCTCAGATATGGGAGCCCAGGATAGAGAGTCCTACAATAGCGACGTCGAAATGGCCGATGGTGAAACCCCCGGCCTGACGCCCTCAGACCCTCAGGCTAGCCCGGATACAAAAGCCAAACAACAAGATACAGGCCAGAGACACCGCGAAAAGCCTTCCGCCGACTCCCTCACTCATGCCTCCGATCCACGCTCCCTTCATCAGAACCTTCCTTCCGATAACAGTGCCAGTTCCGCCTCCGATTCCCTCATTCCCAGTCCTTCCAACCAGTCCACCGCGGGAACCTCTTTGAATGCCGATGGATTCGCTATCCCACCCTCAACTCCCTCGCTTCCCAGTCTCGATGAACAGGTCGCCAAAGTCACCCAGATCAGCTTGAAAGAGCCTCAAGAAGGGGACATTGGCTATCTAGTCTCTAACAAATGGCTAGTCCGCGTGCAAGCCCGGAGTTCCTTCGCTTCGGATTTGATCAATCCGCCCAAATCTGCAACCGAAGGAGAGATTGGCCCCGTGGAGAACTCAGACTTGGCTATGGTCATTGAAGATTCAGGCAAGCTCATGGACGAAGCCGGACATCCCTACGTACCTCTTCGACCTGGCTTGACACAAGGAGAAGATTACCAGATTCTCCCTCAGGAGGCTTGGGATCTGATCGTTTCATGGTATGGCCTTGCCAAAGACTCACCGGTCTTGACGAGGTATGCCCATGATTCGCAGGTTGATGGTGCCGAAGTGGCCAATGTTGTCTACGAGCTTAGCCCTCCCATCTTTTCCTTCCTGAAAGTCCCCAGCGAGCACACCACCCAAACTCAGCGTGAAAAGGACCTTCCGCCTCAACGCCTACTGGCCAGCAAGAGGAAACCGTTTATGCAGTGGTTGAAGGAGGGAAAGGAATTACTCCACATCGATCTAAACACTCAAGTCCGTGTGTGGAGGATTCTTGGTGGCCTCAAAAACTCCAGCGGCTCTGGCATCATTACACCCATCGCCTCAAGAAGTGCTTCTCCGGCTCCAGGTGCAGAGATCGTGGCTTCAGCGGGAGATAGGATGCTCCTTGATGTCAATACATTTGCTTCGCTGCTTATTGGTGAGCATCGAGAACTCCTTGAGATCAAGGATCAGACTGGCAACTCTAAGTACAATGGTAGCTTGACTTTGGGCACGGCCGGCCTGGGACGAGATGAGGTCATCTGTTTGGAAGAACAAAAACCTGGAAAGGAGGAGTGGCCCAGCGAAAGCTCGAAACTTTCTATCAAGGGACTCAAGACCACTGCCAAAAACCTCACAGTTAGCGGGAGAACCAGCCCTGCTCCTGGTATGGTTACTCGCGGTCGGCAAAAGCAAGCTGGAAGACCGCGCGGAATCACTGGACTCAGCAACTTGGGAAATACCTGCTACATGAACTCTGCCCTGCAATGCATCCGAAGTGTCAAAGAACTCACCGATTACTTTCTACTTGATGAGTGGAAAAAGGATTTGAATGTCACCAATGTCCTTGGACATAGAGGCGAGGTTGCCAAGGCCTATGCCAACCTCCTCCACCAGATCAATGACGAGAACTCATCGTCGACGAACCCGGGTAGATTCAAAGCCGTCATAGGTAGACATGGTCCAAGCTTCTCCGGCTATCAGCAGCAAGACTCGCAAGAGTTCCTGCTTTTCTTGCTTGATGGTTTGCAGGAAGATCTGAATCGAGTGCTCAAGAAGCCATATGTTGAAAAGCCTGACTCCACAGACGAGATGGTCAACAATCCAACTGCTCTCAAGGAATTCGCTGATAAAAATTGGGAGATATATAAAGCAAGGAATGATTCTGTGGTTACAGACCTCTTTGCTGGCATGTACAAGTCCACCTTGACTTGTCCAGTCTGTGACAAGGTCAGCATCATTTTTGACCCCTTCAACAATTTGACCTTGCAACTCCCTGTCGAGAATAACTGGGCGAAAGAGATTCTCTATTTCCCTCTACACAAGCGGCCATTTCGAATAGACGTGGATATCGACAAGCACTCAAGTATCACAATGCTGAAAGAATTCGTCGCTAAACGCACCCACGCTGATATCCAACGACTGCTAGTTGCCGAGTCGTACAAGAACAAGATATACAAGATCTTCGATAACAACGTGGTCATCTCAGAAGCGAATATTCAACCCGCCGATATTATTTGTGTGTATGAGTTAAATTCCGTCCCGACAAACTACAATCCCAACAAGGTCAAGAAATTCTCACTGTATACAATAGGTCGTGAGACAGAGGATGACCTGGTTGAAGATGATAGCGCCGAAGCTGATTCTTTGTTGGTACCTATGTACAACAGATTAGTCAAGACTCCTGCAAGAGCAGCTAGCAAGCCTTTCTTCGGGCAGCCAACCTATCTTGTTCTCAACCGACAGGATCGTGCTTCGTACGATGGAATCCTCAAAAGGGTTCTTGGCAATGTACTGGGCATGACGACAACAAATCTACTCGATGCCGACATTGACTCGGACAACGCCGGGATTACACCTGAAGGCTCCGATACAGTTGTGATGGCAGACGACGTCTCTAGCTCAGATTCAAATCCACCGCTAGCAGCTTCTTTACAGGACGAAGATGGCATCGTCGATGTTTCAATGCGTGACGCAAGTCAAGCGCCGGAGGCGAGATCCCAATCCCCTACGTCCACGTCTGACTGGTTCCATCAGCCAGGAGTGAAGGTTCCCCAGTCCCTGAAAAGTCTATTTACCATTCATGTGGCATCTACCGGTGAAGGAATCCCGACTGGCTGGAATCAGATCACAGAGAGCCATGATTATGACACCATCACAACGCGCATCCCGAAAAGCGTGTCTCATCGACCAGCAAGGTCCAATGGATCTCTCACTCTTGCGAATGGAGATGATGGGTCAGCAACAAGTGAAGATGAACTGGCAGGAGATATTGAACATGATGAACACATCATATCAAGCGATGAGACAGGCTCTGAGTCAAACGGCAGTCCCCTGCCAGTGGATCCGGATTCGGACAATGGACTAGCTGTCCACCGTTCGAGTAAGGCGAGAAACCCCAAGTCAAAGCGATCCAAACGGCAGCAGCGAAGTAAGGGTAATCTTAATAAGAAGCGCACGCAGCGTCGGACACCTCCGCCTCCACCCCAGCCTCAACCCAAAGTAAGCAGCAAAGGATTGATTCGCCCTGGCGAAGCCATCGTCCTTGATTGGAATCAAGATGCTTTCGAGTCTCTTTTTGGTGGTTCAGAAACTAGCACAGAAGATGCAGAAGCCTTCCATGGCGCACCAACCTGGAAAAGTGTTGAGCTCTTCCATGATGCTGAACTGGTCGCAAAACGTGCTCAGCGAACAAGTCGGAGGAAGAATGGCATCTCATTAGATGACTGTCTAGCTGAGTTTGGCAAAGCCGAGACACTGTCAGAACAGAATGCCTGGTATTGTCCACGTTGCAAAGAACATCGTCGTGCAGACAAGACCTACGAGCTGTGGAAAATACCCGACATCCTTGTCATGCACCTGAAACGATTTAGCTCGAATCGAAACTTCCGTGACAAGCTGGAAGTCAAGGTGGAATATCCAACTGAAGGACTAGATCTCAATGGAATGGTGAGGGACAAGGAAGAAGGCAAGAGTCTCATCTATGATCTCATTGCAGTGGACAATCACTATGGAGGCCTTGGCGGCGGACATTATACTGCCTATGCGAAGAACTCTGTCAACAATAATTGGTATGAATACAATGGTAGGTGGATAATTTTTCTTGTCCTGTTCATCGGCTAACTAAAATAGACTCCCACGTTTCTCAACGTTCAGATGAACGGACTGTGGTGACGAGTGCGGCATACCTTTTGTTCTATCGCAGGCGGGAGACTCCACCTGGTCACCCTTTAGGCGGACCACTGATCGAGGCAATGATGGCGCGAGACTACTTGGAAGTCGACTCTGAGAATCCTCAAGCATCTCGTGAACCTTCCCCGGTGGCGGGGGAAGGTCAGCGTCTCGGCGACTCCTCCCACAATGGGTCGTCGAGCGCTTTCACAGCCGGTCAAGGTCACCGCGTGGGAGCGGTTGGCTTGGCCATGGAAGAGGAAAATCCGAGTCGCGGTCTACTAGCCGAAACCGCAAGTCTACCGAGACTGATCGGACCGGCAGTCAGTGATGAGCTACCATCTTACAGCGAGCACGATGCTCGCGGCATGAACATAGACGATGGTGATGAGGGTGTTGATATGAGTTATGGTCCAACTCCGTGGGACTCAGGCGGAGGCTGGTCATTTGACCAACTAAACACACAGTCGCGCATGGCGGCCCCTTCGGAAGATGGCATGTTCGGAGATAATCGCAGTAATGACAGCACGCGTGTTGAAGGTAACATTGGGAGTCCAAATCATAGTCTCCTTACCATGGACGATGGCGATGAGGTGGATAACCCTATCTACAGTGAACCTGTCACCAGCGAAGATTATGGCAATCGGAGCATGAGAGAAAGTGCTCCTCCTCCTGAAATTCCAGGAATGTCCAACATACCCAATGAGGATGAGGATGATCTGCCGGTAATGGAACTGACGGCAGATCCAAGCGGTGAGCTCAAATTCCGATCCGAGGCACGTTGAGTGCACATCAAAAGGGAAACGCACCAGGGGCAGTGATCGGAGGGTTGATCCGCTGATAATGTTTTTATTGGCACGAAAATAGCGGTGGACCTGGGCGGAGGTGGCCAGGTCTTGCTCTGCATGACTGGGGTAACATGGTCGGATAGATGACTTATTACTATTCCGTACTGGCAAGCGGAAAAACAAGGCAATCGGGCGACCTGCAAATTGGCATGATAACAAGAACCTGGCATGGGTACAACGATACACGGCAGGCCAACAGCGGCCCCATTAGCATTTGCCGGCATATGCAGGTTGTAGGGCGCAATGACATACAATGCTTGTATATAGAGGACCGATTAGCAGCAGTCGAGGATGCCTCGGGGGGACTTGGTGCTTCAAAAACAGGAAAGGATGCTTTTGTCCGTCTGGCCGAGATGTTCGCTTCAACCCTGAGACGCTCAAACCCGCTAGGAGATTCTGGTCCAGACGCGTGACATGTTTCTTGGACATTCCTCACGAAAGGCTCGAAGCCATTTACGGAAAATGGAAAACGAGTTTGAAGATACAATACTCCGGTCCATCCGTGTGAATGGATAGCGTGGGGTTAATCCAACCAAGTAACAATGGAGCTATTCCGCCCAGTGTTCGGCCTCGGGACTGCGATGTCATAGTGGAATTCTACCATGGCCTGATAGATAGCTGCAGCAGTTGGCCTTGGGCCTTGTCCCCCTGGATACTTGGTCATGTATATTATACAACGACATGGATCCTTGTGGTCTGATCGGTAGTAAATATTTGATATTCTTCGACTTCTCAAACTCATGTGGGCTTTATCGGGACCTCTGCGAAGAACCCCTAGCAAGCACGACGGGGATCTCTCAATTATTCCAGTTAGTGGTACATACATAGATATATAGTACATCATTATGTACCATTACTCGGTACTCCTTTACCAACTGGAAACTTAGCGCGGCAGTAGTTGCTTCGTGCCTTAGTGCAGTCCCAGTGCTAGTATATCTTAGCGGGCTTGGCGTGGCTTGCAGTCTCCTCAATCTTTTTGCGCCTGCAGCGCTTCTCCAAACCAGCCTTTGATGTCGAATTCGTGCGGTGTGAGGTCTGCGCGTGCACTTCTGTTTTCCTCAATACCCTGTGTGTCTCAAAGGCTCCCTCGCGTGTCCAAGCCCAGCCAATTCATTCGCTCATTTTGAGGTCCCGAGCAGGATAATGCTTAGACCCATCGTTTGCTGAACACACCAACCTCCCCTCCACCTCCATTTCCGCACCCGCATCCTCAGCGACCATCAATCGCATTTAGGAGCGCAAAGAGAGAAGAGAGAAGAGAGCGCCAGATCCGCCCACACAACCACCGCAGCCATGGCGAATGCCTTGACTTCTAGAGATGAGCCGAAACAGGCTGAATACGCTGGAGGTATGCATGCGCTCTCTCTAGCACACAACCCTCCGCACTGGACAGTTTGCGATTACTGTTCCAAATGCGCGCGCAATCCACCTGCACCTCTCCCGCCCCGTTCTGCAGCGAATGCCCTTGCCATTGAGACCCCTCTAGTTGATTTGAAGTTGTTGTTATCATGTCCCTTTTTTGGTTTGGATGATGTTTTGATGGTTGGCTGACTCGTGTTGGCACTCCCCTCTGCAGACGAGGTTTCCGCCCTAGTTCTCGACCCCGGCTACGCGACAACCCGTGCAGGCTTTGCAGGAGAAGATACACCCAAATCAATAGTGCCTACATACTACGCATCGACAGCGGATCAGCGACGATTCGGCGATCATGTCATTGATGTGCCGCGGGAAAACGTCGAAATCAAAAATCCACTGGGTTCAGATGGAATTGTGGAAGATTGGGAGGCGGCGGAGGCTTTGTGGAAATACTCGTTTGCTCACAAACTCACTGGGATCCGTCCAAACCGAGCTCTACAGGAGTGGTTGAACGATAGTAGCGCTGTGCCCGATCTGCAGAAGGCCATGGCTGAAGCGATGGATACTGAGAGATGTCTCGAGGACCATCCTTTGTTTATGACTGAGCCGTCGTGGAACCCAACCAAGGCAAGAGAGAAGACTGCTGAGATTGCGCTGGAGTCATGGGCTGCGCCTGCCTTCTATCTGGGTCGTGCCGGTGTCATGGGTGCCTTTGCTGCTGGAAGACCCAGTGCGTTGGTGATCGACTTCGGGGCTTCTCACGTCTCGGTGACCCCTGTGCATGATGGGATGATCCTGAAGAAGGGAGTGGCGAGAGCCAACATCGGAGGCAACTATTTGTCATCACAAGTGCGGAGCATGCTGGCTGCGAATGAGACTGGTGCCGTCACCATCACACCCCATTATTTGGTTCAGTCCAAACAACCGGTGGACGCGGGACAGCCAGCAAATGCCATTTTGAAGACGATGCCTGACGGTTTCAAGTCGCCCCAGCCTTCTTTTCGCCGGTACCAGGAAGAGAAAGTGATACTGGAATTCAAGGAATTGGGCCTACAAACATGGTCCAATCCCAACGCGCCATTCCGTGGGCAGGGGGAAGTCAGCACACGAGAGCCACAATTCGCTCAGCCGTTCGAGTTCCCGGACGGCTACAACCAAACATTTTCGACCGAGCGATTCAGAGTGGTTGAATCACTCTTCGACCCACAGTGTTATTACGCGCCACCTGCAGGTTCCGTGGACGCGACCCTTTACCCGGCGCCGGACGCAGCAAGTACGATCCCCGGGCTGGTCCGTACTTGTCTCACGCAGGTTGACGTGGACATTCGACCATTCCTGCTCAGCAATGTGGTGGTGACGGGAGCTAGTTCACTGATTCGTGGCTTGCCCGACCGTCTGCAGCAGGAACTCACCAAAATGTACCCGACGGCCAGAGTCCGGATTCAGGCATCGGGCATGAGTGTGGAGCGGAAGTTTGGGTCGTGGATCGGCGGGAGCATCGTGTCGTCCCTTGGCACGTTCCACCAGATGTGGATTTCGAAGAAGGAGTACGATGAGCATGGTGCCAGCATTGTGGAGAAAAGGTGCAAGTAAAAGTGAATGGGGCACGGTAGGAGGATGTGGAAATGTCGGGAAGATCCGCCGACAGGTTTCTAGGAAGGCTCTGGAAGTTTGGCTTGATCTACAGCAGGCCAAGGGGAAAAGGCCAGAAGCAAGAGGCGAATGAAGTGGGATGATTCTGGTACCGTGTTTTATGCAAGTGGGCACATGCATATCATTTTCGGCTTTGAACCAAGACACCCGGGCACTATCAACGGTCCGTTTCGGCCGGGAGGGAGGGGGCGCCGCCAAAATGTACTACTACTATTACGACTTCGACTCTGCTATGATGATTAGATTTCTCAGCCAAAGTTCTCCGAATGGTTGAAGACGAAAAGGGAAAGGGACGACGAAGAATGGAAAAGTCATGGAATGGGCACGTGAAGTGGGTTTTCTAAAGCAGGACTCTGGAATCAGGATTCCTGTTTGCAACATCCAGCAAACCGCGCGTACCTGCTCATGCATTTTGCCAACATCAGGCCATTTGACTGCTTAATGAAAGCCATAAGTTGTACTGTGCATGGGCAGCTAGGCCCGATGAAGATGCCGAGTCAGTGAGATCGATTTTTAGGAATTGGCGGTCTCGTCACTCGAGGGTAGTTGCGCAAGTACATAGTCCGGCCACGGTATGGAGTCAGGCTTCAGGGCCAAAATCAAGCGATCGACAACCCCACGACGAGTGTGGAATTCACGCCGTAGACACGAGTAGTACGGAGTACTTGGACACGCCTGTGGGTGTGGGTGTGGGTTGCGCAGCATAGACGAGGCCAGGGACCCCTGGTTGGACGTCCACTGTCCAGCAGAAGGCTCTGCACAAGAGGGTCCGGAATATGCGACAGTACGGAGTACCACTACTGACTGCTAACTAGTCGCCAAAGCACTTAATTGCGAGTCGTCAGCAAGACTAGGATCACGGTGTCGGGGAATGCAAGGGGAAAAGTTTACATTGCCTCATGACCTGGCCAGACAGACCTGTGCCGTCGATGTAACGGTGCGGCGGTGTGCTGAGGCGAGGTGAGGTGAGGTGTCTGTGATCGTCTTTCTATAGGAAGTCAGCAAGCTATTCTATTGCGGAATACTCGGTGGAGGTGTTCAAGGCTAGACGATTGTGGTGGGTGTTCGTGGACGGCGGACAGAACCAGACGGTCGGGACCAGATATGACAGAGAAGAGGGCCACTTTCTTCCATAGTGCCTCGTCCGAGTGGCCCGTGGTACGTGGTACGGACGGAGGACGGAGCACAGAGTAGTTCGCTACACGAACAAAAGGACTGACCTTACTCGCACACATTGGGAAGCGCTTTAGCTTTGGGACCGAGCCGAGTTACATATCATAACTGCCACAATGATGGATGGAAACCCAGCCAATTTCGAGGAGGACTCGTACTCGTAGATCCTGAATTTTTCCCTTTCTTGGTAATGGGAGTCGACCCAAATGGTTAGAGGTTTGTTGATCACGAGGCTACAGTTATGTGCTGGGGATTAGATCGATCGTCAAGTCCCAGGGCGGCTCTAACATTCACCGACTAATTTATTTGGACTTGTGCTTCGGGGGGTGGATGCTGAAGGAGTAGGTCGTCATAGCGAGAACTAGCTAACCTTAGTTCGTCGGAAGTGGGATCCCTAAGGGGACTTCCCGTGGACGGGGTGCCTGGTCGGCAGGTGTGTCGCCTACGAGTAAGTTTATGGTCTCCTTTGTTAGCCATGGAAGAATCCCTGGCGGGAGGTGCCTAGGTACCTATATTATACTCGTAAGGTACCGAGTCCTGCGTAATTACATACTCGTAGGTAATTCGGAGGTGTCTCACCACCTACAGTACTCCGTAGGTGAACCAGTAAGTAATTCACCGTAGTCCGTCCCCCGTACGGAGCCCTGCGGTGGCTAAGCTACCTTGAGTAGCTGGTCCTGTGGATCTGGCCAGGCCACTGTCAGTCTGGTCTGGGCCCATCCTGAGTCCTGAGTCCTGAGTCTCCTCATAGCCGTTGGTACTTCGTACCCCGTACTTCAGCTGCCTAACCCAGCTGCATCCCACGCTCTGGTTTCTCTGCAGGCCAGCACCGGGAGCCAGGCACCCAGCAGGGGGACCCCTCCCCCCCCCCCGGGCCATTCCTTGGTCACACAACATTGAACGCGGCATGTTCCCAACCATTTTGGGGGGGGGGGGGGGGAGGGGTTCCATACCGTCGGTAACAAGCATCAGTTGTAAACTTGTAACTTTGTTGGTGTGTCTCTCGTCCAGCGACTAACCAGAGTACGGCGTAGTAGGGAGTACATACGTGCCTAAAGCTAAGCTTACTGTACTCGTACTCGTAGCTGTGCTGTAGACTCTGGACTGGTCTGTTCTCCGGGAGTCTGAACTGCATACGGGGTGTTGTCTTTGCCTGTAACAGTGATAGCGCCATCCCTCACCCCGTCGGCCTCTCGTCCCCTCATTTTCAACAAAGCCCGTGTTAGACTCTGTACTAGCACCTAAGAACTTCCCTGGTAGGTACTCCGTACCTAGGATATGAGGAGCCTTAGTTGGCACCCAGATGGTTACTATTGGAATCCTCGTCCGAATATCACTTCAAATTAGTGCCTTCCTAGTAATAGTAATTCGCAAAGAAGTAAAGTCGAAAGCGACAAGCATCCCTACCAACTGTCCAACTGTCCAACTGTTTAATTTCCCTGCAATCTGGCGCTGTACGAGCAGCTGCTCCCAACTGCAGTTACTGCTACATCCTATAAGCAAACCGTCTCCCTCTCCTCTTCTCAGACTCGCATGTTTTACAGCATTTTACCTTTCATCTCCTTGCCCTTCTGCTGTCCTTTTACCGAAAAAGGCACCCCTCTCGACATCATCTCTTCCTCTTCCCTCCCTCATCGTCCTCGCCACTGCCATCGCCATCGCCATCGCCATCGTCATCGCCCTTCACCCGCCAACGCATCAGAATATCCACCTATACGAATGCCACCTGTCTCCTCGTCAATCAGCCACGGACTGTCGCTCCTCCCTGTTCCACCGCCTCCTCGCCTCCTCGCCTCCTGGTCGTCGCCACATCAAAAGCACCCACCACCACCCACCACCACAGGCCACACACGATTTGACTGCAGTATTCCACTTTCTCAACGTCTGATCCTCGGATTTCTTCCAAACTTTTTTTCTTGAGTAGCCGATCCACATCCAAATCCTCCAAAGCGGAAACCTACCGTGCCTTACCTCTGGGTCCCTGTTTGCTCGCTCTCCTCCCTGTTCTCATCGGTTAATTCCCGTCACCCTTGTACGAAACTCTAGCATTTCTTTGCCGCCCAATCTACTGCATGGCACCTTCGCTAGGAGTAGTAACACGAATTTCGCCTGTTTCCCTATCCCTTTTCCGGTGTATCGAAACCTCCCGCTCCCGCTTCTCAACTCCAAACTCTATCATTGTACCCAACTGTCTTCGGCCTTGGTGACCCTCTCTCTCCTGTCTCTGTTCTCCGCCGCCACCTCACGTCCATGAGTACGACCACGACCCTCTTCGGTGCAGTGTTTCTCACCTGACTCGCAAAACACAGCACATAGAGGCCCACCGGTGTTTTGTTTTCCACTCTTCTAGTCCCCGGCCTTGGACCTCCCGGGTAAAGAGTGCCGTGGCTGCTTTCAACTCAACAATAAGCGCCCGGGTTTGTTTCCTCGAAGCTTGGAATAGAACCATATTCTTCCCAAACATACCGACTACTTCTCGCCCTCTCGCCCTATCGTCCTCTCCAGTATTGTCGGCTGGACCATCCTGATCCTTTTCCCCAGGCCATGTCCAATGCCACAAAATTTAGAGCCATTGCCACATTAGTTCAAACCATGGATTCACCAGTGGTACCAAGTTCAGATTCCTCGAATGACGAGACTTATCAAACGAGGTCATTAACGGCTAGCATCACCGATTACCCTATGTATTGGGGGAGGAGATACCATCGGTATAAAGAAGGCACCTATCTGTTCCCCAACGACGAAGCCGAAAACCATCGCCTCGATGTTCAACATAGCATACTCAACGAGTTACATGGTCGCCTCTTCTTTGCCCCTCTTGACCCTGCCATCACTCGAGTTGTCCTGGATTTGGGCACTGGTACTGGAATTTGGCCAATTGAATTGGCTGACACGGGCTTGTTGCCCAAAGCTTCCATCTTCGGCACCGATCTTTCCGCCGTTCAGCCGTTGGATGTACCAAACAATGTTCATTTTGAGATTCAAGACTGCTCCGAGGAAGACTGGGTCCGACCTTTTGGAAGCGTCGATTATTGCCATACTCGATTCCTCGCTGGTAGTCTCACCTCGTATGAAGATCTGATACGGAACTCAAAGCAATATCTACGTCCTGGCACCGGCTGGTTGGAATGTCAAGAACTTCACCCGACTCCTGTCTCAGACGACAATACCATACCTGCAGACTGGCCTGCCAAGACTTGGGACGATAATCTGGATTATGCTTGCACCCAGGCCATATACCCACCCCGTCCTATTCGCATCGGGCCTGATATCAAAACTTGGATGCAAAGGGCCGGCTACGTTGATATCCACGAACACATCTCCAAGATCCCAATCGGCCCTTGGCCGAAAGATAAACGTCTCAAACGTATTGGACAGTGGTGGTTGGGGAATTGGTTATCCGGGTTACAAGGGTTCTCCCTCAAAACCTTCAGTACCGACGGACTCAAGTGGTCAAGAGAAGAAATTGAAGTCATGTTGGCCGAAGTGAGGAAATCCTTGGCGATGAAGGAAGTCCATTCTTATCACAGGTACTATGTCGTTTATGGGAGACGGCCTTCGGTTGAGGAGGAGGAGGAAGCGTTTCACAGTCGGCTGCACTCTCATGGCTGAAAGGGATGCGGAATCACTCAGACTTCTATCATCACATCACGTACAGGACTCGAGAACAGAATTTCTGCCTAGCGGAGTCGATGTTATGGATCCTTCGAGCATGGGAGTGGCCGCGGCCAGAATGGCTGCTACGATCGGTCGACCTATGTCAGCCACCGAATGGCTTCCAAATCCAGAGCTCCAGGTTGTGCGTCAAAAGAGCAAGATGGAGCGTTTGGATGAAAAGCAAGAGGTTCCAGACTCGAGGAGAACCCAAGTCGAAGGTACCCGAGGGTCAATCTCCGGAATGGAAACTGGGTGGATCCAGGCAACCGTCCTAGTTATGATGTTCCACGATGGCGTTGGGTCTACGAGGGGCTGTCAATGGAGTAACACCGCTCGTCACGACGGGGTATTTATCAATGTGCAATCAGTGCACGAGGAATGGATCATACCACGCATGGATACACTTTGAACCGTGGAACTGGATGTCCATTGACGTTGGGATGGAATAAGTGAAAATGAAATGCAGACACCTTTGCTCCTCTGGTGGAGACAGCCACATCACAGCCGGACAATCAGTCACAGCACTAATAAATGCAGCTTTCGCGTCATCTCAACGACTGAAATGATTGGGCGAGGGAACTACTTCAGACCCCCGGATGAAAAGGCGGAAGTTGAGGACGTGGAGGACTAGGAACACACCGATTGCAAATCGGTAATCGGTATTGGTATGATACGACGAAATGAAACGAATAATGGCGAGTTGAGTTGACCGAATTAATGTATACATATACAGGTACGTTTACGAAGACAGGATGTCCCATTGATTTCCCGAAGAAGCGAGCAGGGGGGTATGTACTTTATTTCCGGACAGGCGAAAAATTGAAGACCAAAAATGGAATCGGATGCCTACTGTACCCAGGCCAGCCAGGTATTCATTAATTCTCGCCTCCCCCAAGGCTGTCTTTAGAATTCCAAGCTTCCCTGCATGATTGTCGGTGTACGGTTAGATACTCTGCAATCACCTCTACCTAGTTACATATTCCGTGCTCTGTACTGCGTACTCCGTCCATTAGCTACTATCAGCGTCCCCGGGGGGGGGGGGGGGGACTGGAATCACAAAGTCAGTGACCAAGAAGAAGCGGGCGCCTGGGTGTATCCCAGTTCGTACGGAATACTGGAGATGGTGCTACGAGTAATGTTCAATGTAGGTCCGAGTGCTCCGTACGGTGGTACATACATGAATACATGAATGTGTAGGTAGTTACGTAGATGCGTGGGTGGAAAGGGCGGATCCGCCTCCCTTCTCCGCCTCCCTTCCCTCCCCCCATCTCCCCCTCCCCACCCCGCCTCCTGCGCTTCGGGGCGGCGAGAACTCTGTCACGTACTATTGTCACCTCATATGTAGCATTGTCGAGGGCCGACTGCGCTGTTTACTGATTGAGGGCTGTTACGAGGTACATGTACATGTACATGTACGCACCGAGGAACTAGAGACATCCGCAGTACGGTACGATGTCGAGCTAGCTACTTGGTTGACTAGAGCCGCTCAGTCCAGTTGCGGTGGCAATCAATCTGTGTATGAACTTATCTCGCAAGTTTCCTTCCTGGCTAGCTCTCGTGAGATGGAGAGAGATAGAGGTCCTGTGGACGGATGCCTTTTGGTCGAGCGGTGTGGTTTCTCGGTTCGTGCTGGATGAATGTCTGGAGGGATGAGGTACAAAGGTGCTTACCGTGAAATGGCCCTTGTAGATCGCTTCCATAAGACTTCAACATCCGACTTGCTTCTGTTCCGTTTCCGAGCCCTATTTCCCCGTTTTGGCGCTTTGGGTTTTCCTCTCTTTTGCATGTTGTTGGTTCTATGTACGAGTAGGAACCAGAAATGCGGGTGCCAAGCAATTAGGGATCAGGTGGCGAGGAAAAGTTGACCAGGGATGAAATGAGGATGGGGAACAAGGCTAACGTCCACACCGGCAAATCGACATTCCCAAGCTTTTGAAAAGGCGTTTGGGATTTTCGTCGTGCTCGTTGCTAATTAGCTACTTGGTCGCCCGGCCCACCGAATACCTGCAGGGTCAGGAGCCTCGAGAGCGTTCCTCGTTCACGGTGGATGAGGGTTGATGGCGCATTCATTTCAGAAACCCCAGTAAGGGTTTCCATGGTGCCAATGGGATCGCCAGGATTTTTAAAACTGGGGACGGATTCAGTCAGTCTCGCCAAAGTCAAATCAAGATCGGAGAACAGAGCAGTGAATTGCAGCCAACACCGGACGGGTACGAATACCTAATTACTTCGTGGCGCTACCAAGTAAGTTTAGCTAGTTCGCTTCCCCAGACGATCCGCCGAGGTCTTCAATTTATAATAGCATGGATGGAACTTAGCGGCGGGAGACTCCCAACTTCGGGTCTCAAGATCCGAAGTTTGTAAGCACCAGACCCCTGGATAGGCTCCCAATAGGAGACCGGAGATAGCGATTGGGTGCCCTCGGTTGTTACTGTATACACGGGCAAATTTCCGGGCTAAGCAAGCAAGGAACAAGCTGGAATTGGAAAGTGCGTGTTGGCTTTTGTCCCCGAACGTGTCATGCGCTGAGTGATTAGCGTATTATGACTGATTCATCATCATCTCTTCCCCCGTACCTCGTAGTACATTGGCAGGGGATGGAAAATGGGGATCTGGTATTCGTTTTTGGTGACGTTGAACTTGGAAGATGGCATTCGTTTCTGATTCGCTGCAACTGGTAAGTCTAAGGCCGTTCACCCGGGCTGCTCCTGCACCCGTCGGTTAAGGTTTGATGCCAGATTGTGGGATACGAGTTGGGTTCCGTCTCTAGACCAGAAAAGGTTGTCTCTCTTGAATTCACCGGTGCCACCGGGCCTCGAGTCATGTTCCAAGGAGGGAAAAAGGAAATTGTCCAAGACTTGTGACCTGTATTTTATCCGTTCAGGATGTGCAATATGGTTGGCTTCATGACTTGTCTTCGGCTGCTCCCTGGAGACAGTCTGGTGGCGGCCTGGGATATATGAACTCTAAGCTGCCACAAATCCAAATCAGCGCCATTCCCGTTGGCGAGGATAGACAAGGTACCCGTACGGCGTACGATAACTTAAGCGAAGGTCGTCGAGAATTCCAGATATACGACCGGAGAGACCCGATCTCATTGGCGCGTGTCGAAGTTTCATTGGGTACCAGACTATCTGTTTGACAGCGGGTTCCACTGCCATCCCCTGATGACAGAAAGACTTGCATGACCCCGATGCCCGTTATGGGAATGCAACGGAACCCCGTGTAAGTGAAGGGCAAGGTCCCTGATCATGTCCAAGCTGAAAGCGAAACTTTATTTCCACTCCCGACCTTCGATAGGCCCTCGGCCCAAGACTTGGTGCACGCCGACGGCATAATGTCCCAGGGTGCTTCGTTTTGTCGAAACTAAAAGAGACGTCGTTGATGCATGGATTGCTATCACCTCCGGAACAGGTTCGTGCATAGAGCTCTAGGCCCATCCAGTTTCTTCTCCATCGTCTAATTGTTTGTGGTCTTGTCCGTGTCACGTCTAAGAGCTCGCACACTTGGCCAGCGTAGAAACGAGTGGCGTAGCCTGGGGGGCCTTCCAATGAGATCCTGTATGTACTCCGTACTGTATCGACTCCCGTTCGAGATCCCCACCTCTCTTCTGCCCGGCCACCACGGTAGTGCCAGGTTCAAATCTGCAGAAGATCCGAAAAAGCGATCCACCTTCTCAAGGCAGCGAATGATTAGACATACTCATGGAGGGTGATCTAATGCCCATGGGAACAACGAAGGGTGGACCGTTTTTAGGCTTGACGACACCGTGAGGCATGTCCATTGAACTGACCTAGCCAACATGCTTCCAACCAGGCCGACTAGGGCCAAATTCCGGAGGACTGGGTGGGTGAAATTCGTGGTAGCCTTCTTCCGCTCCAGATTAGATTGCTTAATCACCTTTGTCTGCTCCCTGGCGAATGCCTCGTCCTCACTACCGCGAGTATTTGCCCAAGCCGCCTGCCGATCTCTGAAGTTCGTCAATGGCCGGACATCTGGACGGAGCAGGTTGGCAGTGGCAATTCGGGAATCATGATAGCACACAGACTAGTGATGTCTTGGTAAAAGATGTCTCAAAGTGATCAGGTAGGTCCCGCTTTGTTGACGACAACGTCTGAATGACAAAGGTTGATGGTGTTTATCAAAGCCGGCAGTCTAGGCGGATCTGCGGCTAAAGATCTGGTCAATCGGTGAAGCCGCCTTCCGCCCTTCCGCCAAATCGAGCTAAACTAACGTCCTTGATTTAAAAAAAAAGTAAGAAGCCCAATTTACTAGTAGCAGATGAGCGAAACTAGATACCGTCGAACAGTCAGGCGGCAGGGCAGCAATGCAGGAATCTCCAAGCACTTGGCTGCCTTGTATTGCAAGGTTTTGAGGGTTTCAACCTCTGACCACTTTATACTTTTACAAGTGAATACAGGTAAGCATCTCAAGTGGCCTGAGAGGCTGGGATCATGTAACGAAGTCTTACATACATCTTGGGCGACGAGACTACGGTAGGCCAAGAGAACGGATCTGAATGTACGGATGCCTCCAACCAGGGAGAGCAAGTCCCCAATCTCAAAAATCGCTATTCTGGTGGCAGCGGTCAAATTTTGAGCCAACTCGCCTCTCTCATTCGAGATGCCCTTCCTAACCAACAGGTGGCCACAGTGTTTCCAGCCAACCAATATTAAGATCTCCAGCAACTAACCAACACATTTGTCTCCAAATTGTTGGCCTATGGATTGAATGAGACCGCATCCGGAATGAAGATGGCTCTTCCTCTCCTAGGCTCCCTCCTCGGAAAGTCAAGTCTGCTGCAATCCATCGCCACCCGCTCCACCATGGACATCATGGCAACATCACCACGAGCAGGGACAGTGCCCAATTCACGAGCCCATCTGGATGGCCCTCTGAACCATCCAATCGCCAGCCGTGAGGATACTTCCACCCTTCGGCTCAAACTTGCCCGCGACCTTCAAATTATCATTCAAGTCCTTAAACTTCTCCACAGGCTCCATGAGCACACTATTATGCGGCCTGACGAAGTAAACAATACTGTAGCGATCGACGTGGACCTGTTCCCCGGGAGCAGGGACGACACGGTGTTTCGCAGACTTGAGCAAGCCGTTGGTGAAGGTGACCATCGCGTCGCCGAGGTTGATGATCGCATGGCCGGGCAAGGGTTTCACATACGCCCATTCGCCATGGCGCGCCGGATCGTGCGACTGGATCTGCAAGCCGCCGAGCCAGTTGAACAGCACGGTGATGCTCCCGAAATCCGTGTGCGAGGGCAATCCAACGGCCTTGGTATCTGACACGTGCGCAAACTTCCGCGTCAGACGGCAGTGGTCGCCAGACTCTTGGGTGAAGATGTTCCGGGACGCGAACGTGTCGCTCGGGAGGGCCAGCTGGTCCGCAAGCACGCGTAGGACGACCATGCCCACCTCGTGTGCGTTCTTGGTGAAGGCCTGGAACAGCTCCTTGTTCGACGTGACTTCGTCCGGGTAAGTGCGCGACTCGGCCACGCCGTGCAGGTGGTCCTTGCTGACGTTGAAGAACTCGGTCGTGTCCGGTCGCTTCTCCGGGTCGGTCTGCTTGACGACGCCGGCCTCCTTGTATCCGAACAGCGACACGCCCTTGACGAGTGCGTACTGTCGCTTCGTCTCGATGGGGTGGTCGAACGCCTGCTGCGACACCTGCAGCAGCTCCTCCGACTCAGACAGCAGGTCGTCGCCGAGCGGCGTCGCTGTCAGGTTGAGGTAGAAGAAGCCGTGTGTGCGGCATGCCTCGAGCGCCGAGGCACCCTCGGACGCGTCCTTGCTCAGGAGCTTCGCTAGGGAGACCGTCGCTATCGGTGCCGTATGCACATCCGCTGGGAACGGTGGGAGGTCGAGAAGACTGCTTTTCTGGATCATGGCTGGTCGCCGCCTGTACTCTGACCGAGTCCGTTGAAATCAGTGCGTGGCCGGTGGGTCTGGTATTCAGTTCAAAGCCACGAGAGCTTCGCTTTGGTGCTTGAGGCTAGGAGAATACCTTGTCACGACGGGGCGCGCGCGCAATCTATCCTGATGCTCTCAACGAATCCGTGCTCGTGCTCGTAAATATCGTCTCGTCGTTCACATGCACAAGCACAATACACACTCTCTGTCCAGGGCCAGAACGTGATAGTAGTACGTCGTCGTCGTCTTCTTCCTTCCTTCCTTGTATGTCTCTTCAGACGATCAGCCAGGGACTGTTGAAACCGAGTCGAAGAAAAGAAGACAGAAGCAGAAGCTACAAGCCCAATACCACTATCGTAGATGAGAGGATAATCACTGCATGGTAAGTAAGCAGCGGGCTACGACTCGCATGATGTATGTATATAAGTATGCCCTCGGCTGGGGTGGGATGGGGTGGGGTGTGGTGCGCCTCTTATTTGTATTCGCACAGAGGAAGCTTCCACAGCCCCGCACGCAAGACAAAACCCAACATGGGAGTCGGGGTCATCGACATAATGATACTGTCCTTCCCGTACTCGTATGATGTACATCGACATCCTGTACTCGTAGATACGAGTAGAGAATTACTTTAGACCCCTCGTCCCGAATTGGCCCCCCGCCCTCCCCGCATCACTGGGAACCACTGGGAACCACTGGGCGGATTTCCCGGCGGAAGAGCGTTGGTAGAAAAGGGCCAGGGCCACTGGATTACGAAACGGGGTGCCTCATAATTATTGAGGAGGTCGCGCGGAATTCGAAAGTGTTCATCGGGTGTGGATCGCGGAACAATGCCCGAGGCAATGACGGTAGTTCGAAGGATAGATAATACGTGCTACCCAGGCCCAGTATTCGTCTATCTTGTACATTAGCTAGCTACGTACGTTCGGCTCTTGCTCATTGCGCCGTACTCCGTACTCGGCACATGCATATCAGGAGGCTTGATTCAATTCCAATTGCGGCGTCAGCCAGCCAATAATAATACAATCAATCGCGAACGGGGAAATGAACAGCTATCTCTTTTTACATGTTCGATTACCACATTAGTCTATCTAGACCTCAATTAGTCTATGCCCATGAGTCAATAGCCCATCGGGTCTTCTTTCTGTCACTACTTCCTACATTTCCCAGTTCCCACCTCATCGGATGAGGATACTCTGTACTCTGACGCTCGTCCAAACCCTTTCTCAAAGGGCGTGGGGCCCCTCCGATTCATTCCAGCACACCAGTCGTCCAAGCCGTTGCATATATGCATCAATTAAAAGGATCCTCCACAGCTTTGGTAATGAATGATTGACAACCCAATCGAGCATTCCAGGCTCGATATGAGTACGGCTCGAGATGTAAAATGTGCAAACAAACACCCAGGCGCCTTGCAGGTCTGATCCATGATGACGCAGAGAATGTACGGATTTTCCGTGCCCATGTCAAACAAATCGACTTGTGTCCCGCCCTGCTCTATAAAACGCTATGTCCCGCAAATAAGGGTATCGATTGCGGTGTTTAAAACTGAAAAAGGAGAAAGATCAGTCCTGACACCCCCTGTGCATGTCGGCTGAAAATCGACCGCAAGTTTTAGATCGTAAAAGTCGTGAGTATCGTGGCATCATCCGTATGTTCGAATCCTGTTGATCTTCAACTCCCATATGTAGCAGAAGTCCCCTTATTACACTGTCGGTGCCCCAGGCTGTTTCTGCCCCAGATTACCAAACAGTGACTCGGGAGGAACTCGTTGTATGTTGGAATTTTTGTCCGCATATGGAACGCTCGGTACAGATTTATATCCTGCACGATGGCGCTGAATCCGATTCAGAATGATGCCGACTAAGATTATGAGGAATATTGTGCCCAAGGCCGCGCAAAGTGCCACAAGTACAACAATGCCTCTAGAATGTCCACGATCTGAGGATATGGTCAGCAAAGAAAACAACCACCACCAAAGAGGAGTCTAAACTTACTATCAGAAGTCAAGTCATCTTCTTGCGATGTAAATACTTTACTGATGGTCCCGGGATCTCCGTTGGAGGTGGAAGCCAAAATCAGAGGTTGCATCTCGGTGCCGTTGAATAACGCCGCAGCAGCATTCCCAAAATCGGTGATGTTGAGTTGACCCGTCACCAATAATGCTCGATCCCGACCTAAGAAATCAGTTGACTCGTGATTTTCAGTCAGCTTCATGATTTTCAACCCGTGAATGGTAGTCCCTGGTCCAAATACATCAACCACTGGTCGAGTGTTATCATTGTCGATCTCGATCAGAAATGTCGAACCGTTGGTTGCAGTCCCGGCTATCCACATGTGCTTCTCATCCTTCGCCGCGGGACAAAATGCAGAGATGGGCCCCGGAATTGCTGGATTGTCCATCACCGTCCATATTTGTCGATCAACGTTATACAGGGCTAGAGACGTCTGATTTCCTTCGACGGTGAGATTTCCGGTAGCCAGTAGGTCCTCTCCAGCCCAAAACAGATCCGAGACCGAGCCCTCGAGTGTACTACCAACAGTATTCCATTGATCGGTCGCTGTGTCGTACATGCATACAGAAGGGCAAGATAGGCCTTGGGAAGTTCGATCAAAAGATCCCCCAACATAAAGAGCAGATGTTCCTGGTTGTGGAGCGATTGTGTTGACGACAACGTCTTCACCCTCTAGTGAGGCTGGCTGAATGGTTCGATAATTTGCTGTACCCAAATCATATAACACCAGGCCGGCAAGGTTCATGTTGTTGAGTCGGCCAGTGATCCGACCACCGACAGAAAGGAGACTGCCTGTCACTGCCACAGTCATTATTGTCGACTCTGCCTCGATTGCAGGGGGCGCTCCTGTAACGGCGTTGTTGTTTGATACATTCAAGAACATTAGATTGTCGATGGTCGACCCGTCTGTTGCCACGGCAGAGAAGTGTCCAGCAAAAATAGTGACATTTTCTCCATTCTCGGTATAATATGCTCCGCTCGTTACACCGGTGACATTTTGAGAATCTAGAATTGCTCGTTTCCGTGAGTTCGACGAGGTTGAGGCAGAGTCGATGGTGATTGGCAGTTGTTGAAGGTTGAGTCTACCATCCTGAGATACCATTCCGGCGGCTCCACTGATGGCCAATCCGAGGGAGCGCAGGGTTCCAGCACCCAGCCAGGTGTTGTTGGGAAGGATGGCCGCCGAAGAAAGTTGACCAGCAAATGCCTGCTTAGGGATATTCATCGTTTCAAGCCATCCGCTGTTTGATGGAACCCAGATCGCCAGACCGGGAGCACGGGTTGCTGGAACCGAGCCAAAGGCGCGAATTTGGGTGAAAGGCCCGCTGAAAACGATGACTGTTTCGACTTGATTTCCACTGGTGTTGAGCTGCATTGGGACAACAGCGTCAACAGGTCCGTCAAGTCCTGCTCCAAGTGGTACCCAGGCATTCTTGGAGAATTGATATGCTGCAGCATTATTCAAACCTTCGACGTTGTCCTCGACGGTGTTTGTGAAATTACCCCCAATATATAAGAAGTCGTCCAGGCTATACATCGATGTAACAGCTGAGTTGAGGCCTCCGTCTGCAAGGGACGAGGCATTGTTGTTGGTAAAGGCCATGATGTTCTCAAACACATCATCGGAGAAATTTCCAGCAGCGTATATCGTGTCATCTCGGGTGGTGAGAGCCAACACGTGAGCGCCGGGTTCCAGTGTCGTTCCTGCGTTATTGATGGCGGATTGTGTGAAATCGGTGTCAATTGCATCACTGCTTGGATCGTAATCAAAGAGACCGTTGAGCCCACCTGTGGAGGAAATGAAGCCAAATTTGACGCGCGATGCAACGATAAGCTGGTCCGACTGTTGACCAGAAGGGGTGATAGTAATAGCAGGGCGGAAAGAGGAGCTGGTGACATCCACAAAACCTTGATAGACTTGATCATATTTGTCAAAATCGTTTGTCTGAAAGACGGATGTGCTGAATGTCTGACCCCCATCCGCGGTCAAAGTACCATTGACAGTCACGATGGCACGGGCAGAGCACGAACTGTCCTGAATACAACCAGGGGTATAAATAATGATGGAATAGTTCCCACTCTGTTGAACATCGGGTTGGAAAACAATGGAAGTGCTGTCGACGGTGGTGGGTCCGACGACTGCGGTCAGGTAATCGGAAACACTCTGTCGAGAAGGAGTGGAAAACCACGGGCCAGTAGCAGTTGCAGTTGACCTGGTACCTTCGGCTTCACAGACAGGATCGTTGAAGGCCTCGATGGCATAGGCAAAGACGTCATTCTGAAAGATTTCAATGCCGTCAAGACCGCCTCCATCGCCGTAAAAATCGGATATGTCGATTCTGAAGCTGTCCATTCCTACCAGGTTGACAAATAAGAAATCCTGAAATGGCTGCGACGCGTTTGCCGGAGCCAGAGGACATCTAGCGTCACAAAAGGCACGAGCTCCTGTTTCGGGGTCAACATATGTGAAGTTCATAATTCCATTGATGGGAAGAGCGGTAAAGCGCCAAGTCTTTGTTCCTCGACCTTCTTGTTGGGTGTTCCATAGTCGGAGCTTGGTGGGTTCGAAGCCAAAAGCTAGGTCAGCGCGCCAGGAGCCAGGAGTGTTGTCGGCTAGGAGAAAGCTCGTAGAGCCATCGGTATTGTTGGTTGGACATAAGATATTCCTCGGATTCCCCAGTCCTTGTCTGGTCGTGTTTCCTACGGCGGTGACGTTGGCGGTACCAAGATTAATGACTTGAGTCTGTGGGTCAGTAAGAGCAAAGGAAGAAATATTGCCCAGGCCGGTGAAAGAACCTCCAAAGACAATATGTCCATTCGGAGCGCGGGTAATGGCTGAGACAGGAGCATCAAACCCGGCAAAAGGGAGGTTGGTGAAGCTACCAGATTTCCATGCGATAGCATTGGAAGAATTCTGAGCTTCAAAGGCACCGCCGATGTAAACGGTCTCGGTGTCCTGGTCGCAATAAAGGGCCGAGACAATACCTTGAACGCCGTCGATGGGCGTGATTTGTAAATTGTTGGTGTCCAACAGAGCCACCGACTGTGCAGCCACACCACCAATACTTGTAAAGTTTCCACCGACGACGAGACCAGATAATGTTCCATCTTTTTGTACGAATGGGCACATGGCCGAGATTCCAGCATCGGTGGAGGCGAGAACATCGAAAGCTCCACTGGGTAACGTTGATAGTATAGATTGAGTGCCATTGCTACTGAAGCCTTGCTGCTGACCGATGGTAGAGTAGACGGCGATGGCGTCGAAGTCACCAGCAAGAGTGACCTCGCCAAGAGAGTCGAAATTGAGGTTCGGGTTGGGGACTGATTGGGACAACCCTTGCGTTGCCAGCAATAGAAGGGCGGTCGAAGCCCGCGGGCGGAACTGCGACAGCAGATGCATTCTGGAAATGCGTCTGTGCCGAAGCAAGGACGTGAGAAGCTGTTATCGGTCGTGTATTGAGGAAGACATATGTGAGTGTCGAGACTTGTAAGGAGGAGTAGGTGGGAGAGAGGAAGAGTCGATCGTGTTTCCAAACTTGGAACCGGAGTTCAGGTGCAGGTGTAGGTGCAGGTGCAGGTGTCGGAGTATGTAGAAGCAGGAATTGAATCAGGTACAGATCAGACCGACCCACGGGTTGCAGTAGTGGGTATTATTTTAGTATTGAGTGATGACGGACACGCGTGCAGGCCTTGACCCAGATCCAGTTGCGAAGAGCAGGGATGGGTTGAAACAAGCGGGAGGCGGAGCGTGGATGGCAGGCCTCAGGACCGCTTTCAACTACAGAGATGGATTCAAACAACGACGGAGAGGAAAGAGCGACAGTCGTGATGATGAGGATGATGGAAGCTCTACGAGTAAGACCCGTTGAGTTGTTGGTAAAGGGATCCCGAGTACTGGTAGGATTGGACGGGACTCTGAGTGCGTCCGTAGGGCGCCGCAGCCGAGAAAGGAGCGAGAGCTGGACAAGAGGAGGAGGATTGGAAGTTGGAACGCGAGAGTAGGAGAGAGTGCCAGTACAGTACTCGTAAGTAACCAGTGTGGGTAAAGATGTGGCTTGCATTGAGCTGGCGAAACAAGAAAGTCAAGCTCAGAAACAATCAGTTACGAGTACTCGTAGCCGTGTGGTGGGCCCGGGTCTGGCGTACGGTACGAGGTGCCAGGTAGCGTGGAAGCCCCAGCCGGAAGGTGTTAAGTGGGTTGGGCTTCTCTTCAGGCTCTTGTTAGGCGGTGGGGAAGGGGGAGGTTGCCCCAGCATCAGCACCAGTCATGGCCCGCGAGCCCTGGGGAATGCCCGCTGCAATCTACCACTAGCCCCAATCCAGCCTATTTCGCTGTCCACCAATCCTCATCCACCCACTCTCATTCCCAGCAATTCCAAGCTTCCAAAAGTCTCCCATCAGCTGGACAACCAACGGGCCACCGAACACACAAGATTCTTCTACTCCAGAATGCAGATCATCCAGCGTGGTCCAGGAGCAAATCATGATGCTCACATCCATCATCATCAACACCTCGTAGCATCATCAGTATTCTTGACTGCCCAAGGATGGGTGGCAGATGCGACATCTAGTCAGAGCGCATGTTTGCAATCTCCCAGGGAGATGACACACCCACTCTAACTCCAAACCCGTTGGTGGCGGGCCGTGGCTGGCTTCAAGGTACCTGCGTAACTTCATGCACTCTAGCTTAGCGGAAAGGCTTCTCTTTCTCCTCTCTCTCCCCTCTCCTTCTCCTCCGAACTCCGTGTTGTAAACCAAAGTATCAGATGGCCACTGGCACATCCATATAACAGACGCCTGCTCGTCTCCTATTTTACCTACTCCCGATATGTCCATCTCTGACCGCTCTTCTGCAAGTCTTGGACACGTAGTTTGCAAAAGGAGTACTTGTCTGTCACGTGCTTATTTATTTATGAACAACTGCGGGCGCACGAGAACCTGATCGTGTGCATGTGTCATGTGATCAATTCCGGCGCTCATATAAATCACGTGCCAACGATGCCAGCCTCTTACAGAGTAACACAAATTGATGGCAGGGCTCCCTCTGCGGTCCCGCCATGTCACAAGTCACCAGTCGCGGGTTTTGTCAATTATTCAACAGACACCCCCCAGCCAGCCTGGCTCCTCTTCTTTCGTTGTTCCGTATCCGTACTCCGTATTATTGTGCGTTTCACTTGCGCTTTCTTCGTTTCACCCGCTCCCCACTTGTCATAGAAACCTCCTCAAGATGCACCATCGTTTTCGAGTCCTCTGTCTCCGAATCGGCTTCTCGCTTGGTCGCAGCTCGCCGAATCATCTTCTTCTCGACAATCTTCAAATGCGGCTCTTCCTGCTTCACAGCCGAGGCTTCTTGGACGCTGGTTTCCACCTTGATCGTCAGTCTCTCTGCGAATGTCCGTAAGTCCGCTGTAAACAGAACGCTGTGCGCCCAGCCGGCCTCTTTCCCCCACAGCTTTCGAAAGTGGTTGGCCACAGCATCATATGTCGCCTTGGTTAAGCTGCTGTGCTTGCCCTTGCCAAATTTATAGTCCCGCTGCGCAATTTGCCAAACATGGGTATCCACGGGGACCGCTTCTCCCCAGCCCAGTCCCATCAGCGACACGCAGTCCGCCACTTTGGGTCCGACGCCCTGCAAGTCCAGTAACTTTGCGTGCGCCTCTCGATACCCGTCCCTGCCTTCGGGCTTCATCTCACCACCAAATGAAGCCTTGTCTGGGTACGCTGGGCTCTCTGGGTTGCGCAAACTGTCCAGCCAGCCTTCTTCTCGTTCTCCAGCAATCATCCTTGCTGTCTGATAGATGTATTTTGCTCGATACCCAAACCCAAGCTCTCTTAGGTGACTCTCAACATTCTTACCCGTCAGAGCGGACGGTTCGGGGAAATCATGATATGCCCTGCCTTCCAATGTCCCAATGTATGCACCGTAATGTGTACACAGCTTGTCCACCATTTGCGATATTCTTATGATGTTATTATTACTGCTGCAGATGAATCCAATGAGAGCTTCCCACGCATCCTGCCGTAAGATCCTCACCCCTGCAAACTTTGGGGCTTTCTTTCTGAAATTGGCATCGGCCGCAGACCATTGCGCGTAGAGGCTGTTCAAGTTGGGACCCAGATTCAGGTAGTGGTGGATGAGGTCCTTGGTGTCGTCGGAGTCACCCCTTTCATCCACGGTGGGTGGGACAGAAGAGGGAGGTGTCAGAGGTGCTTCACAAGGGGCAGGCCATATAGACCGGTATTGGAGGTGGGAAGGATCTTGGGTCAGTTGCACAATCCGGCCTCGCAGTGTGCAGGCCCATGTTTGGTCTTCACATTGACGCCATCGAAAGGATTGGCCGCAACGCAGCGTCGTTGCTAGGCAGAGTTCATTGAGTGCAACGGGCAGTTTGCGCCATTCTGTTATTCGGCTCATGGTCCCAGGCACCGAATGTTGATGGTCAGAATGGACAGGGTGAAGTGCGCCTGAAAAATCCCAGCATGATTACATCTTTCTTAGATGGGGAACCTGAGAAGCGATAAACCCCCTTATCGGGACGCAGGAGGGGCCGAGGGTGCCAACAAAGCTGCCGCGAACTTGTCAAACTTTATCTGACGCGCTAAGTCACGCCCCGAACACGCGTCCCTGGCCACTAGCCACGCCTACAATGGTTCCCATCTAATGTTAGACAAATCCAACAAGGCTGTCTGAACTAGCTTAATGCCCTTGCTCCCACCACAGTACGAGGGACGAGGTACTGAGCAGCCTGTTTGCTAATATGGTGATCAATTAAAGTCCTTTCCAGGCTGGTCTTTCAAGCTGGCGTCTATGCAGACTAGTTATGTCGTTGCAAAATGGAGGTCTTGACAACGCACCACCACAGGCCAGCCTCAGCGCAGCAGGCGGCCGAGTGGGAGAGCCTCGCGGAGGAAAGTGAGGTAATATGCAGCCCCGAATAGTAGTCCACCAAGGTGAGCACTATGGGCAACTGTTGAGGTGGCCTTGTCCAGCATGGCGGCATCGTAGAGAGCAAAGCCCGCCATGTATATCGGCAGAGGGATCTCAATGGAACCGGCTACTCGCACTTTGGCGCGTGGCAAGGCACAGGCTAAGGCTGCCCCAAGCCCCATGACTACGCCAGACAATCCCATGGCCATGCTTCTTTGGTTGTAGATGCGTTGTCTTTGCCGTGCCTGCCACAGATATGCCATACTCGAAGCAATCGCGGATCCGAGTAACAATCCCGAGTAGCGGGCAGGGCTGATGCACAACGTAACCAGTGAAGCCGAAAACTGGTGAAAACTAAACAAGTTGCCCAGAAGGTGGTTCCAATCCTTATGGCTAAATGCAGAAGTAATCAGGGTCCACCATCTGCCCGAACCCCAGTCCCAGGTTTTGAGGGTAAAGTTTCTCTCTAGGAAAGAGAAAACTCTTCTTTGGTCTCGTACTCTGCGCAAGGCTGCTGGGAGAAAATCATCCCACGATCCTGTTATCCGGTTTGGTTAGAATGTTATTTACCTGACTCTTTATCATCGGGGGAGGCCGGCAGCACTTGTTGAACAAGCTAGCCAGTATAACACCATGATTTGAACGCACTGTTCGACCAGTTCCAGGCGATGAACACGCCCCCACAGCTGCCGATACCTATTGGGCAGGAAATCAGAACCCATGTTAGCCCGAGATCATAATAAACACGGTAACAAAGGGTCACCATCAGCCATCGATGGAGACTCACAAATTCTCATCATGTCTCGACCAAGCAGAAAGTTTGATCGAAAATGCCTTGGATCAGTAGCCGAAGATAGCGTGCGCAGATGGCTGAGGTCCATCAACGACGCCATGGCATGCGATGCAACGCTTGTCGGCGACAGTAATATCGTTTATAGAGGATACTGGGACAGAATCAAATGGCACGCATCCGCAAAGGACGATTAGGCCGTGTGAGCGGGAAATGCCAGCTAGCAAGCAGGAGAGCTCCAATTTGGAACGGCGGAGGAGCTCAGTGGGAGTTGATATCCGATTTGACAGGCTACTCAGGAGAGAACGAGGCGTTAAAGAGCTTGTCAGTCGACATACTACGTAGATAGATAGGTAGTATATCATGATAGGGGTTCAGAAACAACTCATATTGATGTAATGAGGGAGATTCGTATTAAATGGTCGACGACGCCAAGGAATATCCTCCCTAGATCACAGCACCTCCTGCAACCTGACTCTCAAAGCACGGGAATGCTAGGTGGTGGTGAGCACACGATCTGCCACCCAATATTGTATTGGTGCTACTATAATACTAGTGACCCTATGGATAAGTGGAATTGCATGCTTCAGCAGTTCTTGGGCATGCCCAAGAACAATTGTGTACTCGCAAAACTAGATTCTAGGAGAACGATGTTAACAATCCCCAACTCGCGATCAAATGAATGCTCCCACACTGGCAAAGAGACTTGGGAGGAAGCAGTCATCAAATCGGGTTGACCCCAGGATGAAGCGAAAGCAACACCTGCCCTGTCCTGCCAGCGAACACGGTCCCTCCAGCTCTCCCTTACACACCAGCTTGCTTGTCTGTGTCTGCCCTCTGCTGGCCGAAAGCCGCCACCGCCTCCCTTCCAGTGATGACTGCCTCGCCGTGCATGACTAGGGTGTCATCCAAAATCGAGTTGCTTCCAATCAGGTATTCGTGCCGTCCTTTGACATGCCAGTACATGCCAGCGAATACGAAGACGCCTCCCAGCATTGCAATGGCCCAATTCATGTTCTGAATAGCGCCCACCACCGGCACATATTGTGGGAACACATAGAACAGCACCACGATGATGCTCCAAAGTAGGGACGTAATATTGACCGCATATCCCCACCGACCAAGATCGAAATGTGGGCGAGGCGGTAGGTATTGGCGGCCTTTCAGCACCACGCACAGAATCGGGATGCAATAAGAAATCTGCAGAGTGATACCACCAGCAGAAATGATTGCATAAAACGCGAGCTCGCTCCCAAGGACCAGCACTCCTGCCAATAGATTGAGAACGGTGACTCCCATCATGGCCCGCAGTGGCATGGTGAAGCGCTTGCTGATGGTCGCAAAATACGGCGAAAAGGGGAATGCTCGATCCTTGGCCATCGACCAAGCAAGTCGGGAACCGGCGGTGTTGATGTTAACGATGATGAGGTACTGATTTGGTTGTCAGTCTGATGCATTTCTATCCTCGTTTTTCCCCGTACGTTCAAACCCATCATCATTACCGCACACCAGATTCCTCCTCCGTACGTAGAGTCCAACACGTCGATGAACCAGGCCTGTACTTGAAATTAGGTGATAAGTCCCAACGATTGGGTGCAGCCATACCACGTATGCCGAAGTTTCCTCCATGTAGGTTTCCCAATTGGGACCAACAGTGTAGCACATAACAATTGCGGAAAGCCAGGCTGTCACGCCGGCCCAGATCATGGACCAGATCATAACTCTCTGAAATACCTGGTGAGTATGATAATATTGGAGGGATTCAGAGCAATACTTACAGGTGCATCACGCGAGGCATTTTTCATTTCTTCCACCACTGCGAAGCAAGTCAACACGGTGGCGGTAGATAACGTTGGGGTATTCTTACAGTGAAGAACCGCATCTGTGCCATAGAGTCCATATATCGGCACATACATGCTTAGCAAGAAAACCCAGCCTTTTGATGCCCATCCAGAGGTGTTGATGAACTCTGAGAAGACAAAATTAGCACTATTCTTGTCAGCCATGACCAGGAATACGATGGCCCAGATTAAGCCATTGGATATGTTGAAGAAGGCCCCAAAGATTTGCAAAGCCGGTAGGTACTTTGGCAGCAGATTAGATAACACTGGTGCGATCAGAAAACCGGTGTATATGAGCCAGGTCATGTAGGGCTAAACACTGTCAGTGCTTTAAGCCATATTTGCGAAGCACCGTTTCTGCACTTACCTTCCAATGAACGTCAGGTTGTGTGATCTCGACCAAGGCCGCGACAATCTCTGCACTATTCAATGCACAACTGGAGCTCGTTGAGATCTCTCCCACCAGAACACACCATCCAATCACGTAGGACAAGAAACGGCGGTACTTTTCAGGTGCAACAACCTGGCCTTTTTGTAAGTTCCAGGCTCGGCGGGTTCAATGACGCTTTTGCTAACCTGGACAAAGAATTGTTGACCTCCCGCAGTTGGCCAGAGGCTGGCATATTCTGCCAGAGACGCCATGACTAGGGTTTGTCCGATTGTGACGACGAAGCTGCAAATCCCCGGTACAGATTAGCAAACCGACGCTGCAGCACTGAGTGGTCAAGGACTCACGTCCCCCAAACAAGACACACGGGACCTCCAAGACTGAAGATATAATAGTACATGACAATGTTGCAACTCCAGGAGCAGAGGATCGTGGTCTGGTAGGCCATTACTGCATCACATCAGGTCAGTGATTCGTCGTTGTACTGCATTGAATGGCAGCCTCACAGCTCCAAAATGTATGTGTTCGTTTGAGCTCTGGCTTGTGACCGAGGCTGATGAGAAGCTTCTCATCGCTGGTCGTGCTGAGTGTATCATCCTTTGTGGCTTCCATGCTGACCTGGAATTATTGGGAGGTTTGAAAGCGCAGTGGCTCGACTGTACTGCTCGAGGTTGTAGTCATGGAATAGGCATTTTTTTCCACGTGCTGATTAGAACAATTCACGTGCGGTCATGCTCCAGCATAGAGTCTGATAATTGATATAGTCCGCCTGGTGAAAGATGCGAACACAATTAGCGTGTTGTTCAGAGGCTGGCCATCCTTGTAATTGAACAAGATCGCGAACAAAGAGACCGCGGAGTTTGAGATAAGCAGGGATGAAAGTTCTACGCGCCAGTACCTACATATTCCACACACGAAGTTTCTTGATAAGTAAAAAGTCAATGAATGAAGGAGGGCATCGCTGCTTGGTGGATTCCTTCTGGGCTAGGGAAACAAGCTTCAGTGAGCTCCCTTGGTGGCTGGAGCAGCCCTGGCGATTGGCTAGCAAGGCACGGAGATGGTGATGCTTGAAGTTGCTCAAGCACACGATGGCGGATGATCCCGGCTTTCTCTGAATAGTGCCTGGAAAAGTGATAGTGACCTTAGGCCCATCACCAGTAATTTAACGGTCTCAATTTGACTCCGCCACGCTCCGGTCCCTTTTGCTTCCAAGTGAGCTCCCTTAGCTGCAGGCCCCTCGTTCTAGAAAAGCCCAACAGGGATTGTCGACTCTCGTATTCTGGACAAAGCTGTCTTCCGCGGTCTGGCGGATGATCTGTTCCCGAACCGGGGAGGGGCTGCCCCATGTATCCTTGCCAAAGAAGCATGAAAAGCAGCGAAGCCTGCCGAGAATGGTCTCTGGTAGAATCTGGCTAGTCAACGTAACGTGGAAGGATGGATGAAAACTGCTGACAGCCAGAGCCACCGGACGTGAGTATTGGAAGCCCTTCACTGCATGCTACAACGTCGTAACCTGTCTTCAGACCACGTCTCAGAGCCTTGAGGTATTGATGGATGACACACCGATAGACAATCGGTCTTGTACCATGAGGAACTGAATTCCTAGGCCTGTTTTCAGCTGCCCGCGGGGGAATCACGTGTATTGGTTATTGTTTGGTTGGTGGAGAAGATTGACCGACACATCCAACCCTGGAAACCTGAACCTCCAGATCACTGAATTATTCCATCATTGAGTAATGGATTCATCCAAAGACCATGCGAGGGAATAGATCTTGATACAAGAGGAGTGTCACTGTTCTGTGGAGCCACCTACATATGGCCTCGACCAAGGCTGAAGAGCAAGTGGGTGAGGAGAGTCAGACCCCGCCAACCACGGGACCCCAAGGTGCAAAGCCATAACCTCAACGAGAGGCGTTTGATGACTGAGGTCTATCGTACTAATGTCACGTCAAGACTGCTCCACTTGCGTACGGCGGAGAATCCGATGCGATCGATCATTACCAAAATGCCATAAATGCTCGAAAAAGAGCCTATTATGTCCAGGCTACGGCCCGCGTTTGAGATGGGCCAACGGAATAGCCGTGCGAGGACATCTTAAAGGATGCAAGACGCCAAACATCGATAAACCGAGACGCTCGAGCAGTGCTACTACTAGCTCATCCAAGACGCCAACATCTCTAACGCGAACCAAATCCAATGACAGTAACACCACCCTTGCCCAGCCCGTACTAACTCTCGACTGTCTAGAAAACCTGGTCCCAGATCTTCCGGACGAGGATACAATATATCGACTACTTGAACATTATGATAAAAACATCGCAGGTCTCATGGTCTGGATTGACTCTGAGCAGAATGAATACCGCCGCTTAGTGCTGCCTTTGGCTCAACGACAACCTGTACTGCTGTTAGCAATTCTAGCAGTTTCTTCCCAACACTTGGCAGTAACTCAAAATGAGGAATCCAACTTCTCAGGGCATGCTCGCGACGCCGCAGTGTCAATGATTTCCGGACAAATTCGACAAGTGACTGGTCGTTTGGCAGCCGGCCACGATCTAGGCAGTGAAATAGATGCCGAAACTGCGGAGTGGATGCTTGCCTCAATGCTGACACTTGCTTCATATGAGATGGCCGAGTCCGAAGCAGGAGGCAACGCGGCAGACTCGCACAGGGCAGCGGCACGTACTCTGGTTAATGCCCTTGCCACAACGAATCGCCAGAACAACAGGCTATTCCAATTCCTCCGAAACCAACTCTCCATCTATGATATCCTAGCATGTACCACATCCTTCGACCCAACAAGCACACACGATATCATCCTTCCTGAAGTAAACCCTGCCACTATTATCTTCTCGGACTTCCTGTATCTTCTCCACGATGTTACAGCAACTTCCCGGCAAGATTCTGGGGCCCAATCCAGTGGAGGGCGAATGTCTTCACCCAAAGCAGCACGCTCTTTATTTGGCCTTGCACGAGGATCGACATTGATGCTAGCTGGATCACTGGGATTGCCAAACAATGAAAGGCGCCGTGATTTCATTCGCCTTGTTGATATTTACCATCATGCTGGCTTGCTTTATACCTACCGGTTACTCTTCAAGAACGTTGTGACCTCGATAGAGGTTGAAGCATCAACAAGAGCATTGCTTGAACGGTTCGATCAACTCGAAGATATTCATTCGTGCATGCAAAATCTCCCCTGGCCAGCACTTATTGCCGGCATTGAAAGTTATGGCAATGCTGATCGTATGGCATTCACCGAAAGACTGTACGAGAAAATTGCGCGAGACATGGGGTTTAAACATTATCTCGAAGTCCTACATTTCTTGCAGGTGCTCTGGTCCAGAGAGGATGCTGACTGGGTCATGCTTGCCAACCAGTATCGTCTGCAGGGGCGGGGAATAGTTGCCGTTTAAGATATACGTTGTTCGGATGGCTTGAATGACGAGTCTTGGGCTGCATCGCCGTCACCAATCCCGGGTGTTGACCAATCCTCTGAAATACAACACTACTGCTCCACCAAAGCCCAGGGGATGATGCCGCGAGACCTGCTCACGAGTGGGCCCACCTTTGAGCATCAGGCGAGAACGGCGAGGATGCGAAAGGGAAGGAAAAACCGGCCAATAGCTCTGCGAGGCGTTTATCCGCAATTGCAACCTGGCTCGCTCCCGCTGAGGGTTTGAGCGGCGGTGGTGAGTGGAGGGTTATCCTAAGAGCGAGGTCTCGGTTGCTCCTGGCCTGCACAAAAGGACCATCGCATTCGTTAGTATGGGTTTCAAGCCAATATGAAGACGTGGTGGGAGTGAAGGTGAAGCAATAATAAGCTCCATTTGTGGAGCTTTCGGCTTTTGCAAGAAGCGATTCGCACGACGAAGAACGGGCCAAGTGAGGGTCCGCACCATCTACACTATGCAGTGCCACAAGGAGTTGATACCTTTTGAGGGCAAACCTCGCAAAGCTAAGTTTCGGTTGCAAAGGCCACTCCTTAGTTGTTGGAAACGGGATGATACCGGCATGGTTCAACTTCAAGCTGCCGGCCCTGAGCACTATTATATTCAAAGGGATCTCGAGACCCTACGGGTACGCGCTCATCAGTGTATACTCCGTTCCACTTACTAAGTCGATAGGACAACCTTTATTAGTAACGACTTTATGACCAAGATAGCAACTGGAGAGTAACACCAACTTAAACGTGGTACCTCGTAAAATAGTTCAACTCAACATGGGGAAGATGACTGTCCATGCGCCAGAGGTGCTGGTTCAAAAGAGGGAAAATGGACCTACGCAAATTCCCCTCCGAAGTTCCACTAGGCTCTAAACAGGCATTCGTTCGAGAGGCCACGCTTATCCACCTCCCATACTCCATACCGTTGACTCTTAACGGCAGATCACCATGAGATTTTGAGGCCGTGTGTCGCGCACCTTCTTTTCTGGGTATCTGTGAAGAGATCTTCTGTATCCGCTTGGGGAATATGATACAGACTCGCTTCAATTCCTGATAAACACGCCCGAAGTAAAAAGTTACACGGCTGAACGAACATTGTTGAATCTCCATGTCTCCACGGACTCCACACGGACGGGACCGTTGCCGAAGTCCATAAACTTTGATTGTGGAAGAGCAGAGAGAGGGAATAATGTTGCTGAATCAATCGTCATTATCTGGCCCTTTTCTTGTCTCGCTGAACCCTGTGTTATGACCCTGATGATTTTGGATATCTGGTGATCTACACCAGGCCCATCGTCAGCTTTGAAGGAGTTATTCATCAGAACTACTGCAAAGAGGCCTCTGAGACGTCATTGATGAGCAGCTGGGATCAGCGCCTGGAGGAGTGGTGTCACAGTCCTCGCGACAACCACGGGCGCAATGGTCTTGAATCGTCATTTCCAACAACAACCAGTCTTTCATCCCCAGACGCGGCCAGAGATAACCACTAGGAATCTGGGCCTCTTCGAGGCCGATGCATTTCGCGATGTTGTGGCCGCTCGGCTGACTGGGTCCGTCCGGATACCTACGGTGACGTTTGATAGCATGGATCATGTTGGGAAAGACCCACGATGGGATATCTTCTACGGGCACTCGGACTATCTGAAGAAAACTTTCCCCCGAGTGTGAGTAGTGACGAAGGAGATGGGAGGACTGTACATACTAAGGAGCTTCATGGTAGCTACGAGGCACTCGAAGTGCAGACGGTCAACGAGCACGGTCTACTGTACACATGGCAAGGCTCGGATGATCACCTACGGCCCTTGTTACTGATGGCACATACCGATGTGAGTGCAAGGCCTTACTCTACAGTGGCACCGCTCATTTATTGCTATTCTAGGTTGTCCCAGCTGGCACTTCAACAACGGCTGAGTGGACACATCCTCCATTCGATGGTCACTACGACCGAGAGTATATCTGGGGCCGTGGCTCGGAGGATGACAAGTCCAACCTCATTGCCATGCTGACAGCCATCGATTGCCTTCTCGAATGCAACTTCAAACCAAGTAGGACCGTCGTACTCTCGGTCGGATTTGACGAAGAAGGGGGCGCTGAGCAAAGCTATGGTGCTCGATGCCTGGCCGAGCTTCTGCTAAAGAAGTATGGTAAAAATGGCATGGAGATGATTGTAAGCACATTCAATGTAACGGATCGACATGCTTACAAACTTGCTAGTTTGATGAAGGAATCGCCGGCATCGAGAACCGATTCGGGACAGACTTCGCTCTACCGGCAACGGCGGAAAAGGGCTATGTCGACGTGACGGTTTCGGTTCATGTTCCTGGTGGCCATTCGTCAACGCCTCCGGACCACACGGGCAGTGAGTACAAGAACAAGCACAAGCTTCTGTGATCCTGACTCCCATACCCAGTTGGCTATCTTGCGCAGGTAATTCGCATCATCGAAGACCAACCATTCAAGTCGAAAATCACTCGGCAAAATCCGACCCTGACTTACCTCCGGCAAGCTGCACGGCTGTCAAAATCAATGCCGGCAGAACTACGCGAAGCGATATTAGGTCCACATGCGAGTGAAAAGATTCTAGAGTATATGGATTCGTCTCGTGAAAGACGGGCGATGGTGAGGACGTCGACAGCGGTAGATGTCATTTCTGGGGGCGATAAGGGTAAGTCGTCTGGCCTGCTGGACCTGGAGACCATTTGAAATGATAGGTCTATTGGAAATTTTGTCCGTTTTATGCTGACGTTGTCTCAGTAAACTCGCTTCCGGAAAGCGTCCACGTTGTTGTCAATCATCGTATTGCAGTTCAAGATTCAGTACAAGCAGTCAAGGACCATTATCTACGCCTTCTTCAGCCTTGGGCGGATCAGCGGAGATTCAAGTTGGACGCCTTCGGCTCAGTGCTTCCACCAATGAAGCCAATGGCCAGGTCTGGAGACGACCTCGAAGGAGGTACATTAGTTCTTGCGGCCCAATATGAGCTCGACTCGTCTCCAGTGTCAGACGCCGAAGATGAGCGATTTAGCTGGCTCGTGGGAACATTGAGAGGTGTGTTTGGAGATGATGTTGTTGTGGCTCCAGAGCTTCTCACAGGTGAGCTTTTGCAAACTATACTTCCTGCGATGGGAGCAAGCGAGCCGGCTTTGTCTAACTAAGCTCCAGGAAATACTGATACACGGTACTACTGGGACCTGTCAACACAAATATACCGTATGTCGCCATGGCGGGCGAGTCACGATCCTCGAGGCACGCGGATGCACACGGTTGATGAAAGAATGCCGGTTAAGGGGCTCATGGAGATGGTGAGGTTCTATCATGAATTCATCCGAGTTCTTGATGAAAAACGATGTTGATTCAGGTGCGTCTTGCGGTCAGCAGAGGCCCCTTATAGAATGCATACTCAAGTTCTTATTGTGCGAGGCAAGAACTCTGTTGAAATATAGTGTGAAGTGTGGTCTATTGGGACTGTTAGACTAAGTTGATAAATACAACGATTTACCACCAGAACCGAGTTTTCCACCTGAGGCACTCCTGGTATCATCCATCACCCCAATAAGACCAAATATTCCCACCCGCCAAAACCCGTTCCAATATGCCTCGGTCAAGGCAAGCCGTCGATAGGCCCGACTTATCGGCTGGATAGAAAACCCTAATACAGAGACTTCCTTCGGGTCGATGCGTTTCGAGTCAAGGTTTCAGCTCGAGTTTTCTCTTTAACATATACAGCAGGGCATAAACGAGCACAAGGGGTACAACGTAGTTGCGGTCAAAGACTCCAGTGCGGTATGAAATGTGCTTGACGTGAATAGGTACTGACCCGCCTTGAATGAGGCCGATGGTGATTGTTCCAAGACGAGGCGCTGGTTCGCTTTGCGACTTTTTTCTACTGGCTGCTACTGTGAAATGGGACGGTGGGAGAGCAGGTGCGTATCACTCAAGCGCGTGTCTAAACTGTGGGATTTTTGGGCCGGGGAAGATTGGTGCCAGATGGTCAGTAGCATGTCCCCATACGTATGCCTTGGTCTGTCCAATCGGCTTATGAATGTCCACGAGCCCTATCAGGTTTTTGACAGTGCGATCGACAATGAATGTAACATCGTCAAAAAGAACGTCAACACGTCAACATCATGCTGATAGAGAGACAAAACGTCTTGACCCAGCAACTTGAACCTCTCCAACCAAGGCGAAAAGCACTTGAGTGTTGACGAAAAATGTTCTCCGCTTTGGTTTTGATATCACTGGTGCTTGTTCCAGGTCTAGTCATATCCCAGCTCTTGTTGAATTACTTCACTCCTGGGCTTGGACAAATCCCTGGTCCTGTTCTGGCACGATTTACCGACTTATGGCGTTTCGTCGACGCATGCCTAGGGCATCGTGAGCAAACGATTCTGCGACTGCACCAAAAATACGGCCCAGTCGTGCGGATAGGCCCAAACTGTGTAACAGTCGCGGATCCTGACGCCCTCGATTTGATCCTAGGACTCAAAAGCAATCTGGACAAGAGCGACCATGTCAAGCCCATGCAAAATCCAGTCGAGGGTGAAGTCCTTCCCATGCTCATCGCAGCAATTGATTCAAAAGTCCATGCCCAGCGAAAACGACCGATCGCGGGTGCCTTTTCCATGAGCACGCTCCTCGGTTACGAAAACATTGTAGACGAAAACATCAATATGCTCACTCGTCGGCTGAGAGAAGAGTATGTCGAAGGCGGAAGTCACCAAGTATGCTCCATCGACAAATGGATGCATTGGTTCTCCTTCGATCTCATCGGACAGGCCACTTTCAGCAAACGCTTTGGATTTCTCGACACCGCAAAAGACATCAACAACATGATGTTCACCCTGGACTTGCAATTTCTATATATTGGCACAGTCGGATTCATGCCATGGATCGACTACTTGCTCCTAAAGAACCCTCTGCTACTGGCTCTGACCAAGACCCCAAACCATCTAGTTTCATTCACCAATGAGCGAATCCGGAGGCGGGCCAATGGGGAAGAAAAGGGTGACTTGGAAAAGCCGGACTTTCTTTCAAGGTTCCTTGACGCACAAAAGCAACATCCAGACGTGGTCTCAGATTTGCAGGTAAAAGCCTACGCCAGTACTAATGTACTGGCGGCCTCCGACACCACCGGAGCTGCTCTGTCGACTATTCTGATGTTCGTCCTACGGCATCCAAACGTGATGAGCAAACTGCAGAAGGAACTTGATGAAAATGATTTGACTTATCCACCTCAGTATAGCGAGGCGAAAAAGCTGCCCTACCTCGACGCGGTTATCACGGAAGCACTTCGTATCCACCCCACTGTTGCGATCGAGCTGGAGCGTAAAGTTGGTGCTGGCGGCCTGGTGCTCCCTACTGGGCAGGAATTGCCACCAGGTACCATTGTGGGGGTGAATGCATGGCCCGTTCATCGCAACCAGGATGTTTTTGGCAAGGACACTGACACATTCAATCCGGATCGCTGGCTGCGACGAGCCGACGAACCTGAGGCTGAATTCACGGAGAGAATTCGAGCCATGCAAAGAAAGTTCATCGAATTCGGCTATGGGCCGCGAGCTTGTATAGGCAAGCACATTGCTTTGCTTGAATTGTATAAGCTAATCTCAACCCTGTTTGGGCTTTTTGACGTAAGTGGATTTCCCTCCATCTTCATCCCCGTAGCAGCAACTAATGCGGGCATTATAGCTTAGTTTGGCGGAACCAAATCGGCCCGTCAAGGTCCATGCTCTGCTGTCCGCCAAAATAATCGACTTGAACATTCACATTAGGGAAAGGGATCGACCTGTCCCAGTGCTATCCGTTACCTAGGACTCCGGTCTGCTGTAATCTCTCTTTTCATCAGTGGTAAATGTCGCCAATGGCCCAAACAGCTGTGTAACTAGTCCTTCCTCAGTGGGGTTAAATGATCATAGCCTTGAAGACGTGAGATTCGTCTAGCAATTAGTATTGGTGTATGTATCTGAATAGTATCCATATACCAGCGCAAATGTTTGCTTCCAGTTTATTGCTGACAGGGGTGTGACATGCGACAACGGGTCAGCGACAAGCATACAGAGTCATATTGTATCGCAGTCGTAGAGCAGTGGACTACTTCTCATTCTTGTCGCACGTGATATTTGGAGCGTGAATCCATCTCGACCCGTCAGAACTCAGTTATCTTCCGTCGCAACCAGTGTTTATCTACCATGCCACGTCGAGGCCGCGCAGTGACATATCAAACGGCATGTTGCTGAGGTAGAAGAGTCCAAGATCCCGTGTCATGCTCATTTATTGCCCGTCTGCCCTAAGCGTTGGTGCTGAGGTCAAGCATGGGTCGACTCCTTTCCTGGGCTCTGAATATGTGGTTGACGCAGCTGGGGAAAGTGGCAGTCCGGACGATGGTGGACCAGACGGCGTGCCTGGCATGAAAGGAGGTGGGACTGATGGTGCTCCTTGGCCTCCGTACGTGCCGCGCCAGAGCCACAACGAGTCTTGCACGATACTGAAGAACATTCCAGTCTTGAGACTGAGGCGTGGAGGTTGTTTACAGTCGTTGGCCAAGCCTTGGTGGATACTTCAGAGTTGCGCCAATATCTTGCTAATCCGGCCAGGCTTGTCTTGTCTTCGACACTGCATTGCCGGAAAAGGTATATGCAGATGTTGAAAGTGTGTCGTCCTTTCTCGGTGTTGAATAGTTGACCATAGCTTGAATGTATGGCTCCCGAGACAAGGTCGGCGGCTGCGAAACACACCATCAAGGATGATAACGTGAGATACTTGACGCAGTGGCCACTCTTTTCAATCGATTCGATGAGGGCAACCATATCGATTGCAGTGTCAGTCGCGCGAATCATGCCCTCTCGACGGGAAGGCGACTCTTGGTCATCGAGCAGCCAATAGCTCCGAAGCTGGAATGCGACCAAAAGGAGCCTAATTTGTGCTTAATCTGTTCGAGAAATGGTGATTGGGAGCTGCAATGAGGATGATGGTGCCTACGACACTCAAGTTCTCCGGACTGGCGCTCTATCTCCTGGAGGTCGAACTCTAGCGGTCTCAACAACGAAACTCGATTAAGGTGGAATGCCGTTCCTTCTAGCCTGTCAACATCGGCTATAGCTAAATGGACTCTGTTACAGAAGATACAGTCTGTGGGGATAGATGGTGGTTGACCCATCATAACAGCCACATTAAAGGGAAGAGACTTGGCATTAGCATGTATGCGATCATTGTGAAAGTGGGTGTCAGGAAGTGTCAGTGAGTGCAGTAATGTTCACCTTTCCATGGAGATGTAGATGCAGCACCAGACTCGGACCGCATCATGTATCTCGGCCTGGCTGAAGGAATGCATCTGTTGATAGAAATGAGGCAATATCTGTGCAACCCGACTTGCTGAGCGGCGGACTTCAGAACACCGCCTAACACGTACGTAATATCCTGACTCCATGAAGAAGCCGGTAGAGGCCAGACACATGATCGAGTCATGGCTTGCAAAGACGGTAGTACATGTGGAGAGCGGGCGATCGTAGACCAAAGGAAGGCCTTCACAGTGGGTAACAAGCACTCCAGCAAAAACAAGTCCGTTCTATCATGGCGGCAGCTGTGATAATTATTGTCCAGAACAGAAGTGGTGACACTTCATACAGATCATCCGCAGAGGGCGAAGGTCTGAGGATAGGCATGGAGGGATGACAGTGCAAGAAATACCTTGAATCGTATTTTTAGCACTCACATGGTTGGGTTGTAGACAGAATTGATTTGTGCCGCCCCATTCTTTCAGGACTGATCGCTACTAAGTCGATTGAAAGAGCACGCTGGGCATCCAACTCTTGCAGAGACGCACCTCCATCTAGGTCTTTTGAGGTTGGAAGCCCCGAATCCATCCTGGCCAAGCGATCCGAAGGATTTGTAGGTTGATGGGGACTGCCCGAAGCATGACTTGTCGCTATCCATGCAATGTTAGATGTAACATTCGGCGGATTTTCTGGTGCGCCGGCCTGATTGCTTTCATGTGAAGTTGGATCTGGCACGGCTTCATATTGAAGTTGGGCAGTCTCTCTCTGCTCTCGAACTGGTTGCCCTTCTAGATTTCTCGTTGGATGCAGTACCCTACATAGCAGTGTCGTGATAATGCATAGAGAGCATAGATAGAGATGCATGCGTTCTCTTAACAGTCTTGCCGTCGGTATTGATTATACACGGTCGGAAGAGCTCGCAACACCGTTTGCATGGCCCTTCGCCATTGTCGGAACCCTCGCAACGAAGCTGTGCACGACAAGTCGGCTGAGCCATTCGCGAGGCAAAGATGACGAACAACCCCTATGACTGAGCGCGGAGATGCGTCAGATCCCTGATGCATACCTACTTTGGATTGTCTGCATGATTGACAGGCGATTTGCCTTCGCTTTATAGCGCGACGTTGACTCGTTGTATCCCCTACGACCTTGGATGCAGATTCAACAACATCTAAAGTTGGGCCAGTGGCACCATGGGTTTTCGGACGCTTCGGGGCCAAAATTCGGGTATACATCTTGGGGTTTCTGGTCTCAAGGTCTGCTGGCATATGTCGCCATGCGGATACAAAACGAAATGAAGTGGTTGAGGGTTAGCTGTAACTGGTCTGGGCCAGCACCCAATTACGGTATTTAGTGGGCAGAGAGACAATTAGGGAACCCATCAAACTCTCCGCACACTGCCAAGCATTTCCAAAGCTGCGGTTTGGCGGCGGCGGAAAAAAGTTGGACCGAAGGCCCGAACCTGCAATTGCAGCTGCGGGCGTCCAGATGTCGAGGCTGTTTTCTCAATCCATTCACCACCGCCGCCTCCACCAATCCTCCCTGCTCTACTATCTCGCATCCCTCTAGTCCTTCTCTCGCAGTCCACTTCAACTAATTGAATATCCCAAATTCCAACGTTGGTGGCCTGATCCAGCCCTTTCATTCCTCCAACTTTTGCGACCGTCGCGGTCTTCAAAGCTGCAGAAGGCAACCGCGCGATGAACGGGGACAACTACTCCACCAGAGGTATTCATTCTTTGTTCCTCATTCAGGGCTGTTTCTTACTGATTCAAACCAGATTCTGGCCGTTCTCGCCACCATGATGTACGCGTTGCAGTTTTGTCCCGATCTATTTATTCCTTTGCTAACTTTCACAGAGTTCCAGGTACGACCGCGAAGAGCGCAGAGACCGTGGCGACCGTGGCGACCGGGGTGGCGGCGGCGGCGGCGACCGCGACAGGAATCGAGATCGCGGTGAAAGGAGACGATCCAGGTCCCCCCACCACCGTTCCTCCCGGCGCGACTATGAAGCAGACTCTTATTCCTCGAGTCGAGATTACCGAGCTCGCGAACGAGAAGACAGATATGGCGGCTCTAGACGGGATGAACGTGAATGGGACCGAGATAGGAACCCCAGGCGTCGCGATGATGACCGACCACCACGTCGCGATCGAGACCTGTTTGATGATCGGCGAGGTGGAGGTGGAGGTGGAGGTGCAAGAGGCGCTGGTGCAGGCGACCGCGACCGTGGTGGGCGAGAAGACCGTGATGAATTCGCTGCCCAGGCCCGTGGTCGCAAGAGCAGCCCTACACCCAAAAAGAGAGAGCCTACTCCAGACCTCACAGATACCGTGTCAATACTGGACCGCAAGAGGCGGCTTACACAGTGGGACATCAAGCCGCCAGGCTATGAAAATGTCACGGCGGAACAAGCAAAGATGTCAGGCATGTTCCCTCTGCCCGGTGCGCCGCGTCAACAACAGATGGACCCCAGTCGCCTACAGGCTTTCATGAATCAACCTCAGAGCGGTGTCAGCACCACCGCTCTCAAACCTTCAAACTCCCGCCAGTCCAAACGCCTTTTTGTTTTCTCCCTCCCCGCCTCCGTGACGGAGGAAAGTCTGCTCGCCTTCTTTAACCTGCAACTGAACGGTCTTAATGTCATCAAAGGCAATGACCCCTGTATTCAGGCCAATATTTCCGACGACCGCACGTTTGCCCTGGTAGAGTTCAAGCAGCCTTCTGATGCAACAGTGGCTCTGGCTTTGGACGGAATTACTATGGAAGAGCATCTTAATGAGTTGAATGGCAATGGTCATGGTAGTGCGAAAGGTCTGGAAATTCGTCGCCCAAAAGACTACATCGTCCCGTCAGCAGACGAGGATGCCTACACTGCCGGGGATATCTCGACAGAGGTCCCAGATACTGCAAACAAAGTCTCGATCACGAATCTGCCTTCATACTTGACAGATGAGCAGGTTATCGAGCTCTTGAAATCATTTGGGGAGCTGAGGGCGTTCGTTCTGGTCAGGGACAACGATGCTCAAGAATCAAGGGTAAGATCCATCTCCGCTCAGTTGTGGTCAGATCACTAATCGCTCCTAGGGCATTGCATTTTGTGAGTATCTTGAAGCTTCAACCACAGACATAGCCGTGGAAGGTTTGAACGGGATGGACTTAGCAGACCACAAGATAAAAGTACAGCGAGCCAGTATTGGTTTCACTCAAGCCTCGGGACTCGAAATGGGCGTCAATGCAATGTCCATGTTTGCCGGAACGACTTCAGATAATTTTGAGGATGGTCGTGTCATACAGTTACTGAACATGGTGACTGCCGAGGAGTTGATTGACAATGAGGATTATGAAGGTAAGACTTCCGAGCATTCCAGAGAGGCTGTCTCTCCTTGGTCGATCCTTTCTCTAATATTTTCTCAGAAATCGTCGAAGATGTGATGGAAGAATGTCAGAAATATGGCACGATCGTCGAATTGAAGATCCCTCGTCCTTCAGGTGGTAGTCGGCAATCGGCTGGCGTGGGCAAGATCTTCATCAAGTATGACACCGCCGAATCAGCCAAAAAAGCCCTCCAAGCACTCGCAGGCAGGAAATTCGCCGATCGAACTGTAGTCACCACATATTTTGATGAGGTTCGTTGCATTTATCTTTCCTCCACACTAGTGTTCCTTCCTCTTGGTCAGCTATCTGCTAACTTATGTAACTTGATAGGCCAGTTTTGATGTCAGTGCCTGGTAAATACCCTGCCTTGGAGCGACAGCATCCGATTCATTCATGTATCATCCGATTTAACGTGGAGGTATGGTTCGGCCTTGTGAATAGTTTGAAATCGACGGGGTCCGGGTTGTATTTTTGGACAAAAGATTGGGGCATGTTCCTTTCTTTCTGCTATGGACAGACGGGGTCGACCGATCGATCACCTCTACTAGGCTAGCCCCCAAAACGCTATCTTCGTCGTATTCGGGGTGAGATATCTGAGGGCATGCTTTCGGTCAGACGCAGCGATCATCGGTTCTTTCGAGCTGTGGTGGCTTGTCATCATCAGGAAAAAAAATTTACCACAGTAAGAAATTGTTGCGAGGAGGGAATAGTGTAACCATCAATCAGGCAGGAAGGAAGTGATGTCTGTCCACCAGGCTCGCTATTTAGACCGGGCATATCAAAAGTGATCACTACTCGGCACTTAGGTACTAAGTAGCAAGCAGGTGATGAACGGATGACACGCAGCTACATACTTACTGTGTAGGTTCTTCGATCAAAAATCAAACAAGCCAGCTCGAGTGGCACCTGGCTGAGACCAACAATTTTCTTTTATTACGCCCCGGACAAGCTGCCGCCGCTGCCATACCAATCTCAAGCCCCGACAACCAATCAGTCTCGGCAGAAGTGTGAAGAACTAGAAAGCTCTTTCCTTCCCCCCAATGAATACCCGAACCTATCAGCCAGTTCACGTGGTTCCAGTGGCACTAGGATTTGTGTGACAGAAAAGGACGTGACATGTCTGTCATGTATATTGGCGCCAAGGAGTCTCGTCATTTGATCTGAAATGATCGCGTTTTGTTACTTATAGGTCCTGCTTATGTATAGTTATGTGATATAAGGCTGAGATATCTATAGCAAAGGACTTTACTAGTGAAGTTAAGCATAAAATAATCTAGAAATCCTCAAGTAGTTAGCGCCATGCTAAGCCTCTAAAAAGTAACTAGTGTCATGACGTCCGTCAAATTTCCCTTGTCCGTCATTTTGTTGCCTTTTGTCTGTCATTTTACTAAATGTGACGGATAATCCCGATTCCTACTCGTAGGTATCACTACCGCGCCCGCCGCGTGAGATGGAGTCAACTCTCCCCGCCTTATTGCTGTCTGTGCCACCCACATTTAACTCGACATCAATAGAACTACGTGGTTACACCTTACTAAGTACCCCACCAACAGCGACATACCCAAGTGTTTTACTGGGGTCCATAGCCGTTTCTCTCACATCAACAGGCGCACTCGTGGAGATGTATTTCCAGTCGATGAGGACTCGGCACTGTGATATGTCCGGACTGCCATAGAATCCCAGAACCCTGTCTCTACCTCTGGCAAATGACGGACTGTTGGGCTTGATCTTCACCGAGCCCTCGGATGTCTGGTTATCTCCCTCCTGGATCTTTTTGATCTTGGCAGACAGCGAAAGGAGAGATCATATACTGTGCTCTTGAGTGACTGAGTCGGTGAAACCAGGAAGAACGTAAAAAGAAAGGTGTTTGGCCATCAACATCGAAGTTTTCATATCCAGAACATCATACAGGTCGTCGTTGAGCTGGCGCACCCTATCAATGAAACTTCTTCAAACCTTTTCTTATCTAGAACGACAAATCTGAAATGTTGCCTGTTTCTCCTTTGTACGACAGGATCCGTGCCAAACAATGCGTGACTGTCTTGGCCGGGTCGATTTTCCTTGACGACGATCTAAGGCCTAGCCGTGTCAGCTACTATGTACCTGCTGCGCTTACGCGAGAGCTTTGAGAGCGCTTTATAACTATACATTGTCGGCCTGGGGACGATCTCGCAAGCACTCGGCCGCACCTTGGATGGCGTCTTCAACGTCTCCCTACCCCGACGTCTTAACAATCATCGAGTGTATATTCCGGTAGACGCCATAGATACATGCGCTCAAGGTCAGGAAGAGTTGTTGTTGGACAGGGGTGACATTACGGCGCTCACCAGTGTCGATAGAGGCTATGCACCAGGACTCAAGAGTTGCACCAAACGCCAAGCTGTATATTGTCGCTGCAGCTACCTTGGCTTTTCGACCTCTGACGCTTAGGGAGGTGTCTTTCTTTGCACAACGACATACTTAGTACTATTTACCGGACGATTTTAACCAGCAGCTTGAGGATGTTACCGATATAGTCACTGCGTGTGCCTTGTTCTTGTCGATGCGCGATAATGTCGTATACGACGTAGTTCGATCCTGCAATTCTAGAAATCCTAGACATTGTCGAGGGTTGAAGTTACTATGCAATGTACTAAGTATATATAGTATTGGACGAGAAAAGTAAGTCGTAGGATAAGCGAGGAAAGCGAGGAAAGCGACTCATCAACGCCCAGAATCTTAGATTTAAGGATTGTAGACAGGCGCTCAGTCGTATATGTGGAGCTCCTCTTCCACCACCACCACCACCACCACTCTTATGTACTTAGTACCCCATTGTAGTCCTTACTTGGTATCATGAGCAACCCCTTTCCGTATCAGAATTTCAACCAAGAATCGATCGCTGGATCCGCAGCTGCCCGTCGCCGGTGCTTTCTAGGTGGACTGGGAAGATGTCTTGGTGATGAGGTATCACTGCTCGTAGACGCAAGGGTTGCGATAGATGATTTCATTGTCCCATTCATGATGAGCAAACGCAACAGCAAGCGAGTCATTTGATCAACAACTGTGTTCCGATCGCGTTCTCGTTTCCATACACGCCCGTTGCCAGGTGGGGTATGCATTGCGTTCCCTGTAGGTGGAGTTTCTTTTCTCGCACCGAATTGCCAGATCCGGCAGACCGCTGGGATAAGAAAGAAACCCAGGCCTGGTACAAGTTCTACCTCCTTTGCCCTTATGTTTGTGTCGCACTTCTCCCACCTGCCTTAAGATTAATGTAGACGCAGCCGAACATCAGGCCATAATACCGTGGGTGAGTGTATTGCTGCGTTCCCCTACGGCCAAATGAAATAGTTGGTGGATCGCGCTCTACCACAAAGCACTGGTTGGTCTTATTCAGGAGATTCTCCGCGTACCAAGAACCAGAGATTTGCTTTCTGTGACATTGCCATAAGTATGCCTATCGTGAAATCATGTACAAGCGACAATGGAACGGGGTCCATCGCCGTTCCTTCGTGATCTGCTCGAGCTGGAGAAGGATAATCACTCACAACATCCATCTCGCTATTAATAATCAGTCGAGTGAGAGCCGGTGTTAGAATCGATTGTATACGGCTCCACAGTAAATCAGTTTTGAACCAGCAAAAGACGACTTCTAGACCGCTGTCAATCATGACATCCATCAATAGACAGTTGAATTCAACTCGTCTATTTGTTGCCAAACTTTAAGAACAAGATCTAGCTTTCTCCAAGCTGGTTTCTGCGCAAATATAAATCGATACGATTCAAGGCTGCTTCTGATCCGATTGCGCGCTTGGACAACCTTGACTGCTGCAGTGTCGAAAGGAGATGATCAATTAGCATGTTTCATTTCGCTGGAAAGCGCAACATACAGAAAGGCTTGTATCGAGCGTGTATATGACTCGAAAGGGACGGCCATGAGGACGTCGACCACGTACATGCTCAATTCTCTGAGCCATTGATTTGGCATCCAATCAGGAATATTATCAGCATCATCTGCTGTGGGTAACGTGACCTCTTCGAACGCCGGCACTGATTCGCCGGATTTAAGCCGACTGAGATGGATATCTGGAAAGGTTCGGTAGATTTGAATGAGCCCAGTGAGCCGGTAGGCTTGCGAGACTGCCAGGAAATGAGAAATTGGTGTGGAGCTGGTGCCCGGATCAAGGATTTCGTGTTCGGCTAGTAAAGCCCAATGGATTAATGTATGCTCCAGGCGTTCACACGTTGACATAGCTTTTTGGATGTCCTCAATGTGTAGCCTTTTCCAAACACAGAGATGACCGTGCTTCTGCCTGTGAGCATGGATTGTAGCTCCGACTTCTGGTATGGCATCCATCATCTCCGTTGCGATTAGGGCCCATGGATGAGGGGCGGACTGTACTTGGAGTAGACTCTCGGATGATCTAAGTGTCCGTTCATGAATATAAGCGTCATCCGAGACAAAAGACAGGATTGTTCGCCAATACATCATCGCTTGGTCGAAGAAAATCGACCTGCGTTGATCAGATATGGTGCTCTCCTGGGATGTTGTAACGCAAGCAGTCTCAGCAAGCCTCTTTGCGCTTCGATATAGTGGCAGGCCGAGATCCGAATCAGCATGCCAGTTGGCTGAATGGCCTAGAATGATTGAACACAAAAATGCAATCGTGAAGCTCTTTTCCAGGCGCATTTCTCGCTTGATTTCTTCGATCGCTCGATTCCGTGGGAAAACACCCTGGCTAGCGAGCCGGGGGAAGGCGCGTGATAAGCATGCAGCTGCCATGCTTTGCAAAGTCATGGCCATCATCAATGATCATGTCCAAAGCTGTAACACAGCAGTTCTAAAGGAGTTCATCTTGCCGTCAAAGCAAGAGTAAAGTGATGCAACAGAGGTGAAGCAGTATTCAACAAGAATGGTACTGTGATCCACAAGAGAACGAGTTGGTACGGATGATGCCGTGACCACGTCTTGTGCGGGAGAGCCTGCACCCTGGCTGCCTGTAGCAGAAGCGAGGGTGGCGAGATCGAAAAGCCCAGGGACTTGATCGGGGTAGAGTTGATCATGTTGAGTACGATCTGGAATAGTGAGCTTCTCGGCCACAAGATACTCGTCGATCTCTTCTCGGCGGGCGGAATGTGATGTCGGTGTTAAGAAGGGAATATTGTAGCCGTCCAAGCCCACGTCCAGGACATTTGGACAGATGGGATTGTAGTCGAAGCTGGGGGCTATTGGGTCCGAGGTTGAAAGTCGAAATTTGACCTGTACTGGTTCAAGGCACAAGTTTCTGCCACCATTGGTCCTGGTCCCCAATAAGATACAGGCTTGAATGGTTGCGAAGTACATGGCAGAGAGGCGGTGGAGGGTAAGGGGGACTCTGCAGCAGAACAGCGAAATCCAACAACTTCCTTTATCACCTAATGCCTATGAGACCAGCGCAGACCACGGTCATAACCAGGACATATCTTGTTGGATCGCAGGCATCTCCAATAAGCCAGCTTGGTCTCGTCGCTTTAACTAGTTCACTTGGTCAGTAAGGGCTGCGGAATCGTCCTTTCGGGAGTATGCTTTTTTGTGCTTACAGGCCCGGCCTGCACATCCATTGTAAGACTTCTTGCCCGTTGTCATTTCGTAAACACCTTCTTAAATATTATCAGGGCTGAATTCTCTGGACGATACATGAAACGAGGGATACGCCCCAGCAGGTGTTAATGTTCCGGGATAAGTCGATCGTCGCCATCTATGTAGATTGTAGACGTGATACTTCGGGTCTCGGTATCTCTTGGCGCCAAGTATCTTCCTCGTCCCTGGCAAAACTTCAGTCTCCAACTCAGTCGCATTCTACTGCTACCGTTCTATACTACTCCATCCAGTATGATCAGAGGCGAGGTGAATCGTTATAAAGCCGGCGCGGGTCGGGGTGGGTCGCACGTGAGTTGTGAGCAACTCCCCAAACGCTTCAGCCGCCAAGCCCCCGCCCTCCAGGCTTCACGACGCGTTTCAGTGAGCAGTCAATATCATATGGTTCAACTCCACACGCTTAGTTGACCATTTTTCGGAGTTGGAGGCGACAAGTCTTCTTTCCTGTTTGAAAGAATGGAGAGGTCATCTAAGCGGCAAAAGATCACACATGGCGGGAGAAGCGATGCTGCCGCCAGCAACTCAGCAGACCCTGTTTCCATCCGGAGGAATCGAGCTGCCTTTTTGCATTCGATATCTAGGTCGATATCCCCTCCTGAAGTGCTGCGTTCAGGTCCACATACTCCTCTTATCAACGTCCCAGAGGGAGAATCAATTGTTGCTAAACCCGACCATGAGAACAACATGGGGCCGAAGCCACCTTCGCAGCCTCTTCATTCACATGGTGACCTGAGCAATGAGGTATCTAAAGTCAAATCGACGGGGTCATCTCAAATATCGAAAGCCATGCCAAAAGTTGTGCCCTCACCTTTCAGCTTGACGTCAATTCGAGACCTGTCTGCATCTCAAAACAAAGATACTGTGTCTCTCCACGACATCATCGGCAATCCCCTGATCAAGGAGGCATGGATATTCAACTTTTGCTTCGATATCGATTGGATGATGAACTACTTTGACGTTGACGTCCGAGATCTGGTGAAAGTCAAGGTTGTGCATGGATCTTGGAGGAAGGAAGATGGAAACAGAATTGGGATCGAAGACGCGTGCCGTCGATGGCCGAACGTTGAAGCGATCGCAGCCTACCTTCCAGATCAATTTGGTACTCATCACAGCAAGATGTTTGTTCTATTCACACATGACGATCTAGCACAAGTAGTGATCCACACCGCCAACATGTTGAACAAAGATTGGTCAAACATGACGCAAGCAATCTGGCAATCGCCTCTGCTTCCCAAGCTACATGAGAACTCTGACTGCGCCATTGGACGATATGGATCAGGTTCACGTTTCAAGTATGACTTCATGGTGTATTTGAATGCGTACGGCTCGAAGACGAAAGCCCTTCGAGGACAGTTGGACCAATATGACTTCAGCGCAGTCAGGGGCGCCTTGGTGTCATCAGTCCCCTCTCGAATGAAGGATCCCTCTCAAACGAGTCTGATTGGAGGTGACGAGAAGCTTTGGGGCTACCCAGGCCTCTGCAGGGTTCTGAGGGCCATCAAACCATCGCCAACACCCACATTCACGAAACCAACACCCCATCCCCACCTTGTCTGCCAGGTCTCCTCGATTGCCACCCTACCGATGACCTGGATCAGCCGATTCTTCACGGCGATTTTCAACCAAGACAACAAAACACCCTCTGGATCCTTGGACCACGTCTCGATCATCTACCCAACACCCTCGAACGTCGCCTTGTCACTAGACGGCTACGCATCCGGCGGTCCCATCCACACCAAAGCGCAGAGCGCAGCACACCTGAAGCAGATCAGCTCACTACGAAACACCCTTTCTCAGTGGACCGAAGGGCCATCAACGGGCCATCGAGCCGAGAGGCACGAAGCAGCACCGCACATCAAGACGTACGTGCAATACCGCGAGCGACCCACGGCGCAAAATCCAGCTCCTGACATCGACTGGGCATTGCTGACGAGCGCCAATCTCTCCACACAGGCATGGGGCGCATACCGCGAGAAGGAGAAAGAGGTGGTCGTGCAGAGCTTCGAGATCGGCGTCCTCGTCTGGCCTGAACTGTTCAGCGACGACTTCGACGACCTCATGCCCACTGCCCCAGACCACATCGACGACAAATCCACGAACGCCACGACACCAGGCCAACGGTCCTCCAGGGCCATCATCCACATGGTCCCGGTCTTTGGCCAAAACACCCCGTCACCATCATCATCGTCACCACCGCTCGCCGAAAGTCACACACCTGACAAGGCACCCAACGCGAATACCACCATCGTCGGTCTGCGCATCCCCTACGACCTCCCATTGACGCGCTACGGACCGACAGAGCTGCCCTGGTCGCCGCAAGCCAGCTACGAGACACGCGACAGGCATGGCCGGAGGTGGCCTCGCGATTTCTCCTGACAGGCACCCCGATTCGCGCTCATGGGTTCTGACTGGGTTTTTAATCGTCTGGAGGGGGGCCCGCAAGTACCGGTACTTTCTGCTCCTTAGGAGCAGCACTGGCAAACAGGCAGCTTGGGTGAGGCTCGGGCTGCATTTCTGCATTTGTGGCACTTGTATCGTATGGTCTATCCCTCGGGGACTTTGCTGTTTTCACGAATAGCCAGCATGGATAGGTGGAGGGACAAATAGAAATAGGGGCGCTTTGCCAGGACGGCAGGAGGCAAGGAATAACTTACTCATCACCTACTACTGTACTAACTAGTTCATGGAGGTGAGGGTCGGCCAGAAGCGTGCTATCGAGTTAGTCATCACTTAGAATATTGATGATATCAATGAGTCGGTCTACGTATTAGTCGCAAGTCTATCAAACAGAACGTAGAAAGATGGTGGTTGTCATGCTTGTTCGCTATATATGCCGTGACTATAGTTTCAGTTCAATAAATGTAAAGGATATCTTGCTAATGAAGCAGTGCGTATCCGACTTGCGAAGAATCCATATATGCAGATCGACAATAGCTTCTACTCTCATTCCAGCACCCAGGTTTGCATGGTATATGAGTGAAATCTCTGGTCTGTGGGCAAAGGAATCTTAGCACGGCTCATCTAGCTTGCTCCAACAGCCTCCGGCTTCTTGTTCGCATCGTAGCCGTATGCTCCCTTGAGCTTCTCGACGAGAGCAACATAGCGTGTCTCCGCATCGGCAGCAGAGGTGCCGGCATCGACTTCCTTTTGCCATGCCTTGTATTTGGCTTTGCCCTGAACACCAAGAGGGTCAGTGCCAGGCGTCGTAATTGTAGAAGGGAGAAGGAGGTGTTCTGGGATTGATAGTCAAGACGAACCTTCAAGTCGAACATGCCTGGGGCAGTGGCCTTGGAGATGTCCTCGCCATTGGCGACCTTGAAAAGGGAGTAAAGCTAGTTGATGGAACACATGTGATTAGCCAAATGGACTCATTGTATCAAGCCCTGTACGAGATTGAACGATATCTAACTTGCGGGGCGGCTTGACTCAAGATGTCTCTCGTACAGAGATCCAGCCTCGTGCTTTCACCCTCTTGTGTCTCGTCCACCACAACTTCTAGTGAAGCGCATGTCCACGACAAAGGAACGGGATTCATTCGGGGCGTATAATAGACTGATCCCACTCACCTCCAGTAGCTCTTCATTAGAGGGCTTGGCAAGTAGCTTCTTGCTGTCATCTGCAGCCTTTGTGAACGCGGCGGAGGGCATGTTGTTGGAGTGGGGGCGGTGGTGGGATTAGAGGGGCGATTTAGTAGGGAACTGGTCGGCAGACCTGGGGGATAAGATCTGTCAGCTTGTGGTCAAAGGATATTTCCTGGCCCAACTGCTGATTGCCTTCGCAGGGGTGAAGTCGGGAGTGTCGTGGCAGTCCTCTTGTTCACGATCCAAGTCTCGGTCGAGTCATGCATCATATGCTGAACTGAACCCAAGTGACATGGTCGTTCGAGATGTGAGGGACTGGAGATTGCGAGTATGGCACTCACCTTTCAGATAGACAGATCAATTTCCCGGTGTTCTTGAGTTATGGAGTGTCAAGTTCAGGATCAAGGTCGAAATAAGTGGGAAAGAGTTGGGAAGCGTCAACAAACGTGATGCAGTAGTGAGTGCCTGCCCCAATGGCGGGATGGTTTCAACGGGAAGCAGCGACTGATGTCAGACTTTTGGCGGGGCAAGTTTTGGGGTCACTGTTCCCACCATCAATTGAGAGACAGCAGGTACCCATACTTACAAGTTACCTAGGGATGGTACCTACCTGTAGATATCTAATTGACACCAGCGATCTTGACTTCACATTCAAGAATTGAAACGGCGTAGAGGAGACAGACATCTAATCTGGTCACTGAGTAAAGAGGTAATCTTTGATTGTTTTATACTCGTTCTACAGAACCGCGTATGTGGTAGGTGATAGCAATATGCCTACCAACGTGCCATTCCGATGCCGCTCAAATATAAATGCGTTGCTGGATGCGGGTTATCTGTGGGGAGGCTTCTTCCAAAGCCGCTCCTAACGTATGGGCACGGCCGCTTGAGTTCCCTCGCGGCGAGATATTAAAAAAATCGAAAAAAACCTGCCTAAAACGCCTTCGCTGACGGGGCTAAATTGTGTTGGACTTGAACGCGCCCAAAGAAAAATCATTCACCAGTCGACTGCCCAACCGTTCTTTTCCAAGAACTCTGATGCTGCATTCTTCAGGGCGACGTTGGGGATCAATTGATCCGCCCGCAATGGAAGGCGAGTCAAAGGGTCACAGCCTGCCGCCTTGATGTGTTTCAGCAAGCCAACACGCTCGAAGGATACTCCTGTAGAGGTGATGACCGGATCGTGCATGATTTCGAACGTGATGGGATCGATGAGCCAGTCCGGAACTACCTAGATAATGGACTCGTCAACATCTTCTTACCTTCTGCCGAAGGGGAGGAACTCACCCTCTCTGCTGTTTCTGGAACTGTAGGGTCCTCAAAGCCCTTGCGTATATTCGCCCTCCGCTCCTCCGCCTCCTTTTCAAGTCCCTCTCTCTCCTCATTTTTACCCGTCTCTCCAAGCGCTCCGCTATGAAACCTCTCTTCAACAGCATCTAGGTCCCGTCGAAGCTGCTGATCTAAAAGGTCCTCCACCAGCGCCAGCGTCTCATTCATCTCCCGTAACCGCGCCGTCTCTCTGCTCTGCCAAGCGGCTTGCTTTGCTCTCAATATGAACTGGCTGATCAACTCTGCACTAGAGTCTTGGGTCTCTAAACACATCGAGTATGCGTATTTCGCCTGCACCAGCGCCTCCGCGGTGTGCCGTTGTGGAAGGAGTGATTGGGCCAAGTAGTAATGCGACTTCATTGCCGCGGCTTTGTTCTTCGTGCCATATAATTCGATGGCTTTCCGGGCGTCCGATTCGGCGCCTGGCCAGTCTTGTAGCTTTAGGCGGGTGAGCGATCGGTTGGAAAATACTTTGGGGTCTGAGCGAGAGTGTTCGGCGATTCTGTACCTCCGGTTAGTATATCGAATATTCCAGGAACAGAGAAAATGACCAAACATACGCCTGCGAATACAACTGCTCAGCCTCCTTGTACTTGCCCGCCTTGAAATGCTCGTTTCCGAGATCTCGTAAAGACATGGCCAAGTTGCGGAAAGGTCGTTGCTACCTTTCACAACCAAATCAATGGAAGTTGAGAGAATCAAGGAGCGACCCAGGGATTAGAAAAGGAATGACGAAAGGTGGGACTGAAGACGGGGATGGCAATTGAAAAAGTGACAACCGAATTTCGTTTGAGGAGCATTGTCGGCAAAAGAGCAGTGGGATTGTCAGGCAAAGCAACGTAAGCGAAAGGAGGGAGCCGCAATACAAGTTGCAAGGCGGGTTTCCTGTTAAGTCAGCCTTGGAAGGCGATGGATGCGTTTGGATGCGTTTTGAGAACAAATGAATAAACATGCTAAGTAATAAAGCGGAGGATCGGTAACTGGAGCACTCCATGCGACACTGCACAACAATACCGAGCGGAGTTATCCCGGGCCGGTCAGAAGGTACAAGAGTCCAGAGTCCAGAGGCCAGTGCCAGACAGTCTTCCGTAGCTCGTGCCCCGTGCCCCGTACAGGTTAGCTACTCGTAGACAGCTTGAACTACACCAACGTACTCCATACCCCGCCGTGCCATTGCATGCCTGCATAATAGGACACGCAATTGGCTTGGCCTCGAAAGAACAGGAGTTAGTGCCAAGGTCCGAATGACAGAATGAACCAGAGAGCAGTATCACACAGGAGAAATTTGAATAGTTGATGCGCAATGAATGATTGGGTATTTTCTCATGCTTTCTAAGCTAAGCAAGCCCACTACGGCTAAGATCATAAGAGGCCTGCTGGGGATATCATGCTATCCACTTCCATGTTCGAATGAAGAATTACCATACTCTGCGAATCTTTCCCTGACGACGACCATCCAAACGCCAAACACTATACAGTCGCTGGAATATAAGTTTCATGCTCATATCAACATATCCGACATTTACGCAGCACCAGCAGTGGCCACGTTCTGGAGAACCTTGGTAGGCTGATAGCCAGCTCGCACGATGCGCTCTCCAGAACTGTCCCTGGGAACCTCACCTTTGGCCTCCGCTTGTGATCGCTTCCAGATCTCCACTTCGCATCCACCACGGATGACACCCACTCTCATGGTCGACAAGAGATTGTGGGCGGCGTTGCTGTGCATGTAGACACCGCCATTGAACATGGCAGTCGCGTCCTTGCCCAGCGCGGAGTTGATCATGGCCTTGCCGCCTGGATGATCCTTGATGAAGTCGGTCACATCATGAACAATGCCGGCAACCGCAACGAGGCCACGTCCGTTCTTGGCTTGATCAACGTAGTCATCCCATTCCATGACAGGAAGTTGATCGAGAGGAACGCCCCAATCCAATCTGGATCTCTTTTGATCGAGCTTCTTCTGGAGTTGCTGGAGACGACCCTTCTCAATTTCGTTGCTGCGAAATTGCTTCAGATCATAAGCTAAACCGAGTTGTTTCCAGGTCCAGATTGACCATTTGGTAGGGTCATATTGGTGCCACTCGATGGCATTTCGGTAGTCTGAGGGAAATTCGTGGTGGAAGTTGTGATATCCCTCTCCAAGAGTGACAAAAGCGGTGATCACATGGTCACGAGGTGAATTGCGGTCATCAAATGGCTGATCACCGAGCCAATGGGCCAGAGAATTGACACAGAAAGTGGCTTGTTGGACGAAGAAGATTCGGAGGATGCCCGCATAGATGAAACCACCCATCCAGTCACCCCACCCAAGGCCAGCAACAAGAGTGGGCATGATGAGTCCCATGAAAAGAACGACCTTGAGATAATGCTTGTGTTGCCAGATCACAACGGGATCTTCGTTGAGGTCGGAGATATCGGTTCGGCCAATTCTCTTTGGATTTTGCTTCATGACCATCCAGCCAATGTGCGAGTAGAGCAGACCCTTTCGAACAGAGTAGGGATCCTTGTCGGTATCGGTGTAACGATGGTGAGCTCGGTGGTCTCGTGACCACCATCGAATTGAGCCTTCAACTGCACCACCACCAACTGCGGCCAAGAAGATTCGCAGAGGAAGAGTTGCGGAGTAGGAGGTATGTGCCCAAAGTCTGTGATATCCGGCGGTAATTCCCAAACCAGTGGCAAAGTAATATGCAATGGCCCAGACGGCGGTCTTAAGGTGTAACGGAGTCCAGAAGGCTTGGATACAGCCGTAGATAGGGATGCCAACAATCAAGGTGACATTGAGCCAGTTGACATGCTTATACCAGTTCGACTTGGTCATAGGGGTTTCTGTGATGTGGACTTTCTTGGAGTCATATTTCGAGTTTCGGTTTGGCTCGGACGATTTGGCCATTGGAGAGGGCTGGGAGGAGAGGTACTCTGGCTTGACAGCCAGGTGACCAGCAGTGGGTTGAGAGGAAGGCATGTTGAAGATAAAATTATCAACTGCAGCCCACAAGGAGAGAATGGTAACAGAGTAGGGGATGGAGACCAAGAAAGAATGTAAAAGCGACCTGAGATCAGGTATATATGAAGGGGCCAAGCTTGGTCACGGTTTGAGATATGTTGAGTTGGGCTGTGGGGAAGGCAGCAAGGGCCGTGATGTTAAAAGGAAGGAGACGGGGCGAATGCTAGCCAAAGGACGGTGAGCAACCGAGGCTAGAAGCCAGATCTGTGGACACTGAGTGGTTATCGGACCACTGCTGTGTGCTGTCAAACGACCGACTATGTGCCGCGATTCAAAGGCGCCAGTTTTTTTTCATCTTGTCAGGTCAGGCCAGAGTTTGAAGATCCTGTATGAGGCAATCGGAAGTATTCGAAATAAATTTTGTTGGGGAAGTGAACGTCACTAGGACGCGTTTCAATGGGGAGCAAATACGCTAAGCGCTGCCAAGACACATAATGTGTTGCTGATTCGCTGGATTGTCTTCGTGCCTTGCGCTAGAAGAGGCTAGAAGCCGGTTAGGCAGAGACCCTGAATCCCCCAGACCGATGATTGCTAGTCATTCCACCCCCTTTGCTTTTCCGACACTCTGGTCAGTGATGGTCAGCACCGAGGATGTGATGTTTGGAGCGTAAATCCATTTCAGTCTCGGATGCCACTGCTCAGCAAATCGCTCACATTCCGCAGAATTCTGCCTACACCTGGCAGTTCCAGCAGAACTCAGTATGTTTTCACCAAACTCCAATAACACTAGACAGGTATAGCCCCAACAAAGTGCTGGGCGAACGTTGAGATCTTCGGGGTTGGAGGTCCGAGCTGACGCCTGGCACCTGGACGGCGGGAGCCGCAAGTCCAAAAGTTGTTGGGCCTCTAAACCGAAAACGGGCATCGTATCTCGTTTCTCGTACCGCACCGTATCACACGCTCACAAGGCTCACAGCCACACCTCGCAAGCCAGGGGATGTTCAGGGATATGGCACACCCCATCTCCTTTCATCCAGGCGGCATCTGGTACTCCATGTTGGTCATCCGGAAGATTTGGCCTCTCTGCTCGAATCCCTCTTTATCCCCTTCGCCGGCCTTTCTCACATGACAAGAACCTATTCCTACTTTATTTCAACGACATGTGCAACTCGCCGAGGCTGTATAAGCAGAAGAGATGACGCCATGGTTCCGCAGAGCCACTCAGCAAAACGTTGAGACGCACCTTCAGGACATGGGAGCCTTGCGCTTAAAACGTCATCATCTGACTGATAACAAGAACCAGCTGATCCTACACTCTGTCCTCATGTCTTATGTGGGACTTATTGCCATGTCATAGACAGTCTTTCCCTTGCACAATGGATATTGGCGGGAGAAGTCATGTGACATTCTGTTGAACGAGGTGTTCCTCTGCATGCTCTGATGGAAATGGTCCACTCTCCGTGATGCACGTACTCGTACACTCAGAAATCAGGTTCAGTGCAAAATCCTTCCTGCATGCTAGCAGTCAAGTCTCAGGATACTGAACACATGCCTGGCGACCTCAGCACGGCACACCTCGACTGTCATGATATCGAAAGACCAATGAACGGGACCGCTTTCCCAGGCGTCTGGAGTGAAGCCGCTCATTGGCCACCTTGAGAGGGCCCGTGATAAGCCTGGAAGCTCAACTGGACCGTGACGTGTATGAAGGTTACTGAATGGAGCTCAGCATGCAGCATGACTCCCTCCCGGATCAGCGGCCTCTGTATTTGTTGACTTCGGTTCTCTGATCATAAGCACATGTCTGTGAATACCTGTCCCTCCCCATTCGCTCATGTCGCACTCAACAATTTTGTTCTCGTCTTCAACCTCCACAAATCCATGCTTCAGGTAGAGAGGATAGCCAGGGGGTGTTGCAGCGAGGACAATTGGAATGTTCTTTTGGTCCGCCTTTGCGATGATCCAGTTGAGGAGTTTGCTTGCGATCCCCTTTCGCCAGTAATCAGGTGCAAGCACATTAAGTTCTCTGACCTCGAAGCAGTGCATCCCACCAAAGTGTGCTCTCAGCGCACTCTCAACGGCCATGTTAAAGTGATGCTGTAGTTCTCGATGACCCGACGCTGGCAAGGGATTCAGATCCTTCCCCATTTTCTGTTGTCCTTCTGCACCGTGGGCCCGACTCTCAACAGGGGGATGGTACAAGAATGCGGCATGGGCCACAATGCGGCCCAGTTCATCCTTCTGCTGTGTCCCGTTCGGGACCTGCAACGACTTTAAATCATGATCTTTGATAACTAGACTCTCACAGCGAACCACGTTGCGGTCTCCAATCTTAGAGTCAATCCACCTTATCCTTGGATGCGTCGCTTCTTCCTCCAGATCTGCTCGAATGCCCCTTGTCAGCCAAGCCAGAAACTCGTCCGGCGGTATCGCGCCGTATCGAAGCATGCGCATTGGGGACGTGGACACAGTCGACTGCACTATGGTGGCAATCTCAAGACTGGCTGTTTCCAAGCCATCGTTCCATAGGTAAATAATATCCGAAAGATGCATTTCCACTATGACACCGCCCTTTTCAAGGAGATCTTACACCTGGACACCGCAAGCCTCGACGAAAACCCTCGGAGGCGTCCACCGTCCCTGTGATTTCTTTGAGGAAGCCCTGGAGGTATTTAGCAAATCTTCCCAGATAATAGATGAACTCATGTTGGTAGATGGCTCAGGCTTCAAACTGCAAACCGGGGGTCAAAACCGATTAATCCTACCTTAACTCATGCAGCGATTGTTCTAACCTGATGTAGCTTAAACCGTTCTTGGTTGCTTCACGAACCTCTATGAAGGCCAATGAATATTGGTCCGCTTGATCCTTTCTAGCATGCTCTTTATTCTAACAGAGGTTGCATGGTATTTTGTTGTATGTGTCGTGCTACCATAGTCCGACTTCTACTCAGGCATAAACTTGACGGGATAAAGGATGAGAGCAACCGAAAGTTTCGTGAACTTGAGCGAGCTGGAGACAAGCCCGCAACAAAAGGGCGCTAGGAAAGATCCTAGCCATTTATGGTGTGGCCCGAGTTGTGAGCGACCTTGAAGCCCTTGTTGGATGAAGTTGTCTCAAAAGCCATCTCCAACAAAGACCGAAACAAATACAATGAAAGCCAGCGGCTGAGCTGACGCGTCAAATAGCGACGGCAAATGCACGGTCGAGGTTGCAGCGCTAAACCTCGGCGAGGTCGAGGCCTATGTTATCCACCACAGCGCCAACCATTCAACCCAAAACAAAACCGCTTTGTGACCGTTGAACATTGAGACAGCACAAATCGGAAGAGACTTCGAAGATTTGCTTCTCTGATCAATAAGCCAGTTGCCCAGCACATGCAAGTGTCCACGGTCTGCCTTGGAATCGCTGCATACCAAAAGATCCCTTCTACCATCTTCACACCGAGTCTTAGCAAGCCGCGTGCGCCGTGTCTGGACACCCAAGTGTGTGTGTACTCCTCACCCCCCACCAGCGCCATCTGTACATAATCCACTCCAGCAAGGTATGTGGCCGTGTATGTCACCGTATGTGGCCACTGGCCGCTACAATTGAGGGTCATGGCCTGGGAATCCCCAGATCTTCACTCCAAAACTCCGCACTTCCTCCGTGTCCCCAAGATTGTCCATGGCCACTAGTCTGAACCTGGTTGGGAGGATGAGGAATATGACCGCATTTGACTATCATGACTACAGCATCAGGTTTCCAAGTCTCCTCACTTCATTTTTCTATGGAGAGGCGCTCTGTCTCCTCTCCTTCTCAACTTGATGCGGGGTTGGAGCTGGGCTTGATGTCTTCTACATTTCCTTCTTGCTCATCCTGCTTTGCGGCAGCGGAACTGCAGTCCACTCTGTCCCCGCAAATGCCGTGTATCCAGTGAAGCGTTTACCCAACTAACCAAGACTGATGTGAGTCGTGAAACTTGAAAAGCTCCAGCGATGATTCTCATGCCCCAGCTTTTCGGCGAAGAGGATCCAGTTGGGCATCATGAAGGATTGATTAGAGGTTGTGCCGCGCAAGCACTTGCATCCTTCTCCACTTATGGGATTGCATGGTTCTATACGCACACATGATTCTACTTTAACCGGCAAGCTTCCGTTGAAACGAGAGTGAGGGGGTGACTCCAAGACCAGTTAATCATTAGATTTCGGCAAGGCCTTTTCGATATATAACTTCGACCTGCCCCGGCCCGGACGCCCGCTTTTGCTCCTTGGTGGAGGTACTAACAGTGGTCTAGACGGATCATTATAAACCCAAACTCAGTATGCCTCTATACACGAAACTCCCAGAGGAAGTCAAGGAGGTGGACGTGATTGTGAGTATTTCGGCTTAATCTTGCATTTATGAAAGCATTGTGAGCGCTACCGTGTCAAACCATCATGTACTAATGGAAATAGATTGCAGGAGGTAATTCTTCCGTGGAGACATCCATGCCCCTAACTTTTCCAACTGACAATGCCGTCGTTAGGTGGCCTCGCGGGATGTGTCGTAGCCGGACGGCTAGCGGAGGCAGATCGCAACTTGTCCATCCTAGTCATAGAGCAAGGCCCAAACAGCTATGGCATGCCTGAAGTTGTCCACCCAGCACTCTATCCGCGAAATCTGTTCCCCAGCAGCAAGATTACGCTTTTCTGGCCAGCGAAGAAGGCACCGAAGCTGGCTAACCGATCCCCAATTGTGCCATCTGGAGGCACTCTGGGTGGAGGGTCTGCTATAAACTGGATGGTATATACCCGGGCTCAGCGATCGGACTTCGATTCATGGAAAACGCCTGGGTGGTCTGCTGATGAGATGCTCCCATACCTCAACAAAGTACGTCAACTAGGTCTGGCCTTACATATCCATTCCACTGCTAATTGCGTCTCAGCTCGAGACCTACCATGGCAAGGGTGACAAAGACCGACACGGCTTTGATGGCCCTGTCAATATTTCCAAGGGCACCCACGTCTGCGGTCGGGCAGAGAATGCTTTTGTCGAAGCGGCCGCGAAGCTCGGCTACCCCGAGGTGCAGGATCTGCAAAACCTCGACGCCAACAATGCCATAGAGCGCTACTACCGGTACGTTGGGCCAAATGGACGACGTCAGGATTCCGCACATCGATACCTGCATCCCAAGCTGCAAGGTACAGAGTATCCGAACCTACATGTGCTGGTGGAGAAACAAGTTTTGAAGGTCCTCTTCGACGACAACAAGCGAGCCGTTGGGGTCGAGTACCAAACGAACCCCAAATACCTTGCTAACCCTGAGTTTCTGTCCACTGCATACACCGCTCGACGCACGGTCAGGGCCCGTAAGTTGGTAGTCCTTTCGGCCGGGGCCATTGCCACACCAGGTATCCTTGAGCGGTCGGGCGTTGGTGATTCTAAAGTCCTGCAGGCCGCGGGAATTCCCGTAGTTGAAGACCTTCCCGGCGTCGGAAACGACTATCAGGATCATCACCTCTCCTTGTGGGCTTATCGAACAAATCTCACCCCGCGCGAGACTATCAATGGCTACCAGGACGGCCGGGTTAATATCGACGAGGCTATCAAAAACTCTGATGAGCTTCTCGGCACGAACGCAATGGATGCTCAGGGCAAGTTCCGCCCGACTGAAGCTGAAGTTGAGGCCCTCGGACCAGAGTTCAAGAAAGCTTGGGACCGTGACTTCAAGGACGCTCCTGATAGGCCTCTCATGATTCTTGCTTTGTATTGTTGGTGAGCTGCCCTTTGAGATTATGACCACCCTTGTCTTCCAATCAATGCTCACAGGCCTTAGCTACTACGGTGATCATTCCATTCTTCCAGACGACGCCGAGTATGTCTCAATGGCAAATTGGACGGCGTACCCGTACTCTCGCGGCCATGTCCACATCACAGGCCCGGCCATGTCCGACCCGGTCGACTTCAACACCGGCTGGCTTACCGATCCAGGAGACGTGGACGTAAAGAAACACATCTGGGCGTACAAGGTGACTCGCGAGATGTGGCGACGCATGCCCATCTTCCGCGGCGAGCTGGCACCCAACCACCCTCGTTTCCCCGCAGGATCCAAAGCCGCCATCATCGAAAGGGCCGACGGGCCTGTCACGACCGATGATAACTCGCGCATCGAGTACTCAGCAGAGGACGACAAGGCGATTGATCAGAAAGTCCGTGAGATCCTGTCTACAACTTGGCATTCGCTGGGGACTTGCAAGATGGCGCCGAGAGAAAACAAGGGCGTGGTGGACAGAGATTTGAACGTTTATGGCGTGAAAGGACTTAAGCTTGCTGACTTGAGTGTGCCTCCTGAGAATGTGGGCGCGAATACTGGCAACACCGCCTTTGTGGTTGGAGAAAAAGCTGCGGATATCTTTATCCAAGAACTCGGCCTTGACAAGGGTAAGGCTCAAACCCAAGTTACATTGTAGCGGGAGGTAGCCCAAAAGGCTGCGGGTTCAGTCAAACTACGGTCACGTTTCCAAGAACGCAAGAACGGAAGTCCCTCATGACAATTTTCACTGCTGCGGACTTTGAAGCAGAACCCTACATATCCTGCTGATATGACTCGTCTTTCGATGCGCGTTCTCTCCATTGGAGCCAGTGCTGTTCACAGTCCTAGTCGTATCTTTTCATATAGGAATTGCCCAGTGTGCGCCTAGCAGATTAGAATGGGTGAGATATGGAATCTAAACAGTGTTGGGTTGCACACATGTACTCTGGCATTCTTGTAGGCATGTCTCTCCCCCTTCCCTAACAGAAGGGGTAAGCCATAATGCTACTCACTCGACCTTTCTAACAAAATTTGACCTCCCAATATCCAAAGCAAAGGGGGCATAGGGCGCCTAGGAATTCTCTATCTGTGCCATACCCACACCACCTTTGGCCATTCCTCCAGCTGATCAGATATCCATGGAAGAAATCTAACAGCGCAATTCATGGCTTCCCTGCTCGAGGCACTTTCTTCGATGACGAGTCCCGCCTCTGTCCATTGCCAGTGGTGCTTGACATGAATCGTTGCGCGAAGGCTTAGGCCCAGATTGTCGATCACTCCCGCGTCCGAGCAGACTGCTCCCACACACAAGGCGCTCCCAACCTCAAGCGAAAACCTCTATTGTTCGCGGACGTCTAGAATCACCCTTCAACTCTTCTGAACCGAGTTACAAGGGCCATTGTTTTCTCCATCGATCGCGGCTGACCGGCCCGCGCGGTCCAAGACTCTTCCAGGCTTCTTGGGTAGTTTGAAGATCTGGAAGGAAGCTCGGACAAACAGCGCCGTTCAGATAATATCGGTCATGAAGTCAAATACTTCTTTATGTCGTCTTCCTCTTCCTCCAGGTCGCATGGCTCATCGGATCACTCGCGAATTTCTCCCACTCGCCGGCCTTCTGCAGCCCAACAGCATCAAACCCATACTTCAATCGCGTCGCCTCAACCGCCAGATTCGCATACTTTTTCGCACCTCTTGCGCTGCCGACACCATTATACGTAAGCGCAGCATGTCCGTACGCGAGGTCCATAAACCCTTCAAGGCCCTCGGCTTTGTATAGGTTGACGAGCTGTTCGGCTTTCTTGACGGTCGCGGTCGAGCCGGGCGTCCACTGAGAGAGTTGGTATTGCAAGTTGATGATTTCCTGGGTAGCTCTGTCGGAGTCTTCTATGGTTCGTTCCTTACTGTGGGAGCCCGGCGAGCAGCGTGGACAGGCACATTTGAATCGGAAGACGGACTGGAAATACTCCTGGCGTTCAGCGTGAAGGCGCAGAGGTGGTGCGTAGGAGATGGTGATTTCCTCGTCCTTCCCAATCGGCCGCACCGCATGGACGTAGTGTGTTAATAAATCGGCAGAAAAGAAATATTGCGCGCTGTTGAAGGTTAGCTTCGATCAAACGGTCGAAATAGTAAGTCGATAAAACAAGATGAGAGGACAGAAAATCTGAAGGACATACTTCGGCCCACAGGCATGGTTGTATCTCGAGGCCTCCGGAAACACGGCCCCGTGCTTCAAGCCACCGACTTGCATATCGAATCCATTCGCCTTCAGAACATCCTGAGCGACCACGTCCGGCTCATCGTAGAATTTGGCAAGGGCGAGATATGCTTCTCTGCTCGTCGATGGGAGCTGATCAAGGCCTAATCTGAGTAATCTCTCCCTCTCCTCCGTGAAGAGCGAGTCACCAACATGTGCAAGAAGCGAAGGCGTGTACGCGGTAATCAGATCGCCGCGCTGCAGTGGCCGAGAAGCAAGCATGCCTATTCCCTTCCCTGGAAGGGCAGCCGTGTACCACGGCCTTTCATCAGCGGCCGTATCGACGTTGATCCCCTTGGAGGACAGCGCTGTAGCATCTTGAAACAGCGGCAGGGCAGCGAACTCTTCCGCAACAGCAACAGTCGTGAGAATAGATATGCCCCGCCCGTTACTAAAGGACGCATTTGTGTATATGCAGAACTGATCTCCCGACTCACTCAGCGCTTCCCCGCAGATGGGTTTGTGCGTCCATGGAAAATACGAGTCTGAAGTCTCCTGCCCTTGGTCTTCTTGCGAAGAAGCAGATTCGATGATGATGTCTTCTGGTTTGATTATTGTCTCGCTTGACGTGGTGTCGAATTCGTCCTGCGAAGCCGGCGCGTCGACCTCGCTGCCACTATCAGCGGCAACCAGAGAAACAAACAGCGACAAAACGCGGAACGAGATCACACCCAGCTTCATGTTGTTAGATGGGCAAAAACAGCTCGAGAGCAAAAATTTTAAATTGTTCTAAATTTTTGTCAAATTAATACAAGGAAGGAAACTTTCTGATAGTTAGAAGGTCATGAGGGACTCTACGACGTGAGGACGTGGCTGACGTCCAGATTGGGACGCTGAAACACTCAGCGAACCGAGAGGGGGATTTCACAGTCGATGCGCCCCTGTGCTTTGGTCCTCAATAGGGGCCTGATAGAAGTTGGCTTGCAGTCGGTACTTGTGGTATCACGTCATCAAGACTTATGTATGTGCACGTATGCTTGGACAACACCGCAGATATAGATACATGCGTACCGTGCGTTCAATGGGCGCAGGTTCGCGAATAAAGAAGGCGAAGAAGGGGGATAACGCCCAGACCCGCCAATATCGTTCTCGGTGTGCCGGGGGCTTGGCAAGCGCCAGGGGTCGGTGACCAGGCTGATAACGAAGGAAGCGCCCATCATATGAGCTTATGTCCATTTTGTCATCATACAGGGGCCTTGTGGAGGAAGAAGGGGGAAGTTCAACATGGTCAGCTCGTGGCGGCTAAGGCGCACTGTTCGAGACCCTTGAAAATACAGTACCAAAATAGTACCAAAACATCGACAGCGCAAGTGCCGGAATGACAGGTTATGGAAGCACTGCGAACGATCTGTAGCTTCGCTTGAAGAAGTACGTTCTGTAAAATGCAGATAGCTAGGGTAGATGGCGTTTTAACACATTCGCTGTATGTATGAGGCCCAAGCTCCGTCCATGCACAGAAATTAAATTGCTCGAAAACAAGGTAATCGTGATGCTGACCTAGACTCAGATTGTGACAATGATCAATTCGGAACGTCTTGCACGCGGATGAGATATTTTCCTCTCGCTCTACCTCTGGCTACGGCTTCAAAGGCCTATTTCCCCATGAGCGATTAGTACTGATTCTGTGATTTGAGGGGTGCGCCTCGGTTAAGAAAAAAGAAGAAGAAAAAGGGAATCGTAGTTTCCTCACCTTGAGAGCGTCCTCCATCGCATATTCGGTGTCTATCGTACCCGTCAGGTGTCCAGCTTCCACCAGCGCGGCCGTCTTCCTGATGGAGTCCGGTGTGATGTTCGCGGAGTGAAACAATCCCTTGCGAGGGGTTCCTCCAAGAAGAAGAGGCCGGCATGTTTTCAAAGTGAAGTTGAGCGCAAATCCCAGAATGCTGAGAAAACCAACGCTGCCGCCGCCGTGTGTTACGCTCATTTTGCCGCCGAGGATGAACACCCCATCCGGCTTCATGTAGCCGGGGCTCTTATCGTAGAGGAGTTCATCATTGCCGGCAATGTCGATGATGGAATTGAATGGGTCTGTAGAATACTTGGTTCTCAGATGCTCGTGTAATACCGGATGAGCTCTGTAGTCGATGACCTTTTCGAAGAAAAACCCCAACGTCAGCAAGCAAGATTAAACCAGTAGTCGGGGCCACTAGGTGTCCTTCATTGAGATCTGCTTACTTCATTGGCGCCCAGCTTCTTGACCAGTTCCTCGTTGGCCACGGAACACGTGCCGACAATCGTGCCCTCATCTCCAACAGCCGCTCGCACAGCCTGTATCATCAGCGTACCAAGACCGCCAGATGCACCAGTAATCAAAACTCGGTCGCCTCTTTTCATGCCCGCCAATTCTATGAATTGAACAGCGGTGCACCCATTGCATGCCAACGTCGAAGCGGCCTCAATCGAGATATTGGGAGGCTTGCGTACAACAAGACCTGCTGGCAAGATAGCATACTCGACAATCGTTCCGTTGTACTTGCGACCCCACAATGGATTTGCCTTCGGATTGGGGCTCCCAAATACCATGTCACCAGGTCGAACATGGGTGACGTTGGACCCGACGGCGTCCACGACGCCGGAGAAGTCTAGTCCAGGAATCCAAGGCTTTGAGTTCAGGTGAGGGAACAGGCCCATTAAAGCGGCTACGCCTTGATCAATAGCCACATGTGAGACTTTGACGATAACCTCGTCGGCGTGAAGTTGCGCAGGCGTTGGTTTAGGCAAGTCGGAACGCAGCTTAAGGACGGCAGAGGGAGTGCCTCGTCTGGTAAAAGTCCAGCCACGCATCATGACTCTGATTAGTGCCGTCTCGAATTAAAATAATCTTTGCAGAAAGGACAGGAAGTTTTGAAAGTACTTCATTGGCCTTTTTGAGTTCGATACCGTATGTCGAAAGCTTCCATAAAGCCTCCGAGCAAATGCGCCTAAAAGGAGAACCGCCAATCAAAGCCTCCGATGGAAGGTCTCCGAAGAATGGCGCAGCCAATCAAAACCTCCGAAAAGAAGAATGCATACGAGTAGATATGCAACTCGTACAAATTCGTAGCCCACAGACGTTCTTGCCGCTTTGTCTACCGTTGAATCCTAGCATCATGAGCACTAGCCTCAGTGGCCTGTCATGCTTGGTCGACGAGAATTCAACAACCCTGTCTGGCTCTCCATCGCCGCAAATCGCTAGAAGACGGGCTTCGCTTCAAGGAATCACGGTACGATGTACCAAAACATGGAACGCAAAGGCTTCGTCGCTGACCTAAATGCCACTATGTCGTAAGATGTGCCTGTAAAAGACATGTATGACGCTCAGCGTTGGAACAGCCGTTCCAATAGTTGAATTTTCTCTTTCAGGCCGGCAACAAGTGAAGTGGCCGAGTCTTTCTCGCAAGCTCTTCCATTCTGACACAGGACGAGTTGTACGAGGGATAGTGCGTCCGGGCTACTGAAAATGCCTTTGGTGGAAATGGCATGTTGCGAGATGCAGAAATCCTGCGGAAGGCCCATGAGATTTTCGATGCTGCGCAAATCGTCTGCAACGGCCTGAATCATGAAACTTACGTATAACTTAGCTTTCAATTGGCCCATACCATTAACACGGAACCTGGCCGACCTGTGGAAGAAGGTAGTCGTGTCCGGGATTTGTTGTATGACCTGGCACACACGATCGAAGATGTAGGTGTAAAGATCGAGAATCTGAAGATAGCTTGACAAAATCAGAAGCATAATCGGTTTGCTAAAAGGAAACCCGTTGTCTTGAGGCAATGTGCCTCTATCGTTTGGGTTGGAGCGAGAATAGCTGCTGTCGACATGAAATGAACTTGGGTGATAAGCCGTGGACAAGGTAGCTGGGGTTGTACTCGTTGGGTCAGAGGTCAGCCATTCGAGAATGACACTTAATTCAGATGCAACCTGAAGTGCTTGGACAACAGGGATTCTTGCAATTTCTTCGGACGACTCGGCACAGATGCGCCAGTCAGGCGGTACACATAGCGGGTATGCTTCAGCGTTGGTCTTGTGATTGGCAATTCTCTCGATGAGTTGCGAGAGCTTGATGATTGCACTTGACTGATCTGGTGGCTGCAGAGATAAGCTCTCGTTGCTGATAGGCGTCATGACGAGATCCGCATACAAGGTATGATCGGGCGTACCCAGCCCCGGGGGTTGAAGTTCGCCTCGTGTTGGTTCATTGAAATTCAGGATTTCGTTCGTATTGGCTGGAATTAACGAGTCGATAACATCGTAGCTGAGTCTGGATGACAGACCAGGCCAGCTTGGACCGTTCGGCAAGTCTGGTGAGCCATTCAGTACATCCTCGCTCATTGTATTTGTAGCATGATTTGAGCTAGTCGGAAACATCTGAAGATCAGCAGAACTGCACGCTTCATGCCCTTGTTTTCGAGAAGTTGACGCAGCCAATGTACGGGCAGGCAGCCTTGTCCGAGGTCTGCCTAGAGGGCGAGCACTGCTGGTAATGCATGACATGCCAGCTCGTCTACAACGATCGCAGACCTCGTTTCGCTGGCCCTCAACGCGTGGACACCGTAGCTTTGAGGCTCTACATCGATCACAGGCCAACCGTATGTGGTTGTTCATGCTCATGTTGACGCGGTTGAAGGGCAGACGTGGTCAAACGGGGAGAAGCCGGCGAAGTCCTCGAGAAAGCGTAGGAATTAGTACTAGAGCGAGATGGCTTTAAAGCGGCAGCGCTTGGCCTAGTCAGACTCCCATTTTCAAGGTCACGGGGCTCAGCCTGATCCATCTCTCAGCCTTGTCATTTTTGACAATTTTATATTCCCTTTCTTCCCGTCTGCCTAAGTCAATTTAGAAGGGAGGAGCCTCTACCCTACTAATGCTCGATCTATTAGCACTGACCATAGTTAAGTAGCTACCAACTAGAGAGGTAAGTATAGCCTTTATTTTCTGTAAATAGTACTAAGATACTAGTGACCCTGACTTTAAGCGATAAAGCTCGTAAAGCGGATGCTACTCGAGAATATATTCTAATTCCTCCCCGCCTATTGCCTCTACTACCAATCCTTACCTATGGGGCTTATTTCAACGCGCCGTACCGCGACCGCGACTAGGTACTACTCCGGGTGTAGCGCTTGGACCGTCCTGATTTCTGGCGTTCTGGTTGATCCATCCTTGAAATTCTGGCCCATATTGAATTCTGAAATTTTGGTGACGCTCTGGGTCGTAGACAATGCTAACAGGCATTGCCGCACTTGGCAGAGTCAGGATTTGGCGAGGAACGATACCAATAATATTGGAATGGTACTCTGGACTTCGGAAGTCAGTGTTGTCAACGAGCCAGGATCAAAGATGAAGATTGAGCGATCTATATATGCGCAGGGCCTCAGTAGATTAGATTAGCCATGCTAAGAACTGTAAATGCTTCTAAAACCCGCCGAATCAATAGCTGGACAAATTGTGTATCAGGAAAGCGCGCCGGTAAGCTCGTGTTGGGCAATCACCATTATTCTTGCTGGGTGATTCGTGTTAAAGCGTGTCAGTCAACGCTGCCGGTTTCAGCTAGCATTTAGGATCGAGTTGTTCTATGCCCTCTAATGTATTAAGTGGAAGCGCTCCAATGTTTGGGAGGATGGTCTGGCTGACCTATTATTATTGCAGGAATTTTGAGAGTGCTGGTGCCATCGTACACATCGGCGTGGCAACGTCGAGGAGAGATTGCACCGCTCCATGGCGCTCGTGGCACGTAGCTAAGAGGCTGCATTCAAAGCCTGGTTGTAGATAGCTTCGAGAGATCCGCTCTAGTCAATAACTAGGTCTCGCAGGCCAGCGAGCCGAATAAATGATGGAAAGTTTGCCGATCGTTCCCCTTGGCTCCGTCATCCACCTCCTTATACTATGTTCACCGTTCGTGGAGAACTCCGTTATGGAAGACTTGTCTATCTATTGTGATTCGAACCTTCTTTACAACCAGGAAAATATGTCGAACTATTGCCCTAGTGGATTTCATCCGGTTTGCCTGAATGATACTTTCAAAGACGGGCGCTACAAGTTACACCATAACCTAGGTTGGGGTGGCTATTCCACGGCCTGGCTCGCGAAAGATAAAAAGTGTATCACTATGAAACACAATTTACATTGCGTACTTTCTGATAGACTAAAGGCGCGAGCAGTGAGTTTCAATTAGAATTAAAATGGCTAGTAACTCGACGTAACCCGAGAACTTCAACCCTTACAACACCAGCGGGCTATTCCCTGCGACATCTTAGCTCTAGATATATCGTCTAGTTACTCGACCACCTCTCCCACTAGGGAGTTAACGGGTCTCATCGGTGTCTAGTGTTTGAGTTACTTAGTCCTCCTGTTAATATAGTCGTAGGAGATATCTATTAAGGTAGAGATGTTCTCGATGGCAACAAAAATAGGACGATATGCGACTGAAATCTGGACTGGACCACTCGCTACATAAGTTAACTTGAAGGTATTGCTAGCTTCTCAAACTACGATTAGAAGAATCTGATGGGCGAATTCGTTAGTAGATGCGAAACCATTCCGGTCTAAACTGGAGCAAAAATTTGATGACCGGATCCACGACTAAAGCTTGAAGCCTCTCCTCCTAGTCATCTAGTGTCTGATGAGGTTTATACCGTCAAATAGAATCTTAGCATCCCAGGCGCTTGGTATGATCAGCTCCATAATTGGCTAAGCGGATGATGTTTGAAAAGGAAGAAACCCCGCCCAAAATCTAGAATGTGTGTGGGCCCACGATCCTGAAGGAGGGCAACCTCGACAAGAGACAGGAACCAACCATAGCTAGCTAATCCGCACAAAATAGACGCGTACTCAATCTTCCTCGCGGGAGAGACCTGCTGGCCACACTCCCGAGTCAAGCTTAGGTAGATGCCACGTGACCAAAGCCTAAATAAGGGTCACAACTAGAAACCCAGAAGCGCCAGGCAAGCCCTTGAAAGCATTAATGACATGGAGTACGAAACCAGATGCCACATATGATATTAATATGTACTCCGCGAGTAGACAACTGAAAGTGTCGAGCAATGGGAGATGGTGGACCGGGCGGAACAACCTTATTGCGGGCATCACCTGAGGTAGATACAGTACTCCGTACTGTACTCCTCATGGCGAGAGCCTCGGCTGCTCGCCATAACCCGTCGGCTCTTGCAAAACCAAGCGCATTCATCTCCAAGCTCAGGAAGGGATTTCAAATGGCTCCAAAGAGGAAGATATCTTTGAAGTTGCATTCCCAAACTTGCTAAGCTACTGCTGTCACGCCTGCTTACGGTGGATCACCTCGGCTCGATCCCGTGACGACGAACCGAATCGAATGAGTTAGTCTAAGTTCTGACACTGCTCCTTATATTTCAACTTACTCGCCTGATATTCTTCCTGTACTCACTCAGCTTACACTGCCTGTTAAAACGATATCATATACTCTTCTATCTACCAAAAAAATGTCGATTACTACGTCCGTCACACAGTTGTTGGGCATCCAACATCCCATCCTGCTGGCGGGCATGGGCCAGACGTCTGGGGCGCCCTTGGCTGCCGCCGTCTCAAATGCGGGTACGGTGACATTTTGAAGATCTCCCAATGGACTCGAAATAACACCCTTTTAGGCGGGCTGGGTGTAATTGGTGGTGTGGGATATACTCCCAAAATGCTTCGAGACATGATACAAGAACTGAAAGTAAGCATGTTTCGCCCGACAGGATCCGCAGGGCCCGTGACTCGTTATTCGAGCAGGATGTTCTGACGATGACCTTCTTTCAGGACAGCCTAAGAGACCCATCACTTCCATTCGGTGTCGACTTGCTGATCCCACAGGTCGGCGGAAGCGCGCGCAAAACTAATGTAACAGCCCATCCATGTCACCACTTTGTTTCGTCTTGACTAATTCAGCACGATACAGCTTGACTACACCAAAGGCACGCTGGACGAGCTCGTCGACATCATCATCGCCGAAAAGGCCAGAGTCTTTGTCTCTGCCGTCGGCGTGGCGCCTAAGCATATCATCGAGAAGCTCCATAAGCATGGCATCCTGTACATGAATATGATTGGCCACCCAAAACATGCCCACAAGGCTTGCCAGGCCGGCGCCGATCTCATTTGCGCACAGGGTGGCGAAGCCGGAGGACATACTGGAGATACAGCAACTACGTACGTCTTCTTCTCGTCTTCATTCAATCATCCTTCGCTTCACCCCGGGGAAATCCCAAAGCGAATGTGAACCAATCTTACGCTATCTAGGGTCCTAATCCCCGCTGTCGCGGATATCTGCAAGAAATACACGTCCCCTCTGACCGGAAAGCCCGTGCAAGTCGTCGCTGCCGGCGGAATATACGACGGTCGAGGGATTGCCGCAGCTCTCATGCTAGGTGCTGGCGCTGTCTGGGTTGGAACTCGCTTCGTGACCGCGAAGGAGTCCGGGGCACCCGAAGTCGCCAAAAAAGCGTAAGCACAGGCGCCTTTCCCTCACCTTCCACCTAATGCCAAATTGAAGAAATATATACATATATCATCACCATTAGAGCCAAGAGAACCAGAAAGCTAACACATTCGCGGGCATGCATGTAGCATCATCGAGGCCAACTTCGACTCGACGATCAAATCGACCATATGGACCGGCCGGCCTCTGCGCGCCCTCGCGACACCCTACGTTCGGCACTGGGAGACGGAGCGAGCGCAGGAGATCAAGGACCTGACCTCCCAGGGTATTATCCCGCTCTACCACGAGTTCGAGAAGCTCGAGAAGGAGAACGGCCTTACCGAGGAGATCGAGGACCAGTCAACATTGAGGTGAGATTCAATCCTACTTACCCCAACCCGGTTGACCAATCTTCTTGGCTCCTCTTGAAAACCGAGGGCCATTTTCTAAAACTTCCTTCAATCTCTCTCCGAATGTGTAAAACCTTGCTAACGATCAAACTTCCAGACCAATGGGGCAGGTCTCCGGTCTAGTCAACACGCCGAATCAAAGTGCCGCCGAGATCGTAAAGGAGATGATGGACGGGGCTGTCAGAGTTCTCGGTTCGGCAGGTGGTCTTCTGAAGCCGATTGGAGCTGCCAAACTCTGAACGAAAGGGCTTGAGCGACAGCGACGAAGGGAAGCGTTCTAATTGAGGTTTTTTGCTTTTAAAACAGAACTTTTTCTCATTGTGCGATGCTGATTAACACGACCATGACATTTTGTCAATATCAATACCAATAAAGTATCCAGAATTCCCATCCCATCCTTGTCCATCCTTGTCCATCCTTGTCCATCCTACCCATTCCAACATGAAACACTCACTAAAAAAGTTGATCAAGTGCAATGGACGTAAACACGAAAGAATACGCCAGAACCAAAACCCCCAACAATGACAAGGAGAAGTAGTAGTATACAGTGGTGAGCCACCAGCGGACATCATCACCGTCAGCGACGGCGCCATCACCAGCGTGCATGCCGTCGGTGACGACAATTCTCTTCTCTTGGGTACCACCGAGTATTATGAGGTGTCCATCCTTTCCCACCCGATGATCCCAGAGAGGCTGCGTCAGCTGGGGCTGGTATGCGGCGATGGCGAGAGCCGCTCTGCGTCTGAAGTTTTCCGTCTGCATCTGTCGATCATTGGTTTCGTCGTCGTTGTCATGATGATCTTCGTCGCCATGTCCATTGAGAACATCTGCCTCCCCACGCACAACCATCCCCGTCACCCCCGCAACATCACGTAGGAACAATTCTGCATCATCACTATCCTCTCCCTCCCGGAGATCAGCCAGAAAATCACGCAACTGAACGGCGCTGACCTCCTCATTTTTTCTTCCCACCGCCGAGGCCGAGACTTTCAGCAATGCTCCCGAGGCCGAGCCCCCCGAGCAGCTTGTCGACACCCAGACCGCCGAGGATGCCATTGACGAGACCACCGAGTCCCAGCCCATTGAGCAATTTGCCCACGAGACCCAGGACACCGGACAACAACAGACCGACCGCGGCGATAATCTGAAAGAGCGGCTCGGTGAGCAGGCCCCAGAGGGGGTTGAGCTTCTTCTTGGCATGCGGCATGTCGGATATACGTTTCTTCGCGTTGTCGATCGTCTTGACGACCGTGGTCGTCAGCTCCTTGAGGCCTTCGGCCACGCGGTGCTCTTCGGGCGAGGCTTCGCCGGACGCCGCGCGAGCTTTCGCTTGTGCCGCGATGTGGCCGTCAGGATCCAAACCGCGGATCGCGCCGTTGCATTCGCCTAGCACGCGGCCGCCTTCCTCGATCAGCGGCTTCACGTTCTGCACAAGCTGTTCTTCGTCCAGCTCCTCCTTGGGTGTGCGGTCGGCCTTCTCGATGTGCTGTAGAAGAAAGGTTCACGTCAGCATGAGCAATCTCGGGTAGGGGAAGGACACGAATGGGTATGAGTAGCTTACATCAGTTATCTGCTTGCAGATTGGCTCCATCTTCTCGATTGTCTGGTTGATGATGTTGCCGATCTTCTTGGCGACTTCTCGCTCCTCTTCCTTCTTCCGCTCTTCATCGGTGGGCTCTGCGACTTCTTCTTCTTCTTCTTCGGGGATATTCTCGAGCAGGGTGCATTCGCCGATCTTGTTGCCATCTTGATCGACCACATAGCCGTTGTCGTTGATCTCCTTGCCGATACAAGCCAGAAGGTTGCCATCGGTGAGTCTGCCGATGACATCGCCGTTCTTGTCGCGGACTTCTCCTTCCTTGTTGATGCGTAGGCCAGCCATGGGAGAGACCTCACGTTCTTTCTCCTCTGGCTCCCATCGCTCGGCTTTGCCGATGACGTTTCCGTTCTTGTCGACGATATCGCCGTCGTCATCAACTTTGCGGCCGACGAGTTTCTTCACCTCGCCTTCGACGATGCGGCCCACAACTTGATCGTTGGCATCTGTCACCAAGCCGTCCTTGGTGACGGTGGTTGACTCGAAGTTGGAGAAAGGCCCTTCAGCACGACCGTCATCACCACCCTCGATGAGGCGAGCCTTGCCAATGACCTTGCCATCGGCGCTCCAGATGTCTCCTTTGCCATCAACCTTCTTTCCGACAAGATGCTTGAGCTCGCCTTCGGCGACTTCGCCAAAGATGGTACCGTGCTCGTCAACAATCTTGCCCTGTTTGTTGACGGTCTTGCCGGCAAGGCTGGAGAGGTCGGCCTCGGCAACTTCCTCCTCAGGAACCTCATAAGGCTCGGCGTGACCCTTGACGTTGCCATATTTATCAATGATATCACCGTCTTCATCAACATGGCGGCCGATGAGTTTCTTCCAGTCTCCCTCCACCACCTTGCCGACTACATTGCCGTCATGATCTTCGACAAGGCCTTCCTTGACAACGACAACACCTTCGAGGCCAGCGAATGGGCCCTCAGCCTTAGCCTCGCGCTCATTAGCAGGGATGAGTTCGACACGACCAACAACTTCGCCACGGTCATTCCAAACCTGACCGTTGCCGTCAACCGGGCGACCAGCAAGCTCTTTGGCGTTGCCTTCAACAAGACGACCAATAGGCACGCCATCGGGTCCGATGACATTGCCTTGTTTGTTGACCTTCAGGCCTTTCAGCTCCGAGAGATCAACTTCCTCTGGCTCAGCCTCCGGCTCGGCGTCAGGTTCTTCGTATCTCTCAGCATGTCCGACGACATTGCCTTTCTTGTCGATGATGTCACCATCTTCGTCAACAGAGCGCCCGACGAGTTTTTTAGCGTCACCGTCTACAATCTTGCCAACGCGGTTGCCATTCTCATCCTCAACCCATCCGTCCGCAACGACCGTGAGACCTTCTAGGCCGGCAAATGGAGATTCATCCTCCCTATCCTCCTGAGGGAGAGTCTTGGCTTTGCCGATGACATGACCTTTGTTGTCCCAGAATTGACCTTGGTCATCGGCAGGGATGCCTGCTTTCCAGATCTTCTTGGCATCACCTTCGACTAGCTCGCCCACAATGTTGCCATTGGAGTCGATAATCTTGCCAGACTTGTTGACCTTGAGACCTTCGAGGCTGCTGAGAGGTGGTAGACCATCGTCTCCATCTTCTTCAGCTCCCTCGTCAGCTTCCTCGCCTTGCTGCTGTTCGATCAATTCGACCTTGCCAATGACATTGCCGTCCTTGTCCAAGACTTCACCCTTGTCGTTGAGCTTCTTGCCAGCGACGGCAGAGAGGTCGCCGTCAACAAGGCGGCCGACCTCCTCTCCTTCCTCGTTCAGGACAAGACCCTTCTTATTCACCTTCAGGCCTTCAAGGATTGAAGTCTCAGGGTCGTCAGGGGTAGCTTCTTCAACTTCAACGAGACCCTCCTCCACAACCTCGGGCAAGAATTCAACTTTTCCAATGACATTGCCGTCTTTGTCGAGGATTTCTCCCTTCTCGTTGATTTTCTTACCACGCACGGCTTCAAGGTCATATCCATCAGAGAGGCGAGCAATAGGATCACCGTCTTCGTTGACGACCTGGCCCTTTTTGTTGACCTTGAGGCCGTCGAGCTGCTCAAAGAGAGGTTTGGCCTCTTCGGCCGCGTCCTTTGCTTCTTCGGCGGCACCTTCGGCAGTTTCAGCGGCATCCTCCGCGACATCAGCTGCGTCACCAGCCTTATCGGCGTCCTCAGCGGCTTGCTTTTCAGCGTCTTCGACCGCTTCCTGGGCGTCTTCAAGTTGTTGAACCAATTCGGGATTGAGCTCCTTCATTGCCTCCTCGGCAGCTTCACCCTCGACGACCTCGACGCGGCCGATGACGTTGCCGTCTTTGTCAAGGATCTCTCCATTTTCGTTCGGAATCTTGCCAGTACATTTCTTTGGGTCGCCATCGACGAGCTTGGCAAGCACTTCACCTTCGTCGTCGATAATATTGCCCTTCTTGTTCAGCTTCCGCCCCTCAACAATTGTAAGATTGGGCTTCAGCTGATCTTGAATCTCGTCAACCTTGTCCGTGGCTTGTTGGACGGCCTCAGGTACACCTTCTTCAGCCGCTTCTCCAGCTGCACCGGCTGCCTCAGGTACGACCTCAGCGCGGCCAATGACATCACCGTCTTCGTCAAGAACCTCACCTTCGGCGTTGAGAGTTCTACCGACGAGGTCGGCAGGGTCACCTTCAGTGATCTTTCCGAGAGTGTTGCCAGAAGCGTCCTTGATGGCACCATCTTCCTGAACTTCTAGGCCCTCAAGAGCATTGAGACCAGGGAGCTCTCCTGCAGCGTCCTCGGCCTGTTGCTTGACTTCTTGTGGTAGTGTCTCGGCGCGGCCGACGACATCGCCATCCTCGTCGAGGATCTCGCCCTCTCCATTGAGAGTCATGCCCACTAGGTCTTGAGGGTCGCCTTCAGTGATCTTGCCCAAGACATTGCCATCTTTGTCCAAGATATCACCGTTCTCTTGAACCTCAAGACCTTCTAGCACATCGAGGTCAGGGAGGTAAGTCTCGACTGCATCCTCAGCGGTCTCTTTGACATCTTCGGCTGCGCCCTCTGCCTCCTCGGCAGTGCCATCGGCTTCGCCCTTGGCTTCGTCACCGGCCTCTTGTACTTTGTCAGAGATAATGTTTGCGCGGCCAACGACGTCACCATCCTCATCGAGGATCTCGCCGTCGTCACCGATTTCATAGCCTTCTAGGTCGGCTGGGTCGCCTTCCTCGAGCTTGCCGATGACCTCGCCCTCCTTGTCGAGGATATCGCCGTTTTCGCTGACTTTGAGTCCCTTCAAAGAGGACAGGTCAGGCAGTTGATCTGTGGCGCCTTTAGCGGTGTCCTTCACACCGTTGACTGTCTCTTCGGCGGTATCCTTGTCGTCCTGGGCGGTGTCTTCGCTGGTCTCCTTGGCACCCTCGGCGGTGTCTTCCGCGGCTTCTTTGACGCCATTGGTGGTCTTTTGAGCGGTGTCCTTGACACCTTCTGTTGCTTCCTCCGCATCAGGTACATCATCCGTGTCTTTGGGGACATCTTCAGCTGCGCCCTCTGCGGTGTCCTTCGCACCCTCAGCAGTATCTTCTGCGGTGTCCTGGACGTCTTCGGCCGTGTCTTTGGCACCCTTTTGTGCGTCCTGGGCCGTGTCTTCGGCGGCGCCTGAGACGTCGCCTTTGGAGGCTTTGCCAGCAGCGCCGGTTGCAGTGTCTTTCGCACCGCCAGCCCGGCCTGCAAGCTTCTTTGCGCCACCAGTGACGCCACCAGCTGTTGATTTGAGACCACCGAGAGCGCCGGAGCCCTTACCCTCAGCCTCGTCTTCAGCCTCCTCAGCTGCATCTTCGGCCTCGCCAGCCGGTTCCTCAGTCTCGGTATTTTCCTCGGTGCCCTCGTCTTTGGCTGCGGGCTTAGCAGGAGTCTCGTCTTCGTCCTCGTCACTGTCGGGAACCGGCTCAGGGTTGGCTTCAGACAATTCACTGGTGTCGGCTACAGAAGTACTCTCGGCTCCGGTGTCGTGGCCTGGTTGGCTGACCTTGCCACCAGCTTCTTCGGTATCCTTGAGGTCGATCTTTTGACCGGCATCAGACTCAACATCGCTAGGCTTCTCCGAGACATCTTTGGAGTCAGCTGCTTCCTTTGGTCGGGAGGGCAAGCTGGGTGAGTCTGTGGATTTTTTAGGAGTTGATTTGGAGGCCCCTAGTTTGGGAGGCTTTCTTCCTGGAGTGCCTGAGGCCGCTTTGCCAGTAAGCTTAGAAGTATTTGTTGAGGCAGGGCTCTTGCCAGTTTTTGTGGGGGTCTCTGGAGCATTCCCCGATCTGCCTGCTGCTGGTGAGGGCATGGTGCTCTTGTAGCTCCTGACTGTTTCAGGAGATGATCTTTTAGAAGAAGATGGGTCGCGGCTCGGAGTTGGGGGGAATGAGTAATATGCGTACGAAGCCGATGAAAGTCGGTTGCTCATCAGCTAGTTATAGTACAAGTGTGGTATTTCGCCGGGCATTCAGCTTTCCACGTAGGTTAAGTGGTTAATTATACAATGAGGGTATTATTTTGATAGAGAGGATGGACATGAAGGAGCCGACAAAATGAAGACGCGTCAGACGAGGAGGAGTATCATATCAAGTAGCTTTGGAAATTCTCACGACGTCACCGTTTAGCATTTCCCAGCTTGCTCCATGGGAGCTCTTCATTGCGCATGGGAGAGCTGGTGCCTCACTGTGGCTGGAACTTCAACTTGATTCCATCACAGAGGATTGCGTCACAGGGGACGATTAGAGCTTCCTTGGGAAAGAATGTGGCACAAACGCCCAGGTCTGAAACTCATGTCCGAGAGGGATCCGTCAAATGAGATGCTAGGTGCAAATGAGGATCCCAGGATGGTGCGATTAATGCTGGCCAATGTGAATCGAAGATCGAATGGGACATGGACAATCGTGCCCGTGGATGGGAAACAGGAAAAAGGCAGACAAGGACAAGCATGCCAAACAAAGTGACAAGGGGTTCCCCAGAAACCCAGGATTATTCCGATGAGCGCAAAAAGTTATACGGGTACACCGTACGAGTACCATGAACGAAGTATCTGTTGCTCACACAGCATCGGTCAAGCGTGGGCCTTGGAGGCCCCAAGGTCAAATGGTGATATGCACGTACCACAGAGGATACTTGCCACCCGGTTCATCTTAATCGGAGCTCTATTCTGTTGGAGTGGTTGACACTGTTGGACTGGCCCTCAACCAACTTGTGCACGAGTCCTCGGTACCTCGTACGTACGGTCAAGCCTGAAAGGCACTGACGAAATATCCAGAGTCTAGGCAGGGATCCGGGGCTGTCTACAAGCCACGATGCGCACCAAGTGGAGTAGCGAGACATCTTCCGGGAGTTCGATGGTGTGGCTTGACTCGACACACAGGCGTTTTTTAGGCTTGATGTTCCACCGCTATCCGTACGGAGTACATGGGCAGAACCTGTTTTCGACGCATCCCCGCCGACTCGATAATATATGATGCTATTGTTTCTGCTCTGGCGGATTCCCCTGTTGGCTTCCCGCTGGAGGCTGGCCTGCTCGAATGTTAGGTCCTATTCCCATATGGAGGTCCATGGGATCTGGTCCCTGAACTTGTTTAAAAGTAGCATGTGCATGAGTATATGTTCAGTCCCTGAACACGACCAATGTCAGCACTCCTTCCAACAACACCCCCCCAAAAGGCTGTAATTTAGCTAGGAGTCCTGGGGAAATTCTGTTAGTCAACGATGCAACAATAAGGGATCCGCGGGTTGGCTTTCCCCTTGAAGGAGGTCGCCGTGAATCGATGTAGTGATTCCAGCCACAGTTCCACCACCGTTTGCCAACTTTTCGGTAAAGCGAGGCGAAAGCTGGGTGTGGTGTGGTGCGTCGCTCCACAAATAAGCGATTGTTACGGGGCGAGAGGGCGTCGTACCCGTGGGCCGGACGCTGGAATGATAGCGAATGGTGGAAAGCAAGGATGGGATTCCCACCTTTGGGATCGGCGGTACACGTTTTTCGCCCACACAAAACCCATCCAGCGCGTGCCATTGCCATTGCGTGTGTGTAAACGGTCGCCCCTCGGGGGTCTCACCAACGCCACACGAAAGCTAAAGCTGCCAGGCGTTCGGTTAGAGTCGCCGGGGGGGTTGCCAACTTTTGTGGCTGCCCTGCATACGGCTTGACATCACTTCTGAGGACAGTGCTGGGTACATCCTTGTGTTACGAGAAAGCTGACAATCCTCTGGCTCTTGTGTCATAAGGTCCTGTCGATATGGAAGCAGATTCAAGTCCATGGTGATGACTTCGTAGTCTTTGTGTTGGAAAGAGAAGTCGCGGCATCAAAACGTGTCTCGAAGAGGCCACGCAATCCCAGTGCTACAGGCAGGTACCCGGTGTAGAGTAGATTTTTCTTTCCCGCCCGTGTCCGCCGACGGCCACCAATGCTTGTGTATGAGGATGGATGTCTACAGAGGACAACGCCCGCCTAGATATCGATGGCACAGATCGTAGCAAGGATGGCAGTGGAGGATGACTTGTCTTGGGGTGCACACCATGCATTTCGACCTGTGAGCCGTAGGGCACACTCATCCTCAGCCTCAGGTGCAGAGCTTCCCCTTCAGCCCATCAGCTTTCCACTTGGGTCACGGCCGAGTGCTCAAGGAGCAAGGAGAGTCAGGCTGACCACGACAAGGCATAAATCACCGCTCTCCTTCTGGCGGGGGAATGCCATCCTCCGGGCCTGTGCCTGGGACTCTTCTCTCCCCGCCATGGCCACCTGTGAGGCCTTTATTATTACTACTGCTGAGCTCTGCACTGGCGCTGGTCTTCCCACTCTTGATCCTAGAAAGTAAACGGGAGAATTTCTCGCTCCCGCTTCGGCGTCGAGACGCCTCCTGCTTCCGGCACGCCTCTCGCTCCGCGGCTTCGCGTTGTTGTGCCAACCAAAGACGCTCCTTCTCTGCACTTTGAGATTTGTCACGATTGGCCTCCTCCTCCTCCTTGATCTTCTCGGGATGGAGAACTTTGTCCTTCTCTCGAATGACCATCTTTTCGGCCGTCTTGACTCGCCTTCGTGTGTGAACGTAGCTTTCCAGGCCCACCAAGACAGCATAACTCCTTGAGATCGAGACGTGCGACATATCGGCACCTGCCTCCCGCAGACTGTGGACAAATGTGCGGAAATTGGCAGCTGGTGGCCGATACTAGGTAGTGTTAGCGCCAACACCTCATGATTAATGTACCGTCCAAGTCGAAGTCATATGTGCTGGGGTGACAACGCCCAACATCCTACAGCAGCAGGATCAATGGTAGTGGGGACTTACGTGTCCGCTCAACGGAGACAATCTTCGCAACTGACCGTCTTTGATCTTGATAATGCCCGCGGCCAGAATCCGAGCCCCATGCAAGAAGGACGAATGCTGGAATGCCCCGGACTGCTTGTACCCAATGAACAAGCGGCATGAAGTGTCTGCCACGAAGATCCATTTCTGGCCTTTCTTCAGAGACGTCCTGATCATATGGTTGAAAAGGACCGCGGGGCTGACGTGCTTGATCTTTGAAATCCCTCTTGCTCGGTGGAACTGGTTGGCCCGTCAGGTCAGGACCAAGTGTACACTGTCACAGGGCCATGGGGCACTGAACTTACATCTTCATTGACATACCGTTCGCCCTCATCTCCCGCGGTGTTGTCCATCTTTTCATCTTCATCTTCTGATGACGAGCTGGAGCTGGAGTCGGACTCCTCTGCCCCAGGCGGCGGGACATTGTATTTGAAGCTCGGAGTTGGGTCGGTGGCTGGTACGATGCCTTGCACACTATCTTTGTATAGCGCGTCTTTCGTCCACACTCGCTCCCCATTCTTGGCCCAGACGAACAGCCCTTCCTCGTTGATCCTGACGAGATACTGTTGTCTTTCCTCTCGAGACAGATACCGCACCTGCTCCTCGTCCAGTCGTGTTCTGCTACACTCGGGCACCTCGGCGTCTTTTCCGTCTCCTTGATCCAACCAGTAGAAGAAGTTCTGATCTGTATCCTGCGACTTCCAATAGTTATGATATTTGCGCAAGTTACTCCCGTATCGATGTTTCTGGTCGACCATCTCAAGAAAGTATTGAAGATCCATCATCTTGGCCGTCCTTTTCCTCCGCGCGGTGGCCTCTGCTCGTTTCTTCGCCGCCTGTTCCCGTTCCTCTCTCGAGGGCGAGGTCTTCACTTGAGCCAAGTCACTCGGTCCATCGTCTTCCGTTGAGGAGCAATCCGACATGGAGGGTGAGGCGTCATCTGCGCCCGCCCTTCGTGCGATCTCTGTAACCATTTTCCACCTCTCTCGTGCCGGAGATGTGGGATGGTTTTGCTCAGCAGAGGGTGGAGGGCTTTGTGGAGGGCGTGGGGTGGTCACGTCCTGGAACTTTGCATCTTTGACAGCCTTCCACGCCTGTGAGCACTATTGCATTTGGTCGTAGGCAGTAGACCAACCTCGTACCACCTGGTTGACGCATCCAGACCAAAGCCTTTCAACTGCCGCCGAGTGCGGTGGCCTCGAAAAGTCTTCTGTATCAAAATGGCCGCTTGCTTGGACTCTGCGTTGGTCGACCCACGCGCCCTTTCGCCCTCGGCACGGCCCCCTTGGCTATTGGGGGCGCTGGCGTCCATCATGAGTTAGTTGTATCATAAGAAGTCAAAGCATACCTGAGTAGGTACTGAGAGTGATTCCGGCGCAGATGGGTAAGTAGAAACAATCTTGTGTACATGGGTTGCAGGACGCGCGGCGGGGGTAGGCCACCTTTGCTAGAGTTGCAAGGCTAGGAAAATCCTTAAGGGAGGGTAACTAATTAATTCCTCGTGGGGTGCCCGCACGATCATTTCCCACCCACCCCCCCGGTGATGTCATTTACGTCGCGATCCCGTCTTGACGAGGCTGAGCTTGATCAAGAATAAGTCCGTCAATGAGAACGGGTGACAGCCCCAGCACCTCCAGCTGTATAATAAATAATATGTCACCTGCAGGGTCGGGTACAACGACATGGCTGTTACGATCCACGTTCATTATTATAGCCTCAAACTGTGCAATGCCCTCCGAATAGAGCAGCCATCTCCACATGATCTCCAAGAGAACATTGCTAGGAGTGCCAAACGTGCTTACAAGGCACTTACTCGTAAGCGGTTGCATTTATATGGCCCAACACTATCCCGCGTAGTAGTATCCACTCGCTGATCATACAGTATAACATGCTACACGTCTGAAAGCTATTTTACAATCCTCTTCCCTACCAGAGCATCACAGTGGGAAAGAGAGCAGTGGAGAATCGCGAAATCTAGGTGGTACCAGCCACAGCACGGGTGGAAGCATTCCAGGCGACTCGACTGAGTCCTCAAATTGGTGGTACATCGAACAGACAACCCGATCCCATGTTGAGCTCGCGCCTCTGCTCTCATCTGTTGCTCAGGTCTAGAAAATCCGACGGCGATTGGCCCTGTTTCTTTGCAAGAGCTGCAAATCCGCCACCCCAGCCTTTCACTGGGGGGAGATTTGCATATCGTCTTCTTGAACCTCTCTCAGCGTTCTCAGTCCGTTGGCTTGACGCGGGCATAGTCCTTCTCTCTCCTTGTGGCGGCAGCCGCCTGGACGGGTACCGGGTTAATTCAGGGACTTGAAAGCCAGCCGGAAGCTTTGAAGCGGGCGTTTCATTTTCATCTCCGCGGTCCAAGCCTCCCACCTGCGCTTGCTCCTCGGACATCTTTACGCTCTCAGATGCTTCACCCACAGCAACACGACGACGGAGATGCCCAGCGCCCACCCTGGATTCGCGCACAAATCGTTCCCTGGTGTTTGAGGACGGGCGTTCGAGGCTGGTGGGGAACTTTTCTCGGATGTGTAATTCCTTCTGCAACTCATGCCTCTGCCGGGTTGATAGGCCCCTGAGGAGCTTCCTCCGGTCGGCCTTCTTCTCTTCTTTCTCGATCTCTCCCTTGATTTCCCTCTGGGCACTTGACTCTATCAAATCGTTGGAACTGCTCTGCAAACTGGCCTTCTCGAAAAGCCTTCTTTGTCGTTCTTGATCTTCATTTTCAACTGGCTCGAGTGGCCATGCTTTGATCTTTTCGAACTTTGAGCTCATACCTGGAACGTTATTAATCATCCCCACAAAGGATGATAACTTTCTCTTCTCCATGTTGATGTCAATCAAGATCTCTTTGCTCAAAGGTCCAAGACCCTCATCTTCAAGCTGTTCGTTGATCATCAGCAGTTTGTCGTAGGCGCTGATCAAAGTTGTGAGATAGTCAAGAAGTTCCTGTATAGGTTCTGGAACTGCTGCCTGCTCTCTGAGTATACGCTGAACCGTATGGGTGCGTGATCCATCCTTGAGTTGACGCTCGTATTCAGACACATGGAGTTTGATCAATTGTTTAATGTTAATTGTCGTGGGTGAGAGCCTCCTCAACGCTCGCAAGACGTTGTTTTTGGAAGCATCCCTTTCGAAGTTTAGATCACCAGTTGTGACATTTTTGGTCAACTTTTCACCGTTGAGACCAGGCGTAGTAGCCATTGCTAACTGCACATAAGATGAGAGGACTTTGGGCGATACTCGGCTGGCCATTCGGCGACTAGGGAATCGATTTTCCTCCTCTGATGTTTCGTCGTATTGTTCTGCTTTCTCTTGCATCAGGTCCAGAATTCGAGAGGCTGTGCCAAACACGTTTGGGTTATTCTTGTCCCGCACACATGTACTCATGGCTATGACGAAAAAGCCCTTGGACCATGAACCTTGCCAGAGATCAGAAGGTAGAGCCTGGAGAACATCGAGGGCTTCCCGACTGGCTCGGGCAACGCGTAGGAACCTGAGATAGGCGCTGATGTTGTCCTTGTCTGTTGTCAGATGGTAAGGACTTGTTGGTGAAGTGCAAATTCGCCACATTTTCTTTCCTGCCTCCACTTCTTTCAGGGACATAGCAGTTTCGATGCACATCGAGAGTGTGTTGTTGTCTGGTTTGGCAAAGACAGAGTTCGCCGATATTCGCGGCGCCTTGTTAATTGAGTCTCGACTATGTGGGTCGCTGCCACCACTGATGGCTACATTCTTGGGGGGGTCCTCATGTGGAGTTTGGGCTTGTGCGGGCGTAGAAGGGTTAGTTTCGGAGTCGGATGCTGCGTCCGTTGTCAGCGCACTCTGTGGCGTCTTCAGCATTTCGTCCACCACGTTGATGTTCATGGTTTGCTCGACCAAAGCTAAAATCTCTTGATGATGTTTCCGCTGAGATGAAAGCATAAGCAAGCGACCCATAGCACACACCAACTTCGCGTCCATTTCCAAATCGCCGCTGCGCCACCGCGCTGTGACTTCAGTCCACATGCGGCGGCCATCCTCGACGGCCTGTTCGAGTATTGCCTCTGCATTAAGACTGCGATTTTCGGGAGCGCGTTTCTGCTCCTGAGAGCCCAGCTTTAAAACCCAATCGCGAGCATCGGCGCTTAGTGCTGTCAGCAGGGTAGTATAAGTCTTGTGATCTGCAGTATCCGGGCCACGATCCGGAAGACGTCCTGTAATGCTCCAAATAGAATCCATATCACCCCCTCTTGCACAGACGGCCAGAATTGCATTAGTGTGAATGATTGACGGCTTCACTGGAGAGTTGGAGGCGAAAATAGAATTATAAACCGCCAAAGCCTGCTTAACGACATTGGGGTTCTTGAAGTTTTCCTGGTAGCCTCGCAGCAATATTGTAATAGTATGAGAGCTCGGCTTATGACCTCGTTTTTTCATCTGCGGCGGTGTTAACCTAGGTAACGTCACCCGGGACACCTCATAGACTTCTCACCTCGTTGAAGACTTTCCAAGCCTGTGCAGTATCTCTCCTCATCATTAGCCAGTCGATCACATGATTCCAGCTCACGACACTGTCGACTGGGGGAGCGCCATTGATCGATCTCTCACTGGCGCGGCACAGTTCTAATGCGTTTAACAGTTGATCCTTTTGCAACAACCTCAAGACCTCATTTGCTAGCTTGAGCCTATCGGTCAAAATCGACTCTTCATACTGTGAAGGCACTCTCGGGCCCTTCGATGGGTTTAGAAATCGTGCCCGGTTATGGGCTCTCGCAGCCTCATCCTTTTCTTTCGCCAAGGTCCGCTTGAGACCCTTTGGCCGAAGATTTGGGGCCGTGGATTTTGGCGTCTTGCGAAGGCTCTTTAAAAGTTCTCGACGATGATGGCCGGTTCTGATCGAGATCAGGGTGGAATGGTTGCGGAATCCGATTGGGCCTGGGAAACGAATCTGAGAAGTCCTGAGACGGAGAGTGTGTGGAGATTCGACGTATTGGGGGAGATAATTGAGCGCCCGTCGGATGCAAGCAGTGCAATGGGGCATTGGAATGGGAAGGGTTTTAAGTCAGGCCTCGAGACTTCATCGAGGACAATGCAATTTCGTCGCAAGTTGACATTAAGCATTCAATAGGAATTAATTTTCTAGAAGCATGTAGAGAATAGGCAGGTTTCCCGAGCGCTGCAGCGTCAGTGGCAATCACCGACTCACAGTGCTGGCTCACGTGAGTCGTAGTCACCTGATCGTCTACTGAGCGACCTCCCGGAGGCATGTTTTTCCTCCCTATTGGCTGATGACCCCACACTTCTTGCTTGCTGCACGTGGTCAGGAGGCACGGTGAGTGCATGAGCTGACAGGATAGATCTCAGAGTCCCGGCTGCTGCTAAGTTAAATATTAGCACCAGCCTGGCAGTAAACCATAACGACAGGGTAGATGGGTCCGTTGGGTTTTCAAATGCATGATGTGGGGGACAGCATGATATTTGTCGATCAAAGGCTTTGATACGCGTGCAGCTCACCAGTCCTGATATCCTTGAGGGGGATTGCTCCTATTTGATCAGGAGTAGTTGTAGTTCACGCTAATATGGTTGTATGGTGATCCGTGCTATCGAGATTTAAATGCGCAGTGGCTTCGGATGCATGCGATGCAAAAGGTCCTGGTCGATGCGAGTGGTGAAGGATGAGCTTCCTCTCGGGTCTCATTCGTCATCACCCATGAGTAGTTAACTTATGGATTGCGCTCATCTTGTTGGACAATTGGTTCACTAGACAGTGCCTGGAGTCGATCCCTGGCTTCCTGACTCACCATCGATGAAATAGTGCAAGCCTCCATGAGGCTCCATTAGTGACGTAGTTTCACCTTGCTTAACACTCATCAACAACCGGTGGTATCTGTGAAACCATGTGCTTGTCTGTAATTCCGTCGAAAGAAACTGTTGTCAGGAGGATACTCCAATGGGCAAGGATCCCGGTCAGGTATCCTTACCGTGATGCGCAACTGTACATTTTCGACATCGACGAAGCATAGTCAAGCTCCACACCATCAGCAAGGTGCGGTCTGGTAAAGGCGCCACCGGGCATACTACTAGGATCGCTGGATGGAATATGCAAGAGGCTGCCCAGGTCTCCGCATTTCGTATAATAGGCTTTGGGTCCATTAGTCCCGAAGTCTGACCACTGACCCGATCCTGCTCTTATCTTGATCGCCACACACGCTTGTCAGCCGCGTTTCCCGAAATCATGCCTTTAGACTCCCTGATTCGTGGGGCATGACCTTGCTGTTTGCCTCCATGTGGCATCGCTAGTCGGAATGCTTGAGGAGGTGGTCTCCCTGAAAGACGATGTAACTACCATCATGCCGGTGTGATCAAGGTATTCTGCGAATGTGGACTACGGTCCAGCCCAAGGGTAGCAAAATGGTACGAATCAGGAATATATCCCGAGCAAATCGTGATCCACATGGTAGGAGTCTGTGAGATCTCTGGAGGCGGTAGGCAAAAGCCAACAAAACCGACAAGTAAACTCAGCTTCAGGAGCAATGTGCACAGACGACGGTGGCAAGTCTTTCAGACAGCCACAGCCTTGGAGGATTTGGCAGATAGTGCTGGTCATTTGCCTTGGCCAGCACACCAGGTCCCTGAGGGAGGCGTCGGGTAGTGCAAGTTCAAGAAGCCCGCCAGTGGTAGTGTACCATGCTGTAGGGTCGATCGTGGAGGCAAAAGGAGGGGACGTGGACTGAATCTATTCTGAGGCTTATCAAGTTAGAAATTACGAGTGGATGGTGAACACCCCTCGGACCTCGCGGTGGGTGGTGAGTGGTGAGTTGTGCGACTAACCCACGAACCACTAAACCATCGAATTAGCCACGTAACGGGTGCTTTACCCAGAAGGTGTATTGTTCATGGGACTGGCTGGTGTCATGAGTCTATGACGGTCGAGTCTGACAGGAAGCTTCAGACCTGACGTGTTTCCCTCTTACTAGTCCTCCGTAGTGAGGTTAGCAGGTCGTAGCCTGTAGGCGTAGTCCGTGCGGTTTCTGCGGGCCCTAAAACAAGGCCCCAAGGGCTCAATGGCTTGCCCCTAGCTAGCTACTTAGGCTTAGCTAGACAACGGTCAGTCTAGAGGCTGTCTAGGGACCTCGGGCGTCTTGGCTAGGCTAATGGGTGCCTACCCACAGTGGTGCCAGCTAAGCACTGGCTAGAAGCCCCTCCCTGCTGCCTCCGTCGAATTTCTTGCATTGACAGCGCCGCCTAACACCACAAAGTCGACCATGCGGCACGCCATCTTAGTTCCCATAGTCTTGTGTAACACTGCTCAAGGGGAACCATTTCGAGAGCACAAACACCATGCTTGTTTTCGGACATTTCACGACCCAATGGTTCGCAGACCGTCTAGTGTCGCCCTTCCTACACCCCGGTTCAACCTTAACTGCACCACATCACACCTCACATCAAACTTCTGAACTCCGTGCCTCGTAGACCGCGTTGTGACTAGTTAAGCAGACCGTTTCCTGAGGCCGAGCCGCCTCGTCCAGGCTAGTACCGAGTACACAGAACCCGATCTTGCACCATCGCGAACAGACACGTGCGGTCCGATCCAGCTAAACATGACATACATCCCCCAGAACTCGTTTGTGGAGAAGCTCGAGGCTTGTTTACACAATGGTATAGAAGTATACCGCGTATATTGGGCGACTACCCATGATTCAGAGACAACCACGCCACCACCCACAGCAGAGATTGACGCTACGAACATGGCCATTGACACAGCGGAAGCATCGAATGTCGATAAGACACTGGTCTGCCATTTGACTTTTGATCACTTTCTAACAAGCAACCATTGGAATCATCTCTCAATCTAATGTAAAGAGCAAACCATCTTGAGCCGAAAAAGCTCAAGACCTATCCTGCCTGTTCTGGAGAAGGTGAATGTACAAAAAGCGCCACGAATTCTCGTCAAGTCACAAAGGGAATACGCTCTGGTAGCGTTGCGTTGGGTTAACTAACCGTAGCTAGACGCGAAAAGGGCCTTTCCGCCAACGACTTGAGAGCCTTCAACAAGCGACTTGGGTTTGTGTGCAGGAAAAAGGACATACTCCACCTCTAAAATCTGTGTTCTCCCCTCAAGAAGTGCATGCTGTCGGTCGAATGATCGTAAATATTCATCACCTTCTGTTGCTCGCCCGGCACAGGCAACCTCAGGTGTCAACGGAAATGAAATCCTCATCAATGTGCGCAGATCCCCCCCGCCAGCCGATCGGATGAACCAAAACTCCCGCCAGCATGCTGTGAGCCTGATTCTTTTCGACTTAATCCGCTCGTTCTTCCATTATCTCCTCCACTCCCACCTGGGTATCATTTAAACAAAACGTGCCCCTCGAGTCAGGTCATCGTCGCCAAATGTGAAAAGTCAATCGTGCAAGAACCGACGGCTTGATAACGAATTTCTTGGCTGACTTGACTTAGTACTGGCGCTGCTGGTAAACTTGGCCTTGTTGTCCGTATGGCGAGTTGGGGTAGTTTGCATAGTTGCCCATCTGGCCGTTGCCTTGTGGGTAGACCATACCTCCTTGGGGCTGTCCATACTGTCCTTGGTTATGTCCATCAGCAGCTTGATAGCCAATAGGTGGCAGTGATGGCCTTCCGCCGTTTTGCTGATACGCCTGGCCTGGAACTTGGTGACCTTCTGGAGCCTGCCCATCCACTTGGTTGGCTTGAGCTGCAGCCCGTTGCCGTTCTTCCTCAGCCTTGCGGGCGTTCTCTTCCTCCTTCTTACGGGCCTTCCACTCTTTGCGGATTTCCTTGAATTCTGCGAAACGCGTCAGGGTCCGTTTGTTTGCCAAGGCAGTGGGCAGGAACAGGAGAAGCGCGTCGTTAGACCGCGCAATTCCTCATATCACGTCGCCGTTCGCCGGAGACCGGAAATAACGTACCTTCAGGTGTTCTCTTGGTGCCATGAGATTGCATGGTGACATGCGCGTTCAGATGATTCAACGTGCCGTACGCCTTTTCGCACCCATTCCAACCACATTTGTACATTCTTTCAATTTCCTCATATCGCCGGCGAGGGCGTTTGTGCTGTTGAGCACCTGGGATCGGAACGAAGGAATAAACCTGCATATGATTTGAGGTTAGCGTCTCAATCACGTCAAAACTACGAATGTCGCTCTTGTTCCATACCTGTCCGGGTCGGGATGCAGCTGAGGTTTGAGGCGGGCCCTGGACACCTGGCCCCCCCGGGTGCGGGTATGGGCCAGGCATACCATGCTGCGGAGGGTAACCGCCCCATTGCTCGTGGGGGGGACGTTGTTGCATGTAGGGAGGATGCTGCGCTTGGTAGGCATGCTGCATATCTTGGCCTGGAGGGTATGGCGAGTAGGGAGGGTAGGTCGGGCTAGCTTGCGAGATGGAGGGATCTATAGGAACTTCCGAGTTAGACCTCTTATGGTGGGAATTTGCAGTAGGATCTCCATTTGGAGCTCCATCTGGTAGGGACATTGACGGACTTGTTGGTTGTGCCATGGTTACTACAGCACCCTGATGTGGCGCGTGAGAGTATTGGCTGTAGCGCAGATGATCGGGCGGGAACCCAGATGAACGCGCAGACGACGGGGTGATGCCGTAGTCCGACTGAGGAGTGTTGTTGCTCGAGATGTTAGCTGAACGCGGGTCCTGTGTGGTGTAGGTCGCGACAGACGATTGATCTAGTGACACGAATTTCTCAGAGCTTGCTCGCAGAAGACTTGAATGCTTCTAGGACTGGCTGATGATGATGATGTTGCTAACCTGACTGCGCGTATTCGGGTGCACCCCTGTCCATCAATAGGACTCTGCGTTGCTTTGGCAGGAGACGCGATTGAACAACTTCAACGCGGGTAAAAAAGAATGTTCGAGTGGCACTGCACTGGCGTAGTGATTGACCCGAGTGAAAGGTAATGACAGCAGTTGGTCGAAAGGCAAACGTCTGGACCGCAGCTCGGCGGGTAGGCGACGATGCGTCTTGAAGCAATGACTAGATCAAGAGCCGGCCTATTTCTTATTTTTGAAAGACTGCCAGGCGAGAGTTGGGAAGGTCACCGGTCGAGCTAACAATTTGGCGTGGTGGAGCTCGATCAGACGGAAAGGTGGGAACCGCAAAACTGGGCTTGCACGAGGACGGACACCCAGATCGACTTGCCTCCTGTTGAGCAGAAAAGGGACAGGCTGATCTAAGAGCAGGGGCGACAATCGTACCAGCCGACGGGGCGGAGATAGTCACAAAATGAAGTTTTAGCACAGGTAGTCTCCTTTGGCTTGACGAGCTAAGAATGCGCTCGGACTGCAACAAGTTGCACCGTTACTTTCTCGACAATGGCGCGAAACCCCCAGACTAATAAAGGGCAGCGGAGCAAGCTGCGAAGGCAAAATAGGTAAGCTCGAAAGCTAGCGAGGGGCGGTAAGTTGGGTGGTTCGGCCCCCCAGTCAATGCAGTATTGATTGAGCAGACGTTCCTGCCCGTGCGATTTGGGTTTCGTGTGCACGCGCAAGAGTATCTCCCTCCGATACAGGGGAGTCCGCGGTGGATGGTGGCAGGGAGTCCTACCTGGCAAAAGCTGTGCAAGCTACGCCAGATTCGACTAGGGGCTTGCCTCCAGCCGACAATCCTCGATCGAGGATGCAGGAGGGTTGATGCTAGCCAAGGATTAGAATCAGGTGGCAGCAAGACCAGGGCTTCTGTCCAAAGTTGTCTGCCAATAACAAAGTGTTTCAAGGCGCGTCCAATGTTCCTCGAGGTTGGAGTTTTCGTCTCGAGGATTGCTGGTGAGCTCCACCCTGGCTCCAGTGGACAGACCTTGTCCCAGCCTGACCCAGGACCACCCCCGGTAGATGGTGAGTCCAAGGAAGGCAAGTGAGGGTGGAAGTTTAATTGAGGAGCAAAGTTGGGAGTGGGTGATAGCGTTGATTCCTAACACTAGGTGCGATAGCGTGACTGCGGCCGCTAACAGGGGTTGTCCAAAGTGTTGTTACTCTGTGCGGGTGTGCACTAGGCTCAAGACGTCTAGTCCGGGACTGGTAAACGAGTGAATGTGTATGATTTATGTGCGATCTCCTACTCGAGGTTGATCACGCGTGACAAAGGACTTATTACGCACAGGTAGTGGCGAGAAGAGGTGGGCGGAGGTTGAGTTTGAGGTGAGGGAGGAGGTAGTATTGCCGCTGTCGCAGTGTGGACAAAAAGCTGCGCGTTCCGCTGGGGTCGACTGAAATGGATGACCGAGGGGCTGATTGATAGGTGGGCCGGGGGAGAAGCCAGCAGCGACAAGCGAGAAAGCAAGGTGGTCCTGGCTGTCCTGGCTGTCCTGGCTGTCCTGGCTGCTGATGGGCTGATGTGCAAAGAGATGCGAGGGCGTGTTGGATTTGTGCAGAAGTCAGAAGGGCACAATGGGGATTTGGGGTCGAAGGTGATTTGCCAGCTGTGGGCTGTGTGGGAGAGAAGAATGGAGAATTAGATGGCTGGGACGATGACCAGGGTGATGTGGGCCTTTGCGGCGGCTTGGGTCGATGCTAATGAGTGGATGGCTGGTGGACTCCTCGGAAAGGTTCGATTGATACAGGCAGTGAACGGGCATGAACAGGGTGATGTCGAGGTGGTTTACGCGTGAGGGCCAGTCAAGGTACCTGAATAAGAAAAGAAGCCTATACAGACAGTCAGACCTAAGGCAGAAACAATGGGCGACTGCTGTACCGTGGATTGCACGCGTTGCCGCAATAATGGGTAGCGAGAGTGAAGTCGCAGGCGGAAGATTTGATCTCCAGGCCTGACTGTCCTCCAGGTCTGCAGGTACCTTGGCTCCCGGGCATGCAACGGTGTGTCCTCCGTACCCAGGTACCTGCCACTTGTGCTGTAGGACTGCGGGACTCGGGTTGCAGAACGAAGTTGATTGACTGTGCGAGATTGTGTGATAGCCGATCAACCGAAGGACTGGTTGGGCGTAGAGACAAAGGGGAATAGCAGCCGCTTGTGGGGAGATTTCCTGCCTTCCAAGGTTGCCAGTTGGTGTGTATTGGTGCGCGGGCGGCAGTACATAGCTGTATGGAATGGCCTGCAGTGGCACTATGAGAGGGCAATAATTGGAGATTAAGCCCGTAATTGCGGTATCACAAAATACCGGTGGGGGAATCCGGGTACCGGAGAAACAGATGGACTACGGTCGAGCATTACTTCAACAAATCACACGATAATGCACGAGTCTCACTTCGAGCCGCAGCCACCACTAGTTAATAGTTGCGGAGTACGCGTGCTGGCTCACTACTGGCAACCGCACGCCTGATGTTCATCGCAGTTGCACAAAGCACGTTTTCCCCATCCGCTAGGCCAGGCTGGTCGTTGGCGCCTTGGCATGCACGTTCCTTGGGCCACGGCACGCTGGGAATTGCTTTTACCTCATGCGCCTCTTCCTTTTCGTCCCGCCCGCATACGAAGCACCCAACTCTCTCGCTGGCCACCAAGGCCTCGGGGTTGGCGAGTCCTCCTTCCTTGTTCATACAATGCTAATGGGGTCGGAGTCGTCGTTGTGCTCCGTACTCCGTCCTGTCAAGCGTCCCACCCCCATGCCCCATTGCATCATCTGCAATGTGACAACCTTTGACCCTTTCGGTCTTCCTTTCCCGTCACTCTAGCCAACAGGTGTCAAATATTAGTTTCTGCCCACCTTGGGTTGGATCCATTCTGCCGGAGCAAAACACGAGGATGTACCATTGTCCAGGCTGGCACGTTTGAATCAGTTGCAGCAAGCCTTTGCCATGCAGATGACAATGCCTCTCTAGATTTCGTACCTCGTATGTCCTCTGTACCTGCAAGGATCTGTCTGGGGCTGCATTCCTCACACCACGCCTCAGAACCCTCATCACCATCGTGGAGGCCATCGTTACGCTCATAGACCCTCCTGACTGGCGAGTCGTGACTCGATTGAGGTATGGCTCCCTAGAATTGTGAACAATTGGCACGGCCTTCGGAACATGCCTATTCGGCTCTCCAACCATCCATGTCTGCACCACACCCCAGTCTATTCATCGGCCTACAATTTTCTTGACCTTCGCTCGTCTTGGGAAGGCAAGGGCACACTTGCGGCCCAAACGCCAACCACATCTCGTCTGATGGGCCGGTTGATCGAGATCCTTACTCGTATTCTCACACGGAGACAATGTGCAATTGGGACCGTGGGGGGCAGGACACCCACGAAGTACTATCCCAATGTTAGGAAACCTAGCGCATTGCTCCATTCCGGAGCTCGTTCGTACAATTCAGGGGTCCCACGAGGACACGGCAATGGTCGAAACGATACTGGTCGAAGGCTCCACAGGTGTTGTTCGCATCAGCATTCACCAATCACAATAGATGACCCGGCTACTTCAACTTGGCTTAGTCTCTGATGCGTTTCTTTTGCCAGCAGAGTACGGAGTACGAGTACTATCGTTTCACCCCGGTTTCTTTGATTTGGCATATTGCCAGTTCATGTCAAAAATATGTCCTTCCAGCATGCAAGTCAGGTTGCGATATTCCGGAGACGCGTCTCTGGCGCTCCTCCATGCGACCTTTCTAATGAAAAGTAAAAGGCTGCAAGCGAGATACTTGCTATGTACATTCGAGTATCTCGTTGTCTTCCAAGGTCGGCGCAAGGCCCGGCACGATGTTTGACCCTGAATTTTCGGCTCTGTTGCTACTTCTGCTTGGAAAAGCCGGATCCAGATCGAGAAATCCAATGTGGTTGAACGGGTTCCTCATATCCCAACTTGCGAGGTACTCGTAAACCGTCTTGGGTGATTCCTTTGTCTCCGAGCCATGTTCCTTGTAAGCCAGCGGCAACAATAGCATCACTGTACTACTGAGTACACTGGGTAGTTTCCTCTACTGACGGGTGCTGTGTGGGAGTACACCGCATGTATGGAAATGGGGCCTCAAATACTGCCTGCATCGCGTATGATAAGTTGGTTCCGTATTGCGAGTACACCCAGCAAGGCTAGATGATCTTCTCCATACGCGAGCCTTGCCCAGACTCTGCCGTTGCATGCGGAAATTGTGGTTATGTCTGGAATCCTCTTCCCAGGGGGACCGGCTATCCTACCCTGTACGAACGCGCCCAGGTCAAAGATTGGATTACGTCTGAGCTACTCGCTACAGAGTAACCGGTACTACGACTGGTAGCCATGAGAGCATTCACACATGATTCAGGACGGTAGCGATCGTCTGGCTATCGTTCCCTGGAGAGGGCATTACATTGGAATGTCCTCGGTATTGTCTCTGTCTGCTCTAATCATACGCAATAGGCTAATGATACTTTTCTCGGTTAGTGTTGCCGGCTCTCGACCCACCCCTGATTGATTCACTGTAACGCAATCTGCGTCCCTCGCACTGGTCAGACACTGCTCTGCTCGATGCTCAGCATTGCACTTACTCTGTAGGGAGGAATTGCATGCATTCTGACCACAATCTGGAACTCAGACAGGGCGGTGACCGACCACCGCGACGGATGGGCTTGGGC